TACGTGATCGATTAAAACGAAAGACCTAGCTAAATTAAGTAGCCTATATTAAAAAGATAGCTATTAGATTTAGCCTACTAAATAGCTAGAAAGCCCTAAAACTACTACTTCTAGCTACACAAAAGCTTAATCTAATTCTGACAGAACTAATTAACCCGAAAATTATTAAGCTATTTTAACAAAAGTGTAAATCTACTCTTTTCCCTACTATTTAGACCTGCCTAGATACTATATTCGCTAACAAATTACTAGCTAAATCGCTTACTTACTGTAATAAGAAGTATTTAGCAGCTGTCGACTATTTAATATTATATCTCTATATAACCAGATACCTTTCCCTCTGCTTTAATAGCGAAATAAGAGCTTCTATCTTTACTGCCGCCTTAGATACAAGCTTTACTAACAATCCTAACCGAAAGAGCTTTAAAGGATTTATCTTCTACTTATTTAATAGACCGATTGAATAGAAATCGCGTAAGTAGAAGACTATTACTACGTCGATTACAGAAGCTGAATTACTAGCTATTAGCTATATAGCTAAGTAGCTCTATTAAATCAAACGCCTCTTTTCCTTTATCTAATTCGAAACTAACTAATTAGATATAATCGAATACGATAATCAGCAGATAGTTAATTTGCTTACGCGCGAGAAATTAATATTTCAGACTAAACTTCGTTATATTGATATCTACTAGCTTTAGATTCGCTAGGAAGTCTAAGCTAGATAATTACGAATTAAATAGGTTAAATCGGCCGAAATAAAAGCCGACAGCCTTACGAAGCGTTTATCTGCAGAAAAATATACTGCCTTTATTTAACAGCTAGGTATAGAGATCTTACCTGCAGAGAAATCCCCTTCCTTCTGATATCTCTTATTCAGCTCTCACTTTGACCTTATATTAAGTACTAAGGGGGTATATTAACATAAATAGGTGTATAAGCTTATAAGAGCTATCGAACTAGACAGAATACAACGGAATATACACATAACGACGATCTTCAACGATTAATATTAACAGATTGTATATATAACGAAAGAGCTTCAATACTCTATTTCTTCTGATTTCTATAAGATTCTATTCTTATGTATTGCCTCGATTTCATAAAGTTATAAATACTGCCTGTCTTCTAAAGCTAGTTGAATCAAGTTTAATTATTGTAGTGAAGTTGGAGCATTCTTCTATTATAAGTTAGCTTCCGATTCTAAGCCGAATCGTACGACCCTTTCGACCTGACTTATACGATTCTTTGCCGGATCGTATACTGATTTGACCTACCGTGTATATTTACTTACTTGTGCACGCAGAAGGATTTATACCGACCCCGTAAATCCGACAAATAGCTTATAGGAAATTATAGACTAAAGAGAGAGGGTCTTAGAAGTAAGAGATATTAGCCTAACTCCCTTATAATTTGTAAATAATACACTTTTGGCCCTATATAGCTAGTTAAGAGGATTTAGATAGTAGCGCTTAGCGCTTGATTTTATCCTAATCACGCAGGATTTAGCGATTCTTTGATTAGTCTAATCAGGCGAATATAGCGTATAGCTATAGAATTGCGTTTAATAGGTTGTTGATAATCTTTCTTCCTTTAGGTGTAAGAGATAATTAAATACCTTACTTGAGAGACTAAATCGATCGTATATATTACTTAAATCACATTTAGACAAATTGTATTCGTTAAGAAGGATTCTATAGAACATAATTGATTTGGTATAAGATCAATTAGGCATAAGGGATCTTTTAGTCTGTATTAACCATATCTAATAGCTGTAGCTTTATCGGCTCCTGCAGTAGCGTAGCAGGCTGTTAATCAGGATTAGCGTATTACTATACACTATTTTTTTGGTGCGTAGTCCTGTACAGTAATAATCTAGGGGATCTAATATACGTAGTATCTCAGTAGGTATTTAAGCTAGGTAGCTTAAAGATTATTTAAATCTATCACTTATAAGACAAAAGTGATAGAAAGATAAGATAAAAGTGAAGGTAAAGTGATCCGAAAGCTTTAGTAAAGGGCTACAGTATCGGGCTTATGACTATCGGATTTATGCTGTGTGTATAAACCCTAGGTAGTGCACGAAGTGTTCGTGCAAGTTAATCGAATACCACGATTATGGAAGAGTGACGAAAGTGCAATAGAGGTAGGTCGGCAGCGAACAGGTTGAACAGTAGAGGGTCAACACAGTTTAATTAGAATTGCCTTGAGCTCTATTCGTGAGTGAAAATGGTGTCAAACTTATGACATTGTCGTCAAAATTATTCAATTTAACTAGGGAAACAGGCTGTATTTATAACTTTGGATATATGGCAGAATGTCACAGGAAAAGGCTGATAAAAATCCGAAATAACATGGGGGCATACGAGAGTGTTAGGAAACTCGTTATTCTTTCCATTTGATACAATAGTTGATATCTTATCATTGTATTGTGTAGTGGTGTTCTGGGATATTGATCCGATTAGTCCGATGTGTATCGCTTATCAACACGCTTAGTGCGGGGTATTCCATATGTTGACAATTGTTACAGGATAAAATACCGAGAGAGGTAACTAGGTAGGTGGGACAAGTAGATATTGTCAACATGTGTGTGTGTGTGTGCATATCCCTGCAATAAGCGAGCGCATGCATACGTATGCGCGCTAATGCAATCGGATGCATAATTCTGTATCCCCGATACACCGCTTCATGATGTACGATGTTGATTATCAACTATGGCATCGGATGGAAAGAACGAGTTTCCTAACACTCTCGTATGCCCCCATGTTATTTCGGATTTTTATCAGCCTTTTCCTGTGACATTCTGCCATATATCCAAAGTTATAAATACAGCCTGTTTCCCTAGTTAAATTGAATAATTTTGACGACAATGTCATAAGTTTGACACCATTTTCACTCACGAATAGAGCTCAAGGCAATTCTAATTAAACTGTGTTGACCCTCTACTGTTCAACCTGTTCGCTGCCGACCTACCTCTATTGCACTTTCGTCACTCTTCCATAATCGTGGTATTCGATCGACCTGTGTGCGCCTCCAAGCACACTCCCTAGGGTTTATGCACACGGCGTAAATCCGACAGATATTGCAAAGTCCAAGTCGAAGCAACATGTAAACATCTAAGACGTTCTAAACTTCGGATACCCACTCTACTTCCTCAACTCCTTTCCCCATACTTGCAAGCCCAAAATAAACAAAAACGCTAAGCCACAAGGGCCTGCCTGAGAGCCAAATGCTTTGACAAAGCCCACTTTGTTCACCCACTCTATTCGAAAAAAGCTGATATCACAAAACCACCCGGCGTACGCGCAAAACTCACCCAAGCGTTGGTCTCTCCGGAGGCCTCAGGATAAGAGTCAAGATAGTAGGCACTGATAGCAACAGTAGTAAACATGACTCCAAACACGTACATTCCCCAGCCTAGTGCAGCGAGAGGATAGTGTCACTCATGTTGGAGGGCATACCCAAGGACAACGAGGCCTGTGATTTGAAGGGGCATTGCGAGCCACACAGTCACTAGACGTGCTTCAGGATGGAAGTGGCCTGAATGCAGACGAGTATGGATGCCGGCAATGTAAGTGTGACTCCAGTGCCCGGAAACATCACTGAGAATGAGTGCAATGACCGGAGTAAAGTAATAGAAAGATAGAATGGAGTGTGAGCCATGTAGAGCACAGACAAAAGCCAAAAAGATATTATCACCTACCGATCTGCTTCTGTCCAAAGTTATAAACTGATCCGAGAAAAATGGATAGAGTGGTATTGATCCGATAAACCATGCAAACGAGAAGGCATATGAAATAAAGGCGATCAAAACCGGGAGACGACTAATTATCAAGTATGGCCGTGCGAGGGCCTGTGAGAAGGTGCTACGCTGGCTGCGGCTTTTCCACTGTGAGATATCGATGAGACGCATAAGGCGTGAGTCTCGTGGCGGCTGCCCGCTGGTAGGGATTTTCCTATTATAAAAATTTTCATTGGCAAAGGTGCAATGATGAGCAATTAAAGCACTGACATGATACTGTAGATAGCGAATATCCATTGCCACTCGAGCGTAATAGTGATGAAGGCGCCAAACATCGGACCGAGGTAGGGAGACATAGAAACAAGAGAGGCCCATATATTGATCTTGGGAGCATGCTCGTGAAAGAAAAATATAACATTGATGAACATAAGGCCACACTAAGAAATAAATTGATGCCTTGTTAGCTCAACTTATGTACAAAAAACAGGAGGTAGGACCCACCGCCTCGCTAACACTTGAGAAAAGACCATTGAGAATCCGAGCGGCTATGAGCGGCTGTGCACCAGATAGCTGTTGCATAGGCTAATACGGTAAACCAGAACGATACCAGGAGGCGACCAAAGTAGGCACTGAGGATGACAACGAAAATGCCACCTATATCAACCATGAACTTATTTCCTGAGTGGCTATGGTTGACTTCTTCCACAGTCAGTCCCCATGCGCTACAGATTTTAAATGAGCCGTGTTCCATCTGCAGAAGTGGTGAGAGGTAGACTTACATGGACCGGACCTCAAGGACGGCTGCTCCTGTAGCGGACCGATAATTGGGTAGGAAAGAAGTTGCTGCAACAATGAGCAAGATGGAATTCTTTTTTAGGGAGCTCCAGTTCAACGGATGGGTCATCACGAGGCTGTGGAACCAAGGTGAATTTTCCATCTTCAGTGGTCTCCTGGCTACCCGACGCTGATTGAAACTAGGAGCTTAGCCGAAGATAGTTCATTTACAAGGAAACCAGATTCACTATATGCGAGAATATCCTAAGTATTACATGATACTGATTAGCAAGCCAGACTCCTAGTCCTCCTCCCCCTGCCTTTCCATGGAGCATGTACATCGGTCGTATTTAAACCAAAGTAGCAGCCTCAACGATCGACACCGAGATCAGACTCTAGCGATGCTGTGCCGTGCACGATGTAGAGAATTGCAAAAGGCCCAAGATTGCCGTGTTTCCGAATCGGGCACCTCCCTTGAATGTACCTAGGGATTGAAGTCAATGTCCATTGGGTCGTCATCAATACTATACGTCAAAGGAGAATCCCAGAAGTTCCTGGCCGAACAAGATAGAGTATCAGGATCGAAAGATGGTGAAGATTGGTGACTACTCGTTGCCTGGGCCCTGGCCCTTGCCCTCGCCCGAGATTCGATGATCGCCTTCCTCACGCTGTCGTGCTCATTGGGGACTGTCAAGGACGATGGCTCGGTGTACAACACAAGCTCCCTGCCTTGTGAAGGGGTCGACAAGACGGAATCCGGCACGGAGATCATTTTGGCCGCGAGGGGTAGGATAACCAGACCTCCTTCGGGAGGGTCTAAATCGGCCAATTCGCGATCCAAGTCATGAATATAGGTCGTATGTTTGGTGTCGTCCAGCATCATCGCATCGGACTGTGGTGGCCATGCCGGGCTGGTATTGGAAGTCGATAATATTTGCGTCGGAGTAGAAGTGGATGGCGTAGAGAGAGTCGAAGTGGAAGAGCTGCAATGAACCCCATCGCGATCACGGGGCCGAGCTCCGACGATTGGCGCCTCATCATTATTTCCTGCTAGGAATGCGGTCAATCTCTGATTCTTTTTTTTTCCCAACCCTAAATTGAACTCTCCTCCCAGATCTGTGACACCAAAAACAAACAAAGATCCTTACCTATTTGGAGGTATCCGAACCTCTTGGTTAGAGGTTGCGCGCCGTCCGGGTCACCATCAGCGGGGCGCTTTCTGCCGAGTTGAGGGATCTCATCACTCCGCGCCATCCACAAACCAACAACCTCCCCAATGCACGAGAAGAACAAAGGAGGAGAGATATCAAGAGACAATTAGGGAGACAATCCGAGATCACAGTTGAAGAATCCGAGATCGGCCTCTCAGGCAGGCGTGCATATTCCCTGTTGACAGGGAGGGAGTGTTGTTCGTTCGATGTGGATGCGAGTTTCTGGAGGAGGAGGACTGTTGAAAGGCCCCTTGACTCATCCTCCGCAGTTTGCGCGCCGCACTCCCAGAACCTTCCATTATCCTCCCCGCCACTTTCCCCTCATCACCCATCCAACACCCTCTCTCCTGTTCGCCAGGATGGCTTCTGATACTAGTCGTCCCGAGTGGACTGCTCCTCGAGTCAGAGAGACCTTTTTGGAATATTTCAAGCAAAATGGCCATACTTTTGGTGCGTGACAAAAAAAAACTACAAACCCCGCCACCCCTCCTTCCCCTCAAAGAGAAATTCCATAACGCGCCCTCTTCGATTTACTAACAGCGCATTCGATGTTCTAGTCCCCTCCTCGCCGGTCGCTCCCTTGTCGGATCCGACTCTGCTCTTCACCAATGCTGGAATGAACCAGTATAAGTCTATCTTCCTGGGTACTGTCGACCCGCAGTCAGACTTTGCAAAGCTGCGACGCGCAGTGAACTCTCAGAAGGTACGATAACCCTCCACCGGTGGCCATGCGATCTTAATATCTTTAGCTGACTTTCACAATTCCTTAGTGCATTCGCGCTGGTGGTAAACACAATGTGAGTGGGAGTGGGAGCGCTCATGGGGATGCCTCTCGAGTTACTGACTGGTTTCGCACAGGATCTTGACGATGTCGGCAAGGACAGTTATCATCACGTACGTTCCATTTGCATATCATGATTCCGGTTGTTGTCATAGGGCGGTATTTCTAATTATTCATTTTACTAGACTTTCTTCGAAATGTTGGGCAACTGGAGTTTCGGCGACTACTTCAAGAAGGAGGCGATTACCTATTCGTGGACTCTTCTCACCGAAGTCTATGGACTGAACCCCGATCGTCTATACGTCACATATTTCGAGGGCGACGAAGCCGGTGGTCTCGAGCCCGATCTCGAGGCCAGAGATCTTTGGAAGTCTGTGGGTGTCCCGGAATCCCACATTCTCCCGGGCAACATGAAAGATAACTTCTGGGAAATGGGTGACCAAGGCCCGTGTGGACCTTGCAGTGAAGTTCACTACGATCGCATCGGCGGCCGCAACGCGGCATCCCTCGTGAACCAGGATGATCCGAATGTGCTGGAGATCTGGAACAACGTGTTCATCCAGTACAACCGCGAGTCAGACCGCTCCTTGAGGTCCCTACCTAACAAGCACGTCGACACCGGTATGGGCTTTGAGCGCCTGGTGTCCGTTCTCCAGGACAAGCCCTCCAACTACGACACGGACGTTTTCACCCCCATCTTCCAGGCCATTCAGAACGCAACCGGCGCCCGCGAATACCGCGGTCGTTTTGGTGCCGAAGACCCGGACGGCATCGACACTGCGTACCGTGTGGTCGCCGATCATGTGCGCACTTTGATGTTTGCCATCTCTGACGGAGTGGCCCCTAACAACGAGGGCCGTGGCTACGTGATCCGTCGGGTGCTGCGCCGTGGAGCCCGATACGCTCGTAAATACTTCCAGGTCGAAATCGGTAACTTCTTCTCGAAACTCGTGCCAACGGTCGTGGATCAGCTCGGTGAAATGTTCCCGGAGCTGATCAAGAAACAGCACGACGTGATGGAGATTCTTGATGAAGAGGAGTTGTCATTTGCCAAGACTCTGGATCGAGGCGAGCGTCAATTCGAGCAGTATGCCCAGCACGCCAAACTCAAGGGTTCCGACAAACTTCACGGTGCGGATGTGTGGAGACTGTACGACACTTTCGGTTTCCCTGTCGACCTGACGCAGATCATGGCGGAAGAGCGTAGTCTCCGCATCGACGATGCTGAGTTTGAAGAAGCCCGCTTGAAGGCCAAAGAAGCTAGCAAGGGTCAGAAGAAGGCCGCCGAAAATGTGGTCAAGCTTGATGTCCATGATCTCGGAAAGTTGGAGAAAATGAGCGACGTGCACAAGACGGACGACTCCGCGAAATTTGGAAGGGGCAATATTACGGCTAACATCAAGGCCATTTACCATGGGAAGCACTTCTACGAGAGCACCGACAAGGCTCCCAGTGGCGAACAACTTGGTGTCATTCTTGACTGCACCAACTTCTACGCCGAGCAGGGTGGTCAAGAGGCCGACACTGGTCGGATTGTCATTGATGGCCAGGCCGAGTTGGAGGTTGGCGACGTCCAAGTTTACGCTGGTTACGTCCTGCACACTGGCTTCATGAAGTATGGATCCCTTTCAGTGGGTGATGCCGTGATCTGTGAATACGATGAGCTTCGTCGCTGGCCTATCCGGAATAACCACACTGGTACCCATATCCTGAACTTTGCCCTTCGTGAGGTTCTCGGAGTTGGTGTTGAGCAAAAGGGTTCTCTGGTCTCGGCTGAGAAGCTTCGTTTCGACTTTTCTCACAAGGCTGCTGTGTCTGATGCCGATCTGGAGCAGATTGAGGCCAAGGCTACTGGGTACATCAGACAGAACTGTGCTGTCTACTCCAAGGAGCTTCCCCTTGCCACCGCTCAGCAGATTTCTGGTGTCCGTGCTGTCTTTGGTGAGACGTACCCGGACCCTGTCCGGGTCGTGTCCGTTGGTGTTGAATTGGAAGAGATCCTGCGGGATGTCAAGGATCCCCAATGGGAGAAAGTCAGCATTGAGTTCTGTGGTGGAACCCACGTTCAGAAGACCGGCGACATCAAGGATTTGATTGTACTTGAAGAAAGTGGTATCGCCAAGGGCATTCGTCGTATTATCGCTGTCACCGGCGAAGAGGCCCACGAGGTCCAGCGACTTGCTCAAGAGTTTGAGGCCCGCCTTGACAAGCTGGATGCTATGCCCCTCGGCCCTGAGAAGGAGCGAGAGTGCAAGCAAGTGCAGGTTGATCTCAACCAGCTTGTGATCTCCGCAGTTCGGAAGGCGCAGTTCCGCGTACGCTTCACCGCGATCAACAAGCAGGTCCTGGATGGCCAGAAAGCACAACAGAAGTTGGAATCTAAGATGGCCCTGGAAGCCATCACGTCCTACTTTGAGGCCCCAGAGAACCAGAACTCCTCGTCGCTCGTTGTCAAGCTTCCCATGCCTGCAAGCGCCAAGGCCGTCAGCGAATCTATCAATCACGTCAAGTCGAAGATGCAAAACAAGAATGTCTATGTGATGGCAGTTGATCCCGAAAACACCCGGGTTGCACATGGTTGCTACGTGTCCAAGGTAAGTAAAAGATGTTATCAATTTGTGAGACCTGTATCTAACACACAGCTATAGGAACTCGGAGAGCTAGGAGGGTCGGCGAGCGATTGGGCTGCCGTTGTTTCCAGCAGCATCGGCGGAAAAGCCGGTGGAAAGGGCGCGACCTCGATCGGCAATGGCACGAACCCGGACAAGGTCGATGATGCTGTCGCGCTTGCAACCGAATACTTGAGCAAATTCAAGCTATAGGAGACCAAGTATGTATGAATCAAGATCTTGATTCAAGCCCTGGTGCAAACCCTCTCGGAACAATGGCCGTAACCTGGTTTGCTCCTTGGCTTTTTAGCGGCTACATTTCACCGTGACACAATCAGTACAAATTCCGAGGGCGAAGGAAAATAGAAAAGCTCGGGTGCAGAGGACAAAAACGCTATACCAAAGAAGAACTGGGAAATTGATGGACGACTTTGATCTACTTTGTGAAATTGAAGTGTTATATTCTTCCAATTTATGTTATTACCAGAGACGAACGTGGTTGATCCCCGTTGCTCCTCCCTTCGCCGTGATCCATCCTACATATCTTCTACAATGACTTCTATAATGACTTCTATAATGAACTCGGCCTTTTCTTGTATTATGAATGCCATTAAACTAGACTGTCTAGACCAGACTTGTCTGCTTAAGATAATGGTCTTTTTGCTTTCACCTTTTGTGAAAACCAACCCATTGATAACAGCATTCTTTATCTTTTCATCATCATCTTCTCTACATCTCCCCACACTGAACAATCGTTACATCCTGGTTCGGCTTGTCTCTGGTGGTCCGAGTCTGCTCGACCATGCGAACTATGTCCATGCCATCAATGACTTGGCCAAACACGACATGTTTGTTGTTCAAGAAGGGCGTCGCGGTGGTCGTGATAAAGAATTGGCAGCCATTGGTGTTTGGGCCCGAGTTCTAATTAAAAGATTCAGTGAGACGTTCAAACGAAGAGGAAAATAGCCTCATGGACTGAAGAGTCTATTCAACTAGAGTAAACATGACCTACCGCCATACTCAGAAGACCTGGGCGGTCATGTGGCAGCGTAAAATTCTCATCTGCAAACTTGGGGGTGCCGTAAATAGTGCAGCTGCCCGTGCCATCGCCATTGACGAAATCGCCACCCTGAATCATGAAATCCTTGATCTGAGGAAAGTGAGCTGGAAGTCCCAAGCCTTAAGCACCGAAATGGGGGGAGGGTGTAGAGGAAGAGGTCCATACCACACGGTGGAACTTGCTACCTTTGTAGCCTTGAGGTTGCCCTTTGGGGTTCTTGCTCTCGCCCGTGCAGAACTGCCGGAAATTCTCTGCCGTCTTGGGAGTCGTATTGGCAAAGAGCTCCATTTTAATCCGCCCAAGAGCCTCACCTGGCGTAAGTTGGTCAGCATATATGATTCTATCTTAACAAGCAGAGTGAGGAGGGGAATCATTAGCTCACCAGCGAGGGCAAGGTCAAAGAAGACTACCGGGTTGGTAGGCTCACTGGGCCGTGGAACATGTTCAGCCATAGCTGGGAGGAGTAGACTGGGATTCTGTAGGTGTTGGTGGTGATTGAATTGAGCTGGCGTGGGCGGGATGATGGAATGATATTCCTCGCCGGACTTATTTCGGTCTGTGCACGAAGTCTTGAATGGCTGTCAAGTCTTTTTGAAAGCCACACAATTTTTACCCCTTCTTTCAAATTGAATAAAAGACTTGAAGATAAAAACCCCAAACAAGCAAGACTGGTTCAAAAACTGAAAACTAACGAGGGTCCATACTGCAAGTGGCTGCCGTTCCCGTGACTTCCCAGCCTCAGGTGTCTTACCGTATCTTAAGGTGTCAAGGTGTCTTCAGGTGTCGATTTTCCCCCATTTCTCTACTCTTCCCCCTCAGAAACCCAAAACCCAAAACCGCATGCATCCCTCTAAACTCTTTTTCGCCCTTCCTCTTACTCCTCTCCTCTGACTTGCCCCCAACTACTCACTATCCTTTTTGGGATCACCACCCCCCCAGAATAGATGGTATGACTTGGTGCTAGGAGTTGGACTCGTTCTGTCCCTCGCGAAGAATCCGAGATTTGACAACAATCACCGACCCAAGGCCGGTGGGTCTCCCTGCTCCATTGTCGATCCATGACCGGCCAGCCCTCTTAGGACTGAATCGAAGTGGTCCACCGTCAACTGCATGCATTTTATTGCATTGTGAACACCAGGCGGTAAATCACCTACTTGAGAGGCTTTTGCGACTAGCCCATCCACAACCTGGCTCATATCCCTCCAGGGAATGACTGGTGGCTGGGTGGACTCGAACGAACCCGAATCCCGATCTGAGAAGGAAGCAGGCCAATATTGTATCCTTGCGATTCCTTTGTAAGCGAGCGCTTCTGTTCCTCCCTGAGATGGCTCCTTCTACAACCACAGCGGCCAGCAGTGCCGCAACTACCACCGGTAGTGGTGATAGCGGCTCCGGCTCAAATGCGACGAGTTCGCCTCTTCTGTTTTTTGTCGCATTAGGATTCGGCGTCGTCTTCACCAATCTTTGGTATGTCCCATTCAACTTATCACCGCTACCATACTGGTCTTTTTAAGGCTCCATTCTAATGCGATAAAACAGGATTATCGTCGGCGTTAAATACTGCTTCCGCTACAATCAACGGAACCGCCAGTTACGCAATGAGGAGACTGGTGACCCGATAGATCTGGTTACCATGCCTCGCGCCCATCGAAGACGACGAGAGAAGAAGTTGATGACTATGGACGAAGTTAACGAGCGATTCCCCTTGGTGAAATACAAAGTGTGGAGGTCGTCTCGCGCCAACCAAGGTCTTTCAACGGAGGGGGGTATCACGGCTCCCAATACTCGACCACAGAGCCTCAAAGATGAGGATGGCGTTGCCTTTACTGTCCCAGTGATTTCTGCAGCCGCAACTTCACCCGTAGTGGAGGAGGAGCGGGCGGTATCAAGCAATACTTCTCAGCCATCCCACGATGTATCCGGAGACCCCGCTTTACGACCGACTGGAATCGACACTTCTACGGGCGCCGCTGCTACCTCTACCCGGCAAGAAACCGGAGGGAACGTAACAGAAGAAAAGTGGCAACACTCCCTGATCAATGAGCACGCTGATCTGGAAGAGGACGAAGACGATGGCGATCAGATTCGAAAAGCGGTGCCCGCCGAGTTGCTTCCCAACCCTGGAGATTCTTGTGCAATTTGCTTGGACATCATTGAAGACGATGATGATATTCGGGGACTTGCTTGTGGTCATGCCTTCCACGCCTCATGCGTCGATCCTTGGTTGACAAGTCGGCGGGCCTGTTGTCCTTTGTGCAAAGCGGACTACTATGTTCCAAAGCCCCGTCCCCAGCCAGCCGAGGGAGCGTCTGCTTCGGATCGCCAGGGACGCCGTACTGTATCGATTCGCCTTGATGGTCTAGCTAGACCCCCGCGTGCTGCGCAGCCGAGGGCTCAGATCAATCCTTTCCGGGTGCAGATGGCGTTCCCTGGTCGGTTATTCCAACCAACATCCCCAGAATCACAAGGCCGACCTCCTCAAGCGGCAGGGCTCTCGGAAGACCCTCCCAGCGAAGCACAAGATCCGATTAGACCGTCACCTCGAGGAAATTGGTCACGATTCTTGCCATCGCGTCTGCGAGGGCGTCCTTCCCAAAACCCTACTACCGGCGAGGCTCCTGAGCCATCAGCCGAAAGAAATCCTCCATCTAACAACAATCTGCCGGCCGGGCAACAACAGCGTACGCCTGGTCAACTCGAGGCGGGCACTTGATCTCTTGCTGTTCACACCATTTACTTTTTATGATCCTTGATGTCCCTTGACTTTTTTTTTTTGCTGAATTTAACATCTGGAATGTTCGTCCAGCGCAGCCTTTTCTATGTTAATGACTTATTCTGTGTAATTTATTGCTTTTCTGGCTCGGATATTGGCGTACGACAGGGTGGTGATCTTGCTAATGGCACCTCGCAATTTACCCCTTTCTTCATCGGTTTTACTGGAAAATGAGCAGGGAACGGTGGTCGCTTTCTCTTACACTATCTTCCCAAGGCGTCGGTCTTCGGAAAGATTGGGCATGATCTTTATTGAACAGTTCTAGGAGGTCGTCAGAGGGACGAGTATGATTTCGGATATCTGTAACTTGTTTGACCACCACAAAGCTAAACGAATATGAACTACAATCCACTCCCAACTCCCCAACTATCTATAACACTAGAGTACACTGGACGATCGGAGGTCTCAGTTGAGAGAGAGCCGGTTGGCAGTCCACGAGCCGCTAGTGGGCATGAATATAGCGGATAGTAACCGAAATCCCCCCTGTGGAAGAGCAGGTAAATGTGCAGATGTAAAGCAAAGATGCCCCAAAATTCAACAAAACATGAAAAAGACACCCGTTTCTCGCTTACGCCGGTGCTTTCGAGCCCCCGACGCCGGCTCCGATCACACTCGGAAGTTCTTCCGAGCCCATGCTGAACAGCATACCAACAGCGCTGGTCACTAGAACAATGGCCAAGACACTCACACCGGCAATCAAAAAGAATGGCGAGCTAATATCTTCCTTCTGGCAAGCTGAACCACCCCAGTAGATCTTCTGCTTCGAGCCGTCACTTTTCGTGCGCACTGTTGCTTGGCAACGGCATGCAAAACATTGCGCGTCCCCGGACGAAGACTTCAGGTAACAAGAACCATGCCCCGAGCAATTGTTGGTTGCCTCGGAGCAAGACGAGTTAGAGGCGTGGCAGACAGGTGCAAGGAGCAAGGATGAACCCAGGTCCTGTGCGGACTTTTGCAGAGTGCCTTGCGCATCCGATGCAGATGACCGAGGCAGTCCGGTGTCACGCCGGGAGATCCGTGCAAAGTCCCGAGAGGCATCAACAGCGGGAACCATCAAGGCAGTGATTTCACGGCTTTCTGACGAAGCCGATTTATCCAAGTTCTGGAAGAGAGACTCGAGATACTTGGTAACGAGCGCGTTGTCGGCGGAATTTGCCTGGAACCAAAGGTGAGCTGAGTGTCATCTTCCTGGACAATTTCACAGATGTGTTTTTACCTTGAGTGATAGCCTCGAGGCAGTTGTTTTGTGGTCCTTGCTCGACCAGATTTCTACCGAGTCGAGCAGGCTAAGGAACTCGCGGCTGTACAGGCCCTGGTCTTGGGAGAGCACTGGATCTTGAGAGATACAATCTTTCGCGGCCTGTTCGATCATCACATGAGTTAGTCCGACAATCACATAGATTCCATAGTATGTAAGTCGCCCATACCTGAACTAATTCTGACCCATCGCTTTGGCGATAAGTGCAGCGGTTCTTCATGTCTCCATATCCAAACTGAGACCCGAGGGAGTCATCCACCAACTTCGGCGACGCATGGGAAACGATAATACTCTGTGGCCGGGACTTTCGAATGTTCGAACCTGTTGGAGCGGGGAAACGGATAGCTATTAGCTGACGATTCTCTCGATGGGTGCTTCATAAAGACATACCAACAGCTTCATTGACTCCCTCGATCAGAATCATGTTCCTGCTTGGAGATCCATGGCTATCATCACCACCGAACAAAGAGAACTGGGAGCCAGAAAACTCGTTGATGCGATCCACGATGTCTGTTTCAACCTTCCCAAGGAGGGACTGCAAGGAAGACTGGGTGCGCAGCTCCAAGATCAGTTGAGCGACATCTTCTGACACTGTCCGGTGCCCCAAGCTAGCTTCTCTTTGTTCCAGCTCGTTCGAGGGAAAAGTAAATATCGAAGTGTCCAGGGCCTGTGTCCCCAACGCACCCGAGGCCGCTAGGGCCAGGAGCTTGGAGACCATATGCATGTTGTTGGACAAGGGCGGGGGAGCGATGGAGTTAGGCGATCCCAAATGATGCAGCTTCGAACATAGGTAAGCTTTTCCTTGGAGAAGCTCCCGAGTGTCGCTGTCGTCTTTGTGAAGTGGGTTAGGAATGTAATGAAAGCTTGACGATGATGGTCTCCCCCACGGGCGAGTTGTCGGGACACCTCTCGACCTCCGAGGAGGCGGGATTAGCTAAGCATCAGCTGAGAACCCCCCCCTCTAAAACCACCGATCCATGAAACTATATAATTCAAGATTATAGACGTATCCAGGAAGGTAGCTGAAAAAGAAATGATCTGTTTGGGATAAGAACCAGGTTTTCGATCCAGCAGGGTCCGACTGTTATATCCTTGATTAATTTCCCAACTACAAGCTTTAGTAAGCCCACCATTGGCAAGAGAAAGAGAAAAGGAAGTAAGCTATGGAACTGATGTTCAAAGAGATTCTCGAATATCTACAGGGAGAATTAAAAGACGGCGAGTGACTTCGACCGCAGACTTCTAGTAAGGCCGTAAGACCCCGGTTTAACGGCCTCCGAGTGGCTTCTGCTTTCTGGGGTTGATATCCTTCAACTGCATCTCCACTGTCCGCCACGCAGACTTGGCTGGATCATATTCACCGCGCACTTCAAATCGGCAGAAGCCATTGGGCCCCTTCAGACCCACGGGCCCCGAAATGAAGAAAGTGCCTCGCCGAGGTGTTCGGGGATTCCGAGCCTGATACTCGTTCAATCGCAACCTGAATGCCAGCGATGCCAGGTGCAGATCTGACCCGGGTCCTAGATCAGGTAATGGAAGGCGTTGTAAAGATGAGATGATTGAAGATGGATGAAGCTCTGGCTCCTCGCTGGGCAGGATATTATCCGAGAGTTCGTCAGATAATGGAGATTGCACCCTCGGCTGGTCATGGGGGCTGAGAGGGTTGAGCTTCTCATGCCCCGAGAGAATATATCTGCCACTTAGCAATTCTAGCGCATCGAGAGGCTGAGCATCTGGGTCCCGAAGTCGGGCTATTTGCCGTCTGATCAGAAGCGTGTACGCATCCTTGATCGCAAGGGCCACGTGTACAGGCTTCATAACCGTTTGTAGTCGATCTCCAATATCGGGGTCCAGGGTTTTGGTTACCCAGGACACACCGTCATCTGCGATTTCAAGACTAGGAAGCGGTGATGTTAGTCAGATGATACTACCGAACTGTAGTTGCGGAGACACATACCCAGAACGCAGATACTCCGGAGGTGCACGAGACGGGAATTGATGGACCAGCCAGAATCCGGTCAAGGAAAGGGGGCTTCCCAATATTTGTGACATGCTCTCCGAAGCACTCTTGAGAACAATCGCAGCAAGTTCATCTAGACTCCCGTCAATAAACCCCGGCCTCCCAAATGTTCCCGTTTTGAACATACCTCTCAACTTTTGCAATTTTTGCCGATCCTTTGATATGGTGACGAACTCTTGCCATTCGGGATCTGAAGCAGTATACAATTCGCCCTCTTCCAGCCAAGACCACGTGAGAGGAATGAACAAGCCGTCTTCTTCTCCCAACTGGTCTTCCGTCAACTCGTCAATACCCCTAGAGGCACGTTGTAGACTGGTGTGCTCTGGACGTGTCTCGGGGGCTTTCTGGTCGTCATGGGTATCGTCGTCGTCGAATCGAACGAGCACGAAGGAACTCCATAGGTGGAATGCGGTACCGTATAAGATAGCTTTGCCCAGGAAGGACCTATAACAAGCCAGAAATCAAGGCACATGGTCAGCCTTGTCCCTGCAATCCTTGGTTTCGTAACAACTGGGAAGGAGGGATACTACACTCACCTGAACCAGGGCCTTCTGAATCTCACATGCCGGACCGCCGCAGGTTGCGGGGGGTTGACGAGGACCAATATGGAAGAGCGCAAACCGTGGTTGAGTTCGAAAGAGCTGCCGGAGCCGGAGCATTGAGAAAAACCCCTGAAAAATATTCCCGGTCTAACTGCACAGGTCAAGATGAAGAAGCGAATAATGAACGGTACTAAGAGTAATTTGGACTTCCGGGCCTCATGGAACGCCAGTCACATGATATCTTATCAACGGGGATTAGGTCAGCGCCCGATAACGGCCTGGCCTCAGTGGCCTGAGCCCTGAGGAATCTAAAGTGTGTACGGAGTACATAGTATACAGACCTGAAGCCAACCGTGTGGTGGACTCTCTATTGAATCATATTTCTAATAACAATTTAGAGATTTTTTACCCCGAGGAATGATACAACTAAGTCATTCTGCACATTTGAAATGACACATTCTAAACTTTCCTGACGATGCAAATGGACTGAAGTTGTTGCAGGATATAGATACAATCAACTCGGTACTATCATCTCATCATAGCGTGATTCTATTAGTCCCAGGGGAATGAAAAACAAACCAGCTAGTCTGATTTGCGTGCCATTCTGCGTAGGTCCTCCACTCCAGGTAGGATAGGTTCAGAGTACAGATAGTGCCAAGTAAGAGTAGAGTACGGAGTACATTGGAGGTGTGTACATGTAGGTTGATAGGCGGACAGCCAAGGAAGCTTGGATAGTTTTGTCTATCTAGTCAATGCAAGGTAAAAAACGCTTGGAGACCCTAAGATAGCAGAAAGTTTCGTGTAATGCAAGTATGCATAGCACGCGATTAGCGCAATTCATGAATCAGTGGTGGGGTGGTCGGAAGTGACGCAACACCTCGCTCTCCCCCTTCGCGGGATCATCCTCCTGCTTACTTCTCCGCCATTATTCCGGAGATAGACATTATCCTACGATTCAATTGTCTTGAAATTTAACTCTCTTGTGTTTTAACATTATCTAGATTCAATCTTCCTGCACCATGTCGGTCCCTCCTAAATACGCAGGCCTGAAGCTCCTCCGGGCAACCCCACAGGAGACACAGCATACTCTCGAACTATGTGAGCTTACATCGACGATTCTGTTGCATTGAGCATTCGACAACTAACAAGTACCAGTTCTAGATTATGTGTGCCCGGTGAGTGAAGCCTTTGATTCCTTTTCCGGTACCTGCGGCTAACGACGTATCTCTCAGTTCTCTGCTAAGATGTTCAAGACATTCTATGCTGAAGGTCCCACAGTTGCCCAGCAGTATGGCTCCCGGCTTCAGGTAATCTTCCGGCAGCAAATCCAGCCATGGCACCCATCATCTACCCTCGCCCACGAGGCAGGTGCAGCAGTTCTTCGACTGGCTCCAGAGAAATTCTGGGAGTTCAGTGCGACCCTGTTCCAGCGCCAGACGGAATTTTTCGACGTGAACGTGGTGAATGAGACACGTAACAAGACCTATGAGCGCCTGGCCAAGATTGCAGGATCTGTCGGAGTAGACGAGCAAAGGGTTCTCGCTCTGCTGTTGATCCCCGAAACCTCGAACCCCAATGAATTGAACGTGGGCAACCAGGTGACCAATGACATCAAGTGGATGACCAAGGTAAGAGAAGGTTGATCTCAACCCAGGCCAAGCAATTGTCTAACACCGGACAGGCGAACCGAGTGGTCGGAGTTCATGTCACACCAACGGTTTTCTTCAATGTAAGAAAGACCACCCATAGGAAGAAATGCCAAGGCACTAACCACTGTCCTAGGGAGTGGAAGAGCGTGGCATCAGCAGTAGCTTCACTGCGGCTCAGTGGGGAGAATGGCTGGCAAAGAACGTGGTTTGATGGTCAGGGACATCGATGGGGGCGTATGGATGATATGCTAGGTTTCATTTGTGGCGTGTACATGGGGAGACTGGACCGAGGTGGTCAGGGTGCAGGTGAAGGAGTGGGAAAAACGAATCATATCTCATTCCAGAACTTCCATTACGAAGCTGCTGTGGACCCTAGTGAACATACTGGAAAAGCATGTCCTTGTGATAGAGAAAAAGAATGGAGAGGAAATGAAAAGAAAAAAACCGACCACGGTTATGTCACGCTGAGGAACAGGAAAAAACGAAAAGTCCAAATGCAGCACCACCACTTCTTCACGAGTATCGCGAGTATATTACGCCTAGGAAGCATGGGAGTTCACAGAGGCCGCCTGAATCACGGTTAGCAAAGTGCAATAGGTAAACCACCCAGTACGAAGACCAGAGTAGAACAGAGGAGAACCTACTTGAACAGAAGAATGTGAGGCTCTGGTTCGTGTACCTCGTAGTGCTCCCAACCCAAACTCTGTTGTCTGTATGTCAGCTCGCATGCTCAACTGAGGGTGACAAGAGCTTAGCCGCACCTGTGTAATACCGAGCGCTCGCCATTCTTCCTCCCACAACAACTTCAATGTTCCCTTGGAGCTGTCAAAGTAGTCTGTGGGGATCTTCTTGAGCATGTTCTTGGGCAGCTGCACGTGGCGGTATTCAAACTTGTCGTCCGAGTAGCTAGATCCAATGAGTTAGACATGACCGGGCAGCCGCGGGGTAGCAGTGCATTCCATACCGTGCGGAGTAGTGAATGGAGTCGATGAATTCATCTAGACGCTCGCGCTCCGACTCCAAGAGGAGACGGGGCTTCTTATTCCTTCTGCTGGGATCGATATCCATTGTGGGAGGTGAAACAGGAGGTTGCGGGGAGACGTGAAATTCAGGAATCTGTTGTTGGCACATGGCTGGTCAGTCTCAAGTTTTATGGAGCAGAGTTTGGAGATTTTCATTGCAACTGACAGGAGAATCCACGAGCAGTAACGAGTGAGTGCCGCAGAAATTCGTGGAGGACCCAGAGAACGGTTAGAGGAGAGTTGGAAGAGGAGAGAAACCAACGACCGCGAGGTTTGGTTCAGGGTGTTTTGCCAGAAGATCGGGTTGTTTTGCGGGACGCGGAAAATGGAGGGGGAAGGTTGAGTGCCTGAGGGGCGAGGTGTCAACAAACGGTGGATACCAAAGGTAGTTACTGGAATACTGTAGACACCTTTTAGGCTACCCTTTAAAGGATGTACTCCTACTTGTACAAGTACATGGTACACAATGGGAGCCCGAGTCCCGTACCTGAGGTGCGTAACGGGCGCTTACAGTCTGGGCATGCCACTTACTGTAGACACATACAAAGCGTTCGGTAGTTGCTATGTAAACACAGAGTACTATGATAATACTCGGCGATCAACAGGCTATACAAGTAGATAGAGCAGCATCTTCGAAACCTGAAATTCTCACTCCCACGAATCTATAACTCTACAAGACTTCAGAGAGGAGTTCAAGATTTCTTTGAATGACTAGAGTTCAACACATCATTAACTACTGTTCCCCATGTCTAATCAAATGGAGCCAACGGTAAAATACGGTAATACAATACCCGCTGCCCTTCTCTGTGACTGCAATTCTCCACACATTCCAGTCGGTATGTACCGTACCAAATTCCCCCTGTCAATACCACTTACCTAAGGCGGCGGGTCTCCACTTGGATGATCGCAGCGCGTCTGCACACGTCGAGGTATGAACTCTCATAGTTCCTTTCGCATTATAGCTGTTGAACGTTCTTTTCCAAACCCTTTATATTCTTGACGTGGAATCACTCTCTATAATCTCGGAATGAGTACCAAGAGGCGTGGGGCGGCTGCTGCTTCACCAGACGTGAGGCTCCGCGGCCAGAAGCGCCGGAAGGTGTCTGTAAGTGGCCGCACTCTTGTCCTGCACCCTCCTCGGCCTTCACGAGGGACCAACCTCGGTCTATAGGGTCTTCCCAGGCTCATCTCGGCTGAAGGGTGATGCTGGCTTGTTGCGCCACTCCCCGACCCCCTTTTCCGGGGTCAATGGAGCTTTGCGACAAGCTCGCATGGTGACGCGCAAAATGACCGGCATGGGTAGCTTTGATTTGCGCCGCTAACAAACATGCGCATCTAATAGGAAGAAAGCCCCGTGGACCCCGAGGAATCCGACCAAGCACCATCCCAGGAGGACTCCGAACCCGCAGAAGAGGCCGAAGCAGAGGAGGTTTCCGTTGCCCAGGATGACGACGAGGAGTCCGAGGCAGACTTCGAGGGCGATACCATTCAGGCTGCACAAGATAAGATCATGACCGAACTGACTCGGTTGAAGGATGACGAGTGAGTCCTTGGCGATCCCCGTGCGCACCAAGCTGTCGAGGCTGACAGTGGTTCCAGTGGCGAAGATGTCGCGTATCCTTTCATTGGAAAGCCCGATCGCAACCTTTACCGCGACTACTATGAGATCATTCAGCACCCTGTATCGCTACGAACGATCCAAAAGCAGGTCCGCGGTACCGATAGTCGCAAGAATCCATCCAGGACGACCGCATTTCCCACATGGAAATCCTTCGAAGAGGAAGTCGCCTACATCTGGCGCAATGCGAGGGAATACAACGAGGACGGTAGCGACATCTCGATGCTTGCGGGAATTCTAGAGGTAAGACTTTCCTTTCCTACCACGCTAGAACCGTTCCCAACTTGACTGAGACTAACGTTGAGAATAGGAGCATTTCAAGCGACGGGTAGCAGAAGCCAAGAAGCATGTCCCGGACACTCAGGTAGATGGTCACCCCGAAATGCCTCGCATCAAATTGAAAATGGGCGCGAAGGATGTGGAACCCAGGTCACAAAGGTTAACCTTGAAGATGGCTGGGCAGACCTCCGAGACACCTTCCAAGGATGAGGGAGCACCATCCGGCGTCACTGTTGATAAAGAATCCTTGAAACGACAACAAGAGCTCGTTCGAACCGGATCGGCAAGCCAAGAGGCCGACACACATCGCATGTCCCCGCGAAACAGATCCCTGCGAAGACATCTGGTCAGCCCCAGCAGGTCTAGTGCTACTACCCCGTCTATATCAGAACAGCCACACAATGAGCCTGCGGGTGCCAGAGATCCGACCGGTGTGATCAAGAGCGAAACTTCGGGGCCGATGTCCCAGCATCCCGAAACAACGCGACCTCCAAATGGCCTACACGGTGTTTCTTCAGAGCCCCATGAGAGTAAGCCGTGGACCCCGACGGGCAGCATCCCTTGTCTCAGGTTTGTGACTGACTCTTCGCTCCACCATATAGTACCCGCCCCGCAACCAGTCACTGCATCTCCATTGGATTCGCTTTTGAGGCGACCAGGTCAGGGTGAGATAGTTCCTCCCTAAGTCCCTTTATGTGGTCAACAACACTCGAGGCGATGACACGAGAAAAAGAGAATGAGAGGGAATGTATCGCGCTAACAGCACCATAGATGCCACCTCGGCGCTGATCCGAAATGTACAAATCGCCACTCATCCTTCTCTTTCTTTACAACATGGCTTGAGCTTGGACATTCCACCATCTGCCACGCTTTCTCAACAGTCAATTACGATCAACCTCCCTGCGTCGCATAACCTGCTGACCATCAGGCCGACAGTAGTCCCTGGGACAGCACAGAGGCATGTGAAGATGGTTGCCCTTGTAGGAATGCAACGGCTTCACCCATCGGTAAGCGATGCCTCTGGACTGGCGTATGATATCCCACTTCACCCTGGGACTACTAAGATTGATCTGGAGGCCATTGCTGGCCCAGCAAGGGGAGTTCCCAGGACTGGACCCCCTGGCTCGGAGATTGATTATGAGCGGGTCACTATTTTCTTGAACTTGCTGCGGTGACCCGGTTACTCATCATGAAAGAGGTACACGGGTGGAGGCTCAATTATACCATGACAGCTATGGAGGATCCCGAGACTACTAGGAAGATTAAGTTTATTTCTTGGTCTTTTCTATTCTATTTATTGTCGCCTTACAATTTTCCTGTTTTGTTCTTGTCCTTGGTCGGATGAATTTGGCTGACCGTCTTCACCGTAATCTTAAGCGAGGGAATGATTTGTTTACATATTGTCAATAATGTTGAATTCTAGCGGGATTAAGTCTTGAAAATTGCCACGGTATTGTTTTTTTTTGTCTAACTGCCGACCTCGGTACGGAGGCAATTGTAAGACCACGATGCTAAGTTTTTAATGTGAAGTTTCTATCTGAAGAAAAGCTTGATGGCAGTGGCGATCTTATCGGAAGTAATTAGGGAAAAAAAAAAAAAAAAAAAAAACACAAACTCGCAAAACCCCGGAACCCCCATCAGCACGTGATTCACCGCTCCCGCAAAGTTTTCTGCCCAGCGATGTGTGGCATTGCGTTTATAAAAAAATTTCAGTCCCGGCACAACCCCTCCTTTCAACCCTTTCCCACTCTTCAAAATCACCACCACATCACACAATGGCGGACCTTCCGGTTTACGACGGAGCGATCGGTATCGATCTTGGTATGATTATCACCAATCGATCCTCAATGTCTCTAATTTACTGACTTTGGCTCTTTTTTACTGAACAGGCACCACCTACTCTTGCGTTGCCAACTATGAGGGCACCAACGTCGAGATCAGTGCGTTTCCCTCGCTCGCCGAGATCTTCACTACAAAGCTAACCAAATAATCAGTTGCCAACGATCAGGGTAGCTACACTACCCCCCTCCTTCGTCTCTTTCACCGACAAGGAGCGTCTGATCGGTGAGGCCGCCAAGAACCAGGCCGCCATGAACCCTAAGAACACCATCTTCGACATCAAGTGAGTTTTTCGCCCGATCGCTCAATCCCTCCACATTCTCCAATTCTACCCGATCTTTTGCGGGTCTACATTTGCTCGGATGAAATTTGTTTCTAACTGGCACACATAACAGGCGTCTGATCGGTCGTCCCTTCGATGACCCCATCGTCAAGAAGGATGTTGAGTCCTGGCCCTTCAAGGTCGTTGCCCAGGGTACCGCCCCTGCCGTCGAGGTCGAGTACCTCGGTGAGAACAAGACCTTCACTCCCCAGGAGATCTCCGCCATGGTCCTCATGAAGGTGAGTTGAAACCATAGCCAATTCGCTTACCATTGACCCATATACTGATACACTGAAAAACAGATGAAGGAGGTTGCTGAGACTAAGCTCGGCAAGAAGGTTGAGAAGGCCGTCATCACTGTGCCCGCCTACTTCAACGACAACCAGCGTCAGGCTACCAAGGATGCCGGTGCCATTGCTGGCCTTAACGTCCTCCGTATTATCAACGAGCCCACTGCCGCTGCTATCGCTTACGGTCTCGGTGCCGGCAAGTCTGACAAGGAGCGCAACGTTCTGATCTACGATCTCGGTGGTGGTACTTTCGATGTCTCCCTGCTGAACATCCAGGGTGGTGTCTTCACCGTCAAGGCCACCGCTGGTGACACTCACCTTGGTGGTCAGGACTTCGACACCAACCTGTTGGACCACTTCAAGAAGGAGTTCCAGCGCAAGACCGGCAAGGACCTCTCCGGTGATGCCCGTGCCCTCCGTCGTCTCCGCACTGCTTGCGAGCGTGCTAAGCGTACTCTGTCCAACGCTACCCAGACCACTGTCGAGATTGACTCTCTCTTCGACGGTGAGGACTTCAACTCCTCCATCACCCGTGCCCGTTTCGAGGACCTGAACGCCAAGGCCTTCTCCGGCACCCTGGACCCCGTCCAGCAGGTCCTCAAGGACGCCGGCATGGAGAAGTCCAAGGTTGAGGAGATCGTCCTGGTCGGTGGTTCCACCCGTATTCCCCGCATCCAGAAGCTCCTGAGCGACTTCTTCGATGGCAAGAAGCTCGAGAAGGTAAGAATTGATATTATTCCTGAAGATGAAAAGTATAAGTGTGCTAACGCCTTTGATATAGAGCATCAACCCCGATGAAGCTGTTGCCTACGGTGCTGCCGTCCAGGCCGGTATCCTCTCCGGCAAGGCCACCTCCGCCGAGACCCAGGACCTCCTCCTGCTCGATGTCGTTCCCCTCTCCCTTGGTGTCGCCATGGAGGGTAACATCTTCGCCCCCGTTGTCCCCCGTGGCCAGACCGTCCCCACAATCAAGAAGCGTACCTTCACCACCGTTGTTGACAACCAGAGCACTGTCCAGTTCCCCGTCTACCAGGGTGAGCGTACCAACTGTGCTGACAACACCTCCCTGGGCGAGTTCACTCTTGCTCCCCTCCCCCCCATGCGTGCCGGTGAGGCCGCTCTCGAGTGTGTCTTCGAGGTCGATGTCAACGGTATCCTGAAGGTTACCGCCACTGAGAAGACCTCCGGCCGCAGCGCCAACATCACCATCTCCAACGCCGTCGGCAAGCTCTCCAGCACCGAGATTGAGCAGATGGTTGAGGACGCCGCCAAGTTCAAGTCCAGCGACGAGGAGTTCACCAAGAAGTTCGAGTCTCGCCAACAGCTCGAGTCCTACATCTCCCGTGTCGAGGAGATCGTCTCCGACCCCACTATGTCCCTGAAGCTCAAGCGCGGCAACAAGGAGAAGATCGAGTCTGCCCTCAGCGACGCTATGGCCCAGCTCGAGATTGAGGACTCCACCCCCGAGGACCTCAAGAAGAAGGAGCTTGCTCTTAAGCGCCTGATCACCAAGGCCATGGCCACCCGCTAAAGGGAGAGATGAAAATAGGATGACCAATGCTTGCTCTATTCCCGGACGGTATCCGGAGAATGTCTGCGCCATATAGATCTTGAGGCAGCGTTTGGTCTATTGTTTTTTTTTGTTATTCAAACCGGACAAACCTGGGCGCAGTTTCTTTTTCCTTTTTAAGATGTTAAAAAGTACGCCTTTTATGTAGACGAGGATCGACGTTGCAAATTTAATGTGTAACGACCTTTTTTCTCCATTATTCATATTTTCTGCTGCTGTGATCGTGTAGAGATGTACCTTGACCAGTCCAAGTTTCTGTAATTTTGTGATTTTGATATATACAGCTAGTTTAGATCTAATAAACTCAGATGTATGTGCACTACCGCAGGTAGTGGTGGACTTCGGACCGCTTTCTGGCAATTTTTATCTTATCTCGATAGCTTCCCCATTCTTCGTCGCTCTTCAGCTTCCTATTCTCCGTCGCCAATTATACCATAGCTACTCCAACTTACTCCCTATTCATACTCGCTATACACCATGAACCGTCTCGTGACCCGATTACCACTACGTCTCGTCCCTCAATGCCGTCCGCCGACCCAATTCCTGCGATTCTCCGTGGCTCCTAGCCGCAGCTTGACTTTCCGCCAAAGCCGTACCTTCACCAACTCACCAGCACTATACAAGAAGAAAGACAAGGCAGCGAAGAAGGGAAGCTCCAACTCGGAGGCGGAGCCTAGCTCTGCTGCTGCTGCTGCCACAGAGGATCCATTCGATCTTTCAACCCTCAACTCAGGCATATCCACGGCCATTTCCAGATTGAAAGATGATCTGTCTAAGCTCCGCGCGGGCGGGCGCTTCAACACTGCGACTCTCGAGGGCCTAAAGGTCCAGCTGAGCAAGGATATTCAGGATTCAGTCAAGCTGGGCGATCTGGCCCAGGTTATACCCAAGGGTGGCAGGATGGTGACCATCCTCGTGGCGGAGGAAGAGGTTAGTGAAACGCTCTTGCGCGAATTAGATTCATTATCGCATTACCCCGGATCTAACAAGAGAATTTCAATTTACAGCACATCAAACCCGTTACTTCGGCGATTGTATCCTCGAATTTGTCCTTGACTCCCCAACCTGATCCTCACAACGCGCTTCAATTGAATATCCCCATTCCTCCTCCGACCAAAGAATCCCGGGACAAGAATGTCCAGGCCGCTAAGCAGGCCTTTGAAAAAGCTGCTAGTGCTGTTCGCGATTCCAGAGGCGCCATGCACAAGCGACTACAAGACATGCAAAAGAAGAAGCTTGCCCGACCTGACGACGTGCGCAAAGCTCATGATCATATGGAGAAAGCTACGGAGAAGGGACAAAAGGATGTCAAGGAGCTATTCGATGCGGCCAAGAAGTCCTTGGAACAGGCATGAACACACCGCAGCAACGGAGAATAGCGAATGGGTCACGCTTTTTGTAATATAGTCACATTGTAAATCTAGATACAGAGGGAACAGAAAGGTGGTGGGCAAATACCACCCCGGGAAAAACACATAGCGCCTAGTGGGAGACAGGAAAGAAAAATTCGATATCACAGAATCAATATAATACACAACAGCAGATCCTTATGTGAATGCCAATTCAATAGCACTAGGAGCGCTTGACGCGACTGGAGGCCAGCAGAGACTCGACCTTGGCGAGGAACTGGGGTCGCTTGCCAGCTGTTTGATAAGTTGCGTTATTGCGAATATTCCTCAACACGTCACCCATGATAGCTGGCTGGTCCTTGCTAGTCTCCAAAGCGGGATATTTTCCTTGCACAAAGGTCTCCATCAACTTTTGTGTGTGTTCCGTACTGACGGGGTTGAATTTGATATCACGAGGCTTGACAGTCTCTCCCTTCTTCAAAGAGATCTTGTCTGCACGTTCTTGGGACAGGCGCTTGACTTCCTCCAGGGCCTGAGCCTTCTCAGCCTCACTCTCAAACAAAACGCTCTGTCCCTTCCACAGACGCCGGCCAAGCTCATAGGGCGGGACATAGCCGCCAGGGAAGCGTCCACTGAGGGTAGAAAGCTTCTCCAGAACAGCAGCGGAGCGGGCGTTCACATCCGTCGGCAGTGAGGGCCAAGTATCCTTCAGTGTAGAGAAATCAATTTCCCGGGGCTCATAGCGGATAGGCACCGGACGACCCTTGGACTCTGCGTCCAGCTCGAGTTGCTTGATAGCAGCAGCGGTAGCCTCATCGTCATCGATATCATGTTCTGAGCGGCGGTTCTGGTTTTTCCGACGGGGCTTCTGACCAGCCTTCCCAGCGGGCTTGCCCTTGCGACCTGGGATCTGCTTGCCAGGCGGTCCAGTGCGGAGTCTAGGCTTGCGGATGATCTTGGGAGGTTCACCACCAGCACGGGGTGCAGCAAATGACCTGGCATCGATTGCCCGGGCTGCTGGACGGGGCTTGTTCTGGGATCCTGGGGGGCCGGGGGGTCTGCTGGAAGCTCGAGGCTTGCGAGGGGGGCCCGATGTCGCCGGTCTCTGTTTGGGTTGGCCTTGAGCTGTGCGGACATGACAATTAGCGATATTCAATAGCTACAGCACCATCTTAATCATGCCATTGAGCCACTAGAACAATGATGCCGGGGTGGAGCGGGAATTGCTTTTCGCATACCTGCTGGCGGACTTGGACCCTCCGAAGCAGCCGCAGAAGAGGCAGAGAACTGGCGGACAGGCATCGTCATGCCCATCCAGGCACGGTCTCCATGCTGGGCAAGCTGCCTCAACTGTGACCGAATCATTGTGGTGTGAGGAAGTGGTGGACGTGCAACGACTTCTGGGATGTTGGCTCCGGCGGGAACACAACTTTTGCAGGAACCGGAGTAGGCTCACGTGACTGGTATGTGAAATCGAGTTGGTTTTGCACCGACAAGTTGACTTCCCTGATTGTATGAAATTTTGCTACTTCAAAAAGCTATTTCAATCGTAACTTCTATATGTCAAAATACCACACTAAATGTCTCAATTCTATCGTGTCTACTCTTCGGTTGATACTCTCCTCCATCCACTACTCTTCCAGAAGGCGGTCAATCCAGTAAAAGGCGGTCAATCGAGTCAACCCGGCAGATTGATCCGGGGTACAAATAATTATCAAAAACATGACATTCACAACCTCCAAACTACGCGTCCACTCAGCCCATCCATACCCTCAAACTCATACTCACAATGCTTCGCCGAAAGCCAACCGCCATAGCAATTACCACCGAAGACATCGCCGCCTTCGAAGAGTCCCGACTCCGCAAACAGAATGAGAACCGCGAGCCCGAACAGGCGCAGGGTTCCAGCGCTAAGACCCACGTCAATCCGAGTGATGAACTGAAGCCTCTACCGGGTGATAAGGCGAGGATTCTTCGTCGGGAAGAGAGGATTGGACTTGGTCATCGGGGTTGATTTGGGACGTTGAGGATATGCTACTCGGTTATGGCATGTCTGGCTGGGTGGAATTATCCTACGCTCTTACAGCTATCACTATCACTCACGACTGTCACGAATATCACGATACATACATACACGCTGGAACTCCGTTATAATGGCTTTGGCTTGGACTCTGTCTCGTTTTATCAAGGCTCGGCCAGTCAGTGCGGAGTCTTTTATGGGATTACTGGCGGAATATAAGGAACACCACAAACGCCTTCAAGATCATGTCGAAGGACCTGGACTTGGGGGTTGAGACAAGTACAAATCGCTTGCAAAAGCAACTGCCACTATTCACATTTGTTGATATCTCCATACCCATGACATACGACATACTATGAGGATCTTGGCCATCATTCTTCAATGTATTCGAAGATCTATTCTTTTCACACTTCATTCGACTAAGGCACAATTGAACCATGGGGGTGGGAATTTTACGGAGAAGCCTACTAGACAGCCACTTTACTCCAGTTAAAGAAAGAGCCAATGATCCTCTCAATGATATGTCTTCTCTTCAGCACATGCTTCTAGACCTTTTTCATCGTGATGTACAGTAGGAATCATACAATCCAATCCTCATTCAAATCAACAAGCGGCATCTTCCCAATGCGAAGACAATCGCCGCGGAACATCCCCAATTTCAGTCATAGCCCTTATAGCACCCGTTGCAGGTAGGGCGACCTGTGGCGACAAAGCCGAAGATGGTGAAAACAAAACAAGGAAACAAGTGTCACAAGAGATAGGGGAATCAGATAAGAACGGGAACAAATGGTAGAGGACAGGCTGGCTCTGGTCCAGTAGGGGTAGATCGATAGACAAGGTCGCGAAAGAGTCGAGAGATGCAGAGGGAGTTGTAGGTAATTCAAGTGTCTCATCACCCTCGTTGCCGCTTGATCATGTTGTCACCAAGATCCGTGGAGTAATTCCACCGTCTCTTCAAGCCCTGCGGATCATACACGCTTGCCACGCTTTGTTGCCAATCTCGTGCACTGAACACGACCGGGGGGGCCTGGAACTGTGGCGGTGACACGGATTGGGTCTGCGGCACTGCCACCTTGGATGGCGAGTCATATTGTATCGGGTATTGTTGGTGTACCATGTTCGACATGGGTTGAGCGTTGTTGTTCATGGGCATGGGAGGAGAGTTTGCGCTGACGGTTGAAGGGTTGACAGAGAAAGCCATATCCCATTGGCTATTTGAGAAGTTAGCAATGCAACACGACAACATGTACACTCTTATTGTTCAAACACATACTTGATAATACGCGTGGGGTCCCAGCTATGCTCATCAACTAAAGGAGCCTCAAGTGGATGGGTTGTAGGCGGTTGATGGGGGACCATTCCAAGGGATTGTAACTGGGAGGAGGTGTCCGACTTTGCGTCTGATTCAGCACCAGCAGATATCGGAGGGGTCATTGGATGTGTGTTGAAACCCACTCTGGATTGGACATTGCTTGAAATTTGGTTTAGGTGTGGATGGTAATGCGCGTCCATGGGGGGACTGGGCTGGTATGGCTCCGAGGGACTGCCGTAGGGAAAGCTCGGTTTCAGCTCAAACGGTCGATGAGTATCCGCGGAAAAGGCCAGTCGGAGGGAATCGATCTGTGCCTGGATCTCTTGCATGGGCCAGGCTGTGGAGCATCTTTCCAAGATGCGCATGTGGCGTGTGAAATATTCTCGGGCGTCTGAGTTGAAATCCGGGTCTGGTGAAGTGATTGCGATCTGTAGGGGTCAGATAGCTCTTTCCAAAAGACACGATTCTTCGACTGCGGTCCACTTACCAGGTGAAGCATGGTGCAAGTGAGAATGCAATAAATCGCAAAATTGATGCCTCGCTGCATGTACAGCAAACCAGACAACCCGAATCGCTCCAGGATAGCTTCCTGCAAACGACAAATACTCTTTGCCGAGGTATAACACATTGAGAAATGAATTTTCCAGTCACTACCTGCTGTAAAGGACTGGGATGCCACAAGCTGAGGACGATGGAGCAGGATGATGGCCAGATGACAGTGGCAGTGCATGTTGCCGACAAAATGAGACGGAATCCATGGAGGGGCCCCATCTGATGGGTAATTTACCTGCAAATCTGTGGGCAAATTATGCAGCCAGTCGTCGAAGAGCGGGTTCTTCTGTACGAAACGAGGGTCCGCGCCCCAATCTTTCTGCTTTTTGATCTTGTGGTATACGTCGGCGATGATGCGAATGTGGTGTGCATTACGGACAAAGTAGGCGTATTGTCTGGAGCGTTCCGTTTCGTACTGATCCAACCCTCGGATATCCAGGGTTGGACGCATATCGACAGTTTCAGGGTCAACGCCGTAGTCAGAGCGGCCTAAAGAGAACATCATTAGAAAATCTTGCCAAACTTGTAGAAAGAACCTGTTTCAGAGTATATTCCACTCACCCTGGGGTGCTCCAATCATCACCTCAACCACCAGAATTGTCTGCCAAATCCGAGTGCTCACCAAGCATTCAATCGGGCTCAAGTCACAGGGTCGCCCTTCGGCGTGGCCGCTATAATGTTCATGAATATCGAGGTCCTTGGCCATGGATACGATGGTTTTGACGGTCTGCCATGACCGATAATAATAGCCCTTCTTGGGCAATGACTCTCTTGCCTTGAGCAAGAGCAGCAAGGCTTGGATGGTGCTTAATCGCGGAACGTCCATAAAACTAGACTCGTGTCCTGATAGAAAGAATCAGCATTTGAATGCCAGACTGCGTGTGCCCTTTTAGAACATGGAATTTTCAAACTTACTGTTCGCCATAGCAAGCCATTGGGCCCCTTCCGAAGGCTCATCAGATAATCGCCCCGCGCACGCAAACAGAGCTTCGAGGAGGAGTGGAGATATAGAGGAGCGGTCATTTTGCCATTGGTAGTATAAGTGGGCGCGGGGAATCACGGGAACGTAAGGGTGGATTTCGTCGAAGTAGATTTTGAAGTAATTCATCACGTCTTCGTCATCGGGCATCAACTCGGGTGGGATTCGAATGGTTGCGCCTGCTCCCGTACTGAGAGGGGGCAGTCTTTCTTCCACTTCGTCTTGGACAGGCGCCTCTGGTTCAATAAGATCTTTCCTTTGTCGCCGGATATATGGAGCTGAACCGAAGTGTTAGTACTGGTGATACGCCACAGACCGAGGGCCAAGGAAACAGATTAGAATTGAACCATACCGATGCCCGATTCATCAATCTTCAGCTCTCCAAGAACATCGCTGAGATTGTCCGCCGTCGATTGATCGTTCTCTGCAAACACGCTCCGATCTGGGGTTGACAAGTGTGGAGGTTGAGAACCCGGAAATACTTGAGGTTGCTGTTGATATGACTGGTGTGGCATGACCATGGGGGATGATCGAATGTCGTTATACATTCCAGGCTGGGCCGGAGGCGCATGAACAAATTGGCCATACATGCCCATTCCGTCGTAAGGCGGCATCGTTCCCATCGGCGCTTGATTGGGGTCTCTATAGGCCGGAGGCACCGGGAAGGCATGATGCGAGGGTTCGGACGTGGCGGAGGAGGCGCCAACCTCCTGGGCAGATTCCATTCCCTCATTGACAAAGTCTCCATCTTGACCGATGGTGGGTGGCACACAGACCAACTTTAAGCGAGTGCATGCCGAGCATGGCCATGTATTTGTCGTGGCCGCATCACACTTGATCTTTCTTTTCCGACAACCATTACACGCCCGCATCACTGAAATGGTCAGTCCGGCCGTTTTAGTTTCATTGCATCGAGTATGGGCTCGCTTACCTTTCAGCCTCTTGTGCCGATTGTGTTCATCGACGAATACATAATCTAAGCGAGCGCGAAATTAGTCCCCATCTCATATTTCCATATGGCATTATCTTTCGCAGGAGAGGTATACTTTTCTGGCCATCTCGGGGAGGTCCCGAGGGAGGCGCAAATGAATAGCCTTGCATGTTCCGATGCCAAAAGGTGGAGGCTCGGGCGAAAGAGGTTCTCGGTGTCGCGTGCTATCAATCCGAACAATCTATCCACAAGGACCTGCCTTGCAATGGAAATAATGAATGTTGAGATGAAAATTCGCAGTTTGAATGTAATAATTATACGCGCGGTCACAAAGCCGAGCGTCAAGTCGCGCCGAGGGATAATTCAGGCCACGGTATCGGGCTGCGCTGATCGCAGTGATTGATTACTCGTATATGATAGGCAAATCACTTGACTCGGTTTGCTTGTTAAAATCAGATCAAAAATGGCCAGCGCGATGAGCCGGCGCACGTCGAGAGAGTTATCCGAGCTTCGGTCGCGTTACGGTCGGCTGGACAAAGACAGGGCGACGAGAGAAGAGAGATTGACGCGCACTTCGGAGCAGCCGGGAGCGATTTTCAGTCAAGAGGAGGATCGCGCGCAAGAGTGTAGGGTAGTAATGGATACAGTGATGTTAATGCTATTAACCGAGTGACGGGGAAGGTTAGTTGTGCGGTCATGCGATCGGCGCGTGGGGGAGAAGTGAGGTTGTAACATACCAAGGAATTAAGAAGTTGAGCAAATGCCGAGTCACAACGGGCATCGTGAAGATGGGGGCTTAGGATCTGGGTGGAGACATTAGGAAGGATCGGGAGGAGGTAGGTAGATGTGGTAGTCGAGAGAGAATGTTGGGTTTGGGGAATGAGGGAATAAGATTCGGGGGCGGTTTGATGATGGAGGTGGTGGTGGAGGCAGTCGGCACTACTTTTGGAGAGAAGAGGAGAGGAGGGGGGGGTGCTTAGTGGAAAAGGGCGGAGAGGTAAGAAACCGAGACTCTGAGACTCTGAGAAAGCTGGGCTCGAGGGGACAAGTTCATTACGGGATAGTGGGCACAAAAATGAACAAGCAAAGTGGGAGAGGAGCTGAGAGGGGCTGCCAAGCGATTTCCCAAGTCCCAGAGGTTTAAAGGGTGATCCATCCAGTCCATCCAATTCTCTTCCAGCTGTTCCAGCTGTTCCAGCGCTTCCAGCTCTCTTCCAAGTAACTAAACTGTACTCCGTACTTACTAAACTAGGACCCGTTGGCCGAGTCCGTCCAATAGTCCCATTAGTCCAATCGTAGTGGATTCGGGTGGAGGGGCGATCCAGATTGCCTCCTGAAGGGTTACGACGTAATATACTCTCTAGTCTCTAGTCTTCTCAGGCTAAAAAGGAGATCATTACAAAGTACACACATTGATTAAATGAGAAGAGGTCAAAGAGTCACTAGAAGAGTATACTATAATACATATTAATATACACACGATGATGATGGAAATAGTTTTCACATGGCAAAAAGTATCCTACTTATTATTATCTTATTCTAACTCTTCTTGTCTCTCTAGACTTTTAGACCGATCGCTCCTTCACATACTAATAATCACTAGCCTCGACCATGATTCAAGCTAAAAAACTAAAAAAACGCCCCCCCACGGAGAAATCTACGTATAGAAGACCCCTGGTGGTCCGCCATACGTAGTCCTTGCATAACCCAAGACTCCGGATAACGTCAAGTATACAAACAACCCTGACACTCCAGCCGGCACTCGCAGGACATGCTACTACTTACAGTAGTAGTAACTATATCCTCCACTTTTCTGACAGACACTATTGTCTGACAAACCCGGCCTCTTAATCTAAGACTACCTAAACGACTCTAGGTCTGACAGTAGTGGCTCTCTGAGCAGTCTGGGCTGGGATTTGACAGGAACAGGACATATGGACTCCATCTCTGTCAGGTCGAGACCTCCAACACGAGTCAACTCCTGTAACTAGTAGTCTGACCAGCAAGCTAGCTAGGCTGATCCTCGTGCTGTGACAGTTGTCTCCTCCTTCTGTCCCTGAGTGGAGAGGGGGACGTTTCAACAGACTCATCGCGGAAGAACAGGGCAGGAATGGTGTTTGATGAATATTTAACCATATTTGAATCCACTACCAAATAATCTAAATGGAGCCTCGGGATCCGGGAAAATCACCATGTATGAATACGGTATACGGTAAAGGTTAGAATCTTTCACCACATGGCAGATAATCTATCCTGATCCACTCTTCCACTCTTTCTGTCTCTATTCGGGAGCCTACCTATCCTTTTCGCCCAGCCTCTGGACCTTCCAGGGTAAAAGCAAGCCACTAGTGAATGGATGGATTGCGCAAACCAACAGGTTCTCCACTCATCACCAAGATTAATCACCGTAAATCACTCGGGATGGTTCAAATGTCTCTCCGACGGTCGTCGACCAACGGGTTGCAAGAATGGATCACTCTCGTACCTGAGATATTTTTTTTTCTCTTTCCTCTTTTAGGGCTTCAGGTCAAGAAGAATTCTACAGATCACCACTACAATTATACAATATTATGTACTCCGTACAGTACGCCGTGCCACAATCTTACCGGAAGAATACCTGCAGGACCGGAAAATTATAGCAAAACCTTCCTTAAGACCTTACCCCCTCCTCCATTCTTCTGCAGCGGTGAAGTCCAAAGGCCGAGGTCAAAAACAGTACTCGGTTTCGCCGGGTTCATTCGGATGAAACATGAAACTATCCTTTGGCCCCTCCTCCTCTCTTGACTTTGGCGCCAAATATCCCATCTACCTGGAATCCTGGATGCAGGACCAGCTCCATTTGTGGCTCCCCCTCCCCCTCTTACTTTCTTAGTCCAGAAAGCGCATAAATGTGCGGGACAACATTGGTGCCCTGGGTTTCAAAAGTGCTTTCGAACTTTCGAAAGGGGGGAGAAAAGAGGGTACCACAGTCCACATTCCATATTTCTAGGATTATGGCTAAGCTAACGAAGTGGGTCCCCCGGTAGATTCTGGAAGGCCACACGAACTGGAACCGCCATGGTTACAACTTACCAGCCTGGGAATCCCTCGGTGGAGACTGGAGACACCAAAATGCATGGCGGTATGGGCGCCTTCTTCTTCTCTGCAAGGCCCCCCGGTCAATGGCTCACCATGGCTCACTATGGCCACTCATGCAGGCCAAGGCCTTGATCCTTCCTGATCGACTCGGACTCGGCAACTTGTCAGGGGCAAAATACCCGGGCCCTAGAGTAACCTACCAAAACCCACGTCGATCCCATTGCCCAAGCTTCTGGGATATGGCGGGGGAAAACGGATTTTCTTCCCAAGATCGACGGGCTCTCGGGTTAGTAGGTACGGGTATAACCTCAATTTTGGGTCGGGTTCTCATCATTGGTCATTGGGGATATAACCATAAATCTGCTATATCTCTAGTCTGTTCTCCGTTCTTTGGTGGACTTGAATTGTCAAAGCAGTCAGATAGTTTATCTCCGTAGCTCCGAAGCAGGGGGGCCATTTTGGTAATCACATCAGCCTTCCAGGGCCTGGGGGCAAGTCGTGACGATGATTCGAAGAAAAGAGCCGAGGATCCTCCGAGACAGTCCACCGAGCACGTGAACTTAGATAAGCCTAATCTTATCTCTTATCTCTTATCATCACGTTTTTTGCCCCTCCGAACCCTCTCCGATATCACCAACCATCATCACCGACTTCAACCTCACACTACATCCGGACTCACCACCATCGATCATACCCCCTTCCAATCATCATGGCGGAAATGCAAAATTCTAATCCCACCATCCTCAACGCCGCAGATCTCCCCACGAGATCACGGTCCACAGAGAAGAAAACAGGCGACTATGCACTCGGTATATTCGCCGCAGTCCCCAAGCCAACAGACTTTCTCTCGTCCGATTCAGAGGGAGACGAAGATCTGCTGGAGGAGCCAATCGACGAACAAGAGATCTACGGTATGCAATGCAATTCCCTCCCTTCCCACCTTCTTAAATCCATTCTCTATCCAACTCACCCACAACTAACAAACATCCCACAGACCTAATCAAATCCATCTCCGACCCAGAACACCCCCTCTCCCTCGGCGAACTAGCCGTCGTCTCCCTCCCAGATATTTTCATCAAACCAACCCTGCCGAACGTCCCCTCCTCGCCACTCCAAACAGTCACCGTCCTAATCACTCCCACAATCACCCACTGCAGTCTCGCCACCGTTATCGGACTCGGAGTCCGAGTGCGACTAGAGCAGTCCCTCCCGCCACGGTTCCGCGTAGACGTGCGGATTAAGGAGGGGACTCATAGTACCGGCGATGAGGTCAATAAGCAACTTGGTGATAAGGAGCGAGTTGCGGCTGCGTTGGAGAATGGAGCTTTGATGCAGGTTATCGGAAAGATGATGGAGACGTGCCAATGAACGGATGGATCAGGACCGAGACCAGACCGAAAGCATTTCTATTTTTCTTTGCATGTGCCATGATGTGATTTTTTGAAGCGCATTTATTGGGTTCTTTCACCTTTGGGGACTAGATTGGAGTATTTCTTATATTTACACTTCCTCTAAAAGAGCCCCTTACGAATTTTATGCAGTCAATATGACAGGAGATATATTCGGACCTTTTTTTTGCATTACAATTACATGCAAGCTCAAGTCAAATGCAAGAAACAAATCAATGACTAACTCCGTAGCCCAAAAGTCCCCTCCCAAAAGAAAAGAAAGATCTTTTATCTCTTCGCCTTGAAGCCCTCCTCGAGAGCAAAATCGATCATGAATCCAAAACGCCACTCTCCTGCAGACCCTTCCACAATTCTGGTTCCAGGAACTTGCTAACCGTCACGTCCTCCGCCAGACCCTTACGCCGGCGGGTCTTCAGCACAAAGTCCCGGGCAGTGGACATAGCATTGGCCACTTCCAGCGGCTTCAGTTTCACTTCACGGTCCAGGGGATCACCAGGCACGACACTCCACTTGTCAAAGACTAGACTGACCATGGCCTGGCCTTGAGTGTGAATGCGCAGATCGGTCTCGAAACCGAATGAGTCGATCACGGGGATTAGACCCTTCACAGAGTAGAGGGGGTACCGGCGATAGGGCCGTCGGAGAGGACGTGGCCTCGTCGGCGGGAGAGCACGGTGTATACCGAGGCGACGGCATCTGCGGGGCCGGTCATTGTGCAGGAGTAGATTGGCTCCATGAGTCGGGGCGAGGCCATCAAGAATGATGAGTAGACGGCGCGGCGAGCGGTAGGAATGATCTGACCTCCACCGCGATAGATGGCTTGGTCAGCAAGAGACACGTCGGTGAGCCTGAATTTGGTGTTCCGAATTGCTAATAACAGTCAGTATGAATGGATCAAATAGAAAGAGAGGCTGGGTAATAAAAGGGTGTTACTCACGTTCTTCACACAAAGGCCCCTCCCTCGTGCCCCAGCTGAAACCTTGAGTAATCGAGTCTCGCACAGTTCCCAGCAGCTTCTTATCCACCTGCGAGGGCAGTGTGTCGTCCTGAAGAATGTTGGGCCCCATCTCCTCGGGACCGAACGCCCAGATACTACGGGCCGCAAGCTTGTCCCAGTCGTAGTTGTCCTCGAAATAGCGTGCGACCTTACGGATAGGGTCCTTGATGTTGACCTTGCCGCTTTCAATATCCTCAGCAATACCCTCGTCCAAAGGCTCCGCAATCATCGTAATCTTGTTCTTCTTGTTTGGCGTGATAGAGTAACACATGATGGCCGAGGTCTCAACCACAGTCTCGCAGAATCGCGTAACCGGATCAGAAACCTTGATCTCCATCTCTGAGTACAGCCGTCGAAGATCGTGAAGCACACAGTCCATATAGAGCTCGCCAGTTCCCAGCACGATATGCTCACCAGACTCCTCGACCTTGGTGGAGATCAGAGGATAGCTCTTGTTGACCTTGCGCAGACCGTCCAGCATCTTCGGCAATTCGGAGGGGTTCACGGGCTCTACAGCAACCTTGAACACAGACTCGGTCATATGCCGTATGGGACGGAAGATATACGGCTCCTCATCGTCCTCTAGCTTTAGAGGAACGAGTGTTGCCGTTTTGACAATAGAGTTGTCAACGCCACCGAGCAGAACCCAGTTACCGGCGGGAACGCCGTCGGTAGAGATGTTATAGCAAGTCTCGGCAATCCATGTGTCTGAGATGGTTGCAATGACCATATCCTCCTCATCCTCTGGGGTGTATCCCTCTCCCAGGACTCGGACTTGCTGACCAGGACGAGCAGTACCACTCAGGATACGTCCGAAAGAGTGGAATCCACTAGCATCAACAGTGCTGAACAGCTTCGTGACATGAACGACCAAGGGACCATCCTGGTCACAGGTAGACATCGAAGTCGCAACCTTTGTGTCCAGAGGGCCGGTGTAGTACCGTTCCAACATTCGCTCGGCACCGCAAACGGGAGAAGGAACGTGCTGCACAATCATATCCACAAATCCAGTGGGAGCACCAAAGAATTGTTCGCACACGAGGTTGAGCAGCTCAGCTGCATCAGTCTTCAATTGAGAAGGCTTCAAAGTGACTCCCACACTCGCCAGCGTTTGCTTGAGATCCTCGGGACTCTCACTGAGCGTGTGAGAGTACAGTTTGTAAATGGGCTCCAGGATAAACTTCACAAATGCACGCTTCGAGTTCTCCTCCACACCCTTCCGAGTGAACTTTCGGCTCTTGGGGTTGAAGAAAATGTCACCCCAGAGGCGCGCGGCGAATTCTGTAGAATCAAGCTTCGGGTAGGTGTCGGCGTACATACGGGCAAATGACTCCAAGGTAAAGCACCAGTTCATCGAGCTAGAAGCAAATGCGACATTGCCCTTTTCGGGGCTCAATCGTCGTCGCTCACCCTGACCTGGAACGATATTTTCAATGAGGGTATTGACTTCTTCAATCACATGCTTCAGCTTGAAGTAGGCATCGTTGGGAGGTAGCTTGAGCTCCAAGATAAGCCTATCCATCTTGTTGACAACCAGGGTCAAGGGGATATCCTCCAAGACCGCATGCTTGACAATCTGCTCGGTGTTCGCCTGCACACCCTCGACAACATCCACCACGAGAACAACACCGTCAGCCAAGCGGACCGATGCGGCGACCTCATCCACAAAGTTCACATGACCGGGGGTATCAATAATGTTGACCAGGTGGGACTTGCCCTTGGTTCCTTGAAGAACCAAGCTCATGGGAGCCGATTTGATAGAAACGCCACGCTGGCGCTCCAAGAAATGAACGTCGGTATATCGAAGCTGTTCCTCCTTGCGCTTTCCTTGCCGCTTTTCTAACCGCGCCGAGAGGTCGTGTGTCTGTCGCACCAGCATGTCCATGAACGCAGTCTTTCCATGGTGCAAATGACCCACCACCGCAACGTTTCGTATTTGTTCGGGGAAGTTGAGCAAGTCTGACATGAATTCACGGGAGAAATAGACGGGGGAAGCTCGGTTTCAGCGATCGCAAATTTCTTCTGCTGGACGGGCGCAATGATGGGTTCGGACAACGGTTGCGCATCTTCCTCCTGGACCATAGTTTCGACATCGGCGCCATATACTTGTTGTGCGCTGGGGTAATATTGCTTGTCTTCGTGTAGAATGACCGCGTTTGAAGGTCCCTCTGTGTGCGAGGCGCGAATGAGCATGCGGTCTAGCTTGGACTGTGTATTCTGGGGAGCGCAAAACGTACCATCAACCTCCATCAATTGTTGGTCATTGACCTCCTCCTCTTCCTCCTCATCTTCAAAGGCCTCGTCGAACTTGAAGGCCTGCGGGACCTGCTCCTGCTGCTCCTCATCGGACTCGGCTTCGCCGATGTAGTTACCGAACCTAGAGGCCCCTTAGTTAGCGAGATGGACGCGTACGTTATAGAGTATCATTTCAGATAACATACTCATCGTATAGGTCGTCCATGATGGGCCAGAATTATGCGAGTGGTTGGAGTTGGGGGAAAATGAACGAACTGCGGATCCCCGAGTTGCTGGCGTGACGCCGGAGAAAGACGAAGGCGAGCAACTTTCACTTGGTCCGAGCGTCCGGCAGAATAGCGGGCAGAATTAAAAGTACTGTTACTACTGTTAGTAGTTCTGTAGACTCGCGCCTACACCGTACAGCTCCTCACTCCCCACTATTATTTATATATCTTGTACGCTGCCCCTCGACCTCCTTTCCTTTCCTCCATTATAGCCCCCTGATTGTCTAACCTCTGCTTTTTTTGCATCCTCAGTTTACACCTTTGCACTTCGAAATGTCTTCTCTTCCTCCTGTCTACATTGTCTCGACGGCCCGTACTCCTGTGGGTTCGTTCCTTGGGTATGTCCACCCCGCCGTGGAGTTTCTGTTACTAGACTAACACATTGATTCAGCTCCCTCTCTAGCCTGACTGCTCCTCAGCTTGGTGCTCATGCTATCAAGGGTATGATCAGTCTTATTCCTCCATAGGAGGCCCCTGCTTGTTTCAATTGATACTAACGGCGGTTGATAGCGGCTGTTGAGCGGGCCGAGGGTATCAACGCTTCCGACGTTGAGGAGGTCTTCTTCGGAAACGTCCTGTCCGCTGGGTAAGTTATGGGATGAGTACTCTGGTCTTCTAGCTGAAAGCTAACATGCTGTGACTAGTGTTGGTCAGAACCCCGCCCGCCAATGCGCCATCAATGCTGGTCTCTCGGACTCCACCGTCTGCACCACCGTCAACAAGGTCTGCGCCTCTGGCCTGAAGGCCATCATCCTCGGTGCCCAGACCATTATGACCGGCAACGCCGATATCGTCGTGGCCGGTGGTGCTGAGTCCATGTCCAACACCCCCCACTACCTCCCCAGCCTGCGCACCGGTGCCAAGTACGGCAACCAGAACATGGTCGACGGAATCATGAAGGACGGTCTCCAGGATGCCTATGGCAAGCAGGAGCTCATGGGCTTCGCTGCTGAGGAGTGTGCTCAGGACCACGGTTTCAACCGTGAGCAGCAGGATGAGTACGCTATCCGTACCTACCAGAAGGCCCAGGCCGCCCAGAAGGCCGGCGCTTTCGACTACGAGATTGCCCCCATTGAGATCCCCGGCTTCCGTGGCAAGCCCGGTGTTACCGTGTCCCAGGATGACGAGCCCAAAAACGTAAGTTGCAATGCTCCTCCCATATGCCCGTCTCGTGAGATGATTACTAACCGTGTCTTTTTTTCTATTAGCTCAACCCCGATAAGCTGCGCGCCATGAAGCCCGCCTTCATCCCCGGTACCGGCACCGTTACCGCCCCCAACTCCTCCCCCCTCAACGACGGTGCCTCCGCTGTTGTCCTGGTCTCCGAGGCCAAGGTCAAGGAGCTCGGCCTCAAGCCCATTGCCAAGATCCTCGGCTGGGGTGACGCCGCTCACCAGCCCAGCAAGTTCACCACTGCCCCCGCTCTGGCTATCCCCAAGGCCCTGAAGCACGCTGGCGTGACTCAGGACTCCATCGACGCCTTCGAGATCAACGAGGCCTTCAGTGTTGTGGCTCTTGCCAACATGAAGCTGCTCGGTCTCTCCGAGGAGAAGGTCAACATCCACGGTGGTGCTGTCGCCATCGGCCACCCTCTCGGTGCCAGCGGTGCCCGTATTGTCGCGACCTTGCTTGGTGTCTTGAAGGCGAAGCAGGGCAAGCTCGGCTGTGTCGGCATCTGCAACGGTGGTGGCGGTGCCAGCGCCCTGGTCCTCGAGGCTCTCTTCTAACGCGACTTTTTAATGATGTACGGATATGACATGACTATCAACACTTTGTGAATTACCAAAAAGCAGTGTTGGCACATATATATAAACCCCGATCCTAGAGGCAGATGAATAAAAATGCAACTCGTGGGGACTAATCGAAATTTGAGAACATAGCGTCTACATAGAAACATCCCATACCAGTAAAGCGTCATAGATTAGCAGCCAATTAAATCAATGGGAGCCAGGCAAATACTTAGTTACCCTACATGTCAAAGCCAAAAGGGTCGGTTTACTAGATCACGACTTTTACAAACACATCAGCGAGCCAAATATGTAATTCATTAGTCTAAGTGAACAAAATCCATTAGAGACTGAAGGGATAGATCAAACCATCTTTTAGAGCCATTCTAACTAGGCAAAAGCCCCAACGAAAGCCATCAGGAGAGCACCACAAGCAACTGATATACAAGCTTCAACACGCCGTCTACCCTTGAGAGTCTGATAACTCGACTCACTCAAGAAGTCCTCGGCAAGCAACTCCACCAGACCTGCAAAGAGCAGCAAACCGCTACTAATGGCATTGGTGATACCCACCATCAGCAGTCCAGTCGTACTGGCGGGATCATAGAGATTATGTAAAACAAGGCCAATGGCTTGGCCGATAGGAGTAGTCGTTCCGTACGCCAGGCACATGAGCCACGGCTTTGCAGAAGTCGGTGAGAAGAGGTCAGGGATGAGAGAGGCAATGCGAGCTCCCAGAGCGAAGCCTTCAAAGGTCTGGTGGAAACTGATAGCGACCAGGAGAACAACGAATGACGTGCCAGTTGCGACGCTGAGAGCCATGCCGATGAAGATGCTGTGGAATAGGATGCCAGCCTCAAGGAGAAGACACTGAAGAAGCTGCCGTTGTGGGTTCTGCATCGGCGAGGCCAAGTCATCCTGATTCCTAAAGTTGGGAGTGGCACGCGCCCGGTGACGCTGGTGAGGACCTGAAGGTTGTTGCGGCTGCCCATTGATGGGAACATCATCCGCGTACGGGTCAAGTCCCTCAATATCAGCGTTCTCCTCGTCCTCCTTATCCGGATGAGCACCGCTGAGAGGTGACCGTTCAAAATCGTGCGAAGAACCGGAAGCCCTCTCAGCATCCCCATGCTCATCCTGCCGTAGACCTTCCATAAGAATATTGGAAGATGGACCGCGGGCCCCCAAATGCGCATAACTTGAATCTTGATGCTGGAAATCGTCCATAGAATCACGGCCGATATCCCCCATGAGCGTATCATAATCATTTGCGTGGACGTGGCCCGCACCCTTCATCGCAAAGAACATTTCCACCAAGACCACAGCGAAGACTGCGATCATGGCCACGAAGCCTGCCATGGCACGATACGTTCGGCTCCAGAACCGCGGCAGACATGGATCGGTCAACGATACGAATGCTGTTGGCAGGAGGTGGACAAAGGCCGTCGCAATCAATACACCTGTTCCGAAATGTCTCGAGATGAAGAGGAAGCGGCGGGGGATTGGAAGGCCAGGGAATCGGCGTGCAAGAACAGGGAATGAGCAGGCTGCAGTCGCATTGACAGTTAGCTTCACTGATATCAATGTAAAGTAAAAAGGAGAACAAGACGACGATACATACCAAATGTACTCAATACCAGAATCAAGAAGAGCGCCATAACGTGTAGTGGAGTGTTATAGACGCCTCTTTGGCCAGAACCACAGGCCGGGGCCTCACCGGCCGGGTCAGAGGCTCGACCTACATTTCGTCGTTGAAGTTCTGCTCTTAGGAGTGATTCGGGGATATCTGAGATGGCAGAGAGAGCGCGCTTCAGGTCTGAGAACAGATTTAGATTAAGCCTGCAATGATCGCGGTATGAGGGAGGAATTACTCACCCGTAGACCCCACGCCAGCATCCTGCCACGGTTGGGCATTCTGCATATTTGAATCGGAAAGGTTGGAATACCGCTGGGACCGGGCCGCATCCCCAGCTCGAAGAGTGACTGGGATGCGAAAAGGAAGGAGAACCTATCAGAATGAAAGGAACTGAATTGAGCTCGGCCAACGATGACACTTTGTTAGCTCCGTCTAGGAGTTGCCGATCTCCGGTGCATCGTTCGGAGGTTCAGAGGGAGGGACTCGGGCCACGAGTTGACACTTTAATCCGGACTGCCGCCATCTTATCTCGGCTTAGTAACGACGGGTCCAGCGTAACCTTAGCTTACCTTAAAACGGCCTTGTTATGGTAATCAGCATGTAAATACTTTGATGCGACTAATGATTGAGGAATCGTATCAATCTGCCTTTAATACAGTGAGATGAGAAGCAAGTACATATTGTTTTATTCTAGTCTGCTTGATACAATGAGAAAAACATGCTGCGATCTTAGCATGACATCTATCTACTGTTCAACTTCGTCCATCCACTCGTGCCTCTCGGGCGACGACTATCATCCGTCTGAACAGATGTCTGCTGGTGATCGGTGGCCCGCTCGCCCGACTCAGCCTGTGGATTAGACGAAGTACCCTGCTGATCTTGCGAGTCCAGTGGTTGATTGGGATCCATATTCCCATCAAACCATTCCTTTTCTTCCAAAACCTCCCATTCGGCGCTTGCCATCTCACCAAGTAGATTAGACTTGAGTTTATCCACAATCTTCGTTGGCGTTGGTAGCTTCCATGTGCGCATAAACTCAACACCCTCGGACGCCGCAATGAATGAGTGTACCGTCCCGTGGGAGTAATGACCGAGCATCGGGAAAGATTTGGTGCGTTGGATCGTCGTTTGTGGCGAGTCCTTCGCGGTTTTCATCTTTACCTGGGTCTCTCGACCGGCAAACGCTCGCATCAAGGTCGATGCTTGAGCAGGCGGGGCAACCAGCAGCTGCCACATGCCCTTCCCGATATTACACACATCCTCCCAGGAGTCGGATGTCAAGTTGATCCCCTGGGTTCTGCACAGCCAGGCTACATCCCAGGCGAGCAGTGAAGCACCCTCCAAGAAAAGCGCATAAGTCCCGGGATCTTCCTTGGCCAGGCGGGGAAGAGGCTTGTCAATAAAGAGCGGTCTGGGCCGTGGCTGGGTGCGTGGCTCCGTTCTGGATGCCGTTGGACTGGGGGTTGAAGAATAGGCGGTGTCAGACCCATCAGAGGAATCTCGAAAATTATATGAGGCGGCGAAGGAGTATATTGTAGCGGTAGGATGATTCCGGTGCGGTAGGGTGATTTCCGCCGGAAGTCTCAGAGAGAGATAGTGCGATACGAGGACTAGGAGGTGGGCGATGTTGGAGAGGGAGGTGGATATTTGAGCGGGAGTTGCACCTGCGAACCTGTTAGAAAAACTGAGAGGGGTGGAGATAGACTCTGCAGGCATACTATTCATATCCTTCAAATCGACGATGGTTATACCACCAAGGACATAGCTATGCCGACCATCCCCCTTCCTTGAGGTCTTCTGTCGTAGGCCGTAGAGATGGGCCGCCTCCCGGCAGAGGAAGATGCGCGCTTCAGCGGTTTTGCTATGGAGATTGTGCCACAGATGCTCCGCACGTTTGGTCGTATTCTGAACGCCCGTCAAGATTGTAGCCTCCCGCTCCCCGAGCTGATACAAGGCAGATTCAGCATCGGACCGCCTCCGGGATAAGTTCGCCTCGCGCTCAGAGATGTCTGCCTTCTTGGCTTTGAGATCCTCTTTCAGCTCTTCAATCTGCTGAGCAAGACTCTCTCTCCTGGAGGAGGAAGCAGCCTGGCGACTGGAAATCGTCTGGAGGGCCCAACATGGAGAGCTCTTGTGATCGTCCGTAGAAAGCCCCTCACTTGGTATTGATGGTGTTTTCTGAGAGACCTCACGGGACACAGCAAGTTCTATTTGACGCCCTAGGCTCTCCTTCTCCAAGAGAACCCGGGTATTTCCGAGACGGAGCTGATAGAGATGATTGCGGGCGCATGTCGGGCAGAGGAACGGCTGGCGGGAGTGGGCAGAGTTGCATATGAGACAGCTCATCGCAGACGGTCGTGGGTGTTTGAGTCTGTCGTCAGAGGTCGCATTTCCATGGTGTGTCGTGGAAGCTGCCAGAGCTGCCGCCGATTACCATGGAGTGGGAGATGATCAATCCAAAAGACCGGCGGATTATCGGGAGTTTCACGTTGTGATGTCGTCACCTGACGCGGCTCCCGCTTTGGGGCGGACCAGATGATCTCCACTGGCGATATCAATACACGTGAGGATGATCTTATTTCAAGGTTTCCAGTGAATCTTGACTGAGACTTGCAGTGCTCTTGACCCAATTATCGTCGCTGCTGGTGCTTGAGTACACTCATTACCCTTTAAACATGTCGCGACGAGGGAGCCCAGCAAAAACAACACCGCCGATTTCTACAGCAGAGACTCCGCAACCTCGAAACCTCGAGTCGATGCAGTCTTCTTCTGGTGATGGCGATTTCACCCTGGTTACTCGCCTGACGCAAGGACTAGAAGATTGTGATTGGAATCAGTTGCAAGAGAAGTACACGGATGCCATGGATGAACACAGCCGTGTCGAAGATGATTTACGTGCCGAAACTGCAAAGCTGCTCGAGGTAAGACTTGACATACTTCCAACTTAGTGATTGACAGAATTACTCACATTATGATAGGTCTTCACTGCTTGGTCTCAAACTACCGTTTTGCAAGATGAAAAACGGGCCTTGAAACGGTTAGTGACTCATCACTACGACCTGAATCCCACACAGCCTTAGGGATGTCCACGAAGAGCTTGAGATTAACAGCCGACAGATTCAAGACGCAGATGCAGCATGTGCAGAACTCCGAAGTGAGCTTGGAGAGCAAGAAAAAACACTGTATGACCATCGACATTGATTGCAATCCTCCTTAGTGTCTGGAAGGCTAACAACTTTCTCGATTAGATACGGACGTTGTGAAGGCTTTCCAGAGTGCCTTGGCCCTGCTCAACGAGCAGATGAAGGTTTAATGCTGTCACGAAATTACGTCCAGGGTGGCTTCGGCCCTCAAAAGCTAAGCAAGCGCATGCTGGCTCATGCAAGGTTGCTCTTAATTACGATTCCACACTGAAGTCATAAGATATCAAGAATTTCAATTTAATATGTTTTCTGGGGGTGGGTTACAACGTGTATGTGTCCCCGCCAATTAACGAGATCATTGCAAGAGAATCATTGTTTAGGAAAATGATCAATAATTCAAAAAGTCAAAAAGTCAACGCAACCTGCTTAGCTGTTTAGCTTTAGTTAGTCCATTATGCTCGACTCTTTCAATCATTGGGATGTCCACTGTGTCCAGCTCTACCGGTGATGTCTTGCCATGTAGCACCAAAGCGCCTGCCAGTGCTTGCCAGTAGGCCTTCTTCTTCGGCCTCCTCAGCATCCTCGTCGATTTGTCTTTCATCGAGCTTTGGTGCTCGGAACAGGGTGGTCACAAACACGATCAGATAGATGCCTGAAAAGATAAAATGTTAGTTAAAAAGGTGTCACCAGTAAGAGAGAGAGAGAGAGAGAGAGAGAGAGAGAGAGAGAGAGAGAGAGAGAGAGAGAGAGTAATTTCGAAAATGGAATCCTTACCGAGGAAGACAAACTGGGCCCAGAAAAACACGACACCGAAGAAAGGGAAGTTGAGAGTCACGCGGTTCAAGAAAGTGCTGACAACAGTGGGAGTGCAGACTTGACGAGCTACTGGGTTCTCTGCTAGCTCGGAGCATGGCTTGATGAGGTCCTTGCTGTTAGTACAATCAGGCTGTTCACCAGGCGAGCTCGGAGTGCGGTCGCAGAATGTCTGCGGTCCAAATGTGGCGTATTGTGGAGCGACTACCATGGACACAGAATAGTTCAATGCCAGTATAATAAGCATCAACATGGCTGTTGCCAGAAGGAGAGCCTGGGGTGAAGTGTGACCCTTGCGAATTTGGAAAATTCTGATCCAGAGGAAGCGGATTCCAACCACTGCAATACCCACCACGGAGCTGCAGAACAGGAGTAAGACAAGAGCAGTGAAGATAGCATAGTCCACTGGGAATACCTTGGCAGACTGGACCAGAACCCAGTTTACCGGATTAAAGACGTTGATGTGGCCAAGGATATATCCACAGCGGTGCTTGCAAATCGAGTTTTTCGCTTTGTCGATAGATGTCAAGAGCATCGACACCCATGTCACAAAGGCAACCAAAAGCAGCAAAATACCACCGAGCAGCTTGAACGGGCGGAAGATAGCTCCAATCTTGTACCATGCTCGCATCAACCAGCCATGACCTTCACCTTGTGCTTCCTCGACTAGACGCTGCCGCCGGATCAAAGTCCTCTCCTCTCGGCTGAGGGTATCGAACTCTCTGCGATCTTTGGATGACAGGAGTTCAGGATTACCACCACAGCGACCCTCGAGCTGTCGCTGCCGCTCACGATTTGCTTCAAGCTGTTGCGCAGTAGTTGCTCGCAACGTAGGACTGGAGATTGAGGGCGCAGTCTTGATTAGGCTGATGGGGAACAAAGCAAGTCCCGCCGATGTGTACAAGACGTAGAGGCAAATACCAAGGGTTATCAATAGCCCAAGTGCAAATGTCAATGCGCGTTCTCCGTCTGCGAGTATGTTAGTATCGGCTATAGAAAGCCAGGTTGAAACGCAATGTGTAAACTTACGGTTCTCAGTCAGCAACCGCTTGAAATAGTCCAGGTCCAAGTTGCTCTTATCCTTGGATACAGGAGCAAAGAAACCGACAAGGAACAAGATCACTACAATCGCGATGAACGATAAGGTGTACTTGAGAGCGCCCCAGAAACGTTGTCCCACCGTCTGCTCTCCCGCCTCCGCGGCGACTTCATCGTATTCCTCATACCAAAAGTAGGTGAAAGGAAGGACCAAAAGGCAAAGTAGTGCATCCAATGAATACAGGAGATAGTAGATGATGGTCAAAGAATAAGTGATTTTGTCGACTTCATCCTGAGTGGCCCAATCTTTGCGGCGACCCAACTTGGATGAAGTAGTCGACGACACTAAAGCAACATCCACAGGAAGCAAGAGTACCGTTGCCAGAAGACTCGTAATCGCGATGATACACGTCAGAGTCACTGAGGGAGAACGATCTCGTGGAGTTTGGTAAACGTAGATGAAAATCGAGGCTACCGTGAGCAGGATCGCTATCACGACGGCATACACGATCCAGATCAGCGAGGTCTGGAGGAGAGCCATCTCGAAGACAGAACGTTTCACATGGATCAGCTAACGGTTCTGAGAGACTTATCCAAAACCTCCAAAAATAGAGGATTCACGGCGCAAACTGAGACACCGGAAAGGCTGGGAAAGCTGGGAAGGAGCATGAAGTAAATCGCCCGACGCGACTGTCGTCATGGACTAACCTGATTTGGTAATTACCACGTGACCATGTGCTTTGAGTCGAGGTCGCCCTGCAATGCCTGTTGATGGGCTGTTGATTATTGGCTTTCCTTCCCTGCTGTTTGAGGCGTTGCATTTGAAGCGAATTGAGTTTGGAGATTATCATGCTCACTTTTTGATCTGAACCAACCCCAAAATCCAAGGTCATTGGGTCATTTTCAACCCCCGTGAGGCAGGCGCTCTACGATGCAGTGCTATACTGAGCTGCTGCCCCCATCTGGGGTCACTCATGCATTGGCAGTCCCATTTCTGTCTGCTACAGCCAACAATTTGATCGTGGTTCGAACTTCCCTCTTGCAGGTGTTTTCTTTGCATTCATCCCCTGCTCATCGGCTGGCAGAGAATGCCGAGACCCACCCAACAACATCATCTCACACATCAGGGACGAAGCTCATTCTGGTAAAAGAATACCAACTGCCTGGAACAGTGACAGATCTGAGCAGGGTGAAAATCTTGAACTCCAAGAGCGGTGGTGAAGCTATCCTCGTTGCCCTCCGCAATGCCAAGCTTAGTCTGATTGAGTGGGATCCCGAGCGCCATGGCATTTCCACCATCTCGATTCATTACTACGAGCGCGATGATCTGACTCGGAGTCCCTGGGTGCCAGATCTCAGCACCTGTGGCAGTATCCTCAGTGTGGACCCAAGCAGTCGGTGCGCAGTGTTCAACTTTGGAGTCCGTAACCTTGCAATCTTGCCTTTCCACCAAGCGGGAGATGACCTGGTTATGGATGACTATGACTCGGATCTTGATGGCGAACGACCGAATCAAGATGCAGGTGCCACCAAAGGCAAGGATGGTGCGGCATACGGAACACCTTATGCCGCCTCCTTTGTGCTGCCACTGACAACATTGGACCCTTCATTACTGCACCCCGTCAGTCTTGCCTTCCTCTACGAGTACAGGGAGCCGACATTTGGCATTTTGTACTCCCAAGTGGCAACCTCCACTGCTTTGGTTCATGAAAGAAAGGATGTGATGTTCTACACAGTCTTCACATTAGACCTCGAGCAAAAAGCTTCAACAATCCTTTTGTCAGTCTCGAGGCTACCAAGTGACTTGTTCAAGGTGGTCGCACTCCCACCCCCGTGGGAGGAGCCCTGCTTATTGGCGCAAATGAGATCGTGCATGTTGACCAAGCAGGCAAAACCAGCGCTGTGGGAGTGAACGAGTTCTCGCGGCAAGTGTCTTCGTTCTCGATGAGCGACCAATCGGATTTGTCCTACCGCTTGGAAGGCTGTGTGGTGGAGCGACTGGGTGGTGACAGTGGCGATCTTCTTCTAGCTCTTGCGTCTGGAGATATGGCATTGATCAGATTCAAGCTGGATGGTCGATCTGTGTCTGGAATGACGATTCATCCCTTACCAGCACAGGCAGGTGGAGAACTTTTGAAGTCGGCTGCTTCATGCTCGACATGCTTCGGCGACGGCAATATCTTCATCGGCAGTGAAGAAGCGGACTCTCTCCTTTTAGGATGGTCCCACGCGTCAGCATCTTCCAAGAAAAAGCATGTTGTCAGTGGTATAGAGGACCTTTCAGATGATGATCAGATGGACGATGATGATATTTATGAAGATGATCTCTATTCGACCGCGCCGGACCGGCGTACGACTTCTGGAATTTCAACTGCGGAGCTCTACAACTTCCGGTTGAACGATCAACTGTCTTCAATTGGTCCCTTACGAGATATCACACTGGGTAAATCCTCTCAGCTCTCCAAAGGTGAGAAACAGCCGGACAATGAAGCTGTTTCCGCAGAATTAGAATTGGTCGCATCACAAGGATCTGGCAGAGCTGGTGGGTTGGTCGTCATCAAACGAGAGATCGACCCCAACATCGCCCTGACCCTCCAAGTCGACGATGCTGATGCAGTCTGGTCGGCTACCGTAACCCAAGGGAAAAAGGGCGGCCAACCAAACAACACTGAATCGGGCGAGAGCATCTCTCGTCAATATGTGATTGCCTCGCGCTCGTCAGAAGCAGACAAAGAGGTCTCTGAAGTCCTGGCAGTCGAGGGCCAAGAGCTCAAGCCCTTCAAGGCCCCTGAATTCAACCCCAATGAAGACCACACCATCGATATTGGCCCTCTTGCAGGCAGTACCCGTCTCGTGCAAGTTCTTCGAAATGAAGTTCGCAGTTACGACATTGGTAAGTTTTTTCTGTTTAAGGATGTGCTACAGTGGATATTAGACTGATTATGGTCTTATCTAGATTTGGGACTGGCTCAGATCTATCCCATATGGGACGAAGACACCGATGAAGAAAGACTAGCGGTCAGCGCAAGCTTTGCCGATCCCTATCTTGCGATCCTGCGAGATGATGCCTCTCTTTTGCTTCTTCAAGCAGATGACAGTGGTGACCTTGATGAAGTTTCTCTCCCTGATGACCTTTCTAGTCTCAAGTGGCGCTCCGCTTGTCTTTATCGGGACAATGAACAAGTCTTTAGTTCATCAGACTCCAAATCGACTGACACTGCCGATGAAAACATCATTTTGTTCCTACTGAGCACCGACTACAAACTTTCGGTAAGTTGCCCAGGCGAGTCTGACCATAGCAACTCATCTCCTGACTGCGGACTCTAGATATTCAACCTCGCAGACATGAAAGTGTTGTCAATTATTGATGGCCTCGACTGCTTGCAAACCGTGTTATCGACTGAACCTCCTCGCCGATCCCACACGCGAGAGGCCCTCAAGGAAGCCCTTGTTGCCGACCTTGGCGATCGCTGGACCAAATCGCCATATCTGATTGTACGACCCCAAATTTTCCTTGTTTGGAGTGAGATATTAACTTGAAAATAGGTCCGGACGGACAATGACGAGCTCATCATTTACAAGACGGTTGTCACTTTGCCAGAGGCTGAAAGCAAATCTCCCAAGGGAATCCGGTTCCACAGAGAGTCCAATCACAGTCTGTCCAATGCAGCTTCAGGCACAACATCAGAGTTATATATGCAGCAACGAGCAAGACCGCTGCGAGTCTTACAAAATGTCTCTGGATTCAGCACGGTCTTTTTGCCCGGAAGCTCCGCAGGATTTATTCTGCGAACCGCAGCAAGCTCTCCCCATCTGGTGCGCCTTCGCGGCGAATTCACCCAATGGCTAAGCGAGTTTGATTCTGCCGCCTCCGGCTGCGAAAATGGATTCATCTATGTCGATTCCGAGAGTACCATCCGAGCCTGTCAATTCTCTCCGAATACTCTACTCGACCACCCGTGGACACTGCGCAAGATCCCATTGGACGAGCAAGTTGACTACCTGACATATTCAACATCATCTGAAACCTACGTGGTTGGTACCAGTCACAATGTGGAATTCAAATTACCAGATAACGACGAGTTGCACCCGGAATGGCGCAACGAGGGAATTACCTTTTGCCCCGAGGTTCCGCAGAGCTCGATCAAGGTGATCAGCCCAAAGACCTGGACCGTCATCGACGAGTATCCCCTAGAAATTGCAGAGCATGTGACGGCCGTGCAGAATGTGAACATGGAAGTTTCCGAGAATACACATGAACGGAAGGATCTGATTGTTGTCGGCACTGCTATCACAAAGGGCGAAGACATTCCCCCGCGTGGGTGCATCTACGTCTTCGACGTGATCGATGTGGTCCCAGACCCAGAGAAGCCCGAGACAGGGCGTAAACTCAAGCTGATCGGCAAGGAGACGGTCAAGGGTGCAGTGACTGCTCTATCTGGAATCGGTGGACAGGGCTTTGTGATTGTCGCGCAGGGGCAGAAGTGCATGGTACGCGGTCTGAAGGAAGATGGCAGTCTTCTTCCCGTGGCATTCATGGACATGTCATGTTACGTGTCTGTCGCGAAGGAGCTCAAAGGCACGGGCATGTGTCTATTGGGTGATGCGGTCAAGGGGATTTGGTTTGCAGGTTACTCGGTAAGAAAACAATGACTACCAACTACTCCTCTCTCTCTCTCTACATGAACAGTCTACTAACGTCTATTACAGGAGGAACCCTACAGAATGACAATCTTCGGCAAAGACCTCGAGTACTTGGAGGTAGTCACAGCTGAATTCCTCCCGGACGGAAACAAATTGTACATTCTCGTCGCCGACAGCGATTGCAACCTCCATGTGCTACAGTACGACCCCGAAGGTACGTAATATGATTCTCTAATCCTCAACCCACCCAAACTCCCAATAAAACAGAAAGCAACGAAACTAACAATCCAACCATTAGACCCCAAATCCTCCAACGGCGACCGCCTCCTCCACCGCAGCAAATTCTACACCGGCAACTTCGCCACCCAAATGGCTCTCCTCCCACGCACACCCGTCCCAACCGAACAACTCGCACCCACAGACGACAACATGGACCTAGACACTAACATATCAGCGCACCAAGTGCTCATCGCCTCCCAAAACGGATCTCTAGCGCTCGTAACCAGTGTCTCGGAAGAATCCTACCGAAGACTCTCAGCGCTCCAGTCCCAACTAATCAATACAATCGAGCACCCCGGCGGTCTGAACCCGCGGGCCTTCCGGGCCGTGGAGAGCGATGGAACTGGTGGGCGGGGTATGGTGGATGGGAATTTGCTCAGGTTGTGGCTGAATCTGGGGAAGCAGCGGCAGGCGGAGATTGCGGGAAGAGTTGGGGCGTCGGAGTGGGAGATTCGGGGGGATTTGGAGAGTATTGGTGGTGATGGGTTGGGGTATTTGTGAGGGATGGAAGGGGAAATAATGGGCGTTAGTATTACTATCTATTGAGTAGACTATAGTATATTAGTCTTATCAAAAGTAAGGGGTTTTATACTTGGTGAAGTTATTGACAAACTATTGTATACAAGTAGATCTAGGCTGAGGCTAACCAACTTGTGCTTCCGCACGACAGACTATTCTATTGTCAGACATAGTTGAGAACAGGTACACTGGATCCTTGATATCTTGACTGGAGAAACGGTTTTACAGGTTAGATATATATGCTTTAACTTTCCCTTTGATGAAAGATCTTTCTAACAGTCTTTTGAACAGTCTTTTGAGCTACCTTTTTTAATAGCTAAAGTAAAAGGCTTAGTAGGAAGGATACGGACATCTAGGTACTCAATGTACCTATGATCCACCATATCCGAAAAGAGAATAGTCTATCGTGCGAAAGCACAAGTTGTTGTGCGATTAGCCTCAGCATAGATCTAGTCCATCAAGTAGATATCACTCTATCACTCTTAAGAGTCCCTTCAAACTCATTAAAGACAAACACAAAGAAAGAATCACTTAAAGCACTTCATCACCGATGATATTTGCCAAGTATAGTTTTCAGTAAAATACCTGGGATGCCAGAAAAGATAGGAGTGGCAGATAATAGGCAACCATGGGCCAACCAGGAAGATCTCGCGCAGTCAATCGCAGCGTAAAATCATAACACGATGGGATATAACCAGATCCAGAACCAAGCACGTCAAAAGGGAAAAAAGAACGGAACCAAAAAAGAAGTAAACCCAATGCGTCCAGAGGTCAATCAATAGACCTGCCAGCTCGACTTGATAGCCCCTCTCGAGGGAGGGAGTCATAATACTGACTGCGACTGGTCTTGCAGAGCAAGTCATTCCATGTCATACAGTCAGCATCGCTCAACCTCCCATCAAGTCGAAACAATCCAAGAAATGAAAACCAAAGACAAGACACACAAAGAACTCCACAGCACGCCACACTCGCCATTTTGCACCGGGTGACCCGCAATAATCCAACAAGACCAAAATATCAAGACGAAACAAAAAAGTCCAATCCAATCCACCCAAAGCCCCACCCCCCCCCCCAAAAACCAGGGCAAAAACAGAGCCCAGACCAGACGTAGCGTATCACATATCATTTGCGATCCCAAACAAACAATTCAACAACACAAAACCCCCTGATACAAGGGTATGAAAACGGTGGGAGAATAGAACATGCTTGTTTCCTCATACCAAAGATGAGGAGCAAAGCTCTAAAAGGAGACTTGATATAGGAGTGGAAAGTCCCTCAAAACTCCTATCCAAATGTGCAAATATGCAGATGCGACCAGATAGATGATTGGGATAAAAGCCCAAACTTCGAAACCAAGATATTCCAAATGAAAAAAGGAGAGGATGAAAGACAAACACCTGCCCAGCGCCAATTATTCTTTTCAGAAGACGTCCTCGGCGGCGAAATAGCGTTTGCTGCGACCCCTGGAGCCAGCAACAAATTTCATCTCAGGCATATTCGTATGATGAACGACATGGGGTCGATAGACAGCATCAACCGGGGCTTGCCAATCATCCAGACCGAGAGGGAAGTATTCGTAAAGGAAGTCCGTGCCCTCATTGGGAAAGGGCAGAGACGAAACAAACTGCTGGGGAAGATTGGCGGTCTCGAGAAGCGGCAGAGACGAGGTAGCACTGCGAGAAGAGTTCTGCGCGACACCGTGGGACATTTTGCGCATCTTGGCTGGGGGTTGGGCGGATTGATCCATGCTTATAGACCGTTGTTGAGGCATCTCGTTGGTATAAGGCTGCATAATCTTCTGGTCCATATGGCTGCTGCCATCATCTTCATCCAGGAGAGACAGATTAATCGGCGCTGCTGCTGCTGCCGTCGTACTACTGACGCGGCGCTGGGATTCGGCGGCCTGGGAAAGTTGCTCTGGGCTGGAATGCGGGAAGAGAGGTTGATGATGGGAGTGAGACATTACGGGGTTGGAGCTGGACTGAGGTATAGGAGTCCAGTCGGCAGTGGCTTGTGATTGTTGCATCATGGATGGAGGAGGGACGGAGGTAGTCTCGGGGGAGCTACTTTGAACCGTGCCCGAGGGGGCCTTGTTCTTGGCCGGGGTTACGCTGGCGCGACGGGGTGCAGACTCGTTGGTCGGGGTGCGGTTGAGCGCAGCCGCGGCAGAATTAGCCTGGTTCTTGCGGGATGCAGCGGCACTGCCGCTCAATGGGAGATCCTTGCGAGACTGGAAGTTGCGTGGGCTGCGGCCACGAACGATGACGGGTCCGGATTGCACCTCGGAAATCGCAATCTTCGCTCCCGTAGATAACGTCGCAACCACCTTGAGCCGTACGACGAAATGTTGCTGCAATTCCTTCCGGCGTCCGTTATTAGCAGTAGCAACACGGAACTGCAAACGCTTCCATGCGATCGGGAAAGTGGCATAGTCGGTGTCCAAGTCCTGGCCGGCCATAATATCAAGCGGGATTGGTGGGGGTTCCTTCTCAACCTTGGCGGCACCCGTCGGGGTGGTATCTTCGAGAGCGGTGCCTGCGTTGGCAGCAGCAGCGGAGGGAGTCTTCCAAGGCACGGAGATGATCTTCACGGGGTTTCCTTCCACAGACTCCGTCGCGGAGACGGTCAATTCTTGTGCCAGAATGGGGATACGATCGCCCTGATCGGTCATGATGTAGCGCATGCCTCGGGGCAAGGTGACTGAACCGGTAATTTGAAAGAGGTTGCGACGATAACATGTCAATTCGGCACCTTGTTGGGGCGGGGCATTCTCGGACGGAGATGTGGTGTAGGGAGACTCGGCCAAGAAGAACATGCCATGCAGCTGGGCAGAGACCGAGAGAGAGGTCCGGCGCATGGAGTAGTCGAGTAAGGTGAAGTGGTAGAGCGGAGTGGAGAAGCTCAACAGCTTGTTATTGTGGTCGATTGACGAGTCCTGTTGCTGCTCTGGAGGTACCGGGTCGAATGGAGCGACCATATCGGTGAATGGGTCGTCATAGCCCGAGGGGAAGCGCTTTAACGAGTGCGATAGGTTATTTTGGGTGAAAGCCAGGTCGTCACTGTATTGGGTGTTCTGGATTAGTTTCTTGGGGGTAACACGAACGACCCTGGGTGGGCTATAGAAGTGGAGAAGAGCTCGAGGGATCGAGCAGAGGGCAGAATGAGACAACGAACACCTACCTGACAAATGTCTCGGAGTCGAAGTTGGAGCGGTGATCTGGGAGATCCAATCCTGGCATCGCATTGAGGTAGTCGGTGCCCTGCAGATTGCCGAGAGAAAGCGGGCTGGCCAGATAGGGCGGCATGGCCATGGTATCGAAGCCCTCCATGGCGAGGGCTTAGGTGGGACACGGTGCGCGATATAGAGGGGAGTATCGCGGAGGGGGGAGGGGAAGCCGTGAGGGGAGGTAAGGAAGCGGAGAGAGGAGAGAGGAGAGAGAGGAGAGAGGACGAAGATGGGAGGGAAAGGTAGAGGGGAGATGAGAGATTAGGATGTGAATTAGAACGAGAGGCGGGGGGTGGGGGGAGAAGAGGAGGAAGATGAAAAAGGAGAGGAAGTAGTTTTAGTTGAAAGTCGATCTGGAGAGTAGATCAAGTGAGAGAAGAGAAGAGGAGAGGAGAGAGGGAGAGGAGAGAAGATTGAGAGTAGAGTAGAGTAGAGAGAGCAGCGAGTAGGAAGCGTGATGGAATGTGTTAAACAGTTGCGGATGCGCCGACGGATTCGGGGAAAAGTGGAGCCGTTATTTTTTGCGGAGGGACAATCATACAGTAGGTAGAGTATAGAGTTTACATCTCAATTACATATATTACATGCCTTTTATATAAGATAAACTGGATTTACAGGGTAAAAGTAATACCATCCATACCGTACCCAACTGTGGGAGGTGTGGGTAACCAGACGAAGACGGTCCACTCGATTTGATTCCTATCAGAATATGCAGGATCATAAGATAATTATTCCCCAATATTCCAATTATTCCCAATGATAACATGATTTCATGATTAAAAATGACTAAATGGACCAGGATACAGTCATCCGCTTCCAACGGTAATTCCAGAAAAATAAAAAACAGGCCACCCTCATACTATTACCTACCCTCCCTACCCTAGTAACCCCCCCCCCTCCTCTCTTCATCCTCTACTCTTCCCCCGGGGTCTCTCCCCTCTTCAAAACGAGTTCAGACGAGGCCGATCGCCGGCTCTCGGCAACTGTCGCTGTTTTTTGCACCTATCTTCTTCGGCCCTGAAGATCATGCACTTAAGTGAACCAAATAGAAAACGATGAACCCACCTGCCTATTGAGGCCCGGCTGCTTCGGGCTAAAACAAGCCCTCTTCTCCCCTGAAAGCGCCACGGTCGGAGAGAGTCCAGAGGGAAAATAGGATTACAGTGGGGGGAGACAGAAAGGTAAAAATGTAGAATCTAAAACCAAAAAAAGACGGTTCTCCGAGGGTCCCGATGCAAAGGGAATAGAAAGTACGAGATGATGATAGAGGGAGGCAAATTCGAGTACTTTGATCCTTTGTACACTTTCTTGGAGAAGCATGAGTTGATTAACCTACATACTAACACTTGTAACTAGTACGGGGACTCATAATTACGGGGCAATGATAATAATAAGATTATAGGATAGGATACAAAGAACACTGGATCTCCGTACCCTCCGTCGGGAGGAGAAGCATCCAGGGTCTAGCAGTCTAGCAAAGAAATAAAGAATAAAGGAAAAAGGTACCTAAAGGTACACTCTCTCCTATACGGAGACTCCGTACGGAGTACTCCCGTCCCAGACAGGATGTACCCGAGGACCCCCATCAACGATTATTCGATGCAGATGATCGCTGTGCACCGGATGGGGAGAGGGGGGGGGGGACAAGAAACTAAACTTCATCAGTTCGACGCAGTCCAGACACAAGAACGAAATGCCCAACCAGTCAGAAGACAAAAGACCACCGCCATCAAGCCAGCCAGTCCACCCGAAAAAGGGCATAGCGACGGGCCAGCGCGCCTCATCCCAGAAGGGCATCGATGATCAACATGGACCCGTCTGACATGCAGCGCCATCGTGCTGGGAAAAGAAAAAGAACGAAGGAAGGGAGAGGGGGGAGGAGGGACAGGGAATACCAAACGGGAGAGTGGGTCTAACAAGACACACACATACACCAATCAATCGAGACCAAACAGCACCAAGCAGGGCCAAAGGAGCAAAGCAGGGACAGTGGGACACGAGAGCGAAGAAGAAGAAGCAGAAGAGGGCCGTGAGCGTTTCTCTGCTGGCGATCGAAGGAGAGCTTCCCTCGATTCGTCGCTCCGATGATTGGATCTCTTCATTGGACTAAAATGGGACATGGGTGGCTCGGCCCACTGCGAACGGGAAATCCACACTGCACAAATGCACAGAGAGAAAGTCCATGACTCCACTCAAGGACTCCATCCAGACGCAGTCGGAGTCAGGAACCGAGCGCTGTTCTTAGCGAGCACCTTAAACCGTTTTGAGGGTTAGTACCGGACATGGAAGACTGGTTGAGCAAGACTAAATCGAGGGGAAATTGTGGAAGATGGAGCACTCTCCATCGTGGGTCAATTCTGTACTTCCGTACATAATGTAGGTACTTAGTCTGGTCTCTGTACTCCGTACTAGTCTCCAGCATTTCCAGCATTTCCAGCGGGTCGCCTAAGAGCTCATAAACTCTGTTCTCTTGTGCATAGCTGAAAACAAAAAAAAAATGCAAGTTGCCTCGTGGGGGCGAGGGAGATGAGTACAGTAGGGTTAAACAGAGAGCGAGACACAAGGGAGAGAAGAGAGAACAAAGGTAGAACGCCTTGGTGGAACCACTTACTGACCAGACAGGATTTCTCGTCCTGATCTTCTGCAGGTTCGCCGTGGGCGGGTGATGCATTCAGGTCATTCCGGTCATACAAGAGGTGCGCCAGAAGAGGCAAAAGAGGTCTTATTCGCGGCATCACGAGCGCCCGTGGAACCTGCCGAGCATTTAGAATTAGAGAGTCTTGCCCGAGTTGGCCAGACCAGAACCTAGTGGTGGCCTATTGCTTCATGTCGAAGGGTAAGTAGGGTACACAGGATTCAAGAGAGTCATGACACGGGTGTGGCGGAGAAGCCAAAGAAGCTTCCATGTGAGCCATCCAGACCAGTGAGAGTCCAACCTTCTGGAACAAGTATGTATAACAATAACTCCTGCAAGCAGAGTCCGTATAACAAAAATGTATATTGGTCCGGTCGATCACGAGTCAGTAGTCCAAAAGTCTATCATACATCATATACTTTCCAATGCCGTGCTTTTTCGTATATAATTACACTCTGCAGTCTACACGTTCAAGAGGATCTGCTGCTTTGCCTCCCTCCAATCTCCCGTGCATTTACCCGATTCGACTTTCCTCCGCTCAATGCAAACCTTGTCTTTTATTTCCAGTTCTGCACGGCCCCGAGGCCCCGACACTAGTCAACGGACTTAACTTACATCCCCTCCACTCTCATTGGCAGATCCCTGATTCCTCCAGGGTTCTCCCACGGTTCCAGAGTTCTCAGTTTGTCTGCTCCCGTCATTGCGCGTTGTCCAGCTTCCCAGATCATCCTAGCTGGCCAGTTGGTGGATCCCATCCCTAGCGAATCATGACAGCAACAGAAGACCTTTGAACTTGATAGCCGTCCAGGCTACTATTCTGATCTTCATTATCCTGAGCGGCTATCTCATGACGGTCGGAGTTGAGCTCACATTATTTGTTGTTTAATCAGATCAGCTGGGATCGCAGTTGTAGAGCACACCATATGGGCAATTAACCCCCCTAGAAGACTACATTTCCAGCCCCGACACCCACAATTAACATACTTTCCGATAAACCCTCCGCTTGAGGCTGTCACCAGAGCCGATGATCACCGAGATATCCGATCGATCTAGACGCAAACTGGAGAAAGGAAGGTTGATCTGAAGCCGAAAGTGTAAAAAGCCCTCCCCATCCAACCAACGCCAGCCAACAAGTCCAACAACACAGGTTGGAATCTGACCTCACCTACAGCCACACACGTTTTCCTTCTTTCTTCTGCTGTGCTGTGCTGGCACATAATCCATTTGCCATTATCCGAGACCGTTCATTCCCAGAGCGGGGATTATTGGGACCCAGATCGAAGATAAGGAATGTGGATCGAAATGATCTCAGGAGCTGCGAGTGCCGTGTGTCCATTAACGGTCAAGCATTATCCCTGTGTACAGCGTACAGTACAGCGCCCACATGTATCTTTCGGGTGAGCTACACCAGCTTGTCCGCAGTACGGAGTAGTGGGGACTGATTAGCATGATTAGGATGATTAGAGTCGACCTAACAAACTGGACCCCCTTCAATCACTGCCTTTATTCACTGTAGTTTCTCCAGGGTCAGAATGATCCTTCAATAATAATAATAATAATTGCCATCTTCACGAATCCCACGAGGATGAAACCAGGATCAGAAGAAATACTTAGAAGGCGGTGTTCCGCGACCGAGGGATATATCCCCCAAACATCCCCCCCTAAAGTCAACTAAAGTAGTTTCCCCGCCTCAACCAGAGTAAAAACGCGCTTCGTGCCGTGATCTGAGCTTCGATGGTCCAGCCACTCGAGCCACCCTGGAACTAACTGTACTTGCTAATTTGCTAGTGGTCTTGCAAGTTTGGGCGGTTTGGGGCCCACGGATAGAACTGTGGCCCCGACGCCCCGATGTCTTAGCGCCAAAATCCAGTCATGCTGTACATAACGTACTATAGAAAGCTTTAGCCTTTATGCGCTGGTCGAATCCGTGAGTGAGAAGATTAATCCTGAACAAGAATTAGAAAAGTACTGTACATAAGCTGATGATTGTCCAGCATCAGCGGCGTTTTCCAGACCCCCAGGATCGAATCATGATATAGTTGATAGTAAGAGTAATAGCTACTCGTAAAGTCGATCATGCCGCGGACATAACGGTTATATTCTGTCAAAGGGCCTTCGTCCATACAGTACGGAGTAGATATGAATCCATTCCCAAACACCTAGAAGCCTTTATTCATTATTATTCTATTTCTAACTATATTTCCCCACATTTAAAGCAATAGTGCATATTCCTAAAACCAAAACCAAAACTAAAACTCCGTTCTCTATTCATCCAAGTCCCAGTCCCCGCAACCGCAACCGCCTAAACGGTCGCACCAGTGAACCACTAACCACCACGATTCTCACATCCTTCGGAGAAAATCCAAAAGGTGGATGCTTAGCTTTTTCTTACCCTTCGCCTCCGGCGCCAAGCGGAGTCCGAACCAAACGCCCACAGACAGCCAACAGCCAACTCCCGATAAATCCGTAAAGTGAATCGGAGTTTTATGGATATAACCGATCGTGAATAAATTGCGTGAGAATGGGGAACTGATTTGCAAGTTGCCACGAAGGATGGGAATTGTATCGCGGGATGCGATTCGATGTGATGCGCCTAGGCGAGGCGATAGACTTCGGAAGTGGAAGTGGATTGATTGATTGATAGAGGCGAGGTAATTACTGAACCACTAGGATAATTTAGTTAAGTTAGGTGCTTAGTATTTACTTAGTCAGTGAGATGATCATGCAGGGTTTTTTCTTCAACAGTTCAGCAGTGAGTATTCCGTATTCCGTACATCCGTATGTACATACTCTACTGTACGTATACTCCATGCTAAGCTGCATATGTACTAATGTCCCAAGTACATACGAATTCATATTGAACCCTTCGTATCTCAGATAACCTAATCTCCCTCGAGTCATCATCCCCAAACTCCCGTAGGTAATGTAATAATGATAATGCCTGCCTGTTTCCGCCCAGAGGCGCTGGAGTTCAGCTTCCGCTTTCCTTGGGCCAACGGAAGTCCGGGCCAGTAAGCGGGCACCGTTAGCCTGGTGCCTACTCTTGACCCCTAGAAGAGAGCAATCTATCTCCACTCCTCCACTCCAAGTGAGGCATGATTTACTAAATTGCTTTCGCCCCCTAGGCCAAGAGCGGTGGATATCAGAGGACTAGAGGAGTGATTGGAAGAGCCTCGGCTGTCTCATCCCGACAGGGCAATCGAAACCCAAAAGGCGCCAAGAAAGTAGAAAAAAACAAATAACAAACCAGAACAAAGAAAATCGAAAATCGAGCGAAAAAAAGAAAAGTGGAAATAAAAAGAAACATCGAAACCTGCGGATCTCCCGTTGATCGACACGTCGCTTGGATGGAGACTGGAGTGGGCTGCTTCACCCTCCAGGAGGGATAGTAAAAATGATGTAAGATTGGTCCGAATGACGCCGTACAGAAACGGGAGGGGGTCTGTCCTACCCACCCTTAGTTGAGAACAGCGCCCCGAGGGCTGGCCCCGTGGGAAATCTGATAATGCTAGCAGCTATGCACATATGCACGAATGTGTAAAGGTGGCCAAGAAAAGAAAAAAAGAAAGAAAATATAGTAAGTCCAACCCCCAAAGTTCAAACCCAGTCCAGTCCAATCAGCGCCTCCAAGAGAAGGAACCCAAGTACCTGCATGCTGCGAACCTTGTAGGTCCCTCCCATCAGCCTTCAAGCCTCGAAGCCCCCAGGGCTTCCACGATGGGTGCCCGCCCCCAGGGGGCCTGATATAATAAACCCAAATAAGCCAAGAAATCAATAACCCGTAACCAACAAATGCCAGATGGATATCATAAATGCGAAAAAAAAGACGGCGAGAACCAAACAAATCAAAAGGGCCTCACAGGCCAAGAAGAAAAAAAGAAAAAGGAAGAGGGTTTGGCGAATGACGAGTAAAACAAAGAAGGCGTTGCGAGCCAATGCCATCTCATGGCGGATGCATCATCGTCCATGTCGCTGCATCGCAGTTGACCTCCTCAAAGTTGTGTAGCATGCTGAATCCCATCGAGGAGAGACAGTCAAAATTGCCATCACCGTCAACCTAGAATGTTGTTAGCAAGACATTCATACTTCATCAAGACCCTGAATGATAATGAGAAAAGAGGGGAGTCAACATACACAGTCCATCACCACCGCATTGGCATTCAACTTGCGAATCTGCTTGATAGCCAGCAGAATCAACCCCTGCATGACGGTGGAGTAATCATCCGCAACCGGCGAGATAACTGGCGAGGAGATACCACCGACAGTAGTCTGAGTAGCGCGCAGAGCAGGCATATGCTCCGCCAGCGCCGATCGCTCATTATAAACGACGATACTGCCGAGAATCATATCATCGGCCGAGCGCTTGGCGCGGATGATTCCGCAATTGGGGGCGCCACCCAAAGCAATCCGATAAATGTCAGCGACACCTTGACGGGCATTGGTCTTGATGTGATCAAGAATCGCACGGGCATAGTCCCACCCGTAGACGAGGTCGTAGACCACATCGGCATTCTGCAGCGTCACGGTGAGGCCATCGGGTGGCGTCCAGGTAGCCAGATTGCGCAGGATTACACTGCAGACGGGGCGTGAAAGCGACGTATTCCAGCCCAGGTTGGCAAACCATTGTCGTAGTCGCTTGCGCTCGACGGAGCTGGCAGTCGGGATTCCTAGGTAAATACCGGGTAGTCTAGAGCCGAGCTGGAAGCGTTTCATCCCTTTGCGCTGGAGTAGGTTGCGAATGGCGCGGCTGTGCAGCGAGTGGCCGATGGATAGCTTGCGGCGTGACGGGTCAACGATCAAACATCCAATAACACCTGTGCCGGTGGATCGAAAGAAGTAGGTTGCACAAAAGCCGTACAGTGCTTGTGTACTGCTATTGCGGACCACAAAGTGCGCCTCTTCGATATCTTCTTTGCGCAGGAGGAAGCTGCTGGAGGTAGCACCAAGGAGCTCAGAGCGTTGCCCTTGTGCACAGTCCTCACGGACGGCATCGAGCAGCGCATCTAGACCGTTAGCATCTCGCTCCTCGTTCCAATTCTCCACAAGCCAATGCTGCCGAGATTGATGGATCTTCTGGCTGCGGCTGATTGAACCGGGTAGGCTTCCCGTGGGTGTCAAGTCGCCATAAAGAACCTTGACCAGAGCCTGGAGCGCGGTCTCTGTGAAGTCGTAGGTGCACACGTAGGTACCGATCGTGGAATCCATGGCAAAGTCATATGGAGAGCTGACCGCAACCACGATCAAGGGTTTCTCACAACGCTCCCCTGTGGCGGAAAACTGGTTCTGGCATATCAAGGAGACATGCTTGGCAAAGGCCTGCTGATATAAGTTTCGATTTGCATCAGCGGTGACCACGATGACCGCGCTGGCTCGCTCAATAAGGTCTTCGTGGATGGGCCTCACGCCGTTGTGTGTATACGATGTATGAAGGACACGTCCGCTCCTTTGCCTCGAGAGGGACCTCCCGAGTTCTTTAAAAACAGTTTCACCACTCATGACGGAAGCTGATCGTTCGATCGCTGTCTGATCCATAGTAGGGCCGTGATTGGTGTCCTTTGCGGATAAGGACACTGCTGATGCAGCCAGGGGTTTGACCAAGGGGGTCAAGAGCAAGAGTTCCTCACTTGCATCGATGATGTTGGAGAGAGGCAGGAGATTGTTCTTATCGCGCATCACAGTAATGGAGCTATTATAGGCGCGTGTGGAGAGGTTAGTATGTGATGGCTGCATTTGTGTGAGAGAATGAAGACCCGGCGGGTTCAACGCCTGTTCCCAAGACGTGCACCGAGACTTCAAGTTCAGAATGCGACGAAGCGATTGCTCGATTCGAGGTCGTCCAATGATGCCGTTTTCCACGCCCAACTTCAGTCCATTGATTGCCTCCTGTTGCACGGGGAATGACCGACACAGCAAGATAACATCGCAACCGGCATTCTTCGCCATGACCGTTCCACCACCAACACCAATATTATGGGTGAGGGCCTCCATCTCCAAACACTCTGATACCACGACACCTTGGAATTTCAAGTCCTTCCGGAGAAGTTCGTCCACCACCTGGTCACTGAGACAGGCATGCATGACATTCATACCGGCTGATGACATGGATACGCCACCGACCATCATGGCATCCAGGCCCTGCATGATGGCATTTCGGAAAGGAACGAGCGCGGTGAGACTGAGTTGTTCCAGAGATTCGGTGATGATGGGCACGTCCGTGTGCGAACCGAGGAACTCGAGGTTTCCGTATGAAGGGAAATGTTTGCCGCATGTCGCGACCCCAGCTTCCTGATAGCCCTTCATGAACTGTACCCCGTATTGCGACACTTCCTGCGGGTCATCGCCAGAGGTGCGCACGCCCAACGGCTGATTCCGTACATTGGTCAAGACATCTAGAACGGGACCGAGGATCCAATTGACACCGACAGCCTTTAATTCTTGCGCGGTAGCCTTTGCAACCTCATGCGCCAATGATTTCGACCCCGTTGCGGCGATTCCCATGGCGCTGGGAAATTGGCGAATGTATATCTCATCGTACAAGCTATTCACGCCGCCATTCTCTTGGTCGAGCACGATAAGTAGGGGCACGAGATGACCGGCATCTCGAGCGATGGTCTGCAATTCCAGGACCAGTCGGGTGGCCTCCTCGGCAGCTGTGGGCGTAAAAGATCAGCCAAAAGGTCTAGCCAGGGGAGATGAGATGGATTCTCTTTTAGTCCTTCACGCGCTCTTCTCATCCGGGGTTTTTCATATCGGACGAGCACAGGATGCACAGTTAGAGGGAAGAAGGGAAAAAGAAGAAAGCGATTACATTTCAAATTCTTAGCGGACAGAAGGACAGATCCCAAGTGGTAGTCTTCGATGAGCGAGCGAATCTGAGGGCTAACGGAAGTACCATCGAAGCCCATCATAAAGAGCTGGCCCATTTGCCTGGCATTGCCACATGGCTGGTCAGCACGATCATGCACATCATCATAGCCGCTTCAGGTGTCGAAACATCCCGAAGAGGAAATAGTTTAAATCGCCCGTCCGGCGCATTTGGGGTTCCACAGGGTCGTGAAGAATTGGTGGGTGTGGGCGCAGTGGATGTACAAGTAGATAGAAGCTCCGGAAAAAGGTGATCAACATACCTGTCTAGATCATCCCAGCCCGGGGGCAGCATGTCCTCTTTCGGGGCCATGGCCCTGGGGGAATGAGGAATGCCAGCAGTATCCCAGGAAGCTTGGAGGTCGTGGGCGGGGAGGAGTGGAGGAGAGTGGAGGGAGCTGTATGTTTGGTGGTAGACGGCAGACTGGGGTGGTGGTGTGTGAGTGTGAGTGTGTGAAGTGGGTTGGGGTTTGGGTAGATGGTGGTAGGAGCTGAGCTGTAACCTGCAACCGGGCTCAGTGTCTCTCGAGGTTGAGGTTGAGGGCCCGAGGATGACACTCCGAGGTCGCAGTCAGGTGACAGCTGTCGGGGAACGAAAAGCAGTCGCAGGAATAAGCAAAAGCGCACTGGAGCGGGAAAGGGAAGGGATGAGCTCCAGAGCCGCAATCGGGGGAGTGTGACAGGCGCGATAAGAAGGTTGGCCCCGGCTATTTCGTTCTCCGCCTTACAGTAGTGGGTAGACTACTGTATGTAAGTGCATAGTAGTCACATAACTAATAAAATGTATTCTACTAGTCAGTTGATAGGATATCATCAAATGAGTTTATTGCCAATATACAACAAAATAAGGATTATTAAAATTACATCCTTTGTACTCTTAAAAGTATAAAGTCGGAGGAAATTAACTGTTTGATCTCTAGTGTCTCCTGGTTCCTCGTGCCCTGTTGATCCCTTGCCTGGATTAAGGGAAATCTACATTATAGCCGGGAAATTAATTCCCCTCATGTGTTTTAGTCTATCCATTCTGAAATCAAGCAGTCACGGGTCAATGCGGAGTCCGTTATATAAGATTAATAACATTAATTGGGATTTTACTGGTCCATGATCAAATCGTAACTACTCTACGGAGTAGTACCTACCGTATCATCATCTTAGAATTAGGTCACGTGACTGTAATTACATACCCGTATGGTACCATACCGGGTCCCGCTGCGACGCTACAGGGTTACACTCCCCGGTTTTCACGGGTCTCGCTCGTTTGCCGACTTCACCGGATGCAACTTCTTCTAACCCCGATGGAACCTTCACCTTGGGATCTGCTCCACTCCACCTGATGATGTCTTGTCAGGAAGTGATGTGGTGTAATAGAGACTCGACTTGGACATTCTTCCTGCTATTGTTGGGCACCACATGGTCAATCATCTGCGAATTGCGAACAGGGTAACCAAGCGTAGGTAAAAATGGGTTTATGGGCGGTAATAGATTGCCGCGATAACTCCATATCGCATGCAGGAAGATACTACATCCACGGAATAGATATCATGATGACTCTATAGCACCTATGATATATGCTACCTGATAATCCTGGGAGGCGATAAAATGAGCACGCCCCACGAATCAGACACAAAGAAAGTGGCTCGTGGACCTCCATTCTCGGAGTCGACGTCAACGGTTGATTCCTGACAAGGCCATTATCATTGGGTCCATTTCCCACATGGCGCATGCGACGATACATTTGGGGAGGAACCGATCCGCAATTAAACCTCGACGTAACGGACGCACTCAGAACTACAGTCCAGAGAGTAAGAAAAGAGTGTGGCCCACTACGACCACGACACGGTAGATCTTCTTTGTCACTGTCGTACATTGCACTCTCGACGTAACCAATCCATGGGCTGAGCCCCGTTCTGCTTTTTATCTTTGCATCTTCTAGTCCCTTCATCGACTCATTTCACTTCCCAGGCACTCTTATCTTTTCTACTCTTACCTCTTCAACCTTTACACCTTCTACACTTTAAACCTTTCAACCCCTCTCTTCCCCTCCACCCCCTTGCTTCGCTGCTCGAGTTCCTCTTCATCAGCCCTACTGATATCAGTCTTGATCTACACGTCCCGCTGACGTAACCACGATGTATGCGCTCATGACTCTCACCATTTCTACCTCACTTTCAGAAAAATCAGAACTGACCAGAGTTGTTACTCTCTCCAGGCGTGTCATCATTCGTGAGGACCCTCAGGCGGTCTCGGTGTACATTGCCGAGTACATCGTCAGTAAGTCATACACTCTTCCCTTTGCTTGGCGCAAGCCGTCCTTTCATATACTCCGCGATAAAACTAACAGTTCCCTTCTTTCCAGGTCGCATTAAGGCATTCAAGCCAACCGAGACCCAGCCTTTTGTCCTGGGTCTGCCCACCGGTAGCAGCCCGGAGATCATCTACAAGATCCTGGTCCAGCGCCACCGCGCCGGCGAGATCTCATTCAAGAATGTTGTGACCTTCAACATGGTAATATTCACCCCCAAGCACCTCACACCAACCCAATCAATCGCATATCCTAACACTCCTCTCCAGGATGAATACGTCGGTCTACCCCGCGACCACCCCGAATCCTACCACAGCTTCATGTACAAGCACTTCTTCTCGCACGTCGACATCCCACCCCAAAACATCAACATCCTCGACGGCAACGCGCCCGACCTCGCCGCCGAATGCGCCTCATTCGACGCCCGCATCGCCCGCTACGGCGGCATCGAGCTCTTCCTCGGCGGCGTGGGACCCGACGGACACATCGCCTTCAACGAGCCCGGTTCCTCACTGGCCAGTCGCACCCGCGTCAAGACCCTCGCCTACGACACCATCATCGCTAATTCCCGCTTCTTCGACAACGACGTGAACAAAGTGCCGCGCATGGCCATGACCGTGGGTATCCAGACGATCATGGACGCGCGCGAAGTTGTCATCGTCGCGACGGGCGCACACAAGGCTTTTGCCGTGCAGAAGGGTCTTGAGGATGGCGTGAACCACATGTGGACTCTTTCCGCGCTGCAATTGCACCCACACCCGCTGATTGTCTGCGACAAGGATGCCACTCTGGAATTGAAGGTTAAGACCGTGCGCTACTTTGAGTCCATTGAGCAGGCTGGAACGGATGCGCGTACTCAGGGGCCCCCATTGGTTTACCGGCCTCGTACATACGTGCCTGCGCCGTTGCCAGTGAAGAAGGCCTCCGGCCTGACGACGCCCGACCGTACACCCGTCAAGGTTCCCAAAGACCTGCGCATCAACACTGAGCTGCACCGCGCTATGGAAGAGGATGAGTTAACGCCTGACAGCATGTCTTCGCGGATGGTGGACTCGGCGATTGGTGGGTTAGATGGAGCTTTGAAGAATGATTTGATCTTTGATCGGATGGGTGCTCGTATGACGACTCTGTAAAGATGAGCATGGGCATTCGCATGGCATTTTGCACTTTTCGGGAATGCGGAATTGGGGTTTTCTTTTCTTTTTCTTTTCTCATACTGGCTTTGGAGAACTGGGATCTGGGTTTTTCTTTTCTTCACTCTTCTATCTGCTATTTTAACTAGGGACTCGACATGGCTGCAGTGTTTTTTATCTCTTTTTTTTCACATTCGATCTACCCTTGTTCTTTTCTCAAGATCCATCAGTTCAAGGAGTTTCAGTTCATTGCAATTATCATGCCTTCTGGGAAATTCGCGTGTGACTAGTTTATTATTCTCATTTAGTCATGATCATCTAGGCATTAACTAAAATCAACCGATCTGATTCACTTCTCCCATACAATGATTCACCCAATCATCTCATGTAGAAGGGAAAGAAACTTTGATCCGAATGGCATGCTACAGCTGCCGATACAGTCAGTAGTGGCCACCCTTGTGCAAGTATTGTTGATACTGCCTTTAAGACTGGCTGCATTTTATACCTTGATTCAGTCTGTTTTTGAATACCCCTATGTCACTACTCCTCTCTCTCTGTTTCTCATTCCACGTCTCTTTTCACACAGTACTTTTCGAATTCAGCCTGACCTTGCATTCTATTGCAAATAAAATGAATCCTACCTTAACTATACGATTTCTGATTAAATGTTATTTAGTGGCCGAATCCAGACCACTTTCTACAACAGTCTTTATATTTTATAGTACGTCTTTAGAACCATCGTAGATATATTTAACACAAAACTAGCATACACACGATACTATACCTCTAAAATACATATTGAAAAATATACTCTACCTATGTATGTAGATCGATTAATAGCTGTCACAATGTCGATCAATCACCAAGCAAAGATCATCAAAATAATGTAGAGACTGTGGTAGGCCACTCGGTATAAAGAGGAGGTACTTCCTCCTACAGCCTCTAATCATTTTTATCTTTTCCTTCATCATTTGCTTACGTCTTGAAGATTGCATGAATCATGAAGATTCTTCACCCTCCTCTTTACGGTCATGCTTACGACCCTGGTGGTTGCGTCGCCTATGGAAGAGTCTAGTACTCAGGTAACCCAAGACGAAGCCGGGAACGTAAGTGGTTCATAAGCCCAGGCCTGGAAGATGAAATTCAAGGATAACAAGGCTAATCGAGATTGGATATGGATAGGCCGATGCAGACTATTGTTACGAGTGCAATTGCATTGTTGTAAGTGAATTATTTAACTCTGGAAAACAAATCAAGAATAGAGAGCTGATCAAGATGGGATATCAATAGCAAGCTCTCAACGCGAAGAGCCGATCGTGCAGAAATTGCAAATTTTTCTACAATAGACCCATTTTTGGGCTCTTTGATGGTGATTCTCCTAAGAGCGAGTAACTTTATGGCCTGAGAAATGGGTGTTGTGGAGGATTCTTAACGAGATGGATCGGGGAGGAAGGCTGGGTGTGATGTGGTGTGGGGTGTGTGTAGGGTTAAGAGAGTTCTTCTCTCACTTTTTATAGAGTGTGTTGTTAGTGTGCACGAGATTCATTATTAACACTTACTTACCCTTACGAAGTTAGTTTCGTACAGAGTCTCCATCATCTCCCCTCTCTTCATTTCCGGTGCTCAAGCGGCGAGCGAGTACGTGATCTTCCATGAAGGCGATCATTGATTCATTGGAGTGATAGGAAATAACTGACTAGTCAATCTCTTAGCGCTATACACCGACAGTTGTAGTTAGATACTAGACTACTAGCTACATAGACTCTGAAAAAAGAAACTCGTGCAGTACACAGTTATGTACCATACTTCTTTTCTGCTCATGGGATAGATAGCTTCTTAGCACGCCTGTCTTGCACTTCAGTAGGGGGTTGGCAGCTTTCACGTATGGTTGTTTGTGATCCGAGAATGTATAGGCTGCCGTTGAATGGTAGTCTAGGTTAAAAAGAAACCAACAACGCCATTGGTTAAAGTTCAATACCTACCAGCCAAGTCATGAAGCCGACGATCATGACGAGTTTACTACAATACGTCCTTGATGAGGTATAGTCATTACCGACATAATTCTGCCTAACTAACAGAGCGGTAACATGGCAAGTCTAAAGATTTAGCGTCTAACTGAATTCGAAAGCTGCTGTATCTTTCTTGACGTCTTTCATAATATCACCCCCGACATGTCCATATTACTTTTGAAATGCATTTGATCTATCCGAATATCATTATATGACCTAAACCCCAATTTTCACACATCACGTCGTATACATTATAAACCAAAACACCCAGTGAACACCTTCACACCTTTCAAGTCTTCCTCCAACCCTCATAGCTTAGCAAAAACCGTCGCCACAGCCCCACTCATATCAACAAGGGTACTCTTATTCTGCAACCAAGCCTCAATCCCCTTATGACCATTCTCGACACCCAGACCGCTCTTCTTCCATCCACCGACAGCCATCTCAGCAGGACTCTCGCCCCAGGTATTCACCCAAGTGATACCAGCCTGCAACTGGTCAATGACGCGGTGGGCCTGGTTAAGGTCCTTTGTAAACACGCCCGCAGCAAGACCCATCTCCGTAGCGTTGGCGCGACGCACAGCCTCGTCAACGGTATCATAGTACAAAATTGACATGACAGGGCCGAAAATTTCCTCCTTGACGATGCGCATGTTGTCAGTGCAGTCGGTGAAGATGGTCGGTTTGACCCAGAATCCTGCTTGAAGGTCTTGCGGGATATCGGGCTTGCCGGGGCCACCGGCTAGCAGTGTTGCGCGGTCATTCTCGATGCCGTGGCAGATATACTCGACGACCTTTTTATAGTGGACTTCTGAGCTGAGGGGGCCGAAGTTGGTCTGTTCGTCGAAGAGCGGGCCAGGTCGGACAAAAGAGATTTTCTCGAGAAGGCGTTTCTCGAAAGGGGCCTTTAGAGAGCGGGGGACGAACACGCGGGTTCCGTTTGTGCAGACCTGGCCGGTGCTGTAGAAGTTGGCCATCATGGCGCCGTCGACGGCGCTTTCGAGGTCGGCGTCCGGGCAGATAATCAGTGGGCTTTTACCGCCCAGCTCCATAGTAACATATTTCATGTTGCCGGCGGCGGCGCCGGCGACCTTCATACCGGTTGACACCTGGCCGGTGAAGGAGACCTTGGCGATGGTAGGGTGGCTGGTCAGGTAGGCGCCGACATCACCGGCTCCGTTGACCACGTTGAAGACACCGTCAGGCAGACCGGCCTCGGTGTAAATCTGGGCGAGGGTTTCGCCGTGTAGAGGCGTGAATTCGCTAGGCTTGTAGACCATGGTGTTACCGGCAGCCAAGCAAGCCGCGGATTTCCAGAGGGCACTAGAGACAGATAATGAGTATCAAAACCGGTTCTTGAAAGTGACTAAATATTCAGCTACGAATGCAACTCACATCTGAATAGGATAATTCCAAGCACCAATACCCGCGCAAACACCCAAGGGTGACTTCTTCGTATACACCCAGGCATCCTCACGCAGCTGTGTCGTCTCGCCATTCAACCCACCACCACCAATAAAGTTGGCATAATACTCGAGCACATCCGCACCCGTCACCACATCCACAGTACTCGTCTCCGTAAAGGCCTTGCCCGAATCCAAAGTCTCTATCCGAGCAATCTCATCATTGCGCTCCCGCAACAACGCAGCCGCCTTCTGCAAGATCCGAGCGCGAGCAATATACGTTGTCTTGGACCAGACCTGGAAGGCACGCTCTGCCGCCGCAATCGCAGCATCAATATCCGAGTTGGAAGCAATCTGGATATCGGCCAGCGGGGTTGCAGTAGCAGGGTTAATGGTTTGGAAGGTCTTGCCGGATGAAGCGGCGTGCACCTGGCCGTCGTAGTAAAGCTGACGGGTCGGGAAGGGGAGGGCCATGACGGAGGAGAGTCAAGGGTGTAAGATATGAAGTACGAGCTGTTATCTGACAAAAGTTCACAGATCGATATGAAAAGAGTTTTTGTGGCCAGTGGTTCGTTTCGATGAGAGTCCTTCTTTATCGGGGAAGGTGGTGGCCATTCGTCATTCTACTTTGTTCTGCAGGACTCACCGCCTTGGACCTTCGGAGTTGAGCCGGTCCAATTTTTAATTTTGTTACACAGTTCAACTGTTAAAGCGCGGCATTGTGGGGCGCAGCGCGGCGACTTGCACCAAATGGGATTAGCATTGCCGCCGTGCATTAGCGTGTCCAGCCTTTTGGTCGTGTCGATGAGCCGGTGGCGGTAAAGAGGGGCGTTGTAGGCGTTGGTTGGGAATTGGGATTCGCCGGTTCTCCGTGGTAGTCATTTCCGCAATTGTGAAGGGGACTAATGGACAAGATGAAGACCTAGCATAGATGGTCCTCTCTATTAAGGGCTTAGTCTCTTCGAAGGGTAACTGGATAAGAACACTTAGAAGAGTGTCGTGGCCCGGGCTGAGTTGAAGCGGGAAGCGGGGGATTGGTGACGTAGGGGGAGTTCGTGAGGCTTTTTGTGGGACGTTTCAAGGGTGACAAAGGGGGGGGCTGAGACGTTTCCAGATTCATTTGAAGGCTGGGAGATAGGATTTGACTATTCCGACAGAGTTCTGATTCTATACGGGTCATGCTATATCAGTCATGAGACAGGCTTATCAAGGCCAATCTTCCCCTCTTTGTTCGAATTAGGATATTGAATCCAGATCCCCCTCGATTGAGTCGATTCCCTCCTATCATATCTTCACCTATCTTGATTGTACACGAGACATCCATGCAGCCTTGTAGAATGTCGATCCTATCATCCTGGCAGTGGGCCGTGGTTTATCTAACAGAGGCTCCACATTAATCTTCGATCGCCACCACTCACAGTCTCCAATTCGGCCGGGGCAGAAAAAATTTGTGTAAAAGAAAACGAGAAGACCACCGAATCAAGGTACTACGTAGAGAAATCATCTCAAGATTGGAGTCATTGGATCAATCTGCATAATCCAATCTGACCGTCAGACCATACTGTTCTCTCCCATACTCCGCTGACTGCCTCCCATCCGGAACCGTTTAAAACCAAGTGGCGGTCTCCCCCAATTTCTCCTCTATTTTCCCCTTCTAATTCCTATCCTTCCCCTCTCCTCCCCCTCATTCCCTTTCTCCAACAATTACCAACATGGCGACTACCAACGACCTCCCTGCCCTTGAGGTAAACAGCTATGACTATATTGTCGTCGGTGGTGGTACCGCCGGCTGTGTGATTGCGGCGCGCCTGGCACAGTACCTCCCCAACAAGCGTGTGCTGGTCATTGAGGGTGGTCCCAGCGACTTCACGGATGACCGGGTCCTCAATCTGAAGGAGTGGTTGAGCCTGCTCGGCGGCGAACTGGATTATGACTACCCTACCATTGAACAGCCCAACGGTAAGTCCCAGCAGAGAGAACGAGACGAAAACCTTTGTGCTGACCATCCAATCTATAGGCAACAGCTACATCCGCCACTCCCGCGCCAAGGTCCTGGGTGGCTGCTCCAGTCACAACACTTTGATCTCATTCCGCCCCTTCGAGTATGACTGCCAGAACTGGGTTGCCAAGGGCTGCAAGGGCTGGGACTTTGAGACCTTTACCCGCATGATCGATAGTCTGCGCAACACTTTCCAGCCCGTGCACGCTCGTCACCGCAACCAGCTGTGCAAGGACTGGGTCCAGGCTTGCTCTGACGCCATGAACATCCCCATCATTGAAAACTTCAACGCAGACATCCGCAAGAACGGTGAGCTGACCGAGGGTGTTGGCTTCTTCAATGTCTCCTATAACCCGGATGATGGTCGTCGCAGCAGTGCCTCTGTCGCCTATATTCACCCCATTCTGCGGGGTGATGAGAAGCGCCCCAACTTGACCATCCTCACCAACGCTTGGGTTTCCAAGGTCAATGTCGAGGGTGACTCCGTCACTGGTGTCAACGTGACCCTGCAGTCTGGTGTTCAGCACACTCTCCGCGCCAAGAAGGAGACCGTCCTGTGCGCCGGTGCCGTTGACACCCCTCGTTTGATGATGCTGTCCGGTCTGGGACCCAAGGAGCAGCTCTCTGCGCTGGGCATCCCCGTTGTCAAGGACATCCCCGGTGTCGGTGAGAACTTGCTCGACCACCCGGAGAGTATCATCATGTGGGAGCTCAACTACCCCGTTCCCCCCAACCAGACCACCATGGACTCGGACGCCGGTATCTTCCTGCGTCGCGAGGAGCCCAACGCAGCTGGATTCGACGGCCGGGCCGCCGACATCATGATGCACTGCTACCAAATCCCCTTCACCCTCAACACCGCTCGCCTGGGCTACGACGAGCCCATCAACGCCTTTTGCATGACCCCCAACATTCCCCGCCCCCGCTCCCGCGGCCGTCTCTACCTCACCTCCTCCGATCCCTCCGTGAAGCCCGCGCTGGATTTCCGCTACTTCACTGATCCCGAGGGATACGATGCCGCCACCATCGTTTACGGTCTCAAGGCGGCTCGCAAGATTGCCCAGCAGTCTCCCTTCAAGGAGTGGATCAAGCGAGAGGTTGCCCCCGGCCCGGCGTGCCAGACCGACGAGGAGCTGTCCGAATACGGCCGCCGTGTGGCGCACACTGTGTACCACCCGGCCGGTACCACCAAGATGGGTGATGTGCTTCGCGACCCCATGGCCGTCGTGGACCCGACCCTCAAGATCCGCGGTCTGAAGGGTGTCCGCATTGCCGATGCTGGTGTCTTCCCCGAGATGCCCACCATCAACCCCATGCTCACCGTTCTGGCTATCGGTGAGCGTGCCGCAGAGCTGATCGCTGAGGAGGCTGGCTGGACCCGCTCGCAGCCCCGTCTGTAAGTCTCTCTCTTACCTCTGGTAGAGTGAGTATACCGTAAGGTAGAGGGTCTTCCTTCTCATGTCGGGGATTGGCGTCAGTCTGGATTGACCCAGACCAATCTCCGCGTGAAAAGTTTCGTTTTCTGTTTTGTTTGTGTTTTGTGTTTTTTTGCATATCAGCGAGTAAGGACCGTGGGGGGAAGGAAGAGAGAAATTGGTTCTCTCGACTCCCGTTCCCCTGGTCTATGGGACTCCGCCAGACGGACCCGGTGTTTTGGATATTTTGGAACATATTCACGTATATATACCACTTACCTGTACAGTATCTTGGACAGCAGGGGAGTCACTGCCAATTTGGAATGGGATGGTACCTCCAAGTTGTCCTAGGTATATAACGGGGATGACATGATTTGGGAGTTTGAAAGTATAAAGAAACAAAAACATCTAACACATATTCCTTGGTCTTAACGTAAATGAATATTTCTGCAAATTGATTTGAAATTTGATTTGATTTTGACTTTCTGTGAGATATGCGATATGCTTATTGCTAGTACTTGTGTTTGCGCATGTGCATGTAATATGATTCTAAGCCTCATGGAATGCAGATCCCAGAACGCCGAAGCCTAAATCGCAAGATATCCGGGGGGAAAAAGCATGTCCAGTAAAAGCTAGACGAGAAAACCGAAGACAATCCCAGAAAAGAGAAAAACATCGAAAGAATCGGTCGTCCCCTCTCAAACCGCCACCGCAGTCACCTTATCAGCATCATGAATCTTGACACCAAACTTCCAAACCTGATCCACCGTCAACGTAGGCCCCGAGTACGGATCATCCGACTCCCCCAAAACCACCAAATCCGCATCAGCCCCGGCATCCAAACACCCCTTCACCTTTTCCAACCCCAAAAGTCTCGCCGGCACCGCCGTCGCCGCATTAATCGCATCAGCGGTACTAGCACCCGACCACCTTCGGAAATTATTCACACACTCAATCAGCGTCGCCGACGAACCCGCAATCTTATCAGATCCCTCCAACGTCAACCGCGCACCAGTCTTAACAATCCGCTCCCCATTCGTCCACTCATAAACCCCATCCGGCAAACCGCACAACCTCATCGCATCAGTAACAAGCACCAACCCCTCCGGATGCGCATTATACGCAATTTTAATCGAAGTCGGATGCAAATGGATCCCGTCCGCGATAACGCCATAGAACGGGCGTCTACGCTCAGACTGGCCCAACAACCCGAATACACCGGGGTTACGGTGGTAAAAGGGACGCATGGCGTTGAACAAATGGGTGATCATCCGGGCACCGGCGTGTGTGGCTGAGATTGCCTGTTCGTAGGTTGCGTCCGAGTGGCCGATGGAGTAGATGATTCCTGTATCGGTGATGTGGGGAATTTGCGCCATCATGTTGCCTACTTCTGGGGCGGCGGTGATCATTTTTATGGGGGAGGTGTGCTGCGGTGGAGGGGCGAGGTTGGATGCGCCGTAGCAGTGGAGGAGGTCGTCGTAGGTTTGGGCTGAGCGGAGGACTTCTGGTTTGTGGATGCCGTTGCGGCCGGGACTGATGAAGGGGCCTTCGACGTGGGCGCCTAGGGATTCGGCGCCGTCTAGGGGGTGTGGGTTGTTGCGGCGGGGCCAAGGGAAGGGAGGACCTGGATGGGATGTGCATTAGTTTATGCTTGGCATGATGCTTATATAGATGGCAGGGATTGTGATGGGATTGGGGGTTGGGGTGTTGGTTTTACCTTCCAGTAAACCTCAGGCGTGGAGCTCACGACAGTAGGTAGGTAGGATGTCACACCTGTACGGGCCAGGCCCTGATTCACAAGACGTAGACCCTGGTCGTACTCATCTTTAGTCGCGCAGGGCACGGAAAAGTCGAAACCCTGTGCGCCGTTGAGCTGGGTGTCGATCAGACCCGGGGCCAGGATACGGCCACCGAGATCAATGATCTCATCGGGGGACAAATGCAGCTCATAGAAGGCCTCTTGGTCCTTGAGGATCTTGCCGGTCAGAGAGTCGATCCATAGATCTTGTTCGACCAGACTGGACCCGCGGACGAGCCGGCAGTTGGTGAATTTGGTGATGCGCGGGGTATTGGGGGCGCTAGTTTTGCCCGGCATGATGATGGTTACTAGTTGGTGATAGTTGATGGGGATGGGAGGGGTGGAGTGAAGGAGAGATGAAGTGCCGAGATGGCGATGTAGACCAACACCGAGGCCAAGGAGTGAGAGGATGAGAAACTCGAGAGTAAACAAGAAAATTCTCAAGTCTTTCTCTGGTTTGTTTGTCTCAGGTTTTCAGGCCAGGCACCAGGGGAGGATATGATTCATGAAGTATTGGCAGATAAAGGACCCGGACTGCACAATGATGTAACCAGAACAGAGGTGACATCGGCATGCCGATGTGGTAGAAACGGTAGAGAACCAGGTGAATTACCAGTGCAGCGGCAGTGGCGCGGGAGTAGTATGGGGGTAGTGTGGTAGTGGATAGTCATACTCATTAGTGTATAGTGTATACTATCGTAGTACTGTAGTACAGTAGTACTATTACACCTAGTAGTACTATAGTATAGTATAGCACTGAGTTATTGTAGTATAGGTAATCTATTGTAATATAACCGGTATCTGTACTGTATCTTACCAGACGGGGCCCCGCATGCGGAGAGTTGCAACCGGGCAGAAATCGAGTTGAACATTGAATGCAACTCTGATTCCGGTCGCATCGGCGAGGCGCTTCTTCCTTCTTTCTTTGTCATTTCCAATCTTTCCAGTCTTTCCAAGTCTTCCATTTTCCTGGTTCTCCCTTCTGCCCAGTCTTTGCCCAGATTCTCCGGTCCGAGTTTCTCCATTTTAATCTACCAGTGAAATGTCCCCAGTTACAGTCACTCGGCCCGTGGTCTCCAATGAGTTCTCCGATTTCTCCAGAGTCTCCATCTTTTCCCTCCCACTCCCCGCAATGTGAGTAGAAAAAAAAGGCAAGAAAAGCAGATATCCACATCATGTTTCGCCAGTGATAACCGGGGTCAAAATCTTGTTAATAATTCACTCAATTGCCCCCGTAATGGCTCCATTGTACGACCCCATTGTATGATCCGGGTGATTCCAGCGTCTCATCCTGCAAGAGGGCAACTTATCTATGAGACATGATAAGAGACTACTGTACGACTAGCTCGGCTATACATTTTTAGTGTGTCTCCATACTTTTTTTTAGCGTCTTCAAAAAAAAGAGCCCCCAAATAGCCGCGCGACCGAGAATCTTCATAAATTTATTCCGGCTCGCTCTGTTTTTGATTTTTCTTCTCCTGCATTCCTGATACTTTGGACTTTCCTTGGATCGAGCAGTGCTCTCTCACGTGGGAAACAGAAGAATACAAAAGTGAAAAAGGACAGGAACATCCCATCATCAACATTCCTACCCCTTCCCCCAATTGTCATTGTTGATCCTCCACGATTCCCGATCTGTCTCTTGTGCTAGTTTTTTTTCTCCCCTGTCAATCTCTTCCTCTTCTTCTCGTCCTCCTCCCCTTCTCCCTAACCAAATCATGGCGACAACTCCTCCCGACTCGGAGCTGTCGCAGGCACAGACTCCAGTCATGGACTCGTCGACGCCACGGGAGAAGCCCGTCCCTTTTGACGTCGAGGATCCCGAGCCGGGACAAGACCATGCCGTGGTCGGCAAGCCGTGGATGTACAAGCCGATTTTCAAAATCGGAAACTACGAAGCGCCCTGGTTCGCATCACCGGATATGCAGCTCTACCTCGTTTCCTTTGTGTGTTTCCTCTGTCCCGGCATGTACAACGCCGTGACGGGCCTCGGTGGTGGTGGCCAAGTGAACCCGACCGATGTCAACAACGCCAACACGGCCCTGTACAGCACCTTTGCCGTGGTGGGATTCTTCGCGGGCTCAATTGCCAATCGCATCGGTCTAAGGATTACATTGTCGCTTGGTGGATTCGGTTATTTCTTGTATACGGCTGCTCTGCTCTCGTATAACATCAATCAGAATGCGGGCTTCTTGATCTTTGCCGGTGCCTTGTTGGGTGTCTGTGCGGGTCTCTTGTGGTGTGCGCAGGGTGCGGTCATGATGAGTTATCCCCATGAGCATGAGAAGGGCAAGTATATCGCAATTTTCTGGGTTATTTTCAACCTGGGTGGTGTCATTGGCAGTTTGGTGAGTCCTTAAATATAGGAGTTAACAAACTAGGGAGGACTCGATCCACTAATATTCGGCGGTTACAGGTCCCTCTCGGTCAAAACATGCACAGCACAGCAGGCAACGTGAACAACGGCACTTACATCGCTTTCCTGGTATTGATGGCCGTTGGATTCGTCCTCTGCTGGGGTCTCGTCGATTCCAAGTATATCAAGCGCAACGACGGATCGCGCGTGATCGTGATCAAGAACCCAACCTGGAAATCCGAGTTCCTCGGTCTATGGGAAACCCTCCGAAGTGACTCGTATATCGTCTTCATGTTCCCCATGTTCCTAGCCAGCAACTGGTTCTACGGCTACCACTTCAACGCCGTCAACCTGGCCTATTTCACCGTGCGCACTCGGGCGTTGAACAGTCTCCTGTACTGGCTGATGCAGATGGTCGGCGCCTTTGTTTTCGGTCAACTTCTGGATATGAAGTGCTTCTCGCGTCCGACCCGTGCGAAGATCAACTTTGGTATTCTCATCGCTATTACGTTGGGTATCTGGGGTGGTGGCTATGCTTTCCAGAAGCAGTATACTCGGGAGACTGTCAAGGCCGATACGGATTTCACGGATAGCCACTACATTGGTCCTATGTTCTTGTACATGTTCTATGGTTTCTACGATGCTGCTTTCCAGACCTGCACCTACTGGTGAGTATCTATTCTTGCACGCCTAGCTCAGCCACGTCTAACGTCGATCCAGGTACATGGGCTCTCTCTCCAACAACGCGCGCAAACTGGCCAACTTTGCCGGTTTCTACAAGGGCATCCAATCTGCCGGTGCCGCAGGAATGTGGCGGTAAGTGCTCTCAACCCGTCTCAGCCTGTCAAAATATCATAAATCATTCTCTAATTCCCTTTTCTTCTAGCATGGACGCCCAAAAAACCCCATTCATGACCGAGTTCGCCTCCTGCTGGGGTCTCCTCCTGGGCAGTATGTGCATTGCCTCCCCCGTGATCTTCTCTAAGATCAAGGAAAGCACCGATGTCGAGGAGGATCTGCGCTTCTCGGATGAGACTACCGCCGAAGTCCTGGGTGACACGGAGGAGTCCCCCGAAAAACCGCATGCCGAGCAAGACAACGGCAGCAAGGCATAGAAGGCGGTTGATTGGCAAAACCCGATCGCATGTATCACCACATTGTTCTACTATTCTTCTTTTCTCTTCTTATTTTTATGCTCTGTTTCTCTGTTCGATTTTCAATGGTTCCCTTTTTCTTATCTTGCATTCCATGGACGCACTGCAATGGCTCCATGCATCTTTACGCGGCGTGATTTGATTCCCCCCCTCCTGTTTCCTCCCGGGTGGGGGTATTTCTGATTTGATACAATGAATTGCCGACAGGCATCCTCTACGCCCTTTTGTTCAACTTATTCTATCTGTGAGATTTGTGTTGGCGGGATAGAACTTTTGTGGTATACGGTTACGGTACTATCCGAATCTCTACCTGGGCATCGGTAATTTATTTAGACTTTTCCCTTCTTTCCCTTTGGGGGAAGTACAAGTATAATCCATGAGTATGACTGCAACTACGAAGTTTGCAATGCTGTAATTTACATGACCAGGGTTACTACCTACGATGTAGTTCTAGGCAACTATGTACTCCATATCACATAAAATTGCGGGAGTGCAGGGGCAGTTTAGAAATCTGGGTCTGAAAATAAGAGAAACGGACTGACTAGGCGTGCTTTGATTATTTACTTGAAATGTCTTTTCAGATGTCTTTTCAGACATTTTTTCGATTATCTTTCGAATCATCTTCCTTAATGGTATAGAGACCATTTTAGTGGTCAATCTTTCAATCGCAATTGCGAAGATGGTTTTAAAACTTTGTCGGGCTTTCAGACTTATTGAACCCTTCTGTAGGTCCAACTTCATGAGGGCCTAATGTCTCTGCTGTAGGCTTTAGGGATTATTTTCGGAGGCTGGGGGGCTGTTGATGGTTCCACAGTAAGGAGGGGCTAAGAATACTGTACTGATTAACATTACAGAGGCAGCACAGCAAGTATCTATAGGCTGAGGATAACCTCACGACAAAGTGTGTTCTCGCACGGTATAACACTGTAAGTCCCCCGTAGATATATGTAGTGGAGAGTGGGAACATTTGGATCACAGATATATAGAAAGAAACGCTTGTATCATACAACCATTTTTCTTTAACTTTCTCTTTTATGAAAGATCTTTCTAATTGTCGTTCAAACTGTCTTTTTAATAGCTAGGGCTTCTATATGGTCTATCGTTTAAACTCATGACCGATAAGACGATTTTGAAAACATGTCAGGGTTTCTAACCCACACAATCCTATCCTACTATATGTACTCTGCGCATGTTGAGATACTTGAAGTACCTATTATCCATTATGTCTGAGCATGGTACGGAGTATAGTCTATCAAATCGTTGTACGATTACCCTTAGCCTGTCTTTATTGGTCTTTTGCAAGTCACACTATACTGTATCCGGAATTCCGCAGTTTTCTATCATGTAGGCAAAAGATCAGCACTCAGACATCAACGCCCGGGTGGTCTAGTGGGTAAGAAAAATCGAATCCAATGTACTCCACCGAACAGGTAACTAACAAATATTACAGTATGATTCGCGCTTAGGGTTCACCCAAAGCATTGACTGCGCGAGGTCCCCGGTTCGATCCCGGGCTCGGGCCTATACTTTTTTTCATTTTTTTATTTTTTATTTTAGGTCTTATAACCATGCATCATAACCTAGTAATAAAGATTCTAAATATGATAGACAGGCATGAACCAAAAGTACCGATGATTCATAAGGGACACTGCGTGCCACGTAAAAGAGATGATTAGTGGCTTGACTACACAAGAAAGAGTTCCATGCGTTAGTTCAAGGTTGGTAGGACTATTAGCTTAGTTATCTATAAAAAGCCTAAGTTTCTAAATCGGCACGCTTGTGATAGGTTCAGACTGATACTTTAGACTCAGTAATTGTACCTATAGCTAAAAAGTCATTTCAAATTACATAGTTAGAGTATCTAAACGCCCACGTCCTTATAGTAGTATCGCGTAGTATTTTGATGGTGATCCCATCAGGGAGTTCATTAGATGATGAGCTTAACCAAAAATAGGGGTATAATCGTAGCAGGGCAGAACTAGATTATTCAGCTTATCTATATCATTTTGTAAAGCTTAATAGAAAAGAGAGAAGAGGTCTGTCAGGAGACAAGACCCAAAATGGAAAAAATAAAATGAAAAAAAAGTATAGGCCCGAGCCCGGGATCGAACCGGGGACCTCGCGCAGTCAATGCTTTGGGTGAACCCTAAGCGCGAATCATACTGTAATACTTATTAGTGATTTGTTCGGTGACATTGGCAGAGTCGATTTTCCTTACCCACTAGACCACCCGGGCGTTGATGTCAGAGTGTTGAACTTTTGCCTATATAAGCCAATCCTACATGTATCTATCGGAATCCGATCAATATACGTGCATTCTTCTAATTCGGCCTGAGACTCGCCCTATTATGTGCCACTCCCCGAGTATCCAGAATGGCACTTACTCTACCTGTAGGTGTAGTTAAATCCGCGATAACCCACCCAGCTGCCAAGATGAATCCATCACTGTATTTCATGCCCCACTGAGTAGATCAAGATATATATTACACATGATCCAAGGAGCATGTTATCCACTTCTACATAAGATTGTACGGCTTTTCTTCAATCGGGCAAGTAGCGCATGTATTACCATCCTGCTACCAATCATCATTATCAACAATAGTAAGATAGGAACACCTCCCTCCTCAGTATAGACAGGAAAATTGGTTGCATCAAGCAGAGTGGGACGTTGAGGATAAACCCACGCCACACGAGATATGTATTATTGTCAAGCAATTTGAGGTTCTAGGTCTATTGATGATAGCGCCGGACGTAGAAGGGTTATGTACGGTCACGAGTCAACACTCTACATGGTACAGGGTAATTCTCGAGGATATGGCTTGTCCACTTCGAAGATCCGCCGTCTTCAATTAGTATACTGTGTATATATTTACATCACCATATCACCATATCACCATTAGAAGCTCTCTCCGCCAACGGAAGATCCCCCGGCAGAAGTCGGAGTAGGCAAAGCCACCGACGGCGCAGTGTGTGTCGCCGTCGCGGGACCATCAGATCCAAAGTCCGGGGTCAACTTCTTCTCACCCGTCGGCAATTCCCATCCATTCAGCGTACGATTGAAAAGCTGCAACGAGGCAACGGGCTGATAATACGGTACCTCATGACCAGCCTCGTATACGCGAGTAAACGAGAAGTTGCCATACTCGCGGGTCTCACCATACTCGACGCCATCGACGGTGAATGGAGCGTATCCCGCGGCGCGGAACTCCTTGCTATGGGGATAGTTGGTCGCGAGGGAGACTGCTTGACCACCGAACCAGTTACAGATGTAATCAGCGTCACCGTAGATGAGAGCGACGCGAACTGGTCGGGTGAGAAGATCTTCTAGGTCTTCGATGAAGTTTGGCCAGACGAAGTCGCCGGTTTGTTGGAAGGCGTAGTAGACATCGGCGTTGGACTGGGTATAGTTGAGGTCGACGCCGAGCGCGTTTTTGACTTCGTCCTTGGCGAGATAGTTGATGTAGTAGCTAGGAGGGGTGGGGTCCTGGGATGGGTGGCGGATGTCATAAGTGCCGCGGCCGCTGAAGACGTAGTACGGGCTCTCTATAAAGGGCGTTAAGATATGTGCTATTTGAAGGGTATGAGCATTGGAGAATCAACATACCAACGTTGTCACGGCACATGTTAGCGGCCTCCGTGCAAATTGCCAGGTCGGACAGGGAGGTGCGGTTGGTGGTCTTGCAGCTGAGAATCTGGTCCTGGCAGCCATTGGGCATGGAGTTGGCAAACTTCATGTAGTTGTAAACAGTTTCGTTGACCTGAGGCCCTGTCAGCGGGGAATTTGACTCGACAAATTTGCACAGTATCTTACCGCCTCGATGCCATATGAGTTGTGGCGAGCAAACTCGGGATAATATGGAGCCTGGATGGACTCATCGATGATTCCGTTTATGATTCCCAAGGTGTTGAAGTCGAGCTGAATACCCTTGGTGGTACCATTGGCAATCTTGTCGTTCTCCTTCATGAAGTGGTCGAAGAACTAGACTTGTTAGATATAAGTCAAGCAAAGGCGATACTTAGCTACTTACAGCGGGGCCGTAGTGACTAGAATATTGTTAGCATCACCAGTTTTCATACAAAATCTGGAAATTCAGATGAAGCTTACCCTCCATAACTCTCAGTCCACAGGTTAAAGCTCTTTGATTTGATCTTTGGGTCCAGCTTGTGCAGACCGCCCAGGAATCCTTGCAGAACTTCCCAGGTAGCCTCAGCAGCAAGATTGGTTGTGTCTTTCGTCTTGGTCAGTCTTATTTCCACAATCACCTCTCCAAACAGGCTACATACCAATCATAGTGGCATTGATGACAGGGTAGCGGCCTTGAACACCCGCAAAGGAAGCATCCTCAAACACGCCAGTGAAGGGGTTGAGAGAGCCAGCTTCTTTCTCAGAATAGGAGAAGCCTATAGAGTTTTAGAGTATATTTTTTGTCTGTGGAATCGGTTGCCTTCCATACCAGTGCCTAGAGGCTGAGAGATGAAAAGCATGTTCGAAACCTCGTTCCAAGAGTGAGGGTTGATCACGGTCTCGTTCTTCTCGTTGACGCTGCAGGGACCCAGCTCTATGTTACCATCAAAATTAGCAATTGACATCCCAAAAAAAATATTTATGACCTACCCTCGAACAGTCCAATCAATGAATCGCTACCAGGGCCACCATTCAACCACAAGGTAATTGGTGCATTCTCTGGGTCGTGGCGTGCCTCAAAGAACCAGAAGAAAGTATGCTTATCTGGAGCCAAGTCCACATAACCGGCATATGACTTAACGCCCGGCGTCGTTTCACAGACGCCGTGTTTGCCGGGTTCCTTGTACCGAATGGTGACATTATTGGCGGTCTTAATGGTCTTGACCCCAGTGGGCTCCTTAGGAAGCTGGCGACGAGCGAATTCAGTACCAAGAGGCAACGATGCTGCTGCTGCGAGCGGCAGCACCAGTGGAAGGAGGCTGTGGACGCGCATAGTTGGCGCAACGATCAGTTAAGGAGCAGAAGTTCAACCTCAACTTGGATGGTAAAAAAAAGAGCTTCAGACAAGGGTCTTTACGGGGACTTTAAATGAATAAGTCTTCCATAAGAGGGGGGATCAACAAATCAGGCTGTAAATTCCGCTCAATCAACCAACAGGGTCTACGCATCCAAAGCCGGAGATAGCCGTCCCCTGACAATCATCATTAACCAGCTTCCTCTCAAGGTAAAGAGAGCGGATATAGCCAAGAAGTCGTCATCGAGCAGGAAAGCCAGTCAGAAAGACTGCCGACGTGCATCGTGGAGACAACTCCAGCCATCTCCGCAGGAGCTCCGGGGAAGGTAGCATCGCTGCAATATTATACGAGGAGGAGCCTCCTCCATACAAGCCAAATGGAAGAGGCTTGGTAAAGCCTCCACCAAGGCTTGCAGAGAATCAGGGGTTTTGATTTGACCCGATAACGAGCTTTGGCGTTGTGTGAGGGGAAGGATCGACACCATTAGACCGAGGGTGCAGCCCATAGGTCGCGATTGGGCCAGAGTGGAGTAGGGACCCGGGAGTTCAATGACCATGCTTTCACAAAATAGGCAGCCAGAATCTCCTTGGTCTTTGGGGTCAAGTTTTTTGTGAGTAGTCAGAAACCAGGGCAAAAAATTGGGGTACATGCAATTAAAATGAATAATGAATGCTGGTTTGGTTGAAAAGGCGTCTCAGTGATCAAAGAGCGGGGTCGATCCTAGTCGGAGTAGGCTAGCACAATCACAGTAATTATGTAGCATGGAAGCTGCGTAGGCCGGAGCATCTTCGGAGATAGCTACTTTGGATCTCGCGTGCCTGCTGTGGATGCAACGTGGGAATCAAAGTTCTTCGAGATGAATCGAATCTCCGGTCGGCTATATTAAGTTATGAGGAATAATCAGGGTCAATGTACCATTTCAGGCAATCGCGATCGGAGCTCCACTTGGCGTGACCGTTCCGTCAGTCCCTACGCCACCAACTCTCTACAATTCAACCTTCAGGTGGTCCTTTGTAAATTCATCGGTCAAGCAAATCATTTGTGTTGGACTGATGCAGTAGCATCAAGCCACACGTGAATAATATGGACTGGGAGGTCTCCCGATATTACTTATACTAATACAGTCGGGCTTCCAAAGACTAAAACCCCAAGAAAACCTCAAAATCATCTCGTTAATCATGCAGGAGAGACGATAAAAAGTACAACGAGAAGGAACTCTCAAGACACAGGGGCTTGGAGTGTACCTTACCGGACCTTTTCTCTGACCTCTGGATTTGGACCTTTGAATTGCTAATAGATCAATGCATGGTGGACAAAATCTATATCCATTATTTTGCTACGGGATACTAATGTTCTGAGAAAAGAGACTGGATCTGAAATTGTTAGGTATCTTCTATGGGGGGATACTTTTGGTGGGGACAGAAGAGGCTAAGTGAATTCAACCATTAATGATGCCTCCCCCTGGCATAACCTAATCTAGTCTCTTCACGCCTAATAAGATCGCCTCTCTATAGTATCTATCCAGATTGCGATCCGAAAATCTTTTCCAATCCTGAGCTTCCCTTCGTTGGATATGCTCACCTCGACGAGGCTGTACGCTCAAACCGAGTATCATCGAGAGCATCATCTGGGGTGATCACAAATCCAAAAAAAAACACTCTTTTGATATTTCTCGCGAACTGCCCGTCTAGCATCGTCACAATCGAATAAAATAGAATAGAATGGAACGGAAACGTCCAATAGTCAGGATCCACATGTGGTCACCCACCATACTCCTCGCAATTACTGAATACTGTTATACGCGAGCATATACCTTCGACCCCGGTGAGCGTCCATATGTCTTCACAAAACAGACCATTTCTTTTCTTGAAAACACTAGCAACAATCCTCCGGTTAAACAGACAATCAGGCCCAGGATTGACACGACGATCACTCCGCTTCCTGCTCAGTGGTCGTACCTTTGTCATCGCGCGACTGAAGGGGGAAAGGACGAAATCGATGGATATTTCCTGGAGAACTGGAAATTTACAAGCTTCAAGGCTTCACACCTTCTTGGATGCCAAGTTTTCAGAGGTTGCTTGTCTTTAGGAAGAAAAGAAAAGATCTATCTGAGGTCTGGAGGGTCTACATACAGAGAGGTCAGGTGACCCAAAGGTCCTAGCAAGTGAACAGGGTTGTCTACCATGTGTTATAAAGTCAGCCCGACCGACAGCCGGGGCTATGTTCCTGTCTCTCTGCTTGCCTTCCTCTAGCTTATCCCGATTATTTTTTTGGCGATTCGTTTCGGCTGCTATCCTGTTCCTGAAATGGACTAAACCCACCTTTTAGCTCCCTTCTTTCGGCATACTATCAGAGTTTAATTGTCAGTCTTTACCTCCTGCGAGGCGCTATCCAATGCATACTAGTGATACCTTTGTAGTATGAAGCTAGGGTTCAGGAATTTTGACAACATAATCCTTAATTTAATCCAGTCTTTGTTGAATAATGACAATAGTCACATGATAGATTCAAGTCTAGTTAGGTAGTTAAGTAAGGGTTCTATGAATTTAATAATACACACCCTAGCATCTATATGCACGACTCGTTTCCGACAAGAGGTGTTAAGCAAAATCCGATAAAGTCCGAACTAAAGCCGGAACTTTGAACAGCTCTTAACTTGTAAGTAGTGCGCTGTGTGCTTACGTATCGCCCCCGCTGATAGGTAGTGGCAGCTCTTGACCTATATTCCAAGTCGTGCTAGTACAAGGCACTCCATTACAACACTCTTCCCACCCCCTATATAAAGCACCGCCAGGCATACATCTTCTCCCTAGCACCTACTTGCAAAGTCAATCTACCAGTTATCCTCCATCATTATAATCACCAGAATGGCAAATCCGCTCATTAGTAATCACCATGGCAAGCACAGCAAGTACACTCAGGCATTCTTGGAGCAGAATGGGCCTGGAGACGCTCGACCTACAGCTCTTGACATTCTCAAGGATAACGACCGAATCGGTACCATGAAGGATAAGGTGAGCATTGCAGCTACGGAAAACTAGAACTGGAATTGACTATAATAATGTCTTTCTTCTCACCGGGTCATCTGGAGGAATTGGCGTTGAAACTGGTTGTGCGCTCGCCGCGACTGGTGGCAAAGTGTATCTGGGCGTTTGTGACTTGGAGAAGGGAAAGCAAGCTCTAAAAGAGATCCTCGAACCCGGTCGTGTGGAGCTGATTGAGCTAGACGTTGTTTCGTTAGAAAGCGTCCGCACTGCGGTAAAGACCTTTCTGTCCAAGTCGACCCAGCTCAATGTCTTGGTCAACAATGCGGGGATTATGGCATGCCCAGAGGCGAAAAAATTGGATGGCTTCGAGTTGCAACTTGCAATCAACTATCTTGGCCACTTCCTTCTCTACAAGCTTCTCGAGCAGACGCTCTTGTCTAGTTCCACGCCTGAGTTCCATTCCCGCGTCGTTAACGTCTCTTCCCCTGGTCATCACATGAGCTCCGTTGTCCTCGACTACATTAACCTTGACGGTGAGTACGAGGTGTGGAAGGCATACGGCAATGCTAAGATAGCTTGCATTTGGACGACGAACGAGATTGAGCGCTGATACGGAACTAGTAGGGGTTTACACGGCCTCTCGTTAATGCCTGGCGGTATCGCGACAGGCCTACAGCGCCACGTCGACTCGGAAACGTTGAAGCAGTGGGGTTCGAGTGAGCCTGCGAAAAAATACGGCAAGAGCCCTGCTCAAGGCGCTACCACGACCATGACGGCTGCAGTCGGTAAGGAATGGGAAGGGAAGGGTGGCGTCTATCTGGAGGATTGTCAGGAAGCTGGTCCGATCCCCGAGGGTGGTACACTGGCGGTCGGTGATGCACCACACGCCTTCGATCCGGAGGGGGAGAAGAAGTTGTCGGCTTTATCTCTCAAGATGTTGAACTTGTCAGAGTAGAGGTAGGGCGCGGGAGGCGCATATATCGAGGTTGTGAGGTCGATGGAGGTGGAGAAGAGGACAGGAAGGTGCAGTATTGGCATGGTGTGATGTTGATCTCACCCGGAGCAAACACCGGACTTATTTTATTAGCACCCTAAATGATAAACTTTAGCCGCTGATTTAGTCAAAAGGGCGTCTTGAGGAATGACGAAGCAGATCAGTGTGGCTTATGTGCGGCGAAAAATCGGGTGGTGTTGCCCGGGTGAGTTGGAGTGAGGGCCGCTATAGCGTCGCGCAACCAGGCGTGAGTAGGGTGAGTGCGCAATAGACAGGGTGAGAAGTTGGTGATGTTTGGTGGGGGCAGGCACACTTGGTCATCTTAAATAAACTTAAAGATATACATTTGTGTTTAGCTTGAATGATACGCCTATAGACTTGGAGGACAATCTTGTGGGGCCGCAAACAAAAGCAAGGTAATCAGGAAGCAATGTTACAATTATTTTCTCCCCCATAGTATCCCAAATAAGCACTAAAAATATCCGCAAGGCCAGAAAGATTAATCCAGACGGATATATATACCATTTGCCCGTACAGCCCAGAGGCCCCGTGTGAAAGTTGGCGGATATGGCTGACATCAAACTTGAGGGTTTGCGCCATTCATTGCTGGAGCAGGCCCGTCTCTGGGGGCCGTAGTAGTTCCATTGTTGGCACCTGGGCCCGATGAAATCGGTTTCTCAGGATGGTCAACAGTAGGAACCGTAGAGCGCCGGCCATCGAGATAAATATTGAGGATTTCCAAACACAGGCCACAGAGTGTCCAGAAGCTTTGGAAGAAAATGAGCATGTGTGCTCACAAATTAAGAAAAGAAAGACGAGGGGGGCTTTTGGTGACAACTCACAAAGACAGGAAGCTAAACGCTTGGATGGCATTCCTCCGCCTGCAACTGTTACTTAGGTCCCAAATGTAGTATGCACACCCGGCGCCATCAAGAAGGTCATCAGTTTGGGCAACAAAAATGAATGCCGATAGCCATCTAGAAAGGGTTTAAATTCATCAGCTTAATGTAGTCCAACGGGGTAGAAACTTATCGTTAACGGTCGTAGGGGTATGAGGGAGAAGGGTCTGATATACAGTGCATAGAAGACTATATCCAATGGGATCATATAGCCACGATTGCGATGCATGCACGAGGTGAACAGGGAGGGAATATAGAATGCCGTAGTGAGAACCGCCTATACGAGGAGTGTCAGTGCTATCTTAGTAGCAAGAGAGTGTTAAGAAAGATTCATTTACTCACAATGACTAGGGTGAAGATGGCCCGATAACCTTTCAGGTGATCGACCACCCAGGCGCTAAGGCCCAAAGTGACTACTGCGCATATCCATAGGAGCAGTCGAACCGAAAACAGAAAAGGTCGAATAGTGTCGCCGTGCTTTGTCATATTTGATAATGCTGGACTCTGTAGTCTGAGATGACGAAGTTGTTGCAGGAAGAAGAGTTGTTTATAGATTCCTCACTGTCGGAGGAGAAGTCCAAAATCAATGACGCTGTCTAAGACCAGGACAGTCCTAAGTATACTTGCTCCCAAGTTTCCAGCTGTCAGATAGCGGGCAGCTGATCGTCAGACTTCTGGTTCGCCCTGACTTGACCACGCCTAATGTGGTTTAGCCCACCGATGGATCGCTTCTACTCCGTAGTGATGGAGACATTGGAGGAGTGTCTTTGGCTTACTGAGTTCCAGAATACATCTGTTGGCTTTCATGCCTCAAGGAAATAACTTGGTTCCTCTTCAATCTACATTTTAAACCGAACGTACAATTGAGGGGCGCTCATCCAGGAACGTTAACATTGATCGCGGATTAATACGAAGTTCTTAAGATACACACATTATAATTAAAACACTGCCGTATCTATTTGAAGAACTCGACAGATATGATAATACTGTTACTTCTATCTTCTTTCACAGCAAAATTCGCATCAACCTCGGTGCAATCGTGTGATCGATCAGGTGGGAAGTTAAACATTCTGCTGGTGGGTTCTGCTACCGATACCCCGCAGTGATCAATTACGGTAAGGAATTAATCAATGAGCTTTCATGAGCTCGGACCATCATGATTCGGTGGCGTTTAGCCCATCAATCAGCCCTAGTGGCTAATTCAACCCTCGACTTCAATCTATGGCCCCGTGGACCGGCCAAGATTTTCATCTCTTTCTTCTGGTTACTTTGGTACGGGCTGGAAGTCGTGATGGTGACAACTTCAGCCACCCGGTTGTTCCGCCAGAAGCATTGGAGCAAGGTCATCATTGCATTTACCGCCCTCAAATTTGATAAGTATACTGCTATACTGCTGAGCCTGGCATAGTCACCCAATTCAGCTAAATCTGCTTGGCGAATGTTAGCAGCGTGCAGCTTGATTTTCAGTTCCATCTCCTATTGAGAGTAGAGGATCTACATTCATCATGTTGAGCTGGAAAATCCAATTATCTCTCCTTTTCGTTGTCTGCTTCGCTTCTGGCCTGACAGATTTCTGCAAGTCCTCGCTTGACACTCCTACTGGCACTCTGACTTTCAGAGCGTTACCAAATGCGCCCAATGGATATACACCAGAAGACGTACAATGCCCGTCGCCTAATCCAAGCGTGCGTATTGCAACAAACATTAGCGAGGACGAAATGAATTGGTTGCAAAAGCGCCAGGACAAACGGTTGAAGGCGATGGAGACCTTTCTTACGCGAATGAAAATCCCGAACTTTAATGCTACGCAATATTTTGCAAAGACTCAGGCCACATCTTTGCCTAACATTGGGATCTCGTTTTCAGGAGGCGGCTATCGAGCATTGCTCAACGGAGCTGGGGCATTTGCTGCTTTTGATGAACGGACAAGCAAGTCGACTGCGCCAGGCCAGCTAGGCGGATTGTTGCAATCAACTACATATATTTCTGGCCTTAGCGGTGGCTCCTGGCTGGTCGGATCAATTTATACGAACAATTTTACCACCGTGACTGCACTCCTGAATTCCAATGCTAGTGGTGTTTGGGAGTTTGATCAATCAATCCTGAGCGGACCTACGGGTGATGCGGGCTACTTTCGGCAACTCAGACAAACTGTAGATGGCAAAGAGGAGGCTGGATTTTCTATTTCAATTACTGACTACTGGTACGAGACTACTCATCTCACACTCAAGATCCTTCACATGATTGGCAATGTTCTCTCCCACATGTTGCCTGAGCGCCTAGCGATCTATGTCCCCACCAAGTTTGAGAGATGGAATTAATGACTCATTGGCTAGGGGTCGCGGACTGTCCTACCAGTTGGTGAATGCGAGCGAGGGTGGGCCTGCCTATACATGGTCATCTATCGCTTCAACAAGAGAATTTCTTGATGGAAAACTGCCAATGCCGATTATCACGGCGCTGGAACGAGCGCCCTCAGAGCAGAATCTGAGTAAGCATACCTGACAACTTTTCCCTACTGACATATTCTGTTGTAAGATTTGTTGACTTAGCTATTATCAAACATCGCACAGCATTGAATTCATCAATTTACGAGTTTAACCCATGGGAATTGGGCACATGGGACCCAACCACCTATGGCTTTATGCCTCTCGGAGTTCTGGGGTCAAATTTCACAAATGGCAATCTATCAAAGGATGATTGCATATCCGGATTTGATAATGTCGGGTTCATTATGGGCACATCTTCCTCCTTGTTTAATCAAGCCCTGCTTCAAATCAACAACACCGATATTCAGCGCACGTTAAAGAGCCTCACTACGTCACTTCTCCAAAACCTTAATGATTCCTCCAACGACGTGTCAGTATATGAGCCCAATCCATTCTTTGGCTTTAATGAAGCGAGCAATCGGAATGCTCAAGCAAAGGCTCTTATCCTTGTTGACGGGGGCGAGGATCTGCAAAACATCCCCTTTTACCCGCTGCTACAAGCCAATCGCAAGGTCGACATTATTTTCGCCATTGACAGCTCGGCAGACACACCAACACGGTGGCCCAATGGGACAAGCATGGTGGCAACCTATCAGCGCAACAGCAACTCTTCGAAAATTGCGAATGGAACTGCGTTTCCTTCCATTCCAGATCAGAACACCTTTATCAACCTAGGCTTGAACGGTGGGCCCGTCTTTTTTGGCTGTGATCCATCTAACAGTACGGGCAAATCTCCAGCTCCTTTGATCGTCTATATTCCAAATAACCCATATACCTACATGTCGAACATCTCGACCTTGACGCTTGAACTTAACGATACTGAGCGGGACAAGCTGGTGCTGAATGGATACAACGTGGCTACCATGGGAAACTCGACAGCATGGGGCATTTGTATTGGATGCGCGATCGTTAGTCGCAGCTTACATCGGACTGACACGTCGGTGCCAAGTGCGTGTGTGAATTGTTTCAACCAATATTGCTGGAATGGCACGGTAAATGCGACCACTCCAAAGATTTATGAACCGCGTCAGAAGATACAATGAGCAAGCTTATTAGTCAAGATATGTCTAGTCATATAAATTTTTTAGTTCAGAACCCACGCTCTGGAGTGATTAGCGACACTGTACATGATATTCTTGCGCGCTTCGGCCAGAGGCTCTTTGAGGTCCCCTGGGCAACTCCACAACTCTGATTGAGTGGTAAGATACCTCTTTAGGGGCTAAACTAAAATGCGGGGCCTAGAATGGCCGAATTCCCAATTCGGTCAGAGATGGGCTGATTAGACCCCTCAGCACCTAGAGATGGAATTGGCGGGGGAGTCAAAGACGTCATCAGTGACCGCGAGAGAATCAGATGTTCTACCTAGTTATATTTGAATGACTTAACGGTCAGTTCCATGTAATGCGCTCTCTAAGAATCACATCCCCGAAATATTCATCATGCTGACCGGTTCGTGCCTTTGCACCGTGAACAAATACACAATCACAAATGAGGATGCTGATGTATTCAGGAAGGTGACTAATATATACTTCCGAACGACTGTGGGCGAGATCCCTTTCTTCATCTACTTATTTGGCTTTCTAATAGATAGTATGCCACTGTGCTCGCTGCCGCAAGATCAGTGGTGAATATACTACCACTAACCTGATCGTGCCGGAGGCGAGTTTCAAGTTGACGAGCGTCTCGAAGTGGCCCTTTCATATTCCGGGTTTATCAAAGAGTACCAGCATCTTCAACGCCGTTCTGTCAGATGACAAGCATGGGCATATCTGTTTTTGCAGCCACTGTGGGTCTGTGCTCTATCGCGAATCTGACATGCATGGAATGCGCGGCCTGATTTTTGTGCCCGTAGGCACTCTTGATGACATTGACTTGGTTAGTGACTTGAGAAAGGAAGAATGGTACTGAGCGGGTGAATCTCAAATTTTCGGTTTTAGTATAGGGACCTGTGATTTACTAATACTAATTGTTTTTGACCGTTCCAACTCCTGCTAGGCTTGTGCAAATCAAAGTAGACAGATGCATTGAGATTAAAGGCAAGTCGCTTCGCACGGCATCTGACGACTTGATTTATGACTTAGCCTTCTCTGGTTTAGTATGAAATGCAAAGTACAAATGCCAAACTTAGGGCAGGATCGGCTACAAATGTTTAAAGACACAGAGTCTAATTCCGTAAGAGGTGCTAGTTTCGGTTCGTGCCGCTTGATAGGCCTAAGCACTAAGTAAAGCAAATAAGATAGTCTCCCCAGTGCAATACCCTGTATAGGCAATAATAGTTTCGCATCGTTCGTTTTCAGGAGCGGCTGCTTCAGAGACGTCCGAGTTGTCTCTACATCATACAGGGCTAAAGCCTGAGGATCGAAGCTAGGGAGGCGATTGTTTGAATGTAGGTTTTATAATATGGGAAGGTTCGCTGAAGACTATCGGGGAGGAAAAGGGACGAAGGATTGAGTGGTTAACCTAATTCGGAAAATTATGAGCAAACTGCCCAAGATTATCTAAGACATTTTAGACTAGAGCAAGGGGACTCAGCTGCCCTCAATAGTCAACAGAGATGTGTGATCCTGCATGGAGGGCCGGCCCGTCTGAATATTCACATTCACATGTTACCCCCGCTCTCATGTTACATACTGTAGTCCATCCTTTGCTTCTGCTGAAGTTCGGCTCGCATCTTGTTACCAGATTGGACGAAATATGCCAAGGCCTAAGTGCGATTGCATATTAAATAGTTGAGATCAGAGAGTTCTTAAGGGATCCTCAAGAAACAGAAACAGTCTTGGCACATTTCAACAGGTACCTTTGCCTCTACACACTTGCGTTTCCTCATTTCGTTCATTTCCCGTCCCAGATCCAAGTTGATTGGTTCTCCGTTGTTCGGAAAATAACCTAGTGGGTCCGTAACACCCGGACCCAAAGTATCCCCCGGAAAAATAGGGGCCGGGGGAATATCGCACCCCGAAAAAAAGGTTTAGCTACACTGTTGAAAATACAAAACAAGAGTAATTAAGATTCTTGTCTGAAGAAATCGCCCCATTGGGATTTCTTGTTGGCAGGTTGTTAGCCCAGCGCGCGGATTGGTTGCTTAGCCCTCTGTATGCCTTTCCCTTGCTTTTCCCCTTTCTGTTCTCTAGATATTTTCCCTAGACAGTCGAACTACATTGACTCGTTCTTCGTTCTTCATCTCCTTTGTTTTCCTGCACCCTTTCGTAGTGGTGTGAGACGCGCCACCGAAGAGGAAAATATCAATTCCTCGGATTTAACATATAGAGAGCACTCGCTACAATCGACTGATTTCTGCTACAAGCCTAGGGCAAGGGGTCCGGGAGGCGCCTTAGCCCCCTGGTTACATGCCGCGTGCCGTAATCTCACTTATGGGCTGTCTCACTATACCCTTTGGGTAAATAGTGGCATGTTTACGGTCTAAAATCTGACTATGTATATGGAGCTCACATCTTTACCCAAATTTGACAACAGTTCCATACGATGGACCAGTTTGATAGCGTCATGGTATGGAAGCGAGACGTTGATCTACAGTGGCCAGTCCAATAATCAACACGGAGGAGTTGGGCTTGGCGTAAGAACTAAACTGACACAGGCAGGTAACCTTTTCGTTCGTATTCTCCCCCACCCAAACACGCTGCAAGAAGAAAGGAGAAGATTGGGTCCATGTGAGGGTCCAAATTGGTTGTCAGGGAACCATATATTCCCTGAGTCGAGTTAGACACCCGATCTCCCCTGCCTGTCACTATTTAGGTTCGTTTTTGAATGAAAAAATATGCTTTCCCCTATACTCTTCACCAGCAAAATGTTCCCAGAACGATATTCATGCGATCGTTGCCGCCAACAAAAGGTCCGATGCCTGAAGAATTGGGAATTATCAACGGCCGTGGGTGGTGGCCGGAGCCACCTCACACCATGCGATCGATGTATAAAGGCGGATGTGCCATGTGTGTACAGCAGTATGTCATGTGGCTTCTTCGCATATTATGTATTTTCTTTCTTGGAATAATTAATTAATCGCGTCATTTGCAGCGAGGCAGAGAAACAGACGAGGAAAAGGGAAAGACGCCCTATCGCCCGGAGGAAATACACATCTCAGTCAGCATCTCTCGAGCGTGCTATCAAATAGCGATGTTGCAACATATGATCTCAACGACCTGATCATACCGTCACTCGATCCGACCATGACCTGCCTTGACGATGGCGACGCACACAGCTGGAACAACAACGCTGACCTCACATATAATACAGAGATCTACAACAGGGCCCAAGAGGGCCCAGGAATCAACCTAACACTCTCTCGGGACGAAGGCAAAGAGACCCTGACAGGGCAGCTGATGAAACTGAGCAACCGGGTCATGGGTGCCACACAAGAACTCGAAGGCGCGGTCATGACTACGTCCTTGACAGTAAACTCCCCGGTCGTGAATGAAGCGTTCGAAGCTGCGAATGCTTTAGTGCACATCATCAACAATATCTCTCTGGCGGACAGTACATATGGCTCCTCGCGACCTTTGTCCCGCGATGAAAACGAGCGACAACTGTCTACCGAATACAACCCAATTTTCATGGCTCTCGCCTCTTACCAGCACGTCCTCGCCCTCTTCCACGCAATTTGTGACTTTATCAAGAGGTCCTTGGGGTCCATAGTTCAAGGAACTGTACTGCAACAACAAACTTTGCACGGCGCTGGGTCGTCCTCTGCGCAATTCATCATGGTTCTGCAGCTTATCATGCACCTACTCAACCGTATAGGTCGCAGCCTTCGAATGGGGAACCGAGAGAATACTGACCAACACGAGCTGACGTTCGGGTCTGACGGCAATGGAGAAAGCGGCAGCTCAGAGAGCATTGTCGACTCTGCTCAGGTCATGCTCAAAACCCTACCTGATGAGCACGTCAAGCTTAGTGAGCTCATTCAGGAACTTCAATCTTGCATAGAGGAAGGACTTTATGTATAGATTGAATAGAGTCAATAGATTTCTACAAGTCTCCTAGGATTCTAAGCCGTCATTATAACAGTATTATATACCGTGTCCACTTGAATAGTAGGGATGTCTTCTTGTTTTCTTGTGTTATTTCTTCGCACCTTCCTTTTCCGAAATGAGGAGAGGATCTTCATACCACCCAAGCCTCTTGAGGTAAGGGGTTTCCTGTAAGCGAGCGACTCTCACCCCGGAATTAAGGTAGTGAGAGTAACATCTCTACTAATGAAAATCCACGACAAAGAGGTAACCTAACATCCTACATTGAGTATATAGAATCCTAAGTACTTTTATGTATCGGAAGTCCCACTTTTTAGTGAAGCTGGATTTCTTAATTGGTCAAAAACTCCACAAAGTACCCGCGCGACGATCTTCCCGTAGAGTTTCCACAAAGACGGGAGGCCCCGAGCCGCTATCCCCATTCAGATGAGCGGAGTTAACGGAAATAATGGAATGAACGGAATTAACGGTGGTAGGTGAGCACCCAAAGCTGAAATCAGGTGGTATTTGGGCAAGTTACCAATGTACCACGCTTACCAGCCCCTATGATTTTGTTACCAAAATTACTGGACCCTCGCTAATAAGGGTCTGGTACCTATTATCTCCGTAAAGTCTAACAGCCCCATGGATATAAGCTTAGTTACCTTAACCTTAAAGCGTCAGTAAAGCGCGCGGAGTCGCATATCAAGGTGAAGCAATTGAACCATAGCCATACAACAAACACAAATGTCTCCATCAACACCTCCACCTCCCTTGCCAGAGGACGCCAACGGCAAGGACAACCTCGAGGCGACCGGAGAGAAAACACATCAGGTCGAGCCTGAAACGGAAAAGCAGACCGTCGAGTCTAACACACCGTCCACTATGACATCCTCGTCTGTGAAAGGTGTAGATGATGATCCTGCTCCTGAAGAAAAAGCTGTGGATGAGCCGCCAAAACCTGCTATGGCATATCCGAAAGGTATCGAAGCCTTCTTTATCATGACTGCCCTCGTGCTCAGCATCACCCTCTGCTCCCTGGATCAGGTGAGTTCCACTACTCTAAGCTTTCGTAGAGTTGTCTTTTGCCAATGGCAACATATCACACTCCGGCAAACTAATGCTCTTTATTCAGACCATTGTGGCAACCGCTATTCCAAAAATTACCGACCAATTTCACAGCCTTAACGATATTTCGTGGTACGGTTCGGCCTATTTCATGACGCTCGGAGCGTTCCAGTCAACCTGGGGCAAAGCGTACAAATACTTTCCTCTCAAAACCAGTTTTTTGGTGGCAATCTTCATCTTTGAACTTGGAAGTTTGATCGCCGCCGTCGCACCAAACTCAACGACTCTGATTGTTGGACGTGCCATCTCCGGTCTCGGTGCCTCGGGTATCGCGCCTGGAGTATACACAATTTCTGCCTTCGCTGCTGAGCCCACCAAAAGAGCTACCTACACGGGTGTCATTGGTGTGTCATATGGCGTTGCCGCTGTCTGTGGACCGCTCATTGGTGGAGGACTTACAAAAGGGGTATCCTGGAGATGGTGAGTCAAGAAATTTCTACAGTTATCGAACCCTGCCATGATTGGACCTTGCCTGATGTGACAAATTTAGGTGTTTCTATATCAACCTTCCAATCGGTGGTCTGGCCGCTTTTGTCATCCTGCTCACCTTCAAGACCCCTAAAGCCGCTAAAGTGGTCGAGGCTACGCTCAAGGAGAAGCTTCTACACATGGACCCGATAGCGACGGTGCTTACGATGGGTGCACTGGCCTGCTTGCTTCTAGCTCTTCAGTACGGTGGTGTGAGCCATGCGTGGAATTCCAGCGTCGTTATCGGTTTACTCGTCGGCTTCGTTGTCATAGTTATTGCACTCATCATTGCAGAAATATGGCAAGGTGAACGCGCCATGCTGACACCACGTATTCTGCGCAAAAGGACTGTCTGGGTTAGCAGCGTCTGGGGCTTCTTCTTCGCTGGCGCGTATTTTGTCACGCTCTATTACCTGCCTATTTATTTTCAAAGCGTCGACAACGTCAGTCCAATTGGCTCGGGTGTGCGCAACATCCCTCTCATCATCATGTTCGGCATTGCCACATATGGCTCCGGCAGAGCCATCACGAAGACGGGTATTGCAACTCCTTATATGGCAGTTGCCTCTGTGATTGTGACCGTTGCCTCTGGTCTCCTGTATACTCTCGACATTGGGACCTCCACAGGCAAATGGGTTGGGTATCAGATCTTGGCGGGCTTCGGGTATGGCCTGGCCCTCCAAGTCCCGGTCGTCGTTGCGCAGGCTTTTGCTGCGCCAACTGACATAGCTCCTACGACTGCGATTATTATCTGTAAGTTCTCCTTTGCCCTGTCCTAGGATGTCGTCAATTTCCTTTGTCCCTTGTATCCACAAGCTAATTATATCCCTCGTGCACAGTCGCTCGATCTGTCGGCGGCACACTTTTGCTCTCAGCTGCGCAATCCGGCTTCGTCAACCAGATCGTGCACAAGCTTGCCGAAACCGCACCGACTGTTAATCCCGCCTTAGTCACGGGCTCCGGGGCCACTGATGTGCACCGCATATTTTCTGGAGCCGAGCTGGACGGTGTTGTCCGTGCTTACGCATGGGGCATCAAGGTTGTTTTCGCGATTACTCTCGCTGCCTGCGGCCTCACTGTCCCTTTCAGCTTGTGCAACAAATGGACCAATGTTAACGCAAAGAAAGCAAGTATTAGCAAGGCTTGAAACGGCTGTTTGGAAGATTATGCCAATGGAGTTCTTGTCCTTTTCTCGTCATAAAATTTTTTTCATCTTGTATGATGATTCGTATAGCTTAGAGAGAGGACGGAACGGAGGAGTGCATCAAAGGAGGAAATTGGATGGTATCATGGTATCCAGGGTTGGCTACCTCATAATGTATTGAAATAGGACTATCGAGTGGGTGAATCCTATGTGTTCCACGAAATCCATATTCAAAGCCAAATATTCTTTGGGGGAGATTTCGCCAAATCTACAGGCCCAATGACAGGATAAAAGATTGAGTTTTGGTGTACTGTATAGTGACTTTCAACATAACATGTTTGAATCGCCGCTTTGTTCTACTATATTTTCTGCCGATCGAATGCATTCTTTATCTTCCCATAACTCAGTACTGTGCCCGTGATATTGAATGAATCCCTACGGAAAAAGGGCTGAAATAGCTCATATCTCATAGTCAAGGTTTCAAGGCTTTTTTGGGCGTCCTTTCGTCGAGTACGATTTATCGGCATCCCATCCGCTCTAGATTGGGAAGGTGGCGCTATACGCGGTCATTCAAACATATTGCATCACACTCTAAAGTATCTGGGCTTGCATACAGGTCACCAATCTTGGTGGTCTGCGACAGCTGCGTGTTCATACCTTGCGCAGTATGAACATTGATAGTATTCTATAGGCGCTTAGATTCGTTGAGTGCAAAGTGCAAAAAATCTGGCGATAAGGGAACGTTGGATATTCTAATTTAAAACAGCTACATGAAACAAGTTTTTCAAAACTGCTTTGTTAAAAGACCCTAATCTAGCTGATTGTGTAAGAAGCATGTAGGAAAGAAAGATCAATCTGAGGTCTGGAAGGTCTAAATAGAGAGATGGGGTCATGTGACCCCGAGGACCAAGCAAACAAACTGATTGCACGAGATAAATCTACCCATTACCTATCACTTGCCCCCCTTGCGTAACACAGGCGACACAAACACTTCATTGCCAGTCCAGGTAGCCTCAACACCCGCCGGCATGCCCAAAGCCTTGGCCTTCTGCATCCACTCGCGTACTGATAGGACCTTGACCTTGGTGCCGAGCCTGTCGTTGTACATGCCCTCGAGGTCTGACAGCACATATCTGTTTTCGCTGCAGTAATTGTGCACGGCAAATGGTTCGCGAGGATCATGAGCATACGCCTTGGCCAGAAGTTCGGGCACCACGTCGCTGACGTCGATGATGTCAAGCTCTCCCTGCCATTGCTTGGGGTCAAGCGCCGGTACGGCCCGCATCTTGGTGCAGTATTTGTCTAGCGCCACTAAGGGAATCTCTTCGGGCGCATCAGGCCCCATGATGTTGGGGAAGCGGTGCACAACGGCCGGAAGTCCCTCCGCTCGCTCCAGCAATATCTCGCCCATCCATTTACTGGCAGCATAACCGATGGCATTTTTCAGCAGCGAGTCGGCATCAGATGGTGGCCAAAAGCTGGACGGCGGCACCTCGGCCAGCTCGCTGGTATCCTTTTGGAGCATGGCCACCGAGGACGACGACACAAAGTGAACGGGAACACGGCGTGGTGTAGCCATAGCGAGCAGATATTGCGTCGAGACAACATTGGCTGCCCGCATCATTTCATATGACTTGAGATGGGCGACATCCGCGCCCACATGGATGATCATGTCTGCAGTCTGGCAGAGGTGCTTGAAGTCATTGGTGGAGAGGCCCAGCAGCGGCTTGACCAGGTCACCCTTGTATTCGTGAATCTTTGCGTCCTTGACGCGCAGAGGCCGTGAGCGGAGGCAAAGACAGTGCACCTCTGCAATGTCGCCGTCTGCCACGAGGTTGCGTAGTATGTTCGTACCCAGGAATCCCGTGCATCCTGTGAGGACGACACGGCGTGAACTGCTCCGAGGCACGTCCTTGACCAAGTCAGCGCCTGCTGGAATGAGGGAAGGTATCCCGTCGATGAGGTCGGCCACTTCCTTCTTCCAATCCATTTCTGGATCATCATGACTGTTAGTAGTTGTCTGCGACTCTGCCTGGGACCCTGTGCGAAGATTTCGCCATCCTACTAGAGCGTCCTCACAGACTCGGGAGAGAGTGTGGTTGGTCGACATGAGCTTCAACACAGGCACGTCAACACCCAGCTCTTTCAAGAACCACTCGCGAATACGAACGGAAACGAGCGAGTCAACTCCATGATCAGCCACGGGCACGTCATCGCTTATCTGAGCGGGGTCAAGCTGGAGCATGCTGCCCAGAGACTGCGTGAAGCACTTCACCAAGATTGCTAGGCTTTCCTTTGGATCCTCCGTTGTTGCAAGCTGAGCCTCAACCTTAATGTTCCCATCAGCTTGTTTTTGACCAGTGTCCTCTTCTTGCGCACCCTCTTGTAGAAGGTAGCATGACAACCGCGGGTCTTCGTGCCACGGCTCCGTAAAGATCTTCCTTACACCAGTGATAAGCTCGGATGGCAGGTCTGAGTCAGGCCGTCCGCACTCAATGCCCTTGGCTAGCATGTCGTGAAGATCTGTCTCGCCTTGTCTATCCAACTGTGGTAAGAGGGACTTTTCAATGGCAGCATTCCGCTTCCTGTCTGCACGGTAAATATAGCCCAAGCCCGTGAGGAGCCCAATGACGACGACAGAGCCCGCCAGTCCACGCTCCCGCCGACGTCGCACAAGGCTTGCCATATAATGGTTTGCCGCACTGTAAGCGGACTGGCCGACGTTCCCAACAATCGATGTTGCAGACGAAAGCCCTATGAAGAAGTCCAACGCCTCATCTCCACCAAAGAGCTCGTCAAGATTGCGAGTTCCGGCAACCTTAGGCGCTAGCACCGCCTCAAAGTCCTCCCAAGACGTGTCGAGGAAGGGGCGGTCCCGAAGCACCATGGCACCATTGATAATACCTCCAAAGGGCGGCATACTGGACTTGATCTCGGTATATGCCGCTCTCAAGCCTTCTTTGTTCGTAATGTCCACTGGCACGACACGCAACACGGCTCCCTTTTGCGACATGAGTTGGAACACTCCGGCCGGAACACGAGGATGTCGGCTGGTCAACACGACGTTTCGAGCCCCGTTATCCACCATCCATAGAGCAATGGAGATTCCAAGGTCTCCCGTCATGCCGAAAAGAATATAGGTCTTGTCGGCGGCGAACATTCCCTTAGGATCGGTCAACTGGGTGACTTGGCTGTTCTTTGCTGTGTGTTGACTATTGATGCTATCGAGAGGCAAAACCCTTGGAATGTAGAGGGCGCCATCTCTGAGTGCGAGATGGGGTTCGTGAGTCCAGAGTATTTCGCTTGGATCAGGCTGATTCATTCCGGTGAGTCTGAGGAGAAGAGTTGCCAGTAGAGATGGCTCAAGCGATGTGGGTTCATCGACGTCAAGGAATTGAAGCCGCAAATCACTAAGTTCAGCGAGCAGCGTGCGTCCCAATCCCACCGTCACATTGGCTAGTGGATTTTTGCCCGAAGCCGCGCCTGAGGTTACCCACAGAACAGCACTGGCGTTGCGGAAAAGAGCCTGCATAGCTTCGAATCTGGCCACAGTCATTTCGCCGAAGACAGGACTATCCAGGTCGCAAAGGCAGAGCACGGCTGCTCCGACGGGACAATTGTTTTCCTCGAGACCTTCAAGCTCACACTGGAGGACACCCTCGGTGGAAGCAAGGAGCGCCTGCGATTTGGATGCAAGTTCCGACGCCACGTCGCTGACGACCAAAACGTGGCCGAGTGAGCGGCCTGCCGCACGTGAAGCAACAGAAAGTGGCTCCCGAAGCTCCTGGAAGATCTCGTCTGTTGCCTGGGATATGATAACGGAGCAGAAGGAAGGAGTTGAGCTTGTGTCGACGCCTGAAAATCCGGTGTCTTTAAGCAAGCTGTCCCATTCATCAAGACTGAGTGTGGGTACCCAGACGCGGCCTTCATCGACGCCCAGGAACCACCCAGGAAGCGTGCCCATGATGAGTTGTATGGGAAGATGGTTAGTTGTGATCTCCAGCAACACTAAATAGCCGCCTGGCCGAAGCAGGCGACGACAGTTGCTGACTGTTTCTTTCAAGCTTCGAGTCGCATGCAAGGCGTTGGAGGCTATAACCATGTCATACGCCCCCTCGTCGAATCCTTGGTCCAGCGGATCTTTTTCAATGTTCAGCAGCTTGAACGACATTTTGGCGGCATGCTGGCTGAACTTTTCCTTTGCGGGCTCAAAGAAGCCGGCTGAGATGTCAGTGTACATGTATGACGCATATTGATCGCCCACAGCCGAAAGCACAGCTCGAGTGGTACCGCCTGTTCCAGCTCCAACCTCGAGCACTTTCATACGCGGGTATCGGTGTGAGAGCTGCTTGACCAAGGGCCCTAGATCAAGGTTGCCGTCGGCAAAACCCACTCCTTCCACATATAAGCGGTCGAGCATGTCGTCCTTCAAAAGAACCTGAAGGGCAGGCATGATTCCACGAGCAATGGCTGCCAAGTTTTTCCCCACGGCATGAAGGATAAGCATATCGTTGTTTCGGGCTTCAATATAGGGAGCGCTCCATTTCTGCACATCTTCCAGTGTGTCGTTTTCCCACTCTGGTTCAATATCGGGAACCTTGCCCGCCTCGATTTGGGGAAACAGATGGTCCCTGACCCACTTCATCATGTGCCGCCGGTGTTTGCCCATGACTAAAAGCTCAGCAGGCTTGATCTGGCTGCGCAGCTTTCGCAGGTAGAAATGGGCTGTGCGCACCAGAAGCTTCCGCAACACCTCGTCCTCTGGAGAGAACTTGGTCTTGAGGCTGGGCTCGATTCCGTAAGCCGCATCACGTACCCAGGTTTCGCTTGCATAAAGTCGGCGCTCCCGACTCTGGTTCAAGGGGGTCCACTGGACTCCACGCATTTGAACTTGGACGGTCTCATCGCTTGCGTTGAAAAGGTCAACGTCACCCGTGAGTCCCTTCTCTCCGGATGAAGTCAGACGGCTGTCTGCCATGAGGAAATCCGGAGAGGCGGCTGTCATGTTGATACGGACGCAATCAATCCCCGTGGGGAGATATACCGCCCCAAGTCTTCCGTCTTCTGGGTAAGAAAAGGCGGCCAGGATACCTTGAATGGTGGTATCAAGGACAGCGGGGTGCACAGAAGGACGCACTGAACTGGATTCAGGAGGGTTTGGTACGGATACCACAGCGTGGTTGAGGTGGCGTTCTACCGAGCTAGCTCTGAAGGCACCGGAATAGTTGTAACCCACCTTGGACAGATATGAGTAGAATTGCTCCATATCTAAAGCGTTCAAGGGAAGTAGGGGCTTATTCCGGCTGGACAGGGCGTCTTTCTGAGAAGGTCCCAAGAAAAGCCGCACTCCACCACTGAAATGTGCGGTGAGTGCGTTCACAGGGCCGTCCAGCTTGGTCCCATCGACGTCCCCGCTGTAGCAGGCCACTTCGGCGGTGATGCAGCTGTCAGTCTGGCTCGTAACGCGAATGGTGAAGAGAACTTCCAGGCCAGATGAATCTTCCAGCATGCCCATGGTGCGCACGATCTCAATATCGTGGAGCTCGACAAGGCACAGTGTTTGTTGGTCGTCAACAAGACGCACGGCGGCCTCGTACGCCATTGTCACGTATCCTGTCGCCGGGAAGAGAACCTGGCCCTGTATAGTATGGCCACTGACCCATGGGAGCTCGTTCAGCTTGAAGACATGGCGCCAGTGAATCTCTCGCCTGCCGTCCTCGCCCAGAGTGGTCGGGCGACCGAGCAACTCATGTTGAGGCTGGCCATTGCGGAAAAGGCGAGAGGCCCTCGACTCGCGCCAGACAAGGCTATCATGATCCCAAGGATAGGTCGGTAGGCCCTTGAGAATGCTGGGCTTCTTAGGGCTAGTTAGTGGTAGGGCCCGTTGCATACCGTCGAAGGTAATGAGAGGGCGTGACGACGGGAATGACGTCCATAGAAGTCCCAAGCTATCGGCAAAGGCTTCAACCGCACCTTGTCCGCGATTGAGGGCACCGCAATACGGAAGGTTCAGACCGGTCAGCGACTTGATCACCTCGGAGGTTGGTCCCTTGAGAGCTGGGTGCGGTCCTACCTCAAGTGCGAGGTCTAGGACGGAGGATTCTTCAGACAAGGCTCGGTTCACTGCCTGTGAGAATTGTACCGTGCTGGTCAGGTTATCGACCCAGTACTGTCCCTCGAGCAATTTCATGCTTTGTTCGCTGTCGAAGGAGCGACTGCGGCCATTCGGTCCCCAAACACTAGAGTACCACTCGCACTTTCTGGGCCCCCTTTAGAGCCTTGACTCCACATTGGCGCAGCGAATTAAGGTAAGGCTCGGCACATGGCAGCATGTGGTGGGAATGATATGCTGTGTCCACTGCCAGGACACGGGCAAAGATTTTGTCTTGATCTAACTGCTCCTTAGCCTCATCAATAAGAACGGCATCTCCCGCCAGCGTGCAGCTTGTCGGGGAGTTGCTAGCGGCGACCCTGAGGTTCGCACCAAATTGGTCACAGAATGCCAATGCCGATTCTAAACCCATGCCCACGGCCATCATCTTGCCGCGTTTGCCGTCCGATCCCTGAGCCAGGACAGAATGGAATCCTCTGTAATAAGCAACGCGAATAGCATCTCGAGAATCAAGGTACCCGGCAGCATAGGCAGCGGCAATTTCTCCAGACGAATGCCCAACAACGGCCGCAAAGTCAACACCGGCCGCGTGAAGTACGTCCACCAGAGCAATTTGGAGGGCAGTGCAGATAGGCTGCGAGATGACGGCTATGCCAACGCGGGACGTCTCCTTGGGCGCGGAAAGTTCGTCAATCAGAGTCCATTCAGGTCGATCGCTGTCAGGAAGCGCATTGAGACTCTGCTGCATCCGGTCGATAGCCTTGCGAAACACAGATGATGCTTCGTAGAGCTCCCTGCCCATGGTGGCCCACTGAGCACCTTGCCCGGTAAAGACACCGAGGATGCGAGGGGGTAGGGTCTTTGGAATTGCTGGGATTCGTGCGGTCTTCTTGAGCGCTTCTGCGCGTGATTCAAGCTTTTCAGCAAGTTGTGCAGCAGATGTAGCGGAAAAGGAAGCCCGGAAGAGGAATTCGGCCCTCTGAAACAGAGTGCGGGCAAGTCGAACAAGATCCGTATTGGGATGCTCTCGTAGGTAGCCAGCCAGCGCTGTAGCCTTGGCTGCCAGTGCCTGAGCCGAGTTGGCAGACAGGACAACGAGTCCACCTGCATCTGGCTTGGACGTATAGCGATCGTAGGCTCCATCCCAACTCTCAATGATAGCGTGGGCATTAGTTCCGCCAAAGCCGAAACTGTTCACACTCACACGGCGCGGCTCACCGTAGGAAAGGGTGGGCCAGGGTGTCAAAGCTGTGGGAACGCAGAGGTTCTTGGAAAATGGCCGAATCTTTGGATTCAACTCTTGGAAATGGAGATTTCCTGGAATCTGGCCATTTTGAACCGCCAATGACGCTTTGAGCACTCCAGCGAGACCTGCAGTGCCCTCGGTATGACCGATAACGGTTTTGATCGAACCAACATAGAGGTGACCATCGTCTGGGCCTCGTTCTGCGGGGAAGAACGTGTCATGTATGGCCCGCGCCTCAATAGCTATTGCACGTCAGCATCGCAGTCTATTGGCTATGGAGAGAATTTACTAACGATCACCTGCCGGCGTACCAGTGCCGTGGGCCTCAAAGTAATGAGGGCGATCGCGTACTGGGTCCAGCCCGCACCTCATGTACGTGTCTCGAATGAGTTGAGACTGCGACTCTGCACTCGGCATTGTAATACCTACACCACGGTTATTACAGTTGACATCAGAGAGAGCTTGGCAAACAAACCTGGCGTCCGACCATCCGAGTTCACACCGGTCTCGCGGATAATGCACTCGATGTGATCACCGTCGGCGATGGCTTGGCTGAGAGTCTTGAGAATAACAGAGGCAAAACCCTCTCCTCGTGTATATCCATCAGCAGAGGAATCCCACATGTAAGATCGCCCATTAGGAGACAACATGTTCAACTTGTAGGCAATTGTCAGCTTAGACTGCAACCAGATCCTCATTTCAAAGCACAACATACATTTGAATAAGCGATGAAAAGCTCAGGGCCGAGGATGAGATTTGCCCCTGTTGCAACGGCCATACCTATTTCTCCGCTTCGAAGGGAAAGGACTGCTTGGTGCAGGGCCACGAGTGAGGACGAACAAGCCGTATCGCACGCAACCGACGGGCCTCTCCAGTCAAAAAAGTATGATAGACGGTTAGCTAGGATTGCCATGGAACCGCCAGTTGCGTAGTATTGCGGTAGACTGTCGAAGCCACGCATCGAAAGAAACTGGTAGTCGAAGCACGTCGCTCCGACGAAGACGCCAGTAGATGATCCTTGAAGCTGAGGGATTGAGTAGCCCGCCGATTCTACGCCTTCATAAACGGTCTCAAGCAGACACCGCTGCTGGGGATCCATCGCTTCGACCTCCTTCGGGCTGATATTAAAGAAATCACGGTCGAAAAGTCGCGGTTCTTCTTGTAGAAGGTAGGCATACTTTGTATTCGTGCTCTGTTGATACATTAGTTACACTCAGTTCAAATATGTAATTTGGAAAGGCAACGCTGTCATACTCCATGGTGCTGGCTATTTTGGTTGTAGAACGCCTTGGTATCGAACCGACTGGGCGGGATTTCTCGCACAAGATCTTTGGGGTCTTTGAGGAGCTCCCAAAGCTTCGATGGGGAATTAGCACCTCCAGGAAAGCGACAGGAACTTCCCACTACCGCAATGGGCTCCCGGAGCGGTATGGCGTTGGGTTCGGGTAGGCTGCCCATGATCAAAGTTGGGTTGAATCGATCAATTGGACTAGAAAAAATAGTTGGTTGACAACTTGCATTAGCTTCAATGTATGGAAATTCGAATGGATGCAGATTTCAAGCTTTGTGCGTTCTGGATGTGACCGTGGTTAAGTCTAGCTGCGTCAGCGATATGGCCACAGGTAGTTCTCAGCTGAGACCCGTTTGTCCTTCGATTTGCATAGATCATACCAAAGACCGAACCACTTTGATGGAACAGGGGGTCCGGTAAGCCATCGGTCGGCGGTCCGGTCCGGTCGGTGCAAGATGTCTTTCCAAGCCAGTAGTCAATCGGACAGGGTCCCCCGCCTGGACGGCGATCGGATCGGCAAAATGTAAGCTTAACTGATCCTACCTCCGAAATCCCGATCCTGTCGGAGGATACTCAGTCTACCGATGCAGATCCAAACAACATTCTCAATATCAACGCGGAGTTTCTCCCACTTGCTTGAATATCTTCATCCGAGATTTGAAGCGACCATTCAAGGAAACCTACCTTTGGTTCCGGTAGGCCATACACAAATTGCTCTCGTTCTCAAGTTCTCAACGCGAGACTCCATTCCTGAGAAGATTCGATATCATCATGGCCACGGAACAACAGCGTAATGACGTTGAATTCAAAACCTTTGATGGCTTGACTTTGCGCGGCTCGCTGTACGTGGGCCCTAAGGGTGGTCCTGCAGTGATTGTCAATGGCGCAGTAAGTCGACCCTGAACGACCACGTCTCATAAGATCTGCCCAAAAAAATGCTCGAACCTTTACTTACCTGAGGCCATTAGTTTATGTGCCCAAAGGAGATCTTTGTGGATGCCATAGCAGCTTGGTTCGGACGTAATGGCCTGACGGCTCTTGTCTACGACGCCCGAACTATAGGCACAAGCGACGGCCTGCCTCGAAATGATCTGGACCCGCAGAAGATGGCCGAAGACAACTCAGATGCCGTCACAGTATGTATTTGTCCATACTTACGACTCCAATTCCCATACAGTTCAATAGACTAATGAATGCGGAACAGTTCTTGCAGAAAGAGGGATGGGTGGACCCGAACCGCATAGCCATATGGGGCTTTTTCTATAGCTCTGGGATCGCACTCGAGGCAGCAGCTTTTGACAAGCGTGTAAAGGCCGTCATAGCGCAAGGTCTGATGCCCGAGTGGTACCTGAATGAGGAGGACCAGGAGGAACTCGTCGCGCGTGCAGTCGAGGATCGGGCGAACCAGCTTCGTGGCGATCCGCCCGGATATATACCCCTCCTCAACGAAAAGGGCGAGCATTTAATGTTCTTCAAGTATCTGGCCAAAATGACACCCGAGCAAAAGGCCCACCTTCCCAACTGGGTCCACGGGGCTAAGAAGAACGCCCCGACCTTTAAGGATAGTCTGACCATTCAAAGCTTCTACCGTCATGCTAAGTGGAAGCCCGCGAATCTGTTCACGTCTGTCAGCCCCACTCCCGTTATGATCCTGACGCCTGAAAATGACGAGATCGTGCCGCCCGAGTATCAGAAGAGCATATTTGACAGCATGCGGTCACCGCTGAAGAAGTTCCATATTGTAAAGGATAGAGGACACTCGGACTTTTTAAGCGTTGACCTTGATGAGCTGCTAACCCCACAGCTAGAGTTTCTTAAAGAAGCTTTGAAATTCTAAGTCACAAAGTTCTGCCAGCATGGTCTAAAACTTCATGCGGGGGCTTTATCCCGGCCTGAGTCCTGAGATCTATGTAGCATACATATATGCTGCCCACAATGTTATCTCTTCTGTGTGTATGTACGAATGGTGTCGAGGTTATAGGCTCTCTTCCCAAAGGGGTATTATATCACCACTCATCCGTTTCTGTTACTTCACAAGATTCGATCAATTCACACCAATTCAGATGGTTTCCTCTATGATACAAACGGAGAAAAGGAAGGGCCCTCGAGAGTGGTTAGATTGTTGATGAAGTCAAGATCTATCGAGAGGTTGGAGGATCTTAATAGACAAAGTCATGCGATATCTGTCAAATAGTCTTTCCCCCCTTTCCTGATTAGCTTGCTCAACAAGTAGCCCCCGCAAGGTACCTATTTTCAAGCTTGCTGCTGTATTTTATATGACTAACTAAGTAATAATCATATGCTAACACCATCTATCTATCTCATGCCTGTACATTCAACGTCTTTACTAAATTCTCAACATCCTGATCGATGTCTACAAGGTACAACCACCCCAACTGTGACTTGCCTGCGTTACTCCAATCAAGCTCCCACCTCATGTCCTCGGGCACACTCGCCCTTTCTTCCTCCGTCATCCTGATGGTGAGAAGCCGGTTGGTCAATCTTAACACCTCATCCATTCTCTTCATCCGATATGTCTCCCAAGCCGTCAACGCGTCCGACCAACTTGACTTGCCATTGAGGGTTGCCAAGAGCATTCCGAAGCTATAAGCGTCCTCAAAGGCTTGATTTGCGCCTTGCCCTGCTGAGGGTGGTATAGCATGCGCTGCATCTCCGACTATAACAACTTTTCCCGTTGATGAATGCCAACGATCCATTTTAGGAACAGTGTAAAATGGCCAGACATTTAGGAAATGAGCGTCCGGAGCACTAGCTTGCGCTTGTACAGACTGGACGAGTGGTGTCCATGCAGTGGGATCTCGCTGAAGTATTTCAATCACTGCTTGTTTATCCCGCAACATTGCTGACCATCCTGCACGATCTTGCGGTTCGTACTTCAACTGTCGTCCAACGAAAATCTCTTTTCCACCTTCAGCCTGAGGCGTGATAATAAAGGAACCGTGCTCCCCACGCAGAGATACTGGAAGTGGGAAGTCGTCATCCAGTCGCACATTGGCGCGTGGGAAGCAATACGTCAAGCCTAGGAAGCCCCCGTAATGTGGATGGATGTCTGGGAAGAGATACGATCGGACTTTGGAATGGATACCGTCGGCGCCAATCAACATTTCAGCTTTCTCCCGAGTTCCGTCTGCGAACTCGAACTCGACGCCATTGTCGTCTTCATTGACAACCTTGGTAAACTTCTTTCCGTAGTGTATTTCGATTCCAGCTTCTTTCACCATTTCCCTCAACTCGTGGATCAACACCTTTCGTGTGATGCGTATGCCATCGTACCCATACACGTCTTTCTGACCAAAGTAGAGCTTCCCGGTAATCTCGTGCTCAGGATCCGTCATGAAAGTCATAGCCTCGAAGTTGAAGCCTTGATGCTTGATGCGAGAGTATGCACCGATGGAATCGGCGACGCGCAAAGCGTTTGGAGTGAGCGAGACGGCGCCGTCAAAGTCATGATTTTCGTCTCGGAGTTCGAAGAATCGCGATTGAATGCCATATCGCTTGAGGACGAGAGCAAGCGTGAGGCCGCCCACGCTAGCACCGATAATAGTTACTGATTTGGGGGTTGATGAGGAGACCATAACGATAGAGAGATGAACACCGATGGAATGAAGAGTATGACGAGGTGTAAAATGGCCTTACGAGAGCTAATTGGTCGCCATATGAGTTTAATTAGGGATCTCTCTAATTATGCTTGAGGTATCTGCTTTCCGCAATCATCGGAGCTTTCCTGAGTCGCTTCACGGTTGCAAGGGTCCGCTAGGGCCCGGAGTCGGTCGGCTCGGTGTGCATACGACCGATGTTTAACTCTTAGAGTACTACGGCCGACTCGGAGGTGGGTCTTTTCGAATAATTCTGGCTATGTACCTGAATGGTTCGAAAAGCCCTCGGTTGTCTTGGTCCTAATTACAATGTCCGCGAACAATGGATGCCAGAGAAGGGGTTGCAAAACACCACAGACTTTAAACTCGCCTGCGTGACGCAATTGCACAGCATGGCCAAAAGTAAGAGCAAATGATTTTCGTCAAGATTCGCTTATGTTAAGTGGATGGGGAATGTTTCTCAAAATCTACTGAATAGATAGATACTTGAACATTGAAGCGAGAGTCACGATAAATCTTCTTAATTATAGTCCAAGGGCCACCTGCGTCCTCTTTGTATATTATCAAAATGTTTCAAAGCGACAGGTGCTTCTTTAAAAAGTTAAGGTGCTTGTCAAACACAGCATCCATATCCCCAAACATCCAATCAAAGTGGTTCTTCCCAACAATGAGATGATGTTCCTTCGGCTCACGCAGCATGTCAAACGCCTCCTTCTGCCTCTCCGCGGGGAAAACCTGGTCTAGCTCAGGCGTCACCATAATGACTGGTGTTGGGCTGATCTTTGGCAAAAGGTGCAGGATGTTCCAAGTAAGGCATCGCATGTAGGTATGGACCGTGACACGGTTTTCAATGGGCATCTTCATGCTGTCCATTGTCGTGAAGAAGTTGCCCAAAAATTGACCGAGCGGCGTATTGCCATCCTCATCGACTAAGGGCAGGTACATGGGCTCCTCACCAGCTAGCTGGGCAGCGCGGTCTTCTAGCCCAAGTTCGAAGATGGCTTCCCTGCGTTCTGGGTCCCCAGTGACATCGATCATGGGAGCGACCGCTACGACGGCGGCGATCCGCCGGTCGTGGGCCGCGGTCGCGAGCATGATGTTGCCGTCAAAACAAAGACCCCAAACCGCAATCTTTTTCGGATCTACGAGAGGCTGCTGGGAAAGCCATGTGACCGAGTCGATGAAGTCGTCAATCCGCCTTTGCATGTCGCTCTGTCACGACAGTTGAAAGTCAGCTGATACCCGCCTCAAAAGGCTTTGCATATACAGGTATATAGTGAAATAACCCAGGACGACTTACCTCATGTCTGGGCTCACCGTCGCTAGCGCCAATGCCGAATGTGTCAAAGATGAGTGCTGTGAACCCACGTTTTTGATACCATTCGGCAATATCAGGTACGACTACATCCTTAGGCATGTTGAACTGTGTGGCAAATTATCAGGTTAAAGGTTTCCCTTCAAAGAATTTAGACATGAATTCTCACGTACTCCTGCTGAAAGGATGATTGCAGGTCCGCGCTTCGCGGCTGGGTACAGCCAGCCGCGCAACGTGATGCCGCTGAGGGTCTTGAATTCGATATCTTCGCGGGAAGGTAGTGCCATTGTTTCAAAGGTTTTTCATTCAACAAACTGCAAAGAAATGGCGATTGTTCATGCATTCATCTTTTGATGTTTATAGCCGGGACTACAAGGTCCGAGATGAGCCTAGTCTAAGCTTGTCTGAGGCTCCACCACCGATCGGATCCCCGACCTCGCAAGTCGGACAGGGCCGCTGCGGGGGCAGCGGCGTTATAGTACGCCAAGTTCAAGTTTCCGACTCGAAATACAGGTATTGGAAACGACCCCCCCGCTTGCTAAACCTCTTAAATTAAGCGAGTGTTCAGGGGCTAAATCAAGAAAGGATTTGCCTATGATTATGAATTGGCAAAGTCTTGCAAAATCATGTCTGAGGTTTGCAATCAGAGCAACATAGTTACCCAAATTCCTTATGATAAGCACCTAGCTACCAAACTTATTCAAAAGCTAGGAGAGGGAGAAATTAATTGAACTGGGTACTGTTTGGTATTCTGACGAGTGAGTCCTGAGATACTTCTCGTCAGTAATCATCTTGGTTAGAATTCTGCCCATAAACATCAATCATTGATGACTCTGACCTAGAAACCTTGTCTTCTGCTGCGGCAAGAGGTCGCAGTCGCAGGCGGGTGCACGATTAAACGAATTATTTTAAGTTATTCAAATCGTCCGGAATCTGGATGCAGTGCTTCTTGTTCGTTATAACTTTTGCGTCGGTTCAGGGGTTGGATTTCTGACCCAGAAACCAACACCTTTCTAGAGCCCCGATCAACATACGGGCCGAATTCAGGCCTTCTTTTGCGTTATAATTATCGATACAAGATCTAAATAGATTTGACTCAATCACATATACGTAAGAAGTCTCTGAGGCAACTAAGAGATTTATAGAATAGGGTGTTCGGAATCACAAGCCCTGAAACAGTCTTATTTAAATCTTCACAGCAATTTATTGGGATGAAAAGGCATATATAACATTGAGAACTACGCTTTTGACCAAGTCTAAGCACCAACCAACGGCACGATCATCCTCTTACCCCGTACATTCCCAACACGCAAATCATTCACATACGTAGGAATCCTCTCCAAGCCCCCCTCCCTAATATCCAAAGGATGATTCTTGATTCCGCCCTCCTGCAACAATTTTTCTGCCAGCAGGAACAACTCAGCCCCAAATATTCTATGCTCGGGTGTGCTAGGGCGCCCGTACGTGCCCGGAATCACCACTGGCGTTCCCGTAATGGTCGGAGTCATCAGCCAGTCGGCACGGACATCCCTCCGCGTGTATTTGACGACTTGGGTAGGTGCTTCGAGGGCAACGTAGGTGCCACCGGAAGAGCCAATGGCCTCATAGCACATCCGCATTGTCGGCGCATCAGTCACGCAGTCGAAGACAGAGGCGAGGTTGTTGGCAGTGTATTCGCGGATGTCGGCTCCGCATGTGGACGAACGGTAGTCGAAGCAAGCTGCAGCGCCGTAGCTCTCGCACAGGGCATTGTTGGCGGGGGAGCATGTGACTATGGGTGTATAACCGGCGCTGTGAACATTAGTGTCAGTGATGTGGTTCTGAGATGCTTCTCTGAAGTGTATCTAATAACACTACATAGGTAGTCTATATCGGGGCGGAGCATTGGACTCACATCTTCAACAACTGGGTTGCCATCGTCCCGGTGCCCGTTGCACCCCCCGAGACAAGAACAAACGAAGGCATGTTCTCATCATCAGAGGTTGGCTTGGGTCGCGGCATTTGCAGGTGTAGCCCGGGGGCTTGGAAAAGGGCGAGCCCAGCAGTAGCAATACCAAGTCCCATTGAGCATGCCTGCTCAAAGGTCAAGTTGTCGGGGACATGGCAGCTCAGGTCCTCAGTCGCCAGCGCGTACTCGGCGAAAGCGCCGGCTGTCTTGTCTGCGGCGTTGAGTCCAAAGGTCACGGCGAGGACGCGGTGGCCCTCCTTGAACCGCGTAACGCCTTCGCCCACCCTAACAACAATACCAGAGAAGTCACAGCCACCCACTGCACCGGGCGTATTTGAATAGTCTACAATCTTTGCATCGTATGGGCTGAGGGCGACCGCATGCACCCGGCAAAGCATCATGCCTGGTCCTGGGACGGGAATTTCGAAATCGTCCGCCAGCCGGTAGCCGCTGGACTCGTCACCGACAAGAGCCTTCATTACTGCGCTGGCCATTATCGTTGGCCTGAGTCGTCTTCCGGTATAGGTATGTGGAAAGAAAAGTGAACGAATGTCTTCGAGAGATTGGGCCAAAAAATGCGGAGTAGTGCTTATTTCTCCGTAGCTACCTCTTCGTGGTTAATCTCCTTGAACACCTCTTCACTCTATCTATACTCTAGGGTATCGTCGGGCTATTTTGAGCTATAATAGCAATGATCATCGTGTTTCGAGGAAAAACCGATCGGAGCACCGATCGGAGGCCCCACATCGGCGACAGCGAGCATATAGTTTAGGCAAGATCACTACAGAGCTAATCACCGACTTCTAGACAATTTTCAGGGTGAGTAGCGCGACAACCCCCAGCTTTCCTTTACTATAACGGCCCACAATCTTTACAAGACAATTAAAATTAACAGAAAGGCGAAATAACAATATCTAGTCCAAAATGACCTCAACCTTCTATCTCGATGACACCCCAGCGGAGGTGAAGAACGCTAAGGTCAGTGACAGCCCGCCGGGCCCTTTAGGTTGGAGCTAAGACGGGTATCTAGGGGCTCCACCTGATCACCACGTCGACTCCAAACGGCCAGAAAGTGCAGATTTACCTTGAGGAATTGAAGGAGTTGTATGGCGTCGAATGTGAGGGGAAATGGCATAATTGCTTCTTCGCATGAGGCGCTGACGATAATTATCCAGACACTAAGACGATCATTGACCTTAGCACCAATGACCAGAAAAAAGACTGGTTCTTGAGACTCAATCCAAATGGTAGATAACCCTTTTTTAGGCAAGAAAATTTTACTTATTCGTAACCTCAGGACGAATCCCGGTCCTCGTCGACAACACCAAAAACCCGCCTTTTCCGGTAATGGAGACCGCAGCCGAGCTGCTTCACCTCTTCAAAGAATGCGACAAGAAGCCTGAGTTCGGCTTCACAGACGATGTTGGGCGGAGTGAATGCTTGCAATGGCTCTTCTTCTGGCATGGCAGCGTAATGAACCTCCTAGCGCCGATAACATCCTCTGTGCTAACAAATCGCCAGGGCCAACCAATTCAAGGCCAATTGAATTGGTTCTCCAATAATTTCAAGGACGACGCGGGTAAGTACCTGAAATTATACCGCCGCTTGGTAAAAGTTGCTGATTCTTGCTTGAATGTAGTCGCTCTCAATCGTTTCAAAAACGAAGTCCTCCGCATCTACGGCGTCCTTGAGATCCATCTCTCGGGCAAATACACTGGCCAGGTCAAAGAATACCTCGCCGGCATAGGCGCGGGTAAATACTCTGTCGCAGACATCTCCACTTGGCGTAAGACACTTCTTGTTCCCAACACGTACTTAACCGTGCCTATTGACTGACACCTGTAAGCGTGGTTGAATGCCTGGAACAGCAACGGCCAGATCACCCAGCAGGAAATGGACCAGTTCCCGCATCTGCTGAAGTGGATTGAGCGCATCAGGCAGCGGCCTGCAGTGCAGCGAGGCATCGATCCAAAGACTTGGACGGTGTAAGCGCATGCGAGCGCATTGAAATGAGATTGACAAATTAACGTACTAGCTCAAGTGGCGAGGGTTGGGGGAGAGAGGAAATTGAAGTTTATAAAGTGTTCAGTATACTCAATTTGATAGTCATTGTGGTAAATATAGCTTCGCTTTTTGATATTGAGAATATCTCTTTTTTAGTAGTGGACATTGAGTACTTATACGAAAACCTGCAGGAAGGTAAAAAGTTAGCCTGAATTTAAAAAGCGTAGTGTGTATGAGAAAGGCAGGATGGCTGTGGCTTTGTATAGTCAGAATAATGGTTTGTATAGTCAGGACTCAGAATAGTGAGATTCTACATTATCGTGACGTTGAGAGATTGTGGTTCTGATGCAGAAGTCGTGGCCTATTTCGCTCAGTTCTTTGCCACTCATTTCCCATCATTAGCGTCTCATCAATACAAAACAGAGTAGTAGTTGACTTGTTCTCTGGTTGATTGTGGTTCTGCTACGTACATGATGCTAGTTCAAGGAGCACTTTCTTCCATGTAACCAGTATACGATTTAATCCTTTTCTGATCTACTGTACTGCCTCCCATCAGCTTTCGCTGCTCCATCATGCATCCCTCTTCGTACAAAGAATCTCCCCATGTAAAATCCCAAACCACCCATCCTCATTCGCAACCCACTCCAGCCAAACCTCCCGCATCTTCTCAAAAAACTCCTCCGTCGCATACCCCTTCTCAATAGCATAATTACTCAACGGGCTCCCCACAGATCTCTCTGCAAAGTTGCCTCCCCAAGACTGTCTCTCTTCCTTTGTCCGAAAACACCAGCTTCCCGTACTGCACGTCACATCCTCGGGCGCAAACCCGGCTTCACGAGCCCAGACATGGATTCGCGCCCCAGGGTGCGGATTCGTGCCTTTCTCCGCCGCTACTTTGTGGTAAATTTCCAGCCATTGAGCCATTTCGGGCGCGTCAGGATAGCAGTGTAAACTCGCACTTTCCTTAATCGCGACGAGGCCACCGGTTTTGCATACCCTTCGCATCTCCCGCAGTCCATGGATTGGGTCTGTGATATGCTGGACTACTTGATGAGCGTGCACGATGTCGAAGGATTCATCTGGAAATGGCAACGCGTGGATATCGCCTTCTTGGAAGGAGATGTTGGTGATACCCTCGGACGCGGCGAAGGCACGAGCAGCTTCAAGCGGAGGGGAAGTGGGCTCGATACCGGTGACGTGGCCGGCTGGTACGAGGGCCGCGAGACCGGTGGTGATGCTGCCGGGGCCACAGCCAATATCGAGGATTTTGGAGGTGGTTTGGAGGTGTGGAAGGAGGTAGGCCGTGCTGTTTTGCGGGGTCCGCCACGCGTGGGTGCGCAGGACGGGAGCGCTGTGGTCGGCGCTGTAGACTTGGGTTGTCATCGTGAATGTTGGGTTTTGGAAGGCTGATTGTTGCGGATTGGAAAGATTGAAAGACGATTGGAGGACTGATGACTGGAACTATGTACTCAAATGTTGTTCCTCATCAGGTACCTTGGGGTAGAATATTTCAGCAAGAGGTATAAATTAAGGTCAACACTTGTTGCACAACATAAGGGAAACCAGCGTATCAACACACCACCTAAAGTCGATTATCAATGTTCTTTACAGTTTTTAGGCCACTTAGTATCGGGGTCGCTGCAATATCGGAGAGTCGGTCGGATTTCAATATCGGAGTCGGTCGGTTTGGAAGTCGGATTATCGGAGTCGGTAGAAACCGGCCACAAAGTGGTCGGCTCAAACATATCATCAACACAGCTTCATAATATCTCCCCTTTATCAATTGACCGCCTATTTGGATTTCTCTCCTGGGTCGAAACGCGTAATCCTCAATCCTCAGTTCTCATTTAGACATTTCAATCCCTCCTACAATGTCCTGTCCTGACTGCTTTCGTGGAGGTGTCTCCAAGAGCCATCCCACTGGCTCGGAGGTTACGATCCATGGCGTCAAAACCTATGTTGCTAGGCCCGAAGCCGGCGTCACGCCCAAGGGCATCATTGTCTTCATCACTGATGCATTTGGCTGGGACTTTGTAAACAACCGAGTCTTATGCGACCACTATGCCAAGGGAGGTTTCCTAGTTTACTGTCCAGACTTCATGAACGGTTCGTTCCGCCCCCAACATCCGAACTCTTAACCTATAGCTAACTTGTAGATACCTCAAGGCCGTGCCATGTCTCCAGCAGTCCTCCCTGTCTTTGACACGCTCTTAGAGAAATCCTCCTGGTTCACCACAATCTTCGTCAAGCCGTTCGCTTTCCTATTGGCCCTGTACTACGTGATCCCCTGGATACTGACATGCAGCCCGGCCAAGACCGAAGCCGGCGTGATCAAGTATTTCAAGGCTCTTCGTACCTCGCCTCCTCCTTCTTCCGTTCAGACTCAGGACTTGAAGATCGGTGCGGCCGGATTTTGCTGGGGCGGCAAGCACACTATCGAGCTCGCAAAAGATGACCCCACGCACCGCGTAACCCGACACTCCTCCCAGACCCTCTCCTCCGTCCCGGAACCTCTTATTGATGCCGCCTTCGTCGCGCATCCGACCTACATCAAGGTTCCGGACGACATTGACTCCATCAAAATCCCCATCTCATGGTCCGTCGGCGAAGAAGACATGCAGATGAAGGGACCCGATATCCAGAAAATGAAGGCCATTCTTGAGAGCAAGAAGGATGCCGAGCATGACATCCAGATTATCCCCGGTGCTAAGCATGGCTTTGCGATCCGCACCCATCCAGAAGATAAGGAGGAGATGGCGGCGGCGAAGCGAGCGGAGGAGCAGGCTGTGTCGTGGTTCTCGCGATGCTTTTCTTAAGAGAATATTCAGAACAATAGTATATAGATGTGCTCTTGACCCAGGAAGGTTCGCAGCTTGATCTATGTCAATCAAAAGCTTCCAACTTCCTGACATCGACAGATTCGGTGTCAGCACCCAAACATTACCGCCATCAAGAACTGGACTGCAAAAGGGCTCCAGTCTGTCCACGTAGATACTGTGGCTAGAGTTAAGATTATCAACGCAGTAGAGGGGGTAGAAAGCCCTTCGATATGAGATATTCTGCCGAGTACATCTCTTGACGCTAGATATTGTAGCGGGGTGCAAGCTTACAACTTTACCAGGCTTGCGATCTCTCTAAGGCATGATCTGTATTTTAACCGCTAATCGAGTCGGGTACCCGCGTGAGAAAGCGTATCGCAACGCGACCGTACTATCTTAAAACGCTTACGGTGTCCCCTGCAATTCGGCGCTTGATTGTCAGCTGATTGCTGCCAAGGCGCGGGGTAGTATTTTAGATTGTGTGATCCAGAATTAGTGCTGATTCTAGCAAAAGCAGTCTTGAATAACGTCTCCTGTTATTCTTCTCTCATTCTTACCTCATTTAAGACGAAAAGCTTAACCGCGGGCTTATGCTTTCTGTTGAGCAGACTCGGCTACACTATTTGAACTTGCAATTGAAGCTGAAGGAACACAAACGTTTGTACAACACAAAACATTCGAGCAAAAAACTTTGTCGCCAGTTCTAGCTTCGCTAAATTCGTCTGGCGCAACACAACCTATCGTTACGCAGCCGTCCGTTTTCGGCTCTCGGCGCGCTTGCCCAGGTACAAAATTTTGACATTGACGACTGGTCATCAAGGCCGAGGCTTCAGCTTACGACTTCACAATGATGGCTGCCAATCCTCAAGCTTCCCAACTACTTGGACAGAGAGAGACAATTGATGCATCCAACAGCTCAATACGCCGAAGGGAAATGCCAACGGGCAAGCTTTACGCCATCGGCGATCTCCATCTCGGCTTCGCGGACAACAAAGTAGCTTGGTCAAATCTGACACCGCATCCGGGAGATGGTCTCATTCTATGCGGAGATGTTGGAGAATCTGCCGAGCATTTACGATTAGCATTCTCCAGAGCAACAGAGTGCTTCGATGCCACATGGTGGTGTCCAGGCAATCACGAGCTATACACGTTGCCCGTTGAATCCGACACCGGAGCTCGAGGAGAGCAGAAATATCAAGAATGCATTAATATAGCACGAGAATACAACGTTCTTACTCCTGAAGACGATTTTGTTATTTGGAAAGGAGAAGGCGGTCCAGCTGTTATTGCTCCAATTTTTACACTGTACGATTATTCGTTCAGACCTGACGATGTGAGCTTGGAGGGTGCTGTCCCTTGGGCAAGAGAGAAGGATACGGAAGCTACAGATGAGTTTTTGCTTCATCCGGATCCGCATCCTAGTCGGCAAGATTGGTGCAACGCGCTCATTAAGAAATTTGAGACAAAGTTGGAGGCTGCGAGAGCACAATACCCGTTGTTGCCTCTTGTTATTGCAAACCATTGGCCATTACGGGAAGACTTGGTGACACTCAAATTTATCCCAAGGTTTAGCTTATGGTGTGGTACCAAATTGACAGATGATTGGCATCGGAGATTCAATGCTAAAGTGGTAGTTAGTGGCCATCTTCATATTCGGAGAACGGATTGGAAGGATGGGTGCCGATTTGAGGAAGTCAGTCTTGGTTATCCACGGCAATGGAAGAATTGTGCTGAGATGGGTATGGGGGTGGATGAGCTCCTGAGAGAGATTTTGCCAGGTCCAGAAATTCGCAAAACTGGAGAGGTTCCGACACGATGGAGAATGTACGGATAGAGTTATGAGTTAAGATTTTGTTAAAACTAGAAATAGCGATGGCTGATAGAGAAAGCTTCGACAGTTGGATTTGACGATTGCATCATTTAATCTCTTGGATTGGGATGATCTCAATCGAGAATTATATGCTGTGGAAGCAACTGTCCATGAAATTTTTCACTGTAACAAAGAAGAAAAGAGCACCAGAAGCTTAGAAACTAAATAGAAATTCATTTGACCAATGCGCGAAAGGGTCAATGTTTGCTCTGACAACGACAGGAGGTAGCAACGATCAACAGAGTGTAAAGATTTATAGTGATTTAGGTGAAAGTCATCGAATATCTAGTAAATTGTCCCAAGTGAGCCTTACGAGTAATGTATCCGAGCCTTATAGGACAGGAAAAAATCGTGTACATGGGTCCAATGAGTTTGAATCACCCCCTCCTCACCAAAATTCAAAACCATCCATCAGTGATGCTGTGAAGATAAGCCAAACAATTTTCCTGATCTATCTAGGAAGAATATCCAAGTAAAATACAGAAAATCTTTCGAAAGATAGAAGAGCAAAGCGTATCTAGCTAAAAAGAACTTCTCCCCGGTGTCTTGATTTAGATTCTTGAAGTGCTATCATGGATGGGCTTCACGAATAATATCAGCTGTACAATAATTCAGGTGAGACCTAGTTATTGTTGAAGATAGGCTACAGTGCACACTGGAAGATTGACGAGAGTGTAAGCAGGATAAAATTGCTAAGGGCGAAGAGGTCTAGATAGCTACGAGTGGGGCCGCTCCGCCCGCTTGGCGGTCACGTGACCGACAATCTATTCCCAACAGTTATTAGGGCCATGCCTTTCTTCTTGAATGACTCCGTTAGTAGGAAGACACGACGGTGCCTAATAGAAGCCAGTTCACAAGAGGATTTTGATTAAATATCGATATTAATTTGAAAGTTCTGTAAGCTTGTTACACTCTTGCTGTTCCATGGTTAAATTTAGCACACAGCATCGTATATTATTTTATGATACCGGGTAACTCCGAGTTTGAGATTATGACAAAGGGGGAATTTCCGAATACAGAATGGCACTTGAGTCATGCCTCATCTCATCCTCTATACAGATGTCTGGGGAATGGAATTTTTCAGCGTGGCTTGGCCCCCGAAATACATGAAACGTACCTTTGCAATAGCGGCGGAGAACCTATGTCTAGGCGCGGAACTAATGCATGCACATTCCCCTAGCACTCTCTCTAACCTACAAGCGCTACCTTAGTGAGTCTTTGATCCACGAACCAGAGTTCCTGCGATCTCACGATCCCCACCTTTCCCATCCACGTGCCCCATAAGTATACAGCTTAGCTTGATATCCCCTGATCCTAGCCCATGCAAAGTTGTTCACGCGGACATTTTTGAACCCAGCCCCCTCCATTCACTGTGCATCAAGCGGCGCAGGCTGATGAGGGAATGACCCTTTCTGAATTCACAGCCCCTGGAAGGACTTGGGTTTTGGGGGCTGTGATTTAAAACCGACACAGTATCCCCGCGGTCCGAATATTCGTACCGAATTCGAAGCATTCAACAGACGCCTAACTGGATTTCACGGGCCCCAACAGTGCCCTTCGTTCGAAATAGATCTGCTTTGTCCGATTTTGTTTTGACGAGGAAGGACCCGTCTTTTCAGGCAGAGCGGCATTCTCTGAAAATGAAGCCCTCTTTCCCAACATTCTGCTCTCTGGTAGAGTTAGTGAATTGGGCCCATTGCGACCCTCCATCTACTAAGTGCACCTACCTTGTGAAGGGTGAAAGACCATGCGAGTCCCGGCCAAGGCAGAACAAGGGATCAAATGATGCCAGATCAGTCTTTGCCGGCCATCTTGAAATTCTCACTGGACCTTCTGATATGTTTATCAAGACATACATCCATGTCAAAGTCTTCGAGGATCTCGCTGCTATCCACCTTTGCAGCAGACACGAAAAACACAAGTCACAAGCCACAGAGCAATGGCTAGATGAGTTCAATACAGAGAGAGCATCTATTATTTCCAGATTAGAGGATTACTACAACATGGAGAGTGATGATCTGTACACCGAGGATGAAATCGAAGAAGATGACGAGACGGAGGAGTCCATTCTTGTATACGACAGCAGAGTTCTTCAATATGACAGCGGGCAGAAGGAGCCGGATGAGGAACCAGATGCATTGGAAGAAAAAGTGGATGCTTCAATAGGTTCCAGTCAATCATCGCCGTTGCCTGGGGTGATTCGCCGCGCATGGACAATACAAGATGATGAAGTGTCCAAAGATGTCACTTGGCTTTTGGAGCAACCTGTTCAAGGTAACTCTAAAATCCCCGGGTGGGTTTACATAATTAGCCCTCCTAACCTACCGGGAATCCTCAAAGTTGGCTATGCCAAGACGCCTCCTTATCTGAATCGTTTTGGAGATCACAAGAAGTGCCACGGCGAATATAAAGTGATTGCGACAAAGTTGATACCTTATGCGTATCGTGTGGAACAGCTATTGTTGGCAGAGTTCCAGAACAACCATTATACACTCAAGGACGGTTGCCACAATTGCAAAGCCAGTCACCGGGAGCTACTTAATATCGATGAAAAAAGTCTCTTGAGAAGTTTGAAGAAATGGATAGACTTCGTTGAGTCCTATCCATACAGCAAAACAGGGACCTTGAAGCCAAATGCTAAGAAAAGGCTCCCTCTTCCTGCTTTGAATAGCTATCTCGGCTACAAGGGACGTCGCCCACGATTCTCTCCTAGCCCCAGTTCAGGCAAGAAAGGAGGACGTCAGATTTCGGACTCTCCGATCACACCACCACCACGTCCGAGCTTCAAGGCTGCTACGCCGACCACCAAGTCTGTTAATGTCGATGAGGTCGAGCTAGACCCAGATGACCTGTGCTCGGCAATGGAGGAACTTCAGGTCACGCCTTCTAAGGATGGAAAGAGGGCTAAGGGTGTGATCAGCGGTCGGAAGTAGAACGATGACAGTGGGTCGGAGTAAGGATATCGTTTTCGCGTTTGAGCTTTTTTGAAAGTTTGTTCTAGCTTTAGCCACCTCACATTGCAATTGAGCTTCATAGCTGTAACGTAACATCAATATTTCATGATAGCAATCAGTTTTTTTTTTTTGATACGAGAAGGGATTTTGATGAATCTCTAATGTGCTATCGTGAATGTCATAAATGACAAGTAGGAATTAATCCTTGGACTCCAGACAGGGACCAGGTATTAACTTCAAGGGAATCCATAAAACTAAGAAATGTGTATGCCGGTTCATCATCCCGACTGCCCCAACTAGGTCATGCTTGCCTGCGTTATTGACATGAATTTGAGTGGTGCACTAGTATCTGATCTAAAAGTCGGTTAGCATCATCATGTCCTAGGGTTAATCGGTCTATCATGAGCTATTCGACAAATTGGTTCCAGATATATGTCGAAGCTTATGAATCAAGGTAGGAGAAAGACATAGAACACAATGACTAAGCCTAAGAGCAAGAATCAGGTCTTTATGCTAGTGAAAATGGTGTGTAACTCATACTTATCTATATACATAACGTGTGGGCACTAGTAACGACCAAGAAATTTTAAGCCTGATCTCAAAACTGAAAGTCCCTCTTTGAGCCCTGTTAATATCGATACGATTACTAGGAAACTCAAGTCAGGAGTAACTGCCTGATAGGATAGACATAGCTAAAGTTACTAACCTAAATAAACTATTGAAGGGACACTTCTTTCATATTAGATAAGGTAGGAGTCCTAACTTAATCTTAGCTTACCTTAATCTTACCTCATCTCTACCTGATCACTACCTCATCTCCAAAAACTCAAAATCTTCCATCCTTAGAGATATTTTTCAATCTGTAGGCAACCTTACCGCCTTAGGATATCAACTGCCGGGTTGTCTCGTGGGTAGGGAATACTTAGTCTAATAAACATTACTAAACTTATCACCAACATAAATCCTAGTATGATCCTAGTATGATTCGCGCTTGGGGTTCACCCAAAGCATTAATGCGAGGTCCCCGTCGATCCCAGGCTTGGGCTTTTCTTTTAATTTTTGTTTTTCCCTTTCATCGTATCTTTTCCCTCTTTAACATTATCTATCTTATGTTTCTTTCTCCCTTTCTTCTAAGGAAGGAATAAACTAAACCTCCTTTTTAGGAGTTTATCACATACCTAGGGCTAATAGACTCACTAACGAGGCTAGAAGACCACAGTGATTAGCGGATACTGCCTGGGACCGCTATATAGTATGCATTTAATACAGCACTCTATGGCAGCACGAAAGTAGACACTGCGCCATCCTACCATCCCTGTCGATCAAGAAGCTTTTAGCTAAAAATAAAAACGGTTAATGACTCCGTCTATAGAGTATATCTTCACTAGTACTCTATGTATAACCAAGCTTATGCTAATGCACCAGCCAAGACCCAGTCAGACTATGCATACAGTAGCTAGTGTTACTGGACCACCTCACTAGTCAATACCTAATACTACTCCATACTCCGAACCTATGATGAAAGACCTACATGATCGTCGCAGACAGGCATATTATTCTTCAGGGGGCATGCGGGATGACATCGGGGCCAAACCAACCGAACTGACCGGGCCTAGCATGTGATGCCGAAGGCAGAAGTGGAAATCGGCATCGCCGAGATGATCGAAACCCTAATCCCGCACAATCTTTAAAGCTAATCGTTCATATGCAAAGATATAATGCATAATAGATATGTGCATATAGTACGGGGTAATCGGTTTTATCCACATGGCATGATTGTGGTGAAACTGTAACATAGCACAAAATGTCTGGGAGCGGTCAATCATCATAACTTAGGTAGAATAGCGGAACAGTTGAATTACAGAGTAAATTCATGAGTTTAGGTAGATATATCATATATTCACATTGACATTGCTTCGTGCTTTTTGTAAGAAATCCCTCTATATCCATAGTCAAATCCAGTCCAGTCCAAGATAAAACAAGAACAAGAGGCATCGTCATCGTCGTCAAGAAAAAAAGACCCAGCCGATCAAAAGCGCCAAGTATGAACATGAACATGAAATCGAAAAAAAAAGAATTACAAAAGGGGGAAAATCAAATCCCCTGTGGAGAAAAAAACCCCACAATCTTTCTGCATAATAAAACAGATCAAAAAATTAAAAAAGTCCGCTAAAAGACCATCCAAAAAGCACAAATCGTCCAAAAAGACACGGGATGGAAAAAAACCTCCACATAGACACACGACACAAGACAGCTTGTGCCAATGCCTAGACCGGAGGGAGCACCAGAATAAGTAAGTTGGGCTTACTCATCCAATCCGATCCCGAGATCCGTATCCAAATCAGCCGTCAACCCAAGCCGCTGAACCTCGGCAGAAACCCCATGCCCACGCGACTCAGCCAAATGCGCAAAATCAAATGCCTTAGGCTCGGTATCGAAGCCCAGAACCTTCATATCGAATTCATAGGCTTTTTCCTCGGCGCCAACACCAACGGAAACACCAGACTGGTGGTGCTGATGCTGGTTCTGTTGCTGCTGCTGGACATCCTCAGCGAAGAAATCATTGCCCGCATCGTCAAAGTTGATCAGAGCGTCAAAGTCGTTTTGAGTAACTTCGGCGTCGTTGGCAAGATCCATTAATTCGGTAAGACTCATTTCTGAGTGGAGGTCTGGAATGGCAAAGGCGTCGTGGGAGGCATAGTTGGGGTTTAGGTTGTTTGTGCTGCCGTTTTCGCTGCCGTCGGAGTGTGGGGGTGTGGAGGCGAAGAGGTCGGCGGTTGATTGGGCGCGGGTAGGCGCGGGACCGGGTTTGGGGTATGTGAGGTCGGGGATTTTTTGGGCCAGGGAGTCTGGTGGGGGAGTCAAGGCGTTGGGGCGGGAGAGGATGTCGAAGTGGTCGGTGCTTGTTGAAGCAGAGGGAGTTGTGGTGGAGGCGGCGGTAGTAGTAGTGCGGTTGGGGCGGGACCGAGAGGATTGTACGTCTTGCGGGGCGACGGTGAGTTGAATGCCGGCCTTGCGGATGGCGGCTTCAAGGAAGGAGGTGGCAAAGTCGGCGGAGGCGTAGATCTCGCGTAGACGTTGTAGGATGCGCATGCATTGGTAGAAGCGCTGGAGGCTGGTCATACGAACACTTGGGTCGCTAGACTTGATGTCCAGCAAATGAATAATGACAGCGGGGAGGAGGACGGTGACACCGGTAGTGGGATAGTACCGAGTCAGGTCGAGGACGTGCAGGTCCTGGGCGATGTTGGTGATTTCCACCGCGGCGAAGCGCACCTTGTTGCGAGACATTTCTTGCAGCTCGGCGTCCGTGGACGGATATGGGACTGCGGGGAGGACCTGAGGCCGGTGCAGGGCGCTGGAGGTCGTGAGGTAAACCATCTTCAGCAAAGCACGATGAGAGTGCAGCACCTCGTTGGCCTCGGATAGCTTGTGGCCATCGGAAGGCGAATATTGAGTTTCCACAGGGAGGTTGGCCAGCCAGTCCTCCAATTCCTGGTCACAGCGTCGCACTTCGAACGTCTCAGCAGTGGATTTCTTCGGCACCAGCATCATCGTAGTCTCCATGGTACCACCGAACTTGTGGCTCAGTACGGAGTACTGGGCTGAAAGCACATGGCTGACGCAGAGGCACAGCTTGGCCTTTTCAATGAACATCAGTGCCAGCTCTCGCTGGTGGCTGACATTCTGCAAGATCTCAGAGTCTCCAACCATCTTTACGATTTCCGGAGAAAAGCTCTGGAACTCGAAATCGTCCAGGGTGAGCATGGGTACGTCACAGTCGTCATCCTTTACACGCATCGGTCGTCGCATACCCAGCGCAATAAGTCGGTCACGGGTGTACGTGCTCCACCAGATGCGTTTCCACATCCGCTGGCGACGAACATCCATCCGCGAGTTGCCGGGGTCTCGGTGGAGTCCAATGGTGTGGGCCAGCGAGAGACTCACACCCATCCAGTGCCAGGTGTCCTTTTGGTCATCGGGGGTTTCGTACCAATAGGTCATCAGAAGGAGCGACTGAACTAGAGAGATGCGATCCACCTCGTAGTCGAAATCATACAAGAGACGAGCACGCTGGAAGAAAATCTTGCGAGCCGCTTTGCGGGTCTGGTAACCAGCAGCCTGGAGATGTTTCATGTCGATAAAGGCCATACCGGCGAACATGACAGCCTGGAACAGCAGGAGACTGATGCGGTGGATGCCATCGTTCTGCACAATGGTCTGGAGGAATTCCTCCAGATCGAGCAATGGCATGTACGTATGCACGTAGTGAATGTAGGCCTTGAGCAATTCGTTACGCAAGGTCACATCGGGGATCGTCAGGGCGCCCTTGGCGGCTAAATAATCGATATCCTCTTTCTGGAGTCGAGCAGGCAGGCCACGGATATAATCGGGGAGAAAGCCGTTGGCGGTACGGGAGTTGGCAAAATTGGGATCTAGCAATTGCTGAATTTGCAGAGTCGCATTGGCGAGAGGCATTGACGAGGGAACGGCTGGGTTAGGAGCCATTCGGCGACGAAAGCGATCATCAGAGCCAATACGATGAGCCTGTGATTGATCTGTAGCAGAGGCGAAAAGAGAGCATATTAGCGTTTGGCCACATTGAGAAGACAAAGGGCAATTACGAACAGAGTAGATGAGGCATATGTTGCCCGTGGTCGATATCGACCGAGTTCTGCGAGGGAGAAGTCGGCTCCATGTCGGCCATACCGTGCAAGCCCAAAGAGCCTAGAGGATTCTCCTCGGAGATCTCGCCGGGCGACTCGGAGGTGTGGTTGGTATCCACGTCGACGCGCGACTTCCTGTCACACAACAGAAACAGCCGATGTTAGTTTGAAATGATACATAGAATGAAATAATTTGTTTCTTTCTTCTAAATCAGCTGCAATGGTGACGAACTTTCTCCGCTTGCTTTCCGTGACGATACATTCGACCTGATCGAGGCGACAATTCGTGCAAGGTGATCCATTTTCCACTACATCGCAGCGAACCTTGCGAGCTCTGCAGCAGCAACAAGCTTTCGAGGCGCGACGTTTCACAGGACGATTATGGGCGGAGAGACCGGCGACCGAGGCCTTGCGTTTTCCAGAATCGGAGTCAGTCATGGTGGCGGATGCACTACTCATGATGGTGGCGATGAAGTGATGACCGAGGGGCGATCGGAGCACATTCGATAAATGTGCTTATAGAGATACTCCGTTGGAAAGTATATTGCCACACAGACAATAAATTTTTTTTTGAATTGTATAGTAGGGAGGAGAAAGGAGGAAGGGAAAGGGTGAGGGGGGAGAGGAGAGGAGAGGAAGAGGGGAGAGGTTGAAGCTGAAGGAGTGGAGAGGGTCTGGGGAGGATACCGCGCCTGGGGCCGGGGACATGGAGTGTTTAAGTATATGGGGAATTATAGTAGTACTTACTACTGTGGTCTACGATTCTACAAGAACAAGTATAAACCCTCGAGTCCCCCAGTGTCCACCCAGTCCACTCACGAACCCAGGAACTAAAACTTACAGAAACTCAGGTTGGGGCAGATCCGTGCCAGAAATATTAATTAGAATAAATCCATAAAAATCATAGCGCCCCCAATCAACTTGGGGATAATGTCACTAAACTCAGATGGGCAAGAATTCCCCACACGAGAGGCATTTCCACATTCGAAATGTGGAGGACTGGCGTCACAGTCGCCGAAATCGGATTAGCGGCAAATGGTCTTTTGGGTCTGATTTTTCTGTTTCGTTGGTTTTTGTTTCTCGTGGCACCCAGCAGAACAAAGGAAGTTAGCACGTTATTTTAGCACGTCCTAACTGTTAGACTGTTAGGCTGCTTACGTTTGAATGGTTTTAGATTTCCGGGGCTTAATACTAACATCTCACTGGTTGTTCAGTTGAAGAGAGTTGCCCGCAAATTCCTCTTAGAATGTGCTCGGCCCGCTTGTTTTACCTCGTTCGGAACCGTTACGGTGCCGAGTATCCGATGCTGCATTTTCCGGGTTGTTTTTTGAAGATGAACTACTAGATATCTGAGAATATCACATAGGTTATCTATAATACTGTAAAGAAGGTTACAGATGAAATGTCAAGTTCAAGGATAGTCTCCTAATTCTTGAGACAATTACCAAAAAAAAGACATCAGTTGAAGAAAAAACCTCCTCGTGGATTGCTGGTGGAGAGCTGTGTGTCATGGGCCACACTAAAAGTGGTAATTTACCGCGGCGTATTACTGTTTTTGGTACCAAACCGGGGCCTGAAGTCGACTGCATGGCCACCGCCACGGAGAGTCGATCCTATCAATGCATCAAAGCGACTCTAAGATAATAATTGATCATAATTAAGTTAGCACTGTATCTACTCTAGCTTTTCTGTTGGGAATTTAAGTTGTCATCCCTGCCCTGCATCTCTTCCATTAACTATCAACTATGCATCAACTATCACACCATCGGCACCGGACCGATAGGACGGGAAGTACTCCATAGTCATCGAGATTTAAACTTCCGAAATACGCCGACCAGGTACAGATCCTTGCAGTCTGTAGTCACGACTAGCGAGTTGCAGTGCAGTATAGTACATAATCATAAGGAGGATATGGACTACAGTCCATATGTACATCCGTAGACAACCGCTTCAAAGGTCCCGCATTCATGGATCCGCAATGGAGTCCCCGAGTTCCCAACATCAAGACCGTCACACATCTGGGTCTGAACTTTTGAAGATCGGAGGTTACTACGGAGAACGGAGTAGCGTACCTGGGACCTGGGGCTGAGAACTGGGGATGGGGCTGGACCAAGGAGAATTGTAAAAAATGGAGAAAAGGATTTCTTGAAGACCCCATGACAGCCAGAAGTTGTTTTTCTCCCTGTGGCTCTCCACAATTATTATTATTATTATTATTACAGTGCCTATTATTGAAGTTCCAGCTTTCAAAAAGACTGGAAGGGCTGGAGAAGCGTCCGATGGCGGAGAAAGAGCGGGCCCTCCGGGGTGGAGAGGCTTGTCGTGACTCGCAAGCTTACCAGTTTCGGATCCGCGGATGAATAATGAAGTAATAACGAATGGTTTAATACCAAATAATGGAGAATAAAACGGAATTGGGATCCGCAAGAGTCGCTTTTCACGCCGGGTTGTTTTGCTGATCTAGGTCCCACTGCGAGAAGATCAACGCAACGGGATGAGGATCAAGGAAGTTGACACGAAGCATTTAGACTACAATGATGGGATTTAGAAGAGAGATTTACTTCTTCTAAATGAATGACATGGAGATTCTAGACAAGTGTCACTCTGTGTGCTCTACATCGGTTTCGATAGTATACTAATTGCATATCCATAGATCGCGAATTCGCCGTCGATGATTTTCTGAGCTGGTGCCTTGCAAGTTGCTACACTACAATTTTTAGTACTCCAGACTAACTGACCACTGTAAATCCCTGTCTCTCTGTGCATCCATCCATTACTAAGTCGAGCGGGTCTGGAACCCCCAGCAGCCCTAAGTGGGAACACGCCGACTCCAGAGTCTCACTAACCTTCCTCCCCAGGAACGCCAACGGCCCGAATGGAAATAATTAATAACTGTAATAATAATTGTATACTCCCCACAAAAGCAACCTTCAAACGTCAAGAATATAGAAATAAGACAATTGATTCAATACTCAGAAAAGAAGAATGGCAATCCACAATCTCATGAAAATGACGACATCCACACAAGAACATCATCTCATTCGTCCTAGATATATTCTCAGTCAAAGTGCTCCGTATATCCGTTAGAATAGGCCCCAAGTCTCATCCCATCCCTTCCGTCCATAAAAATAGCCGACAACCGGAGAATCACACCCCGGTTCACCATCCCACCTCCCTGAAAAGTTAAAACAACCCAAGGCCCATGACCGGACCGACGGTCCAGATCTTGAAAAATTATGCCGCACCGAGACGGTCCTAGGGATGTCCGAATGACTGCGGATACCGCGGTGGATGATAATTGGTTGAAACGTAGTATGGGTATGCAGCCGGACTAGGACTAGCGTGGTTGAAAGTGCCGATGGTCGGAGTGATGAACCATCACACTGTGTGGTTTGATGAATGCATATCAAGTATGTGTGCGAGTCGCACAGATGGATACGTGAGGCACGTTATATCCCGCATATGACTATGAATATAGTTATTTCGCGCATGCTAGTGTTACGGAAGTGCATCGTTGGGTGATACTATGTTCCGAATTGTCCGACATTCACTGACCATAATCAATACATATAGACCAGAAGAGCCTCGTAGAGAATGAAGAAATAGAAGAATCTAAGAAAATATAATGTCTCCGAGAGAAGGCGAACCATGAAAAGAAAAGAAAGAAAAAAAATCCCCGGTCCCTTGAAAATACAAGCCCGTAATTATTCCCAAATCTCAACTCCACCAGCAAAACCATGTGGGGAAATCACGAGGGCATCGGGGGATTGCGGGGCGCCGCTAATGCTGGCTGGGCCCAAGTTACCACTGTTACTAACAAGTCCTCAACCTGAGTCAAGTTAGTCAAAACTCCTGTCGAGGACCCAAAGTAGTTCGACCAATCATTAGTGAAGTTTGAAGTGTTCGAACAAGAGATAAAAAAACCCTGCCTAGTAGTACATACATAGTATTTAAGTAGGATTAACACTGTAAGTCGCAGTATTCAGTGTGGGCAATCAATAAGTGGAACACCAATCAACGACCTGGCATAGGTCAAGGCCCCGAAGCGCTGGCCCGTGTCAACAGTTATAGTACAGTACATATGTACATGAATAATGACTCCATACATCCTCCGTGCTTGTCCTCGAACTCCGTCGGACTTGAATCTAGACGCCGTGACACTCCGCCCCGGCATTATCCGTCTGACACAATCTTCGATCCAGTCACATCCAGTCATAGACCAGGAAACAATCAGAAACGGGAAATCCGGGGATAGGGTGGCTTGGAAAGTTGGGGGGTGGTCTGTCTGGCCTCGATCTTGCGGGATTAAATAGTACGTGCTACAGCAAGGGATCAATGGGGGCCAATACAACTGCTTGTTGGCCCCATTGTTCGTATCTAGAAAGAACAAACAAGCTATCGCCTAAAACTTATCGATCATCATCCTACACTCATACAAATAGCGATCACCATTACTATTATCATTTATCAACCTCTCCCTATCCCGTTCGGTATACCTTACTCCGTACACAGCCCGTCACAGGAGCCGACCCGGCCAACCTCGAACCGCTAGACTTGCCGAGATGGGTTCCCGAAACAGACTAGGCGAGCTTGGCGTTAGTATGTGCGGTGGGAGTACTCGCCAGTTAACTTGCCATGCCAGCCGCGGGCCGCCGCAGCACAGATATACCCGCAGATTTTCGGGCAACCGGGGGCAGGGGAGATTATCTGAGCCAGGGTTGTGAAATGACGAATTGTCAGATACTTCTGTACTAGGAGTAGTACAACAGGCTGAGGATACGATCGCAAAGCCACCACGAATAGAAGAGTCCGGGAAACCTGCAACAACGACAGGCTTGGCGATTGTAAGGAATATGGGGCTAGGCCAGAGAGGCACAGTCGCTACTAGACTGGCAAAGCACAGCACAGGACAAGGCTGGCCAGGGATCGTAAAAATCAATGTAGAGCACTTGATGTTCCACTATCGGTCATCACGCCGGTCGCTCGTAAATCCTGCACCATGACTCGTGATGAGGGCGCCAAAGAAGGACAGAAAAATCAACGTCCGAGCTCAGGGTTTCATGAAAAGAACGAATCAATAAGCTCTCAGCTCTCCCCAGGAAAATCGTTGCGGCGGGGGTAATTTGACAGAATCCACTTCATCACTACAGCAGATTCGATTGAGTGACACATATGGAGTCCTTTAGTCTGTTCGGAGATATCTGCGCAACAGCAGCCACCCCACGTTTCGTTTCGTCGGAGAAATGCCGACACTCAATCAAATGACGAGCTAGTTAGCTTCCCCCTCCAAACCCCATCCCCATCCCCATCCCACCAGTCAGTAGCTACTCCTATAATGTAGTAGTTAACCTTCCAAAACCAGAGGCGGTTGCACCCCCACTAAAAAGATGAAAGCCGTATAAACTACCCCTCGTGGCTAGAGGCTAGTTACCCACGAGGGGGCTCTGATCAGCGGCCATACAGCTTCAAGCTGGAAGCTAGTGAAAAGCTGGAGGGGAAGAAGAGAGGAGTGAGGGACAAAGTGGCGTCATTGCGCATTTGCCCCTCCAGCCCAGAGTAGACCAGACCAGACGGGGTTAGATAGGCGAGAGGGACAAAGCCCAAAGGTCAACGGGGAGGGGAGGTGACCGTGCGTGGGGGTTACTAGGTGTGAAAGAAAGTGCTCGCAGTCATTTATCGAGATACAAGACGGACAGAAAGATGGATACGCTGGTTAGGTTTGAGTGGTTAATTGTCACCTGTCAATAATCCCTCCGTCAGTCGTTCAATCCTGAACAGACCGGACGAAGGGGAATCGAATCGGCCCCGGCCAGGCAGCGGAAAACACACTCGGCACCCCGCGATGATTGACTGGATCGTAGAAGATCGTGGAGGAGGTGGGAAGTCCGGTTGTCAAGTGGGGAAGATACTCGAGAGTGAAAGTTAGCCTGTTAGCCTGTGAGGTGACTGCGCCTAAGGGTCAATTTGCCTCCCCAGATTATTATTCTTCTTCCTGCTTTTGGTGGCGCGAAATTGGTTCGGAAATCCAATCGGAGGGTCCTTGCCACTTTGGATCGTCAATGAGTTCTTCTAACCTTACGATGGATAATGAACAAAGAGAGTTCCGGAGCATAATGCTGAAAAAAGTCAGACGAGTTGACGGGCCCCGGAAGTTCCAGCAGCTGACGACGGTGAGTGTCAGTAGTGGTGGCTCGGTATAGCTTCAATGGTGGTAGATTTATTTATCTACCCGACCATGTTGGTTAGTTATTTGATATGGTAGCTATTGCAAGTCTTTGAATGTATGGACGCTGGCTTCATTCAAAGTCGGTAAGTAGGTCGAACGACGAGAACCAGTGCATAGTCATGCAAAATAGCACAACTTCACAACTGACCCGTGGCACATTCTGTTTCCGAATTATATGGATGACTGCTATCATCCATCTGACCGGACAAGATCTAAGAATTCTCAAAAAATCGGAAATGCATCAATTTCATAGCACATAATAACATAAACATCGTAACCGAAACCATCCCATTCCAACCATCCCATTCCAACCTTTCCACCAACCAGAAAAACAAAGTCACCAAATAAAAGATCATCGCGGAAGGGGAATCAATCGCGAGAACAATGGATAACCAAAATAACCAAAGAAGTAACATGGAAAACATAACATCAACCATAAAAGCGATAGCAATGCTTTTCACAACATCAACATCAACATCAACATCAAACACCACCACGACCCATCCGCTCTATCGAGCTCATAATACCTCCGCGACCAGGCGTAAACACAGCAATACCCGATTTCCCACCACTATTACCCCGCGAATGACCACCAGGAGCAGCGCCGAACCGAGGAATACGTTTCTCGTTCGTGGCAGGGGGAGGACGAATACCACTAGACGCCGAACCTGAGCGGCCGATACTACGGTTGAAAGATTCAACCGGTTCACCGGTAGACTGATAGTAATATTCTTCTTCATAGTGTCCAGCGGAGGAAACGGAGGGTTCACGCTCGCGCTCACGCTCACGCTCTTGTGGTTGTACCTGGGCCTGACCCTGTTGCATGGCAAGCCACTCATCAACAGCAGCGACGAGTTCGCCCTTCTCAGCGCGTTCAGATTTGAGTTCCGAGCGGAGACGTTCGCTGTCTTCCTTCAGAGCGGCCATTTCATGCTGCAGACCCTTGACCTGGGCTTCGAAGACGCGTTTCTCAGCCTCGTGCTCGTCGTTCTCGCGGGCAATCATACTAGCGTTGGCAGCGGCCATGGACTCAGATTGCGCGGCATCACGTTCATCTCTGAGACGGTCGTTATCCTGGGTAGCGGCGGCGAGTTTACGCTCCACCTCGCGCAGGCGCTTCTCCCAACGAGCCTCGTAGCTCTTTTTCAGAGCGGCGACCTTGGTTTCGTGCTTGCTCTTGTATAGAGTGTGTAGTTCACGAGCAACTTTTTCAACGGCTTCTTGCACTTCACGTGCAGTGGTCTCGGCGGATTGAGAGGCCTGGCGGGATCCAGCATTGGAGCTAGATTGAGACGCGGATGCCGAAGCCGATCGTGCGGAAGAAAGCTGGGTCTCGAGCTCGACGATTCGGCCTTCAAGCTGCTCTTTGGCTTTCTCCCCCTCATCAACCTTTCGTGTGAGACGCTCTCTCTCACGTTCGCCGTCTTCCAGCTCATCTCGGACCGATGTGAGGACAGTCTCCATCTCCTTGCCTCGACGGTCCCATTCAGCCTGTTCCATCTCAAGCTCATCTTTCCGGGCAGCTTCATGACGAGCCTCTTCCAAGGCTTCACCCACACGACGCTCGGCGTCAGAAACAGCCTGCTTCAAACTGGCGACCTCTGCTTCTTTGCCACTAAGAGTAGCCTTGAGAGAAGATATCTCCGACATGAAGCTCGACTTCAACGACTCAAGCTCTCGCGGCGTGATAGAAGGGAGCGATCGAGGAGTCGGGGCCGGCGGGATATCAAAGTCCAGCAGAGACGACATCTTTGAGGGCGATCGCATAGATTGACGCATAGGGCGCATGGGAGACCGCCGGGCTGGGGAATAGCGAGAGCTTTGCATTGACTGGCGCGGGAGGAAATTCATCTGATCCGTGAAATCAAGAAGATTGGATGACTCCCGGGGATTGCCAACATCCCGGGATCCCCTGCGCCTGGGCGTAGGCGATCCCACTTGTGAGCCTGTATCGAACATTGCGCTAGCTCTGTAAGATCTGCGTGCTGTTCCTGGGGTAGAAGGGGCAAGGCTGCGGCGATACACATCTGCCGAAGGGCCTGGACTAGGTCCGATACTGCCGCGCATAGATTTCAGAGGCGACTGGGCACGCAGGTTTGCGAAAGAGGTCATATCCGGCAGAACGGAGAAGTTGCTCAGACCAGTGTCATCCATGGGGTCATGGTCATCTTCACCCAAAATGGAATGTTCATCAGGGCGCTCGAGGCGTTGGTTCTCTTTGCCGGTCTCTTCGTCATCGTGCAAAACAGTGCTCATGCCCTCGTTGCGCTTATCTTCCATCATGCTGTTGGCAATAGTCGACCGATCATACGTGGCGCTTCCTGCGGAAACGAAGCTTTGATTGTGAATAACGCTGGACTCTCCTTCCTCGAGATCGATATGGATCTCCGGTGCCTCAACTCGGCTCGTCATGCCTTTCTTGCATCGCTCATTGTTCTGAGAGTCAGCCTCGTGGTCCTGCGGCGTCTGATCGAACGAGCGCTTCCTAGCTGTGGTAGATGAGCGGTGGTCGTCAACGCCGAGAGAGACTCGAGGTGCCGAGCGAAGCTTTTGAGAACTAATCGTATCGTCCTTTTCGTCATGTCGGAATGAAGAGTTACGAGAGCCAATAGGGGACTGAGAGCTTTTCCCGAAAGACTCGCGCTGCAATGCACGCGACGCATGAGAACTGACTGTGTCGTCCTTCGCATCCGAAGCCCGACGGAGAGGTGAGCCACCCGCGTCGACAGGCGCATTTTGCGTGGCCCTCCCAACCGACATCCTTTTCCCGAACGACTCTCGCTGCATAATAAGCGACTTCCGCGAACCAACAGTATCATCTCTGTCATGACGGAACGGCGAACGCGGTCCACCAGGAGACTGAGTGGGCTGTCCTCCAATAGACTCCCGCTGCAATCCACGAGACACGTGCGAGCTAACAGTATCATCCTTCGCCTCCGGGCGGTAAGGCGAGCTACCAATCTCAACAGGAGCAGCCTGCACCATCTTGCCAACGGACTGCCTCTTCCCAAGTGACTCGCGCCGCGCCTTCTCAAAATCAACAGTCTCCTCCTGGACCTCAGGTCTGAACGGCGAGCTGACGCTTTGCTCATCCTGCTCATCAAACCCAGGCGAAGCTGGACCCTGCATCTCGCGCAGCCGGTCAAAATCCACCGTCTCATCTCTCACGTCTGCGCGGAACGGAGAGCTAGCCGGGTCTTCGAATGCAAGCCGTTTATCCAAACCCGGTGACATAGGCTGTACTTCGCGCAAGCCGTAGGAATCGATTTGTTCATCGATAGCTTCCTCCTCATTCTCGTCACGGGCATCGGCTCGGAAAGGCGAACTCGGCGGCTCATCTTCCTCCTCGATTGGAAATTGGTGACGAGCACTCGCGCCGGGGAATGGTCGTTGTGGACCCGTATATTCGCGCATGTTTTGAAAGTCAACTGTATCATCGCGGGTATCGTAGCGGAACGGCGAGCTAGCAAGTTCTTCTTGGTCTTGGTCGTCGTATTCGTCATTATCGTGGGTATCTCGGCAGTGGTCGTTGGGGAAATAATTCTCGTTTTCGTTTTCGTGGTTTTTGTAGGGACTCGGGCTGCGCGCATCCGTATCTGTCTCTCGGTCGGTCCACGCCTGCTTCAATGGACTCGAGGGCAGAGCAGATTCCGTGTTGGACGGAGCGTCGAGGGTTTTTGTGAGGAAGGGCGACGAGCCGGCCATTGGTGAGCGGGCTCGCACATTCTGGTAAGAGGAGGAGAGGGGGGATAGTGGATTTGACATTTTGAATTATGTGAAGAGGATATCGTGTAAACCTCTTCTATGTGTGAGAAAGGGACCTGAAGAGTGTTGGTTCGAGCAGGATCCTCTCGTGTTTTGGGATTCAACGTGCAGCGGAAGCGGGAGCGTTGCTATGTAAACAGAGCTAAGCCGTCTTTGGAATAGTGGATAAGGCAAACTATACAGCCATACACAAAACTCAAGGGAACGTATCCAAAGTAGAGATGTTTGATAAGCGAGGAAATAAAGAAAATAGTGAGTTCTTTATTTAATTGATAAATTTTCAATTTCTATGAGATAAAAAAGAAAACGCTGGAAGCCGAGCTATGCAGGGCAGTCGCTAAAACATGAGCAAAATCGAAAGCGAAAAGAAAAAACTGAAAAAAACAACCATTACACGTCATATCAACCCACGGATCCTTATCGATATTGGATCGAAAAGAATCCAGTAAGGTCTATCCCAATCGCAAGTATGCAACCCTTGCTCAACAATCACTCTCAGCGCGACACCGCAATTCCCGCATCCGTCCGAGCTGCATCAGCATCAGCATCAGCATCAAAATCAGTCACGATGATATGCACAACATTATCCGTCGATCGATCCGGAATAGAAACATAATGACACGGAGCCGCAGGCGCGACAATAACCCAAGAGTTCCTCTTCCGCTGAATAAACCAAAGCTGAACCGCACCTAGCAAAGCAACAAACGAACTCCCCCACCAAGCAAGCGCGGTACAACCCACCTCCGCACCAGTACTGTAAAGGTATCCCGCAATGGGAGGCGCAATCGTACGAGAAGCCGCACCCGCCGAAGCAGCCAGACCATTGATCTTACCCAACACCGAGTCCGACGGACTAGCTTGCTTAATGAGAATAAGCAGCACGGGATAATCGATGATGGATAGGATATTGCGGACGATTAGGCAGGTGTATACTCCCACGAAGGTCAGGTTTTGAGGGAGGAGGGCCACGAAGGGAACCATGAAGTATGCGATTGGGTGGAGGATTGTTACGACGACAAAGAGACGCCATACGCCCAGCCATCCAGCCAGAGCGGGGAAGATCAGGCTTTGAATGATGAGGGCGATGATGCCATCTGTGGACATGATCATTCCCACTGTCTGCGTTGACAGACCGACTCCACCCGGAATATCCAGGAAAGCATGGTGACCAGACGAGCGACCACGGGTATTCTCATCTTGGAGGAAAATCGGCAAAAGATGATCGTAGGTCATCGAGTGGTATGTGAAGATAGCCAGGGCGATCACTAGCATGGTGACCCGCCACGTGAACGGTTTCGGTTTCAGTGACTTCTTCCACACGGGAGACGTACCGTCTGCGAGGACATCCCAGTTCTCATCCTCTTGCAGGCTGACCTGATTGAAGGTTCCGTAGGACTCGGCTCGGAGGTCAACGCCTGCATTGGCAGTCGCGCCGGAGGTCGCGAGGAGAGGCTGTTCGGCTGAGGTATGCTCGAAGAAGCGATGGGTGGTTTCGCTGTGGTGCTGCATTTCTGGGTGGGTTTCCTGTAGGAAGAGCCAGCCGCCGATGATGCTCAATAATAAAAGGACGGAGCAGACTAGATTGGGTAATAGATAGGGGAATCGCCCGAAGAGGCCGTCGCAGGGAAACAGAGAAGGATAGCCCTCTGAGGGTCTTGCAAGGAGACCTCCGATAGCTGGAAATTGAAATCATACGATTTAGCCCGCGTCTACGATGCATGCAGCAAGAGGTTCAAGGGAAGGATAGCTTACCTGGCCCGATAATAGTACCAATCGACCAAACAAAAGGCATAATAGCATAAGCCCGAGCTGTCAAGAACCCACCGTCAGTCCATACAGTACACCAACCACCAACCAAGCCAACTCAACTCATAACTTACGCTCATGCTCAGGCCGTTTAACCAACTCTCCAACCATAGTCTGAATAACCCCAATATTCCCATTCAACGCACCACCCAACGCCCTCCCCACAAGGGCAACCCAAAAGTTCGGGGCCAGACCGACAAGCAGCAACGACAACATAGTCCCAAAGCAGCCACACAGAAGAACAGGCTTGCGACCCACTCGATCAGAAAGACTACCCCAGAACATACCCGTCATTGCTTCAGCGAGAGAAAAAGCGGAGATCAAAATGCCCGCATAGAAGGAGGCATCAGCCCCGTTAGCCATGTGGAAATCCTTGACCATGACCCATGAGTATGGGAAGATGGAGGTTAAAGCTATGGGCTCGGCGACACGACATATTGCTAGAGCGGGACGGTCAGCGATGTTCCATGTTCCATGTTCCGCGTGAGTTGTGTAACCCGCACAAAGAGGAGGAGGAGAAGGAGTGAGAATATAATCACATACCCAAGAGGAAGAGCTGGAGGGTGGGAAAGCTATCGTCGGTGGAAGCGAGAGATCTTGGCTGCTGTGTTAATACCATCGTCCCGTAGAAGTATCTAAGACCTTACGGCTATCCGTCCCCACGAAGTCGAGTCTTAGTCTTCTTTGGTTAATCCTCGGTTGTGGCTTCGGTTATATTCGTGGGTTGGAGAATGGCAGAAAGAAAGAGAAGATCTGAGATTCTTTGTAGATGGACGTTGACTCTTTGGAGGATGTGTAGTCGAGTGCAAGCCTAGAAAATTCAAAGATTGGATATAAAGAAGGAGAAAGAGGGGGTGGAAGAGGCGGAGAGAAAAGAGTCTTCAGTTTCCATTACTCAATTGAGGAGGAGGGCAACGCTTGGGCCAACGGGGCCACTCTGTTTCCAGCGATAAGCTGCCGCCCCTTTGGAGGTTGGAGGAATGTATGGCCGGGTGCGGGGAGTGAGGGGGATTTTACATTTATCTGTTGATTTGTTATGTCAATAGTGACGTTTGCTATTTAATTCAAATAATTGAAGATATCTTGTCAATACTATTGAAGTAGTAATAATAATTATCACCGATATAATCTTCTCATCTGGTGGGTCTACAAAGAAGCCCCCAACAGAGTTTGAAGTGGCGAGCCCGAACTAAAAAACTGCCGCTCATGTGAGCGGTGCCGAGTGCCGACCAACGACACAAAAAGGGAGGCCGACTTCATGTGAGACACTCAATTATAACCAGCTATACCCTCCAATATACATTATATCAATAGTATATCCTACAAAGACTAGCATATCAGTTTTCAGATCTATCTATAGTGTCATACCTCCATGTTGGACTCTTGCCACCATGTTCCCCCATATACTTTAGCCCCGTCCTTAGCGGCCGTTGGGGCCAGTTTCTTAATCGCCGAACAGCCAATCACAGAACCCTGGAACCCTTAGTATAGATGACATCATCAAAACACCTCTATTCAGGAACAAGCCGGACAATATCTCTCTATCTAGGATATAAATTCAGCTATCCGTTCTGGACTCAACAATCATCCTCCGAGCTGGCTCATACTAAGGTGAAAAGAGACGCTACACCTCTCACTGAAATGTCATATGTCTATCAAAGTGAGGGCGTTGTGTCGGAGGAAGGTGCAAATCCGTTTCTCGAGCACCTTCCTCCTGATACGCCCGTCTACCGCTATGACCGACAGTGCGTTATTGGGAGCCTCCTTCCTCCGTATTCGGTCGAGGATCGCTTCATCGTCATAAAGCATTTCCCGCCAGAGATATTCGCCAAATGCGAGGAAGCATTACCACAACGCTGTGATTATTCGCCACCACTTCAGATCCTTGTCATCAAAATGCCTAGTCAACCGCACGAGGAGGCGGCTGTCAGTTTCGAGGCAATGATCACGGAAATTGCCAAGAAGATGCAAGTCTTTCGACGAATCGCGGCCTGCGGAGCCACTCGAATCGATACTCCTGACCGAAGCAAGCAGGCAGACCGATCATGGAAGCCAGCCCGCCAAGCGAGGAAGTTTCCAACGGTGGCATTGGAAGTCGGCTTTTCAGAGACAACCGCAAAACTAGAGAAGGATATCGCTTGGTGGATCAACGAATCGAAAGGCGAAGTGAGAATGGGGGTCACGGTCGACATCAAAAGAAGATCAGGCTGCATTGAAATCAAATCCTGGACCCCAGCATTCGAGCCATCACTACACCTTGACTATGTCACAGTAAGCGGCCGCCACGTCGTCAAAAGACACGTCGATAATTTCCCACCACCTCAGATCGCCCAGAGAGTTCTCTTCAAGAGAGGGCGAGATGGCTCCGATCCTACGATTGAAGGGGAGGGCCTAACCATACCATTCCATACTCTCCTGTTGGATGAACCAGGCGAAGGCGAAAGGGATTTCGTGTTAACAGCCGAAATGTTATTGCTTGACCTGGCAGAGCGTGTCTGGGATGCGATCGACGACGCTGAACAGATCCAGGCTAAAGAGAGAAGCTAGACTGGAAAAGGGGCTTTGATACCGAGGTGCTGTTGACTGCGACCAACTGTGACGGCTATGACTTTCAGGCTTGGGAATAACTTCATTCTGCGGGATTGGTGCCTGGGGTATCTGTTTGGGTGCTTGGGATGTTTTGCCTGCTATGTTCTTGAGCTCTCTCCTTCTGAGTGATCTTCCTTTTCTTCTCTTTCCTCTTCAGCTTCGATCCTTTCGTCCGCAGATACGGAATTAATCTGGTTCTTTTCGATTGACCCGCAACATCTAAACCGCAACACACACGAGGAGGTGCAGTTCCGCTCCTACGTCATCTGTGGCGCAGACATTCAATAATAACTGCCTTCACCCATGCTGCCCTTTGCTTTTCCACTTCTCAAGATACACATTTTGTGACGATCTGGACGGAATCTGCGATCTGAGATGGACTTGGAGAGATCTAGGGTGGAACGCAAACCGTGGCAGCAAATTGTGGCAGATGGTTATCAGGAACCCCCCGATCCTGGGATTTTTTCCCTTTTTTCTCTCTCTTCCCAGTGTCTTTCCCTTTGTAGCAACACACGAATATATAGACTAGCGTGTTTCAAATTGGGGTCCGGGTTAATGCCTAAGAGTGCGGAGGTAGCTCTGATTTCGAATATTCTTGTATATTTTACTTCCATCATATCCTATGTTTTGCAGGTGATGCCGGGACCTGAGAGGATCTCATCCCCATATACTGTAGGATGTAGCCTTCAATGCTGGCCCCACTGGGCGAGATAGCCCGTGGAGGATCAATCGCTTTCTAGCCATCAGAAAGACGAAATAATGTGGAGATGAATTACCTTGAAACAAGTGGCCCCTTTCATAGATGCCTCCGCGCACAGCAAGGTTCTGTACTCCGTAGGCGGCGCTATTCTTCAACCTTTTTGTGATTAAGAAAATCAATGGAGAGGATCGCGGGTATGAATCAATATCGTTTACTGGCAACTTACGATAGAAATGACAGAGGTAGTAAGATCTACAATCAAACGTAAGCTCGAGCTCGTTTGACCTGTCGACGTCCTGGCTGATATGCCGGATATTGGGTCAACCGGGACTGCAACTGGCTGAGGTATTCGGCCGTTTGTCATCCGACCTTGGTTTCCTTACCTTTGACAATGACTCTACATCCATGTCTTACTGTCACCGGGCTTTTGATACTTGGGACATACTCCGACAGAAGCATACTAACCTGCCAATGTTATAAAGAATTTAAAGGAGAGGCAACAAGGGAGTAGGGTATTTTATGACTAGAAAGAAAAAGGGGCAAATGGAGTGAGGTTTAAAGGGCGAAATTGCAGGTACGCAGCGACGAGAGTAAGGAGAGAAAGAGAGGTCGGGCTAACATGGTCTTTCGCATATTTTTGCCGTCAGTCCGCAACACTAAGATATGGATGCGAAACTCATTATCAGCATTCTGAGAGGCCAGAGAGACTGACGATAACGATAACTAGGTGCTGAGGTATTCGTGGCTAGGCAACCAAGAGCTATTCTGTAACGCCTGGCTGTGCAGTGTAACCTTAGATAAGGCGGACGGAGAGGGGCATACGGCGGCCCCAAGGATATACTAGCACTTTGCAAGATGTGAAGGCCGGCGATATCACAGACGAGTATGGACATAAAATCACACTATAGGGCTGCGGGCTAGATTATCCCAGTGATTCTGCTCCTAGGCAACTACTCCATTCCAGGAGCGAGAAAGAGCTAGGCGTTTGATCGAGCGGCATCTCCGGTAAATGAAAGGGGCAATACGTGCGGCTGAAAGCTAAGGCGCCGTGTTCAGTAGGGGCCAGTAAAAGAAAGGGAGGTACGATAAGTGCAAGATAGAGGAGTCAGAGAGAGGGAGAAGAAGGGGAAAGGAGATAGAAAGGGCGAGGACAGGTCTTTTATGTTCGGGCGACAGGCAGAGGAGGTTACAGAACAGCGTATCGGGGCGCCAATCCTCAAACGGCAAAGCTAAACACATATAGTAATTCACAAGTCCTAATATTACACTACAAATAAGCAATATACAGTATCCTGTACTACAATCTATTAACAGGCTGATGATAATGCAAGATAGAATGTCAAGGAACCAACGGGTTACGTGATGTCAGGCAGAAATATAGAACAGCCACAGAAGGGCTACTAGTTAACTGTGGTGGAAAAATACATAGTAACGAGGGCACCAAGCACGCTGAAGTGGGAGACAGATAGAAACCAAGTACTCCCCTCGAAAGACCGAGACAATGAGAGGGTAAAGGGGAGTGTCAATCACATCTCTATCATAGACAGAATGAAAGAAGATGGAGACAAGAAGGAAAATGCGTGTTATGGATGGAAAGTGACAAATGAACGAACGAGCGAATGGTGCCCGAAAACGAAAGGGAAAAGTCACCACCTCCCTCCGCCAACAATCAAAAAAAATTAATCCTTCCCTGCGACGCCGGCTCAATCCATGTCTGATGACAGATTTCTAACGAGAACAAATGAAAATGATGGCAATGAGAGAAGAGAAGACCCCGATGATCGTGGTCATGAGGTCGCCTCGGTGTTCGCTTCGTTGGTAATCTCCACAGATCGAGTCTCGAGCTCCTTAGGCAAGATGCCACCAGGGCTATCCTGCACTTCCACGGGTTCCTTCACGACGGGGGGTTTCTCGGACTTGGTAGGGTCACTGTCTCGAGCCACATCAGCTGACAGCTGGTGAACAGATGGGGTGGCACTTGACGAGCCCTCGGCCCGGTGCGTAGTGTCCTCGATATGCTCCGACTCATGACCCTTTTCATCGTCGCCAATCACGGCAGCTAAACTCCGAAAGTTGAACAACGGTTCAAGAGAAGCACTGCTCCCGTCGGCGGTACGCTCCCCAGAATTGGCTTCCATGATGGACGATATTGATGACGATGCGCTCGACACATGTCGGAGATGAGATGGTTTCGATGGCTCGGCAGTGGCCGACAGATCAGGCGGGGCCAAAGATTGATCGGCCGGACTAGAGGTGATTGATGAAGCAGCTGGGGCCGTTTCCACAGCAGCCGACGGAGTCGCACGATCAACGGCCTTTCCCTTGCCTGCCGACGGACCCTCTTCAGCAATGGAAGAAGAGCTGCTCGCTTTGCCCACGACACCTTCAACGGATGTAGATAACGCCGACGTGCTAGCATTGTTGCTGTACAATCCAGTCTTGCGAGCTGCTTTATCGGCCTTCTTCGCCTCCTTCTCCTTCTCCTTTTCCCTTCTCTTAGCTTCCTTCCGAATTTCCTTCTCTTCTCGTCTCCTGCGGTCTTCCTCGCTAGCCAGACTCAACCGAATCGCCTCCATCATCATCATCTCCTCCAGGTCATCGATGCGGCTGCGTCGCGAGCTGTCTCGTGGTGGCGCAATGGTTCCTTGTCCTTCCTCCGCAGAATCCGTATCTGGTGCAGACACACGAGGTGGCGTTCGATCAGGTCGTTCAGTCAAAAATGCAAGCGCATTGAGTGCGGGAGATCCGGTCCGGCCGGCGTCCCCCTGTGTAGCTCTCCGCAGACCTCTCCGACTCAGACCGATACCGCGCGAGTCACTTCCGGAAGGGTTGGTATTCATCAAATAGGCCGCGGTGTGTAAAGCAGTCGCCGCGGCCGACCGACGTGCCGCATGTGCGCGGGCATTTGCTAATTTTTGCGCCCAATCTGGACGAACCTTGTCTGTCGTGACGACACTGGGGTCGGTCGCAGATAAGGACGTGGCACGGCGGCGGCCATGCGTGGGGAGAGCATGTGCAGAGACCAGGGACGAGGTGGAGGAAACAGGGGAGATGATGTTGGGTGAGGGGCGAACACTCAGGTCGGCGGCATAGGTCAGGCCTCGGCGGAAGGGTGGCGGGGCGTAGGTGACTCCAAATTCGGGTTGGACGCAGAATGGACAAGCGGAGGGCTCAGAGACCAATTGGCCGTCGGTCGATTCAGCTGCTGCTGGTTGTTCGCCTTCAGCCGGAGCCGGAGCATTGGCATCAGGCTGCTCGTGCTCTGGGGGATGCGGATCCGGGCGCTTGATCTGAACAAAGCACTCGGAGCAGATGGGCTGGTCACAGCATCGAGTTCGGTTCAGATACGGAGGGTAGAACAGGAAGCAGATCGGACATTCGGTCCCATCCTTGTAAAGATAGACCTCAATTGGCTGGCCGTTGACAAATGGATCCTTGGGAAGCTGCAGTTCCCGAGGAGTCAGATCTGTCTGTGAGCCATGTCTTGAGGAAGTCAGGGCTGCAAGAGTCTTTGCGCGAGTGCGGAAGAATGGTGACGTGGATGTACCGGAGGCTATCCCCGATGGTAATGACTGGCTAGGGTTGGAGGTTTGCGAGACATCGGAATTAAGCGACTGCGACCGGGAGGTGATGGGCACTGTAAGGTGCTGGATGTTCACCTCCGCCTTCGTGTCACTAGCCTTGGGTGGCGTGTACTCCAACTCTGGGGGAATCTCATCGGGCGGGGGAATAGTCATGCCGCGGGCTGCGGCCATGATTTGATGCTCGGCCCATGATTCTGAGAAGTCATTCAGTCCTCTCCAGAAAGGAGCCATTCTTCGCTCAATCTAGGGGGAGAGGCATCTGCAGTTAGTACATATTGCATCACCACATGCGGGGTTCTCCGAGAGCGGGCCTTACCATCAGTTGTCGAACGACCACCTTATTGAAGTCCTCCGTGCCCACATAGACACCCTGGGTAACCAAATAACCTCCATCCACATGTTCCTCTTTCATACTGCGCTCGCGCTCCTTCACACGAGCCAGTCGTTCCTTCTCCAGGCGACGAGCCTCCCGCTCCTGTTTGGTTTCGCGCCGGTGTTCCAGTGAGGCCACGTCACGGTCATCTCTATCTCTATGACTGCTCCCGATCCCGAGAATAGACAAGTCAGGTCGACTGCTTCTGCCCGATCGAGGGTTTTGATAGACGACCCGGCCGCTGCCGGAGGCATCGGAAGATGACCATTGTTGACGATGCGGCGTGCCGGCTCGTGATTCCTTGGTCTGGGAGTTACCCATCGTGACACGAAGGGAATGGTTGGAGGAAGGGAGGAAGGGAGGAGAGGGGGCTGGATGATGGCCGTCAGGTTGGACCAGGACCAGCCACTAGATTGGCACGGCGTTACTCCGACCGGGGGAAAGGGCCCCTCAAGGGGCAAGAGTCGGGGGAGGAAAATAGACAAGTGAAAATGCAGTTAACGCCAAGATGATGAAGAGAGAAACATCGGAGCCTAGTGATTTTAAGATTTGAGTGGTGACATGTGGAGGTCAAGTAGTTGGAGAGTTGAAGCGGGGAGAGGAGGGGGGAGATCTGTCCGGAGGGACTTGAACTGGGGAAGTAAGATCGGTGAGAGTCTGTATGGGTGGACGGGCATTACGGGACTACGTAAGAGGGCAAACCCGCGAGAATCGGATATGGCGGATGCCCTGTGGACGGACTTGCTATATGATATGTATACACAAATCGACACGCGGTATACTCGGTCGGAAGATCGGTTATCTTGGGTAGAAGAGATCCAAGTTCCGGTCTGGCCATGGCCAAGCGTCTTTAGTCCACCTTGTCGTGTGCCACGAGACTCTCTCGTCATCATCGGTTCACCTTCCAAGACAGCCTAAGCTGGACTAAAGTACTGTAATGCCTTAAGGCTAAGGAACTGGGCTGAGGGCACGAGGGCGATTACATCAGCCCCTGTGAACCCGAGGTCGATCTGCTCATATTTAGTACATTATGTATTCTTCAATAATATGTGAAACTCTACCCTGGTACTGCCTTACGTCCAGTCTCCCCACTCAACTCTCCACTTGGCCGCATTTACTATCGACTAATTTCCCACGATCGCCTCGGCAGTTACTCCGAAGTCCGTCCATCAACTGGGTCAGGTGACCGTTGTGGATTCGAGCCTATGGAAGACTACTCCGTACAGTACCGTGCTATCGCATGCTAAGGACAAACATCGTTTGTAATTCAGTCTGCGAAGGATCTATATAGCACTTACAATCTATTACATTCCTGTTTTGACAGTGAAGTAACTTGATTATAGTGATGCTCTCTCGATATATAAAAGGTCCATCGGACAGGGCCTCCAGAGTATAGGGACATTTGCCTCGCAAACCCACCCATTCAGATTTTGGCCAGAGACTGCCGGAGATTGGAGCTTTCACTGTCAATAAACCAACATACACTATCTAATAGCACCCGTAAAACCTAATCTATAATCCATTGCATCCCTGGCGCGATAGATATCCGATCGCTGTCAACCATCCCCAAACAGGCAGGCGGTGGCATAAAAACAAATCGGTGTGCATCTGCGGAGCGCCAGAAAAAAAGTGCGGCGATCTCAACCATGCTGCGCTGCGGCCCAACTTCTTCATAACACTGGTCTTCAGAGGCCATTCCGCTCGATGAAATGACCGAGACAACCGTCAGACTTCATATCACACCCTTAACCCCCGATATCCTCCCGGCCGTCCTGCCACCTTCGCTCCGCCAGACCGCTACCGACATTTCCTTCCACACGATTCCCACCTTTCCCGAAAACAGCTACGGCTACATTACTTTGCCGATCATGGACGCCGAAAAGATCAAGAAGAAGCTCAATGGCTCAATTCTCAAGGGCAAGAAATTCAAGGTCGAAGCTGCCCGGCCATCCAAGAGAGAGCGAGACGCTGAGGATGTTGATGCCGGAGCTGAGGAGAAGAAAGAGAAGAAGAAGTCCAAGAAGCGCAAGTCAGAGGAGCAAGAGGACGGTGTGTTAGAGGGTTACGAGCTTCCCTCTGATCGCAAGGTTAAGCGAGGATGGACGGAGCCCTCTAAAAAGGACCGACGAAGAGCCGAGAAGAGCAAGAGCAAGGGCGATAAAAAGGAAAAGCCCCAGGCCAAGTCCAAGTACACAGAAAAGGAGGAGTGTCTCTTCCGAGCGACAATCCCTCCCAATCGCAAGTCCCTCGACGCCGCCGACGAGAAGAAGGCCAAGAAGGCCAAGAAATCAACCGATAACGTTGTCCACGAGTTTGCCAAAGCGACCACTTATCCCAGCTTCCTCCGTACATCAGGCGAGAATGCTGTCCCGACGACTGAATTTGATGAAGGGAAAGGCTGGGTGGATGCTTCGGGCAAGGTGAAGGAGGCTGCGAGCGACAAGGCCCGCAAACATGACTACCATCCTGGACAAAAGGCGGGTGCCAAAGTGAAGAAATCCGAGGTCCAAAAAATGCTGGTGAAGAAAAAGTCACCGGAACCCTCGAGTGAATCAGAGGATTACACTTCGTCCAGCGGGCCATCGTCTGATGAGAGCGCCGACTCTGAGAGCGAAGCAGACAGTTCATCTGATGATTCATCTGATTCGTCTGACGACGAAGCGGACGAGAAGCCGGAACCTACAAAGCAAACGGCAAAGGCTGCGCCTGCCACCGAGAACGCCATCGAGGATGCCCCCGAGGAATCAGACTTAGATCCCGACGCAGAAATGGCCGACGAGCCTGCCAAAGAGGCGGAAGAACCCTCAACACAAGAGGTTCATCCTTTGGAAGCACTCTTCAAAAGACCAGCTCCCACGTCCACCGAGGAAATCGCTGCGCCTGCCCCCGCCGCCGGGTTCAGTTTCTTCGGCGGCGACGACATCGAGTCCGAAGATGAGCCGCAATCTGCAGAGCCTCAGACCCCCTTCACGCCGTTTACCAAGAAGGATCTCCAGGTTCGAGGCTTACGAAGTGCTGCACCTACACCCGACACTACCATGGTGAACCGCCGCATGAACTGGATTGAGGCTGATGACGTGGAGGATGACGAGGAAGAGTTTTCTGTTGATACCCCTGTTTCGAAAGCCCGGGAGAAGGAAGGACCCAAGGAAGAGACTGAGTTTACGAAATGGTTCTGGGAGAATCGTGGTGAGAACAATCGTGCTTGGAAGAAGAGGCGACGTGATGCGGCTAAGGAGCAGAGGCAGAGAGACAACCGGAAGAAGGGTATGAAGGGAAAGTCTTAGATGTTCACAGACTGGGATTGGATACAAAAGGACGAGTAGTATATATGAGACGGCTTTGCTGCTTTGTAATATACATTGAATATAATTCCAATGATTCTCATACCCTTGATAGCTCCTTGATTTCTACATCTGCTACTATAGTCCTCTACCAGCCTATGAGGGTTATCTGATCACGTGGGCCCCGATAAGTGGCCGCGATAACCTCATCATCGGAGATGCTGGGTGTCTTTCCAGATGAAACAACCCAGACAAAATGAACCCAAGGCGATGTCTACAAAGCAGCAGGGCACACATGCTTCTGCTGCTCCTCACCCTTCTATCAATCGCATCATTTACAGCGGCATCCAGTAAGTGGCCACCCCACCAGCTCCCCATCCACCTCAAGCACCAAGCTCCGCTCCGCACCCGCGTCTCCAAACCCCAAAAGTCCATACCTAACACCCCAACCTTACTAACACACACTCTCTTCCAGCACCAACCTCCTTCTGCAAATGCACCTGCTTCTCAAATAGCACCATCATCCCCCTCGACCCATCCAAATCCAGCTCCGGCACAGGCGCCGGCCTCAACAACAAGCTATACGAACGCGCGTTCAGCACCGAGGAGCTAGAGAATGATCTCTCGCAACAGCAACAGCAAAGAAAACAGCAACAACAACAGGTCGAGGTAGACACCGAATCCGAATCCGAATCCGGCACTGATGCAGGTGGTACAATCACCGAGCGCGCGCAGAAATACCGCGCGTTGAGCTGCAATGATTGCAATCGCAAGTTCTGTCTGGATTATGAGTTGCCGATTTGTAAGGATGCGAAGGAGGAGGATGTTTTTACGACTTGTTTTCGTAAGTTACCTATGGTGGACTATACTCGTCTTGCAATAGCTAGTCTACTAGTCTACTGCTACACCTACTACAGCATCGTGGTAGTATGGGTGGTAGGTAGACTAGTAGCCATTCCATCAAAGACAAAAACAATCGCGCATGACGATACACCCGCTAACCGAATCCTTCATGCATAGAACGCGATTCTCGAAAAGACGAGGCTGTGGTATTCATTTTCATTTTTGCTACTGGCGGGTTACTCGCATGGGCATTACTCAAGCCCTGGGTTGAGAAGTATATCGAGGTAAGCAAAAGCAGTATCAACAAAAAGGAAAAAGGGACAGAAGCAAATCGGTGCTATTTGAACGGATTGCTTTTTCTATTTTTTTTGTTCATGGAAACAGCTGCTAATATTTTTATTGTGATTGTTTAGGCTGCCAGGGAACGCCGATCATATATGCCTGTTGGGGAACCTGAAGGGTAGATATTATTCGGGATGGATAAAGCTTCCGTGAAAATGAAATATGATACCTTTTTGTTCGATTGAGCTTGTGGCCCCTGTAAAGCGCGAATAGATAGTATCGTTCTGCTCGTAGTTCATACCGTGGGTGATGGACGCACATCTCTCCTATCGATTCGAAGTCAAGATGGGTCGCTGGGACGAACCTGACCTCTCTGCAGGAATGCTGCTCGTGCAAGTTTTTAGTTTTGACAGTTTCCTTCTGTCCCGGGTTCCCGGTGACTCCACGGAGTAGATTGGTGGGAACTGAGCCTGATAATTGGGTCGCTGATCTGTACTGATATGTATGGCTGCCCATTGCATAACTCCGGGGTATTTGTTTTGGGCTGAGCAGGTGCATTGATTGCCCGAGGACCCTATTGAAAAGAGCTTTGGTTTATGGTTATGTGGATGGAACACATCAATTCTTGATACACTTGCCTTGTAAGATTGCAGAGTGCTTTTTCTGCCAGCCAGGATTGTTTTGAAGAAAAGGCGAAATCAACTCTAAGATAGTGGGAGCAAATAATAGGCAAATAGGTTAGAATTTTGTTCCGATTTAGCTCGTGGGAGCTCTGCGTGACAATGGTTTGTGCAAATTCAGATTCTGACTATCCACATCTAAAATGATAAGATAAGAAAGAGAGCTACGGAATCCGGTTGAGAGATTGATTATGTAGCTCTCTTTTGCAGACAGAGTAAAAAGAAAAGGAAGCAATAGCCATGTGTTCTACTGGCGGTCTAAGACAAGCGTCAAGAAATAACTCGGTTGCCTCATCTCACTAGCAAAGCCAGCCAGCGGTTACAGCGCGATGAGGTTAGTGCCATCTGGTATCTAGTATCTGCAAGCTGAGCTGACCATCAATCCTTGTGGCGCGAGCTAGTCAAGCAGTTCGCGAACATAGGCGACAAAGGCTAAGCTATCCCCAAAACAAACAACAAAATCGACAGGTTCGCTCTACGAAGTACATCCTCTCGTATCAAAGGATCCGTTATTACTGGGCAAGTCAACATGACGTCCTCGAGGAAACTCAAATTCCACAAGCTCAGCTGGCCGACCCGATGACGGCCAAGTCCGTGATAGGCGATAAAAAAAGGATTGCTGCTAATGATATCACCGCCCACGGGAAGATATCCGTGGCATGCCGGAGTATTAGGGAGAGGCGGTACACACTGCAGGAGCTAGGATTAGGGGGGTGATTGTTTACTATTGCTGCAAGCTATGTTGTGTATGTACTTTAGTTTATTATTAGGGAGTTCAAGCTTTGTTCTTTCTTGATTTTTAGAGTAGCTGGCTGGTCTTCAATCAAGGAAGTGCCGGGTCACTTGCGGAGTTCAGTATGCCCGAGTAAAATCCTTAGTTATCACGCCAGTCCCGATCTATTGACTCTAGCGCCGCCCGTTTGTGACGGGTCCAAGAGGGCCAATGGCCCCCACTTGGTTAAGATGAGATGAAACAATTGAACAATCAGACAATCAGGCCTCAGGGTAAGATCTCCACTTGTGTATCAAAGTCCCTGAGGGGCCAGGGTATCTCCATTTTCGTTTAGTACGGGCCAATGATTGTGCCACGCTGCGATCGTGATGAAGTAGCCTACTGTACAGAATTCCATGGTCGGATCGACCGATGGGGGTAATAGAAGGTAGATACAGTATTTACGATGATTCCATTGAGTATGGAAGAAGACGACGATCCCTGCTCAGTGCGGTATGCTTTTGTGCTGTATGCGGTGTGCTGTCACCAGCAGTCCAGCAGTCCTCGTGCTGGTTTGGTCTTATTTCAGGGGGGGAATTGAATGCGAAGGTGAAGTGGTTGGTTCCTGGTTGGTTCCTGATTTCTGATTTCTGGTTTTGGGGGGCTGAGAGTTCGGGATCGGTGGGTTTCTTTCCAGGGAATTTTTTAGTTGATTTTAGTGATTTTTAGTGCTTCTTGATTCTGTCTCTCTTCTTGGAAAACGGAAAACTTGCTGGGTCCTCCCCCTCAAATTAAGATTACACCGGCCTTCATCTCGCTTTTTTCTTTTCTGGTCTTGTTTTTTCTCGAAGATCTGCTCAAGTCTAAATTAATTTCCCTCTTTTAATCTCTTTCCATCCATCGTCTCCCTACCTCCCTTCAACCAACAACCAGAGCTACAACACAACATCCCTCCTCTGAACCCTGCGTGACCCATCGTCCCGAGATCGTCGCTAAAAAACGGTGGCGCAGATAATCGGTGATAGCCACTATATCCACCCACGTTGCGCCAGATCTATACATACTTTGCGCCCAGTCACTCCAGCTACGCCTCTCCCCGCTAAAAATGGCGATTTTCGACTCGGAAAAACGCCCTCGAGGCCTGCGCGTTCCATCGCTGACGGCCATGAAAAATGGCTCCTCCGCCACAAAGTCCCAATTCTCCTTCCACAGCAAGAAATCCACCGATTCACGACCAGACTCTTCGTCGACCCCGAGTCTGACCACGATTATCTCTGCACCGCAGACAAAACCCAAGGATCTCCCGCCTCCTCCGAATAAGGATCTCCCACCGACTCCGAAGGAGGAATTGCCGCAACCGGTTTCTGCACAGGCACCGCCGAGGTCTTCGTCAATGGTGCCCCCAAGGCGAGAAGTACTGCGCAAACCACCTCCGAGTGGGACGTCGCCAATTACTGGTGCGCCAAAGTTGGGGTTGCGACAACCTTCGCAGCAGGCTCCTGCTTCTGGAATTCCGGTAGTTGTTTCGCCGCAAGCCCCGCAGTCGCAGTCGCAATTGCAATTGCAATCGCAAACACGACCAGCGCAATCGCAGCCCGCTTATACACAAGCGCAACCACCCATCACTCAATCACTACCGGGCTACCACGCTGCCCAAGCTGCTCCTGCTCCTCCAACACCCCAATCCCAAGTCCAAGCCCAACCAGCGCAAACAAACCAAGCTTCACGAGGTCCCGCACCCACACCAACGCCATCCCAAGCTCCCCCGCCAAACCTCACCCCAGCACCACCCCAACCCTCCGCCTCCACCGACGCCCTAACACCCCTCGAAGACTTCATCCCCACCCCGGACGGCGGCAGCACCCCGCTAGACCAAACCTCTAGCGACGAACAAGCATCCTACACCCCCTCGGATGACACTGAGCCCATCGCAGCCCCACTCAGCAAAATCCATTATGCCTGTTTCCAGGAACATCGCAATATGCCCGTTGCGAAGAATACCTGGTGTCCTGTGCCGTGTATGACGTGTCAGAAGATGGATCGCGAGATTCGGCATCGGTGTGTGTTTTGTTGTTTGAGGGTTTGTGAGGGGTGTTATCTTTCGTTGCAGAGGTGTCGGAGGAGGTCTTTGGCTGAGTTGATGAATCAGTTGGGTTGAGGACCTAGATGGGTTGATATTTGAGGTGCCTTGTGGGGTGGTGTGTTCTCTTTTCTTTCTTTTTTGTTGCACTCTTGCTGGAATGTTCCACGTCTCTTTCTCTTATTTTTATTTTTCTTATGTCTTTTACTTTTGTGTTCTCTGCATGTGTGGCGCGGTGCGCCTGGGGTTGGGGTTGGGGCTGCAGTTGAGCTACTGCGGATCTGATCTTATAAGATCAAGATTCGAGTACAGTCTCCGCAAAAGACTAGCAGCCCGTTCATGTTCTGTGGGGAATTTCGAGTTTTTCTTTTCTATGATACCAGGGGAGATATGTGTATAGTACGAGTTGCATCAGCATATTGATGTATTGATAATGATTTTTCCGGCTTGGTGTTGTGTCTACCCAGCAAACAGCCAAATGCGCTAATTTCAATCAAGCAATGCGCATAAAACATGTTGCGGCGCATTTAATTCAAGTCATAATTTTCTCTAATGGTTCGTAATGTAGGATATCATTGTACACTTAGGATGGGGGAATGAGCTGCTCTCCAGCTGTAAGCTTTGCGAATGGCAGCAGCAGCATCAATCATGATCTTCCTCCGTCAACCCAGGACACCCCTCCAACTCATCATCCGTTTCATAGCGATACTTACACCAGAAACAATACCTGTATTTGTCCCGTAGATATGCCACCAACATCCGCAATCGCTCCGCCGGTTCCAGGGCATTAAACGCATCTAACTCGGGATCTTCTTCTTCGAGTTCTTGCTCCACAATGGCTGTGTAAGCCTCTCTCGTCCCGAGCGCTTGTTGGTCATCACCATCTAGAGTCACGTCCGTGTAGCCCGGTAATTTGGCCCCGGGAAAGAACGAGGATGGGAGGGAGGTTTGGAGGGCGTGACGGGCTTGGATGGATCGTTCGCGTTCTTCGCGCTCGCGGACAAGACCACGGTAGAGGATGTTGAGTTTGGCGGTTGGTTTGTAGTGTTTCTTTTTTGGAGGGCTGGTCTTGCGTGATTCATCAGTGTGGTTGGGTGTGTCGGCTTCGTCGCTGTCGATCACATCGCCAGCCTTGGATGGGGCTTTTGATGTATCGTTCGCGCGAGATTCGCCCTCCCCATGAGCCTCAGCATCAGTCTGAGCCTCAGCCTCAGCATTTTCCACCTCAGCATCCAACCTCTCCGCAACTTTCTGCGCAGCACGAACATGCGCCTCAGCGCGTCTTGTCTCCCGCTCCTCGCGCACCCGATCCCGATAATCACCCTCATCCTGTTTAACCCTCTTAGTCGCCTCGGCCGCCTCCTCCCGGATCTTCCGTTTCTTCTCACTATCTAGACCAATTCCACCCCGACCTTCCTTGAAAATGAGATTCAATGGCTCGGATCTGGCGGGAGCTGGCCGATGCGCCGCGTCCGACCCATTCTCTTTCGTCGAAGTCGCACTCGATGGACCGGGAGGATCGCGTTTACCAAGTGACTCACCAGGCTTGAATCCTAGTTTGGCCATCATCTGGAAACCCTTGTTTGATGGGTCGAGGGTGCTTTTTGCGAGGGCTTCATCGCGGCGGGCTGCTTCTTGTGCGGCGCGTTCTGCTTTGGAGGGGACTCGTCCGCGGGCTTCGGCCTGTTGAATAGAGAAGGAAGAAGGTTAGTGATCGGTGGGGCTTGGATGGTATAGTTCCCGCGAAATATTGGATTCTAGAGCGAGCTAGTGACTGGGAGGGGAGGGGAGTGAAAGCAAGGGGAAGGGAAAGAGGGAGGCGGAGGTCTTACCTCTCGTTGTTCACGACGTTTACGTTGGGTGAAGGTCTCTTTTTGGGTGGGCTCTTCGATCACCATGGACATGTAGTCGTCTTCCTCGTTGGACATTGTGGCGATGCAAGACGAGGCGGTTTCAATTTCCAGTCGAGCTCGCATGGATGACGGATCTGCTTTTTCTTTTTGCGGGGAACAAGCAACAAGCCCGAAAAGTGGAGCCGAGCCGCAACCAGCCCAGCCACTGAATCCAGGACGGTGGCCGATAGTGGTTACTTTTGTATAAGTCGCGTTTTGTTTGGAAAATTGATTGGCAGAAAATTTACCAAGCCACATGTAGCAGCCTCTTCATATTACTAACGGGCGTTATATAGAAAGGGAGGCAGAGAAGTATATAGAGAAAGATGTCGAGAGAGAGGTGGCAAGAGGTATAGTACGAGATATGGCAGGAAATATAGTAAGAGATGTAGAGAGATAGAGAGATGACAAAAAATGTAGAAAGAAATAAAGGGAGAAGTAAAGAAAGAGACGAAGAGAGTAGAGCCAAGGGCAATTGACTCGAAAGCATACTGAATTATTACCTATCATGGAATTTGATATCTAGTTTGTATGTACAGAAAGGGCGGGTTTGAAGGCGGTATAATAACGCCAGCGTAGCCACTATCGGCCACCGTAGTTCAGACAGTGCCACTTTAGATGTTTTGGTCCAGACGCTTGTTTCGTGCTTTTTCTGCTGCTCGTGTCTTGTGGAACTTGGACGGAGTCTCGAATCGCCGCGCAAGGGGAGGGCCTAGATTGGCTGGGCCCTCCCTACGACCCCTATTGGGGTTGGAGATCTTCTCATGGTTACTTTTAAGAGCTTCTCTCCACCGAGGTGTTGCCATTTCAGGCCCACGGCTGTTCAGGCAACCCGGTCTAACTATTTAGGTAAAGGGATCGCCCTGTTTCCGGCCTTATATCGCCGGGCCTTCCATCTCAGCGCGTCTGGAGTAACTCTGACCCGCATCTCGGCTCTACTTTTGATCCCGCGGGCCCGAAGTAACTCATTCATAAGACTGTGATGTGATGGGCTTTCAGACCATCCTTTCGAGTCCAACATGGTCTGATATGGCAAACTTTTACCTCTTCTTTCTGCTTGGCCTGGCAGCTGCCAAGTCTCCAGTCGTTGATCTGGGATATACAAGCTACGAGGGCCGTTCACTTGCCAGTGGTGTTTCGCAGTGGCTTGGGATGCGCTACGCTGCTCCTCCAGTGAACGAATTGCGCTTTGCAGCACCCCAGGACCCTCTTTCGCAAGAAGGAGTTCAACAAGCAACCCAAGTATGCTTTGAATTCTGACCTTGATAAGCTCCCAGTCCCGTTCATTGCTGATAGTCTGCCCAGCATGGTGCCTTCTGTATTCCCGTCGCCAACAGTCTCAACACAGCTGTGCCCCATGGGTCCTCAGAAGACTGCCTGTTCCTAGATATTTACGCCCCCACGGAGGCTGTCCAGGCAAACAAGAAATTACCAGTGTACTTCTTTATTCAAGGTGGGGGCTTTGCGTCTCTGTCAAATCAGAATTATAACGGTACCGGCTTGGTCGAGGCCTCGGACTTGAATATTGTCGTCGTCACTTTCAATTACCGTGTGGGGCCTTACGGCTTTCTCGCCGGTGAAGAAGTTGAGAATGGAGCCAGTCTAAACAATGGTCTGAAAGATCAGATCAAGGCTCTCGAGTGGGTGCAAAAACATATTAGCAAGGCAGGTCATAACATACCACCCTGGATGAATGGGGCTGACTTGTATCTATAGTTCGGTGGTGACCCTGACCACGTTGTCATCGGCGGCGACAGTGCAGGTGGTGCATCGGTGACCCTCTTACTCTCCGCATATGGCGGACGCAACGATAAACTATTCATCGGCGCCGCAGCCGAATCTCAAAGCTTTGCAAACATGCTCAATGTCTCTGAAAGCCAATTCGCATACGACAAACTAGCCACTCGTACAGGCTGTAACACGAACAGCGACTCCCTTGCCTGTCTTCGCAAGCTAGACATCAGTGCCCTCCAAGCGCAAAACATTCGCACCCCTTACCCGGGAGCACCAGGAGACCCACTGTACTTATACGGCCCAACCGTCGACGAAGATCTCGTTCAAGATCACACATTGAAACTCTTCCACGAAGGAAAATTCATCAAAGTCCCTGTGATATTCGGCGACGACACAAACGAAGGCACAATCTTCGTCCCAAAAGGCACCGCCAGCGTCACCGATGCAGACAACTTTCTCAAAGACCAATTCCCAACTATCACACAAGCCCAACTCTCCAAAATAAACAGCATGTACCTCACCGAGGACCAGAAGCAGGACTTCCCAAACGCAAAACCCTACTGGCGTCCCGCGAGCAACGCCTACGGCGAAATACGGTACATCTGTCCCGGCATAGACATGTCCTCCGTCTACGCCGCCGCCAACCTCCCCAGCTGGAACTACCACTACGCAGTTCTGGATCCCTGGTCCGAGGGTAACGGCACGGGAGTCAGCCACACGGTCGAAGTCAATGCGATCTGGGGACCGCAGTACGTGAGCGGTGTACCGCCGGATTCGTACTGGAATATTAATGCCAATATCGTGCCCGTGATGCAGGGGTATTGGACTAGTTTTGTGAGGTCGCTGGATCCGAATACGCATCGGTACCCTGGGAGTCCGGAGTGGAAGACTTGGGGAACGGGGGATGATGCGTATAAGAGGATTTTCATTCGGACGAATGAGACGAGGATGGAGAGTGTGCCGCAGGCGCAGCGGGATAGGTGTAAATATTTGATTGGTATTGGGGAGAGTTTGAGGCAGTAGTCTAGTTGGTGGTTGTCTGAACGACTTGTGAATATTTGAGGGTTACATAGGAATCAGTTCTGTATGTGGTAACGTTCATATAACATTGATAGTACGTGGTTTGACATTGATTCTTCATTTGCCTCAGTTCTTTATTCGTCATCCCAAAAGCATATCCCTCCTGAACTTGGCCAAATCCCGCCTTATACTCAGGCGGCGGAGCCAATACCATCGGCACTACCGGCGGTAACGTGCTCTTAGACTGCGCTCTGGCATGGTGGCGCAAAATCATCCTGATCTTTGGATCCCCCGTCATAGCCTCAGGGGTAAACCGATTCTTGTCCTTCGCATCAACAACAGCACCAGGATCGAGAATAAGCTGAATCAAGTCCCTATTCTCCCCGGCGACAGCCAGATGCAGCGCCCCCTTCCCATAACTATTTCTCATCTCCAGATCCACGCCATGTCTCAAGAATATCCGAACCACATCGATCTGTTTCAACTCAATAGCCCGATGAAAAAGCAACCACTTATTAATGTTACCATCGATACTCTTCACAAGTTCCGGGTAATGACACAGAAACACCTCGACAGTCCGGTTATGATTCTTTTCCACCGCGTGTACAAACGGCGTTTTCCTATTGTACAACTTTTAATTGACCTGTAAACTGGGCCCGGTCATTCGCTCCCATAATGTCCGCGTCAAACTCTTATCGTGTTTCAGGAGGATATCACAGACTTCATCATGGCCCTTCAAAGCCGCCAGATGTAGTCCCATTTCCCGATTTATCTAGGTTATAGCACCGCAATCCAGAAGATTCTGCACAATCTCTGCATTACCAAAGAACGCGGCAATATGAATTGGCGAATTTCTTCCATTCTCCTTAAACTCGCACATGGATGGATCGCATTCAAGTAGTAAGCCTTATTTCGGCACCACTAAACGAGTTTCCCCCAACTTCAGTACGCCTTGCGCCTCGCCCCGTCCTGCCATGACGGATCTTATCGTGGGGCGCGACCGTTTTGAGTCATCGCCGACTTTTCCAACTAACGGATGAGCAATGTGTGTGGCTTATCATCTTCTTTCGAGCCGCATGCTATAACCGATGAGTAGGAGATAAAAGGATGGATATCCAAGGAAGTATCAGCTGCTTGGGCCTAGCACAAGGCTCTCAGTGAACCGAAAGAGAGAACGTTGGGACCCACGCGTCCAACAAGGCAATATTGTTGATGAAGGTTATGAATACCCTGCGTGCGCGGAGTTGTAATCCCTCCTTCCGAATCCGAGACCAGCCCATGAGAGTAGCTTGGGACCGTGGAATATCGCTAGAGATTCGGACTAGTATCCGGATGGCTCTGGCTCAGATGGCACGAAACGCGTTCGTTCCATCGCTGTATGATAGCTGAAATCCAGAAGTAGCGACGAGGACGAGGGCTTAGTTCCAGATTGAGTATATCAGAGTATGTTTTCCTCGGAAAAGTCCATTTCACTATCAGTCGGTATTATTACAGTCGTTAACGTTTAAGGTTTGACCCCGGTGAGGGGCTTCCACATGGCAGGTGGCTGATATGATAGACTTTTGAAACGCGCGGAGCAAGAATCCTAATTCGGACCGGCGGACTATATTCCCATGTTGGTTCGATGTGTTCCTACATGAGGGAGGGGTAGTAGTAGCTTTGGTATAAGAACGAGTTCACTCTTATGCCCTTGGAGCAATCAGACAACTCAATAACTAAAATTACTCCACATACTATTAAAACCGAAATGGCAGCGCTCAGAAAAGCCAAACCCTTCAAAAAGGCCCTATACTTTTCAGTGGCCGAGTTCAAAGAGCGTCAACAGCGAGCTCTTCAGCTCATGGAGCGAGAGAATCTCGATGGTTTTCTCATGACGAAACAAGAATCTCTCTACTACCTGACTGGCTTCGATACCTTTGGCTATGTATTCTTTCAAGCCATGTACTTCCACAAGGATGGCTCCATGCGATTGATCACTCGAATTCCGGACCTGCGTCAAGCTCTCTACACTTCGATTCTGGAACAAAAAGATATCCTCATTCGATCCGACGACGCCGGAAGCAATCCCGTGTCTTTGGTTCCGAAAGTCCTGCAGCAATTTGGAATCAACTCGTCCTCGAAGCGAATTGGCTACGAACCTGATTCTTGCTCCTTGACGCACCGCCTGGGGAAAGCATTGGAAGAAGCCGTGAACGGTCTTTGCACGTTGGTGGATCACAGCGATTTATTCACGCGGGAGCTTCGCATTATCAAATCGGAAGCCGAAATGCGCAAGGTTCGAAAAGCCGCTTATCTCGCCGACTTTGCTCTCATCCGTACCCTCAAGCTGGCCAAACCAGGAGCCTACGAAGGCGACCTGTGGCGAGAAATTGTTGGCACGGTCTACGAGGGCGGTGGAGATGATCCTGCTAATGAGAACATCCTTGTCTCGGGTAACAAGGCGGTTCTCACTCGATACTCGACGGGCAAAGATGAGATCGATCGACAGCTGACGCTCGAGCACGCCGCAGCTTACAAGCACTATCATGCGTGTCTGATGCGTACGATCCCCATTGGCGGTATCACCAAGCTAGCCCGGGAGATGCACCGCGTCAACATCCTCCAAATGGAGGCAGCCATGGCGGCCCTTAAACCAGGCCGAGAGATTGGCGACGTGTTTGAGGCGTATGCTCGTGTTGCAGACGAGAATGGCTTCCGGGATCAACGTTTCAACAGCTGTGGCTATAGCTTGGGCGCGACTTTCTCGCCTACGTGGATGGATTTCCCCATGTTTGTGCGTGGCCAGAATGTGGTGGCGCAGCCGGGCATGGTGTTCTTTATCCATATCATCCTGATGGACAAGGCCACTGATACGGCTAGTTCGATCGGTCAGACTGTGGAAGTCACTCAGGATGGGTGTGTTGCGCTGTCCAAGCTTCCTTTCTGTCTTACCCGAAGACAGACAATTGCTGCTTGGAAGAAGATTCGGAAAGAGGATTATGGTTTCACCGCTGATGAGATTGATGATGGGGAGAATCTTCAAGATGTCGAACTGAGCGACGGGGATGTTGATGAGGAGGACTATGATGTTGAATACGATTTCAGTGATTATGAGCCTGCAGCTGCGCTGGGTGACCCGACGCAGAGTGCTTGATTATGCTGGTCAATCGATCCTTGGTTGATCTTAGTTCTTCGCTAGCATATCCATATTTGTTCTTCCTGATAATTCTTTTGATTGTAGCTATTGTACGTCTCGTTCACATTCGTGCAGCGTTCCATACAGTTGTAGCTCAAAGCTCTGAGTCTAGCGGCAGGAGAAAAGAGACTTAACTTTACAAAACTCTCAAAATTGCAGTAGACAAATAATCCCATCAATTTGAACAACAGTTTTGCCATTGAGAATCTATATAGAACAGAAAGCTCCTTGATCCAACAACTAGCTGTGTTCATTCATTTTCGAGGTACTTCCATACCCACCCGCCGGAACCTTAGGGACACAGTCCAGTGGTAAAGCTTTGGTCAATTTCACCGTCTCAGCAATGGCAGTCTTGAGATTCTCGATGGCTTCATCACTTATTTGATGATGCAATGAAATCCGCTCATCCATAAGCTTCACTTTGAACTTTGAACATTGCTCCAACAAAATGTCCATACTCACGTTTGACCTCTTCGCGTCGATGAAAAAGAAATTTGTATCGACCGGAATTTGAGGTACAACACCAAGTACAGCTAGGTCTTTCTCCAGTTTCTTTGTCTTCTCATGTGTCTCTTTCATGGTAGGCCAGACCTCCTCTAGTGCCACCAGAGCTGGAGCCGTTAAGACACCGGCCTGTCGAATGCCACCTCCCAGCTGTTTCCTTAGCCATCTAGCCCGCTTGATGTTGGACGCGGTGCTGGCAAGGACCCCACCAATTGGTGCACCTAGTCCCTTAGAAACACACATCGACACTGTATCAAAATGCTGGCAGTAATCAGCCAAAGAATAACCAGTTGCTGAGGAGGCGTTCCACAAGCGAGCCCCGTCGCAATGAACTTTGATATCATGGGCATGCGCAAATTCAGAAATCTTCTTTATTTCTTCCATGGGGGTCACCACTCCGCCTATTGTCACCTCAAGGCTGATCACTTTTGTCGGCGCCGTATGAATATCCTCTCCCAGGACGGTCCACTTCTTGACGTCGTCCAAGGTCAGGTATATGCCATTAGCCGGGTGTACAGGAGTCACCATAGCTTGAGACAACACCGCTAAACCAGACCCTTCCTCGGCGTAGACGTGAGCGCGGTAGTCGCACAGTACAGAATGCGGAGGTTGGTTGAGATGAACGCGGACTCCGATCTGATTGCCCATGGTTCCAGAGAGCATGAACAGGGCATCCTCCATTCCGGTCAATCGTGCGATTTCCCGTTGAAATTTGGTGGTGATGTGGTCTTCTTGGTACACGTCGTCTCCGAAAGATGCGGTCGCCATAGCAGCCAACATGGATGGCGTTGGTGTAGTGAAGGTGTCGCTGCGAAATTCATTGGCGGCTGGTGAGGCCTTGGGACTCGACATCTTGACGGTTGATAGTGGTATGTTGCAGGTTGTCAGATCAATGTATGTACGCGTTTGATGGGGGATGTTTATTTTTGATCTCTAGGTGTCCTTGAGGATTCGTGTAATCCACAGTGAATGTTAAAGGCAGAAGGGGGGAAGGGACTCACACTGCGAGTCTTGTTATCAGTAGAATTCCTGCCAGCCTGGCCCACGACGAATATTGATTCGGTCGGACTATTTTCAAGTATCACGGGAAACAAAGAAAGCTTTCCGTGGGCGTTTGCCGTTCTCCCAGATATTCGGTACAGTGCTTGATAAGATCGATTATCAAGTGGATTAAAATTCTTATTCGGTCCACAGGGCGGAGTAAGATACCTTTCAAGTCAAATACGCGCTGTAAGATACTTGAATAGGTATCAAATTCAATTCTAATCGATCCGCCCCTAGAAGGTTACATCGGCATGTGGATTTAACTTTCTTCCCCGCAACGGTTATCAATCCCTCCAGTCTAACATGACTGTGATAGTATACGAAATTATTAATACGAATCTTGAATGAATAGATATGCGGCAAAGTAGTAGTCAGACAACACTCTAAACGCAGGCTCGGAGACTATCCTAGGTAGACGGTGAAATATATCCCTGGCTGAATCGCGTATCATCCATGCCTGCCATGAACTTACCCTAACCAATATTTTGCCATTTCAACCTATCTAGCAATGTCCGAACAGTTCAATCAGCGGCGAGATAAGCGTAAAATTAGCTCCTGGTTCCTCTATGGCACACTCGCCATTGGTCTCGCTTCAGCGTTTACAGCACTCTTCAACAATACTGTACGGTCTTCAAACCCGCCCGAATTGGACATTTACAGCCCAGGAGCAGAGCATGGGATATGCCAGCAAGTACCGAAACTGTCTCCAAGGAACAAACAAGTCGAACAGTATGTTCGTGAGAAAGTCGAGTCCGTGGAATACCATGGAGAAATCATCAACAAGCTATCTGGGATCATTCGTATCCCATCTGAGAGCTATGACGACTTGGGGCCCATTGGCGAAGACGACAGATGGAATATATTTTTCCAAGTGGAGGATTACATCAAAACCTGCTATCCCACTGTATTTGACAACGTGAAGCTGGATCACGCCAACACCCACGGGCTGATCTTGACCTGGGAAGGCAGCGTCCCACCTTCGGAGGCTAAGCCGATTCTCATGCTCGCACATCAAGATGTCGTGCCAGTGCTTGAAGAGAATGTCAAGGATTGGACTCACCCGCCTTATGACGGCCACTATGATGGTGAGATTATCTGGGGTCGTGGTGCAACAGACGATAAAGGTTACTTGATATCCATCATTGAGAGCTTGGATCTTTTGATTCAGAGCGGGTTCAAACCGAAACGAACGGTTATTCTGGCCTTTGGCTGTGACGAAGAGATCAGCGGCGAAAATTGCGGAAGGCCCATCTCGGATTTCCTCCATGAAGAATATGGAGACGACGGAATCTACTTGATCATGGATGAGGGTTCCACTGGTATCCAAAGAGAATTCGGCCAGTCCTTTGCTATGGTTAGTGTCGCGGAAAAAGGCTACTTAGACGTTGGGATCAATGTTTCCTCGACAGGCGGACATGCGAGTAACCCGCCGGATCATAATGTTATTGGTATCCTGTCGGAAATCGTGGTCGCGATTGAGAGCAACCCATTCCCTGGAAAGGTCACTCCGAAGAATCCAATGTTTCGCTTCCTAGAGTGTGGTGCTGTTCATGCTCCCCAGTCGAGCTTCCCGCAGGCAGTTCGCCAGAAATTAAGTCTGGTCGCCGAAGAGGACAGTGCCAGCCAGGAGCAACTGGCACAGACGCTGAATGATATGAGATACTTCTTCAAAACGAGCCAGTCCGTTGGAAAGATCAACGGTGGCGTCAAGATCAATGCTATTCCCGAAACAGCATCGACAATGGTCAACTTGCGCTTGGCTGTCGAAACCTCCATCGCTGAGGTTGAAGCACACTACGAGTCTCTTGCCATTCCAATTGCTAGAAAGCACGGAATGGCATTTGCAGGGTTTCATTCGCCCTGTAGCACTGCAGAGAAACGGAAAATATGCATGTTTGGAGTTGACGCCTTAGAGCCAGCTCCAGTTTCTCCCGTCGATGCTGAACCCTATCGCATCTTATCTGGCACCGTCAAGAATGTTCTCAAGTCACTGGGCCCAGATGACGATCTCATTGTCACACCCTATTTGATGCCAGCCAACACCGACACTAAATTCTTCTGGGCTTTGACCAAGAACATCTACAGATTCACACCTGTGAATCTGGTAGAGAATCTCAACCGGGCGCATACGACTGATGAGTTTATTCGAGCCGATGAATTTGTTCGTGAGCCTCTCTTTTTCGCAACATTGATTCTGAATACCGATGATATTGTGGGCTAGTGATAGAAAGAATGGCCGTGGGTCAGATAATTTGGAAAGATAAAAAGCCGTGAAGGCCTTGGATAATCAACGATCATTATACAGTAAAAATAATACCCTACCTGCTCAGCAATGCTACAGTTAGATTTACACTATTTTTCAATGCTAGCTTAGGAACTTCCTACACATGGACTTTGGTAGATCAACCACATAAATTCGTTCTTGGAATGGAAATGACACTCCTTATAGAGAAAGGAAAATGTGCCCAAACAGACAACCCCACCAAACCCAAATTTATCCCAACAAATGACTATCAGACTACTCAAACCAGCTGTTGAACCAACCCGAAATCTTGCCCCTTTTTGGTGGCTCATACAATGCCTCATAGAGATCAATCTGGGCCTTGATATCCCCAAGCTGAAGATCCGCCGTTCCCGGACGAACATAGTTGGTCCGCTTGAAAAGCTTCCAAACCACAAATGCCACGATGAAAAACCCGATCATCAGGTAAGACGTAAAGAACGTCGTAATGTCCCAATGACCATCAATGAAAACGGTGTATCCGAGCACCAAGGCCACGACGAATGTCATCACCGCGGCATAATATGCCGCATAAGGTTGGAAGTATCCCCGATATGGCAGAGTCTTTCGGTCAATGCCCTGGCGTTTGAGAGCGGCGTAGAAATGCAGGTAAGTTACGACCGTCGCGAAGTAGTTGATCATGTAAGATGCAGTGCAGATTCCGACCAGCCAGTTTAGAACAGTGGCAGAGGTATTGCCAAGCTGTAGCAAGGAAAGAAGGCAGAACGCGAGTGCTGCGATGACCGAGTAAACCGGAATACCGAATTTGTTACACTTGGCAAAGATTGCGGGCGCCTTGCCGTCCACTGCTAGGCCATGGAGTGTTCGAATGGAGGAATAAACAACGTTGTTTCCACAAGAAATGACGGAGGTCATGATCAGAGCGTTGACAAGGGAGGGGAGACCTTTGATTCCGAATTTGACCATTGAAATAACGTAGGGAGAGCTATATCACGGGTAAGCTGCGAATTCAGGACTTATTTTGGGACAAAGAACATACGCAGCTCCAGTGCCACCCTCAGTTCCCTCGATATATTTGAGCAAAAGCTCGTCATTATAAGGAATTACAATCCCAACGCAGAGAGCTCCACCGAGGAAGAAAAGGAGAAGACGCCATACGAAAGAGGTGAAAGCCCGATGCATCAATTTGCGAGGATTCTCTGATTCACCGGCTGTCATCGCGATGAACTCGGGACCGACCATACTTAGAAACAATCAGCCATCATATAAGGCAAGCCTAATGGATAGTGGATACTGACGTGAAGGAGCCTTGGATAATACAAGAAACAAACCCGAGAAAGCGTCCGGTGTTTCCAGGAGCGAGGTACTCGACAAAAGCACCCTTGAAGAGGAAAAATTAGCAAGAAAACAAGAAAAAGTCGGCTTTAACTTACAGGGTTCTTCCAATAGGTAAAGCCATAGGCCCAGTGCTCTGGATTGCCACCAACCATGGTGACAAAAGTGTAGGCAATGAGTCCCAGCATGAGGAAGACCTTGAAGATGGCTAGATAAAACTCTGCAGTCCCGAAATACTTGACTGCAAGTCCATTTAGACCACTGTAAAGCCCGTGTTAGTTCATCTACTATTCCATTGTGATTGAGGAAGGCAACCCACGCATATATTACCAAGCATATCATCACAACCGCGACCACCGGAACTTTGTCGGTCCAGTACGTAAGGAGGACATTAATTGCCGTGATTTCATACGGGATTGCGAAGGCTCCATGTATTAAGTTCAGTCAGAGGTCATAAACTTGACACAAAAATTGGCACTCACCCATAAGGAAGAAGTAGTTCCAGCCCATCGCAAAACCCCAGGCATCATCAACCCAAAACCCACCCAGGCGGATAAAGGGAGAAGCAATCGGAAGATAGGTAACCATTTCAGCTATACATAATTGCCTCATCAGCATACATAGTACCTGAAGAATCAGGAACCAAAGGACTCACCGAAGCATTGGTTGACACACCAGATGACAGTTCCATAGACAACAAACCCAAGGAAAAGGCCTGCCGGGCCACCCTTTGGTAGACTCGCGCCCATTTGAACAAACAAAGCTATGAAACGAGTTAGTTAATCATTTGGTTCCTTTCTCAAAGATCAGGCTCACTAACATGTTCCAATAGCACCACCCACCGCTAACAGCTGGATTTCCTTTCCACCTAGCTTTCGTTGAAGATGCTCCGAGCCAGCTGATATGAGCTCAGAGGTCAAGGCCTCCTCACTGTCGTGCTTTGCATGCATTCGTGGGTCAAGACCTTTCATTGCCTCTCGTGAGTTCTTGCGTTCACCCATCTCGGGTGGGTGTGTGGCGGGCTCCATGATAGTTGGAGTAGTGCCTGACGACAAAGACGAAAGAGGAATAAGCTATTTAAACGAGCTCAAGTAATAGACTAGCATAGGAGGAATTTGAATGTTGTTTAAAACCGGAAAATAGACAGAAATGGTGGAGTTATTAACTTCCATGCAGCGATGGAGCAAGTTTCCTGATACGTCTCCCTCCTGCATCTCGAAGATCCCCGCACTTTGGCCCGAGCGTGGCGCCGCCACCACCACAATACGGGATATCCACTGTTAGATAGGGTCAGATATCGTATTTTGTGTATTGGCTTTTTGCGCGGGAAACATCCGTACCAGTGCACTGGTTCGGTCATGGTTCATGGCTTATGTAGGGCCTACTGCTGGTGTCAAAGCTTCCCCCTGGCGTTTTTTTTTTTTTTTTTTTTTTTTTTTTTTTTCCCTCAAAAGGACACTGGCCGCTCAACGCGACGAGAGGATTTTTGATAGATTGAATGTGACTCCACCCCATCAAAATACAAGGCTTTGGCCAATGGCTCAACTATCCTCGGCCCATTCAAGGGCATCGCTCCCCAAGCAACTGGCCAATTTCACCAATACCACTGCCGGCCTGGACTTGACCCTCCGGCTATTCCATAGCCTGGTACTTATCGGAACCCAGATCGACTTTGACAATGTCACTGTTATGAGATGCTCTATTGCGGCATCACAGATAGGGCTAGGTAGGTCTTTTGGCAGTTTATCGGTCATGTTCCATTGTTAATTCGTCTCCAGCGAGACGCTATCTCCGCTTCTTCTGTTTCCTCGATTGTTTCCAAAATGTTCAGGATATTCTGGCCTCGGGATACCCTCTAAGAAACAGGGCAGCGACTTTGGAGTTAGTTGAATCCAGTTGTTTGGGGATGTATCTTGTTCTGGAGGGCACAACCATGGTAAGCTACTCGGCTTCAAGTTATCGGCAATGCTAGAACTGTGTTAACCATAAAGCGCAGCTCCATGACATGAACGTTTTTTTGGTTTCATGGTACACTCCCATTCTCCTCGAATCTTACAAGTTCTGGTTTTATGCTATCTGTACCGCAGTTACCAAAACTGCCTCGGATCTTCTTCTTGGCCCGGCAGCACCCAGTGATAAAATCGACTCTGTGGACGAGAAAGAGGAAGACAAGGCATCTGGTCACTCGCAAATCTCGAAACCGGTCCCATCCACTGCGTCTCTTCTCAACCGCATTATAATTGACAGCTTGGATTTGATCATCCCCGGGTCTTTACTCGGATGGATCCCTGTGGGCGACCTGGGCGTTGCCCTCGCCATGCTGGCAAGCACTATTCTTGTCTGGACAACTGCATGGGCGAAAGCACAAGTATAGATTCTGGTTGTTGAGTGGATAACCGATGCGATGTTATATGCCATTTTCCCTCAAAAGAGGCACCCCTGACCATAAGTGGTTTAGTATTGATCAACAGCCGAGGTACTTACTTTGAGATTCATGGTGCTCGTGTGTGGATTGGAGTAAACGACATGAACTCCAAGCGTGGCCTTTCTCCCTCCGCTCAAATGAGATCAAATTGATGATATTTAAGGGTGAATTTATGAGCTAGAGCCCTATTTGAATATTCCAATTCCGGTGGTCATAATTGTGCTCGAAAACGTTTGACAGGCTAGGAGAAGTCATGGTCCGCAACCTATGGTGATGGGCATGGTGTGGGGTAGACTACCCCGCATTACTGGCGATAAGATAGCTCCTCTATCAGCCTATCAGCCTCAACATTGTATCTCCGAGTGACGGCTTCAGTTTAGAGATAAGGGAGACTAGAATAACCCCTGAATAGTACAATGCTTTACAATCTTATCATATTGACTCACGAATGAATAAAATATCAGTGAAGGTCAATCATTCCAAGTGATACCAGATGCACTTGGCTATTTTCATTTCTCGTTGATTTGGGTGTACCTACCTAGGTTTAACAGTGGATTACGTGAACTCAACTAATCCCGGTCGCCGTTTGCCGCTGTGCATGATATATCATCCTCTAAGCAACCATCCACCGCTGCGTCATGCGCGTGACCAAGGGCTGTGCTCGCTGCCGCCATCGTCACGCCCGCTGTGTGGTCCCCTCCGGAGCGTCATCATGCTCTCGCTGCTCGCGACTAGGTCGGCCATGTCATCTCGAGCCGCGCTTCCATTTCAAGCCTGTGCGCTATATATACCAGCAATGCGATAGTGCTTCATCCCGCTTCGACCTCGTCTGGGATGAACAGCAGGTTTGGGTTGGGGTTTCACGGCCAGGTGAGTTTTCCCTTCGGATGTGATGATGAACTTACATATTGACAAGAAACTGCTCTAGTGACCTTCGTGGGCGAGACCGATGACTTTGGACACGGGCCGTCAGAGCCGGACGATAATGATCAGAGCTCTGAGACCCTTGAACAGGCATATTCGCCGCCAGGCGATAGTCCACTGACACTTACAGAAGCCGTTGAAGTTGTTCCGGCTGATACTCTTTCGAATAATTCCCCCAGCCAGGGGGCGAGTGATGTCTCCACACCGTCCCCTCGAGAGGCATACTTGATCCGCTCCTATATCCAAAAGATCGCAGCCGTGGTAAGCCTTCAGTGGCAAAACTATCGTGGAGCAGGACCTAACAATATCAGGCGGATATCTGCGACCCCCAGTCTCACTTCAGCACCGAGGTTCCTCGCCGAGCCCTCGACGAACCAATGCTGCTAAAAGCTCTCCTCGCACTTGCAGCCAGACACGATGCCATATTGACAAATCACAATGACTGCGAAGCATCCACCTTTCACGGCGAGTGTCTACAACTGCTCATCGTCGCGCTAAACCAACCAGAGGAAAGCTATGACGACAATCTCCTCATCACCGTGGTTGTGCTCCGCTTCTACGAGGAACTTGAAAGGACAACCGACAGGAAATGTCACCTCCTCGGGTCCAACCGCCTACTCAATCTCATGTCTCGGTCAGCTTCGTCCGGGGGATTGGGTGAGGCAGTGAGTTGGCAGTTCTTGCGCCAGGCTATCTACTCATCTATAGCCCAGTACGAACCAATACAGCTGGACTTGCGGAATTATGAGCGTTCCTCGGTGTTTCATCGTGATGATGATGCGGCTCTCGCTAATGCTATTATATTTTTCTGCGCTTGTATTGTTAAACTATGTTGCTCTGTGCCGGGGTATGCTATTGACCGGAAAGACTGGCAGCATCTGGCAGACTGCGTGGAGGAGTGGCATAGTAACAAGCCAAGGAGTTGGCAACCACTTCGATATCAGCCCCCGAATCTGTCCGCTGATCAACCATTTCCTGAGTTATGGATCATGTCGCCCCCTGCAGGTAAGTCTCGCTTCCAGCTCCAATGATGCAAAGATCAATCTGACAGATTCGGTTTCCAGTGGTTGGTTTGCAATATTACCATGCCTCCAGAATATTCCTCACATTATCAGACGCTCCATCCCAGCGAATGACGGACTTTGAAATGTCGCAAGCCCGACTCGTCGCAGAAGTTCGTCCTAGCTATCTCCCTAACACGATTAACCGCTGATATCCAAGCTAGAAAAAAGTTGCCAGCCACCTTGTAATGGCCATCGGACTTTCAATATCGAATGAAAGTGTCCAAAACAGCTACTTCATCGCCTCACATTTGCTCCAACGCTGTAAGTTTGCTACTCGATGAAAAAGGCGACGCTTTCTAATCACTACTGTAGTTGGATATTGCTTGCGACAGCCTGCTGAGCAGCAGGGATCTCTGCAGTTTCTGTCACGCGTAGAGAAGAGCCTTGGGTGGCGGACCTCGTGGATTGGACGAGAACTAGAGAGACAGTGGAAGGAGAGGGCCACCTTGAGCTCCGAGGTTTATTGATAGACTGTGGAATGAGGACAGTACATTCATAAGCTCGGCAATAAACATTTATTGCATTTGATATTGACGTTAAATCCAAGTCAGTGAAGAGTTGGTTGAATCCCTCTAGAGAGGCATGTTTGCCAGGCCGTGAGATAGTCTCTTTCTAAATGAATCTCCCGAGAAATCAACATGAATAAACTCTCCACCTCCGTGAGTCGAATCCCCGACCTTGTCGTTCCTTATGTATTTCGCCCTCGTTACTGCATCACCATCCCACCCCATTTTTCACTCTCTAACACCGTCAAAAAGACTATTCAAAACTAGAATCAATAAAATATCAGCGCCTAAGATAAAAAAAAATATTACCCAAAAGAAATCTCTGAAAAAAAAGAGCTCCCCGCCTAGGGGTGTGCCCGGCCGTCCGTGGAGCCCCAAGCGTCAACACTGGCCCAGTACTTTTTTCTTCTTTAGTTTGCCCTTTCCTCCAGGGCACATCAGTGGTTCACCAATTTATGGTGGATACCAAACAGGCCATCTGGGGGGGGAGTTGATTGTTTGACCTTAAACATGGTCATAACCTCTGTTTGACCTCTGTTTGTTATAATTGACTTGCCTCTTTTGTACAAGCCCACCCCAGTAAGCAAACCCCTCACCACTGTTCCCCACCGTCCCCCGCCGTTCCCCAAGCCTCTCTATCTAGACCGAAGAATCAATACCGAGGATATCCTGATCAACACAGCTGAGTCTCAACATGTCCCACGTTGTAGTAGGACTAGCAGAAGCTGCAGATCTACCATCAATCGGTACTATACACGCTCGCGCCTTTCATCCGACAAGAGAATGGCACCGCAGGATCTTTCCCGAATCCATCGCGCCATGGTGGGAAAAGAGATACAGCATGGAAATTGCAGATTCCAACTGCTATGTTCTCAAGATCTCATCGTCAGACTCTGCAACTCCAACTCCAGCTCCAGTTCTAGGCCTACTCTCCCTCCGCAAATACGACGCCAACGAAAAAGGAGCCGGGCGATGGGCCTCTTATCCCCCACCACCAGAAGTTGACAAAGAATCCTACGATGCCATGCTCAAATCGATGATCGAGTATCGCGAGAGATTCATGCTTGGACGGGTCCATCTTTGTATTGATCTTTTTGGGGTCGATCATGAGTACCAGGGCCGTGGAATGGGGAAAATGCTCCTGGCGAAGGCGTGCGAAATCGCGGATCGAGAGAAGCTGGATGTTTTTGTTGAGGCTAATGAGTTTGCGGAATCCTTTTATCATGATTTTGGGTTTGAGACGGAAGGGAGGATTGAGATGCCTCTTGATGGTGTGACGCAGTGCTTTCTTGTGAGGAAATCCAGGTGATGGATTTCAATCTGGCAGTATTGCTAGGGTATTTTCAATCCTAACGGAGATTCCCTTCTCCTTAGCGGATTTTCCCCGCGGAGATCTCCTGAGCCAGAATGTTTGCTGGGCGCCCCCTTGGTCTATAAAGGCCTTGATAGACCCAATTTCCCCTTGTTCCTCTAGATATTTTAGGTTTTCCACGCATAATTCCTTCTGTTTCCTATCTCTGCTTCCTACTTCCTATATTTAGGCACAGAGTACACCCTCAAGCCCCAGCAGAAAGGATTCATATACAGGAGATTACGTTCTTCAAGATCATGACCTCTTTACTACCAAGCAGACTGTCAGATCGACGATGACAAGATAGCTACTATCTGGTGATATCACTTGATGACTCCACCTATGAATGCTCGCTCTCTTGGATATCTTCAATCTCCAAGGTAATGTGGGCATTGCGGGATCTTGCCAAATAGATAAACGAGGTGGGCTGGCCTTGGTTTCAGAAGACCGTATTGGGTCTTTCGCGTGATAACGAGGGAGCAGAGTCAAAATTGGGTCGTCGAGGTTCCAGAGTCAAGCCTGGGGATTATGCGGTCTAGCTTTTCAAAGCTAAGCAGTCCTTCAGTGTGACTCGCTCCTGGGTGACACTGTTCACTTGCAAGCTCCTACTATGTCATAGCAAGTTTCTCACGTCCTCGCCGAGTCCACGCGTGCTAACCTCCCTACCTCCAAAGCTTCTTCTTCACCTCCTCGAACCTTCCCCGAGTATCCGACAGGTATCAAGCGGTCCTCCACTACGGAGTATGACGTGGTTTGCAGTGCGATGGGCTCGCTTTGGCGAGATTTCCCTACGTCACGCTCCTCTCCCATCGCGACTACAAGACATGCTTGATCCAGATGTCGAACCTGCGAGACCCTACTGGGACCACCGGAAGAGCGAGGCTCGTCTTGCACAATCCTTCATCGGATAGACTGATAGACCGATGAAGGAGTTTCATACTGCTGATTGTACCCTGACGCCGCAGCAACGCCGTTCTCAATTTCAGGCGAAATTTGATCGGCACGTTGATATTGATGTAATTGCCAACAAGGATCCCTCGGTGGCCTTCGGCGATATGCCTGAATTCACTCGGGTATCGAAGGACTCGTGGCATTACAAGTTCTGTGAAACGAAGGTCAAGATAGATCTTCACAAGCCCCCGCCCCCCCAACCACCACTCAGGATCATCTGGGCCAAGGGTCTCCCGTGGTTTGTCGTCTACAAGGCTTTCTAAGTCTTGTGCGGATCATGGAACACTTTGTTTGGAGGGGGAAGAAGTCAGTCTAGATGAGTGAGGCTACAAAAAATCTTGCTCCTGGTCGCAGGACAGTATGGACGGTAACCTGTACCCTGGGAGCCGGCGCCCTTTCTTGCAACACCCAGTAAGCCTATGTCGCTTGCAAGACAACTATATTACATGAATTTGAGAAGAGGCTTCGCGGAAAAGAGAGAGAAAATGGATGAGAAGGTCCAGGAAATTGAAGGCTTGCTGGGTGCGGTCCAGAAAGATGCTCTAGATAAGAGTGATTAAACCATGTCTGGTTGGTCCGCTTCTCTGGTTGATAGATTCACACTTTTGAAATTCTACTGTACTAGTAGCATTCTCCTAAAAGTCGTGCTGCAGGATGTTGTAGGGAGCTATGTGCTGCCCACCTAAGAGTCGTAATTGGGGGATAGTAATGAACATCTAGTCGACGCGCGCGCTTGAAAAGCTCGCCTGTAAAGCAAATCGCGGCTATGGCACTATACCCGGCCGGTATCTACTCAAGGTATTCACTACTGTATGAGGACATTATTAGAGCTTCGTGACAGCGACAATGGATGGGCAGAAGACCGTGTTATGACTACAGCTCGAGAGGGCGAAGATAATTATGACCGGAACCTGATTTTGATTGACTGCGACTTTTAATTCCCAACCATGCACCGGCCCCAGAAAGCAAAGGGCAAAAAGAACTATGTACTGATCTATAAAGATGTGCACAAGAAAGACATGACATGACCTGGAAGTCGGCGGCGATAGAATTGAGACACCACAGACAAGCCCAAAACTCAACAAGATTACCGCTTGCCTGCGCGTCCCCTCTTCTCTCGCTCGTACTCGTTGGCCGCACGACCCTCCTCGCTTTGAATCTCTGCAATAAGTCTCTTGTACTTCTTCTCGTACTCGGCATCGCGCTCCTTCTTCTCGCGCAGCTTCTCGCGGGCAACGAAGCTGGCATCCTTGCGCAGCTCGCGCATAGCACCCTTCTTTTCGCGCTTGTACTCGGCCTTGAGGCGGTTGGCCTCGGCACGCTCGCGGTCTGGATCGTAGTGCTTGTCCGGGTTGAAGTTCTCCTCGAATTTGGGGATGGCAGACTTGATGGCCAGGGGGCGGTGGTTGTGAAGGAGCAGTGGACGGCGGGCAAGGCTGGCACGGGCGAGATGAGCATCGATCTTGTCCAGAGTGGACTGGAGAGGGTCTCGGGCGGCTGCAAAGACCTTGCTCTTGAAGGATTGGCGGAGGTGGTTCAGAACAGCGCGGACGGGGGTGAAGATCTCGACGAAGGCGGATTTTTCGGCCCACAAATCAGAAGCAGTGTCGAGGAGGGAGACGAAGGCGGCGACAAGAGAAATCTTAAGGTCTTCTTCAGCCTGAGAATCGGAAGTTGTGGCACAGACATCTCGGAACCGCAGTTTGCGCGGTGTGACCTTCTTGACCGGCGCAAGCTTGACTGATTGCTGGGACTTTCTGAGGGGGAAAGACATATTCCTAGCAGTAAGCTCCGTGGGAGCCAAGTTGCAAAGAGCATTAAGAACATAGTTGATGAACTCGGGCATATAGCGCTTCGCAATAGTCTGATACTGAAGACACAAGCTTGTGGCAAAGGCACCAGTCACAAAGTCAGAAGTGCCGTTGGGCGAACACTGGCCCAAGAATCGAGCAAGGCACAGATGCGCGGGAGTAGCAACGGCATGGAAGTGATCAGATGTTGGGAAGACCGTAGAAACGCCAGTCAGAACAACAAGATCACCAGGAAGAAGGCTGAGCGGCCGATCCTCTGAGATCTCGCGGAGACGAGCACGGAAGGCCATGGCCACATTGATGGGGTGAGTCTTGGCCAGCGAGTGAACGTGACGCAGGATGTTCTCAATAATAGCGAAGGAAGGCTCCTCGCTCTCATTGGCCATGTAGGAAACATGCTCGACAAGAATCTCAGCAAATCTGCCCAACTTAGCCTTGTTGTCGGCATGAAGACGGGGGTGGTGCAAAGCACGAATGCGCTGAATGACAGTCGGCAGATCCTGGGTAGGGACATCCTTGGTAATCTCAAGGAACTCCTCATGATTACCTGGGCAAGGATAGGTGAAGGCCAATTTTCCATCAGCGGTCTGATTGACTTGCACCGCTGTTGATGCAGCAGCACTGCTTGCTGCGGGTAACGTCATTCCGTTGATAAGCTCGTCTTCCTCCTCCGATTCCTCGGCATCATCCTCGTCTGAGAGCTCCTCCTCTTCGATGTCACTTCCGTCCAAAGACAGACTAACATTTGATCGCGTCTCAACAAGGTCATCGTCAATGACGAAATCATCCTCGTCCTCAACGGCGAGTTCGGGCCGGGGCTCGTAGGAAGTCGTGTGAAGTCCAAAAGCAGCCGCATCGTCAACTTCAGACTCCTCATCATCTTCATCGCCCTGGAAGAAAGAGTCCTTGTCGCTTTCCTCTTCCTCCTCGTCGCTAAGCTGCTCACCGCGCATTCTGCGCTGTCGGTCTTCCTCCAACTTCTTCAACCGTTTAGCCTCCTCTTCTACCTTCTCCTCCTCCGTCTTTGTGCGGTCCGTGGGTTGTGACCGCTTGTCGAAAGTCAATTGTTTGAGGCGTTGATCGTATTCCTTCTCTGTGTCCTTGCCTTCCGGGATTTGGAGCATGGCTGCGCGCTCTGGGTTCATGGTGTCCAAATCTTGCTTAACCGGCTCCGGTTTAGCTGGTGCCTTCATGCCACGCAAGGCCTCGAAGAGATCTGGCAGCTCTTGGTCGAGTTCGTCGCGAAGATCGTCGTCATCCTCCTTGGCCTTCTGTCGCTCAGCCTTGTGGAACTTGGACTTGGCGATGACTTCCTTCATAACTTCGGCCTTGGACTTCTTGCGTTCTGGTTGATCCTCGCCATCCTCTCCAAAATCGATAAAGTCTTCCGCATCTTCATCATCCTCACCGAAGCGTTTCCGTTTCCGTGAGGCTTCTTCGTCGGACTCGGCACCCTCCAAATCACCGGCATCAAAGTCGTCTACCGTCATACCATCCACGATCGTACCATCCAAAGTCAAGGACTGACCCATATGCGTCAATTGGAACTCTTCTTCGTCTTCTTCGAGGTTGAACATCGATTCCTTGCGCATCTTCTTCTGGCTTTCTCTCGCGAATCGTTCGGCGGCTCGTTCTTCGGGCGTCATGGTCGGATCGTTTTCACCAAATCGGCGATCGACAAGACCACCGACTTTGTTACGGCTGTTCATTTCCTGCAAAAGAGTTGCGCGGCGCTAGCAGAGAAAGTTGGTTAGAATCCTCCTAGCATACTTGCATTCAAATAGTAACAAGCTCACCCTCTCTTCTCCCAATGACTTCGTAACACCTGGACGGCGCCCAGTAGCCTTTTTAGAATTATCATCGCGTGTAGTGGTCTCAAACTTGCTCCTAGTCGCAGTTGGGCGGATCTCAAAAGGATTGAACCGGTCTCGAATGGCTTGCAATGCAGCATTGCGCTGGTTGCGATTCTGCGCACCAACACCAGATTTCGCATTTTGGCGTTTCTGCTTTTTAGATTGTTGGGGACCAACGACCCCACTCTCTCGGAGTGAAGCCTTCAACTGCTTCAGCTGAGAGGGCGGCATTGTTTGTCGTGACGAGCGTGAACTGAGTGGAGTTTTTTTCGTGACTGCCAAACTTTCCCACTCCGCCCGGAAAAAAATAGTCTCACCGCCCTCGGGGATTTCGATTCTGCCATCATCTCCGCATCCCCAACACCGACCTCGATATCCACCATGGCTCCTCTCTCTGGAGATGGAGTGCTATGGCTTTGCCTTGGTAGGAATGATCGGAACGAGCTCTTTGGTCTAAATACTGATTCTACCAGGTTTCACCCTCGTTTTTGCCGTTCGTGGCATCATCGAGGACCTTCGTCATGTCGTTGGCCTGACCGAGATTAAGCATCTTGAGAAGGAAGACAAGATAATCAGTGAAGGAACAGAGGATGGTGAGTGCTTTCTTCGATCTCATCTCTTATTCATCCAATACTAATACCTTTGCAGTCCTTAAGCTGGACACTCTTCTGACCCTTTCTGAGAACACGAGCTATGACCTCCGATCCGCGTACGAGATACTCTCACCCACATTACATCATTATCGCCGCTAATGGTAGCAGGGCTTTACGCATCATCTCAGAGAGGTCGCTCAGAGAAAATACACGCGACTTGATTTTGGAAGACCTGGCACACAAAAACAAGATACCGCGAGACAGAGCGCTGACGGCTCTCTACTATCTTGTCTCAGACCGAGCTCGTATGTTACACACTCCAACACCCAAGAAGAGCCCCATGCTAATTCCTTCTAGTAAACAAGAACACCGCGTGCTCCTATCTGCAAGACCTCGAGACGTTTACCGCCCTGATCACTTGTCTATGCAACTTCCTCGACGAGCACACCGAACCATGGTCCGCGACTATCTCGCCCATCCTGCCCAAGACCAGACCTCTCGGAGAGAACAAAGCTATTGAGATACTATGGATCCTCTTGCCGGGCAATGTCTCCACCGCGCTGGAAGCAGGGATAGTCAGCCGATGGCTGACTAACTATCCATTTCCATGCGCAGTTGACAAGGACCGAAAGGATGATGTGGTGCTTCTCGTGAAAGCCTGGTGGTCTGACGACGAAACAATGAGTAATATCTTTGAGGTTTTGACCAGCCATCGTGAGGGCAATAAGCAACTCCGAAAGTACGGTCTGAATGGCCCGATCCCAGAAGACGAGGATGACAACGAGGATGATCCCGAGCACGACGACGACCAGCACGAGGAGCATGAGCATGGTCATGGGTATGACGATGAGCACACCGACGGCCAAGACGATGTCGACTACGGTGACCATGTCGAGCATGAACATGAGCATGAGCATGGATATGAGGACGAGCTTGACGACGACCAAGACGATGTCGATGACGATGACTACGATATGGTCACGGATCCTGACATTCGTATGGTGGGCGGAGAAGACACGGCTGGTCCAGATTTCTATGTTCCCTCGCGGTTCCAATTCAGTGCCCAAGACCAAGCCTTGCGCCGCCGCCGGAGAGAAGCCATGGTTCTTAGTGAAGGAGGTCACCCCTTAGGCCATGAGGACATTATCCAGCGACCGATCCTGGATGACTGATTTGGCGTGGATGGCCTTTCTGTTTGATTCTTTACTGCGGTGATACTCTGCTGCAGGAGCGCGATACCCCTTGCCTAGTATGGGCTACCCTATTATGGGAAATATGGTTGATAGGAATTCAACACATACAATGAAACTTCATGAATTATTGAAAATAAACTAGGTCATAGTCCCATCCACGCGGATTTGGCAAGATGGTCGGTCTTCTTCCGACTATTCTTAACCATGCCAAAGGATTTAAGATCAGACAACGCGCCGTAGAACAGGGACATGATCATGCGATCATCGCAAGTGTTGCCCTGGTCGCCCTCAAATACTCCGTAGAAAGCCTGCCACAAGTCGTGAATGTTGACCAAAGCCCCGGATTCGAGATAGAGCTGATAAAGAATCGCAGTAGCAGGCTGCTTGGCGGAAATCCTGGCGCCGCTTGCATCTGTCGAGGAAATAAGGTAGTCAAAAGGATTGGCCAATGCACGTTCCAGAGCGAATCGTGGTCGGGGTGTAAAGTTTTCTTTCAAGGGGTTGCGCAGGTCGAACAAGAAAGCTTCGTGCATGAACAGCTCCTGTGGCTGGATCAATGTCTCTGTGAGGTATTCTTGCAATGCACCGACCAGTCGATCGACAATCCGAGTGTACTCGATGTCTTGCTCGGATAGGTTGGCTTTTCCTTTGCTGAGTAGAATCCTTTGCTGGACAACCGTAGTTTTCACCACAGAGCTGTTGATGTTGTATTCACTTCGTAGAGGTTCGAACTCTGCATTTGCCTCGACTAATGTCGCAAAATCGGCTCGGATATCTTCGAGAGCTAGGACGGCAGGAAGTGTCTTGGGCAAAGAGTCGAGCAGGAGACCCAGCTTTTCGGAGTCGAAAGTCCTCACTGTCGCTAGCATGTCATCGGCCACCTGGGAGTCATTCAGCTCGCCAGAGAGGGCGCGAACAGAAAGATCAGAGACATTGGTCTTCTTTGAGCCTTGTTGCGTGTGCTGGATGCAGGTATGGATGACAAGAACAGCCTGGAATATTTGTTGCATGCTTTGCTGGCCCGCGCTAACATGACTGAGCGCCTCCTGAAGCAGGTATTCATCGTTTTCTAGCAAACTCCGTACATCATCGGGAGACCCCGCCTCTAGTAAATCTTCGCAAAACCTGTCACCACGGTTAGATTGGAAACCCAGATCGGCGAAGGAAAAGGCACTAACATGCGGAATGATGGCAGATGTCTAATGGCCTCACATAGTCTGGGTTGAGAAAGCGTAGCTGGCGCTGGATTTCCCAACAGCACCGCGAGCGGGTTCGCGAAGAAATGTGACATATACGCATACTAGACATAGTCAGCAACGGAACCTAGACAACTACCTGGGGCCAATTTACCTTGACCATGCGACTGAAAGCTTCAGGTGTTTGAAAATAGTCATGCGTCTTTTCCAGAAGAGTGCTAGTGACATTGCGGCCCAGCCACAGCTTTCCCTGTGGGTCGGTCTGGAGCGATTCATAGATACGGTCGACACAGTTCCCTGCTTCTTGGACTTCGAAATGCTTGCCTTGAAGCAAAGAAACACATGCACGAGGCAAACGACCTTCAAACAGCTCGACGGAGGTCGAAATACCGAGAAGAACTGTGAATGGAATGCGATCAAGCCAGGACCTAGTATCGCATTAGTGTGACATTGAGCCAGCTGAGCGAGGATTGCTGTTCTTACTTGAAAAGTGACAAAAGATCCATCAATAGACCTGGGTCAAAGGCTTCACTGTCTCGAAGTGCAAGAACCAGCTTTTTCGTGCCCTTTCTTTGAACGTAGTCGTTAAGAAGGTCCAGGTCATATCCAAGCAGTCGAGGTCCCTTAGGAGGAAGTCAGTAATAGTCCAGCAAATAATTCTCAGCCGAGAACTTACCGCCCGATCGGTCAAGAACTTCTGGTATCCATCATTTCCCTCGGTATTTGTGATCGCGGCTCGAATGATATTCTTCAAGGATGACTTCAAATTAGGAGCATCACCGGACTCCAGCACCACAACACCGCCTTCGCCACTGGCTAGTAATTGATCGTTGAGACGAGAGAGCAATCTGCTCAGGGAGGAAACATTGGATCCGACTGTCACCAGACCTGTAGGGATACATCCGTTGCATCTAGCAGACCAAGTTAGATTCCACCTTGTAGTGCTTCGTCGGGGGAGAGCGTACGTTTCAGGAGAGTTTTCTCTCACAAAAGAGAGCACATCGGCCAATACTCCGGCGTCAACATCTTCAAGAATAGCCTAGGTATTGACTATCAGCAACAATTTGCAGACTAAGGCGAATGATTCGCACCTGAATCTTATGCTCCTGTGCCGACCAAAGCTGTTTGTAGGTTTCGTGTCGCAATTGCGATGACTCGGCATTTTCTTCTCCATTCAACAATGGCACAAAGCATTGGACATCGGATCTCTGTCCTTGATTGTTGGTAGAGGAGACCTTGCGTCGTTTCGAGGGTCGCTCGCCGGTAGCTTTCCCAGGTTTTACGGGTTGGTAGATGTAGACACCCTTGAAATAGTTAGTGAGTCGACATTTTCACCTCCAGACATAGCCAAAAACAAATCACAACATACCTGGTTCTGCGACCTGTCCCTGGACAAGTCCAGCGCATCCTCGAGGCCTTCAGGATCCATTGCTGGTTGCAATTGACAAAGTCGCGTCAAGGGCGGATGACTTCACGTTCGGAGGCGGAAGGCGCTAAACCCGAACAGGGGCATTAATGGTTTTCCGATCTTCAACTTTCGACAACTACCCCAAACTCCTTCAAATCCCCCCATGAACAACTCCATATGCTCCGCCAGGCTGTTCGAGGAGGAGCTCGATGGTGCCATGCGGTCCACAGCCCGTCGATTTCCCGGCGCGCCTTTAGCGCTGTGAATGCGCGTCGTCTCGACTTCGGCGGACCGAACGATAAGGTCAACTTTTACGAACAAGAAAGTCCCACGAGCAAGACCGCGCGGAAGGTCGATCCGGAGGCGGAAGATAAAGAGGAGCGGAATGAAGTTCATACCGAGCTTTCGAAGCTCCAGGAGGAGTTGAAGATACTGGAAAAGGGTCCGTTTACGCCCGACGGCGAATTTATCCAGAGTTTACCGGAGGAGGACCGGAAGATTGCTCTCGAGGCTCTACGGAAATATGAAGCAGAGCGAGGGCCGGCTCAGCCACAGCTATCATTGGACGATGTGTTTGACGAGGAGCTGGATAACATGCTGAAGGATGAATTCGAGGGCCTTGCGAACGAACAAGAGAATTGGCAGGACACTGTTAGGGACCGACGAAAGCTGGCGGCTCGGAAGGCGTCGCAGCAACACCTTGCAGATCCAGGATCTCAAGCCTACTCTACAAGATTCAACGTGTCCCTGCGACGTTATACCGGGAAGACAACAGACGAGCGCGCGAGGCAAGAGCTTTGGAAGTCATACCGCCGATGCAAGCAAAATGTTCCGGGGTTCCTGGAATCACTTACGCCAGCCATGATAAATTCAATCTGGGAGTCACAAGTCGCTGCGCAATCGACAAAGTCCACACGGTCCAGACACCTCCAAACCCTCGCCGAAGACATGAAATCGGTTGGAAGACCTCTCGCCATCCCCCAAATACTCTCCTATATCGAAGCTCTACACGAAGGCGGTGCCATCGGCCAGGCGTTGGAACAATGGGAGGCGTATCAAGCGGAACTGTCGCAGAAGAAGGAAGACCTTGAGGAGTACTGGATGCTGGGCGTCCGACTCTTTGCGGCCGAGAACAACCCACAACGCGCTCAAGATATTGCATTGGCATTCCTTGCGAACGACAGATCTCGCCAACCCCGTGTTCTTATCCCAGTTATCACTGCATGGAGCAAGATGCCCGGGAAAGAAGCCGAGGTGAAGGCCTGGGCACTGTATCTGCAACTCAAGACCTTCCTCGGGCCAGACATGACTATGGAGGACTATGATCGAGTTAGCATTGGTCTCCTCACGGCTGGTCGGTCAGATGCCGCCGTTGCTGTTTTTAAAGATATGATGGTGACAGGCCAAGATCCAGCAAATGATTCAACAGCCCTATACCAAGCAGCTCTTGGACTAGCGGGAAGCCTTCAGGCGTCTAGCATCGATGAGCACGCCGTGAACAAGGTGTCATTGTCTGCTCTGACGATGCTACCCCGCCGATTCCATAACCGGTTCTTCTACGCTAGTTGGATGAAGAAGCTCATCGGAATGGGTGAGGTTGACTCGGCCGCAATGGTCATTGAGCTCATGTACGAGCGCGGCGTGAAGCCAGATTCCAAGCATCTCAACGGTGTCATGGCCGGCTGGCTTCGTGAAGGCAACGCATCTGCCAGAGACAAAGCAGAGCGACTGGGTTGGTCCATGATCCAACACCGAATCGACGCCGTGTGGAAACGATACCAGCCCGTCGAGGTATCTCCACAAATCCAGATTCAGCACCAAGCGATAGAATCAGGCCGTATACCCAAGTTCCTGCAGCGAGAAGTGCCTCCGGCAAGCATTGAGACTTTCTCCATTCTTCTCCTCCATTACACCCGCCGCGGCGACGACGATATGGTCAAGTATCTCGCCAAATGTCTCGGCGACGCACACATCCAACCAAACTCCTATTTCATGAACCATCTCCTCTATGCCGAACTCCGCAAACAAGATATCCGATCTCTCTGGAACAAATTCGAGACGATGACTACAAGCATCCGGCCAGACCTCGAAACTTTCGCATGCCTCTGGGACTGTGCAAAGCTGCAATATGACCGTGGACGCACTGCCTTCGACGCTGGGTTCCCCTCGGCACGAAAACTATTCTCACACATGGTGCAATGGTACTCGCAGCTTTCTCCGCGAGCACAGAAGAGCACCACCGAGCAATTCTCCAAGGATTTATACGACCAAATCATCCGCTGCTTCTGTCTATCCAAAGATCTTCCAGGTACACTCGTCGCACTCCACTCCATGCATGCGGCCTTCAACTACGCTCCCGACGACGCCACCGCCCGTATGATTGTCCTACAAGTTGCACGTCTCGCAGGTGTCCCCGCCGACACACCGAAACGTCGTCTCCGCCGGCTCTCCTCCACACCCCGGAGTAAAGAGAATATCGGCCAAGTCAGCCAGCTGTTAGAGATGCTGGGCGAACGCAAGTCATTAGCTCTCAAAGCGCAGGGCTTGAGTATCGAACAACTTGATCCTCATGAGAAACAGCAGTATCAGCTCGAGGTCATGGCTAGTTTACTGCGTATTGTGCTCAGTCGGACGGAAGGGTTAGATCCCGTCCAGATTGAGACGAAGCTTGCGCAGGCTGCTGCTGAGATGCATGTGGAAGGGATTAATTTAGGGTCTCCTCTCGGTGTGGATGATAGCAAGTTGCTCTAGCTCTGGAGCTGTTGACTTGTTTTGGTCATGTTGTTGTGTTGTGTTGTGTTGTGTTGCATGGCATGGTCTGGCGTTCAAGGATTGTTTTCTCCTCTTTATAGCCCTGTGGTAAATCCTCAGGGCCTGTATATTACTTCCCAGCTCTTTGCTATTTAGATTGGGGAATTGTACAATGTTACTTTCAGACAATACTTACACTGCAAGGTCATCGAATAAGAGTCTGCCAGTATTTCTATACGAAAATCCATCCAAGAAACGAAAAAAAAAACGCCATTCTGGATGAGCCCAATGAATTGGAAACAAATGCTAATCCAACCCGAAACCCAAGAAAACATAATTTTACAAGCAAAAGATCATCTATTTCTTGCCCTTCCCCTTCTTCTTCTTCCCACCTCCACCACCAGAAGCCGGACTACCAGGGCTATTCACCGACGGATCCGCCTCAACCAACACCGCATCATCATCACTCCCCTGCACCGAAGTCGCCTTCGCCGGCGTCGTCACAGGCACCGCCTCATTAACCTTAGCCGGCGTAGCAGGCGTCTGGGCAGAAGTCGACCCCCCCTCCTCCTTCTCCTCATTCAACTCCTTCATAAACCCCTCCTGAATACTAGTCTTCTTCTTATCCCACCACTCCCGCTCCTCAGCAACCTTCTCTTGATGCTCCGCAACCCTCGCCCGATAAAGATCATTATTCAACATCTCATTCGCAGACTGGAAAATAATCTGTCCCCAACCGGGCGCGTAGGCATTAGCCTCGGCGACCACGTCGCGAACCTCGTCTTCCATTTCTTTCTCCGCGCGCAGGAAGCGCTGCCACAGGTCGTCGCCTACGCTGCCGCGCTGCAGGAGCACTGATAGAGCTTGCTTCTGGGAGCGGAGCGTCATGACGCGGCGGATGTCTTCTGTTGCGCGGCGGAGGAGGGCGGCTTTGAGGACGGACTCCGGGACGGCGGGGGTCTTTTTCTCGTTTTGGGAGGTTGGGTCGAGGTGCATGAGGGAGAAGTAGATGTCGCGTTGGAGGTGTGCGGGGAACCATGCTTCCAGGGTAGCGGATTTTTCTGTAGAAGGGGGAGTGGTTAGTTTCATTGATTAAGGAAGTGACACGTTGTGCGGGTATATCATGGGTATTGGAGGGTGGAGGATGGGAATGGTTTCGAGGTAATACGTACGAGCCTTGCGCTTCCGGTAAAGAGAAGAGAATGTAGCGAGAGAGCCGATTAGCACGCCTAGGTAGGCGAGTGGCACGGTGAGACTGAGCCAGTCCACCATTGTTGCGGTGCGGGTGTTTGTGTGGATGCGCGGTAGGGAGAGGCGATAGTGAGAAGGGTGGCGATGCCGAAAGAAAAAGATGTGTGATTTAGTAATTCAAGCTCCGGTCATGATCCAGGAATTGAGACCAGGGAGCAAGGTCGGGAGAGAATAGGAGTAGTTGGGGGAAGTGGGAAAGTCGGAGTGAGTATCAAAGGGCAAAGGGCAGGTGCATCAGGCGCCGTGGCCGCAAAGGCCAGGTGTTTAGTGGGTCGACGTCACATGTTCCGCCTCCATCGAAGTATGAGCAACTCAGGGTCCTCGACTCTACAAAGAATACGAATTATACAGAAGATCATGTTAAATCGAAATGTCTGAATTCCCTACATGTACGGGACTATTGAATCCCTTCCTATCTCGCTTGAAATACTCTCACATATTGCCCTTATCAATACAAAAAAGAAAAGAAAAGAGACAGAATGGGTAGAAACCATGAACAGGGCAAACACCCTGGAAAAACCATAAAATTGCGCCACAAATAACCCAGAAACCATATCTGGACAATGACCTCAGCTGGAACGAAACATATTAACATGAAATCTGAAAATGAATAAAAGAAAGTTGCATCATATTAGCCCCATCCCATTACACCGAGAAGCTAGGGTTCTCCAGCTGGATCTTCGTGTTTTGGCTGATGGCTCCGATCTCCTGGACGGACTGCATGTCCTCCAACACGGCATTGAAAGTTTCGGTGACGCCCATAGCAACATTTGTCCGATTCCAATCACCCCGCTGGCGCCACACAAAGTCCATGAGACAGGTGTTCACCTGCTCCAGTTGCTCGACAGAGCAGCCACTAGTCTGCAATGCCAGCTGTTTGTGGAGATGCTCGACATACTCGAGGTCGAGGTCGAGCTCGGGTGTGGGCTTGGAAGCACGGGCGTCAAACAACGGCGGCTGAGGTTTCAGATGGGACTGGCTTCCGCTGAGGGGACCACTTTCCTCGGCGTGCCCCAGTGCCTGATATTCTCGAGGCCGGGGAGATGGCTGGCTGCTTCCACCTTGCTGGGTGTCGGGCAGATGCTCTTCCTGCTGCGGATCACGATCAGGATACTGGTGGAGATCTGGGAATTCATCCCGCGATCCATGCAGACTCTGCGTGTGGTCATGCACTGAGTGCCCGGGACCAGATGACTTCTTGTCGGAAGTGGTCTGTGTTGTAGATGCCTCGTTGGTGTAGTCTCCAGGCTGAGACCCGGCTACCATGGGGGTTACTACCCCAGTCTGGGAGAAGCTGGACATACCAGACTCCCGACGCATCTGCTGAGACGGCGCAGTGTGCGAATATGGTGGCTTCGGCTGTGCAGACGGCCCAAAGGAGCTGACTTGTGTGTCTTTGCTGCCAGAGTGGTCCTCCGAGTTGGTCATGAAAATATCGCCGTCACCATCACCGTGAGAGCCATTACTTTGACCGTGAGGTGCGGGCTCGTTCAGGTCGGAACCGCCCCCGTTATGATAGCCATTGCCATTGGCGAAGCTGACATTTGCGAGGCCGTGTCGAGTAGGAGTGACCGGACGCTCATCGCCATCAGGCTTGAACAAGCCACCCGGGTTGGAAGAGTGATCATTAGGTCCACCGGCGGTGCCAGGGCGGGACATGGCTGCCTCCGCCTCTTCCTGAAGTCTAAGCGCACGCTCAGTAGCCTCCTTTTCACGGGCCAACTCGCGCAGGTACACATTCTCGCACTCCGCTACAAGAGCTGGTTCCGCTTGTTCAATAGTAGAAATATCCACTTCGACATTGGACAGCAGCTCATTGGCCCTCAGTAGCCGCTCTTGTTCACCAAGAGTACGGGCATCCTTGGCAATGCGCTTAATATCAGCCAGGAAATCAGATGGGCGTTTGTAGAACCCATTAGACAGGCGCTTCTCCATGGTGACAATTTCCATGTTGTAGTAAAACTTGCCAGTCATAACTTCACGAAGGCCAGGTGCGCCGTGTTTGTCGTATGCTTTCTCATATGGCCGGTGGCTCAATGGATCAGGAGGCAGATCACTCGTAACAATGTTGGGATCTTCCTCCTCCCAGAGGTATCGAATTTGGGATTCATCGACAACACCCTGGCGGAATCGCTTGTACTTCTTAATCTGGTCCATGATGGGCTGGATACGAATCTTCAGTAGGTTGAGTGTGTGATGATCCTTCTTCTTCTGAGCTTTACGCTCCTTCTTGGAGACTGGAATATCGGCCTTGGGGGGCGGAGGTGGTGCGACTTCCAACTCTTCCAGCTGTCGCTTCTTGCGGTTTTCCGGGTCCGGGAAATCGGAGGGCGCTGTTTTGATGTACTCGATGAGCTTACTGAAGAACTCAGAGCGAGCTTGTTGACCAGGGGCTGCAAGGTCGTAGAGATTCTTCTTGGAGAATCCGAACAGCTTGTGTACTAGAGCAGCATCAATGTCATCTCCCGTTGACTCGAGAACTCCAAGCAGCAACACGGGGTCTGTAGGCGGTACAGATCGCAGCAAACCCATGAACGTGGAAATGACTGCTGGTCCAACGGTCTCGAACCACGTTTGAATATTCGGAATGTAGATGACACTGGGCTTGTGGCGCTTGACCTCCGCGAACAGTTGGATAACAGTGGCCTCGGGTGACCGGGTAGAGTCGCTGAGGAGAGTTGGCAGATCGAAGGCCTGAACATGCAGACCCTCGAAATGGTGCAAAAGAGCAGCCGCAAGATATTGCTGACCCATACCATGGCCACCCCGAAGAAGCAGACGCGGCCGGAAAACGCGAGACCGATCAAATTCCTGCATAATCTGCTCTCGCTTGAAACCATTCCCATCGTCGGGTTCCTCGAACTGAGCTTCCTCGAGCGCAGTCAGACGTTTTCGCTGGGGAAGGATTTCGGCCAGCGAGGTCTCAATCTCGAGCAATTGCTGGCGGAGCAGAGGTTCGACGTTTTGAGGTAGAGCAGTTGCCCCCGAAGATGTAGATCGCTCGGATGAAGGAACCATCTTCTTGATTGCGATCATAAAGTCCTTGGGAGTGACGTCAATGTTTTTTGGGTCAATCACCAGCTTCTTATCAGACTTATAGATCTGAGGGTATCTCCTCTGGACGGCATTGAGGGCGGCCTCGGTGCAAAGGGCTCGCAAGTCCGCACCACCATAGCCCTTGGTGATCTTGGCGAGTTCATCTTTAATGTCGCTGGGGAGGGGGGGATCCCATCCCTTGGTGTGAATATCAAGGATAGCCCGTCGACCCTCGTTATTTGGAAGCGGGAAGTAGAACTCGCGATCGAAACGACCAGGACGACGGAGCGCGGGGTCAACCGAGTCGGGTCTGTTGGTAGCACCGATGACAATGACTTGACCACGGCCATCCATACCATCCATCAGAGCCAGCAGGGTCGACACGATGGAGGCATGGATTTGCTCCTGCTTACTTGATCGCACGGGAGCGAGACCTATACACACTCATTAGCAAATGAATTTGAAGCTAAACCAGCGAAATCATTCTTACCATCAATCTCATCAAAGAAGATAATACTCGGCTGTGTCTTGCGAGCTTCTTCAAAGAGAAGCCGAAGTTGACGCTCAGCTTCACCAACCCATTTACTCAATGCATCTGCACCCTTTCGCATGTAGAAAGTCACCTTGCGACCTTCGGCACTGACACTGTTTGCCAGAGCTCTAGCCAAAAGCGTCTTACCCGTACCAGGAGGACCATGGAACAGGACACCGCGAGGAGGCACGATATGGAACCGTTGGAAAATTTCGGGATACAACAGCGGGAGAGAAACCATCTCCTTCAACTGGTCGATATGACCTTGCAAACCTCCCACGCTGTCAAAGTTGACATTAACGTCAACTCCCAGAGGGTCTGCGTCTGCCAATGCCTGCCTGTCCTTGACTTTGCCAAAGTTGGCAGGCGTTCCAGAGGTATTCTGAGCGGGATCGGCGGAGTGGGTTTGGGGAACAAGCCCGCCGGGGACAAGTCCAGCAGGCTTAGCTTGGTGCATGCCTTCATCATCACTGCTGTCACTTTCAACACCACCAGTTGCAGCAGGTGCACCAGGTGGAGCCAGGATAGCAGATGGGCCACCACCGCCGAAAGGTCCATATGTCGGGAAAAGAGTTCGCTGCCAGCCGCCACCACCTCCGCCGCGTCCACGGCGGGAGGGAGACTCCGTGACAAAGTCATTCTCAACATCTTCAATAGGTAGAAGGTGCTCGGGTCGAATCAGGCGGTAATCAACTTCCTTGCGACTGCGGCGTGGCTTCTCCGAAATGATTTCATGAATAGCGCGGCGTTTCGATCGGCCACCTCGCAGGTCATGAAGTTCCTCGGCAAGCTCATCGGCAACTTCTGAATGACCGCGGGATTGGGTAGCGCGCTTACGCAGACCAGGACGACGACCAACGGCGCTGCTGTCTTCTCCATCGTCGTCGCGGGTCTGGCTAGCCTTGCGCGGCGAATGGGCAGACTCGGCAGAATCAGAGGCATCGTCGTTGGATCCCTCTTCTTCGGGTTCGAAATCGCTTTCTTCGTCTTGTGTTTTGCGCTGAGAAGAGGGCTTCTTGCGGCCGGAGCGACGGGGCTGAGCGTCTTCAGACGGTTCAGCCTCCCCGGCTCCATCGTGATCGGTGTTTCGAGTGACTCGACTTCGTCGTCGAGTAGTGGGGATCTCGTCGTCCTCATCATCGTCGTCCTCGTTCTTTGCATCGCCGATCTCGGACTCGGGAACAACACCTTCATTGGCCATTTCAACATCGTCGCCATCATTTGCAATGATAGTGTCGCCTTCGGGAGCTTCCGGGGGGACATCGCTTTCCAGAATCTCCAAGGATGCTTGAATCTCGGTAGTTTCGACGGATTCCTCGTGAATCACGGGTGCCTTAAAGGCTCGACTATTGTGGCGGCGTTGCATACCAGTCTCAGGACTGACGGTACCTCGTTCGACGGTCTCCATATGATGCCCCGAGTTGGTCAGCGCGTACATATCCTCGGAAGCACCGCGAGTCCGGCGAGTAATGCGTCGAGTCATGAGGTCAGGCTGGGAGAGGATCTCAGGTCGAATCTTCAAAGTGACGACTGTAGCTTTCTTCGGCGGAGGAGACGAAATTTCCGGTCCCTCGCCGTCTTCGTCATCCCCAAATGACTCCTCCTCGTCAGATGGCTCTTGATAGGTCTTCTTGGTCTGGGTGGTTCGGCGACGCGCCGTTCCTCGCGCATTTCGTGGGACACTCGGGTCGTCCAAGTCTTCTTCGGACTCTTCCAAGGAAAGCTCATCACTTAGACTAGCATCGTCCGAAACAATGTCGTCAGAACCACGGCGGCGCTTCTTTGTGTGCCGCGACTTCTTCTTGGGACTCGACTGGGATTTGCGGTTAGGGCGTCGGGATAGACGGTCGGATCCTGCACTCCAGTCTTCGTCGGCGGAGTCGGACGCATTCACGATCTCCTCGAGGGAGCGCTTGGCACCGCCGCGAGCCATGATGATGGCGAGGGGGATGGATTATGGGCGGTCACTGAAAGACAAACAGATGTGTCAGCGAGCAAGCACAAACAAAAAGCGGATGGCAGCCCAAAGAAGGACTGAAAAGCTGTATAAAGGCTAGGGCTAGATGTGATGGCGTCGCAAATGGATCCAAGATCCGGCGCCAGGACGCAAACCGGGGGAGCTTACAAACGACAAAACAAAGTCTTCGACCAGCGATGACAGAATGTGAATAGAGATGCCGGTACGCGACCCAGTTCTCGAGCAAAAAGAAGAGACACGAGCGCCTTTCACGACAATTGCTGATCAACGGGGGAGCCGTGGTCGGCGACGGGAGCAATGGTGGAGCGCAAACTGGATTGTGTTGAGAAGGGTCACCCACGGACTCGAAGTGGACGCGTGGGGAAAACAGGGAAAGATGAAAGGAAAGATCACACTAATAGAGAGGCGCGCAACATGAACGAAGGTGGAGTTGCCAGGCAGCCAGAGAGTCCGAGTGGTGATCTTCTTTGTGTGCTTCCAACAACACGAGTTAGAAGGGCCCGGGAAGGGACTCGCGCTGCCTGAGAGAGCAGCGTTCAGGCACCAGCCACAGGGGCTCCTTCCGCAGCCGCCAATTGTGGCGCACCACGGGTTAGTCATGACGCACGTGCCACCATCGTCAAGGTGGATGAAGGCAGTTCACCCTCGATGGCCACGCCGATTTCAGACACCCCCAGAATCACACCTGGGGATTATTTGGAGAGGCTTCAATCGTCTGGAAAATACATTTTGTGACCAATCAAGTCCCGGCTGGGGTGTTTTGAGCCCTGGAACGCCATGGAAGCGTGGAGAGACCGGTGGTGAAAGGAGGTGTCAGAAGGCAGTCAGGGACAACGAGAAGCGCAACTGGAAGCCTTCTGTCATTTGGGTTGTGGCTCCCTTCCTTTGGCTGCCCGCCAGAATTCAACCGGACCTGATATCATGTGATGGCTGACTCAGCAGGGTGGCCGGGGTTACTATTCCCTACTGCAACTTAACTCATCTATTCAATGTTGTTTAAGAACTCCGAACTCTAATATACATTGTACAAGAGGCATGACTACTTGAATAGACTGGTTTGATAGGGCTCGATATTAATTTTCATCAATCTTAATCAATTGCTCGTCGGTGACGCTTTCATTCATCCTCGGCGATATATTCAAGCCACACACGACGAGTACATACGCAGGTCGACCCCATTGATAATGTTAGCGTGGTACTTCCCACCATTCTTTATGATTAATACCGTCTTTTTAACCGCCTTCCTAAAAGGGATTAGAGCAATACCGCATGTTTCAACCCCTTCCACCTACCCACCTAGCTTCCTACCGTAATATTGTATCAAGATGGTTTAATTACAGGAAGTCGCAATAAAACGGTGGCAGAATATTAGTCATGAGGAAGGGGTGGAAGTATCGCGCTAACATTATCAATGGGGTCGACCTGCGTACACAACCCATAATCAACGGCAGCCCAAAGCCACTAAAATCTCTCCTAAATTACTATATCCCCATGATTAACTCATCTTTAGCAACAAAATAATCTAAAATTCCAATTCAACCTCCAAATTTCCCATATCACCATCTAGCGAACAACTTACCAACACCCAGCATCACCAAGCCAAGTACCGACGCTAAACCGCTTTCAGCAGCTCCAGACTACGCCCACCGCGAACCTACCCGCAACGAAATTCCAGCCAGGTGCCATCAAGATATACAACATCCATTCAATCACTCCCCCTAAAACAAACACAAAATGCTATTCAAGCAATCAACCCGACACCTCGCGCTCGCGACGCGTATCTCATCACCCATTCTATCTGCTATTCCCAGGCGATCATTCACATCAACGCCTGCACAGCTTAACTCGGCGCAGGCGCAGCAGCCGAGCTCGTACAGGCAGGGGGTAAGTATCCTTCCCTTCTTATCCTAGTTTTTCCCTTCAATAGGAATTGTCTGAGGTTTAGTTTGGTGCTGATACCCTCGCTAGATGTCCAACTACAAAACCTTCATGGGAGCCTTCGGTAAGGTTTTCCTGGGTGCTGTGCTCACGTACCAGATCATTTACTGGACGTGGCTGAAGCTGGAGACGGATGAGTCTAGAGTTGAGAAGAATGGTATTGCACCCCCAATTGAGACTTGTGTGTTTGTATTGTTGTTCATGCTGACTTGAGGTCCAGAGGAAATGGCTACCCTGGAGAAGAAGGCTCGGGAGTTGGCGGCTGCCAAGCAGAAGTGATTTATGTATCTTGGGTCATAGGAGTTTTGCTGGCATTTGTACGATAGTTGATTCTACTTACTCAAGGAAGAGACTTATTTCAATCATTTGGAACTGGGTTTTGCTCGTGATTCCTTCTGACTATGGTTAGTCTACTGTCGCTCTCTAAGAACAGGGAGTCAACGGTGTCGGAGTTCAAGTTCTCAATTCTTGGTAAAACAAACCAAGCTCGAATCTATCATTCCATTGTACAGAATATTCATTATGCATGCAACGAGCACTAGTATAACGGACCAACAAGAAGCCCCAGGCCACATCCAGGCCTGAATGGTACTATCCAGAGGAGTACTTGCGTTTCCGCCCATTACTCCTCTCAGACCCCTGCCCCTGCCCCATCTCAATCTTACTTCCCACCTCACCACTAACACCACCACTCTCCACCCTCAACAAACACCAATCCCTCCCCCTCTCCCCCTTCTTAAAATGCTCCACATCAATATGATTAAACCTCTCATCCAACGCCGCCGCCCCAGACCCGCTCAAACCCACACCCCGACAACAAAACCCGCACCAAAACTGCGACTGTTCCGCCAGATCAAGTCGACTACCCTGCACAGCAGTCTTGACCTTGGTTTTCGGGACGCGGTGGGTCTGGTGTAGATGTTGTGCGAAGGTTTCTTCGCGGTAGAAGATGCGTTCGCAGGGGGCGGATTTGGGGGCGTCGTGGAATGTGCAGAGCCAGCTGGGGAGGTGGAGGTGTTGGGAGGTTTCGTGGCGTTTCCAGTCTGCTTTGCTGCCGAAGGATTTGGCGCAGTGGGGGAATGTGCAGCCGTAGGGGCGTTCGTGGCGTTTTTGGTGTTTTCTAGAGGGTAGGGATCGTTAGATTAGATGGATGGAGAGGGTGATGAAGGGGAAGGGGTGGTTGGCGGGGGACTTACTTCATCTCGCAGCGGAGACGGGTGCGTTTGGAGCACACGTCGCACTGGAACCAATCTTGTTTCTCGTCGTTGGGTTCAGGTGCTACCGAGGATGTATCGTCCGAGAGACGCTCCAGTGCCGCGGAGAGCACTTTTTGCAGCATTTGGCGCTGTGGTTTGGAAAGCGTAGTATTATCAGGCTCGATTTCAATTCCTTCGTCGCTGTGTTGGCTGGACCTTCGTCCGCGGTTATTCATCATTTTGGTTATGGCGTTGATGAGGTTGTCTGCTGCATCTGCAACGAAGGTTTCTGACTTGATGTTGCCGCGTTCTGTCGTTGAGTCACGATTATCGTTGGTGAGTGAGGCGAGGGTTCCCAGAGGAGGTATCTCGGGTTGTGTATTGTGGTATTGAGGAGGCTTGGGTGTTGCAGAGCGAGACGGTGGAATGTCTACGTTATCCTCTTGGGTGTCGCCAGAGATAACTGAATCTAGATCCATTTCATGGGTGGAATCAAGATCCTGCTGTGTCTCATTCAGGAGATCATCTTGGGAAGCGGTATCATCGGGGATTTGACCCGGTTGCCCTGTGAGGTTCTCATACCAGTCCATAGACCTGTGCATGTGTCAGTATTGAGAACACGCAAGAGTAACATGACAAAGATAGGCACTTACTTCTTGAGAAGGGCATCTGCGTCTTCGCCATGATGCATACGACCCAGATGCTGCTTAAAGTTGTCCAGTCGCGGCCATCTCTTGCTGGGCCGAGGGCAGTTATTTCCAAAGCAGAGATACATCATCTTAGGCCCGCGTTCAGGCTCTTTATTGTGAACGCATTTCTTGTGGCGGGCCAAGTCGTTGATCGTGCCGAAGCCTTCCTTCCGAGGGCAGTTAGGTTCATCACACTTGAACAGTTTACGATGACGGGCCTCGTGTTTTCTAGAACCCGGGATTAGTATTGAATCATTCACGATCCAACAGACGAAGATCGGGCAGGTTTGTGTATGTATACCTCTTATCGGACGGACACTTGCCCACCCAGGTGCAAGCAGGATGATCACACTTGACCGACTCAAACGGAGAGTCATCAATACCACGAGCAAAAATTGGAGGTCCCACATAGGCCTGATTAAACATGGCAAGGGACTCCCCAAAGCCTTGCTCCTTCGGCCCGATCTGCGGACTCGACATCGAGTCCACGCCATAGGAAGAGGTCACCACCGAATGCGTCGCACAACTGGTACTCCCATAACCAGAGTCCCCCGAATGAAAACTACCCATATACTGACTTCCATTTTCCGACGGGGTCCGATAATGATGTTTGGCGTAGCCTGGCTCACGATCCCCGACCGCCATGTTCATATGCGACATGGGCGACGGGTTCGGCACGCCGGTGACCTGCAGCGGACTCCATGCATCCTGGTCTGCGGTCAGACGTGAGGGATGGTAGTACGAGCGATAGAAATCGTGGGGCTCGGCGGGGGAGGATGTTGTTGATGCCGATGGCCAGCCCATGAAAGCGGGTTGATGGCGGGGTTCGATGGATCCCAAGTCCAGTTCGAGTAGTGGATGATGTGGAGTCGAGTCCAGAGTCAGACCTGACTGACGGCATTCTGTCAGATCTGGATGTGAATATGAAACGTCCTGGCTGGCCATGATACCGTGTAGCACGTCGGTCGGGTCAGTCCAGTTTAGTTGGGGATCCTGGATGGAAAAGATTAGAGTAAGATGGCGTGATTTCAAGTCAGAGAGCCGCAGGGAGCACGAACCTCCATGCTGTGGCTGATGGCTGAGGAAAGGAGGGGGGAACCCGAAGTCAATAAAGAAAGTGATAAGTGTTCAGACCAGCTGAGGCTTATTGTCGTATAAAGTGGGTAATTTGAAGAGGATATAAGATATAAGCTATAAGCTATGAGGTAGAGAGAGGGTCGAGGGATAAAAAGGGTTAGAGTAATGGATCCACGGGAGAGATGAACCGTGGTAACTTGACGAGTTGTGAAGTATACAACCCACAAGTATATGGAGCAGAGCACTTTATTCAAGCACACCACAAAACTCGAACTCTTCATGAAACGGAAGGAAGAAAAAAGGTGTGAGTTCCACAAAGCAAAAAAATTCACTCCTCCCACAACCAGGAAAAGAGCCAGGATTAAATGCAGACAGTGCCCAGGGCCGTGGCACCCGAAGCCCCTAAAAAAACGAGGTGCATACAGTAGTCATCCTTGGACCAACGCACACGCGAGCCAGAGAAATAATTAATCTTAATCAACACGCACTAGATTCAATGCCACAACCCTTTTTTCCTAAAGTCTTACTCCCCTCTTTTCCTCCACTCTCGCGTTTCTTGCTTCTCGCCCCGGGCCGGAATCACCCACGCGGTTAATCAAGGGGGTCCAAAAATGTCGCGTAAGATGGAAACTGATTGAACGAGAGCGTTGAAACGGGGATTGTCGTTTATTACCTTGGTGAGACACAAACCTTGGAATGTGCATGTCATCCCTTGATTCGATTGCACAGCCCCGCTGCACGGGAGGGTTTGGGTGTGGGTTATTTTTTTGATTACTTATGTCGGGAGCTTAGGTTCGGTACCTAGGATAGCTAATGAACTACTACGGATTGGTCGTAGTGACTCCCGAGAGGAGGGGAGAGTTCACCCGGGTTGAAGATCATGATGATAGGCGAATCTTCGGGATGACGATTGGGTTTTGAGATGACGGAAGGGTGTTTGGTAAACAGGTTAGCTGCTAACTAGACGAGGGTGCTCCACACACCATTAGCTAGTAAGACTGGTCATTTAGTTACTGAACTATAGTACACATACAATATCGTTATCGCATCCAATTTCATTTCCATTCACCACATCCATTCTATCCTCTACGATTACTGTACATACCGCAAATCTCAACCCCATTAGATAGTGCATTATTGGTTACACAACCAAACCAACCCCAAGCCCCCAGCCCTGGGGCTAGATCGGGTGTGACAGGGCGATCGGCAAACACCTCGTTCTCCCGAACCCAAAGCCATGCCATGCCGTTGAGCAAGGGGGTGTGTACAAAAACCACACCCAATAACTGACATCCAAGGGGGCCATACTTTTTCATGGTGAAACACGACTGACATTTTGACATCCACGCGTTGCTTGCAAGGGAGGAGGAGGATCTCAAAAAGGAAAATGGGCCGCCTAAGCGTGAGCTTTAACCTTAACGACAATAGCCCTTCTGGACATACCGAGCACAACATTCGGTTAAGGTAGGGCTGCGCAGTTCGTACGCTTAGTACTTCCTCATCGCCATGATCAATTTGCCATGCCGAGTACTGTAGAATGCACAATGAATCCAAGTCTCAGTTCCAACCAGCCTGACAACCATGCCAACCCACTTTCCTCTATCCAGCACCTAAGTCCAAATCAAGTAACAAAAGCGAAACCTCCCTCCCCAAGTTCCAACCCTAAAGACAAAAATATGATCTCTCATATGCTATGCATGAACCAAAAGAAAATTACTGTACGCCACCAATCCAAGTCCCGGATTCCCCAGTGACCCCCGAAAATATGTACACAAACGGAAACCCCTCTCGTCGCTCGAGTCCTCGAGGTCGGCGATCAGCCATCAGCGATCAGCAATCAGCAATCATCAGGACAGGACCGTTCGTCATTCCAGTCCACAGCCCGTGCCATGCCAATGCCATGCAGAGATAATCATTCGTTAATTGTGCTCGTGTTCGCTTTGGGAGAAATGAAATGAGCATGTGGCGCGCCCGCTCATTCTTTTCCGAATCGTGATAGAGGATAGGATATATTCTCCGTCTGTACTACATTTGGGACGGGAGATAAGAAACTCCATCGGAAACGAGAGCAAGGGAGGATAGGAACGAACTCATGAACAAAGATGGGAAAAAGAAAAAGGGGGATCTCCCCTCGGAGAAAGCCCAACAAGAAAGAACCTAGAAGGAAATGAAATGATCGATCGATGAACGAGAAACAGTAAACAATGAACAAAAAGAAGCAACATACGGAGTAGGAACAATAAAAAAGGAAAATGGATTGTCTGCAGAAACTTGAAGGTTAAGAAGTAGTGAGACAATCCAAAACAAAGTACGAGTACGGGATTAAAATGAAAAGAAAAAGAAAAGTCAATATCTCATCCCTTTCTAAATGCACCTCGGTCGGTGTGCCGTCGAAGGATACTGCATGGTGGTGCATGGTGACTGGTAACGGGTACAGTGAACTAGCCGCAAAGAAAAGAAGAAATTGAAAAGGGGGTATAGGTATATACACGTAGACAACAGACGCACACCCTGAAATGCTAAAACAGGGTGGGTAAATGAAGTGGAATCAAATGAGGATGAAATAATCAAAAGACAATATGGGTCGTAAATTGGGTGCAAACTCGTGGCAATCCACTCTGTACAAAGGAACTACTGTATAGACAGGGTACGGAGTACAGTAGTAGTTTAGAGATGCACGTTCACCCCATCTGCGACGAATAACTCGAATTGTACTGCCCGGACATATACGGGCTACTCGGCGCGACGGGTTGGTATGTTTGATACCCCGCCTGCTGCTGCTGCGCAGCCTGCGGTGGCAGCTGAGAAGAAATGGAGAATGAGTGTGGCGCATTCGGGGCGACAGTTTGGTCCATGGAGGGCGGCGGCGGCGTGTAGAGGGGTGGATATGAGACCGAGTTTTGATGTAGGGATTGGGCGTGAGCGTGGGCATGGGCATGAGCAAGGGAATGGGCTTGAGCTTGAGCTTGAGCTTGAGCATGGGCATGGGCATGGCCTTGTGGGTAGAGCGTGGCCGAAGTCGTGGCTTGGGCATGGGAATTCGGGTTCGGATCGAACGGCCCCAGTGCGTAGCCGGAGAACTGATCGCCAGGCTGCTGCAGGGGATCAATCAGTGATTCTGGTTCCATGATCGACTCCGGTTCCATGGAGATCTCGCCGCCTGTCATGCTGGTGAAGTTGAAACTTGGAATGTCGCCGTAGTACGTTTGTGTCTGGGTCGGGGCTTGTGTTTGACCCTGGGCTTGTTGGACTGGTGCCTGCACTTGAGGAGCCTGGACGGGGCCGGAGGAGCTGGTTATGGTATTGTTGCCGGCCTCGAAGGGGCTCGCGGTGTCGATCGGCCTCGGTTGACCCTGACCCTGACCCTGGGAGGCGCAGCTCTGCCTGGCAAGTTCCAGAACCGGCATGGCCAGTTGCTCCATGTGTTTCCCCAAGTGGACCGTTAACTTCTTCCAGGTGCCACAGTTATTTCCGCAGAAGCGGCAGGGCTCTTGGGCGGGGGTATGTTGGGTGGTGTGTTTGCAGTCCTCGACCATTTGATCGACTATCCTTGCGGAGCCATCGCCCACGACAGCTTTGGGGTCGGGCAGTTTGTGCTCGCGCACCAGATGCTGGATGAAATTGTTTTTACGATAGCACTTGTGCGTGCAATCGTGGTATGTACAGCACCACCATTCTAGCTGTCGGTGTCGCTCGCTTTCATGGCGTACCCAGTCGGCCTTGCGCTTGAAGGACTTGGGCTCTGTGCATCCGGGGAACGTACACGTGAATGGCTGTACGTCCTCAAAGATATGCTTAGACCAATCGGACGGTTTCTGGATGGTCTTGACTTGGAAGCATACGGGGCATTCAAACTTGGCTGGTAGCCGAGCGACGGGCGGAAGGGGGACGCCAGGGGGGAACTGGGCGGCGGTAACGGCCCCTTCGCTGCCGAGATATGACTGATCGTGGCCGTCCGTGATACGGAATTGGGTCTGGCCACTCTCGATATCCGCTGCGGTCTTACGCTGAGGTAGTAAGGTTGCTTGCCCACCCAATGCGAAGCAGAAACTGCCCGACTTGCATGAGCCCTTGGCTACGGCCGTTGCGTGCTTCTGTTGGTATTCAATCAACTTGCGATACCGCCGCACTTGCTCGCCGGCAAAGCGATTGATCAGGGCTGGGTCGAGACGTGGGTTCAATTGCATGATTTGTGACTTGAACCCTTCCATTGTGGGCACTGGCAAGCGGACAATCGCTGGGAAATCCATCACCAGTCCCTTCTCGTCGCAAACGTCCATATCCTCGTCATCTTCAGCGCCAGGCACGTCAAGTGACGGCGCGATGCTTGCACGTGGCTCTGCAACATCCGGCTCTGCCTTGCAATATCGGGAGAGACTGGCGACGGGCGGGCCGCCATGTGTTGTCATGAGATCTAGCAAGCCTGGCGTGGTCGGTCGTGGAACCTCGCTCTTCGCCCGATCACGACCCCACTTGGCTGGGAAGGTCTTGGGGCTGGCATCTGCATGAGGGGAGACTGCTTGGACGGAATGACTACCTCCAACGGCCGCCATTTGCCCAGTCATGGACATGAGAGCATTGGTCAAGCTCGGAGAGCGGCTGTGAGATTTCGGCGAATGCTTACTCGACAAGCTCAGTCGATGCCGGTAGCTCGAACCGGCACTCTCTTTCCGCTGAGGCTGCGGCAGTTCCGGGACGCCAGGTTGAAAGTTGGACTGTGCACTCGCCAGCGACAGGTCAGACGCCTGCCTCTTGATTCTCTGCTGTCCGCGTTTGAAAAGGGCACTGCTCCAGCTAGCATGTTTCTTTGGCGCATCCGTGATTCTCAAGGACCGCTCGAATCCAGCGCTGAAGTTGATGATGCTGTTGTTGTCGATGGTCGCTGTAATAGAAGCAGCGTCTTGCTCCCTCGCGCGCCTCTCATACGTGGCCATTGCAGCTGCGGAACTCTTTGGCTGCCTCATATCTCCCCTGCGCATGGGGTCACGCGGCGGATCTTGCCATGGATAAAGAGGGAAGCTCTTTTCTGGAGAAGCAACTTCCTGCGACATGTACACGCCCGGGGTGGAGTAATCGTATAAACCGCGATCATCAGCAAGAGCAGGGAGGGAATCTGGCGCCGTACTGCCATCCGAGTCCTCCTCGCTCTCGATCCCGTCATCACTACTCTCATGCAACATGAGACCAGGTCCCAGCACTGTACGATCGCTTTCTTTGAGATTGAAATAATCTGCTTGTTGGAGTGGCTGGGCCCCTGTGCTGAGCGCTCGGATTCGGTTAGTCACTTTATTGCGTCCGCGAGACTGGTCCGGAGTATCATCGCCGGCCTCGCTGTTGGCCGCCGAGACAGTGGCCGTCCAGCGACCGATTTCCTCATTTTTCTGTTCCTGCTGGTGTTTGCCGTGCATCTCATTCGGGCTTGGCCCGTATTCATCTCCTCGAGAAAAGGGATCCAGGCCGCGACGGGTTGCGGTGGAAATCCGCACATAAGTCCCGTTATGCGAGGGCATCACGGACACGGAAGATATTGAGCGGTGATCGTCGTTGTCATCAACGTACCCATTGGGCATTTCATCGGGACCAATGGGAGACAGCAGCGATCTGCTGGGGCGTGTTTCGGGCGCATTCTCATCCGGCGAATCTCCCCGTGACGTCCTGGAAATGGTAATTATAGGACTCCGGCCTCTCGGTGATGGTGAGGCCAAGTCATTGTTGTATGCATTGTTCGTTGATACGGTGAGTCTGGACGGGCCGAATGCTGGATTTGAGCTAATACCAGACTGTTGCGGTGCGACAAACAATGCCTGCGTTGGCAGCGTGGGGTTGGCATTGCTCTGAACCGTTGCGGTCTCCTGTAAGGAAGACGGACTGGGCATGGTGTGCTCTGGATCGAGAAACTGGGTCGTATCGCCCGGAATAGACGACAACCATTGCGCATTACTAACAGCAGCCGCAGACTCTCCTGCGCCAAACACCAAAGGCGTCCCTTCATTAGAGAGGGCCGAGAAATTGACCATCACCTCTGTCGGGTCCAAAAACCCTCCCGTCTGGTTAGTTGCGGAGGTGCTGGAGCTAGCGTCCGGATAATCATTTCCTCCCGGGGCCAAATAGCCCTGCGACGTGATAGACGGGCGACGGGCCTCATCATACGACGAGGAAGTATGATTCGGACTGCCATTGACAGGCGTAAGTCGAATCGCGCTGGCATGAAAGTCGCTTTCTTCTGGGTCGGATTGCGCCGACAGATATGGGTCTGTGGTATTCAGCTCCAGCGGCGAGTGGTGGCCGCCCCCGCTCCAGCGGGGGACTGGCGCGCGTAGGGGCTGGAAGACATTTTCTGGTTCAGGGTGAGGTTCAAGTCGGTCTTTGGAAGATTGCGGGAGAGATTAACCCATGTAGCGAGGGATTGATTTGGCGAGCCGCCTTCGGACGGAGGCGAGAGAGGGCCCGACAAGGGGAAATCATTGAGGGGATGCAAATTGCTTTGAGCCAGATCGGGAGGGTTGGTATATAGATTCCCAGGCATAGGGAGAGGGAAATCAAAGTAGAAATGTAGAGGTTCTGGGAGGGTTCCTTTTTTTGGAGAGAGGGGATTACAAATGATGGGGAAAGGAGAATAATGTAGCACGGCTTATAGAATCAGTCTGACCAGCTGAGCCGACGAGTGGTCTTGCAGAAATGAAGGAGGGTCTGAAATGGGGGCCGAGGGTGTGAAGACTCGACGAGGGGGGGAGGATGAGTACAGCGTAGAGAAGGTGGGATACAAGATTGGATTAGATGGGGAGAAGATGAGATGGGAAAATGGATAAGTGCCCTTGAGATATGCGACCAGCGATATGCAGTTCCCATAGGCGCCGTGGCATGAAAGCGAGAGGGGAGGGTTCAGCCTTGAGAGGAAAGACTCCGCTTGACATGAGCCTCATTTAGCGCTGTTCGCTGTTCGTGCCCCGCGGTCCGATCGTGGCTCCGAGAGATACAGGTATTGTCAGGTTACAGACTGTAGAAGAACAGAGTAGAGATCTATACCAAACAACTATTTCCAAAAAATTCTCATATATACTCTTGATAAACTATATTCTTTCAATCTCTATTCTTGTTTCTCACATTCCTCTCCCCAATAAACCTCATTGCATCATTCAAGGCAGACCAGCCACCCCACTAAACGACACCTGAAACAAGGCTGTGCGATACCATCCTTTGCACTGTTTGCACCCCCAAGCCACGCCCTGTCAAGAACCCCCAAACTTCCAAGGGATTTTACGCCCGGTACTTAATGACTAGTGAACCTAAGAAACGACGATCAACCGTTTCATCTTTGCAGTTCCTGTTTCTATTTCTATTCTTATCGGTGGGGGAACGTGGCAAAGCCACGTAGGGCTGAATCTCCCCTGGGCTCGAGTTCCACGAGCTTGTTTCCACTAGAATCCACCGAAACTTGAAACCGTACCTGTACGTCGCGTGGCGCGGTTACTATTGGAACTGGGCGTTGGGGGATCTTGGGTAGGGCGGGTCCAAACACTGGGATCCAAGATTTGATTTCATTTAGAGTTATATATTTAGATAGAAGATCGGTACTTCTGGTAAGAGTAGGTAGTTATTGGTGGTCGTAAAATCATTTCATCGTTCTAGTGCTATACATCTGACAAGCGGAATACATATATAAGCGAACCGTACAGGAAAACGAAACCTTTGAACCACGCTCAACGCAACGACTATGGTATGGAAACGTCAAAAACAAACATTCGCATGTCCAACATCAAACGCTAGTAGACAGCAAAGAAAAGGAAAAACCAAAATAGGAAAGAAAAATCACCTGCGCATCCAGCATGAACGCTAACAAAACCAGACAGAAAACAGGACAAAAAACATCGCAAGCAAAAATGACTTCAATCAAAATAATAACCTTCAACCCCCCATCTCTCAAGCTCAAGCCTTAACAGACGGCCCCTTCCCCCTTCCAGGATTCGCCGGTACCGACGAGGTCCGCGCGGGCGCCGAGTTTCTAACAAGAGGCGGACTCTTCACAGGCGTTGGAGTCGAACTCCGCACTGTCGCAATCACCTCAGTCACAACCGCCGGTTCAACCTTCACCTCCTTATCCTTAGGAGTCTTAGGCGGCGACGGCGGAGCCTCCTCTACCTTCTTCTGCTCTTCGACAACAACCAACGTCTCCGTCGACTTCTTTGCCAACTCCTGCAACCGCGTCATCACCACCGGCGAATCCGAATACAACACCTGCCCACTCGTATACACACAGGAGTTCGCCCGGTCCGGACCGACTGCAAAATCTTCATGTGCCGCTTCGCGGACCACCCGCGGGAACGTACGCAGCACGACATGCCGACTAGGTTCTGGCTTGGGAGCATCCGCCGGCGCGGGAGCAGACTCCCCCTCCTTGGCACCGTACTCATTCCAGCCCTCGTTATCGATGGCCTCGGCATCCGGAGCCGGGAAGGAAGCTAACACCAGTTCGCGCTCGACACGAGCATGGCGCCATGTTTCCGCGGCGAGTTTGACGATTTTCCGAACAGCCGTGAGTAAGGAATCAAGTTGGCGGGGGTCCGCGAAATGACGAATATGATCGATGATTTCGTCAACAATAACTGCGGCAGCGACATTGATGGATTGTTTAGCGTCGGAGGTAGTATATGCAGCTTTGAGAGTTTGCTGACGCCAGAAAGCTTCGCGGCGGACGGATTTACGGCGAATATCCATGGAGAGCATTTGGAAGAAGGTGTCTGCTTTGTCGTAGCGGCGGCCCAGGGTGAACAGGAAGGGTTGGAAGACGCGGTAGGTGAGGGTTTTGGAGACGACGTGTTGGACGTAGGCGGCGCGGAGGGCGCGAGATGGCGGGGTGTTGTCGAGGAACGAGGGGATTTCGGAGGGGATTTTGGAGAGGATGTCTTTTGGTGGGTCGATGGGGAGGTAGGCGAAGTGTTCGTGGGAGAGGTCGGCGATTAGACAGGAGAGTTGGGTGAAGCAGTCCACACTGTAGAAGAGAGAAGGTTATTAGAGCCTTGTACAGATGAGTTTATTGGGCGGTATCGAGAGTAATTTGCTGTGGTGGAACATGGATGCGAGGTTGACATTCTATAGGACAGGACATAGGAGATATCGAGAGGGGGCTCTTTAGGAGCAGGGATAGTATGGGGTTGGCCGGCAAGGAAAAAGAGACAAAAGAGAAATTGTGAAGGAGAGACATGATCATGGTCGTGATATCGTGATCGTAAATCGTAACATCACTGCCAAATCAAATGCAAAGAAAAAAACAGAAAAATCATAGGCCGCCTACTTACAAGAATTGATCGCCTTTGGTCGTCTTCAGGTCCGTTGCCTCACCGAGACTCTGCAGCGTCCTGCGTAGTCGATCACAATCCTGATCCAAATGGTCGATCGTCGATCGCATCTCCTCCACCGCACGCTGGAGCTGCTGCTCCTTGACCAGCCCATCGCCCTCCAGCTTATCCTTCTCCCGCTCGGCACTATTCAACTCTTCGTCCCTCTCGGCCAGAAGCTTCTGTAGCGCAGCACGTTCTGCCTCCCAATGTTTCTCCTGCTCCAGGAAGTGGGCTTCAATGGCAGCAATCTTCTCGTTGAGTTCCTTAGCGGCGGCGGCGAGTTGCTCGTCGTGACTTTGTCGAAGTGTGTCGAGTTCGCCAGCATGACCGTGCTGAAGTGCTTCTAGCTCTTGGGCGTTCTTTTGGCGGGTTTCCTCCAATTCTTTCTCCTTCGCTTCTAACAGCGCAACCTTGGAGGCAACTTCCTCGCGGGTTGTGTTGAGCTCGGCCAATTGTGTCTCCAGTTCGGTTTCTTTGCTCTCCAGAGTGGCGATCTTGGAGGCAAGCTCTGTCTTCGTAGCCTCGAGTTCGCCGCGTTGAGTCTCCAGGGTATCATCCATCAACTTCTTCTCCTTCCCCCACTCCTCTTTGGACGACTCGTGCTGATCGCGCAGCTCCTTCTCCCGAGCCTCCAGAGTCTCCGCAGCAGCCTTCTCATCCTCGGCCTTGATCTCCTCGAAGAGCTCAGTCAATTCCTGCTTCTGCGTGGTCAGAGACTTGGCATGCTCTTCCTTTTGTGTCTCAAGCTCCTTCTCATGCGTCTCCTGAGCATCCTTGATACTCGCATTCAGCTTCTCAATCTCCGCCTCAAGCTCGGACTTGCTTTGCGAGAGCTCCTCATTGGACTTTTGATGACCAGCCAGGCCATCCTCAAGATCCTTCTGCTTCTCCTGTAGATCACCCAGTTCCAGACGCAGCTCATTGATGGTGTTCTTGAGCTTGGCACATTCCTCAGCGCTCTCGTTGGCAGTCTTCTTCATTTGTGATTGCAAAGCCTCAATATAAAAGTCCTTGTGCATGAGCGCTTGTTCGTGTTGGTTGCCAATCTGCTTGATCTCAGCCTCGCGGCTGTTGAGTCTAGTGTGGGTGTGGCGGAAACCGTGGAGAAGGCGGTTGATGTCGGGGATGGCAGATTGAATCCGATGAAGCAGCTCAATGTGTTCCTGATCATTCTCAGGTGGGGAGATATTACCATTCTCATGCACCTGGCCATTCAGATGATTCAGATTGAGGTTTTGGATGGCTTGGAACGATGAAGCGTAGGGTTGGTCGGAGACACTGTAGCTCCGTTGCATATAGTGACTCTCTGATGGCTGAGGAGGTGTATAGTGGCCATAAGGCGGGATCATACCCGCTGAGCTCATGACAGGAGAGTGAACAGCCGTTGGATAGCCCTGGGAGATTGAGGGAGGCGGCATTGGAGTTGATGAAGTCGATGGAGCAGCTGGAGCCGCCGGGGCTGCAGGTGGCGGAGGGGTAGCGGTAGGTGACATGGCGGGCGAGATATAAGAATAATGAGATCGGGCCAGTGGACTGCTAACTTTCGGAATGGGAGAGTGATAATAGGGTGCAGAATATACAGGCGCCGCGTACGGTGCGTATGGAAGCGGAGCAGGAGGGTAGTATGGATAGTAGTGGGTCTCAGGAGAAGCACTTGACATAAACCGTGCTTCAGTTAGAGATGGTGATGGAAGTGGCACTTGGGCCGGCGTAGGTGAGAAGGGGGTAAAAGGGGATGCAACGATAGTTCCCTCTGGATACTCCGTCGGATATGTTGGATAGGTTGGATAGCCTGGGTAGACGGGATACTGAGGATAGGCTTCTTCGTATGTTGGGTGCCCTTCGTTAACCTCAGTTGAAGGCTCGGGGGTGCCTCTGCGAGTTGTGGGCTGAGATGCTGGGTCGTGATAGCCGTCAATATACTGCTCAGCCTTGTGGGCACGATGCCTGCGACGGCGCTCAGCGCGATGGTTGTCGCGGTGGATGTCACGGTGGTTGCTGCGACGTTCGTCCTGATGTTTGACCTGATGCTCCACGTGAGAATTCTCAGGATGGTCGTCACGATGCTCTTCACGAGGTTCGTCTTGCTGTTCGACGTGAAGATCGCCACGATGTTCGTCACGATGCTCTTGAAGATGCTCCTCACGATGTATGTCCTGAGGTTCGAAGTGAGGATCCTCGCGATCTTCGCGAGAGTGGTCGTCTTTGTCGACAATTTGCTCAATCAAGGGCTCAGATGGTTGCTCGTCATGCTCTTCCTCATTGTCAACTCTTGCTAGAGGCACTAAAAATACTGAAGGCGATGGAGGTGCCGAAGGAGTGTCCTCCACTAGAAAATCTTCAACTGAAATGGCTTTCTCAAATACTGGCTCAGATGGTTGACTGAGCTCTGGCTCTTGTAGCACAAGCTCTGGACTATCAGGCGCAGGCAAAGGCGTCTCGATTGCTGTCTGGATTTCAGTGTGCTCAATGGTTTCGATAGGCTTAACAACTTCAGCAACCTCGGGACTCTTCCCCTTCTTAATCTTCTGCTTTACACCAGCCTTGCCATTCTTCTCCTTGGCTTTGGCCTTCTTGCCACCCAGACCCATCACGGTTGACTGATGCGTGCCCGAGATAGTCGGATGGTTGTAGAAGAAAGAAGACGTGTCCCCAATAGGATCACTGTTTGATTTCGAGCAGGAATGCGTCAAGTAAAGACTCCAGTCGGCTGATAGATGGGGCTTCTCTGCTCTGCACTGTACATTTGCAAGTTGCCCCGGCAGTGCCTCAAGATATAGCCCAAAACAGGTCTGTCTTCACAGGCTAGAGTAGAACTCGAAACGCCGAATGCTTTGATGCCAGAAAATACTGAAATCAAGGCGTCCTGGATGAGGAGTATCGGGCAGAGAATCAGTTGATCGATTCTTCGAGTCTCGTTGGCCAAAGTGGGCGCAAATAAGTGTGATACACGAAAGCAAGGCAGCCTCTCGTAGCACAAAGACACTTTTGGGTAAGTCCAGATCTCAATGGTCGAGTGTGTACTGTAGTGGGATGTTGTGTGTACAAAAAATAGAAAAGGGAGTAAAAAAGGGAAAAGTAGTAACAGAATTGAATATTAAATGCACCTAACTATAAAGGGGATTGTGTGGATGGGCAGGAAGTAGGGTCAAAAAAAGGCCAGTGCGTTTCGCATTCCACAGTCCACACTGCGTAGTGTGTTCTCGCCATGGGAAAAGACCGCTGCGGACCGAACCTTAGTGTGGATATTGGTACCCATCCAAAACTCATCCTCACTCATCATCCCACACTGCCCATCCCCTTCCCCCAAAGAGTCAACCAGACTAGTCATCTCGATCAAGCGTAACGCTGATCGACGCCCCAAGGAACAACGAAGATTCCAATCTCAACCGAAGTGAAGACCAATTGCCGCTCGCCATGCAGACATTGGGCATCAACGGGTTTCGGGCGCCAGTTGGAAAACAATAGGGCAAGGCTGGTGGGGACTGGCTCCCAATCTCTGACTTGTTCAATTCAGAGCCAGACGCGCTTGATAGGAAGGAATCGATGGGTCCAATATTCAATGAACTCGGCCCGATGGAGTTTAAAATGGAAGGAAGAGGGGGCTGGGGCCAGTTTGAAAACGAGGCGTCATCTGGAGACACGCCCTAACCATGCAACCCCAGAACAAAGATCGCTAATGCCTTGGATTGGGGAAAAGTCGTGCATATGCAGCATGATGCTGGATCCTCTTTGGATATTCTTGGGTATAGTTAGTCATTGGGGAGAGATGAAAATAGGTAACTATGGATGAAGTTGGAAAGATGGAAGGTTTGGGTGTGAGTCTGTAGTCTCCTGTGGCGTGTTGGTTCGGGCGCGTTAATCCGAAAAAGAAAACCACGACGAATCAAAAGGACCGACTCCCAACGCCGAGTACAGCTCCTGGACATCTTGAAAATAAGCAAGAAATAGTGATACCTCGAAAAACGGTCACGTTACTGCGTTAAGCCCTATCCCGAATTCTCCTCTCCAAACTTGCTAAAAAATTGACTCGAAAGGACATCTGAGAGACTCTTCTGATCAAACGAGGCCGAACTATTAGTTAGTGAACTACAAGGAGCATTGAAGTGCCTCTTAGCGACGCGATGGTATGTCTTCTTCGAAGATTGTAGTATACTGAGTTTGGGAATTTCAATATCGCAACACAATTGACTACAAATCCCGACATTATCTCGTTCTTTTGTACCAAATGATTTGTCCGCACTGTACCGGCTTGTACCAGGCGATAGCTTCGATGAAGATTGTTCGAGGAGTCAATAATCCTTTTAAGTTTTCATTTGATGCGTCAAGCCGTTCCTAAAAGCTTCCAGCACGGCAGATCGGCAGCGATAGGTATAGTGTATCTCTCAAATGCTCTACATAAATACGCGAATAGGACAAACTACCGTACTACGAGCAAAGGTTGTCGAACTATCCGAGACTTGCCGCCCTCGGTTAAGAAACATTAGATAGTTACATATTGCTTTTCCCAGACGGATCACAAACTTCTAGTTGCAATCTGATCTTGAGGAAAGGCGTCGTGAAACGAACATATGGCAGAAAGCCAAGGATTTCGGTGTATCGCATTGATCTGAAAGCGGGAAGCAGGGAATAATGGAATTGATAGAGACCATGTAAATCCCCGGAATAATGATTTTGACTCTCTCAACTTTGAGAAGAAGAGTAACTTTCAACTTTCCTTAATTTTCTGGTTTGTTATAATTTCTGACATGAACCTCATAATCATGGCGAGACTGTATGGCATTATCTTGGTTGGGGATAGAGTCAATAACGAGTCTAAACCTCGCAAAAAAAAGTTGAAATATTGCACCCAATCGATCAGTACCATTTGCCAATCACACCAGCACTGATGCCATTGCAGACGTTTGAAGAGACTGGTGATTTTAATTTGACTCTTCAGTTGTTTCCTATCCCGACCAAGCGAGAAACACACTAGTCCCGATCCAGACAAAGTCATGTGACCTGATCTGTTCGCAACTTCATCCTATCACCACCGCCCGAAGGGTCATCACCACACGTCTCTTGTCAATTCTCCTCATCCAGCCATGTTCGCCGCCAGACGCTCTGCTGCTTCGACGCGGCAGCTGATGCGCCAGCCGCCTCGTCGGTTTGGCTCCCACTCCGCCCACTCCGAGCCCGTGAACGAGGGCTTCGGCGTAAGCTACTCCTCCCCCGCTGGCCGAACCAGAGGACTCGACAACGAGCTCTGCAAGCTCTGAAGGGTCCTCAATGGTATGCAATTGCTTGCTGACATTGTTCCTCTCTCTCAACAGCGCAGTTTCTACGTCACCGCCGGCTCCATTGCCTCCGCGTACATCCTCTACCGCATCAGCTCCGCCAGCCAGGAATCCGACTCCGAGTCCTTCATCGCCGGCCTGGTCAACAAGTTCAGCACCCCGCAGGAGGTTCTTGAGCAGCGCAATGCCATTCACACCGCCCTTCTTGAGAAGGCCGCCGAGGACCGTCACCTGCTCCAATCCCAGGGCCCCCGCGAGTTCATTGAGCTGAAGCAGCCCGAGTACGTTGATTGAGATTGGTCGATTGGGGATGTCAATCAATCGCTAACATTCGTACAGCATGTTCAACGCTCGCCCCCCATACAACGTTTCCCCCGGTTCCCAGGCCGATCTGAGCGCCGTTGTGGCTCACTACGAGCGCCAGAACAGAGACATCGAGGAGGCTCGTGCTGCGCGGATGAAGGACGGCAAGTCCGTCTACGAGTAAGCGGATAGATGGGGGTTTCTTTTTCATTGAAATTGGTTGGTTGTCTACGATAGACATGCGCAATGGGGAGCAAAACATGTACATATACGTCGGAACTGGGTCAACCCGGCAACCTGATCATTTGAATTCCATTTGTTTGAAGACATGTTTCCCAACTCCTTAGGGTATAAAGAGCAGCTCTTCGATAGAGCTGAATGACAAGTATGTCCACCTCATATGCCATTGGCAGACGATGTGACCTCCAACACTACCCGACCGACCCCTTCCGACTGCACGTCCAACTTCTCCTGGACCTGTAATTCATCTCCACAGACACTCTTCAGCACAGCGAGGAACTCGTCAACTCCACCTCCAACTCCGAAGTAAACCTTCTTAGCTGCAACCAACGCCCGAGTCTTAGATGCAGGCGTGCTAGACCGGCGCAACAGCGCCAAGAGAGTCTCGGAGAATGCCGTCAGTGTGCCCGGTGAGTAGATGGTCTCACTTGCAAGGACCAAAGTCTTGCAATTCTCACTGCTGGGGTTGGAAAAAACCAAGTCGACAAATTCGGGAGACCAGCCGCCAGAGATGAAATCGATCGAGATACCACGCCGGGCTAGGTCTTGCCTGAACTCGTCTACCAATTCAGGCGTGATGTCCAGTTCTTCGTCCTGTTCAGCGCGAGGAGCTTCTTGGCTAACGGCAGGTTCGACTGCAGTCTGTGGCCGACTATTGTGCCAGGTTAGGAGGAGGTTGGGTAGTGTAACGAGTCGAAGCACAGCATCATTGTAATCCGCGAAGGTGAAGCGTGCGTTCCGCCGCGTGGCCGCACCCTCCACCGTCTCAGTCTGGCTGAGGATATGAGCGAACAAAGTCATCGACGGTACTGCAGTACCAGCACCAAGCTATACCCGCATTATTAGTATGATATCCTACAATTACCTCAATCGACAATACATACCTCGATAACATGAACATCCGTCTGAGAGTCATCCAATGAGCCAACGATCGTACGATCCCCAGCAGCCAGTTTGGCAAGATCAAGAGCACATTCCCACGTCTTAAAGCCGCCTTCGTAGAAGTTTGGCTTGAGATCGCCTTCTTCGAGGCCGGCGATGAGCTCGGCATTGTCGTAGTTCTCGTTATCCTCGGCCATCAATTGGGTGCGGATATCGAAGATTTCTCGACGAGCAATGACTATGGGTGTGCCACTGATTGCGAGGCAGTTGTAGAATATTTGTGATGGGAAGATTGAGAGCTGCGATGGTGTTAGTTCTTGTAAATACCGATCGTGTTCTTGAAGCGAAATCATCCATAATATTTTGCATCTTCTCAACAAGCAAATATTCAATGAATGAAGGTTTCATATCACGCAAAGTATAACACACAAATACAACAAGACCGTAGGAACTATCTGCTTTCACTCACCCAATCGTTAATATCATGCTTGCTGGGCTTGACCAACTCGGGAAGAGAATTGGCGGAGTGCTTGGGAGGCAACACATCCAGTACCCCATTGTTGATATCAGAGTCATCCATATCAATGTCATCTCCCGAAAAACCGAAGCTGAACGCCATTTTTGCCGAGTGCCTCTATTCCCAAGTCTTGGAAAGAGATATAGTGCGGGTTGCAAAGCACGTGGTCTAGTGATGTTGCGGTGCCAGTTCAGATTTTAATTTGACGTGGTTTCCAGACACCCACTATTCAATGATTTGAGCGGCCTGAACAGGTTTATTCTGACAAAATTGGTCGCTAGCGTGGGGAATTGATATCAAAAAGGTCATTCAATCAAGCATCCAAAAAATTGCAGTGGGTCGGATCCGATGACTAAGCATCATGTCGTGCCCGCCCATCCAAGGTGGGGTACCAAAAGGTCAATTTTGGCTGAGAGGTTTAGCATCTGAAGTCAAACATGCTGGCTAACAAGAAGAAACGCAATATCCGTCATAATTCAAGTTTGGGTTATCTCTGGAAGCTTGATCTATGACAGGGATTTATCGCTTTGTAGGGTCTTATCATTTCAGAGGACGTTCCACATACTTCGGCTGGAGGTCTACAGGAGTGATCACTGCAATTTCGAGATCAGTGATATCGTGCATGATGCTCGGAACAATTTTCGAAGGGATTGATCAAAAAACTGGATGTTTTACTAGCCACAACTACAACAAGCCTGGAGATATCTGAGCCACCATACCATGCAGCATTCATTGCTTCTCATCCTGACCTTTGTCCACAGACGACTCGGGTTCAACTGGTAATCCGACGCGACTTTGGAGGAACTTCAAAATATCCTGAATCTCATCTTCAACGCGATACCAATGCCCTAATCCCTCGTAAGCCTTCCATGTCGCGTCAATGCCCATACCCGTCGACAGAACGTGGGTCATTTTTTCACCAAGTTTGATGGAAACCTTAGGGTCTTCTGAGCCATGACCTAGAAAGATAGGTATTTGAAGGTGATGCAAGCCCTTTATTGATGATCCATCCTGTGATAATTCTTCTTCTGCAGAGATAATTGGAAGGTCGAGGATGTCACGGATATGATTGACAGCTTGGATGATCGGAGGTGCTACTTCTTCCTCATCTCCCTCAAAAGGGTCGAAGTCATCATGCGATGAGCTATTTCGTTGGAATAGATCGTCGTTTGACTCAGTATCAGAGTATGCGTCTCCAGATGCCTCCAAATTCTCTTCGCTATCAGCCTCTTGCTCGGAGCTTTCTTCATCTTCCGTGTCGGAATCGTCTGATTGTGTATCATGCTGTTCATCTTGGATTGAAGCAGGATTGTCATGACATCGGAGGATATCACGCAGCTGTTGTTCGAATGGCAGCCATCCGCTCATGCCAATAAAAGCTCCCAAAGCTTTCTCTACACTGGAGTCATTCCAGCCACCCAAAAGCGTGAAAACGCCTGCTGCACAGCCTTGGCTGAGCCCCCACAGGATGATCATTCGATAGCCACCCTCGCCCAAGATTTGGGCCTCCTGAGCGATAAGACCACGAATGAACTCAGCAGTCTCGCAAAGTCCCTCTATTTGTAGTTCTGTTTTTTCTCCAGGGTCTTCAAGGGAGTAGTTGTCGAACCATTGATTGATAGGGATGCGTTTGAGGATCGTTGACCGCCGTTTTCGTGCGGTGGGGAAGATGAATTTCACTGTTAGGAGTCGAGCTTGTAGGTTTGCTGACTCGAGAAGTTCATAGCCATAGCGCTCAGCATTACTACCTCTTCCATGAAGTGAGATGATGGTATGTGTATGCGATCCATTTAGTGGAGGGATGATCAATGGAGCGGGGTAAACCTTTGGCGGCATTTTAGTCCAACGAGGGATCATGAAATAGAGAGAAATAGGGCCGAATAATCGAGATATAAATGTAAGTATTGTGCACAAAGCCTATTTTTCTCTTACATGCGTGGATCTTTTGCCCGACTAGCGTTGGAACGATGTTCTCCAATTTTGAATCTGGCAAAGTCTTCTCTGCTGCTGCGCCCTGGGGGTAGAATTCACTTCACCTAAGGCAGGCGCCCGCCCCCACCCCAATCCATTGTCAGGCACAGAACAGTCCACATCCGCTGAAGATAGGTCAAATATCAGGCGCATTACGATGGGAATCTTTGAAATGAGGCTAAAAGGGGGCTAGGGAGCTGACACATATACGGGTCGATGGTTAGCGTGGGTAGCTCTTGCTTTGACAGGAGTGGACGTGAGTCTCGCTGTGTGGGCTTAGAAAGAAGCCTATCATCTACTGCGCTCGTATAAGACTGAGAATAATTCCCTGCTATATAGGAATATCTTTCCTTGTTCAGCCTGACTGGACATGTTGTGGCCTTCTACTGATGGTCGTAGGAAGGATAACTGACATACAGCCACGGGCTGATGAAGCTGATCTACTGCCGCCATTCATGTACTTGGAAGTTCTTCTCTGAAATCATCTTCTCCTGGTCCTGTCTCCGTCAAATTTTGGGTTTCAATAGAGTACCATTTTGCCCGTCGCGGTATTGACGCACACTAACAACTTGCTGAACATCATCACACTGGGTTTGAGAAGAGGACTGCATGAATCCTTGCACTACGTGAGCGTAAGCAGGCGTTCAGAATATCAAAATAGAGTAAATAGTACTGCATTCTTACATTAGGTCTAGAAACAAGACGGAACTGTTTCCTCATAACTGCTTCGGCTGATGTTTGATGACACTGCCACGTTTCAAGGTTGGTGCTGGTCGCGTACAGACTAAACAAGCCCTTCCTTCCTCAAGTTTTCGCTGATATGTAGGGCAAGATGAGCAAAAATCGCATCTGAGCCCCTTCTGAACTCGCCTATCACATTTACCACACGGTATGATATAGGTGACCATGTTAGGTAGAATCGAGGAAATGCAAGGCAAAATCAAGCAGATTATCTCCCCAAACCGAGAACAACCGTGGAGGAAGAGTTGCAGGGGGGTTACTCAGAACCAGAACCCGGATTACCTATTCCTTGCCTCCTCTTTGCAATTACAACACCTCTTTTCAGCACGAAAATCGTTTCCGTCAGACATGTTCTACAGGAAAAAAGGCGGTGCATATTCCCTCATGGACGTATGTACCTATATTCTTGCTCTAAATGTGGGGAAAAATCTCATTGGCAACAGATGATATGCTTTCCCAGTACATTGACTTCTGAATCGGTCAGCATTGAGTTGTCGCTTCGTTCTAACTTCAGGTACAGTAGTTCAAATCCCGGATAATGCTAAGACCATTATCCGCCAGGACGAGAAAGAGCACGAGATAGTCTTCGTCGTGGAAGCATATTGCCAAATGATAAGCTCTGCGATTTCTCATTGCTTGAACTCGCTTTCGGATGGCCAAAAGGCGTGCATATCCTTTTGGAATCGGGAGCAGACGCATGTCAAGAATTCCCAGAACTCACCACAAAGGGGGAAGAATATCACCAATCAGCTATGTTGTTACTCAAAGCTGAATGCCTCTTCAGTCTGGACGATATAAACGCAAGTGATTCATGCAATGATTTTGGCAAGAGACGATCAATTTTTATCAACGAGTTGGCAAATAGACGAAGGAGATTGTGGGCACTTGCCCAGGCTTCTGTGCCCGTGGATCAATTACCAGTAATTAAAGATGGCACCCTTCTCAATGCATATGCAGGCTTGGTACTTGACGCATTGGTTACACACAAGAAGAATGCATTTCCATCCTTGCAGGTTGGTGTCGACAACCGTGGCCGATCTGTCTATCATTTCTTGGAAACGATCGATGCTATTGAGGCAACATACAATGTGGGCTTCCATGACATCGATATTGTCGACTCATTTGGACTGACACCCCTTATGACGGTGGATTTTAAGCCCAAACTTCTGACTTCAATGAAAAGGCTTGCATGGTTCATCTCAAAGGGAGCAAATTCCCATCCCAGGCTTCGCAATCAAACACAACAGTGGTTCATTTCCTCAACTTGAAAATCCTTCAAGTTGCTCTCAACGGCATTAGGTTAGGGCGAATTGACTTGGTACCGTTGCACGAACCGGACAATGCTGTTTTTGAAGGTCAAAAGGTTATTCTGAGATCTATGAACTTTGATGCAGTGGCTTTGAAGCATACATGCTGCATTGAGATCGATGACGCATATTATCCAAACAATCAGGCCCAAGGAAAAGACCATGACGAGTTAACAGAATTCTTGATGAACAAGAACTGATGCTTGAAGATTTAGAAAAATTCCTGAAAGAAATCATTACCAAGTTTGAGGAATTAGCTGTCCCCATTATGAGCTTCTTGGATGGACATTGGCAGTCACGAATCACCGAGTATATTTCGGCGCATGATCTCTTTGACGAAGGCCACGTTCGCAATGCGAGAGCGGCCGGTATCGATCTTGTTGCAGAGGAAACTCCAGCCCCCGAATGGGTTAAACTACTGTTTGGCCTGTGATTCGAGTAACTGGAAGATGAAGGGCGATATAACTGAATGTCCCCATGAATGCTATCTAGTAGATTGTGCTCATAAATGAAATTGGTACTTGCACCAGTACTTGAGATCCCCACTTCTGAGCGGAATGGGCCAAGTCGATCCCATATATGTGATTTATTCGTGCCAACGTCTCTTTGCACACTCGAGCCTGATCCTCAGTGCTATTGGGGCAAATAGTTACCAAGACCAGTGGCCATATCAAGGTGTGACAGACACTCCCTTTATAAGTAGGAGTGGTCAGCGGGTTTCCGATATTGTCGATTTCACCAAGAGTAAATGGTAAGCTGTCGCAGACGACACTGATCAAATGCGTCAAGTTTTTCTCCGCCATTGCTGCAGATCTTTCGGCCAGTTCTCTCTCAACAGTCATTTCAGCAGAGAGAGAATCAAGGACCAATTGACAGCAACGCAGAACACTATGATAGAATATGATGAGGCTGGCGTGATACATGGTCAAAATTACACCCAGCCACTGGGTTGAGTATGTGACGAGCGATCTTCCGTCGCTGTCGAGAATCGAGGCAGGTCTCCATTCCAATGGCAAAGAGTCTGCCCAGGTCTCAAAGTCCTGCTGTGTTCGCATTGCTTGCCGCATAAGTAAAAGTAGAGTGTCTTTGCACGGACGAGAAGACTTCGTATATGCCAGGTGATCTGCTAGAGAAGACCTGAAGCTGCATATTTTTGTTATCATCACGACAACTCCGGTTGGTGGGTGGCTAATATCAGGCTCAGCATCGGGGAAGGCTAAGCAATCGAATTTCTGGCGTGTAATCATTGAGTGTATTTGCTTAATTAGTGGTTAGATCGCTCTTTCATAAACAATACATCCGCACCTACTAATTGCGTGAATATCCATGCATAGATTGAGGACTCCGGTACCACATCGAGCAGCTTCTGACCACGAGACTCAATTATTGCCGCTATTCCACACAGATGAGAGGCTCGCTCTCGAAATGCCCCGCTATCAGTATCCTAAATCAGAGGACTAGCGTAAGCCTCAGGAGGTAAATGTCGAGAATGCCGATGATAGTTACCACAAACATATGCAGCAGCATAATGGCCGCTAATGTATCATTTTGCCATAGGCTCGTATTTTGGGAAAGAATGTTATTGACGGAACAAAGGGCTTCGCCATAGTATTTGCGGGCGATAACATTCAACTGTTGCGACTTGTACTGGCGTGACAGCGACAGGTAAGCCGAGGCAAGCGTTGCAGGCCAGAGGCATGATGTGAGGGAAGCCGATTTGAGAAATCTTTCAAGAAAGTCCAGGTGGCCGGAGAAAATGCCCGGCCGAGGCGCTACGCAATATTCGTATAGAAAGTAACAAACGGGCGTGTCATCGGATACAGGCCTCGGTTCTTTACCAAGAGGGAAGAGGCACACGGCTTCGCCAAGAGCCTTGCCTTGAACTTGGGATTTCCGAGACTTCCGCTTAGGTGGAGTATTTGCATCGGCAGACGGCAAGTCTGGCCTGCGTTTTAGAACTGTAGTGGAAGTGTTGACTGGGGGCCCAGCGTAGAAGCGCATTTGGAGAGGCTTCTTGTAACCAGGGCAATGAGCACCATGTAATTCGCAACGACGACACCCAGGTCGTCTTTCGTCGCACTATTTTTTCGAAAAGAACAGTCAGTATCGCCAACCCTGAGATTAAAATCTTGCCAGCTGAAGGAAGGACAGAGCCTACTTTGATCTTTCGTTTGCGGCATATGCCACAACCCGTGCTTCTCGCCCCCGGGTATACCATGACTTTGAAAGTCGCTCCAGACTGATATGAAAATAGCAATCGCAATACGATGCAGCTGAATGTGGATAAACCTTGCGAACAAGAATGAGGAGAAAAGGTCATCTAATATATTGTGGGGAGAACGCCACTTTTCGACTGGTGGATCTAAGGGTTTGGGGAGACACCTGCGGAGACTCACACACCGAGCCAATAGCATCCTGTAACTCGCAAGCTATTTCCTAGAATGGTTAGCCCGGAATGAAGGGTGGTAAAACCAGTGGTTCTTCGGTTAAACCCCGGCGTAACAAACACGTTCCATCAACTGTGAGCTCGACAAAGTATATATTCCTAGGGTTTTTGAACTTCTGCAACCAAGCTGGCGGATGAAAACGAGTCTTGTCGCTAGACACCGTTGGCCCATGTTCTTTGCAACACAATGTCTTCCCAGAAATACACACTGCTCAAGACTTCACTTTTGGCAGTGGTTATCGTCGGCCTATTTTCAAAATATCGGAAATCGAGCCAGCACGAGCAGCTTGTGCCGAATCCGTCTATGCGGCAGCGCATTCGAATCTTGCTCATTCTACCAATTTACTACTTCGCCAAGCTCATCAAGCTTCCATTCCAACTTTGTCTTTCCCTCAACAAAATACGACTTGCATCCAATGGCATCGATGACTCCCAGCTAGCCGATGAGAAAGAGCTCGAAGGGATGCTTCGTCGAATTGGAGGGGCTGGACTGCGCTCGACTGGTAGCAAAGCGCATAACGATGTCATCTCGTGGATCGAAGAAGAGCTGAAAGCCATTCCTTCTCTACAAGTTCAAACCGAGGAGATCGAGCTTATGGGTTGGCAACCGGAGAAATCGTTGTGTGAGGCGGGTAGCCTTACGGTTGTCAACCAGGCGGGAGCCGAGCATGAACCCATACCAATTGCTGGCGTCGTACCGTACTCCCTTCCAGTTTGTGGCCAAACAGGCAGCCTGGTCTACGTTCCTCAGGGAGTGCCACTGTCTAATCAAGATTTATCTGGCAAGATGATCCTCCGAGACTTCCCTCTTCGAGGGATTCCCTATATCCTTGGAATGCTCCCACAGTACCACAAGACTGCCGACCTTGATGCTGACACTTGGCGAATTTACGAACGGCCCGGTCTGGCCGATCAACCTATACACGAGGATTTATTACAAGCTGGCAGAATTGGTGCTGCTGGGGTGATATTTATTTTCGATCTTCCTCGACAGCAGGTAGAGTCATATTGGGAGCCCCATAAGGGAACACACTACCTGGTCCCCGCCGCATATATCGGCGTTGATGAAGGACGGTTTCTCAAAGAGAAAGCTCTCGAAGGATATGCCGCCTCTCTGTCTGTAGATGCAACCACATTCTCCTTGGTGACTCGCAATCTCACTGGAGTCTTGCCTGGGCAGACCGATGAACGTATCATCTATATCACCCATACGGATGGTAATACGTTTGTCCAGGAGAACGGCCCGGTGGCACTTCTGGCTCTAGCGAAGTACTTTGCAAACCAGCCTCTCAGCTCCAGACGAAGGACAATTGAGTTTGCGTTTAATGCAGGTCATCTGCATATCTCTCGTGAAGGCAGTTTGAGACATGCCCGGCAGTTGAGGGAAACCTTCGACCGCAACAATTTGGCCTTGACCATACCTGTGGAACATCTAGGGACCCGTGAGATAGAACCTGTTTCGCGTGAAGACAACAAGATTGGCCGCACGCTCAAGTTCACTGGTCGTGGAGAATTGATGTTTTGGTGTGCAGGCCCTAGTGTCCCCGTTGTCAAGGCTGTCAAAAAGGCCGTGGCACAGCGCAAACTCGATCGTGTCCTGATTACTCGTGGAGTCTCCAAGCCAAACCTCAAAAGCGCACCAACTTTCACGTCATTTGGCGGAATTGGTACTTACTACCACAACCTTCTGCTTCCAACGACGTCACTCATCTCAGGACCTTGGTCACTGTGGGCCCCGGAGTTTGGAATCGAAGCTATCGATATTCGAAGGCTGAGACAACAAATATCGGCCCTAGGAGACGTGTTTGCTTATCTTGACTGCGTGCCGAAAGAAGCCATCTTGGGAGATTACGCTTGCTATCACAAAGATGGGTGGAAGTCGGTACCAATTGAAAGCCCTCCTGAGCAAGCGAGTGAGCATGACGAGTCTGTCAATAGCAATGTTAAGTACTAGTAATCAGCGACACACCAACAGCCGCAGGGGTTGACACTCGGTGTCCTGAGAGACTCTCAATTGTTAGTTCAAATTACAAGTTTACAAAGAAGTTTACAAACACGATTAGAAAGTCATTTTCCAAGGACATGAACGAGAACGCTTGCAATCACGACCTTCGAATATCGACAAGATCGTTACCTGAATGGTTCTAGGTTAGGACAAATGTGAAATGTATGAACCTCCCCCGATGCGCAGCCTTAATTCCTTGCCCCAGTCAGATCATCTTTGGAGCATTTTGGATCACGGAAAGAGCACTGCTATCAACCAAGCCTTCATCGACAAGGTGTTGGACGTAACTCAGAATCCAGTCTTGACAATTTGGGTTCTAGACAAGATTTTGTTAGTGCTGCATTATCTAGTAAAATGAAGGCCAGCGACATACCTTGGGATCAAAGGGATGTCACTTCGAGGAGGAGGTTGAACACTAGTGGCGACTGATTCTAGGCGATCGCGGGCGATAGTGTCGCGTCCCTGTGGTACATTCGCGGCTTTGGCAGCAACGAAACGCTCATCGACTTGGGCGAGGGGGATGATGTGGTACTCGCGGGGGGTCTTGCTGAAGTCGTACTTGCGCTTAAATCGAGGAAGAATCCGGTGGCAGGATTCCCAGTGACATGGATGAGATTTCCCACCTTGCCGTCCTTGTCCGTTGGGACGAAAATAGCCCAGTGGGCAGGCCGAGCGGCGTTCTTGAATACGGCGAGATGGATCGGGTGGGTCATTTTGGCTTGTGGTGTCGATGATGATGAAAGTATGGTTGGTTTCGAGTAGAGTGATGGTTGGGATGAAGCTGAGCTGGAGGGAAGCAACGGAGCTCTGAGGGACCACAACCATAGCAACTTTCACTTGGCTACCCAGTAATACTCTTATTGCTATTTTGGACCTCAATCTATAGCAATCATTTTCTATTTCAAATCTCTATGTTGCCTCGCACTTTCCTCGTTTGCTAGACTCTTGCAGGGCAAGTGACTAAGAGGCACGCATCAGAAAGTGGAAACGTGAATTAACGCATGACGGTATCCCATCAGGAGCATAGATCGCTAAAGATGCTTATCCATTTTGCAATACACTACTGGTGCTAGCTTAGCCTCTAACTGGTCGATTCAATCTAGATCCTGGATTGGTTCTGATGGTGAGAATAGCGAATATTGTACCTTACGCCCACTGCAATCACTGTGGTGTTTAGCATGGTGTTTAGCAAAAGTGCCATTGCATGCCGGTATTTTAACATCCCATTGCACTTGTGAACCAGTCCCAAGGTATCCAAGTGCTAGTAAACTGACACATAATCATCGGTAGGTATAAAGTAGACCACTCATCATTGCCCCCAACAGACCACTGTGCTTTTCTGACTTCCCAGTATGCGGGTAGCCAGCCCGACTGTTCCCAGTCAACAATTGCAACAACGCGATATGGCTCAGAGCGGGTAATCAAGATGTTACTGCGATGAAGATCACCATGTGTAAAGATAATAGCGGTGTCGTCTGGTAGGTCATAGCGGTACGGTTCGATGGGGACGCAATATGGATAAGGCATTGGTTTTCGAGGGAGCCAAGTGAACCAGTCATGAAACTTCTGGACTGTGTTGAAAGGCCCTGCCTCGAACATCCAACTGAGATGGAGGGCTCGATCATAAACATGATCTCGTACAATATTACCTGTAAGTGGGCGCGGGTCAGAAAATGCAACCAGACGAACTTGAAGTTTCCAAAAGCCTCTTACCTACGAACGGATCTTCTGGATCCTGTTCAAGATGCCGAAGGTTGGCGCAGATCGTCCGAAGCTCACCGGAGATCGAGACACGCTCATCAGACTCCAAAGTATCCCACGCTTGCTCCAGTGTCTGTGCTTCGAGATATTCCATGTAGAGAAAGGTTTCGCCTCCATCGAGCCGCCAGCCGTAGAGCTCTGGAACTGGGACATAATCTTTGAGTAGCTGGCTGACGGCATAGAGACACTGGCCCTCTGAAATGCTGACAGATGTTCCCCATTTGACAAAAAGCCCCAATTTCTCGAAGACTGCGGGAGGTGGCGACCGCTGAGGTCCTTCGCCTTCCGAGAAGCGTCTCCTGCTGTCTGCGGAGGTTCCAGCGAGATATTGAGCCTCTGCTTGCTTGCGTACTTCTTCCGGTGAAGGTAGATTCGTGAACCTTTGAAAGTATCCAGATTTTTCTGAGACAAAGTTGGGAGATTTTGGTATCATCAAAGGCGTCAATATCAAGCGGTCATCTGGGTTGACTGCCCCGCGGTTGGGGCCGGGTGACGGCATATCGAACTTTGATACTCGAGAGATGCTGAGGCATCTTAGATACGGATTTGAATGAGCGAGGTTTTGGTCCGGCTTTCTTTGGAAAATACGTAACGCGAAAAGTCTCTTCTGTCGATGGTGTGGGGGAGCAAGGTTTGAAGGTCAAGGTCAGTCAGGATGTCTTCATTATTCCAAAGTATGCATTGTTTGCAATATGCGGGTCGGGGTAACTACGGGCTCGGGAAGGCAGCCGATAGGCGCCAGTCACATCTGCCTGTATTGACGGAACAGAAGCAGCAGTGGATCCCGGAGTAGGGATAACGTAATTCACGGTCACCCTGGCCACCCCGTAACACCATAGTAAATGTGATAAATTACAACTTCATATATCAACAACCATGCATATTTAAGTTTAATTATTAAGGGTTCATAATCTAGAGAGTATAAAAAGCCTATTTGTATACTTGGAAAATGTACTTGCGAGTAATGAGAAAGATATATATATTTGAATCTGAAACATGAAAATTACGGTGTATTTTATGGTAAAGCATGGGAAATACCAGTCTGAAAGACCTCAAATCCGGTTATATTCTTCCTTTACCTCTATACATGTATATGCTAGAAGTTTGACCGAATTGAATTCCTGGTGGTTGAGATATAGGGGAATGCATACTCGATATCTAGTATGGTGTTTTGGGGTGGCCAGGGTGACCGCGAATTACGTTAACTAAATTGCCAGATAGGGGCTTTATAGCAATTCAGACTTGTTGATATCCAATTGGTGCGTACCATGTTTTACTAAGCAACATTTCCGACTTGTATTGCATGCCTGAGGCACAGTGCGGGCGCTTAGGAACTAAGGCATCGAGATCTCAAACCATCCAAACAACTAGCTGTCTTTGTCCTTTTTTCACCTAGACCCAGTCTTTGGATACTCACTATTTCAGCATCTACGCCCCTTGAGGATATCAAGCCAAATTATTTAAAATCACTTTTTACCAACGAAGGGGAGTGTGTTTTCATTAATGGCGATCGTCTACAGGGGTGGACTATATATCAGGGAGCACGTTGCTCAGAGCTCGATGCACCGCCACCTTGGCTAGATATCGATACGCTGACGAAAACAGGTAGTGTCGCGTATGATCTCCACTTCTCCCGAACTGAGTGAGTTCCAGACGCTACAATCAAAGATGACCATAAACGAACTGGAACGTGGCACTTACCGCTAAAGCGCCCCGCAATCATCGCACCGGCCCTTTTGGCACGATAGGTCATGGTTTCTCCCCAATAACCTGCACTTGAATTTCTTTGCAGTCAGCCGCCGAGCTGAAAATACATGCTCTATCTCTAATGTGATATCCAGCTGACTACTTTATTCGATCATCCACTCAAAATGGCAATCATCGAAGATCTCCTGTTGGAACTCATAGAAGTGATACTCGAGTCCTGTTGCGACTTCACCAGCCTGGACGGTCTACCGCAAATATTCCCGCACATGGAACAGGTCTTCAATGCCCGTCACGAATCCATCTTGAAGAATGTCTTTTAAAGCGCTGTCTCTTAACCTCGGGTCGCCTCTACATACTCTTCTATATCGTGTTGGCCGTTGAATCCAAAACATTTACCGCGCCAGCTCTACTTGAGCTCGTCCGTGGCCTGTTGGAGATCCATTTTCCCCTGTCCTCTATCACGTCACCAGGCCCAATACGAAAGACGATAGCAAATGCGGCAATGATTCATCGTCTAGCCTGTGCGTGCCTCCAAAAATTTCTGAATCGCATCAAGTTGGCAAAACCATGCCGCCCGACATCTTCACTGTAACAGACTGTTGCTCGGGCCAATGGTGAAGCGCAAGAGCCCGAGGGCGAAGTATTCTAATTCAAAGGAACTCGATTGCCCTCCTGGGTCGAGTAACATCCGTGTTATGGCATCAGGAGATTTTCACCCACGTCTGCGACGTGGCTTTTACGCGATGGGCCTGGTCTGATGAGGACTTGGCACACTTTGCTGAAGAGCACAAGATTTGGCGCTGGGATAAACACCTTGAACAAGAAGTGTTGACTGTAACAGAGTGCTTGTGCGATTTGTCAAAAATTGAGATGACACCAGTCAAACCTGAACTCGGACTCCCATACTTGACTGTCCTCCCTTCGCCAGACGACCTTCATTATCTGCGTGCTGGCCTCTACCTGAAACACCTGGTGATTCTCTTGACGTCCCCTATTGGGGACAACACCAGCAGTCCACCCAATTTCAGAGCTCTTCGATAACACATCACAGGCTTCATTGTGGTGGAAGTGCATCCCCACGGAATCCCCTTTGGCGAGTTGGCTTTCGAGTCTTTCGACAGCTTGGGATTCCCCTATGAGACCGGTGGCAATTGTATAGGTCGGGCTTGACCAATCAACCGCGTACAATTCGATCGCCAGATGAGGATCTCGTTGATGGCCCACATGAACTAGAGGAACGCCCACGCCATATCTTGTCTATACGTGGTTCAGCTTGGGAAAGAAAGGATTTTTCTTTGAATAAAGATTTTATCTGCCTTGAATAACTCCCGATGTCTCTAATATGGATACATGAGCATCTGAAGCCATAAAAAGGTACGGCGGTAGGATCATGAAGAAACTTGAACGGCAGAGTTTTGTAGGGTATGTATTCAAACTAGAGGTCATTAACCTAGCTAGCTCCTTTACCATCCAAAATCAATAGCAAATGCTGAAAATGTGGCTAAGCGAAATGATTTTCCGACTCCGTGCTTCAAACCGATACACTAAATGTAGTCCCAACGAAAGCCCTAAGCGCTGATCTTAAGCTTGTAGCACGGTAGAGGGGAACACTTGAACAGGAAGTGTTGACCGTAATGGACCGCTTGTGCGATTTATCAAAAATCAAGTTCGTACCCGGGGGTAGTGGTTTCGCTCTTGGGCCATCCTGTAAGACTCATCAGTCACTGTTCCTCGTAGAATAAGTGAAGGAACTCACGCTTGACAAATTTGTATGTGACCCCTTCATACATTCCAGATCGACCAGGTCCACAAAGTGCGAGGTTTTCCAGCCAGGTCTTCAGAGAAGGTAGACCCAGGTTGATCTCCTTCGTGCCCAAGTAAGTGCGTGCCCAGAGAGCGATGGTCGTGTTCTGGAATATCTTCTCAGGAGTGGTGGAAATGATGGTGGCCCTATCCTCGTTAACGTACTCGAGCTCGAGTTCATCAACGAGGTCTTGGCACAGCCGGATCTCGTCCATGTTGACGGTGGTCCACTTTCCCCTGACAGGAGGCATGGATGCTGAGGTGGGTTGAAAGATACTTGAGAATGGTGGATGGCGAGTGCCGAGAAGTTTTGGGGACAGGATGTTTTTTGACTTGTCTTCGAGGGTTTCGAGTCAAACGCAGAGACCTGTTTGGTAGCGTGGAGACTGGGGCCACCAGGAGCCACCAGAAAAGGAAAGCTCGATTTGAATTGTGGGTTTCGAGATGACCAGGCTCCTTCTAGTTTCTATTCTTTAGACCCATAGCTAGATTTCACGTGAGATTTCATCCAGATTCCAATCCATTGTAGCAGTTCCCGGGGCCCAGGATTTCAGGCATCGATCTAGATTGAATTAGGAAACGCCAAGGCACCAAAGTGATACCTTATGTTCAGAAAAATGGCCCTTCAATTTGAAAAATGCATACATACTATAATTAGCTACGTGCCTGCCATGTTGAATGAGGTAAATTTTCAGACCATCGCGATTCGTTGAGTTTGATTTTGTTTTATTCGGTTTCCTGAAATGGGGCTTTAGGGTACAGCATTTTTTTTTATCTATCTCTGATTCAAATTTGATGCCTCAATCAATTTAACTTGGTGAGTGACAAAATTAATGATTAAAACTAGTGTGGTAGGGTCATGGATCTTGCTGTTCCCAGACTTATCGTACAGATAGTACACCTTCAAAGAATACATTCAACAGAATATAGGCGATCAAATTTAGGCGGTGTGCAATGAAGAGGTGGAGCGACGGAACTTCCCGCTGTGGGGCCGCTAAGGTGGGCTCCCCTGACGTCGTTACCTGATATGTAGTCTCCTTACTCTCCTTCAAGGTGTTTCCAATTAACTTGTTCTACGCATCGTGCGTCAAATATTGCGGAAATAGTTGGTTTGTCATTCTCTAAATGTGTTGATCCTCTAATCTTGGAGTTAGTGAGTACCATTCCCATTGAGCCCATTTGCAGCCTTCGTTCCATTAACACCACCAGACACACTAACTCCTCCACCGACTTCCAGAAACTGGAAAACTTCACCATACAACGACCCATCCCGAACCGCCTCATAAATTATCGACACCCAAGAGCCAATAGTCCTCTTGGGACGGCCATCGATCACATTTCCTTGCTTGTCTCCTGCCACAGGATGCTCCACGAGACCCCGGTGCAAAGGCACGCCTAGCTTCTCGCGGACGAAAAGATAAACAGCCTTTGTGCCTTGGCCGAGATACTCAGCGGTGGTTGGCCTCTGGAAGAATGCATCACGGTGGCGCAGATATGACTCAAGGATGAGGGTCTCGAAGGACTTGGTCAAGCTGGTCACCGTTTCGACGGAGACGATCGTCGGGATCTGCTGGGAGTTGGTGAAGACAGCCATGGCTAGTGACTGTGCGGCCTTCTGCGCGCGTTCGGCAGCATCGTATACTGCGGCATCATACCAAGCGTCTTCGAATTGCTTCCAAAACTTGGTGAAGAACTTTTCCTCGGCCACAAGGTCATGAGCATCGGGGAAGAGACCGGCCACGAGTTTGCGGGTAGGCTCCTCAATGCTTGCAATAAAGGTACGATGAAGCGTGCGTAGATCCACCCCCTGGCATCCAGTGTAGAGTGCATTGGCGACAATCAATGACAGACATTCAACTGCAGCCATCGTCTGACGTGCGGAGAGAAGACCGAGCGAGTTGATGGCCTGGTTGTGCATCTCAGCAGACTGGACGTGGTTACTAACTGGATTGGCCAAGAATCCCAGCTCAGAAGTGTAGGCAGCGGTGTTGACGTCGATCCCCTTCAAGCAGAAAGAAAGACTGGGATCATCGGCGGCCAAATTAGGAGGAAGGCCATTGCTCAAATCGTGATTGATCACCTCGCTGACCTGGCTGAATAGCATGCGGCCAATCGACTGCAAAGCCAAACGAATCTTCTCCGTGGCAGAAGTGACAGCTGCAGCCTGGAAATTGGCTCCAGAATGGATATCATTGTCTTCGCTGTTGACGACAGGGTTATCAGAGGTAGAATTGAGCTCTGTCACAAGCTGCTTCTCGGCACTGAGGAGGTCCTCTAGCTGTGGCGATAGCCATTGTGGTGAGCTGCGTAGCGCATACCGCTCCTGGGCCAGCCCCTCAGAGAAGCGGTCTTTGCTCTGCTCTAGACCATATGACAACCGCGAGCCCTTTAGGAAAGTTCGAATGTTCTGAGCAGCCTCGATTTGACCTTGGTGTGGGCGTGCCGCAGCCACGAATGGGTGGGCCCATTCGTTGTTGGCATAAAGCGCCTCGGAGAGAAGGGCAGTCAATAATTGTGAGACGAGCGCGAGCTGGTTGGCTTCATAAAGACCCAAGCTGGCCACGGCGGCGGCCGCAGCGGTTCCATTGATCAGCGCTAGACCCTCTTTAGGTCCCAGGACGATAGGCTCAATAGAAGCCTCGTAGAGGGCTTGCTGTGCAGATTTGACGCGAGGTGCACCCTTACGACCTCCGACACGCACATAGACATCTGGGTTTCCCTGGATAGTTCCAGAGAGGTATGACAGAGGCATCAGATCTCCGGAGGCTGAGATGGAGCCGCGCAGGGGCACGATTGGCACGATATCATTGTCCAAGAGTTTAATCATCGAGTCCACGATGTTGCGGGTCATGGCCGAGTGGCCGCGAATATTGGCGTTACAGCGAATAGCTGTCATGGCTCTTGCCCATGCGCTTGGCATGCTGTGAGACTCGAGGTATTCATGGCTGCTGGGAGAGTCTGTTTTGTCTTCCTTGGTCAGAACAGCGCTTTGGGTGTGTTGCATCAAGGCGCGCTGCAATCCGTATAAGTCCGTGGTGCGTGTGTCTGCGCTACCTCCGAATCCGGTGTTGACGCCTGAGACGTTGGATGTCAGCGAAATGAATTCTTGCATCCAGCATGAGGGTCGCCTGTTACTTACCGTAGAGGTAATATCCCTTCGATAGGTAATCTTGTAAGGTCTCGACGCTCGCTTCGACTCGCTGGATGATACTAGGGTCCTCAGAGAGGGCCAAACGCACACCGTTCCTGGAAGGTATCAAAAAGCTCATTAGCCTCGTATTTCTTAGGCACACAGAGCCGGAGAACTGACCTTGCGATAGCGACGACAGCTGCCACATCCAAAGTCTTGCCATCTATGTGGACAGTCCCGGATTTGATATGAGAGTTGAGCTTGCTCCACGCCTGCAAAGCCTGTCTAGCATGAGGAGTTGGCCATTGATGGTTAATGTCATACTTTCGCTCGGGAAAGGTGCTCCCCATGATGAATGTCAGGGGAAGAGTTTAGGAAGTTGGGAGAGGGTAGAAGTGAGTTTTCAGCTTAAGTTGATGTCGATCCTAGATTGTGCTGCAACCCCTAAGTTTTTATACATGTCATATGCTGAGAACACGCTGCTACACAACAAACAATATCCTAACCTCTCCTCCTAATCTCATGCCTTCAACGCAAAAAATCCTTTCTGCTGACTGCCCCTCCTGCAGGCTGTAGCTCGCTTATTTCCCCTCACTGTCGATCATATCTCAGATTTCTGTTTAGAAAGGCAAAAATGACCCATCATAGTGTACCATAGGCGGAATGCATGTTACAACCGGCGTTAGTTCTCCGCACGTCATCGATGGCTCCATACACGAGATGCATTGCAGGAATGTAATCGAGGCGTAAAACACGATCCGAACTCTAAAAATTTGGAATACTCATCTGTATGGTAACGAGGGTATTTCCATCTCGTTGTTTACGTGATTCAATTTCTGATAAACACTAAATTCTTCGCGACCAGACCCTGTCTCCACGTGGATCAATAGGCATACTCCTGTCACATTCTCAAAGCCTCTTATCGAGAGTGGCCAGCAATTTGTTCCTCACAAAGCGCAAGACAATCTCCTCTCAATTGCCTAGCGTCTCTAGAGATTCTATTTACTTGATTTTTGTAAAACACCCTCATTGTTCTTGTTACGTATGATAAAAGTCGAGTGTTTTGTATCAGTTGATGGGACGAGAAGTTTCATCGAAGGAAGAGGGGTACAGATATTCCACGCCACAAGCAGAATCAAATCAAATAATATCAGTGGCAAACACACAAGTCTCAGTGTGTCAAGTAAGCTCTGGCCTGACAGTGGGGCCCTTCGTGAATCTACTAGGGCTTTTACTACAGTACTAGGCCGAGTATAGAACATGGCTCAGCTTTCTGATCGGGAATGGGACTTTTGCAAGAATTTAAGGTCCCTGTAACCTTGCTGCATGGTGGCTGGAGCTAGTGGTGCTAAAACCCTGCAGCAAATATGGTGGCGGAAGTACCGTCGGTCCCCCATGCAGGTAAATTTCACCAATAAACAGCGTCCTGCATACTTGTGAATAGTACAGGTCTCAGTTTGTGGTAGCGATGGGGGCTAAAAAGATACAGCGATAATATGGCTTGATTTGGTTAATTGCTGCGATCACGAGCTCATGAGACTTGCAGGAACTAAAACGTGCAGCGTAAATGTAACATTGATATTAGCAATGGCCCCTCACGATTGTCTAGTTGCATGACAATGTACTGCTTTATTCCCGATGAAGAGCGTATTACCGATCGCACTCGGGTTTGAAAACGTGCATGGCAACGTGGATAGAAAGATTGACTTTCTGTCGGCATGTTAGGAGCTGGGAGGAGCCGATTCCTTTCAGAGATAACTGAGCGATACGCTCTTCTACCTAGCTGGGTAAAGTTTGCTCTGCAGGATAAAACACAATTTCTGAGGAGGATTGATTACTCCGTTGACTATACTATCAGATCATTATTCAATCTAGTAAAACCACCAGTATACGGCCAATTAGTCAAGTTCACTCTTCATTCAGTCTATGCTACTCTAGACTTGTAGTTAAAATCCTCTAATACAAGATTTCTGTCATCTCCTGCTGGTACTGGAGAGCAGTTATATCCGGGTATATTGCCGGCCTCTCCTCCGTCACAAACTGCTCAATTGGCCCAACGGAAATCTCTCGGTGCGCCTTCAAGAAGAACACGGAAGAATATCGCTCAGGAATGTAACCCTCCGTAATGGTAGACATATGGGGCGGTACATTCACCTGATGAAGGCCAGCCTTGACAACCCCGTTAGTCCAGCGCTGGAAGGTTTGGCTCGTGTTGACAATGAGCTCGTTGTCATCGGATGGAATAATAGGCACAAAGGTGAACGGTTTGTTTCTATCTTCGAATTCAAGACCTCCAAGGCTGTCTTGGAACAAAAGTGTAATGATTCCGAAGTCTGTGTGCGGCCATGCACGCTTGATTGTTCCGGTTTGAAGTCTTTCTAGAGAGACCGGCGGATAGTGAAGCAGACGAAGCTCTGAAGCTGCGGGAATGCATCGGTCAACGAGCGAGTTTTCGGGCATCTTAAAGCCAACTTCGCATGCCCGCATGATATCAAGAGACACGTCCTGTACCAGATCGAAATACTGTTCAATGAATGCCTTGAATCCAGGAAGGTCCTCTTCGCTGGGAAATTTGTTGGGGAACTCGGTATCCCCTCGAGGACCGCAGTCAAAGTGCTCCTAGATTTGGATGAGACACATTTACAATCTGATTTGCAAACCCAAAAGCATACCTTCTCATCTAGTAGTTCACCCTTTCCTTTCGGTGAGGTCTCGGCGTTTTCCTTTCGCAACCTGGACGTTGTTTCCGTACCCTTACGACTCCATCCTCGTTGTAAATCCGAGCCTGGATGATGAACAATCTTCATTTTCACATCGTCTGGCAACTGAAAGAATGCCCGATCCTAGTTAAATAGGGATGGTCAGTTCTCCTGTGTAGAGATTCGAAAAGACATGGAGAGTAGGTACCCATTCCCAGATTTGCTGCACAAAGTCCCGAGATATACCGTGATTCTTTAGACGAACAAAGCCGTGATTCACGAACGAGTCAACAAGTTTCTTCGCCGCTTGTTGCCGTTGATCAGCATTTCCATGTAGAAACTGACCAAAGTCAACGAGTGGCAGCTGTGTCACAGTCATTTTGATGAGGTCTGGTTGGGAGGTTTTCGATAGCTAGATGGGACTTAATTAAAATCAATTCACTTGCAAGAGCCATCAAGCCTTGTCCTTACCCATGTTGATCTTTCTTCGAAAACAATTTATATCGGGCTTCCTTTTCCACCCACTCGGATGAGACCATAGGGCAGTGGTGCAACAATTAGGATTCGAATCACCCCCAAGTAAGCTGGGCCCACTTTATTCATCACATAGATTTCCATGGAAGAGCATGATGTCAAAGCGATGAAGAACAGGGATGGCCTTCCTTCGGATTAGTGCAGTAACCATGGGGCGTGATTAGTGTTTGTCTGACAGCATGTCAATGCTCCAAGATACTAGTGGACGTCATAATTGCCCCACCGACTGCCCATTCTTGTTGACAATCTACAAAGGATCGGTTATATCATTATCGTCAATGTTGTAGCCTTCGTGAGGGGCTTATTCCCTTCTTCGTGGCTTACTCCCCCCAAGCGTCCGTGCATCTCGAGCCGAGTTACTGCAGGTCTCGCCCGAGGCAAGGTTTCAGTGATCATGATGCCAGAGCAGTGAGGATTGTGCAATCAAAGAGTCCATTTTTGATCAAATTCAATTATGTACTTCTGATTTGTTCAATATACCAAGAGTTTGAACCAAGACTCATGGGCCGGTCCATCGGAAAGTCCGACCCCCGCTCTACAAAGGTACCATCAAGCGTTGGAGGAAATAACCTGGGAACATTCCTCAGTCATCGAGAAATATGACCAATTGAACAGCACTTCTGGTTCAGATTTACACACCAGGTTTCAAGCCGACAACATCAAGAGCACAAGATGTTGGACGTTTCCTCTCTGGTGTAAATTGAACCTAAACAAGCCGTATGAGCACCTATATGAGCAACTTCGAATATCTTGCCTGTGCATAGTCTAATGTCTTCGTGGACAAAGAGAGTGTCTCTTTCATTCTTGTCGAAGCTCCACCCAAAAGTGGGACTTCATCACGGAGAACCACGGGGAGGAATGTAGATGGTCTTACATGCATATATGTAGCATACTTAGTATGCCAACGAATTCATCTCGCTTAGGTAGAGTAGTAACAATATTAGCAAGATGTTTTAGCCAAGGCAGAGGTAGGCAGATTCTCATTAAGTTAAAGTGATGCAGATCACCCGAGTGGGGGCTATTTGGAGATATCCTCTTGAACTACTCCGTACTTTAACTACTGCCCCTTATCGCAAACAGTCCGCCACCCCGCGCTGCGGGCTGACCCGCCAGGGGCGTTATTGAAAATTACTAGTCTTCTTTCAACTGTATTTCGTAAACTACTATTGTCTAATTCGACGGAGTCATCTGGAGCGTTACTTGCAGTAAATAGCTCATGGCCGCCTAATATGCAGGATTTCGAGCCGTAGTGGCATCAAATTCTCTAGATTAACCACTTTCCTGATCGAGGTGATTCAAAATCTTCAGAACAACGGAAGGTGGAAGTACAAAGTACTTTTGACCGAGCGGACGTGTTATCACAATTCGCGATGGCCGATAGCCAACGGACAACGGAGTAAACGCTAAGGCCGAGTCACGTGTATTTGGGTATACCTCAAGATCCCCAGGTGAACAACAAAGAATCATTTCGACTCGGGGCGCAAGGAGAACACGGAGCGAGACATGTCCCACGAGTAAACAAAGTCGGCGACAAGATCCTGAAACGGCCGCTTCTAAGTCACCCCACACTTATAGGCTAAAGGGAGCTATCCACCCTTCACTCTTTCTTATTTTCACTCTACAGCCTGGAATTCCTCGATACAACAATCTGAGCGGGGCATATGGTCTCCTCCAAGACTGCAGAGGAGGCGATAACCCCTCAGACTCTGCTAACAACGGATACCATTCCCGTGGAGAAAGATGAACCTCAAGACCCGAACGATGTCTTCTGGGATGGCGACGATGATCAAACCAATCCCAAGAATTGGAGCGTTGTACGCCGATGGACACATGTTGTTATCATCGCGCTTGTGACATTTATCACGTACGTCTCGAGATCGTTCCAGCTCTTCTCTATATCAGGCCCCTGAATGATAGTTTTCCATTAGATCACTGGGCTCATCGATGTTGGCTCCCGCAGTACCAGACGTGATGAAATCGCTTCATTCCGATAATTCTGAGTTGGAGTCTTTCGTCGTTTCAATCTATGTCATTGGGTTTGCGGTCGGGCCTCTGCTCGTGGCGCCCCTGTCAGAACTTTATGGTCGCGCAATTGTCTACAATGTCTCCAATGTCCTCTTTCTCGGTGCGACTATTGGATGTGCTCTCAGCACCAATATAGGCATGCTTCTTGCCTTTCGTCTAATTTGTGGTTGTGCCGGAGCGACTCCTCTTGCTCTAGGAGGAGGCTCGATCAGTGATCTCATAGAGCCCGAACGAATGGGCACTGCAATGGCAATTTGGGGATTGGGCTCGTTGGCGCCACCTGTAAGACTTCCTTTGGTTTTTTGGGTGAGGGTAGAACTAATCAGAATTTGTATTATGTGGCAGGTCTTCTCCCCCATTGCTGGTGGGTATCTTAGCCAAGACGCAGGCTGGAGGTGGATCTTTTGGGTGATTGCCATTCCAGTAAGTACTGACGAACACATACTGCTTCAAATACTCATTACGTTGATGCTAACATCATGTTGTAGATGGGAATTCTCACAATAGTATTCCCTTTCATAGTCCGAGAAACATACGTCCCCGTCCTGTTGGAACGCAAAGCGGCGCGCCTACGCAAGGAAACGGGCAACCCAAATCTAAAATCCCGACTCGACAGGCAACTCACTCGGAAGAAACTCATTCTCGATACCCTCATCCGACCTCCTCGAATACTATTCACGTCGCCCATTGTGTCAGTCCTTGCGATAGACACAGCCATAGTTTATGGGTATCAGTATCTGGTCTTCACAACATTGTCTTACATCTTTCAAGATAAGTATCACCTCTCAACTGGTCTGTCAGGGCTTGTATACCTGGGCAATGGAATCGGAACAGTTCTAGGTATCCACCTTCCCTCAAAATTGCAATAATACCAACCAATGAGTTCTAACAAAATGCACCAGGAATCTTTATCATCGGCTACGCATCCGACAAAGTGACCGAGCGAAGAAAGAAAAAAGCGTCTATACCAGACGATACCCTACCACCAGAAGGCTGGCTCTGGCCCATGATTCCTTCGAGCTTCCTAGTTCCCGCAGGTCTGTTCTGGTACGGCTGGACACTGGAACGGAATGCATTCCCCGTGGTGCCCCTAGTGGGACTGGGTGTATTTGGATTTGGCATGATGGGCATATTCCAGCCAGTACAAATCTACGTGGTGAATTCTTTTGACAAACAAGCCGCCTCTGCTATGGCAGCAGCTACCGTACTGAGAAGTATTGTGGGTTCTTTATTACCTCTCGGAGGACAAAGAATGTATGATGCTCTAGGTATAGGGTGGGGGAATAGCTTGTTGGCATTTATTGCGATGGGGCTCTTGCCCGTTCCATTTTTGATGATCAAGTATGGGGCACGCATGAGGAGAGCGGACCCGAATTTGCGATAATCTAGGACAGGTATATCGTGATCTACGAGGCCTAACACACTTACGTACTTACGCACAAATATTATGACAACGCCCATGCTTGATGACTTGACGCAGCTACTGGACTTGATCGGGTAGATAGGATGGAAACACAGCCCCTAGACGAGAAATAAAGATAGTTTCAGAATTATATCTGGGGATTGAACTTATGGAGACAATTCTACTATAACCTATTTCGCGATGACATTTACTTGGTTTATTGCGACCTAACATTATCTAGAGTCTTGAATTTTACTAATTACAGTCTGCGCTTTTCTCCCGCGATACGAATTGCACAGGCCAGACAACTAGACATAAACAACAATGCTGAAGCAACCATATATGGCAATCCCATGGCGATACCACCCTGTCGTAGACCACGTCCAAATGCCGCCGCTAAAATCGGCCCTGCGACAAGCGAGCCTAAGCTTTGTGCCAAACCGATGCCCGAGTTCAGCACTCCGACCTGAGACGGGTCTACCAGTGATGTCGCCAGACTTCGCAGCGCCGAGTAGAAGCCCCAACCAAGCGCAAACAAACTCAATCCAGAGATGAACAGCTCCGGGATGGCGGCAAAGGCCATGAGAGCCATACCTGATGTGAGAATCCACGCGCTTCCCTGGACAATACGGAGATCTTTGACCGCCGGCGACCAAGACATTTGTGTACTCAGCCATGTGGACAAGCGAGGGAGAATGAGTAGTAGGGTGACAAGATTGATAACACCCTTCAAGGTAATGAGGAAGCTTGCGCGCGCAATACTCCAGGAGAAGCGCTTCGAGGCGTACGGAATGATCAACTGCATCGCCTGTCTGCTGATACTGGCAAGCAGGAATGTGAGCACAATAAAGGCCATGTTAAAATCCCAACCTTTCAGGTGGGTGTTCCGAACATGGTGCCAGTATTCCGACAATGTTTGTTTCACACGCTGATAGCCGGACTTGGGGTCTTCCGGTCGATCATGATCCATCTCGGTCTCTTCATCATTATTCAACAATGGTTCTGACTCGTCGTTATGGTTGATGCTGGATTTGGGATCAGGGCGCGTCTCGGAGACCAAGGCTGCGCCCAACAGGCCTCCAAGCTGGAAAACTATTCCTAGCAATGAAGGAACCCATGGACTCCATGTCATGAGAAAGGCACTGATAGGGGTGGCCAGGATTTCTCCAAGCAGAATTACGGCAGCCATGATGTAAAATATAGAAGCTCTGGTGATTAAACGTGTTTTTGTCAGCCTACGAGCCATAGTGAATCATTAACGAGTCCCCTGGGCTTCACTTACCGCCGGTCCATAGGAACTACATCGGTAATCATAGCATATGCCATTGCCGTCGCCGTCTGAGATCCACCGCCAATGATCTGAAAGACGGGCGTCGCCCAGATCATCCGAAGGGGTAGGGCGACATTCCACCAACAGACCAAACGGATGGCGACCTCTTCCAGCACAAGGCCGATCAGACAAAGCACCAAGATGGGCTTGCGGCCGATCCGATCCGCCGCGAATCCATATGGCAGAGCAAAGATAATCCCAGGCAACTGGTCAATGGTCTCTTTCCACCCGATCAACAGGGCCAATTCTGCTTGTACATCGGCGGACTTGCAATCATCGCCCGCCTCGATTCGGCGACAGATGAGGGATTCGAAAATGGAAATTTGAGGGGCCAAAGTCAGAGAGTTGCCAAAGTCAGCGGCGACAATCGAGATGCACACGAGGACAAGGAGACGCAGGTGAGAATGAGACAAAGGGGTGGGAGAGCCATCTTGGACGGCGCCCCCACGCGATCCCAGCAGGGGCGCCTGCTCCGTAGGCTCCTCCTCGGTAGCTTGAGGCGTCAACATGAGCTAGAATATCTTGAAATGAATCAGTTCTCGAGTGTTCCCCGAGAATGTGACACTATTTTCATGCCCGAAGGCAGTCTCTCAAGGGAAAGCCGATAAAATCCCTTGGCTAGGCGGGATCGAAGGTGGTACCGTGGTGGAGGCTTGTGGGCCGACGGGAGGCCGACGGGAAGCAGATCGGGCGGGTGCCTTAGGCTAATCCACAGCACTAAACAGGCTTCAACCCAGAGTCCTCGGCTTAGTGCTTACGGTTACACTCGTTATACTTGGCAAGTCTTCCTTAACCAATGTACCTCTATTACGCAAGCCGTGCATAGGATCATGTTTCATGCAGCTGGTTTTTTTCAACTTGTTGTATCGCGTAATTTACTTTTCAGTTGTATCCTAGCTTTCTCGGTACTGCAGCTTGATACCAATCAAAATGATCACGATCAACTGTCATCATGCTGCAGTAAGGCCTACCCAATATCAAAGAAGACCCCAAGTACTTATGTATAAAGGTTCTTCTGCTACAAATCTCAGATAATCCTAGTAGAAGATCATTTGAATTAAACAAACGAACCCTTTCAACCAATTGACAGCCGAAGATGGCTGAGCAATTCTGGCAACAGACGTTTGCCGGCTTGGAAACCTCTTCATACCCTGTGCTCCCCGCGGTGGGATATCAATCATCAATCACAAAGATTATTGATCATGAAATTGACCACATTGAGTGTGAAACTGGCTCTGATAGTCTGTATCCGCTCTCCACCAAGTTACAAGCCGCCTGGGCATTACTTTTGGCCCAATATGCCAATACCCATGATGTGGTGTTTGGAATATCTATGAACTCCTTGGAAGAAGTTTCGGACTTGCAAGACGTCCTTCCTTTACGAATACCGGTCAGCTGGGAATCTGATCTTGCGCAGTGGTTGCAGGCAAATCAGTCCCGGGTAGAGGCAATGCAGGAGGTCCAATCCTGTATGAGCCTGGATCAAATTCAATCCTGTAGTCCAGAAGCCAAAGAAGCCTGCGAGTTTCGGACATCAATTTTGTTGAGAGATCCAGAGCTGGAAACGTACGAGGTATGGACAAGAATACACTTACAGTTTCCAGATATATAAATATAGACACGTGACCTTCATGCTGACCAGTCATATTCTGTGCCCAGGGAAACCACCCCTCCTCTATCGAAAAGAACCTCCACAAGAATTCTCTTGTTCTGATCATTGAGTGCTTTCCATCAACTCCTCGCCAGAAACTGCTTCTGCGATTCCATATCGATGAGTCAATCATCGACGCGGCACAGGCCGAGCGGATGGGCCTGCAGCTCACTCATCTCATCCGGCAGCTCTGCGACCCTGCTCTGCATCAACAGCAAAAGGTACTTGGCGACCTCGACATTCTCTGCGATGAAGATAAGAAGCTCCTCTGGAAATGGAATGGATCTAGACCTAGAATGACCAACTCTCGTATCACCGATCTCTTTGCGTACCAAGTCCAGAGACGAGGTCATTATCCCGCTGTCCATGCATGGGATGGAGAGCTGAGCTATGAACAGCTGGACGAAAGGTCAACTCAATTGGCGGCATGGCTGATTCAGAATGACATTGCTGGACCGGGGCGCATTGTTCCTCTTTGCTTTGACAAGACAGTATGGACGACCATCACTCTCTTAGCTGTCGCAAAGGCGGGAAGCATTTTCATCATGTTGGATCCGCGTCAGCCTTTTGGTCGTTTGAAGAGTATAATGCAGCAAATTCAATCAACCACAATCCTCGCGCGGCATGACACGGCCAAGTTGGCCAGGTCTTTGGTCGAAAGCACTGTCATCGTGGATGAGGACCTTTTTCAAGACAGTGACAAGCTTGCGTCCATCCAGATTCCAGCCTTCTGCGGCCAGATTTCACCGTCAGACCGATTATATATTGTATTTACATCTGGAAGCACTGGAACTCCTAAAGGCGTTACTATCTCGCATGCCAATCTTTGTACCGCGGTCGGACACCAGGCGCGGGCGCTGGGGTTCGACACTGGAGTGCGTACATTTGACTCCTCGTCGTACAGTTTCGACGCATATGTCTGCAACACTTTTCACACCATCCTGACTGGTGGTTGTCTGTGTGTCCCATCAGATAACGACCGCATTAATAACCTGCAGTCGGTCCTCCAGTCCATGGATGTCGAGTTTGTGCAGCTCACTCCTTCTACATCCCGGCTTCTGGACCCAAGCAAGCTCCCACGCCTGCACACGCTTATCCTTACTGGAGAGAAGATCAACCGCAACGTACTCGAACCGTGGCTAGAAACAGCGGGTCGAGTACGGGTCATCAACGCCTATGGACCGTCCGAGTGCACAATCATGTGTGCGGCGAATCGCAACATCAATTGCATCAAAGACGCCGAGAGCGTCGGGTTCTCACTGGGTGCCAACCTTTGGATTGCTGATGTCCACAACATCCATCGTCTGGCACCAGTTGGTGCAGTTGGTGAATTGCTTATTGATGGCCCTATCATCGGCCAGGGATATTTCGGCGATGAGCGCAAAACTCAGGAGTCTCTGGTCGATGTACCTGGTGGCTACTTACCCGGCATTGCGTTAGCCCCAGAAAGTCCAATCTTCCGTACGCGAGATTTGGCGAGGTACAATGTAGATGGTTCAATCTCATTCATTGGCCGTGCTGACACACAGATCAAAATCAACGGACAGCGCGTCGAAATCGGCGAGGTCGAATATCATGTTGGCCAATGTCTCCCAGAAGGAGTTGATGCGATCGTCGAAGCAGTGGACTGGCCATCGGGTCAGAAGCAACTGCTCGCTTTCATCTACTTGAGACAGGATAAAGGATTGCAGCTAGCGCAGTTGATCACAAAGCTGGATGAAAAAGTATCAGACCGGTTGCCTCGATTCATGATCCCTTCTGCATATTTCCCACTGCGCACGATTCCGATGACAGCGACTGGAAAGACTGATCGCAAGGTCCTTCGGCGAATGGCGTTGGTGGCTCCGGACCAACTACTCAATGTGCACGCTCTACCAGGAGCAACTGGGGCACTGCCAGCGCAAGACGTCGACCGGCCCATGACTTCCGTTGAAATGACTCTGCAATGGCTCTGGGCGGAAGTGCTGACAATGAATAATGATGCACCTCTTCTACCAAGCGACAATTTTTTTGCGCGAGGAGGTGATTCACTCGCGGCGATGCGACTTGTCTCTGCCTTGCGCCGAGAAGGATGCAGCAACATCAACGTCGCAGACATCTTCCGGCATCCGCGTCTTTGTGATATGGCGATTGTAATGGATGAGGCTACTGGGAAGGCCTCACCGGATGCGAATGCAACACAGAAACCAGCAACTCCATTTTCCATGTTGCTCGGTGATGCTCCAGATGCGAAGTTGATCGAACTGACGCGCAAGAAGATCTCCAAGATCTGCAAGTGTGAGGCGTTTGAGATTGAAGATGTGTTCCCATGCTCATCTATCCAAGAGGAGATGGTTATTCTGGGCGCTCGTAATCCGGAGGACTTTGTCACCCAAACCGTCTTCCCATTACCTCCCGGAGTTGATCTATCTCGATTCCAACGAGCCTGGGAAAATGTCACACGCGAGGCTCCAATAATTCGCACTCGCATTGTGGATACAAAGATGGCTTTAGGGGATATCACGGTCGATTATGATCATGTGTTCTCCCAGGTCATCTTCAGTGGCCAGGTACCGTGGACCGAGTACTCTGACCTTGATGAGTGCCTGAAAGCGGAACGAGGAAATGGAATGGGACTAGGTGAGCCGTTGATGCGACTCGGTATTATTGGAAAAGCCAACCCGCAGAAACAGCAAACATCACGCCTTCAGGCAGTCTTGACGATGCATCATGCCGTCTATGATGGTTGGTCCATGGATCTGCTGGGCAAAGACATCGCTCGAGAGTATAATGCTTCTGAAGACTCCAAGGCATCGGACGACAGAATGCTCCCGTATCGTAACTTCATCCAACATCTGCACACTTCAGACCAGAACGTGGCCTCGAGGTTCTGGACCCGATATTTGAAGGATATACATCTGCGTCCCTTCCCTGCTCTCCCGGTGCCAAACTACAGACCAAATGCAACCGCTTTGCAAGACCATGTTGTATCTGGAATTGAATGGGCCAAGGCCACGGGAATTACTGCAAATACCATCGTGCAGACAGCCTGGGGAATGGTATTGTCCAAGCATTCCTGTGCTAGCGAGGTAGTCTTTGGAGCAACACTTCTGGGTCGGCAAATCCCGTTGGCTGGAATTGAGCGTGTCGGAGGGCCTACCATTGCGACTGTGCCCATGCGAGTCGTGGTAGACTGGGATGGACAGAGCGCGCTAGAAATTCTCCAGCGCATGCAGGACCAAGCCGCTGAGATGATCCCATTCGTGCATCATGGCATCAAGCGCATTCGCAAACTGGGTTACGACATGCAGCGCGCCTGTCAGTTCCAGACCTTCCTGGTTGTTCAGCCAGTATCTCAGTCAGAGGTTCGATCGACGGAAAAGGCATTGTTTGATCTTGGTGACGGTCGAGATGACATCCAAGCCTTCAATACATACGCCATCATGGTTGATTGCGGACTAGCTCGCGATGGATTCCACCTCCGTGCAAGCTTTGACGAGACGATTCTTGGGAAGAATCAGGTTCAGCAAATGCTGAGCGATATGGAGAACGTCGTGAGGTCTCTCATCACCGAGTCAGAGAGTCCCCTAAAGCTGCGAGAAATGGGCATCTTGACAGATGAGGAGCACGCCGATATTATCAGCTTCAGTCAGCAGGGTCAGGGCTCACAAATGATTGAAATTGAATCGTGCATCAGAGATTCTCTACCGGAGCAGATATCAGATGCCGCGGTTGATGTTGTCGAGCTTCCAAGTCTCTCGAAGCAGCTGGTGGCCTTTGTCTGTCTGGCGCAAAGTGAAACTAGTTCATCTCAATCCAGCACAGCCCTCGCCAACCTGATCGAATTGCTGGGTGAAAAACTGCCATCGCACATGACTCCATCCCATTTTCTTCTTCTTTCCAAACTACCAAAGCTGGGATTGGGATCAGGGGATACTGACCACGAGGAACTCCATCGTATCGCACTTCAGACACCTGTGAATCAAATAGTGAATCGCTCTACCTTGATATCGGCACGGCCAAGCAACAATGATCCTCCAAGAACACAACTTGAAACCCTCTTGCACGGCCTGTGGGCTACCACACTGGGAGTGGAAAGGTCTCAAATCAACAGGAACACTTCGTTCTTGGCCTTAGGTGGCGACTCTTTGAGAGCGATGCAACTTGTTGCAGCTGCCCGAGAAGAGGGGTATTCCCTGTCAGTGGCTAAAGTTTTGCGTACCCCTCGTCTGGCAGATATGGCAGTCAAGGCACTGGAGCCACTGGCAGGAATGCAGTCGTCGCTCTCGGATACCGTTGAACCATTTTCACTGCTTGACAAGAACGTGACCAAAGAAGCACTTGCAAAAGCCTGCAACCTTGAGCCAGACGAAATCCAAGACGCCTACCCGTGCTCGCCAATTCAGGACATGATGTTGGTGCATACTGCGCGCCGTGCTGGAGAGTTTGTCTCCCAGGGCTACATTCATCTTCCAGCTCATGTTGATACCGCACGGTTGAAAGCAGCATGGTTCGAGGTGATCGCTGCCAACCCAATCCTCCGCACACGCATTGTGGAGTTTGCAGGGCAAGGGCTGCTACAGGTCGTGACAAAAACGACTCCTGTCTGGCTAGAGTATGATACTCTCGAAGAGGTGCAGCAACTTCCCGTCGGTCTCGGAGAGCACCTACTCTGGTTTGCATTGGTGAAATCCCCATCTGGCGTCGTGACAGGAGAATCTGGCACTGCCACTGAAGAGAAAACTCTGGTCATGACTATCCACCATGCTATCTACGATCGTTGGTCTGCTTCACTGGTTATGAAGGCTGTTGAATCTATCTACCGCGGAGAAAATCTTGTACAAAACTTGCTCCCGTACAACCAGTTCATCCAATACCTGGGAAAGAACGTCGATGCAGACAGCTGTCAGCAATTTTGGGAAAAGTACTTGGCAGACTGCAATGTTCCGCAATATCCTGTTTTGCCAAATCCCAAATATCGGCCAACAACCACAGGTGTTCGAAAGCGGAGGCTCGACTCCATCGCATGGCCCAAGGACTTCACTCCGGCAACCACATTGAAAGCAAGCTGGGCAATCTTGGTCTCTCAATTCTCCAACTCTAGTGACGTTGTCTTTGGATCAACGGTCATGGGTAGACAAGCACCTTTAGCTGGTGTCGAGCGCATCGCCGGTCCAACTATTGCCACAGTCCCCATTCGCGTGAAAATAGACTGGAGCTCAGCGAAACTCCAAACCCTACTTCAAGACATACAGTCAGATGCAACCGACATGATTCCATTCGAGCATTACGGTATCGGCCGAATTCAGCGACTCAATTCGGTTGCCCAGCAAGCTTGCCAGTTCCAGTCTTTGCTCGTCATTCAACCTCCAGAGGATGTTGGCGCGGATGAAAATACCATTCTCCGGTTGCAACTTGGTGATGATGATTTGAAGGGAGGGACATACGCTCTCGTCTTGGAATGTGTGCTGGATGATCCATCGTCACCTTCATCGGGAGGTGTCTCAGTTCATTTGAGCTTCGACGAGCATGTCGTCGACTCCATTCAAGCAGAACAAATGCTGGTACAGCTCGAGCACATTCTTCAAGAAATCTGCAAACTTGATGAGCCAATGAATGAACGGTCACTGTCACGGCTCAATCTACTGTCGCACTTCGACAGACAGAAAATTTCATCCTGGAATGCCACAGTCCCGCCGAGTATCGATCGTCGGATGGATCACTTGCTTGCAGAGCGTGTTAAAGCCCATCCAGACGCTCCGGCAATTTGTGCTTGGGATGGAGAGCTGACGTACAGTCAATTCTATGATCAAGCCCGCCTCTTGGCCTATTGGCTCGTTGTTGACCAAGGCATCGGTCCTGAGGTATCAGTCCCCATTTGCTGTGCGAAAAGTGTCTGGACACCTGTGGCAATGCTGGCCGTCATCATAGCTGGAGGTGTTGTCGTCACGATGGATCCGTCACAAGTTGTGGACCGTCTCCGTTCCATTACTTCACAGCTCAGCCCGCGGCTGGTTCTGGCATCAGAATCGACCAAAACTATTGCCGAGCAGTTGTCAGGAGCTGCCGTGCATGTCGTCAACGAACGCCTGTTACAGAGTATTATGGGTCCTGATCTTGCGAAGGACGATTCTTGGATTCCAATTCTCTCTCCTGACAATGCTCTCTACGTGACATTCACTTCTGGCAGTACCGGAACACCCAAGGGAGCTGTCATCACACATGCTAATGCCTGCAGCGCCATGACTTACGTTGACCCATACATTGGATTTGACAAGACAACACGTGTGCTGGACCTATCATCGTACAGCTTTGACATGGTTTGGTACGAATTCCTTCACACGTTCTACGCGGGTGGCTGTCTTTGCGTTCCATCCGATGACCAACGCCGCAATAATATCGTCGGCGCTATTCATGACTTGCGCGTCAACTATCTTGACATTACGCCTTCTTTGGCCCGAACGCTTGATCCAAAGTCTCTTCCCATGATCAAAAAGATTGTTCTTGGTGGTGAAGCTGTTCAAATGGACGATGTTACTCGATGGGGACCTGATGTGGAGATCCGCAACTCATATGGTCCATCCGAATGCACGGTATCCAGTACCGTTGCCTGTTATAGAAAGGAGTTCACGACCAGTGTCAATATTGGCCCGCCACGAGGATTGAATGCTTGGGTCGTTAGCTGCCTTCAACCAGACAGACTGGTACCTATCGGGGCAGTTGGCGAGTTGGTCCTCGAGGGTCCACTGGTTGGACGAGGATATATTAACAATCCGGACAAAACGGCTGCTGCGTTCATTTCAGCTCCTGTGTGGCTTGGACATGGAGAAAAGGAAGGTCTTGTTTCTCGCGCACATAGTCGATTCTATCGGACGGGTGATTTAGTGAGGTCCGACAACGAGGGTAGACTGACCTATGTTGGCCGCATCGACACGCAAGTGAAACTTCGTGGACAGCGCGTGGAACTCGAAGAAGTCGAGTACCACGTTCGCAATCTTCTCCCTGCTCTCTCATACACGGTTGCAGCTGAAGTTGTGGAGATACCAAGCTTGCAAGACTCAGCTCGAAAGTCCCAGCGATTGGTCGCCTTCCTCTCGCCCACTGAGCCATCCGACAGCCACAAGAATCTTTCTTTGGAAGAGCCGGTCCCTCTGTCTGCAGCGACGGCCAACGACCTGACTCGGAAGTTGATGCAGATTCTGCCTGTCTACATGATACCCGCCGCTTTCAGAGTGCTTCAGCAACTTCCTCTGTCATCAGCAGGCAAGATTGACCGCAAGAAGCTGCGTGAAATCGGGACACGCATCCACTTCGATACCATCAACCAGAAGAGACCAGTGGAAGAGCCCAAGACAGAACATGAAAAGAGTCTCAGGAAACTCTGGTCAGATGTGCTCAGTATATCAACTAAAGTTATCGGCCGACAGGATAGCTTCCTCGAACTTGGAGGGGATTCTATCACTGCTATCCGACTTGTTGGGGCTGCTCGGGCGAGTGGTCTGCCTCTTTCAGTCTCCCTCATATTTAAATACCCAGTTCTCGAACAAATGGCAGACAAAATAGCTCTTTCGGCTGCGAAAGGCCTTTCCACTTCCAATGGGCATGTCAATGCCACTGGTTCGGCAATGAGACCGCTCCCTGAAGTCGGCGATGTTGCGAGGAATTTGGGAGTCTCGGAAGATATGATAGCAGAGATTCTCCCCGTCACAGAGTTCCAGCGCTATGCCGTTCACTGTACTTTCCAGAAACCACGCACAGAGTGGAATTACTTTGCCATGTCTTTCAACGATGAATCTGCTGCTGGAAAACTGGGTGATGTTTGCAAAGAGCTTGTTTCGTCACTGGAGATCCTCAGGGCCGTTTTCTTGCCTCATGGCGACGATGGAGAGTTCATCCAGGTCATCTTGCGCAGTTTGGAACCCAACGTTGCCATACAGCGCGTTCTGGACATATCAATGGACCAGGCATGCGAAGAAGTGTGCATCGATGACCTTAGGAAGGCCATTTCTCCCGGCTCGCCCTTCGTGACCTTCTTTATCCTACTGTCAAAGAACCGTGAGGAGACTCGACTGGTGATGGGAATTTCTCACGCTCTCTACGATGCAATCAGTCTTCCTCGAATGGCAGAGTGTCTCAGCGCATTATACCATGATCAATCGTTGCCGCCTGTGTCTGACTTTTCACCATTCGTTCGAATCCCAGCATCTCCCTCTATGTTCAATCATTGGCGTGAATTGCTCCAGGGCGCTCCGATCCCCCTTTCGGTTATCGGTGATCATGAGACAGTGTTGAAGCCAGGAAAGCGCACTGTGCTGCGCAAGATTGTTCACTTCTCACATTCTTCAAAAGAGTTAACGGTCGCAACCATCTTTACAGCAGCGTGGGGCATCGCCCTCGCTCAAACAACTGGCAAAGACGACATTGTCTTCGGCCGCGGTGTCTCGGGACGCACGCTGGCATCGTCCGATATAGACGTCGAGAATGTCATTGGCCCCTGTTTGAATATCACCCCCGTGAGGATGACACTTCCTTCAACCACGGGTTCAAGGGTGCATGATATCATCGAATCACTTCAGTCCCAACTCAACAACTCCATTGATTATGAAACGGTGGGGTTGTCGGAAATCGCAAAACGATGCACCGACTGGCCATCACATGTCAGATCATTTGGCTCTGTCATTTACTTCCAAAACATCAAGGAGTCATCCCACACCGAAAGCAACGACATTCCTCTGATACCAATTGCGCTGGATCGTGCGGAGCCCCCAGAGCCTGCGCGGCTGAATGTTTTGCCTCTCGGAGATGGGCAGTATACATTAGAACTGTTGGTGCCAGAGGCAGAAGCGACAGAAAGGGAGATTTGGTCTGGTTTGCTAGAGCGGATGGCGCAGTGGTTGGACAAAGCTCGACAGGAGTTGGATAGTACAAAGTAGATTGAAGGGTTACTGTCAGCTATGATGTGGAGTCGAATAATACAGATCTCAAGATTTTTCGAATCGATTATTACTCTGCTCGATTAAGATATGTTCAATGATAGTTTGATGCTCGAGTCCCAATCAAGATCCCCGAACCGCTTCTTTGGGTCCGAAGTACTTACAATTTCTTGGATCCTAGATCCATGGACAACCGCCATCAACTAGACCTAGATTGGAACAATCATTTATAGAAAGGCTCATTCTTACGCCTTACCCTCCAGCTTTTTCTTTCTCCTCCCTCTCTAGGATTCCCGCTCAGTCTCTTATAGCGTCTGTCCCAAAACCATACCGCGATCATGGATTCCGAGCTCAAGAAGACCCTCCAACCTAAGGTTATTCAACATTCAGCAGTCCAGCAGATGCCAGTTCACCACACGGAAGTTCACCACTCGGGAGTTCAACATGACGCAGTTCCACATGACGCAATTACACACGCGGGAGTTCATCACGCGGTAGACCAACATGCGGCAGAAGGCTACAAAAGCAACCAGCAACTAAAATGCACCCGCTCTCAAAGAGACATGAAGCAAGCCACTGGTCCTCGCATCCAATACCGATCCGTGACTTGGCGCAACATGTCCGACAAAGTCACTTTCCTAGAGCGAAAGTGCGAGTCACTCCAAGATAGGGTCGCTGCCTTGGAACTGAATGCTCAACACAGCCGCGACGTTCCCCTTCCCAGCTATGAAACGGAAGACACTATCTCGGAATTTGAGAGTTGCTTCGAATTCATTAATCCCGAGAACGAAAACGACAACGACAAAGATCAGTCTGGCCGACATCATGCAAACAGCTGCTCTGGGAAAGATAGGTCTGCGTCATCGCACAAGGAGCAGGGGCTGCCGGACAGCTTTAAGAAAAGGCTTTGCAAAAACGATACCATAGTCATCGAGATTAAGGCCAGGATTGCCAAACTCCTGGGTGATATCGATGACGTCGTACGTGAAATGAAAGAGACTCACGAGGATATCAACTCCAAGTTACTGCAAGATACGGATCTGGCAGTGCGTAGTCAACAAGGACTTAGTGGACAGCCAAGCGCTCCCGGTGTTGCTAGGGCCGGGGCCTATGGAAAATTTGAGGGGCCTGCTGGAGTTGTAGATAATCACTGAGGATGGGTTTCCCAAGACGCTCCTCTTCCACTATTAAGTTGCTCTTCACCCTTGGTGGATTTTAGACAAGAACTTGTCAACTCGAGGAACTATGGCTTAATCTTCTAATAGCGATAACTAGCTAATTTAAACCAGTTTAGCCATTGTTTCAATGAATTGAAATTGATAGAGATAGAGATTCCATCCTGAGGCAAACCCCATTGGGATTACACTGATGGAAAGTTCCAGGCCCAGCGCCAGGATTCATTGCTTCGGCCTATTTAGGCCTTGCCTCTCTTCCATTTTTTTCCCTTCCTATTCCTTAGACAGTTCCTTCCAGAATGGTCTATTTAAGATTGTTCCTCGCTTTTCAGACTTGCTTGCGTAACAAAAATTTGCGCTGTCAGCTATAAAAATCTATGCTGATTAAGGATGAGAAGATTGATTGATTTTATTCAAATAATCTTTACACGTGGTATAAAGGTCTTCGCTCGCTCATGATGACGCTCAGATATATTTATTCTACCTCGGACGTCCAGTCTGGGGAAAGTACATCGCATAGATCCGTGGACGAACATCCTCAACCTTTCATTCCGTACTCGTCAAGCTCACCGTCATACTTTCCAGTCATTTTTTACTTCAACTCTTCACTTCACTCTACGCTCAGCGCCCAAACACCCCAAATCGAAAACCATACACATGATTCACCTACCCACTCCCCTACTCGGTGATCAACATTCAAATTCATATCCCAGCAAAGACCCCCGAGTTCCTACTCCATCGACGACTTCAAACTCCATTTCCAAAATGACAGAAATCGACTTCCCAGACGCAGATACAGACTCCTGCAACGAGCAATGGGCCTCCATCTGCACAAGCTACGAAAAGTCCCTATCCACCCTGGCCGCCAAAAAGCGAGACCTGGAACTCCGCAACGACGAAATGGTCAGAATCAACGCCAGTCTAAACGCAAACTATAGAGTGCTCAAGGCGACGATTTCTGAAATATCAGCTGAAAAGAAAGAGCTGGTAACCCGAAACAACATGTTGCAGAAACGTCTTGATTATCTGAGGGAAATCTCTGGATATGGAGATCTTTTTCGGAGGCAGAAGCAGAGTCTCGATGAAAGTATCTGTGCGGAGTCTTGGGAGAGGAATAGGATTTTTGGGGCGAGGGTTCCTGTTCTGAAGGGAGATGGTCACGACACTCCCGCTATAACTGTCAATGCTCAGGCTGAGAAGCGCGACTGCGATGACCGAAAGCATGACACGAGCAGCCTCGAACTCATCTGTGACTGTGGGAAAATTTCCAAGGTATCCGACGATAACCTGACCAGCATCAAAGTCAAGCCTAGCCCCAGTACCCCCAAGTCATGCCAGTGCGAATGCCAGAAGGGAAGGGCAAGGCACAAAAGGGCCAAAAACAAGACCAACACACCAGCGGGAGCGGAAGACCATAATACATCCCCCGATCCGTCGACACCAACGAGCCTGGGAATCACAAGCAGAAGCTCAGACTTACCGCAAGAGTTACCGCCTGGGATAGAATTCTTGATGGGCCTCATTCTCCTTGGTCTGATCTTGCTAATCCTTGTTTGATATTTGGTCCCGAGAAGACTTTTGGTGCGTTGATTGTTTGATACTCGGTTGCTAGCTTCGTTTTCATGTTCGTAGGGAAATGGTTTCTTGAGGGTTATGGTATGCTTTCTGGTCTGTGAGTGAAGATTGGATATTATTGGAAGAGAAGGAAAAATGCAGTATGATATTTTGTCCTCTGTATGAGGATATGCAGAAACAATGCAAGTTTTTGATAAAAAAATAAACTTCTAGCCAGCCGATCAATCAATCCAAATGATCAATCCAAATGATCAATCCAAAACTAGCAGAGCAAAAAAAGGGAAATCGTCTATTATCTAGTTTCGTAAAAAGAAAATGCAAGCGTCCAGCCATTAACCCGACTATAACCGCACATTTTATGCGCTTTAGTTCGAGGCAATCGCCAACTCCAAAGCCTGGAGCACATCAGCAGTCAGATCCTCGACATCTTCGACACCACAGCTGACGCGGACAAGGTCATCAAAGACACCGGCAGCCTCACGCTGGTCCTTGGGGATACCAGCGTGAGTCATGCTAGAGGGGACCTCGCAGAGGGACTCAACACCACCCAAAGACTCAGCCAGTGTGAAGACCTTGGTATACTTGCAGAAGTTGTGGGCAGCAGTCTGGCCACCCTTAATACGGAAGCTCAGCATACCACCACCCATACCATTGCGGTGCTGCTTGAGGGCAATCTTGCGGTGCGGGTGGGAGTCGATACCGGGGTAGTTAACGGAGATGACGTGAGGAGAAGCCTCAAGGGCGAGAGCCACAGCGGTAGCATTGGTGGTCGCCTCGCGGGCGCGCAGGTGCAGGGTCTTCAGACCACGGTGGGCGAGCCAGCAGTCGAAGGGCGAAGGGACGGCGCCGATGGCATTCTGGAGGAAAGAGAGACGCTCCTTGAGGGCTTCGGAGTTGAAAGCGGCGACACCCATGCAGACGTCGGAGTGGCCGTTGATATACTTAGTGACGGAGTGGACGACGATGTCGGCGCCGTGGTCGAGCGGGTTCTGCACGTAGGGGGACATGAAGGTGTTGTCGACGACGACGAGGATGCCGTGGCGGCGGGCGATGTCGACGACGGCCGCGATGTCGACCAGGCCGAGGGTGGGGTTGGAGGGGGTCTCGATCCAGATGAGCTTGGTCTCGTTGGGGCGGATCAGGTCCTCGATGTGCAGCTCGATGGTCGGGGTGAAGGTGACGTGCACGCCATGGGCGGCTGCGACCTTGGTGAAGTAGCGGTGGGTGCCGCCGTAGACGTCGGAGACGGAGACGACGTGCGAGCCGGCGGCGAGGGATTGGAGGATGTTGGCGGTGGCTGCGGAGCCGGAGGAGAAGGCGAGGGCATACTTGGCGTGCTCAAGGGCAGCGACGGCTTGCTCGAAGTTGTCACTGGAAGAGAGTGTTAGATTGGGACGTGTGTCAGTGGTTGATGGGGAGCAAGGGGGAGACGAACCGGTTGGGGTTGGCGCTACGAGTGTACTCGTACAGGCCGACGGGGTTGCCAACGCTGGTCTGGGCGAAGGTGGTAGAAAGGGAGATCTAGTCGGGGGATTCAGTCAATGCCAATTCCACTTCCTAATTGAATTTCTTTGCTTGTCCGCGGACATACCGACTCAATGACAGCGCCGGTGGCGGGGTCGTGAGGAGCACCGGCGTGAACCGCAAGGGTGCCAAACCGGTGAGTAGAGTGACCGTTCTCAGTAGAGCCCATTGTGATGTATAATGAAATGCAATGCAAGATGTAGAACAGCAAGACAAGCTTGAACCCTTGGTTATATAGTTCCTCGAAAGAAAGAAGCTTTATGAGGTGATTGCGCAACGATAAGATGAGATCACCGGGTTTGGGAAGAGGCGAACAGATGCGGCGATTTGATTAGAAAGCAGCAAAGAAGAAGAATTCTGAAGCTGACTGGAAGAAAGAAGAATTGCTTTGTTATTATGATTATCCTCCTGACCAACGGAAAATTCTCAATTTTTTCCTGTTTTACTTCTTCCAAGTGAAAAAAAAAAATTCAAAATTTCAGGCCCCGTGAACTATGGAACGGCCATCTGGGATTTCTTTTACGTTGCCTGCAGCTGGGTTGGAGCTTACGGCGATCGATCGTCAAGACGTGAGTGGCTCAGAGACGCTGGCGGCTCCACTATTGCCGGACGTAGCCGCATTAATCGAGTCGGAGAAAACTCTGAACATGCCGACTGATCGGAGTGATCGGAGTGAAAGACGTGATTGTCATTGAATTGTGGATTATCAAGCACGGGTGGAAGAGGGGTAATATGGAGGGGGGATAGTATGTCTAGATAAAGCAGTCGGACACCGTCGGAAGGGGAGATTTACGAGATGACTGTGTTACTAGTGGATGCAAGTTAACTAGCGGTGTGTTGCACAAAGAAATGATGTCTACTGGTTACTCCGGACAAGAAGACGAGAATCGTACTTTACTCTCGCCGAGATCAGCACTGCATGCCCCGAACAGAAGTACATTAAAGCAGTGTTGAGAAGGTACTTTGTTTACTTACAACTAGGACTCCTACATACATCCTAGCATAGTCTGGAACTGACACACTGCGTGAACAATATCTAATGAAATAATATTTTTGCGCCCAGTCTGCTAAGTACCAGGTCTGCATGGGTATCTGATCTGACGAAGGAAATTTACACTGCTCCACCAAAGCGCCATCCAAGATTCTAACCTAAGACGAATCATCTAATCTGATTTCGTCCAAAGAAACACTTTACCACCAAGTGATAGGTCCCAGACCGTGGATCTGCATCGAGCCCTGGATAGCAAACAAGTCAGCTGGAGTCATTCAGGCGCTTTGGCTACAGCCTCGAGGAAAAAGAACGACGTACGAAGATGGAATATGCAGGCTTCCGGTCAGTAGGAAGCTCTTCGCCGAGATCTGGCGCATTGGGGATCTGATCATGCCACTCTTCCGTCTCCACGCGGAAGCGGACAATCTCGCCCACGTCCAGATAGAACATGGTGCCGTCGTTATCCCAGGTCCATACTTGGTCCGCGTGATCACTACCACCATCTTAGTTAGTAAAGAAACGGTGATATAATGGAGGGACAAGACGGGCTGTGACAGTGAAACTCACAATGTAGCGCCGTCCATCAGCATCGACGGTGGGATGAGGATATCGTTGAAAAACTCGACGCTGACTGAATGAGGGTCAATATACGGAAGAGTTGACGGAACTCTCTACCAGATACATACTCTTGATACCCTTGTCGGTACTGCTGGAGATCTTGCCCAGCATGATCTCGCCCTTGAAGGGCCGGAAGACGATCATGCGAAATTTCACTGGTTCATGATTAGCCATGTTTAGAGAGGTGTAGATAGTAGTTTTGGCTTACCGTTTACATTGACCAGCCCAGTTCCATGACCGATCAGGCCATCTGAGGACTCGAGGAGGTCATAGAAGCTGACACAGAGGCCGATTTTTTGGATCACCTAGGACAGTGTCAGCGATCTTGGCATGCCCAAGGCTCGTGGGTCATCTATGAGCCCCTGGCGAAAGACATACCTTGTTGGCATATTTCTCATTGATATTATCCTCAATTGCAACTGCACTGAGCTTGGAAAAGTCCTCGGGTGCGATCTGAATCAGATCGGAGATCGTAGTCTGCGGGAGTCAGTAAAAAAAAAGATATCGCGTCTGAGCACCACCAACGTACCAGGATGAACATGATGGCCAGCCAGTAGTTCAGTATATCAACTCCCAAGACTATACAGCACAAGACAAAATCTCCGAATTTGTATCCCTGCTCGGGGCCAGACGGTCATCAATCTTCATGAAATCAAAAACCTGCCACTCAAGAATGATCCGGATGGGGTGCACGTGATCTGCGGAGCTGTCAGAAAGTCGAGCTCCGCCGAAACTTTCGCGCCGCAGCTTTGCTCCACGATGGTGTAAAAGGTCTCCCTAGCGCTGGGACCTCACAGAGGCACGGCCATCATGAGTTCACAGGGGTTCTCGTTCCCTCCTCCACCTCCCCCGCCACCGTCCACTACACAACAACCGTCCGCCTACCCTTCTGCGCACTCTAGTCAACACTGGAATGCCCGAGGATCTGGCGGACGAGGTCGTGGTCGCGGCCAAGGGAATCGAGGTCGAGGAGGAGGAGGAGGAGGTCATTACTCCTCGGACAATAACCGACCGCAATATTCAAATCCACCAGGTTATAACTACGCAGCAGGGAACTATGGATACCCAGCTCAACCACAACCCGTATCGACAACGTCGTACATGCCTCCGACTCCGACACCTCCCCCGCCATATCCTCACTCGCAGGCGAATTTCCAGCACCCTCAAACACCACCCTCCTATCAACCTTCTCAGTCCTACCCACAGCTCGCAGGCTCGGCTGCTTATCCAAGGGTCCCTGGGTACAACAATGGGCCCACTGCCAACATGACGCACTTGGCACCTTACCCTACACAATCTACGCCAACATACCCTCCCAATGTGCCTCCACCACAGCATGGTGCGCCGTCAAACAATCCGATGATGATGGGGGCACCATGGGGTGGTCCACCAGCACCACACGGGCGAGGAGGCTGGTCGTCTCATGCTCACGGCAACCATGCATCCAAACCACGACACCATAATAGCAACAAGCGTGATCATACATCTGCCTTCAACAAGCCGCAATCAACAGTACCGCGAACACCAGCACCACCAGCTGTCCCCAGCTTCGGCAACCCTCTCCCCTCGAAACCCCCACCGGCAGCAGATGTCACGAGAAAACCGGCGAAGAAACGCAAGAGAAAACACAACCAACTGGGACTGACGCCGAAGACTGATGACCACGAGTCAAGCGAGGAGGAAGAGGATGTGGACGAGGAGATCAAGCTTGCGCAAACAAGCTCTGATGCCGCTGCACCACTTCAGTTCTCCTACCGAGGACAAACGGCAACGTTGCAGTCGCAGTCCGACATTGCAGCCTGGATTGCGGAGCGCAAGAAGAAGTTCCCCACACAAGCTCGCATCGACGAGAAGAAAAAGGCTGCCGAGGAAGCCAAGACTGCCCGTGACGCGGCCCGACTTGAGAAACAAAAAGAGCGCGGGAAGGAAAAGGAAAAGCACAAGTCCAAGCAGCAGGCTTCTCCACCAAGACCTGCCGGGGATGCTTCTGCAAAGTCAGACCCGGCACTTGATGCCGCGCTGAAGGCGCAACGCAAGGCCGAGAAGATCAGGCGCAATCTCGCCAAAGCTGAGGCAGAGGCTGAAGCTGCAAGGCTGAAGGTGGAGGCGCTGCAGAGGCAAGCTCAAGGTTTGAAGGATAAAGAGTCCGCTCAAGAGCGGAACGAAGTGCCTACTACTGAGCTGCCAGCTGTACCATCTGCGGGCGCTGGAACAGGGGGCGCCGAAACTACAGATTTGGAATTCCCCAAAGCACCTGAATCATCATCAGGTGAGACTTCAACATCTGTTCCAGTTCCCGTCTCAGCTTCAGATCCCACGGCAGCAATCAACGTCGCAACCAATGTCGTCGATCCCAATTCGGATTTAGACCCCGATGGCTCAGACATGAGCGACTGGACTTCATCGAGTGGTTCAGGCTCCGACTCAGACTTAGACTCGGGTTCCAATGCGGATTCGGATTCCGATCGTGATGATGGCAATGACTCTGCGCCAGAGGAAGTAAGCTCACGGCGACAGGGTCCCGAGCGCGTGCCGGCGCCACTCCGCGAAGGCAAAAAAGCCCCATGTCGACACTTTGCGCGCACTGGGCGATGCAACCGGGGCGACCGGTGCAAGTTCTCGCATGAAGTCAGCGAGAAGGGACCCAAAACGAAACCAGCAGAGAAGGAGAAGAAGGGACGAAAGGGATTACTTCAAGCTGTAAGTTTTTTGTCTATTTTCCATGTTTACTTGATTTGAAGGTGTGGTGGTGTGATGATCCTTCATTACACCCCCTGTCTATTCTATATCAAGCATTTGAGGACCCAAAGTATAGATGACGGGGCTAATTACTTTTGGAACCATAGCTGCTGGACCGGCAAAAAGATGACGAAGACCGTCGGGCAATGGAAGTCATTTCCTGGCTCGGGCAGAATGGCCATTTAGCCGAGCCGGCAACAAGTCTGGAGGCCAGTGCAAGTGCCACTACTGTTGTCAATGCCAATGCCGATGCCAATATCGATGATAATGTTAATGCCGGCGTGAATGTTGGAGTGGACGTTGAAGCGAGTGTGCTTGCGAACACTGCCCCGCAATCGGATATCCCTGCCTAGTGGTTTTGGACCAGCGAATGAATAATACATATGAATGAACATCGGGGGGGAGTTTTGGTTTCTACTGGACTTGGCTTCTTTTTTGGCTTGTGATTGGTGTTCTAGAAGATGAGGGAGTAATCTCCGTGGTGGCATTGAGCTATCAGGTTAAAAAGTACGGCGCATTACGTCCAGGCAGTATTCTGGACACCGTATCTACACCTGTCATCTTTACCTCCTAAACAAAACACCCCAAGAATGCCCAGAATCATGAATGCCCTTGGCCTTCACTTGGCTGGGAAAGGGGTAGACTCTCACTGTGTTGTGATTAAAAAAAGTTTGACTTGGCCACGCGCATCCTCATTTCAGCCCGTCCATCCCGGATTTAATCAAGAAGTATAAGATTCAGCACGCGCCCACAGGTCATTTAACACTTCTACAGTGCAGTAAGATGACGAAATCATCATCTCCCTCCGACACCTACGTGGACAAAACTAAGGTGAAACTAGCCCCGAGGACCGAGAACCTGAAAAAAATCCTCCAAGCAGAGCCGCAAGCTTATCCTCAACTTTGGTTTCTTCAGCCTTAGAACCAATGTTTTAATCTTCCCATGATCACGATAATAAAAGCTGACCTCTCATCCATAAATATCAATAAAGGTTTTTTTTGGTTTTTCCAACCTCCAAAATCAAATGCAGTCACCCAGGCCGAGGGGCGAGCAAGCCATAAAAACATAATACAAAAATAACCCTGCTGTTACGCTGGAATAGGAATGGTTCAACCGCTGCGCCTCTCCACACGATTATCCCGAAGTTCCTCCCTGAGCGCCCACCTACGAGGCTACAGGCTAACAGGCTAGCCGAGGGCGAGTACCCTGCCCACAAGCAGACTGCATGACTAGGTACTCCGTACAGATGTTAGTTATGTTAGTGATGTGTAGGTGACATTCGAAGCGAGGCATGCTAAGTGGACAGGGGGGTGAGGAAGGGATTCTGCACCTGTCAGGGAGAAAGCACGAGGGAATCGCCACGAGTTACTCACTTCCAGTCTCTACAATACAGTACTGTTCAATATCAGGCCGTGATTCAACTTCCAGTGCCCAATAATGAATTCCTACTTTTCCCTACCCTTTCCCTTTCCTCTGCCCTTTTTGCCCTCTTTCTCTATCCAATTTCCGGGGGTCCAGCCCCCATTGGCCCCAGTAACCCAGGCCAAACCCAATTCCCAAATCCCAAGTCCACGATGGCGCTCTTCTCTGCCCCCACCCCATCACGCCTCATCTGGACCAATCATCACCGTCCTGGAATGATTGCGCCGCCACGCGATTTGACTATTTGATTTTAATCATTTTCCAAGGCCCCATATTTGACTGAACAAGTCTTAGCGACGAACTTAGGACGGGATTTTAGCGTAGCCGGTGCTTTCCTAGTTTGGGCGTCGTGGCCCATGGAGCACAGGCCAGATACAGTGTTCTTACAGTATTTTACGGGTAAAAATGAACTTTCTCTAAGCCATTCGAATTCTCGGGCGGGTATTTCTTGTACAGGTCAACTCCGGACATGGTTAGTTCATTATGATCCATGATCTAGCTTGATAGGCCGATGGCTGAAAATAGTTAGCCAGTCCCTTAGGGCCTTGGGGCTCGTCTCCAGCCAAAATATATGGTTGACTGTTTTTCCCCTCGCCTTCGCTCGCGCCTCTTTTGCTTTCTCGGCTTTCATATCCGCTCTCTCTCGCTCTCTTTCACTTTTTACTCTCAGCCTCTCTCTCGCCCTGATCACTTTCGACCGCATTCACTCCTTTTGATCGGCAACTTTGAGTAACATAGCCTCGTGCTTTATTTACTTCTTTCAAACTCTTATATTGTCTTAATTGCCTTCCCCTTTTCTTCTACCATTAATTCATATACCTTTTGAACAAACTTGTTTAAACACATCGCCAACATGCGCACTACCTTCGTCACTCTCGCTGCTGCGCTCTTCGCCGCCGTTGTCTCGGCTAACAGCAAGGCTAATGCCTTCAGCAACCCCGCTGGTGGTTACAGCTTCACTGTCGGCAAGGCTACTACCTTGACCTGGAACGCTGATAGCGGTAGCACTGTTACTCTGCGCCTGCAGTCTGGCGAGGTTTCTACTGCTAACACCGGCACTGTCATTGCTTGTGAGTATCCAATTGCATAGACATCATATCACAGTATATCCCATGTGCATCCGCGCTGGTAGTTGCATCAACGTACAGAATAGCTTCTATGCGAACATGCGCCTACCCACCGGATGTACCCGGATTAATCCCAATCACAATCATAACCCAATTTCACCCTAACCACCCTATCACAATCTCCATTCCCACAACCAAATCCCTCCAAAAGACTACTTATGACATAACTAACATTCTCCCAGCCGGCATCGCCAACGACGGCAGCTTCACCTGGTCCGTTCCCTCCAACCTCCCCTACGAGCCGGACTACACCATCGAAATCATCGACGACCAAGATACCTCCAACTACAACTTCTCTCCCCGTTTCACCGTTACCGGCGCCGCCGCCGTGGCCACTTCTACTTCTGCTTCCAGCACCAGCACCAGCACCAGCACTTCTTCTACCTCGACCACCACTGTCTCGACTACTTCCACCACCACCAAGACTTCTACTTCCACCCACTCCACCCCGACTACTATGACCACTGCCAGCTCTACCAGCGCTAGCTCTAGCTCTGCCGTCTCGACTACTTCCCAGTCCACCTCGACTAGCGCTTCTAGCACCTCTGCTTCCAGCACCTCTGCTGCGGCTGTGCCTACTACTAACGCTGGTGTTGTGAACCGCGTTTCTGGGGGTCTGTTGGCTGCTGTTGCTGGTGTGGCTATGTTGTTGTAAATTTTGGACTTTGCATTTTGAGCTGAATTTGCATTGAGGGTGAAGGGTGGGGTGAGGGGTTGATAGAGGGACTGTTGGGAGAGCCTGACTTGTACTTGTAGTACTTGTTATTTCCTTGTCGAGTTGTTCATATTTGTCTAATTGGCATTGTGTATATGGGGTTGATTCTGATTGATTGTGAGTCGGGTTCAAGAGTTGGACGGCTTCGATGTGTTTGGATGTATTTTGTTATGATTTGGAATTCATTTTTACCTTTTATACCCATAAGCCAAATACTAGGATAGTATCCATCTTTTCATATCTGTGACTCGTCATCTTCAGATCTAGATCATCTGAGACATAAGGATGGTGTTTCTTGGCATAGACCTTTGCTTTGAGACGCGATACTGTAGGAAACTCTTGGTACCAGGGGGCACACGTTATCTTCTAGCAGTCAGGAGGTACTTCGATTATGCGTCGTTAGATATTCCCTGCGATATGCTATCTTCCGATGACCGAATATCATTTTGCTGTGTGAGCATATGACAGTGGTAGTCAACTGACGAACTCGGCACTTCATTTACAACGGTCTCCCCTCCGTGATCGACGGTGGGTCCCCGGGGAATCAGTCATTCCTTCATAATCGTCGCAATTTCCGTGTTATTACCTAGCAATCTCCATACTCAAAATTTGAAATTACCAAGTCGTTCTATAAATTATTAATCTTGAAATACAGCATCATCTTCTCAGATCATCTTTATGATGCTCTAGAGCCAAACCCGGTGACTACTGTAGGATAGCTAACAGCGCTTCCAAACAAGGTACCACACCGCATGAAGGAGGAGGACGGAGAATAGTGTCCACTGATGTCACCGAGTGATAGCCTAGCCTACTGAACAGAATTCTAATTTATAGCTATGTACGAGCTTTAGCGGTCAGAGGCTCAGAGCGAAGGTAATGATGATCAACATCTGTGGAGAAAACAGTTCGGCTCATCCGTGCGGAGGTGTTCTTGGCTTACCCCAGTGAGACTGAACATTATGCTATAAACATGTCAACGTTTGAGCCCATGATGGCTGTGTGCCTACTATGGCCCTATTATCATCAGGCAAATTTCTTAGTCAACATGGTGGTCCCATTGACTTGCGTGGGGTATCATATGAACATGTTCATAGTCAGGTCGTCCTTGCTAGGGAAAGGTTAAGCCAAATACACACAAGACTTGATACATGTTCGGCATAATGAGAGTAGTCGTGCGAAAGAAGCGGAGAGTTATTTCATATGTAAATCAATGTGATCCTATACAGTGAAGTGCTTCTAATTGACCTCTCGAAGACGGAGAAACGGCATCTTGGTGGATCCATGCACTGTTTTCAAGGAACCTTGTTACTGAGGGATATCGTTTCAGGTCTCGGGACATATCGGTTTTATATGGCAAAGCAGCTGTTCGAGAAATTGAGAGAATATGAAAAAAAACCATGTTGACAGAGCCGGATGGCGGACTTGCTAATACAGGATGCCTGCCGCCTCTTGTACAATTACTACATTCACTTGGTAGAGATCAATCACTTAAGGGGTCAGCCGAGGCCACTTGCTAAAGAGCAATATCTTCTGCTCAAGATACTGAATCTCCAATTTCAACCACAGCGTCCGCTTAATCACTTTCTTCCATGCAGGACTCCTTGAGGCTTAAATGGAGGTGTGACAGGCTTATAGTCAAGCTTTTTGTGGGGCCTAAATTCCGGGGGCCAAGCAAACACGATGGATTCTTCCGTGATCTCCTAGGCAAGGCGACGACGCTATACTACAACAAGTCGAAATTGCGCCACCAGCAAATTCGGTCCTGCGAGTCAGGCGAGGGGCTGAGCGAACAACTTTCAACAGAGGCAAGAGGATCACATCCTCGATTACCTGACCACTTTGTATCCGGCCAGAGATTTCCTCTCTTCGAGAGCTTCTAACTTTGACTACTATTTTTGAAGGCATGGAGACTTGTGATATTGTGATATCACTCGAAAATTCACAGTTTCACTGTGAACTGTCAGGGGATCGCACGGTCCCTGCCTAAGCTCTATATTCCAACTGACTAGGACCTCAGGGTTACATTCCTATTACCATGTGGACTTAAGCAACAATAGTCACTCCACTAATATCGGCGGCGTGTCAGGGCCTGCGTTTGACTAGGCCCGAGTTCAGCCATCAGTCACTCACCACTTACCCGGGCTACCTCAGTCCCCAAGTGTTTGTTTGTACTCTCTCTTTCAGTAAAGATCTAGCAGCCCACTCGGTTTTTCTTTCCTGAATTGTTCTATCCTGACTTACAATAATCTACAACCACTTTAGTTTTTTTTGCTGCAACAAAGCACGATGAGACGATTTCGACTAGCCCTTGCTTCTTGCCTAATTGGCCCCCTAATCGTCTCAGCAAAAGCTGACCCAAAGTACAATGCTTCTCTTCCGTTTCGACCAAGTAATGTGACAGGACTAAGTGATATCTACCTCTGGGTTGGATCGTAGGTTAGAGGCCCAAATTCCATGCTCAGGCGTTACTGATCCCAACTCAGTTATTACAATGCCACCACGAAGAGAAGCTTCACTCCCGAGATCGGATCGACAGTCAACGCGTCAGTATGCAAAGATCTGCAAGGCAAGACGTTCACCACAGAGTTCCAATCCTTCCTCTCTATCACCGAGAGACGTCCTTACAATCTTGGCTCAAACCCAGTCAACACACTTTTGACTCTCTGGAACTCGGGCACAAATCTGTCACTCCCAAGCTCGATAGACTCGCTTCCTTGGTCATCATTCTCGCTGCGATGGTTTCTCGAGTCTGCCCCGTAAGCAATGGCATTCCCCGTGACATACATAAGAGATCTTTTTGGCCCGATTCTCTAGTAGCTGGGTAATTCATGCCAAGAACACCACGACTGAGAGCGACGCGCCCACTAGTTCTTTTGTCAATGATGTCTTCAACTTGACCTTATCCTTGAGCGCTAAAGGGGGTCCATACAACCTGACAGGAATCATCAAGGACGCAGGTACAATGATAGAGTCTTTCGACATGGATCTGAAACCCTGCAACTCTTCGTTCGAGAGCGGCCAGAGCTACGCATTGCTCATTGACCGCGATTATGGACTCAACACTGCCGGTTGGAATTGGAAATATCCAAAGGTTGACATGCAATTTGACAGCCAGACTGCCAACCTGACCGTGGATGGGTATGCCGCTGCCTTTCCATATCGAAATTCAATTACTGGATATGGCCAAAATAACCTAGTGAACTCGGATGAGGTTCAAGGAAAGATAAAGATTTCGTTCTTTGGGGCTATCGACCCTTACCATTCGGATACGCTGGTCAACACGAGCACAATACCTACTTGGCTTAGAACGGTGGGCTTTGGGAATAATTCCATGAACATCGGCCACAATAGCGGGGCTCCTGGCCGGTCTCGTCTATCTAATTGGAGTACTGCAACAGTCTTTGCTATTATTTCCTCGGCTTGGATTTACCTATGACACCCTAAAGAAGAGCTTAATATCATTTCCTTGGTTGATATCATGAATCTAAACACTTATTCACGCTGATATATGTCTACATAAAACAGTCTGCTGCGGACTAGAAGTATTTCTTGTAAGTGCAGTATCTTTAGTGGCCGGAGCGAAGGTAAAAGGTAATGATGATCAACACAGGCGGATTATGGGTAGCTTGCCCATGCCAGGGGTAAACACGAATAGACACAAGCCTCGATACCCGGTCGGTAAATTGAACAAGCAATTATATGAAAGGAGACATGATAGATATTCATTAGTCTCATTCACCGTTGTCATGTACTTCTAATCGAGCTATCAAAGATGAGAAAATGCAACTTGGCAGATCTAAGCACTATTTTGAAGGAACCTTGTTGATGGAAGCCTTCCACGCAGGCCGCTCACTCACCAACTTCCACCAAGCGAGTAAATGCGGTCTCGTCTAAACCTCATGCCACATGCCCAGCTTCTCCAAAAATGCAATCCAGGGGAGGTGGAAAATATCGACGACAGTATAATTCTAAAAAAAAAATCAGCCTTTCCATGCTGGTACTTTCAAATTAGTAAATATTTTCAAGATAGACGTACATTTCCTGCTAGGTTTGTTTGCGTTGCGAGGAGAGCCTCGTAATAATCGAAACATTGGCGAATCTGCGTCTCATAAGAGGACACCAACTCTTCATCTTTCTCTCCGTGTCCCATCATCCTAATTCAATAGTATACGAGAAGTCTCTTTGTGGTTGTGTAACAAACTTTATACAAATCTTTTCGTAGGCCAACCCTTTGCATGGCGCATCGAAGTACGAGTACTCCACGCTAGCCGCCTGCTCCAACAGTGCCGACCCTGACTCTGGACCAAGCAAATCAACGTCCCTGTGGTACCGGTTTGCTAAATAGCGGCAGATGGCACGAGACTCAAATAGCTTTACTATTGAATCATCTTCCAGAGCAGGAACTTTTGCGAACGGGTGCCTCTCGCTAATATATTTAGGATCCTAGGCACATGTGTAGTGGATGGATAATCTCGCAGTAGTGTAGTCTTAGATCCAGATAACGCAGACAAGCAGTAATGGGACTGTACCCATCCCAGACTCTATGAGTAGGGTGAAGTGCATTTATTTACTTTGAAAAAACCTTAATGGATTATTTTGGGTGGAGCTACCTATCTGAAGAAGTTGACCGATAGCCGATCTCTAACGGTTCATCCGAGTTTCCCTTCTATTTCAGGACACAGTCGTGACTCCATTGCCGTTCATTTGAGCTTGAATCAAATAGCCGAAGTACTCCATTTGCTCCAGTTGTATATCGGTGCCACAAGTAAGCTCATAGATTCCGTATCCACATCGCCTATTTGTCTAGGTAGACGATTAAGTTGCAAATACTTTCTAAAAAAAGAGAGAACTTTGAGAAATCTGTTCTATAGCTCTTCTTAATTAATGAAAGTTCGCTTGGTTACTGTAGTATGGAATCATTAGTGAGAGGCGTTATCACTTCTAGTTGTACTGAATGAGCATCAGGCAGCATAGAGTGGTGATGATTACTGAGCTGTCAGACAAAATGGGAAAGCGGCCAATATGCAAAATAAAACATATATGCGGAATTGATATGAGACTTATGATTTTTACAACAATCCCATCGCCTTCATTGGAGCGAGGCGATATTTTTAAGCGACGTCATACTTCACATTTCCGACGAAGCAACAATCTGCAAGGACAGAATACGAAAGTACAACCACCTAGTTTGAGGAACGAGCCAGCATCTGTTGAAGCAATCATGCAGTCATAATTCTCTGCCAACGCTCGACTCCACTTGGCAGGGGTGAGACATTTCGGATCTGATGAGATCTGATGTGATCTCTCCACTGCCGAGAAGAACCCCCCTCGATTCGGCCCGCTCCAGCCAATTCACATAGCCACGGCTCCGCCAGGAACGCCGGGGATATCCAGGGACGCGTGGGATGTGCACTTCCTTACCGCTGGATTCGCAGTGTGGATACCTCACCAGCGGATCGATCGACTCTGCCACGATGGATTGTCAATGGCATGGATAGAGCCACTGCCCCGCGAGTTGTGACCATGGCTGCCATGCGGCGTTTCACAATCCGTTCGTTATTGTCATCTCGACTGAGCTCAGCCCCAGTTGTGGCAGGATCAATCCTGTTATCCTGGCGAAAACTGCCGGAGGACAAACACACGGGATTTATGGAGCATTTTGACAAGAGTCATTCAGACCCTGAAGATGACTACTGTCACAAATACAGACCGCATCGACCTAGCCAAGACTCGAAATCCTAAGAACAAACAGCTTCAAGCATGTTCATCTTTCCCATCTTCGCAAGTTTTTACACCAGTTAATGCGAACTCACCGTCATCAAGGGTTCCATCCGCGCACATCCAAGCGAACATCATGCAAGGCTCACCGGTCTATCGTCACTACCAGATCCGCACCGCCCTCGTGTCTCTAGCATCTATAAGCAAGGGTTCAGCACCATGCAGGACACCACCGAAAAGCCTACCCCATAAGGCTCGACTTATCCAGCTTGATGACCCCGGAACCCGCTGACTGCCGAAGAAAAAAGCGACTGCCTACGTGCATGTGAGATATGCAAGCAGGGGGGCTCGATCAATGGACTAGAAGATGGAGGTAATCAGCCATCATCACTGGTGACAGGGAGTTTCTGGGCCCGTCAGGTATATTCCTGTGCGACGATGATAGTTGCAAGTTCTCGGGTTATCGTGTCGATGACAATGTCAATGCCATCGCTAGAACTCAAGTCCTCAGCCCGAGCTTGCGATGACACTGCGGTTCCGATACTAATGCACGAATGTACATGCTGATCGTCCCGCTGGCCCTGCAGAGGAATGGATGCGAATATGCATCAGACCGGGATCCGAGGACTGTCGATTTCTAATTATACCGGGTTGCCAGGAGAGGCGGTCTATATAATATCTCGTTGCTGACCGCAGTCCACAGGAAAAGTTTCCGATCAGCAAGGACATCTTTTCCACCATATAGTCAGCTCAATCCGACTCCTGGAGTGTGTCACTGTCTACTACTGCGAACTCCTCCACAATGCCATTCAGCATCTACCTCGCCGTCTCGGCAGCTGCCCTGGCCGGCCTTGCACAGCTCGCTTTTGCACAAACCAACATCACCGCCAGTGCTTGTGTCGAGGAATCCGTCTATTCAGACTGTAACCACAATGTCGCCGATACATGGCGCTCCTGCATTAACAATTGCAACGGCAATGGCGACTGTATTGTAGACTGTGGATGTACCGCGCACCAGGAGTATATCAATTGCATGGCACACTCATGTTGGAACCAGGTCTGTCTCTTCTCTGATATACACTGTCCTCGACATCGAAACCTTCGTCGTGCCAATTCTTCAATTGCAAGCTGTAACGTTCTCAACCCATATAACTAACGTACCATCTTCCTACATCCAGGTCTACTCCTGCGAATACCAACTCTTCGTCCAGCAATATTTCGCCGTATGCCCCAGCGCCACAGAACCAATCCCCTTCTGGCCAGCCCCAGATAACGCACCAAACCGCTGCTCCTGCAGTCTAGGCAAAGTCCTCACAAACACCCTCTCCGCACGCAAAGAACAAACCTCCTGCGTCGAGAACATAACCAACCAAGCCCTCAACAACATCCCCGACCTCTCGAATCTGGGTAATATCCCTGATATCGCACGCACAGCGACAAATTGTGCCTGCTGCGGCGCTAGTGCTAGCATGTCCTCGTACGTATACACATCAAACTAGAAACTTAACCCAAAAAACAGAAGAAAAGCAAGATCTAATCCGTTTTCTGATGTGTAGTGCATGGGAAATCTGCCTAAACACAATCCCAACCCTCGCCGGCGCAAACCTCTGGCCCCTCTTCTTCCCCTCAGCATACCCAAACCTCTACACCTCAATCCCGAATTTCGCCTGGTCAGGCTGCGACGACATTTTATCGAATACCGACTGCGCGAACCTAGGATTCTCGGATACAAACAACAAGTTCTATAAGCCGGGTGATTTTCCCAAAAATGGGACTTCCACGTTGCATAATGTTGCGGGAACGGTTACGGCGCCGCCGAGTGGGACGGTGATTACTTGGTCGCAGGCGAGTGCTACTTATACGGTTACGGCGACGGGGGTTGATAAGAAGGTTGTTGCTGGGGCTGGTCAGACGAGTGCGGGTGGGAGTGGAAGTGGGAGTGGGACGGGGAGTGAGGCTGCTGCGAGTGCAACGGAGAGTGCTAATGCGGGTGTTATGAGGGGCGTTGGGTCTTTGGGCAGGTTGGTTGGGGTGGTTGTTGGTGGGTTGATGGTGGTGTGAGTGAATTGATGCTTCAAATAGTGTTGGATAGTCGATGTTGGATCTTGATCAAGGTGAGATACTCATGATTTACAACTCCATGGACGATATATCAAGGGATGATGGTTAATGTGATGAGTTACGGTTATGCTATGTGATGGCGGGTAACTGAGAAACCAAAAGGTTGTCATTTGTTTATGAATGACTTGTGGACATAATGCAATGACAGACATGATCTAGGATGTTGAATTCGATCTAAGAATAAGACGAGGTCTAAGAATAAATGCTCTAGAGAGGACAACGAAGTAAAAACCGCCCAAACAACAGGCAAAAGCCCAGAAACCAAACACCATTTGCACCGAGTCTAGCATGCAGATGCATACCCAATGATCAAGGATCCGAGTACAGGATATACTCAATCCCCATCTCAACCTCCTCAAACCCAATTCGGAACAACCCTCTTCAAAAATTTCATAAACTTAAAGAAACCCACCGCATACTCCACATTCCCCGGGGGATCAACCACCCTCTCAGGGAACGCAATGCCCGCACCAAACAACCCCGGAATCTCAGGCCCATCATTCCCTTGCTCATGAAACTTGCCCGAACCATGATCAAACTCCATCTTCAAAGCTTCCCCGTCCCTCCCCAACCGCGGCAACGGATCCCTCGTGAACCCCACCGCATGAACAATATACGAGCAAGCCGGCAATTCAGCCTGATACTGCGCAGCCTCACGACCCTCGCCGCCCCCACAATCAATCTTCTCAATGACCTGGCCAGCAGGTGAAGTAGCAAGTTTGTCGTCTTCGAGCTCTCCGCGCGCAAAGTCCGCGGCTAGACCCTTGAGACCGGTGTTATCGCGCAGAATCCAGCCGTCCATATACTCTGCGTAGCGGAGGGGGTGGCGCGTGAACCACTTTACGCGTAGATGGGGGTGGGAGTCGCGGGCGAGAGTGACGAGGTTGAGGAGGGCGAGGATGGCGCTGTGGGAGGCGCCGATTACGGCGACGGTGGTGGGGGTATTGGTGGGCAGGGTCGTTGCTAGTTCGGAGGGTTTGAGGACAGTGTCTAGGTCTAGGCGGGTGATGTCGAGGCCGGGGATTGGGACGGGGATGTTGGTGGGGTGGGAGCCAGTGCAGAGGATGAGGCGGGTTGTTTCGATTGTGAGTTCGTCGGATGAATTGTGCTGTTTGATGTGGACGGTCCATTGGGAGTTAGGGGACGTCTGTTTGCCATGATGTCATTGTTAGTCTTCCTCCGTGATACACATAATTGTTGTAGAGTGATATGGGTGATGGTGGAGGAGCTTTGATTTACCCTGCTGCTCAAATTGGCGGCTGTCACAAAGCCGCGGCAGGCGTGGACTTGATCCATCTTGATCAGCCCGTCCGTGAGACCGCGAATCATGTCTGCAGCGTAGCCGAGATGACATGTCTTTTCCTGATCCAGCTTGGCCATAGTTGTGAATGCATTAGGTCGAGGGGTGCTCTCGATGACTGTCTTGAAGGGCTGCACGGCAGTGGCGTACGCCTGGAAGAGAGCGACTTTGGTGTTGCTACATGATGCTCGTTAATCGAGATCCCGGTGATCGGATCAAAGAGCCCACCAACCTGGGAACCTCGCGGTATTTGCGATGGACACGGCCAGACTCGAAACTAGGGTCAATCCAAGCGATTGTGCCTAGTTGGCGCTCCAGCAGGTTGCCCACGACAGCCACACCGGCTGGGCCCGCGCCCACCACGACAGCTGCGCAATTCCTTGTAGCCATGATTGCAAGAGGATGTGCGGAGAGTAAGTCAGAACAGACAACAAGAACGAAGGAAACCAGAAAGTGTGGTGAGAAGGGTGTAAAATATGTAGAAAATCGCAGAGTTAGAGAGAAGTGGAAATGCAAGTCAAAATGGATTCATTCGGGTATCTAAATAAGAAAAACCGGCCCAGTCATCCACAGACCGCAAGTTATCGCACCAAGACATGGTAACACGCGGACCGCAACAGAGAGGGGCGAACCAAGTTCTAAAAGGGGTCGGGACATCCAAGGACCCAAAAAGCCAAGAACCCGCGGCACGATAGCAGGAATGGGAGGTGGGAAATCGTCCAAAAGGAATGCGTAACACTCCGATGACCATTTCGCCAGCCCAGATAACGCAACCATCGGCCAGTCGGGACGTCGCTAGCGGGGAACAGCAGTACGCAGAGTACACGATGCGGTCAACCTTGAGAGAGGACTCGTCCCGGGGACGCCCCTCTCTTTGCCCTCTGGCAGTATCCATGACACATTAGGCAGTTGTATTGTTGTAGTCATCGTGGCCCGTCTCGGTCGAGAAGACGATCGTGACTCGATCCGACGGCTGGGTTGGACTTTTTTCTCGCCTTCAGCTGATAATCAGCTGACCATCGGCCGAGAAGCGCAGTGAGCCCCACTGAATTGCACTTTGCGTCGGCTGGTCGGCTGGTCGGCTGCGTCGGTTCTGCCAGGCGGAAAGAGCGATGGGGGGACTCTGTTGTTTCGGTGTCTTGGCCTCAAGATGGGCTTCGCTGTGTCTGTTCAAGGGGCATGTTAGTGAGTGTCAGACGAGCTATGAGCGTCGTCAATGTGCCTGTCAGGCCTGTTTGAAGGGTGGAAAAGGGAAAGAAAGTCGGTTGAGGGAGGGCGTTTGGTCTTATACTCGCCTGTCAGGTCGATCTGGAGGGCTTGGCGAAATTGCGTGATCGAGTTGAAGGCCTTGGTGCCTGAGGCTGAAGTTTGCCGGAATCAAGCCACGCCAATGGACCCTAAGGCCTGTATCCCGTTGTGTAGTCTAAAATGATCGTTGATAGATCCATTAAAGACTTTGTAGGATGTTTTCGCGCTGACAGTATGGCTTTTACCTAGCGTTACTCATATTCTATACTAACTGTCCTATACCAAGACGCGAAGTATGAAGGTATCATTAGTACTATCCTCAGTCAAAAGAAGTCTTGGAAAATATTGATTAGATTCATTGAGAGCGTATGAGATACATGTAAGCCTCATGTAGAGTGGGCCTACCTATAGCCTAACACTCCCATCCTCAAACAGCCCAATACACAGTCACAGAAGCACGGTAAACATGATTCGACCACCCAGGAAAGCGCGCTCTCGCCCAAAGAGCAACAGAATCCCCAACCTGCATCTCCCGCACAACCCGTCCATCAAGAGTAGCCCGACCACGCCCCTTGGTTTGTTCAACATCAAGTGCCGCCGGTGAATCAGGCTGGACATTATCTTCTGAGTCCCAGATAATCTCAACATCCTGCATCTCAGACACACGAGCACCATTCACTTGAACCTTATGTTCACTAGGCAACAGAAGAGGATCATCCGGTCCACGGGGTATAGTCGTTTCACCCTTCTCATGTTCCAAAAGCACTTGCTCCTCACCATCAACGTACATCTTCTTCTCGTGCGCGCCACGGATAATTTCTGCATCGAACCACGTCCAGGAATGTTCGTACATATTCTCATTAATCCGGCCGGGGCCTTGATCATGAGACGATAAGTGGAACACGATTTTCCGGCATGGATGGTTAGTAGAACGGTGGGGTAGTGGTTTTGGTGAATCGGGTGAGCGTTCAAGTTGCTTTATCGTGGGGTTTTTACTTTGTTAGCGCATACGTCATCGGGGTGAATAACCCCTCATGATAACATTACATACCTTTCGATCGTAGCAGAGTGGGACAGTCTTCAGAAGGACTTGGTCTCGGTCTTTTCTGATGATTCGGTGTGTGCCTTTTTCTGGGGGCGCCATTGTGGCTGTGGTTGAGGGCCAGTATTCGGCTGTGTCGATGATTTGGTCCACGATCTCGACAGGTACGCCTAGTCTCCATTGTAAGAAACTGCGGACTCGCAGGGCGTCCCAGGCACTGGGTAGATGTTCAGGAGTCTGTAGAGCGATAATCTCTTGTAATTAGTATGCAGGTTAAGCAGGTTGATTATTGATGGAGTTTCAAGGCACCTCGTCTTTGGTGTCTGCCTGCTCGTCCTCATTAACTGATCGTTCATTTATTCGGCGCAAGGCCTGCCGTGCGCCATGGGGAATCATCATGGAAAGTGAGAATGGCATGTAAATAGTAGTTGTACGAGGAACAGTCAAAGCTCAAAGAAGGATGGGCAATAAGAGCGAATGAAGTTGGCTATGTTGATGTGTGATGATGGAAGGTCAGGGTCAGGTAACTAAGCTAGGCGGGTCTCCGCAGATCACTGATCGACAACGAGATCTCTATGATATTTCCTTGATCCACGGCCAACAAACATCCATCCAGAGTTGTATCCAGAGTTGTGAACAAAGTAATCCGTTTATTCTAATATAGCGGGGATGACAGCTATAGTCAAACCAGCAGCCATTATTTAACAACCAGTACTTGTCTCAGTTTGTGTTCTTTCAAGTTATTCAGCTTGCCCCGCATTTCAGCTGGACGATCCACAGGTACACATCCTGCGACCACTTATTCTTGGTTTATGCATAAGCTTGATGTTTGAAATCTGTATGTACAGTAATTAGAACGCTAGTCACAGAGACTTTGCATTGTTAATTAAAGTGTAGTAAGGATTACCTAATCCGGTATGCTCAATGACTGAACATTCTTGGTGTATCTAAACCTGACGACCACAGGATTCTACTACCATAAGACCAACATTGTAGAGATGAATCGTCAATTGATGATATCTGCAAGTAATTTGAATGCCCTTCCCAACGCCAACAAGATACAAGAATCAAACACTTCTTTTAGACCTCAAATCATGGCCGCTGTCCACCAGCTGCCCGGTACGCCGCCGCACGCTTGCTGCTGCGGTTCTTGGGCTTACCCTTTGAGCCACGGCTCTTCACCTTCAGCTTCAGACCCTTCGAGCCACCCTCGCTAGCACGGTGGCCCTCAAACACGAATGAGTTTCCGGCAATGCCACCCTTGCCCTCGGACTTCATCTGTGAAGCACCGGCACGGCCAAGCAGCTTGCCCGCACGACCTTGAAGAGTCTTCCGAGCCAGGTCTCCGGCACGACCACCTTTGCCGCCCGAGTCATCACGTCTCTTCATCACCTTGCGGGCACGGGTCACGCGGATCTTGCGAGGCAGCAGAGGGGGGAAGTTCTTCTCATTGAGAACAAGAGCCTGCTCCACACTGGTACCCTCGTAGAATTGAACATAGGCAAAGCCCTTACCAACACGAGTGTTCTGATCACGAATCACACGGACAAATTCAACATTCTTCTTGACGGCCTTCTTGTCTTTGGTGTCGCCTGTGTGGGCATTGAATACCCGCCAGAGACCTTCCTCAATGTCGGAGGGCTTGCGGGGCTTCTTCTTCTTGCCGTCTTCATCCTCCTCGGCAACTTCTTGGTCGACAAAGTCCAGGTTACCGACGAACACGCATCGCTTATTGTCGATCTCAGCAGGGTGCGCAATGCTATCAACACGCAAGTGTCGGTCGAGAACAATAGTTCCGTTCAACGCGGCGGGAGCCTTGCGAGCCGCCAGAACAGTGGTGTAAACGGCATAGGCGTTGGTGCTGTGGGTGGTATCATCCAGAATCTCGCGGCGAGCGAAAGAGGCACGCTTGGGAACACCACCACCGCTGGCGAATGGCACGGAACGGAATCGGATGGACTCAACCTTGTGTGGGCCGGAGGATTCTGGCAGATTGGGGCAGAAGGATGCCAGGTGTCGGAGAAGGGTCTTCTTGCCAGCCTTGGACTTGATTGCTTCGGTTGAGACGTTACCCAAGAAGACTGTGCGGTTGGACTTTTCCACCTCGCTGGCCTTGGAGCTACCAGACACACTCTCGTGCACAGGAACAGGCTCCTTTTCAGCGGCCTCCTCCTCGTCGCTGTCCTTGGATTCAGCATCTTCCTCAGCCTCAGCCTCAGATGCATCGCTCTCGTCATCGTTTTTTCCCTCGGTGGGCTTTTGGCGCTTGGCTTGCTCGGCATTGCGCTTGTCTTCGGCCCTCTGCTCTTCCTTCTCAAGACGGCGCATGTATGAACCCTCGAGGTCATCCTCCACTCCGCCTCTCTTGCGCTTGCGGCTCTGGGTGTCGGCAGCCTTTTCTTGCTCAGCCTCGGACTCACTAGCCTCAGCAGAATCATCGGCAGCATCCTCCATCTCTTCGTCCTCTGACTCGGCCTCGTCGTCCTCCGCGGCGACATCCTCGCTCTCCTTCAATTTCCTCGGCTTGAGCTCGACATATTTAACAGTGGGGGTTTTCACCGGGCCAGCCTGGAACATAAAAAGTCAGTAAGTCCTCCATCTTGACACAATTAACAAAACATACACTCTTCTCGAACAGTGAAGACAGACCCGCGTCCAGCGGTGCGCTACCCAGGAAGGGAATGCCACCCTTGGTGGGCGCCTCAGGGGCCGACTTTGACTGCGATTTGGATTTCTTGCCCATTTTGAGGAATTTCTCGTCCCAAAAGAAATCTATTTCTTTGGGATTTGTTCAACAAGTTGCGTCGAATAGCGGCTGTGGAAGACTGCGCATATCTCCGAACTTTTTTTTCTTTGGGCTTATCGGTCTTGGCGCGGGAGCTGTTGCGCATCACATGATTTTGAACTCCATACTCGAGAGATATCAACAACGATATGGATACTTCAAACCAGCTTAAAATAGCTAAGTACGGGTTTAATGAAAGGGCAAAGTCCAAGAAGATCCCACTAATGAATATTGTGAACAGATTTGGGCTTCTCAAAGGTTGCCCGGATGGTTTGAGGTCTCTTTCATTCGTTATATCCCATTTTTGTAAGTAAATCAACATATTTGTTCCATTCGAACTTCGTATTCACAATGCAATACTCTCCTTTCACAGCTCTACCTAATCATTCTCAACAATGCTGTTGCTATCATTCATCCCGAGCTGGAGGCCGTATCCGGCGACGTCAGCACCACGTGATCTGGGAGTTTTTGCAGGCGGTGAGCCTCGCCCTCGCCGGGACGCGGCAGAACCCCGTCACTCGCTTCTGTTGCTGCACCCCATCATAGCAGTCTTGTCGCTCTCACTCCCCTTTCTCTCAGGCCTTCGACTTGAGTTGCTTTCCTACGGCCCTCTTCGACCATTGCGACGACCTCAGCCACTATCTTCCCCGTGCCTATTCATGCCGACCATTCTCCCGCGGCCGTCATCTGTGGTGTTGCCCACGTCCTAGCCGACCTCCCCTCGCCGTTCCAGCATTGGCACCCCAGCAACCTCAAAGGCTCTGGTGGTACTATATACGTGCGAGACGCGTGGATATATCTCTGACGAGTGTTCTGTGGGCCAGGAACGCGGTGGCAGTGAGAACCGGGCTCGATCGCGAGCAGCTGTGCTCCTCACCAGCGTCGCTCCCGGCGCATTGTTGCAACGGTACGTCGCTGTAACTTTTACATCAGTCTATGGGGGGTTGTTGGTCGTTATACTGGATTTACATGGTCCTCGGGTGCTTGGGAAGCTGTCTCTCCGCTTCTCGAGCCTGCGCGAGGTGCCAGTCTCCTCTGGGCGCTTGTTGCCGACAGCTGGGGGCAATCCGGCGATGATCAATCTCCGCACCGCCTTCTGGAGCCGCCGACACTACCTTTCGCACCCGCCGACCTATTTTTCTTCCCACCACTCATTTTGGGTCAATTCCGGCCATTACACAATGTCAATTGAGCTAATCGATCTATGTCTTATCTAGAACAAGAATCATCATACCTTCAGGCGGGTTGGTGACCGTACCGTCCTGACCCCTCTCCTACCGATAACCACTCTGCCGAGAGCTGTCTTCGACACACCAGGACAACCCTCCTACCATACCCTCCGTCCTCCTTTCTATACCGCACTCGCTCTGCACTCAGACTCCATCGTAACCACAGATGGAGGTGGTCGAGAGCAGAGAACAGACCTCCGTTGGTCCGACAACGGGGGCAGAGTCCACCATGATCAATGGCGAGCGAAATCCCTTTTTGGATGACCCTCTCATGGATGACGGACGGTCGAGTAGCTTGAGCGAGATCGATGACGTGTCCGACGACGAGCCATCGGACTTTGAGGACTCGCCCAAGCCCGAGAAGCAGCTGGAAAATGACTCGGAGGCTGAAACAGAGCGCATCGAAGACTCTCCGCACAACATTCGAAAGCGTGACATCGTACTGAGTGCCGGTGGCACTGGCAGCGCTGGCCCAAGTCCCAGCAAGCTTCACCAGTCTACCACACTTGACGATGTCGACGATGACGAGCACCTAGTGGAAGACTCGCCCAGTAAACCGCGGCGACCGTCCAACAACAACGCAATCGATGACGAGAATGCCGATCTCGACGATTTGGAGCTTCCCGATAGTGTCGGAAAGAAGCGCAAGCGCGTTGAAGCCGGCGACGAGACTGGAACCGAGCTTGGCGAAGACGAGCCGCTCAAGAAACGTCGGAGCTCTATTAAGAGCGATCTGAGCGATCCAAACGACGACGATACCCCTCTTTCACCGGAGCCGATGATGGATGAGGAGCAGGTCCCCATGATGGACGATGAGCTCCCTGTCGACGACATTGCTGAATCAGAACTTCCCGCTTTGCCATCCAAGGGCAAGAGGGGCAAAAAGGGTAAGCGGAAAGGAAGGAGAGCCCAATATGGAGATGAGGGTGCAGATGCTGGTATAGAGGACACTGCTGACGACAATCTTGGTGAAGCTGAAGAGCCAACGGAACCCGTCGATGAAGTCGATGATGCTGAGGCTACTGCTCGGGTGGAAGAAGAGTGTAAGTGTTGTTCCGAGGTTCGCACTGGCGATCATGGAACTAATGATTCTCTATAGCTGCGAAAAAGATGTCTGCCATGGAATCATTGGCGACGTTGGAGAAAGAGTTCGCGACGTTGCGAGACAAGTATGACTTCACAGCCCGCTCTATCTACATTTTCTATCTACATTTTCAATTACTGACGAGTATGGCAGAATTTATGATGAACGGATCACAAAACTCAATCGCGAGTTGGAAATGCTGACTGGGCCAAACCCGACGCATCCCGAGTACCTGCGTCAGATTGAATGTGTGCAACGTTACCGAGACGCCAAAATCAAATACGAGCATACCTTGTACAAGTACCGCTTAAAGGCCTTGTTGAATAAGAGCTTGGCCGAGCGTTCGCAAAGTCACAGCACATTCTTCCAGCGCGTTCGGGACGTGCGTGAGCGACATTCGAGTGCGATCAGCAAGCAATTCTATGCGATCCAACATGATCGTTTCAAGACGGATGAGCTGAGCCCGCACCACATTGTGCCATTCCCGACCCGCCGTTCGCAGCAGATCGCACACCAGACCGCCTACAATCACGAGGTTTCAATCATGGCTGGAGTCGCCAAGTATGTTGGTTTCCCGGCCGCGCCAACTTTATTGGGTGCACGTCCGTCTGAACTGGAAGATGACTTGGAGAAGATGGGGGTAAGTTAATCGAGTTCCTAGCGCCCGGCAAGCATTACTGACAGGCATCCTTAGATCTCCATTGAGACCCGAGTATCGGTTCCACGACATTCACATTCATCTGCAATGCCCCCTCGTGGAACCATGTCAGCTATGTCATCAAGCATTTTCCGCACAGCCGCCGAGGAAGCTTTCCTAGAGCAAACGCCGTGGGCCAATCCTCAACATCCCATCCATCAACAACAGCCACAACACCAATATTCTCAACATCATCGGCCCCCGGCGTCCTCGTTCGCTACACCAGCAGCTCAAAAGCGGGTAGTTGATATCAACGCACCCAATGGATCTGCGTCCACTATTCCCGAGAACATGTCGGCGGCCAACTCATCCGCCAACAACACCCCCTACGGCACGGAGCAAGACCCACGGCACCCCGGTCAAGGACCATTTCGCAATCCAGACTACGACACCGAGCACAGATCTGGATTCCGATCTCAGAGTTCTTCTCCACTAGACGTACGAAAAGCCCAACCACACCCCAGCCATCTCCTCGAACGCCGCTCCCCTGGACCCGACGCCTCCCGCAATTCCCTATTCTCTCCACCTCCCGCTCGGGCTGGCTTGTTCCAACCCTCCACCTCAAAACCGAGTGCCTCGCCATCTCTCCATTCTAAGCAGGTCGACACGATACATTATCACCCACACCACCCCGAGATTTCTACAGAACCTGGCTCAAGTCACATGCCTGCGCGGTAGACGAAGTTACCACCTCCAATATCGATGTCATGACTGACTGAGCTGGCCTGTTGCTCATGTCGTAGGGCTGAAATCACTTTGTGATAGACGTGTTTGTATTGGCATTTTGTTGAGATTTCTGGGATCAACTTCTCTCCCATTAATGAATATTTCCCAATTTCCGTTCTGCTATTGCTGCAAAGGCAAATGTCATTTTGATCAGCGTTTTGTGCTAGAAAGAGAAGGGTGCGTGTGGAAACATACTTTGTTGGCGTGTCAGTGTGCATGGAGGGGTGTCCGTTGAAATACGGGCTTCAATCTCGAAGCCCAACGCTATATATGGGAAAACTTTGGTGATCGTCACTTACGGGAAACTGGATTCGGGCGATGACTGCATGGGATGGATGGGAACGGGACTTCTTTTTCTATCTTTCTATCATATGAGGTGTTTTTGTACGGGGTATGGGATGGGGAATCCAACTCTTTTCGTTCTTCTGCTCCGTCTACTTTGCGAGATGTGACATCCGTCAGGTTGGCGTTGAATTTTTGCTTGGTTTCTACCGAATTGGGAGGATGGATCCGATTCATGATATGTTGAGGGCTTTTATTCGATGTTCTTTTATTGATACCAATTCATCTGTTTATACTTTATCGTGACCCGAGGATCTGGAGACTGGGATTGATTTTGAATATCTACGCGTTGAATTCATATCTAACAGTAAATCCAGCAGGGCATGTCAAATAGCGAAACAAACCAAAAACAGACATCGAATCATAACAATGAATCAAGCAAAACGAGGGAAAACAAGAAAGAACAAGTCAATCAGCAGAGACCAAAGGAAAACAACAAAACCAAGATAAAATCGAAACTGGGCAGTCAAGCAATCGATATAAATTTGCAACCAGTGAAGCGGATGGCACGAAAAGAACAACTCATATAGAGGAAACGCTGCCAACTCAAAGCAGACATGGAGCCAGTCACTCAGCGCTGATTAGGAGGAACTGCAGGCACCAAGCCAGCAGTTTCAACTGCAAGCAAAAGAGTATATGCTCTGGATGGGCGGCTGATGAGCTATGGACGGGTTAACAATCCTTCTCTGCGCCAATGGTAGGCCAACATCTGTATCTCGTGCCAGAGCAGATTTGTTGCGGAAAATCTCCATCCTACCAGCCCCATCTGGAGCAGTGGAAGTGTGCAGCTTGTGTCGAAGCCACGGTCCATTGCATCTTGGAGGAGTAGGGGCGCCAATTGGATCATGTATAATACGGACGTCTACAACGTCCCAAGTTGTGAGCATATTACCTGCAGCATCAGGAAACGCAACCTCGATCGAGTAAAGACCATGTTGCTCTTGCATTCCACTGATTGTTTCGATCGTAAGCAGCCGGCGTAGAGCTGGCGTCGGTACGTTCACATTAGCATGCTGATAAAATGTATCGAGATCATCGAGATCCGTCAAACATAGTCAAAATTTCCGACCCGGTATCGTCGATGAAGTCAATGATGTCGTGAACCAGGGCCCCAGGGTATCGGATAGCTAGCGACATCTAATGGTGATAGAGCAGTTCTAGTTAGCGTTCTATCATGGACAAATCTAGTGCGTACCAAAAGAAAGCATGTTGTTGACACACCTCATTCTTGAATGAGAGAGCAACTCCGCGGCAAGTGACAGTACTCGCCACCCTTCCGCCTAAACCGCGCGTAGAACTCTGGAGAAAATGAAGCATTTAGACTCATATACCATATCAATATCAGTGCTATCAACTTTGAGGGCGTATATCTTCTTCCCAGAATCCCTTCCCTCTGCTCTGTTTGGTGAAATGTTGACTGACAGCGAGGAACTCGTCATTGTCACGAGGCCTTCGTGGATATCCAGTTGCCTTGTTCGGTATGCATCCCGGATAGCCATCACGTTTGGGAGCACCTTGTGTCGATCGCCGTCCTTTTCAAGCGATTTTGCGATGTCCTCTAGCTGGGCAATACGTCTGATAACCTGGAAGAGTCCTGGTTCCTTAGCAATCAACGCGCTAGAATGCACCATGGAGAATCAGCTCTGAAAGAAAAAGAATCATATAAAATTAGTGTAGGACTATTAACATACTCCCTAACTTCCTTTTGTTTCTCCAGCCTCTTCAGCCTGTTTTTGAAAATAAATGGCCAAATATTATCCTCGATTCGCTCCTTGCACCGGGCGATTTGAGCATCAACATCGCTATTAAAAAAAAAATAAAAAAAAGGGAAAAAAAGGGTCGGGTCAGTGACGAACAGTATTGGAAATTGTTCCAAGAGTCTGTTTACTCACTGAGGATCAAGATCACGCTCTTCACTGGTCCACCCTTTGGGCAGGTCCTCCGGCTTGATTAGAGGCTCGTCGCCGTCATGAGTCCACCTCTTCCTCTTTGGTACCTTCGGCGTCTTCGACGACTCAATTTTGCCGACGTAGGATACATCGAAATCGAGATCTTCAACCTTGATCTTCCGCCAGGCAGGTTCATCGTCAGATTCCTCTTCTTCCCTCGGCTTCTTGGCTACATTTTGAGCCGGGAGGTTTCGAGTAGGTGCCTTTCTCTTCGACGACATGTTGAACGCGATTCACCGGGTTTGTAAGGCGGATGAAGATATTGCAAGAAGAAATGGTTTGAAGTTGAGAATGGCTTCGAGGAGAGGTTTCTAGAGGAGTATTTGTATTCGCCGATATCCTGTGGGACAAATAACGCAACTTGCACGGCCTGGTAACTCAATTGAAATCGGGGTAAGGCTTGGAAATGATGGAAACAAAGACGATGGTCAAGTGAGAGCCCAGGTTCATCAAAGCAGACGTTCAGCAGGGAGACTAGAAAGGAACTAGTGCATGAAGATTGAAAAAAGAAGACGAAGTTCGGTGGAATGTCCTACGAGATCGAAAATGGATTGTCCGAGGGGACTACTAGAACAAGAACGAACCGCCTCTACAGTCTACCTGAGACTCAGTTGGAGTCGATAGTGGCCATTGAACCAAGAAAACAATACATCACGGCTAGGAATTCATCAAAGAAGACGCAGTCTGGTGGAAACTTCCTCGAAACTGAAAATAGAATGTCCCTGTGGAATACTGGAACAATCCACGTCTGGAGTCTACCTAAGATCTAGTCGAACCTGATAGCGAACCTGAAAACAAAGAAAATAAAAACTCGGGCATGAAAATTAATCAAAGAAGACAAAATTCGGTAGAAATTCCCCAGAAATCGAATCTTGAGTTGTCTACTGGAAAGAATATCCCGCACCTGAACTGTCGACGAGGATGAAGAAAGCAAAGGAACTAACTAGTATATGAAGACTGGAAATTCATCAACGCAGATAAAACCTCTTGGAAACACCCTCAAGACTGAAATTGGAGCGGATCGTTGCTAAGGCTACAGGAATAATGCGCACCTAAACTGTCGATGGGGAAGAATGAAAACAGAGGAACTAACTAGTACAGTACACGAAGATTGGAAATCCATCAACACAGACCAAATGTGGTGGAAACTCCCTCGAAACTGAACGTGGAACGTTCCTGGGACCACCGGAAACCCCCACACCTTGAGTGTCCCTAACATCCGGTTCAAGTTGATAGGGGCCATAAAAACAAAGAAAATACTAAATCGAGGCTTAGAAACCCATCAAAGCAACTAAAACCGAGCGAAAATGGAACTCCCTCGAGATCAAAATCCGAGTCTTGCTGGGGAAGGAGAGTTACCTCAAACACTTCGAACAAAGAGTATTCCTACTCCAAGCCCAAGCCTGAGAAAGCTCAATCTAAGTCCACCAGAGTGGCTTGGAATCCCGGTGGATCCATGATACTACCTTGTTTCCTTCGAAAATGAACGGACATGAATGTAGCTTTCAAGGAGAAGCCGAGTCGTAGCTCAATTTCTTTGACATGATTAGCCCGTCGATTCTGAGTTTGAAACTTATGGCCCGGAGATATAAAATGAGGTAAGAAGAGAGAAAATATTGTCAACTAGACATGATGAGAAAAGAAAAGGAAGATAATTTAAAGAAAAACAAGTGTATTCATTCCCCCATTCTGGGCTACTCGGTAATAATAGGGACTTTGGATAATAAAGAGACATTGGATGATCATGTTGATGCAGTTGGTGGGGCTTGCACTTCCGCCTGGGGAGCAGCCGGAGCCGTCTCGGTAGGAGCAGGTAGGGCCTGGGGACGCCACCTGGCCAGGACCTTGCCAGCTGCGGGGCGCGATTCCTCGTCTGGTAGATTCTTTGTCAGTAACTGATGTTGCGTAGGGAGATCAGGGGGCAGGATGGGGTAACTTACAAGTCTGGTAGACGTCCTCTAGTGTGTTGAGGCACATTTCTCGTGCTGGAGGCCGGAACATGATCAGATACCTGGGGGAAGGGTTAGACAAATGTAAATCCGGGAGGGGAGACAAAATCAAATACTCACATCAAAGCCTGCACGGTAAGATTCACACGTTCCGGATCTTTAGCCAAGCTAGCCACCCGCTGCGTAATGGCGATAGTGACCTCTGGAATCTCGCTGAGGAATCGCACCAATACCTTAATGTCACGGGAATCAAGGTAAGGCAGGAAACCGTCCAGGAGACGAAGAACCCAAGTATCATAGAATAGCGCAACAGTGGGTTCCTCGTCTTCATCTCCACGGTCCGAATTAGCCGCCTTCATCCGGACCCGGTCATTGTACCACTCCTCATTGAGCCAGGTGATTCCAATCTTGAGCCGAGCACGGAAGTCCTCCAAGATATACCGATACAGCGTCTCCCGAATGGAATCTGAGATGGTTGGCTGTCTTTTGCCTGTAGCCAACTCGCCTTTGGATTTATCACCGCCCTCCAGACCAGCTGGGGCGCGAGTAGCCAAACGAGTGAGGAGAATAACCCAGGCATCTCGGTCGAAGGTGCTCCCGGCCAGTCGTGCGAAGCTCAGTTGTTGTTGGGTCTTGCTCTGGGCAGGTGACGGAGTTGTTTCGACAGCATCGATCATGCCAAACACCCGGGAAACAGCGCTACGGCCAACATCACCAGCTTCTTCTTCGGTCAATGGTGGCGGCTGCGGTAGAACGAAAGGTCCCAAGGATACCAGATCGGGCTCCAGCTCTGCGTCTTCTGCTGCGAGAGCGATAGCCTCCTCTGAAGCATCGGCTCCAACATCCAGGGGTTCATAGTCGGGCTCGTAATCATCATCTTCATCCGCAGCCGCAGCCGTAGCGGCCTGGTATAGCTGTTGCCGCTTCAAGTTCTGTTCTTTCGTTATGGTCTCATATCGGTTTCTTATAGCCTAGAGAAAAGATTAGCTTTCGTTCGCGCCACCTGTTTTGAATGATTGACTTACATCGACAGCTTGGGTAAGCATCGACGGGTTTACTTGAGCTAGCAGCGGGACCGCGATTTTCACCACTAGGTCGGGAGGAAGCTGCTTCACATCAAAGGAGGAAAGACCAATATCCTGGGTCAAGGTGAATAGTTGGTCATAGCTGGTTGGGCCTGGAGGAAGAGGTGGAATCTTGAGTAGTGGCGGCGTCATCGCATCAAGACGGGCCCGCTTCGCGTTGTCCAGGCCATCCGTCGGCTCAACTGGTAGTCCACGTTTCCGAGAAGCATCTTCAGTGACTTCAAGCCGGGACTGCATCAAGCGCTCGATATAGGCTTGCATCTTGCCCATCAGCGGGTTGCTGGGGTTCCTGAATGGGTTGGTTAGTCTTTGATCGAGGCCACGAATAGTGGCAGGGGATTTGTTATACTTCTTCATCACATTGAACAGCAAAGCTCGAGCTGTGCGCTCCATAGACTTGACGCCGACGCGAACAGTGGGTGTGAATGGTGGACGGACATGTTTGGCGGGAAAGAAGTCCAGGATTGTTTGAATAATTTTGTTCGCAATCGACTGGCGCGTGCGGATCAAAGGTGCCAGACAGTTCAGCGTCGCATTGACGACGAGAGGGTCACTAGCAAATCTTCAGTATAAGCTGGACGACACCTATCGCTCTAATCTCCGGCTTCAAACCTTGTCTCTTCTTGGAATACACCGAGGAGTCGGTCAAGTAGGCCCGATGCCTCGGCCTCTAAGAGTGGAATGGCGAGCAGGGCATGATTTCGGGGGACGACAGCCAAAGAAGTTTCGTTCTGATCGGGTCGCTGGTGGACTTTAGTATGGTGGATGTAAGGAACCGGAGGTGGGACTGGGCTTGCGGAACATACTCTGGGGTCCGCGATCAAACCAGGCGTCTGAACCTGGACAACACGCTGTAGGAACTTGACGGAGCAGATCTTGGCTGGGCATGGGAACGAATCCATCTTTCGGAGGATCTCTTGTTTGACCGCGTTCATTGTTTCCCACGTCTTGCTGTCTTCCGGGTGGTTGACACTACGAGCTGCGCATTAGTATCCGTGATGTCCGTAACTAACATATCTTCCCATCTTTCTGGAGGACCTACATGTGGCGGAATATGAGGGGGTACAAGCTAGCAGAGGTCTGCACCAAGCTCGACAACACTGCAGTGTCCGTCTCAGGCAGAGCTAAGGTCTCTTGAATCGATTGCAAGACCGTCGGCGCAAGCTCCTGCTTCTGCACCGTAGCTAGCATTGGACTGGCAAAAGTCTCTGCTAGAAAATCTGCGCCCCATCTTCGCAATTCAAGTCTAGCGTTGGCTCCGACGATGGGCAAGATACCGTTTACGATCTGCGGGTAGAGGGCGGCATCACCGAGGACGAGGCTTCGAGCGGCGTTGAGCTGGGCGACCTGGTCGACAACATGATCGGTCGATTGAGCCATCGCGGCTCGAAGGAAGGGAGGTACAGGGTATGCGCTGGGGAGGAGTCGGCGAGATGTGACGTTTTTCGCGGGTGGGGGACTAGACCAAGCTTAAGGTCTTTCTTAGCCGGGCCGGAGCGTGACTGGAGTTACTAGGCGGACAAGACGCGCATGTACCCTAGAGCGCGGTGACGATGATGAAGGACCGGGACGATAGGCTGAACTAGGCAGTGTGTGGGATGAATTGTGGAACGTAAGGAGGAAGCCTGGGTTGTCGCGTGTGTCGGGCGTGAAGGGTTGGAGGGTGGAGGGTAGAGGGTGGATATGGAGAAAGGAAAGTAGCAAAGGCCGCAGGGGTCAAGAGAAAAAGTTGGGGAAAGTTGGCGTTGCTCCAATACTCTTCGACGCGCGAAGTTCAACCACGATAACACAATTAGAAAGAGTAAGAGAGATCCCAATGGTCTCAATGGAGTGAAAGACTGGTAAAGTGTCACTGAGGTTTCTGTCTGGCCTGATTTCCGAAACACAACGAGGATATGCCATTCCATGGGCTTATCTACTACTAGGTATAGACTCTACATAAAGCGACCATAGATAAGGCCTTTCGGTAATAAATAATGAAATGATCCCCAGTTTGTCTAGAATCAAATTCAATTATCAGAGTTCAGTCGTCTACTTCATTGTAAAAGATAAAGAAGCTCCAGACTATATACAAATCCAATCTGCAGGCAAAACGCACCCAAAGAAGTAATCAACGCCAAGACTTTTGACTTCCGCCGCATCGAATTGTCGCCGGCATCACTTCTTCCTGATCTTCAAACAACAACCACCGCCACGACTCACCATGGCTACCGGAATGTACGTCACTAGATCAACATCTTTCTGCATGCTCTCGCTTCCCTTAGCTAACATAATACGCCCGGTGCAGCTTCAACTCCACATACTACGGCAAGGACTACCGCGCCGGTGCCGCCCTCCTGCGTGCCCGCCGCCCATATCTGTTCAAGAATGCCCTGACCGGGTTCGGCCTCTTTGCCTTCTCAATTGCCGTCTGTACGTGCATCCTGTTCTCCGATCTCTCCCGGACCCTATTCCTACATTTGCGACGCCAAACATCATACACATACCACTCACCCACAATCCGGGTGGCACGATACCACCCAGACACATCAACTGCCTCAGAACACCCTACCCCTACACAAGGACCCTTCCAAGACCATCTTACTAACCGTAACACCTTCCATAAATACAGACACCTACACCATCCGCGCTGTCGGCCAAGAAGAATTCTCCGACGTCAAAGTCCCCGACGCCCCCGCCCAAAAACTCCCTGCACAGAAATAAACCCTGCACACAAGGCAGCCACTGGAAGTCCGACCCTCCGGCTGATACCGGGAGTCGTAATGACTTGGGATTCTGCGTGTACGATATAGTCGCATCATTTTCAAGGGTAGAATAAGTGGCCGAGGGGACTGGATGATCCGATCCTCGGCGGGGAAACAGAAACACAGTAGCAACGGAGCACATTGGGGTTATGGAGTATTCTCGAGCAGACACAGACAATCCCTAGCTTTTTGATTGGGATTTGTGAGCTCGATGGGTTTGATTTGTTGGCTTCAATGGATTGTACAGAGTAGATTGGCCAGGATATATTTTCTTGTGCATCTAGGCCCCATTTGAATGCCAGTCTCTTCTCTTTATTCCTTGACTGGCCTCGACTTATTAGAATGTAAGGCAAAAATGTACATTAGCTAAACACATGGAACTGTTCCATGGATGAAGTCGCAAAGATGTCGAGAGTTGGTTGCGGTTACCTCGGTGCATGTATATATACAAGTGTCGGGAAGAGATCAACTTTAGACCTACTACTGCCACCGGTCAGGGCTACGTTATATAGCTCGACAACCTGAGTCTTTCCAAGAGTTCCATTGTATACTGTTTCTGAGCCATTGACTCGACAACTATATGGGAATCAAGGAAAGAAATCATGCAGACAAGCCAAGCCTGCCACGTGAAAAAGAAACCAATATGGCAGGAGAATATCACGAAAAGCAAAAACACATCTAATTCACAGGGAGGTCTACTCCGTTCGCAGAACGCGAGGACCCTTCTTCTTGGAAGCACGCTTACGCTTAAGACCCTTGTCGAAGGCGACCGCATTGTTGTGGTCACGGCCAAAGTTGTCCAGATCCTTAACCTTATAGATACGGATGATCCAGTTCTCACTGGTGAACGCCTCCTCAAGGGTGTTGAGCTGCGGGCTCTCAGTCGGCACGCGAGTACCACGGACCCGGTCGACGGCTTGGCCGGCGGGGAAGAGAGACTGGTAGTTATAGTAAGACATCTTGTACCTGTGGAAGAGTTAGTAAAGTAGATCGTTTGGAGGGGAAAATGGAAAGGTCAACATACATCAAGCTGTTACGCATGGTGGGAGTAGCCTCATCGTCGACGCGGTACTCGCCACGAGCAGTGAAGTAATCACGCTCCTTGACCTCATCGGGCCAGATACCTTCGGCGATACGCACCATCCACAAGAACTTGTTCAGGTCATCGCCCGAGTAGCCCAGCAACCCGCCGAAGACGACCAGAACATAGTCCACATCGTGTTGACGGAGGATAGGGTAGCTGACCTCCTCGCGCGAGCTCATAGCCTTGCCAACAGTGGCGATGTGGGTGTTGTTCCAAGTGTTGTTGTCAACCAGCGTAGGGCGATCGGCCATACCACCGATCTGGTAACCGTAGTCCCACCAGGACATGATCTTGGCGTTATCGGGAGTGTTCTGGCGAAGCCAGTAGTAAGCCTCACGGTAGTCATCGATGATGAACTGGCTGCCATCGGGCATGCGACTCGCCAACACAACAGAGGGAGACGAGTAGGCGTTTGAGGTGACCCAGGTGCAGTGAGCAACGAACAGAAGCAGGTAGACAGTGATCGAACCAGTCACAACGGCCTTGGAGAAGTACGAATAAATGCCAACAACGGGCTTCTGGGTTGAGCGGAGCGACTTGGAGTCCTCGGCATTGGCCTTGGCCCGGGACTCGGGGTTTGGCTTGGTCATAACCAAGAAGTTGTCCAGGATACCAGACAGGGCCAGGGCGGCCGCGACACAGACAATTGGAGTAAGAGTGAGCATCAGACGGACCATGACACCGGCGAAGTAGCTCGAAAGCACAGCGTAGATGATCACGAAGACGTGCTCGTCCTTGAGGTTCTGGAAGCACATGAATACACCGGCGGGGAAGAGCCAGATCAGGAAGTTCAGGTCAAAGAAGAAGGCTGGCCAGGCAGTAGGCTGGTGCTCGGAGACGGACGCGATGATCGGGATGTGAATCTTGGCGTAGCCGGTATCCCACAGGGAGTAGAAACGACCACTCCACGGGGCAATGACACCGGAGACAGACAGGAGAACCAGGCCAGCGAATCCAAGACCGAAGGTGAGCAGAACCATGGCAGTCAGGAGCTTCTGGAACTGCTTGCCAGGGAGGAACCCGCGAACAAAGTCCGCAAAGGCAACAAGCTGGATCAGTCCAAAGACACCAAGGGCAGACATGTGGTCACTGTTACGGATGGGCAGGAATCCGACGAAGGGGATCTGCATGCTGCCCAATGTTCCAAGAGCGTACCAAGTGGTGTAGCTGATGTACACGCGAGAGCTGTAACGGCCCATGCAGAGAAGAACGAAGACATGGAGAGGAATGAGGTTGGTAATGAAGACATATCCGCCCCATGCTGAAACCATGTAGCCGTAGAACAGAGCAGTCAATGCTCCCCACATGATTGATCCGTTCTTGACAGCCTTGATCCACAGGAAGAAGGTGAAGACCAGCAGGAAAATGGCAATGGCCTCGTTATCGTAACTACCGGCGACGGACCGCGAGATGTAACCAGGGGCAATACCCATGAATGCAGCGGCGAGAAGACCGGCAGAGGGCGAGGTTGACATCTCGCAAGTCAAGAGGTACATTGCGAGAGCCGTCAAGCCAGAGAAGGCGGGGGCAAGAAGAACGCAAATGTTTCGAATGTCGACCGGGATTGTGAGGAAGCGAAGGATATGGTAGATAATACCGCTAGTCACCATGAGACCGGGGTACAGGGTGCCACCAGTGACACGACCCAGAGGATGCCATGTTCCTGAGCAGAGAGGCAATTGGCGTTAGCAAGTCCGTCATGAACGATCTTCCGAAGAGATGAAATAACATACGGTCATCGAACCAGTCCCAAAAGCTGTAGAAGCCATTCTGGACCAAATACTTTGTTGCACGGAAGTTGAACCAAGGATCGACTGCAATGTGAAGAAGGTCAATATCTCGAGATCTGTCATTTGGCCGATGCCAAGTTGCTTTCTGGGGCGTGCAGCAGGGGTGGGGGAAGCATACACTCGTGAATAATACTTTCAAATCCTGGAATTGAGGTCAGTAACGGAAAAAAATAAGACGAGGGATTGGGTGATTCCATACGAATAACACTGAAAAGACGACTGGCCACGGCAGCGGCAGCGATTGTAAGGAGGATGATGATCCGTAGTAGACCGCGCGTACTTTGGCCGGAGCTGCCCTTCAGCAGAACATCAAGAGAGGAAGATTGGGCCATAATGGCCAAAGAAAAGGAGCAAAGTCCAAGAATCAAAAGAGACACATGAAAACAAGAAAAAGATCGGGCAGAGCTGCCAATGGTTGGTCGCCTTGTTGATGGTTGGAGGAGGGAGAGCTGCGCAAGGTGGTCACTTCTGAAGTCTTGGCATCGCGTCGGGGAAAAGGCGCCACCTCCGACTGCTCCCCGCAATCGTCGATTCAACCATCACCTTCTCTTCTGACCTGCTTTCCACTCCATATACGAACAAAGCTCTATTGGAGAAGTGTTGAAAATTATCCTAGGAAACACCTTATTCTTCCGTCACTGGAATCCACTTTCTCTGCGGACAGTTCCAAGATGGAACTGCCTCCTCTCTCCACGGAGCAGCTCTCGAAGCTGGCCGCATCCAATGTTCCCCCATCACAGCTGTATGAGATCTTGTCGCAATATGAAACAGACGCATCTCTCATGTCTGCTGGCCCAGGGAGTGCTGAAACAGGAGGCGGTGACTCTCAGTTGCTGAGCTTGTTCTACTCGAGCTTCTTCTTCGCCCATCTTCTCACCAAACAGCTGTGAGTACTTCCGCATATATCTTGCAAAGGATAATATACTTATAAAGGAACCCATGAAATAGACCGGAAGCTCGAGCCCTGACACAACGGATGCCGGAAGATTTGCGACACCAAGATCCATCTCTACAGAACTGCCTGACCCTACTTCGAGCTCTTTGGCAGACTCAGCATGCCCAGGTTTACCAGATTCTCAGAGGCCTTCCATGGCCAGAAAGCCTGCAGCCACTAGTTCGAAGATATGAGAGTATGCTTAACTCCATAGCCGGATATTATTACAAGCTGCTAATACGAGCATCCATCTAGGCTTTTTCAAAGACGATACGCTGATCGCGATCAGCACATGCTACGAAGCGATAAGACCTGCCACCGCTGAAAACTACTTAGGCCTTGACCCGCAAGCTGCCGAACAAGGAGATTCGGCTATCATCGAGAAGTTTACAAGTTGTGGATGGACATGGGACCCGGCGGCGAAACTACTCCACCCCTCCCCAATTGCCGTGCCAACCGCCAACCAGCCCTCCTCAAATGGTATTCGTGAGACGATGGCACTGCTGGGTAATGGCGGAAGATGAGAGAGGTTGTGGGGCCCGGGAGAAATAACAAGTTTGCTGAAGGCCTCCCGATAGACCGAGGGATGACGAATCTACATACTCTGATCAGAGAGTCTAATACAATGGCAACACGCCGAGAAAACCAACACTCAGCCATTTTAGAACACAGGCTAGTGGTAACGCCGGAATGCATAACACGATCTTTTTGCTCATTCTTGTGGTCCAACTGTAGTGTACAGTCGCACGACAGCCCAGGGTATGTACAGGACCCAAATGATAACGTCTAAAACGATGAGTAAAAGAAAAAACGAATCAAAAAGAAATCATTGCATCTTTCGCTCGCAATGTCGCAACTCGAGGGCAAATTAGACCCAAACAATCGTACAATAATGGACCTGAGCAATCACGTCTAATACCCTGGGGGGAGGTGCGAGTTCCGCAAATAGATGCGTATCCATTCCACCTCTATACCATCTCTTATCACATTCAAGGGTTCTCCTTAGCCTTGGCCAGCAAGAAAGCCTCCAGATCGAACTTGGGGTCCTCGAAATCGGTAATCACTGTAGGGGAACAGATTGGTTAGCGCTGCGCGTTCGGGCGGCGTATTGGTGCATTCGCAGATGCTAATGTGTGGTCTTTGAAGGAGGAATTCATATCACGTACATCCACTGGATTGCGTGGTCTCCTGCTTGGGCTGGGTCTTCTTCTTCCACTCGGCCTTGGCCTGCTCGATCAAGCGCTCCTTGCGGGCGTACTCGTGCTCGATCTCTGTGCGCTTGGCAGCCTGGGTAATGGATGACTGGTGGTAGACTCCGTAAATGAGACCGGCAACGAGAGCCGAGTAACGGAAGACCTGTAGAGAGAACAATGGGTGGTTAGACATCCGAATTCGCATCCACGTATGGGGCGGGTGTTTCCTGGGTATCGGGGCACACTTACGTTGACACCCTGAGTGCTAGCCATTTCTGCGAGGTCACCGGGAGACGGGAAGAAGTCAATAAAATAAGGAGCGGGATATCCGAGGGACCGTTCAACACAAGTCGACCGTCAATGGCAATGAATCCTCGGGATGGGCAAGGCGAGGTGGTTCAGTTCCCTTCTGCGCGAGTTTTTCCGGCGCCGTTCGGACCTGGCGCTTATGTCATCCCGGTAAATAAAGCCGCAACAACTGTACTACTGCAGCTACCAGCTACGCATCTAGTAGGCTCTCCATGATCGCAAGATGTCGTCGGTGCAGCAGCGCAAAAATGAGATCTTGGCCAAGCGGGCTAAGCTTGCTGAACTGAAGAAGCAGCGTGAACTTCGCCAGAAGGAGTTCTCGAACAACCGGAATAGCATCGGGGATACTTCAGAGGTAACGCGGCCCTAAGGATGGAATCTATCAAGCTCGAGCGCAACCTGACTGTCTTTCATATAGATTGCTTCGCCGGTGCCTAGCCGTTCTGACAGCAGAGCCGAACTTGATGACCTGATTTCACGTTTGGTAGACCGTCCAGGATCAGCTTCCATCAGTCATGGCGCGGACGGCCAGTCGCGCAAAGGAAGTCGCCCGAACTCAGTATTGAGTGCCAGTCAACTCAGTGGGGAGAATACCGATGCCTTGTCCCCTACCTCACGACCGCTGTTACAGTCGATTGCCGTACAGACAGTTGGGGAAGAGCAACCCTACACCTACTCCGCACCCGAAGTTCAAGCCCCACCTCCCCCTGAAGGCAAACCAGAGCTCGTCACCTACAGCAAAGCCGTGCAAACAGACGGTCTAGAATCACCACCCCAGTCGGAGGATGGATCGGTTGCTTCAGACAACGAGGAACAAGCCGGCACTACACGGTCAAGCAAGCGTCTCAGTCGACGGGACCGCGAACGCGATGAGGAAATCCGACAGAAGATCCGCAAGGAGATTGAGGAAGAATTGCAAGCTACGAATCAGGATGGGGCTGCTGCGGCGACTACACAATCTGCACAACTCCGATACCCTCTACGCACGCTCGATGACGACGAGTTGAAGGCGGTCACTTCATCTAATGATTTCCTGGACTTTGTGGAGCGGTCCTCAAAGGTGATTGAGCGGGCGTTGGATGAGGAATATGACGTCCTTGCAGACTACGAGCTTGGTGTGAATGGAGATGTCGAAGAGGATGAAGAGACTGGCAAGAAGAGGAGGGGCATCCGAGAGGTCTGCCAATTCTACGACGAGCGATGGAGCAAGAAGCGCATGGTCACCGACCTGAGCTTTTCCCCAAAGGTATGGTGATTTCACATTCAAATACAGCATTTTAGGGCCTGTTGTACTGACTTGTCTCCAGTTCCCGGAGCTTGTCCTAGCATCATACACAAAGAATCCTTCAGCCCCTCATGAGCCAGATGGTCTTGTTCAAGTCTGGAATCAACACCTGCACTCTCGACCAGAATATGTGTTCCACTCTACATCCGACATTCTCGCTGCCAAATTCTCACCTTTCCACCCAAATCTAATTGTTGGAGGCTCATACTCCGGCCAGGTGCTTCTGTGGGACACTCGTTCCTCCCGCGCAGGCGGTGGTGCGCCCGTGCAGAAGACGCCTTTGACCGGGTCTGGACATACCCATCCCGTTTACAGCATCTCAATTATCGGTACACAAAATGCGCACAATATCCTAACCGTTTCCACTGATGGAGTTGTCTGTGGCTGGACTGTGGACATGCTTTCCCAACCACAGGAATTCCTCGAACTAACCACACCCCCTCCATCCAAGACGGAAGATCTTGCACCAACTACCATGTCATTCCCCCAGTCCGATCCAACCTTCTTCATTGTCGGCACTGAGGAGGGAGGCATCTACCCTTGCCATCGCTATGACCGAGCTGGAGCGAAGGCAGGCACTGACCACCGCCTCGCATACCGAGGACACGCCGCGCCGATCATGTCTACGGCATTCCATCCTGCTCGTGGTCCAGTTGACCTGGGAGACCTTATGCTGAGCTCCAGTCTGGACTGGAGTGTGAAGCTCTGGCGTGTACGACCCCCAGCGACGACTGCTGCTCTCACATCTGGAATGTCCTCGGCTCAGGTCGTCTCGCCAATTCTGGACATTGTTCGCGACGATGTCGTTTACGATGCCCGCTGGTCTCCACACAGACCAGGTGTGTTCTCTCTCGTCGACGGTGCTGGCAACGTCGAGGTTTGGGATCTCTACACCGACACCGAGGTTCCCGTTGTACGGACCACCCCCTCTCGTGGTCCTAGTGCCATGCCATCCCGAAGTCTCAACAAGGTTGCTTGGGAGGAGCGCGAAGGCCGCCGTCTGGCGACTGGTGGTCTCAACGGCGTCGTCACGGTCTTTGAGGTCGGCAAGGGCCTTGGTGGACCGTCTGAGGAGGTTCCAGCGGAGGAATGGGCCGGTATGAAGCGTTTGGTTTCGAAACTGGAGCAGAAGGATCGGGTGGCTTGATGTTGAATGATCTTTGTAAATGGCACTCTGGCTGCCATATCTTTTCTTTTTCCTAACCCCTACAAACCTCTGTCCTTGCCATGCCTAGTTTCTGCTTGCCATATACCCCTTTCTTCTTCAATAACATAACTTAGGGATATCTGTCTCCATCCCACCATTTGACAAGTTTGTAACTTAATGTCGAGAACATTTGATTATGATCTAGTAAAAAGGTACTTCGTATGACGTACCTCAGGATACGACCGCACTACGGCATGCGACTGGCACGTGATACATGAGCTTTCTTGTGAAAGACCTGGCCTCAACTGGTTGTAAATAGAAATGAATATTCCATCTGTATGGATCGCGTAATATTCCATCCAGCTCTGTCCTATCCAAGGCATTGACTAGCCTTTGGATGAAGAATCTCAGAATATCCCAATCATGTGCCTTTGGTGCTTCCCTGCCCCCCTCCTCCCCCCACACAGTTCTAGGCCAGCCAACATTACTTTATCACCATTCCGAGACTATGTCTCGATCTTGGTTCCTCCTTTCTTATCTATTTCTAATCTTCCCTGATGACCATTTAAATCATACCAAATTGATCAACTCAACGCCATTCGAAATATTCCAGTAGCGCTATCCGAGACCTCCTGTTTCACGCAGCCTTACCTGTTTCTAGGCCAAACACACGTTTTCTGAAAGGTTAAAATGGCACAGGAATCAGAGAATGCAATCTTAAATCGCAAACGCGCCTTTAAGCCCAAAGTGAGCACTGGTTGCCTGACCTGCAAGTGAGTCCAGACCCTCGGAGATAGTGCAGACATAACCGCCTCCTTTTACCCAAACACTCATACGAGACAGGACCCGGCGGGTGAAATGTGATGAGGCAAAGCCTGCTTGCGCGAGGTAGGTCCTACCCTTATTAATATAGAAATGCCCATGGCCATTGGGCTAACCTATGATACAGGTGTCTAGGTACCGGACGAAAATGCGACGGCTATGGACCAAATAAACCACCGGTCGCTGTACCTAGGACACTGGCCCCTGCCCCTGCAGTCGAGTCATCTATAGAAGCCCGGGCACTGGAGCTTTTCTTCCATAAAACAGCAACACAATTAGCAGGCTCTTTTGAGGCCGCGTTCTTCCAAGGTAGTGTCGCCCAATTGAGCCTTGTGGAGCCTACTATCAGACACGCCATTGCTGCGATTGCAATCCTCCACGAAGAGCTGTCATCAAGTTCACCAGGACGAGAATGGGATATTAATGGTCCAGAAGTCCCAGTTCAATGTTATAATAGAGCTATTCGCGCTCTGCTGCAAAAGTTCGAGACAGAGCAAACCCCGATTTCGTTGACATCCATGGCAAACATATTGTTCACTTGCTTCGAGTACTTCCAAGGGAACTTGACTGCGGCCAGATCTCATGTCAAAAGTGGAATCAAGCTTTTGGAATCTTGGCGAGAAAATACGAGACTGCTCGCTCATAAACCATGGGGTCAAAGTTATGATTCTTATGAATCATACTTTATGGAAACTGAGATCGCGCCACTCCTCACCGTCTTCCGTATCAATATTCTAGATAATGAAGATATCGAAGATGCTAGGTTTTACCTAAATCCGGTCGACAAGAATGGCGATGTTGTACTCGGCGATCGATTCGAAAACATACAACAAGCCAGAGCCGGGTTATTAGACGTGATTACGTCTGCGAGTGGGCGTCTACGAGCTGTTAACGAACATCTTCCTAACAATGACCTGGCCGGTAAAAAGGTCAACCAGATCACGCATGTTATACCTGAAGAGATTATGTCTCAATGGGAAACCAAGTTCGACGACCTAATTTCCCGACAGAGTTATTTATGGGGAAACAAAGAAAGACAAGCCGCAAACATTGTCCGCATTATCAACATAGCCGAGACTCTCCGAGCTCGCAACTACATGACCAGTATTGAGTCCTCATGGGATAGTGCACGAGCCGAGTACGAAGAAATGCTATCGATAGCCGACAGTCTCATCTCCGATCACAGTCGCTTCCCTAATGACGGATTCCGACTCTTAAGTTTGGATTTCGGCATGCTATTTTGCTTCCACTTGCTAGCTTGGAAATGCAGATGGCCTTCTCTTCGTCGCTGGGCACTGTCTTTATTGTGCAAAGTGCCTAAGCGTGAGTGGCTCTTCGATCCGAAACACTATCACGCCATCTTCTCGCGCATTTTGGAGATTGAGGAGGGATATCTCGGTGCTTTGCCGGAGGAAATCATTCAGCAGGACCTTGTTCCTCCTGAAAATGCTCGAATTTATGATTTTACGGTCATACCTCAATCGTCTCCTTCCTCTTATTCGTCGGGCCGGGCTGTTTCTTATTCAGTGACTTTCTGGAGTAAGCCTATGGGTCTTGATGGGCCGTTATCGAGCTTGACGGAGTATATGCTTTTAGAAGCTTCTCAACCAGGCGAGACAGCTGTCCCGTCAAGTTTCATTGACAAGCACCATCCGCGTCTTCGCACCGAGGATATAGCGAGCATCGGGCCGAGGTCTACGTCGGCAATGGCCTGCCTAGAGTCTAATGAATCATGATTGCCTTTCTAGAACGCCACACCAGGAAGGTTATGTATAGCGCTCTTTAAGGTTATTGATGTGTCAAAAATATCATCATTCTTCAGAGAATGTCATCGTATATCTTTTAATAGGATTCGGGCTTGGACCCCAATCTTGACTCAATTTGGATGGCCAGTGAGCGGTCATTAGAAAGTTTACCCTTGGATATAGGAAAGAGAAGAAGAAGAGTAAGATGGGGATGTGCTTGTGTGGCATACACATAGACAGCTTCTACATAGCTGTGGAGACAGATTTACTGACAGATCAGTCTGAGCAAGACTGGGACCGGGATGAACAAATTCCCGTTAGTCGGAGCCAACTATACTCCGCATCCAACCTTTGCCCAGCCCAAAGTGATGGGCCGGCGAAAATTCAAGAATACAACTTTTGTGGCTGGAGTTAATCCTGCAGGCCCTCCGCCTTCTAACCTACACTCTTCGTGGTTTCGGGAATGATCTGCACCCTTGATTCGAGTCTCACAACGGCAGGCCCAGTGTGCGCGCCGTTGAAGAGTATCTCGAAACCGAATGTCCGCTGGTTCATGCATAGGCCGTTGCCGAAACGATTCGGTACCAAGTCGAAATATTCAATCAGATTGGAACACATATTCGCAAGAATTCCATTTGTCCACAAATGGGAGGAATCGAGTACAAGATGAGCTCCCATATTCCCCCGAAAATTCCCCCGAAAAGCCGAGAATACGATTCCAATACGAATGTTCCAGGCCTAGACGATCAGTTGGATCCAGGTCAAGTGGGTTTCGGGATTGACAATTGATCCCACTTCAACTTAAACTTGCTTTGTTGCTTCTTTGAATTTTGAGAATAGTCAATAATCTTCAATCGTTAGGGACAAGCATATGCGTGGCCTCGGCTAATGTACACCCGGGAATCTGGCGAGGATTCTACTCTCCTCCGTACCTAAAGTTGAGGAGGCGGTTAAACATACTTGATGATTCTTCGGTTCATGAAGCTGGAGAAAGGTATCCGGGACTCCTTTTAGGATAAATGCTCAGACTAGTGCGGTATGATCGACAATCACGATCTACCCCAGACTATTAGCCTGTTTAGAAATCGAAGAATCGATCAGACCTCAACATTTCGCCCTCGTTCACCGGTATTGGCAAAATCGTATCAACTTTTAGACATCGACTCACGAAACTGATGACAGAATCATTAGAGTCCGAAACTCTGAATGTATGACGAGTGCCAAGCACAACCACGATATTCCCCGAGACCAGAATAGACATCAAAGCCCCGCACCACACATGGCAAGGATTCTAGTCCCCATTTGTCGCCGTTTCTAGACAATAAGTGCGAGTCTAGCCAACAAGCGCGAAGAAATCCCGTACGGAAGATGTGGAGCCGCGCACATGTGTCTCGGAACGATCCTAGCATGTCTTCCGAGCCCGCTTATCCCCCCACCTCCCGCTGCCATAAATTCAAGCCAGCAGGTGGAGGTTACCAAGGAGAGATATATCGCCGGCGGAGTAGATCATGAATGAGCAGGCAGAAAGGTGGACCCCGGCCGGAGCAGTCCCGTAAGGAAGGTTGTCCCAATATTTCGCGGAAGACAGCGAATGTCCGCGGAATTATACGTAGTGCCCACAAGCCGACCCAGAAGGCAGATCTACCATCTGGGGAAATATCGGCACTTTGATCAGCACTTAAAAGCCGATGATTTCTATGGTTGTACCCACAACGACGAAAGGAAGTGCTCCCATTGGAATGGAAGCATTCTGGAAGGGGGGTCTAGTTGCCAAATCCGGTGGTGAGATCGGTGCAAAGCATACCGACTCCATAATGGCCGTTCTCGGTTTATGACTGTGCTTAGCGCTTGGCAAAGGCGCGGCTAGAGATAACTATCAAGTATCGTCATTCTATGACTGATTGACTGGTTCATTGGAGTTCGTGGAGCAATGAGATCGCCCATGCATGTCCTTGCCCCGCCGATCCGGGAACTGGGTCAACCTTATCGTGGGCACGCCAATCATGACCACCGGAAGAATTAGTCCTCCCCACCTTTGAACGGTCGGCCATGAGTCGATATCCATGGGAATGGAACTCTGTTCAAACCGGGCAGAGTGTAGCCATACACGTACACGTACGAGAGAGAGTGTGCGGAACCCGATATTCCACGTTTCAAATATTACACCAAAAGAGAGCCATCTTGAATAGCCGGATGGGGAGTCCCGGGCCGGGGAAGATAGCGGGGACTTAAGTTTCCCCATTTGTCAAGGCAGAGAGTTTGTCACTTCCAGAATTCGGGACGAATACGCAGGTGAATGTTCGGGTGTCCGGTCCCAACGGTCTTACACCTCGAATGATAGACTTTCCCTTGTTTTGTGGCGGCGAAGATCTTCCGAAGGTGTGAACTAGACTGCCACCACCACCGGGTGAAATAGAAGACCACATCCCTGGCCCCCATCGTTGTGGGAAAAAGAGGATTCTTCTGGTCAATGTTCAATCTGCAGTTTTACTCCGATGTGGAAGCCCGCTTGTGTTTCGATGGTGACTCGATCACTTAATTCATCATGGGCGAGGAACATCGCGCGAACTATAGTTCGCCGTCGGACGGAGGTTCGGCGCTGATTATTGTGAGCGTGGTGCTGTCGTTTGTGCAGATCGTCTTTGTTGCGGCGCGGTTTTATACGCGGTATATGCAGCGGATGAAATGTGGACTGGATGACTGGGTCATGCTATTTGCCTTGGTAAGGTGTTCCTCTGGTGATGTGATTCTGAGGCATATTGGATTTGGTGCTAATGACTTTTCCATTCAGGGTGGGAGCTTGGCAAAAGCAATCCTCTATATTGTCTGTAAGTAAACCTGTGTCTCGGCACAGAAAACGAGAGGCTGATCAAGTACAGTGGTCGAACTAGCAGGACTCGGCTATCATCTCAATCAACTAAGCCAACCAAAAGAGAAAGTAGCCCTCGTCCGAAAGGTATCATCATCTCTCTTCTCCCAAAAACCGTCTCCCCCTCTCTATCTATCTATCGCATTCCTAACACTCAATCAGTTCTTCTTCGTCCTAGAACTCCTCGACTTCCCCCTCTGCATCACCCCCGCCAAAATCTCCCTTCTCCTCTTCTACGTGCGAATCTTTTGCATCCGCAAATTCCAGATCCTCGTCTACATTGTAGGATCTCTCGTCCTAGCCATCGGCATCACCGTCTTCTTCCAAACCATCTTCCAATGCTCACCCATTTCTTATGGCTGGGACCAGAGCGTTGGGCCGGGCACTTGCATTGACCAGACCATTTTCTACCGGTACATCTCCTCGTTCAACGTCTTGACTGGCATTTTGATACTCGCTCTGCCACTGCCATTGGTGTGGAAGCTTCAGGCTCCCAAGGCGCAGAAGATTGCCCTGACTGCGGTTTTTCTGTTGGGTGGACTGTAAGTATTCCTTCTTTCAAACAAGACGATTTATGGTATGGATGCTGATTGATGGAATAGTGGAACAGTGGCAAGCATCCTCCGCATGGTGATTTACATGCTGAATGACTCCACAACACTAAGTGATGTTACCTGTACGATCCCCATCTCCCGCCAAATCCCACAAGTTGGCCAATGCTAACGTCTCAAACAGGGTTTTCCGTCAAACTAGGCATCCTCACCGTCGTCGAAGGCGCAGTCATAATAATCGCCTCCTGCCTCGTAACAATCTGGCCCCTAGTAATCCGGCTCACCCCGCAACGCCTCCTATCCGCACTATCCGGTTCTTCCCCCACCACACCCAGGGACCACGAACACCATCAGTGCTGGTACATGCGCACACGCCGTCCATCAAAAAGCGAAGCCGCCCTCACAAATTCTAGAGCTATTAGTACACCGCGAGACCAGGGGAGTGCCTCTTGGTATAGCTCGCACTCGTCGTTTGAGCATTTGGAAGATCAGCGGTGGTGGAGTTATGAGGAGGGGGATGAGATTAGGCCGTGCGGGACTACGCTTGAGTCACATAGAGCAAAAGTTGAGAGTGTTTAATGATAGATTTTTGATTAGTTCAGCAGTGGTATCTGATTGATTGCTATATTGGAGATAAGATATGTAGCCCTGAAACAAAGCCCCGCGGGGCAAACGCAAACGCAAATGCAAAATGCTTCTCTCGTGACTCATACATCAACGGCCAGTTTATCATTGACTGGACCGTTGGGAGGAAGGGATCGACCACCTCTAGTAGGTGTATCGGAAGCCAGCCTGGAATAAGGAGTTAGTATGGTGACTTCCAGGACCTTATACCGAGTAACCAAGACAAGACTTACCACGTGCTGGATGACTCTTTCGCAGCGTTTCTGCTGCTGGTTTGCCCTGTAGAAATACAGGGTGAATACCCCGACGATCAAAATCAGCAGGACTTGAGATCTAGTATTCCCAATTGGTCAGTATATAACTTCCACAACATTCCCAAGGACAACTTAAAATGCACTTACCCGACTGACACCCATACCGCCGTCTGGTACAGCGGGGCCTCTACCTGCCGGACAATGTAGCTGCCCACGACACCCCCCAGCCCATTGAACGCGGTGACCGTTGCGGCTGTAACGGCCCGCTTCCACTGGCCAACAATATTGTTGGCTTGGTAAGCGTTCAACGCCGCCCAATTGGAGACGTAGGCACCGGTTGCGATGAACGTGCCGATGTATCGGGCGGTCACCTGGGTGGACTGGGGCAGTCCGAACATGAGGAAGCCGACAATAATGCAAAGGGCGTTGAAGGTGATGAAGGGCCCTCGTAGGCGCAATTTGTCGGCAGTCAAAGAGGTCACGATGACCGGGATTGCGGCGTAGTAGTAAGGCTATAGAAATGGAAAGTATGTTAGCGGCTTCGATTTCATGTTATCCAGGCAATCGACGAGGCAAGCGGACGACATCATCGTGGATGATGTTCAGGACGGGGGCAGAACTCTAATTCAACTTCCAACGTTTGACACTCACCGGAACTGACAACAAGATCGCCTGATTCGCAGTAAACCCCATGCCCCCTTCGAGGATAATTGGCAGGAAATATGACAGGCCCGTCGACACCAGATTCAGCAGGAAGAACATGCACGCGAAGCCATAGATCTTCACATCTTTGAGGCAGTCGAAAATCCGAGCCCAGGTGAACGGCTCTGGCTGAAGATCCGCACGATCATCCTGGATTCGTGCCGCGGCAATCTGAGACTCTCGCAGAGATAGAAACTTGAAGCTGTGCGCCGAATCCTCCGGAAAGTCGACCATCCACCAATAGGTGGCGATACCCAGAACACAAGTGATCAAGCCCTGTACCAGATACATCCAGCGCCATCCAGCAAGCCCCGCCTTCCCATCCAGATGGTTGAGACCGAAATTGATCAAGGTGCCTGTGGCCAGGACCGTAACTTCACCCGCCTGCAGAAACGCGAATCGGAGCTGCTGCTCACTACGCAGATACCACGTGCTGATGAGGTATGTCAAACCCGGGTAAATGCCCGACATGGCAATACCCAGCAGCACACGAAGGGCAATCATCTGGCGCGCAGTATGAATAAAAGCAGTGCAGAGAGTCAACAGACCGAAGACGAAAGTGATGGATGCGAACCACACACGAGGACCGAAGAGACGCACAGCCAGGGTGCAAGGCAACTGGAAGATGACACCAGCAATGGTGAAGATGAAAATGGCCACTGAGAACCGCGAGCCCTGGTCCAGATCCAGATCGGTCAGCATGCTGGTGACAGCAGCTGAAGACAGGATGCCCGAGTCCAGGAGGTTGAGACTACACAGCAGGCCGGCGATGGTGCAGAGACGCCAGTCGACTTTGCGACGCAGGCGTTGCTCGATCTCGGCCCAGTCTCGGTCCACTTCTTGACGCATGGATGGGGACCTGGTGACGGGATTGGTGCCCCGCATCACAGGGTCGACAGGGAGGTCCGCCATTTGATGAGCGGGTCGGAGTGATCGTGAGGATGTGTGAGGGATTGAGTTTATGGTGAGGTTCTTGATGGGACGGTGTTGAAAACGATGAAGAATGATGGGTTGGAGGTGTTGGTATTGGGAGGTTTCACAGGAAGATGCGGTGAGTTTTCTGGAGGCTCGTATTTGAGGAAGCGACGCGACTACGCTAGCTATTGTGGTCCTCTGTTGTTGTTTTCGCTCTTACCTGCCTGTGAGCCAAGCGAAGCTATTCGAACCGGGCCGAAAGCTTGCCGATTTTATCTCTGTGGGCTCCTGCAGGTCAGATTCTGTGGCCAATGAAGGCCAACTGATCTGCTATCTCCCTGAAAAAACATCACTTTTCTCTCATTTTGTGTTCATTTCATAGGGGTTTCTTAGAATTGAAGAGAATTTATGTGTATAGCTGATTGTGCTGGGTTTCTATTGTTGAGGGAGTGATGTTAGATCAGATAGCAAAATTTGATACATCGAATCCGTTTATAGAAAGACCATAACACACAAACAGGATATATTGTTACAAGCTTTTCAGGGCCACATGGGACCACATGGGTTAGGGTGACATTCCAACCTGGTAGAATGTAACGCTCCTAAGGAACAAAGCAGGATACTCGAAAAGGAGAAATGTCAACTCCACCTTCAATATAGTATACAAACATGATCTCTCTCCACCAACTCAAACTCATCAGCTTTATCGGAAAAGAATCAACTACCATTATGATTGGTGCAAGGAGCTCTTCATGTACAGACCCCCCCCCCTCCCGGCTAAGCTTTGTCCCTTTTGTCCTTTTGTAGGGAGCTTAGGTAAGTCACACCCGCTCGGAACTGCCCCACGTCTTCGGGCGAATGGAGACTGCAATCCACTTTTGGGTCATTTGGGATCAGAGCTTCCACGGGTCTGGGGAGAAAATCAAAATGGCCTGCTCTCTGTGACCTCCTCTCTCCCCCTTCTACTAATACCCTCTTCGACATACTCTCACACTCTCTATTCTATCTCTCACTACCACCTCCTCCGATCATGGTCGAACTCATCAACCCTCCAGAACCACGGATTCTCCTCCCACCACTTCTTGCCTGCCTCCCCACAGCTTTTGTCTCCCCTCGCCCACCGCCAGCTCTGCTCCCCCTCCTCTCCCCTATTCTCCGCCAGCGTATCCAAATCCTCACCTCAGTATCTGCCTCTTCCTCAGACTCCTGGCTCCGCCTTCTCTGCTGGGACACCACCAAAGCCGAGCGGCTGCAGAGCATCGTCGACGATGCGACCTTTGAGCCGCACCCAGTCTCTGGCGAGATCGAACTTCCGACCGAAATCCCCGTTACATACAAGCGTATCGATGATGAGACTCTCCGTGCTCAGGTGCTCCTGCCCGAGTACAGCTTGACCGTCGTTTATCTCTGGTGTCCGGACGACGAGCAGGGCGGTGGCCGCGGATGGCGTGTGGCGGAACTACTTCCGCGCGAGGGTCCCGCCGAGGACGAGAGCTCGTGGGCATCCTCGATCGGCGAGGCCAATGACCAGGCCAAGGAGAAGCTTCTAGCGGATGCGTTGGACGACCGAGTCCAGGCTCAGCCTGCGGACAACGCTGCGGCCGAGGACGATGACGATGACGACGATTACTGGGCGCAGTATGATGCTACGCCGGGTAACAAGACCCCCGCGCCGCGAGCAGGCTCTTCAAACCAACAGCCTTCGGGTCTGTCCGAAGCATCGTACTTCTCACAGTACGGTAATGTCCAACCTGCCATGGACAGCCATGACCCGGAAGAAGAGCAACCCGAGGTTGGGCCTTCCTCGCTGAACGGCGATATGCTGGCAAGCTTGCTGCGACGTCAGGTCAATGGCTTGGACGATGGCTCAATCCCGCGGACAAACGGGTATGCAGCCGGCGAAATGCCCAGTGACTCAGCTGCCCGCTCCCTCAGCCACCCACGCCCAGCATCCGCCTCATCTGGTAGCTCCGACGCCGTGGCCAAGCTGGAGCAGGAAGCCGAAAGTCAAAGCACATACGAAGTCGGCGTGAAGCAGCACATCGGTACAAGCATCAAAAGCCTCTTCCGCCTCGCCAAGGCGACAGGAATGTCGCGGGTCGAGTTCCAAAGCATGGTGCGGACAGAGTTAGAGCTCTTGGATGTGACGGACGTGGATGATTGAGAACGTGATTTGTTTTTTTCTTGCATCTTCTTGCGGTGATACCCATGAGCCCATGAGATTTAGCTTTGGATGAGATGAAATGAGATCGGATGAGATGGGGAATGGAATGATTGTATAGTGATCTGAGAACTTGGAACAGATATCAGCCATAGATTGACGCATGCTTGCATACGCATTTGGGGGGTTGGGTGCATTGTTATCTTGTCTTTTCTTTTTGTTTCCCTTGTGATCACTTTTCTTTGTTACTTGGTCTCTAGTTTCGAGGCATTTTGGCTAACCTGGTTTGCTGGTTGATATGTCATGCATAGTGGAATTTTAGGTATATTACATATTTTCATAATGCTGTTTCTGCTCCTCATTCAGTAGAATTCCTTGTCGGCGGCTAGCAATTCTCCAGGCTCTCCTGTTCCGAGCACCGAAAGCCGCCGACCCGATTAGGTTAGGGACCTAACGCAGGGGCCGCACTTACCCAGGCGCTGGGCCCACCCACCCAAGGATCGATGCTTCCTCATCCAGCACATATGAGACCTGTTTCCTCTCAATCAATGCCTGTACATACTCTCCAGTTCAATGCTCGCCTTTGGTCATCTGTATCGCTGAAACCTCATCAACTCGTTTTCAATTTTCGAAGAAGGACGCCCACAAATTCCTCACACTCATCTAGGGATGGCGCTCAAGCTATAGTTCTCCGACCTATAGATCTCGTGATACTTAAAGATCAACTAGTTCATCAATGCTATAATGAGATTCTAATATGCCCTCAGTTGCCTCGCGCATTTTCTTTTCAACAAAGGGTTCATTGTTGAGACACTCTTCAGCACTCAGCAGACATAATCGATCCTCCATCGTTGTAAAAGGGCCAAAAAACCTCGATTGAGAAATTTCCAGTAAATCTCATCGAACATAGAACTATGCCGTAAAGCAAGGCAAATCCAAAATAATCCAGTCTCGAATGAGTTCGTTATACTAAGTGAAAGACGCTGAGATTGTGACAAGGATCCGCCTTTGATTTTGCTGTTCTCGCAATCCTGAAGGACATCCTGGAAAAAGCGAAATCTTGGCATAAAACGGTCTATAAATTAATCAAGATCAACCTTCCAGTCCTCTGGATGCTCTACAAGAGCCACCAAGGAGCAGCGTATGTGAACTCAACCGGGGCGGCGTAGGCAAACTCCCAGTCAACTACCCCGTTGATAACAAGTCTTGATAGATCTATAAGGACATTGCTGGGCAAAAGATCGTCGCAATAGAGTCTAAAAGGCCCATTGTAGTGCTCCTTAGCTATCTCCCTCGAGAGTTTGCGAAAAAGACAGCGTGCAATGTATTTTTTTCCGGCAGTCGATTTCATCTGTGACTGCGTCGTTCCGCTGAAGCTCAAGGTGGTAAAGTGCTGTTCCCGAAAGCCATTGAGTGGAATATTGGAGAACTGAGCAAGCGGTTTATATTGAAAGTAAAAGGACGCTTTGAGACAGTCCAATCACCGGACGAGTCTTTTCGAATAGCTCCAATATAAGGGAATTCAGGCTTCGAAACATGATTAGTAAATCGAATCAGCGTATTATTATGGTGAGAATCCAGCTCGGCATTAGCTTTAGCGTAAAGGTTGCATCAATGCTATAGTGGGGTTCCATAACTTACCAAGCCCTGACAAATTTTCAGAATAGGTATCTAATCCATCACGAGTTCAGCGATACAGACCAAATCATAGTGCAAATTTCCGAGGGGGCAGCAGCGTTACCCTGAACTAGCGAGTGGGTCGTTTGGTTGGTTATGTTAGTCTGATTTACTACTTCACGGATGTGGATTGCTGCTTGAGTTCGGAGCGAGTGCTGAAGCCGCCAGTCGGGCTTTATTCATTGCAGTCAACCGCGAAAAGTCAGCCGAGTTTCGGCTGCTCGTTGAGCATGGCGCAGATATACATTTCCGCGGCAAGAATATATCTGTCTTCAAGCGTGCTCTTGAATCTTCTCGTGAGGAGATTCGAAACGCCATTCTTGAACGAGGGATTACTCAAGAGACGCCAGACCCAGCAGCCTCCAAGTCTCGGACCGGGAATACAGACAACTCATAGACGGAGAGGAGCGACTTTGTTTTTCAGAGAATCAACTCTATTACTTTGCACACAGGACGCCCACAAGCGGATTACGTTAACAATTTCCCGGCATTTGGTGCGAAATAAAGGGGGCTGCACCCTTGGGACCTGATTTCTTAAACTTCCCTTCCGACGTTCACACGCCTATCTTGATTTAATGGAAACCAGCAACCAAAAGTTCCATTTCTTGTCTCAGCTACCTGCGGAAGCCATCTGGCGTGAATGTCTCCTAAACCGCGTTGTGGAAATAGACTATCCATGGGAAGAGGGCGTCGTCTGGGGTCCTTATTCGCTATGCAAGCTGCGGCAAACGACCATTATCAACAGACGTCCGCCAGTGATCAGCCGTGTATGCCGTGAATCGCGCTATATCGCGTCTAAGTTTAATACTAGCTATGATCGTGAAAAGGGCTCGCCTTCTCTGGAGGCGCCTCCGGATGCGCAGTGGAACTCTGATCTCCAACTTGAAAAATCATGGATCGACCCCTCTCGAGACATCATTCACTTAAATTGGACTTCGTACTACACGGCTGGATATTTTGGCGACGGAAGTGCCCTCGATTTTCTAGCTTGGAGAGCGGTCCAGGCCTCCGGGGGCTCTTTTATGTTTGATATCTTGATCATACATTCGATGGAGATATCGATGTAGAAGAGAGGATTGGGGCCCTCCAGAAATTGCAAAATGGAGTCGTCATGATGCACCTTATCGCAGTGCATACCACGTTCGAGACTGCGGCGAAAACGGGCTTGTATGGACCTCTCGGTGATGCCTGTATTCAGCTTGTCTCTGTATCCGACGAAGCGAGACTAAATGCTTTCCTCGATTTTGCAGAGAAATGTGAATCTAAAGCTGACAGATTCATTGCTAAAAAGCAGGCCTTCCACAGAGAGTCTCCGGAGTCGATGACGAGAAGACTAAACCACAAGCTCGGGGAGACCTTTGGGGCTGAAGCTGGTCAGAAATTACCTCCTTTGAGTCCCGGCAATCATATTCAGATTCTGCCCCCAATGGTGCACCCATTCATTCCTTCCGAAGTTCACGAAGGGCCCAAGATGTTGCCAATGAGGATGTTGGACGACTTAGAAATAACAAGATACTATTTTAATCAGATAGGGTGTAATCGAGAGCGACAGCGAGGGTAACTACGAAAAATGCCTGCAGTACATACCACACTATGGTAGGAAATCAGGTGTAGAAAACAGGAATAAGCTCTACTTACATGTCAACTATAAACAAAAATCTTTCAAAACTGCTAAGACTCATACGTGCAGGCTGAATAAGCCCATTATCCTGCCAAAATAGGATTTGATGACCTAATTAAGCTTTCTCGGGCTCGAAACTGAGCGTAGTCAGAAAATCGGCACTAATTTTGCCGACCACACCTAGCGAATTTGTGAGTCAATACGTAGCAACAACACGCATCGTTGGTTTTCCGCATTCTCAATTGAAAAGGGACCAATTCCCAACACGCGTTGTACAAATTACAGTATCTCTCTTCGCAAAACATCGAAATTTTCCTTCCAGTCATCCTGAATCTGGCCTTTGCTTACAGCATGACCGACAACGCAGCAAATGAGGGATTTTCGGCTGCGCACAAAGTCCTCTCTACTCCACTACTCCTAGAACGGATCTTTACATGGATCTATGAGGATGTTTATGGCTCCTGGCCAGTTCCCGAACGGCCTCAAAAGCCCCGAGATGAGGACGAAGAATACAATTCTAGCGACTACATCGAAAGAGGTGGGGTCCTGGCTCGCTGCGCTTTGGTCAGCAAACAGTGGTTCTACGAAGCCACCCGAATCCTATGGCGGGACTGGGAAGACAAAATCTTTTTGCGTCCTAAGTTCGTAGAAACCTTTACGAAGATGGAGCCGACGCGCCCACAGCTTTATGCAGATATGATTCATCATGCTGAACTAGCCGTTGTTGAAAATCCTGAGCTATTTTACACTGTCCAAACTACCTTCACGGACATAACATTTTCAAACCTCAAGAGCCTCTATCTTTATGTACCTGGAGATGGTAGTGACAGGGCAGAGATTCCTATCTTCCACGCTCCACAATTAACGAAGCTTTCCTTTGATCCACAGTATGACTGGCTTCCAGTTAGCTACTCTGTACAACAGGATGAATGGAAGGTGATTTTTGACCTTATCACGGTGCGTTGTGGATACTTGTTCTTCATATTGTCAAGTCTCGCTACTAAATAACAGAATATTGCAGGATCGCTTTCCCGATCTTGAGAGTATTAAGTTCGAGGATTCAGCCAAGGTTTGGCCTGGCGAGCTTCAGAAACTCAAGGATCGGCTTCCCCGTCTTAAACATCTGGATGCACAGAGTGTGGTGGAGAGTACAAGGAAAGGACGTGACGCTTGAAACCTTTGACAGGCCCGGAAAATTTTCATCTCCTTGCATATTCCATAGGCCATTCAAGAATATATGGCCTTGCCAAGGCTACTTTACCCACTTATATACCATTTTGAATTATCCATGGTCATAGACTCCTTATTACTGTAACTAAGCATAAATTGGTCAATGTCGAATGACAGAGTAATAAGGGCTTAGAACGACTCCTCTTTGGTGTTCAAGATCGAAGGCATTACTGGGCACCACCGGGCAATCGAGCCGCATATTATTACAGGGCTCAAATCCATGAAGCCCGTCCAAGAAATCTCCCACAGAAGAGGCAAGTCAATTATGGCAAACAGAGGTTATGACCATGATTAAGGTCAAACAATCAACTTCCCCCCTCCGATGGCCTAGTTGGTATCCACCACAAATTGGGGAACCATAGTTGTGCCCTGGAGGAGTGGGCAAACAAACAGAGAAGAAAAGAATACTGGGCCAGTGTTAACGCTTTGAGCTCCACGGACGGCCGGGTACACCCCTAGGCAGGGGGGAGTTCATTTTTTTGGAGATTTTTAGCAATATTGTTTGTAAAATAGAAATATATCCTAGGCTAATACCTAGTAAGTATTAATGCTATTTCTTTCATAGCCTCTTTAACGGTGTTAGGCGTGTAAAGGGGGTGTGGACTGGCGATGTTCTTCGGTGTCCTGGGGTCACGATTCAGTAACAGGGCGAAGTATATAGGGGAGGAGAGGGTCATCGGTTCGATTCATGGCGGTGGAGAATTTATTCAGTCTGATCTTTGGGAAATTTTACGTATAGCCAGCTGGAGACTATCTCACGGCCTAGCAAATATTGCCCCCGCCATCCCGATTGTTGGCTGAAAAAGTTATCCGGCATGTATTGGTCATTGTGCTCGATGATCAGATGGGAATCGAGGTGGTTGTGTTGTATTTCTTTTTCCTTAATTTTCGCTTTCAAAAGTCGACTCCAATCTGAGTGTTTAATTGACTTCAAGTATTGTTCTCAAGCGATATCAGACGGGCTTCACAGCAAAGATCTTAAATGAGCCTTGGGTCTGATTAGTATCGTAGCTTATGTTCAAATTTGTTACGTTGTAGCTTACCAGTCCAAACATTGAAATCGACGTTTGGCAATCCCTTGACCTCTCTCGATTCAGTAACGGTTGTAGTAGCACAACATGACCTTTTTGCCGGCGCCTCGTTACTATCTTCTTTCTGCCACATCTCCTTGTACATGTTGAGGTCACTGTTGGTATTGACAATCAAGACGTCTTTATCCGAGAAATTAGCAGGTGGGCAACGTAAAAGATACAGTACTGTTACCTTGAAATCCTGCTTCCTTGAGATATCGTTCATAATCCCCAACCTGGCTAGCCCCCGCGATACAGCCAACATATAGGGAGAGGTCTTGTCTTATTTCGAGCGGAAGCTCTTGCTTTGCTAAGATATCACTGATTGCAGCTCTACCTCCCGGCTTCAGTAGACGAAATATCTCTTGAAATACAAGATGTTTCTCAGGTTCTGGCACTAGGTTTATCACACAGTTGCTGATGATGCAGTCAACCGTAGATGATGGTAGCGGGATAGATGTGATGAATGCTTCGATAAACGATGCATTTGAGGCTCCAGCATTTTTCGCATTCCGACGGGCCAATTCCAGCATGTCCTGCTGCTGTTTTAGGACGAAGGTACACCCAGATCCGCAGACTGAATTGGACTTACCTTCGTCATGTCGATACCAATAGCCCTCCCTTCGGGCCCAACTTTCTTCGCGGCGAGTAAAATATCGATACCTCCACCACTACCCAGATCAACGACTGTCTCACCCTATTTGGTAATGGTAAGACGATGCCACTACTCAGGACTCGGGATTTTCTGTAACTTACCAGACTGATATTAGCCGTCGCTAATGGATTCCCACAACTAACACCTAGGTTCGCATTTTCGGGTAGAGAGCGTAAATCGTCCGGGTCATATCCAAATGCCGTTGCCACTTTTCTTTCATAATCCCTCTGTTCATTCAACTCCGTCTGATTTGCAACACTTGCATATCGTTGCTGCACAGATCGATATGTATCTTCAGAGTTCATCGCGCGGAAATGTGTTCTGTAGCACTGGATCGGGTAAATTTGGTGTACAAAGCAAGGATGGAAATGGATGATTTCGCTGAATGAGGGAAAGAGAGGTCGTTCGAGATGGTTTGAGAGGTCCAAGTTTATGTTATGTACTCTTCGGATCAATAACTTGGCGAGTCCGCATCTGCGGGGTAGGGGCTGTGACCCGCCGATTATACACCACGGAATCTTGGCAAGTGACCGACCTATCCTGACAGTGATATGACAGTCATAGAGTTCATTCTAGATCAAAGGCTGTAGTATTAACTTGGCGGGCAACATATGGTATACCGTAGGCGAGGGAATGTTAGTTCAGACTAGATAGGAGACAGAGTTTCATAACCCTAACACCCTAACAGAAAATGGCTTGATAAGGGACGAATAGTCTAGAACGCCCATGTAAGATGAGATTTTCAATGCAATTTGTCGCTAACTACAAGGCTTGATCGCAATAAACGCTTGTCTCATCACATGCAAGATAAGTATCGATAGGCCGTTATTTAAAAAAGTATGCAGGAAATTCACAAGCCAAAAGTCCTCGTCTTCAATATGATCTCAATCCTTCCAACCGAGCCTCTTGCCTATAAATCTGGCAACATAAACAAGGCCAAGTAGTACCGGAACCTCGATCAACGGGCCCACAGTAGAAGCAAGAGCTTGATTGCTGTCAGCACCAAATGTTGCGACAGCGACAGCAATTGCCAGCTCGAAGTTGTTGCTGGCAGCGGTGAAACTCTGCGTTGCAGCCAACTTGTACCCAAAGCCGAGCTTGTAAGCCACCAGGAGAGTGACGAAGAAGACGATGATGAAATAAACAATCAGTGGAGCCGCCACTCGGATCACGGATACAATCTGATGCACCACTTGGCGACCCTGAGATGCGAACAGCACGAGAATAGTGAAGAGCAGCCCGAGAAGTGATAGCGGACTAATATACCTAACGAAAACATGGTCGTACCACCGGGGGCTAGCAATCTTCCGAAGAGTCATTCGTGTGAGAATTGCCGCACCCAGGGGGATGCCCAGGAACACTGCCACGCTTTTGGCGGCGGTGGAGTAGGATAATGTGACCGTGTCGTCCGAGTCACTGATGACATTGATGAAGAACACAGCCAACGGAGCAAAGAGGACCATTTGTAGGATCGAGTTGATGGCGACGAGAATAGCGCAGTACTCGTTGTCACCGCCGGCGAGGCCAGTCCAAATGAGAACCTAATCGTAATGTGATGTCAGTTGTATTCAAGGATGAAATGAATTTTTGTCTCTTACCATAGCAATACATCTGGCCAGTCCAACGAGAATCAAGCCTTCCCGAAGTTCTGGTTGATCGGGTAGGAAAGCCCATGCCAGTCCCAGCTAGAAACGTAATGTTAGCAAGGATCGTTAAGACCAGTGAAGAGGCTCTATGTCATACCATCAAGAAAGGAGCAATGATCCAGTTCACAAAGATACTGAATGCAATCTGAACCCAAATTGCCCGCTGCTTGAAGATGTGGTGTAAAGATTCGTATCGCACTTTGCAAAGGATAGGGTACATCATGACGAGGAGACCGATGGCTTGGAAAGGTCAGTTCATGTCTGTATCTCCGGAAATATGAATAGCACATACCGATTGGGATAGAAACCCCCACGAACTTTCCTTTTTGAAGAGCTGGCCCTGTGTTTTCCACAAAGTTGCCCAAAATGATGCCGATGGCCATGGCAAGGAAGATCCAGACAGCTAGGAACCGGTCTAGCCATCCGAGACCCTTGAAAGCCGATTGCTGGGACGGAGACTCTTCATGTTCATGACCCATTTGCTTCTCAATATCCTTTATAGAAGGAGTCGGCGGCTGATCCATCGGTGTTGGATCGACAGATTGCGAATCTGCAGTTGCCTTTGGGGGCAAATCTGCCTGAGAAGTTGAGACGGCCATCTCAGGAACTAGCCGATCGATCGCGCTTCAAGAGCTTTTAAAGGGCAAATGTATTGGGTTGAGGGAGAACCAAAAACAAAGAGTATATCAAAATCTTCACAGACAAAAAAGAACCGTCTATAAAATATGTAGAAACTGGAGTATTCAAAGGTAGAAATTATACATTATTCCTGGTGTATTAGATGTGGGGCAGCCACAGCCAATAAAATTTGGCGAATGACACTCTGTTCATTCTAACCAATCACAGCCAAGTAGTGACCAACTGTCAATGCTCACAGTTCGTGTTTTTCAGCGGTAGAAAGGCAGTGTCTCCTTTTCCAAATCTTAACCAGTCATGATCTCGAAGTGACATGTTTTCATGCAAAGCTTACTTCGGACGTGTCGTATCAGAATATCCTCACGACAGGATCCATCAGCGAACGTATCTGAAGCTGGCCCATGCCAACCTTGAAGCTCTTGCCACAGATCTAATCAGATAAATTACTTGAATGACTCTAAAGCATTTTATGTCTGGAAGCATCAGCTCTGGCCGGGTATGCCATGTGTAAGAGCTTTCACCGATTCAGGAACAGTCTTGTCTGACATTTTTTTGTAAATTGCGGGACATATCCACCTCGAAAAGAAAGTTCGAGACCGACAGGTTATCCGCCTGATTTGGTAGCTCAAACGTGGTATCTAGAGTTTAAGAATCGTAGCTTTGTCCCTCGTGTGGATAGTACCAGATCGATCTTTTCCTCTACCACTCTTCACTCAGCTCTTCTTGTCGCACCCAACCAAGGAACTACCTTTCCCTAAACAAACACTCGATAAGCACACCATGGCTTCCAAACCTAGCGTCTTATTTGTCTGCATTCATAATGCTGGTCGGTCCCAAATGGCTGCGGGGTATCTCAATCACCTTGCCGGAGACAATGTTGAAGTCCGCTCTGCGGGGTCCGCCCCCGTCGACTCCGTCAACCCTAATGTTATTGAAGCCATGCTTGAAGAAGGCATCGACCTGCGCAGCCAAAAGCCCAAGGTTTTGACAACCGAGGCAGTTCAACTCAGCGATGTTGTCATCACGATGGGTTGTGGCGACGTCTGCCCTTTCTTCCCGGGCAAGCGATACCTGGACTGGCAGCTGAACGACCCCGCTGGTCAAGGCATAGATGCGATCCGACCCATCCGTGATGAAATTCGTCAACGTATCGAGGGTCTCATTGAAGAGCTCAAGTCCGAAAAAGCTGTTTGATTGGTCGATCATCATATCAAAGTGCAGGAGGGTTGAGAATTCGCCTCATCGGGCTTGAAACATGGGTTGCGCGATTACATAGATAGCGAAGGTTGATTGATCACTTGGCTAATTTTATGATTCGGAAATGATTTAATGACTAGAAACAACCAGCTTCAGAAACATAATCAGGGGAGACACGGTACATTCAAAAACTGTAGAAAGACATTCTGCGTCATTCTACAGACGGCGCTTAACTACGCAGAGATTCTCCAGGTTTTTGCCCGAAACTATACAAACCATTCTCCTATTCATGAATGTTGCTCTAATTTTTACCAATGGTTTTCCAAATTACTGACACGGTTACTGTGTCCTTAACTAGACCCTTATGTGGGCGATTATCGCTGACGATGCCATCGTATTCACGTTACACCTTACAACTGTGACCCAAATACTGCCATACGAGTAGAGATATTATCTGGAACAACGGCCTTTGGCTCATTAGTTAGATAAAATCTGTCGTGATTTAAGAAACCCTGGTGGCTATCATAAGCCTTCGTTCTACGTATGGTAGGTAGGGAAAGCCAATTTAGGAATCTTTCTTCAAAATAGTTCAACATAGTATCTGATCATTCAAGGGCTTAGGACTACCTCATCTTCCCCTCATACCTGGTTCGAGGATTTTGAAACTGGAGAATGAGCCCCGAGAATGCCTCGCTCATGTACTGAGGGGGAAAAAAACTCAGACAGTTGCGGGGAAGGGATTTTCTCTTAAATAAACTCCACTACAATATCAGTGGATGCTTACCCTCAGAGTGTTTCACTCCATAGCCATGAAGGTGGACGATTTTGTAGTACTCAATGAAGGTATCAAGTACAAGAGAGAAGTGGGGAGGAAGAGATGTATAAAATTGAGTATTATTTATATTCTGCCTGACAGACTAGGCATCAATATCCAGTTATCTAGAACCATTGTATATTGCAGAAGAATTTCCACGTCATCGGCCTTTTCCACTGTCGCATGTTCGTTTCTAAATAATAGAGTATTGATGCTCTGATTGGTAGGGCTGGGGAAACTCGAGTGTAGATGCGCGCCCGCTCGGGCCACCGCCTTGCCAGAAACAAGAAGACACGCAACCAGTCCAAACCGCCCCCTCGGACAACTCCTTTCTCTGCAACCAGCTTTCCTGGCCTCAATTTCGGAGTGCCATGCCCTTTGGTGATTCTGGTAAGTCTTGACCATTGATCCTGGCTTTATCTTTGCCATTCTTTCTCTTTTCTCAAGTTGCTTTGATGGAACCCTGCTGACAGCTACGCCGTTTCGGAAGTCTATTTACTTTAGGTGGTTTCGCGGTCATTCTCTATCGGTTTTCCTATTTTTTTCTTCCTCTTTTCTTCAGCATGTCGTCCCCTTCTTCCTCTCTCCGTAAGAGAGGCGGCAAGAAGGAGACTTATACGGCGGTGCCCTCGGATGATGCCTCGCTGCTTCCTGCCGTCGCGGCTGCGCGCAAGCAGTCGGAGTGGGATTATTGGCTGGCCATGATCGTGCTCACTGTGTTGGCGTTTGCGACTCGTTTCTACCGCATTGACTACCCCAACGAGGTTGTCTTTGATGAAGTTCATTTCGGCAAGGTATGCTTCGTCTTTGGAGAGCCGCGTCAAGACGCAATGGCAAAAGGGGCCCTCCCTGGGCTGAATTAAGCTGACATGTGCTTGTTCCATAACTAGTTTGCCTCCTATTATCTCCAGCGCACGTACTTCTTCGATGTGCACCCTCCCTTTGGGAAGCTTCTATTTGCCTTTATGGGCTGGCTGATCGGATACGATGGCCACTTCCTGTTCGAAAACATTGGTGACTCGTACATCGACAACAATGTGCCTTACCTTGCTCTCCGCGCAATGCCAGCTACCCTCGGTGCCCTGACTATTCCCGTCGTATTCCTGACCATGTGGGAGTCTGGATACTCACTCCCGGCCTGTGTGCTGGCAGCTGGCCTGATGGTGTTTGACAACGCGCACATTGGCGAGGACCGCCTGATCCTCCTGGACTCCACCCTGGTTTTGTCCATGGCTCTCAGCGTTCTCTGCTATGTTCGTTTCTATAAGTTGCGCCACCAGCCATTTGGCCGTAAGTGGTGGAAGTGGCTGCTTCTGACTGGTTTCTGCATGAGCTGCGTCATCTCGACCAAGTACGTCGGTTTCTTCACCTTCGTGACCGTCGGTGCTGCCGTTTTGATCGACCTGTGGAACTTGCTGGATATCAACCGTCGCCAGGGTGCTCTTGATATGTACACCTGGGTGAAGCACTTTGCCGCTCGTCTGGTCGCGCTGATCATCATCCCCTTCTTCTTCTACCTCTTCTGGTTCCAGGTTCACTTTGCGGTTCTCACCCGCTCCGGGCCTGGTGATGAGTTCATGTCCCCCGAGTTCCAGGAGACTCTGAGTGACAATGCCATGACCGCCCAGTCTGTTGGAGTTCAGTACTATGATAGCATCACTTTCCGCCACAAGGACACCAAGACCCTTCTCCACAGCCACTGGGAGAAGTACCCTCTGCGCTACGATGATGGCCGTATTTCCAGCCAAGGCCAGCAGGTGACCGGCTATCCTCACAATGATACCAACAACTTGTGGCAGATTATCCCCACCAAGCCTTTGGGTGAAGATGCTCAGTCCAAGAGCGTCCGCAACGGAGATGTCATTCAGCTCCTTCACGTCGGCACCAACAGCTACCTTCTCACCCACGATGTGGCTTCCCCATATTACCCAACCAACCAAGAGTTCACCACTGTGACCCCCGATCTGGCCGAGGGCGAGCGCCACAATGATACCCTGTTCGAGCTCAAGATCGAGAATGGCAAGCCAGCACAAGAGTTCCGCACCTTTGCCAGCTTGATCAAGCTCGTTCACGTGCCTACCCGCGTCGCCATGTGGACACACACTACTCCTCTCCCCGAGTGGGGCTTCAAGCAGGCCGAGATCAACGGTAACAAGAACATCCTTCAGTCCAGCAACTTGTGGTTCGCCGAGACTATTGATGGCCTCGCGCCTGATAGCCCCCGCCTGGTGCGGGAGGAGCGCGAGCCCAAGTCTCTGTCCTTCCTCCGGAAGTACTTTGAGTTGCAGGGTGCCATGTTCCACCACAACAATGCGCTGACTAGCAGCCACCCTTACGCTACCGAGCCCTTCCAGTGGCCGTTCTTGCTCCGTGGTGTCAGCTTCTGGACCAAGAATGAGACTCGCGGCCAGATCTACTTCCTGGGTAACCCTATCGGATGGTGGATTGCCAGCAGTCTGCTGGCCGTATTTGCGGGTATTGTTGGTGCCGACCAGCTGTCTCTTCGCCGCGGAGTTGATGCATTGGAAGAGAGTGAGTTCCCCAAACCTGTTAATCTCCCCGTCCTTCTTTGAGTCTGCGACTAACCTTCATCTCTTCTAGTCTGGGGTCCTGGAGCCCGCTCTCGCCTGTACAACAGCACCGGATTCCTGTTCCTGTGCTGGGCTGCCCACTACTTCCCCTTCTGGCTGATGGGTCGTCAGCGCTTCCTGCACCACTACTTGCCATCTCACTTGGCATCGACCATGGTGACTGGCGCATTGATCGAATTCATCTTCAACCTGCAGCCTCTGGACCCTGCCACCGCGGCGCCACCCGAGGATGACCCCTCTGGCAAGGCCAAGGCGAACCGCAGCCTGGGTCGCTTTGTCACTGCCAAGGAGCGCATGGGCCGCAGGTCCGTCATTGCGGGATGGATCGCGACCCTGGTCATTCTGGCGTTTACCATCTATGGATTTGTCTTCTTCGCTCCATTGACCTACGGTTTGCCTGGGTTGGATGTGGATGGCGTCAATGCACGCAAGTGGTTGAACTATGATCTCCACTTTGCCAAATAAGGGAACTTCATGGATTTTCCCACTCCTCTCCTTCGATGATCTCTGATTCCTGTTTTTGATCTTTGATTACACTTGCCACACTAGTTGGATGTGAACATGATTTGGCCGAGCTCTGGGAGGAAAAGATCATTATTTCCCATCTCTGATATTGACACCGTTATTTGTAGGAGTATGTGTATCAATGTTTTGCTGGCGACTTTTGCGTTAGAGGGGCCATGGACGGTGTTTGAAATTTGATAGGACTGGCCTGCGGGTGCGTGGGTTGGCCTGTTGTCTGCTGTGTTGTATCTACCGGCCCATCTCTGCTATTTACTATTTCCAATCTCTTCTTTTTTTCGACTCCATGACTACCTCATGAGTTCCGCTGCGTTCCATGTCCAGTCCCATGGACTTGTCGAGTCCTTGTGTGACTGTAGATTCCCCGAGTCATCCATAGCCTCGAGTTGTACAAAGATGAGCACGATCATCAGCCGACCGAGACAACAACTGTATCCACATGATCGGCATGTATATGTAGTGGGATGTAGCACGATAGAAAGAATCATAACTCACTAAGAGAGGAGCGAGAAAGAAGAAGACAAAAAGATGGAAAATCATGAATGATATAGATTAATCTGTTTAACCGTGACCTATGCAGCAAGCTCATTGGACCAGACAGATCCTATTGTAGCAGGAGATCCAATTAATTTGATTGGCAGGCGGGGTCAGTCGGGGCCAGAGCGAATGGGCCTCCAAAATGTAATATGTAATGTCTTTGATTTGTGTGTACTCGTATTTATTTCCATTTTGAGTTCGATTTCATCTTGGGTGGTGCGTACGCGGTATGAGATCCAAGACGAGTTTTAGTTTCAATGCGTGGACTTACAGTAGTCCGTACTGGATGTACTACTGTACTGCTGTAGTTGGATGGGCGCCCCTAGTTAGGCCAAGAGAAGCTTGCTCTGCCTTCTGACGAATACATTCCAGGTTGTCTGTGCTGGCATTCTTGCCTGCAGGATACTGAAAGCGGCAAATTAGGTATTGTAGTCTAGTGCATATAATATTTGTATAGAATATACTCCGTATAAATGATCAAGAAGACTTCAAGATGCAGGATCTTTCCTTGAATAAATAGCTATTGTACTCCGTCTGTACTCCGTACTATTTAAATACTCGGTTGACTGGATATCATCGGCGGGTCCGATCGTGACATAAGCGGCCAGTCAGGCTATTTATTTATAGTCAGTCCTAAAAGGGTTACAGCCCATACACATCGCATACAGTACTGTACTAAAGTTAGTAAAGAGGTTTCACCCAGCTCTGCACATGAGCCAGTCGATAGTCGCCATGGCCCTACTTGACTCCATAGTGAACTCACTCGATCCAATTGCCAATCCGGGCATAATAATATCCGATCAAAAGTCTAGATGGGCGACTGAGCATCGACATCATCATACAGTCCAAGTCCAGCCCTGATCCCTGCCCTGCCCTCCCCATCCGGTGCAGCCAAAAGGCAAAAATACTGCAGGGTCACGGCGGAAACTAGACGCCAGGCGTGCACTAATGAGTGGCCTGGCTCGATTGTTTTTTCTGGTTCAGAGGGGTTGTTAGTGCAATTAGTGTAGGGCATTCAGTTAATAGTTATACTTAGTGTGCTTTTTTAATCGCTTCCTAGTTGCTACTTGCCTCTGTGGCTTAATAGGTTCTTGCGATTGTGTTTTCTCTTCTTTTTTACATTTTTTCCCCGGCCTTTGTTTCCTGTCCCTTTCATTCTTTGCCTCGAAGTTTGCGGACATTCCGTACTGTACTTTCTCCATTCCCGGTATCCTTTTCCAATCACTGGGCTTATTGAGGCTTTATTCGTTCCATTCTTGGGCTGTATTATCCTAATATTCCCCTGGCTTCGGTCGCTGTGGACTCTTGAATTGCTTCCCAAAACGTGAGTATTGAGGACTGAAATCTTGACTTTCAAGTTCCCAACAGGGTCCTACCCGACCCGGGCGGCTTTTTTCTTTGCTCTCCCAAAGCTCCACATCCCCCGATCTGACTCGCTCCAGCTTGTTCGACGGACTCAATCGCTGCGGAGCCCAAACTGAAACGGCACAGTACAAGTGTCCAGCCCGGGTCTCACCTGGTGAATTCTTTTCTTTCGCTTCTTCAGCCTCTCTTCTTTAAGAACAACACACACACACATATTGATCTATCTGAATACTATCCTCAGGTGAGTTCTCGGTTCAGGGGAAAACACAAACCCAACCAAACCTTCCCGGGGAGTTTGTTGTGAGTTGGCAATCAGATCGCAGCATCCGATACAACCAGGGAGCCAGTGCCCACCGGGTGGATTCCTTCCGGGGGTCTTGATCAGCCGCTAGAGAAGTGTGATTGCTGCGAGCAGTACCGCTTGCTCACTGCTCAAATGCTCGGTCTTCGCTTGTTGTCTCCGTCTGGAAGCTTCTTCTTCTTCTTCTTCTTCTTTGTCCTGAACTGACCCTCGCTTCCCTTCAATTCTTTCCAGTCTCATCCCCTGATCAGCATCATCGGTCATTCGTTTTTCTCATTGTTTTCCCGCTGTACAAATCAATCGGAGTTATCTGGTTTCCCCTTGCGACCGCTCGGCCGGCCCATCGGCCCATATCCTTTTTCTCCAGACCCCCTCCTCCTGGACTGATCGCTTTTTTTACCCACTTTTCTCGCCCCCGTTCATCTGCATTGGACACGTCAAAGTCACCAAAAAGAGAGCTCTACGAGACTATTCACAGTTTTTTCCCTCCTCCTTCTTCCATCAGAGTGACCGGGAAAACCTTAATGGGAGTGACTCGCGATTGAAGGGAGGCAGGTCTACAACGATAATCCTATCTCGTCCATTCAGCTGCTCCCTGTTGCGTGGTTAAATACCGCAACACCGCACCAATGCCCATCAAGTTGCCTAAAGGCTTCGCCCGGAGGAAGTCGTCGGGCAATGTTCTAGACGATGTGGATGGCCAACCCCAATCCTCCTTCCGGGTCTTTGAGCGACCGGGAGCCCAACAACGATCAATGACAGATGGCGCTCCACTCACCAAGCGCATGAGTGAAGGCCATGCGAGTCTCGAGGACAATGATAACATCTTTGCCGGGTCAGAGCATCCCTTGGGCAAAACTCGGTATGGCCGCCCCCGGACCATGGAATCCCTCAGGAAGGGACTGACCGGTCGCCATCACAGTGGTCCGACCTACGAAAGCTCGACCTCGACGCGGCTCAGTTCCTCATCTACCCTCCCATCATCGACCGAAGTCCCGCCGCCCGATGAGGCTTCATCCCCACATTCGAGAATTCATGATATCCCCGCTCCGCCGCCCCTGGCGGGTGCTCTACGAGCCGCTGCTGGCAGGACATTCTCATTCGGTGGACGCTTTAATAAGAACTCGACGCCCCCTGCTCCCCCTCGAAATGCCACGCCGGACGCAACCAAGCAGCGTGCCTACAGCGGTAGCACCGACGATACGGCGACCCCGCCCAGGCTACCTGATTCGCAATTGAATTTCGATCTCGGAGCAGGGGGAGATGATTTCGGAAAGATGTTCGACCATTTGGGAAAACGGGAGAGTGCCCTGTTGCGGGACCCTTCTCCGCAGCGAGCTAAACAGGTACGCCGAACCACTGAGTCATGACAAGATGCAAGGGGGGATATGAGGACACACGGGCTAACGGTTGTGGTTTTAGTACTCTTCCTCTCCACCGACGCAAGCCCTGCCCGAGTTCCAAGCAACTGACAATAGAGCCGGACGACCTACTCCCATTAATACAGACCGATCGGTGGCCGTTGAACCCTCCCCTTACTCATGGGGTAGCCGTCACTCTGGCGACAATCTACTGAATAGCCCCAGCGGTGAAATCGTTACTTCACCAGCTCGTTCGACTGCCGAAACGGTAACCAGTTTCCGCAAGCCGTCACCATCGCCTGCCCATATGCTCGGCGCGACAACTTCACACCGGGCTTTGGAGAAGCCCGGCCGGCGGCCGTCGGATGGCTTGCGAAGGAGTGGGATTTATCCGGGGGACCGAGACTCGAACACTGTCGACGACGAAGATGCCAAGATGGTCCGACAATCTGTTCTGTGGAGTAAGGGTTCCTCGCCTCGGTGGGAGGAGGCCACTTCTCCGTCTGGTGAGACACCTCTCCTCGATAAGGGCAAGGCCACTAGTCCTTCACTTTTGAGCCCCACCGCGGACGAGGGCTTGTTTGCGCCACGCCGTTCACCTGCCCCGAGTGATCACGATCTGGACGATGCCCGACTGGCTGTTCAATTCGCCGAAAGCCTCCCGAAAACCGCCTCCCCGCTGGCAACAAGGTCATGACACCGTCCCAGTTCGAACACTACCGCCAGCAGCAAGAACTTCGACGATCCAAGAGTGATGCTACGAAGAGCGATGAGGAATCCGAGCACGAAGAGTTTGATGACGAGGAAGACGAGGTTGAGAAGCAGCGGGAGGCAGAGAAGCAACGGCGGAAGCAAGAGGCTCACCTCTCCCTTTATCGACAGCAGATGCAGAAGGTGACGGGCCAGCAAGCTCCGTCTCCGTTGCTCCGTCCGGAAATGGCAGGAGCCAGCAACAGCACTCCCAACCTTCCCAACCGCCTATCCAACCCCATTGACAAGTCTTCCAGCGGAAAGAGCAGCAACGAGGAGGATGATGAGGAGATCCCGCTGGGTATTCTAGCAGCCCATGGCTTCCCCAACCGCAACCGTCCTCCGACTCGCTTGGCCAATGTCAGCTCTCATCCGAACCTTCGTGCGTCAATGCACCCGTATTCTACTTCATCTACCTCCCTCGCCGGTGCCGAGGCTGGCAACAGGGGCAGTCTCCCGGTCTTTGCCAGGAATCTGCCTCAGGATCCCTACTTCGGTGCTCGCATAGTCAACCCAACCAATCGGGAATCTCTGGCCTTTGGCGGTGGCTCTGGCTCGGTGTACGGTGGTGCATCTTCCCCCGGCCCTCCCCCGGGTGGTCTCGTCGGTGTGATTGCCACTGAAGAGCGTAATAGGGCAGCTCGGCGTGCCGGAGGTGGCAGTCCCAACCACATGGCAATGTACGATCAGCGGCAGATGGCGATGGGAATGGGCAATCCGGGTGGTGTCCCTCGACCTTTCTCGATGATGGGGCCGCAACCAATGACCCCCAGTGAGCTGGCTCAGGTGAACCTTTCCAACCAGATGCAGAATATGATGCAAATGCAGATGCAGTGGATGGGGCAGATGATGCAAATGCAGGGTATGCCGCCGGGTATGCAGGGTATGCCGCCGGGTACTCCTCCAATGATGGCCGGTGCGATGCCACCTCAAATGATGGGAATGCCCATGCAGGGCGGTCCCATGGGTCCTCCCTCCATGGCGGGTTCGCCCTCAGTCATGGGTCTCAATCCCAACTTCAGGCCGATGTCTATGCAGGGCCCTCCTGGAGCTATGGCACCGAACTTTGAACAACAGCGTACTCTCAGCATGCTCGATCCCAACATTGCTGCACGACGAGGCTCGCCGATGCCAAATTTGCCCGGTGGCCCACCCTTCCGACCTAACACGGGAGGATACGCTCCTTCCATCGCACCCTCGGAACGCAGCAATGCCGGACTTGCATCCCGGTATCGACCCGTGTCAGTGATGGGAGGTGAACCCGGCCCCGGCGTCTCAGCCTTGAACAAGGGCTGGAACGACGAGAACCACCATTCGTCCCTATCCGTCTCCCAGTCCCACATGGGCCTGCCCAAGTCCTCCTCGCTCGCAACCGTGACTGTACGACCGGTCTCGCGAGCCAGCCAGTCCCCAGCTGGACGCAAGCCCGTCCATGCGTCCGACGAAGATAATGACGACGAGGGCTGGGCTGATATGATGAAGAAACGAGACAAGAAGAAGAGCAGCTGGAAGTTGAAGCGAGGTACCTCCTCGCTGGGTGATCTCCTAAGCGCTGTGCACTAATCTTTTCGGGTGTTTTTGCATTCTACATTTGAAATCTGCGTGCATTGAGCCGATGCACCGATGGCGTTGCTGTATAGATTTTCTTTTAAATTTCTTCTGCTCTGAGTCTCGCCTCCCTTCTGACATCATTCCGACGCACATACCCATCTCCATGATCCAGACAGTCTAGCTCGCATGATTTCCAGCGTCGGCCCGGTCCTCCCTGGATATAGCCTGGAAACAGCAGAAGTATCCTCGGTGCTACTAGGTCGACGCTTCGTTACTCGCTAGTTTTGTTGTTTGGGCTTCTCGTTTCAGTCATGTCATCTCTGGGGCGATGCGAAACTAATAGTATGAGGACATATGCACTTATTACCTTTATGCTTCTCTTTTTGGCATTGGCGCAGGCAGGCATGGCGTTTTTTTCCCCCTTTTGAATCTTTTTTTTCCCTGGTCATTTCGTCTTTTTGTTGTTCTTTTTTCGTTAGCATTTCTGCATCTTGTTCTTCTTGTTTCTGGTCCACTTCTCTTCTCTAATTTTCTCTCTTCGGGCCGATTTTGGGAGATCATTACATATAATACATTGCGGTTCGAGGATGTCGAACTCTGTTTTTCATGAACGATTATATCATAGTGTGCTTTCCGTGTATACCAGGCTTCTACACTAGAATTCCATCATCATAAACCACCACCACCACCACTTCTACTAAGTAGTGCTAAGAACTTCTCACCTCCAATCCTCAATCTACAATCTCGCCCTAACGCTCCTCTTAACATCCACAACCTCCCCCCAAACCTGCCTAACAATCTCCCCCGCCCCAAGCACCTCCTTGATAAGTCCAACCCCCGTCCCCGCATACGTAGTCATCCTCCCCTTCCCCTCCACATCCCACCCCTCATCTCCCCTCCCCATCTCCTCAACATACAACCCCCGATTCTCCTCATCACTCATCCCACCCACCGCATCAAGGTAACTCGCATTAATCACTCCGCGCCCATCATACCGTTCCGGCCAACCTTTTATATCTCTAACTCGATCGTATACTGTTGAGCGAACGGTATTCACGCCCCCGTCTACGGCGCGGAGGATTGCGTTTTGATACCCGCCTGGGATATTTGCTTCGTGGGAGGCGAGGAACCGGGTGCCCATTACGCCGCCTGTTGCGCCGAGGAGGAGGGCTGCGGAGAGGGTCAGGCCGTTGGTTAGGCCGCCGGCTGCGAGGAGGGTTGGTGGTTGATGTTGATGGTCGTTGGAGGTGGTTTTGGTTGAGGGTGGGTAATGCTCTGCTATCAGGTTGGATATTTCTGGGAGGAGAGTTAGGAGTGATGCAGAGCGTGCGAGACCGTGTCCTCCTGCATCAGAACCTTGGATTACCAGCACATCTGGGTGGAGGGCTTTCAATGCGGTTGTTGTTTCGGCTACCGAGCTGATTTGGATCCAAATTTGTGGTGTACTCCATTCCTTGGACTTGGAACCATCCACATCATCCCCATCCTTCCTATGTTCATAAAGGCCCCTCATCCCCTCAACCCACCCCCCAAACTCCCCCACATCCCTCGGCGCAAACAACCACACCGCCGCAACTTTATACATCCGTAATATCCTCAACGCCTCATCCCGATCAACACCCCAATTAATAAACCCCACGCCGAGCGGTAACACACCCGTTTGTGTGTAGAATTTGCAAGCGGGGTTTGACTGATCTGCGTGGGACTTTATGAGTTGGCTTGCGTGATGGAGGTTTGTTTCTAGATTGCTGAGGGTTGTGTTGTAGCCGCCGGCTATGAAGCCGATGCCGCCTGCTAGGGAGATGGATGTTGCGAGGGGGGCGGTGGCGATGTTAAGCATGGGGGCGTTAGCGAGGGGGGGTTTGTGGGGGAGATCCAGGGGTGGGTTTTGTAGATTCTTGGTTTGAATGACATTTTTAGAGTGAGGTTGTTGGGTGTGTAGATAGTAGGTGGGTGCGTGGAGGGTGATGCAGATATATGTTGTAGGTTTGGGGATTGGAGATATTTCGGACACTGAATGAAGTTGAGTTTGTTGGAGAGAGTAGATCGGGGGTTTCTCTCAAGAGTGACCAGGAATTAAGTGTTGGTTGTACAAAGGATGGTGCTTGCATGTTTGTGGATGTGAGTACAGCGGATGTTGTTAACATGGTCCCGCATCTCCCGCAGGATGCGGAGAACCGAGGTGAAGCTGGGATACAGCTGATAGTTACAAGTGTTACTTTACATCGAGTGAGTCATGACATGGTGAGGAATCAATTGTCCCTAAACTGGCATGAGACGATCGATGAAAATAAGAAACCTGTTTAATCCATGGATCGAAAGTGGTCGTCCTAAACATAGTACCATCTCAACCAGGCCAAGTAAAATCACGTGATACTACAAATCAAATCATGTGACTTGTCATCCAGGCCTCATCACGTGGCTAATATCACGATCTGCCCGCGACAAGCCTCTTTTCTCCATCTATACCATCACGACTCATACGCAACAGGCAGCGCTTCCGTCTCTGATAGACCTCTAGGCTGATCCTCTTTCTCGGCAATAAGGTCTCAACAACCTCGTATTGATCGGCTACCTAGAGTGTCCTAGCCACTAGTATTCGACATTTCTCCTGGTGTTTGATCAAAGCGCAGCTTGTCAGGCTATCAACGGCGCGACTACTGCCTAGGCGGTCACTGGATCTTCCGCGGCATTCTATCTTAATCGATCTTCGGCTCCCTGATTCAAGCTTAACTTTTAAGCTTCTCCCCAACCCCATATAATTCGTCACCTTTGACGACCACTACCAACTGGTGTACTGTAAGTCGTCTCAAACGCACGTGAACGACTATCAACTCATATGCATCTAGTCTGAATACGCCGATTTTTCTATCAGGCGCAGTGGGCAATCTCTCTGCTCAATTTCTATTCTCAATCCTTTCTCTTGATTTCTCCCCCCCCCAATCTCTCACACCAGCCAATCACCGCAAACTATCCGCCATTATGAACGCACCAGACCGGTAGGTTGAAATCCAGTTTTGCTGTAAATCTTGTCATTGCGTTTTTCGCTTTTTCCTCGTCGATCCGGGACATAAATGCCTTTATGCGCTCCAATGGTGCTCAATTCACTTCCGAGTGCGCCTGGCAGGCATGGCTGGCACTGGTGGGCAGAGAAAAGCCCCGTGAGAGCTTCGTGGATCGGATTCTCACCTTGAGATGGGACAAAAGCCGTCCGCTTATGTCGGCGGATGACTGACTGAACCATCGGAGCTTCCCTCCTGCTCCTTCCCCATTTGCCCCAACTTCCTCGAATCCCCTCCTCTCCCACTTTGCTGTATAACATCACCTTCACCCACAATTTGTCGACCTGCCATTGAGCTTGTGTTGTTTGTTTGGTCATGTCGTTTGCTACTTTTTCTTCCAATTCCTTTCATCCTCTTCCCCCTCGACCTGCCGTCGAAGCTCCTCCAAGAAACCTTCGTGCCGAACACTCTTGCACCTCGAGCACCATGAACTCGTACCCTTACCCCTCCCACTTCAACTTCAACACTGCTTCCGTGGCCATCGCCCGGGAGCGTGCTGGCAATCGGGCTCGCCCTGCTCCTCGCGGCCAGCGCCCTCTTCAAATCGATGATCGCCAGGACCCGTCAGTTTTCAAGCATCACGGATTGAGTCTATCACCATCCTGTTTCCTTGCATCATGTCTTCTGCTTCTTCTTCTTCTTCTTCTTCTTCTTCATCATCTCTTTCGCATGTTCACTGCTACGCACGTTCAGACACTGACTTTGATATCGCAGTTACGAGGCTATTCTTCTCGGCCCCGGCGAGAATAAGATTGACGTCGAGGTCGATACCCGTAAGTACTCCCCCATATATCAACAAAGATTACAGGGGATCCTTCTAACACTCGATGTTTAGGCCTGCCCTCCGCGGCCATCTTCACCTTCCACAAGGAGGACCACACCTTGGGAAACATGATCCGCACCCGCCTTCTCCGCACCGCCCACGTCACCTTCGCCGCCTACAGGGTTTGTCCACAGCTTTTAAAACCTTGATGTCAACAGGCTAACTGACCACCATCCAGGTCCCTCACCCCCTGACTCCCAACTTTGTCCTGCGTTGCCAGACCGACGGCGAAATCACCCCTCGTCAGGCTGTCATCAACGCCTGCCAGGCCTTGATCAAGGACCTCGGCATCCTTTCCCGCGAGTTCACCAAAGAGTATGAACTGCGCAAGATGGCCAACGCTGCCAACCAGCAGCAGAACATCGGCGAGTAAAAGGACCGGGTCGATCAATGTCTGTCTCAACAACCATCATCTCCATTTCTTCTCTCGTATGTTTTTAAATGGTGTTTGGTGCGCTTGGGATCCTTGCTGTGTTTCGTTTCTTCTTTCGTTGTTTCTGGGATGGGTTTTCCGGGTTTCCTTTCTTTCATGGATTTCACAGTCCCGGCGAGGACTTTTCTTAGTTAGTTGATACTTAGCTCTGCATGTGCAATCAGCCATATGCATTGAGCACGATACCATCGCAATGAACTACAATTTAAATTACTGCATGATGATTTGTAGTTGAATGTATTCTATATGGAGTATTGATCCATATGTAGTTGTTTGTCCACAAAGCTCACTTGACTCTATGAATTCCCCTCAGCCCATCTGAATGGCTATCCAAAGCACCACTCGAGAACCTCGAGAATATTGGGCGTTTGACTAACGTTCTTATCCTCTGCTAGTCTACAAATTGTTGACAGACGTGTTCAACATTGGATATCTACTCGTATGCTATATTTACTCTTCTCGCCTCAGGCCACAGAACGGACCCGCCTGGCCATGACTAAGCGCTAGTTCGGGCTAGCGTGCCTCCGCGTCCCCTACAACGGCGTCATTTAGGTTGCTCCTGAGACTCACCTAACTCCCCCTCAGCATTCGTTTTCTCCTTTCCCTCCTCATCAATCTCTTGTCTGTGGGTTCCTGCGCATCTGTTTTGTCCATGCAAGTGCTGCGTTCATCATAATGTACTCCTCGTCGAATTCCTTCCTCGGCGGTGGTGGTGCTGGCCGACCAGGCCAGGCACCATTCATGCAGCAGCAACAGCAACAGCCCTCATACTCGCAATTCGCCCAGGGTCAACAACAAGCACCAATGCAGCAGCCACAGCCAACAGGCTTTGCGCCTCAGCCAACTGGCTTCGCCGGACAGCCCTCCCCTTTCGGTAGCGCCCAGCTTCAACCCCAGGCCACCGGATTCCCCGCGGGCCAGCTCCAGCTCCAGCCGCAATTCACCGGCTTCCCTGGCCAACAACCACAGCAGCAGCAGCCTCAGCTGCAACAGCAACAGAGCTTCCAGCAGCCTCAATATACCGGGTACCCTCCCCAGAACCAGTCGCAGCCGCAGGCCCCGCAACTGCAGGTGTCGCAACCGACAGGCCTCCCTACTCGTTTGAAGACCTCGTCCGAGATTGCGAACTCCTTCCAAGCCGATGGCTCATCGGGCCCCCCCTCCGCAGGTGCCGCCGAAGACTGGTTCGAAAATCCCGAGTATTCGACTGTCGTTCATCACTGCGCAGGACCAGGCCAAGTTTGAGCAGCTGTTCAAGTCGGCGGTTGGCGATAGCAAGACAATGGAAGGTTGGTTTTCCACCTGGCGGTGGCGAATGTCTTGTCGATAGTAGGGTTAACTTACTGATCTGCATGTTACAGGTGACAAAGCGAGAGATCTCCTAATGCGCTCGAAACTCCCCGGTAGCGACCTCTCCAAGATTTGGGTCTTGTCAGACTCCACCAAGTCGGGCCAGTTGTTCTTCCCCGAATTCGCCCTTGCCATGTACCTTTGCAACCTGCGCCTGACCGGCCGCGAAGTTCCGTCATCCTTACCTGAGACAATTAAGAATGAGGTTTCTAGCATGGTCGATATTATCTCGTTTGATGTGCCCGACACGCAGCCCGTGCCAGCCCCGCGCACCAATGCCCCCAGTTTCGATGCGCCGCTTTTGGAGAACAAATCAACACCTCCGATCGTCCAGCAGCCTCAGCCTCAGCAGGCTAGCAACCAGCAGCTTCTGTCGCAGCTCACTGCCCAGCCCACTGGATTCTTCCCCCAGCAGACCGGCATGCAGCCTCAGCAAGCCGGCTTCCCGGGACAGAATCAGTCGCAGTTCCTCCAGCCACAACAGACCGGATTCCTGACCAACCCCCAGGCTACGGGTTACACCGGACCTCGACCTCCGATGCCGCCTATGCCTACTGGATTTGGCTCGAATCTCAGCCCTGCGCAGACTGGAGGACTGGCCGCGCAGCCTACGGGATTGACTGCTCAGCCTACTGGCATCCCTGGACAATGGGGTTTCATCAACACTCCCGCGCAGGGATTGCCCAATATTGAGGCCATGAAGCAGCAGCTCATGCCCCAGCCTGGTCGCGAGGGTGGTTTCACTACTGCCAATCTGTCCGGTAACGCTACTGTTGCTTGGGCTATCACCAAGGAAGAGAAGAAGATCTATGACGACTTGTTCCGCGCTTGGGATGGTCTTCGCAAGGGTTTCGTTGGTGGTGAGACCGCCATTGAGATCATGGGACAGAGTGGATTGAACCGTAAGGACCTAGAGCGCATCTGGACCTTGGCAGACCCCCACAACCGTGGCCGTCTTAACATGGATGAGTTCGCCGTGGCTATGCACTTGATCTATCGTGCTTTGAACGGGTACCCCGTTCCTAGCCGCCTTCCTCCTGAGCTTATCCCCCCATCCACGAGGCACTTGAATGAGTCTATTGGTACTGTCAAATCTCTTTTGTCTCAGGATGCCGAGAACCGCAAGGCCACTGGTGCCTTCTTGCAGCCCCAGAAAACCGGCGTCAGCTACCTTAAGGATCACTCATTCCGTGGCGGCGGCGCTGGTACCGCTGGGATCGGCCGCAAGGATGCGACGATGTTTAAGAACAACGACGCTGCAGGCGGCTACCGTTCTAGTGCGCGTCGCCGTGTTGGTCAAGATGGCCGTACTCCCTCTCCTGCCCCATCCTCCCAAGCATCTGAGACCGATGAGCTGTCAGTTGAGCAACTGCAGAAGAAGATCCGCGAGGCCAAGATTATGCTTGACGCCGTTGACTTCCAGGATGAGAACCGTGCTGAGGATGATGATGCTCTCGATCGCCAGGACCGCCGTGAAGCTGAGAGCCTGATGGACCGAATTCGTCGCGTTCAGGATGACATTGACACTCACCCTAACGCTGCCTTCCGTGGCCTGGACAATGGAGCGGAGCGTCGATCCCTTCGTCGTCAACTGCAGGCTTACGAGGATCAGGTTCCCCAGGTTGCGTCTGATGTTCGCCGACTCGAGCGTGAGATTGCCGATGCCAAGCTTGAGCTCTTCCGTCTCAAGGATGCCAAGGCTCACCCTGGCAGTGCGGGCAACATTGTCGGCACTGGTCCCGGCGGGTCGATCACCGAGGCCGATCGCATCAAGGCTCGCGCTCGTGCCCGTATGCAAGCTCGTGCTGCTGAGCTTGCCGGTCGTCCTGTTCCTACCGGCACGGATGACGACGGTCAAGCTGCTCGCCGCTTGGAGGCCGAGAACAACAATGTGAAGGCCGAGCGAGAACGCAATGAGACTATGACTCGGGACGTCGAGGAGAGTGTTCGTGACTTTGCCAAGAGCCTGGAGGACAGTCTCCGTGACCAGGGTGAGAACTCTACTCGTGAGCACGAGAAGCGTCGTTGGGAGGATGCACTTGGCGTGGAAGATACTATCCGCGATTTCATCTACGACCTCGGCCGTAACAGCCGGACCGCTCATATCCGCAAGGAAGAGCGTGAACGACCTGCTGCAGATTCGAGCGCTCAATACCGCTCTCCTACCGAGTCGCCTGCTGCTCGTCCTTCTATGCCACCGTCGAGCGTCTCTTCTGGCTCATACCCTGGAAACACGTACGAGGATCGTGTGGCAGCTGCGAGAGAGCGTGCTCAGAAGCGCATTGCTGAGCGTATGGCCGCTGCTGGCCTGAAGCCCAATGACGCTACCGAGACCTTGGCGCAGCGACAGGAGCGGGAGAAGCGTGAGCGTGAAGAGCGTGTCAAGCGTGCCGAGGAGGAAGATGCCAAACGTGAGGCCGAGCGCCAACGCCGTCTAGCTGAGGAGCGTGGTGGACCAGCCCCTGCTGTCTCTAAGACTGCTGGCAAGAAGCCACCCCCTGCGCCTCCCACTCGCAGAGCCCGGACCGATAGTGCTGGCCAGGCTGATTCGAAGAAGGCGGAGGATGTTGCCCGCGAGCAGGCCATTAGGGAGGAGCAAGAGGTGCAGGAGGCTGAGACTAAGCGTCTTGAGTAAGTCTGCCTAGATTTTGGATCTGATGGTTACATTTGCTAATAAAACTGATAGGGACGAAGCCAAGCTGCGCGAGGAGGAATATCAGAAGCAGAAGGAAGCTCAAGATGCCAAACTACGGGCCCTTGAGGAACAGGTCCGACAGGGCAAGATTAAGAAGCAGGAAGAGAAGCGCCGCAGGGAAGAGGCTTCACGCCAGGCCAAGGAGCAGGAGGCTAGACTTGAAGCCCAGCGTGCTGAGCTTGAGGCTGCCAAGGAACGCGAGCGTCAGCTGCAGCGGGAGTTGGAGGGTATGGACGAGGATTCTTCGGATGACGAAGGCCCTATCAACATGACCCCTCAGGACAGCACTCCCACGCAGAGCCAGGTTCTATCTGCTCCTCCTATTCCTACTATCGCTGTCCCCGAGCCTCCTGCGCCTGTTCAGGAGGAGAAGGTTGTCAGCCCCGACGCCTTCCCGGATACTACACCTGATGCTGAATCCAAGAACCCCTACTTCAAGTCTCTGGGCCAGCAGCCCTCTGAGCCCACGTCGGCCACCTCACCCCCGGCTGCTCAGTCCACCAACCCCTTCCACCGTCTCGCCCAGCAAGAGAAGCAAGAGCCACTCAAGCCCACCTTCACCGGCGCCGTTCCATTGGAGCGCAAGACCCGTGCCCGGCCCGAGGACGACGATGACTGGTCTGCCGCAGGCTCCGAATTCGACTCCTCCGACGAGGAAGACGACCACCCTGGCGGCGGCAGCGCCAAGCAGCTTGCCAGCATCTTGTTCGGCACCATGGCTCCTCCCCGTCCCCTGAGCGCCATGGACGAAGACAAGTCCACTACCCCAGTGCAAGCCAGCCCTATCGCTCCTCCCCCTCCCCCTCCGCCAGCAACTGTTTCACCCGCAGCCGTTGAAGAAGCTTCTTCTCCAGCTCCTCCCTCTGGCATCCCCCCTCCACCACCCCCACCTTCTGGAGTCCCAGCTGCCGTTCCTCCTCCTCCACCTCCTCCAGCAGGCGGCGCCCCCGTGGCACCACCACCGCCACCTCCCTCCTTCGGAGCCCCCGCTGCTCCCCCTCCACCCCCTCCTCCAGGTGGAGCCCCCGGAGGTCCCCCGCCACCTCCCCCAGCCGCGGGTGGGTCCGGCGGTGGCCGCTCTGCGCTCCTTGCCTCCATCCAGGCGGGTAAGGGTCTCCGGAAGGTGCAGACCAATGACCGTAGCACGAGTTCCTCGGCTGGTCGGGTGCTGTGAGTGTGACAGAACATATTGTACAGAATTAGGTGAATTTTGAGATGGGCAGTTTATTCATGGGCTGGAATGGAAGCAAATCATCACCATATTGTTTTGAAGCATTCTTCTTTTTCAGTGTGTTGAGGACTTAGTATATCTCATGTTGTGATGGATGTCTGATGTTGATGGTGAAGGTGATGATGATGGTGATGATGATGGATGGGAGAGTATTTAGCTTGTTGTGTATGTCATTCATATAATTTATTGGCCCTTTTTGCTTAATTTTGTTGCTTCTTCGGTGGCTTTCATTTACGTAATGCCGGTGATTCGCGGCAACTTGCTATTGCCACTAGGAGAGACGTGCTAGTGGTAGGTTAATGTTGGTATCCCTACCCTCTAGCCTGCATAGATTCTCCCAGGCAGGAGCATTTGACTACTTCATAGGGCTACCGCTCCGAGAAGCGTTTGCATCTAAGGACTCAACAGGGCCAGAACGAGACATTCAGAAAAACTTTGTTCTGCTTGCTATAGATCACGATCACCCTTATTGGGCATCTGCTAGCTGCTATTGCTATCTGCACTGGGTTCTCAAACCCTCCAATCCACATTGACCTGCAACTCAGGATCCGATCCACTGCCTTTATCGAAGGCATCATCATCGTCATCAGTCCCCATTCTCGAGAACTAAATCAACTATCGTTCATAAATGTCTATCAGAAAATAATTCCCAATCAATCCACTGTCCTAGGTGGCCAGCTTAAGCCTTAACACTCTCCTTAACATACTCATTATTCTCCCCACCACTCTCCGAGTCTTGCGCCCCGCCAGCAACCTCAGGCTGATGCGCCCGCAGAGTCTTCTGCATTCTCCGCGCAACCTTAGGCGGATCAAAGATACTCTTCGACTGCGCGAAAATCTCATCAATCTCCTCCAACGAACGACCTTTGGTCTCTGGGAAAAAGAAGTACACAGACGGCACAATCAAAGCATTAATCACCGCGAAAATGATATAGTAGTTATTCGCGATAGTAGCAAAGCCGATAGGCGTCACTTCTGCGAGCAGGAAATTGAACGTCCATACTGTTGCGGTGGAGACGGCGCTGACGGCGGCGCGGACTTGGAGAGGTGCCATTTCAGCGGCGTATAGGAATGTTAGACCCGAGTAGCCGACTGTGAAGATGAATTGGAAGCAGTAGAGGGCGATGACGGCGACGACGAGTGCGGCTGTGCTGGATTTGGCTTCAGGGGAGGTTGTGCCTGCCAGGACGGCCATGCAGATTGACATTGCGCCGGCGCTCCAGAGCATGAGCGGGCGGCGGCCGAGTCGGTCGATCGTGTAGTAGGCCAGGTAGCCGCCGAAGGGTTGCATAAGGCCCATTGCTGCGGCGAGGATGCGGGATTTGACGGCGTCGGTGCCGAGGTATTGCTAGGATTGGGGTTAGTAGATGCTATTTGCTAGAGTAAATGGATTGTGTTGGCTTACCTCGAAGATAGTAGTAGCGTAGTAGGTGATCAAATTCACACCACACATCTGCTGGAACATCTGACCGGTGGCAGCCAGATAGGCACGGTGGAACAGACGCTGCTCGCCATTGGTGAACATAGCAGTCCAAGAGGTATTTCCACAGACAGCCAGGGTAGTCTGAACCTCATGGATAGTATCCGTGATAGTAGAAGAGTGAGGCTCCAACTCCAGCAAAGCGGCCATAACCTCGCGAGCATCATCAATACGGCCAGCCTTGATCAACCAACGAGGCGACTCGGGAAGGACATTGATGGAAATCATAGCAATAAGCGACAAAATGACCTGGAACGCAAGCGGGAACCGCCACGACACAGAGCTACCCTTGATAAAGTAGAAGCCAAGATCGATCCACAGAGCGAGAGTAACGCCGAGACCGACGAAGATACCATCAGTGACGACGTTCGAGCCGCGCTTGTGTGCGGGCGATAGCTCGCTCTGCCAGACTGGAACCGTCGCGACGTAGCCACCGATACCGAGACCGAGGATTAGTCGTGCGATGATGAATTGGACAAAGTCGAAGGAGGTTGCCATAAGGATGGCGCCGATGATGGTGATGAAGTTGGTCCAGAAGATGACTTTCTTGCGACCGAGGAGATCGCCCAGGTAGACGCATGACAGGGCTCCGAAGATACCACCGACAGTGTAGAGGGCAATGACGGTGCCTGTTTATGGAGGTTTGATTTTAGAATATGCTGAAACGGTATATGATCAAAGATTCACGACTCACCCTGAATTGTCGAGTTCTCGGCCTTCTGGGCTCCAGTAGTATTAATCGTGTCCATCCGGGGGAACTGAGTATTGAAGGCAGGCAGGGTCAAGAGACCACCGGCCACACTCATATTGTATCCATAACAAGTGAAAGTAGGGCACACGACCAGCATGACCGCAGCCCTAAGGAGGGAATTGCCTCGAAGGCCCAGATATGGCTTCAAGCCCATGATGGAGGAGATATAAGAATGGAAATTTGATAAAAGAGCACACAGCACAATGGAAGAATGTTAGAAGATTGAATGGGATTGTAGGGCGATATGCGACCGATATATGATCAATTGCAGAAGCGGTTGCTTGTGTCACCCTATTGAGATGGAGTTGAAGGCAGTGCTTTGCAAGTGACTTGTCTTGCCAGTGCCAATAATCCATTCGATCGGCTGCGGTGGGTCGCCTCTAAGTACGGGGTTGAAGTCTTCGGTACTCGCCGGTCGCCGGCCAACTGGGAGACCTGCGAACCCGCTCAGCACAGCACGTTGGGTCAATCGACGTAAAATGAACAATTGGTATTGGGCCAACGCAGCTTGGCTTGCAGGAATATCTGGGGTAGTGTGGAGATGTCCGGGGAAGTTCTCAACATCTTGGATCGTGAAATTCTGGGGAAGTGGCCGATGCGTAACGACTTCTCCGGTTTGGAAACATCATCATGAAGCTTACACTCTTTGGATATCGTCTGATTAAGCTTAAAAATTGAGATCAAAGGCTATAGTTATTAAAGATCAGGAGACGTCTAGTTAAGATCGAACTGATAATGTTTGTTTAGCAGGTTGACCATTCAGGTGTGCCTGGGGCTGAACTTGTCGCGAGGACTTCCCTTGGGGGTTGGGCAAAGTACGAGGTCAGTATGTACACTATCACGCTGGGAATTGTTACGAGTTTTCCGCTAGATACATTAGCATATTTCGGAGAGTGCCTGAACATCAAGTCGATCATGGAAGAGACCGATCGGAAAGCCAAAAGAAGAGCAGATTAGGGTTTTTGCCAATCCATTGACCTTGAGAGAGTTTGTGACTTTCTTCTTGGAAGAAGTCTACAGTCCATCAGGACGATTCTGTATATTCCGTACTGAAGTTTCACTGTATTAAACAAACTCTGCCAGTCTCTCCTTGTGAACCTCGGTTACGGGTCTACTCGGCCCAATGAATATTAGTCACTCTGTTCATTTTGACCAGTTAACTACAAGATGCTATTCATGATCCTAACAATATTCAAACCATCACATTGTTAAACATCTATGTGATAGCAAGCAGAATATGTAAACTATCTCTTCGGAGCCGCCCGCAAAAACCTACCATACTCGACTCGTGGACGTTGCCTCCTCCTCCCATAAGGTTTCAATGGCTGAGGTTGGAGCAATCAGAAGCACCCAACCTACCCAAACTGCCGCTAGATTTCCGGGATTACAGGGATTCTGATTTGTCACGAGGCCACGAGTGAACTTAATGCACGTCCTGCATATCGATCCATCGATCCTCTCATAAAACTTTCTCTATTTACGAGTTCTTGTATGCCTTCATAGCTCCGTATTCCGTGGTGGATGACAGCTTGACTCGCTCTCGTTCAGTTATAAGCACTGATCGGAAATTGCGAATGGTCGGAACGTAGTTTATGTCCGTTTTGGCTTGTGGCCAGACTGGTCTTCGGGTGCTTGCGGCTGCTGATTCAACGCTGGACTCGCTTAGCTCGGGCAGATGCCGCTTGGACCCGTTGTTGGCTATGATGAGTTTGCTTGGAGGCGGGATGGGCATAACTTGGACAACTTGAAGGATTCTACTTAGTACTGGACAGTGTATTCATAGCCTATTCAACAAGGCTAGCCTCAATGAATATTCTTCCATTATCTAAGGTTGTTGAGTTGTGGCTATTTTAGGGCCGGATTTAGGTATCGATCCGAGTAAATGAAGATCAACATTCCTGTGATGATCTTCCATGCAGAGAATTCACAGTCTTCTATGAGAAGAATGTCATGTTCCTGCAAATCCCTATTCCATCGTGAATAGTAATCAAGATAGCATGCAGCTACGTTATAATCCATAAGATATCAGCTTATCCTAATTTCCAGAAATGGAAGAAGGTGCATCTCTGGTCTTTCGTTTGGAAGTGTTACAGGACAACGTGGTAGACGATGTGCTGATAGTAATTCATTGATTGGTTTATCTGTTTGGCACTAACATGTCCACCACGAAAGCCTCGCTCTGAGTTGCTACAATCAGATTCCAAATCTGCACCAGTCATCGTCTTCTTCCTTGCTCATAACGGCAGATGACCTTGATTGTGCACCACCGCTGATCACCCCTCCTCGTATTACCCTTTTTTGTACATTCTGACTCCTTTGTATCTTTTCTTGCCTCCCAACTAAAACCAACGATCAGTCGGAAGCAGCCGAACACCGTGCCTAGAATATTCTCCATGCTCATGCTCTGTTGATCTGACTGTCTCATGGTGGCTATATCGACTTCATATTATAGATTGATGAATCTGCGTCCCTGAAGATCGTCTTCCCATCTAGCAGGTACAGCCTTCAACATCCAGCAACCCATTGCTATGCCTGCCTTTTCTGGATATCGTCATCTTCGCCCTTCGTGTCTATCCATGATGATTACCCTTCAATTTCCGGGCGTTTCAATGGGGATATATCAATCGGCATTATCCAGGAGATGATGAAGTGAACAGACAGAGAGATAGCGCATCGACTTACGCTCGTTTCACTCTTTTTCATCATGCTTTCAAACCTATCTCGATTCTTTGTCGGGGTGCTTGCATTGCTGAGCGCATGCAGCACTGCCGCGGCGGCATATCCTTATACTGTCTATCGTGGTACCTTCATTCATCTCCCTCGCTTGAACTCGACTTCGGACAAGCCGGAGCTTGATCGCAACCAGGGTGTTGTTTGGGTCTCATCTACAGATGGACGTATCAAGGGATACGACTGGACTGTCAACGACGATGCTAGCTTCCAATCGTTTTTGTCTAGCCATGGCTGGAACGATGGCACTAGTAGACAGGGGACTAAGGTCGGGGTTGTCAAGTCCAACGATGCTCGGAATGAGTTCTTCTTCCCTGGGTTCATTGGTATGTTCCATCTCCCATTGATACTTCAGCGATACTAACAGATCATAGACACTCACATCCACGCACCGCAGTTCCCCAACATCGGTCTGTTCGGATCATCCGGACTTCTAGACTGGCTAAACGAATATACCTATCCCACCGAGGCAAGCTTTGGTTCCAAGTCAGACCCTAAGAACCAACAAACCGATCCCAAAAAGACACCTCCAGCGGGACTGCGCGTGTACGACGAGGTCGTTAATCGCACTCTCGCCCACGGCACAACCTGCGCATCCTACTTTGCAACAATCCACGTCCCAGCCACCAACGCCCTGGCCGCACTCTGCCATTCCCACGGCCAACGCGCCTTCATCGGCCGCGTCTGCATGGACAACAAAGACATCTGCCCATCCTACTACATCGACCAATCCACCGAACAAGGTCTCAACGCAACAAAGTCCACAATCGACTACATCCACACCCTTGACCCAAACGGAACCCTCATCAACCCAATCATCACCCCCAGATTCGCACCCAGCTGCAGCAACGCCTCGCTCGAAGGTCTCGGCAAACTAGCCGCATCCTACACTCCCCCGCTACACATCCAAACGCACATCGCAGAAACCCTAGACGAAATAGCCCTCGTCCACCAACTCTTCCCCGAATCATCCAGCTACGCAGACGTCTACGATAAAGCACACCTCCTCACGCAGCGCACCATCCTCGCCCACGGCGTGCACTTGAGCAAAGACGAACGAACCCTCATCCGGGACCGCGGATCTAAAATCTCACACTGCCCGTCCTCCAATTCCGCCCTCGGCTCGGGTCTAGCTCCCGTCCGCATCCTCCTCGACGAAGGTCTCACCGTAGGTCTAGGCACAGACGTGAGCGGTGGATACAGCCCTAGTATCCTGGAAGCCGCCCGCCAGGCCTGCCTCGTCTCTCGCCTTCTCCAATATAGCTCCGAGTACCAGACCATGACGGGCAATGCCCCTTCGAACGGAAGTGAAAAGCTTTCTGTCGAGGAGAGTCTATACCTGGCTACCCGTGGTGGAGCAGCTGTCGTCGATATGGCGGATGATATTGGTGGTTTTGATAAGGGGATGATTTGGGATGCGCAGTTGATTGAGTTGGGCTCTGTTCCTAATAACACTGTTAGTCTTGTGGCGAGGGGTACGACTATGTCTGGGGCTGTGGGTAACGTTGATTTGTTTGGGGATGAAACTTGGCAGGAGAAGATTCAGAAGTGGATGTGGAGTGGTGATGATCGGAATGTTAAGAATGTGTGGGTTCAGGGGAAGTTGGTTCATACTAGGGGCTGAGTGATTGATGGAGGATTGTTTGGTGACTTGTATAATTTGATTTCTATTTGATATAGTGGTCTTGGAGGGGAGGATACAGACCTTATATGTTGTTGCCGTCGGATCTATCAGTCATTACCGATAAGTCTATATGTTTACCGTTTGTTTCTGCCCAGAAGAACGATATAGGTCGCTTTTGGTCAAAGCATCATCGAAAGTGATTAAAGAAGCCGCATGGTCTGTTTAGTCTGGGTTGATAGAAGCCCAACAAGCGATGATATTGCTTTTGACCAAGGGCATTACGCAGAGACTGCGTGCCCGGGTGATTCCTCAATCTTCATTTGAAACCTGACAGCAAGGAAGTATTTACAATCAAATTGATAACTTAAATTATATCTCAATATATTCCAAATTAACGGTAAATGACCGTGTTCTATTATAATTTGAACCATATTTTCCTGACGTTCTGCAGAGGAAAAAAAAACAAAAAGCCGTCCAAGAATAAAATGAAAAGACCATTATGATGAGAGTGGAGTGTCCATTCTTGAATAAGCATGGATGGAAAATCATCTCCACGGTATATGTTTACACCACGCACTAGTTAGAAGCATATGTGATCCCAAAGTTCACAGTCTTCACAGTATCATAATCCCTCGGGTTCGAACGGTTGCCAAAGATCTTCAGCGCACGCACAACAATCGAGTAATTACCAGCCGGAACATACGAGCCATTCGCCAGCAGCCCAGTGAAAGAAGTAGCCGTGGGACCGGTAGCACCCTCAACGGTCCGGGGAAGGGCCGTCTGGGGGTCCGCCAAGGGGAGGATAGCACTACTGTTGGCAGCCTTGACACCGACTAGAAGCAGATCCGTGCCCATGGAGAGCTTGGTCTGGAAGATGGGGTAGCTGGTCTTTACTTGGCTGAGGGTACCGTCCTGCTTAGGGAGAACGAATTGTTGGTTGGCCTGGACGCGCTCGTTGGTCTCGCTGTCGACGAGGATGTTGCTGCCTGCCGTGGTGTCCAGGATGGTCACGTTGCGCATGGCGGTGGCAACACCCAGGTAAGGAACGGAGAAAGAGTCGTCAGAGGAAGTACCGTTCAAGGTGATGTATCCGCTGTAGACTGGGATGCGGCGGGAGACGAGACCCTTGGGAAGAGTGGCAGTGACCTTTAGCACGGCGGATCCGCCAGCGGCGACGAGAACGCTGGACGAGCTGAACTTGAGCGAGGCGCCAACGGTGGTGCGGTCCACAAAGTTACCGAGTTTGTTCCGCTGGGGGATGGAGCTGTTATCTGGCAGGGTGTAGACAGTAGCAGCACTGACATGGCCAACAGTGTAAACACGCGGCGAGGAGCCGGTGTTATTGATTTGGATATAGGCCGGGGCAATATGCTCGGTATCGTTGAACGAGATGGTGCTCACGTTGAACTTAGTGGTGGTGTGCACCAGCTTATAAGCATCGATAAGACCACCACCCTGCTGCGCAACAGATCCCAGGAAAGGCGAAGCAGTGACACCATCGTGGAACACATTGGGGTTGGAAGTAGTCGACAGCAGAGACTTGATCTCGGCAGGAGTAACCTTGTTTTTGCCACGAGCCTCCATCAGGAGAGCAATGCAACCAGCAACGAAGGGAGTCGCCATGGAAGTACCACTGTCAATAGCGTAGGCGCCCTCGGCGACCGGCCAGGTAGACAACATGAATCCACCAACTCCAGAAGCGGCCGTCACTGGGAGAAGCTCATTGCTGGGACCCCACTGGGTGAATTCACTGATCTGACCACCCGATTGGGGGTTCGTCTCGTTGATGAAGATCGTCTTGGCGTACGCTTTGCTGATCATGTGCAGAGTAACGTTGGCGCCAGATGCAGCGAGCTTCACGAACTTCTCTCCAGTCTGGGCGGAGACCATACCCAATCCAGTGAGAGCAGGGTTCGAGACGGGAAGCTCATAGGTGCCAGGCTCGTTTAAATAGAAGAGAATGTTCTTAGCACCGGCATTGACAGCGTTGGTCTGCTGCATACTGCCGCGGCAGCCACCATAGCGAATGAGAACAATCTTGTCAGTGAGGTTGGGGTGGTTGCCCGTCCATGGCTGGCACGAATCACCGACGACCGAGGAGTTGAGGCTGCTAGGGTACAGGGCATATGTGCCGTTTTTGAAGTCGGAGGTGCCTGCGATCTGCCAGCCAAACTGCTTGGTGGTGTTTCGGGTTGAGTAAGAAGCGCCAGTCAGCAACAGAGGGCTATACACGTTGTTGACAGATCCGATACCGATGCCGGCAGAGTTGTCGATACCGTTGGAGGCGAGGAACAGACCGAAGCTTCCGTCGTTACCGGTAGCAACGAAAGAAGGAATACCAGCCTCAGCCAGCTTCTGAATCAACTGTCCCCAGGGCTCGTCGCTCCAGCCCTTGTAGGTACCAAAGGAGGCGGAGATGATGTCTGCCTTGTCTTCGTAGGCCATCTTGAAAGCAGCGGAGACGATATCAGTGCCCGTTTTTACGACCTGCTTTCCAATAACCTTGTAGTGACCAAGAGTCACATTCGGGGCCACACCAGTGAAGTTGTACGGGTTGGGCTGAGCGGCAATCAGACCAGAGACGTGAGTTCCTATAGTCAATTAGCCAAAGTCTATACATACTTTGGGCCTATTCATGGACATACCGTGTCCCTCGTGTCCCTCCCATGGGTCAGAAGTGTTTGTCAAGAAGTTGAAACCAAATTCCACGAGACAGCCTTTGCCAAAGCAACCTCCAAGAGCAGGATGCTTATAGTCGATGCCCGAATCCACAACCGCCACACGGATACCAGTGCCCAGGTAGCCCTCCTGGCGAAGCTTGTCAACTCCCGCCATGATGTGAGGGTAGTCATTGCCCTCGTGGCCCGCAGTGTCACGGCGGCGAATGCTGTGAGAGTGAACACTACGGCGGAGGGGCGCGCCATGGGCGACTGAGGAGACCTCACGCCGAGGCTGTTCCAGCTCCCGAACGGGAGAAACCTTCTTCACTATAGGCCAGGAAGAGATCTGCTTAACAACGGCAGCCTCGTTCTGGTTGTCGTCCAGCAGAGTAAAGGAACCACCGTGGAAAAGAGCGAAGGATAGGTCGTGGTTAAGATTGGCGGGGATGCCATGGTCCTTCAGAGTAGAGAGGAAGCTGGCAGACGACTAGAGTACGTGTCAGTGAATTAGTATAAACAAAGACATAACTAGTATGGGACAGCATTGATGACAAACCGTCGTAGAATCAACAAACTCGACAATATACTTCTGGGCAATGGGGTCGCCATGCCCTGCCAAAGCCACTGGCAGGGCAGCCAGAAGGGCGCCCAACCATGGCCAAACAGGAGCCATGTTGAGGAAATGTATTAAAGAATGGCTGGATCCAAAAGATCCAAAAAAGAGTGACTGGATTAAACAAACCTTCAAAGAGTGACGAGGTTAAAGTAAAAGAAAGATTGTATTGAGACAAAGGGTTAAATATCCGGTCTACATAATAGAGGTATTACATTATCTTTCATAATCAGATGCACCATAGGGCCAGCCCCTATTATCTCTTCTTTCGCACATCTACCGAAAACACACGGCAGGGCTTGTCCACCCTTTGGCAATGTTTTGCGCTAGAATCGGAAGCCTTCGGCGGGGCCGGATCTCGTATTGTTCATGATCGGCATAGATAGTCGCCGATCGGAGTTAAATTGGGCTAGCGCATCAGGTACATCAAAAAGGGTCCAATTATGAATGGTTCTTTCGGAGATTAGACCATCGATCAATTGATCCATCGTGTATGCAGAAGCTTCTATCAGTTACTGTGTCCATGACTCTAGGATCTTATTGTGTTATTGTTATGAAGTTAAAACTAGTCCTCGAGTCTACCTGGGATGCTTAATGTGAGCGAACCATTGGCGCGTGCATTATTTTGACTTTGTAGGAATGTGCCATGGGAGGGTGATGTTGATCTTTCCTACTGGTCCCGGCATCGTGGTCCTTGGTCCTTGTGGGCCTGCCAAGGACAAAATTTATGACTCTCCTCGGAGACGAAGATTGCAGACAGATAATCGAATTGCCACAATTTGGCATTGGGTAGATTTCTTCTTGAGTTGATAGGATATGGCACATGTAGCTACAGACAGAGGCAATACAGTGCTATAGAGGACGAAAGGACGAAAAGACGAAAAGACGAAAAGACGAAAAGACGCAAAGGTTGAAGTTCATAATTCCAATCATTGAACCTTCAAGGGGCCCGGGCCCAACGGGCTTAGACCTTTAGAAATTCTTGGTGGGTTCATTCTCGACCTTTGCCCTCTTTCGTGCAGTTTCGCTCTCTTACACTGGGTATAGAAGAATGATGATATATCGCCAGCGGAATGCCATTGCAAACTGCTAGGATTTATGCTTCGCGCCGTTATGGTCATTTCTCTTTCCATTCGCCCGGTTTTGCGGAGAAGGAATGCTTCTGAGATACAATAGTCCCATTGTCAACGGTACGTAGGTACGGTCTGCTTCAATATATACCCGGAGTAAAATTAGCCACACCTAAGTTCAAAAGTCCACGTTCACCATCCCTACCTTTCAAAGTCTCAGGCGCAGTGCTTTGGAAGTTTCAGCAAACATCAATCTATGAGATGCTATGTGAACGCTACCTAAGCAGTAGGTGCAACTCTCTTCTGTAGGGTGGTCGGTCGCCCGGGAGGCATTGCACTCGTTGCAAACCTTTACCATCTAGGTAGAGGCCACCTAGATTGCCTACAAAATTGTCGCGAGATTGGTCCATAGACTAGTAGATAAATAAAACCATTGATCATGCAATTCATGTACACATTGTCATGCATCTGGAATATGGAAGTAGAATCGCACTTCTGCAAACAAAAGGAAAAGGCGTGAGAAGATGCTGAAAAGAAATCAGATGCGCAAAACGTATACTCCACACACATCAACGCCACCGCTGCGGAGTTCATCAAAACAAAGATCCCATTCGACACCATCAACGCAAGTGAATCATGATGCAACCTCCGCAATCACATTTCCCAAGGTACTCATACACCAAACTGCAATCAAACCCCACCCAATCCTGCGATCCATACGCCAATTGTTCAATGGAACTACAATCAAAAGACCAACAAGAACAAATAAAAGGGTGGCACCGCTGATAACCAGCACCTTGGAGATACTGATCTCATAGGGAACCCGAGTGAGCATCTCGTCATGTTTGGGAGATGACTTGCCCGGGCTGAGAGTCATGTATAAACCGCCAAGACCGACACCCAGGAGAATGTTGAGCATGGGTCCGCCGAAACAGGCGCTCAATGCCATCACAGGATATCCCAGTCGGGCGACGGTGATGTCGGCGACTAGATCGCCGAGCGAATTGCCGACGGCGAAGATGGTCAATCCCAACAGTGAGTCGGAGATGTTCAGAATCACACCAATGGTCTTGAGCACTGAGACCACTTCTGTCGCGATGGTGGCAATCCAAGAAATTGCGACTAAGAACCCTAGGAGGGAAAGGAAAGATCGCCATGCAGATGGGAGAGATTGGGGTTTCGACATATCTGATGTTTCATGCTGGTGGAAGTATGACTGGTCAACGTGGCTATTATGGTGCCATGGTCGACGGCGACGGGTAGATGTGACGAGGACACTCAAACACAAAAATGAGAATAAAAGAGACACCAATGAAGGCAGAATGAGTTTCTTCGGATCGAGCTCTTCGTCTACGGTACTCCAGGCGATTAGTGTGACAAAGAATGGCCCGGTGAAAAGCTGGATGGAGATGAGCCAGCGATTCCAATCCTTTACTTCCACAGATGCTGCATCTGGGGCTGCATGTGGTACGGCCGGCAACTCAGAATCCCAGCGTGGGCGGGGCGAATATTCAGGATGTGTGGACTTTCGTCTGGGATGCGAGGGGGCGGAATGTCCCTCAGGAAAAGGCTCGAGGTGATTATGTCCATTGGGATGAAGGGTTGGACTGTCTCCAGGTAGTCTCACCCTAGGTGCTGGATTGCCATTGTCGCCAAATGGCTCAATAATCACGGCAGGAAAGGGATCCAGCTCATCAGCTTCTGACACTTCAGGTTCAATGACTGGGACAGTGATTGTGAGAAGGAAGACACTTGGTGCAGCGATTATTCCCAACAGCCGTGCTACTATGGTTTTGGATTTCCAGCCAGCTAATGTTGGGAAAAGGGTGCAAAAAATGTGCGCAGCAGGAGGAAGGATTGAACTCGGCCACCATTTCATCAATGGCGCTTTCAATGACGCGCTGTCATTGGCCGTGTCATATAGGCTGTCATGGATCATGAGTTGCTCCGATGGGCTCGCCACTGGGTTGGGCAGACGAATACTGGGAGCACGGGATGATGGAGCTGAGGGTATATCGATGAATGCGGGGAAAGGCACAGCCGGGCTTTCTGGACCAGCTCCAGAGGGATAGCTTCCATTGCCTCCTCGCGGTGAGACTGGGCCCGAAGAGCGATCATGCGTGGTCGATGTTTGGTAATTTGGCGAATGGAAAGCTCCCGGCGGTGCTAGCAGGTCTGGGGGTGGAGGAACAGTCGGCCCGATAGTAGGGCTTGTGTTTGGTGATGGGTGCTCCGAGGATGAAGGAGAGGCAGTCAATAACGCATTAGTATCAATGCGAGGAAGCTGAGGAGTCTGCATCCCACCAGTCCTATCTGCAGGCTCATTCGATGGACGCCTTACGGTCAGACGAGGAGCTTGGCCTTGTCGATCAAAGACACTAGAGTCAATCTGTAATCTATCGGCATCATTCGCTGAGACAGCTCGGGCCCTTGACCCCTCTGCACTGTGCGGTGATAGACGATCATTGACAGTAGTTGGTCTAGTAGCACGGGGATGTGACGCTATGGAGCGCGTATCAAATGGTTGAGATGAATCATCGCCATCGTCAGAGTAACTACTTAGGCTGATCGTTGGATTATGCCCGGTAGCTCTCGACTTTTGAAGTGACTGAAGGACTGATTGGAATTCCAATGCACCAACAAGACTGGGACGAATCGGGTTGATAGTATTTCGCCTCGATAGGGCAGCAGGTCGATAGACATGCATATTGTCGCGAATCTCCGCCAGATACCTGTTTCGTGTCTCGTCATCTTCGTCCTCTTCCTCCTTCCAAGTGGGAAGGCCACCTGATCGTTCCAGAAGGTCGAAATCGTCTGTTGACGCTCCACGGAGAAGACTGCGAGATTCCGAAGCCACGCCTGGATCGTCGTCTTCCATTTGCTGATCAATTTCCAGCTCCTGGTTGTCAGGGATATGGAAGTGGGTTCGGGCTGCTAGGTCCCTCTCGTACTTCCGACGGCGCCGAACGAGATACCAGTGCCAACTAACGACCAAAATCACGTAAAAGACGTACAGAGCAACCATTGCAGCTGCCTCCCAAGCATGAAGGCGACCATCGGCCACCAAGATCATGCTGAAGCTCACTGCGATCACAAAATACCCGACATCACGGACAAAACTCCGCCGGGCGACCTTGAACGGACGGACCAAGGCCATAGAGCCAGCTACTACTGATGTAATGAAAGTCGCCGCACCGATCAATTCTCCAATCGCCAAGCTCCCGCTATTCGATCGCATAGCGGCGAAGGTAGAGAAGACATCGGGACTTCCATTTCCGAACGCGAGAAAGGTGACGCCTGTTAGGCTCTCACTCAACCCAAGGATACTCGCTAGCGTACTCAAATCGATGCATAGGAAGTCGCTGGCTGCAATGCCGATAGTACTGAAAAGTAGCGACAGCCAGAGAACTATGATAACGAACGCCAATGGTTTGGCATTGGGCAGGGCGCAATAGTAGAGCTCTAGGTAGGAGAGGAGGCCATCTTGATGGTCGGGGCAGTTCTCGCGCACATATGCACACTGATCTTTGACATTGCGAACTAGGCGACACTATAATTTGGTCACACGAGGACATGGTTAGCTACCGATACCATGCCACGAGAGGGGAGGGGGAATACCTCTGGTTCGTCAGCCCGCCGTACAAGTACACCCGCTGCTGTACGCTCATGTGTTTGTCCATTCCCATATCCCACCAAAGTCCAGCTGGCCACCGCAAGCACTGTAATTACCAGAAGCGACGCATAGAACGGTCGAACCGAGTATCGAGGGCCCGAACGGGCGGGCCGCAGGAGGGATGGTAGCCGGTTCATGATGGAATCCGAGACAGCTGCATGTTGGACCCAGGGCATACCAAGGGACTATTCGTATATCGCGCGATACCCTCCAGGAGAATAAGTCAAGCACCAAGATCAGGCGCCATCAAGCTGGCATTGACTTGTCCCTACCAATGCGGTGAGCCCGGTGATGTCAGCCTAGCAATAGCGGAGAGGAGTGGGCCAGTGCACGAGTCTCCGATACGCATGCTTGGCAGGTCCCCTCGTATGGACAGAAGAGGGAGATAAGAGGATGAAATGTACAATTTGGGATTTTAGAGTAGATGAATGGTTATTGAATAGTCATAAAGGGAGTTCTTTTTGATGGAAGCTCAGATGAAAAGCCTAAGGTTGCATGATGATACTTAACTTGTGTTGGTGCCTTATCTCTGTGGCATCAACACGTGATAGTCTACGCTTCTGGTCTCTGCACCCCGCCGTATGTTTGTTGACTTCCTCATTTGTTTGGGTCGCCCCTCCTGCGACTGCACCCAACAACCCTCGACGCATATTTCGACAACAGCGCATCTCGTTATCCCCGATCGGGGGCAACTACAACCATGCCTCGTGTCGCAAATAAGGCCCACCGTCGCTCAGGCGGCGGGAACTCTACCCCTCAGAAGAACGCGCCCATCAGGTAAGTGCGCCAACAGCATCACCAGGCAACGGAGTTGACGGAAAACTAATCCACCATCAGGATTCCCCTCAACGATGATATGGGCGAGAAAGCGGCGCGCATGGAGGCCCGCCAAGCCCTCCACGACCGCCAGATGAACCAGATCAAGGCCGCAGTCAAGACGCCGATGCCCGCCCGTCGATATCGCGAAGGAAGTGACGATAGCCCCGCGACGCCTCGAGGATCCAACCCTCGTGGTCGCGAAAGCGATGTCAGTGGCCGGGGTGTGACGCCGATGAAGCGCGTGCCCATTCTGGCAAACTTTGAGGAATGGATGAAGATGGCTACCGACAATAAAATTAATGCAAACAATTCCTGGAACTTCGCCCTGATCGACTACTTCCACGACATGTCGCTTTTGAAGGAAGGAGACGGCGTCAACTTCCAGAAGGCGAGTTGCACACTCGATGGTTGTGTCAAGATTTATACCAGCCGTGTGGATAGTGTTGCGACGGAGACGGGAAAGCTTTTGAGTGGCTTGGCCGACAGTCGCGATAAGCGAGCCCGGGATAATGAGGCCGAGGGAGAGGACGGGGATGAGGACGAGGATGGTGAAGAGGGTGGAGGACGCAAGTCGCGCAAGAAGGTATGACAGACTGCGGCGCAACCAAAACACGGACCTATAAACTGACTGAAGGACTCCTCTAGACACGATCGCATGAAGCCACACTCGCGCCGTCGTTCAACTCATTACAACTTAAGAAATTTGAACTGGAGTTTGCCGTTGATCCTCTCTTCAAGAAGGCCTCCGCCGACTTCGACGAGGGTGGTGCCAAGGGCTTGCTCCTCAACCATCTCGCTATCGACGGACATGGAAGAATCGTGTTCGACAGCAGTGATGATGCAGTTGATGATAGCTCAAGACCTGCTGAAGGCGATGGTGATCGCCAGGAGTCTGCGGACCCAGAATCACAAGACGAGGAAAAACCAAAACCTACCCAACAGGCTACCGATACCTTTGATGACGACTCCGACATTGACCTCGCCACCCTGGCTAATCAGTTCTTCCCGGATCTCGATCGTCTGGGCGAGCAGGATATCTGCCCCTCATTGAAGAACTTTGATCTTGGTGACCCTAGTGGAAACCTTGATATCCCTCTCCTCAAGGCTCCCGAGGATTGGAGGCATGAGAAGGCTGATGAGGGTGAGGGTGCTCAAGAAGACCCGTCTGGTATTATGCTCGACGATGACAATGCTGTCGGCTTTGATGACGATGATCTGGGTGGCTTTGACATGAGTGGTGATGCTGGCTTCGGCGACGGTGGAGAGGTCTGGGCACGAGAGGCCGCCTTGGAGCCCATGCTCAAAGTTCACCGACTTGACCACGACGGTCAGGATGCTGATGGCGATGAAGAAATGGTTGACGAGGATGCCTTCGCTATCTCCATGTCTCATCAACCTAGCAAACAAGACCATGAGAGCATACTCAGTTACTTCGACAACGCTCTCCAGAAGAATTGGGCTGGTCCCGAACATTGGAAGATCCGAAGGATCAAAGATACGACAGCCGCCAGGGACACGAGTTCGGCACCCAAGCAGCGCAAGGAGAAGGAGCCATTCGAAATTGATTTCTCTGCACCACTTGATCCTGCAATTGCCGACCTCATCTACACCCCTGCCAGTTCCAACTCTGCGATCTCCGTCCCGAAGACTCAGTGGAAGACTAAGGGTCGTAATCTGCTACCCGATGACAAGCATTTCAACTCTAAGAGCTTGCTTAGTTTATTCCTGAAGCCCAAGGCCCGCATGGGATCAAGGAAACTCTTGGGTCGGAGAACACTAAAGGCCGGACCTGAACAGGTATCCGGGCACGGCGATATGGACGAGGCATTCTGGGCAAACCACAAAACGGAAGATACCAGCGCTGAAGAGGGCGTTGGTGGTGCTTATGATGCCAATTTCTTTGCTGACGACGATGGTCTTGCTTTCCCGAATGGCATGGACCTTGATGACGATGATGATAACTTGCCATTTGCAGATGCGCGAGAGATGTTGTCACCGGCAGCCGAGGGCCGTCCAGGAACTGCCGTCGGGAATGCCACCGGCATCACCGCTTTGTTGAATATGGTCGGTGCAACTCCTGGCCGTCCTGGTGCAGGCGGATATGGATCCCAGCTTGTGACGCAAGGTGGACGCCGTGCACGACCAGATTATGTCAACTACGCTCGCGTAGCAAAGAAGGTGGATGTCCGACGACTAAAGGTCGAAATGTGGAAGGGCATGGGTGAACGTCTGGTGTCTGCCTCAGAATCCAGCTCTGCTTCACAGCCAGGAGCTGTGTCCAGTGACCCTCCAGCTGAACCTGACAGTGAGGCTGATGAACCGGTCCCGCCAACTCCTCAATCGAGCAGTCCCGCCAAGGCCCACGACTCCGACAAGGATGGTCGTCTACGCTTCACGCATATCATGAATAGTTTGAAGACTGTCTATCCCGCCGAGATGTTGCGCGACATTAGCACATCATTCGGTTTCATTTGCCTACTCCATCTGGCCAATGAACAGGGCCTCGTTCTGGAGAGTGACATGGACCAGATAGCCAACGGCGCCATCAGCCTGGAGGAGATATTTGTCAGTCGTGATGCCCACGCCATCATCGAAGAGGGAGGAATGTGATTTGTGGGGTACAATTCAGTACTTCATTTGCATGTACAGTCTTCTGTTTGGATTAGATGTGCCTCAGCCACTATTTTGGTCACGAATGACGGACAGAATGGGAATTTGGTAGATCATTTGGAGTTGGGTCGGTTTCGTCTTTTGCACAGTGGCGTCTTGGTCTTTTGCTCTACCAATCTTGATTGCTTCCATCAATGCACCTTAATGCAGCCCATACTAGTATCCTTCGATCCAGTAGTTGGCAACCTTTTCTAGCAACTGTAATCTTTCATAATCAAAGAGCGTGTTCTTTGAGCCGCTGTTTTCGTTTTGCCTTGCAAACAAAATGGGTTGAGATGGGCACCCAGATGCATATGGTCGCGGAGAAAGAAACGCATCTCACTATGCCTTCTTTTTTTTTCCCCCTCCTCTACTCCTATTCCTAACAATGCCTAAATGATCTTGATTTTGTTCAACGAGACACATTTATTTCTATTTCTATCTCTATTCGCTCAAGTGACACGATATTCATTCGTAACAAGGACACCGTAAGTAGGTGTAGGATAGCGCGGATTAAGCGCCTCCTCATCACTATCAACCGAGACCCCTTTCCCAACTACCACCCTGTCATGAACAACATTTGCCTCATGATATGAATCACAATGTGATGGGGTAAACGAGCCGAGAGGAATTCCCTCGCTCTTCTTATGTTGTGCGGAGTCGCCGAAATTTCTATACGAGCCACCAACGCCTCGCGAATACCGGTGAGAAGGTCGCGAGTTGCTATGAACCGTAGAGCTATGTGCGTTGACAATGAATAAACGGAAGGCGGGTAAACAGGAGGTAACGATTGCAGAAGTATTCTCTAACATAGAGAATAGTTGAAATTTTATCGGATCGACGTTGTGGGTTTTTGGGTTTGTCATGACGAGGCGGAGGATGGCGAACATGATTGGAATTATTGGGAGTGAGAATATGGCGATTAGGATCCAGCGTTTTCGGGGGTTGACTTTTAGTTTGTGGAGGAGTGGGAAGGGGATTATCATGACTATACAATGTGGTTTAGTAGGAGAATGTGGTGTTGAAACGAGATCGGGGATTACTTACTGCAAATATCGCCGGCGATGTCGGTCCCAACCGAGAAATGGAAAACGAGATTCGAGTAGAATATGTCTTTCGCGGAAGAGCATTTCCCTAGCTGGAGTCAGACTATATGCTCGACACAAACAGCAGCATGTGAACATCTTACCTAACGTGAAGAAATCACGAATAGGATCACAAGCAAATTCCTGCAAAACCACACTTATGATCCACGTCGACGCAGTGACTCCACACATAACCCACCAGAACAACCTCATGGAGGAATTCACCGACTCAAATAGCTTCCAGAAGAAGAACAAGAGGGAGAATTTAACCGACCACAATGTAGTCCACAGGAGAATATCGGCGGCATACTGCAACTTGAGAAAAAGCGATGCTCGGTCCATGAATCCCTCTGTCGGGAGTTTCATGCCGCATCCGATGTATGTGAGCTCGTACATGGGCGCCATGGCAATTTGGTAGACGATGGCGGTTGCTAGGTGACATATCAAGGCGAAGAATATCCAGTAGTCATTGACGAATAGCCGTTTATTGGTTTGGTATTGAGTATGTGTTCGAATGGTGACAAAGATAAAAGCAAGAACGACGCCGATCCATAATAGAGCCTATTATCGCCGGAGTTATATTAGCTCGATTGTTTCCTATCTCATGTCGTGGAAAATCTGCTTACTGTCTGGCCTTGTTGAGATATCAATGGTGTCTCCATCGTGGCCTCCGCTCGTTTCTCCCAGCTGGAGGGGGAAACCCGATAGTCGAGTCCATACCTAGGTACCGTTCTCGCACAATCCGAGGAATCATGTACACAAATGCCCAGCGAGGTGTTGCTACCTATTTTCGACCAAAGTGTCACCCATTGACCTGACGAAAGACGCAAAATTCCAAAAATCTACGACCAGGGGAAAAACACGAACCATATCAGCGCCCTGGAAATTTAATAAGTAGTACCAGAGCACCCTTCATCATCCATTTCTCAGACCCCGAGCCTTCTCAATTCCCTACAGCTAATAAAATTCAATTCGTTATGTGGAAAGTGCCGCCAATCACAAGCAGCAACGATGACAACCCTTGTATACACCGGTGGCCCTTACACAGGAACACTTGAACAAATCGGGTTAGATCTCCATCTGAAGCCGTGCTTTGGGGGCCAATTCTGTAACTAATTCATGGGGTTTGACCCCTTGAGCAAGCATTTGATCCTTGGGGCGCTTCGGTTACAATCCTAGCCGTTACTGAACAAGTTAGAACCCTTGTCTGAAATGCTTACGGACCATGGCATGGCCATCTAGCGTTTACTGCCCAATTGACTCAGTTCTTTAGGAATTGCCAAATACGAGGCATCTAGGCCAAGGAGAACGCAGGAATCCTTGCCTAGTCGGTTTATTGATTAGTGTAGCCGCGGGTTAGCCGATGAGATCCGAGGGGAGATCTCGAGTTTTGTTCTCCCACTTGAAAGCCTATTGTAATTAACACCGGGATCTCGTTCTTGTAGAGAACGACGAGGCTCGGAGGTGGCATCGGAGCCAAAGATGTCAAGACTTGCTTGTTGGATCCACTTCGATGGGACCCGACTCCAGCCTCCGAGCCTCCGAGCCTCCCTAAGATCGCGAAGCGAACCCGCCCTCCCGTCCTGTCAAAGCGTTCCCCGTTCCCCCATTCTCCACCGAGTCCGCTCTCTCTGTACTGTTTAATATCATCATTCTCCCGGATTGGCCCTTGATCAATACTCTTAGCTTCAGGCGCTATCCCAATTGGTCCATTGTCTCACTAGCAACGCCTTAGCTTATATACAGTAGTACGTACAATAGTAGGAAAAATTGTAAACGAAAACGAATAGTGCCTGCATCGGACCTCAGGGGAAGCATGAACCGTTACCGAGATTAGTAGTTAGCGGGGAAAGAACAAGAACCATAAGACGCGAGATCTCCCATGAAAGAAAACAACATCCTACTCTCTTTCTCAATTCCTACTTTCGTTAATATTTATCTCGCCTCTCTCTTAACAAAATGAAACTCCTTTCCATCTGCGCACTGTCCCTCGCCGCGGCTAGCTCGGTCCTGGCAACCACAACCACCGACGTCGCCCCCATTGCACTTTCAGCCGTTCCTAACAGCTGCACGCCCGAGGTTTATACCGACGCTGGCACAATCGAGGCAATTCGAAACACACTAGCCATCTACCCCTTCGCCATTGATGGCAAGAATTTCGACGCGCTTAGCAAGGTCTTCACTACCGGCGCTGTAGCCAACTACTCCGCGCCCCTCAATGTCTTGACCCCTCTGTCAACGATTCAATCCGTTCTCCAGACAAGTCTGGCATGTGTGACTACCCAGCATCTCCTTGGTACCCAATGGATTGATATCATCTCCCCTGTCTCCGCTAAGTCGGTGACGTATTTCCGTGCTGCCCACTTTGGTAAGGGACAGACGGAGGGCCAAGTTCTTTATGCGTATGGCCAGTATCAGGATAACTGGGAGCGTCAATTGACTGGTTCTTGGCGTATTGCTCATCGGAACTTGGTTTATATGGTTCGTTTAATTAACCGACATTTAAGACTGAGGAAGTTTACTAACTCGATTTCCATGTAGGGTCCTCAAATCGGTAACGAGACTGTTTTCTTGTGCTAGATTGACGTCGATTGACGTGTCTTGTGTTGATACCTGACTATATGCTCTTCTGTACATTATACTTAGATCCTACCTGTTAGAAGCCTATACCAAGTCTATTCGATCAATACTTTAGGTATCTTTTCCAACTAGTCCATCAGGTGTCATACCCGCATATTGTCTTGCAAGCAATCTACTCAAACTCGTATCAACACGCCAGACAGGTGGGTATTGCTCAATGTACGGCTGAATGCGGATGCCTTCCTATATTTCTAAAAGTTGGGCTCTAGGTAAAGCGGAAATAGTACTTAAGTTCAGGCAATGTCGAATAGAGCTTCCCTTTGGAAGACAGTCAAAGGCGCTATAACAGACGCTTTTCGTGTGATCGATGATCTTCCAGCATACAAAGTGGATTCCCTAGTCATTGGGGAGCTAGTTTCCTTGGATGAGAGATGGATGGCATGGAAGGTAATTAGAGAGGATCCAATTGAGCGAAAAAACAAACAAAGAAAAAAATCAAATTCACAATCCCTCCAGTAGGTATAAGGTATCTGTACTATCCACAAACTCCAACACGCCCGCTGTACAACTCAAGCCCCGGTCCGGACCGAGGCCCTAACAAGCAAGAGCACAAGCACATAATTAGTTCAAGGATCGAGCACTCCCCTGAATACAAGTGTATGTTCAAAGTTTTCATGTGACAGAATTGTCACAACACATGGTTTTCAAGATTTTCACATTTTTTTGTCAATAGATTTTCTGGTCAAGATAAGAGCTAGGTTCTCAAAAAGCCCGGCAATCAAGCGGGAACTATTTGTGCACCGCGGCTGGGAAGGTCGGCATCATGGGGCTTGTGTAAGCGCCCGGGATAGGCACAGAGCCGTAGTCTGCCTCGCCAGGTGCCGCGGCCATATGTTGAGGCTCGTTCTTTAGCGGCGGGGAGGGCGACCTGGGCGCCTGGGGCGCCGCGAAGCCATCCTGTTGCACGCGAGGCGAGGCCTGTTGGACGCGGATGGGTGGAGGCTGGAGCTGGAACGAGGGGGTTGGCCGGGTTGGAGAGCGCGGTGAGGCGTACTGCGTTGTCGTTGGCTCGGCTTGGCCCTTCTCTGCTGCAGAATAGGGGTCTACTGAGATGCCGTATGGTGACTTGGGTGGGTAGCTTGCGAAGCCGGGGAAGCCGGGGGTGTTGGGGGCGGACTGAAGACGCAGTTGAGCGAGGTAGAGATCCGAGCGGGCCTTGTCACGCCCGTCCATGGTCTTCATGAGGCGACGCTTGGTCCAGAGACGGTAAGCGACGACACCGTAGATGAGCAGGACGAGAACTTCGATGACGACTTCGATGATGGCGCAGACGAGGCCCCAGTCCTGCGAGATGTTAAAAATTGACAACCAAGGTATAGACCATGGGCGTATGAACGAACCTGAAGACGGCAAAGAAGCGCGTAATCTACCGTGTTCGAATAGATCTCTTCACGCGTGTTCTGATTGCAAGACCATCCCCACATATCCTTTTTATTGCCGGAAGACTTGGAGTGCTGGTAAATGGCCGCGCCGACAATCCACATAATGAAACTGAAGAAGAAGAAACAGATCGAAAACGTGGTATAGTAGACGGTGACCTTTTCGGCGCGACGATGCCCGCCTTTCCAATAACCCCAGAAGACAATCAAACACGCAAATAGAGAGAAACAAGCCAGGCCGAGTAGCAAGTACTGAGCCCATGGGTTGGTGCCCTCTGCCCAGGCGGGCAGACCATTACGTGAGGGAAGGCTCTTCGTGGCTCTGAAAATGGTTAGGGTCGTGGCCAGCAGGGCCAGCACGATCAGACTGCATGAGAAGTTGACGCCGCGGAGGAAGATCTTGGCGATGCGGACCCGGAGTTTGATTCGCTACATTGGTATAAGCATGGTGCATTTAGACAAGGGTGAATCATGTGTGCGGGAGATTCTCTTACCAAGTCACGAGCATTCTCTTTCTCGGCTACTTTCTCCTGCTTCTCAAGCATATACTCCTCTCGGAACGTTGGGCTGAGCGGGTTCAGAGACTTCGCCGTGTTTGGCACCTTCAGCCCACTCCTCAATGGCGAGGCGAGGGCAGGTGTCATGGGCGGTCGCGAGTCTTCGGCATACTGTGCGGGGTGGTTCGCAGCTACATAGCCGAAACCAACATCGCCAACGCCGCCGTTCTGCTTTTGCGGCGGATCAGCGAAGGGAGAGCGGCTCGACGACTCAATCGGCGAGTGCACAGTTGTGGCTTCGGCGAATCGAGCGGTGCGAGGGCTCTTCAGCGAGGCGCCGCAGCTCTCAGATGAGCTGCGGGTCTGCTGTGTCGTATGCGGTTGTTGTAACGGTAGGTCACCCATTCCGCTGTGATAAGAAGCTCGGGTCAGGTCAACAGGAATCACGGGCTTGTCCGTTCGAGGAGAGTCGCTAGCGTTCGACATTGAAGGCAAAAGATGCGATATACAAGGAACGAAAAACAATGCAGTCAAGAGAACCAGCTCTTGGAGGGATCCCGAACGAAGAACTAGCTTCACGGGAGGGATTAAAAACGACTCGCTTCCGGGTGCAGAGCTGAGTCAAATTGGCTGCTGCGGAGACACCTTCGTGGGAGGGTACAACGGCTGAAAAAGTGAAGTTCACAAATTCAATACGCTGATCAGATCGCCTTGGGATATACCGTGTGCGAAACCTGTCGTCCACGGATATATAGACTTGCAAAAGAAAAGACAAGAAGCCAGGCGAAGCGACAGAGATGCTCAGGAAGAGAAAGACATTTGGAGAATGGGAGGATGGCCACTGGGTGCTTTGAATATCAATCACACTGGGTTGTTCGGCTACTCTTCCTCGACGACCGAGAGGGGCAGAGCTGCAGCCCATGGCTGGTCATCACTCGAGCCATACCCAAGTAAGCGCCGAGGGCACGATCGCGCAGGGCCAACTAGGATGATGATTGGAGACGCAGTTCTCGGCGAGCTTGCAGGATGCATGTTCACACCTTCACGGCCCGTCCATCAGCTTGTGTGACTGGCTGAGCGGGGTGATCAGTCAAGCTTGTCACAGTGGAGCCCCTGGCCAGTAAGCAGGCTGGAGAGTCCCCGTTGGCCCCGTTGCTACTCACGATGCACGCCCTATCACCTCAACCGGCGCCAATCCGCCGATCGGCTGGCCAATCACAGGATTTGCAGAACCGCCTCGACCTTTAGACCTTTGGGAGGAATGCATTTCCGGGGTGGAAGTAGTGCAAAGTGCAAGTAGTGTGAGAGGTTGGAGAGGTTGGAAAGGGAAAGAGGAGGGGTTGCACAGGTGACAAAAATACCCGCCAACCCGGACGAGCGAGAGAATAATCCAAAACGTGCCAGTCACACAATAAGCACCGGGCCCTGCTTTTTTGTAGTCCGTGGCGGCTGGAATTCCTTAATATTTGAATCCGACTGGATTTAGCAGATCTATTCTCGTCGAGGACAATTTACTGTGATGAGTCTAGGGAGGGATATTTGGCATGTTTGCACCCACCTTGAGGGGTATATTTGTAGACTTGGTGGCGTGTATGCCAGTCTAAAAACCTGCAATAACATTCCTAGGCTTGCAGAACAGTGGATTTTTAGCCTTCAAAATCGACAAGCCATCCTAATTTGGGCAGCTTCAATTACCCGAACATTGTCACTTACTGTAGATGGAGATATACTAGTGAGTGATGGTTGAATTTAGCAGACAGCAGATCCCCGCCACAGCATACTCGCATAGGGGTTTGGCATGACCAGCGAAACTGGCATTCTCTTCACAAATCGCTTCCGACTTCTTGCCCTATATACAAGATCTGATTCCTCGGAAACCTGGCTGATGGCTCAGTCAAGTTGATGACACTTCACATCTTCCAATAGTAGGACCCTACCTAGCCTAGGTATCCACAATTACCAATCGTCGCTGGATGATTTCAAAGAGACTGATCCAGGAGATAGATATTTACTTTGCTTTTAGCCTTAATACAAAATCGTCATAATGGGTAGGGTAAGAAGTGTCCGAAGCCGCTCCTCGGCTGGCTGCATGGCTGGGATAGAGTAAGCAGCTAAGAAAGACCTATATTTTCACGTTATCTGCGCTCCAGTGACGTCCATTAGTCGACTTACGCTATCCCAAGCTCGAATTGTGGTACTAGGTCACAACATCGTCCCCCCACGTAAGACTCTCTTGACCGTGAGTCTTCATCTGCCTTACTATACGACCCCAGTGGCGGCTTGTCCCAAAGGACAAATATTTCACTTTAAGCCATATGTTGTGGCAAAATTGGCCTCCTCCTTATGACCGACAGACATGTTGATAAGGCTTATGTGAGGATAAGTGTGAGTGCGAGATAATGTAGAGAAGAGCATCAGCAGTTCTGATGTCTCAACTTGGTGCAATTCTTGGGGGAGTCTACTATGAAGAGTTCGAGTGTGGATAGTCATGGGGAGGATGGAAGCAAGCTTATCGTGAATGCCTAGAGATAACTAAGGACTCAGTACAGCCACAGTGACCCTTTAGTGGTCATCAGGTGACAATAACAGTCAAAACCTGTCAGGTAGACTTTCATCAAATTGTAGGCCAAGTTTAACCATCTGCTCAACCTAGTTCAACACTCTGTGTTCTCTTCTGACCGATATTCCTCGAGTCAAGTCAAGTTCTTATAGCATGTCTTAGGACAGCAAATGCGTAGTACGGAGCGGTGAGATTCACACCCACGCATATCGATCAGCATACAATCAACGCCATTCCCCAGGATCTTCATATATTGTCGATCCGGTTTATCAAAGGATGATTTCGAAAGATCCAAGTTGTCCTACGAGCGGATAGACACCCAGATGTGGGGTTTCGCGTATAGATCTCATGCAAAGCACATAAAAATAGATCCGGATCAAGACAGTAAGTAGCACAGTAACCTGTACACATGACACGTTACACAGTGGACTACAGATCGAGGCTTAGATGCGAAAAAAGACAGCAGAGCCTCCGAAGAAGGGCAATGGAATGTCCTAACAGTATGTCCTTATCCAATTTCCTGTACGTATGTACTCTCTTTGTTGGCTCTTTGCGAGTCCACTCGGGTGATATAACCAGACCGACCGCATAGATGTGACTCGTCTGTTTGGATAAGGCGGGACAGCTCCACCAGTGTTTAGAGTGGCTAGTCCAATGAGATCACCGAGAAGAAGTGTGTATGCATACTATGCAAGAGACCCTGCACCATTTACGCCCATATCGAGTAATGACAAGTCACTTCAATATGCTGCATCTGCCCGTCAGCCTCTGCACAGCCAGAGGAATGGGGCCCCGCTGTTCGTATCGGGGTATACTCCGTAGATTGCCTCGTTCAGGCCAGGGCGCTACGTGAAATCGGGCGGAACCCGTTGTAAGCATGATGGATTGAGAGGGGAGGGGACGGGGATGAGGATAGTTTATTGGGCCAAGAATGTGCCTCAGAGGGCATTATTCCACCAATACTCGAGAACAGTCGAAAGGGTATTCGGATATTCTGGGGAAAGGGGGTATATACATAGAGTGCACTCGTAAGGCACAAAAAAGGTGTTCATGATGAGCGAACCGTGACACTAGTTGATCTGCCGGACCGCTGCATCCAGATACGATGGCATCTTCTGAAATCTGCAGGAATTAGTCGTCTGTAATTCATCATTGTTCATGCCTGCCAAGATGATCATTAATGCCTCGGTTGCCACCAATTTGTCGGATGACTTCATGATGGTACTACGTCATTGGAACTGGTTTTGCAGACTGGCTGAAAGAAGGTATAGAGAGTGTGACGTTCCTGACGTGACTGCTCTGTTTCCCCCTCTCTCAGCCGCACTATTTAATATTGCACCTGGATAGAGGTGGCCTCACAGGGCCGTTAAGGATGATTCAGGTTTGAGTGGACGGCATGAAGAGGAGAAACGCCTCGTGTTGGACCCACGACCCGCCACACGCGTTAGCGGGCTACACAGCCTCAATCTTATCCTAGGTAAGTGGTACATAATATTACTGTGGAGAGTGTATATATAAGGATGTACCCAGTACATTAATCTCCTCCATCCCCGGGTCAGGGTTCATCTTCAAAGAGCCTCGACCGTGACCGCCTGGTATGTAATGATACGGTAAAAGGTGTAATGGATCATCCATCCGTTCTTATTGTGGTGGACACTATTATGTACAATTTTCTGCAGTTCATGATAGAGACAGCAGCACACTGACACCTACAATCATATATTTAAATCATTTTCAAAAGTAAAGTGCATTACTATCTATCTATATAGTTCAATCTTTGCAAGTAGTCCCTTGCAAGTAATGTACAGTCTGTATATCTGTAGATACAACCCCGTATTCTATGTATCGACTCATACCAACTTCCCAACTGCCCATCCTCCTCCAGTTTCCCCCGTGCCCGGTTTCTTGTTTCTGTCGCTGCCTTTCACTACTCTTTCTCTTCGGGGCTTTCAAGCTGGGGAATTCTGTCATTTCTCTAACCTCACAAATGCCAACTTGAACTTGATTCCCAGTTAATCTATCACATCTAGTCCCCTTGCTATACTTCTTTTTGCCCTACCGACCATACTATACTTACTATACACCTGGTCCATCAGGCATACCTCTTCTCCATCGTCTCCCTCTTCTTCTCGTTCCTGCGCCTGCAACACCCGCCACGGTTCCAAACTTCCATATTTCCACGCCTCATGGCCCCGTTCCATTGACTCTTTGACCAATCTCATCAATTCCACTTCCCTCCAATTGCTATTAACGCCCCGGCCAGAAAGGCCACCCCCTGGGACTCTGGGACATTCCGGGTGGATCGTCACTGGGCCTGACAAGTGCGAAAGCTGAAACCAACCTCGTCAGCTTGCGCCACACTCGGTTTCCAGGTGAGAAAGGAAACGCCCCACACGCCCTGGACTTCGCCTTCAAGCAAGACTCCTGCCTGGCTCTGCCTATTCCCTCCCCCTCCTCCGATCGGTCGACTTGCGCGTCGCCTCTCTGTTCTACCTCAACCAATCTAGCCTCTGGGTGAAGTCGGTCGTTACCTTTCTTCCTGTCTTCCCCAGCTTTTCATCGATTTTCTCCCAAGTTGATTCTAACATGACCTCGGAAATAGCCGTTGCTTTGGTTCGTCCACCGCTGCAGGCTGGCGCGAATCCTTCTACCTCCATGGCGGCATTGATGCACACGAATAACGAGTCCATCGCCGTCTCCAATTCCATCACCGGCACCACCGCTTCGATCGCGAGTCCAGAGTCCATCTCTTTTCTGAAACCTCCCGGCAAGCACGAATCCAACTTGAGCTCTATCGCCAGCGCCGGTTTGCACGTCTCGCGATCCCAGTCTTCCCAAATGACGAGTCCTGCCCCAGCGCCGGTGGATCGCCCGGTCGACCAAGAAAGAGATGTTGAACGGAATAGCTCACAGGTGGCTCGCGAGGCCTTGGGGGCCAGCGAGAAATCGCCTGGTCCTACAATCCACGAACCATCGGTTCATGCATCACCAGAGCAGATGCAGGTCGACTCACACCCAAACGATACATCATCAGACCCTTACGGAACAGCCGATCCCAATCAGAACAATCTAATGCCGACGTCCACGGTCGCGAGTCCAGGTCCCATTGAAGAGTCCTTGCATGGTGGAGACCGGCCTCGCCCGCGAGAGGACACGGAGATCGACCAAGATAGTAACAAAGCCTTTTCGTATCCCATGCCCACCGGTGGGATCAACGACCCGCGTCGAGGACTGAGCTTGCCGACTTCCGGTTATAACAGAGGCGGCCCTCGCTCCCCCTCCGCGAAGAAGCACCGTTGCCCCTACTGCGCAACTGAATTCACTAGGCAACACAACCTCAAGAGTCACCTCCTCACCCACAGTCAAGAAAAACCGTTCGTTTGCCAAACCTGCCAGTCCCGGTTCCGCCGACTCCACGACTTGAAGCGACACACCAAGCTGCACACTGGCGAGCGCCCACACACCTGCCCCAAATGCGGGCGACGATTTGCTCGCGGCGACGCGCTCGCGCGACACAACAAGGGTCAAGGCGGATGCGCTGGTCGGCGGGCAAGCATGGGAAGCTTCCATCCAGAAGATGACTATGTCGACGGTCACCACCCAGACGACGGAATGGATGGTGTAGTATACATGGAGCCGGAGCGCATGGATGAGGAGGATGAGCGACGGCTCGGCCATCCCAACATCCGCCGGCACGATACCGATCAAATGGCTCGAGCGGATTCCCCTCACGCTGGTCGCCAACCCAGCACGTATCCGCCGATCGCCGCTTACCGTTCCAGCCTCCCCTTACCTCAAGGCACACAAGGTGGCTCGGGCGCATCATTGACATCGGCCGCACAGCCTACCAACCACACTTTCCCGCCCGCCGGACACACATCTGGAGCGTCGATTTTCCCACCGTCGACTGTCAGCGATAGCCCGAGACCGATCTCTCCCAATGCTCTACCACCGCACGACCCGAACGCGCAGCCCCCGCACACAATACACTCCCCAGGACTGGGTCAGTCGTTACCGCACCCCCAGCCATATACCCGAACGAGCCAGTCCTCTGCGCCTAATCATGCCCCGCCTACCCTCGGTCTTCCACCGCCACAAGCCGGGGTCCATCTGCCTCCGCCGGTCATCAACTCTCCGCAGGCACGCTTCGACCCCCAGAGCACCGCCAAGCACACACCCACCTCACACAGCCACTCTGGTAGCTACGGGTTCACAGCGCCCAAAGTCGGACTGGACGGATCAGATTCCTCGGGTGGTGAAATCGAGAAGCTCTGGGCATATGTTCACGACATGCATAAAGAGTTGACTAGCCTGCGCACTGAAGTTGCAGCCCTGCGCGCGCATATTGCATCGACAAATGCGCTGACTGCTCCTGTACCGGTCGAGGTAAACCAGGGCAATCCCGGTCCGCGATAATAAGTTCTGCCGCGCCGTACTGTTCAATTGTTCTTGGTGTGTACGATATGAATATATCTCCCTGATTACATCCCATCGGTTCTGTGGTAGAGCCGACTGTCGACCTCCTTCTCCTACTCTGTTCATACTGTTCGATTACACTATCCCAGCGTTTCTGCTACGCGGACGTTCAGTCTTTTGATGCCCCCTTCCACGATCATACTTCCGACACTTGCCGGCGCTGGTGGTATTTTCCTTTTATTATTTCTGTTTTCTTTTTGTCTAGTGCACTAATTCTTCCATGGTGATGGAATACGAGGTATTTGATATCTTGGTTTATCAGTCTTGATATTGCCCTTGTGCTCCATCTTTCAATTTGTTACCCCCATGCCTTGTAAGCTTGATTTCAAATTCAAGCCTTGGGGTTGTTTGAAGCGCAAGGTGTTTATTTCTCATTCTACTTGCTTGTCTTTTCCTCCTGGGTCAGCTGACGGAGTTCGGCGTACCAAAACTGGATGTATTGCGACAGAGACATGCCCGATTCTCAAGTCCGAGATTGGGCTGTCTATTTATTCCATGACTATGGCCCTGGCAGCCGGGATCAGATCTGCTATATCTTCCCCGGGTATCATGTTCCTGGTTGATGACTATTGTGTTCATTGTATGGGCCCTGGCAGGCTGAAGTCCCGGTTACCTGGCTACTCCTTTTCTATGTTTCCTTTTTCCGACTTCATTTCCTTTGTTTTTTCCTATTTCCGTGATTTGGTGCCGCCCCGATTGCATTCTCGAGTGATGCATAGAATGACTGAGATGGAGTTTTATTTTTATTTTTTTTACACCTCTTTGCGCTCTTATATTTCCCTTTTTCTTATCTCTTGTCGAGCTATTCCAACTTAGGTAGTGATAATATACCCTGACTGAGCAATGCTTCGGTACCTATTAGATAAATATATACATATTCTACCATAGAACTCGCTGCTTATGTTTACGACCACTTGCACTTTAGGTATACCTACGAAAGAATAACACGCCTCCACCTACACATAATCCAAGTAGTAGTTAAGTAAATCTCCAACGTTCATCCCCATGTGTCTGATCGACTCCACCTAAACCGAGGCGTCTCCACCCCGGCCCAATGATTGAACCGAGGCCCTTCCCCGCTCACGACACGAACCTATTACTATTACCCTAACACCAGGTTACAACCTTGGCCTTGGACCTGTGTTATATGCACCGACCTCCGCACCCCTTAATAATCATAAAATCCTGTCATTTCACTCCTGCAGAAACATAAACATTACTTTACCTTTCCCACCATACACTACCCGCAACGGTTCACCAAGGCTTAGGTTTGACAATGTCCTCCGTCGCTCCGTCTCGATCCCTTCAGGCTTCGGCTTTGACGTTTGTTATTTTGTCTATTGGACATACGGTACGTTTACGATCACGTTTCCCCGCATTTACGGGTTGTGTATCATGAGAGCTATGTGCCTACTCGCGGAATATCCGGGCAGTAGGTTAGGTGCAAATTGAAACATTGGCTCGATATGTCACAACTTACATGTTTGCGGAGCATTGCTGTTTGTGCTAGATACTCGGTTACTAACGTGATGCTATGCTACTTATAGGTCCAAGGTAGACAATGGACTGCCGAGAAGGTGTTCAAGAATATCAAGGGATCTAAGCCGTGGGCTTGTGGTACCGTGGGATGGTTCCAGGTATGTTATGTATCCTTCGAGCACCTCGTTAAGCTTGAGCTCGATGGAACCTGAAATGGCTTTTCAGGATTGGGAATTATTGCTAACACGTGTTTGGAATACGTAGGGAAGCGCATTCCTGCTCATGACTGGTACGTCCCATCCCTACTCTTCCCTCCAATTCCAATTCCAATATGTTATATACCATAATCATCACGAGTCCAATCCTCCTAACAAATATCTCTTTCTAGGTATCCTCCACTACCAATGGTCCAACAACCCCACCGCCCTCCAGGATCCCCTGAACAAGGCACTGGCGAGTATCGCCAATGCCATTCTCTGGGCTAGCTCTGCGTGGTATGCTAAGACCGGTGTGAATGATAATGCTGTGTTGGTGGGATTGTCGGCTGCGTTGCACTCTTATTCTGTTTTCTCGCAGTGAGGGTTTCAGTGAGAGGTTTGGATGTAATATCTAGGGTTCGTTGACGTTGATATGTTCAATGAACTGGATAGTCATTTTGATCAGTAGGATGAATTTGTTATATCATGTCATTATATTATGTTAATTGCACCTGATGGCCAAGGGAATGACAGCATAGCTCTTGTAGAGATCTGCCATGGTCTCGATCACTCTGTAGAAGGGTCTCGCCGTCTGACCATTCCGAGAGATGAAATCTACCACCATCAAAACTTACGAACCACCAAGTGCCAAAGCCCCGGACTCCATTTCTCCCCAAAGATTCATCTAAGTAGCCTGCCTCCGACGCATCGTCCACCCAATAAACAACCCCACATCCGCCACAACAGCTTTCGGCACTCCGCCCAACGCCCAACTCCGCTGGACCCACTGCGGAATCGAGCCCCCAGCATCAGAAGTAGTCGCCATGGTCCATTCAATAAGCGATTGAGACTGGGACTGCTCAGTGGATGGCTGATCCGTGGCCTTGCCAGCTTGTACCAGTTCGACGCGCTCAATGCTTGCGTAATTTGCGAAGATAGTGCGCTTCGGTACGGAGGCGGTGATTTCCTGGTGTAGGGCTTTTGGCGTGGAGGATATTGCCGGGTGCAGGGGTAATTGGACGGTTAGGAAGCCCTGCCGGTGCTCTTTTTGTGACAGGGTTGGGGCTTGAGAGGTTGTGGAAGGGAGACCGTCGTATGCGGCGGAGATGGTCAGGGATATGAAGGTGCGCGGAGATATCAGGGCGGATGGGTGGAAGGTGTGAGTTATCAGATTGACTGGGATAGGTATTAGCATGAGCATCGTGATTGAATATGCATAATCTAGATTGTAGGGCTTGCTTACCTTCCATATTGACACCCCTAAACCTAACCCCATCCACCTCAATCTCCCCAATATTCTCCGGCGCCCATTCCAACAGTCGTTCCACAGCAGAAACACTAGGCGTATACTCCATCTCATGCTCAGCATGCTCCGATCTCAATCCAGCCTCGAACTCGCGCCATGACGCGGTACCCTTCGAGCTTTCGTTGACATGTTCACTTTGGCGACAGACCCAAAACTCAGACTTGTCTTTTTCTTTTTCTCTACCCTTAGTGCTGGCACGGGACTCGAAGGGCTTGCGCCATCCTCGTAGAAGCTTTACTTTGGCTTGTGATGGCGGAGAGGGGTGTTGCTTGGGGTCTGTGGTGAAAGTGGACGGGATGGAATGGAGAAGGTCGAGAGCTTCGTGGAGAGCGGTGCTGATGTATTGGTGTAGGTCGGGGCGGGATGAATCTGTGGAGAAGGAGGGGTGGGTAGGGATTGAGGTGAAGGGATGGGGTTGGAGTTGTATAAGGGACATTATGGGGATAATGAGGAGGATGAGGATGTGTGTAGGAGGCTGATCAGTGCAGGATGAATCTGCAAGTTTAAGCTGTTTTGTTTTGAAAGGGGAAGCTTAAGGCCGAGGGATCGGCGGAGCTGGATTATCGATCGATTCGATCGGGATGAATCGTTCAGTGTGGCTGTTATCAGCGGGGCACGTCAAACTGGTCGTAGCTTATCATTTCTCATAAAAAGGGCAGTTGGTCTAAACCAGCAGGTTGGTTCTTAGGTCAGACCCCCACCACTTTATATATATACATTACAGGCATCGAATGCCTGGTCCCACACTGCCGGTTTCAAATATTTCTACCAGGCCTGCGCCTAGTGCTTCCTCCAGCACCCAACGAAACTGCATGCCATACAGATCCTTCCACTTCTTCGTTCGCCCTGGCAGAATGCCCGCAAACTCGCCCCGCGCTCGCTTCGCCAAGTGGAAACTCTTCTCGGTTTCCACAGCGCCGTCCCAGCGATCTTTGAGCAACTTCAAAGGGGCTTCGTTGCAGGTAGACCGCCGAAGTAGAGCGAGCAAATGAGCCCGACCAGTACCGAGCAGCCGCAGATAGGTTCCAGTATTTGGCAACGACAAAAATAGAGTCGCTGCACGAGCCTGGGCATCTGTCTGTACAGCTCGGTCGGTATCAGAAGGATGAGCCGGGCCCCTCCGACTGGCTGAAGAGACTACAGCCTGGGGTAGATTTGGAAGAGAAGCGACATTCAACGATGCTTGTGTGTATGATGATGACGAGACAAGGAAGCCAGCACGAATTAAAGCGCGATATTCGTCGGGAGTGAACACACTCTGCGAAAGGGCAGATGAGGATCCGATGCGCGTGAGGATATCGAGGAATTTCTCTGCGAGATGTCAGCTCCTGTACTTCCAAAGAATAGACCCGAAGCCCGAGTACTTACCCTTGAGCTCATCTTCCAAAGCAGTGCTCCCACGAACCATGTCCTCCCAGTCCTCGGCCAAGACCAAGCAGTCACCTAACCCTGCTGCATCGCTGCCGCGGCCTGGAACGATGAGTCGTCGAACCCGACCGGACTGCACTAGCTCAACAATCTCCCGTTCCACCTGTGTCGGCGCATTAAGCAGAGTGTGTACGTGTGCGACAGAGGCAAGGGGAGGCAGCGACCGGCGCAAATTCAAGACCTCCGCAATGCGAGTACTGTTCATGCCTGCGCGCTGTGGGAGTTCGTCGAACATCCTCATCCGAATGGACTGGATCGCCTGTACCACATTATGGGCCTCTGCAGTCTCCGAAATAAAACGCGATCCACCTATATCAGGGAGAGGATCATCGTCGATTAGTTCATCTGCTGCCTTCACGGCGGCAGTTGTGGCCGAACTTGGCCTGCGACGCGCATGAGCGGCAAAAGGTGAACTGCGAGGCTTGGGGGTGGACTTGCGCTTCTTGACACCGGAGACTGGAGCTGATGTGAGACGCAGGGTCATACCGGGACACTCAGTAGCAAAGTGTTCCAAACGAAGGACCTCGACTGACTGATTGACTCTAGAAGATGGTCGCAACTTCGACGATTACCTCATCGTCAGGTGATTGGTCTCGGCAGAACCCGAGGTTCCGCCAATCGCAGAAAAGATTGAGTAGATGGGTATGTGTATTACCGTATGGTAACATCACCAACCTTGCGGAGATGAGCGGGTGGTGGTACCACCAAGTCAGAGTCAATACGCGCTGTCATTGATGGCACCAGAACCTGGCAGCTTTGGGTCTCGCCCTGAGTTTTTTTTGGTTCGTGATCGATAAGAACAAGGGAAAAAGCAGGCTATTTGTCTCCTTTACCAGGAAAATAGTAACTCTGAAACGGTCATTGTACAGGGCATCTCTTCAAACAAACTTGCTGCAGTCTTCCCCCACGGCACCTGATTCGATTGCACATGACGTAGCTATGAGAAATTCGATCTTCATTTGATCCTCTTGTCAGCTCGGCGTCGATACAAAAAAAAAGCTCCCAACTCAATGCCTACATTTTAACCAGTCTCGCCATTCCTTTACTCGTATTTAGCCGCCCTCCCCACGCTGTTATTGCCTCCCTTGGAGGTCGCTGTCACCTCTCACCCCTCCATTCCAGCCCCGCCCTCAGGCCAATCTTTCACGATGACGGTCTTCATCGCGTCTCTGTAAGTGATGCGACAAGCTCCCAGCACCAGCTCAGACATTGAATTCTAATGGTCAATCTCATATAGCTTCCTCCCTTACACGGTTAATTTCCGGGTCGATAACCCACGCGATCGTCGCCCAGAGGCCACTCCTCCCCCCCCCCCAATTCGGTCGCCGACACAGTCCCTCCTCTGCCCACCGCTGCGGCCAGTCTATTTGAAAAGAACAATCCCAAGACTCAACCAGGCCTCACGCCTGGTGCAACCACCGACCACGAGCGCATCTTTGCCAATACCCTTGCCAAGGCCGAGAAGGAGAGATCTGGATATCCGTTTCCATCGTCTGCCCTAGAGAACCAGCTTCTCACCGAGAGCGAAGCGCACTCCCCAGCATGGGGTGCAACCACCTCTCTAAACCAGCCACTCAAGGCGCAGACCCTCATTTCTCCATCTCCGTCCATTCTCAAGCATCTGGATCCCATTATTGCACCAAGCGAGAAGTCAGTGCCAGCTAAAATCCCCGAGTCTGCGCCCGTGCCCCCACTCGGAGCCAAGAAACCTCAGAGCGGGGATCGCAAGGTGTCGTTCTCGCGAGCTGAATGGACAATTGAGACCGCCGAGCAAGGAAATGGTGGTTTGCGCAATGCGGTTCGATCAGCCAAGGAGTCGGGATACCTGGGAGATATGATGTGGGTTGGTACCCTGGGCATGCCAACGGATGCGCTGGTGAACTGGACGCGCAACGACATTGCCGAGAGATTGGAAGATGAGTACAATTCGTTGACCGTGTTTGTCAACGATGGTGACTTTGATGGTCACTACACCCATTTCTGCAAGACCATCCTTTGGCCCGTCTTCCACTATCAGATCCCAGACAACCCTAAGAGCAAGGCCTACGAGGATCACTCATGGATCTACTACGTGAAACTCAATCAAGCATTTGCAGAGCGAATTGCTAAGAATTGGAAGCGCGGCGATGCAATCTGGGTCCAGGATTACCACTTGCTGCTAGTCCCGGCCATGCTCCGCAAGATGCTGCCGGATGCGCAGATTGGCTTTTTCCTGCACATTGCATTCCCTTCCTCTGAAGTTTTCAAGTGCCTCGCACCCCGCAAGGAACTGTTGGAGGGAATGCTGGGTGCCAATCTGATTGGTTTCCAGACTGGTGAATATTGCCGGCATTTCTTGCAGACTTGCAGCCGCATTCTGTGCGTCGAGGCTACGAATGAAGGTATCCAGATGGAGGATCGATTTATCAATGTGGGCACGTTCCCGATTGGTATCGATCCGACATCGTGGGATAAGCGCCGTAAGGCGGCAGATGTCGAACGATGGGTCGATACAATTTCCGAGCGGTATCATGACAAGCGACTGATCGTCTCGCGAGACAAGATCGACTCTGTTCGGGGTATTCGTCAAAAGCTCTTGAGCTATGAGCTGTTCCTCAACACCTACCCAGACATGGCAGACAAAGTGGTTCTGATTCAGGTTGCGACCAGTACCACTGAACAGCCTGAGCTGGAGGCAACCATCTCTGATATTGCCATGCGTATTAATTCCACTCACTCGACATTGGCTCACCAGCCTCTGGTATTCCTCAAGCAAGACTTGGCATTCCCCCAATACTTGGCCCTCATCACGGTTGCCGATGCTCTCATGATCACCAGTTTGCGCGAGGGCATGAACTTGACCAGTCACGAGTTTGTGTATTGTCAGGATGGCAGTTATGGGGACAAGAAATACGGTTCCCTTATTCTCAGTGAATTCACCGGTAGTGCATCCGTCTTCGGAAACCATGCACTCTTGGTGAATCCCTGGGACTACAGACAATGCTCGGAGGCAATCCACACCGCGCTTACTCGAGATGAGAAAAAGCGCAAGGAAGTTTGGGAAGCTATGCACCGCGCTGTGCTGCAAAACTCAACCGCCAACTGGGTCAAATCATTCAACGAGACACTCACGAAAGTATGGAACGAGCAATCATCTCGGGAGATCATGGCCGTGCCACGCCTGTCGGTACCACGGCTCATTGATCAGTACCGACAGAGCAAGCGCCGACTCATGATCGTGGACTACGAGGGCACCCTCGCCTCATGGGGATCCCCACGCAGCATCATTCTGACTACCCCGCAGCGCGCCATCACCACTCTTACCGAATTGACCGACGACCCCAATAACGTGGTCTATGTGATGAGTTCGCGCATGCCAGAGGAAATGGAACGGCTTTTCCGCCAGGTTAACAACCTTGGCCTAATCGCCGAGAATGGCTGCTTCGTGCGCGAGCCCAACGCAGATGAATGGACACATCTCGCCGATAAAGACCACATCCAAAACTGGAAATCCTCGGTTGCTCACATCCTGTCTTACTTCAAGGATCGCACGGAGGGTAGCTGGATCGAGGTTCGCCACTGCTCGCTCGTTTTCCACTACGGCTCGGCCGATGACCGCAGCGTCGCGGCACGCCTTGCCGCCGAGTGTGCAGATCACATCAACGATGCGTGCAAGAACCAGGGTGTACATGCTATTCCTGTCGAGGGCGCTCTGATCGTTGAAACAACCAGCACGAACAAGTCTTCGGCAGCGGAGCTGGTCTGGCGGTTGTGTCTAGAAGATCCGGAGAAGAAGGACGCTGGTAAACCGGACTTTATGTTGATCATCGGCGATGACCGCGAAGACGAACCCGTGTTCCGTTGGGCGAATAAGCTACAGAAAGCCAAGGCTGTTGACTACGCGATGACCGTCACCTTGGGATCACGCAGTACCGAGGCCCAAGCTACTTTGACTCAGGGAGTAACTGGTGAGTTATCCTCTAATTTGACTCCATTATCTACAATCCACTAACGTATCTTAGGTGTTCTCTCCTGCCTGCAGCGACTGGCAGCGCCATCAGACAAAACATCCGTTAGAGGATAGAAAGATATTGGGAGAAGGTTCACCTGGTCCCCCTATTATTCATACAAAAGAGCGAGACATATGGCATGAACAGACGGCCAAGACGATTCTATGAAGACAAGATTAAGAGCGACGGGCGTTTTCGGTACATCGATGTGACTTTCACTTTGGTTGTCTTTATTTCGGGGTTCGTAGATGGTTAGTATTGGATACATACTTTGAGAGCAATACAATGGCATTCCACTTGTGCATTTGCACCTTTTTTCTTGAGTAGATAGGTAGCGGAATGGACATGGTCTATACTCATGTAATGTTTACAAGGCAGTAGTTCGGGCGGGCTATTCTTCAACTTAGGAGCTTTCTGCCCGAGAAGAGAATATCGCTCAAAGGCTGTAACCTTGCAGATTACATTCAAGATTAACTTGAGCTTGCATGCCCCCACGATGCCAGGCAATTGAATTAATTGTAAAGATCCATATCATTCCCGCTAGCTGGTACACAATATCACCGTGATTGACTTGTTCTTTTCTAAAAATGAGGTATGCTGGTCACCCATGCTACAGTCGTGTAAGACCCAGTAGGAAGAGCTCTCAACGACGAAAAGACAAGTCCCATGATCCCCAAGCGTGCAATAATGTAGAAGTTGAAGCTGACAGTGATAATAACTAACATAGCCCAAATAGCGGCTGGGCGAGTGATGGCGACCATCCATGAAGGAAGCAGATCTTTTGAGTGGGGGAACATTGCCGTGTCTTGGAGTCCACTCACTAAGCTCATGACGAGAGCTGCACCAATGGAGGCGAGAGAAAAGACACGCCAACATATCAGCTCAGCACGAGTTGCGAAAGGGAAATTCCATCTATGAAATGATAAACGTTAGCTTATAGGGATGACGGTAGTAAAAGGGAATTTCAGACTGACGCGGCCACATGAATCCCGCAGTAGAGAAGAGCAGTGAAACTGCCTACTATATCAAAGATGAAAGTTTCAAGTGCCGTTTGGTTAAGATCATCATCACGCGTGTCATAGTGCTCCACGAGAGTTTCCACATCTCTGGTTAAGAAAGGCGTTCGGATGTTCTTCCACAGGACAAACATCCAGTTATCCTCCTTGACGAGAGCACGCACATGGACCCATCCGTTCCCTATCATATTGCGGACCTCGATTAGCAGATCATCACGGTTACATCGTACATGGATTGCGATAGACGTGCCCATGTCTTTGGGCTTATACCACCATACCCCATATATTAAAATGCCACAGGCCACATAGGCAACAGTTGACAATTCGATGGGGGATACTGGTAGATCACAGGCCCACCTTGTGATGATGTTGCATAAAAACCAGGTACTTTGAAGGACGGTGAAGAACTTGGCAAACGAGTCTGCTTTCGTTCGATCTTCGATATCCTGGTCTCGGAAATCTGAACAGTGGACTATACCGGCCTGGATGAGAGGTTTCATATCACGGGGCTGTATTGTATAAATCCATTGATCCTGCGTCTGCAACATGAGTCCGCCAGCAACGACACAGAAGCATTGAGGCAGCGTCCATTCGGTGTGGACTTGATGTAGATCCAAATGGTCCACGTTTTGGACTTGTTCAAGCGGCCTAGACCGTTGTGATAGCCACGTTTTTGGCTCTGATATTTCCGCGTCTCGTGCTTTCTGTGCCTTGCTGCACACCTTCTGTAATTTTTTCGCATCGAGGAGCTGAAAGGCCGCTACCACGAAGGTAACCTCAGGGGCTAAGATACATATAACCCACGCGCGTAATTTACCGATCGTACATTTTGCAGCCGATGTATTGCGAGGAGGAACGTCCATGTGAAGAAGAGTCCATGTGCAGGCAAAAATTGTGGACAAACAGGTCCAAACGATGTCCCATGCTGACCGACTGTTCCCGTCTAACTGCCAGCTCAACAGAGGTGTCGAGTTAGACGCCATACTTTGGTCACAAAAAAGGGCAACAAAATTAGGATGCGTATGGAGCCCGGGGCGGATCTATCCGTCGAGGGATGAAGATTGCTGCAAATAAGCTTTGCTCTCGGATGAGGGCGCGGTATTTTCACCTGGACTAATATTGGTAAGCAGTAAACTGTTGTGTAGGAAGTTGCCGATCATCACGAACAAGAGGGAGGGCCGTGTGTCTGCCAGTCTAGTGTAAAATACACTACCTACGGTACTGAAGCTGTATTATAAAGTAAACAGACTCTTGTAGACAGCAGTCTAGATCAATGTGCTTCAAACTACATCCGATCAGAACTCGTATATGTAGAATTTATTTACCGGAAATCAAGTATAAAGAGTGTGAGGTCAACCTGAATTCGAGAACTGCTGTAAAGCGCGCAATATGACATTATGACGGTTTATTTGGATTGCGGTCAGCTTTACAGAGTCCACACCAGCCCAAGTAACATAACCTATAAGACTTCATCTACCTGTTGTTTGGTCAATATTTCCTTGGAAATGAGAGCAGGCTTAAAGCCCAATCGTTGGGTCGAACCGGGTCCATGATGATTGCAGATAGAATATCCGCAAGGTAATCTCCACATACGCTCTCCCCAAATCTACTCATTCTATCCAATAACCCACAAATACTCGAACCAGAAGAGCTACTACAGTGATCGTCAAGATCCATAGACTCCGATGTATCGACAACAGTATCGACAAGATCATCGACATCTCGGATGACAATGGAGAAGCGAGGGAAGTTCTCCTGCGAGAGACGCAATGCAGCAATCCTCCCACCCCGCCAATCTTGCCAAGGGGCACCAAAGCTCCGGTATACTGCCCAAGTTAGGTCGCGCTGATTTTTTATTCGGGCTTGGCCTTCTGTTGAGTTAAAGTCTGTCGTGTCCAAAGGGCAAGGGCTCCACCAAATAGCATCCTTGTGTTGATCGAATGATCGGATCACCTGTAGTTGTTTACGAAGTTTAGAGAGAGAAATCGAGTCAAGGACACTTCTTTCTTGCTGTTTGGTCCAGGAGAATGGAGTTTTCGCACGGTGAGGGTTTGTAGATGTTCCCAACATGTCTGATAATTTTATGGTTTCTCGAAGTCGAGGGTGTCGCGCCCAGGTGATATCCACGAAAGCGTTGAAAATCACGTTTGTATGCTGGTAGTTGAACCAGTTACATTCGTACCTGTGTAGTCTCTGTTGCCAAGATGTGGCTTCGTTTCGTGCTAGTTTGCGGTTATTTTCAGCTGTTTGCACGCTCATGTCATCTCCGGTGGAGCGATGACCACTGACACTGTTAGCATGAGTGTATCTAGATTCATGTCTCTGTCTAGCATACTCTTCACTTGAATCAGAAGTTTGAGTACCAAAACTGGTGGTATCAGTAGCCAAGACAGAATCCGAGCTGGGAGAAAGTTCTTTAAAGGGACTCCCACGATTTCTAAGGTCGTCCGCTACAAAGGAACTGTCACTGCCATTGTCGCCTATCTTGTCTAACATTTATATGAGAAATGAAAATGAAACGCTTTCAAAATGTGGGAGGCAAATCCCTTTACGTTCGGATCACAATTTTTTTCTCGCTCAAGAGCTTGTCCTTTCTCAATTATGTCTCATTGTTTATTATCTCCCTTCAACTAGAGTGCATCAACGCTAATTTATTCATCTATTGTCCCAGGATTCCTTATCCGCCACGGGGATACAGTACTTGATAACCCAGATAACGATCGATAAGCCACGATAAGCCCCGATAACTCGGCGTCGGCAATTTCAGTGATCACCCAAATCGCCGGCAGCCGAGGCTGGCTGAATGTGGAGAGACCAAGTAAATAGCCCGTTTCCCCATATTTTGAAAACCTCCCTCTACCTCCTCTCGTCTTACACAATCTCTATCTCAAAATGCCTCGCCTTAACGCGTCCTTCGAGGACGCCATTCGTATCACTCCACAAGGCAACAACAAGTACAGCGCTGATCTTCGCTCGGAATGGTGCATTGGAACTGGTACTACCTCTCTCCCAATGATGAATAAACAGCAAATAAGCTAAACAAATTCGCTTTCAGTGCCCCATGGTGGCTATACAACAGCAGTCATCTACAACCTCGCCCTGACACACTTCGCCCACGCCCACCCAAAACTATTCGATACCCCCCGCATCCCCAATCTCCCTCCAACTGTCTTTCCTCCGTCGCACGGCTGCCGGCCCCGCAACACTGGAAGTCGAAGATGTAAAGATCGGCGCGCGAACGAGCACAATTCACATCAAGCTCCTCCAGCCATCCGAGAAGAAACCTGATCAGCTCCAGGTCAATGTCACCGGTTACATCACCGTCAGTCCGCCCAGCGCGGAAGTCGGTATCACCGGGACCACGGGGTGGAAACCACTCCCACCCCCGCCTCCAGGTTCCCTTCCAGATGGAAAAATCGATTTTCCTACTCTAGCACGAACAGGCAAAGACGGCGCATGGGAAAAACTCAGCCCTCCTTTCCTTGAATTCCGCCGCGCAGGTGCCCAGCTCGAGCTATTCGCGCCCGGGAAAGCCGAGGCTCAGCAGCAGCGCACGGGGAGCATGGCTATCGACCAGTGGGCTCGATTCCAGCCTGGCGGGGACAAGGACGGTCGTTGGACTGATGCCGCTGTTGTCTATCTGCTGGATATGTTCCCCATGGCGCTGGATGGCTTTGATACCCTGTCTGCGACGGCGGTGGCCGAAGCCCAGGGCGAGCCTGTGCCGGAGATCAAGGCTAAGTTTTGGTATCCAACTGTTACGTTGAATATTGATATGAAGAAGCATTTGCCCAAGGAGGGGGTGGAGTGGTTGTATAGTCGGGTTGTGACTAAGGTTGTGCGTGGTGGGAGGACGGATTTGGATGTTACTGTGTTGGATCAGAATGGGGAGGTTGTTGCGTTGAGTACCCAGGTTGGACTTATTGTGAGTGCGAGTCGGAATGTTGGGACTAGGAAGTTTGGGAAGTTGTAGATTTTGGTTATCAAGGGAGGGTAGATTTTGTTGTTGCCAGTAGGTTTGATTGTATATAGCACTGCAAATAGAGTGGGAAGTATATACCTTATTCGGGTCTGGGATATACACGAAGACCTAATCAATCGCAATAAACTTGAAATGTATAAATTCTGGTTCAATCATTTGAGTGCTTTTTCATTTGTACTGCGATGATTCGCATTTGATATTGCGTATTTATATGAGACCATACCCATCTATACATCATGAGATATTTACATTGCCTGCCACCAAGTCCACACCCCTAACCAAGCCTACCTGCCTAGCCTACCTACAACTTCTGCTGACCCTCAGGCGTAACAATCCAAAAAGCCATAGCATCAATCTTAACAACCTTCCTCTTCGCCCACTCCAAATGTCCCCCCGCACCAGCCTCATCCTCCTGCACCGCCTGCGCCCTAACCCAATACTTCCTCCCCACCCGCGCAACAACCCTAGCCCTCACAACCAACACCTGCGGCGTCGTCACAGGCTTCTTATATCTCACATCCAACTGCACCGTAAACGTCTTCCCCCTCGGATTCTTATCCACAGCCCCCACACCCGCCGGCGCTGGCGCCGAAGCATGCGCCGCCACAGCCAGCGACATCGCCTCGTCAATCATCGTCGCGACAACACCCCCATGCACGGTCGACGGATGCCCCGCAATCCCCGAACCTCCCAGGTCATATATCATGATGATATCCGCGGGATTGGCGCCTGGCGTGGGCGTTGTGCTTGCGGCGGCATCTTGCTTCGTTGCGGGGAGCCAGACGGGTGGTTCGGAGAGTGGGGTGTTCAGTTGGCGGCGTTGAAGGGTTAGGACGTGTGGAATTGTGGAAGGTGTGGCTATCGTTGCGCCGAAGAATCCGTCTTCGCCGCTGGGTTTGGGACGCCGGGAGTCTGTTGGGATGGGGGTGTAGTCTGAGGAGGAGATGAGGGAGTTGGCCCATTGGTGGTTGCGGAAGTGGGAGACCGTGGAGGTTAATGTGGCCGTGTCGGCCATTGTTATTGTAATTGTGAGTGTTTGGATTTAGAAAGAGTGAATGCAACTACCAAGAGGAGAGGAAAGAGATGAAAAAGTGAATTAGTCTATAGTTGTACTCTGGATGTACATTTTCCTGTCATTCGGCAATATATCGGATGAGACCTCGGCTTGTTCCTAATCGGGTAATTTGGATGGACCCTCATTATGTAATGGTTTAGCGGAAAGACCATTGTCACGTGAATTGTATAGACCTGGACGGTCGGGAACGTTGACTACCGTAACAAACATTACCTAACCTGTAGGAAGGAAATCCATGGTTATCAATTGCCGGACCCAGGCAAATGGAATGATCATGGGTAAAAGACAATATGAGTAAGAAATTTCATTGCTCTCAATTACCAGGATAATTTCTCTGCTGCATGTTACAGACACGGTCTTACATTGGGTATGCAATCGGGATGACAGCTGCAAGGAGGCGCCCTCCTGTTGATGAAGAATTTAGGTGTGGAATGTAGGAGGCTTCCCAGTCATCGAAACCAAATCAACCAGGCCAGGAACAGAAGATATGGATAGAGCCATTGGGGTATAATGGTGATAAGGGATTCCGGAATCATAACCTGGGGGAGACGAGAAGATAACTTGTACTACTCGAGGAGAATAGTCGTCTGACTAGACGGAGCCAAGAGGTAAAGGTTCTACAGATAGATAGATAGCCAATTAGTGCCTACAGTAGTAGTGTATCAGGTACAATAGAATCAATACTGTTGAGCGAATGAAAAGAGGCCCTGCCCTAGCGCATCAATCTCCCCCGAATCATCCATAATCTCGCCGACAGAGTTCAGTGGTTGGCCCATGGACCGAGCTCAACAGGGTCTCAACTAGACTAACTAGTGGCGCCCGCGATGGCCTTTTGGGAAGTTGGAATAATCATTGACCGACCAAAACCGGAAAAGACGGCCTTTAGGGAATTGGGAACTTGGGAAGTTTTGCTGGTATGTGCTGAGCTGTTTTTGTTCCCAATTTCCCTGGGCGGTTACCCTGGCACCTTCCCTTAGTGTTTCCTTTTCCCTGGCACCTGCAGTAGCTTAGCTTTCATTATTGATTTCCCCCATCCCAGTGTCCCACTATTCTTGTTACTGAGTATTTAGGGTCCTGCACGGTGCCTGCCATTCCCAGCTTTTGTTTTCCTGCACTACCTCTTTTAGCTTCTTGGCTTCCTCGTTCTCGTTGCTACCTTGCTATCTCCTTCTCCTCTTCTTTTTCCCACTCTTCCAACTGGTCTTCTGTATCTCTTCGAACCTCCAATTACGTCCAGTCATATTCACCATGCTACCCTCCGTTGTCCTCATGTCCGCACTGGCAGCCACTGCCTTCGGCGCCAACACCACCTACACATACACTTTCCCCGCAGGGTTCAACATTGGCCTGGTGAAGCAGGATCAGCTGAGTAGGTTGACAACAGACTCCTTCTGAGAGGCATTGCTGACTTGAGCTCAACAAATAATAGACTCCTGGTGCCAGGGACAGCGCAATGAGTGTCCCTCCATTTGCAAGGGCTCGACCAAGCAAAACACTTGCGAACCCGTACGTTACTGCACTTCCGCAACATCCGCGACCTCATGTCCAAGCTTCAAATTTTACTGACACTGTTTTCAAAGAGCACATTGAAGTTCAACTGCGTTTGCGCTGACGGCAGCGTCCCCGATGTCTCCCCATACGTCGAGACTGTTCCCTTCTACGTCTGCGAGGAGACCTATGGCCAGTGCATCAACTCTCACCCCAACGACGCCGAGGGCCAGCGCGCTTGCAAGGCTGCTGCCACTTGCGGTAGTAAGAATGCCACCGCCGAGGATACCACGAGCTCGACCACGACCGCGGCGTCCACCACTCTGGCCATGACCACTTCCACTGGCTCCAGCTCTAGCCAGACCACCTCGGTCGCCGCCGCTGCAGCCACTACCACCAACGCCGCCGTCTCTGGTTTGGAGGGTTACTCGACTGGTCTCATGGCTGGTGCCATGTTCCTCGCTGCGCGTCTGTTCCTGTAGAGGATTCTCGCGACGGACCTCCTATCGTCTTCGGAGTTAGCTTCGCGGTTTCTCTCGCGATGTCATGCGGCGTGCAGATGTTTCGTATCCTCTTATATTTCAGCGCGATGATGACATGCTGATGCTCTTTTACTTGTTTGAATGATTGATTCCCCGTTTCTGAATGCTCTCCTGCGTTGATGTTATCCCCTTATCTATGAAAACGCGCGCCTGTCCTTCCCTGTGTATTAGCGGAGTTTGCAGTTGTCTGCCTGCATTGGCGGTCGCATAGCAGGCTATGGTCTTAATCAACTTATTTCGGGATCTTATCCTCCAAACAGTAAATTCTTCCTGTAGATTAGACTGAAAAGGACTGGATGGAGTGGTTGGTTGATAACGGATGGGTAGTTGGTGATGGTTTGAAGGTCACTACGGCGCGGGACCAGTTGGTGTTCTTCTTTCGCCAAGACTTTTTGGCACACACTGAAATTTCTCAACTTATCGATACGACTCCACCATCAAGGAACCTGTCTTCTTTTCCCCCTCCCCTTCTCCTCCCACCACATACCCCCTCCCAATCATGCCCGCTCCGACCAACACCCTCCTCATTGAGGGTTCTTTCTCCGAGCTCGCAGACGAGTTCGCCCAGTACATCGACACCCTCCGCAAAGAGGGCAGCCTCCAGACCGAGATCGCCCCGCTCCTTGAGCCGATCCGCCAGCAGGAACAGTCCGAGAGCGACGCCGACCTTAAGCAGCGCGATGAGGTTCTGAAGAAGCTTGTTGGGGCTGCCGCCGTCCTGAACGGTGCTCCCGAGAAGGGTGAGTTGGGATAATACCGCGGATTGAATGTGGAAGATTGCAGCGGCGGACAACGAAGTGAAAAAAAAAAGATATCTCCTTCGAATATCGACAAGCCGCGAAAGCAATCTTCCTCGACGGATAAAGGACAAATGACTGACTTGGTGTGAAAATTCGATAGAGATCATCCCCTCCTACAACCTGCTCGTTCACCTCATTCACCAGTCATCCGACGCCGACGTGTTCCTCCCTCGCATCTGCATCTATCTCGCTAAGCCCATCACCACCTCTCCCCAGTTCGGCCCGACTCTGGCCATCTCCATCCTCACCACCATCTTTAACACCCTGTCCGCCACTGACCCCAGCCGGTATCACGTCCTGCTGGCCATTGTGGCCGTCATCCGCCAGTCTGGCTCCGGATATGCCTTTGAGGCCCTGAAGCCCCAGCTCGCCACACAGCTGCCTACGTGGTTGTCCGCCTGGGAGCTGGATGAGGAGGAGACCCAGAAGGTGCACCTTGCCATTGCCGATGCCGCTACCGCTGCTGGCGACGACGACCTTGCCCAGACGCACGTTGTGCAGGCTCTGCAGACCATCCCCGCTGCCGACTCTAGCAAGCCCGCCGCTCGCGAGCTGGCCGTTCGCGCCCTCGCCTCTGCTCTGCGCCGCCCTACTGTCTTCGATTTCACCCCTCTGACTGCCTCCGATGCCGTTCAGTCGCTCCGCTCCAGCGACAGCACTCTGTTCGAGCTGCTCGAGATCTTCACCTCGGACACCCTCGATGCCTACGAGGAATTCGTTGCCGCCAACCCTCTCGCCTCCATCTCTGGTGGTGTCCTCGCAGAGTTCGCCGAAGCCCTGCAGACCAAGATGCGTCTTCTGACTCTCACTTCTCTGGCCTCCGCCACTCCCTCGCGCTCGCTCCCCTACGCTACCATCGCCTCTGCCCTGCGCGTCCCCGCCTCCGATATCGAGGTGTGGGTGATCGACACCATCCGCGCCGGTCTGGTCGAGGGTAAGCTTTCCCAGCTGAAGCAGGAGTTCCTCGTTCACCGCGCTACTTACCGTGTGTTCGGCGAGAAGCAGTGGGCTGAAGTCCAGGGTCGTCTGATGGTCTGGCGCCGCTCCCTCGAGGGTGTTCTGAGCGTTATCCGCTCCGAGCGCGAGCGCTTCGCCCGTGAGGGCATCCAGGCTCCCGCTGACCAGGAGGCCGCTGCTGCTCAGGGCAAGAACGGCGACAAGGGCCGCTCCGGTGACCGGAGGCGCCCCCAGCAGGCTATTCAGCCCCGCGAGGTTGAGCCCGTTGCCGAGTAAGCATACTCTGCCTGTCTTGCCTTGCCTTGCCATTTCTTGACGACGAAGTTGGGATGATTTGTGGAACTACTGCATTGGAGTAGGTGTTTTCTGCGATGGAGTGGAAAAGCAACAAAACAACAAAGGCTCACTGAACTCGAAAAAACGTCTTTTCTTTGCGGTCATAATAGAAGAGGCAGAATGCCCTTTCTTCTTTTTTCCTTGGTTTATTCTATCTCACCATCTTTTCTTTCCCCTCCCCTCCCCCTCACCCTTTTTTCTCTCATCCCTCATGCATTTCTATTTTATCTTTTTCACCCTTTTTTTTTTTGTCTCTTGGCCAGTTTAGTTGGGATGGATTTACTGGCCCCACCTTCCTCCTCCGTTGATATTGGGATCCCCACGAGTCATGTCATGTCTGTGTTTTGCTTGTTATGTTTTCCCGGCGGGATGACTGTTTGTCTGGATTGGCTGGTCTTTGATCAGAATTACAATACTTTTAGATGATTTGTGAAGTATGGAGTAGACTGTGTAGAGCTCTAACTGTACTACAATTGAGAGTGCGAGGTATGATACAATGGTTGACTCTTTGTCTCCTGCACCTGCCGCAATCGAGTCCGTATAGGGGGCATGAGCCATGTATAACCACAAGGAAGAGAAGGTTGGCGAACAGCGAGAAACATTAAGATTCAACTCTCCCATTGAGTATAGTACACACGCTTTGAAGAATCAACTGTGGTAAAACCATTCCAACCTATTATACGGACTCTCTATTCATCTATACTTCAAGCTCCAAAACACATCAAAAAAGGAGTGGTCTCTGTATGTCCCGACCAATAACAACAAGCACAATATATCTACATCTCTCCAATCCAGCCCATTCTAGTTCGACCCCAAAGAAACAAGAACCATCTCATCTTCAACCTTAACGAGGATGCACACCCCGCTCCTCAATACCCTGCTTCACCTGCGCATAAACCTCCTCCACAGACCCAGTAGCCTGAACCTTAACAACCTTCCCCTTAGCCTCAAAATCATCCACAACAGGCATAGAAGTCTCCACAAAAGTCCTAAACCGCTTCCGAATAGACTCCGCATTATCATCATCCCGTCCACTCGTCTCCCCACGCTTCAAAAGCCTAGCCTCCATAACATCCTCGGGACAATCCAAGAAAAGCACCAACTCCGACGGACAAACCGTCTCCTCAAAGAAAACAGCCTGGTCCAGCTTACGCGGGAACCCATCAATCAGGAAGCGGGCCTTGGTACCAGCGGCGGGCGGGTTGTTGTCGAGGGACTCGCGCATGGCGTTGGAAAGGAGGTTGACGGTGACTTCCATGGGCACGATTTTGCCTTCGGTGATGTAGGTTTTGATCATTGCACCGTATTGGCTTCCCTCACGGAGTTGTTCGGCCCGGAGGAGGTCGCCTGCCGAGAGGTGCACGAATCCATAGTCGCGGACTAGGTTGGTTGATTGAGTGCCTTTGCCGCTGCCCGGGCCGCCGAGGAAGAAGATGACTGTCACTTCGGAGGGGGAGAAGCGGGGAGATGAAGTTGGTGCCATTGTGAGGGGTGGAGAGAGTGAGGAATTGGCTTAATAGGAGGAATTGAGGAGTGAGGAGAGAAGATGAAAGGAGAAGTTGTTTTGGTGGGCGGCGGTGAGGTGTGAGAGTTTAGGAGTGGAAGTGGAGGGGCAGAAGCGGTAGAAGCTGCGGGACTGGACACGGGCTAAGTTAGTCTTGCTTTTCTGAGCTGGCACTGCACCCTTCTCTTACCCCCTAATTAGATGGTCGCTGTGGTGATTGTCCAGTGCGAGACTTCACAAGGAACACGTAGGAGCCAGATCCAATGGCAATGATTACCAGGATGGGCAGGATCTTAAATTGTGAGCGGTCGTTATGTGGTGCGGAGGAGGACGGGCGCGAGGACTTGGGCGCGTTGTTGGACGACAGGCGCTGGGGAATTGAGGATCGGACGAGGTGGGTAGAAGTAAATGCTGGCTTGGAGAAGACTCCAGATGCGAAACGGCGGGCTGCAGGCAGAGACATGAGGCCTATTGTGAAGCTTGTGATTCTGTAAGGTGTGATAGGAAAAAAGGGAGTGGCCGGAAGGGGATTAGTTGCTGATCCTTGTATAGAATCCACGGGTGCTTCTGCAGCTGAGTTAATCTCTACCCTTGGCATCTACCACAAACCAAGCTTCGATATGTCTCATTATCTTGCTTTTACAACAAATGACTTATGGAACTACTCCTAGGCTGTTATTTCTTAATATTTGATAATTTCCCAGCGATCGATGCTGTATGTGTTGATTTTACCACCTAAATTTTTCTATGTCCATGCAGTTTCTTATCCTATACCTGTCTCCTACAAAGCACTGCTGCGGGTCAATCGCTTTCCTTTCAAACTGCAGCAGGTCAAGGAGAGCTTCTGCCTAGTCGTATCTTATTATACCATCGATCGTCGTCTTTGTCTTGGAGTCAACACACCCCAGACTACATCCTCAGCAACACCTTACCCGCACCCAGAAACACGTCTAGAGTCGCTTGCTTTAACTTAACACGCTTAAATAAGACACTAGGACGGTATTGAATGACTTATTTGAGCGATTGGAGATACTCATCGCTCAAATAAAAGGCCCAAGTTGAGAAAGCCAACGACTTCTTGCCATCTCTTTTCTGAAAATCCTGGGATGTTCATCTTACAATCTTTCTGGTGGATATGACTCCCTTTTTGATTGACTAGACCTCGGTACTGTGTTCCAAACGTACGTGGAGAGTCCCGGAAAGTTGCTCCTGCATATATCTCTTCATCGACTCCATCACAACCTTGCCTTCCCCTCTGTCACGCTTCCAGCTGCTTCTCGGCGAAATCCGTATTATGATATACGGCTTCGTTTGCCAGGACCTTCGTTTGCAGATTCGGCAGTCTCGTAACGTCACCGATGGTCACCAAGGTGGTCAGTCTGGTCATGTGGAAGAAGCTGGCGTCGTGGAAGCTGGCGTCAACGAATCAAATAGGTCGGGGCCATACAAGATCACCTACCACAGGCTCTGCGCGCGCGTCAAGAGTACCCACCTAGTCAAAAGAGCCAATACCCCTCCTACCTCTAATATCCAACTCAACCTCATGCTCACCCGCAAGAGCATCCACCACGAGGTTCGACTCATCTTTTACCATCAAACGCGGTTCCTCTTCGTATCGCCGCAAGCGCTCAACCACTTCCTGAATATGGTCAGCCTAGAAGCAAGAGAAGTGATTCACCACGTCGAGGTGAAACACGTCATGTACAACAATCACCCGGACAGGGAAAAGAGCAGTTTTTCCTGGTTGCAAACATGCATACGCTTCGCGACGAGCTCCCAGCCCTTCGGGCTTTAGACATCTCTCTCGGGGTCTTCGATGAGATGCCGAAGATTTGTATGGCTCCTCCCCTGTCCAATCCTTTCCTTGGTTTCTCCCTGTTCGCGAATTTGGAGACCCTGCCCTTCTTTGAGGCATACCTGCAGGTGCATATCGCCCCGGACACCCCACACAGGTTCTACAGGTACTTGCAAACGATGAACCCAGGGCTTCGTGACCTTTACCTTGAAGACGGTGATTATCTTCAGGAGACACCGCTCGCGCCGCTTCGGAATAAGATGCTAGATGGCATTCCGGTGTCCTCGAGAGATTATCACGGGGTGGCTTGTGAAGTCCTGTCGCTGATTTGATACCCTGTTCTCTAAGGTCCTTAGTGAGAGGTGTAAGAGTGAGATTTCATTCGAGTTTTATTTGACAGTGAAGGGAGAGTGAAGTGAATTAGGATGAGAGATGATAGGAAAGTCATCATATAAGTGAACGATAGTAACCATAGAGAATTTCATTTGAAGAATATCAAAAATTCTAATCTGTATTTGTGGTTCTATATTAGATGTTCCTAAAATTACTGGAATTAATGTGACTACAGCTAGAACCTGACCAGACCAGACCATTCTAGATATCGAGCTGGAAGACTTGATTAAGGCTGAGGCTATCGCACGCTAACTTGTGCCTTCGCATCACAGACTGTTCCATTTTCGGATATGGTAGATAACAGGTTCACCGAGTACCTAGATATTCTCATAATACCTACTAAGCCCTTCCCGAGAGCTATTCAAAAAAACACAGTTCAAACGACAGTTCAAAAAAGATTTGGAAAGACCTTTTATAAAAGGGAAAGTTAAAGCATATATGTTACATTGTAAAACAGTTTCCCTATCTAGATATCAAGGATCCAGTAATCTACCAGTTATCCACTACATCTGAAAATGGAATAGTCTGCCGTGCGAAAGCACAAGTTGGCGTGTGATTAGCCTCAACCTTGATTAAATAGAAGAGATAAAGCAAGTAAGTTTAAAAATCTTCAACGCCGAATCCCGCTACACTTATCACAATTACAGTCCCTGCAATCATAAAGACGATTCCAGATTGCCCGAAGATACTCGTTCGCGTGATTCTGGTTCGACTCATGTCGCACCCTCGCCAAGTCATCCATCTTATCCACATACGGATCTACAACAACACCTTCAGAAATCCGAGTTAATCGAAGTCTCACAATATGCAGAGCGAGCATATCCAGAATAATAGCAACGTCAGAGACCGGCACTTGTCGCCTCTTTAGCAGCTCTGAAGCCCAGGAAAGTGTATCCCTAATAGTACCATCTTTAGAACAAGGACGGCCAAAGCCTGCTTCCGCGAGCGGGTCATTCAGTTCATACCCCTCGCAGTAATCGTGATCTTCGTCTCCGGAACATGAGTCCGGAACATGAGTCGACTAGATCAAAATCTTCGGCTAGAAGCATTCCAAGGAGAGGTGGTGTTCCGAGTACCTCTTTTTCCTTGACCATTTCTTCTAATTCAGATACGATTTCCATGCGAATGCTGTCGTGGGTGGAGTCCGCACTGAGTTTGTTAGCCCATGTTAGCAGATTCTCGCGGAAGGTCTGGCGATCATGCATAAAAGTTTCTGGGTCCATCTTGAAGAAGGAATAGCAGCCGAATCTGCAAAACTTGATCAGAATGGGATTGATTGATGGGGTTTTATAAGGATGCATTGAAGAAAACCTCGATCTTATATTGCCATGAGAAAAATAACCTAAGACAGCAATACTACACTAGATGTGTTCTCTGTAAGTTCGCCAACAATGGCCATTGCATAGAGTCCTTTCATGGATGTATACATTCCCGGGATATGGAATTGCTGCTGGCTCATGATGCTTAGTTTTCTTTGTCGCTTAACTCTCTTTGGTCTTCCTTGAGAAATAATCAACCAATTGCTTCAAGATCGGGGACCCTCCTGTCCCGATGTCGAGTTGTTGGAAATAATGGCCATGAATGGGAATTCTCTCGTGACAAGATGATGAGGACAGTGACCACAAGACTGGGAACACACTCCGTACATAACCAAACCTCCTCCCCATTAAGGACTACCTAGGTAATTGACTCGGCATATAACCGTGGGGATACGCACCAGTAAGAATCAACAGGGCCAGACTATGATCAGTGCATTCAGCCCAGCCACCATATTATGCTGCAGTTCCGTCACAATTTCGCTTTGATGGTAACTTTGACAGTGGCGTTTGTTTTTTTGCTGAGCTATTGTTGGTACATTATTTTACAAAGGCTACGATGATGGAGGAGGTGGTCAACCCGGCTATTACATATTTCCTCCTGGTTAGTTGGAATGCTACCCTAAATTTATCCACACTATTATTTGTTCACCTCGTCGCACAATTTTAATATCTTGCACAACGTCTATATTACCGACGTTATGGTTTACAGCTTGCGAGATACGAAAAGGCTCATCCGAGGTGAGGAAGACCCAAAAATTTTGATCAAGCTATAGTCGATAAAATTGTTAATGAATTTGGGGAGCAAAAGACTAGTTATGGGAAGAAACTCGCCTATGCATTTGGAATCGACGATGTTCAAGGAGGTTCTGCAAAAGCATGGGGTGCCATGGGCTATGGTTGATAATGGAGGCTCGGAAAGCACGCCTTGACTTTGCGGAATATTATCAAAACTGGGGGACCCAATGGCGATCGGCTGGTTTCGTTGGCTATATAGAAGTTGAAAATTTTGTGACCAACGTCTACGTCTAGAGGGAATAGTAATATTCTACTCCCTGTCTACAAAACCGAACGAATAAACGCGAGGAGACGTTTTTATACTGGACAGTTATTAGATTTAACCGAAAGCCGCAGTTTGCTTCAACGCATAAAGAAAACGAAGCCCTAATCGCTCTGTTTGAGGGGATTCTAGTTTCCGGGGAAGGACTCATTCGCAAACTCCTGTTTCTCTACGAAGGCCGAAAAACGTCACGCTCGAAAACAATATAGCGATTCTACATTCCTTCAAGCGACCTCTCGGGGATCTTATTATGGCGGTAATCTGACTACCCCCTTGTTCTCCGGAGCTTAAAATTGCATCGGATGTACTATTGTATTTGAAGAAGAATATATAAAGGTGTAGTTGTGAAAACGCTGATGATCTGACGCACACTGTTAAAGTGGAAGGAGAAATGGTCTTAATGCGCTGCATCAACAAACTTATCGATGCAATGCCAACAAGAATTGCTAAATTTATATCGAGTGGAGGCAAGCTAGTATAGTAATCGTTGCCTAGAAACCGAGAAGGGCAGTATATCGTTGAAATTAAAGCACAAATGCTAGGCTTGGAAGGGTTAGCCTTAAAGATCATATTAAATCTATCCCATAGGGAAGATTATATTCATCTGAAGCGCAAGGGGTCCTCTGTCTCGCGTGGCAGGATAATAACGTGGTATTACTACTATCGACTATCCATTCGCCATATATCTATACTACCACTAAGAGGAAACGGCCAGCAGCAACCACAACCAACGCAGCTATTGCACGTACCCCTTTCGGCACTGATTTTCAGAGGGAACTAGATATTCCTACTGCTATCAACGACTATAATCATTATATGGGTAGTGTTGATATAGCAAATTAGTATCGTGCTAGTTATGAGATACATCGAAAGACTAATCGTAGCTGGTTTCCATTCTACTTCTTCCTGGATGCTTCTATTATTAATGCATAGCGAATCCAATGCATTTATAAGCAGCACCAGCAACCAGTAGATAGCCAGCTATCGTTTCGGCAGAAGCTCTATCGAGAGCTCTTCGCATTCGCAGCGCAGGCAGCGCGCCCTCAGCCAAACCAGCAGAGCCAGGACCACCAGCGATATAAGCTAGATAAGCAGCTACCTTGTGTGTGGTGTCAGTATATAAGAGAGAAAGGGATCCGAGGCCAGCGAGCTACAAGAACACGGTCTGGTTGTAGAGAGTGTGATGCAGCACTATGTAAGAAAGGGCAATGTTGGGATAGATACCATGGTTTAGATTAATTACGCTAAATCTGGTTACCGAGGCATTACAGCGGCTAGCTAATCAGAGCGCGTAGATAAATTACACTAATTTTTGAGACTCCCGGGACAGCCCAGGGGATACTAGTAATGTGGGAACAAGAAAAGAATTTGCGTAAGGTGCCTAATATGGGAAAAGGGGCTTGAGCTGTCCCATGGCGGTGTAACCGAGTATTCGAGTGACAATACCGATGTCGAGGTACATATTACAGTGGCGCCGCAAAAGTCTGTGACCCCCTAAAGTATCGCGCTAATATTCTGCTGGCAACTAGCATCTGCACCACTCAAAAACTAGTATTGATGGACGGTATGTCCCTTATAAGGAGGCGGTGAAGAAAGATACTTTGGGGGGTCACAGACTTGCGCGGCGCCACTGTATGTACCCGCATTTTACATACAAACACACAGGAAATATGGGTTGATGATGGACCAATCCCATGTCACTGTAATGAACAACTCCACTTTTCAACGACACATTATGACCATTACATGAGCACAACTTATCAAGAGTATTGCCTAAACTTGACGTTTGTACTGTTTTCCCCTCGCAGCTTTCGGGGCATATAAACCAGCTTCTTTCATCTGCAAAACGAGTATTTCTGGTCTTTAGCTATCATCTCACCATGAGTGTGGAAACATCCGCTACTGAGGCGCGCCTCGGTAACCCTTACTATCTAAACTATCAAGGACCCACTGTTGCCACTTGCCTCTCCTGCGGACATGTTATTGGTGCAGAATCTCAAGCACCTGGTGCCAATGAGGACTGGCTCAAATATTATCGAGCGCGTGAGTGTACCCATTCAAATTAAATATAATCAATAGGACTCACGTATGTGCCATAGTATATCGCACCTCAGATGGTGCTAGATTGAGTGATGTCTTTTTTGCCAATCTTGATTGGAGAAAAATGCAACGCGACTGTGGCCATCTCGGATCTTCTGAAAGGGCAGCACTTCGAGAAAAATTTGGCCCTTGGTACCAAATGTCCTGTTTGAAACCTAGCAAGGCTCACATATTTCATGAGAGCTGCTGGATTATTCTGAGTCGACAATTGGAAGAGGATCTTGATCTGGATAAGTTTTTGAAGTCTGTAAGGATGTTGCTCCTTCAGGCAGAAATACCTCGTGTGAGCAGGTTGCCTTTCTAACAAGTATGTTATAATCTCAAACTAACACGATGAAAGACGAATCATTAAGTGTGCAGGCAGACGCCGAGCACACTTATCCTTTGAAAAGACCTATCATTCGAGGCCTTCTAGCTAAGAATCGTCTTAGGCTCCCACAGATACAGATAGGAGCGGGCCAAGGTTATCTCTTCTCTGAGACTGACTGCTTTCGATTGCTTCCTTTGGAGATTAGAACTCTAGTTGCGAGCAACCTGTCCACTTCGGAGTTTTTCAGTTTAAGACAAGTATCCCGATCAATGGCGGAAGTCTTTGGAGATCAATTCTTCTGGAGGACAAGGTTTTTACCCTGGGGAGAGCGCGGCTTCCTAAATTCTCTTTTAACGGAGACCCAAGGTGATAAAAGGCCAAAGTATCAAGCCTCTAAGCAGAGAGATTGGAGACTGATATATAGATGTTCCGTGAATTTGGATGTGTGCGATGGCCATCTCTTCGAGTTCCGCCGACGATGGCATAATAATCGATGGCTAGGGGAGAGATACATAATGACCAAGGCCAGTGATGAAGAGATAAGATCTCATAGCAGCTTGATTAGAGGGATGTTTTGGCAAGGTCTCTCTTTGAAAGTCAGGTGTGACAGACTCCGTGGTCAAGGACATCGTCGGAATAAATGCTCGATGTGCATGATGGAACACACTCCATCTGTACAGGCTTTTCCGTTGAACAAATCAGTCCTCAGCCTAGCGGTGTATGTTCTGCGTGAAGCATATCACACTTATATCACTGGGCTTGGTCTGCTGGAAAGGGACTTTGGCGAGCCACGCTTGATTTTGGGGTACCGTATACCGGATCAATATCTTTTAATAAACATCGATGGGAAGCAGCTCATGGGGTTTAACATTATTGCCGGGGATCACGCAATCTACGCAATTCAGGCAGTCTTCAAAGGAGACTCTAGCAGATGGGTAGGTAACCAAGATGGTTCCACGAGATGCCAGTGGATTACTGGCCTAAATACCCATTACAACACGCACCGCGATGTGCCGACATTAGTGCGCCTCACCACGGAGAAGGGTGTCCAGGCAATTTCGGGAAAGCTCGATGTGAGTCAACCTTCTTGACAAAATGAAATAAAAATAGCTAATCTCTTTAGTATTGCAAATTGATCGGGTTTTCTGTAGCATAGAATAATGAAAATTGCTACGAGCAGATTTTCTCTGCCTTGCAGGCCAAAGCCCTGACATTTTGCTCATGTTGGATATGCCCATGGCATATCATCATGTGACCTCTACTCTCGCTATATCTACCTTAGCTCACTCGTCCTTACCAATACACACTTCTTGCTCATTGCACCCTTCTCCTTCTCCCTGCGCACAGCATATACCATAAAGGGTTTAGACAAGTTGAACTAAAATTTCGGTTCGTATTGCGGCATTTGTATTTCTCTTGAAACGCTGCGATATGCATATATCCCCAGCGAGCCAAGCTTACATGCAACAATTCATCTAATCAGGAATTTGTACAGCGAACAGTATATATGTACGTATGGTACATAGGAGGAAGGGCAAAGAGAAAATACTTGTAATGGCAGAGCATGAAGAGCTCTAGTAGATGCAGGGAGTAGAGATTACATGATGGGTATGCTCCGTGTAGGCATATCCTGGCAGCAGAAATACATTATTCGTCGACAAAACAGTGGCTAATTGAGAACATACATATAGCTTGGCGATGGATCATCGAGCATCAACCATCATTCAAACATTCAAGGCAAAGCCGCACATTGTAGCTGTATATTCAAGAAGCCCGACTGAGCGCCTTGTCGCTTTCTCTGCCTCCCTTCCCGATGTACGGTGTGTGTGTGTGTGTGTGTGTGTGTGTGTGTGTGTGTTCCGGAAGTTCGAGCGCTTGTGTTGGATTATTCGACTAGATCAGCAAATTTTGGGACTCTACGATGAATGGATGTTAATGTTGCTGGTAATATCGATCTTCTCACAATAATGGATTAGCCACACTGACCAGACAGGCATCCTCTGGCCAACTCTGATATGTCGGAGCAGCAGGATTCCGGAGGAAGGAGATACTAACTATAGATCCGCCGGGATTAGTCATGTAAATCGCCCATCCAAATTGCTAGCTAGGGGATTCATAACAACTCAGACTCATTGTGATTTCAATTGGTGTACCCACGTGGATTACTCATCTCTGTTCCAACAATTCATGGGGGAACCCACGTGACGTAGCACGTGCAATCCTTTATCCCTTTTAGACGTCCTTCAGGAGCATCTTCTTCGAATGGGTGAGCGCTAAGGTGGAAAAAGATCGTACATGCGCCCTAGGGCTCATATTTATGGCCCGGAGCCAAGAAAGAGGGGAATCCCGGTGATCTGGGTGAGAATCCTTACCTTGTTCTCACCCGCTCTCACTCGCTCTCACCCCGTTCTCACCTCTGTCACCCAATTTCCAAAGTTCTCACCCATATCACCCACACTCACCCTAAGATCAGATCCAAGCCAGTCTAGAGCTTAGGGCGCATTAAGGATTGACTGCGTACTATAATGGGCTTAAGTACGGCTGAGCGGACGGGAAGCCCTGTTCTCCACACCCTATGGTCGTATGTATTAAGCATAAGATATAAAGTGGTATACAACTAGGTGGGACCCGAGAGCGCCGCTTTACCATCTCGGTAATTAGGGCGAGTGCGCAATAGACTGGGTGAGAAGCTGGATAGAGCGGGTGATTCTCACCCTCCGTCGAGCGCTCTTCCGCACAGACCTCTCGCTGGGTTCAGATACATCCTTATTGGTTTACTCGATCTGGGTGAAACTGGGGTTTCTTGGCACTTGCAAGGCTGACTTAACCTCAATGTCGCCTTGCGCGAAAAGACTGTGTTTGTCATACACAATGATCCAACGCACTGAACCATCTCCTTATCAAGGACCATAGGTCCACTTTGAATCTCCGCCTGCATTTCGAGGCTACGATGGTCACAATCATGTGGTGCCCTTAACAAAGAGCATGAGGTCAAGGGAAAATGATTGGGCTTTCCCGCCACGCGTGGCTGCATGTGGCGTCGACCTGATGATTGATATAATTGATAACCCTGAACGGAGCGGGGGTGAGGCTGAGGAATCTCACTCTGTTCAGTCTCGCCAACCCTCGGACATATCCATCATACCCAAAACGTTGGGACCTTGTATGGGTTATGCATGGTGCGGACACAGTATGGCCACCGAACCGACACCGTCATTGAAGCCCCATGATTATACAGTGGCATGGATCTGCGCCCTTCCCAATGAAATGGCAGCCGCCGAGGCAATGCTGGATGAGAGACACACTGCCCTGCCCACTATCCCTGGCGACGACAATACCTACGTTACAGGGAGGGTGGGCCTCCATAATGTCATTATCGCGTGTCTTCCAGCCGGGGTATATGGGACGACATCTGCTGCCAACGTGGCGTCTCAAATGCGGCTCACCTTCAAGGGCATTCGGTTTGGACTGATGGTGGGAATTGCAGGGGGAGTCCCTAGTGCAGACCATGATATTCGGCTCGGTGATGTCGTAGTCGGCAAACCAACGCGGGATTTCGGAGGAGTGATCCAATACGACTTTGGCAAGGCCGTGAGTGGCGGCCACTTGGAACGGACGGGCGTCTTGAACAAGCCCCCAACCATGCTCCTGACAGCCGTGACGGCACTACAATCAGCACACATTGCAAATAAAAGTCGCATACCTGATCTCATCGCGGATTTGGCCGAGCGCCATCCGCAAATGAGGGAGAAGTTCACCTATGACAGCCGCAGAGAAGATTTGTTGTTTGAGGCCCAGTACGATCATACTGACCGCGAGACGACAACCTGCGATGGCTGTGATAGACAGCGGTTAGTTACCCGAGCACAAAGGGACAGAAACGACCCTATTATCCACTACGGTCTGATTGCATCCGGCAACCAGGTCATGAAGGATGGCCGGACCAGAGATCAGCTAGCCAGGGAACTGGGGATCCTGTGCTTCGAGATGGAGGCGGCCGGCTTGGTGGACACGTTCCCATGCCTCGTAATAAGAGGCATCTGTGACTATGCTGATTCTCACAAGAATAAACAATGGCAAGAGTATGCAGCCGCGACGGCGGCAGGATACGCAAAAGAGCTTCTCTACATGGTCCACGCTGTTCAAGTTGCAGATACACCTACAGCCCTGCTGGTCAAAGACAGTACGTAGGTTATGCACAACAGACTGTGAACTTGTCGGTTCTGACTAAAATAATCCCAGTCGTTCATAGCAAGAAGGTTCTGGCTAAACTGCGAGGTTTATCAACGTGGTTGACAAAACCGAATGGTGAGCAAGCACAATCCAATACTTTTTGCACATCACAAGCACTCAGTCATTGCAGATGATCTCGACGAGACGATATTCAGGCGGATCTCAACCTACGATCATGGAAAGGCTCACCAGCGACTTTCTCACAAACGAGTAATGGGGACAGCGCAGTGGTTCTTGGATCATCCCGATTTCCAGGCATGGTTGGTGGAGAAGAGATTCTCGACACTGTGGTGCTCCGGGAAAAGTAAGCGTGCCTCCCGGAGCTCCTTGACGTTGAACAACACTAATCATTACTCTTGATTAGTTGGCTCGGGTAAAACGACGATAGCGTCAGTACCATTTGGCTCTTTCTTCCTATGGCAAATAGGCTAATTATGTCATAGGACGGCGGCTATCGATGCAGCCAAATATCGATCGTCAAAACACGCCGCCTCAACGGCCTATTTCTATTGTGAGAGCGACCGACTGGACGAGCTCAATGGGCTCTACATTCTTTCTAGTCTGATCAAACAACTATGCGAGTATCTCCGTGCTAAATACAGACGCTGCCCCGACAATGTGGTAGATGCACTGAATCACTTCTTTGGGAAGAAGCGAATTGTTCCCGACTTTGATGATTTGAAGGAAATTTTCATCCAGTTATTCCACCTCATTCCAGACACGGTGTATATCATTGACGGACTCGATGCATTGAGTCCAGAACAGAGTAAAGACCTCTTTGAGCTCTTCAGGTCCTTGTTCTGCGGTTCTGGATCTTCGCCGGAGTCGCGGTTGCTCGTTTTCAGCCGAGAGCAACTGCCTGGCTACACAGGCATTCCCCTGTTCATGGCTGGGGTTTGTCAAATTTCGACTACGTCCAACGTGATGCCAGATCTTCAAACGTACATTGATACGAGTGTCACCGATAAACTGATGAGCCGGAGGCTCACGGACGATTTAGCCCTGTTGGACGAAGTCAAGCGGGTCCTCCTGGAAGAATCATCTGGAATGTAAGAAGAAAGCCTCCTGCTGCATCCTTTACGTCAGCTTAAAGCTAATGAGTCAGGTTTCTTTGGGTCTATCTGCAGTTGGAGATTCTGTGGCAAGACTGTTTCACGGACAATCGTATTCGATCAGCGCTGCAAGATCTTCCGAAAGATCTGGAGGAGACATACCATCGCTGTCTTCAAAGAATGACCTTTTCCAATCCTTACACATTGCGCGCCATCCAATGGGTGAGTTTTGCTGCAAGACCACTTCATATCGACGAATTGAAAGAGGCCGTCGCCTTCGATCTAGATGACACGGGATGGGACGCCGGAAAGATCCCCCAAGCAGATGTGGTGATTGGGTGCGGTGCGAATCTCGTTGCTGTCGACCCTTCTGATCAATGTGTTCGCTTTGCGCATTCTTCCATCAAGACATATCTGCAGAAGAATTCAGTAAGGTTAATTCCTGGGTACCCAGAATCCGATAAACAGGGCGAGCTCCAATGCGGAGAATTCTGCGTTGCGTATCTGTCATTCTCTAACTTCAACCTCGAATTGGTGAAGCCAGCAAACGAGACAGAACTGGTAAAACTGCCGGATGCCAAACTGCTCGCTGGCGATGCCTTGGCATCTCCCTTGGTTAGATTTTTCTGGGGACTAGGTGCAAGCCCCAAACAATCCACTCAAGTACAGTTTCGACGGATTCGATCAGCGACTATCCCAGATCGTTCACGGTACAAATTTCTGGACTACGCAGTCACTCAGTGGGCCTTGCAAACCAAAGGAATAACTTCCACATCTTCAGTTTGGGATAAATTCCAACAACTCTCGTTGAGTTTCAACGACACCTGGAATTTCCACCCTTGGGTGGTCGGCGGTCGCTCACAAACATCACGCCTACATGGCCTCTTCGGATGGGCCGTTAAGGAAGCGCACATTCCGCTGTTGGAGTTGGCACTCAGTTCCGACCGAGACATACGGGAGATCTGTAACCTCCCGTTGGTCGATGAGCGGCTTCCTGCACTTCATGTCGCCTCAAAACTGGGGCTTGCGGACGTCGTCGATCTCCTTCTACCTATTTGCGAATTGAACTTGCAAGACGAAGAAGGATATACTGCCTTACACCATGCAGCTATTAAGGGGCATAAAGGTATTGTAGCCATGCTTCTATACTCAGGAAGCACCAAAATAGATATCCCGTCAAAGACCCGAGTTACACCACTTTGGCTAGCTGCCAACCATGGCCACTGCGACCTCGTGCGGGTTCTGACTGAGAGACAAGCGAATCTTGAAGCCAGAGAAGGTTCCTCACAACGAACGCCTCTTTCACAGGCTGCTAGCAATGGCCATCAAGATGTTGTCAACTTTCTTGTGAAAAAGGGAGCGAATCTGGAAGCAAAGGACGCTGGTGGTTGGACACCTTTATCCTGGGCCGTCATGAATGAACATCTGGACACGATCGAGCTGTTACTTGAGAGAGGCGCCAACTCTGCTTGTAAATTTGCGAACAAAGGGAAGTTGCTGCTATGGGCAGCGCAGACGGGACATGCTGCTATCACAAGCTTACTAGCTGCGAATCCCGAGACGGATCTGAACACTACCGATGACAACGGGCCAACAGCGTTATGGTGGGCTATCCGGAATCAGCACTTGGAGATCGCGAAGATTCTTCTTGAACGCGGGGCAAATCGGGAGACCAGAGATGCTGACGGCCAGACGCCTCTACTGTGGGCAGCAAAAAATAGGCACGAGGCACTGACTCAATTACTGCTCGAAGAAGGCGCGGCTATCTCTGCACAAGATAAACACGAGAGAACAGCGGTTTTCTGGGCTGTCGAGTATAGCCACGAGGAATTGGTTAAGTCACTGCTAGACCGGATCGGAGACCACAAGGGAATGAACCAGTTACTCGACTTTATTGCCTTGCAGCCTGTACCAACGCGAACTGACCCAGAGGATTTATCATTCCTCGACAGAGATGAGGGCGTTGAGGATAAGACGCCGTTACTGTCGGCACTAAGAAAAAGCTTCGAGTTACTGGCTCAACAGTATATGGAGCGCAACACCACCGTGGACCAAGAACGTCTTCCCAGACAGGCAACTTCGATGTGGTCCACAGCGGACGGGCAAAAGACTCTACTCGAGCTGCTCCTTGGAGAGAGTGAAGAGGCCGTCAAGTTGTCGAACCTGTCCCTCCTAGAAGCTGCAAAGAAGGGCAATGCGCACTCCGCATCGCTGCTGCTTGATGGGGGCGCTGATATCCACACGAGAACCCATTACGGGGAGACACCACTATGGTGGGCTGCAAGAAATGGGCATGCGGCGCTTGTAGAACTTTTGCACGACAGGGGTGGAGAGATCGAATCTAAGGATAAGTTTGGCCTCACTCCATTAGCTTGGGCAGTTGAGAATCGACACACCCCAGTTGTCAAACTACTGGTTGGCTGGGGCGCTAATGTTTGGGCTTCCGACAAGTCTGGCCAGACTCCGTTTTCTAGGGCTAATGCCAAGGGAATGCAAAGTCTCCTACTTAGGCAATGAAGCAACGCAGCACGTGTAATTCTTTTATCGAGTTTCAAAGTTCCTTTAGAAGCATCATCTTTTGACTTGCTAAGCGTTAATGAAATGATATAGCTGATCAAACGTGAGCGCCACCTTGACCACCTTACTTTGTTTTATTTGATAGGATACCCTTCTGATAATCAGGTTCTTGGTTTGAGATAGAAAGAGTAAGCTGTAGATCAAGCTCATGCATATGCAGCTAGATAATCAGGTAGCATACGAACTAATACGAGTTTTGAATTGAGTCTCTGGGAGTCAGGATCCCGGCTCGCCGGGCTCGCCAGGAGACCAATGATCAAATTATTAAACCACCCTACTACAATGGATAAGACATTAACATGTGCAATTTGACTTGACAGTCTAGCGTATCTGAAATAGCTTTACCGTCGATCCTGCAAGGCACAAGGCTGATACCATGCAAAATAAGGTGACTGGAGTTGAAAGTCAGCCGCTACCCCGGAATTCAACAATTTCACATGCAATCTCTACGCTCGCAGCAGCTCACGAACCGAAACAACCGGAAGGTCGATCCTGTTCAGCTAGAACATGCCGTAGACTACCTAACTTCCTAAACACCTAACGCACCAAAATTGATGAAGCAAATCCCGGTGGTACATCTCATTAAATCTGCTGACGATAACCGTTATTTCTCAAATTTGAGGCTGTACGTCGACAAGTGTCAGACGCCCTGCAATGCAAGTCTATCCGCAATAGGCTATCTGCTCCGTTCCCCACCCATGTATACCCAGTCCACCAATCAAGACTCTCTGCGGATTAGAGCATGCCAAGCTTTGAGCCCCCTCATTCGCCGCCTGCTCAAAATCGCGACAAGAGCAAAATCGGGCTGTGGGCGCACCCAATATACGTGTGACCGTTTGATGGAAGGTCTGGTTATAGAGGTCAATTTTCTTGTAAGTACCGAATTTCGGGCTTGTCTCGGATGGTTAGCCTCGAATATGGACATGAACACAGATAAGGAATGTAGGTCAAGGTGTCGCTTAGAGCCGCTGCAATTGAATTGATGATAGAGGGGACCTCAAAGCCGATTGTCAATGTGTCAATGGTACCGCAAAGCTGGTTACGCTCATGGGTGTCTAGACTAGTCTACTCAGATTCTGGCTTCGCCTTGCACAGTGCCGATCATCTACTAAGACGGACGGCGTATCTTCATCGTATGACAAAGGTACATTTTTTTGTAGCGATGCAGTTCTACTGTACAGTCCCCCTCAGGAAGTATTTGACCACCCCTACTTACCGCCTACTATGTTAAAACTAGTTTGCCTCTATCTAACCAATGAAAAGATTTAAAACATATTATCTTTTGGCAGAATCTTATGTAAAAAAGTGGAGCTGGTCAAATACTTCCTGAGGGGGACTGTACTTACCGTGTCGCCTCCTACTCCGACCGACATATAGAGGAGATGCTAGGTACTGGGCTAGCTTCTCGGTGAAGTGCCGGCTAGTACCCGTCAGGAATTACCGAGGATCTTTATTTTACTTACTACTTATGGCCTTTCAGGCGAGGAGCAGAATCCAGTATCTTGAATTAAAGTTTTGGGCCGTCCAAGATTTAGGGGAAGAGGCAAATGGATGGACCAATGAGATGCGAATGAACAAATAGGATAGCAGCAGCTCGATGGCATGAGCCGTGGCTGAAATGACTAAAATCACGAAATCAACTAAACTCCAGGCCCAGGGGAGCAATTATCATTGAAAACTCCAATAATTATTCAGACCCTGAGCGTCTGCTAAGTCCTCAAACTCTAGCGGTTCGTGGTTGGCTTCAAGCTGGTCCTCGATGACTCCACATTTGGCCACGCGAAGTAAACCCATTTCCGATCACTTCCTCATATGGTTAATCATGGGCCAATCTAAAGAAGGGGATTGTCTCCATGTCACTCGGTGGCGTGGGCGTGGGCGCGGGATACCGCATAGCTAAGGTGAAGCTCAGCTTGTATCTTTTGTTTTTCAGCTTTGCTTGTTTTCTTTCATGTTATCACTAGTAGAAATATGTCGTCATGACTATAGCCAAGCTATTGGGCTATGCTGTACGTAGTAACGTTATTATGACCGAGTCGCGTTCAAGCGCTTCTGCACAAATTGAATTACGTCCATATTGTATCGGAAGATATAAAGCCAGTGTGCGGGATTCGTCGGCGGAGGAAACCGAAGACAGCATTCCATATCGCCCTCATCGCAGTAGCTCCGGATCGAAGCGGCAAATGGATCGCACCATTCCGGGTGAATTCGTGGATACATCTACAATTTTGGCACCCGATATATTAGATTGGATCTGTTTATTTGGTTCTGACCAGGACCCCAGATCACCAAAGTCTTTCCAGATGGCTTCACAGTTAGGGGATAGAATATTTCAAAAATAAATCGATATGGCTTACCCCTGTGCCATCAATGCAACTTCCAACGTCGTATGCTAATCCTGGGACAAAGGTCTCCTCGCCGTATGATACAGCGGCAACCACTAAAATCGAGATGGGCTTAGGATGGCTGTGATTAATGACTGTGGAATATGCTCACCTACCATTTTTGTTGTAATAAGGCTCTAGAGCGGGAACATCGTAAAGCCATTGCGAGCTCGTGCCGCATAGCCCGTCCATCATCGCAACCCCACCCTACGTGGTCAATCATGTTCTTCCTCAGCAAAGCTCAATACGTAATGATTTTTGATTTGAATCAGGATGTACATACCAATGAGTACCCATGAACAAATATCTTCGAATCTGGACAGCTAGCGGCATAAGAGCGGATGTAATCTTGCATCATATAGGAGCCATTGGAGGCAGCGGCGCGGTGGTCATCGGTGCCATGATTATAGGGCAGTGCAACGCAACTCGAACCTGGAATCATCTGTAGTACCAGATTCTGGACAGACACCATAACATTTAGATGATCGCCGGGGCCTTGGCCTCGCATTAGAATCGCGTGGACTCCAGTGGCGCACAGCGACGGCGGGGTCTCCTGGGCCGGAGACGGCTGGGAATGATAGAGGAAAAGGCCCAACAGGACAATATTCTGGAAACAGCTGACATGCATAGCGACAGGGTGGCAAGTTTAGTGGACGGAGATGAACCCTAAGATTGGCGGGATCGGCGATGCAATGGAAATGATCTACAGAGCTGTCTCCATATATTTAATGTGTCGGGTTGGCCAAGAATTAATGAAGGGAGTTGTGGCATTAGATAAAAAAATGGTGTGATATGAGGACTACTATATTGGCTCGCGCAGATACCGCGAAGCTGGGCGATATTTTTATCTTGGCTCAGAAAATGGTGAGTCCTAGCAGTGTACAGGCTAATATTATCCGCGCTGTGCAACAGGTGTCACGGATTGAATTCAACTAATCCTTCGGGGGGTTGAAGGTTCAGGGAAGCAAAGCATGAAAGAATTTATTGATTTGGAGATTGGGATCGGCACTGCTTCTCGGGATTGACTTTACGGAGGGAAGGAAAAGAAGGAAGGTTAATAATCATGGATCTGTATTGATAGATACGCTTTGGGACCTGCCGATCAATCGAGATCCCCTCTGGCGCAATGACCTCCTCGGTGATAACATGTGAACAAAAACTGAGTCCCAGAGAAGACATGGGCGAAGGGGAAATAGGAGAGTAGTAATTTTGAGTCGAGAAAAGAATCCTCCATTTTCCATTTTAGTTCAGTAAGGAGGGCCAAAATTTTCGAGGTTCACAAGAGAGGTTTAGCTATAATTGTTATCTATAGAGTAGTGTGGCCGGCCTAGAATTCGAGAGGGCTGGCTGAATATTCAGCGGAAACATCCACGGTTCGGCCGGAAACTTAGTCAAGAGCCACAGCTGAATGCCACAGCAGGTAGAGAGTCGAAATATTCCCTATGTTGCAAGGATGACAGCAAACGGCCTTGAAGTTACACCAACCAGTGGTTTTCGATTGCACAACAGCTGGGATGCGAACTGCCCTCCCACAGAGCTACGTCGACATGCCCAAACGCCATCCGGGCGTTGTGTTACAGAAACCCCAGTATCCTGCCAGGTACACATTGTACGAATTAGAATGTATGAAAATCAATTATGTTACCTCATCGATACTGCTCTATAGTAGACCATTGCCTAGACATTCGAGACCCCAGGAAGAACTTCCATACATCCGAACGCCCGTCTCATTCCGTATGTTTATCATTTCGGAACCCCGGCCTATTTCGCTTATATTCCCTCCTGAGATTTAGCGATGAGGTCTCGGACTGCGTCGCCGAGCTCATCGATCACCAATCCGGATCGCGGAATGGTGTGGCCCTTGCCCGTGTCGAAGAATGCGGCTGTATCAGGGTCGCATACGTTGTATAGCGCATATGCGCCATGTCGGAAGGGATCTGTTTAAGCGAAACGAGGATAAAAATCCATCAGTAAGAATCCTTGGCAGAACTTGGAGACTGGAACAGTTCGGGTCCGAGGTTCAACCATACCATTGGCACCCACGACGTGTAGGGTGGGCACATCAACCAGATCATCGTTCTCATCTGCGAGAATGACTCCCTTGTGGGGGTCAATTGGGGGCCAGCCAGTGACGAACATTGCGCATTTGATCCTTCGCTCGCGCCCAGTCTCTTCCTGTCTGCGCTGTTCATTGAGAATGAAGGTCGCGGCGATGGATGCACCTTCACTGTATCCAATGATGCCTCCAATGTCTGGGTTCTCCTCCAACGTATCATAAAGATACTGCATCACCTCTTCATGGTTTTTCCATACCACATCTCGGTCTCCGACCAAGTCGCGCATCACATCTTCCGGGTTATGCCCGACTGGGATCTTGCGTACTCGGCTGATCATGGACTCTTCGGCTATACCACCATCTTCCGACCAGCGATAGTGCGGTCCAGCGCCAAAGTACTCCTCGAATCCTGCGTATAGGAGCTCGACAATCAGTCTCAGATGGCCACTCGCCGGGGTTTGAATTGGAGTCTGGGGTGTATCATACCTTGCGGGGGTTTAATCCTCACTAAGCCGTTGATGTAATAGAACGAAGCCGCATGATCGCGCGCCAAATTCTTCTGTAGCGGTGCTAGAATCGATCGCTTCGTGTGAGATTCTGTGTTTCTTAAATCTACCATGTCTCATCCTGGTGGATTTCTTTACATAACTGGATGCTGATATTCTGCGACAATTAGCACGGTCCTTTCCTTTGGGGCGCTTTCAGTAGCTCCCATGCTAGCTTGACTTACATCGATATTGCCAATGGCACCATGAAGGCAAAGAAACTTCATCTTGAGTGGACTGACGATATATTGCGTATACTTTCGGTCAAATCCCTGATCTTTGAGGAGGATAATAAGTAACAGAGATGAAAGCTTCGGTAAAGATTGGAAACAAGCAAAGCAGCTAAGCCTAAGAATCAATGCAGAAAGAAATAGGGCAAGAACATTAGAGCTTGTCAAGTCCAACCCCCGTGGAATACTTCGGATTCTCCACTCTCGGGACTTGTTCTCCAGCTCATTAATTAGCAATTCCCTCCGAACACATGTGATCGACAGGTTGTATCCACACCATCGATCCACAAGTTCATCGAAGCTCATGTGGGTTGCATGGACCCAGAAAATCATGTTCCCTGATTTTGTGTCTAACCTGAGTGGTAGCACCGTCCAAGTTACGCCACCAGTGGCCCAATGTCAACCTCTCATTCTTATCGCAGGAACCTCGGGGCAAATGTGTCGTTGAAGATATGAAAATATAGCTTTTTTTTTTTTTTTTTTCGAAATTAGGGATTTGGATGAATAAGGGAAGCGGGCCTGTTGATCTTTACTCTTGCTCGAGACTCTAACAAATTGTCCTTTTTATCCTTTTCGATCATTTTTGATTTCTCTGACACTTAAATTGAAGTGCTCCAGACTCTTCTATATAACTCTAATGGCCTGCCCAGTAGGGGCCTAAGATAGAAGGAGAATAAACAAGAAGAAAGAAAGTCCCGAACATCCTACTATACATGCGTTGATTCTATCGTTATATACTTCGTTTCCACCCCGACATCTCATCTTTCTCCTCTCCTTCTTTCCTTCCTTACTCTTTTTGTCATCCCTCATCCTCTCCTCCACACACACTATGAATGGCACGGCCGAGCCCAATGGCGCACCGTGCAACGGGGAACCCCAGATCCCGCAGCCAATTGCCATCATTGGGTATGCCTGTCGACTATCCGGCCAGGTTTCCTCCCCCGGTGACTTATGGGAGCTTTGTACAAGAGCCCGAAGCGGCTGGGTGCCCATCCCCAAGGACCGGTTTTCGCATGGCGCCTACCATCACCCTAATCCTTCGAAGCCTGGTACTCTCAACCCCGCGGGCGGTTACTTTCTAGATGAGGACGTTTCCCGTTTCGATGCACCCTTTTTCAATGTCACCGTGCAAGAGGCGATTTCTATGGACCCTCAGCAGCGCATGCTTCTGGAGTGCTCCTACGAAGCTTTGGAGAGTGCTGGCATTCCCAAGGAGTCTCTCGCAGGTCGCGATGTCGGCGTCTTTGTTGGTGGCAATTTCTCAGATTATGAGCTCAATAATTGCCGGGATATTGAAACCGTTCCTCCTTTTCAAGCTACTGGCAATGCAAATGCCATGCAATCCAATCGGATTTCATACTACTTCGACCTAGCAGGTCCTAGTATGACATTCGATACGGCCTGTTCGTCTTCCCTAGTGGCCTTGCATTATGCCGTTCAGAGCTTGAGGAGTGGTGAATCAAAGGAGGCGCTGGTTGGCGGATGCAGATTGAATCTACTTCCTGACTTTTTCGTTTCTATGTCCATGTCACAGTGAGTACACCCAGCCTGGACTAGAAGTGGTCATCCGAATAATTACTTACATATCTACAGATTGTTTAACGACGAGGGGAAAACATATGCTTTTGACGAAAGAGCCAAGTCCGGCTTCGCGCGCGGTGAGGGCGCCGGCGTTGTGCTCCTCAAGCCTCTCGACGCTGCGATTCGCGACAAAGACCCTATCCGGGCGGTAATTGCTAATTCTGGAGTGAACCAAGACGGGAGAACCAAGGGTATCACTTTGCCAAACGAACATGCACAGGAGCAATTGATCCGTCGTGTATACCGTGAAGCCCACCTTAACCCGGAAGACTGCGGCTTTGCAGAGATGCACGGTACAGGCACGAAAGCCGGAGATCCCATCGAGGCACGAGCGGTGCATGCAGCCCTTGGAGGAGGTCGGACAGCCCGGAACCCGCTTTACATCGGATCAGTCAAGTCCAACATTGGCCACTTGGAAGGTGCCAGCGGCATCGCTTCCATTATCAAGACGGCCATGATCCTTGACAAGGGATTGCTGCTACCAAATGCCGACTTCAAGAAGCCCAATCCGAATATCCCATTGACAGAGTGGAATATGAAGGTTGTCACCAGTACTCGTCCTTTTCCACGGGGCAAGAAGTACGCCAGTGTCTCCAACTATGGCTTTGGAGGAACCAATGCACACGTCGTTCTCCAAAGACCGCCTCCACCAGATCGGGCGGAGGATGATGCAGGCGTGGAGGGAGATCCAAAGAGCAGGTTGTTCTTGATCTCGGCCAATGATAAGGAATCTCTCCGAACGAGAATCCAAGACTTTGGAATCTACTTCGAGCAGCGGCCAGAAGTGTTCGAGAACTCCCTCTTCGGCAACTTTGCGCATACCCTCGGAACCAAGTTGTCCCATCTTTCGTATCGTGTTGCTTTGTCTGCATCTTCGTTGGACGAACTGGGTGTCAAGATGGCGCAACTGAAAGCCAATCCTATACGAGTACTTGGAACCCCCACAGTCGCCTTTGTTTTCACTGGACAGGGTGCTCAATGGGCCCAGATGGGTATTCCCCTCATGGGTGAATATCCCGTCTTTTCAAAGGCTATTGAACGCGCAGACAAATGTCTTCGTGACCTGGGGGCGGAATTCTCCCTGGTTGAAGAGCTACAGAAGGAGGCTGCAGTCTCCGATATCAACTCTCCCCATCTGAGCCAACCTGCTTGCACAGCTCTCCAGATTGCACTCACCGATCTTCTCCGTTCATGGGGTATCCAGCCCTCTTCAGTCGTGGGTCACAGCTCCGGTGAGATCGGTGCTGCCTACGCCGCTGGCATTTTTGACTTGGAGGGAGCCATGGCGCTTGCCTACCGTCGTGGCCAGATGACCTCGTTGCTGAAGAGCTCTTACCCTCTCCTGAAGGGTACAATGATTGCCGTTGGAGCCAGTTCCGATGCTATCAAGCCAATGCTCAAGACCATGCGCGGCTATGCCACGGTGGCGTGTGTGAATAGTCCCTCCAGTGTGACTGTTTCCGGAGACGCAGACGCGATCGATGAGCTCGAGACTGTCCTACAGCAGAGGCAGCTCTTTAATCGAAAGCTGAAGATCGATGTTGCCTACCATTCAGACCACATGAAGAAGGTGGCAGAGGCATATCTCTCTGCTATTGGTTCCATCTTGCCCTCTTCGTCCGCAACCGCGACATTCTTTTCGTCTGTCACTGGTGAGATCGCCGAACCATCTGATCTAGCTCCATCATACTGGGTGGCCAATTTGACTTCTCCCGTGTTGTTTGCCAACGCACTGGCCAAGATGTGTAACGACGTAGAGAAGCGTCCCAACCTCCTTCTTGAGCTTGGTCCCCACTCCGCCCTCAAGGGTCCAATTCTGGACACTTTGAAGAGCCTGGGCTCATTCGCCTCCAAGATTAGTTATGCCCCTACCGTGCTCCGCAATGCCGATCCGGCCCAGTCTATGCTGGATGCTGCAGGTGCCGTATATGTGCGCGGTGGAAGCCTCAACATCACAGAAGTCAACTTCCCCGTGAGCGGTGCCCGTAATCGATCTTTCTTGCGCGACTTGCCCAAGTACCCCTGGCAGCATGGAACACGGTACTGGCATGAAAGTCGCATCGCAGACGTACACAGATTCCGCGATGGAAAGCGAAACGATGTCCTGGGAACACTGGCTATGTACTCGAACGATCTTGAGCCCACATGGCGCAACATTGTCCGTCTGGACGATGTTCCCTGGCTTCGGGAGCACAAGATGCAGGGTATGAGTGTTTATCCAATGGCTGGATATGTAAGTTCTCCCATTTCTATATCAGTTTGAATAATTGCTGACCAAATTTTGTATAGTTGGCTATGGCCATTGAAGCTGCACGCCGACGCGCCGAGTCCCATGAGAATCCATTCTCGCAGTTCGAATTCCGCGAGGTTACCGTTGGTGCTGCACTCGTCCTGACCGACGACGTAGACGCTGAAACTATCATCTCCTTGAAGCCTTATGCTGAAGGTACCCGCGGGAACTCGGATATCTGGGATGAATTCCGTATCAGCTCATGGACAACCAAGCGAGGCTGGACAGTGCACTGCTCAGGCATGATTCGCACCCGCTCCAACCAGAAGCAGCAGACATCAGTCTCCAACATTGTTGAGACTGAGGGCAAGTACTTCCGCGGCCAGATTGACAGAGTCATGGAACAAGCAACATACAAGATTGACATACACAACATGTACCAAGTCCTTACCGATATTGGTGCCGGTTATGGCCCTTGCTTCCAGGGTCTGGAGAATGTCTTCTCAAGCCCCCATTACTCGCGTGGAGACTTGTACGTTCGGGATACCAAGTCCGTGATGCCTAAGAATTTTGAGGCTCCGCTGACCATTCATCCCACCTTCTTGGACGCGCTATTGCATCTGACCTGGCCTATTCTCGGCCAAGGCCGTATGGAACTAGAAACGCTGTACATGCCGACTATGCTCAAAAGCTTGATGATCTGCGACCAGATACCCTCTACTCCAGGCGCATCTGTCAAAGCTTGGTGCAATGGTGGGCCCTGCCAAGCTAATGCAGAGCCAACGAAATTCGATCTTTGGGTGACAACCGAGGATTCGACCGAAGTCTTGATCAACATCGAAGGTTTGGTCATGACTCCACTGAAGGACGCGGGCGCTATTAGTGGTGAAAATGTCCGTGGCTTGTGCTACAAGTTTGAGTGGAAGTCTCTTGCCGAACTTGAGCAGGAGACTGCTGCGAAATCCCAAGAGCCCAATGGTCATTTCAATAGCATGAACGGACATGCGAATGAGCCGAATGGGGGACTCACAAATGGCGATGTCCTGAATGGGTTGACCAATGGTCATCTCAGTCCAGATGAGAAGCCGCATATTAATGGTAATGGCATCCAGAATGGCTGCCACTTGACCGACATTGTGATCACACAGTTCGGCAAGTCCGACGGTATCGCAGACAAACTGAATGATGCTATTCAAAACCAGAGCAATGACTGGAAGCCCTCTATCTCCAGCTTCGATGAGATCGACGCAACTGGCAAGCACGTTGTCGTCCTCCAGACCGGGGCCCGCTCTCTTCGCAACCTCACTACAGAGTCCTTTGAAGATATCAAGAAGACTCTGCTGAACGCTTCCAATATTCTTTGGGTGTACCGTCTTGACAACCCAGATGCTCAGATGATCGTCGGTCTTACCCGAAGTCTGCGTGCCGAAACATTGGCAAAGGCTGCAACTCTCGGTCTCGAAACTGAAGATCTCGAGAACCCCGCCACTCCCATCATGGCTGCTGTCACTTCTCTGTGGTCTGTTGACAATCCGAAGCCCTGCGAGGACTTTGAGTTCCGGGCTAAGGGCGCCGAGTTGTTCGTCCCACGTGCCTTGACCAACCAAGCCGCAGACGTATTCGTCCATAACGAGACTCATGAGTTGACCATCTCGTCTCAGCCATTCCAGCAGCCTGGTCGTCGCTTCAAGCTCCAAATCGGCAATCTCGGTGCCCTGGATACGCTGTACTTTGCGGATGATGTGGTCGAGCTATTGGCTGATGATGATATCGAGATTGAGGTCAAGGCCACTGGTCTGAACTTCAAGGATATCGTCGTTACAATGGGTCAACTCGCGCAGCCGTACATCGGTATCGAGTGCAGTGGCATTGTCTCGTCTGTCGGCAAGAATGTTCAGCACCTTCAGGTCGGCCAGCGAGTCATGGCCCTGCCGCTGGGTGGTTACTCCACCTATGCTCGCTGCAAAGCTACCAGTGCTGCCCCTATCCCCGAAAACATGTCCTTTGAGGTCGGTGCCACTGTGCCAGTCGTCTTTTGCACAGCTTACTATGCGCTCTTCGACCTCGGGCATTTGCAAGAAGGGGAGCGAATCCTGATCCACGCCGGTGCTGGTGGTGTCGGACAGGCAGCAATCATGCTGGCACAGATGATTGGAGCAGAGATATTCGTGAGTGTCGGCAGTGTGGAGAAAAAGCAATTCCTCATGACCCAGTACGGAATTCCTGAGGACCACATTCTCTACAGTCGTGATACTTCGTTTGGCCGTGGTATCCGCCGCGCGACGAACAACGAAGGCGTGGATGTAGTTATCAACTCACTCGCCGGCGACCTTTTGCGCGAAACTTGGGAATGTCTAGCTCCATTCGGCCGATTCGTTGAGATTGGCAAGGCTGATATCACCAGGAACACTCGCCTGGACATGCTGCCATTTGAGTACAACGTCAGCTTTGCTTCTGTCGATTTAACCAAGGTGGCTCTGCACCGCCCGAAGCTGATGAAGCGTCTTTTGGAGAATGTCACGGAGCTAATGGCCAAGGAATCTGTGCGGCCTATCTTGCCGCTGACCACGTACCGCATCTCTGAGCTGGAGACTGCGTTCCGCACGTTGCAGACCGGTAAGGCGATGGGTAAGATCGTGGTTGTTCCTCATCAGGATGATTATGTCAAGGTAAGAAACCTGCAATTTGAATTTCCGAGTACATAAATTCTAACATGTGAATCCCAGGCTGTTGCACCCAAGACTGGCTCTTCTCTGTTGAAGGCTGATGCTTCTTATATTCTGATCGGTGGCACTGGTGGTCTGGGACGAAGTATGGCTAGGTGGATGTCCTCCAAGGGCGCCAGACACATTGTTCTGGTTTCTCGGAGTGCATCAGTGAATGAACAGGTCCAAGCTCTGATTAACGAGCTGGCTGTCGATGGCACACACGTTGTCGTCAAGCCATGCGATGTGAGCAGCAAGCCATCAGTCGAGAATCTTGTCAAGGAAGAAATGAAAGATCTTCCTCCAGTCCGTGGTGTTGTCCATGGCGCCATGGTCCTTCGGGTATGCCCTGCCAATATGCCTACCACTCAAACTTCCGTTCAGCCAGCTAACACCTCATAGGATATTCTCTTCGAGAAAATGACTCTGGATGACTTCCAAGCCGTCATAGCCAGCAAAGTCGACGGTGCCTGGAACTTGCATGAAGTTCTCGCCGACTATCCTCTGGACTTCTTCGTGGCTCTCTCCTCGGTTGCCGGTGTCATCGGTAACCGTGGTCAAGCAGCCTACGCCGCTGCAAACGTTTTCCTCGATGGTTTCATGGAGTACCGGCGCTCATTGGGCCTCCCGGGTACATCCATTGACTTAACTGCCGTCCGGGATGTCGGGTATCTCGCCGAAGTCGACATCAAACGGCAACAAGAAGTACTGAAGAACATCGGTACAGATGGCATGGATGAAGCGGAGGTGCTCGCACTGCTAGCCGCCGCGATCACAGGCGACATTGCAGACTCCTGCTCGGGCCAATTCATCGTCGGCCTCGAGCTCAGCACACTAGACCACTTCTGGGCGCAGGACGCCAAGTTCAGTGTTCTCTATGAGACCGCGAAGGCGGCCCATGGCTCAGGAACTGCCGGTGGAAGCGGTCCATCCGCACCGCTGAATGTGCTCCTTGCCAATGCGGGCTCCAAGGAGGAGGCGCTACACATCTGCTATGAAGCGCTCGCGGTCAAGCTGGCACAGGTACTGGTGATCTCGCTGGAAGACATGGATCCATCGATCACAGTGGCCTCGTTGGGTTTGGATTCACTTGTGGCGATTGAAATCCGTAATTGGATTGCGCGCGAGGCCAACGCTAATGTGCAGGTGTTGGAGTTGTTGTCGAGCGGATCTTTGATGGCGCTAGCTGAGATTATTTTGAATAAGTCGCAGGTTTGATGGGGAGAATGCCGTGTGCTGGCGCTTTTGTTTTGTTACATATGATTTATGTTTACATGAGCTGTTCTTTGTTGTTATAGATTCTATACGTACATGTATGCAATGAAATTTGGTAAGCTCCAGTCTGACTCGATTTTGTATGAAGGATTCAAGGCAGTCGCTTTTGGGCTGCTTTGTTACTGGACCTCCTCAACGACTGTTGAAAACATCATGGTGGGCTCATATTGTATCGCGACTCAGTCTCCTTCAAGCACATAATTGGAGAAGGCACTTTTCAACAGGAAGGGATCACTTTGGGGAAAGCCTTGAAGAGGCTCATTCCGCGGAGGTATCTCTCCGGCGCCCCTCCGGAAAGAGGTTTCCGCTCCCTCAGAAAAAAAGTCACAATGCATCGTCATCGCAACACTGGCAACTGCCTCTGATAACTACGTAGGTCATTCTACTCAACTGACATCCCACCTCCAACAGCACAATGCCGGGATGATCATCTCCAAAAACACCCAAGCCGATAGCCACCGGCACTTCAAGCCAGGCCCAAAAAGGGCATCCATCAACCAAAAAATTCTCCTCCCGCTCCCCTTGACCTGTGACGCATGTCAAAACTTAATCGCAGATTTTTACCCGTGACGCAGATACGAAGGTTAAATTTTCCAGAATCATAGTAGAGGGTGAGATGAAACTTCCCTCGAGAGTTTACTCTTGACACCTCCCGCTCGGCAGGCTTGGCCTCGGTCATTCTTGAGCCAAGAAACTTTTCATCGGCCACTTGCCGACGGGTTGTCCGCCACCACATTCCGGAGGATTGAAAAGTTTAACATGTACGAACGGAAGTACCTACTGTAGGGCGTTGTAGGTGTTTACAGCAGTGATGTCATTGGGATCCGCGGTGGCTGATGCTTGGCGCTAAGAAATGTCCGTGGGAGGACAATGCGACAAGCGTTTTTTCCGTGGATGCTAAGTACTGCGGATATCGCGTGCAAGTGGATTTTGAATTACATTCCGCCGTGCCTAGATGAGACATTAATCTTGAAGCGAACTGATGCGCCAAGCGATATGCCTAGCAGCTGGTTCTCCTACAATGAAATGTCCATACCGGTCCCTCGGTCTAGTGTTGCCCGAATATGTTTTGATCTCGGGTAATTATTTAACGGACAGTCGACGCTAAACGAGATGCCGACATATTCTCACCCGTAGTCGTTGTTACTGGTCAATTTATCAGCTAAATTATCTCAGGATTTCAAAGCGGCAAGCCGCAAAGCAAAGTGGAGCTGGGTACTCCACTTGCGTTTTTAAACGATGAATGCCGCGGTAATACTACAATTATTATAGGCTAGAGGGGGAGGAGATGGTAATGCTAGGCGGAGTATGCAGACGATGTCATCGTCGATGACAGTGATTTTCAGTGACCATGATGTACCTGATAATCGGCTAATCGCGTCTGGCCCAGGAACGGAGAACGAATCCGGCGAGATATACCAGTAACATTCTTCGATGTATGATCAACCACGTGGAATTCTTCCATCTGGCATGGCCGTTCTCAACGCGAATGACATTGAAGGACCCACATTGTTAAGATTTGTTGACAATTGAGCTGGAGGAGAGGATAAGCAAGACGATATTAAATTGAATGCGAAGTACCGAGGCGCGAAATGGATAACATCGGCTTTGTCGAGACACATAGTATCAGTCCGTGCAATCCTTTTCATGACTCGATCAAAACTCTTTTCCGGACAGCCTATTTCGCTAGCCGAGAGCACCTCTGTACCACTACCATCAGAGGACTAATTTCTGACTAACAATTCTCCAGTAAATTAGTATGTAATCTCGGTAGCAATGAGAAAGTATGGAAATTAAACAATGTCCTGTCCCTTCTGCTCCACACTCATTCGAGCCATTCATCATCGTGTTGTACCCGATTGTGGAGATCCATGAGTACGCCGATATATACTCCGTGCTGTAAGTCCGTAAGTAGTGTAACCAGGACTCAGGAGCGGCCCGAGTCCACGGAGGTCGGTACGGGAAATAGAGAGATTACATAAGGAGGATCGTGGGACCCACTTCGGTGGTTGAGCCCTACTGGAATGACTGGAATGACTGGATTGACTGGATTGACTGGGTTGATGTTTTGTCCTGCCAATCAGAGATGGGGCTCGGACCTTGGCCGAACTCGAAGACGGGCGGTTATCACGTGACTAGTCCTCCGGGACTGGAAATACTACCCTCCGAGCCCCCCCCCCCTTCGACCCCAAAGTTTCCAAAATGAGGAGAATCGCGGAGGATCGCAAAAGCCCCAAAAAGACCCAAAAAGCCAATCGCCCGCTAACAACGGTTATGATCACATGTCTTTTCCTCCACAAACCTTCCCGCGGTAGCTTCTGATAACTACCACCTTAACAAGGATCGGGAAACGCCCAGCGCCATTGATACAATTTTCAACCAAATTTTACTTTGGTACCAACATCAGACACTGTCCGGCAAGGCAATTTCCCAATCTGAAGACCGCCTTCTCTCTTGGTCCCCACGGGGTGGTGTCGGATTCGATCGCGTCGGTGGCTTGATTGGCCCCTCGGTGGACCCGCTCGGTGGGTCACGGCCTCCTTCACGGTAACCTTCCGGTCGTCGGCATCGGCCTGTGAGTAATGACGGACGGGCCTTCGGGGGCCAAGAAGGGTGCGGAAAGAAAAGGTAACTGAGGCGAGTCTGTGGGTGAAAGGTAATTTGGACTTGGTTGTTCTAGCTTGGGCCTCTTCTGGGATCCCCGAACTGGCGCGAACTCGCTTCGATTGCGATGCTTTTTTTCAAATGCGCAAAAGGACTGACTAGTTGCTAGACTACCACTCAATATCTGCACCAACGAGAAAAAGAAGAAAAGAAAACTCTGACCCTTGACCCACTGCACTTCCCCGTTTTCCCCCGTGAATGGACGAGGATGAAAGAGATGGAGGGTCGGGAGAGATTCCCATTCCGGCCAGGAGAATGATGATCCTGACGCCCGCTCAAGGTAACGATCCACCCCCACGAGGCTACAAAGGGCGACACCGTCGTGAGACTCGTGACAAGTGGGAAGGGCTGCGATCGGACGGTGACAAAGAGGCGTCCGGAGGGCTCCACGGGTGGCTTGACGGACGAGAACGGGTGGCGCCTTGCAAGCAACCCAAGCAATTGGCAACCCCCAAAGTGGACAAGTCTGGTCCCCTCAGGCACGACTCCAAGAACTTTCGGCCTCCCGCAACACCTGACTGGTCCGCCACTTGGCTGACCTTTGGCGATAAACTTCGGATTCCCGAATGCAGCATCACACGTTGGTGGCGGGCGGCCAACCCCAAACAAGAAACAGAAGCAGCCGCTACGCGCTTGGCCCTTTTTCCCCCCTGCTAGGCCTTGCTGGGCGGCTCGCGAGACTTGCCCTCCATCACAACCCACTTAGGGCAAACCCCACCTATCGCGACCCCGTAAAACTCTGCTGCGGGGCCCCCTTAGCCCCTTAGCCCCCATACGGGCTCCACGGCGTACCACGGTGGTCCGCGCGACCTGCCTCTAGCGTTAACACGGCCGACGTCATGTCCAATGTTTTTCGTCTTGGCCGACCTGACCCGTAGCATGCGTTTCTCCGCTCCCGAAAGAAGTATAGACATACATATAAGGCCTCCTCCCTGACCCCGGACACCCCAGGTCTTTCTTCTTTCCTTCCCTTGTCCTGGTCAATCCCATCCCTTCGCGCATATACCACCGCGAAGAAGAAGAGACAACAACCTTCAAGATGTGGACAACAACTTCCGGCTTGCGGGGCAAGAAGCTCCACCTTGCTATCACCTTCACTTCCGTTGTTGGTTTCTCCCTGTTCGGTTATGATCAGGGTCTTATGTCTGGTATCATTGCCGGTACCGAGTTCACCAAGGAGTTCAGCGCTCTCGCCATCCCTGACGGCTCGTCTGCCGCCTATTCTCAACATGTTTCTGTCCTCCGTGGTGCCGTGACTGCCTGTTACGAGCTTGGTTGCTTCTTTGGTGCTATCTTCACTCTCTGCTTTGGTGAGCGCATCGGCCGTACCCCCTTGCTGGTCGCCGGTGGTGTTCTCATGATTATCGGTACTGTCATCTCTACTGCTGCCTTCGGTCCTCAATGGGGCCTGGGTCAGTTCGTTGTTGGCCGTGTTATCTCTGGTCTTGGAAACGGTATGGACACTGCCACGATTCCCGTGTGGCAGTCTGAGTGCTCTCGCGCCCACAACCGTGGATTCCTCGTCTGCTTCGAGGGTGCTATCATTGCCGTCGGTACCTTCATTGCCTACTGGATCGACTTTGGTCTCTCCTACGTGAATAGCTCCGTTCAGTGGCGTTTCCCGGTTGCTTTCCAGATCCTCTTCGCTATTCTGGTTAGCGCTGGTGCTATGATGCTTCCCGAGTCTCCTCGTTGGTTCGTCATGCAGGGCAAGGACCAGGAGGCCCTTGAGGTTCTCGCCGCTCTCAACGACAGCACTATCGATGGCGAGGATGTCCTCACCGACTTCAACCTGATGAAGGCTGATCTCAAGACCCAGGAGGGTGTCAAGGCCGACTGGAAGACCCTCTTCACTTTCGGCAAGACCCAGGAGTTCCAGCGTATGATGATCGGTTGCTCCGGCCAGTTCTTCCAGCAGTTCACTGGTTGCAACGCTGCCATCTACTACTCTACTCTGCTGTTCGAGCAGAACCTGAAGATGGAGCACCGTCTCTCCCTGGTTCTGGGTGGTGTCTTCGCTACCGTCTACGCTCTCGCTACCATCCCCTCCTTCTTCATGATTGAGCGCGTTGGTCGCCGTAACTTGTTCCTGATCGGTTTCGCCGGCCAGGGTCTGTCTTTCATCATCACCATGGGTTGCTTGATCAATGAGAACGAGCAGAACGCCAAGGGTGCCATCGTCGGTATCTTCCTGTTCATCTGCTTCTTCGCCTTTACCACGCTGCCTCTCCCCTGGATCTACCCTCCCGAGATCAACCCCCTGCGCACCCGTACCATGGCCGCCGCCGCCTCCACTTGCACCAACTGGATCACCAACTTCGCCGTCGTCATGTTCACCCCCGTCTTCTCCGACGCTTCTCCGTGGGGTATCTACCTCTTCTTTGCGCTTGTCAACTTCATCGGTCTTCCCTTCGCCTGGTTCTACTACCCTGAGACCGCCGGCCGTGACCTGGAGGAGGTTGACATTATCTTCGCCAAGGCCCACATCGAGAAGAAGTGGCCCTACCAGATCGCCAACACCCTGCCCAAGCTTTCTCCCGGTGAGATTGCCTCCATGCAGCGCGAGGTCGGCCTCGACGTGTCTGACCACCAGCACGCCTCGGAGAACGAGAAGGTCGAGATGGCCATGTCCAGTGGCAACTCGAGCGATGAGAAGGCTGAGTAAATTCTATAATCCAGCCCTTCCTTCCTATCGGAGAGCCGTGTACAGTGTTTGCTTTGGCGTTCCATCCTGGTGACGGAAAGCATATTTGAGGTTACGACGAAACTCTTTATTGATTTTCAGAGTGCGTTGTGATGTGATACCTCGCATTATTATTCCCCCCAATTTTTTTTCTTCGTTTTTTTCCTATTATCAAGTTATGATGTTGGCATGACCATGGCTGGTTAATCGCCGCCAGATTAATGTCTCAGTGCTTTTGCTTTTTCTTTATGTTATATACCATGAAGGGAGGTGATGATTTGGAAAATAGAGGTTGATTGAAGCTCAACAATAGAATGCATTGTCATCCTATAATCATTCTTGCTCATGCAGCAGCTCTACAAGTAGATAATTATCAAAAGATCGAAGAATGTGTACTTCAAGTTTGGGATTGAAAAACTTCAGCATAATGACGATTAGTGTTCAGGTGTCGTTCATGATAGACTTCACCTCAGTTAAACCAATTCAAGATTTTCTTTAGTACTGGCACGATTCATGTCCACGAACAGGTAACTCTAATCCAGGAATACCATTCCGTCTACAACACTCTCCAACTCAAAAACAGCACATTATAATGTGAAGGAAATGCCATCCAGGATCAAATCCAATCCTCACAATCGTATCACCAACCCCACGAATCCACTCCCAAATTCAAAATATACCAGACATCTTCGGAGAATTCCCAGTGGAGTCTGTAGACCATGCATGTACTGTAGTCACAAGACCCAACCAACAAGCAACCAAACACAACACAACAATCCCAATTCCGTCATCACAACGGCCAAGCCACATGGCAGAGTGACCTGCACTGCACCCCGCAGGCCCCGGCTACAGAGCAGCATGTAAGCATGTACGGCAATCACGTATTCTCCGTACAACTCCACACTCCATGGTTTAGCTAGATTGTGATGTGATGCAGGATGCGGGATATGTCTCCGCCCTTCGGCAAGCCTTCTACTTCGGAGGGAGGTTTGCCTAAATTTGCCTGTTTGGTTAGGCCAGATTTAGTGTTGTCGATCAGTATCTCGTTTTGAGTTCCGGGGAAGGCAGGTTTTGCGAAGGAAGCTTGGGTGGAGGCTGAATGTCTGGGGTCCGGGGAGGGAGGATGTTTATGGATGGGATGGGAATTGATTTGATGGTAAGATCAATTGGGGGCTAGATGTTGCGGCTGTGGAATACGTCTAGGGAGGTATGGGTTTCTGTTCTGCTCTCTACGCTGGAAAGGCTGTGACCAAGATGATTGGGAAGTTAAAGGCTCATTGGACGGAGTTGTAAGTAGGAGGTAGTATAGCAAGCAGCTTTATGGAGATTGGAAGTCCTTACTTCCTTGCAGGATGATTTGTAACTTGGACACTCAACCCGAGAAAGAGATTCTCCCTTTATACCTAATATCAGTTGCATCAAGATCTATATGCTTGGTAGGCTCCATTAATCATGATCTTAATTCCCAAAAGGATGTGATCATGGCTCAACAAACCAAGCATAACTACGGTCTCTGTATACTTGCCCATGGAGGGGCACAGATTGCAGCGCGAGATTTGGGACTTGACCTGCCGAAAAGGTAACACAGCCAAAAACGAAAGTGACGTATTGCAAAAAACTAAATGGAAAGCTACAGTCATTCTCGAAATCGCATCAAATGATACTGTTCACACTCAATCACTCTTTTCTAGCCCTACGGCCAAGACTTTAGCGCAGATCAATCATTGAGCCGCCCGCCGGAAGTTGATGGCCACTGGAAGATGCTGTTTGTATAGTATTTCACAGTGCTTGAAAATCTAGACAATACCATTAAACGACCGTCCTAGTCAGTTGTCCATTGCTTGTAGGTAAATAACATCCTCAGCAGCTCCTGACGTAGTCGCCTCAACTAAGACATATTCACCCACGATTGGTCGAGTAAGTGTGGGTAAATGAGGTACGGTTCTCTCGTTAGCCATGAGCATTACAACGTTCATCGAGCTTAGCGTTTGACCTACATATGAGATGATGCATTACAAGATGCATTACCTGGATCAAATTTATGTCACTCCTGAGACTGGGTCCTTTTGTTCTTCTGGTAATTCTGCCGTTAATCACCGTCTCTAAGGTAATTGGTGTTTGCAGGGTTCATGCAAAAGGTATCACAAGCAACATACGCGCGCGCTATCACTGCTGATAAATATGACTCGACAGATGTATTCTCTGTTCGCGCCCAGGCTTTCCCCTATATGCGTAATGAGCCTTTCATATACTGAGGGTCGAATCTCTCTTTTCTTTCTCTCCCGTTAACTACTCTCGCGCTGTGCGTTCTGTCACATTCCCGAGGATCCCTCTTGTACTCACTTACATACAAAATACCACTTTGAAATGTCAGGTCTGGAAGTCATCGGCGGTATCTCTGCGATCATCACTCTCCTCGATGCCTCGATTAAGATCTACGACAGAGCTCGAAATGGCATGAAGTTACCAGAGACCTTCGAATCCGTTCAATGCCGACTGCCTGTTATCCTTCATATCCTTCAGACATGCAAGAGCGGCCTAGAATCGCGAAAAGACTCTATGCCTTCAGATGTTTGTGATGCGCTAGAGAACATCGTTGACGCTTGTACTGAAAAAGCTCAAAAATTGAGAGACATATTCGAGATGGTCATACCTGGTGAGAGGGATACGTGGGAGAAACGATATGCAAAAGTCATTCGCAGACTTGGAAAAGGAAACAAAGTCGAAGAACTCATGGCTGCACTCACTCAAGACGTCCAACTTGTCGTCAATAACAATGCCGTCAATTCTGCTACCCCTGAGCAAAACCTCGAACTCGACAATATTTGCAACGAGATGAAATCCGTCAAAAGCTCGACTCCCGAGAGAGAGCACACGGCCTTAGCTTTCCATAGCGGTGGAGGGGCACAGAATAACAACGTCAGTAGCGGCTATGGTCAGCAAATCAACAACAATGCCCATGTCGGAACGCAGAATTTCCATTCTGGTAAGAGGCAGCCATCATGTTAGCTAAGTTCCCTCCATCCGAAGCTGCGTGGCCATTATGGCGGCAGTCAACGGGCACATTTGCTTAGATGATTTCAATACTTCACTGTCGCTGCTCATTGCTAGTTCTTATTTCCAATAGAATTTATCTCTGTGCTTTATTGTCTCTTTATTTACAAGCATAACTCCACTTGATGCCAGAAGAATCAATTCAACTAACTCTTTGATAGTCACTGTCAAGCAGAAGACAGATTTTAGTTTTCGCGGACCCGTTGGTATCTTACACGGCCAAGCGCCTTATATCGCCTCGGAACTCTTCGTCGGTCGTGGCTACGAGCTTGATGATATCAAAAAGATTCTACACCCTGACTGCAAGGCCCAAAAACAACGGCGCCTTGTCCTCGGTGGTATGGGTGGTATTGGCAAGACCCAGCTTGCGATCGCCTACGCAGAAACCGGCCGTGGGTCTTATAAATCTGTGTTCTGGCTTAATGCAGTGTCTGAAGCCGCATTGAAAGACAGTTTCCGATCGATAGCCAGCCTTATCTTCGACGTTGAGGAGCCGGGAGTGTTAGAGGACAAAGAGGTCGTGAGGCGCGTACAACAATGGCTATGTGCCCCCAGAAATACTGAATGGTTGTTGATATTCGATAACTACGACGATCCGGCCCAGTTTCAGATTGACCGCTATTACCCTCCTGCTTCTCATGGGGCTATCGTGATCACCACTCGGCGGCCGGATCTAGTTGCTGGGACCCCACTTCACGTAAAGCCTTTTCGGAACATTGAAGATAGCCTCGCGGTCCTTAAAACCCGATCAAAACGAGACAGCGCTCAATCAGGTACGCTCTAATCAACCCGGTTTAGGACTGCTGTACTAACCACCACGGTTAGATCCTCATGCCAAACTCCTCGCGGAGCGACTTGCCGGTCTTCCTCTTGCTTTGGCCACCACCGGCACATATCTTCATCGCAGTACCTTCACTTTCGAACGCTACCTTCGAGAATATGAGAAACGTTGGAACATCAGCCCTCACCGACCCCTACAACTCCAAGAGTATCAGGAGCGCACACTATACACAACCTGGGATTTGTCATACTCTCGCCTAGAGAAAGAAGATCCGGTCGCGGCAAAATTACTGAAACTACTGGCTTACTTCGATAATGGGAGACTTTGGTACGAGCTTTTTCAAGCTGGCCTTAATGATAGTTCTCCCGAGTGGCTTCGAGAAGTGATCGAGGATGACGTGAATTTCAATGGAGCGATGGGAGCCCTAACTGAATACTTCTTCGTGGAGAGTCACCATACTTCTGGGTCATGGAGCATGCATAACTGTGTGCACGACTGGACTCTAGCAGCACTCAACAAGAACATCGACGCAAGTCTTTGTTGGTTTGTTTTTGACTGCATTTCTGCGTCTATAGGAGATAATAGGGTGGATGACTTTGCAAATCTGTCTTACTCTGCCTTGGCTGCTCATGCCACGCGGCTATTACAACAGCGCTTCTGCGATAATGACGTCTCATATGATATTGCGCCTCATCGACTCGACCAAGCTTCACTAATTGCAAACCTTCTTCGAGACCAAGTACTTCTCGTTGCTGCGGAGAAAATGTACCAGCGAGCGTTAGCGGGAAAGGAGAAAGCGCTTGGAGCACATCACACGTCGACTCTTCAGACTGTTAACGATCTCGGGGTTCTATATCGGAACCAAGGCAGGCTAAGACAGGCGGAGCAGATGTACCGGCGGGCGCTAGCCGGGCGTGAGGAAGCGCTCGGAGTACACCATATTTCAACCCTTGACACAGTCAGAAATCTCGGGATTGTATATCGTCTCCAAGGCAGGCTAGATCAAGCAGAGCAGAAACTCCAACAGGGACTAGCTGGATGCGAGAAAGCACTCGGAGCAGACCATATATTAACTCTTGACACAGTTAACAATCTCGGGATTGTTTATTGCGTCCAAGGCAAGCTAGACCAGGCGGAGCATATGTACCAGCGGGCGCTAGCTGGGCGTAAGAAAGCGTTTGGAGCAGACCACATATTGACCCTTCACACTGTTAACAATCTTGGGATTTTATATCGCGTCCTTGGCAACTTAGTTCAGGCAGAGCAAATCCTCCAATGTGCACTAGCCGGAAAGGAGAAAGCGCTTGGAGCGGACCACACGTCGACCCTTGAGACTGTCAATAATCTCGGGCTTCTATATCACGTCCAAGGCAATCTAGACCAGGCGGAGCAGATGCTCCAGCGTGCGCTAGCCGGGCGTGTAAAAGTGCTTGGGACGGATCATATATCAACTCTTCGCACTGCCAACAATCTCGGGATTCTAAATTGTGCCCAAGGCAGGCTAGACCGGGCAGAACAGATATACCAGCAGGCACTAGCTGGGCGTGAAAAAGTGCTTGGAGCGGATCACGCATCAACCCTTAATACCGTCAATAACCTAGGGATTCTATATCGTGTTCAAGGCAAGCTAGACCGGGCGGAGTTGATGCTCCAGCGGGCGCTAGACGGGCGCCTTCTCGTGCTTGGAGCAGACCACACGTCGACCCATGACACCATCAATAATCTTGAGATTCTATATCGTGCCCAAGGCAGGCTCGACCAGGTGGAGCAGATGAACATGCGGGTTAAGCTAGGGCAGGAGACGGAGAATTCTGCCATCTGACTTTGAACGATGATCTTATAATACTTCAACATCTTTCGGTAAACAGTGATAAAGCGCTACCGGCCTCCACCGGGTTTCCCCTCAGCAAGTCTAAGCTAGCTATTTGACCTCTAGGAGCTACAACGAAGTCTTCTTTGATCATTTAAACCCGGTATTTCACCTATAACCATGGCAAGCCATGAACGGACTCATTCCCTTATGGTAAAGAGCTCATAGCAAGCACGAGCCAAATAGGCAATTAACGGACAGAACAGTGAGACATTTGGGAACACCCAACCCTAATATCGACCATCCAGCATAAGGCATCTTTTTGAGAAACACGACGTATCTTTCCATTGATATCGGAAACAAACACGTAACCTAATCTCAGGAACCTCGATTAACCTACATCATCCCAAATAACCACAGATCTACAGGCACAACGCCACATCCAACCCCGCTCACACGGCCATTACCGAGGAGTCGTCAGCGCGGCGCCACTAGTTCTTCGTGAGGATGTATACGAACTTACGAGACACATCAAGCGGCAGTAATACAATCGCTGTTTGGATACATCATTCTATTCGCATAGCAAAGGAGAGAAATGTACAAGTACGGGCAAGACTGATCCATTCAGCGATAATACGTAAAACGCTCACGACAGGTTCACAGTAGCCCGGACAGCACGGCACAATCGTGGATCGATGGATGCTTGACTCAGAACGAGGATATAGAACGGATGGACATGACTCGTTCTAGCCCCGAGTCCATGCAGATCCTACTATATCCTCCAGTCCGAGGCGCTATAGCACAAGCCCACGCACGCACACCCCAGAAATCCTGCGTGCTTCACTTCATCCACTGAGACCCTTTTGGTTGAGGTTTCTGACCATTCCATGCCCAGTGGACTTTGAAGGAAGAACGGACTTTCCATTCAGTATACAGGGGCCACCTAATACACTGGGGTCCACGACAGGGGAGCTTGAAATGATAGATGCCGCCTTCGTGTCTCCTATCCGCATGGCTACGCACCATGGGGTCCAAGAGCCAACTGGGATACTCCCTCTAGTAACTTCTACAGTGGTTGGCACGTTGATAGTAGAACCACTTGGGAACTGGAACAAACGCGCCGATACTTCTAGCTGCCAGCTGAGCTTGGTATGCGATATGCATCGCTCTGAAGTTCGCCAAGTGGCCAGCGGCATATTGCGTCCAAGCGGCATTTCTCGTTGCCAGAGTCTATGCACCATCAAAGGTGGCCTGATTTGCTCGGCCAAGCGCCCCATACACGCTTGCGTTCATGATGCTGTGGAAATTATCGTGAGATCCGTCCGCTATGGCATTGTCAACTACGACTCGAACCACGAGGTATGGTAGAAGTAGATTTTGAGCGCCTCGCTTGGAGGCATGGACATTTCAGTCCAGCACCAGCGGATAAGCAAATGACAAGTCAAGTGTCCGGCCAAATAGACATGTTTTCATCACCAGACACAGCGAGCGTTTCACTAGATGTTAGTCGTTTAGTCGCTAATCTCGTCGCGAGGAAAGACTCTAGTCGAAGTATTGCGCGGCCTTTTGCCATACGTAGTTCAAGATTGACAATACAGACACCGACACAGAAAATGCTTCCAGGTATTATGCAACAATTACATTGTCTTTCATCCAAATGCGAGACATCAGATCGAAAGCGGGTAGCGTGACATAGTCAAGTCCCTAAAAAGGCAGTAGTAAAAATAATATTACACAAGAAGGGTCAAAAGAGACACAAAACAAGAGATAGATATAGAAAGTGAAGGAATACGAGATTCCAACAATATCTGAGGATAATCTCAAAGTGGCCAACAGCCCAGAAAAAAAATAGTGTGAGACAAGACAGTAACCAAAAAAAGCCAAAACGCCTGCTGGGTATGATATGCGTAGAACGATCATGACCTGACCCGACCCTGACCTGACCTGACCTGGATAGTATATACCAAAACCATCAAGCCGCCCCTCCGAATATTGTGCATCCGGACCATGCTTCGTTCAGGTAGTGCTGCAAAGACAGATGCTTTTTCCGACCCCGGGAAACCTTCACCTGGAAGAAACGAGGCGGGGACAAAATGGATAAAGGAAAAAGGAAGGCCAGAAAATAGAGAATAAGGGAATGAGAACAAGGTAGATGCAAATGCAGATGCAACGCTGCTAATCATGCGAGACAAAAAAGAAAAAGAGAAGATGATGGAATGGTGGATGGTGCTGTATGTATTACCAGCACATCTTTGAGAGGATAGATCAGATCACTCTGGCGCATGCACGCGCAGGTGAATTTCTTCCACGGGCATGCCCTCTTCCGAGGGGACGTGTTGGTAAGAGCGCATCTTGCGGCGCTTGAACAAGCGGTATACACCGGCGACTACGCCGACGACAGTGCAGGCGATTAGGATGAAGATGAGGAGACCTCCCACGCCACGGATCACTTCGTAAGCCTTGTAGACGGCTTTGGCAACTTCCTTGGCATCGGCGTAGGCAGAGGTTGAGTGGTCAGAACTCGAGCCAGAGCCTGTTGCGGTGTTATCACTGACCATGCCGGCCATGCCATCGGTACTGTCAGTGGCATCCGTGTTGTCGTTGGAAGAAGAGGTCGAAGTAGAGCCCTTGTTGACAGCCGTGATGATCGAAGGGTCATCTGGCGTGGGGCCCGTGGCAGAGCCCATAAAGCCAACGGCCTTCCAGTTCTTCGGGATCTCGCTTCGCATAACCCGCGAAGCACTCATGACATCGCCATTCTGGTCAATAGCTTCGGCGGTGATCCAGTCCATGTAGCCGTCAACGATATACATGGTCTCGAAATCGGTTTTATTAGCCTGGCCGATAAACACGGGGTCGGCGCGGTCGTATGCCTGTGCGAAGAACTTCCATCCGGCCACATCGGTGGCACCGTTCCAGCTGACGTGGATCAGCGTGGTAATGTCCTCGTCGCTGGTACCATACACCGAAGCCACAAGGTCAGGTAGGGTGGTCGGACGGCCGAGGAATTCGCCCTTGTAGGCGCGGTAGGTCGAGTAACGTTCGGACACGAAGCGGGCGGTCATTAGCAGATCACCGTTTGGCGCGTGTTCACTCTGGTACCCACGCTCGCTCCAGCCGATGAAAACGTTGTCGTTGGGAAGAACCTGAACGCTACCGCGGAGGCGGGTGAGACTGCTATCAGGGCGGTTGATGCGCTTGATAACGCGGGCAGTCATGGCAATGGTATCCATCTCGACGAACAGGGCAGCCGACATGTTCTCGTCGTTGCCACGCTCGTCAGAGGCATTATTCAGGAATGAAATAACATGGTGTGTGCCGTTGGACGAGACGAATTTCACATCGTGCTGCTTTGAGAAAGTAAAGTCCATGTCAAAGTCGCTCTCAAGACCACCGAGGCGCCACATAATATGGCCATCCTCGCCCGAGATACCGTAAATCGTGTTGGTGAAGCGGAGGGAGATGATGTAGTCGCCGGCTTCGTTCTTATCCACGGCATTGATGTGCACATAGTCCCAACCGGGAAAGCCGCCGGGCGCATCCCATGAATGAAACATGTTGGATTCATGCAGGGCAATCTTATCGAAGGAGTCCCATTGTACCAGCACCTCGCTTGTTTCCACGTCCAGTTCCACGAAGCCACCCGTTACCACCCAACTCTGCTCCGTCGGGCGTCCGAAATCCGCCATGTTGATCTCCTGACTGCGGTACGTGCACGCCAGGGCCGTCTTCCCGCCCGGTAGGACATTGAACTCGTGCATGTTGAAGTCGTGCAGGTCATTCAAGACGCCCACTTCCTTCTCCACTTTATAATTTTTATCCACGATCACACCGCTACCCTTGTCGGAGTTGTCGATTGCCCAGGACACGATAAATGAAAGGTGCGTCTCTTCGTCGATGTTGGTAACCGGCCTGAAGTCGAAGACATTACGATTGTCGTACAATGGGGCACCGGCCCAAATAAGCATCTGTTTCCCCACAAAAAAGTTTCCAAGTCAGATACTGGTCCAATCGCATGGATGAATATAGAACTGGAGGAGGAAAAAGATGAAAATCCAAAAGAAAAGCAACATACACCATCATTATCGTAGATATAGGGCCCAACCTGGTACTGCTGATACTTTTGTGTGGGGTTCTCTGGCGAAATCTGTCCGTAAGGTGCCACAAACCAGTAACCTGGAGCAGCTCTCGTGCGATCGTGATGAGTGACTTCCCATTTCAAGGCGCGGACCTCAGGGAGCTAGCAATAGAAAAACAAGATATTAGCACTGATCGGGCCCAGGTTTTTCGCAATTGGATCAATTCCCGGTTGCTTCGGAAGGGGAGCGACTCACAGTCACAAAGGACATTAAATCAGCATCATGGCGCTGTGCAACCGCAGTCTGCAGGAACAATAATGATAATGCGCCGGCAAACAGCATGGCGGGCTTTAAAGAGTGGCTAGGAAGGCAAGCTTCCCCGACGAGCAGAACGAAAGGAAGCAGAACGAGGCCGTCGAGCGCAAGAGGGAGGGAAAGAAGACAGAGCGCAACGCAGAGAAGAAAGAAAGAGGGGAGAAGAGAGCAAGATTGGAATTGAATAATCCCGAGTTCTGGGGCGCAAACTAGTCAGTATTAGTTCGTGAGCGAGACAGCGGAAGAGCGGGCGCCGACGGGCCTTGCCCTTTTCTCTCTCGGTCGTCGTCAGTCCAGAGTCCAGGGGAGGGCGTCGGGTCCAAACGAGTGGAGGCCCGCTCGGGTTGAGGAGGGCAAGGGAGCGACGAGGACTCCGCTCACCAGGAGAGGACTGGGAGGGACTGGGAGATGGGGGGACAGGTATCCAACGCTGTCAGGGGAGGAGCGAAAAGCAGGACGACAAGAGGGCTTGGCATTGTTTCGGACGGTGGAGCCCGCGAGGATGGGGGACGATGACTGGAGAAGAGCACCAAGAGGCGTCGCGTCTGAGAGCGTTCCTCTCTACTTCCGCCCTTACGGTCCTTTGTTCGTATTGAGCGTATCGTTAGCCCAGTCGGGGTTCCACAGCGTTTGGCGTGGTTGGGTTCTGCAGGAAGTATGGAGTATGGAGCGTGGAGCATGGAATATGGAAGCCGCTTGCATACGCCATACACGTCGGTCCTTCAAGAGAAGAGACATCCACGTTCAATCTGACTTGTTCGTCTGGTCACACGATAAACCCGATAGGCGTCCAGGTGGCTTTGCTGCACTGGGGATGATTCGGACTCGGTCTTGTTTTCCCCAAACGACCAGAACTCAATCGAACCAGCCCCATCCACGATTCCACACGAGGACGGGCCCCGTCAGCAGCTTGCGCAAAACCTCGTCAAGGGGAACCTGGAACTTCTTTAGTGTAAATTAGTACGTACGCCTTTCTTCAGTTGCAACCAACTGTATTTCGCACAACAAGAATTGCCGGTAGAGCCGGGCTCCGACGGGGAGAAAAGGCGCACGGACGCGCAGTGGGTGGCCAACGGCGGATGACGACTGGAGACGCCCCAGGTGATGGGCGGTCTTGGCATTTTGTCTGAATACATAATGAAAAAGACATTTTGACCATATACAGTACACTGGATCAATATGCTCCTGACATCTTCACTAGACTGTGTAAATGATGATGGTCGGGGAAAGGAAGTGCAATAAGCGCTACGAAACTTTCTCTTTCCACCTTCTCTGTACACTACGGAGGAGTATCTCAAACAGAGTTCATAGCACAAAAACTTGACTACTGTTTAGTTTCTGAAGATGCTTTCATTCTATTTCTAAAGTATTAACCTGGGCAATCTCCTGTAGGTTAAAATTATGAACTCGTATACATACGACAGATCATCACAGACGATCAATCTACAAAACACACCTCGACCCAGCAGCGATGGACATCGATCTGCATCCAGACTCCACTCCAATCCCGGCCGGCATTTGTGTACAGTAGTACATACGAAACAAGCTATGGAAACGGTTGGTAGGGCCCAAGAAGACCCGATTTTCTACATTTTGGGTCTTTTTCTAGCGTTCTTCATGAAGTTCGAATAATGGGTTGATCAGTGATCAGCTCAAGATCGTCATGCTATGTCTCCATAGTCATACAGAGTACAAGTACAGTACCTGAATACTCCTGGGTCCTAGATTTCTATGCACTTTCTCGCAAGATTGTCCAGCTTTGTAGATGGTTACAACCATTCAAAGCAAGAATTGGCTCCTCACATTGTGGACAGCTCTCTATATTGTAGTACGTACAACTTGAGGTTTTCGTCCTTGATACTCTATAGATGCTTAATTCAGTCCCACTAGACACGTCTTGCCGTCCGGGGGTGACGTGATCAAGCCTATCCACGATTAAGCCTGGCGCGGGTGCTCTATGGCATTGCTTAATTGGCCTGCAAGATTTGATAAGAAGAGGGAAACCACAATGCCCAGGAATCCTCACGATACTGCAGTCGCTACGAGATTGCCTTAAAACCTCGACACAGTACCAGCCATACTGTAATTAGCATCCTTTGACCAAGGTCGATGTTATTTACCATCTAAACCAAATTTGTTATTGTAAGCCTCAAACCCAGAATCAATCTACCCGTTATTCCCATCAACGCAATTCCCTACATAAGAAGATACGTTAATTCATTCAAAAAAATCCCATTCTGATTCAATTAACCTTCCCGCCCTTGAGCCATATTCGACGCGTACCCCTTCCACAATCGGCACGCCCATCTCCACCATCCAAACCACCGCCCACCCCTCTGCGACCGCACGCAAAACCAGCAAAGTCAACCCCATTTCCTTGATCCGCGCATCTTACGCGCCCACGATGTATGCATTCGATCCGAGAGTCTTCTCGTCATGCACGATGGCGTCAAAAGCCCAAAGCCCACGCAAGGAGTGCGGGAAAAGCTTTTAGCCCCCCTCGTGGTGTATAAAAGCCAGCGGCGGGCTGGCCCGCGTCCAGTGGGTAGCCGCGTACAGGAGACGTGGGTTCGCGAACGCGGCTGGGGGATGCGTAATCGGGTTAGGTGGGTGATCTGATCATGGTTAAAATAGGAAGTGCTGTAGAGGGTTAGTTGTGAGCGTTTGACATGTGTAGTAGGCTACGCTTCCTAGGTTATTCGGAATAGTAGAGGAGGAATGTTAGCGCTAAGTAGGACGGCGTGGTTAATCCGGTGTCGTTAAAGGTGTTGGATGGAGGTCGCTCACTGCGTATTGTGGGTAGACAGAACCAACGAGTCCTACAAGGTGTAGGTCTTTGTATAGGCGCTGGGACGTCTGACGGGCAGTGATATGCGGGGCAGGTACAGCCAGATTGCCAGACCATACGTCTGCCGGAGTCTCTTACTGAAGCTATCGAAGCTCAGAGTCATCCTGCGGGCATGGTGATGCGTGCAACCGAGTTGACCGGGATAACCAATGCGCCCGAATCGAAATGTCTCGGGGAATTTCGATGACTACAGGCGGTGCGTTGGCGAAACTTTTAAATGAGTTTTCCCTTGGACTGAGAGCTAGATTCTTGTTCTGCAAATTTCAAACTCGATGCATCCATCAAAAGGAGTCGATGCTGGACAGCACGAGACCAGCCGCTATGATGGCTTCAGCCACATCTGCAAGGATGGCGCCTCCATCTGGCAATCTCCGATGAGTCGTTGACAACGTCCCCTCTGTCGATGCGAGGAACGCGATCTAGGAAACTTCTGTTCCTGGAGCTGCCAAGTGAGAGCAGGCAATGCCCCGATCAGTCTGCGATTATTGCCCTCGTGACCACCTGCCGCTTTTGTGAGTGTGTTTGATGAGGCTCGTATCGCGACGGCAGTGAGTCAAACGGTCAACCAAACCGTCGAGAACTGTGATCAAGTTCTTCGAGGACGAAAATGATCAAGAGTTTGCATATTTCAGGTGCCACCACCAGTACCAGCCTCTTGGGACCTTCCTCTAGCCACAATAGGGTCTAGGGAATGAACCTGCAGCAGGGGAAAATGCGGGCTTACCCAAGAGTCAGTCATTGAGATGTGTTTCCAGACTCCCTGATGAGAGCTTGTCTCATGCCATGTGTGGAAGATTGTATGCACTGTGTGTTACATCGAGTATCCCTCCCACTAACAGTATCTACTGGTTCTAAAGGCTTTGACATCGATCTAGAGCGCAGGACAACGCAGATCAACGGCGCGAGCCTATCAAACCCACATTGCTGCCCTTATCAGAGGCCAATGCTCGGAGATGTCAATCATCTTTTGCAACTGATTCAAGTGTGTCCCCGCAGATCAGCCCCCGTGGGGCAGGATATGCCATACAGGCCCCAAGGAGGGGTGGTATCTTGCCTTGTCGGAACAACCCGATACGAGCAGGGCTGAGAACAAGGCCGGGTTAATTTCTAACTCTTTCTCCAGACTCGTGGGATCGCAAGTTGGTCGCCTTACGGCCAGATGTTGATGGCCTGGCATTCAGGGGATACACTGTTTTTACAGTGTGATGATGTGATGATGTGATCGCATCAATTTCGATGGTCAACGGGTGCAACTTGCCTTGAACGGATGAATGACCCTTGCTTCGTGGGTGTACTCCTTGTCCGTGGCGATCTGCTACTCGCTCCCTGATGGGCTTCACAAACTGGGGTGTATGTGGTGGCATTCTTCACGTTGTCAGGTTCCACCACGGTATCTCCTGCTATATACGTGGCTCTCGCTCGAGTACGAGTCTACTCTCTCACTCATCGACTCGATTGATCCGATCCGCATGATGACAGCGACACGATGAATCCTAGAGCCAGACGATGCACCGCAGGGTTTCAACGCCCCTCGCATGGATCCAATCCCACTCAATTACAGACCGAACCTCAAAAAAACGCAATGTTTGTGCACAGGTGATGTCATCCAACTTGAAGATGAGCATCATCGGGCAGCGACATTGGATCAGATTCGGATTGAGACTGTCGACATTTATACAGACTTGACAAGGGACATTCTCCCGAATAACCGTGACTGTGGCCATGACCATGCCGTGTCCTAAGGGGGGAGGGAGGACTTGACATGACACATTGCCATTGCAGGCGTTCATCGCGGGCTTGGCAATGGGTCAGACTTCACGGCAGAATAAGCGTGTGTCTCCGCCCGTTATGCGAGTCTATAATGCTGCGAGTCTACGACAGTTTCTCTTGTCTCTTGCCTGGCCGACATGTCCGAAACTCGTCCCGAGTGGTCCGTGGTTGCAATCGAATGCAACCGCTATCACATACACCCCGATCAGGGAAGTGGCCCGCGTGGCAGGGGAACCAGCGAAGGAAAAAAAAAAAAAAGGGAATAAACTAACTACAACAGTAGTAAGTGTACGGAGTACCAAGTGGCTAAACCAAGATCAACTATCCGTCAGGGGCGGCGCGATCGCCGAGAGGGCAATGTTTCAGTGTGTACTTTGGCTCTTGCTATTATGGGTGGTACACTATTATCATTTGATGGTATGATACTTTATGAGAGAGGGAGTATAAATGACCAGAGTACATCAATACACCAGTTCAACATTGAGCACGACGGTAGTGGTTAATATGGGAAATGGCCCTTCCACGAGGTTATGTAGTCGGGGACGGTTCCACACGAGTGTAACCGTCCCGACCAGTTGGGCCGACTACCACCGTTGCACTCAAGGGGGCCATCGAGCATGTACGGGGCATACCACAGACTGGAATGTCGCAAATTGGTTCAACACACGTACACAAACTACCTTTTTATGCAGGAAGAGAAGGGTTGATCAGTCATGTAATCATGTAACTATTATTGCGGGAAGAAGTACTCATTATTGAAAATAAGTCTATTGAATCAATGCTCATACTATGAACTAATTAAGGTACCGCGTTAAACTACTTTTTTTTCTGCCTGAGCCGCAATCAATAATGCGCCCCCCAATACGACAATAACCTTGGTCATGGAGTAATCTGATTACGCCCCAATACCACCTTAAACTCCCCCAACTGACCCTAAATGACCCCCAAACCACACCTTAGAGATTATCTGCAATACAATACCAATACCATACACCGCTTTCCCCCAGAGCATTGCGACACCGCAAGGGCTTCACAGTTGCACCCACCGTAACACTGGAGTGGCCAGGAATGGGCCAATGTTGATCCATGCTTCATCCTGCTCAACCATCTCTCTCTTTTCTTTGCTCTTGCTCCGGTGGGGTCTGCCTCTTTCTCACTCACACACTCTCTCTTGGGGACTTGACGGGGCTTGCCCAAAAAACCCAAAACCCTCTTTCTTACTACTACTACTGCTGCTACTACTACCTCTACTACACTCCCTCTCCGATCCACCTCCAACACTACCTCCGTGGGTAGAGTGTCACCTCACAAAACCTCGCCTATCTCTCTTATAACTCCCCCCGCCGAAACACTCTTCCCCTTTCAGTCGATTCGCGAATGCTTCTCCCCGCGAAGATAATCTCTGTTGTGCCCATGTCGCCGCTCTGAACAAACTCCCCTCCAATCCTATCCCTCGATCTATCCAACCTACAATTGATCATCCCTCGCCGCCCCTTCAACTCTCTCTCTCTCTTTTTTGGGGCTTCTCTCTCTTTTGGGGCTTCTCTCTCTTCTTCTTCTTCTTCTTCTTCTTCCTCCTCTCTCTATCTCTAACCACGACTTCGACCTCCCTCCTTCTTACACACCTTCTCCAACTCCGACCATGTCGGCCCCGCTCGTCAAGGTCTTGCACCGTCTGCAGGAGCTCTTCCATAACGTGGTATCCGCCCTCGAAGCTATGATTCTCTTCCCCTCGCTGTTCCGCGGCCTCTCGCGCCGAAAGCGCAAGCCCTTCCTGGGTGCCCACTGGCGCCGTCGCACCCTGGACGACTTCGCCGATGAGGTCGACACCCTCTTCACCACCCCGCTGTCCACGCCCAAGATGATCGAAATGTCCGAGAAGATCCGCGTGCAGTTCCGCCATTGCTTGCAGAACAGCCCTGTTTGCATGCTGCCTTCGTACAACCACGCATTGCCCACGGGCTCCGAGACGGGTACATTCCTGGCGCTGGATGTGGGAGGTTCGACGTTCCGGGTTGCGCTGATTGAGCTGCACGGACGGGATGCGGAGATGCGCATTGTGAAGGTCGCGTCGTCGTACATTGATAATACCGTCAAGTTGCTGGAGGGTACACAATTCTTCGACTGGATGGCTGGACATATTGATGAAATGTTGAAGAGTGTTGGCGCGGATTATGGCCGTGGTGAGGCTGTACTGCCAATGGGCTTGTCCTGGTCGTTCCCCATTGATCAAACCTCCATGGGCAGCGGATTGATGATTTCCATGGGCAAGGGTTTCCATTGCTCGAATGGCACCGTTGGGCAAGAGCTGGGCGATCTGCTGATCCAGTCTTGCCGAAAGCGTGATCTCAACGTTGCGATGGCGGCAATTGTCAACGATAGCTCCGCGGCTCTGCTGTCGCGTGCCTATGTGGACCCCAAGACCCGCATGTCCCTGATCCTGGGAACCGGCACCAACATGGCTATTCACTTCCCTGTGCACGAGATTGGACGGAGCAAGTTCGGTGTTCGTCCCGAGGGTTGGTTCGACTACGCCAAGCACGTCATTATCAACAGTGAAATGAGCATGTTCGGAGGCGGTGTTCTCCCCATGACCCGTTGGGACGACGTGCTGAACCGCACGCACTTGCGTCCAGACTACCAGCCTCTCGAGTACATGATTACTGGTCGGTATCTCGGAGAGATTGTGCGTCTGATCATCGTGGAAGCTGTCGAGACAGCCGGTCTTTTCGGCGGCGACCTCCCGCACTCCATGCGCGAGGCTTACTCTTTCGACACCAGCATTGTCGCTTTCATCGAAGAAGACACGTCCGGCTCGATGTCTGCCTCTGCGGCTTTGTTGCAGAAACAACATACCTTCCCCAACACCCCTGCCGTTGAGGACCTGCGCTTCGTCCGACGTGTCTGCCAGGTCGTCTCGCGCCGTGCCGCTGCCTACCTTGCAACCGCCATTCACAGCATGTGGTGCTTGAGTTATGAAGTCGAGTCCTCAACCTCCTCCGTGTCCGGCAACCCCATCAAGGAGTCTCCGGAGATTACTGTCGTTGAGAGCGACGAGTCTGCCAAGAACCTGTCCATTGCTTGCGACGGCACCGTCATTAACAAGTACCCTGGCTTCCGCGATACTTGCCAATCCTACCTGGACCAGCTATCTGAACAATCTCACCGCACCGCTGGATCTGTGATTCGCCTGGATCCCGCGCCAGAGAGCGCTATTCTCGGTGCTGCGGTGGCTGTGGCCGTCGCTGTGGCAGACAAGTCTGAGCAGCGGTCATAAATCTATGACGACAGAATGGATGCTTGATTGATGCATTAGTACCTCGCCACGCATAGACTTCGACTCTCTTCCTCTCTCCCTCCTTTCATACATCCCCATCATCCTCCTCTATCATTTTATTGTGACTTTCTTCCTTTCTCCATCAGTCATCGGCGCATGATCCACGAGTCCGTCTCTAAACAGCATCCGCTGTCCCAGCACCATTTCACTTCTTTTCAATGCATTTGCCAGGTGTTTTATTCTTTGCATGGGTACACAGATATGGTTTTCGCACGGGTTTTTTCAATTATTCTACATGTTTTCCCCCGTCATGTTTCTTCGGGCTTGGGCGGCGTCTGGTTTCCACTCCTGTGTGGTTGGTGCGGTTTGTTCAATTTCTAGGGTTCTAGTCTCATCATTTCTCTCTTTTTTCATTCCGTCTGTTCTTGTTCTATTTCTCTCGTCATAGGGGGCATTTTTCGGTTTTCTCATGGATAAGTGAAGTGAAGCTCTTTTTAAGATATGCATGTTCCTAGGGGTTTACAGGATGGGATTCTGGTAATTATTCTTATGATAGTGCCGATTTTCTTTATTCTTTTATTCTTCTATTATTGGTTCTTGGCTTGGGTCGTGGAGTCAAGGTGTATGATTGGTATACAAGCAAGCTGCGATAAGCAATGAAAAGCAGATATCATTCTCGGAATTTGCTACCATCAGCTCAACTTTGACAACTTGGCGAGCAACTAGTAAAGCATCATCTTCATGTCCTCCTCTTCAAGGGACAGACTCGAATATGCAGCCCCCATAAGTCCAGCTTGCCCTCCCGAGAAAATTCTGAGTTTCCAAACGGATGAAGCCCTCTCCCTCCACGCTGTCTTTGCCAGAGTACATAGATTCTGGATCTTCCTGGAAATGATCATACAGCCAGTATACCCATATAAGTCTCTCATACCCTCAGGCAATACAAGATTTATTTCGCGTTTCACGTAAAGGTAGTCGGCGCCGTCCTGAACTTTGTTGTAAATATCCATTTTCACTTTTATTTCCTCAAACGGATGATACTGAGGATAGAAATCTTTGAACCAATGGTGGATCGGACAAACATGACAGAGAACACCGTCTGACTCGGTTTCATCTTGCCACGCGATATGGAATAGGTTTTTATACCACTCTTGGGGGATATGCCATTCACCTGAGCTCATGGACATTATTGCTCGATTGGTTTTATGCAATCCATGAATGTGAGGTTGGCGCATGGGCAAAGTTCGATTATACCGGTACTTAGTATGCATGATTATGTTGGACTGTCTGTATTTGTATCGGTGCTTTGGGATGTAGGATGGAGTTTCCAACAATCTAGGCATAATCTCAAGTGCTCATTTTCAAGTCGCCGGAGTAATTTAATTTTTGGCCTTACGTTCACAGCCCCTTTTCAAAAGATGATTTTGGGTCTTTTTGTAAGGGTATAGTCACCTGATATGTCGATTGGTCGACATTCTCGTAGTCGCTCATCGTGGAGGATGGATTGGTATTGGGAGTAAAAGTGGCTGTTATAATAAAACAAGCTTTATCCTCTAGTGGGAGATAGGCCAGGTTTTGATCGATAATTTCTGGTGTAATGTGTAATATTGTTGTCTCGGGGAGTTTTAACATATCACTATGACTGCGAGGTGAATTGCTCTGGTTGATCGGAATATTGAAGATCTGATGGTCATCGATGGACATCAGTCTAGCGGGGTTTGCCATCTTTGTGTTTCACTAAGAGAAATCTGATCTTTGGAATAGAATCGAAAAGGAAAAGATAAGATGTAAAGTCGGGGTGTGCGATTATACTGCTTTATTATTGCCCTAAATGTAGTTGTAATGTCTTCCGATGGCTAAAACGGCAGTCCATTACACGCAGAGTGTCAACTAAGCCCAAAATACACTCCCATGGGTTTAGCACTGTAGCTGTATTACTATCTTCTAGTTAGATTACCCTCTAGAAACTAAAGAAACTGACTAACCAGACGTACATCAATCACTATTTGAAGGTCTTTCTGGATGTCTTTCTGGCTGTCTTTCTGGATGTCTTTCTAGCTGCCTTTCTCAATGTCTTATTAGATATCTTTCGAATTATCTTTCTAGATAGCTCTAATACCATTCAACTAAAGATTGCTAAGATGATTTTGAAATTTGTGGGGGTTATAACTTCACCCTACTCTAGAATATAGTAATACTATTACTACGCTAAACCAGAATAAGGGGTGTATCGTCGATTCAGCAATTCCCAAGCCTAATTGGCTATTAAAGCCCTTCTGGCCAGTAAAACATCGTCACGAGCGGGTTAGTTCGCCAAGTAATAGCGGTATTTGGGACTCGTATTCGTGCTGGACTCGGAAGTACCACGATGCAGACCCGAGAGATCGCTCAACGATCATAATGCATTTCAAGCAATCAACTGATTCCATTATTGAAGATTTTCGATATTAGCCAGTACATCAAGCCTTTATCCTCTCGGTTCTCATACTCCGCGTGACTTGTTTCGACGTAGGCGCCTATTGTGGCGCCAAAAATGCAAATTTCAGCCGCGTGGGCACGGTAAGCGCCACCGCGATTATTATTTGGCTGCCTGCAGTCATCATCATTGATAATCATCATTGACTTACTACCCAACTTCAGCCTTCATCACGTTCGGGTTATGCTCCGTCATCAATCTTCCAGTTCTCCGCGGTCTTATCCAGTATAGCAAGCGAGGATGGATTTTGAGATTTGGCTTCCTGAGGTATCTCAGGATTCGGGACAATCGCTTGATGTCCCTATGAGTCAATTACCTCTTCAACATCTTTACGAGCCCATGTTACAAAGTGGATCATCCTATTCCGAGATAGCATTTGGAACCCCAACGGAAACAAGACCTGCTAGGACAAAAAGGCGACCGCACACAAAGTCCCGCCAAGGTTGTCTGAACTGCAAGGCCAGAAAAGTCAAGGTTGCACCATGGCCCTACCGGCAATTTTTATCCAGGTTATGGTAGCTAAATTATGTCTAGTGTCAAGAAACACAGCCTGACCCGTGCTGTAACTGCGTGGGCCGGAATATGGTGTGTGTTTATCCATCTAAAGACCAGCTCTTACGCCGTCGTCGACCCATCTCAAGTGAAGAGCCCCGCGGACGACAGGAACAGGGCGATGAAACTGTATCTAGCATTCCTACTGCATCACCACTGACAGGATGGAAGAATCCTTCATACCATCCTCCGGGTGCCTTTTCCACGGACGACCTGCGATTCTTACATCACTTCTTGATCACCGCATACCCGCATCTCCCTTTTGGGAGTGAAGACCTATGGCAGACGTCTCTGCCAGCATATGCGCACGAGGTAGACATCCCCTTTCCTTGTTTGAGCTTATTTCTTGAAATGAAAAACGTGTGTATGCTGACAAACTGCGGACAGTGTCCACATCTGATGCACTCGATTCTCTGCCTAGGAGCTTCTCACCTGTCCCGAATCACACCAAATGGCGCTATATATACACCTATGGCCATAGCACATAGAGGCAGGGCGCTTAAAGCATTAGGTGAAGCACTCGCAAAAAGCGACCAGTGCACCAGAGCCGAGCTAGATTTGATGTTAGCCACTACTTACGCGCTTACATTCCAATCTAACTACATGGAAGACGGACTGGTCGATTTCGTTGTCATGGTTCGAGGCTGCGCGATTATCACCATGCGTATCCTGAATATGTACAAAGGGAGCGAGATGTTCGACTCCCTTACGGTGGAAGCTATCTATACCCGTGTCCTCCCACTTCTCCCACTGACTACATGCTGCGATGGAGATATGCTGGAATTTTGTATCTTGACACTCGAAAGTATCCAACCACTGCTGAAGTCTAGCAGCCATAGGATCACCTACCAGGCTATCCTGAACATATATACGGGATTGCAGCAGTCCGCTCGAGCAGGATTTATCGCTTTGAGCGAGTTCTATAATGGCTGGGAAAGAATGGGGAATCAGGAATTCATGGAGTTTGTGGATCCCACAAATCACGTCTCGCAACTGCTACTCCTTCATTTCGTTGCGATAACGGTCATGATGTGGCCCATTTTTTGTATACTGCGGCCGTCGATGCTGAAGGCACCGATGGCTAACCTTACTCCTTGTCAATGGGGTGTCGCCATTTACCAAAATTTGCCTTTGGAGATGCGTGAGTTGGTGGAGTGGCAGGCAACTTATATTGCCTCGGGTGGAGCCATAAGTAATGCAATTGGGAACTGAGGTATCGTCCGTGAACAGGAATAAATTTTCCTGGATTGGGAAAGGAAATTGTCATTGGGATGTCTATGTGATATGGCCAAGGAAAAATTGGATCAAATATAAATAGGGAGCACGATGGTGAGATAGACAGTTGCATAACGTCCACCAAACCGGACAAAGACAAACATAGAGACAGGGAGAGAAAGAATAAAGTGATGAACTGATGCCCTCAGAAGCTTCCAAAAGGCCGCCCATGGCTCAGGCCCATCTAATGCAACGCAATTGGCTCGCTATCTACCTCGGAAGAGATTGTCTCCCTCTTTGCACGAAGACCCGAGGGAATCCACCGAGCAGGATGATACCATCCCAAAGTCACCATGGCAATAAACATTGGAGCTGCTTCGAGGACATACAGCGGCCATTCGTGGGTCCAAGTATAAGTGTTCATGCCCATGGAAAATTCAATGACTCGATAAATCAGACGGACCTAAGGACGAGTAAGTCAACTTCCAGGTCAACGTAGTATCGCCTGTGGAAAAAAACTGACCATGATAAAGAATCCCGCGACATAAATCCCGTTCAAGACCAATCTCACCCCACGTTCCATACTGCTACCTTGTGAAGACGGTTTCGACCTCATATCAAACCAAATGACGATAAGAAGGAAGAGCGCAAAAGTCACCAGCTGCAAAACCAGCCCACCAATAAGAACACCAACACCGATATTCTTCTGAGTTCCCTCCCAGTTATTTGAAGACGCAATTCCACTCCCCGATGCCTGCGTGAGGAAGCTTAGAATATCCGACGTAACGAATATCCGGGGGATCCAGGCTGGGGAGACCTTTCCGAACAACAATAACGGTTCCTTCTCCGTAGATTGGATCAATCGACCAATCAAGATATAAAGGCTAGCACAGACAAGCACGGGGGCAATAACAATTAGTGTCGATGAAATCGCATATAATCCGATGTTATCTGGTTTCTTGACGCTGGCGGCTCGGAGGGCGTATGCTCCTACTTCAATTGCGGCACCGATCATGACGGGAATGAAGTATCCTGCTCGGCTGGATTTTCCGGTCCAGGGAGCGACCACGGACAGGTGGAAGTGGTAAATAAATGGGAAGATATAAAGGATGGTGAATATGATGGACGCCGTCAGAGACGGGTCATAGAAGTATATAGATGAGCCCATATTTCGAAGAGAAAGAAACACTAGGTTTTCGGTGAAGGCGAGGTGTGTGTAAACGCGCTTGCTCGAAGTGAATAGATAATAAGATATTTTTTGAAAACATTCCAGCTCCAATGCATCGAAGCTTTATATCTTTTGTCTTCATCGCCAGTATACCTGCTCAAATGCATCACCAAGAACGCCAGCAATAAGTGGATGCCAGTGAACCAATAAGCATCTCCAGTCAGCCTCGTATTCGCACCTCGCATTTCCCTTCACCCTTCCAAAATAGGTAAACCTCTCTCATGGTCCAAATATTCTGCTGCCTATAATATTATCGATAATCCAATGATTCTGTTACAACCTAGATAGTTGTGCAGTCATTTTTCGCAAATACTTCCACTCCGTTGGCAACTTCACTGATTTACCTAGTTGTTGGAATCATTCTCCCCCAGCACTCCACAATGAATATCTTCGTCCAATCACATTGAAGAAAGGTCAATGTCCTAGGCCCGACTTGGAAACTCATTTTCACTGGGCAGAAACACCAGCAGAATCTCGAAAGTGGCCAAGTCCAACTATGTACCACGGCCTTACTTTCTGCCTTGCTGCCTCAAAACTCAGGCACAATATTGATTCTGGGCTTCCTACCACCCGGTTCACATAGGCTATTTTGCATCTTTACACTACGACTAATTTAATGCTCTCTCAAAAGCCATTTGGGTGTCGATCTTCTTCCTGTGCAAATTCAGAAGCAATTAGGGTCTTTTCTTGAATTATTCCTAATCGAAAGTCTCGTAGTGAGAGATCCACACTATGAGAGGATCTATAGCAAGTTGGAGAGTTAGCCTGACGAGATGAGCTAATTTCTGCGAAAATTTCAAACTATTTTAGCTTGTCTACGCAGAATGTGTCAATAGGTGGGCGAGGGTAAACTTTTTCTTACAGCGTTATAGTCTGCTGCAAAAAAGCTGTACACTGTATTAAGCTAAAGTAGAGCAGAGCGGACGGGAAGCCTGCTCTCCATAAACTACGGTTGTATGGTCTAAAAACCTCAGAAATCTGACTGAAGATTTGTTCTTCAATTGAAAAAAGACACACCATATCAATTTTCCAAATTGATCATGCCTAAACTTACATACAAGAATACCGACAATTGAACATCCTGGGTATAGAGAACAGCAAGTCTTCAAATGGTCCAACTGGATATGTGTAACTTGCTTTCTCGAAGGGTCATTCTAGGTTACATGACATACGCAAGTCAACACCGAACATCAGCTTGTGTAGCGACTCGCCGGTAACTGCGTTCGACCGCTGTAGTCCAGTCATAATCCTTCCAAGATTTGTTTCCAGGCGTCGACCGATGCGCTTTTTCGACATGCAGGTATACATGACGACCGTATCGAACCCTTTCTTCGTCCGAGGTAGGCCAGTCACGAAGTCGATCATCAGGGTTTGGAAAGGAATGTTGGGCGATGATCGGCTGAAGAGGATCATAGGAATTACGGCGGAGCACAGCGTTCTTCTTGTATTCATCACATTGGTCGATGTACGCGCGAAGATGCGGAAGACGGCTCAGGAATTATCTCTCTGTTGCCTTTCATCATTTAGCTACGGACTAACAAGATCTTCGACACTAGTAGATTATGACTGTTATTGACGCGGACTTTCCACTTACAAAGTGTGTCCCTGTGCCAGTGGCTAGAATCGGTTCTCGTCACATGTTCACTGAATCACTTCGTTTGTCACTTTCGACGTTTTCTCCTGGCGAGAATAATCTCTCTTGTGTCCATGTCGAGGCGCATCTTGCGGAGAACTTTAAGGACAAGCTCTTGACAACATCGGACATGAAGGTTTCTGTCTTAGCTTTGAGGCGCAGACAGTACTCATCGTATCACAGGTATAGTATGGCGCTTCTCTAATGCTTTGCTCACTAACCCCCTCTCATCTATATCTTAAACCATTGTGACAGGCCTTGGAGACCTTTCGGAGATGGGGAGTAGTTTCATGCGGATTATGGGGCTGGGCCGAATGCTAAGCGTTGCCAAACACCATCCAGTATAGATGCCCCTGGCTGTGGGGTTTCAATAGCTCATACTGTATTATGCGACGTACCAATTTTCTAAGGGCTTAGAGTCTAAGGGGAATCCGTATTGACTCCTTTCATCGCGCCCGACAATAGGTTTAATGAACGGCCAGGGAAAGGGAAATCTCGACACCGAAGATGAAGGCGATCGGCGATAATGCCAGACCCTGACAAGATCTAGTCAGTATTTCAGGGTTCAAGATTAATATTAGAACAAGCTGCGACAAGCAACAAACCAAGGTCGCCAAGACATCTTGAATGTAACTGAACAAGGCCGCAAATGACCCTAAAGAACAATACGAAAAGCCACACCACAACGAAGAATCCCAAACAACCTATGACGCCTACCTAAGATAGACTAGCTCGCAGATTATCACCAAATCCGACTTCAAACAAGCATAGACCACTTTAAATCCCCGAGATCAACCTTTATTCCTTGCCCCCAGGGTCACATACAGCAGTCTACAGTATACGATGATCGGCAACGCTAAACGAGGCTTATTCTTCCCTGCAGGTTCTATTTTTAGGAGCCACCCGTATCAATCCCCGTACCTGAATGGGTGCGTCCTCGTGGGCCCCGGGAACACGAACCATACGAGCGATCAGCGATCAGCTTAGCACAAGCACATTTAAAGTTGGCTCGACGATCAAGAGAAATCGTTAGAACTTGCAGAATGCAGATCGTGTGGTGTGGGGTCCGTTTTGGTGTTGCTATAATTGACCCACAATACGAATTTTGGCCCCATGGGATGATAAGTAGGGTATACGAGGAATGGTGATCGGCTTCATGATGCCCTGTTTGGGGCGTGCTGGGATACGAAGTAGGGTGGTATTCTGCGAGAAGACTGGTTGTTTTCACGAGATATACTGTTTCTTTCTAGGAGGCAAGTTGGATAGAATCGAAAATAGAGCAAGAAGAATAGGTATAAAAGAAACTTGATTTCCGTCGAAGTTCAGATCATCAGCTCAACAACAATCTCAATCATCAAGACAGTCTAAAGACAAAGACTAACATCTTCTTCTCAACCTTTCTCTTCCTTTCTCTTCTACTTATACAAATCCAACAATCAACATGCACTTCTCTCTCCTCGCCCTCTCCGCAGCCATCGCCCTGCCCTTGGCCAGCGCCTACCCCGTCAACGCCGACGATCTCCACTGCCGCTCCGGTCCTGGCACCAACTACGGCATCGTCAAGTCCTACAAGCGCGGAACCGACCTCAGCATCACCTGCCAGGCTGCCGGCACCAACGTCAGCGGCGATGAGCTCTGGGACAAGACCTCCGACGGCTGCTACGTGAGCGACTACTACGTCAAAACCGGCTCCAGCGGCTATGTCACCAAGCACTGTGACGGCGGCAGCACCGGCGGAGGCAGCGGTGGCTCCGGCTCTGGCGCATCCATCGTGAACGCCGCCGAGAAGGAGAAGGGTCTGCCCTACGTCTGGGGTGGAGGTGGCTGCGATGGACCTTCCGGCGGTGGTTTCGACTGCTCCGGTCTGACCCAGTTCTCCCTCTGCAAGGCGCTCAACAAGAAGATTCCCCGTACTGCGCAGACACAGTACGATGCTACCAGCCAGGGCAAGCGTATTCCCCGTGCTGAGGCTAAGGAGGGTGATCTGATCTTCTGGGGTGAGAATGGTAATTGCAAGTCGGGTGTTTCCCACGTTGGTATCTTCATTCGTGATGGCTGGATGATCAATGCTGCGCACACTGGTACTCCTGTTCGCGAGCAGGCTATCTGGACTTCATATGGTGGCGAGAGCATTTGCCCTTACGCTATGAGGTATGATAACACCGATTTTTTGGACGAGGGATGATTGGCTAACTGAAACTTGCAGATTCTGGTAATCCGATTTTGAGCGGTAGAGGTGTTGGATAGAGAGAAATATTCTGTACTGTTTCATTCATGTTTTTGTATTCATCAATTTGTGAAGTTGACTATTGGAAGTCCGTGGTATTGAGCGCCGAAATAGAATCGTTAGCTGGTTTTCGTCATCTGTCAAATCATCGAGCCATTTCAATCTTTCACAATCGGGTATCAAGTAGAAGAAAAAGTAATCTGTCGAGAATCGTCATTCCTTGCAAAGATCCTCCAGTAATCCGAGCATGCGTCGCTGTAGATCGGCAAGATCAGAGTTGTTCAGTCTGGATGGTCTTGCATCCGCGGCTCCGTCCATATTGTAATTTTGGGGCACATTCTCTGATATGTCTGAGTCAATCAGGTTTTTGTGAAGCACAAAGAAGGGGATCTTCATCCCGCGAAGCTCTGCCATGAGCGCATCAGCCATTTGTGCAGAAGCCTTGTATACTTTCATGTCGTAGTCTTCCAGCTCGACTCGTTCTGCATTTTCATCCTGGGTACAGTCAGTAGTTGAAAAAAAGGCCCATGCCATCAAGAGTTAGGTCATAGCATACAGAGGTCGCTGTCGAGTCAATAGGTGCGCCGATAGAGCGTCTAACCAGGCGACGTTAGTTTCCACCCAATGCCAAATGATCATGATATAAGTGATTCATAGAGTTGATGCGCAGTTCCACTGGGCAATACTTACAATACAGCGTCAAGCTCTTTCTTCTTATCTCCGCGCGCTTGCTGTCTCTCCAGAAGGGCCTCACGACCCTTCCACCACTGTCGCTCGTGGTTATGCTGGCTTCGAATCAGCCCGCGAATACGAAGCTGGGTCTCCTCATTCTGGCCGACAGTGCGCATTACATATCGAAGCGCTGCAGGCCAGGTGGTGATGGTTGATGGATCGACACCTGAGGTAGTTGACGTTGACGGTTTTCTCCCTGGTGTATTGGAAGTCGACGCTCGTGGTGTATAGGCTTGCTCCCGGCGAGCCTGACGAGGGTCTGGAGTGCCCGACTGACTTGAAGATGCACTTCGGGATGTAATTCCTGGTGCAGTCAAGCTGGATAGTGTGTAGAGGACCGAATTCAGGTCCGAGGCATTGTAAGGGTTCTCTGCCATCCTGGGCAGGCGATAATGAAGTGGTCAAAGATGAAGAGAGAGGAAGAAAGAATTAAAAGAGAACCATATAGTGAGAGAAATTTGATCCTCGGACAACCAGACCGGATGCCTGTTGGGTTCACAAGGCAGGATAGCGGATGTCTCTATGTATCGATAAGCCGCGTGAAGCTGTTGGAATTGAATGTCTTGGCGCCATTCTCCGGCCGCTGAAAATTTACCTAACCTTCCCACCCTCAAACCCTCCAGTGCATCCACGCCGCCACCAACAACACCCCCTACGCTCTCAATCGAGGGGTTCTCTCACTAGTCACATACTCTCTGATCGATTTCACCGCCAATATCATCGCCGCCGACCCCATTCACACCCGCACAATGTCCCGATCCGCGGCGGACGCAACGCGGTTTACGGCCACGGGGCCCTACGCCAGCTCCAAGCCCAACGGCGCACCCTACGAGCTGCCCAGCTTCATGCAATCGAAGGACAACGCGAAGCAGGCTAAGCCGACTGCACCACAGACTGGTCCCGATGGCCAGCCCGAGACGCCGAAGCAGAAGGTTGAGCGCCTGCGGGCGCAGGCACGGGCTGCCCGGATGGCTCAGCAGAGCTCGGGTGTGGATCGGTGGATTGAGTCCGGGCGGAGGTTTGCGAATCGCGCACACAAGGGCATGGTTTATTCGTTGATTGTTGCGTCGGGTACGTATCGTCCATCTTGAATTGGGATGTTCGGGTGATCATACGGTTTTCTCCGGGATGGGAAGGGGTTGAGTTCATGATGGATATGGATTCCCCCGACCTGTGATTGATGATGGTTGCAATATTTAGAGCGATTGCATGACTGACTCGCTTCCTCGTTTCTAGGTGTCTGCGGTGTCCTCACAGTCTACTCTATGGTCTCGCTGACCCTTTACAACCGCCGTCAACGCACGCTCTGGATCGAGAAGGAGATGGAGAACTTGAAGCAAGCACGCCTCGCCAAGGCCAGCGGCGCCGCCACCACCGAGCAACTAGAGCTCATCGAGAAGGAAGATATCGCGGAGATTGTCAAGCGCAAGCGCGCCGAGGAGAAGGCACAGCGGCCATGGGCCAAGGCCAAGCGATTCCTGTTCGACAAGATGAATGCCGAGGACGCCGGTGCTTCCGCTGCAGCTGCTTCGACGGCCGCTGTGGCTACCGAGACTGCCCAGCCTAGCGTGGTCGAGGCTGTCCAGGCCCAGCAGGCCTTTGACGCGGCGAAGGCGAAGACCGGCGCACCGGTACCTGGGCAGTTGGACGTACTTGCGGAGAATGCAGAGCAGGCAGCGAAGAAGACCACACGCAGCTGGACAAGTTGGTTGACTGGTCGGTAGAGAATTTGATCGTTGTTATTGACTTGGGGAATCAATCCAAACAAAAATCCAAATCACTCGGACCTGGGACAAGAAAGGTCGTCTCCACTCTCCTCCCCATCTCGACCCTCGCTCATTATCTCCCGCTCGGGTACGTCCCCCTTCTTCTGGGTGTTACCACCAGACTCCAGCTCCAGTCCCAGTCCAACCAGTGCTATATGAAGTGTTTTATCTTGCATGGCGTGTGGCGAGGTGCCTCTCTTCCTCGCAGCATGCATTCATCGTGACAGGGGGTTTTCGGCGTTGCATTGTGTTCTTTTTTCTCGTCCTCTTTTTTCGAACTCCGATCCAGGACTGTGTTTCTAAACTGCTTGGGGATGTTTTAGGTTGAGGTCAGTCTGTTTGTCAGAGAAGATAGACAAGATAGGATGGCCGTGTATATTGTGTACAGTACATAGAAAATCTGCTCCTTTCTCCACCCACTGATCATTTGTCCCGTTAGCATGCTACATAGTAGCCTAGTACTACCCAGGTCACTAGCCTAGTACTTTAGCCTGTAGTCAGCGTTTTAGCTGTCGATCTTCTACTTACACCTACCTAGTTAGGATCTTGTCGAGTAAGCAATAATAGTAGACAAGCAACACCACACAATTGTCATTTTACCCCAAGCCCCACACCGTCTCCATGCTCTAATAAACCCATATCCCCTCCAGTCTTTTCCTGTATTCATCGCCTTCCATTAACCACACTTTTCTACATTTAATCAGGTTTCCCATCCTAACCAATACATATACAATCAAAGCCCCATTCAACAAACCACATACCAAGCCACTCTCAATTGGCCACATCCTCCCATCCACAAGTAGTACATACATACATACCTACAGGAGAACCACCAACCACACCAACCACCAATCCCAAAAACAAAACACATCCCCTTCGATCCCCACCGAATCACAACTCATCCACTCAAAATTCCCCAAATAATAAATCCGTCTCCATCCTCCAACAGCCGTGGAAAAGCGGTCCCCCGATCAAGCCCCACGCTATACCCTAACCGGTATCCCGGCCGCGGCAGAGCGCTTTGCCCGTCGCTGGCTTCTTTTTTTCACCACGACCACATCATCCCGTCTAGACTTGGACCCCTGCGCGGTGGATCGAGATTTGCAGATTTGATCGGAGTCCGGTGGAGAGATTAGCTGTCAGAATTTAGATCGAGTTAACTTTAAAGGAGGATGGGGGTGGGGCGTCTGGGGTATATTGTTTTTTGTTTGGAGCTTTCCCCAGACTAGGACTTGACCTGAAGGTATACCTAGGTTCACTTAACGTGTGTGGACTTGGGAGTTGAGTTTACCCTACTCTCCTGATTCCTGTGTCTACTTGCAGCCACAGTCTCTCTTTCTGAAACTATATTTACTTCTATATGGCAGGGAAGATTGAAAACCGGAAAGGAAAATCATCATATTCGCGTCCGAGCCCCATCACAAAAAACACTAACAAGACAAATAAAACGCTCGTCCGCATGGCAGCATAAAAAACTAGGTATCTATGACAAAACCACACACTTTTTTAAATTCCCGGGAAGATAGCTGATTCCCATCAAAACTCAATGACAAGAAAAGAAGAAGAAGAAGAAGATATCCATCAGCCTGCAATGCAATGCTTACTCGCTTAGTGCGAGCCATTAGACTTAGCCGCGCGCAGAGCACGACGAGCACGCACACCATCGGCAAGATCATTCAGCACATCAACCGTCATCTCCCAGTTGATGCAAGCATCGGTGATACTGACACCCTTGAGAAGAGCAGCAGGTCCCTCGGGGGGAACCTTCTGGTTACCCTCGTAGATATTAGACTCGATCATGACGCCGACGATAGCAGACTCGCCCTCGCGCAGCTGATCAGCAACCTCCTTCGCGACAATAGGCTGGTTAAGATGGTTCTTCTTCGAGTTGCCGTGGGAGCAATCCACCATCATAACCTCACGCTGCTTCTTCGCGCGAAGAGCCTCACGCGCACCACGAATACTCTCCCGATCATAGTTAGTACCCTTGTTACCACCACGCAAGATAACGAAACCATGCTCGTTACCAGCAGTCTTGGTGATAGCCGCAAGACCCTGCTTGGTGACACCAAGGAAACGGTGCGGGTGAGCCGCAGCACCGATCGCATCAATAGCAACGCCCAGATTTCCGTCCGTGCCGTTCTTGTAGCCGATGGGGAAAGACAGGCCCGAGGCCAGTTCGCGGTGGAGCTGGGACTCGGTGGTGCGGGCGCCGATAGCGCCGAGGGAGATCAGGTCGGCCAGGAACTGGGGGAGATGGTGTCGAGCATTTCGGAGGCGATGGGGAGGCCGGTGCTGGTGAGGTCGACGTAGAGCTTGCGGGAGACGCGCAGGCCCTTGTTGATGTTGTAGGACTCGTCGATGTCCGGATCGTTGATTAGTCCCTTCCAGCCGACGGTTGTGCGGGGCTTCTCGAGGTAGGCGCGCATGATGATGCACAGGTCCTTGTTCAGCTTGCCTTCGAGCTCCTTCAGGCGACGGGCGTACTCGAGGGCAGTGTCGGGGTCGTGGATGGAGCAGGGGCCGACCATGACGAGGAGACGGTCATCGCGCTGCTCGATGATCTCGATGGCTTCATTGCGGCCGGCGCGGACGGTCTGGATGGCACGCTCGGGCTGGATAAGGGAGAAGGGATTAGTTGAAGGACTTTTGATTGATTTCAAATAGAAGTTTTATTTGTTTCGGCGTGGTGATAGCGATGGTTCTCGCAACGAAAGGCGGGGTGTTGCAAGAAAAAAAAAATGACTCACCGCGGGGATCTCGGTCTGAAGGAACTGAGGCGACAGCAGAGGGTCGTAGCCGAGGACTGAAGCGGAGGAAACAGAATTAGTTGGTTCATGTTGAGGCATTGGATCTCAATTGAGAAAAGACCAGACAAAACACATACCACGAGTGTCCTCATTCACTTCGGTGGTGTTGACGAGAGGCATGGCGGGGATCGTCAATTGTACTGTGATGCGAAAATGAATATACTGGTTGACAGGTGGGAGGAATAGGGTGGAGGGTAATTGAATGATCTCAAGCTTGTAGACTGAGAAATCCGACAAGACCAAAACCAGAATTGCACTAGACTCACCTTTTTGAAGATGTTTTTTTACAAGAGTGTTAAAGAGAAGCCAGCGAGTGTGGACGAGAGTAAAAAAAGGCCGATGGCAAAAAGTGGGCCTCAGATTTGATTCCGCGGTGGATTTTCGGCGAGCGGCTGGCTCCTTTTTGGGTTTCTTGCCAACGAGGAACTGGCAGGGCAGAAGAGTAAAGAGCTTCTATACAATGAAGATCTTAGAGGGAAAGAAATGTTTATGAGATGGAAAATATCTCTTTAATATATACACCCCTCTCACTCCTGTATGATCGGTCAGATTGCCCAATCCCCCCTCTCCTTACAACAAACAAATAATTTCTCAATTTCTGCAAGGTCGTCCGATATCGTCCTCGTCCTCGTTCAACACCTCGGATCCACCGAGCCAATCACATGGCCCGCAATGCACTCGTTGTGACTTGCTGCAGACACACGCACTCCTCCCTTGGGAAGTTGGGCCTTCAGACACTGGTCGTGCAACCAAGTCAGATCAGTCAGATCGGAATCTTGCCAATGGTTCAAAGATCATACTCCGTGGAATCTAGCCCTCTCCGCCAGATTGCCACACTCTTCTTCAGGCCCCGTCCAGGTGTAACCAACACCTTGCAAACCACACGACAAGCACATTGAGAGACAATCGTACAATCTGATAGATGTCAGATACCCCCATTTGGACTCGGTCGGTCACGTCATAGACCAGAGTCTGGTGTCAGGATGTCAAGCATAGGGCGCCGCTCGATCTGTGGAGCGGATCAGCCCTTCATGGAGGTTAGCTAGTTGAGACGAAATACGGGGATCAGAGGAGAATTGAAGTCCATAGCTGAAATATCTATTGTCAATTGACAGTCTTAAAGCTGCCACGATTGAAGCTACTGCGCTCTTGTGTCAGGTAACCAGGACAAGGAGAATGTCCAGATGCAAAAGTATACGAGGGACTGTACAACCCCGACTCATGTGACCTGCCCGAGTATACGAACTATTCGGACATTTAGTATACATCTTCAAGTGAGAGACAATTCATCTTATCGTAGTTTCTTAATCTTCTCGACGTCAATTCTCCTCTAAATATACCCGAGATTCATCCGATCGCGTCCCAAGGCCAACTTCTAAACTAAATGGGATTGCTTATTGCTAAGGTTAGAAGCAGCCACTCCACAAGCAGAGCAGAAGTCGGGGGATCCGCCCTGACGGCAACTGCCGTATTCAGCTCTCCACCTTTTTAATTAGTGAATTCTGGTCCCCTTACTTCCCCAGGCTATCTCCGAGTTCCTTCAAGCTTCCTCCTCTCGAGCTGGCCACTCTTGGAGCTCTTCCTTCTTCCCACTTCCACCCATCATGTTCATCCAGTCCCTCAAGCGCCCTCGCGACGAGGACCTGGAGTTGCTCGGCGCAAATGAGTCTAGGGTAAGTCTTACCTTGGCCCGGTCCCATGAGCACGTCAAAGCGCGTCCCGTCGCGTCCTACAGCATGCATACTCGCATTTTCCCCTACTACTTATCGCGGTCTTACTCTTGCTCTTGCTTTTGCTAACAACTCAATCGAAATATCCAGAGGCTCCGCCCATGGCACTCCATCCCCGAAGCGCGTTCCGAATACACAGCCGATCACGACCAGTCGCTGCGCTTTCGCTCCTCCAATTTAACTCCCATCGACTCCTCGGACGATGAACGGGAATTCAGGAAACAAGGTGCACCAGTCCTGGGCGCAGGCCATCCCGACAAGGCCAAGTCGGCGCATGGACACCGGCCCCCAATGCTGCACCTCGGCGCCGAGGGCAACATGGCAAACAACTTGCGCCCTGTCTTGGCCAGCGGCGACAATCTATCACCATGGCTGCAGCCTGGCAGTGTGCAACCCTCACCAATTCCACACCAGCTAGTCAACCAGTTCCTGACTATCAATGGCGTGCCAACCACTACTCCTACGCACGGCTACTTCCCAGCCGACGCCTCGCCTGTCCTAGCTACACCACAGCATCTACATGTGACGGGGGACATGGCAGGTACCAATGTGATTTCCCCAGGGATACCCACTCCGACCAGTGACAATGATGACGCGGTTATGGGTACACCTGAGAATATTGGGGATGCAGACGCGGACGCGGAAATGGGCGACTACTTCCCGCCCAGCTTTACCCAGACTGACTCACCTGCACCCTCGACTGGCTTTTCAGGTGTATACCAGCAAGCGCCGCCTGTCGTTGATAATCATCACACTTCCACGTGCACTGCAGCCCCACGCCGACGATCCCCTCTCGTCATGGGCTACCGTGCAGATTGCAATAAGTGTCGATGCAAGGTACCCGGGCACTATAGCCACATTCGCGCTTGATACTAGAGTGCGGTGTGTGGTGCTATCAGAGGTGTCGATGACTGCTTCTGTATCTGCTTTTTCTCTTTCTTTTCATTATGTACAATACCTTTTTTCGCTGGCGTGATGTCTACCAGGCCATGGGCATATGATTTCCTGGGAATGGCGTTTTTCTTTGTTCTTCCGGGATGATGGGGGTGGGATGGCTTGCGGTTTCTGGAGTTTTGCTTACCAAGGGCTTGTTGTTTTCTTTCATGGTCTGGCTGGGTCAATACTGAGGCCCGAGGGTGCTCGGAGGTAAAATCGAACAATGAATGGCAGGTCCATCGTTCTCCTCGAGTCCTTGGGGTTCGCATGTATTTCAATTATTGAATATGAGTATTATTCAATTCGAGCTTCTGTAATAGGAATTCTACTTTTATAGGTAAATAATTTACGCGACGTATTAACTGTGTTTACCGTTGTTAACTAGTTAAGTGGATATATATCTCTGACTAACCATCAAGCATGGCCCGCGGAGCGCGTCCTTACCCAGCCGCGGAGGGCCAGAAATGAATAGCTCGGTAAGTGTACCGTGGAAAAAAAAGGCACATTTAAATCATTTCAAATGTTAACATCTATCGACATTAAATCGACAATAGGTCAAGGTTGATTAAGAAATCCCAAAAAGAAAAACACAAAAAGAAATGCTCACTGCCAGATTTGAACTAGCGACTTCGTGATTACTAGTCACGCACTCTACCAACTGAGTTAAGCGAGCTAGTATGATTGGTCGGCGATTATTTGGTATAGGAGGTAGGGATATGCGAGTATGTGCACTTTAGACTGCCTCTTCGTTTTTCATTCGTGGGTTAGTGATGTTATGTACCTACTAAAGCTGGGTAGAATATGTATGTATGAGATCGATATCAACGACAGTACATAGTGCGCAAGGCATGGTACTGCTGTGATTACCCCGCCTTCCCTCTTAAATCACTAAGGTTCACCAGATAGATACTGCAACCTCTACAGTGCCATACTCCAGACAGTTTCTTCATTGTTTGTAGTGTAGCCCCGCACACTATCACCTCAAGAGCCCACCGTTATCTCCGCTACATTATTACCGAAGCACGCAAAAGCAAAAGACTTGGGTTAGATCAGGATGCGTGGACCAAGACGCAATAGAAAGATGGTACATAACCTAGCCAGCGATTAGGGATGACTCTTGAGCCTAGAGAAGAACTAGCCTTCCTATACTAAGCTGCAAAGCCTAAATCCACCGTCGAGCAACGGCCAAATCACCCTGACACCAAAGATACCAAACTGCAGCCCCCTGCTTTGTTATAGAGAAGAATACGGACACTCTTGTCTCACGCAGAACCCCAGAGACGATGTTATAACATCAACGAAGATGATGTACCCGAAGCTACTTTGATCATCGCCATCGACGCCTGGCAAGAACAAGAAAGGCCAAAAATAGAAGTGACGTGAAAGTGACGGATAAATTCAACTGCCTCATACTTTCACGCCGAATTAATAGTCTTTCATTGTTTCTAGAAGTTCTAGATTATTCGAAATCAAGTGTGGTTAGGTCTTTGTTCTGTTTCAAAGAAAGGTCAAACGCGGAGTTGGAGACGCCTTTGTCTTGTCTCGGACCTTCACCTTTTTGACCGGCAACATCAAACATTCGACGTTTATCTTCCACACTCACCCCCACAAACATTTTCTGTCTCTCTTCTCGATATTTCCCTCTTCATCTTCCTGACTCACCCTCATCCCAGACCGCCTTTCCACCGCCTTTCTTCAAGACCTTTCCCATCCAATCACCAATATGCAGCGATCCCTGATGAAGCGGCAGAAGAAGCGAAAGGACAAGCCAGTCCAAGCTCAGCTCCCTATCCCGGTAAGTCTGAATCCTCAAAGAGCAGTCTGTTTTTCTGCCTTTTGGAGAGCTTGAAATATTTCCCACGCTCACTTACTCCTCTCCTCTCCGCCATCCTCACACACCTACTTTCCCAGGATCAGGAAACATGATCTGCCACACAACACAGTGCGCTAATCAAAAGTCTAAGGAATACTCTCCCATGGACCTGGACCATAGAGAGTCATGCCATCCGCCTGATCACTTGAAGACCGACGGCGATGCCACTGCTGTCGAAGAGGCTCCTTTCCGTACATTCCCAATCGGAATCTATAACAACGGCTTCATCAAGCCTGAAGATATCGAAGCTTTCGACGACAAATGGGTCTTTGTCGCATGCCCCAAATCCACCTTCAAATGCCCACACTGCATGAACCACGTCTACCATATCGGATGTCTAGTAGTCTCCGTCTGCGGCGTACTCTCAACCACCGGCCACACTCCCCGCTCCTCAATCGGCATCTTCTTCGGCCGCCAGAACAAGAAGAACCTGGCCGTCGAGCTGGACGGTGATAAGCACACTGCGCAGACCGCCGAGCTCAAGGCTTGTCTGGAGGCCCTGACTCGCGTTTTCGTCCTGAATACCAACTGGCAGATCGACCCGCCCAAGAACAACGAGATGACTTACCCGCTCCACTCCCTCGTCATCAAGACCGACTCGGACTATGTCGTCAAGGGCATGACGGAGTGGCTGCCAAAGTGGAAGGAGAATGGTTGGAAGAAGACCAGTGGTCACGCCATTGCGAACGCAGAGCTGTGGCGGATCATTGATGCTATACTCAAGCAGCTGGAGTATGATATGAAGGTCCAGTTCTGGTATGTTCCCCGCGACAAGAACCAGATTGCCTTCAATATGGCCAAGGAAGTCCTCGGCGAGACTTGAATCGGAGGCCACACCCTGTCTTCATGCGCCATTTACCAGCACATGGTTTATGCGCTCGTTATTTGCTCTTTTTTGTCCTTGGGGTATGGGCGGCGTTAATTCGGTATTTTTTCGGGAAGCATTTTGCTTATGGGATGAAGGCGCTGGATCGACGAACCGACGGATCAGCAGAGCAACTCTATCATGTATGCTTATGAGAACTAGCGCAATGAAACTCAAAATCTGGACCCTTTAGCTTACATATTCCCTCGGAAATATTAGACGAGGGACGGTACTTTCGGTGCCGGACCGGCCGATCTGTATGTAGCCTACTTAAGCGATACTATTCAACCAATGACAATCTCGGGAGCACCGCCGCATCGACGTCAACATGAAGAATTAAAGTTAGTCATTTGGAGCCACGCAATCTACACCAGATGACCTTTTACCGTACCAGTAGTAGTAGGCATTCTTATATAAGAGGATGTAAGACTGCAGCTTACTCACGTAGATGACATTACTCTCTCGTACATCCTATCCTACCCAGAGAATTATCACAAGCTCTACTTCAAGATGCAGAAATCAACAAGCACGCGCGGCCCGCTCAGCGCCAAAGATATCGAGTTGGCACGTATGCCATGCTATGTAAAATGCGAATATTTAAACACTGGTACGCGCCACTTGGCTTACATCATGATATTCATCTCCCTCACCCTACACCCCGGACTTATACTGATGGCCTTTCTTCTGCTCAGATGTTTCATTCCCCAGTGAATGTGATCTATGCTTCGAAAACATGGAGGCTGCCTCCATGTTCCGCCAGTTACCGTGTGGCCATATATTCCATAAGCCATGCATAGATTCATGGATTCTCTCGCGTGATGCGAGTTGTCCCTGGTGTAGGAAAACATTTTATGATTTGCGGGGTTTGAAGGTCTCAAGGACTCACATGATGGATTGTGGGAGGATGAGGATGATTCCTCAGAATCATGTGAATAGTACTTGGCATATTCCGCGTTGGATTAAGAAGGGACTTCATGTTGGGTAGACCTTCGTGAGGCTTATATTAATTGATTATACTGGGGGTTTTTTTGGGAGGGATGATTGGTGGGTTATGGTTTGGTTTGTCTCTGAGCATTGTGGGGACTTGAGCCTGTTTACTAGCCATGCTGTTTGAGGGATTATAATATCCTTTCCTTAGTCTGTACCCGGAATTTAGGACCATCTTGAGATGAGGAGGATCATGAGAAAATTATATCATTCTTTTCAGGACAAAGGGTCTGCGTGTCTCTTATGATTGGAATTGATCGACCCGTCGGAAAGTCTCACTTGATATTTGCAGCAATAAAAAAGTACCCAACGGTAGGTTCATGAAGTTCGTTTGGTATCCAAATGAAATTTGGAATCGTATGGCTTATACTCTGTCGCCATAAATGGGGAAGCCCTTTCGTCCAGACTATCCTTCAACAACCGTCAAATCTCTCACTCGACCATACCCACTATACCCAACCCCTCTCAAATTCCACTGCGAATGCTCGCACTCCTGCGAATTAAGTCCTGCATCCGTGGCGCAACTCAAAATCTCCCGTTGTACACCAGGGGGCAACTTAAGGTTCGCCGTCCACAATGCCCAGCTCCACTTCATACTCTTCTCCGAGTCGTTTAATTGCGCATCTACCCACGAGTCACCACCATCTCCGGACACCTGAACACGAGTTACAGGTCCACTCACACCTTGTGGAATAGCATAACCCTTTACTTGAACTGTACCGGTCGAGGATAATGTCACCGTCTCGCCATCAGCTGGAACCGCGATGGCAGAATTGATCGGGATGTCGTACATGGGTGGAGTCTCCTCCCAATACTTCTTCGCAGATTCAGTGTCCACGGCCGCCGGAGGAAGGACTTTGTAATCGCGTTGTTGGTAGATATTGCGTGACTCGTGGTCTTGGATTATGATATGGTCAAGCCATTTTACCCATCGAACACCCACGATACCGGGGAGAACGACGCGAACGGGATACCCGTGATTGCTCTCAAGAGTGGTATCATTTACCTATGATATAGAGACCCGTTAATGATTACCATATCAAACAAGATCAAGCCGGGAAGAGAAAGATCAAGAGTCTCACTTCAAGTGCTAGAATAGCATCCCTTTCAATCTCCAGACACATCCCCAGCGGAACGCTAGCCTCAAACCACTCCTCTTCTTGACACTTTGCCTGATAAGAAGCAAATGCTACATGGAATTCACGAGTTGGATCAGTGACATCCACCCGTAAACCAGCATGGAGAATCACATCTCGAAGACGAGGCCCTTTCCATTTGCAATTCATGATCGCCGCATCGCCCCAGTCAATGCCCTGGACTTCTTTAATGAGCGTGCGCATCGTATGTCGTCTGTTTCCGGCGCATTCAAGTGCGCAGGTTACTTCATGTTGGGTGAATTCGGAACGTAGCTGGTTCACACTGAGTAATAGTGGGTTCTTGACAAGACCGCCGACGCGGATAAAGTGGCCTTCGTTGTTGATGTGGGGGATTGGACCGTGGTTACGGTCGTAGCTAATGTCTTGTGGAGTCAGAAAACTGTAGTCATTTGTTATTCGGGAATCTTCATTATACGATCATAACGTAGTGTGAGTTTGGATATGGTGTGCTGAGCTCTTGAACGTACTGATCCACCAGGACCTTTGCTGAAGGCTCCCGGTTTAGAGGCTGGTCAGAAGATTCGGCTTTCTTGGTGCTCTCTGGACTGGTCATTTTGCATCCTTCCACCCGAAATTATAGCCTTTGGGTATCCGTCCGATGTATGGTCTGCGATCGTACATGATTGACCATATGCACAATGTCTTTATTCATGACGTCATCGGACGATACAATATGTAATCCTGGACGATGAGGGGAACAGTATAGCTCCTTATCCGTTATCGCCGAAGAGCAACGCTTTAAGTGAGCAAGAATTTTATTCCACGGCAATTTAAACTTCTTGATTTTGACCTCGGGGATCTCTGGTTCACTCATGGACCCCTACTGGGAGCTTGAGCATCTGTGCATCAGGTTTTGAAAATCGACATTATCCCAATTTTATGGTTACATGCAGCTCATGCCAGGACCATATACAACAGAATTGATACAGAGAGTCCATGTTTCCATCTTGGAAACCGCACACAGTATTCTGCTGCTGTGAGCAATCCAAATTGTAGCTTTTCGATGTCTATAGGTGACTGATCACCCTGGAGTTTCCAATTAGCAATGAATCCCCCCCACTGATCAACATCCTCCTGCCTGGGATCTGCATACTGTATATTCTCCATGGAGATATAAATTTCTAGATTATGGTTATCTTCCACTGCCAGTATAATTCTTAATTCCGACCACTTCGGCTTGAGTCCCGAAGACCCGATCCGAAGATCACATAAGCAGCCGAGTCGGCTCGCAGTGGGGGAATCGACGGGAGATGCAAACTGGTTGTATATTGTTTCTTTCTAGAAACATAGAGTTGAAATCATAGATGATTTGTATATGGTATTCATATTCTATCGGTATATCAGTGTTAAAAAAAGAGTTTGATCTAGTGACCCATGGAGTTGCGTTGCCTCTTTCATCTTCTTGCGGGAGAGCCCTTAACCGAGATTTCGTGCCGGGCCCGCTGGACGTCCAACGACGGGAGTGGCCAACTCTGTCTACTTCCGAAACCCGGGGTTGCTCCCGGCATTTCCCTTAAGATCCGCTTGCCGCGGAGAGGATGGCTTGGGGAATTTTTGGTTGCTTGAATTGCTTTTAGTCTTTTTGATTCTTTCTTTCTTCATTCTCTTTCATCCTCACGGTCATTGTGTATAGTGTACAGAACGAGTCCAATTCTACCCCTCGGACACACGACAGCATCGCAATTGCACTCGCGACCAGTCACCGAGAATCCACCGAGTAAATCAGCTAGCTCGGCGATATCTACACACTTCACCGAACTTCAACAAATCCACTCGCAGTCATGGCCTCACCAATCCCCCGTGGCCTCAAGCAGGTGCTCCAGAAGACCCCCAACGACATTGTCATTCTGTCCTCCCTGCGTACCCCCGTCACCCGTGCTAAGAAGGGTGGCTTCAAGGATGCCTACCCCGAAGAGCTGCTCTCCCATGTTCTCCGCGCCACATTGAAGGCCAACCCCAACCTCGACCCTGCCATGATCGAAGAGGTCACCATCGGCTCCGTATTGCAGGAGCTCGGTGGCGCCAAGGCCGGCCGCATGGCCCAGATCCACGCCGGTTTCCCTCACTCGGTGCCTTTCAACACTATCAACCGCCAGTGCTCGTCCGGTCTGGCCGCCATCACGGCTGTTTCCTACGGCATCCGCGCCGGTGCCATCAACGTCGGTGTCGGTGGTGGTATGGAGTCTATGACTCGCAACTACGGCTCCCGCGCCATCCCCACCGTCCTCTGGCCTGAGCTGAAGGACTCCCCCTCTAAGGATGCCCGGGACTGCATCATGCCTATGGGTATTACCTCTGAGAACGTCGCCTCGCGCTACGGTATCTCCCGCGCGGACCAGGACGCTTTTGCCGCTGCCTCGCACCACAAGGCCTCCGCCGCACAGAAGGCCGGCCGCTTCGACAGTGAGATCGTCCCCGTCACGACAAAGTCCTACTCCGCCGAGAACCCCGACGCTGCCCCCGAGGAGATCACCGTCTCCCAGGACGACGGTATCCGCCATAACATCTCCGTTGAGAAGATGGCCTCCCTCAAGCCCGCCTTCGCCGCTGACGGCGCCAGCACCGCCGGTAACAGTTCCCAGGTCAGCGACGGTGCCGCCGCCGCTCTGCTGATGCGCCGCTCTACCGCCGAGGAGCTTGGTCTGTCCGGCTCTATCAAGGCTCGTTGGGTCGCCACCGCCGTGGCTGGCTGTGCCCCCGATGAGATGGGTGTTGGTCCTGCCGTTGCTATCCCTAAGTTGCTCGCCAACACCGGTCTGAGTGTCGCCGATGTCGGTGTTTGGGAGATCAACGAGGCTTTCGCTTCCCAGGCTTTGTACAGTATCCGCAAGGTGGGCATTGACGAGGCCAAGGTTAACCCTAACGGCGGTGCTATTGCTATCGGTCACCCTCTCGGTGCTACCGGTGCCCGCCAGCTGGCTGATCTGCTGCCCGAGTTGGAGCGCAGTGGCCAGGATATTGGTGTGGTTAGCATGTGCATTGGTACCGGTATGGGTATGGCTGGTATGTTTGTTCGCGAGTAAAAAAAAGGCCTTTTTCGACGCTGGGGCTTTCTCCTTAATTGTTGTGTTTTTACTTTATGTTATACTATGATATGAGCGATGCATGTGTATATACATTTCGCGTACAATGATTCATTTTCAACTTCACTCCTTCCTTCAGTAGTGTCCGGGTGTTTTGTAATTGAAAGTAATATTCTTTATCTCAAAACTAAAGATCATCCCTATCCTAGTTGCCATGACCATTATCTACCAGGTCGAATAGCAAATCCTATACTCTTGATAATCTATTCGCAAGTCAATCAACAACATTAGTTCCGTAATTACTGGACACAGGCTCCATAATTATTTTGCGTTGGTAGGCTTAGATGGGCCTCTTATATCTCAGTCTCGATAAATGTGTTAAGTATCAGTCCTGGAATTCTCTTGAATGTGTGCCTACGCCAAAATGGATTCTGATATCACAAAGTATTGACCTAAGTGAGTCAATATACCACTGTCAGCTTATTATCACCTCATTAAAATCTTATACCCTCTTTATTATCACCTCACTCTTAAACATACATACTCTCACCTCTCTCTCCAAACTCCTAGGGAGACCTACCCCTTTGATACTAAACTTACTACGTTCCGCTTTATGCTCTATATGCTCAATTCTAGGTTTTCCTTACTCCTTTCTCAATTTGTTGGATTGCACGCCTAGCCCGCCAGATTTCTTGAAACTGGGCGGTCTCGGTAGTTGGGGTCAGAGAGTCGTCTGCAGGGCCATCGGGGGCAGCCTAGGCATGAAGGAAAGTGCTAGCGCCATAGGCATTGGGCCTGAGGAGGTCGCCTAGGCCCACGCAATCACGGAAAGGCTCTTAAATACAGGATCTACGATTGCTGTACAATGACTCGAACCTAAAGATATAGGGCCTGACGTTGCCCCTTCACTTTGCGGCAACGATGTTGCCGCAGAATTCGGCTCGCGGATTGTTTCTTGCCACCAGGAAGTCTCAAGCTTCAGGTGTTAGACGATTTAAAACCGCTGCATAAGACCTCTGTGGATGACACCGGCTCGTTTCTCGCTGCTTTAGGATAGGCCGAGTGCAGTGCGTGGGTGGTTTTGAGCCACATAAGGACGATTCTGAACTCAACACTCTAGGATTTACCACAAGATTGAGTTTGTATGGGAATTACTAAGAACCCAAAGCTCAGCTTTAAGGGATTTGTTGCGTATGGTTTAACGGTGTTTACCATTGGATCTGCGAGATGCCAGTCAATGAGATACGCGTTGATGTCCTCTCGAATCCATATAATGGAGGCGATGAAATGACTCGATTTAAAACAGTTCTTGAAACTCAGGCTCTATCTTGATTCAATTAGATCTATACAAAAGAGTGCCATTTACTCCATTCTTGTTAGTGTTCATATCTTGTATGTTCGCTGCAGAGGATACCCCGACTAAATTGGTTCGAAGGGACCTACCAATAGGCTGTGACTCGTGGATAAAATTATGTATTATTCATAGACTAGGGATCACTTCAGCTAGCCAAATAATATGATAAATTCTTGTTGCCCATGTTTATCGTGAGACGTATAGTAGAAGAGGGTGGGTCACGGGCATGCGTGGGCTCACGTGACCAATATCCAAAGATTTGTCTCGCCGCGCAAAAGTTGCCGTACATTGAAGCCTCAGCAGCACGCACACCACCACAATGCGACCCGCCCTACGTCTCCCCTTCCGGGAGGCATTGTATGTCTGCTCAAACTGCAGACAAGAAGTCGCACCTCGAGGCATCTCCCCCCTCGCCCGCCAATTCCGCCGCTACGCATCCTCCGATTCCCCGTCCTTCCTCGAGCGAACCCGCAGCAAGCTCTGGAACACAGAGAAGCCCCCCGGTGCCGCAGACCCATATACCGGCGAGTCACAACTTGCGCGTGGTGTTGAGCCCGAGCAGGAGCTGGCCAAGGGTGAGACCCATAAATCACAGGTTCTGGCAACGGAGGATTACGAGCAAGCGGAGACCTGGGATGGGCTGCAGGCCATCGGTTATCTTCAGAAGGACAAATGGATTCAGGAGGGGACTCGCAAGGCTGATAAATATGCCCGGTACGTTTTCTCTCAGCGCTGTATCCTAATTCTAGGAGTTAGGCTCTGCCGGAGTCCGCAGTCCCCTGATTAGATCAATAAACTCATCCTAACCCATTGGCATCTCTAGGTACGGCGCCGACGTGAGGTCTCGATCCGTCCTTTACGCTCTTCACCAAACCACAGTGGAACTATGTTTGATGAGCATGCTGGGCAAGCCTCTGACCAGCATCTGCGATGTTCCCCGCCACAACCCCCAAATCCTGCAGATGCTTGACTCTTGCTACGTGGATGCATCCAGCCCTCAGCAATGGAACGGTGCTCTCCGATTCTCAAGCCAGCAGAACATGGAAGCACTTCTCTTCGTGTTTAACCAGATTGGTGGAGAGTCCACAGTCAAGGTTGAGCCGTCGGAAACCCTGGTCACTGACAAGTCTAGCAAGGAGGACACGCACCGCAGTCTGTCCCTCGCCGACCCGGAACTCAAATTTGCCGTACGTTTCACTTCCTCTCGCAATTATGAAGACATTGCACTAACACTCTCCCTCATTCCAGTTCATCAAGCGATTCTCCCAGCTTCTCGGTCGCCGCATCTCCGACAAGGCTATCACCACATCCTGGACCGTTGGTGACATTCTGACCGGAATGGCTACCCCATTGAAGGAGAAGCCTATCCAGGTCACCAAGGTCTTGAGCAAGAAGGCTGCTAGCGGGCAACTCCCGGCCAACGTCAAGTTCAGCCCGAAGCGTCTGAAGAAGAGCCAGATCGACGAGGACCATGGCCGGAAGAAGGCCATTGTCTCCGAGTTCTACCGCAGAGGGTTGAACATTCGTGGCGCCAACAATGCTGGATTCCGCTTTGAAAAGTCATAATGCCGAGGGAGAGATATGACTACGCTATTGGCGAGGATGAAAATTTCAGCCATGAGCGTCTTATCAGTGTAAAGATGTGGAGAAATGGAGCTGGGAAATGGTTCCTTCGTGACCTGTATTATGGGTTGCTTTGTTTTGATAGCAAGACATTATTCGTGTATACTAGAAGCACTTTTTTCAATTGCATTTGTGGATTTACTGTTTGAGCCGTTGATTGAATTCAAAACATTATGAGAGGTATCAAACGACATTGGAAAAGAGAGCTCGAAGAGGAAACTTTGAACGTTTAAGATGAATAAGATTGGATTGTACAGTGCTAGATATAAGCACGCATCGTGGCTATCATGAGATGGCACCAACCGCCAAGGAGAAACCCGAGTAACAACCTGCTCCAAAACTCCAGACAAAAACAGAGTAACACCCTTGAAGATCGAACTACCTCCTCGCCGAAGCCGGAATAGAGAATCCGCGAGTCATAAAATCTGCCTTTGCACCATCCTTCTTATCCTTCGTGAACAAGCTATCAATGTTCTCATTACGACCCGTCGTCTTTCGCTTCTTATTTTTCTCATTCTCCTCATTCAGAACGCGGGCAGTCAGCGAAGCTGTCGCAGAGTTCTTAATACCATTACCGGCGCCGTTTGATTTAGACACCGATGCAGAAGTTGTGGCCGTAGCGGTGGCTCTGGGCGCATCCGTGGAGCTCTCGGTGGGGTGCTTCTTGCGCTTCTTCGAACCGGGGGCTTTCTTGAGGGAATGTGTAAGGCCTTGCTCAGCCAATTTGGCGCCGCGGGCCATAAGGCGCTCTTTGTCGGCTTCTTTTGTGGGGAGAATGGGAATGATATTGTCTTCGGTGTAGGACTCGTTGCACTAAAGAACATGTTAGATACTTTGATACATGTTACGTTCGTTGAGGTAGATAAAGATACTCACCTGCAGGCACTTATCCCCCTTGAGCTGCTGGATAGCCTCCTCGGCAAAGACATGCCCGCACGGCACAAGGTAGACAGACTTGACGCTGGGACCCAATGCCTTCGCAGTGATCGGGCAGATCCAACCCTCACGGCGCTTATGACGGTGCGCATTGGCACGGTCTGACGGATGCTCACTCAACTCGGTGTCGATTTCAAAATGCAACTCGACAACATCACGAAGACCTTTCACCCGTCCACATAGAACCTCCTCGCAATCGGACTTGGAGCTGATGCCCTCGCCGTCGTCGCCGGGGAGTAGGAATTGTAGCACGGCATCTTTATTGTATAGGTTTCCAACACTATCTGAAACTACCGGCCGTGCTAGTGCCTTGTGTGAGAGCGGGCATGTTGTCCAGCTATGCTCTTGCTGTTCGCGCTGGGTCTCTTTGATTTGCGCTGTGGTGGGCGCGCGGGCGGCTTCCCGAACGAGCTCGCGGCGGGTTGGAATACTGTAGTTCGAGACTGAGTTAGTTTGAAGAGTGATAGGGCCAGAGAAGAGAGGTAAAAAACTCACCTTCCACCGTCATTACCCATATTGGCTGCTGAGTTTGACGATGTTGTCGCAGATGATCAGATTATTGCCACCACCGCTGATAAAGACCTGGGCAAAGATAAAGCGCTGACTCAGCGTCCGATTAGATCCCGCATATCAACAGCTGGCCGGAAGCTCTCTCCACACTCCCCAGCTCAATGCCTCAATCATGAGACTCCCTCAGTCGCTTTTTCTGCTGGCTGTGGCCGGGTCTGGTGCCCGAGCTAGCAGCGACAAAACTGCTCGTCCTCGGGGTGTAGCCCCAGAATGTGAGTGACTATTAGTCCCTGATGATTATCCCCACCCCCGGACGACGAGGTGTCCACAGCTGGCGGACAATCAATTGGGTGGCATATCACCATTTTCTTCTTAAAATTGATAGTCTTTCATGTGCTAACTATGAGGCTCGAAAGTTGCCAAGTACTACCAGGATTCAAATACGTTCACTTGTATCTCGAATCCCTCCGTCCAGATTCCCTTCTCCGCCGTCAACGATGACTTTTGCGATTGTCCCGATGGCAGTGACGAGCCCGGCACTTCAGCTTGCTCGCACCTCTCACGTAACTCTCCATTGGGAGTTGCGGATCGGCTAGGAAAAGGCGAAGATGAAATTGGGGCTGTGTTGCCTGGATTTTACTGTAAAAACAAGGGCCACCGACCATCATTCGTACCTTTCCAACGTGTTAACGACGGAATCTGCGATTACGAACAATGCTGTGACGGAAGTGACGAATGGGCCCGTGTTGGTGGTGCCAAGTGCGAGGACCGCTGCAAGGAAATTGGCAAGCAGTGGCGGAAACAGGAAGAGCAGCACCAAAAGTCCATGACTGCTGCGCTGAAGAAGAAGAAGGCTCTGCTTGTGGATGCTGGGCGTCAGCAGCAGGAGATTGAGGATCATGTCATCCGCTTGGAAGCCGAGATTAAGGGTGCGGAGGTTAAGGTGGAGGCTCTCGAGGTTGAACTCAAAGCTGTCGAGGATGCGGAGCGCAAGATTGTCCGGACCAGTGGCAAGGGTAAGGGTAAGGTCAATGCTCTGGCAGGTATTGCAAAGGCTCGAGTTGATGAGCTGCGCGATGCGCTGCTGGAGGTCCGTCAACAGAGAGACGAGACTCAATCGCGGTTGAAGGAGCTCGAGGAGATCCTGACCAAGTTCAAGATTGAGTACAATCCTAACTTCAACGATGAGGGTGTCAAGCGCGCTGTGCGCAGCTGGGAGGACTATGCCGCCCGTGAAGTGACCGAGAGCACCAATCAAGCGCGGGATCGTGATTTGGATGAGATTGCCAAGGCTGATGGCGAGGACTCTGGGATTCATTGGGAGCACTGGGAGAAGGAAGAGGATGGCTGCAATGATACCGACTTGGGTAAGGTTCAAATGTGTATCCTGGGATTGAGGGTGTATGGAACTAACAAAAGTACAGTTTACAAGCTTGCAGCCTATCTTCCCCCGTCTCTTGTCGAGTTCATTGAAGACAAGGTCGTTTCCTTGCGATCCTTCCTGGAGTCTAGCGGCATCCTGGCTAAACGCGATGGGGACTCTCCATCCGAATCCAAGGCCGTGATTCAGGCTCGCGACGCTCTCAAGTCCCAGGAAGACACACTGCGAGACCTGAAGAATAAGCTCCGCGATCAACGGGCCGATCTCGAAACGGAATATGGCCCCGCTGGCATTTTCCGTGCCCTCAAGGGCCAGTGCATTTCCAGGGACGCGGGCGAGTACACCTACGAGCACTGTTTCCTGGAGGGTACCAAGCAGATTTCCAAGAAGGGCGGCTCTTCTACCTCCATGGGCAAGTTCACTCGGATTAGCTCTACTGTCGTTGAAGAGCTGAACGACGCCGGCGAGATCGTCTCCGTCGAGAAGATTGCCATCGAGTATGACCGCGGCCAGCACTGCTGGAACGGACCTAATCGGTCTACCAAGGTCGTTTTGGAGTGCGGTGAGGAGAACGAGATTTTGAAGACGGCTGAGGATGAAAAGTGTGTCTACTCGATGCTTGTGACCACCCCAGCTGTTTGTGCTGGTGGCGAAGAGGATGGTACTCCTCGCTCGAAGGATGAGCTGTAACGTTTTGATTCTGATATAAGATGTGGGCTTCTACCCAGGCCTGCTGTTTGATATTCTTTGTTCAGTTTTCACATCCTCCGTACCGGGAGTGTTTATCATCATACATCTAGAGGTTTTCTCAAGTAAATTAAAGCGAACTGTTTTCTCATTCAAATTGCTTCCAGCTACCTCCGTTATAGATCGTAGCTTCCACCCCGTGCTGCCTACCTACCGTTCATAGACAACATCCATACTCGAGATCTACAGACTACAAAAATAGAAACGACTTATGTATGAAAAAGGCAATGCATATTGAGAATAAATATACTCGCAAGACACAAAGCCCAAAAACACAGACACAAATTCGGACACAGCAATAACTAGCGACTGAAACCCTACCCCATCTTCAAGACCCCAACAATCCCATCAGATGGTGCAAACAGGGAGACATCTCGATGGCGATGACTCAACACACACACTTGAAAGAGCAGATTCCCAATTCCGAAGCTATCTTAATTCGATAGCAGCGGGATACCGGGCCTGGTATGTGTTGTCGTGTTGGAGGAGGGTGGCGGCGGCGATGGTGTATGAGCTGGCTTAGTGCTGGTAGAAATAAATCAGAACAGTTCAAGACAAGACAAGACTTCAAGATAGGCCTTGGCGTTAGCCCTAGATAGATAGGGAGATACATACACCGCAGGTGGAGCAAGAGCAGCCATTGCAGTCGTTGCTGCAGGAGCAAGAGGAGCAGGAGCAGGGAGACATGGTGATATTTGTTTGTTGGTGATGGGATAAGACCACGAAAGAGTTTGTTGGAATGATTCTGAGATTCGAGATTTGGTAGCTTGGTGTTCTATTGACAAGATCCAGGAGGAACAGGGCTGGTTTTATACTTGAAGGGCAAGGGCATTTCCACATCTCCCCACGAGCCTCTCTTTCCCCTCTTCTGGCTTTCTACTTGACGTATGGAGCGTGCAGTATACAACAAACCAACCAACAATAATATTCCCATTATTTCTTTTTCTTTTCCTGGTTCCCATTTCCTGATCCAGTATATCTTGCCATCATATTATTCGACCATCTCTAATACCCCATCCTATCAGCATACCCGCCCCCCCCATTAGCATCGCGTGGTCGAGTCAAATGCCACCCCAAGCCCCCATGCAACTATACGCTCTTGCCCCTCCCAGCTCCGAGTATCTCCACTCTGCTGTTCCTCACGCGCTACCCGCCCCAGCCAACAGCGTGTGCTCTGACGCTCTGCCTAGTAGACGGATTTCTTTTGCTGTGATCTGGGCCAATATGTGAGGGTCTGGGTATGTGCGGCATGCCCGGGCCCTGGTAGGTGGGGTTTCGCAGTACTGTACCCCGATCTGTTTTCTTGCGGATTTCGGGCTGGGATTAATGCGGATCTACGCGACTGGCGATACTCGGATGGGCATAGGTAAGGATTATGTGGATGGCGATGTGGGCGTTTGTGGCAGGTTCGTTTGGACTGGCTTATGAAGGAACTTACTAGGGGAGTGTAGCTCTATGTCCCTGATCGGAGAACAGAGTAGTAGTATTCGATCTCTGACTATCCTCTATTAAGCAGCAGGAGTCTATCGGCGGCCCGGTGCTGTTAGGCATACTCGTAAGGCGTGGGTCCGCTCCATGCGTTATTTAAGAGCCTGGATGGAGCTTACCCGGGCGAGATATTGGGCAGTCACCCTGACACCCAGGCTAACTCCCGGTCTTACGATTATGGAGCTACTCTCTTCTCTCAGCTTCCGTCTCGGGGTTTCTTTTTCTGGCTGGACCGTGAAGAGAAGTTATCACGATGTGCAGCCTCGAGTACGAAGACGAGCATGCGTAGACAAACACCGTACCATTACTCCTTCTCGCCTCAAACATAGCCGATCATCACGGAGTACTAGTCATGTCACAGTGACAAGAACCGCCCTTCGCGAGCTCTGTGTCGATCCACCTATTCTTCGTACAGTCGTTCACCAGATCCACTCTTCGGAAACGGGTCTGCATTACCTCATGGGTACAGTCATACATGTAGCTTGCCAGGCAACCGGGGAAAAGGGTATTCCAGAAGGGAATTATTTTCGGCGCCAGGAGCGGTGCAGAGCCTGTCGGGGACTCGAGGCAGCCTATGAGGGTGCGGGTGTTTGGGGCAGGATTGAGGACCTTGGAGGAGGGGCGGTGCGAGGGCTTATTGGTAGGTTAGGGCTGGGGAGTCCTGGATACTGAGGTGCATGGTTTTCCTTTACGCTGGGGTGGAGTCGAGGTATTCATTTATGTGTTTGCTATGTGTTTGATTGTTTGTTAAGCGTGTAGGTGAATTACTTCTTGATGGAGGGAGTATATCAAAGCTGGATATTGCTGAGGAACGGAAGAGGAGAGCAGGTAGGTATTACGGGATCAGATTCATAGCTTTAACTAGGTACACGCTACAATGTACATAGCAAGGTATCCGGTTTGCAGAGTACTGTACCTAATTGAGATCTGATAACCAAACTTGCAAGATGACCGCGTTCACCGGAAACCTAGTGCGCTTGCAACCCGTTCATACAGGCCCAAGATCCATCAAAGTCAGGCATTTTGACCCACACAGAATAAATCTCCACCTCTTTACTCTACATCCTACACCGTCTCGTACGCAGTCGAAGAATTTACTTCTACAAAACCGGGCAGGCTGCCCAACTGAGTACTGTATCTGGGCCAAAGTGGACTCGAGCTGCATGATAGCTCGAAGCTACCGGAGCATATCATACCCTGTCTGTGCCACGGACCCTCCCGATATGCACGTCGAAAGGTTATAATTGGTGGATGGGTGATCAGATTCCTCGGCGCCCAGGCTATTAGCTCCGATGCGTTGTTGGCCTGAGAAAGACAGTTCGGATTGCATCGCTTGCTGGGTAAGGGTAGGGAGAGTGTGTAGGGCTGTCGTAGGTATAGGTACTGGTAGCATATGAGCATAGTTAAGGATGGATGTTAGATACTGAATACTGGGAAGGGTGGTTAGAAAGCCAGTAAGATCAAAGCCGAGGTATAGTTTGTTGCGAAGACGAGCTCAAGGTCTAATGTGTAGAGGGTACGTTTGGGAGGCAGTAGCTATACCCAGGTCATGGAATTCGGCGAGTAGTTCGATGTTCATGGGATTGATGGTATGGAAGACGAGACCATGGAGCATAATCTCGGTTTTCGATTTACTACAAGTAGTCCGTCTCCTCTAATGTCTCTTGTGACTTCTAATACGGTTATTCTCAGGATGCAAGCTTCTCCGGGAACAAGTCTGCTCACACATCTCATCTACTATACCTTACACATACTGGATGATATCCAAGAAAAAAGAGATAGGATCTTTATTCCATTCTCGCCTTTTCCTTCCGATATTTTCCCGGTTTTTTATCATGAACCACTGAGAAAAGATCACAAGTAGTTACCGCTCTTATATGTCAAGATCAGTGTATCACCCGGGTACAATCTCCAGCTATGAACAAGGGTCGCCTGTCTATCCATGCAATACCGTCGTGGCAGACTCTGTCTCGATCCCCGATGCCAATGATAACACCCCCGTCTCTCTACTACTGCACTCGGGTTAAGCTCGTGCCACCCCGCCGAGTCTACCGACCCAAAGATCGGGTCAAATGTCCACAAGGTACCTAGGAAATCAGGAATAAAAGTATCTCAGCAACCGCCGATCGTCAAGATTGACCTCAGTCGATCAAAATCAACTCGATTCTGAATTTCTCTCTAGTTTGCAAGCTTGCACTAAAGCAACAGCACAAAAAAGAAAGCCATGAAACGGAAGCCTCGGCATCCGATTCAGCTGATCGTCACATCATCCAGCCCGCATATCCCCCGCGCTGCATCTCGGTCGAAAAGAAGAAAGGAAATTCAGCGAAAGCGATTTGCGATATTTCCCACTGGTAACTCTGCAAGCAGCAAGCACCGTTGGATAGGTAGAAGTGTGTTGATTTACTTCTGTACCCGGGAACGGAAAAGCGGGGGAGGGTTCGTTAGCCAACTGGGTGATTTGATAACGAGGTGCGATAAAGAGGGGGATGGAGGAGGTTACTTACGGGGCACTGGCAAGCGCCGGCAGGGCACTGGCACGAAGCACCGCAGCTGCAAGTGTGGTCGGGACCTGATGTGGTACTCGTCAGCGATACTGGAGGCTGAATGGAACTTGAGACTCGGGAATACGAGGAGGGTTGTGAACATTGAAACCCCGCCATGAACCCCGCCATGAGCCATAGCCCATAGGCTATGCTGGGATCGGGTAAAGAGGGTGCAGGGTGCTGGGTGCTGCCTGTGAAGGGCAAGATGTAGTAGGTTAGATGTGAGGGTTTACGTACCCATTTTGATGGAGAGTGGTTCTTTTTGAGAAAAAGAGCTGAGAGAGCTTGTGGTTGGTAGTGTGAGTGGTGGGAGTTGTGGAGGGAGGAAGTTTGGAGTGGTGTGATGATGGTGGGGTGGGAATCATTTTTGGGCCCGACTGCTCTTATAGACGGCGGGCCGCCCGTGACTTCCCGGGTTTCAAGGTTGAGGTCCCCTACAGTAACTAGGCTGTGACCTCCCTAGTGACTATGAGAGCCATTGAGAGGGGCGGAATGTCGCAACTACGAGCACATTTGCGCACTTGTTACCCCGCCTGAGCACATATCCTGACGCACGATTACTAACTAACAGAGCTTGTACAACACAATTGACAGCATCACCAAAGTCAGTTTGAAAGGCTCTAATTTATACAGGATATTACTGCCAGCACAATCGCCGGTATCATTGGAGCTGATTACCTATCCGACAACAGTTATACTCGCCGGGATGACCACTTCGATTACTTGCCTTTGTGGAGAGACAAGGTTGTCCATCCAGCTGGACCCTACCACCGACCACACTCAGCTCCAGCTATGTCATTGCAACAGCTGTCGCGCTGCGACAGGCCTGCTCTGTACCTCATATTACCTCATGCAGCATAAGCCGCCTGCCTTGGAAACTCTCCAAGAGTACCAGGAATCCCCTCATGTGAGCCGCTTCTTCTGTCGGACCTGTGGTGCTCATGTCTTCGCCCAGTCCAAGCCCAGTGGCCGATATTTTGTAGCCTCTGGGGTATTGGTAGCAGAAGATACACCTGCAGTTCACTCCATCCAGCATTGGAAGGTTGGTGACACAGGAGATGGTGGGTTGAGTGTATATCTCCTCGGATGGCCTGCTACCGACATAAGCTGCAGATTGCAGGCACCATCAGGACCTCCCGAATTGTCTGAAACAGGAGGTGATGCAATGCAAAAGACACCACTAGAATCTTCGGATAGTCTGCAGGGTCAGAACAAGCTGCAGGCACGATGCCACTGTGGAGGGATTGACTTCTTCATCACACCCCCAGATGCATCTTCCACTCAGGCCTGGTCACAGTGGAGTGATCTCTTGATGCCCTACAACTCAGGATATGCTGATCTGGACAACGATGCCGATGTCAAATGGTTCCTGCGCAAGGGAAACACCAAATATCTGGCGGGAACCTGTGCTTGTGCTTCCTGTCGATTACACAGTGGTTTTCCCATTCAAGTCTGGGCCTTCATCCCTAAATCAAACATCGTCAATGCGGATGGATCCTCTCTCACATTTGGCCATGGCACGATGAGACAATATAAGAGCTCACCAGGGGTCTATCGGGAATTCTGTGACCATTGTGGTGCGACAGTTTTCTGGCATAATGATGGACGGCCAACCGTGATCGATGTAAGTGCTGGGTTAATTCGGGGGAGACATGCACGATCAGAAGACTTGTTGGATTGGGCTACTGGGCGTGTCAGTTTTGCAGAAATGGCGGTACAGAAAGATTTGGTGAAGCTGTTGGAAGAGGGCCTACAACAGTATGCAAAGCAGCATTAAATGATGTAAATCCATTGAGAACCTCGTGGAAAGACATAAGTAGTATCAGTCACAGATCAGGGAATCAGAAGCCAATCAGCATGGCGAAATGTTTGCCCGCCTTTGGGTCGTGTGGATTCTGCCGTTCGCTCTTTCTTTTTTCGAAGTTGGGAAACTTCATCCCAGTTCAACCTCGACTACCTCCTTCCCATTGCTGCACTCAGTGCTCCTGTTTTGAGTTGATTGCTGGTTAGTACCCGCCCTATTCGGCGTAATATATATACACACCTTATTGGACCCTGTTCTGCATATCAGAGTGTCTCGCCATTGTTGCGTTCGTCGCGTCTCCGACATCTCAGCCTTGACTGTGCGCGTTCAGCAATGCCTCCGCCATTCCAGTTTCGCGGGAGTGGTCCTCCCAGAGGCCCTCGCAGTCAATACTCCAAGCCTGAATTCACATTTCGTCCCCCGCCCCGTCCGACATCAGAGCGCCCATTGCTAAGAGGCATGAGGGAGCCCACGCCCGAGCTGCTGTTCCCTGAAACAGGACCCAAGCCCGCTCCGAAGTTCGCATCGATCAACGACCTTAGCGACAGCGAAGAAGCCGAAATGGATCTCTCTGACGATGGCGAGTCTGATTCCGAGGCACGTCCACGGAAGAAGCGCGTTGTGGCTTTGGATGGGAATGTCGACGCCGCTCAGCCCATCCTCGCAGCTATTCCCGCACCCGCTCCTCCTCCGCCCAAGTGGTCCAACCCTGACCCCTACACTGCGCTTCCCCCGCCAGATGACAGTCAGCACAAGCGCGTCGACTTTGTGAAATTGATTAGGAAAGCACGGCTGGCCGCCGTCCAGCCGAAGGCGAACGATGCCGTGGTTGACAATGTGGACTTTATCTCGCTCGGCGCGATCGGTGACGATGCAGGCGCGCCCGTCAAGCAGGAGAATCAACCGCCTATGAATGCACCCAAGGGACCGAAGGGGATGGAAATCAAGCAATCGGCTGTCGCGTCTCGCAAGCGGACTCGAGATGACCAGCCCAAGCCATTGACTACAAAGACTGGAAAGCCATTGAGACGGTTCAAGATGGACGCATCGATTCTCGATGATTGGATGCCTCTGAGAGACCAGGATCCCACACCGTGGATGGATACAGTCACTCCGTTGGACACTACGACCAGGTACGCTCACACCCCCACCATGACTGGTAGTCGTCACGCTCACTCACATTTTACCCAGACTCCACAACGAGGTACTTTCTTTCTACAATTGGGTCAAGCCATGTCAATTCGAGCAGATTGTCCGCCAGGATATCGTGGATCGGCTCGAAAGAGCATTCCAGAAGCGTTACTCGGGTATTCAAATCCAGCCGTTCGGATCCTTTGCATCCGGTTTGTATCTTCCCACAGCCGATATCGATCTCGTCCTCCTCTCTACGTCTTTTGTGAAGACCGGTATCCGGGCATTTGGAGAAAGAAAGGGTCAGATTTATGCGTTTGCTGGTTTCGTCAGGACTTCGGGCCTTGCTGTGGATGGCACGGTGGAGGCCATCGCAGGTGCGCGAGTGCCAATTCTGAAATGGGTCGATAAGCTGACTGGCCTGCGCATTGATCTATCCTTTGACAATGACAGTGGTGTGCTTGCCAACAAAACTTTCCAAGAATGGAAGCAACAGTACCCTGCGATGCCTGTCGTCGTTTCGGTCATTAAGCAGTTCCTGCTTCTTCGAGGGTTGAATGAAGTTCCGACTGGTGGTCTCGGTGGGTTCTCCATCACTTGTATCGTGACAAGCCTTCTTCAGCACATGCCAAGAAACCAGGAGCGCAATATTGGTAGTCTCTTGCTCGACTTCTTCCATTTCTATGGCAGGGCCTTTAATTTTGAGAAAACTGGCATTCGCATGAATCCTCCGGGGTACTACAACAAGGTAAGCCCGCCCATGACGCAAGTAGAGTGATTCATCTGCTTATGAAATTCTCTTGTACAGGTCTTCGAGAACAGGGATCGTCTGACGATTGAGGATCCGAACAATTCCTCGAACGATATCTCCGGCGGTACCAAAGAGATTGGCCTGATCTTCAGATCATTCCGCCACGCATATTGGGCTCTTAGGGACCGAATCGACTGGATCAATGATCGCGGCAGCCGGAATGCCAGTATCCTGGAAGCCATCATTGCAGCCAATTACGACGAGTACCTTGACCAACGGGACCAGCTTCGCCATGTTTTCGACACGGCTCCCCAATTCGCGCGGTATCGACAGTCTCCACCACCGCCGCCACCTCTTCCTGTCGGCGAGTCCCCCCTCCGCCTCCTCCCACCGGACCTCGAAACATGCGTCCCGGACCAGGCATGCGAGCCTAAGCCTGACTCCTCGACTTGTTGCACCGCTGTGCCGTAGTCTTGACGACCTCGACGAGTTCCCTTGCATTTTTTATGCCCTTCTTACACTCGGTTATGCGTTCGATACCCCCTCTTAGTTTTTCGATGGAGCCAGGAGATGGAGAAATGGCATTTACATTTGATGGTGTTTGGCGGGCGGATTCTTCCTTTCAGCGTGTGGCCTTGACGTTTTCCACGGCAAGGTCTGTCTGCGTTTTTTTTGTTTGTCCCCTCTCCCTTGCGAATGGGGACATGAGTATCCAATTCCTTTGAATGAGGGACTGTACTACTTACATCTAGGAAATGAATTAGCGTCGCCATGAACTTTTAGTTTCGGGTTGACTTGTCATATGACATGTGCGGTATCCGCGCCTGTTAAGACTGGTCATTCAGACGAGAATTGACGACTCTTTACATTGATATCACGGACCGAATTGAATCTATCTTTTCTGTCTGTCTTCCTGAGTACAGCTCGAGGAGAAAGACATGGATAAGGTATTTAACTGTCTTGATCTTGTTTTAGTGACTCCAATGGAAACTTGGCCCGGCATATGTGGGATCCGTCCTCCGCGGCGACCTGCGCTGGCTTTAAATGCTGCTTTCTTGCTCCCTCCCACCTTCCCCCTTCCCTCCTTTCTCATCAAGAAAGTGCTATATGCGATTTCTTGGAGAGGATGTGGGGCTTTGGGGTTTGTTGGTGCTCTTGGCGGATGGGGAAAGTGCGACTGGGGAGGTCATCGAGTATTGGGATTGAAATGGTAATTTTGTACTAACTTGACATAACCTGAGGTGGATGGAATTTCAGGGTGGGAAGGGAACCTTAGCTTACGATCATCATAATAACCGTTCGTTTTTATTATATGTGATCCCGATACTATTCAGGAAATCCATGTATCCACGCAAGAACCGGGCAATTCGAGTTATATCTTGCATAGCTCTGCAACAAAACACCAAGTCAAAAACAAGAACATATTCTACACCCCCAAGCCACAAACCACCGTATCTACATCCTACGCCAACTGTGCATCCGCATCTAGCGGCGGCGTCAACATGCGCTCATCCCGAACAAACTCTGCAGGCGAAGCTAGCATCTTGCCCGCGGCTTCTTCATCCTCGAAAACCCTCATTCCAGCGAGATGTTCGTCTGAGAGGGTATTCTTGAAATCTGGTGGTGGACTGGCCCAGACATAATCTACCCATTCCGCACCAAGGACGTCACGGACTTCCTTGGCGAGGTGCAGAATTTTCGTGCGGCGGGTATGAGACCATGCGCGATCTGTGATGAGACCTTCGGAGGGGGTGAGGATTGCAGATGGAGCGATAGCGCCGTCGGTCTGAGGCTTATCCACATCCGCTGTACTCGGACCAGTTTCCAACAAGTGATTCTCAACATCGAACTCGGATTCCTCATCATCCTCGTCCCAACTCTCCAGTCCATCCAAGATACTATGCCAAACGCGCAACGTCTCGTCCAACTCAGCAATATTACTAACACCCATCACACTAACACCAAGTCTCCGCCCCGTACCCATATTAGCAACAGACAAAAAGCCCGGATCCGCATCCGCGGACCGAGCAAGCGGTGCACCAAGGGCCCCCGCCTTCGCGCCAGCGCGTAGCCAGGACTCGAGCGCGAACCGAATCGCAACGACCTCGAGTTTCTCGCCGCTTTGTGCGGTGCGGTTCGCAGCGGCGTGGATGGCGGTGCGTAAACCGTCTGGCGCGGGGTGGAAATCGCCCATTGATCCGATGGGGACACCGTCTCGACGGAGAAGACCCATTCCCAGTGGGGAGGCATTGGGTACGACGTCTACGCCTGCAGCGAGGAGTCGCGGTAGTGCTAGCGAGCGCAGCCGGGTATTTTGCAAGGTGTAGTTTGCGTAGGACATGACGATGTCTAGTGGTTCGCCGGTTTCCCGGAGAATCATTTCCGCCAGCGAGCTTAGCACGTCAACGGGGTATCCTGAGATACCGACGTATCGGAGAAGACCCTCTTCATCGCGTAGTCGGCGCAATTCCCTTATGGCGACGAGGACTTCTTCCGGTGACACGAATTCCACATCGTGGCAGTATACGACGTCGAGATATGTTGTGTGTAGACGGCGCAGACTGCGGCGCACGCTGTGTCTGATCCAGGTTGGGGAGTAATCGAAGGACTCGCCTGCGATACGCCCGACTTTCGTTAGGAGTCGGTATGACTCGCGGGGGAAATTGGTCTGGACGAAATCGGTGGCTAGGGCGCGGCCAAGGAGTTCTTCGGCGGGGCCGTAGTAGGGGGATGTATCGAAGGCGCGGACGCCGCGGGAGAGGGCGCGGTGGACTAGTTCGGTTGTTGGGAGGGCGAAGGGGTCTGCGTTGTATTGCGAGTTGAATGTCGCTGTGCCCATTATCAGCGGGGGCAGGTCCGCGGATAGCGGGGTGGAAGGCCGCATGGTTTCTGTCCGGAGAAGTAGGGGGAAGAGGGTAGGTGTGAGTGGTGTCGGATGGTGTATTGAGAGGGAGAAGTTGAGAGATGGAAGGGGAAAGGAGTGATTCTTAAGGGAAAGATCAATTCATCATGGTGGTCGGCGTGGTGGAGGGGCAAGTTTTCTTATTCCCGAGAATCGAATCGAGATCGAAAAGGAGATCGGAATCGAGAAATTGTCCCGGCTCCGCTCCCCGATGGCGCCATGCGGCCGATGATACTCTGGGGCCTGATGAGCCTATCCTAGACATCTCTGGATGAAAAAGGATCGGATGGGTTGAGATTTTGGACGGTGCATCTTCAAATGGTTTATCAAGATGTGTTCCTGCAAGTCATCAGGACTTTTGCTGGATGAAACTGATAGCCAACCGGCGGTGGCAAAAAAAACCAAGTCTGTGCTCGGGCATACGGGGGACTCTGCAGACAATGACATACTGTGTATAGGTAATAGACAGATAAATGTAATCAAATCGGCCATTCAAACATGTGCAAGTATACAGCTATAGTACATGATTTTCCTTTCCGGGTCCAAATCAGAGTGGAGAAGGGGGGTGAGGTTGAGGCAATGGAAACAAGACTCGCAGATGGTATACACAGAGAAGACCCGGAGGTCTGAAAGGGAAAGAGAAGAAATCGCATCGAAAGAGGCGATGACTCCCCATGCCAAAGAGAATGACCCTGGAACCAAGGAGAAATCCTTCACTCTAATGAAATAAGACCTCTTTCCCGCAAGAACCCAAAAACGCCGTGCTATGCCAAATCAAAAAGGACGAGAGGACTGCGGTGTGGTGGTTGTGTGTGCCGCAAAAATTCCACTCAATCGTACACGCAGAGGTTGTCGCCGCGGCGCGAGGAGGGAAAATATGGTTCGATAATGAGGCATATTGGATCGATCGAAGCGATCAAGGTTGTCCGTCACTTCACCGGTCCTTGTAGACCTTGGGATTCCAACCCTCGCGCAATTCCTTGTCCGTAGCCGCCTTCCGCTCTGCCTCGCGAACCTCCATCTCTATGCGCTCGCGTGCTCGCAAGATCTTGCTCTGCAGGTAGAAACTGCCACCCTTCTGGGGATCGTTCAGGTCGAACAACTTCTTGAATCGCTCCATGACATGCTCGAGGCTGGTTTCGCCGCCGGCCGGGGGCTTGACGTTGAGAATCTTGCAGGCCTCGTCGAGGGTCAGACCCGAAGAGGTGAAAGCGCTACCTCCACCCTTCTTCTGCGCAGCATATTTGCCAGAGGCCTGGGCCTGCTTGTAGGCTTCGGCGAAGGCGCGGCCGAAGACCCGGGCTCCGGTAACGACGACTTGGGTGACGATGCGGTGAGCCTGGGGGGAGGGAGAATGGGAATTAGAATTTTGATTTCAGAGGAGAATATGTAGGTAGTCAGAATTGAAGGTTAGGAGAATTCTTACCATGTCGACGGGGGTTGTGGAGGTGTCCAAAGGCGATGATCACAAGGAGGTGGAAAGAGGAAGAAAGGGAAAATTTCGGGCGGCGCGTTTTAGCGTCGGGAGTCGGCGAGTTGCAACTATGCAACTGAGATGCCGAACCCCAACAATATGGTACATATAAGCATGATGACTGGAAATATGTCTATGTTTGATACTGCATATTGGAAGATAATAGTTTTGAGTATTCTTCTCATGGTTTACACATGAGCTGTTTGATGGAAGCCTGCTAAAAGAAAAGGCAAATGTTTGGATGTCTTGACTGTCTACCCCATAGGGAGTTCACAATAGTTGAAGAGTGGTTCATATTGCAAAGTAATAGTAGCAATATATCTTTTATCTTTCTACAAAGAGAAGAAATAACAAGATATATCTTACCAGAGTATAATAAAGTACATCCTTTTGTACTCGGCATCACACCGACGCCTAGGTACTTGACACCGGAGAGTCACATGTCCCCCCCGTTGATCCCCGCAGATCAGCTTTTTAGACCGAGACGAACCTCTCTTCCAGCTCGCTTAAGGCTACTATATAAGAGAATGCAACACCCACCAGCCTCATGAGCTGAATCCGCACCCTATGACGTCGTCATAATTGGATGGCAGCTCTCGGTACGTCCTTCTCTACATTCTCCCTCCCCTTAATTTACTGCCCCAGCGCGTTGCTCATGCTCATGCTCCAACAGAAGATCTCCCGTGGATGTCCATGGCACCCGCATCGCAGCCGCAGGATGGCCAGGCCGACTCCTCCCTACCCCCAACGATCGCTGCCTTCTCTCCTTCAACGATCGCGGGTTCGGCCTCGACGTCGCGGCAGCGTTCCAGCATCATCGTGCATCGCAAATCACCTCTGCTGGTGGCAACGCCGCCAGCCATCACCCGAGCTCTCGCATACTCGCATCCATTCCTTCTCCCTCTGAATAAACTGGTCGGTCTCCTCACATGGACAACGGGGGATCCGTGGCAGAGCTTCTTGCTCGTGGCCACCTTTTGGACGGTGGTTCTGTATAGCGATGCCATTATTCTCTATGCAGGTCCGATACTTGTAGTGGTTGGGTTGATTCTCGGCATGTATGGCCGTCGCTATTCGCCTCTGTCGTCGACTACGTCAACGGGTGAGAAGCATCGGCGGAAAGCTTCGGCCGAGGTTACCCGTCACCAGAAGAGCTTGGACGATATCGTGGAGACCTTGCGCACTTTGACTACGAGGTGCCATATCCTGCTTGAACCCTTGCTCGATTTGACCGATTTCCTATCTACACAGCGGACACCTACCTCAGCGACGACACGCCCAGCCCTCACGGCGCTTTTCATTCGCATTCTTTTGGTCACCCCCGTCTGGATCATACTCACACTTCCTCCATTCTACATAATCACCACCCGGCGCGTTGTCATGTGCGTTGGAACTATCATCCTCACCTACCACTCGAGGCCAGCTCGCGTCTCACGTGTTATCTTATGGCGCTCGCGAGCGGTGCGCCGACTCGTTTCTATAATCACGGGGTTGTCTGTAGCGGATGGCCCGCACACACCCCAGAAGTCTGCGGTCCAAGGTATGGGGTTGAATATCTCAACTCGGCGACGGGGAAATGGATCTGGTGTGCGTTTCACATTTGTTGTGTACGAGAACCAGCGCCGGTGGCTCGGTATTGGGTGGACCTATTCGCTATTCCCAGCCGAGCGCGGTCCCTGGACAGATGAGCACCTCAACACTGTTCTGCCCAAGGACAAGTTTGAGTTACCGGATGTACAAACTGGAGACGCGAAATGGCGCTGGGTTGAGGGTAGTGAATGGCGTGTTGAAGGGGTGATAACTCGGGCAATGGGAAATCCGATTCCAAGGGCCCGAGTGAAGGATGGATCTACTATGACAACAAGGTATGTTTCTCTCTAGTATTGTGACCACAGTATCATTTCTGACCATTTTCAGTGGAACGATGGTCGCCGAGGACAGGACGGATGGGACCGGTACACACGCCGCCGCAAGTGGTATCGTGATGCCGAGCTGGTAGACACCCAGCAAGACGGTCCCTCAGAAGCCGTCTCCAGTCTCACACAAGCCCTAGAAAGAGAAAAAGAACAAGAAAAAGACAAAAAAGACTCCGACCCCGAGACAAACAGTCTCTCCCCCACACACCCCTGAAAGCCCGTCGTCGACGCTGGTTCGGCAGCAAAGACAGCAGCAAAGAAAGCAGCAAAGAGCGCACCAGCAGCGGCGGCTCCATCGACGCCGGCCGCACAACCAGCGCCAATTTTTCCGACGCCACCGGCGGCGCTGGAAGTGGTCGAGGCACGCCCGCGCGACCAGTTAGTATCCAGAATACCCGCCGACAATCGCAGTATAGTGTTCGGGAAGGAAGTATGGCGACGAGTGATAGTGCTAGTACGCGCGAGAAGGAAATGGCGAGTTCGCACGATCGACATGATAAATGGAGTACGAGGGCTGCGGGGGGAACGGAACGTGCTGAGAGGGAAATGGGATTAAGTGATGAAGTACAAATGGCTTTGAGTTGACAATGACCGTTGTTGCGAATTTCGCTGTTACACACATACCATACCCCCTTTTTCAGTGACAGTGTAGTGATACTGTTTGATTCCTTACTTCTCTATCATATTTCGGGATTTATTTCCTTTTAATGTCGTTTTGAGGGGCTACTCGGTGTTCAAATGCCCCAGGGATTAAGGTCAAGGTTGCTGATAGTCAGTCTGTTTTGAATGGAAGGAGGTATCTATTGCCTTTGGAACCAAATATAATACAAGAAAATCTATAAGTATACACTTCGTAAAAGTCGTAAAGGTAGGGGAAAGGAGAGCGCTATGCAAGTGTCAACTCCCACTGCAACTCCTCCAGAATGTCCATCCAGTGCGCTTTTCTAGATAGATCCTGGACAGCGGCATCTTGTCTGGCCCATAGGATACGAAGAATATCCTTAGCACGAAGCGTATTCCCTATGCCAAAGTTTTCTTGCAGTTTACTTAGTGACTGGAGCACAAGTTCCCTATGCTCGAAAACGTCGCTTTCAGCACCCGCTATGAAGAGCGGGAATGTGAGTGCTGAGTACTCGCAGTGGTCATCTAGTGGGAAGGACTGGATGCGAGCGAGCAGGCGATCAATGGCGATGTGTTTAGGTGTGGTGATTAGAGTTGACCATTTGGGAATGGAGTTCGGTGTTTGAGAAGTGGTGTGGTAGGGAGGTGAAATATCCCTGCTCATGTGTTCGAGGATAGAGTGTAGATAGATGAAGCCGGCATCGCGGAAACATTCGGCGACGAGCTTAAGGCGGACGAGAGTTGATTGTGTGAGATCTTGGGGGATGTTTAGGCGGGTTGAAGAGGGGGTCCAGGTAAGGAGGGAGTCATTTCTGGGGTAAGTCAGTATAGGCCTGTACTATAATGTTGAGGATGAGATAGACATACATTGATGCAATCGCTAGGCGTAGTGAGAGATCATCGCCTGCAAGTGCTGGTAGCTCTGCAACACAAGCACATATTTTGAGAAGGTCTTCTGTAAATCCAAGGTATATACTGAGTCTCGGAGTCTCCATGTCAGTATCAGCAAGGATGAGATTTCCGAGAACCTTTTTCCGGTTGCTGATTTGTCCCATGCTGTAGGCATATACGTATCTAGAATAACTCATTAGTCCAGTCTCAGACAGCCTCATATACCAAAAACTTACAGCCCCCGTAAGAAATGCGCTGCCTCTGAATCCATCGAGCCCAATCCACCACGGGATTCAATAAGCCGATGCAGCGCAGTAAGATGAACAACCCAATGCTTCACACTGCCGCGCACAACTTCATATTTACACAACATACCCACCGCCAGCATGGCATCATCCGGCACGACCTCTGTTACAGACTGCGCCATGACTGCCTGCAAGCCCCTTAGCGTCCGACCATAGAAATCAATCGCAGCAGTCTTCGCATCAAGACTATCCGTACGATTCGACAAATGCATTGCCGAGATCGCACAAACCGCCTTCATCAATAGTGGAGAAGACATAGCGCGAGGAATGAGGAATGAGCGGAGTGGATTGTGCTCGCTTTCGAGGTTCGCGAGACGCTGAGAGGCCATGGCTTCATGGTATTGCAAATAATGAGCCTCATGACCAGATAAATGGCTCAAGAAACCCTGTGGTTTTGGAATCACAGAAAGACAGTCCAGTTCAGCTGAAGCTTGTTCTTGACTGGATTCCTCCACATCAAGATCAATAACTCGACACTGCGGAGAAGAAGGCACAGACCAGCCAGGCGTGACCGGCTGCGGTGATAACTGTGCATCCTGCCATAGATCACTCGAGGATGGCGATGAACATGGCGATGGCGGTTGCGACGGCGACGAAGAATTAAGTCGCCTTCTCTTCGGCCCCTTATCCGACTTGAAAACAAGAGCCGAAGGTCCTAACGGTGTCACCCAAAGGTCATCATATCCCTCGCAGACTCGGCCAAGCTTCAGACAATTATTACAGCTTGATTTTGTCAGTTTTCCACCTCGGAAGATAAGCTTATGGGCAGGGCCACCTACCTTGGGGTTGCTCTATCACAGCCACCCTTACGCCGGGATTTACAGGTGATGCATCCACCACGAGTCCAGGGTGTGCCTGATCGCCGACTCCGTCCCTTTTTCTGTGCAGGAAGCGTGGAGGCCATGATGTGTGCAATATTCGTGGAGGGTTTCCCCGCGATTGATAGCAAATCGGGGTTGACTATTCCTGATCGGGGAAAACTTGCGCGTCTGGTCACGTGACTGGGACGCTGATTCTTTTAATACGTGCCGTTGTGTTTGGTCGAGTATGTAGTAGTACTGGGCCCTGGCAAGAAGTTGTATTGGAGATTCTAATAAGGAGAGCGTTCATTAACATGGAATTTGATCTATATATTGAGCTCCAGTCCTTTTATTTGTATCTGTCACTCCACTAATACATCCCAATATCTCTCATCTCTGTGAAACGGTCCATGGAAGATGAATGGGTAGAGTCTATAACATTGAAAGTATCAAGAAGCGCTTGATTTTTACACACATTCATATCACACACCTCCCTTGAGAATCATCGAAATGAGACATCTTGCTGACCTCATTTGATAGTGCGTATGTCAGCCATGGTTCTTTAGAGTTTGTATGGCTCCCACACGAGATATGCTAACCTCTTCCAGCGACACCTTGCCCGATGAGGAATTTCCTACGGTAAACTGCCGAAATGAGGTCAGCAAGGCGTTAAGAACTGAGCCACCATAGCTCAGCTGGAATTTGCGAACCCACAAGTCCATGTCCGAGTACTATTACAGCACTGCACACAAACACGCGTTATTGCCCCTGACTCCCTGGGGGTTAATCCTTACCAGGCTTACCAGGCTTACGCTCAGCCACAGGGTCCCATACCGAGACCAATTGGGGCTGAACAACTCCCCCAGCGGCACGTTCATTGGGCTGTATAGATGCCGACCGACCATTAGCTTGACTAGGATAGCGTTAAGCTCAGCCCCAGGTTCAGCCTGATTACGCCCTACCGGTCCCTCAATTTTGCTTTTTCTGCTGTACACATCTTGCCGTCGCAAGGCTACTCCTGCTACATCTGTCGTCTCGCAGACCTTGGTGAATACCCATCATGAGGGCAAACACGTCGCAACCCGGCGGTCCTCAACCACAACCAAGGGTATCTCCCGACAGCGCACCATCTTCAGCAGATAGCGGGGCCCCAAAGCCTCGCGAGAAGGCACGACGCCGCAATAGGATCATTCACTCGTGCCTTGAATGTCGTCGGAGAAAGCTGAAATGCGATCGAGGGGTATTTACTTCCCTTGATAATTTCCCCAGCATCAGCTTGTCTAATAAAATTCCTAGAATCCGTGTAAGAGCTGTCAAAACTTGGGTGAAGAATGTCTCTATGTCAGTGGTGCAACGACCGATGTCCAGTTTCGCCAGAAACTGGTGCAGATGAAAGAAGCAAAAGATGAGATCGACAGTTCCTTTCGCGAAACTATCGGCACGCGCACTCTTCAACCAGGGGAAAAGGGCCTATGTCGCAAGCGTTCAAGGCAACTGAATCAAGGAGAGGAAAGCGAAGGCTCAGAAAGCTCATCACACGATGATTTTCTCGAGCCTACACCATTGGCAGTTCACGACGCTGCGTATGCAGACGAGGTGGACGATGATATTGAAGATTTGGGCTTTAGAATCGGGCGGATGCGCCTGGGGGAGAGGATCGGAGGGCATTATCGGCCAAGAATCGCAGATGAGGTATCATTGCAACGAGGATTGAAAAAATATCGACAATTGCTAATGTTGATCATTCCAGATCATGTCATCTCTTCAGCATATCTCGAAGCGAAGCTCTCCATCAGTCCCCGTAATTCTACCTTCTATCCCAGCCAGCGAGCACTTCAAGCCTGGACCATCCTTTACGGCCCCATCGCTCGACTTTGTCTTTGACCAATCTCCTGCGCAAGACTCACTACTAAAGTTTATTCCTCCACGCAATATTGCAGACAAATTGCTCCAAAGGTACTGGGACGCTGTTCATCCCGTGGCACGAGTACTTCACAGACCTTCGTTTGCACAGCGATACGAAACACTGTGGGAAGCCATTGAGAATGAGTATCAAGTCGCACCTTCACTTTCAGCGCTAGTCTGCGCTGTTCTATTTTCAGCTGTGGTCAGCATGTCCGAGGAAGAAATCTTAGAATCTTGTCGAGTTTCCCGAGTGGACCTGAAGAACCAGCTGAAGTCCGGAGTGGAAACATCACTCGCAAAGGCTCAGTTACTCAAGACCACCAAATTCGAGACACTGCAGGCATTTGTGGCCTATCTGGTATGTGGACTCAAATTTGCCCGAAAATCGTCACTCGAAGCGATCTTTGGAAGTTGATTTATGCTGACACAAAATTTGCTGTCCAGCTGTCAATGTGTGTAGATGAGATCTCTCGGGCCCACACAGTCTTGACCAGCATAGCGATCCGAATCGCAGAATGTATGGGACTTCACTGTGATCCCACCGAATATGGCTTTTCACCGATTGAATGCCATGTCCGCCGCCTCGTTTGGTATCAAATTTGTTACCTAGATCTCAAGACAAGTGAAGTCCAGGGACCTCGACCTTACATTTCCTACGATGGATACACAACACAACTCCCAATCGATGTTACCTCGCCAAAGTCACCCCAGTCTCCAAATTCCCCACCAACCTGGAACGATCTGATATTTTCTTCCATCCGATTTGAATGTCAAGAAATGCAACGAGAATGTCTGCTCTTGCGAAACCGCGTCGATCAGAAAAAGCTCAGTCTGACCAAAGCCGTTTCCAAAATTGAAGAGTTTCGACAGTCTATGGATGCGAAGTACGGGCCGTACCTTTATACAGCAACGCCAGGCCCGACACAAAGAATGGCTCATCTGGTGATGAAGCTTTTTACCAGCCTTCTTTACCTAATAATTCTACACAGGCACCTCAACTCGGTAACCTACAGAATCCCAGATAGGCTGCGTCAAATTGTCTTAACGAAAGGCACGGATGCGCTCGAAGCCGCTGTGGAACTTGAATCAGCCGAGGACCTCCAGCAATGGGCTTGGTATTTTGGCGCCTACCACCAGTATCACACTGCCTTCCTCTTGCTAGTTGAAGTTTTCACCTACCCGATGCGACGAGAGGCAAATCGGCTTTGGCGATGTTTCGATTTCATTTTCGCCGAGGCGTTGAGTAATGTCCCGCCATTGCAAACGAATAATCCAACGCTTCAAGATATCGTTGCCCATCGAGATATCAAGGCTAGGTACTTGCTGACCATGGTCTGCGTACGGATGCGGGAGTACCGGAAAGCCAAGGGATTAAAGGATCCGGTGCAATTCAAAGACTCGATGATAGTCCTCACGCCTCAGAAAGATGGCGACAGCTCAGATCCGCGCATGCCTCTCAACTTTGCGCACGGGGAACCTGAACCTGAGCCTGAACTCGAACCCCAAAGCCACTCCCAGAACGCTCCAGTCAGGGTTGGTGTTTCCACAATGGGTATGCACGCTGGGATGGCCCATCTGCCCCCGACATTGACAATAGAAGGTGAAATCATTCCCACAGAAGTCCCGTCTGTTCTAGACAATACGGCTAGCGTGTGGGCCTCTTCTTCGGATAGCTTCTCCCCTTGGATCCAGTATGGGGAATCGGACCTCGACGGCGATAATTATACCCGGCTACAGCCGACAAACCCTCAAAGCTATGCTGCAAGTGCCACGACTGAAAGTTATTCAGCCACGCAGATCGTTGAAATGCGCAGTGGAAATGCAGACATTGATCCGCAAATGCTTGAAATTGACTGGGTGAGCAGCAAACACTTTCTAACCCTGTTATTTTACGAAATGCCTTTACTAACGTATGGATAGAACCTTTGGGATACTATCTTTCCCCCACAGGTTAATGATGGTAACTTGGATGTTTCTGATGATTATATGTGGCAGTCATATGGCTCTTATAACCCTGGATTTTGATTTGGCAATGTCTGCCAGTGTTACATGTACAAGAACGCGAATCTAGACTTTTTTTCGATTGCTGCCCCGACGACCAAGGCTCAAGCGCCCAAGCTCTAAAATTAAGATCGCACTGTATGTGGAGATTGCGTCGCCAAACTCCTTTCCTTTTTGAGAAGAGCCGAAGCTAGTCAATTAGTCGCCCCGGCACTGGGCCCAGCGCCCACCTACCTAGGGCTGCCGACCTAGTCAGTGATCCCTGCTGAGTATAGTAAATATTATACCAGAAGAAGCTAAATTAATCGTCTACGACAGCAGTATACAGTATATAGATAACTGATTCATATTACGTTTTTATAGAGAGAACGATATGTTTAAGATTTAGGAGAGTTATTATTATTATTCGTTCTTACTTTAGTTTCCGTACTCAATCTGCGACGGGTGTATTTACGCAGCGACTTATAGCCTATCTTCTAACTACTACAGAACATCCGAAACGCTATAATATAGTATTATTCTTACAATCAAACTCTCTTATTTAGGCTACTGTTTTACTATTTAGCAGTGCTCTTTATAGATTATATCGATACTTTTTCAGAATAACGCCTAGGCCGAAGCAGTTCAATTTAAGGAGAGATAGTCACGGTCCGTTACTTTTGTTAATTTACGCCGTATAATTATATTAGTGTTTGAATTACACGTCTCTCTTAAGGTATACTAGGCGTAAATCTTTAAATAGATCTTAGACTTATATTAATAATTAGCTAGCGGCACTACCTTAGTTTCGCTTAGGAAATCGGATCGGTATAAAAAGAAATTACGGATATAGTAGGTAGCATTTTCACTCCCAGAGTCGTCGCTGCAAACTAGCTTGGCCTAGGCACGGGAGTCATCCACACCTTCGTCACCAACCTCGCTTTCTGTCTGCTTACGATAAAGTTGGACCAGAGTCGTAATGTGTTTTAGGTGCGGAGTGCGTGATTCGCTGCCAGGGTATGGTTCAAGATGGCTCCATGGACTAGGCTGGTTTGAAGGCAACTCAGTGATGGGATGAATGGAGAAATCAGGTGCAAAGTGTTTTTTGGTGAGAGCTTGTTCATTCTTCACTAAAGTTCTTCAGCAAACCAGGTATGAACTTTTATTTCAACTACCGTGATGAACTCACACTAGGGGCGACGGAAGCATTCCCTTACAGGCCGCTAATACGAGGCTTCCAAATTCCGTGACCTCATCAGCCCCACTCGACGCGAGCATGTCCGAGTATTCACGTAGAGACACCATTGAAATTGGCCTTCGTGATGTGCCTTCCTGCCAGGTCTGTTCCGAAGGCGCATCCCATAAGAACGTGCGGTCATCGAAGGGTAATGCTTCCACAAAAGGAGTTCGAACTGAATAGTTTTGTTTCTGCAGTGAATACACACTGCACAGTACATAGGAGACAATGATGGTTCGCCGGACACTTTCCGCAAATAGCCATGCTCTTCTAGGACTCATCTCATGAGGAAGCTGGTTCGGCGCCTGTGCCCAGAGCCGTCGCGCTAGTCCGGCAAGTAGGCTGTTGGTGGATTCGGCATTCTCTTCATCACGGTCGAAGACTAGCATGCATTGTATGAGGACCAAGGTCTGAACGTAGGCGAGGAGCTTCTCAAAGCTCGTTAACTGTCTCGTCTGTCGATAAATCTCTGCGGACTTCTGCCTCAGAGAGGCAACAAGAAGCTTATTCGGGGAAGGTTCAGGGCCCTGGTAGAGACTGCAGATAGTATGGATATCCTCTAGGGATGGGTCATAGAGATAAGGGTGCATGAATAGAGTCATTTTATACTGAGCGAACGCGACCGGGAATCCCCTCATGCGGTCTATGAGAAATCGCACAGTGGCCCGGTCATGAGTTTTGAGGATCTCCGCATGAAGGAACGGATGAATGTGAGCCATGCTTATATGGCCATATTTCTTGACTTGCTTATGTCGGTGACTGGTTTCGGACTCTGCACCTGCAGGCAGCGGGATATTGGTATACTCGCAGACAATTCTTCTGTCTGCACATCGACTGCAACTGGGTAAGGAGAGATCGCAACGCCGCTTACCCTTGACGCAAGCTTTGCATGACCTGCGCAAGCTGACTGAATTCGACATCATTAATGCCACCGCAGCCTTAACACTCCGGGAGGACTAGAATTGCTTCAGCTGGAATACGAGCCCGAGGCCAGGATCTGGATGCCAGACCGTGGCAAGAAAAATGACTAATCACACTCACGTGCGGCGGCATAACTAGTTAGTGTCAGGATTCTCCCTTCCCATTCGTCTCCCCCGAACCAGATGTTGCAGAGTCTAGACATTTTAGGCTTAGTCTCCGCAACTTGGTTTGTTGTCACCCAAGATTCCTCCGACAGACCAAACCTCAAGACACCAACCTATCGAAAATCATAGCGATTCCCTCGACCCATCGCCAGATGAGGTTTAACCTCCACTCAACGTTCTCGTATCTGCTATGGGTCAAGCAATGCTTACTGAATGACTTAATACTAGTTGATTTGTAATGAATATAATGGCAGAGGTTGCGAGGGTATATATTCAGCTGCCGCGCCTTATCTGCTCTTGTTGGATAAACCATTTCTCTTTTTCCTCCTCCTTATAATACCGCGTTTGTATTCAACACAAGGGTCCATTAAGCCGTTCCATCAACATGGCTAGCGAGGTGAAGAATGTTATTGTTATTGGGGTACGCGGACCGGCCTACGGGTGATCGACACATGCTGACAACTGTATTATGTACTCAGGCCGGTGGTAATGTTGGCACCATTCTAATTCCTGCGTTGCTCGACGCAGGATTTACCGTCTCCGCCTTGGTCCGACCTTCGACAAATGCTACATTTGTAGGCAATGTAACGGTGCAGAAAGCTGATTACACTGATTTCAATGCCCTTGTTGCTGCGTTTAAAGGCCAAGACGCGGTGATCTCGACTATGGGGACTTTCAGCGCCCACCTTCAGCAAACTGCTATAGACGCCGCTGCAGTCGCGAATGTTAAGCGGTTCATCCCTAGTGAATATGGAGGCGATACTTCTCACACGGACAACGTGAGCTTCGCACCATTTCCAAAGGAGAAAAGGCGGATCGTGGAGTATCTTCAAAGCAAGGAAGCAGAAGGGTTGACCTGGACTGCGATTTGTACTGGAGCCTTTGTCAATTGGGTGCGTGCATTAATAGATTGTTGTGGGTGGTAAGTGGCTGACCATTTTCTGAAGCTCCTTGAACACGAAAATGCCGCTATGGGCTGGGACATAAGGGCCAAGAAAGTAACGATCTTTGATACCGGCGATCAAACGTTTGACGTGAGCACTTTGAGTCATGTTATTCAATCAATTGTCTCAACACTGCAATACCCAGAAGAAACGAAGAATACTTATGTCTACGTACGGTCCTTCACGACCACGCAGAACAAACTTTTGGCTACCTTGGAGAGGATATCTGGGAGGAAATTCAAGGTAACCAGGGCTAATACGAAAGACCTTGCTGAGCGAGGGCAGGAACATTTGAAGCAGGGAGATTATGAACGCGGGTACCCGGAGATTGTAACTGCTCTTGGGTATGGCCCGTGGGGATTCCTGGACTTCAAAGAGCGCGCAGAAAAATGGAATCGGACTCTGGGTTTGAAGATTTCCAAGGAGGAGAGTCTGGACTCCATTATTGAAGACGTTTTGAAGAAGAAGGATGTTATCTAGGTTACTTCATCATGGAGAATATCAGGGGTTGTGGCTTCGAGAGTATGTTCTTAAGGCATAATAGTTCTAGTCACGTCATTACTCATACGCTACAGAGAGTGTCAAAAATGACGCCCTGTGGGCTGAGACGCTTTATCTCCATGGCAAATTCCCATCTCAAGCAACAACATGATAAGTTCAATACGATCATACTCTCACTCACCTAGAGATCTCCGAACGAAAAGTAGTCTTGAAAGTCTACACTGTCATGTGTAGGATAGACGCAGAGGTCTAACAGTACTGGGGCATTGGCTTTGGACCTCGTGACTGCTGCGATTATGAGAATGGTATCAGCATAATTCCAATCAGGCGGCTCACCAATACCGATTGTACGTGGCTGCTCACTGCGGAGTATGGGGGTACCGGCGATCTCCCCATTCAGGAGGGCATGGCTGTCGAAGAGCCGGACATTGAGCTTGGGACTGGCATCGCTTTTAAGGTCATCAGTCGACGCATTGCGGCTGGCCGTATAGGCAAAAGTCTTAAGTCAGGCAGGGTGGGACGTGGTGGTCGTCGTGACCGACGCCGAGGCAGGTTGACATCTAGGGTAAAGGGCCAGGGTGACCGGGAATTACGTTAATTATATTTGTGTGTATCGAATGCGTTAAGAGCTGCTTAAATTCCTTGAGTTATCGGATCGAGTTTCAAAATCTAGTAGTTTTAATACCGCGGAGCCTCAATTATCTAATTCATCAATATTGTCCACTTAGATCTACCAGGCCTTCTTACTTTTGCATCTCTTGGGGAGCTAATGTTACATCAATCAAATCAATCTATCAGACTACCAAGATTAGTTGAAATTCAACTAGGGTCGACTTTAGAACCCCGTTCGAGTGGTTAGTTCAGCTGAACAAGGTGGATTTAATATAAATGGTCTATTCTAGTAGACAGTTTAGCGATTTCGGCCCTTATTATCATGAATTAATTAGTTTCCGGCAACTAGTAAGGTAAACTAGTCTCTTAATCATATACCGGTAGTCAGCTAGTCTCGATTATATCATTTTTATAGCGCTATATTAAGGTGTATACGCTATCTAGTCGAGCGCTTAAAATTCCGAATTTGAAAAAGAATTATTTATATATTAACGACACAGATATTTAACAAGGAGCTGCTAGAATTTATTCTGTAATAAAATCTTACTCTTTTTCTCCTAACTGTATATTTCGTCTAGGACAGCCTACTTTTCGCTCTACCGGACTAGTTTGTTTTAAACTAGCTACAGTATTTTGCAAGTCCTAGATATCGTTTAATATACCTTCTAGGGCACCTTGTATCTTTTTGTTATAGCTACTTTGTTAGTGAAAAAAGTCTACTATTGTTACGATATACCCGACATGAGGTTATTCCCAAGTGTTGGTGCCTCAGGCTTCCCGGACCTGATAAGCCGGCAGGCTTTCTGTAGAGGTTCGCTGGGGCTTCGTCATCAGTACGGGTACGAACTCCTGCAGGGAACACCCTTGACAGAGGTTACACAAGACCCCGCTCCTATCCTTCTACTAAGGATACATCTCCTTCCTGTTTGAGCGATGAGACTGTATATAAATTTCTTCGTAGATTAGGGTGGAGCCCCGGCCCCACACTACTTTAGGAGCCCCAGGGCTCATCCAAACTTAGATTCCTCATAGCTTCAATAACATCCAAGTTTCCTGTTACTGCTTCACATTAAGAAAATTGACCTATGTTGAAGAGGTTTTACGATCCTCAAGAAACAGTCTTTGACCTTTCTGAACAATTAACTTGGTTCCTTTCCCCTACCTGATTGACAGGCCTCTATCCTGACTTATAGAGTATATCCTTACAATTTCTGTTGCTTCTTCTTCGATCACCTTGGAGAAATAGTACCAAGGACCCGTTCTACCCCCTCTACTGAAGAGGCACCAAACCCTCCCCGTATCACGGAGGAAATCCTAATTGCGACCGACCCGGTTTTGACTGTTACTAATCTTAATACTAACCTCGCAGCTACTTAAGCTACTATAGAAAAGCTACAGAGGCTCAAAGATTTACAAGACTAAGTGTTATGATATACCCTGGCATGAGGCTATTCCCAAGTGTTGGTGCCTCAGGCTTCCCGGGTCTGATAAGCCGGCAGGCTTTCTGTGGAGGTTCGCTGGGCTTTCGTCATCAGTACGTGTACGAACTCCTGCAGGGAACACCCTTGACAGAGGTTACACAAGCCTCGTGTTTCACCCCGCTCCCATTTCCCTACCAAGGATACATCTCCTTCCTGTTTGAGCGATGAGACTGTATATAAATTGACCCATGTTAAAGAGGTTTTACGATCCTTAAGAAACAGTCTTTGACCTTTCTACACTATTGACTTGGCTCCATTCCTCCTACCTGATTGACAGGCCTCTATCCTGACTTATAGAGTATATCCTTACAGTGTTCCTTCCACTCCGCCAAAACTGACTTCATTATTCCTATTCCTATTCCTTGACTTGTCGCCCAGCTTGACCTTTGACCTAGAGCTCTCGCTACTTGGCCAAAATGGCTAGGGCTAGGGCTATGAATGAGTCTGAAGCCACTTGTGTCCTTCGGGATATGACACGTGACCGCGAAGAGACGTGGGGTTTTTTTTCTACCGCACCTGTTATTACCACGATGATACATGGTGGGAGAATTTTCTGAAGCGAATGAAAGAATTCGCAGAAACGATTCTACTTAAGCCCCTATCGTATAATCGGGACGGCGGTGGAAAAATTCTCTTAAACAAACTAGAGCGAAATATTCAATCTGACCCTTCGCTTAATGGCTGTTCGAAAGAGGAGATCTGGCGGTATGGATTCTAATACCTTAAGACGAAATTTCTATATTGAGATACCTAGGGGAAAAAACCAGTGTAGGTATATAGACGCCACCGAAAGCTTATGAGGTCTCTTTATGGAGGATATAATGCTGCTATAATCAAACACGGATTTCCTATTATCGTGGATAAAGAGTCCTTAGATTCAATCCTAGAGGCCCCAGGACCGACTGAATGGAGGGCTTCTCACACCGATGATTCAACAGCCCATGTCACTGTGCTTGATATGCAATGGTTCGACCTACGCGAAGCTCCTAAGGAGGATGAGTATTTGCCAGAGGACGAAGTCGGGTGGACCAAGGTTTTAGCAGTCAAGGTACATCCTAGATTGTACTACATGCTACAGAGCGGGCTGTGGCCGCAGGTTGTCTATTGTGCGCCACCGGAGATATCTCGCCTGCCCTAAACTCGCATTCTTGGGCTGCGACCTCGGCCAATTGTACGATGCGAGCATCAGTATGAAAGCTCATTTCATAATCGACACGAGAGAGCTAGCGGCAAGAGGAGGAGGAATAGACGAACACTGACAGCGGAGCTGGCGCCGTAGAAGCCAGTCTGATCGCACGGTATATCCTCTTCGTAACAGCAGGAGACACAGTCACTCTATCCAAGGAATCGTATGGACGCTATATTCAACGGTAGATAATGAAGAATTGAAATAAAAATGTCTAAAACAGGTTTATCGGTTGTATGTTTTCCTAAATGTACTTTCTGAGAAATTTTTATTTTTATTTTTCGGAAAATAAGTCTTACAAGCGAATAGGACCTTAAGAAAGAGCCTAAGCTCTATTGAGGTCGCGACTCAACGGAAGTAGAGACATCGACGGTTCTGGTAATTCCAATGCCCCCAAGGTTAGAACCATGTGAGACTCCTCGTTCCTCCGCGTCGCCGTAAATTGTAGTTTGCGTCGGGTTGCTCTGTGCATTGGAGACCAGCATATCCTCATCTGATTCAGCTTCCCGTACGGTCGTCTGCTTTCTGCTGCGCTCCGCCTTGGACTGATTTCTCATCGAACTCAGCTTGTATTCGGACTCGTAGGTTTGTTTGTCGGTGGAGTATTCGCGGAGGACACGCTTGAGAAGGGCCGAGAGAGCGGGAAGACAGGTGCAAATCACTCCTATCGCGATTTCGGCATTTCTATCGAAAAAGGGTATAGTCAGCATAATTGCATTTCTGGCTGGATAAAGTTATAAGGCTTCTGAAGAGAGCATACCCAAGCATATTGATTCTCATGAAGGCCAGAGTGGCATCCTTGGATTGTCCAGTTAATACAATAAGTATCAAGCGAATAATACTGGCTGCGACAGCCAGGCCACCAGCACCCAAAATAGCTATGACTCTCGTCTTCTTCTTCTTCGACATCTGCAATGTCATAGTCAACGGCAGGGGAAGAATAAGAATGATGAGGTCGCTGATGCAGCTGACCACTGCATCAGCAAGGATGATAGATGTCTCGTCCAGACATGTTCCCTTAACATTGGTGTCCCAAAATAGAGAAATCGGGTTGCAAATTCGGATCTTGACAATGACGGCCGGAATATAGTACGCCAACATGAGGGTCATGAAGCCGTAGATGAAGAGGACAGATTGGCGGAAGGGGCTGAATACACGAGCCATGATCCACAGGAGCAGAACTTTGGTTAAATAGGCGGTTGGTCCGTACATGACCATTGTGACATAGACGGTCTAAGTCTGTTAGGATATCGTTCATGCTGATTGGAAGGGCAAGGGGGAAAATACCTTCTGGAATGCAATTCGATCTTCGGGCGGAACATCAGAATAATGTAAACCTCCTCCATAATGTCCCACTGTAGTAGGGCTGTCAGCCAACATCTGTTTTGACTCGTGCAGGCCACTTACTGATGAGCGCGATGATAGAATAGCAGACACCAAAGAACCATGCTGCTGAGCATACCCCTGTAGTAGAGTCAATGAAACTGTCCTTGCAGACCGGATATGACATACTCACAATCCTCCTTTCCGAACCCACTGAGAATGAAACAACGTGTATAGACTCGAAGGCCAAAGAAAAGGGTCATGCCAATGATGCATAATGACTGACACACATAGTTCCAAGTCTGCACACTGCGGTCAATTGATGCATCCCTAGCGTCACGTAGTTCTAAACCCGAGGGCAACGGCATATTGGCATAGCTTCGTGTAGACGATCAAAATTCGCAAGAGAATGTCAGGCCAGAAACTGCAATAGAGGGATTCAGTCTTATTGAGCACTATTCTTCAGATAAATCCGTCACGGAAAACATCATTGGAGAGTCACTGAAGGAATGTCACAAAATTGACCTTAACCTTAACAGATCCCTGCTCAAGGATCAGCCTTCTCTTTGCCGAGATTTGACAAGGTTTAGCGGATGAGAAACTTCGGATATTCTCTCCAAGAACGTTCCAAGAACGTGGGAAGAACTAACACCTTCGGTGACCAAGAATTATCTTTAGGAGCCCCGTGCAGAGCTTGAGGAGAATTTCTTGGGCAATGTACTTTTGATGCATGGTGCTTCTCGTACGTAATTCGCTTGTCCAACGATTCCGGAAGTTACCCACGCTGTGGTTCTCGCAATATACATGCGTTTAACTTTTCAATTTCAGATAATTACACAATAATTAAGCGCATGAGGCATAATCACAGAGTGAATTAACAACACATGACCATTTATGTCAAACCTCAATGGTTTCGCGAGGGCTAACTGGCCAAGATGCTTGCAAATTGCAATTTTATAGGAACTCCGACTCTAAGCCAATAATATAGGTTGGGCAACGTAGTTCGTTAGCTGAACGGTCTTCACTATATTAGGCAAGACTCTCATTATTACTTCCGTCGTCGATAGTCTCGAATCTTGTCCTAATAATATTCCTGCAGGAGCACCAGTGGGTTGGCCCCCAAATGGACAGACCAGGGTTCGGTAGAGCACTCCACTGCCGCGGGAAGAAGCGGGTTGTGGGTATCAACCTCTCCGTAGTCATCGTACCATTCGATGCGCTGAAAGCTTCTTTCACTGCCCATAGCGTTCCAAACCACTCAATAGTCAGAGTTAAATTTGTCCGGAAGGAGTATTCTCGCGGATATGCGGGAGGGAATGGGTGGGGGTAAGGAGATAGTTCGGTAAATGAAGACAAAAATCAAATACGAGCAGTCCACATACTGCATATCTTGAGTCTGTCTCGTATGAAACTGACATTTCGATTAAGTATGAAACGATAGGATAATTCCATGTTAGCCGCTGGGGGTATAAGTGGTCCGTCATCCAGTATCGCCTAGGCATGTTTCTTGCGATTCCACAATTGCGACCCCTACATAGACAGCGGAGACTTCCCGAATTTTGCTGAAGGACGCAGGGCTAGTTCATCCTTCGCTCCTCATCCTAGGATCCTGCGGGGCCTGGATCGTCTTGAGACAATTCATTACGGCGCCACCCGTTGTCGATCGATTATCTGTACGGAGTACATAGTCCCGATACAATTTTGAAAAGCTTCGGCTATTGTAGAGTATGAGGACTAAAAAGTTTGATACTATTGAAAGCTATCAATTGCTAGTCAATCTGACAGACTAACTTTACGGGGTCCTTTAGAAGATCGCCAAGCAATTGGGAGGAGAAGAAACACCTCCAGGCATATTCAACGGCACTGAAGTTACGAAGAAGGTCCAACGCCCAAGCTCCTGGCAGGTTTGGGCTAGAGCTTCTAGATCAAAGAGTTCCCCTGATAGGACTCCACGTTAGCTGGAAAAACTCTGATAAGAAAGAATTCATGCTCGCTTAACTGACCGATCGGGCAACCCCAGCCAGCAAGGACATACTCGTGCAAAAATACGTCGGTGGATTGAGGTGGATAGACCTGTGGCGTTTTAGCTGGGACTCCCGGTGAAGTTACCACAAACTTTGTGAAGTCCATAGAAAGAATCAAACCTTACCTCCCAGCTGATCGCATCACTGGCAATTGCCGCAAAGCCACTATTCCAAAGCCATCGGAGCACATCCTTAGTAGCCTCGACTCCTGCGTGCTCGGGTTGGGGATTGTCAGAATATTTTCTCTTTTCAGCGTCCGTCATGATAGTGTCCCATTCCTTCGTAACTCCGATTCGGACGAAGAGGATATCACCCTTCTGGAAAGTGATGTTGTTCTCCTTGGCGATTTGGAGAATATCCTGGAGGCGGACCTGATGTGTTGAGAACGTGCTATACTTGATTCCCTTCCTTTCGGCCCATGTCGAATAGTCGATCAGGACTCCACGGCCTACCAGGGAATTCTCAGTATTCGAGGTCTCTGATTGTGCAAACTCGGGGGATCATACCGGCAATTCCCTCCTTTGCCCAATGCTGAATACCAATTCGATCGTTCTCACGGTCATTTATCTCCTCGACAGTGGTACCTCCGTAGAAGACGCGGTCGGTTTGACCAGGTACAGTCTGGCTGAAATGCCTCAATCCATCCCACTGACTGCTTTGCTCTATGCACCACATTTAAAATGTCAATTATTGGCAACGAAATCATATGACCAGCTACCGAATTGTTATCTTACGGGGATTGAAACTGTAAACATCATCAAATGCCACTCCTCCCAATAAAGGCACAATCTGGTGATTGCAGGGTTGCCGGTTGAGATTAGGGTAGTCCAGCTTGGTCATTTCCCAATTCATCGTCACTCGGCGACCGCATTTGATCTCACTAGCAGCGGCCTTTGCAACGACGTCGGGGGTAAGGATAGCTAATTTTCCTAGGCCTTCTTCATAGCTGCCAGGCTTTCCCATCCAAACTTGTTTGGGGTTGGGTAGCTCATCAAATGGAGTATCAAACAGAGATCGAGTCATCGTTTTTGATCCAATCGCTGGACGCTATAAAGAAAGGTAAAAGGGTAAAAATAAGGGATTGATTGCAGGATGCAATTCAAAGCATCTATTGACTCGTTGAGCGAAAGGTATTCCGTACTTTTGTACAGCCGGATAGTTGAAAAATCCCGCTCGAGCGTGGAGACTTTCCGAAGCCGCTCCGGGCAGACCTTCCAACCCCGAGTCGCTGTGAATGCATCGACTGATGCTGACTGCAAGAAGAGAAATAAATTATAGAATTTCATTAGCATTAAACCAATTCACACTGAATGACGGACAGGAACCCCTCCAGTAGCACGGGCCTGGCACGATCCACGGTCTGTTCAATCCACGAGTCCTCGCAAATCTCCCTCTTAGATGCATAGATCGACATCAATAGAGAAGAAAGAGTAGAAGCAAGACGATGAGAAATTTCTATCCTTGCATAGACAACAACGGCTCGTATCCCGTCGTACATTAATATTACATTCTTGGCTGCAGGCCTGGTCATGATCGGCAAAGGAGTTACTTAACTTCTCCTCACCACCAACGTTTGTCCATAACACTTAAGTGGAGCTCGGTACTCCACCTGCGAGTAAATGAATTGAATCCTTTGCACTCCTTGCTATCTGAGCGCGAGAAGAGCTAATTCCTTTCCCTTTCACCTGTGTTCACGTACAGCGACTGCCATCTCTCGTTGATCCTGGGCAATCCCCTCAGGCTCTTTCTCACCCACTTGGAAGTTGATCTCTTCAGCGTAAGATTTGTTGAACCAGATCATCATGAATAACAGGTTCGGGTCCCAGATCAGTACCTACAATAGGCTGGTGACAGTCTTTGTAGCCATTGGTTCTATGGTGAGTCTCCGAGATGTCTCTTCAAATCTGAATATTGAAATATCTGACCCCTGTTCATGACCAGACGTATGGCTACTGTGCTTCGATCATCGGTAGCACTATCGGCCAGCCAGGATGGTATACCTACTTTAATTTGCCTACTGTGGATGAACCTGGCTATGCTTCGATTACGACACCCGCCATCTCGACGGCCAACGGTGTCTTCAGTGGCGGTGGAGCGGTCGGCACTTTGTTCATTATGTGGGCATGCGACCAATTTGGTCGGAAGGTCTGTATTCAACTGGGCGCGTTTTTCGCAATGTTTGGTGGAGCTCTCCAAGCCGGTGCAAACTCTCTAGAGTAGGTCGTTAAATCCGTAAAGACACATTGTGTCTCGCCTCTGACTGACTGATTACCTATAGTATGTTCCAAGCCGGCCGGTTCTTGTGTGGTCTTGGAATCGGAATCCTAGTTACTGTTTGCCCGATGTACCTTTCGGAGATGTCCAGCCCTTTACGCCGAGGCTGGTTGGTTGGGCACCATGCGATATTCCTCGTGTTCGGATACATGCTTGCAGGATGGGTGGGATTTGCATGCTTTTATGCTGGGAACATCCCCGCGTTTGGCTGGCGATTCCCTCTGGCTCTTCAATGTCTCCCGCCATTGGTTCTTCTTGCTGGCTCGCCCTGGCTTCCTCGCTCGCCTCGTTGGTTGATTTCTAAGGGCAAGCTTGACGAGGCTCAGCATGTGCTTCAGCGTCTCCGCGAGTCTCCCGAGGACCCTGACAACCTTGCCGCGAAGGAAGAGTTTTTCCAGACTAAGGAGCAGATTAGACTTGAGGCTAAAAAGATGACCGAGTATGGAAGTCCATGGTTGGCTGTCATTAGGAAGAAATCATACCGGAAGCGCATGATTATTGGTTTCCTTACGCAGTGGGGAGCAGAGTTTGGTGGCCCTCTCATCATTGTAAGTCGAGAATTTGCCAGCTTTCTGGGACAAAACTGACGCGCCCTTAGAACAATTATGCTGTTCTGTTGTACACAAACCTCGGGATGAAGGACGGCATGCCTTTGCTGCTGAGCGCTATTTGGTTGACCACGGCTGGTAAGTTTGAGAGATCGGCTACTATATTGGTCTTACTAACTCCGTATCAGGTCTGATCTATAATCCTCTGGGTGCTTGGCTCCATGACAGAGTCAACTCTCGTCGAGGCATGTACATAACTGGCTTTGTCGGTATTATCGTTACCACATCGTGTCTCGCTGCTATGACTTCTGAGTATGTCGGCACCACCAACAGGGTTGGAAATGCCTTTGGCATTTTGTTCATCTACCTTTACTTGGCTTTCCAAGGGTGAGTTTATGTTATCTATCCTCTGGGAATGTAGACTGACCATAAGATAGTACGTTTTGTGACACAACAATGTATCTCTACGTCTCGGAGATTTTCCCAACAGAGATCCGTCCAATTGGCATGGGATTCTCGTTGTTCGGCCAGTTTGCTTGTGAGTTTCTCCAGTTAATTTGCCTCTTTCGGACTGTATTAACCAAGGACAGCAACACTTATTCTCCTCGAGACCGCTCCTATGGGCTTCAACAACGCTGGGTGGAAATATTATCTTGTCATCATCTGCTGGTCGGTAGTCTTCATTCCAGGTAAGATTCCAGCACATTAATCCCCATGAAGAATGTACTGACTCTGAATCCAGTCATCTACTTCTTCTTCCCGGAGACTGCACGTTTGACCCTGGAAGAAATTGCCCAAAACTTCGGCGAAGAAGTTGCTGTTCATCTGACAGATACTACCGATGAAGAAAAGGCCAAGCTTGATGAGAAGCTTGCTCATTCCAGTGGTGCTATGTTTGAATCCTCGAAAACATCAAAATCTCCTCATCATGGAGAGGAGGCAGCGACTGCTCCAGTACCTGAAGCCGAGAGTAAGGACCAGTATGTGATCTAATAATGCTCAAGCAGAAGTTTTGCATGCAATTTGAATTTCTCATGGCAACTTCGAACGTCTCTGGCTGATTCTCATCAATTCAGGTCGACGAATATGAGCGTGAGCTTCTGACGCAAAAACGATATATAGACAAACTGTTTCTTTTATTTAATGGATATCAAAGGTGCGAATATTTAGATTTACTTGGCACCTTTACCTCTCGTCTCGTGATAGAGTCCGTAGAGTACTGGAGCTTGGAAGATGGAAACAAACTCCACAGAGCGCTGTAACCTACACTGCTCTGATCCGGCCAATCATGTCCCACTATTAATGCCCCGCAAGCCGCAGGGAGCATAATTTGACCAATCGGAGGTTGTTATTATTTGATGCAATCACGGACCGGCCCGCGGCCAAACAGACACTCACAAGGGAGCCAGCACCAGGAAGGGTTTCCTTTTTCTATCCTCCGTGTACCAGGAAGCCTAAAGCTAGGATATGACAGTGAGCTATCTATTTAGAGTCTGTCTGCGAGTCCTTCCGTTGCCCTTTGGAAGGGGAAATGAACCACATGAGACCCCAGGAATGCATCACAACTCACCACTCGATGAATATTGCAAAGCCTGCAATGTCAGGAGGAGTAGACGTTGTGTCTTCATGACTTCCTTCCCTAGTCGATAAAATTCATGAATCTAAGGAGCAGTTACACGGAGGATCACAGTTTGTTTTCAACCTCCTGCTTTTCATTAAATCAAATGCCAGAAACATGTACTATATCAGATGCCCAACCACAAGAGAACCCACGAAAAAGATACACCAAATCATCTATTAAATCAATATTCCCAATAAGAACCCTCGAAACTTCGTAGTTTCGCTCGAGCCGGGTTTCAACCTATCCAACTCATATCAAACCCCAGTTCCTCGGCGAACTTTCATCCACGCGAAGACACCGCTGCCAATATAAACCGTGATAATCGTAGCCTGAGGAATTAGACCCAAAATTAGATATATCACCCAACTGCCATTCATAATGTTGTATTTGGTGGTATGACCTGTATGGCCCGTAGTGTCCAGATTCGTCGAATTCAACACAGAGTACAAAATTCGCAGGAAGAGCAGGGGCAGAACGACAACCATACTGCGCACGATGTAATAAGACACGGTCACGAGTGCTTTCCGGCTCTTCCACAATTTGATCACGCCAAAGCAGATAGCTGCAAACGCAACCAGGAATAAGGCGCCTGAAACCTTCATAAAAGTTGCACCGCGATCATACTTGTCCGAATTGATGATTCCGGTGGAGCTGTCTGGCATACGGTCAATTCCGCTGACAATGCCTAGGACTAAGCCACAGATGATGATGGGGTGCACAAGACGAAGGATCATGAGCGATGTCCCCTGCGTGAGTGGAGCAAGCGGAGAGTAAGAGTGCTCATATTTGTCTTCGTCGGGTTTGGAGGATATGTTGACGAAAGATAGTGTTGCAGACATAAGAGGGCCTAGAGCAATTTGGTATAGGATCTGGGCCGCAATCTGTAGTCCGGAGGATGGTGATGAATGCTCAGTTATGCTGATGAAGATTGCCGGGCCCGCGATTTTTGCTAGAAAAGATCAGTCTTTGTAACATGTCCGGGCAGTAGGTGAAGAAAATGCATACTGATCACGAAGGCATGGAGATAAAGCCATCCAAATTGTCCCTTGAAAACATAATGGATTGTGCAAAATGTTGCGGGAAGTAGAAGGCCAACGTAGATCGCTAGCTCGAGACAAGCCAAAACTTCGTGGGCAATCATGACTGTCTTTTGAGATTGAATCTCTATTCTTGATTGCTTTTGAAATTTCTCTGGCACTCGATGTTGAAGGCTTCTGGAAAAGACTTAATATATCTACTTCCTATCCCTATTTTGCAGATTCGAGTCAAATATCGGCAGAAAACCAAGCTTTTGGCCCCATCGCCGCACCCATCTCCATTGGCGGCTGAGGAAGCATGTTACGGCCGTAAAGCGCCACGGCCCACCAAGCATTACTGCCCAAGCATTTGGACGATCACTCCATGTGTTGGGACATACGACCATTAAAGAAGGGGTCTTGAGGCTAACAAGAGGTAGTCTATTTCCATTTCAGGAAAATGGGGAGAGTGTGGCGGTTATGATGAATCTCCACCCCGATTCGCATCTCTACATCCATACTACTATAGTTCGCTAGCATAATGTAGGCATTGCTAAGAATGAATGATATTCTAAGCCTTTTTCCATGCTACAGCTACCGTCTAGTTTTGCCGATGGTTTTGCTTTTGCGATCTCGTACGTCAAAGCGATTTGCAGTAGCATTTCCTCGAGTACAACTAATAACTCTGGAGTTCACCTAATTCTGAATCTGTGGGCACACGTTGTGAATTTGAAAGCAACTGTACTCGGACAAGCCCATGTCTTTGAAAAACTGTCACTATAGATGCTTTTTCAAGTGATCTTTGTTGTGTATTTCCTAGCTCTATTCCGGGCCTTTGGACTGTTTTGTTGTTGACTCGGCCTTGAAGATCTTCCAGCCAAAGCACGAAGTTGTCTCGTGTAATGGAATAGAGTTGGGTAATTAAAAATTTATCTGAAGCCCGGGACAAGAAGGAGGCAACATATCTCAACGAAAACAAATGTGAAACAATTTAATAATGAAAAAAATGACTTAGAAGCTACCACATCCCACAAACCCCCAATAAACGTACAATAATATTGTCAAAGCTTTACAAATCATCCCAATCGATCTAACCGTCTCTCAAGTCTCTCCCGACGACGATCATGAGCAGAACCATGCCCGTGATGACTCCCCTTGATAGCCTTCGATGCCATATTAGCCATAACAGCACCAGCCAAAGCACCACCAACTGCACCCAGAGTTCCATGATCAGATTTCTTCCCGACTTGATGTCCGACGAATGCACCCTGTTAGGAAAGAATGATTAGCTGTGTATCTGCGAGATCAATTCCAGAAATTATGGTGCTTACTCCTGCTCCACCGACGACTGTTGCACCGAGACCTCTTTCGCCTTCGGGTGGTCCGTTGGTAGTAGACGGGTCAAAGTCTTTCCATTGATTTTGTTGATTGAAAGAATTCTGTTCGCCCATTTGTTGTTCGTGGGCCTGGGATATCTTGGATGATTAACTGTTGAATACTAGCACAGGATGAGGATGATATTACCTGTCCGGGAACAAACTCTGAGTTCTGCATAGAACTCATTTGCTGGGGCTTGTCCTGCGAAGACAAGTTCTCGGGAGTGTAATCACCGTAGTAATCGCGGTTAGACATTGTGGAGTTGGTTGGTTTGAGTTGATGGGATAGTCTGCAAAGAGATGTTGTCCTTCCGGCTGTCAGCTGTATATTTATGCGACCTCCCCGAAGTGCATTTTTATTTTAAGTTTCAAACTAAGGTCTAGTTAATAATAATAGAAGGTTCTTTCGGCCGTATATTTGGTGGAACTAAGAGTATGTAGTAAGCCCCCGCTAGTAAATAGTGTTGTCGCGCTACGGCTGTACCTACGGCCGTAAGGCGACCCGAGTCAGCACTATCCAGATCCCGCCACCCATAGATGGGCATTCAAGCTATGGATAGTCCGCGGATCTATACCAGAAACATGATAATCGAGAAGCTTGGTAAGACCGTCATTAAAGAGGGTTTGATATTCGCCTAGTTCACCCCCTTTCTGCCGAAGCGGTATCTAGCCGCAATCTCAACAGTTAGCAAATGTTGGCCCTACGGCCGTCAAGTCATCAAACCATAGCCTCAACTTCCTTAGTATGGCTTCAAAATGGGTAGAAAGTCTTGGCTCAGCATTGTTGCGTTGAGTTTACTCCAAGCTAGCCAGGAAGCTGAAGTCTGGAAAGTCTGAGTCGGGCCTAAGGAGGAAAATTTCTATACTTGAAGCAAAATTCGTTCTCAACTACAATCTATAAATTCAATCCTTTCACCCGCTCCCCGATAAAAAGAAGGCACAGCAGAGAACAAATTCCCCTTCCAATCTCATCTCCTAGAAACCGATTTATCTTTGCAATCATGCTCGTCAACCGCTCCACCCCTGACTGTACAGAGGTAACCCCCGATTGTCCCGTATCAGGGTCCATCTACGGTTACGCCCCCAACATCGCAGCAAGCTATGCATTCGCCATAAGCTTCGGGCTCTGTGCCCTAATACAATTCATCCAAATGCTCAAATGGCGCATGTGGTCCTTCGGTATAGCAGTTATTCTCGGTGCTATATCGGAAGTCATCGGTGAGTACAACACACCAACCGACACTCACAAGCCATACACCGAAATGAAACCGCAAATCTAATAAAACTTCTGCTTCGTTGCAGGCTACATCGGCCGCATAATTCTCCACTCCAACGCCTACTCCTCCGCCGGTTTCGAGACCCAAATCTGCACCCTAACAATGGCCCCCGCATTCTGGTCCGCCGCAATCTACCTAACCCTAAAGCACGAAGTAAACGTGCTAGGCCCAAAATTCTCGCCACTCAAGGCGAAATGGTACCCCTACATCTTCGTGACCTGCGATCTTATCTCGTTGTCCTTGCAAGGTGCGGGCGGTGGACTCGCGGCTACGGCGACGACTAGCCAGGGCAGTGCGATTGGAAGTAATGTTATGATGGCGGGAATTGTGTGGCAGGTCGCTACGTTGTCAGTTTTTGGGGGTCTTTCGGTGTTGTTTTTTTTGAGGGTTAAGAGGACGCCGAAGTATCAGCTTGAGGGGGAGGCGAAGAAGGTTTGGGAGAGTCGAAGGTTTTGGGGGTTTTGTGCGGGGATTGTGGTTTGTTTTATTATGACTTTTGTGAGGTGTGTTTATCGGTACGTTATTTCCCTTACCCCTGTACTCCTGGAGTGCGGCTTCGATACCAACAGAAGACGACTACAGTATTGCGGAGATGGCGGGAGGTTGGAGGAATAAGATCATGCAAGATGAAGTTGGATTCATCGTTTTTGAGTCTGCGTAAGTTTATATCATATGCCATCTTCCAGCCGGTCACGCTAACCATGATAACATACAGGATGTGTGCTGTGGCGGTTGCGGTGCTTTGCATCGCCCATCCAGGGTATTGCTTTAAGCAAATGCGTGGAGAAACACCCAAATCGACTGTGGAGGATACTGTTCTTCTGGAGCAAAAGACCGAGTACAACGGCGGCCATAGTATGGCATAAACTATGCACCCACTTACTCCACGAGGACGATGTCGGCATTAGTTGAGATTTGGGTTGACTGTTTTGTGCTTTGAATCTGTACTTATTTCTTTCTACCCTGATTTTATGATTGACGATCGAAGATTTCCTTGGGAGCTTGTTTGTTTGGTGAAGAATTAGACTAATAATAGACCGTTTGTGCCTTTTGATTCTTTCCCAGCCATAGACAAGAAAATGCCAAAGCCAAGTAGGAGGAAGTTCACGAGACTTTGGTATGAGAGAATGGATGAACACAATACCAAGCGGCATTAAAGCTTTGCGACCAAGTTATGCATGACTTTGCATACAGTAAGATCATCAGAAAGATATGATTATCAATTCATGTTTAATAGAATAAAGACAATGGAAACCCCCTTTTATGACAATTCCGTAACCATTCATATCCTATTCGATACAAGGAAAGACATGACATAAAGATCTAATTCAGACCCGATACAAGCCGCCGCCGGGGCATAAGCATACATCACACGTCTGGATAGATCCAGCTCAACTACCCTCAACACATCTTCAACACTTTTGGTCGTGGATCTATTCACTTCCATTCATACTCGTATCATGCGTGTCCTAACAAACATTCATGTTCGCAGTCACAGGGGCTGCGGAACCCATAGGGCACGCCGCATCATTTCCGATTCTTTCGTTCCCTCGGAGCTCCAAAGATCCCATGGGATAGGATTGAAGCTTTGAGGGAAGGAGGGGCAATTCGAATCGGACGTTTACAGGTCCTTCTTGATGATGTGGGCCTTGGGGAGGGTGCCGTTGGCACGCTCGATGGCGGCCTCGCGGGCAGCGGTGAGACCGAACTGGGTCTTGATGCCATCAACACGGTGGGTGGAGTTGATGTTCTTGACGAGGGTGAGCTGCCAGCAGGTGGCACCACCCTGGCGGGAGGTGATGGTGGAGGAAGCAAGGAAGTACTCCCAGATCTATGGAACGAAATCAGCAACTGACAGACCTAGAGTTCAGAATAAAATGAGCAAACTTACGCGGAACCACCGCTTGCCGTACTTGGCCTCAACTTTGTCCTTGTTGCCCATCCAGTTCCGGTACCAGCGCCAGAGGGTGGCAGAGTAGTGGACACCGATAGTGTCAACGGCCTTGATCTCGAAGCCGGCACCCTCAAGGCGGTCGACGACGAAGCCAAGAGGAGTAGAGGCATCAGCACCGGGGAAGATGTACTTGTTCATGAACAGACCCCAGATGAGATCCTCGTACTGCCAGGACTTGCGGAGACCAGCAATCTGCAGGAAGAAGACACCATCGTCATCGAGCATGTCGTAGACCTGAGACAAGAAACTGGAGAAGTGACGGACACCGACGTGCTCGGCCATCTCGAGGCAAGTAATCTTCTGGTAGCCACCCTCAACGCGAGGAGAATCACGGTAATCGGCGCAGACAATGCGGCTCTGGGACTCCTCGATGCCAGCTTTGCGGAGACCGTTGTTACCCCAAGCAGTCTGGTTACGACCAAGAGTGATACCAGTGACGTGGGCACCATAGTGAGCAGAGGCGTACTTGGCGAGAGTACCCCAGCCACAGCCAAGATCGAGCATCTTGTCACCGGGCTGAATGCCAATCTTCTCACAAACAACGGCCAGCTTGTTGTCCTGGAGCTCCTCGAGGGTCTCCTCCTTGTTGATGTCGCTGATGATACCGGAAGTGTAAATCATGCGGGGGCCAAGGAACCAAGCGTAGAAGTCGTCACCGCGGTCGTAGTGGTCACGAACCTGCTCCTCATCTGGGGATTCCAAAGTTAGTATATCAATGAGGCCAGAATATTGCAATTAAAATTGTACGACATACCCTGGGAACGAGTGTGCAGCAGCATCTCAGGGATGAAGCCAAACAGGAAGTGCTTGAAGAGACCCATGGTGAACTTGAAGTTGGCCCAATCGTGACGGTACTCGAGAGCCTCCAGGGCATCGCCCTTGAAGTCAACCTCGCCGTTGAAGTACTTCTCGTAGAAGACCTCCATGGGGATCTTGCTCTTGCCACGGTAGGTGGCACGGTCATGCTCACTGTGGAAGTTCAGGTAGTACTCAACGGGGCGGCCGCAGTACTTGGCCTTCTCGGTCTTGCGGGGGGAGATAGAGGAAGAGACGGTCCAGAAGGCCATCAGAACGGGGACAGTGGTGAAGATAGCAAAGAAGATGGTGGTGTAGAAGCCACCGCCAACCTGGCGGGCCAGGTACCAAGGCACCACGATGACCAGGAAGATCATCAAGCCATTGGAGAAGCTGTCGCTACCAGGCGAGTCGGCGGGAACGGGGGCATTCTTGATTGCCGGGTACTGGAAACAATTGTTTAGCTGCGTTGGTCTCGGAGTCGCTTTGGGGGTGGGGAGAGGGGGAGCTCGGTGGGAGCTCGGGCGCTAGCTCAGTAACTCACCAACGTGGTCGGAACACCGCAATCGAAGGCAGGCTTGGACTGCACGGGAGCTTCCGGAGTCTGGATGAACTCGAAGTCCTCAGTGGACTCCGGGTGGGGGGTCGTCATGTTGGCGAGTTGACAATTGAGAGGGATGAGGGAGTTGAAAAGGAGAGACAAGGGAGTAAATAATATCGTGGCAGTTCCACGGGGGGCGGTGAAGTGTGGATGTGGTGCCTGGTAAACTTAGTATGCAAACTTAGTACCAGCCTGTGCTCTGTGCTCGGTGCTCGGTGGCTGCTCCAGCCTCCGTGAGCTGCTGCGGCCCAGCCGACGCGGCTTCCAAGGGTCACTCTGGAGCTATGGGGAAGAGAACACGTTGACCACGAAGCCCCTGATAAGGTTGACTGCAGGATAATTGCTTTTTTTCAATACCAACCGACACTCTCTATTCGCTACAATATACAATTGTGTGGTATTCCCTAGCAAGGGCTCAATTGGCATTTTGCGTGCGCTTAACTGGCCTTGGCTCCGCACGATCTTCACAAGGAGTGGGGATTCCTGAAACAGTGGGATCCGCGGTTGCCAAAAGTCCCCGACAGAGGAAATAGAGAAAGACATTCATTCCCTTATGATACGCCAATAATAATTGTCCTGACCCAGCCGAGTTTCTCCATTTGCACCATCCCCAAATTGATGTCATACCCAGCCAATCCCAGCCCAAATAAAAGGAGGTAAACAACAAGAATAGACGAATAGAATCATTCCAGGATTCAACAATAGTTCGTAATTCCAATGTAATAACGTGACATGGCGGTGAGTGCTGAGCCGCGCTGATTACAGCGTCAGCTGGAAGCTGTCGGCCTCTTCAGCCTCCTCAAAGGTCGGCAGCTGTTCCTCGAGTTCCTGTGAAGCAGCACTCTCTTCCGCACTGTCAAAGCAGCCTGCAGCCTTGCAACGGATCCACATCTCAGAGTCCAGCGGCGGCATTCCGTAGAGCTGCATATAGGTTTCGGGGGATAGCAGGGCCTCCGAGTTGGCGGCTTTCTGTGCGGAAGCAGTCTCGCGGAGGGTCGATGAGACACTGCGACCCTTGGAGTATCCCACGGTCGTGTTAGAAGTGACTGCTGCGGCAGTGCTGCGCATGGAAGAGGGATTGGTCGGAGTCCGAGTATGCTTCCGAGGCATCAAAGCAGATGCTGCAGACGCAACTCGGGACTTGGGAACAGCAACGGTTCGCACAGGAGCTGAGCTGGGTCGCGGAGCTGCAAGCGCTGCGGCGGCCTCACGGGATCGAATGGTAGGAACTTGGCGGGTAGGACGCACGCTGGTGGAAGGAGCCCTGCGGTGGGTTGATTGCAGGCGTGGTTTCGGGGCTCTAGCTGCCACATCTTCGGTGTGCTCGGTGAAACTGATGCTGTCCAACTGTTTCATGATCGTATCGTTGATCATTTTGTCGCACTTGACGGAATCCTCCTGGAACTTGCGCTGTTTCTTGGTCAGGCCATCGCTGCCAATCTCCTGCTTTCCGTAAACACTCTCTAATCCCAGAGCCCGATGCTTTGGTTTGAATTGGGGGAATGTAGTATCGTAGGTGACATCATCGGGCTCATCCAAGAGAGCTATGAGCTGTCAGCAACCTTCTTCTGAATACAATTGCACGATAGACGCTTCCATACCTGTAGGCTTCGGTGGCATGTACTCAATGTCTGGCACATCATCTTGAGCAGCCTCAGTATACACCTTGGTCTGGGCCTGCTGAACTACAGGAGCCGCCTTCTTGATTCTCTGTACAGTCGAGGTTCTCCGGTTGTTTGTCTTCTCGGGCTTTGACGTTCCTCCAAATGGACCTGGAGTCTTGAAGGCATTGGTCTTGAGGTTGGTGGTTTTGTTGCCCAGTACAGCACGTTGTCTGGTCTCTATACGAGCAATTTATTAGTCCCACTCCAAAGCTTCGCGTCAATTGACTCAAGGAGCTCGGTCACGTACCCCCAGGCGTGACGAACGCGTTCAACGCCGGTTTTCCATTCTCCTGGCCACTCTTATTGCCCTTGATTGTTCCCTTCCCGAATGCGCGAGGATTGTTCTCATCGTTGAGCGGCACTGACTTGCCGGGAGTCTTGGGCGGTATTTTGTTGATGCCCTGGTTCAAGGGTTTCGCTGCGGCGGCAGTCTGGTGGGTATTTACCAGGTTCTCCTGGTCGCGAAGGGCCAACATGGTGGCGTGTGGAGGCAGTCGTTTCGCATACACTGACGGATCGATTCTGGCAGTGGCAGACAAAGAAACGGTGAAGGTAACCTGGTGAGGCGTAAGGTCGAGAGCTCGTATGATCCAAACGAGTCTAGAGTGTTGTCTGGGTGGTTGCCCGTGGAGACAGGGCGATCGGAGCCATGTGATTGGGGTAGGGGCCAGCGGGGCTGGTTGTGTACGGTACACGGCAGGTACCGTGGCAGGAGTCACTAACGTACCTAAAGGACCTAAATGGAAGACTAGGCAAAGTACCCGGTACTTTGCGGTCGGCGGCCGTGGTCACCGCTCAACGGGTACTAAGTACACCATCAGCCATGAATTCCTCCCCTTACCCAAACTCCGACCTCCCCCACGGCCTAATCCCTCCCCCCCCATCCCACTACTACTACTCCGGCTCGCTGAGCGAAAGCCTACTACTTTTCTTCATTCATACATATTACTCTTCATCAACCCTCTCTTCTTTCAAATCATCTCAACATGGACAAGATCAAGGAGGTAAGTGTCTGCCTACCATCCCTGTTTTGGTGGGGTAGCTTTGGCAAGCTGTCTCTTTTACCCTTTTGGCCTGCCCCTCGTCTTGCATACCATGCCTATGCATACCATCCCACTTCTATCCACCCGTCTGACCGTGGCATTATGCTAACTATGTTCTTTGCTAGCGTATGAGCGCCCTCCGCCTCGAGGCCGACGAGGCCCACGAGCAGGTCGAGGAGCTGAAGGCCAAGGTCAAGACCCTGGAGCAGGAGAACCTGTCCAAGGAGCAGGAGATCACATCCCTCAACCACCGCAACCAGCTTCTTGAGGAGGAGGTTGAGAAGCTCGAGGGCTCCGTCAAGGATGCCAAGGATGCCGCCAACCAGAGTGCCCAGCACGACACCCAGAACGAGGCCCTTCAGCGGCGCGTGCAGCTCCTCGAGGAGGAGGCTGAGGAGAACGACCGCACTCTCCGGGAGACAAACGAGAAGTATGGTCTACTTGATAACGTTTACTTTTCCACTTCTATGAACAGACCTTGCTAATCTATCTGGATCTATAGGCTCCGCCAAACCGACGTCAAGGCCGGCCACTATGAGCGTAAGGTCCAGGCCCTCGAGACGGAGCGTGACCAGTGGGAGGCCAAGTACGAGGAGATGGCCAAGAAGCACGCCGAGTTGCAGAAGGACCTGCACGACCTCGAGGTCTCCATCAGCAACGTCTGAGTTGGCTGACTTGGGGTATTGAGTGTAGGGTGTCGAGAGACGTTGGGGTTGGATGCAGGCTACTCCCCTTTCCATCTGTCTGCTTGCTTCATTTTGTAACCAGTCTTGTGTTGCTTCCCCTACCATGCTTTTGGAGACCGCGTCCCCAATAGCACATATGCGATGTTGACTATGGTGCCAGTTTTGTCTTGCAAATTAATTACCGTTCTTCTGTCGCCAGCGTCGGTCTTGTGAATCATAGATTTGATTAAACGCCAGAATTTTCGAAACTCCTAAGTAGTTGCTAGATGGTATAACATGTATGAATCGCTTTTTTTGCGAGAGACACTTCCTTCAGAATTGTACATCTCATCATTTCTCCCTCCGGGCCTTGGCCTTCTTCGCCTTTGTCAAGCGCTGCTTGGCAGCCGCGAGTTTCCGATCCTGCTTGCTTTCATACCGGAACTGCTTCTTCTTCTTCTTGGGCTTGTCGGCCGTCACTTTCCTCTTTTTGGCGGCCTCGGCTTCTTCCTCCTCCCTCTTCTTCGCAGCTGCCTCTGCCTTGGCCTTGTTCTCTTCCTCGTCCGAGTCTTCTCCCAGAATCGACTTGCGTAGGCCCTCTCTCGAAGAGTCTATCTCCTCCACGGTGACGGTAGTGTACTTGTCTTCGTCGATATATTCGGCCTCGTAGTCAACCGCGGGCGGTTCCTCAATACCCTCCCATTCGTCGTCGCTCTCCTCGTCGGCATTTGTGTCGCTATTATCACTCATGTCCTCCTCCTTGAGACGCTTCAGCTGTAGTTTGTGCTCTTCCATCGCTCGTCTGAATTCTGCTGCTCGCTCTTCACGAAGCTAAACGCGGACAATCGATTAGTGAATGTTGTTGGTTGGCCAAAATCTGGATAAATTCATTTCACACCTTTGCGCGATCCTGTCGCTTCTCTTCTTTCATCCGCTTGATCGCGATCTCCTGCGCATGCTTGATGCGCTGTTGCTTTCGCTTCCGAAATCCAGTCAAGAATTCTTCGCGGGCGGCTGCGTCGAAACTGACTTCTTCGACCTTGGAGGTCTTGCGACGTTTAACGGGTGGACCCATTGTGTAAAAGGATTCAGAGTAAATGGTACAATAAAATCGTTCAAGAGACCCCCAGTGTCTGGTCGTGGGACTGTGTTCTGTCCAACCAGAAAAAAAAGTAGCGTCTCCAAAAGCTCAGACGCCGCAGCGGGCCCGGACTCTGGGCGACCGCCTCCGAGGCCAAGTCGGACCTCCCGTTGGCATCATCATCATCCACCCCAGCGACTCCTCCACAAAGCACAATGCATTTGAGCAGGTTTGGGCTAGTCGCCCTCGGGGCAGCTGCAGTCGATGCCTTCCGTGACACTTCTCCATTCTTCCTTGCATCGACCTCCGAGTAAGCAGCTTGAGTCCGTCTTGAAACTATGGCCAGCTAACCAGCTCCTCCTGCATGTAGGGTCCTAGCGAACTCCGCAAACATCAAGACCAGCGCCTCGCTATTCGGTGATCTTTCTTCTGCTCTTGGAGCTTGCCCGTCAGAATACTATGTCGTCGTCAACCAGCCTGGCGTGCATAGCTCTGACTTCGCGACCCGCAAGTCGGCACCCCGCCTCGGCGCGAAGATGCTAGGCAAGGACAAGTCTATCCGATCGAAGATGAGCGTCAACGAGGTGGCTGGTCTTTTGGAGGTTAAGCAAATCAAGGGCCTTTTGGAGGAGAAGTGCCAGGCCCAGACTACCGTCGTTGACGGCTCTTGTGAGTTGCTACGGCCGGCCCGGCTTCAATGGTGGCGGGTTATAGCTTGGAAACCAGGACTCACAAGGACCAATAGCTGGATCATACCCCTCATACTTTGAGTCCGGTCCTCGGATTATCGACATCGAATTCCCCATGCTCTCGCTTGGTTCGGACCGTGCCGACCAGCTCTCCAACAACGGTACGTGGAGCTTGATTGTCGACGACTAGTCTTCTAATATTCATAGATGGACTGATTGCCGACATCATCGACCGCATTCCTTCCTCCTCCAAGTATACTCTTGTCTATGTCACCTCGCCGAGGGAGTTCCCCGAGACCGACTCAGTCGTCTACGAGACCGAGGATGCCTATCCCGACTCTGTTCGTATGGAACTCAAGCGCGACTACTCCTCCCACTCCTCATACTCTAGCGCGTCGGAGTCGGATCGCCAAACCTCTCTGTTTGACGAATACCAATTCTTTACCCCCGGTTTGTATTCGCTTCCTTATGATTACTCTTTTATCTTGTTCTAACTCCCTGGCAGGACTTTTTATGGGATTCATGGCCACATTCCTCTGCCTGATCATCCTTTATATCGCTATCAGCGCCGTAAGCAGCCTTCGGGTTCCTTATGCTGCATTTGAGAAGGATACTTCCGCTGCTGTGCAGAAAAAGCAGCAGTAACTTTGGACGGGCACTATTTTGGTGGCAGTCGTCGACTCCAAGATAATACCTTGCTCGATGCATGCTACAATTGAATTATTTGCGTCTTTTCGGGGTCAGGGGCACCATTCTTTTGTGTTTATGTATGATACATCACACTGCGATTTTTCTGGTAGAATTCAAGCCATCATCATGTGACACCCCCTCAAGCCGCACGCCTGAGGCCTCAGGCCTCCGGCCTCCGCGTTCAGGCACTTAATTTAGCGCAGTAACTTGGTGTCGTTTAGCTTTCCTCCGTGTTCTCGCTTACCCAAAGAGACCCTTTTCCCCTCTCCGAACCCTCAGACACTCGTTGCTTCCTGTTGGGAGACAGTCATTCGTTTTACCTGGAGATGTCAATGGTGTATCCCTGAATTGGAATCTGTCAAGAGTGTGGAGCCCCACAGATCCTGTCAGGGGAACGGCTTCAACCACGCATTCCGGGCGCTGAAAGAGATTGGCCCCCAATATTTGAGAGCCTTTGACTCGAGTCCAGCTCTCAGGAGTGCGCTGTTAACGATTTGACCGATTCCTGTGTCTCTACACACTCGCTATTGATTGCCAACTACCCCAGCTGACCCGCTGTGGAGAACATCCGATTCCTTTACATATTGACAGAGCGAGCGAGGAAACCAGAACAAGATGAGACTCTCACGGCGCGGGCTCGGGAAGGCCCAGCCGTCATTCATCTTCCTCTTGGTACTGCTGCTCGCCATTACCGCTCGTGTGGCTGCAGAGCCAGCGGATGCGAAGTCGACCTCTACTACAACGGATGCCGCCCAGACCACCACCGCTGATCCCTCCTCCACCACCTCTAGCGTGACCAGCACCTCGTCCTCCTCTTCATCGACATCGACAACGAAGTCCACCTCTAGCACGACTTCTTCCTCGTCTACAACATCTACGACCATGTCAACTACGTCGACGACGTCCTCCTCGTCGACTTCCTCTACTTCCTCCACCTCTAGCACAACATCGTCCGTTTCCACAACAACCGACTCAACATCCTCATCTTCAACCTCTACGTCCGGCCCGGTCGTGACCGTCCCTCCTACCGCAAATGCGCCGTATATGCAGACAACGAATGTCCCGGAGGGTACGGTGTTTATCGCCGTCGGCGCAATCCTAGGGTTGATCGGGCTGGCGGTCCTTGCCTGGCGCGGCATGGTCGCATGGTCTGTGAACCGCTCAGTGCGCCGCGCAGCCCTTGCACAAACCTCCGACAAGAAACGACTGGCGCGACGGGGCGGTGGAAGGAAGCGCTCCCACGGAGTCTATGCGGCTACAGCGGGCAACGATGTATCCCTCGATAAGCTCGGGGCAGCCACTCGCGCAAGCTATAAGCCCTCGAAGCGAGGTCCCAGCACAAACAGCGGCTTGTTCTTTTCGCCAACCGCCGGCGGTGCTGGATCGCATCATAGTCTCAATAACGCGGGTAACCGTGGTTCGAGTTACCTGCCCGCCGGGTACTATGCTGCCGCTGGTACCTCCACGCCAGTAAGGGATGCGAGCGGGTCGCAGACCAACATCTACTCCCCCACTGCTGGTCTCTCCTCGCCCACTGCATTCCATGCAGGATCCTCCCCATCTCTGCCCGCGGTTGGTGGATACCCCGAGATGCCGCACACTCGCCATTCGCATCTCGGCGCTTCCACCAGCTCCCTGAATCTCAGCCAGGCACCGCAGGGTCGTGCACCGAGCGCATATCTCGAGGATCTTTTCGAAAGCCATACATCACCCCGTCATTCCGAATCTGGTCTCGGTCGTCAACCGGACTCTGGTCGGCGATGATCATTAGTCTCAAGTCCATAATGACAAGGATGAGTATGGGCGGCTCATTTCCAACTTTGATCTATTCTTGGTTTCTTTGTGCCATATTTCAAGTTATTTTCTTTTATTACTCTCCGTCTTCGAACGCACTGGCGTTCTTTGGAGCTTTTGGACCCTTTCTGCATTGTTGTGTCTCGTATTTACTTTCCATCTAGGTCAAATTTCATGTTCATAAAGCGAGCTGTGATCTGATAATATAATCCCTTCATCTCCAAATTCCCTCATGGCAGCACAATGAGTACATCCATTGGTTTTTGCCATGATTAGCATGTCTATCCGGGGTTTAAGATCCCGGCATCCTTCTTAATCCAAGCCCTCCATTGAATAGCAGCCTACATTGTCGATGGAAGGACATGGTTGGTGGTATCTCAGCAAGGTGGTACCTACCTTAGGACGGGTTGCCATTCATGTCCAACTCCCATGAATTAGCTGGTTGCATCAATTTCGTCTCCAATGGATGGAGCACAACAGAGTAAATTTAGGGCTTCAAGTGGAGGCCACCCTTGCCTTGGAAGTACGATCGTCGAAGAAGACAAAAGTGATATTGAAAGCTAGTAGAACTTTGCCGAGTACAGCAGATCATCTGGGAAGGAAGATGCCGAGAACGACACTCCGTAAACCCTCTATTGGGTCTCTGCTAGGCTATGTATTCATTCTATCACAGTCATTTCACGTGCGAACATGGAATTGTATCAACCGTGAGTGCTGTCCATGCTTTGAAGTTGATATCTACTTTCCTCTCCGGTTGTTTTCTAGGATACTTGTAGATCCTCTAGATTGTTAGGTTTCACCTCGGGCGTTCGAAAGAGAATTGAACATGTCCATTTCTAAAATAGAAACTTGAAACTCCAGAAGTTCATAAACCAAGCTCTGAGGGTCCCTCTTCAAACCAAGGATCTGTGAGTAGTTCCTTTGCCGTCTGCCTGTCCTCGGGACGCCATTGTAACATCTTCCTCAAGAAGGCCAAGAACATTATTTTCTCTTCCCCTTCGAAATACTTTTCCTCTTCCTCCAGGCCTCTTGCAGGGATTGCCACATCATCGAATTTCCACTTGCCTAAATCATAGTCAGCACTCGATACAGATACGACCAAGAGAACGAACAATGACCTCACCATTTTCGTCAAATCACTCGAGACTTCTCTTGCCACGCTTGATCAAATCCGCAGGGGGTGGTTTCAGAAGCCCAATTACCTCCGCCAAATGTACCCTTGTGAGATAGCTTTTTCTCTCTGGATCCTGACCAGAGAACAAAGAGTGTCCCGGGGATAAATCCCAAGCCTGCCATTCATAATCAGCAATAGGAAACTCATGGACTGTAATAAACAGACTTACCATGTATCCGACATTTCAAATAATTTCAAATATCAATGGCATAGTCCCAATCCGCCTTTATCATTATCTCCGGTGACCTGTAGGCGCCTGGCTGGGCATCGTGGTTGTGTTTCTCCTCCCCGAATACAGCTGCACCAAAGTCAGTCAGCATGGGCATGCCATACTCTCTGGGTTCCCTCCAAGACCGTGATTGGTAGATCGTTCTTCCCCCTACAAATTTCCGGGGCGATGGGTAAGTGTGCTCATCCTCCTCGAACTGCTGCAAGATAGCAGAGTCCGCAATTGACACGAGGATATTATCCGCTTTGATATCTGGTCAGGACAAGAAGCGTTAACAAATCTCACACAGCAAGGCTTTTGCATAATCCCCTACTAGTATGAATAATTTTGCGTTCAGTGTGTACGTAGTCAAGGGCCATGAGGACATTCCACAGAGTTTCTTTCAACAGGTATAGGTCCAGACGGTTATCGGGCCAGCGACTCTGAATCACTGATAGGTTTTCCCACATGGGCTCCAATCCCTCAGCCATTTCAAGCCGAATGCCATGATTCGAGAATGTTTGGTGATTTTCGGGAGGGAAAAAGAGCTGGAGAAGGTGAAGAACCTTTTTTTATTCTCATGGAAGTTTCCTGTCTCATATTCATTTCTTCTTTGTTCCTTGTCTTGGAGGCCGGAGATGACTAGTGTGTCCCAGCCAGCCCTGGAGGCCTGGGAGGTTTCTTTGTCTCTCTACAAAGCCAGTCCGGCCCGAATCCAAGAAAACAAGCCCTCCAATATTGATTGACACGCTCAATGGGGATCTTATTTGTTGAAAGCTTTGTAAATTCTTTAGTCCTTTACTGTTGGGTCACTATCCGAGGCGCCGTTGTATGATCTTACCAAAGATAGCAGCCTCGAGTGTTCAATAAATAACGCCACAACTTCGTGCAGCTTTTTGACCCGTTTCAGCCTTCAAGAAATAACTTATGCTATCTGTTTTATCTCGGATGGATTAGGCAAAACAAATGAATACCGGGGTAGAATTGGAAACCATCCAACTCCAGGCTCCCTGCTGAACCTATAACCATGAAATCTTATAAACGACCCGGAAGTTTCCCTGGACTATTTGCTCTCATCCCATCTTGATTGTTTGATATGCAGAAGTGTGCACGTATATACACGACTTTGTCTACCATCCCACGCGAACTCGATCCAAGATGAGCCGTCCAGGAAGCTTGCAGTCGCCTTCAGCTAAACCATTCTTCTTATTTCGTTCTCACAAACCACCACACTCGCCAGGTTCCTATTCCGATACATCTCGCCAAGAGAAGCAACCAAGAATGGTGATCAAGGTTCATTATCAATCTATTCTCGTCTCTTAGGCCCCGTCAAACATGGACGAGGGACTGCTGGCAACGCCTACCGAAGTTAAGGATACGATTCAAAGAAGTTCAAATAACAACTCACTTGGGATCCTTTGAAGGTCATTACCCGGTTCTATGAATAGGTGTTAGTGGACTCCCTCCTGCGTACCTCTACATAGGTAGGCGGGCCCTATCATATTCTCTTTACATCTACTGTTGGTCCCGAAGAATAGCAAACCACCGTGTATAATTTGTTTGCAAAGGGAGCTTTATACAATTCAAGATCTCACTATTCAAAGTTTGTGCATGGCTTTCATTTCTCTGATATGATATGTCATGAAATCGTGCTAATCCCCACCTGTCAAGTATAGAGAAGAGAAGGAGGAAGTTGAAGATAACTATCTAGCCATATGCCGTTTCCTCCGTCGAGATCACAATCATTAACGTCCAATATTTCTCAAAAATCCCTAACGGGTTTCTTCCGAAGGCTCTTCTGAAAGCTCCGCCACAAAGATCCATGTACTTTTTCAGGGCAAGATTAATCACGTGATCGAACCACCGGCCTAGAAAGCCACTCATTCTAGGCACTTTCTGTCTTTTCCTCTCCCGCCTTCAGTTCTTCTGCCCTGGTTAAAACCACGCACTATTTTCTGAGTATATAGGAGTCTCCCATTCTCTCTTGAACATGATATCTAAACCCAGTACACCGCCCGTGCCCATGTCGACACCTCAAAGTCCTTTGACAGGCTATAGAGTGACATCGCTTGCCCCGGTATTGATTTGGTGTATCAGGTTCATAGATCATTGCCCCATACCCTAGTATGTTATATTGCCGGCTAATAAATTGTTCTAATGATACCTCAGACAAGGGTCTATAAAAAGTTCGGGGGTCGGACGGTCATACCAAGTACTAGATCTAGGAAGACTACACCGACCGTAGTTTTATTTCCTCATGCTGTGATATCAAATATACAAACCCAAAGAAACTGATCAACGTCACTACCCCAAAAAGGCTAAGGCGGGAACCAACTTAGCTATCGATCGGGTATCAAGGCGGAAAAGATACACATAATGAAGGACCTGTCTAGCTTAGTGAAATATACTGCTTTCCACTATCGAGGTTTCAAAAAACATCATGAATAATCCATTGAGGACTGTTTCTAAAAGAATTTCTCTTCAAATGACAAAATCCTCAAATACTTCGCTAGAAAGACCCGTGTAATTATCTCCGTATGTAGCTGAAAGGGGAACAATATTCACCTTATCACCCCCAGCGAGTCATTCGCGATATTGCCAAGCTTACAGTAGATAGCTTTAAGATTGGAGTGAACGTAAAAGAATTGAACCAAAGTGACACATGCGGCCTCGGACTTCATTTCTCTTCCATCCAGACTGCTTGCTCTTCAGCTTATGGAAACCTGCCTTTCATTGTCAGGGGACGGCCTACTGGCGCGTAATAAGCAATACATGGAAGCATTCTAGCATAGCACATCGAGTGCTTTTTAGTAAAGACCAGTTCGTCCTCCGAGTCATATTGTACATGTCATTGAAATTCCGAAGCTCCTAGTGCTAACACCAAGATAAACGGCAAGGAGCTGACAAATCAAACTAAAAAAAAAGAAAGTAATGTACAAAAAAGCGCTAAAGACATGTATGAGAACCTCCGTCACTTCCAGCAAATTAACCTTAACGTGAAACTAAGTAGCCAGCTGAAACGAGCATGCCAAGTCCACGAGCTGATCCTGACACAGGGAAAGAATTGTAAAAGGAAGAATTCCAATACCGGTCAAAGGAGTCTTGAGGATCGAATGTTCAACCAGAAAGAAAGAAAACGAAGAGAGGCATACAAGTGAATGATATGTACTTTCCTTACACCAAGTAAAATGAGAGATCGGGGTCTCGTGTCTATAACTGTTCTAATTGTATTGGATGGGTTGACGTAGGTAAACGTCCGTAGATGATGTGGGAAGCATGTGTTGCTTCCAGAGAGAGGGTGTTGTGGAGGAGTCGACAACTGAAATTCTGTGTCTCATACTCGTTCCAAAATGATGGGTTTGAACGGAACCGCTTCAAAAGAGAAAAATGAGAGCAATGATGTATTGCCCCGTCGCACGGGATGGCGTGGCGGTCTCTGTTTAATCCGCGTCGAATTTGTGGTTGAAGTCGCCAAGCAGAACATCGTCTGGGCCGGGCCCTTGGGTGTTCCGAACTGTTGCACAAAAGAGAGGTGGTCAGCAAATGAGAGAAAGAAACCGGGACCGTGGTGTTCAGTAGATATCCGCCTGGCAAACGGCTCGCTGCAGAAGGTGTGGAACAGCTGAGACTTACTCCATTCAGCTTCGACCCGGAAAAATACCCACATCCAACGACGGGCGACCTCGAGGAACATGAGCAGGAACAAGCCAGATTCAGTTTCAGAAAGCCATGTGAGACCCGGGACCACGCGCCACAGCCATGAGAATCGGAGCGCAAGATCCGCGATGATGACGTAGTGGTACAACCGGTCGGAAGAAAAGTTGCGGTGTCTTCGTAGCCCGTATGGGTGTTCACGGTCTGAGCGATTGGGGGAGAAAAGTGTGAAGTCCCAATCCTTCACGACATCCCACCAAAACGAGTAACTAGAGTTGATAAATGCGGAAATGAATCTGTGAGGTGTATTAGAAGTAGGTTTCATTTTATAGTACAATAACACAGTTGACTTACAAAAGACGCATAATAGTCACCTCGCTGAATCCGTGGAAGTCCAGCGGGCTATAGTTGCGGAGCTTGGCATTCAGGTAGATGACCGGGAAGGCGGTGGAATACTTCAAGGCGTTGGCCAGGTGCTGGGTTCCCTTGCTGATTTCCCGCCGAGATGTCGACCGGCGCGAGCGCATATATTCCGTCAGACACTGACGCAGTCGAATCGCGCTCGGCACGGCGATAATAATCGGCACAACAAAGTCTTTCCCACAGGCACGATTCGGCTTGGATGTTGCAGACAGACCGTCCGTGAAGAACATGCAGAAACTGATATAGAGATCGGCCAACACACGCGCATAACTCGTCAGGGCATCTGCCAGCAGAACATCGCCAAACTTGCCATCCTGTGACTCCGCGAGACCTCCGATAGCGACCCGTTTCAGTGTTAGAAGGAGGCGGATACGGCCTGCCCGGGAAGCCCGGTTGAAGGGCCAGATCAGGATCATGAGGAGGATAATAAAGATCGACTGCGGGATGTAGTCGAAACGACCGACGAGCTCAAACTGGCAGTGCGTGACGATCCAGAAGACGACCAACCACAGGGTGAGGGGGATGGTGAAGATAGTGGCTAGTCGGTAGACGGAGGCATGGTGTGTCCGTTGAGCGGAGGATGGGTATCGGATAAGTGCAGGGACATCCTAGAAGAAGAGAAGCGCTTGTTAGACCTGGGATTGGACATTTCGAGCTGGTTTGAGGTGTTCCGGGCCCCGCGACGTACAATATTGGCCTTGGCCAGAAAGTGTAGGTTGATCGCCCATCCCCAAAACCCTGTCGTTTTGATTAGCCACTGCTGTTCCAGCTTGTATAGAGACCAAGACAAAAACGAGGACAGCCGATCACGTACCAGCAACTAAGAGGGCAGCGACCCGAATAGGGAAGGGGAAGGTCAACCCGAAGCCATCTATTTGCGGCTGTTGATCCGGCCCCATTATTCCATGGATTGATCGGGGAGAGAGGGGAAGTAGGAGGAGGGAGGGATGGTGGAATGGAGGGGCGAGATGACGAGGCTAGACGCAAGACACGAAGACCCCGTGGGGGAGTTGAAAAAGGGAGGAAAAGAATGACTAGGGGTGAGGATCCGGATTTTTCGTGAAGATGGGGACGAAGTTCGTTTGGATGGAGTTGCAACTTTTGGGAGTGGCCGCTTTCAGGCCCCGTTAATAAGCACCGTCTTTGCTCAGGAGTTACGCGCCCTGCGCTGGTCCGCTGGTGCAGGTCGGCAGTGGAGAATAAGATGTGGAATTTCAGTGGATTTTCCAGGGGTCTTTAGTGGTCTTTGAAGGTCTGGAACTCCACCATGTCCGATGGTGTTTCTTCGTTCGGACTGATTTAAATGGGTTTAAGTGGGTTAATTGGGTGACAGGGGGAAAGAGAAAAAGAAAGCCTGGCATTGGGAAGGAAGATTAAACTCTCATAGGTTTAGTGGGCAGCTGCAGAGTTCTATTATTATTAGCAGTCCCCGAACATGATTCGATTTCAATTCCCAAGAGACGACCCGAAGATCTGCTTGCGATCGACAGTCCAGGGGCCGCTTTTCAAGCTGTTCGCGCTGTGCTGGTCGTTCTCTAACAATCTCTACTCGTCTGGTGGAATCCACTATGGCATCATGGTGATCCCTGCACCCACTCACTTACGCAGCGCCCAGCACCAGTGCTTTCATTGAAACATGACCAAACTTGGCTATATAGATGTTACCACTACCGAGCCACCAAAGCATCAAATCATTGACCCTTGATTAGCCACCGGCTGTGTTAAGGGTCTTCTCTTAAACAATAATATTAAGGGGAGTATGAAATATGTAAGCCTTGATATTTTTTAGAATTTCTTCGTCTTATGTAATCGGGACTGCCCGATGCGGTTGGATATCATGTGATCATTCTGGGTCGGCCTTCAGTCCCAGGGTCACCTGATCTCAGCCGAGGCAGTCCGGGGAATGAGCCGAAGCATCGCTCATCGCCGTGGGGAAAGCACCGGGGATGCTTCCCATTGCCCCCATACACAATTTTGATCCTAGCAACACTTCATTATTCACGTACCTGCTCCAATCACTCATACACCTACCACCATGGCCGATGACGACCCCCATTTGTCGCTAGCCACCCCCGACGCCCCCGTCGGCTCAACCGCCTCACACTTCTACCCCTTCGCGACATCCCCAGACATCATCCGCTCCCACGAGAAAGATGCCTACCTCACCAGCGGGCTAGTCCAACAAGCCCAATCCATAGTTCGAGCCCTCCGCGGCGCCCGCTACGCCCACAACCACTCCGACGCCATCAAGCACCTCACCGAGCTCCTCTACTTCTCCCTCACCACCGCTATCGGCAACCGCACCCTCGGCGAAGAATACTGCGACCTCGTCCAGCTGGAAGATGACACCCTCCGCTTGCCCGCTATAACCCGGCGCGTCGGATACATCCTCAGCAGTATACTAGTGCCCTGGTCACTACAGCGATTGCTACCCGCGCTCCGACAGCGCGTGCGCAATAAGCTCGAGCGCAGCATTGCTAAGCAACAACTCCGGGCTGCGCAGCAGGCTGGCCTGCTCAATTTCAATAAATCTCCTTCCGGCGTGGTGAGCAAACAGCCCAAGCCGTTCTTTACGAAACTGCGGATTCAGCAGTATATCCTTGAACACCTTGATTCGATTACATCCGTCTCGCCGATCTATGCGCTTAGCATTGCGACGTTTTATTTCACCGGCTCGTATTACCATCTTTCCAAACGGATTTGGCGTCTACGATACGTGTTCACGAAGAAGATTGAGGAGAACGAGCAACGGATTGGGTACGAGGTGTTGGGCGTGTTGATGGTGTTGCAGATCGCTGTGCAGGGATTCCTGCATGTACGCAAGATTGGCGCGAGCATGAACGAAGATCTAGAAGAGTCTTCAGGGACTGGGGAGAATCGATCGGAAGCTGGGGCGCTCATCCCGTCTATCCAGAACCCCCTTACCGTGCCCCTGCTTCCTGCGTCAACTGCCCGGTACGACCTTGACGAAGATCCCGGTGCAGTGGCGTGGATCCCGGACGGTCAGCAGCGGAAATGTACATTATGCTTGGAGGCGTTTAAGGACCCCAGTGTGACGACTTGTGGACATGTTTTTTGCTGGGTTTGCGTAAGGGATTGGGTGAGGGAAAAGCCCGAGTGTCCGCTTTGTCGGCAGGAAGTGCTACTGTCTAAAGTACTCCCTCTGAGAGGGTAGTCTTGTGTCTTGTTAGCCTTCTTTACTTGTAATACTTGACTTTACATATGTACTAGATGTATATACTTGACCTGGATGAATATATACCCCCACTTTCTCCTACGACGAATACACCTTCGGGCATGCATCTACTTCTACGTATGGTTATCACCTATGGCTTGTTAGCCTTATTCACTTACAATGCTTGACTATACAAGTAGAAAATACCTGTGAAACGACGCCGAAAATAGCTCCTCAACTTTTAGGGCTGCACACGAATACCATCTTTACGGATATAGGAATACTCGTGCGAATACAAAGAAATCAGTTGTATCTGCTCAGTAATATTCAAACTAAGTTCTAACTTGGTAATCAACGAACATAATCTCTTTGAGTAAGGTTTTTGAATCAGCTAGGTAAGTCTGCAACCCTCATTATCCGACTAGTGGCATCGAAATTCTCCTTCATACTTCAATAACGCTCCACACCAGCCAGCTTGAGGAGCCTCTCAGTCCTCTCCGCCTTGGTGATCGGCTCATCTCTCTCCAACGGGTCCGGAACTTCTTCCCCATCAATAGTCTTCGTGGCCTTACCATGAGAAAAGAAGTTCGTATGCGGCCAATGAGTCGTAGTCTCAAAGTTCTCAAAAAGATCGACCTTCAAAGCACGATCCTCCTCAGACATCCACGCCGCAGGTGTGTAAGTCACGTACGCAATCGTCCGAATAAGATCCGAAGTGCCAAACTGGGCCCAATGCATCTGCCTCGAATCCCAAAGGATCAAATCGCCCGGCTCGGCACAGACTTTGATCAATTCGCAACCCCGGGCTTTATACCACTCCAGGTCTTTGTCTTGGAAAGGGTGGAAGTCCTTGTGTTTGGCTGTTCGCCAAGGTGTAGGACCTTGAACTGGGTTTTCGGCGAAGAAATCGTCGAAGAGCTTCGATGATCCTTTCATGACGATCAGGCCGCCGTCATCGGGTCCGGCGTTGGAAAGGTTGACGATTCCTTGGACGCATCGGAGGCCGCCGCGTTCGGGTTGTTGGTCGACGTGTGGCCAGGGTTTGGAGTCGTAGGCGCCGACGATGGATTGAGGAAGTGTGATGTTCACGGTGTCAAAGGAGACAACGAGCTCTTCTGTTTCCCATAGCTTGGCAAAGGGTGAAATGACTCCAGGTTCACTAGGATTTTTTGAAAGGTTAGCTGTTGGTTTATGTTGAGGGGGGATTGGAAGATTGTGCTTTACCATCTGATATCCCACATATACTTCTCATGAGCGGCAGAGAAATGGAGGTACATCCCCCCCTTCCAACTCTGAGGAAGATTCTCCTTTTTCCATGTGGATTTGTCGTTACGATCAAATCCGAGACCAAAAGACTCTAGCCAAGTCAAAGCATCACTCTGATATCCCTGTGCTCGCTCCTTGGGGATAACACCCTTGATGACCACATATCCGTCCCGGAAGAAGTCATTACGCCAGTCCCCATACTGGGTCTGCTGCTTAGACACAACAGCCTCGGGAGTGTCGATGCGGGAGGGGGCCATATTGAGTTCTGTGAGGCTCAAGTTTAATCAAATGGCGTTTTCTAAAACAGAAGCAGCCTCAATAATTATGGCGAGGGACCCAACAGAGGCTTTTTAAGCTGGGTGAACAGAAATGGGCCTGTCAGCCATGATATACCTCAACCTCCACCCTCTGGCCTGGTAGGTCCCCCACAGATCCGAGTTCCTCAGTCATAGATGACCCCAAATTCCCATCTCCCTCCAATCGAAGTTGTCCATCGTTGGTCAGTTGACGTGTGGTGACCAAAACTCACCCGAACTCGTCCGAGCTCGGGCGAGCTCAGCCGCCACTAGTGGATACCCTTCGTACAAAAATGCAAGAACCTGAATAGCAACTTCATCTCCACATTCCGATAGAATCTACAACAGACAACTAGATTTAGTTCGAATGTTGATAAAGCCAATCGGTGTTTGGGATTCACTTGATCCCGTTCAAACCGCGATAAAACAATAGTTGCGCCTTCGACAGTGCCGTGTCGATCAACGCGGCAAGACGCCAACCTCAGGCAAAGCCTTGAATAATTATGAGCCAAAGTGAGAGGTACCGCATCTTACATTATGTTAATATGGCGGTAGATGTTGGAATATAACCAATATCATTTCTCTCATTTTGGGTACTGGGTGACTTATGCTACTTAAAGTCTGAGAAGTCGGCGACATTAAAATAGAAGATTACAAATACCTCGTGACTTTCGAAGGACAGTTATGGTACATGCAACACTGCTATTTCCCCATTTGACTACTCTTAATGCACAGGGGTATTATGTGAAACTATCAAATACCTATGAAGTAGGTCAGGTTGTCAACAATACACCACTAGAAAGTTCCACAACGACTGCTGTCTTGCTTCTAATGGCCTGTTCACTTTGTCGGGTACTTAGGGGCATATTGATGAGAGTCTGAACACCTGGGCCCAGCATAGTGCCAGATAAAGCCTGAATGGCAAATTTTTATACGTTAATCTTTTGCGTGTTAGCTAAAAGACACTATACTAAGCAGATCAGGTCTGCCCTTCACGGAATCAGAATTATCAGAAACCATAAGAATATTAAGAGCCAAATGCCATATCCAACTGACCACACACAAACATTCTCCAAGAGTCAACCTGAAATAAATCCCCCGCCTTCATGAATCGAACCTTCGGCCTTGCTATTCTCTATATACTTCGCCCTTGTTACTACATCGCCGTCCCAGGACACCGAAAAACATCGCCATCCCACCCTAGTGCCGCACCTAATATACAGCACCCTCTTTTTCACCCTCTAACACCGGTTAAATGCTATTAAAGAATAAGAATCAATAAAATAGATTATTATAAGAGAGATTTCTACCAGAAAAATAATATTGCCCAAAAATGCGGAAAACAAAAAAAACTCCCCCCGCCTAGGGGTGTGCCCGGCCGTTTGTGGAGCTCGAAGCGTCAACACTGGCCCAGTATCAATTCTTCTTCTGTTTGCCCAATCCTCCAGGGCACACCAATGGTTCACCAATTTATGGTGGATACCAACTAGGCCATCGGAGGGCCGAGTGATTGTTTGACCTGGAAATCGGTGATAACCCTCCAACTCTCCGATTTAGAGTCTTAGCAAACAAATATTGCCAAAGCATCTGGATAAAACTTGTTATGCTTAGGAAGCGAACACGTATTCTCGAACGCTAAGCATTTCCCTGCAACTTAGCAAAACAGTTAGTGATAGCAAAGGAGTTGAAAAGACACGGCACCGATCATAAACATATAACACTACCCAAGAACCCTGAGGACTTCGTATCAAGATTCAGCTTCAGTTGAGTACCTCCGGGCATATTATTAGTTCTTCATTTTCATACTTGGATGCAATTTCCAAGCACTTGAAGCTCAAAGCTAGGCTGAGATAGCGATAAATAGTTTCTAAATGAATTCACAACGAACCAGTGGGGAACTATGTGCTATACGGGCGAGATTCCGGGCTAATAGACCGCAGTTGGTCGCTAGAAATGCCATCAACTTAGTTTTCGGCTCAGTTCGGGTGAGGTGGATTACCGTCGCCACAACCTCAACAAAACCTCGAATAGGACTCTTGACCATGGAATTTTCCTTCACAACGCACGCGCAGCTCCAGATCTGAGGCCAGGCACTCCACGTCCCGAATGACAAGGACACAAGGTTCTCCGCAACATTCCCCGGCTAGGCTTCCCCACAACAATCCAGTACGAGACAAATTTTAGTATAAATCATGGGGGATCCGGGGAAGTTGGTCAACGAGACATCAATTCCCTGTGCCAAAGAATCTCACAGTGGCATTCCAGGGAGCCTAGTGGCTTCATCTTACATCAGCCATGGATAACAAGGAACCAACTCAGACGATTCACGATGAAGTTACTGCTTCGAAGGCGGAGCATCACAATCCCACCGGAACAGTCACTCTACTCGAAGACGGAGAGATCATCTTGATTCCTACTCCTTCTCCTGACCCACGGGGTAAGGGCTCACGGATACATGTTCATGAGTGTTTTTCTGATTTTGATTCGAATATTGCTAGATCCACTTAATCTCCCCGTTGCTCAGAAATTATTGATCAATATCACTCTTGGATTTTGTAAGTCTTATTCCCTGTGGAAGCCAGGCCGGGATTGTCCGGAATGATCTCAGCAAATTTGATCCTGACAATTTGCAGTTGCCATATTCAGTGTCCTATTGACCTCAGGCATGGGCCCCATTCTCACCGTCATCTCGGCTTACTACGAGGGTGACTCTCGAACCTTGACCTGATGACCTACCCGACATTATTCATGGGAATTGGAAATATCATTGCCATGCCCCTGTTGCAAGGTGAATTTTCTCTAGTCCTCTTTTGCAAATATAGACCCTCTGGTCTTCAAATTCAATACAGGATATAAGCAGTATAATAAGCAACTGATCTCCTAGAACAAAGGTAGCGTCTTTGAATTAATGATCAGCCTCAGGAATGTCTTCTGTAGGGAAAACCTAGGTATATTCCCTGGAACATCACCCAAGAAGTTCGCCTCGATGATCGGATAATGCATCGATCAAATCCGCGGCCGGAAAGAACTGACCCAAATAAGGTATCATTTCCTCTTCTCCTAACATCGGGAAAGGGTCCCAAACATCAAGTGTCTCTCCTTGCGGAACGGCACCATATATCTCATGTTGAATCGGATAAGGTGTAGAAGGAGATGTGAGGGACTGAGAGTAAACGCGATGAGCGCTAATGTCCCCCTCGCTAGTGGACTGTGAGTCCTGGAAGACAAATCGCATAGTCGCATCTGAATCTGGAAGGGAATCCCATAATCTGGGAACAGCCACGAGTTTGAGTATTCTTGCTAGTGCGTTCCTATCAATTTTGCGGAACAGGGCCGGAAGCACGATTTCATATAGATGTGATAGTCGCCTCAGGACTAGCAGTCCACCGTGACGTGTCTCCGCCGACGATTGTTCAAGCATTTTGAAACTTAATGCAACCATTTCCTTCTCTCTCGCTACCTCAGTTGCTGGCCGATATTGTTGAAAGCAAATAATATCGAGAGCGAGGAAGATCCCCGCTGAAATAATAGCCGAGTTAGCGGCCCAAAACTTGAGAAGGCGCAGATTTGGGTTATTGTATATCCTGTTCAGAATTCGCCTCGCAACTGGGACGCCATTGGAGAAATCCGCATGCTTGGTTGGTTCGAGGGTATCTAGCATTTGAGGTATCTTGGCAACATAGAGACTTATCCGCCAGGAGTCAACACAGTTGAGGGCTAGATTCCGTTGAAGTGTGTTCCAATACGGCTCGTTATTGTCGTCATGAAGATCATGGTTGAAGTTATTTGCAGATTCGTGGCACCGAAGATGTATTGGAAAAGAGTCAAGGACGCGGTCGAGGTCCTCAAAGGATGCTTGCAGTATCGCTGGACTCCAACCTCTGACTGAAGTGACTTGGCTGCGGATCATGGCTGCAATTCGGGCCATGACTTTGTGGTACTCGAATGGTGAGGGAGAATCGCTAGTTTCATCCTCGGTCTCTAGCATGGTCGTGAATGAACCGGGATGGATTGATATTGGACGCGACCCGATCGTCATCCTACCAAGCATTAGAACCCCGAAAAGACACGAAAATATATAGTAGTATACCAGTCACAGATTACCAAAGTCCACCAGAGTCTTCGATGGATTACTCTTTGGGCCCTGTTTGGGTCTTTAATCGCTGTCCTCCTTTTCTCTTTTCCAAGATGATCAATCCCAATGAGCCTGGCGATATTCACCGCCATACCATGGAGGATATACTCTCGACTCGATTCGCCCAGATTTTTGTGGACAATATTTAGGATAGCGACCGTCTGAATGGTTGATAAGGCGGGTTTGCGAGTAAAGTCGGCGAGATCAAGCTCCCTCAACGCAGCTTCATACCAAGTACGACACAATCCTGCCGGGCTCTTGCCCCGCAACAAGACATCTGGAGGGGGTTGACTAGAGAAGCTTTCGTAGAGAAGCTGTATATCGTGTATTTCCGCCTCATTGATAAAGTACGCCCCGACCTATGACACATCAGCTTGCGTATCGCATACAGCCCTTTTTTGGCAAACTTACAGCGAGTATACTCAAATATACTGCAATCCAGCCATGATTTGTCAAGCATTCCTGTTTATCTTCGACCAGACTCTGCCAAAATTCATCGTGCTCCTTCATGAATATAGCTTCATCCACAGCGCAATGAACCCAGCCCAGTTGCACCAACGAGAAGTCAACGATAATCTTACTCCATTGTCGAGTTGGTAGCATCAGTTTCACACTGCTATCTAGAGACCGTTTGCTTTGAGCAGGCCCCGATGCAGGCTCCGCAAAAAGACCAAACGTCTGGGTCTGGAAGTCGCTCATAATCCTTTTTGGAATTTGTGGGCTCTCGGGAAATGCAGGAGCAGGCTCTGATACGCATCTCTCTAGCCTTGATAATTCCGGCCGTGCAAGTGCTAATTCGAGTTGCTTGATGCGAATCCTTAAGCTTGTATTCTCTCTTATAAGATTTGAAGAGTGCGACGTATTGCTATCTTGACCTTCGTTGTCGACAGCACTTTTCATCGTGTCTTTAGCGATACTATCCTTGTTTCAGGGGCAGGGCACTCACACTGTTACTTTTCCCCCGACTTTCACAACCTCTCGCGTGCAGGCAGCGACATCTGCCCGTTGAATACATTGCTCGCAGGGTATAGTTTTGGAACATTTAACTTTTCTTCGAGCACACGGTATGCACGACCGAGGAGCCCTTTGAGTCTCACGAAAATGCTGCGGCATGATTGGAGAGACTCAAGTAACAATCAGGCAACGACCTTTTTAGACCGACTCAAGCCTAGTAGAATGATACCACGGGTTTTCCAAATCCGAAGCGTGATTGATGGAACGTTGGCAAAGGGGATATTCGAGGAGTGGGGTTCTCGACAGGTCAGGTAAATGAATTACCTAAATTACTTTCGTTCGGCTAGTGTGCCCGCAACCCGATTCTCGTCTACCATTGTAATTTCCTGTGAAGAATTATTCGAGGCACAAAGTAGAGATATCGGCGGGTCAGGATTAGGAGATACGCTTATAGTGTCGCCGTTCAGACTACCTAGGCCACTATACGTACTATTTTTCCTCTGCCGGGTGGGGCTTCCCTATCTTAGCTGCCGCCGCTTTAATGAGGGCGATTTGAGTCAAACTCACAGTGAATAGATTTCAGTCAGGTCAGTGCTATCACATGATTATCAGTGAGGTCGTCTAATGAGCACTCACTGATCCATCACTGATGGATCACTCAAGATTTATCCAAGGCATCTATTGAGCAATCAGTCGACGCTCGGCCCATACCTAAAGAAGACCTTCGGATCAGTTGAGAGTCAACCAGAGATATATACTAAGTACTTCTTGCGGAGAGGATGTAATAAGTAAACAAGTCGACTTTGTGCATCGCTCCGGAGTAAACACCTATAATAGATGGACCTATGATATTAAAAGTGATAGCCCGTTCGAACGTAGCTAGCGGCTGCGATTCTCTGTCTGTCAATCTTCGCTCGTCTCTATCGACCATCAATTTTATGTCTCATAACCCACCATTCCCCGTGCAGATTGCCCGCGTTTAACCAGGAGATTCCACTACGGGTTGCGTCAGGTTTCGGGTCGAGGTCTTAGTCCAAGTTTGGCTTTACGGAAGTCTACGACTCTTTAGCGATAACTCTTGCAGTAGAATTTCATTTCCAAGAATGATTGCCCCGGTAATAAGTGCTTGCTCCTGGGCTTTATCCAGCACGTCTTTTTTTTGGCCCAGGGCGCGCTGAATAAATTGGCGATCATGAACGCGTCCTTTTGGCTTGCCACGACTGTAGCAGGCTTGATTCGAGGGCTGGCCTCAACTTCTCTAGATACCTTAGGCATCGTGGTAGTGGATAGTACTAGGAAGAAGTTGAGAGGGAAAAGGAAATGATAATTTGACCGTGGGACAATTTAACTGTTGACAGCACCCAACTGATTCTGGGCAAGTATATCATTTGGCCAATTTCCTTCTGCTCAGGTAGAGGTTGGTCTAGAGTTTTAATGGTTGCCCTTGCTGAACCGCCACCAGTTGACATTGAACAGATCCCCAGTGCCAGCGCCGGTATAGACGAAGTACAGATCCTGAATTCCCTTTGCGCTACTGACAGCACAGGACACTGTGGTCCACGTTTGCCATCCTCCAGTACTCGGGATAGTACAAGCGCCAAGAAGAGTGCCGTCCGTACTGTCGAGGTGCATCTCGATTGTGCCGCCGCTTGCAGCTGAGGCGACTCGAAATTCAACAGACTTGGCGCCCTTCCCACCACCAAAGTCGACGCCTTCGACTTTGATGTAATCGCCATTGTTGATATTGCAGACATTAAGACCGCCTTCACTGCAGACCTCGGTTGAAACGCCAACTTCCCAAGCGATCAACTCTGCCTCCTGGCGTCGGTATGGGTCCAAGGTGTCAATTCGTGGAGCACCCTTCTTCGTCATATTCATCTGGGGAATCGTACCATCAGGGTTATAGGTAAAGGGCTCAACGGCCACAGATCGTTCGAAGCCACCACCTCCTGGTAGAGCGCCGTTATGGTAAAAGAAATATGAATGGCCCTTATAATCAATGACCCCGGGATGATTTGTAAAGCTCGAGCCTTGGGTCGGCATGAGAACGCCCTGATAACTCCAAGGTCCGAGGGGACCCGTACCCATTGTGTAGCGAATATCCTCAGCGCAGCAGTCTGCGGCGTAGACGATATAGTAGATGCCATTTCGCTTATAGACCCATGGGCCCTCCTCAAACGAAGTTGTGCGATTTTCATTGCCTTCACGGGCCCCAAAACCAGCAACCGTAAGGTTGATCTGTGCAGGAGTGCCCTTATATGAGATCATATCCTCGTTCAGCCTGACATACCATAGGTCTGGGTTACCCCAATATAAGTATGCCTGGCCGTCATCGTCAATAAAGACAGTTGGGTCAAACTCGTTATTTTCGAGGAAAGGGTGACCAAGCGCATCCACATATGGACCGGTAATTGTATTGCTTATACCAACACCAATAGCCATAGCCCCAGTTGCGCCATGGGTCATCGGTGCGTAGTAGTAGAATTTGCCATTGCGAGAGATGACTTGGCCGGCCCAGGCACTTGCACCACTAGCCCAGCTGAAAGTCTTTAGGCTCATGACTGTGCCGTGATCCAACCAATTGACCATATCCGTAGTGGAAAAAAGCCGCCAGTCCGTCATATTGAAGAATGTCGAGTTTGGCAAATCGTGATCGGTAAAGCAGTAAAGGCGCCCATCATGCACGACCGGTGCTGGATCTGCTGTATATATGGTCTGTATGATGGGGTTATCAGCACTAGCCAGCTCGCTGCCGCCCAGCAACGCGGATAGGCATAGCAGGGACCGGAACAATAGAGCACAGGCTCTCATCTCGGCGAATGGGTGGGTGGATTTCAAGGCGCTCCCTTGCTAGATTTCCAAGTCTCTTAGAAGATCATGTACCTGTCGCGTTGTGCAAACGAATTATTGGCAAGGTTAGGTTTTCAAAAATTGAATTGATATCCATGAGATTTTAAGGGGGCTTAAATACTACAGATCATCACATTAGCCGGACGTGTAGAGAAGAATTTAACCGGCTCGAAAGCTTGACTCCAGACTAGGGCCGAATGCCTTAAAGGAGACATGGATGCGGGGACCCCACCCCCGAAAGGGTGGTAGAAAAGGCGTACCTATCTATTTAGGCTAATCCATCCGTGGTAGATGACTCTAGAAATTGAGGGCAGGACTAGAGCCATCAACCGACTACATAGATGACCCCTGGGCGCTTGTTGATCGGACACTGAGCGACGCTGGAGGATCTTCGAGTATCGAATGAGCACTCACGGGGAATCGGTCATGTCCCACGTGACTGACGCTGAGCATAGTCAGGAAGATCGAAGAGGAAATCCAATTGAATAGTCAATTTATTGAAACGGGTGGGAATCCGGGGAAATGTTAAATCCCCCTATGAAAGCTAGGTACGACTCCCGGCTCAATCACCACCAGTACGGAGTAGAAAGCGGGGTATTGGTGCTTTACCCAACGTAAACTCATCCACGTTATTGCAAAGTCGCTCCTCTTTAATAGAGCGGCTATATCGACTTCTACGCACGGATAACGCCGCGGACAAAGAGGTAAAGGTACCAAGAGATTGAGATTCTCCTTGAGATCAAAACAAACAGATCTGGATATCGAACAAATAAATCGCCAGCTAGGTAACCAACAAACGCATAGAAATGCAAGGCAAGGAACACGACAATAAATAGTGTGAAAAAGCCGCTGTCTATGTATTGGTATCAAAGCCATGCACATACAACAGAGAAAAATAAACCGAGAGGGATCCGGTCATGAGCGGTCAATCACAGCGCCATCGACTAAACCAGGGCCAACATCCCTATCCTCAACATTCACAGCTTCTCCAGTCGGACAGATAATCGGCAAGTTGAGTTCCGCGTGTGCGGGCCGAGGTGGGACAGGGTTCATGGCTTGCCTCTTCTGCTCCATGACGTTGAACAGACAGACGCAGGCATATGGATCCGTGGCGGCATCTATCAAATACTGTTAGTTCAACGAGTGATTGATACTTCGCGCTTTGCCAAAAAAAAACCAAAGAAACTCACATTGGACCTGGCGGTAGTTCAACGATCGCGCCCAATCACCACACCGTACATCCTCGCTCTTCTCAAGCGGTAAGCCCAAATGCTCCTCGACTTGCTCACTCAGGTTCACAGTCCTCTTGTTGACAAGTTTCGGCTGTGTCTGTCCATATTTCACCAGTTTGTACAGATGGCTCAGCTCGAAGATAGATTTGGCCTCGACGCCGAGGTACTTGCGTAGCCGGGTCGAATCCGCTTTGATAGAGACGCCTACTTTGGTGATATCTGGAGACTCGATAATGCGTTTGAGAGAGGGTGCGACAAAGTCCTCTAGCGAACGAGCAGGCTTGAACATAGCGATCTGGAAGAGGGCAATGCGCTCTTCGTTTGCAATCTGAATCAAAGACAGATTATTCTGGATGCTGTCCAAGGCAGACGCCTGGGCTTTCCACTCCATGTCAAATCCGACAACTTTGCTATTGAGAAAATGCCGTGCGACTGTTTCGGTGCTCTCCAGGGATTTACAGTAGTGCACTATTGGTCTTTCGCCACTGGGAGATTGCTGGTCGCTGTGACTCCAGAACAGTGGGGCTTCCTCACTTGAGGTAGAGTCTACCTCGAGATGGTATGCGTCTTCGGCTGAGATGGGGAGCTCGACATCCGTGTCCGTAGGCCGGACAGCATAACGCGGCGTCGTCCCGGGCAAAGTGTCGTGATTGCAATCAAGAGTATGGTTGCTGGACACGATCGAGCCAGTGCTGTAGGGTCTTCCCTTAGGCCTTTGGAAAATACTACTAGGACTAGCAACAGGATTTGGATCCCAAAAGTTGCGCTTCGTGCTCTTGAGTTGTTTCCCTCCTAGAGGAGGCACGCTTTTTGCCGACGTATCACGCTTGACGTTCGCTGACTCCCGAGGCCGCTCAATTTTCATAAGCTTATCCTTCCAACCCGGTGCAAAAACAGACTTTATTGTTGGCGGTCGTGTTGCCTCACTCTTCGTCGTCTTGGGCTTGTCAGGTGTGCGATGAGATTCGAATTCACTCTTCATCGACATTGCCTGTCGAAATCGAGTCTTTGCATCCACGGGCGCTGGCTTGGGTTGAAACTCTTTTGCTGGACCCAGAAAATCCCAAACGGCAGTGGGTCCTAGCCTGCTCCGAGCGGCCCTTCGTTTCCAAGAACTGGCGTTCTTTTGCGGTTTAGGCTGTGGAGCTTGAGTATTCTTCTCATCCGATTTCGCGCTCAAAGACTTGGAAGGGCGCTCGCTTTTGGGCTTCTCGCGAAGTTTGGGGATCTCTTTCGTGGACGGCCGACCAGCAGCAGGCTTGGAGCGCACTCTCCGTGCAGGTTTGTGTCGCACATTCTTCTTGGATTTCGAAAGGCGTGAAAGTTTGGCTCTCTTCTGCGAGACACCCCTCCGACGGACCCTCACTGTGCCCAAATCCAGGATCTGAGATTTTCTTCCGGCTGTGTGTTCATGGAACTTCTTCGTCAATTGTAACCATTTCTCCGGGCCCTTGGGCTCTTTGAGTAATCGGAAGGCAGTCTCTGATACCCAACCCTGGAAACTGAGATCTGCCATCTTGTCAATCCACCGGTGAAAGCGCCGGATATCTTGGCTCAAAGGCTCGCTCGGGACGAACAGCCCTTGAGCTTGAATCAGATTCGGCACACCCAGCTTCGCCAACCTTTCCTCAACTCCGAGTCGATACCAGTCGATGTACCTGTACAATTCTAGTTCTGTTAGGAAGTCTTTTTGCTGTTTTTTGTAGATCTTATGCCAGTCGTTCAATCGAGTCTGATGAGCTTTACGAGTTGGATCGTCAAGACTTTCCCACATGGGTCCGAACGCTCCGTGGAATGTCGACGTCAAATACATAAGATCTTTCGAGAGTCGTGCGTGGTACATTCTTTGTATATCAAAGGGCGCAAGCATGTCGAGCTGTCGCCAGTACCGGTTGATTTCAGTGGACTGGCTTGGCTTCGGCCCTTTCCACTTCTGCAAATATGGTCTGCGTAGGAGATCAGCAACCCGGCGCCCTCCCTTTTCCATGAGGGCTCTGGTCTCCCGGTGAGCTCTATCATCAAACATGAGGGCTGATAGGGCCTTGGATGGCAACATTGCTCCTGATGATGGTGTGTCAGACCCAACACGGTTTGAAAATTCGAGCAAAAATGCCCCACCGAGCGGATTCTCATGTCTTCTCGACAGGCGCCATCTCCAACGGTGCAGGTGTGACACTCTAGAAAAAATATTGGCAATTGAATCGGTCGCATCTAGAAAGGGTTTGTAAGGGGACTCTTTCCGCGAATCCAGAGACACAAGTGTTTGCAAGAGCGCCATAATCGTGCCAAGCCCATTAGACACGGTTGTAGACTTGGTCTGTAATTCACTGTATTGATTGGCTACGATCTCTGCATGGGCAAGGATCTGATCGATTCGCGTCCTGGCAGAGTTCCGAGCTTGCAAATACTCCTTGTCGAGATGGGCACGCAGATTCTTGATGAGTTGCTCCGAGATGTGTAAAGATTGGGAAAATACTTCGATCTTCAATTTAAGGATATCTCTATCCGAAATGGACAGTTCTTGCTTCAGATGTCCAATCTGTCGGAACGCGATCTTGCAATACTCGTGCTCCAGATACCGACAGCGCTGTTGCATCTGCCCCAGGCGATCTTCCAAATATGAAACGTATGAGGAAAGGAGGGTGTAGTACTGGAGTCGCGTCTCTGCGATAGCCTTGGCAGATTGAGAGAGGCAATGCTCAACGTGAGCGTACTTCAGTTGTAGAAACTCATCACCCAATGGGTAGACATCGTTCAGCACACGAGCCTTCTTTTCAATCTCATGGATCTTTTTGCGGTCAAGAGGTTGACTGGCTCGTTGTTTTGCTCTGAGTTCACGTGTCCGGATCAAGTCGTTCATATTTCGAAGTGCAGCCCGGGGTCTATTCAGACTTGGTTGGTGAATTTGGGGTGGGGAAGGTGCTTCTACCTCCTCTTCGTCGTCGATTATGATGATTTGCGCACGCGGTGAGCCAGAGAAGGCTCGTCTGGGCTCCCATTTCATGATTCGCGAACGGTGAAAACGGTAGCATCGGTTCCGAGTGACTCTGGGTTGATAAAGCGAGCGGGACGAGCGGGAGGTGGAGGGGCTGGGGTCACTACGGGTCAACAGTTAGGCATTGGAACTGTATTGCGCAGAGATTATAAGCTTACCTGTGATATGAGAGCCATCGGAGCCCCAGTTTGCTATTGCCATGCCCAAACAAGTTGCCATGGGCCGTCGAGACCAAGGACGGGTACCTCAGACCTGCTGAAAGTATCGCCCATCTTCGCATGCTGTGTAGTGCGCATAGTGCGCTGCCCAAAATATGGCCAGTGTGGCGACTGAAAAAATGCGACGCTCCTCAAGCTCCTCAACCAACTTCAAGCAAAGAACGAAAAGCCCAGTGAGAACAGGGAGCTATGTACAACGGTCGATTGTAGGTGGGATACTCGTTCACCCGTTGTCTGGGGTCGCCGCACTTTACCTAATTGGGACTAGCTCATCGGCCCGGAGAAAACCAGGTTCCTGAAGGCCAGAGATCGCAGCTCTGCTTTGTATATCGCGTCCTGCTCGTCCTAAATCTCCTTCGCGACGCACGAAACACCGCTAGAAATATTTTCTAAAGTTTCTAGCTCCCCGACATACAAGACACGATGGCCTCTCAACTTCTTCCCCTTGGTGTGTCCGCGAATGTCCCGCCCACCGTGTGACCCCGCTAACCGTTCGATAGAGCTTATCGACAAGTGCGTTGGCTCCCGGATCTGGGTTGTCATGAAGGGCGACAAGGGTGAGTCTGAATTTTCGTGGAGTGGATGATTTTCGGTGTACTAATGTGAACTACAGAGTTCTCCGGAACCCTGCTTGGCTTCGACGACTACGTCAGTAAGTACCCCTTCTTTCTTCGGGCATTGGTATGTTACAATTTGCTGACTATGGACTTAGACATGGTCTTGGAGGACGTCACCGAATTGTGAGTGTCATCATTACGCCTCACCTTCCTGGGAGAGAGTCATGGCTGTCAGGAACCTCATGTCTTGACAGCCACGACCTCTATCTTCATGATGGCGTTTTTGATATTCAACAATCCTACGACTCTCCGGCAGAGACTAACCTGCTTTCAGCGACTACTCCGGTGCCCAGATCAAGCTTCCCAAGCTCCTGCTCAACGGCAACAACATTTGCATGGTAAGTCTCTCCTCTGCTTTGTTTCGGCCGGGTCTCTAACGACTTTATACAGTTGATCCCTGGCGGAGAGGGCCCTGGCAGCGCATAAGCTTGGCCCAGAGGAAAAATGATGAAAAGAAACCTTTGCGTTAATGATACCGAATGCGACGACATGAAAACTCCTTTTATAGAATGAATCAATCCCATTGATACTAGTCATATCATTCCAAATTCCAACTCCGCTGCACCCTTGCCGTGTATGGAAAAGGCAGAATCTTCAATATATTGGGGATATCAGGCTCGAATACTAGCTTCAGCGATCTCGGGCTAGCTGTATATTCCTATGATTTTAATCTCAACCTCCAGTTGATCAAAACACGAACGTTGCAGGGGGCTTCTCATGCTAGTTAACACTCACAAAAGACCCTAATCTCATCAACCCTCAGAGAATCTGCCAGGAATATCATTTCTCAAATGCCGATTTCATTTTACTCTTGCTGTGTATGCTGACAGCACAAACTTCAATACCGTTAAGGATAGGTATCAACTCGAATACTTGAGTAAATTCACTCTACGTGTGCCGCTGAGAGTTCCTTCAACGTCGACCGAAGCATCAAGATCACAGTGAGAATTTTAAGAGGAACATACTCAGCAGAGAAATCAGAGGAACCATTCATACCCCGAAGACTGCGACAGCATTCCCTACCCCGCGCCTTCCAGCTAAAACCATACAATGACAAATTCTAGCACTATGCGATACGAAGCCCGTGGCGCGGGCATTTTCCAACTCAATTACCCAATCTCCATCTCCATCTCAATATCCCTCATAAGGGAAAAGTAACCAACACCCCCAACATTCGCTACAGCACGCAATGACAAATCCCATCACCATCCATGTCATAGTTACAAATCCTTCAAGCCCCAATCCAACTCAATTACTCAATCAACATCCCTACCTCAAATCCCTCATAAGCGGACACTCGACCGCCAACAAATCCGCCTGCATCAAAGTTCGCCAATGCTTCTAGACCACACCTCTATGCAGGCACACCCAACCTCCTCCAATCACCCCCAGCCCCAGGACACAGAGGGAACAACAACCAGCCTTAACCCCAAACGCAAAGATAAGCCGCCACCCCGACCTCCGAGCTAAAATAAACAAACTCTCGCCGAGCCGCGCTACCACTAACCAAGTTACCAAACAGCTTAGCACCGGCTATAGCCGGTGTAGAGATTCGTAATTCGCCATCGACGGTCTGAAACCGGGTATTTTGGGGCGCATGAAGGACGACCTTTGTGGGGTGATTGCTGGTTGTTCCCACAATTAAACCGTCGAATGAGGGGATGTGGGTATGAAATTATGGGAATATACCGGGGAAATGGGGCATTGGATGTACCTAGGGTGTGGGTTTCTGGGGTAATTTGCGGAGTAAAGAATGCGGATACTGTACGCTTGTGGATGGAGATGGATATGGAGATGTTGATCCCCGTACTGTGCTGGTTATGGTATGTGGGTACGTATGTACTACTGCAGTATGTATGTAGGTAGGACTAATAATGTCCGGCGATGCAAATGTAGAAGTGTAATTGAAGAATAGCATCCACTTAATACGCTCTGCCGCTATAGTCCAGAATGAAGTCATGACGCTTGCGGGTAGATATGCTTCCCACACAAGTGCCCGCGATCGTCGACTCGGGACTTCAATCTAACAGACTACTCATACTAGAATACATAGTCAAAGCTAAGGTGGCTTGGAGATAGGTAGTCCATCGCCGTTCAGGGAAGATCGCATGCGGGTATCCAAGCCTCCCGAACCTTCGCCAGGCCGGGGCAGATTCCATCTATACGGAAGTCGGGGTAGAACTTTCTTGCGATGGATATGGCATCCTCCCCATGGGGAAGTCAAAGGATGCCGCGTATACAATAGGAGCTAACTCATGTTAGTCCACTCATAAACTAACCTGTGCTTGTACTATGTACGCGGACATCGGAAATCCACCAAATCCCCGAAGACCCGCCGTAACAAGCACATCCAACCCCCAAATCCAGACCAACCAATCATCCCGCCACGGTTAGACAACAATATCTGAAATCATGAAATATCAATGAATCACCGTCATTTGCTACAATTGAGCTCAGCCCGTAGCGCGGGTTGCTAGCTCTTACCCCAGACTCAGACTCGGCGCCCGTGGGTGCATTGTGGAAACTGTTACCTAACAGCTTTCGTGTCCCCCGCATTTAACATGGGGAAACTGGATCACCCCCGTGGGCTGGTGGGACAACTCTAAGTAGACCCAGCTGGGATGTAGTGAATCAGTGATAGAGGGGGGGAAGAGGTGAAGATGAGTCTTGCGCGATTTTTTGGGGTCGGCTGAGGCGGGTTGGTGATGTTGAAGTTAAAGTTGATGTTGGAGGAGTGGAGGATTGAGTTATGTGGGAGTTTGGGCGCTACGGTCGGCCTTCGGCCTCGGCTGGATTGAATTGCGTCGCCACAACGAGGCGTATCACTTCTAATAGACTGACTAGTTACCTTATCCCTTCTTAGGACATTAGTAAACTGAAGATTACGGAAATGTTAAAAAACAATAACTATAGTGTTAAACCTCAATTATCACGAGCGTGCCTGTTTTCAGAAAATTAAGGGCCATTTCCATTTCCATATCCATTCTCATCCCTGATCCTGTAGCCTCCCAAACCAAAGAACGAACAACAGAGCCAAGCTCGCAAGCAACAGACATTCCCTATTCGCTTCAGAAAGGGCAATGCTCAGCCTCGGAATCACAGACACGCCAACCCTGGTCCGATGCTACCGTGGCTTTCTAGGGGGTCAGCCGCACACAGCCATTCACAAGCCGAGATGAGCGCCATCAAGCAAGTGTGGCGGCCTAGAAGAAAACCGGGGATCACAAAGGCAAGTATGGACAGCAGCCAGTACTGTGAGACAAGAGTAGACAAGGGCAAGGCCCCTGCTGCGCCCCCGCTGCCGCCCTGCTAGACTGCTAGTGTTCTGTTCTTGCGTGGTAGCATATTTCTCTTTTTGGAAGTAGGAGGTGGATATCAATGTTCCGAGTGTATGGGACTATAAGTCTTGGGTTACGGTTTCAAGATGTTCTAGATTGGGGAGTTTTCTTGGCTACTATCGAATTGAAGTGGGATTTTCCCGATCGATTTGTTGATGTTTGAATGGCCTCGAACAGCACTGTTGTTATTCAAGACTTCCATGTATCTACACCTACAGACTGAGTATGTTGTAAGTCTGGAGGCCAAGTCCATCTCTGGTAGACCCGTTGAATAGAACCGCCCCCAGAATTCGAGAAGGGTTCGAAGGGTCTTACGATCGGCGACCAGGTGTTTGGGTTTGGGATCACAACGCCCAAACTCTCCGCCAGAAGCCAGGTCCTGTCATCGCGATACGACCAATCTACTTGGCAGCGAGATGCGAGGGCCTTTCCGCAGAGACACGGCGTTACCCTCCAACCAGCGAATGTGACCAAGCTATTTCTCTACACGACCTGCGTCTCGAACGTGGCGCGTTAACACGATCGAGGATGATAATCACGGACTCTGCATATTACAGCGCGTGATGCATTGAGCTTGGCACCACATATGTACCGCAGGGGTGGACAAAAGGAGGGGCGAACTTTGAACCTTTCAACTGAATCCTGACGAGGGCCACGCTATCACTGGTCAGCCTGAGAGTTTTTCTCCCGTGCTTCCATGCATATCGTGGCAGACCGCCACGAGCCACCCGAACGGCTAGGCGAATCAGGGTCTCTCTGCCGGAAGTCAAGGGGGTGGTCGTCGTCGGATGTCGATGGGAAGGATTTATGGTTCCATTCGCGTAGAAATTGCCTCGGGGCTGGGGAAAAAGCCAAGGGTACCAAGGGTTCCATATTTCCCCAATCTAGTTCCAGTCCGATGAGCATGGCCACGGCCGCACGGTGAACCCGAGGTCGAAAGGAAGACAACGGGCGCTTACAGGTTCACGCCCACGGGCCAAGCCACCCTTTTTCGATCATAATCGCCGTGGGCGTGTTGGAGTGTTCGTGAGCAATGACATGATGTTTTGCGCAGCTAGCTTCAGTGGAGTCTAGAGTCTGTCCCCAGGTTCGTGAGCACTGTAAGTTCAAAGTTGTCGCTTGATCCCGGGGCTTCCAGGGTAACATTTATCCACGCCAATCGGTAATGAATTGATGAGGGAGTTGACTTGAACTAGTAAAGACATCTGGCCGTTTCGGCTCAAGCGCGCCTGCCACGGACCCCGTCGGGAAGTTTTCCCATAGGCAAGGGGGGTTAGAACTTGGAGGAAAAAGGGAACCCGGGGACTAAGGGGGACCGGGGGCGAATGGGTGATTGAGCCATCCCGTCCCTCATGGCCCGGGTAAGCCACACAGATCCTTGTTTGCTGGCGCAAGCCCATAGCCCATAGCCAGGGAGGCGTCCTGGAGAGTTTCGGATAGGGGTTAGTACAAAGTATCACTGGCAGGGTTCAAGTCGATCACTTTGTATACCCTCCATCACGAGTTGGGGGACAAAGATGAGAGCACCCAAGGGTGGTCGCATGGGTTCTCTTTTTCGCCCCCGAATGGCTTCTTATCTCGAAAGATGTTCTTGGAAGATGCTGATTGGCCACGCGCTATCGCGTGGGAATGCGGAGAGCGGACGGATGGGGATAGTGGGGCATGCTGCTGCCGTGGTTTCTGTTGGCTACCGCGGGCTTGAGATGGGCAAGTCGCCGCGCTGGTGAGTGGTGCTGGTGGTCCCCGAAGCTTGGCTTTTCCTCTTGTGCTTCTTGACTCGTGCTTTTGTGTGTTCGGGATGGCCGTTGATGCAAGGTCGCCACACGATAGGCAAGGCTGGGCGATGCCTTGGCCCTTGGGCAAGATGGTCAGCAGAAGGAAATCAGCAGCAAGGAACAACCTGATCGAAGAGAAGCCAAGTCGGTCGGATGAACAAGCAGGATGGGATCGTCCCGCTCTGACAGGCTCACGAGATGACTTGCGTGGCGTGGCTCGTGAAGTTCCCCACCGAGGAGGGTGAAACACAATTCGAGTCCATCTCCTGCTAAAAGGCAGGGGGACAAGTGGTAGTACTATCAGATAGAGCAGTTGATCAAGTTCCAGAAGGAATCTGTACTCTATAGTTACTGGTTGATGCCGAGTACAGGTGCATGTGGAACTCTGTAGTCAGCGTTTGCTCTTATCCGCCTTATCTCCCCGTGCCCCATAATTCTCACCATCCGGAACATTATCAGCATCGTTATCAACAGCGATGGGGCAACCTACAGCTCGGTGGGACGACCCTCACGTATGACCACAGCAATGGGGGCCATACCAAGAGTCTTGGTGCTATTTCTCAAGCTATGGGGCTACGTACGCTACTGATAGCGAATATTAATATCAGCATTGGGTGGTAAGACCGTTTGCAGCCTACACAACAGCCGATGATCTCTGGTGCAACAGTCGAATAATAATGATGAATCAGAATCGGGTCTATCCCACTAAACGCCTAGGGGCTCGGTTCTCGGTAACTTCTCCCCCTTGCAAAAGACGAAGAAAACGAGTGAAAAAGAAAACAAAAAAGAACGCACGCTAATTTGCCTCCCGAAAGACTGGGGTAACAACCGTCGGGGGAACATACTCTCCTCAGCCAAACAGCCACATACCCAAGACTTGCATTAGACTAAGTTAGTCCTATCAGGCGATGGAAGACAAAAGGGAACACTAAGAGAATTAAGTTAGAGGCAAACCGGTACCTCTTCTCTCCACCCCGCCCAACTAGACTCACTCGAGTAAATCGACCTGCCTAACTCGATCGGCCATAATCCAAAGTCAAATGGCGCCCAAAGTCAAAAAGTCAAAATCCGCCAGCGACTCAAAAGAGGCCCCCATCCCAAGTGGTCTAAGCGCACCCGGTTCAATGCGCCTCTGCGGTCGTCTTTATTGGTCCTCCATGTTCAAGTTAACCTAGTGAAACCCAGTCGAAGTTGGTTCAACCCCCGGCCATGAAGGGCCTGTACATGATAATAAGGATAATAATAATGATTTATTTAAATTAAATTATCAGAATTTATGTTATTCCTCCTCATTATGACAACTTAAGATTATCATTGACTGTGACAATCACCTAATGGATATTCACGGCCCTGGTCCATATTTAAACAATCCGCCCCCCCAGCTCTCACTCTCTCCTCCTGCGTGCTAGTCGAGTCTCGACCATTCCCTGTTTCTTCCCTCCCTTTCTCTCCTGTAGAGTCCCCGGTGGAACTGCTTGAGCTGGAAGTTCTCTGTCTCAACCTTACTTTACCTTCCATCTCATCATAACCTCATCCTTCCACTGAAACGTCAACGCCCTATAAAACGAACTGGTCGCAATCATGGATGAGAAGAGCTACGACTCTGGGTCCAAGGTGGCCCAGGCAACCGGCGAACAGCTGCCGGCCTATGGCGACTCCTCACCCACCAAGGGCAGCATCGGCCAACGCATCATTGATAGCTTCAAGCGGGATCCTAATGCATACATCAACGGCGGTCACGCTTCTACAGGCGCCGATGGCTCTGGCTTCGATGCCGAGCAGGCTGCTCACAACACCGCGCACTCGCCGCTGCAGCGCCGCTTGAAGGGCCGTCACTTGCAGATGATCGCCATCGGTGGTTCAATCGGTACGAAACCCCCCCCCCCCCACTACTCCGCACGATGCATCCGATACCATATTCCCCGGCATATTTTTGACTAACGCATGAACTTTAGGTACTGGTCTCTTCGTTGGTTCTGGATCGGTCCTTGCTACCGGTGGTCCAGCATCGGTTATCATCGCCTACGTTCTCATTGGTATCATGCTTTACTGCACCGTCCACGCGCTGGGCGAGATGGCTGTTCTGTTCCCCGTTGCCGGATCTTTCTCTCACTACTCGACTCGTTTCGTTGACCCGGCGTGGGGTTTCGCTATGGGTTGGAACTATGCGCTACAGTGGCTGATTGTCCTGCCCTTGGAAATTGTCGCTGCCTCAATCACGATAGACTACTGGAGTCCCGGTGTGTCAAACGCGGCATGGGTGGCTATATTCTGGGTTCTGATCGTCTCTATCAACATGTTCGGTGTCCGCGGTTACGGTGAGGCTGAGTTTGTGTTCTCGACCATTAAGGTTATTGCCGTCATTGGATTCATGTATGTGACTACTTTTGTTTGTTTCTGCGACTGGCTCTTACTAACATCTCTGATTAGTATCCTCGGAATCGTCCTGAACTGTGGTGGTGGCCCTGAGGGTGGCTATATCGGTGGACGCTACTGGCACGAACCCGGTGCTTTCCACAATGGCTTCAAGGGTCTTTGCAGTGTGTTCGTCAATGCTGCCTTCGCCTTTGCTGGTACCGAGCTGGTCGGTCTGGCGGCTGCCGAGACTGCCAACCCCCGCAAGTCGCTCCCCACTGCTATCAAACAGGTGTTCTGGCGTATTGCCCTCTTCTACGTGGTCTCTCTCACCCTGGTTGGCCTGCTCGTCCCCTATGACAACCCGAAACTCGTCAGTGGTAGCTCGTCGGCCGATGCCAAGGCTTCTCCCTTCGTCATTGCCATCGAAAATGCTGGTATCAAGGGTCTGCCCTCCGTCATGAACGTCGTCATCATGATTGCCGTGCTGTCTGTCGGTAACTCCTCCGTCTATGGTTCCTCGCGTACCCTCGCTGCCCTTGCCGAGCAGGGTCAAGCTCCGCGCTTCCTGGCCTACATCGACCGCAAGGGTCGCCCTCTCTGGGCCATCTGCGTCGCCTCCGCCCTCGGTCTGCTCTGCTTCCTGGCTGCCTCGGACAAGCAGACTGTTGCGTTCGGATGGATGATGGCCATCTCCGGTCTCTCGTCCGTCTTCACCTGGGGCTCTGTCTGCTTCGCTCACATCCGATTCCGTCGCGCCTGGCAGGTTCAGGGCCACAGCCTGGACGAGCTGGCTTTCCAATCTCAGCCCGGTGTCATTGGCTCCTGGATCGGTTTCATCTTCAACTGTCTTGTGCTGATCGCCCAGTTCTGGGTTGGTTTCGCTCCCGTCGGCTACAAGGAGAAGACCGCCTCGGAGTTGGTGTATGCCTTCTTCTCCAGCTACCTGGCTGCCCCTGTCGTGCTGGCCTTCTTCATCCCCTACAAGCTCTACTACCGTACTAAGTTTGTCCGGTCTCACGAGATGGACCTCAGCACTGGTCGCCGCGACCTGGACATTCAGCACTTGATTGACCAGGAGCGGGCAGAGCAGGCCGCTTTGCCCAAGTGGAAGAAGTTCTACAAGCTTTTCTGCTAGAAAGTGGAGGCTCTTTTTGTGGAATTTTCGTTCATGTTGCGCAGGCGATCTTTCTGGGAAATGCACCCCCGCCTTTTTATGTACATCTCTATTCTACATCTCTTTGTCCTGGATGTCTTTATGACTCTTGTCCTATGCTGACGATTACGGATACCATAATCAAGAAACGTCTTTTCTATTATTCACTCTTCTCAAATTCTAGTCTTTTCTGTAGATCTTGTCCTCTTTGGTATTGGAGAAGACAATGTCTCACATTGTTTCCAAGGACTCTAATAATTATCTCATGCTCAATCCACGTGTTTCTCCCGTAGAGGCGCATCCCAAAAGCATGTTCAGAAAGGGGTTTCCATGAGCCTCTCAAGTAGTAAACAGGCTAATCTATTCATCTGGAATGTGCACCTACGTAGTCTGACGTCGGTCGACAACGGCCTCGCCGATCGTGTCGACTCTCCAGACTTGGCATGTTTGCACCTGGGGGTTGTAATTGAATTACCAGATTCCAACAGCCTTTGTTCTCCCCCCCAAAAGGCCCAACTGTGCCATGTTGGACCTGATCCAGCGTATCACATGTACGACTCGGACCCCCGAAGATGATGTTCAACCAATTGTCTCTAGACGTTCAGGATGAAGGCTACTAACATTTTCTCAAATCCATTCATTCACCTAGACTTCCAATTTGACCTTTAGGCTGCGTAATTCTAATCTCCCGGCTCAACGGCTTCCAAAGAAATCACCTCTCCTCTTCATTCCAAAAATAGCACCAGCTAATTATGTACCTACTGTATGTCCTAGAGCTACGTACTCGTACTGAGCTGAGCTGGTAGTGTGGTGGAGCAGAAAAGGGCTGGGCTGGATTATACTCGTCCCATACGGGCCGCCCGGTAAAATTACAAGCCACCTGACGAACACTCGATGGGAAACTCATCAACATCATTAGCACAGCCCATCTCTCTTCTTTTCCACCCCTATTCCTGCATTCACTCCGTCTCTAGGTGTGGCTTCTATCGCATTCTGCTTTGCTCAATTGCCGTCCGGCCGGCTTTCATCCGCTCATTTTGCGCTTTGCTCCACCCATTCGAGACCCATAGCCCGCAGCTTGGGCGCTTACACTGCCGCGCACCTCTCGTTTTCCCCGGGACGCATCCTCTGCACGATTCAGGCACACTCTTTCTCTCTGCTGCTTCGGTCTCCCCCGCTTGATGCGCCTGACCAGCCAGTGCTGAACTTCATATCGTCTTGAGATTGTTCCCATCGAAGCATAGTTGGGCGGATACGAGGTCAACTCTGGAGCCTAACACCGATCAGACTCTTCAATTTGCGGAGGGGTGTGCCATCTCCGTCTGTTCCACAATTTGCATCGGTTCCTGCATCTCCTGAATCGAGAATTAGCGTTCATCGTCCTCTCACGTCGTGCCAACGTCCGAACTTCAATACATTTCGTTCTCTACTTGACTCCGGATCGTTCGCCTGTCGGCCGCTGTCACAATGCCTGGTTTCTCGGATTCCTTTTGGACACCCGACTATGCCACGGGCCTGGGGGTGCTATACGGGAAGTTGCAGCAGGGTGTGGTGGAGAATAGACAGATTCTCACTATTGCATCTATGCGAGCAGATGCGGAGGAGCAGTATGGTCTCCGCATGGGCGATATCGCACCCAGTGTCGATCGCATGTCTGCCGCGGGTTTCGGCAAGGACGACGGTGCGAGTGTGAGGAAGGTAAGCTTGCAGTTGAACGGGGAACTGGAAGGAGAACTCCCGCTAATGTCGCATCTTGCAAATTTCTCCAGGCATACGAAGGTGTCCGCACTGAAATGATCGAGGCCTCGCGCAACCACCAGAAGATCGCCAGCAACATCCGAGAACTTGTCGTGGCGCCCTTTCGACGCTGGAGTGATCAGCATGACTACCGTGTCCAGACCTCCCACGATAACCTCCAGGCGCGGATCAAGGAACATACCAAGCAGGTGGATTTGGTCAAGAAGCTGCGCAGCCATTACTTCAACAAGTGCCGGGTGGTAGAGGATTTGGAAGAGGAGAATAAGCTCGCCTTCCAGGACCCCGATAACAGCCCCAAGATCAAGCCCACCCCGAAGATTGTTCTACCCACCCCCGAAGAAGAACCCGAGGAGGATCCATATGAGATTGGCGATCGAATCTATCCACCTGAGGAGATCAAGAGACTTCTGCTGCACATGCTGGACAATATCAGACTTGGAGACGCCAAGGTTCCTATCATCGGTACCTATCAAAACACCTCGTCTGGTGCAGAGATTGTGGAGTATATCCAAAACAACATGGGTGCGACCAACCTCACCCAGGCAGAGGCGATTGGCCAGGATCTCGTCGACAATGGATTCCTCCGCTTAATCGGAAACATGGGCAGCACCTTTGCCAACAGCTCAAAGATGAACTACCAGTGGCGTCCTAAGGTTTTCCAGATCACCGGGATTCCCGAAAAGAAGAAGCCTTTGATGCGCGTGACTTCTGTGGCTTCGAGCGAGGATGGCAACGGCGGCGAATCGCCCATCACATCCGTTCAGGAAATGTTGGCTGGCTGGAACCCTCTCAACAACCCTTATCCTAACGAGACCCCTTCGGAGAAGCTGCGCAGAGAGGCTTTCGAGGCCGACGAGAAATACAAGGCTGCTGTTCGGAGACTGGATCAGATCAGGTGCCGTCTGGAGGAAGAGGTTATTGAGAACTTGCGCTTCATGGAGCAGTGTGAGCTTGATCGCCTAAAGGCCATCAAGGCCGTGGTGCTGGACTTCTCCGGTGCCATCAGTAATGTCATCCCCAACCTCCAGAGCACCGTCGATCACATGATGCTGTACCAAGAGACGATCCAGCCTCTGGGTGATCTGCGATATCTGCTGGAAAATTATCGCACTGGTGGGTTTATTCCTCGAGTGCAGGCATACGAGAACTACTATGGTTCCGTTGAGGAGCAAAACTTCGGTGTTGATCTCGAAGCCCGTGCCCGGGTTGATCGCAAGCGTGTCCCGATCCTAGTGACCACCATTCTGACCTATCTGGACAACGCCTACCCCGAGCTTGAGGGTGACGAGGCTCGACGTGGGATCTGGCTCCACAACCCTCCTCTTACCCAAACACATCAATTGCGGAATGCCTTGAATAACAGCAAGGTTGATTATCGCGAAGTCCTCCCCAAATTTGAGATACCCATTGTTGCCAGCGTTTTGAAATTGTACCTTCTTGAACTGCCAGGTTTGTCTTCCTCCCACCATTCCCGCTTTTGTCATCCCTGCTCACTGTTACTAGACTCTCTTGTTTCTTCGCAAGTCTACGAAATCGTCAAGACGATCTACTCGACCACCGCTCACGAGACCACGGAAGAGGGACGGATCAAGGTCCTACAAAGCACTCTCGGACAGCTCCGTCTCGTCAACATTGCTACGCTTGACGCTATCATGACCCATTTCACCCGCCTGATTGACCTCACTTCCGCCGAGGAGCAATACATTGCTACTCTTGCCCAGGCATTGTCTCCCTGTGTTCTCCGGCCCCGTACCGAGAACAGTCTCACCATGGATGAGCGCCATAGTTACCGCTTGATTCGTGATCTGTTCGCCCACAAGGATTCTATCTTCGGCGAGCTGAAGCGTCAGTCGAGCGCACTGGGCATCTCTACTTCGAGCCGTCCTCGCGCCATCAGCACGGATGAGAGCAACCGTCGGGCAGCTATGGAAGCTCGCCAACGCGCCATTGTCAACCGTAGCCGGGCTACTAGCCCTGCCCCCGGCGCACGACACCGCCGTGATCGCTCTAGTGGTGCCTCCGCAGCCACCCGTTTCCCTATCAACGTTACTAGCCCGCAGGACCGCTCCCGGGCCGCCGCTCGCGCTAGCCTGGATGTTCCTCCCAAGACCGAATCACCCACCACGACCGAGGATCACCCTACTGTGAACACCCATGTTGCTGAGACTGCCATCAATGGAACCTCCACCGAGTCTCCAGCCTCTGCCGCTCCCAGTGTTTCTTCTGGCACAACAAGTCCCCCTCCCCCTCCAGAGACTGCCTCAGAGGGCTCTCCAACTCCCACTCCCACTCCGGCTCCTACATCCAGTGAGTTCGACAAGCGCAGTTCCGTCCGGTCCGTCGGTGCTCGATACACCCGCAAGCCCGGTCTCGGTAGCATCTCTAGCTTCCCCGCTGGTGCGGGTGCCCCGGAGTCGGATAGCAAACGAAGCAGTCTCGCTGAAAGTGAGCCCAAAGGTGTGACATTGGAGGATAAGCCTATGGATGACTGAAGAAGAGAGGCTACGGTTTGACGTTTCTCATTCATGTGTTCTCCCAACAGTTCTGTATAGATTCAAAAACATATGTGGTCCTGCCTTCTAGGGCTTACATTTCCTGTCTTATTCTTGTGCTTTCGATCTTCTGCGTGGATAATCTATTGGTATAGCAGGCACTCATACCCCATTCTATGCCTTGCATTGCCTTCGTGTTTGTGCTTCCGAGTCTTCTCATTCTTCCCATATTACCTAGTTCTATTCCAGCCCGTTTCATGTTTCCATACATTTCTTTCTATAGGGCTCTGTTTATTAGTCTCCCTGATGCCTATCTAGTCATGTATGCATATTCGATTGGATTCTACGCTTCTCTCCATGCGTTCTACGCTATTCTCCATCCTGACTGCCTCCTCCTCCGCCCTCAATCCAGTCGAGCAAACAACCGGATAATTTGATATTCCACCCCTATCGATAGGCATGAGGCAGCGCAGCGTAAGGCAGACGCCAGCCGACTGCCTAATCGGGTAATCGTGACTCTACCGTCACTTGCGCACGGATATAAAGGTGTTTTCTCAACCTCCCGAAACACGTCCTTGTTAACTCTTTCACACATCGATTTCTCAGATATCACAACGCCCCGGGTATCGTTTTCATCATCTGGTTATCGTTCTCAAGCGTCTTCGCTCCGGAATCTTGCGTATTGATCAAGATGACGGTTCCCTTGCCTTCATACGCCCCTCCCAGGGCAAGTGGCCCACCTTTCAACGTTGGCATCAACAGTGACTTGATCCTCTATGTCGCTACCGACTGTCGAAGTTTCGTCTCGAGCCCACCCTCGTTCGTTCCTGATGAGCCTGCTTCATATATTGGGAAAGTGTTTGCTTGCTGGCCGGTGGTTTTCCCCGACGGTGTGAGGGTCATTGTCGAAGACAAAGCACAGATCAAGAACAGGATGGAGGCCGAATGCAAGTTGCTGCAAAAGCTGGAAAAAGGTGGTTTCCCATGGTCGCCTCGCGTACTCTACCGCACTCTGGACGACATCAATCCCCTGGACAGGCCATACATTGTCCATACCAGGTTCCCTGGAAAGCAGCTGCAAAGGAGTGATACATTTCCAGCTAAGAAGGCAGACCGGGAGAAAATTCTGGCCCAAATCGCTCGGATCAATTTTGATCTGCTGTTCAGCCGGAAACTCAGTATGTGCTTGTTAACTTACCCGGGCCGATGCAATGCAGTTTGCTTATAAGACAATTTCATCTAGGTTAGAACCTCACGCCTGAGAAATGGGTGGAAATAATCGTCGATCGGAGGATTATCCGTCCGATGCCCAGCTTGGATGAACACTTGGGGATTGACGTACTGTCGTCTCTGTACCTGCGGATACTTGCGTGGAGACTCACACAGGGGCAGATGAAGAGCATGATCTGTGCTCTTTCCCATGAAAACCTGGTTTCTCGCAATATTTACATTGATGAGAATCTGAACCTAACAGTGTATGTAATCTCATAAGTCCAATCTCTCAATTGTGAAAAAATACTAACATCAGTACTAGTTTCATCGGGTGGGAGTTAGTCAAGTTCATGCCCATTCGTTTCGCCATGCGATTCCCTTCGTTTCTGGACATCACTAGCAAGCAACAGCCGCGAGACCTGCCTGTCGACCCGAAGGAGTTCAGCAAGAAATACCTCAAGGTCCCAACATTCATGACGGTCGACCGGGGATTCTATGTCTCCCGTATGCAATTCGAATATGCAACACGAGCATCTCGCTATTCCGTCGGTCACCTCTCACCACCGGCGTGGGAAAGGATGTGTTGGGACTTGATAATGTCGACTGGAAGCACATCGTTCTCGATGAGACCGACAACAACATGCGCTCCTATCAGCACACGACTGCCTCGTTGGTTGCCTTCCCGAGTGCCTGAGTGGGAAAATCGAAGAGATAATTCCCCAGAGAGATCTGTACTTGGAGGTCTGGGACATCTTTCGCCAACACGTCCCGAGGAAAGGCTTCAATCAGAGGGCCAAGCTGATCGCCCCCTTCCTGTATCAGGCGCTCAACAGAGAGCAGGACTGGGAAGACGTGGAGGCGAGGCTGCGACAGGCGATTGGTAGGCCACGACCGTCGGCTTAAAGATCTGGGGGTCGCCACGGTGGTCACAACCTCTAAGGAGTGATCCGGGGATGGTCATTCGTGAGACTGTCGCTCGATTCAATTTTCTTCTGTCTGGAGTATGGATCGGTTCGCTGCTTTTAGAGGAGGGGAGGGGGGATTTAATTTTTCAAGACCCGGCGTGGCAGCTTCATGTTCGTGTACGATCTGGGGCCAGCAAATAATTTAATTTAACTCGTTAATGTTTCAATTTCGCTTTACATTTTCCGATTAGATGATACTCTAGTCACTCATTCGGTACACTTAGAATGTATGAGGTTGATATTCTTTCAACTTTGCAGACCCACCTGATCTGCGTCTACATTTGAATCGCCCACTTCTACTTGCGTTGTCTTTATTCGAAGTATATCGTGCATGGCATTGTATGTTTCAAACTCATGTACATAAAACTAAATCAAAAAGTACTAATCCCTCCTCACCCAGACTCAACATCACCATTAGACCCCCCGCCCACAACAACAGTCCCATCCCCCTTCAAAACCCCCGCCCGATCAATCAAAGCCCTAGCCCGGATATAAGGATCCAACTTCCAATAATTCCTCCTAAACTCCTCAATAATACCATTCCGACGTGCCTTCAACTCCTCCACCTTCCCTTTATCCTCCTCGCCCTTTGAATAATCAGTAGCAGAGATCCACGCAGCGGTAGCAGCGAACATGCGCAGACCAATCATCATACGCTCGTACATGAGTGAGTCGCGTTTTGCCGTATCTTGCATGATCTCGTTTTCTTTGTCTTCTGGCTGGATGTATTCGTACTGCCAGTCTTCGTCGCCGGCTAGTTCGCGGGGGATTTGGTCGCGGGAGATGTATTTGTCTAGATCGTTTACTGAACGGGTGAAGTGGACTTTTGAGGCGACTACGGGGTCCATCCAGCCGTGGATGAGTCTCCAGATTCCTTTTCATGGTTAGTGTTGGGGTTTTGGGATTTGGGAAATGTGTTGATCTGGGGGTTTGGGTTAGTGGACTTACCGGAGAAAATCCAGGGTGCGTTGTGGATTAGAAGTTGGCCCAGTGATTCGGGGTAGTTGGCTTCAAAGCATTTGATGATGAATTTGACGGGCTGGTATTCCTATATGGAACGAGGGTTTGATCAATTAGTTACCCCCCAAGCAAAGTAGTGAATGGTGAGCTTCTTACCATGTTCGACAAAGAAAACCCTGTCATATCAAACACAATAGTCTACCAGAGTGTCAGCAGGTATATCATCCACAACTTCCAAGAATCACGCACGCCAGTTTCAATCGGAGGAACCACGATAAGCCTCGTCGTCTCAATAACATGCACAATATACCTCTCCAGAACTTCCTCACTCTGAGCCCCCGGTTTGTGAATCTTCACTCGCACATAATTCACCGGTCGTCCCTGTCTATCAAATCCATGCAGAAAACTCTTCCCAGTCTTGAGCTGTTCAATAAAGTCCCGCCCTTCTTTCTTCTGCTTCGCAGTAAGTTTCTCATCCCGAGATTGCTCAAGAGCATATAGTTCTCCTTTGGGAAGAATATCATCGTCGACTTCCATCTCTCTTCTCCAGAGAATATTCGTAACCATCATTGTGAAACCCTTGCCAACGTCCCATTTTCTGGCGCGTAGAAATCGGAGCAGTAAACTGTCAGGGTGCTCCTGCTTGATCATCTTCAGGATGGAGAAACACATTTCTTCGGGGGTCATCTTGGATAGAATCTTCTCCATGGATTTGATCTCTGATTCTTGGACGCCCATTTTTCGGAGTTGGGCGAAGAGAGATGCAAAGTGCTGTGGAGTGACTTTTTTGGTGGCTATTTCTGACATGATGTTCTTTTGGGCGTCTTTGTTCATGAGGGCTTCCACCTTGTCGAGGGATTCCTGCTCTTTGCTTGCTCCGTTTTGAAGCCCGTTTTCCTCTCTGTTGGCTTGGCTAGCTGTGCCGTTACTGTCTGATGGCTTTCCATTGCTGTCTTCTTCTTTCAAGGCATTGATGATTGCCTCGACTGTGGGCTCGTTGACTCTGTCCAGGATCTCGAAGAGCTTGTTCGGTGATCCCTCTGGAAGGGGAACTTCGTAGACTGCCGAAAGAACAGAGGCTGCTGAGGAGAAAAGAAGAATCCACAGCTCACGCAGCTTCGCCTCTTGGCTGGGAGTGAGATTATGCACGTATCCAGTCGAAGTATCCAGTGTGATGGTCATAATGAAATATCAATGGTTATATTCAATCAACTTCAGGGTCTTTGTAATGGTATTATCTGAATAAATACAGTTGTGAAGCAACATACTTGGCTGCGCTGCTTTATTCAAACCAAACTTGATATCCACATGAATGCTTGGCTAACGAGGGCTACAAGCTGCCTCGGTCACCCCTCTGGGATGAAAGCACGGGTAAGCTCATGGTACTGCCTCGGTGGTTGGATCCGGTAGATCATCTTGTCGCTAACATGATTAACTTTCATGGGTGTTGGGGCCGTTTCTTTAACCGCTCACACGAACCGAACCCTGGAACGAGAGAGATCCCCCGCAAGTGGAGATACTCCAAATTATTTGGTACTGAAATTATAAATTGATTTATGGGTCTAAACCTGTCTATTATAAAGTTTACAGAAATTGGTATTGTATTATATTGTGGAACTAATTCGACATCAAAGCAAAGCATATCAAGGAAAAATCCACCCTAGCCATAGCAAGCATTATCAACTTCAATCCCACAACCCCACTTGGACTGTGAAAACCACTATTCCAAATTCCACCCCTCTAACTTCGTCAACTTCAAATGCATCCCCTCAATAGGCTGCGTGGTCAAAGTCCCCCCAAAAGTAATCTTCTGGCCTGGCTCCTTTAGCTGAAAACGGAACATCCCAAACAGCCCCGCAACGGCACATCGGAACTCGGCTTTCGCAAAGTCCTTTCCAATACACGCCCGTGGGCCATGAAGGAACGTAATCTGCGCAAAATTCGTAGATGCACCACCATGTTTATTCGGTGTTTGTTTTCCAGTCTTCTCATCGGTATCAATCCATCGTTCGGGGAGGAATTGGTCCGCCGTTTCGCCCCAGAATTCGGGGTTGCGGTTGATGGCTTGTGGGCATAGTGCGATGGTTGTACCCTTGGGGATTTTCTTGCCTGCGATAGTTGTTTCTCGGATGGCTTCGCGGCCGGTCATGGGGACTGTTGGGTATAAACGTAGAACTTCTTGGCAGACTCCGTTGAGGTATGGCATTCCCTCGAGATCTTGCCAGGATAGGGAGGCGGAGGGGGAGGGGATTGTTGCGTATATCTCTGAGCGCAACTTCTCTTGAATATCTGGTTCGATACAGAGATGATAACAGCACCAGGTAAGTGCTCCGGCTGTGGTTTCATGCTATCAATTTAGTTAGATTTGCCTGTCATATACGGGGAAAAAAAGAGATGTGTTCTTAGAAAGAGCAAAACATACTCCAGCAGCGAGGAATGTCAACATTTGATCCACCAACTCACTATCACTAAACTCTCCACCTCGCATCATGGTGCCCAAAATATCACCTTCGGCGGCTTCTTGCTGGGTCTTCTCCTGAGCGATCTGTGCTCGCTTCTCGTGGAGGATGTCGGCAAAGAGTTTTCGCAGATATTCAACCTTTTCCGGCAGCACGGAATTCGCATTGCATGGAATACGCTTCACAAACCACTGAGGTAGAATGATCGAAACGGCAAACAGCATCAGTAGGTCCAACGATGGCTTGAGAATGGCGTTGAAGTTCTGCGATACAGGATCGTTCTCATTCTCCAGCGACTGGAAGTCTCGGCCGATCGCAGCTGGTCCAATGATGTCTAATGTCAATCGACTATCCCAAGGAGGAGTTAGCGAAGCTTATATGATCTGACGGGAGACTGTGGCTTACTTGGCCCATCCTTGGATCTCCACAACCCCAGCAGATTGACCCTCCTTCCTACCAGGCACAGGATGAAGATCGATTTCCTTCTGCAACTGGCGAAGGAGATGCTGAGTTTTCATCCACATCAGGGGATACATGGCCCGAATATTCTTGATATTGAACGCAGGAGTGACGGCCTTCCGAGCGGCCCGATGAGCATCACCCTCAGATAGAATGAGACCATATCCCAGGCCGCGAGCCAGGAACTCTCGTCCGCCTGGTGGTTTGACAAAGTCGTAGCTGTTCGTATGAAGGACATCCATCAGGGCTCTGTGATTGGTAGCAACCACAAAGCTGTAATTCAAAGCCTCTCGGAAATGGATCAGTCCTTCATTTGGAATGGTCCGTAGCCAGTCCACGATGATACTTCCTCGAGGTTGACGAAGGAAGACTTTGGCTCCGATTAGGGGACCCTAAGTCGAGAGATATCAGCATAGCTCATGTATTGACTGATTAACTTGGAAGGGAAGATACATGAACTGTCGGCAAGTGTCGAAGAGGGTTGACAAAGAATGGCCATATGAAGATATTCCATATTGCCATCAACACAAAGTTGATCGCGAGGGTATAGAGAAAAATAGTCGCAGGCCGCTCCGAAGTCATACGGGAGTAAATGATCAAGCCTGTCCCAACCACAGTAGGAGGAATCAGAAGAACAAGACGCTCTCTAGCAGTAGACATTGTGTGACTATTGATCTTTGTTTGGGATATTGATAATGCTAGCTATGAATTCTATACAACATATCCACCACGATATATACACAACAGCCAGATAAATGCTGCCTACCCAATTCTCTAGATTCACATGCTATTCACAATGATGTCGCTTGTATTTCTTCACGGAAAACACTCTTAATCCGCCCTAGAAAAGTTTCATTTTCCATCACTCATTCTTGATATTAGTAATACCACTAGTCACGATCCCTCTAGGGTTCACATGAAGGACGCTAACGCGGTCGATCAACTAAAATGCGGGGAACATTCTTAGCGCTTCCCAACAGTTTCTCCTTCCATCTAGGAATACACTGTGCAACATGTCATGCTGGAGCCTGGAGTAATATTCTCCGCAATACGAAGCGAAAAATCACATGTGGATGTCGGCTATCTCCCGGACTTCAAGCTTACCATTTTGGGCATGCAGGGCGAACGAACCAGCGGGCCTTCCTTTGACGCATGGACTTCCTGATATAGGGAGAACTGATGCTCATCCATGGATCCAGTTAATAGATAAAGGCTAATCACTACATACTCAAATTACCCCCAGACTTGATGATGGGATGATCTTCGGCCCTATGGTGGTTGCCAGCGCTCATCTAGTTTTGTACATGTAACATCACATTTGAATTGATTCATGATCTACACTGATAGGAAACAAGACGCCAGGAACAAAGAAACTGCAGCTGTGGTGAAAGAAAAAGTCCCGGGGAGATAAGGATAAATGGGGGAATTTCAGTGAACCAGTCACAGCGCTAGTAATCAAACAGACAAATAGACGTAAGGTCATCACACAGAGAATCTAGACATGAGCTTTGTCGGCTTAGAGAGAGTTCGGCTGAAGCCGCACAAGTACTTCCTCGAGGAAGGCGTCAAGAATAGCATCGACTCCATTCCCCAGCTGTACTGGGGCTTCCGCGTCCCAGAGGTGAAGGTTGGCGAATGATTGGGCGATATCATCCGCCATTTGCTCCATACCCCGATGGATACGCACACTGCGCTCCCAGGCTTTCTCCTCCTCGGGGGTTGGTTCCCGATCACTGTGGTTTCGCCCGGGCTCCAGGCGAGCAAGCTGGCGGCCGCGTCGATTCATTGCGGCGCGGAGGGCGGGAACGAGCACAGAGCCATAGGCGGTTAGCCGCTCGTTCTCGGCGACCGCCTTGGAGGGAGTTGGCAGCTGCTGGGGCCGCTCATTCATGTGAGGGCCTTGAGTCGATGTTTGCCTCTTCGCAAACCGCTCATCCTGTCTGGCTGGTCCAAGCTTGGACTTCAGCCCAGACGCAGGTTTCGGTGAGGCTGGCGCCTCGGGCTGCTGCTGCTGCTGCAGGCTCGCATGAGAGGATGGTCTGTGAAGACCAGGGCTCAGAGGGGCATCGGGGAGTGGGCGTTGGAGCGGCGCAGGCTTTCTGGCAACCTGGCCGGTAGGGGAGCGAGGGGGCTCTGTGACCGTAGGCCCGGCAGACCGTGATCCAGATACCAAAGGAGATGGCTTGTTTGGTGCTGGGTCATTTCTGTGGTTCGTGATGGCCTGTGTGTGCCGGTCTTTGTGGCCTCTCGCGGGGGAATTTGGCTCAGTTGAAGTGAGCTTTGGAAGAGGGCGAAAATTGCGCGAAGGTGAAGCCTGTGGCCGAGGCTGTGCGGATGAGGATGCGCTCTTAAGGGGAGAGGAAGGCGCAGATGGAGGAAGGGGGATTTTGAAGGGAGAGAGATCAGCCGCAGTGTTTGTGTGTTTGCCCAGCTGTGGTACGGAGGGAGATGGACGAGTCTGCTTGGTAGACTCATCACCCAAATCCCACTCATCTGTATCCGGGTTGCGTGAATTGGAATCCGGCTCATTCAACGGCGTCCGAGGCGGGTCAGGAGCTCTTCCAGCAGGGCGTACAGTGCCAAAGTCCCAAAGATCCTCGTTTTCTTCTTTCTTTTCGCAGACTGCTGGTTCATCGAGTCCATCAAAAGTTTGCTCGTATTCTCTCTGACTGTGACGTGTAGCTTGCCAGCGCTCTGCACGCTCGATAAGCTCTGTCAGGTAGGTGGTTCTCTTGGCACGTTTGATAAACGGATGCTCCAGCAATTCCTTGGCGGAGGGACGTTCCTTAGGGTCCCGACGCAGGCATAGCTCTACGAATTGCTTGAATGGCTTCGTGAAGTCCCCAGTGAGAGTAGGAGGAGGGTTCTTGGGGATCAGGAACAGCACCTTCATCGGGTGGATGTCAGCGTAAGGAGGGTCTCCACAGGCCAGTTCGATGGCCGTGATGCCCAAAGACCAGATGTCCGCCTTGTAGTCATAACCTGATTGTTTAATGACTTCTGGGGCCATCCAGAAAGGTGTTCCGACGAAGGTATTCTTCTTGGTCATTGTAGCTGACAATTGTCCCGAGACACCAAAATCGGCCAGTTTGACCTGACCGCCTGCAGTGAGAAGGACGTTTGCGGCTGCCAAATGATCAGTAACTCTCATGTTCCAGAAAGCAGACAAGGGTTCAGTTACCTTTGATATCTCTGTGAAGCTTATGATCACCATGAAGGTATTCCAGGCCCTTCAGAAGCTCCCGCAGAATGATCGCAATGTATTCCTCGTGAATCGGTCCAGGCAACAATAGGTCATGGCAACTGCCACCGGAACAATATTCCATGACAATCCATAGATGGGAGCCCTTCAAGTATGACCCGTGATACTTAGTCACGTAGGGAGACTTCAGTTCTGAGAGAATCGCGATCTCTTGAATGATGTCGTCCACTTCGTCTTCGGCGTTTTCGACGTCGATAATCTTGATGGCAACGGACTCTCCAGTACGCCTATCGACTCTGATATAGCAAAAAAGTTGATTCGTTAGCAGGCCTTCCTTTGTATCAAGCTGGGGTTTCCAATAAGTACCCTTTGTAGACCCTGCCAAAACTTCCACCACCTGCGATGACAATCTTGTCAGCAATTGCCCCAGTGGCGCTTCATCACCGAAGTTTAGAAGGGTAGTTCTCACCAATACACGATTGTTTGGTGTAGATGCTCTCTGGATCAATGGGGCCTGTCATCTTGTCGGCTTATGCGGGCTTCAGTGTAAGTCAAGATCCTCGGCGCTCCTAGATAACTGATCAGTGAATCAGCAACTTCCTTCATGTGCCCACTGCAGGCTTTTGAATCATTCCAGTGCAGGGATTTCTGTTGCAGGGGAGGGCCTTGGGTCGGTAGGAGGAAACAGGATGGCACATACCGTGGAGGCAGGTTGATCCGAGAGATGGTGGGGGAGAAGGCGGGTCACGATTCACGAGGAAAGGTTACAGGACGCGTATTGAAAGCAGATAATAGATGATTCAATGACTGTTCTGTTTTCCTGTACAGAAGGCCACTCGGTCGGCTCTGCACGATATCTGTTCTTGCTGCAACTCACAACCATGATTAGCGGGACATCAACAAAGGCCATAAGAGAGGCATAGGAAAGCCACGATGGACTAATACCTCGAACACTCACAGGAGCAACAGATTAGTCAAGATGCATCATTGAACTGCATGGTTCATGGGCTTGACAAGGGGAACCAGACGCGCAATGATAGTAAAGGATTGTAAGAAGCTCAGCTCCCTTGCTTGTGTTTATCGACGCGGGGGCATATACTGCCAGGCGGTCAGTCTTATCTATGGTGGCGAGATAATAAATTGCCTATATAACTACTGTATATAGAAGGCGGTCACTAGAGTTGATGGAAGGCGGTATGTTCAGACAGAATTAGGGCGGTAACCAAGCCAACGGGGTACTAAACAGCCAAGGGCAGTATGAGTACATAGAATGCTACTGTATGTCCCTTAAAACTTGAAGACATATCATGAATTACTTTAGACTTCAAGATTCAAGTGAAAAGTCATTGGTTCATAAGATTGCTAAATTCTAAGACCGGAAAAGTCATGGGGCAAAAGGTTCTAGAAATCGTTTCATATGACTGAGTATCACCGCAAATGGGAGATACCAGGCCTCGTAGGCCCTTGCATGGAGCAAAGGGACTTTATCGCACGCTCCAAATGATTTACCTTGGTCAGGTGTGCCAAAGCCCAGCGGGAAGTGGTTTACACTTCGAGTTGAGCAGCACAGAACAAGGAGGGCGTTCAGTCTTCCAGATAGCCAATCATGACTGTGCCATTCTTCAGACCCGCATCTTGAATGCTCGTAGAAAGGAGGTCTATCAAGTTCTGCCCCATAGCATTCAGCTCGAATTCGACGCCAGCTTTGTCCTCCAAGGGAGGGTCAGCCTTGAGCCATTCATAGATGCGTTGGACTGGGTCTGACAATGCAAAGCGTCGAATAACACGGCCCGAGGGGTGGCGGAATTGGATGCGGGTGGTCGTGGCAGGATCAGCTTCGGGCTCAACGTGAGGTCGGTTGCTGGGAATAGACGAAAATGGAGACGCCTCCACTTCTTCAGCAGCCTCGGGGATAACTTCGCTCATGGCGTGATCGTGAGCGCCAGTTGCTCGGCCCTTGCCCTTGACATCCTCGGTGCTTCGAGTCAGGTCGTCTGGGTCTTCCAGCTTCGGTCCGGCCGCCAAGCCTCCCCCGAGGCTGTTGTTGATGGCCATCTCCATCATCTCCTCTTCCGTCATGGCATCCACGGTCTTCTCCTTCTTCTCCGACTTGCGTTTCGCCACGGGGTTGCGCACGTTGTGGTTCAGACTGTACCGGTCCAAGAACTCATGAAGTTGCATCAAGAATTCCGAAGCCTTAATGACTGGAGGACCAGACCATACCTTCATTTGTTCGCCCGTTCGGGGGTCAACAATGGCAATATGGGGGTAGTTGTCGGAAACGTCGCTGGCTTGGAAGTAATATTGGAGGTATGGTGCGGCCTTGGGATCATCCTTTGAGAACTGCAGGAACACGAAATGTTCTCGAACGGTCTCCTGAACGGTCTTGTCCTTCCAGAGATCGCGGTTCAGAACTTGACAGTCGAAGATTGAAGTGTCTTGTACGTTGACCAAAAGCCACTTCTCATTCTCGCGCCCTTCCTCACGAGCCACATCCCAAGGCACCCGAGACATGATTTCGAACGGAGGTCGGTACATTTCGGCGAGCATATTTGACTTGGAAGATGTCTCCGATGCACCTCCCGTAGCCATCGATAATCGTTCCTGGTGTGTCTCTGCGGAATCGCCGGCCCATATTGATGGCGCGGATCTCTGGTTGAAGATGCCTGCACGGCCTAAAGGTAAGTAATGTCAGTGATGTCAGTCTTAAACCAGCACTCTAAATCGCGGTCTTTTTACTCACTCTGGCCGGCCCGTTGACGAGCACGCAGCTGGCTGAGAATATTGGTGTGCATATCCTCCTCATCGTCGAAACCAAGATCCGGGCCCACCAGGGTCTCGGTCGTACGCGCCATGGGCGCCCGAACATCCTCATCATTTCCACCAATACCACCGGCGCCAGGGCCACCCCCGTACATTTCCTCTTGTAGGCGACGGGCCATGGCGGCGTCATCTTCGAATGTTGAATCTCCCGCAGCTCGTGTAGAGGTCTGGGTGCGGGCAGGTGGGTTGTCGTCATCATTGTCTGAGTCGATATGAACCACCCCAGCTTCATCCTCGAAACGAGTACGGCGTGGTGGTTGGGCAGGCTCTTCGGTCAATGGGGCACCTCCGTTTTCGAAAAACAGCAGCATGGACTGTTCGATGTCGAAATCAGCGAGCTGCAGGTACTGTGCCGCCAGCTCAGGCGTCGCACCAGTAATTTCGGCGAACTGGGCCACCAGGTCACTCTCCATGGTGGGCAAAGAGTGTGTGAGAGATGTGAAGGTTGAAATGTTCTAATCAAGAGAGGTAAAGAAGGAAAGAGAAGAGAGAGAGAAGCCTTGAAGAGATCTAAGATGCAATCCACCTAGTTCAAAGTAGAAGTGTGGGGAGCAATCTGAGGTGCAAACAGCTGCAAACCGAGGGATCAACGCAGCGAATACCCCGCGCAACGGATGCTAAAGGAAGATGACATGAAGATTATGAAGAAAGTTGAAGACTTTAAGCTCTTAAAGCTTCCCTCGCCGTTGATCATGTAGAAGAGATGATCATCTGCCACTAGGGACCAGTGACGCAAATGCCAGTGCGGTGACCGATAAAGACAACAGACGCAACTCTGCACTTCTGGTGATAGCGGATCACCGTAGCTGATCTTACTACTTGGGGAATGCGACGCGTCGCGCTACGCGCCTCGAAGGGCCCGCGTGAAATAATGTGGACCACCAACCGTCCCGAGGAAGGTACTTTCACATCAGCTCCTGCAACCTTGTGTCTCGGGTGATCAACGTGTATCATGGCAGCTACGGTCTTGGGCAAGCGTTCGCGCAGTGGTGCAGAGCCCGAAGGTAAGAGCCCCTACAGTCCTTTCCTCCCCTTCAGATCAATACTAATTAATCTGGTTTTAGCACTCCCAGTGCGCACGACAAGCAAGCGCCGAACCGTGGCACCTCGTGCCCGACGTGAAGAGGCCGCCGTTCCTAAGTCACTTCCTCGGACACGGTCGCGTGCAAAGATCGCAGAGCCTCTGCCCGACCAGGAGAATGGAGATCTCAAGAAGACCTCGGACAAGGCGCCCTCCAAGCACACAATTCGTGAGGAGCAGGGTGGGTCACCGTCCAAGATCAACTCGCATTTCCGCACCTCAAAGCTAGTGGAGGGTAAGCTGAGAGAATCGGAAGTCTGCGCAATGTCAGAGAAGTTGGGCTAATAGATTGTCTACACAGAGGAAACACCCGCTCCGCTTGAATTCAAGACCCCACAGAAAGCACGCTTCCGAGATGCATTGCAAGTTTCACCATCTACGCCTCGGCATCGTGTCCAAGTCGGGGCAAAAGCAGTCACTCCTCGAACCCCTCGACACGCCGATCTCCCACCTACTCCTCGTCAAAGTGCCACCCCAACCGTCGCACAATCGGTGTACTCACAAGCGCGACAACTATTTGCTCGGGGAGCCAACTCTGGACGGCTGGTTGGTCGTGACTCGGAACGAGAGAAGGTGGCCACATTTATTGAAGATTGCGTGAAGTCTCAAAAAGGCGGTTGTCTTTACATCAGTGGACCGCCTGGTACGGGGAAGAGTGCGATGGTCAATGAAGTGTGTCAAGACATGGATTTGTCAGATGTCAAGGTCTCTCATGTCAATTGCGTGAGCATGCGGAATGCTCGCGATGTCTATAGCAAGCTCATCCAAGACTTTGACGAGGGCTCGGATGTATTCAAAAAGAGTGAAGGAGACCGATTGAAAGCCATGTTTGTTCCAAACAAACCCAATGGTCTTTTCCTCGTTTCGCTGGACGAAATGGATCATTTGCTCATGGGTGACTCGGGTGTTCTCCAGTCGCTGTTTGAGTGGTCGTTATCAAACAAGTCAACCCTGATTTTGATTGGCATTGCCAACGCTCTGGACTTGACCGACCGCTCGCTGCCGCAGTTGAAGGCAAAAAACTTGAGACCGATCCTCTTGCCATTCTTGCCTTACAATGCGGCGTCTATCGCGAATGTTATTACCAACCGTCTTCGGTCTTTGATTCCCGCTGGCATGGATAATGACCCGAAGTTTGTTCCCTTTTTGCAGCCTGCCGCTATTCAGCTATGTGCGAAGAAGGTGGCGTCGCAGACGGGCGACCTGCGAAAAGCCTTCGAACTCATCAAGCGTGCGATTGATACCATTGAGCAGGAGACTCAACAGAAACTCGAGAAACAAGCCGCCGAGGCAGAGAACAATTCGATACTCGCTGAGAATGCGAATCTCTCTTCTCCAGCAAAGGCAGCTCCCGCTCCCCGTCCAACCACCATGTCAAGCTATACCGCTATCACAGCACCTCGCGCCAGTATCGCACACATTGCCCGTATCACGACTTCGGCTTTTGGACAAGGTACCGTTCAAAGACTGAAGGGATTGAATTTGCAGCAGAAAGCTGCCATCTGTGCTTTGATTGCATTAGAGCGCAAACGTCGTGAGCTTGACATTCTAAGCACACCATCCAAGTCTCGATGTTCTGCTCCTACGGTCAAGCAAGCATTCGATACATACACTACACTTTGCCGGAATGATAACATCCTGCACCCTTTGACTTCCACCGAGTTCAAGGATGTCTTGAGCAACCTCGAAACCATGGGCCTTGTGGGCGAATACCAAGGCCGTGGCCGTGGCGGAACTGTCGCTGGTGGGTCTGACATCCGACGCACACCATCCAAGTCGGGAAATGTCATCTCCACTCCCCATAAGGGCATGGATGAGCAGGGTCTTCTCTGCTTCGTCTCCCAATCAGAGATTGAAAGCCAGATTGCCGGTCCCGGTGAAGGGATCCTTAGAAGGCTTCTTCGTGGTGAAGGCCTCTGAAGTCGGCTCAGGCCTTGTCCGTTCTCTCACTATGCATCATCGGAGTTTTCAGGCGCATTTTTAGCATGTACACCGCTGTCGTTCGCATTTCTGGAGTCAACCCTGCATCGATCATGTTTAGCGTCATTTTTATGAGTTTCGTTTGTTCATTATGAACCTTTCCTTTGTGCAATATGCAAAATCACTCTTCTCGAGAGTGGGATTTGAGTCGGTCAAATCTTTCAGAACAAAATACAAAACTGCTGAATGAAAATCTGGCTTCATCATGTAAACATTAGTCCTAACTATTAGGCTCTCACTACAGCTAAGATTTGTTTTGATGCACTTCTTCAATTCGCACTATGTATTTTCCTATAGTCCACATCAACAACCACCCTCGGTCACAACTTTTATTGCTTTGTATACTCACCCAACACCCCTCACGCATCAAGACTCTTCGGCTTAATAGGCCGCACCAAATCAACATAATCAAACTTAGCCGCCACATTCTTAAACAAAACATTTCCAGGATGAGCCTCCTTCTCCTCCCCCGGAACAAGAACGTATTCGGGAACCCAGGATCAAACTCATAAGCACTCTCAATCTCCTTAATATCCTCCTCACTCAACTCCAACCCCAACGCCTCAACATTACCCAATAAATGCTCGACCTTCCGACCGCCGACAATCGGGAAGACGTGCGGTGCTTTGCTCATAACGTACGCCAATGCCACACTAGTGATTACCGTGTTATGTCTGTTCGCGACATTTTCCAACACCTTGGACACAGCCACGTCGACGTCCCGGGGCTCGATTTGTCGGCCTGGGTTGCCGCTTTTTGCGAGCTCTTCGCGGTGCGCGGCTGTTTTAAATGCGCCGCCGCCGATGGAGCCCCAGGGGCAGAGGCCCATGCCTTCGGCGGCGCACATGGGGATGATTTCGCGCTCGAAGTCGCGTCGGGCGGCGTTCCATTGGCCTTGGTAGACGGAAAAGGGGCGCATGCCGTGATCACGAGCGTCTGTGGATTTATTATCAGTGAGAAGGTTTTTCTCAAGAAGTACTTTGGAGAAGTGCTTCTTACATTGGTTTGCACGGCTGACAACCCATGCAGGCGTGTCACTGACACCGAGGTATAGTACTTTACCTGCAATGACTAGCTGGTTGAGGGAAGTCATCACTTCCTCGATTGAAGTTCCGAAGTCCCACCAATGAACATACAACTATATCCAAGTTAGCTTTTTGCCCTTGTTTTTGGTGTACCTGAGGAGAGAATAGTCAACTTACCAAATCGATATAATCAGTGCGCAACTTCTTCAGACTAGCATTGACTGACAACCTCATGCTCTTCGTGTTGTTTCCCACAAAGTTTGCCTGAATCTCGGACTTGTTATAGGTCCTGTAACCCGAGGTATACTTTGTTGCGAGGACAATTTGGTCTCTCAGATCACGCTTTTCCATCCATTCGCCTAGCCAGGCTTCAGAGTCCTCATTCTGGTAGTTGTTTGCACTAAATGTGTTAGCAGGAGCGCTCTCAAGGCTAGTGATTAGCTTGTCTTACGTATCGATGAAATTGCCACCATTCTCGTAGAATGTATCCAAGATCTTGAAGGATGTCTCTTTGTCACATTCACCCAGTCTCTCCTTCCTGGAGGGCAAAGTTAGCGTTGCCCACAAAATGCAATTATGCAATGAATAGAAGAGATCAATTCATTCTACAATCTTGAAGACTTACCATCCTTCACCAAAGTTCATTGCACCCAGACACAGTGGGCTCACCATGACACCCGCAGTGGGGGCAAGCATGCGGTATCGGCCGAGGCGAGACTTGGGCGGAGGGGCAGTGGGGAATGACATCGTCGCGTAGTTGGCAGCAGACCCTTTTTTCAAAGTATTTCCTGTCAAACCGAAGCCGGTAGTGTATGAATAGAGTCTCAATGTATTTCGGATTATCTTCCTGCAATGATCAGGAAATTGTTTCGTTGGGGTTGCGGTGTGAACAGCTCTTTATACTCCACAGAGTATCCTATCTACACTGCGGGGAAATGATGTAAGTAAACAGGTTATGAGGGCATGAAGCACATTATTAATGCTTGTGATACCTCAACCCTCAATCCGCCATAACTCCGGAGTCCGGCCCTCAAGAGGCACGATCGAGCCAGTCACTGTTCATTCTCGTCAATGCTGACTGGGTCGCGGCTCGTTTTTACGAAGCTTGGCTGTTTAACTCCGTGTCCAAGTCGGTTACTCTGGTCGGTACTTGTTTAGAGTTATGCTATCGGGTAATTGCCGATCTTCTCCTGCTGTGCCAGTTAAATGATACTATTCACTGGATTTGCTCGAGTCCTAGAAATCTATGTATTTCAAAAATAAATCCTTGGAATTCGTGAAATAATGAGAAGAGATAACTGCTAGCAAATAATAAAAAGACCGATCTAGGTCGCACATCAAATACTTCTTCCCATTTGCAACACGCTTGTTCCGCTTCTTCGCCGGTCCATGGTAGCTCTCATCCTCATCCACCTTCAGGGACAGTTTCCTCAACTTCATTCGATATTTCTGTGCCCATTTCACCCCATTTCACTAGATCCGAGTGAACGTCAGCCCACATCTTCTCATCCGGGTCCATTTCAAGTTCGTTAACAATATCATCAATAATCGGATCGTAAAGTTCCAAACCCTACTCCGCCACCATCACTACCTCCTCCTTCTCATTCCCCCTCTCCTCCTCTTTCTCCTCAGCCTCCATTTCTTCGAGCTTTCTCTTCCGTGTTGGTGATTGCGGTGGTTTTCGGACCGACAGCTCGCGATAGATCACCACCTTGCCATCCTTGACAACAGCATGTTCCTTGTAGGTGGGTCGTTCTTCGCCGCCTCGAGCGATTTGCATGGCTAAAGGATTGGGGTTCTCGTTATCATTCTGTTTCTCGTATGGGACCCTCAGTGGGCTGATTACAGGTTCGGGCTCATCCTCGGAAGGATATGTCTGATCACTGAAGTTCTCGGAATCCGGGGTTTGTGGTCTTGGTGGGTCCCTGCGGCATCGAGGACATTTGCATGGACCTCCGAAGAGTCGGGTTGCACGTCGCTGGGATTTGATTGCGTGGTTCCGATAACGAATTCGAATTTCTTCTCCCTGGGCAATGTTCCTGGTAGCCCATACGATGACACGGTTGGGAACTAGCTTGTCATAGCCCCAATCTGCATTGTGGGATCCTGCACAGGAATGATTGAACATGCTCAGTCCCGGGAAAAGGTAAAGGTTTTGCAAAGACGGATCAATATCCATAAGTGGTTCTCTCTTCTCCATGCGCTCGAACTGGACATCCGGGGCATAAAGCTTCTTGTCTCGATCGGTTGCCAATCTGTCGGGGACTTCTCCCTGGCGCCGCGGATCCCATGGTACAGCATTGACTAGCAGCTTGCGCAAGATGATCTGAATAATCCATGTATCAAATTCTGGTCGTTGGAAGATATCCACGCCGAGAGATTCAAGGATATCGAAAGGAACCTTGATGTTCGCTGCCAGGTTGAAGGGGAACCAGCTTTCTCTCCATGACTTGCTGTTCCCATCAAGAACCAGGAGCTCGTCGATCTCGTGCGCGTTCAGTCGCATATTATCATCTGGTTCCTCCTGCCGACGGTGCAGCGCGATCTCAAACACATTGCGTAAAAGAAGCATGAGCGTGGTTCCATGGCCTTCATTTGTGTGGGAAATAAACTCTTGGCCCATCCAGGTACTGACAACCGGTCGCATGGAATCATAAAGCCACTGCCAGTCTTTGCCACAGCTACCGAAATGATGAATCTCGCGGGCAATTTCTAGGCAGCTCTTTTCACTCTGCCACTTCGGGGGCGCTTTGCAGAACATCCGACCAGGGGTAGCGGGCTGGCGTAACCACATATCAGCACATGGGCACTTAGTTGGGGCCTTATTTTTCAGTTGTCGAACCATCGCTGGACTGATCGGCTTGAGGCAGTTTTCACATCGGCTTTTGTCATAGGCTTTGCCGTGCAAGTCCTTGGGCAAGCGGCGCGGTGGAAGATGACCTCGAATCGTGGGCTCTTCAATGTGAATGACGGCGCCAGTCTTGATTGCGCTCCTGGCGAAGACACCAATTTCCTGCTTATCACCACCAGCCTTGCGAATGACACAGGTTGGCTTCGAGTCTTTACCCGTTATGCCATTCTCATTGAAGACATTCTTATTCAGTTTGTCCAGGAATGACGACGAAGTGCGATCGACATCCTGTGCCTCAAATGGATACGGTCGACTAGCTGGAACTGCACCAGCGCTGTGCTCATGGAAGAAGAGTTTCTTCTTATGCTGGGTCTGTTCCTCGTAGACCTTGGCGGCCTTTTCGCTCAAAGTGTTGCGAAGCTGTGGCACTCGCACATCACGATCAGGCATCCCCAGTCTGGTTTCGAGGATCTTCATGTGGTCAAGGTAGTCGTGCCATGCGTTGAGTCCAGCAAGACTAAGACTGATGATACTGTGAAGCGACTTCTGAAGCGTGGGCACAAAAACATTGACACCGTTTGCCCTCCGCATGCGAGCAACTTCAGGGTTGAGATTCCCTTTCTTATCACGAGGAAATACCATCAAGTGTGCCTCGACTGCCTCCCAAATTCGCATGTAGAATCCAGGTCGTCGATTGCGCTCCAATGACTGCTCAAGCACATCGCAAAGAAGTTGTGCACGGTAGGCGTCACCAATGGCCAGATCGAAAAATCCCAGTTGATAATGACAGTAAGCCCGACTGACCCAGTAAGTCGGATTGTAGGGACTGATTTGAATTGCAACAGTGTACATTTCTAGTGCAGTCGCCTTGACTCTCTTCCAGGGTTCCAACCCATACTTGTGTGTGCGCTTTACGCCCCAGTAAGAAAGGTCGCTCTTCGTTAACATCCCCGACCACTTGTCCATGGTGTCTGTCGTAATGCGAGCTCTGAGCTTGGCTTCATCTCCAGACGTATCCAGTCCCCTTTCTTCGCATTCTGCTCGAAGCTGACTCAAATCCAGAAATTCCAGGTATCCAAGGCTGCCCGAGTCGATCGCCGCCTGTTTCGTCTGCTGCATGTTCTTGGAAAGATCATATTTTCGGTCGAGCCCTTGCTGTGCGATTATTTTTCCACCGTCTTCATAGGCCACGGGTAGGAGGGGATCGCTCATCAGATGCTCATACACGTTGTGTGCCAGGACATGGATATCGAGTTCTCTGTCGGGGGGTCGAGTGAATGGACGCTGTTTCTTCTCATCCCATTGCTGCCAAACCTTGCCGAGGGTTTGGTCTGGTAAATACCATGCCATGTATGCATCGTGGGCCCTTTCTGGGGTGACGGGTTTTCTCAGAAGCACCTCGTCGAAGATGTCTGGTCTGGGTGGCCAATCAGGGGGTTCGATCACGCCCATTGCAGGTTTCGAGAGAAAGCGCGAGTCGATGGATTTTAAATTTTCATCGGGGTCAAACGGCATCCTCCCTTTCCATTTGGATTTATTGGTTGCCATGGTGGTCGGAGGTTGAGTGGTAGTTGGGGGAATTGATAATAGTGCTAGAAGTATAGGAATGGCACTTGAGAAGGTCCTTGGCAAAGAGTGGCCCGGAATCAGATATCAAGTTGAATGATAGAAAGGGTAAAATTCTCTTCGAGGTTTGCAGGTCAAGATGGGGATAATTATATTCGAAGCAAAGCGATTCTGGGGTGGGCAAGAAGCAGTACTACGGCAGTCATTTCAAGGAAACTCATGCGAACAAAGGAAGCCAGTGTTATTGCTAGGTAGATACACATTGAGGTCGAGTCAACTTGTCCAGTAAAAATCAAATTCTCCCATGAGAGAATTGGCCCTTCGAGGTAACAAAGAAAATGTACCAAGTCAATCTGTCCGAGTGCCCTGTCTGGTGCCTAGGTCCAATGCAGCTCGACATGTCGGGAAAGAAAGGACAAAGAAAGTGCGATCAGCTCCCATACCTATTCTAAACTTATTCGAATCAAAAACCAGAATCCTTCGAGCCCATATTGGAAATATCCAAGCCGAGGAGGTGGCTTAGCTTTCGGTTTTTCCCAAGGTCCGAGAGCTCTGCTGGGGGCCAAGCGGGCACCTTCGCATAGGGGCGTATTAGGGTCATGAAGAGTTCAGAACTGGGACAAAGGACAAAATTTCTGAGTTTTTCTTCCCAAATTGCCAGGCCTTGTGACAATATTACGCTTGCCTTGGGTTGTGATGAGATATCAACGAACAAAGAACGAGGCCGAGCGCATAGTTCGTGTGGAGTCTACACTTCAGATAGGGAGACTTGTACCAGGGGATGGGCAAGTTCCCCAGACACGGGAGAAAAGGCGCAATCTGATGGAAATCACTATTATTAGCATACTGTCGGTAAGTGTATTCCTTCGCACTTCGTAGCAATCATCAAGAAGGTAGTAATAATAGTACAAAATAAGTTCATCCTGTAGTTCGTAGTTGGAGTGGGGCAGAAGATCCCGCGTGTCACGGTATCAGGCTGACTGAGTTGCACTCCTGTCCCGCTTCAACCTAAAGACAGCAATCGCTAGGACGCCTTGGCCGTCCATCTTGAAACACTGTTCGGCAAGAGGAGTCCGCGGCCGATCAATACTTGATTCTCCTTTCTCCTGTCTCGCACCTTTTGACAACCACTGCGATGCCTGGCCATCATGTATGGACGACCTCAACCAGATCCCCCATCGCAGCCTGAATGGCGAGTGCCCCCGCGACGCGAGGTAGGCCAACAGGCGGAGGGACCTGTTCCTCCTCCGCCGCCTCGTCCACAGACAACAGGTGCATATAGTCCAGCGACGTACGGCCCGATCTCAAACTCCCCGGCAAATGCAGGCACATCGCCTGTGACGGGTGCGGACCCAAGAACTTGGGGGGTGCGGTATAACCAGCAACACCATCCGATATATGCTCCGCCGCCGTTGCCGGTAAGTTGCATGAAGCTGTGGTGAAGCTTTCTAGCATTCCAGAACTAACCGCCCATTCCTGAATAGCCTCGGCCATCGAGTACCAACGAGCAACCGTACGCCTATGCGCAACCGCATACGCATCCGCCGCCCATAAACAATAGCATCTCCCCTCCGCCGCTAGCCCATGGCGTCGAACCTTTCTCGGGCGTTCAACCCCCATTGGCCTCGTCGATCGTTCCACCACCGTATACCGAGCATCCAGCCCCAGCCCCAGCTCCAGCTATATCTCCCGTTCCACCTCCGCCTCCCAAAAAGCCGCAAGGATACCAGCCAACCCCGCCGCCTGTTCAGCTTCTACCGGAACGGCCTCCACTGCTCGCGCAAGGCTCAGGGCCGGCAGCAACACAGGGTTCGTATGGATTTACGGGGCATACTTCTATTAATACCAATGTGGCTCCAACGGGTCCCTCGGCGTTGGGCCCAGGAACACCCTCTGATTGGGAGCATTTGGGACCAACGCCGGGTGAATTCGACGATGCCCCTTGGTTTCCACCAAGGCCTCCACCTCCACCTCAACCCCAAACTGTGACTTATACACTACTCCAATCGCCAGATTCAATTTCCACTCCACCGGGATACTCAACTGGAATGCCCCCTCCTGCAGCCCCAGTGCCAGCAAACGCACCACTTCCGCCACGGGTAGATACAGCGCCGCCACCTCCGGGCGACCTGTATCATGGCGATCATTCGCGTCGGAATGATTCAATGTCACCGATCAGCCCTGCAAGTACCAAGGGAGGGCGCCCCACCGATCCTCTCAATCGAATGGACAGCGTTAGCTCTGGTGTTTCCTCGTTTGGCGGCCGCGCCGACAGCATCGACAATGTCATCGATGCCTGGGTGAAGCCATTGTCGCCTCCGTCCAGGCCAGCACAGCCAGATCTCCCACCTCCGAGTCATCGGACCACTCCGGTCGCGGCCGCTCCACCAACACAGAGCAGCCCGCCTCCGGCTCAGGATCCGAGAATGCTTTCAAGTCCAGTGCAAGTGCCGGCCCCAATTGCGGAGGCACGACCAAGCACTGTAGCTCCTAGAGAGCCAGATCCTTATGAGGATCTCGACCCATGGTCTAAGTCCTCTTTAACCCGCTTCATTGCGATGCTACGCAAAGAGGCAGTTGCCGACTCGGACGAGGAGCGCTACAAGATCTTCATTGCTTTCACGGCCAAGGAGACCAAGCTTCGGGAGATTCTCTATAATATTGAACACGATGTGCAAGATACCCTGCCAGTATCTCGTAGCTCTGAGGTAGCACAGAATCGGTCGTCTCCTATCTCAGACAATGGCAAGCCAGCTATCGAATCAGGGTTAATTCCCGTGGAGACAGAAGAAATTCGGTCACCGACTACTACAATTACGGATGACGGAAATGACGGTGATGATACGGCCAGTGAATACAGTGCGGGAGGCCGACCTACTCTCGGCAAACGAGCTCGTCAAGCGTCACAGTGGACACCCAAGCTCTCAACGCTTCCAGCGGGTGAAGACCCGACCAGTCGACCTATCAAACCCCCTTCAAGGCAGTTCTCATTGGACGATGCGCTCCAAAAGCAGACAATTGAGCCGCTCACGACCAATCCCCCGCGGCCTATCTATACACCATTCCAGTACACCGAAGGGCCCCAGCGTGGCTCAGATAACCTTACTTTTGACCGTCCGGCATATCAGGCCTACTCTGAGCTTCGGCAAGCTTCCGCCGTGAGTGGACGAATCATGTCAAATGTGCCTCCCCCGATACTTCGATCGAGGTCCGACACACTGCCAACGTCTCCGGCTCAAGATGAACATAATGAGACTTTCCTTGGCCTCATCCGCGATAAGAGCAGCGCTTATCAAGCAACAGACCGCCGAGCAACCATCACGGCCCCGTTGCTTCCCGCACCTCTCCGGCAAGGACGACGGTCCGATGATCCAGTTGAAGATATTCGTGCCATGGTTTGGACTCCCCTGGACAAACAATCTGAAAGCTCTTGGCATATCACGACTCGGGAAGAATTGGACAACTTCCCAGATAACTTCGCCTATATTCAAGAAACGGTTGATAACTGGGAGAGTTCCGCACATGAACGCCGGTCAAAACTAGAGCAAGAACGCACTGCTCGGCAGGAGGAATCGGAAGCCCAGATCGACGACCTCTTCAATGGCAAGGAGATTGGATATGCTGACATCAATACTCTGGAAGAGGATTTCCGTCAGAGCGAAGCTCGTATTCAGCTTGATGAGGAGCGCGAAGAGGTGAACGAATTCATGGAAAAAGTGTTCAATCCTCTGGACGAGCGCTTGAAAACCGAAATCTCGGCTCTCCGCAAGTCCTATGACTCTGCGCTCAATCAACTGGATCGAGATCAGAAGGGAAAGAGCTCGCCGGTGGAGCAATGCAGCCCATCCGTGACCATGAAACTAGTCAATGATATTCATAGCAAGCTTGAGATCCGTTTCCAGAAGAGGCTCGAAATTGCCTTGGACTGTGAGCGTCGTCGCAAAAAGGCCGAACGTCGTCCCTTGGTGTTCATGGGTGACATGGCTAGTCTTCGCAAGCTAGATGGGGACTTTGACCGCATGGAGAAGCGGAACATTCTGGAGGCGGCCAAGGATCGCGACGATCGAGCGAATCGGCTCATGGATTCATTCGATGATGCGATCCTCCACGGGCTAGGTATGAATCAGAGCCTCCTGGATGAGCTTGCGAGCAAAGCAGCCCGGCTTGACCCCGCGACCCTCCGTGCGTCCAACCTGCCGGATTCTGAAGTCGAACAGATTCTCAAATCCGTGGCGACGTTCGCGACGTCGCTTCACAAAGATTCGGAGGCGATTCTCCGAAGCTCGGCTGTTGCGGAAGTAGCCCTCAACGACGCCGACTACAACGTCTCCGTCGCCGAAGCGCGATATGCCAATTCGGAACCGGATATCTTCCATCGGCTTGAGATGGAGAAGAAGAAAGAAGATGCGATTCTTCAAGCAGACTTGGATACTAAGCTGCAGAGCATCCAAAAGGGCCCGCGGGAGATTGAGGCTACCGCTAAACGCTTGCTTGAGGAATTGAAAAAGACCCCAAAGCCTGCGACACCAAACCCGGCCCCGGCCCCTGCTCCGGCTCCAACACGAGTTCCAACTAAGTCTCCAAGTCCTCCAGCAGCACCTGAGCCCGAGGGGGCAATCATGGCGAGTCGGCCAGCTGATTTGTTGCCATTGGACCTTCGCCCTGCGACTATTGCCCCCATTCAGAGCCCTAGCCCACCTCTGGCGAGTCGCCCTGTGGTAGACCCCGAGGTGGAGCATAAGGAGAGGCTGCGGAGAGCACTAGAGGATGCGAAAAAGCGCAATGCAGCCCGGGCCGACCAATAAATTTTGTCTTTCTTGACTGGGGCTGCTGTAGATTGAACCCACAGGTTGAACTCATGACGTGACGAATTTCCTTGCATCTGAAATATCTTTCATTCTCTGACTACTGTCACAGTGATCGTGGCAGTCTTGATGTTATTCACTTCATACATGGATACCCTCTCGTTATTGTTTACTCGAGTAGTCTAGCTATTTGGATATAAGATTTCCTTTTACACATTATCTTCTATATTATTACAAAACATATCCCCCGTGAATACCTGAGAGCACTGACATGAATAGTTTATTTAGTTGTATGTAGTTGGATTTGTCGATTTAGCACGAGTGGGTTATGCACAGGCCAACAACAAGTACTTACATGACAGCAAGGACCCAACCGGATTCCTTTTCCCCACGTTACACGGGCATTTTAGCTGTTTTGATTGTCCTTTTGGAAAAAGCACAGCAAAAAAGCAAAATTTTATCGAGGAAGTATCCAAAACCACTTACCTCGACACGATGACGCAACATCGCATGATGAGAAACACCAACTCTTTTGATCCTCCAACGGGCGAACCTGCCAATCGCGCCACCAACTGTGGCTGCACAACGAGCAGGGTTCACCAGTCAAGTGATTTGAATTCTGCGAACAATCGAACGCACGGACAACTTCATCCAACGACCTCGTCAGCCAAAAAAGACTCAATGACCTCTAGAGAGTCAACATTTCCACGCCTCGGCGTGTGAAATCAATCGGAAGTCATGCAGACAAGGCACAATTTTTAGGCGCCCGCCCTCAATGATTGGCGGCCATGGGGCCAACTCGGGCGATTAGACGCCAGATGCCTGTCGATCAGCCCTGCTGCGCACGAAGCCTGCTCTGACCACCGCTCAACAGCTGTCATGGATTGTGGCCGTCACCTCCATCCTCGCGAGACAAGCGGGGACTTGTGGCCCCAGCTGAGAACAAGGGTGGAAGACTCTCTCCAGTCCAAGAGCTAATTCAAACCCAAATTGCCCACGTCAGCGGGGCCTGCTGGACTGCACAGTACCTACCCGACGTGCTCGGATTCGCTGTGCCCCCTGCACTAGATGTCCAGATTGATCAGAAAAAAAGCTAACGGCACATCGGCCGAAGCAGATAGGCACCGTTCGCCCGCAGGAGCTTCGCCCACCGTGAACCCCCCCACCTCTCCTAACACCCCTCATTTGTGCTGTGCCGCACTACTCGACATCGGGGATCCTCTGCCAATGAATTTGAGGCGATATGCAAGGTGCCCGTATGAATCACCAACTCGTCCACGATCACACTAGAGAAAATGATCCTGCGGCGTCTATGGAACTCGGCTGCGGCCTTAACAGGGTACTCCACTTTGTCCCCCGTCATGTTGAGATCCAGGCTGCTTCCACGCTGCACGTCTTGCCCTAACTTGGAAGGAGCATCGATCTTTTTGTTTGGTCTGGAGATCGATCGATTTCAAGGGTCCCCTTGCAGCACACGGACCAGAACTTTGTCGCGTGGGCCTCGATCAGAATGTCGCGCTTGCTATCTGCCTCGTGAATCGCACTGAGGGCAAGTTCAATTGCACTTCAACTCCTATCACTGGCAATTGTCAGAGTGAGCAACAGAGGACCAACACGACAAGGAGAGGCGCGTCGGATGTGACGCCATATTAATTTTCGGAAAGGGGGAAAAGGTTCGAGACCGGACCCAGTCGACGGCGATCGCGGACTAGCAAATTGGGCATGCGCCTAAGCGGCGGAGCAATGAGATCGTCACCAGGCCAAGACTTCCAGGTGTGCGTATGCCTATACTATCGACGATAAGTCTTCATTAACGTTGTTCGATTCCACCTATGTGGTGGCCAGATTTTGATATTCCCCTTCGCTGTGCTTGAGTTAAGGTCATGATCTGTTCGCCAGGTTGGCCCAACGGCGCCGCCTACGCCCTTCCGGTGTGCAGCCCAACCAGGATGAACTGTAGAAATGGAGCCATTCCATTACGACAAGGCAACAATCTCTCACCAGATGCTTGTCAATTCAAGCTCCTGACTGTGCTTGATAAGATCTTCCTGCCTATGAGTATGGAGAACACCAACCTCAGTACTTCAAGGCTGATAACATAGCTCCTTGGTCTTATTCTCCTATCCGCTCTCCTCGGAGCCCAAGCCACCAAGGCGCAATGGCCCCAGATCTGTCCATTCCACAACGATCCCATTAGCGGGCGTCTGTGCGCGACGCAATGATGCTGATCAGTCACTGTACGAAGGCCATAGTCAAAACGGTTCGGCCTTGTTAAGACAACATCCCTTCGCGGCCATGAATCTTGCCCCCTTTGCCCTGGTCCCCCTAGATCCTACCTTAAGCGCCGTTGGAAAATTCCGCAGTTTCTCAGCGTCGAACTAACGACAATTGAGATTAACCTGTGGTGTTTAATTTCCGTTCTGTTTGATTTGGATTTTCGTCTCTCTCCCTGGCCCATCTCTGTTTCCCCCTCCCCGCCTTCCTCCTGTTTCTCTCGGAAATCCCGTCGCGCGCTCTTTGTTCGCAATCAGGTTCGGGGGTCCTGCCCCGTCATGCGCCATTGCGGGAGCACAGCGAGCACAGGAGCGTGCAGATGGCGGCCACGGATGACGAAAATCATCGTGGGTAAATCGACCTTGACCTTTGGCCCCTCTTATGGGATTATGGGTAATTCGTTCGGCCAGGATCCTCTAAGACTCCGCCAGTCTCCTTCAACTTGTATTTAAGGCGGGAGGGCCGTTCCATGGTTCAGTGTACCCGCTTCCGTCCATGGGTCGGAAGAAACTCTCCAGCTTAACTCGGGGCATTCAGCGTTAATGAGTGAGGCTTGTGGAAAATCCACCAGGCCACGACGGGATTTACACATCTGCAACTTTCCCAATTCTCTTGCCCCCCATCATTGATGCCCAATTTTTTCTGTTGTTGGTCGTCAATTTTCGTCGGTCGTCTGGTCTGCTTTCTAGTCTACCCTTTGTTGGCCTCGATCGGTGATGGCTCCCCCTACGAGCCAATTCCACAGGCTTTCTATCGGTCAGAGTATGCCTGAAGCTCGGGCCCAATCGTCACGGTCCGCTCGTGTGGCGGGGCGGCCTGATCCTGCCGACAACGACGAGGGTGATTGTGGGAATCAAGGGGATGACAATTCTCCTGCAGAGAGCTCGAGTGAGGAGGATGAGGACAAGGATGAGGATGAAGAAGACGAGGAGAGCAGCGAGGAAGAGTCTACTCGCGCGTCCACCGTCCGAACGCGATCTGGGGTCACTTATGATCTGAGCCAGCTAGATACCGAGTCCGAGGCCAAAGCTTTGGTGGGTTTAACGGGTCAATTCGAAGTTGTCAATTGCGGTGCCTCGTCCTCGGGCTATGAGTTCCAGCTCCTTGATCGACCCCGAGTTCACATTGGTCCCGGTCCGCCTACTTGTACTTGCACGACCTTCCAAACCCAGCCGGGCATGGCCTGTCACCACATCTTCGTAAGTGAGAAATGCAATTTCTACAGGCAGAGCCGACGAGTAGGCCAAGGCCTTGTTGCTGATTGATTCCTTTCTGCAGTGGCTCCTCGATCAGCTCCATGGCTGCTTCCTCACTGATCCTGCCTCGACGGAGTTAGCTCTATCCCACGATGGCCGGCCCCGTGTACGTCCGCGTATTGAGGACCTCCTCAACGGTCAGCTAGAAGCGGTAGCAGACCGGCTCAACTGGCCGTATCTTCGGGTTGAGGGCGATGGGAGAACCACAGGTATGACGCGTGCCGAGAAGGTACGAGACGTTCTCTCTGCTTTCAGTTCAAAGGTCTTGCCCGAGGATTTCCGCCGGGACTTGGTCGAAACGACAGCGCAGACACGGACTCCGGAACAATGCGTGGTTCAGGGTGACTTCGAGGCGACGATCTTCCGGCTTGCGGTTCACGACGACAGCGTTTTCACGAGCATGTGCAAGGCCATGCCTTCCGGTGCATGTGCGGCGATCTACTTTGACAAGGTTCAGGAGCAGTTGCGCCGGCTATTGGCCGATTTCGACCGCTACTGTGCGACGGGGGAGCGGCCTGCCGACTCGAGCAGTCCTGGCAGAGGGCGACTAGAGGTAGATGAAGTCGTTCAACAGCTACGCTACTCGGTTTCTCGAATCCACGCGAACATTGCCCTCCGCGCGCCGTACGGTTCCGAAGGTGCTGCGAAGGCACTCGTCTCTATTCTCGAAGCGATTGCCGCGCGTAACAAGGATGCTTTGGAGGGTAATGCCTGGGGCCGAGCTTCCTTCCACGGGGAGGATGAGGATCAGCGCAATCTCTACCACTTACTCATTGGCTCTGATGATATGGATTTGGATCCTGAGGCGGAGCTGTTCGTGATCGATGCGTTGTATGCCCTCCCCCTGAGCGATCTTGCACAATACATCCCCAAGCTGCTGGAAATTCGGAGCAAAATCGAGGTCAATCGTGCGCCGAAGCAGTTTCTTATTCGGCTGGGGGCTTTAATCCGACAAGCTGAGTCGGCGGCAGCAGCATCAGCATCGGGTCAGATGGGCTCTGGACAAAAGCGACCAGCAGCTGGTAACTCGGGCGGCTATCCGAAGCGAAGTCGCTAGGCTTCTACTTTGATTTGTAACGGCGGGATCTGTCTATGGCTTTTGCTTTTGCTTCCTAGCTTTGGCTACACTATTGTTTCTTTTCTTTTGTTTTCATGTTTGGGCGGCCATCGTGCTCATTCGTTCCAATACCCCCTGCATTCTTGTCACCAGCGAGTCTCAAGACTCCCCGTGCCATTTATTTTTGTCCTGTCATTCATTGATTCTTGCATTTGTCCTTCTTTTCTAATTCTGCTACGCATCATTTGGATACACACTTGGGTGGCTCGCATGTCATTTTCCACATAGCATCAATCCATCAATCCCTTTTATTCATGATCTCATCATCTCCATAGCCCAAAAAACACAGTACCCTCGATCTGGCCGGATTTACTTTTTCCCAGATCAGATCTATATATCCCCATGACACCTATTTCCGCAATCCGTAAGGGTCATCTGTACCATGGCGTCATACCAGCCCCAATACTGCGGCCTTGGGACCCCGCGTCCACGGATTGGATCATTGGTGCACAGGCCGGACGTGTCACTTGTCCTCCAAGCTGTGGCAGTAGCCCGATCTGACGATGCAAACCATGGGTCGACGCTGAGCTTCTGGTGGTCAGACCCACTCGCACATGGTTGGGCCCGCATGATGAGGGAATGTGAAATCGGAAAGGGGGGTTTCACGGGGCTAATGGGACTGACTATTGTAGCTTCATACTCTTCAGTTTTACCTGGACAAAGTCGGTTATATCGATATGAATGGATTTACTGGTGTTTTGTGTGTAGCACAAAGAGTAGTGGTCTCTTCGGCTGTATACACCGATGTATGTTTATAAGCTGTGGAGTCATGGCGGAGCAGCTCGGCAGTATACGGAGAGACGCGTTCAGGAAAAAAAAGTTAAACATAGTCCCCATGGTGCTACGGTTGATTAGTTACCTAAAAGCCCCTCCAACGCAGTTCCTGGGTGCTCAAAACAGACTCGCTCAACGCCGGGGTGGTGCTTACAGATGATTGTAGCAAATGCTTACAATGCTACCTAAAACAGCGGACGCTCGCTTATCATTTTGAGTCCCTGACTCGCGTGCCCCCAGGGGGGACCCGTGCACGGTCCTAGCAGTGACAACCTCGGTCCATCCATCCATCTTGTTGGTGTTGGTTGCTACCTAAACGGGCCGCTTAGGTTTGACTACGTATCAACAATGACATTGTCTGGCGGTGTCGAAAAGGCGTCGGGTCCGTGCCGACTTTGAGGTACTGACTGGGGTCTTTTGCATAGTGAGTGGACCGTGCTTCTACCGAGAAGGGGTAATTCGTGTGGATTTGCGCTGGGACTGGTTTCGTTAGTGTGCTTTTGATGGTGGAGATCCTCTTAGGTGGGGATCTTCATGATTGTTTTCGGCTTTTCGTCCGGGACATTCTCGGTTTTCCAATTGAATTTTGTTGATTTGGAATAATAAACGCTCTGATGGATAAGTCTAGTTCTAGTGATCGCCGCAGCTCTGAAGTACCGAAAATTACCGTTTGGGTATTCATTTCTGCCCAGAAAAAGCTAACTAGCTAGTATTCTATCAAGCATACAACAAAGTTCACTTCTTGGCCTTACCCCCTGGGTTCTTTTCTTCATCGAGGAACGCAGAGAAAAGAGTACTATCAAACCAAGGCTGAAAAGTGAGGATATGCCGATATGCCTCGGCCTGCTCATCAGGAGGGACCTGAGATTCGAAGAACGCTCTCTCCCCGAGATAACTATTCTCCCTTCCCTGAGGAAGATCCAGGTTCCAATCAACACATTGCTGGTAGAGACTCTGCCACAGTCGAACATAGTTGCGCACAGCAGGTAAGGTTCCAAGATTCTGAAGTGTGCTCCAGTCTGATTGAAGCTTTTTCAGAGTCTTGCGTGGCGGATGATTAAACATTCCCGAAACAATCTTCAACCGCTCATAAGGCTGGCCGTATACATCCTAAATAAGAGATCTTTATTCGCTGGAGATTGATTCCATGATCAGATTCGATAGATCTCCAAGGGCGTGTTTCTTCTTTTGGTAGGTAGCCAGCTCTGCCTTGTACTTCGAAGCAAGGGAATGGAGATTGGTGAATCAGATAAACTAAGATCGACGAGGGAGTCTGCCAGGAATTGGACGGAACGAATCGTTGGCTCCTTTGGCTCTTTCAGGCAGGGTAGGTCTGCTCTCTCGGTTTCTGGGTTGCAATATTCCCATATTTCTGATTTCTTGGCGACTTGCTCGATGTGATTCTTCCATAGGCGCCAATCGTCGGCTGACCAGAGGAAAGGCGGACTAGGCGTCCCCTTGCGAGGCTTGGTATCTCGCTTTGATGCCATTTCCGGTGGTCTCAAGATCTTACTTAGAATTTGGATTCAAATTGATGATGATTTTCAGAGGTGAGTTGGAAGCCCGGGGTCACGCACACACCGCTGGATTCCGATCAAAACGTCATGATGAGGTTTTCTATGTCCTTTATATATACATTAGTCAGTGAAAGAGTCCCAAAAAGGCTAATTTCTTTGGGCTTAACTACGGTACACTTGCTTTTCTACCTCGTTTGATGATTGCGCATCGCCGGGAGTTTCCGGTATATTCTTTGAGAGTTGAACCAATATCCCCGTTTCCCTCATGATGCACTTTGCATAATGGTGGAGTTTAGATTGAAGGACCATCTCTATTCGTGTGTTCCATTGAGAAATTGACAAAAGCAATGGCATTTCTGGGTTTCATATAGCTATCGACCACGTTAGCTTTGGTCAATTCTACTCTCAAAGCTAGCTAGGATCCTTCCGGACTGGACCTTCCACCTCAAAGTTACTTTAAGCCGTCTGTCAGTACAACAAAAATAAGAAAACCCCTCTTTCTTAGGGCACTCGCACTCACCCAGTCATCTGCAGCTTCACCTTCCTCGTCTGAATGTGCACCTGCGTCGGTGGACCATGAAATATCGAATTTTCCATCCTCCTCAGTTTGACTCTTATCGGCGGCTACTGTGCTGGCCTTCGGCGCTATCCCCCAGCTATCTGTGGACTCCTGATCAAACTCTGAGAGCCCAGGATTCACGAACCAAAACTGAAACTGCAGAGGCTTCCACATCGTAGCTGCTTCCCGGGAATCCAGCAAGCTCTTTCCCAGAGCCTGGTCTGGAGCACCATTCGCCATCTTCAGGCTGAGGCATTTCTCGAAGAGCGCTTTCCAGCGAGTAACATACTGCTGGATATCCTGAGACTCTGCCAGCTGTTGAAGTGCAAGCCACTCGGAGGACACCGCATTGATATCTTCAGGAGATGGGCCACTGAAAGTTCTCGAAAGTGCCGTCAGCTGGTAGTATGGAGTAGCCCCAAAGATGTACTTGGTATATTGCCCAGAAACGGAGGATTTGATGAGCTGCTGAATCGTCTCAATAGCCTTCCGCTTTTGATCAAGCCCATCCTTATTCTCCTTGTACTCTTTGACTAATTTCCGGAGTTTCTGGAAGTCCGCATCCTCAAGGTCAGCAATGGACCATGCATCATCGCGGACTGTTCGGAATGTAGGCTCCGAAAGCTTTGCCTTCTGTTCCAGATATTCGTCTTCCGTGTTGGCTGGATCGCAGAATTCCCAAACTCCACAGATCTTTGCGGTCCTTTCAATGTAGTCTTTCCATGCCGGCCAATCCTCGCGCGATCGTAGCTGAGGGACGGGAATTTTATCCACGATTTTGTATGGTAGACTCTCTCGGGAGGCAGACATTTTGAGATTTTGTATAATCGAATTTGATGTCATGAGGAGAGGAATGAGGAGAGTTGAGTGGGTGTGAAGAAAATGGGTTTGAGGCAACTATGACTCCTTTCTATCAGACTCGTAGTGTAATGATGAGGTCGTAGTTTAGACTTGGTACACCAAGTTTGGCATCGTGCTTTCTTAATCTGGAAAGGGGGGCTACATAACTTAGTTTGGGCTGAACCAATGGTCCTGGCCGAGAGCTAAAAGTGATTATGCCGTTGTATGATTCGCGTCACCTCCAAAAAGGTAAATGAGATAATTTTATCTCTCTAAGTTGACATGCATACCGTATATTGTCGGGAAGGCAACCCGTCGCGCTGCAGTCGTGATACCCATTGCAAACAAAATTAATCAGAAAGACACTAACAAAAGTTTGATCTCGCTTTCCAGATGTCCTATTATGAATTTTGAATATGCTAGTATTCTTTTTGATTTGTTTTCTCTCTGCCTTGTCTATGAATTAAGTCTATTGTAACTCAAGCGACTTTTTCTTAGCCCCAATCAAAACGAATAGCATCCCACTCATATTCAGTCCTTTCCTTGAGGACTAATAACCACTCTCTGTGCCTCGAGGCTACTACTATCCGTTTGCTCCGCCACCTCAATCGTATCAGGCTGATTCCAGTTGCCGAAAACTGCAAGACATGTGAAGGGTATCGTGAAAGCCCAAAGTGAGAATCCTAATATCATCTGGTTCTGGTTGGGCCAGTGGGTTGCACCAACTGCATAGGCAATCGTGCTACCGATAGACTCCCATGATCTGAGGATGCCCGTAGTTCTAGCAATATCACCTTCCCCTTGTGCTCCCTTGATCTCGGCCATCAACCAATAGATATAGGTCTGCAGCACCTCATAGAAGAACTTGAAGAACATGTAGACGGTAAAGGCCGAGTTGAAGAAGTGACCACCCCCAAGATCAAAGGCAGGTGGGTCTGCCATGCGGGAGAGCTTTGTCTGAATGACAGCACACCATGTCCAAGCTGCCGTCACGAAGGTGAGGACAAAAAGGTACACTAATTTTGACCTGGTCTCTCGGGAAAAGTACTTGAGATCCAGGATAATACCTGTCGTCACATTAGCCGTGGCCCCAACCACGGCTGTTAGGAATGATGCGAGGGCCCTAGAGCGGACGGTGAAATATGCTAGCATCTTCGTCAGCGTTGCGGCTCATACAGAGATCGCGCATTTGGAGGGCTCATACTTGTCAAATAGTTTCCTTGGTAAGTGGTACCAAACTGTCCCGCGAGGAAAACTGGAATCAGTAGCAGCATATACTTATTTGTAAGTTGCTTCCAGATAGCCCGAGACTCAATGCTGAGACTCGTCTTCTTCATGTACGGTATTTTAGTGCCATTTCGTCGGACGACATTCTGTGGCTGTGATAGCAGCAAGGAAAATGGAGCTCCGAGCGAAGAAATCGCGACAAGCCCAAGGTATGTTGTGTAGGTGACCTTGCCGACGTGAGAAGTGTTGACGTTGAGGGCGAGTGAGATTGCACCGCCAACGAGCGGTCCCATCTGCCGGATACCCATCCAAATTGCAACGTATCTACCATTGATTTCGGTCAGATGATATCAAGTTTATTCAAATATTTTCATCTTACCGTCCTCTTCTTTCCTGCTCCGGATATCCCACCGCAATGGCAGCCTCACTGGCCCATAGGAGAGATGCACCAATACCACATAGAGCAGCTCCAAGCAAGAGAAACCATTCATTTCCATAACGGTTGTTGCAGTATAGACCAGCGGCATAAGGGGTGTAAAATGCTGCTCCGAGGAACAAAGTCCATTTCGCCGTGATTTTGTTGGTGACACCGCCAGCAAGAAAACAGCCGACTGACATGAGTCCATAGGTCAAGGCATTGGCAGCATTGTTCAGGAAAGGCTGGTGGTAATGTCAGCTATATTTGGACAATACGTAAACACTCGATTTTGTTCTTACTTTGGCATTGCCTCCTGCTCCGAGATTGTTCAGGGCTGTCCAGATGCCAGGTTCACAAAAGGCGACCAGTCCCACGATGATGATCTGAAACAAGCACGATCGGTAGAACTGAGCTAACCTTTCGAAAGCCATGATGGACAGATAAGGCACTTTCGCGCGTTACAAGCCACACTCGGTCACTGATAGCCATGATTTTCCAGGGCCATGCCTCCATTTTTATAAGAGAGAGGAATTTGACCCAAAAGAGCACGCCAGGACCCATATTGATCGCGATATCATGATTTCATCTTCTCATGCCTTGCTAAGAGTTGTAAAAGTCACGGCGGACTCTTTCCGATAGCATTTAGACTACACGTGGGGGCTCGTCCTGTGAATGCCCAGGCCTACAAGCACGCAATACTCCACCTTTATGATATACTTGATAGGCATATCCTGAACTTTGAAATTTAGTTAGCATCTCTTGACAACTGATTTATCTTGCTCTACTTGCATAGACGATTAGAAAATATGTGCCCATTGTGGCCGGTTTTAGATTCAAGGTATATCAGTCGGTCATGACGTTCCGAAAAGGTATCCTACGATCAAATAACTGGTCTCGACTGGCACAAATCTGTCCTGTACATGACTCAGATGCTTTTCGCTAGGCTTCAGAAATCTTCGAATTAGCGCATAGTTGAGACGATAATGACAAGGAGCTTATCTAAAGTACCACAATTTGGAGACAATGGATCTGGGGAATTGCGAGCTATGTACAGTACGGAGATATTCTCGCTGCTCATTGGAGACCCACACACGCCGAGACCTGCTTACGATGCACCCTTGACTACGCCATATTTAAACGAGGAAATTAGAGCGCGGTCAGAGGGCAGCTACCACTGATATTTCTCGGGCGAGAAGGATTCCCCCAATTCTCGCTATACTACCGTTGCCCCAATAGCCACGCTTTGCCACGTAAGGCTTTGTTGTCCCATTGGGCGGCTGTATGTACCACGGCATGTGTTTGACCACACATGCTTCCTCCCTATATCAACTAGACATGAATACTGACGCCCCCGACTATCCCTATTAATCATTACGGCGGTCCTAGAAACCAACAAAATAGAACCACACGTCCTATTCTATTATTCCATGCTAATGTAATCGATAAGTTTTGAAAATGGTTTAAAAACGTACATGGATTAGGTCATCGCAGTTGCTCGGCTCTATTTCGTACTTTCTCAACCTCAATATGTATGCTTGAGCAAAGAGGGCAACACATCTATGTTCTCATCTCTACCAACCAGGAAGCTATGTTTGACGAATTTTGCATTGAGGCGTTGTATTTTTTTTTCTTCACATCTTCATCAACCAACACTTGGCCTATCGGTTAAACTGTTCGGATGCGGCCGGCTGGCCCAATGGCAAGGCGCTTGACTACGAATCAAGAGATTGCAGGTTCGACCCCTGCGTCGGTCAAATTCTTTTTTATCACATTTTTTGCACCTGTGATCATTTATCAAGACGCATAGACCATCTATCTATCTTTGAAAGAAGTAGCATGGTATGAAATTTTACTAAAATTTCCTTGCAGAAATTGTTGAGATTCATTCTCACAGGAGCGTGATTCACGAAAACAACGTCGGCTTTGAAAAACTAACTGACGGTTATGGAGTTGTAACCCGTGTCAGAGCGATATATATATTCGAAAAAGTACATAGTATCAACACAAACTCGAAAAACCGCAACCTCCGGGCAATCCCATATGGATCCAAGATCACTTAGTCTGACAGATCCAAAACAACACGCCCTTGAACCTTACCTTCAGCCATCTCCTGGAATACTGAGGTTAGAGCATCCATCTTCTCAACCCGGTAATGAGCCTTAATTATGCCGCGAGAAGCAAATTTCAATGTCTCGACCGCTTCATGGCGATTTCCGACCGCAGAGCCGGTGATTGTATATTGCTTATTAACAAAAGAAGTTGGGAACGCAGTCGCAATCGGCTGTGGGTCATGCTCGGGCATTCCAACACAAACAAGGGTGCCATTAAAGCGCAGCAGCGGCAAAGCCTGGGCATACGCTGCGTTTGCAGCCGTGCAGACAATGGCAGCGTGGGCACCCAGTCCCTCCGTTAGTGATTGGACGTGTTTCTGCAAGGCGACACCCTTGTCGTCCTTGGGGAACTGTGTAATGTCGACGAAGTGTTCTGCCCCAGACTCCTTAACAAGCTCGGCCTTGCTGCCGTGGTCGATTCCAATGACGCGAAGACCCATTCCTCGGCTTGCGAGTTGCACTGCAATATGGCCGAGGCCACCACCAGCGCCGGAGATGATGACCCATTGTCCAGGGCGTGCGTTACTACGCTTCAAAGCTGAATAGACCGTCACACCAGCGCAGAGCATTGGTGCTGCCTCGGCGGAGTCCAGGCCATCGGGAATCGGTGTCACATAGTTGGCTGGTCCTAGTGCGTACTGTTGGAACGTTCCTGGGCTGTAGTAGCCTGAGACCTTCTGCTTGAAGCACAGTCCGTCGGCTCCCGCTCCACAGGGCTCTGTTGTGAATTGTGATCAGCTATGTTTGTCTCAGATAAGGCCGATGGTGGGACATACGGCAGTTTCCGCAAGCACTGGCGACCCATTTGATACCGACTCGATCGCCAATCTTCAGACCAGAGGACTCGGTGCCTGCACCAAGCTTGACGATCTTGCCGACACCTTCATGGCCTCCAACTTGACCGGGTTGAGTTGGGTATGGTAGGTTTTTCCACTTAACAAAATCAGTATCTCGAAGAATAACAGTATCCGTGGAGGCTAGGTCATCATACGGTGTTGGTCATGATTCCATAGTCAGAGTGGCATACGCCGGAATGAGTCCTGTCAACCAAACAAGTCAGACCTCTTAGTTCATCTTAGATTAGGGCCTCACAGATCACCGTACAGGTTAATGAGAACCTCGCCAGCACCAGGCTCGGGCACATCGATCTCCACAACCTTAGTTGAGATAGTACCAGGCTGGTCGTAGATAGCAGCCCTTTGCTTCGTAGGGATATCGACAGTCGCCATGTTGAGTGAAAGCCCTGGACTAGTGTAGAGGGTTGGTATTATCGTAGTGTGCAGGATATGAATGACTGCTATGAGAAGTCAAAAGATGGTCTGCGGGCAAAAGGATTACTATTTAAAACCCGCCACCTAGTGAAAGAGACAGAGGGCGACAGCCAATGTGGAGAAGCTGGATCGCGGGGCTCGGAAGATTGGCAGAGTTACATGATTTTCAACGTGTACGAGCCTCGGAGAGTCGGAGCCCACTAGGAGGCTCGTCCGTGAACAAGTTAGTGCAGAGCTCCAATCCTGGGCCAAAGTGACGCTGATGAGGGGTGCGAGGTGGAGTCGTGATGGACCTCGGTCATGGACGATCCACGGTATCCGCGACTGCATGGTACATTGCATAGAGCAGCATAGCTTCATGTTTGTTGAATCAAGTGCGAAAAAGCAGTCAACGGAGATCAACGGTAGATAGATTACTCTTTATTTATACGTAGAAACCAACCGGTCGCTCAAGGTCCTCAAGAGTTAGTGCTACTGTGGTGTTCTTCGCGGGGCATCTCCATCCACATGGATCGGCCAACCCCGCAATCTCCACTTACTGGAAAGCCACAGGGGAGTAACAGACGGAGTCTCGCTAAAACTTATGATTTAGAAGGACATTAATCATTCCGAGAGTATTCTATTCGTCTCAGGAAGCATTATCATTCACAAATTCCCCCGTGTATCGGAAATCCTACATAGTAAACTCCAACAGATTGCCGGCATAATCTCGAGCAAAGAACCGTTGAGGGTATTCCTTTCCTTTGGTACCTACAAGAATGTATCGTTAGTCTCAAGCGCCTCAACCACTTCATACGATACAATAGAGTCTCTAGATGAAACAGCTTACCTGATCCCTCTTCACCAGGCTTGTCTGCTGCCATTGGTGCTGCCGGCCCCCGCGGATGTGGTGATCGTAGATGGATTTTTTGATAGTTTCTAGCTCATCACGGCCTGGTAGCTTAAAGCATGGGTGCCGAGTCGATTTGGGGTCAGTAGGACCGCAGGTAACATGAATTTGTTGTCCGCTAGAGCCAATATCGAACCTACATTTCTCAGCATTTCGATTAATCTCCAATTCGTACTGGGCAATGACGTAGACTCGAGAATTTACCATAGAATAGTCCCGATCTGCAGCTCGGGAACTGGTGCAGAGTTTAGTCCGAGGGTCTGGCCATAGAACTCCTGTGCTTGTTCTAGAGTCCCCGGGTGTACCGTGAGATTGACGTGGGCGATGCTGGTGATCATGGTGGATGACTGCAATCAAACAAGCTTTTGAGTTTAATTTTCGAGTGAAAGACAATCCCAAGTTTATTCATGAACTGTGTAGGACGCTTGCGACGCTTTATTTCTTTCCCGAAGTCACCCCCACGTTGGACGGGAAATCGGAAATCGGATCCCGGTTCTGATTGGTGATTGTTTGTGCTCCACTCACGATACTTTAGTCGTCACTCGTGGGTTGGGCCCCGTAGGGCAGTCGTGATTCATGACTCACAGACAGTGCGATCTCGACTTCATCGGCTTATAAACGTGATTGTGTCATCTGTGGCTTGGTCATAAAACGGAATACCCTCCCGAATACTGAGTCATTTACACCACGAGAAAGAAGAGGTACTTGTTTGGCTACTGGGAATGAATCCCAGGGAATCTGTATTAATTACTCATCTCAACAGCTGGACAGTTATTACAGAAACATCACCACATCCTACATCATCACGGTCATTGTGAATCTAGAAAATCGAGCGAATGACTCTCATGGGTGCCGCCTTGAACCACTCTCCCCAAGTGTGGTACACAACCTTGGGGGGAGGTCAACGTCCAATGCAGTGTCACGCATGTTACTAAAGACATCCATGTCTTGCACCTTCACGAACCAAGCACCCCGGTCAAGCTTGGGATCTTTGTTGAACTTGGTATAGATCACCCAGACAATGAACAGGGCAATGATCAGCACGCCTGCGAGGTAGTTCTCAAAGAAGACCTCCGCATCCTTGGGAGCAACCGATACATAGAACTCAGCGACCAGACACATCACGTTCAGACCAAAGCCAATCCAACTTCCAATTACGCCGAACGGAGCGGCAAAGGCAAGCTCGCTGACTTCACGACCGTGGTGCTTCCAACCGGCGCGGAAGCGAACGTGCGCAAGGCAGATACTTCCCCAGACGAAGAAGGAAATAGTACCGGACAGAGCCAGAAGCCAGTTGAAGATGATGCCGCCAGTGCTCGATGCCTCGTTGATGAAAGCAAGGAAACCAAAGGCGATTTGGAGAAGGATGCAGTACACGGGACGACCCTTCTTGTCAACGTACGCCATGAACTTGGGGGCCATGCCACGCGCAGCCAAGGCCTGGAGAGTACGGCTAGATCCATAGGTGGCAGAGTTGGCGACACTGATGACGGAGATGGTGATAACAACATTCATCACTGATGGTAGGCCTTTGATACCGGCATTTGCGATCGAGACAACGAAGGGAGAAGCCTTTGTGTTAGCACCTGAGGAGTTGAGCAGGTAGTCGGCAGTGTGAGGGACGATCAGGCCGACAATGAATGTTCCCAGGACATAGAAGATCATGATACGCCAGAAGACCTGCTTGGTGGCTTTGGGCACAGACTTGGCGGGGTTGGCGGCCTCAGCAGCAGCGAGACCAGCCAGCTCAGTACCAGAGAAGGCGAATGCAGCTGTCACGAACACCGAGCAGAAGCCCTTGAAATCGGTGAACGCGCCGGGGTCATGCCAGTAATGGGCACCAATATATCCACCCTTGGGGGCACCGCCACAGTCGATAACGATACCGAGGATGATGAAGCCGATGACCGCGATGACTTTGATCATACCGAGTGCGAATTCGACTAAAGCGATAATTTGTTAGAATCCAAACGGCACCGACAAAGGAAAAAGAAAAGGAACGATTCATACCTTCACCATATCCACGAACGCCGAAGAATTGAATCGCGGACAAGATAACCAAAAAGACTGCGATCCATATCCCGACGTTCAAGTCATCGCGCCAATATTGAATGGTGATACCAGCGGCAGTGATCTCGAAGGGTAGGATGATGAGCCAACTGATAGCATAATCCCAGCCGACAGCGAAACCCCTATTGATTGATACATGGTTTATAAGTAAGTGAAACAAAAGAAGGGATAGAGGAGACTAACCAAGCAGGATTGATGAACCGAACGCAGTAAGTGAAGAAAGCACCATTTTCAGGATATACAACAGCCAACTCTCCCAGCGCCTGGACCGTGAGCAGAAGCATGCCACCGACAATCAAGTAACAGACGAGCTTGATAAAGTTAGTTCTCGCATTACTTCAAGCGGCTTGATCGGAAAGACCTACCAAAGCTCCAGGACCTCCCGCGCTCAATGCACTACCAGTACCGACAAACAGACCAGCACCAATGGAACCACCTGGACATGCCATACATCAGTCAAGATGACCCATCAAACCGATCTACGAAGCACATACCAATAGCGATCATCTGCATATGACGACCCTGCAGACTCCGCTTGAGAGGGCTGATCTGGGTAGTGCCGACCGCAACATCGTCGTATGCCGGCATAGACCTATCCCCAGCGGGCTCTACGGCGGTCACGCCCTTCTTCTCAATATCCTCCTCTGAGGCAGTCATCTTTGAACCGGGGTAAAAAAGAAATTCTCGAACTGGTTCAAGAAAAGAAAAAGGGGGGCGTCTCAGATCAAGGCCGGGCTCCGATGGCGTTATATACGTGCCGTCTGAGGCTAACAGGATACAGAACAGACCGTGGCGACCGATACAGCATTAGGTACGACATCTTGTCAAAAAAGCTTCTTATAGGCCCTGCGCCATTCGACGCCCGGTCAGACCATCCCCAATTGGAAGATAAGCCCATTGCCCGTTTGATAATGACCGCCCCGTGATCTAGTCCAATTGGCTCGAGCCCATCGTCCAACTCGCGCTTATCGCAAGGGTATTCAGCCCCGACTGTAACCGTGAGAGGAAGGTGGAAAACGAGACTTTTACTTTCCTTCGTAAGCCAGTAGAGGGCGTTCTTGAGAAGAATGTGGATCTAACCCCGCGTTTTGAGGCAGAGGCGTGGCGTTGTGGTTGACGGGAGGAAGCAAGCATGTGTGCCACCTTGTGACCCTGAGGAGAATAGTGACAGGTTCGGAGTAGCCAGGGAGGGATTAGGATTAATGCATCAGGTGTTGAAAACAAGAATCACTATTTCTGGAATGTTAATCGAAAGATGCATGGTGATAATCTCAACATGATAAGGGGTAGGGCCTTTTGCCAAGTCGAACAAGGTAATTGATAACGCTTAGCACGCTACGACTGATAATGCTTCATCCACCTTGCTGATTGTACTCCGTACCATAATCTACCATTACGGGTCGTCTGGGGTCATCCGTCGGGGCTCCCGTTGATAAGAAGGTTGCCTCCACATCCCAGTACGAGGTCCTCCGACCGAGGATACCACGCGGGCACGCCAGACGGGGAAACAACAGCCCGTCAAGCATCAATTCGCCAGGGGGCCATGGGGCAATCTGAGGCTTGAGTGTTGACATACAGTACGGAGTACTCATACGCAAAAAGGTAAGGGATGTCCGTCTTACGCGGCATCGGAGCTTATCAGCCACCAATGGCGAGAACGAACAGCCACTCGCTATAATGAGCCCAAACCCGATTTAGATCTGAGGCGTTCTAGAAGGAAATTAAAGCCGACCAGATCTACTGTGGTGATGAACCAATCAGGTTGCTAATCTAATTAAGCTTTCTTGGGAACCTTGTTTCTTCCGAGTGGTTTTTATGGGAAACAATCAATTTAGGGGTACGTACCGAGGACATATCTGGGTGATAAAAACCTTCTTCAAGTTTAACAACCGGACCTGAACAATCCAAACAAGAAAACAATCAACACTGGTAGGAATTCAATTCAATTCAAATCCCCACAACAAGTCGGATCAGAACCATTATGTTGCGAAGAATTAACAATCTTACCCAGTCACGCCACAATGAAAACCGAAATCCGTTGAAATCCGCATCGAAAAATACCCGCAGCTATCCGGTTTCTTGAAGCATCGAGTCAGATGTGGTCAGTTGCAGGGCAATTGGCAACGGTTAATCATCAAGCGATTACCTAGGTTGATCCGAAATGACGAAGAGCATATGCATAGAAACCTTTTGTTCATCCGAGAAGGTGGAGATGCTCGAAATAAGCTTCTTGCCGCGATCATAGCCCCTGAGAACTAAAGCGACCACTCCACGGCCTAAAGGAGTTCCCAAAAGCGCCTTATACTCGCAAGTACTAATCTGCCACTCTCGCTGAACAGAGTCAGGCCACCTGAGGCCAGTCTTCACTGAATAAATCTCCTCGCTGATCAGACGTTCAACAATCTCGTTCGTGATATCCACGCGGAATACATACTTCAACGGAGCGGTCTCATATTGTTTATAGACCGCAAGAGCGACGTCGGACCAGTGTGGACCCATGAAGCGGGAACTGAGCTGAGATACGATTACACCCGGACCGACTTGAATGATATAGTCGCTATAATCGCTCTCGGCATTTTCCTTGACCAACTTGAAAAGTGACACGGTTTTGTAGATTGGCTCTGTCGAAATACCAAGTTGTTTCGCAACTGGCAGGATAGACCAAGGCAGGGGGGTCAAAGGGGCTATCGCTGGTTTCCAACCCTGAGTGCTAAGAGGTGGATCACCCTTCCATCCGACCCTTTCAATGGTCCACCCTGTTTTCACGAAATCCTGGGGTGCCCAGGGAGTGTAACCAGAGAATTCAATTACTCTTGCCTTGGTATCGTTTGACTCTCCCGGGGAAAAAGTGAAGCATTTCTGCAAAGCCGCACCTTCTTTCTCCAACTCACCGTATTGGACCTTTCGGAAGCGAGAACCCCTCTTTCCTGAGTTACCAACCTCGGGGGACCTGATAAGTTTGTTGAACACCATTATGCTGTACTGAGTAAAGATGAGTAACTAACTGGTAGAAAGACTTTGAGGTAGGGGTATGCAGTAGAGAGCAGAAGACCTTGTAATCTGATATGGTGCACACATCGCGAGAAACGAAGTCCTTATATGGGAAATAAGGCCATGATGCCTATTTATAAACCTTGAATAGACATCAATAGGATTGTTTTTGTCAAATACGACGAAAGAGTACTCGAAATAGTGCATTCTATCCATAAACAATGGGTTCAAACAAAGAGGCTTTACAGTGTACAAGCACAGAACAAAGAACGTTGAATGACTTGGCCTTTGTGATATATGGATAGAGACTACTGCTAACATAATTCGCATTGTGCTACTACATTCTCATTATTACAATTGAATTGAAGACTTCAAATGAACCATGCTGAATGTAAATAGTCTCATCTTGGAGGTGGAATATCATTGACAAACTCTGGGTACGTCATTATGCCTGCATTAGGGCCAATGGTGTTGAACAGCAATAAAGTTGAATGCGACCAAGAACTCCCTTTCAACAATTGACAGACATACAACCATATCGATGACAAGAGATTTGCAGAAAGATTCCGATTACTTCGATATTACAAATAACGTTGGTTCCAAGTTGGAGTCTTGGAGACACTTAGGTCCTTCAGATCCTTCAGGGGCAAACTAAGTTGTTTAGAACTAAATAAGACCATGATTAAGTTTGAAGGCACACAAAAAGCCGCAGCAAAGTCAAAACTAGATAAGGAAGGATTTTAGGTAATGTAGCCTTATTCTGGACTGGACTCTAATTTACCTCAAAATTTAACTACCTCTAGTCAAATTTAAAATCTTTCTAAGCCCATCCGGCGAAACTATTACATAATGATATGCTTAGCCTTATCGAAGACATTCCTGTAGCCTAAAATTGGTACAATCAATAACTCTTTAGACTTGTACATCGCCGATCGGGATCCCCAACCGACGAGTCCCCATGAAAAGTGAAAGGTGTTTGCAGGATGGCCTATGGCCAGTGGGATAGATGAATGGGAGAATGCAGAGTCACTTGCAGATTAAAATATTTCCGTCGGTAATGAACTTGTGATTAGAATAACCTGTCCACATCGGTTTTTCTGGAGAAGATAGAGGATATAAAGGTTCGAGAGATTGTGAGCACTGAGATGTGTAGAAGCAACAATCTATCTGAAGGAATCCTATACACAGAGTCACGTGGCAAATTCATCACATGATCTAGTAAACACTGTTTTCTCACAAAATGATACCCTAGTTAACTAGCTACGTCTTCGGTTGGTTGATATTTCCATTGAGCCATGATGCGACCGGTGGTGGATGGTAATTGAGGCTCAACACGTTAGCCAACCACAACTCGTCTCTCACCAGTGAGGCTGTGACAAGCATCACATGATAAGAGACTGCGTAATGCATATGAGGGGATGCTGGCGTCTGACAGCCCATATAAAATTTGCGTGATAAGTTACGAGACCACCTCTTATAGATAAGTCAAAGGTGCCAAAATGACAGCAGAACAGGTTCTTGCGACAGCCGAGCTCCTCGAATTCATTCTACTCCACCTAGACTTACGAACTTCTCACCGGCGCCCAACGAACTTGTCGACCTTCGAATTCTTTCATCCGAGACTCAACTTCTCTGCAGAAATATCTTTACTTCATACCAGATGAAAATGTATCCAAATCATGAAACCCTTTGTTGGCAGAACTTTTCCCAACGTTATTTTCCCTGGATGGCGCATCGCTAGCGAGATTTGGCTGTTTCAGTTTTGCGAATTGGGATATGATCAAGTACCCCGATAAGATAGCTGCCTATGATCGAAAAGAAGTGAGCTGGCGTCGTATGCTTATTCAGCAGCCTCCAATGTCGGGATTTGTCTTCTTTAACGTGGTGTCGGGGCGTCTGCAGTCGCAGAGCATCATCAAGGCAAGTTCCCGGCTATATTTCTAATTGAACATAGAAATGTGACTGACGCTCATTGCGAGCAGCCTAGAAAACTTGAATACGCTCGACTGTAGTCCGCATGGAAACGCTGTTCGAGTTCGTGGTCACTCGAGGACCCCTTCGCTATGGACAACAGATATGCCAGCGAGCGTTTTGGGCATGCTCACCATCAAAGGAATACCCTGCGTGGAGCCAAAATTCAGGCATTGCTGAACCCTTCAAGTAAGCGACTGCAAAATGTGATGTTGTGGTTTATCAGATATCTGTACGGGGTTATATGAGATACGAGCCATGCGTGACTGAGGACGAGAAGATGAGACGACTGATTCTCTCGTCTCATGCTGAGTTGAGTCAGGAGAGGGACCCGGAGACGTATGATGTTATCGATGTTGAGGAGGATCTCTGACAATTGAATGGCTTTTGGTCATTTGACCAGTAGTTCCTGAGAGCTAAGCTGTCAGAGGAGATTGATATACATCCGGCCAATCCACTGAAGTTCCTGCAAGCAAAGGTCATGTTTAGACTTGAGATGGCCAATCAGAGAAATCAGCCATACCATCACTTTTGTAGATTGTCATATCTCAAAACATATCTCCGTTCCTGGATAAAAGATCCTGTCGGACGGTCCGATCGCTTGACAGGGACATAGTTTGGTGATTGAAAGATGCTTCAGAAGAGGAAAATGCCCACGCGTCATAGGAAAAGGCCCTTGCCTAATTTGCCCTACAGACTAAGGTCTACCAAAGTGATCGGTAAATAGTCTGACCCCGAGCGGTAGCTGGACTGGGTACCCCATTGTGGACTTGAGACATCCTCATTGTTGCTATAGACGAGATTGTTGTGGTTGGCCGGAGAATGCCGAAGTGTTCGCTAGATTGCCTCTAAGTGTTCCTAACAAGCCTCTAGCCAGTCTCTAATTGGCTTTAAACATGGCTGGGTGGCTTTCATTGGTGTTCATAGATCCTGCCTGCCGTCTGAGTGTCCAACAGGCTTTTGCGAGGACAGCCCACATCTTTACTGCATTGGGATTACGGTTCCCGACTTTCTCTGAGTCTGTGCCACTTCCGGGCTGCTCTTTAATTATGCTATACAATGTGTTTTTGTGCTCGACGGGATCGAACTACCTGTGCGGGAGGCACTATGAGAGGGGTATCCCTATCATGCGAGCTTGGCTCTTTATTTCTCCATCTCTGGCCAAATTTCCCTTTGGATCATGTCCACTCCGCATTGTGCGAGGGACGTTGTGAATGGGTCTGGGGGTCGTCGCATTGACCCCAAAGCGGCCAAGCGGCCAAGCGAACGAAGTGGGGAAAAAGGCTGGGTTGGCGGGTGCTTAGCGAAAAGTCGCAAATGGCAAGTCGCAGTAGTTAACGAATGGCCTCGGTTATCGGTCGGTGACATTTAAAACCCTGTCCATCTCACTTTCCTCCCGATTCTCCCGATTCCCGAGAGAAGATATAACTGCACGTTTGAACAAGGGTCTTTGTGCAACTCCTTGAAGTCCCGTTGATCGCAGAATGTGTGGAGTCTAAACGCAACTTCCTGTTTTCCATCTCCACTTCCAGTTTGGTCATCCAAACGGAGCTCTCTACCTACTTTCTTAACGGGCGGCTCCGAAAATCCAATTCACCATGCATGTCGAAAATGGCCCTGAGACCAGCGATGATCTGGCTCTGGCCCGACTGGGCAAAAAGCAGGTGCTGAAGCGACGATTCAATTTCATGGCGATCGTCGGTTTCGCAATGGCCGAGTTGATCACCTGGGAGACTGTTCTCACCTTGTTCTCCCAGTCATTTGACAATGGTGGTCCTGCGGGCGCCTTCTATGGCTATATTATTGCCTGTTTGTCGACATTATCGACATATACAGTCATCGCAGAGCTGGCCTCAATGGCACCCATTGCCGGAGGGCAGTACTACTGGGTCTACATGCTCGCACCGATGCGTTGGAAGAAAGTCTGCAGCTACTTGATTGGCTGGCTGACCTCCCTTGCATGGATCGCTACGATCGCGACGGAGACGATATTCCTCGGTACGATGATCGAGGGTCTCATCACCTTGAACAACCCGGATTTTGCTCAGCAGCGTTGGCAGAACACCCTCCTGGCATGGGCCAGTGTTGCGGGAACCTTCTTCATCAATGTGGTAGTACCTCATATTCTCCCTCGTTTCGAAATTTTCATGTTGGTCTTGCATTTGGCAGGATTCATCGCGATCACTGCTGTGCTTTTGGCCATGTCACCCAAGAAATCGGCAGATTTTGTCTTCCACACCACGTTGAATGAAGGCAACTGGCCAACACAAGGAATTTCTTATTGTGTTGGCTTTATTGGCAATATTGCTACTTTTGTCGGAGCTGATGCCAGTGTGCATATGGCGGAAGAAGTTGCCAACGCCGCGGTAGTGATCCCCCAAGCGATCATTGCGGGCATGTCCATCAACAGCGCCCTCGGATTCTCGATGATGCTCACGGTTTTATTCTGCCTGGGCGATGTCGAGTCTGTGCTGAACACTGCTACAGGGTTCCCCTTTATTCAAATTTTCTACGACGTCACGCACTCGTATGCTGGCGCCTCGGTGATGACCGCCCTCATCATGGTACTGACTATGGCCTGTTCGACCGGTATCACGGCCACTGCATCTCGTATGACCTGGTCTTTTGCTCGAGACCAGGGCTTGCCCTTCTCCCACTATCTGAAGAAGGTGAACCATCGCACCAAAGTCCCCATCGTATCTGTTACTGTAGTCTGCGGTCTCGCATGTGCCCTGACGCTCATCTATATCGGATCCACCACTGCCTTTAACGATGTCATCTCCCTCACCGTGACTGGATTCTACGGCACCTATTTCCTCCCCAGCGCGTTCCTTCTCTACCATCGCATCAAAGGAAATGTACTGCCCCATGGCACTATGATGGACGGTCTCTCGGATTCTGCCGTCGCTGCCACCAGCGCCACTGCCAACTCTGCGGAGAAACCTGCTACCCCTGTGCGCCCCAAGAGCCTAATTGACAAGGAAACCCCCACTTCAGGCCCTTCACAGAGCCCCGAACGCAACATTCCTGAGAAAAAGGGCATTCAGCCCACTGAGTATGCCATCGCCCAGGCACCTCTGATCTGGGGCCCATGGAAGGTCCCTGGCATCCTCGGTACTATTAACAATGCGTACGCTTGCGTGTATATGTTATTCGTTATCTTCTGGAGTGTCTGGCCTCCAGAGACCCCTGTGGATTATACGACCATGAACTACAGTATCGTCGTGACAGGTGGCGTGCTGATCCTGAGTGGTATCTGGTACTTTGTCCGTGCTAGGAAAGAGTACTCGGGTCCTCTCATTGATGAGGAGGTTGCTGAGATTATGCACCTTGCCCCTGCAGCGATTGCTGCAACAGTTCCGAAGACTGACTAAATGCCGAAGTCAACACAGGTGCCCGTCGGCGAGAAAAAAAAACAAGGAGAGCAAAGAGGAAGAGGCGGAAGTATAGCATGGAGTTTAATGTGAAGACGAACATGGGATGAGAAATGTATCGATACCCCCAGGAACATACGTCATGTACCTAATTGAACATCCAAAAGGGAAACACGAAATTAAAAACATATTGAATTGTGATCGCGACGCTTTGGACCTCTAGTTCATCGACATATGCAAGACTTCGTTCGTCGCCAGGGCCTCCTCACTCATGCGCGAAGGACAATCAACGCATCGACCTGAGCGAATAATCTACCCATTTGACAAACATGTTCACAAGCTAAACCCTCTCACCCCCCACGAACACCCTTAGATCTAACAAGATCCTTCCCGATTAGTCGTTCAGCTTACAATAGGAAAGCAGCGCCCAGACGCTGAAGACGCGACCCACCAAGCGCCCGCCCAACCAGCACGCCGCAACGGAGCCTTCTTAGCGGTAAGCTGACCGTATCCCGGGCGATCTACAGGCCAAGGATTATGACAGACGGCGGAGCGTGGAGAAGTACTCGAATTTGGTTGGATCGTATCTTGCAGCCCCCGATTCATCTTCAGCCCAGGGATCTCAGCCCCCCGCGACACTACCCGGGTATATTTACTTTGTTGACTCTAATAAATAATAAATACGAACCATGGGCCCCATCAGCTGTCATCTTATCTGGACGACATTCATCGCGATATCCGGCCCAACATGGACTCCCACGAACGGAGGGAGGCCTCCGGGCCATTTGCGCAGCCGAAACAATTCGTGTTATGTTTTGATGGGACGGGGAATAAATTTGCGGGCGATGAGTCGGATACGAATCTCGTGAAGATTTATCGCGTAGGTAGTCACTAATATCCCTGACGGCTATTTCGACGCGACTGAACTCGCTCGCTTCAAATATATCTAGATGCTTGATCGCAGCCAAAGCCACCAATACCACTACTACCAACCCGGCATAGGGACATATGTGACATCACATTCACTAGGCAGCAAAGGACGAATCGAGCGCATCAAATCCTCATACAAAAAAGCCAAGGATGCAGCGCTGGGATCCTCGTTCGACGAACACGTTCTCGGCGGATACAAGTTCCTGATGCGATACTATGCCCCTGGCGACGACATTTGCTTCTTCGGTTTCAGTCGAGGCTCGTACACGGCACGTTTTCTCGCAGAGATGCTCGATTACATCGGTCTACTTCAGCCCGGGAATGAGGAACTGGTACGATTTGCATGGAAGACTTTTGCGAAATGGCAGCAGCAGAAAAGTGGCACAGAGCGGGATGATAAAGAGAGGCATAAGCTGTTTCGGTTCATGAAGGCGTTCCGGGAGACGTTTAGCAGGCCGGTGAGCCGGATTAAATTCATGGGACTGTTCGATACGGTGAACAGTGTGCCGATGTTTGAGAATGCTTGGATGGAGAGGAGCAAGTTTCCTTATACGGCGCAGACAACGGCTCGTGTTATTCGGCATGCTGTTTCGATTGATGAACGGCGAGCGAAGTTTCGGCAGGATTTGATATCTGAGGTTAGACCTGTTGCGCATGGTCATTTGCATTCACATCGATTGAGGCATTTGCTGTCAAGGGAGGATCATGAAAAGACCAAAGTCCCTGAGATTGTTTTGCCCGAAAATGATCATGATGCTGGGAGAGAAGGGCGTCGCAGGCCTGGATCTGGGAATGGGACAGACGAATTCAGATATCGTGCCCCGTCGTCGTCGCCAATGCGCAAAGGAAGTTCCGAATTACCCAGAACCAATGCCTATTTGTCTGAGCATCACTCAGTGAAGAGTGCAATCTTCAGAACATCCCTTCGAGTCCCAAGCCTAAACATTCCGGGCAACGGAGAAGAAGAGCAGGGCGAGCAGGATATCTCAGAAGTCTGGTTCCCAGGCCAACACGGCGATGTCGGAGGTGGTTGGAAACTCAACCCAGAAGATCCCTGGCCACTTAGCCATATACCGCTGGTATGGATGGTCAAAGAAGCGCAAGCTGCCGGACTGGAATTCGACCCCGAAAAACTAAAACGCTTCAATTGCTACGAGGAATACCCCAGCACAAGCGAGGCACTCAAAGAAACCATAGTACCCAACAGCCTCGCAGCACATAATCAAACCAACCCCCACCGACAAACCGACAAATTCAACGAAGCCCTTACCCATACCATGAACCAGGGCACTGCCCACGACTGTCTCACATACGGCGGCGGCCTTTCATTCTTCTCAACACTGTCATGGCGAATAATGGAGTACCTACCTTTCCGACGAATGGATCTCCAACCTGATGGAACGTGGAAGCCGATTCGCTGGCCTCTTCCATGCGGAGAAGTGCGTGATATCCCTGAAGGTGCACAGATTCACATCTCGGCCGTTCATAAGCTGCGAATTGACCCGAATTACCGACCGGGGAATTTGATAGTTGGAGGTGGTGGGCGTGGAGTTAAGCGTGCACCGGAGAAATATGGTATTGGGGAATGGGAGGTTTGTAAACATGAGGGCGATCTGGTGCGACAGACTTATATTCGGAAGAGTTCGAGGATTCCCGCAGAGTCGATTTGTCAGGATGATCATGCTGCGGATGTATAGGTGGCTGGCGAGGATGGGGTTTATCATTTGATGTGAACGATACTATACCATTGGAAGAAGTCAATGCCCCTGTAATCATTCTTCCACCAAAGGCAAACAATGTCTCGCCCCCACCCAGTTTTATTCCACGTCTAAAGGGAGCCGACGCAGAGGTGGGTCGATCTGCGCGAGGCTTGCAGCCCGTCGATGGACGATGTGGGCAAGACTCCACTGCTCTGTGGCACGCCTTGTTTCTCTATCACCCCGCCATCAAGTCCGTGGATATAGCTATCAAGCATTTTTATTTTCTAGTTGGCTTCGGCAAGTATTGGAGGCTAGAGGCTCTGGAAATGAGAATGATTGGTCGGTGGGAACCTGCGTGTAACGTGTAACTGCCGGTGTAGCACCGTCATGCACGATGATTTGCGTTCAGCCCAACAAGGAAATACTCAGATTGATACCGGGGTATTGATAGGCAGCTTTTTAGCTCCACTGAGTAACATCCTGTACACAGGTGGAACAATAATAGCCCCTCATCGCGAGAGGAAATTAATTCAATCAGAGGCGCTGACACCCCGCTTCTGGTTGATATCGGGGCCGGTCGCGGTCATGATCTGATCGGATTGAGGAAGCGGTTCCCGAACGCTCAAGGTAAACTGGTCTTAGAGGATCTCCCCGCAGTCATTGAAGAGGTTCAAGGCGCACAGGATCTGACAGCCGCTGGTATCGATACTGTGTCCTACGATTTCTTCAATCAGGTCCAACCTGTTCGAGGTAAATTTCCAATACCGCGTCTTTTGAGTTGTTCAACTGATCTTCGAAATCTCAGGCGCGAGGGTATATTATTTCAAGAACGTGCTTCACGACTCGTCCGATGAGAAAGCAGCCATTATATTCAATAACCTCAAGCCAGCTATGAAGCCGGGATTCTCCATGAAGCCGGGATTCTCCAAGATCATTGCGGAGGAGTACATTCTTCCCGACCAGAACGCTCGTTCTCTGCCTTGTATGACTGACATGGCAGTCATGGTCTTCTGTTCGGGTCTGGAGCGAACGCAGCTACGTTGGACTGATCTCATGACGTCTGTCGGCTTGCGAGTTGTCAAATTTTGGGTGCATGAAGGCGATGGACTGGGAATTGTTGAAGCTGAACTGCCTGAGGGCATTTGATAAACTGAAGTGAGGACAGAGCTCCAAAGCTCTAGTTTGAAACCAAGAATGAAATGAGTATTCTAAATGATCAAATAATCATCCTGATGCATTGAGTCGGCGTTGTGGGTCTACACCGGATTAGCGAAGCACGATAACCTGGGTATGCATGTTCTCTCACAAAATCCATCCAAGGAACATTACTATGATCATTTTCTGGCTGACGGGCTCTAGCTTCCCATACCTTTTCAAGCAATGACTGAGGTGCCGCCATGCCCATTTCAGCTCTTGCTTGAATTTCTGTAAGTCGCAAGAGGACATAATGACGCGAGTGAGGAGAGAGGCTATCGGCACCAGCTATGAATAGAGGCATCACGTTGATCTCTATTAGTGGGTTGGTTCCAGGGATATGTGCAAGGGAATCGAGGATCGCCGTGACCGATGTCTGTATGTGCATCGTCGATGCGGGTTCGGTGGGATCTAGAAGACGCCAAGCTCGTAAGATGCATGTATGACGAAAGGCCTCTGCAACGCATCGCCAGAGAGGATCTTCACTGGGAAAGAAGCACCGAGAGCTATCCCAGAGGTACATCTTTTGGATCAATGCTTGGACTTGCGTATGATACTCTTCAGTGCTCAGACGGCCACTTGAATGGGCTTTGGCATGCTCGAAAATTTCACCGATGATGAGAACTAGCTCCCGCGGGCAGCCATTCACTTCCTCGAATCTCAAATCACATAGTGATAGCAACTTTTGACGAAGCTCTTGAGTGAAGCACAATCGTTCAGGCACAGAAAATGCTCGGATAATGTCTAGCCTATAACGAACAACAGGATGAGACTAAGGCTTACCATGCGAAATAGAGAAAACTCACCAGATAAGATTGCCCAAGAAGAACACAGTCCTCTCATCTTTTATGGTCAAGTGCTGATCAAGCTTTAGCTGTGAACAAATGGACAGCGCGCCTGATATATGTGCGCCATGCGTCGACACGCCAGATTCCCGAATCTATGTGAAGGGCAGTCAGTCATACAGCATTGAATCCAAAGTTTCCTTCACTTACATCATGAAGCAGCAGGATCTGTATTGTTACAAACACGCCATCTCGCTCATCATCGCTGAAGCTTCCGGAGCAGACTTTTCTGATTCCTGCGCCTAGGGCAGTAATTGCCTTGACCCGATAATTCACAGCAGTCGTCTCATACAAGTGCTTATCAGATCTCAAATGACCCAAGTGGCATGCAGAGAGTCCAAGCACGGCATAAAGGAGGCCAATCTGTTCGTACGCCAGAGGCAGCACATAACGGCGATAGGGATTGTCCCTATTATCGGACTGCTGGGCAATCTGATGAGGGCAGATAATGTGATCGTCTGTATAAGCCTCAGTCAAAAAAATCCAAATGATAAATGACTACACAAGCAACTTACAGTGTTTCAGAAGTAATTTCGTTTCCTCCAAGCCGAGGACTGTCTTAATTTCCGACTGCTCATTCGGGGTCGAATTCTGGGATACAGGCTTCTGATGGGGAGAAGCACTCGATGAAATCCCACTTCGCTCGAACACAGTCTTTTTTGAGACATTCGATGATGAGGGGGAAGCTGAGGCGGATGCAGATGTAGATGCACCCTGTACATCAACCGGGGCATCTCGATCCTTCCACTTGCCACGGCTGGCGATCCCGCAGAAGCGAAACTTGTCTGGGTACCCACCGCATTGCAAACCCTTACTGATGCAGCGTTTACACATCGGCCGCCCACGATCACATCGACGGGACTTCTGACGACATGTCAGGCAGGCGGCTTCTAAGAGGAGGATACATGGTCAGGAAACCCGGTGAGGATAGCTGGAGGATGCAAGTGGTACGGACCGGAGGAGCGCATGTTCGGCTCTCAGTTATAACATGGCGTGGATTCTATCAAGATAACTTCTGCTTATTTGATTTTTCGGATACAACTGTGCTCGTTTGTCGTCCCCGCCTCTTACCAAACTGAGGATGCTGGCAATCTTATCGTGGCTTCAAATGTTGACACCTAAGGTATCAGTAGATTATGTAATCAAATATTGTAGTCGAACAAGATGAAAAAAAGAAAAAGATAAAAACATTCAACAGCCAGGATTCGCATGTGGTCACCCACCATACTACTAACTAGCCGGCGTGGCTTATGTGCAGTCAGGGTGAGATAAGGTGAGTGCGCAATAGACAGGGTGAGAATCAGGGTCTCTACGATGTACTCGACAACAGAACTCTCAGGACAGCAAATTTTTCGGGCTTCCCAAGGAAGTGAGAAGGATGATATACATTGAGCTGATGGGTAATCGACGTGTACATATCGAGTATGGATGGATGCCAGGTTCGCCTTTTGAGCCAAACCCTTTTTCAATCAAAGCCTCCCCGGCCCCTTTCTTCAACGCAAGCGATTTTTGTCAATGATCAACGGCCCGGTGAGGTACTGGCTGGCATCACATTATCTGCCAAGAAACCAATTCCTTTACCCAGAATGCTTGGATGGACCGATGCGTGGTGTACGCGGAAGAGAGATGGAAGAACAGCCGGGATCGGCTAACAAGCACACCGCCGGGTACAAAGCTCGAGGGTGTGGAGTGGTTAAGGTGTTGTCAACTTGGGCAAGTCGTTGAATTCACTTCGTTGCTAGGACCTAGATATGGCTAATACGGTGTTCTTTTAGCTACGAAGACGCTTTGCCAGTTCTGTACGGGACAAGTGTATTCATCCCACGCAGTAAAATTGACTCTTTGTTTATCGTTTTGAGAGTTTTGTCGCCTGGTTGTCTAAGCCTTCTCCAATCGATGGATGTACTATTCGAACTTTGAAGTGCCTTGAGCGAGCCACAGGAAGAGGTAAGAAGCAGCTGGACACCCGTCTACCCTGCATTCTTTGGAGTCTTTTGGCAATCTCTCTCCAACCTCCACTCATTACGACTGACAATTCGAATGCCCTCACTACAACATGAGACTGTTTCTCCCAGTGACATGACTGAATTTATGGCGCATTGGGACAGACTTGCTTCGAGTCGAACATGGAAAAGGCTACAACTTTGCGTTCCTGTCGACTGGTACCTAATTTTGCTAGAGCAGGCGGAAACTAAGAGTCGGTGGGAGCTCACCCAAACCTGGTGGCAAGACAGGATCATGAATTATTCTTGTGGCTTCTAAACATCTCAGACCGGCCGCCAGCCATACTAGCTAATAGTCGTTGCCGGAACTGGGGTCCCGCTGGTGATGGTGGTAATGGGCCTATATCACCCCTGTCTGGAAATTTCTCTCCCACATCACCCACACTCACCCAAAGATCAAATCCACCGCCATTTTAGGGCCCAGGGCGCATCGAGAATTGACCGCGTACTATAATGGGCTTAAGTACGGCTGAGCGGACGGGAAGCCCTGTTCTCCACACCCTATGGTCGTGGGTGCTAGGATGTCAGCCAAAAAAGAATATATGCATGCTTGACTCCCAATCATTGCCTACTAGGCTTCACCTTAGGTAGATTCATATCTTACTGCCCCATGTACCTTCCAAGGCTCACTTAGTGACTGAGTTTATATACCTGATCTAGGAGGTTCTTCAGTCCTGTATTCATCTTTTGGTATATAACTTCAAGATCCTACAGTATTTCGAATTGGTTTGCTCTGAGTCTCGTGGCGTTTCATACACCCGCAGCATCTGGTCTCTGTAGGCGGAAATCGGAAATTCAATATGCCCATTGCTACCCTTGACATTGTTTCTCCACGTAATGCATACTAGTTAATGCTGTTTTAATCTGCTCTGTTATTATAATGGATGCTTCGTGGAAACTGCCAGAGACCCTGTCATGTCACCATTGACTAGTCAGCTTAGTCCCCTTGTAGGAAATGGTGAGAAATGGGTTCACCAGTCAAACCAGACACAATTACATACCTTGCTATCATCCCTGCCCTGCAGTACAGAAAGTCCCGGATACTGTGGAGCAATCACACCCGACCCTCGTTTTCGGAGCTCGCTCAGGACTCGTGCCGACAATGCAACTTCAACCTCGAGACTATGATGTTTCTGAAACACAACCTCCTCGACTATGCCGAGAGACTTTTCCATAACATCAATCAAAGGCTCGATGGAATCACCTTCCGGTTCGCCAAAATCTAAAAAGGCGCCTACATCGTAGGAATCGATAGAGAAATAAAGCTTCCGTAGTGAAGGGAAACAATCTCTGATAGCAATTAGAACCGTTTCAAGTCCATGATATCCTAATAATGCGGTTTCAGGGTGATGATATGGCCAATTCTTTAGATAGAAGTACCCGCATAATTCCAGAGACCGGATGCGAGTGAGGTATTTTGATGGAAGAAGTACATCCAAGTTTTCTATCAGCATTCGATTGCGAATATGAAATGTGTTGGTCGAGTAAAGTACGTTAATACCCTCAGTATATCTAGTCATCGCGAAGTTAGGTCCATCTTGCAAAAAACGATGAGAAGACATCACAAACCCTAACCGGCAGCTGCGTAGCCAGCCCATCACACCAATATCCTCCGTAGACTTGTAGTTTGGATGGCCGAGGCAATTGTTTTCGAATGGAGACAGACTTGGATCGCGCATACAAATGCCGCTCCACCATCTCAAAGCTCGAGGCTCGCAGTCACTGAAAATCTTATCTTGTTCTCCATTGGGGTCCATGAGCCCGAAATGAAGAGTGTGGTTTCCGAATGCGAGAATGAGAATTTTCCACCGCAATTCTAGAGGCAGGCGATAGAAAGAGCTTTTCGCAACTGCTTCGTAGACTTCTGGCGATGAGGGATCGTAGCTTGTCTTGCTCGAGTCATCGTCCTGCAGTCTGGTCCGAAGCCATTTTAACTGCTCGAGGGACATATTTTTGTGTGAAAAACTCGAAGATCGGCTTTATCTTTTCAAGGTGAAGATTTCAAAGAGGATTGAAGCTTAGGATGAGCGAGTTGGGCGTTGACAATGGGGAATGGTCATCTTTTTCCGACTCAGCCTCAGCCACCTTTCCACCCCGCTCAAAGAGGCGTTTTGATTAGGCGTCACCTGTATCATCTGGTTATCGTTAGGTGAGGCTGACTTTGTACCTACACATAGCTGCAAATGATTTTATTCGAGGGTACCGATCTTGATATGCCTGCAGCCTGCAGCATCTATCTGCCTTGTCTCTGCATTGTTCAATGACGTGCTCCACAGAGATAAAGACCAACATTCCTGTGAAACTAGATGGGCACCGTTGAATTTAGTATATGATAGACAGTAGATATCCAGTAGTACTAGAAGATATAATTGAGGGATAAAAGGGTGTGGTATCTTTGCTAGACCAAAAATGGTCTATGGACAAGCTTCCTGGAGTATACCGTCATTTATTGCCTTGACAATTTGACACACTTTCAGGGGGTCTGTAAGGAGTAAATACTAAAACTTAAAGATAGGCATAAATGTAAATTCTTATAACAATTCAAAAAGAAGAGCTGCGTTCCAGAAAATCGGTAACTCGTTCAATCAGAAGTGGGATGGCGATCTGTATAAAGGTCCAAGCGGTTGAGGATCCTCTCACTCCGGCCCACTTTGGGGCTCGGGACAAGGTCTACCGAGGGCGACTGTTAGCGATGGAATCCAATTTTTTTCGCGGCTTTTAACTCTCCTCAAGTTCATTACTTGTTATACCTGTCAAATTGATAACATCCTGTTTATATACTGGTATATCTTGCCAGTTGCCGCTTGCCTCCTAGAAGGTATGAACCATCTCTTCTAATCTTGACCCCGCATCCCCGCAATGTCAACGCGTGACAATTGACCACGAAAGCACAGCTCGACGAAGATACTCTCAAGGAGAAGCAACAATCAAAATGCCGACTCCAATTGTAGATTCGCACATTCACCTCTTCCCAGCCTCTCATCTACCAACATTGGCCTGGTACAGCCCTGACAGTCCCCTCGGGGCGCAACACAGTGTCGACGAGTACCGACACGCATCATCTTCCATTTCTACTGAGAGCGACAGTGCCGAATCAAAATATCTACGTGGCTTTATCTTCCTTGAGACAGATCGCATTTCATCCGTGGCAGATGATCAGCCAGATAGCCCGGGATGGATGCATGCTCTGGATGAGGTGTCCTTCTTGACACGCATTGCGCTGGGAGAACCAGTTTCTGGGGAAGGCCATGACGCGACTCATAAAGACCTGTGTCTTGGAATTATTCCCTGGGCGCCGGTTCCAGGGGGACCCGAGGCTCTCACCTCATATATGACCAAGGTCAAGGAGCGGACACAAACGGAAGAAATTTGGCGCAAGGTGCGAGGAGTGAGATACTTGGTTCAGGACAAGCCAGCTGGAGTGATGCTTCAGCCGCAGTTTGTGGAAGGTTTGCGCTGGCTAGGAGAGCAAAGCCTGGTCTTTGATCTCGGGGTTGACGCCAGACAAGGTGGATTGCATCAATTGCGTGAAGCAGTGGAAATGATGGATAGGCTGGGAGATGCCAGTGTGACAATCATTATAAGTGAGTCCGCATTTCAAGAGTTTTTACCAGCTGTTATATTAAATCTACGGCATTTAGATCATCTTTGCAAGCCCAATCTACGACTTTCGCCTGAATCCGTCTCATCTCACCACGAGTTCCTAGAGTGGAAAGAATTGATTACGAAAATGGCTGAGTCGAGCTCAAGGACCTACATGAAGCTCTCGGGCGCATTTTCAGAGCTTCCCCCACTGGACTCCGAATCCGAACCTGATATCTCCAACCTCATCGATCGCATCCAACCTTGGACAGACGTGGTGTTCGACGCGTTTGGAGCCGAGCGAGTCATGTTCGGGTCGGATTGGCCCGTGTGCAATATTGGCGGTGGAGGCAATAATGTTTCGTGGAATCGGTGGATAAAGATTGTAGAGGGAATCTTAGAGAAAAGAGGATTGACCGAGGAGCAGAAACAGGGTGTTTGGGGCCAAGTCGCGGTGAGGGCGTACGATGTTAGCATTTGAAATCTCTCGGGGCATTGCTGGCCCGAGATGCCGGAGGACCGACCGCGGCAGGTTGAAGTGCCATTGCTAGTAGCCTAAGATTCTCGATTGTAAATAGCATTTGTTTGTGAAGAAGATGAGAATTCTTGACTGAGATGTTCTCTCAGTTTATCATAAGGTTTTTAAGAGAATAAACCCTTCTTCATCGCATGTCATCATGCCAGGGGAAAACTCTCCAACTCGGGATCGTGCAGCAGTGCAGAAGCTCGTGCAAGCGAGAAGTGGAGAAACGCGGGGTGACTGCCCCAGTTTCTGCCTGAGGCACTCCACTTCGGCCTAGTGACTCCGCGATCCCGAAGTCTTCATTCTCCTCTTGTTTCGCACACCCTCGGTCCTAACTTGCCTCTTCATCGGACAAACGCCGTGTATTACGCTCGACCTCACTGGCCCAGAAACCATCCCGCGTGTCATTCCGCCGAGTGCGCGTCATGGTCGATCCTCAATAAGAGAGTGGACTATCTCGCTATAGCAAAATGCCGAACACTGCAGCACCTCCCGCGCTGCTGCCCCCTCCTCCAATCAGGGACTCGGCAGCCTTGATAAAGAACAAAGCCCGGGGGAGTACTCGTCCGGGATTGATTCGGATAGCGAGCTTGTTGGCCCCAATGGCTCGCGAGCTTTGAAACGAAAACGGCCCCTCACCGTCTCGTACGTACCCGAGCTGATCATGCCACATACCCGGCCGTGAAGGCGCATTGTATGCAGGATATCCAAGGCTAATGTACCTCAAAGATGTGAACTATGCAAGCAGAGAAAGGTCAAGTGCGGTATGTGACGACGGCCTGTTTGAGGACAGACCGCGCTGCTAACCTAGAATCGTTAATACAGATCGAGTCCAGCCCAGCTGTGGCTGGTGTACTCGCAATGGTCAGATGTGTGAGTACAAGGAGCGAAAGAAGCCTGGCCTGCGGGCTGGGTATGGCAAGGAATTGGAGCAGCGGCTTGGTAGGTCGACACTCTACCTAGTCTCCATTGATCCGAAATCTCATGAGTGTTTCAGACAGATTGGAGGAGATCATTCAGGCGCAAGCCCGTCTTATTGAGATGCATGTCCTGCAGAGCCAGCCTTCAATGGGTCGTGAGATGACCCAAGCTGGCTCACTCTCTTATAGCTCTCCTTCGGAACCCTCGGCAGTCCATGGTCCCAGTCCCCGCACGGCACTTTACTTTAACGACCCTGCTTCTTCGGTAAACCTACCCTCTCGCCGAGCAGATGTCTCTATCACAAGTCCGTCGGAGACTTCGGTCAAGAACTTGGTTCAAAATAGCCTTCAAAATGGAGGATCAGCACCTTCGATGAGCTCGTTGCCCTCTATTCCTAACGCACAAACAAATAATGACTACACTGGGAACGAATCCTCATTGAAAGTCCCCGTCAGTCTTTTTGGCAACCAGGAGCAGTCATTGGCAGATCCTGACTTGGATCTTCCGCCTTATGATCTGCTGTACGCGTTGGTTGATCTCTATTTCGAGCACATCAATTCCTGGTGCCCAATTCTTCATCGTCGGTCGACATTGGACACTTTCTTCGGCCCGTCCCCGCTGGAAGAGGCAGATCGGATGGTTCTGTATGCCATCGTAGCAACAACCTTGCGCTTCTCTTCCGATGCCCGACTCAACGATTTGAATCGAAAGCGTTACCACGACTCTTCTAAACAGAAAGTTCTCCTCTACGGTTTGGAGAACTCATCTGTGAAAGCTCTACAAGCCCTCGTCATATTGGCAATAGATTTGGTTGGATCATCCAACGGTCCCCCGGGTTGGAAGTTGCTTGCTCTGATCACTCGATCTGTCGTCCAACTGGGATTGGCTGTAGAGTCCAAATCATCTCTCATCGCTCCAGTGTATCCCTCCATCTACACATTGAGAGCGGTGACACTCTCAGAGCCTGACTCTTGGATCGAGGATGAAAGCAGACGACGCTTATTCTGGATGGTATACTTGTTGGACCGGTATTCAACAATCGCCACTGCTTTCAATTTTGCCCTTGACGACAAGGACATCGACCGCAAGCTACCCTGCAAGGAAGAGTTTTTCATGAAGAACCAGCCCGTCGAGACGCGACGATTCCATTGTTCCAGTGATCGAGCCGATTATCTCAGCCATGCAGAGAATGTGGGATCCTTCGGACTATATATGGAGATCCTGGGCATTCTGTCTCGCATTCACCTGTTTTTGAAGCGACCTGTTGATATTGGGTCGCTTTCCGATGTTGAGGAATGGCAGGCCACATACCGCAAGCTTGACAGTGAGCTCACATCATGGGAGTTCAACCTGCCTGTCGAGTATGCGTATGAGAATTCGTCCAGGCTCTTCGCCGCAGGAAAACAGAGCCGATCTCTCCATAGCGACTGGGTGCAGCTCCATGCCACCTATCAAACGTGAGTTTAGACCTACTCTTAGACTTCATATCACGATACCCTGCTAAGATACCATCCAGAGCCGTGATCCGCCTGCATTCATCTGCCGCGTACCCAACTACTCGATCACCCATCTTCACCCCGTCATACAGTGCCAGCCAACGGTGTCTACTAGCAGTCGACAACATCCTCTCCGTAACACGATTCGTCGTCGAAAACAACATGCTCGACAAGCTCGGACCCCCCTTCGCCTTCACCCTCTGGGTCTCAGCCCGACTCCTCCTCGTCCACGGCTCCACAATCGCCCACACCGTCAGCCACGACATCCTCTTCTTCGTCGACACCCTCGCCCACCTAGGCCAATACTGGAAAGTCGCCGAACGCTATAGCAACATCCTCCAGCGCGTCCTCGACGAATACGGCGAATACCAACAATCCGCCGCAACAGATGGCGAACGCTCAACACCCTCCACAGTCAAAATCCTAGCCGACATGCGCCGCTGTGCCTTTGACCTCGACTTCCTGATTTCCCGTCAACCCCGTGAATCTCCATCATCCATGAGCAACGGCGGAAATGACGCAACGCGTCCTTCCAACTCGACTATTCCCCCGCGGAACCTGGCGCCGAATGAACTCGAGTACCTCGATGTCTTTGGGTTCTTTAATGTTCCGCGTGTACCGCCTGCTCGCGCGCCGGATCCTAATTCGGCTAATCCTGGTCATCTGGATATGTCTGAGTCTGTGCCAAATCCAATGTCTATTCATGGACTTACGGGTACGGGACCTGTTGTTGATGGGAATGGTAATACGAATACGAATGAGTTTAATATCACGAATTATCTGATTCCCACGCCGGAGACAGATTGGTTGTTCCGGCCTGGTGGATGAAAGAGCTGATTCCAAGCACATTGTTGAGGATTTTGTCCCTTTGCATCTTTTCTACTCGTTCCTCGGATACGTTGACAGGTTGAGGTGTTTGTGGCCATCAGTCTCAATCATCCATGTCTTATCAGTCGAATCATTGGTTACTGGTGAAGCCTCCTCCATGAGCCTCCCTCCTCACTCCCCCTACCAATGGGAATGTTTCCCCAGCATCCAGGGCGGCCAGATATTCCAACCACTACACACAGCCTCCCCCGTGCGTTCCGAGAACAGTGGTAAATTCGGATATTCTTCGCCTCCGCCCATCGTGGAACAGCAGAGTGGGATATGCCCGCCCGGCCCTAAATCAAGGATCGGAGGTTGCGGACCAGGAATGTATCTAAATACCTGTCAAATATTCCAAGATGCAATCCGCATCTTCTTACCAGAGGAAGTGCTATGCACTACCTGTCGACAAATTGAAATGTTTAGCTTCAAAGACATACAGACATCTCTACTCTCTACATTCCGATATAGAGACCCAACATATCCATTATATGCATACAAACAAAAAGAAAGAAAAAGACAGGAGACTCAGATTGTAAAGTACATATAAGGAAAAAAATAAAAATAAAAAGGAAGACCGCAAACATCCCATTTACAGTACAGCAGCCAAAGGCCTAACCAGGCCCAAGAGAAGCAAACAACAGGTAGTGGTATAGTGGTATATCCAACCAAAACAACACTTAGTTCAAGACCGGGGTAGTCTGCGCAGTGGTACGAACATGACGGCCCAACTTCTCCAGCTCGCCAATGATACCACCACCAGACAGACTCCACTTCTCGCCAACCCAGGTCTCATTGACTTCCTCGCGTAGCAAGCCGCTGCGGGCGAAGTACTCCAAGTAACCGCGGGTCTCGTCGCGGGTCAGACCGCCGAGGGTTTGGAGCTCGAACTGGGGCTCCTTGCCGGTAGTAGGCTTGAAGAGATCCAGGACGCGGGCGTCGGCACCGCTGTAGGCCTCGGGGGAAGGGTAGTCCGGGGACGAAGGGCTGGTACCGGCCTGGCGGGCGGCTAGCTGATCCAGGGCAACCTCCAGGGTGTAGATGCTGGGGTTGTTGGAGGTGGAGGTGGCGTACAGGACCATACCACCGTTCTTCAGCGAGGCCTGGCCGTTCTGCAGGAGGGAGAGGAAGTGCTTGACGAAGACGAGGTCGTGCGCGTGGACGGGGGTGAAGTCGGAGGCGCGGTAGGCGCTCTCCTTCATCCAGTGTGCGATGCCGTCGACGGTGACAAGCATGGGAGGGCGGGCCTTAAAGTCTTTCTCCATGCCGGGGGCTGCGGCGGTGGCAGTCAGCTCGGTCCACAGAGCCTGGAAGACGGGCCAGGCAATGGCGGCATCCTGGAAGCCGAGTTTGGCGAGGTCCTCCAGGGTGGAGGAGGGTTTCAGGCTTGGCAGGCCGGTGTGCTTCTGGGAAACATTGAGACTGGAGAGAACCTGGCGGTTGGCCTCAACGGTGCGCATCAGGAGGGCGGACACAGCATTGGGCTGAACGTATTGGAGAGGGTTGGTGCCCTCAATTGGGGAATAGCTAGTATCACCGGACACGAGTTCTCGAGCTGTGAAATGAGCAGTTAGTGACTTGAATTTCTCAGTTGAACCCAAAAAATGAATAATTGCAACACTTACCATCAGGAACTGTGACCACAACCCACTTCTTGAGGAAACCCATAGCCATAGCCTGCAACAAATGCACAGTCTTGCCAGAGCCCTTCAACCCCGTAATAATCTTCTTAACAACCTTGCCCTTCTCAGCCGCATCACCCTCTCCAGAGATCTTCTCAAACAAACGAGCCATCTCCAGAGTATCCCGTCGCAGAACAGTACCCGGCCGGCGGAATATCGACCAACCCTGCTTAGGCTTGAAAGCCTGCACAGCTCTCAATTGATCCAGCATAGGCACAGGCAGACCCAGAACAGAGCCCCGCAGACGAGCATCAATCATAGTCTCCGCCGACAAGTCTTGCATACCCTCAACCTCAAGAGCATTCGGGTTGCTCAGGACGATACGCTTCCGCAAAGCCTTGCGCTCGCCGACGGCCGGGGGACGCGAACGCTCGGTGGTCTTCTTCTTCTTCCGGCGGAGGGTCTGACCCTGGCGGTACTTCACTGCCACGAGCGCACCCTTCTTTTTGGTCGGATTGGCATACTGCACGGCGGAGGAGTGGAAGGAGGCGGTCGTGAGTCGGGGCGTGATGGACTGCGGAGGGAGAATTGCTCGCGGTGTTGACGGGGCGCGAAGCCTCGAGAGGCAGCTCCAGCACCACGAGGAGGCCATTGGATCACTCAGACACTGGCACGGCGGCCAGTGTGGTCAATTCGAGGCGGAATTGGGGAGTGAGAGAGTTTGGGGCAGATGGGCGGGATTTCGGAGTGTCGGGTGTAGTAAAGTTACCCATAATAATTTGATGAATTCCTTCCGCCCGTTCGGGATGGCGGTGTGGCTGGTGCCTTAGTCAGGAAACGGCAGAAAAGTAGAAGAGGCTGTGATAACCACTTTTTTTTTCTTCTTGCCGAGCAGCTTTATCTCCGCCTCATTTCTTTGCTCTGAACTGACATTTTGGCTCTTTTATTCGAGCTTTGAATTTCGTTCATTATGCCCGACGTCAAGATGGGCAACTCTGCCACAGATGCGGCTTCCAACAAGCCCGAGAGACTGTACGAAACTTTCCTCCATGTTGATATTGAATCTGTATCAACCCAAACACTCGACATAAAAAGCTAACATCAACCGCCCCAATCCAGCCCCATAACCGTCTCCAAGCCTTCTCCCTACACCTTCGACCTGGGCAATCTGATGGTCAACGACCCCAACCCCGTTGAGCTCCCCCAAGGCGAACCCCTCAACGACTCCCTCAAGGCCATCGCCCGCGACGGCGCCCAGGTCCTCCTAAACCAGCTCCTGACAACATGCACCATCACCTCCTCCGCCCAAAACGGCGTACTCCTCAACCTCCCGGCCCCGGCCACCGCCTGCCCCCGGCACAAGCCCCTGCCCATCCCCAAGCCCCCTACCAAGTGGGAGCTGTTCGCCCGCAAGAAGGGTATCGGCAAGTTCAGCCAGCGTCCCGGATTCGCCCTGGCCGACAAGGAGCGCCGCAAGAAGCTAGCCTACGACGAGGCGTCTGGCGAGTGGGTGCCGCGCTGGGGCTACAAGGGCAAGAACAAGCCCGAGGACACCCAGTGGGCTGTTGAGGTCAAGGAGGAGGACTGGAAGAAGGAAGAAGACGCTGCTGCCAAGGGTGGTAATATCCGTGGAATGAATCGGGCTGAGCGCAAAGATCGGATTAAGCGGAACGAGCGTAAGGAGCGGGCTAATGAGCGGCGGTCCAGGAAGCCTGGCAGTGGTTAGGTTTTTTTTGATCTGAGTTTTGTTTTTCGCTGGGGCCTGTATAGTTCTAGATTTCGTTTCTATTCTTCATTCTCGGGCGTTGGGGTTTGGGAATTGGGACTCATATCTTCATTACGATTGTCCAGTTGTGAGACCACCTTATCAAAAGCATTGTTTATGTCGCCATGTCTATGCCAATGATCCTACCTATACCCATTGAGGGACTAACTTTACTTCACGTACTTCATGTTTCTAGGGAGTATATGGAAATCATTGTGAGCCTTAAAAAGGTCTTCATTGAGCCGAAAATGCCATCTCACTGTCGCTATCGTACAAGCCTCAAATGAGAACGCCAGACACAGACAAATAGACATAAAATAGAAGATACCTGGCAACTGTGCGAATGAAACAAAAAACTCAAGGCACAAAATGACAGAACATAGTAAGAGCCACGGCGGGGAATCTAGAAGAAGAGCAGCAGCAGCATGAAAAGCAGATAAATCAAATGGGGGATATTTGAAGTGCTGCCAAACAGGGCACAGAGCGCAGGAGACGATGAGATTCAGATGAACAGAATGAGGGAATAAAATGAGGGAATGAAATGAGAGCCACAGATCGCCAGGGTGGGAGTGTGTACGGTGCAAATCAACATATACAACAAACAGGAAAAGCGTAAATCGAGGAAGATGATGATAGTCATGTGAGGATCATCCGATGAGGGAAATAACCGATGCCGAAGACGCCAGAATATGCACTCTGACGGGATGCTGGATTGAGACCAAGTGGTGATTCATGGGGATAACAGCATCCAGTAGAGAGGTGAGTAACGAGATTGGGAGAAAGAAATGAGAGATGATGTGAGGTTTTTGAGAATCGTCGTCGCCATCAATCAACAACTGGTAATACGATTTCCGAGAACTGCCAAAGTCTCGTGTGATCTTGCAGGCTTCCAAGGATGGATGCATAATCGGTCCAGCCGAATAGTAGAGTGCCCAGATTTGATGATTTCCAAGGCAGGTCCAAAAAAAGCCGGGGCAATATGCCCGTGAAGATGTTTTGCGGGCGACTGTGAAGTAAGCCCATAGACAAAAGTGAGAAGTTTCAGCTCTAAATCTTTATTGGTGATAAAGGCGGACCAAGTTCCGGAAGCTGTGAGATGCTTCGAGTGTGCGCGGTTTCAATGTTCTTTGGCTTGGCCTTTCGGCCACGAGACGTCTCTGGGCGAGGCTTTTCTTCCTCAGACCGAGAGCTGGAGCCTGACGAGACGGCTCGTTCGTGGCGAGATGAAGACTGGGTTGCCTCAGCCTGGACCTTGGCCTCCTTCTCTTCCACAGCCTTCCTCTCCATCTCATCCATCTCCTTCTCCTTCTGAATGTATTCCTTCTCGGTCCAGCAACCCTGCCAGCAGTTCTTCCAGTCACAGACCAAGAACTGGAAACAGAAGGCATCGATCTTCATGCAAGGCTGGAAACAAATGCAGAGATTGCGGTAGTCCATCTTGTTTTGATCGACGTATGAGTGGAGAAGGTTGAGATGGCAAGTGATAGCGAAGAGAAGATAGTAGTTATAAGGTGGAAGTTTGGACAGCTCATCCTTGAGAAGTTGGGGCGCGGTGGTGGCACCTTCACATTTCTCGGCGATCATGTCCTGTGTGGCTTTGGGGAAGAGTTCGTCTGGCAATTCACGAAGCCAGGCCTTGAACAAGGATCCAACCGTGTTAATATCATAGAGGTCTGGTACATCGAACAGACTGACGTCCAACTGTGAGTCAAACCGCCTCTGCCAGTGCTTCACCTCGCGGCCGCTACCTGGTACTCGGTAGAGACCCTCTTCCTCGCAGCCCTTGTAATTGAGGTAGTCGATGCAGCGGTAAGGGAGCGCTGGCATCCAAAACTCGGTCTTATCTCTGCAACCATCCAGCTTTTTCGCAATGCGGGTCTTCCTCGCCTGCTCAATGAGGGGAAGATTGATCACAGAGCACACGTAGTTATCATCGTTGATCAGTTCCCGTTCATTCGTGCTACCACTCCTAGTGATCTTGCCGAAGAAGCCCTTGCCCGCCTTGCCAATACGATCAGCCGCTCCACTTGATGATTGCTTGAGGTTGTTGAAAATTGCAGCTGAAGCACCAGAGACCTGGCTCAAGGATCCAGAGTTCACCATGGACCCTCCATGGCTCTTTTCTTTCCTCAGAGACGCAGCATCCGCGTGTCGTGGGGGTGGATATAGTCCTCCTTCAACGGGACGCTCAGGACGAGCGGTAGCAGCGCGTGGTGCGCTTGATGCGCTCGGTGCGTTCGAAGACTCTGTTGATTTAAATTCCTCCAGCTTCGCAAGACCAGTAGATGGCCGTCGGCCAGCGGCTCGGTTTCCGGACGATTCGTCAACTCGAATAGATCGTGATCGGGTCAAAAGGTTTGCGAATCGGGGCTTGCTCTTCTTGAACGGAGCGGGATCCATCTCGGTATTGGTCTTCTTAGGTCCAGCAGGTTGAGCTGTTTTGTCGCTGTTACCGTTTCCGTCTGGAATCATGCGCTGTTAGTCTGTGTTTTTCAAAGGACCAAGTAAAGGCAAATACTCACTCTTCTCGCTCTCACCTGCCTTGGCGAGGGTGCCAGGCAAGTCGGGGGTCGACTCGTAGAACTTCGGTGCCGTCTTCCGGTCTCTCGAACTGCCTCGACTCTTGGGTGGTTCTGTGGAGTTCTCTGAGCTATCTGATCGCTGTGCTCGATGCGACGGCTTGGGTGCTTTCAGGTTGCCGAAAAATGATTTTGACGCATCGCGCGTATGAGAGCCTTTGCCGGATTCTTTCGAAGAGGGGAAATATTGAGGGATGGCTGTCAGACCAGGCGTGGACGGCTCGGGGCCAAGTTCAGTAGCCGAAAGCCCAGGGGATTTGGGTGCGATAACAGGGCTGTTGCCCTTGCTGCTAGAGTCCTGGGTGACAGGACGGATGGTGGCGCCCTTGAGGAACGGAGAGCTGGAGGATGATTTCGGCGAGCGTGGCGTCAAGGGACTGAGACCATCAGAGCTCTGAGCCCCCGGAGAGAGAGGGCTTGTCAATTTGCCGCTGCTAAAGTCCACCTTGAGCGACTTGAGGTCGAGATTGGGAATGGTGGAGTTGCGAGATGGCATGTTGGGCGGTAATCGAGGAAGCCGGGCCTCAGTCGTATTTGTGCGAGGGTTCAAGGAGAAAGAAAAGAAATGCGGATCGGTGTGTCGCGCAGATGGTAGACAGCTCAACTTTATTTTTGTTCAGCTGTCAAATGTCCGACGTCAGCAATGGGCATCCAGGCGACCAGGATTGCGGCTGAGGCGTACCTGATGATCTGATTGTTGACCACCCGTGATCAGACAACTTAATCTTCAAGTGCAGATGGCTTGCTTTGGCCGGTTATTTGCAAAGACTATGGTTATGTTCAGATGCAAACGGTCGTTTCCATCAAATAAAGGAGGGGGGAAGAAAGGTTATCGGCAGAGTGGATTCTAGAGGAAACAATGGTATACAATTAGTCAAATCGATCGTGAAAAAGCCAGGACCGTCGGAGAGGTCTAAAAAAAGAACAAGTGACACCTCATGACACGATGACTGAGGCAGGGGACCAGGGAGTTCAAAGGAAGTGCTACGAGGTCTTTATCAAAGCAAGACCCAGACACTGGTTCACAGGCACCATAGGAGGGTTCGCGCACACTCGAGCAAAACGACTCACCAACAAGTCCCTCATGATATGTTGCCCACAACGTGTTCTCTGCGCGATTCCAATCCAGGCAAAAGCTGCAGGTGGAGGACTGGGAGGAAGAAGTTGTAGGAAGGTGTGTTGTGATTGCGAGGACCCAGTCGCTTTTTCCCCCTCTTTTTCTGGCGTGTTGGGGATCGGAGGATCGGCAGGGCAGGAGGCGACGTTTCAAGCGAGTCGCGGGCCACTAGACTCAAGGGGTCTGGTCCGAAGAGAGAGGGTGATGCCAGAAACGATCGAAGTCAAGCCCCAAGAAAAGGTTGTGATCAAGGGGAAAGGAAGAATGGAGGGACGACCGTAGGAAAAGTCCCCTAATGGACTTAGCGCTGGCGTAGCGGCTGCGTTAGTTAGCCAGGGAGCACTGACTATGACCCCGTCAGGAAAGCGTCGAGTTAACAGGTCAGCCACGCTAGCCTGTCCGGGCAATGGTAGCGGTAAAAAAGGGATGTGTGAAACTGGAGGTGAAGGAAGGACTCGAACTGAGTCGAATCGAAGCTGCAAGATGCAAAATGCAAGATGCAATGTGGTATGGGGTGGATTGTGGGAGAGTTGAAGAAGCGACCACGCATTCCTCGCAGGACGATTATGCAAGGCCCCAAAGCCACCCGGTTATCAGTTATCGGGGGGAGAGTCCTGGAGACTGGAGACTGTGGAATTGTACTTGACAGCCAAAAAAAGTGGTGCATGCATTCTAAAAGGGGGAAAAGAAAGTCGGTGGAGACTCTTGTATTTACCCAGTGGGATTCCCACTTGGCTTTAATTATGCCAGTCTATACTTGGTACCAGCTATAACTAAGACAATGGAGTACAGATAGCGACAAAGTACATCCATTGTACTCTGTCCAGAGTACCAGTACTCGTCTGATTACTATATTACTATACCCTACTATAACCTGCTATCTGATGGTCTCAAGGACCTGTCCCAAGGATCCATGTTGCACGGGTGGCCGACTGGGGTGTGTGCCATGCATCATACTCTACTATATCTCGCTTTCGCTCACGGTGAGCCATGATCTCATGTGTCAATCAATCATTGATCCTTGGGGGCCGTTCCATGGGCATCACGGTGGAGTGTTTGAGGTTGTTCCATCTCATCCAGGTACCATCAATAGAGACTATTTAGACTATAGAATATAGATACCTTGTCAACAGCAACATCCCGGTCTAGGCAACACCGGTACTCGAGGTTATTGACACCGACAATGACCGCTGACAACTCAACTACAGTACTACTCTATCGCGATCGGACCGGAATCCTCATCGGGCAATGACTTTCAATAACCTCTTGAGCACTCTGTACAACTGTGTACTCGAGTCCGCGCGATCGGAGGGCTCCCCACCAGGAACGGGCAAAGCCATTGGGTCAAACAAACAGAGCCACGGGCGGGATGATGTGCGTGCCTTACGTTGCAGTGGTTATTGACGTTGATTGGGCCGATCATCGAGTCAGAGTGGAGTTATCTTGGATGACTGGCGAATCCCACCAGTCTGTGCCTGTCGCGGATTCCACGGTTACGTTTGTCGCAGATGCTGGCATAACCGGACAAATCCGAATCATGGGAGCCTTAAGAAAGTTACCAGTTCAAGGGACACGGAATATGATAACACGAATGTCTTCCAAGGTATGATGCGCTGCTCGGATTTGTACACGGTCCTTCTGCATAACAATGTGACTTCCGTAGATATACATACTTCGGAAGTACGGAGTATGTATATTTCAGGGGTAAATTCGAAGAAAAAGAGACAGAAAAAAAAAGAACGATAACCACGCGACTTTCCCAGCGCCTCTCCGCTGAACCAAATACCTGGGAAATATACTCCAGGCTCCATCCATGCAAATAATAGGCCAGAGTCATAATAATAGACCTTACACCCCCTCCAAATAGGCAAATACCAAAGGCAGTCGTCAGACAAAAACGTGTCCACGGCGCTTGCACCGGGCCCCATCGTCTCCACTTTTTGTTTCTTGCTTCATGGGCTTGCTAAATTGCCTAGTTTGCCCAAGTTTCAGATTCTGTCCACTGACAATGTCCATCGCCCTGGAGAAGCGCTGCCCATTCCCCTCTTCATCCATGGCTCGGATCCTACGCTAATCCAGAGTGGGGGTGGACTTCTTTTAGAAATCGTTTGCCTGATCCTGTGTCACTGTGTGCCGGAGGATGTGAGGAACCCTCCGGCTTGTCTTCATGGAGTACGAAATATGTACATAGAGCCATAGACGAGTACTGTACAGTAGTGATGTAAGAGAGCTACCCAGTCGCTTAATCAAAAGTACAAGTACCTTTGGAAATGCGGTGTACATAGGTATCCTTGCCGATTCGTCGAATATATATTCCAGATTAGTACATACTTGAGCTAATAACACAATCTTCCAATCCGCGCAATTGAAATCGATATCCTAAAGTAAACTCATGTTTACTTTGACAGTCGGTTATCAGACACCTGCAGGACCCTGGTTAGTCTTCGCTCCCTATGCTGAACCGAAATGAGCCAACTGCAGCACGTTGGTGCCGCAAAGACCCTTGCGGTGGCAAAGCGATCATCACGACCTCGTTTATCAAATTTTAATCTCAAACAACGACGACCAGAATGGAAATCTCTATCTTTTGTACGACTGTACGGTGCACAAAGCATTGGCGTCCATTCTGTACTGCACCAGAATAACTCAGCCTTATTCTTTGATCCGGCCGCGGACCCATCAACAAGCTTCCATTTCTATTTCTATTTCTTGGTCTTTGTCTCCCCCCCATCTTGCTTATCTGTGTTACTCCTACCTCGGTGGAGAGACCACTGTGCGACCGGTACATAAATTCAATTTACTTTTATTGTGTTATTGTGTCAAATCCCTCGGCCATGGCGATGGTTCTTACCCGGTCCACTCGTCCTGGCACCCGCACGTCCCAGAGATCCCTCTCTGTCTGAAACATGGCAGATATTCTAAGACTAGCGCCGGAAACATACAACACCTCGGTGCACGGAGCAATCTGCAGTGCGACTTTGAGAGAATGAACACACTTGTACAGTCATCAGTGGGACAATGAACTAAGCTGGTTCTGGGTAAGCATGGAGATCTACCATTGTGTTGTCTGGTAGCTTTTCAAGACTCAAAGTATGTATGAGCATGCAACTGTGAGTCAGTTCGCTCGAAGTATAGAATTTGTCGCCTCATTCCCTCCCCATACTTAGTCGAAATAATGTCTAAAAGATACCAATTTATACTACTAGAAATCTAGTCATCTTCAAATACTGGGCGTCCACAATCCATTTGCCTGAAAGAACATGCTTAACAGCAACGATTGCATTATTTATCAATGCCATCATCGACTTGGGTATACCACAATACAAAGGACAACTGGTCAGAGTAGTTCCCCCAAGCCCTAATTTGATCTGATATTGGTAAAATATAGCGACTCCATTGTTGATCAGATTATTTCCATCCAACATATACGGTAGCCCTACAGCAACGTTGTCCTCCATACTCGATGAGTTGAATAATATAGCACTTGCTTCGGGTCTTCTGGCAGTGTTCACCGCCCTCGAATATTCACCGCCTGCATTGCACTGCCATATATTCCTCCGCCCTCGGCAAACTAATTCGCGCTAAATCACGTGAACACACATTCGCCAATTATAAAAGGTCAAGAATATTTCCCGCTCAGCCACACTTCGCCCCTCCCCACCTCCTGTCCCGAGGCTCTGCTAGCCCTTGGTGGCGTTCACCCATTGCATCTTAGCTTCGTGACAGCTATGACCCGAGCAACATCCTTCATTCAGAGGGTACCCACGGGACAATCTTCTCCTCATCCTGTGTCACTAATCTGCCCAATATTATCTATCCCCTTGGTTCACTGGAGCTGAATCGACGACGCCCATCACGACGCGTCCCCCACAGTCACTAACAATGGCGCTGGTATCAGGCCCTGGCAGAGCTGGAGGCATCTCGTCAGACCAGGAGTTGCACACCTTGAAACATGTGGCATACATCAAAAACCTGGACACTGTGCGTGATCTTCTCTCTTGAAGCCAGGTCATACGGTAGGGACCCCTGATTAACCAGTGATTATAGCGGAAAGATGAACTCGAATACTGGCTTACCGAGCACTTGCGTCTGAATGGTGTCTATTGGGGACTGACTGCACTTCATCTCCTTGGACATCCTGACGCGTTACCCCGCACTGAAACTATTGACTTCGTGCTTTCTTGCCAGAAGGACAGCGGAGGATTTGGTGCTGCCCCTGGCCATGATGCTCACATGCTCTACACTGTCTCTGCAGTCCAGATTCTGGTCACTATCGATGCTGTGGATGAGCTAGAGAAGCGTGGTCTTGGGGGCAAGCAGAAAGTTGGCTCTTGTATGTTCCCACCTCCCTGTGTGATGACGTCGATGATTTAAAACCTGACTGATTGATCCTAGTCATCGCAAGCCTGCAGAACAAACGTGATGGCTCCTTCATGGGTGATCAATGGGGTGAGACCGATACGCGTTTCCTGTATGGTGCCTTCAATGCCCTATCCCTCCTGGGTCTACTAGACATGATCGACATCCCCAAAGCTGTCTCTTACATTCAAAGTTGTGAGAACTTCGATGGAGCCTACGGTGTGACCCCTGGCGCAGAATCCCACTCAGGGCAGGTCTTCACCTGTGTTGGAGCTCTAACTATCGCCGGTCGCCTGGATCTGGTGAACAAGGATCGACTCGGGGCCTGGCTGAGTGAACGACAAATTGACAAAGGTGGTTTCAATGGGCGTCCTGAGAAACTCCCCGATGCATGTTATGCCTGGTGGGTTGGGTCCAGTTTAGCCATGATTGACCGCCTTCATTGGATCGATGGCAAAAAACTTGCATCATTTGTTTTGCAATGCCAGGTTTGTTTATGATTCTTCTATCTATCTCTACCATCTACATTCTAACATGACACAGGACCCTGAAGCAGGTGGCTTCGCTGATCGCCCTGGGAATATGGTTGATGTTTACCATACACACTTTGGCATCGCAGGCCTGAGCCTTCTTGGAATGGAGGGTCTACAAGAAGTTGACCCTATTTAGTTTGTGACCCATGTCTCCTCTGTTTTGACCAGTTTACTGACTGATATCCCAGCTGCATGCCTAAGTCTGTCATTGCACGATGCTTTGCAAAGTAAAGGGATTATGTTGTATGAACACTGCACTGTTCCTCGACTTTTCAAACCCTCCTGCCATCTAATAACCCATTGATTCTTTTTTCCCATGAACTATGGGATACAAGGCAGGAGGAGAGCAATGTCCACTTTGACTTATTCCGCTTCATACCATCCCACAATGGCCTAATGGCTGTTAAGACATCGTGGCACATATTTTACCTTATCTTTTCAATTTCTTTTGCCCTCTCTTTTATCTTTTTTATCTTTTCTTCCTTTTATTTTTATTTTTTTTTTTGTATATTGCATATCCAGCGTTTCTCTACAGCGTTTTTCTGTCAATCTACCAAGAAAACGGAGATAGCACAATATTACGCTGGTTCATTTCGAAAATGACAATACCGCCACCTGGACATCCCCTTCAATATGGGAAGGCTGAACCCTTGGTTGTTCTGGAGAGTTAGACTATGCTTCGATTGCTGCTTCCCGTCAGATTTACGCTGGGCCTTCTCTCTGAAGGAGGGGCGGGTGATTGCCTCGAGGCCTCGCTGCCTCGACAGGTCCCCTGGATCTCCTCCGTTCTTTCCAATCCTCTTTCGAACCTTCCTTATCATCGTCTCCCTCACATCATCCCTTCATCATTTTCGTACAGTTTCCGAGACTTCGAACAGTCAGTCTCACAGTTTTGCATCCAGCTACCCAGTGCCGCCATCATCCAGGCTTGGATCTGGAAAGATGGACGCATCGGGGCGCCAGTGCGTCATTTGCCCGATGAAGCCCGTCTTCAGTGATGTGTCTCATCTTTTGACCCATCTCCTCTCCAAGGGCCATCTGTCCCAAAAGAACCAGCTTGAATTTCGCCAGAAGGCCGGTACCAACAACGCTGCTGCTACTACGCTCCTCACCGCATACGACGACTGGTACAGTGCCAACAACCTTGACCCGTTGCTTGCCGAGCGCCAGGCTGCCAAGGATGGCCGCACGAACAAGAGAAGATCATCTGGACAGAATGCTTTGATCCAAAACACCCTGATCCCGCCCGTCTTGACTGATCCTGGTGTGGTTACAGCGGCGCCGAATTCTGGAGTTGCAGAGACCACGACCTTGACAACTGTCTACAACGGTACTTCTGCTATCCGAATCGCGAACGGAACAACCAATAAAACTCCTGTTGTTGCAGCGGCTTCGACTCCTATTGCAACTGCGGCTACAACCCTCTTTGCGACTGCATCTCCTGCTGTTGCTGTTACAGAAGCACACACCGTTGGACCCACTGTTGCAACTCCTACTCTCCCGGATTACATCGACCCTCGCCTTGGGGAACCCTACGGATCTGGTCACGAGCAACTCAACCCTGAGGGTGCATCTTCCGCTACGTCGACTGTCGGCTGGTACCAAGCCCAGCTTATGCCTCAAGATTCCGATGTTTGCAATGCTTACACGCCTGGCAATACTGAACTGACCAGCTGGGACGGCCAGGAGGACATCGACAACAACGGGGAGACCATCAGCGGCGCCATTGACCCGTTTGAGGTGGATGAGAAGCTGACCAATGACAATGCCAGATCCGAGGCGTCGATCAGTCTGAAGGGTGTTCAGTGGCCTGGAATGGACCTCTTTGATGCAGCCACGCCGGAAATGCGACGAAAGCGCAACCAGAAGAAAGATGGGACCCTTGTGAAGCAGATGGAAGCGAATTCTCAGCAGGTCGAGCCCACTGAACAGATCTTTCAATCCACCGAAGGGCTGCCCTTCCAGGCGGAACGTGAGATTACCGGCAAAGTTGAAGATTACCCCCCTCTGGAAGGCGAGTCCCCAATTGCAAAGAAGGGCCCAGTTCGCGGCAAGCCGGGTATGCTCCGGGAGCGCGATGCCAACGTTCCACGCGCCAGGGACACAAAGCGTGTTAAGAAGGAGAATCCTCGCAGCCGTGATGAGAGTGAAGACACACTGGAGTACACTGAACCAGCTCGTTTCCCGAATAACTTCGGATCGGCCTATCGCGAGGCAGACGGAGATCAACGACGTGCTCTACAAGGCCCGCGATTCTCTGTCTTCAAAGACGAGCAGGATCAGACTCACACCGAGTCCGCAATGATTCAGGCTCCTCAGGGCACATTGGCTCCAGCCCAACTCGCCCTCAACAACACATCGAATATCTCGCACCACCATGGACATAGAATCCCGCCAAGCAATGAAAATATTGAGCCCATTATGAGCATCGCGAATCGAGCTAACCCTCCGATTTTCAATCCGATGTCGCCTTTTGTGAATGGAAACAACATCGGCCAGGGTTACTTCTACAACGACCCAATTTTTGGCCAATTGTGGGTTGCTGTTCCATCCCAACTCAATCCAATTTTCGGCGCTACTTCGGCCACAACGTTCGGCCATCATTCGTACGGCGAAGAGGTCCCTCTGCCCAACAGCCGCTGGACCACCAATTCGCAAGCGATGGCTTCTGGCGCCGGTACCATTGAGGAGGATGATGAGGACACATTCACTCAGATGCACACTGGAACGACCTATCAAGAGAACTAAATTTTCGGCGAATTGCGGATCTGAAGGCTACATGGATCCATTGTGTTTTGAAAAGTTCTGGAGCGGCCTGGGGTATCTATGGCTGCATTTTTTCTTCGTTACATCGGTCACCTGGTGGTTCGAAAAGTTCTGGAGACCGAGCAGGGTGTCACTCATCCTCTTGGACTCTAACATTTTGAACGCATTGATCTGGATCGTTCTGCCGTTGTTGGTGGCGGGCATTTGATAGCATCAGTGGTGGCACAGATTTTCTTTTGCACAGACAGTCAACCGCGCTGTATGTAACATACATAGCTAGCCTCACAATGAATAATTTCTAATGAAATGTGGCTCATTACTATCAAATAACTAAGCTATAGATTAAGTTGTATAAGCTTCTTATTTCAAGAGTACGAAGTAGTTGTATATTGGAAGTTGAAGGTTGGTCTGATACTCGCCTCTAGTGGAGACTAACTTGGGTAGTTAGAACGGGTGCCCACCTAAGTTACTGCCCGATAAGGGGCTGACTCATCAACCAATTAAACGCCCATCGCGTCTCTAACGCGTCAAGCTCCGCGATTGCGGAGCTCAATGTCAACTAAGAGAGAGCGACCAAAGCATCACTGTTCTCCTTATCTTATAGAGCCCCGAATCTGATCTTCCTTATCTTGTGTTCTATTAATCCTCCCTTCTGCCAGGACTGCCGGACACGATGGCGCCTCATTCCTCCCAATCCTCCGCACCTTCTCCGTCCTTGAAACGAAAGCAAGCGACTATCTCGAGTTTCTTCACTCAGAAGCCATCCTCGACGCCGAAGCCTGCATCGAGTAGCGCCGAGACAGTCCCGGAGAAGACATCAAAGAAGAGAGCGGCCTCTCCCATAGAACCAAGTCCGGAGCGGAAACGAGCAGTCTCCATACATGAACAAGACGAGGATCAGGATGACATCGTGGTGCCACCTTCAAAACGAGCTCGTACCAATGGCTCTATCGCAGGAGAAAGCAAGCCAGCTCCACCCCCGGCTGAGTTACCTCTGAACCCGGCCTCCCAACTCAGCAGCAGCAGCAGCCAGCGGACCGATATCTTCAAATTCCAGAGCTCGCCCGCCATCGCTCCACCCAGCAAAGAAGCCGAGGACCCAGAGGAGACGCAACGGAGGAAAGAAAAAGAGAAACAACACCAGAAATTTGTACGGAAGCTTGGTGGCCCTGATTGTTTGATTGGAATTGGGAGGGCCGCGGCCGGCGACCAAAGTGGCGCTGCGGCTGAGGCCGAGGAAGAAGAGGAAGAAGATGAACCTGCACCCCCGCCTCCGACGAAGGGCAAGGGTGCGAAGAAAGGCGGTAGCAAACTTACGCCGATGGAGAAGCAGGTTATTGAAATCAAGCGCAAGCATATGGATACTGTGTTGGTCATTGAGGTTGGGTATAAGTTTCGGTTCTTTGGCGAGGATGCTCGTATTGCGGCGAAGGAACTTGGGATTGTGTGTATCCCGGGGAAGTTCAGGTTTGATGAGCGTATGTTGTTTACCTGCTCCAAAATACTAGTACAACCTCGCTAATCATCTACAGATCCATCGGAGGCACACCTTGACCGCTTTGCGTCTGCCAGTATCCCCGTCCACCGGCTACATGTACATGTGAAACGACTGGTTACGGCGGGCCACAAAGTTGGAGTGGTGCGGCAGATCGAGACGGCGGCGCTTAAGGCTGCAGGCGATAATCGCAATGCGCCCTTTGTCCGTAAGTTGACCAACCTGTACACCAAAGGAACATACATCGACGATGTCGAGGGTCTCGAAGGCCCAGCTGCCGCGGCTGGTGGTGCATCGCCGGCGACGGGGTACATGCTTTGCATCACAGAGACCAATGCCAAGGGCTGGGGCAATGATGAGCGAGTGCACGTTGGTATCGTTGCCGTCCAGCCTGCCACGGGTGATGTGATCTATGATGACTTTGAAGACGGGTTCATGCGCAGCGAGATTGAAACGCGGCTGTTGCACATCGCGCCTTGTGAGATTCTCATTGTTGGTGAGATGTCGAAAGCGAGCGAGAAGCTTGTACAGCATTTGTCCGGAAGCAAAATGAATGTCTTTGGTGATGCTGTTCGTCTCGAACGGTCTCCGAAGAAGAAGACCGCAGCTGCCGAGGCGCATAGTCATGTTTCGGGCTTTTATGCTGGGAAAATGAAAGCTACTGGTACGGAAGACGATGTCCAGGCGGCCAAGCTATTGCAGAATGTGCTTGAACTGCCGGAACAGGTTACCGTTTGCCTTTCTGCTATGATTGAACATATGACCGAGTACGGATTGGAACATGTCTTCGATCTGACAAAGTATTTCCAGCCTTTCTCGGCAAGGTCACACATGCTCTTGAATGGAAACACCCTGGTCAGCCTGGAGATTTATCAAAATCAGACTGATCATTCAGCCAAAGGTAGTCTGTTTTGGACTTTAGACCGAACACAGACGCGGTTTGGGCAACGGCTGCTACGGCGCTGGGTTGGACGGCCGTTGCTTGATAAAGTACGGCTTGAAGAGCGTACCAACGCAATTGAGGAGCTCACGAACCCCGTTCGCACTGTAATTGTGGAGCGAGTGAGAAGGTTGCTGGGCAAGATCAAGAGTGACTTGGAGAAGAGCTTGATCCGTATTTACTACGGCAAGGTATGTACTTGGTCGCGTGCTAGATGTTTTCGACTGCTAACTCAAGGCTTTCAGTGCACCCGGCCGGAGCTTCTCACCGTTCTGCAAACCATGCAGACGATTGCAATGGAATTCGCCGATGTCAAATCCCCAGCCGACACAGGGTTTGAATCCACACTGATTAGCGAAGCGATTGCTTCCCTTCCAACCATTTTGAAAGATATCACCCGGTTCTTAGACAAGATCAACCTTCACGCAGCACGAAATGATGACAAGTACTCGTTCTTCCGTGAAGAAGAGGAGACGGAGGAGATTGGCGAAGAAAAGCTCGGAATCGGTAGTATCGAGCACGAGCTGCAAGAGCATCTCTCCGTGGCCAGTGAGCGTTTACAAAGAAAGGGCGTCAAGTATGTGACGGTGTCCGGCATCGAATACCTCATCGAGATCGAGAATAACTCGCTAGCTATCAAGAAGGTCCCGGCGTCTTGGATCAAGGTCAGTGGGACGAAGAAGGTCTCACGATTCCATACGCCTGAAGTGATCCAACTCATCCGCCAACGTGATCAACATAAGGAAGCTCTGGCCGCGGCTTGTGACAAAGCTTTTGCAGCACTTCTCGGCGATATCGCGACACAGTACCAGTCCTTCCGGGATTGTGTCCAGTCTCTCGCGACGCTAGACTGTTTACTCTCACTGGCAGTCATTGCCCAACAACCTGGTTATGTCAAGCCAGAATTCACCGAACGACCATGTCTCCATGTCGAACAGGGCAGGCATCCGATGGTGGAACGCATCCTAACAGACACCTATGTCCCCAATGACACCAACCTCGATCCGGACGGCACACGAGCACTCCTCGTCACCGGTCCTAACATGGGCGGAAAGTCCAGCTATGTGCGCCAAGTCGCCCTCATCGCAATCATGGGACAGATCGGTTCCTACGTACCCGCAGCCTCCGCCAAGCTAGGTCTCCTCGATGCCGTCTTCACGCGCATGGGCGCCTTTGACAACATGCTCGCCGGCGAATCCACATTCATGGTCGAGCTCTCCGAAACAGCCGATATCCTCAAGCAAGCCACACCACGCTCCTTAGTCATCCTCGACGAACTAGGCCGCGGTACATCAACACACGACGGCGTCGCCATCGCCCAAGCCGTCCTGGACTACATGGTCCGAAACATCCGCTCACTAACCCTCTTCATCACGCACTACCAACACCTCTCGCGCATGGTCCGCTCATTCCCGAACAGAGAACTGCGTAACGTACACATGCGTTTCACAGAGTCGGGTGAGAAAGACGGTGACGAAGAAATCACCTTCTTGTATGAAGTTGCAGAAGGCGTGGCGCATCGGAGTTACGGACTGAATGTAGCGCGGTTGGCGCATTTGCCGGCTTCTGTGTTGGAGTTGGCGAAGACTAAGAGTGCGGAGTTGGAGGAGTTGATTAAGAGGAAGAGGTTGGCTGCGCTTGTTGGAGCTGTTGGGAGGGTTGTTGAGGTTAGGGATGGTGGTGGTGCTGTTTCCGCGGAGGATGAGCTCGTTGAGCGATTGCTTGCTAGTGCGGACCAGTTGTAGGATGATAGGATAGGCTTGGTTTGGGTGTTATCTTTGTACATTTATCTCGGTATGGATCAAAAGCATCTTTTTATAAAAACAGGCCTCTATCCTCATGCTGCGACCAGTCGACCTGCGGATCAGACTATCTATTGTTCGTACAACTCTACTGGTCTCTGATTAACCATAGGAGATATTCAAGATTATCTCAAGATATTCAATTTTTGACATCAGAATCTATCTAGCAGCTTGAAACCATGGATTTCGAGCGGGTGAGTAGGAAATAGATGCAGAGATTGTTTGACCGGCAGAATATCAAGTCATCACCAGGTGGACGAAGACTTAAGAAACACCACTGTATTCACCCCCACCCGCTAGGAAGAGATTGAAAGATGACCGTCGGGGGAGGTTGAGAGATGACCGAAGGGTATCAGTCATAGTATCGGTCTCAAAACAACTGCTTCCCACGAAATCTGTGCTTTCGTGACACTTGATTGAAGCTATAGTGCTATGCCAACTTTTTTAGTTTAGGATGGGGAATAGCATGACCACACCGCGACTGAATCTTAGAGATCGAGCGTGACTTACAAGTTTCATTCCTAGCTCTTAGATAACTCTCAGGTCATGCTGATGGCATACTCTATGTCCACACACAGAATACCAAAGGAGGCCGCAGTCAGAAGGGGGAAACGAGTCAATCAGTCAATCTAGAGATATCTAAGGGAGCAGAAGGGAAAGAGGGACGCAGAGGCCTCTTATAATCCAACAGAACAAGACACAGGGCCAGGACAAAACAGGAATCTGCCGATAGGAGGGAAGTTCCGTCACATAGTCCCCTTGCGTTTGAAGTCACAACAAGTTGGAACTGGTGGAACTAGTCTGAGTAGCCCATGCAATGTAGAGCAATGGAGTTCGCCCTCAAAGTAAGACCCAGTCGAGACTTAATGCGATGCTATTTGCTTACGCAGTCCACGGGTCTATCGAGAGAGCAGCAAAGGATATTTCCCTGTCCGGTAAATAGACACCAGATCTGGAGTCTGGTTTATGTAGCTCAAGCTAGTTCATATATATTGAGCTGACCGGCCCATACCTATAGATTCTACAATCCAAGCAGCTGTAGGCTATCAGAGACTAACAAATAAGCTAATTAACCTCTGTTTCCTAGCTCTAATATTTTGTTGCTCACAGGGTATATGTATCTAATGATCATCCCATACTTGCAGTGGATTATTCAAGGTCCTCTCCGAGACACGTTCCTGTCAATTAAAACAAAGATCCTAGTGACTAGACAATATTGTAGACTAAACTGAAGGCTATGACAACTGTCAAGGACTTGAGAAGGTTTGCGAGGGCTGGTGGTTGAGAACTAAATTTTGAGGAAGTGTGATATGTCTAAATAAGCTTCCTTAGTAACTTGACCCTAATTTCCGGAAGTACAGTAGTTTTCGAATTCAGTTTGACCTCACATTCTTGACACTTGAGTCCCGGAAATTAAATCCTAATTATGAGAGTTTTTATTGGATGTTATTTCAAGCCCTTCATCTTGACCGCTTTCTACAACAATCACTGTATTTTACAATACCTTTTCAATACCATGGGCAGTGTATCTTACACGAAACTAGCGGACACAATATAATTAACTGAGGTATGCGGCGTCCCTGGCCAGTCGATCTAGTGCATCCTTTCCTAGATTGTCCTAGTACAAGTACAGAGATTTTCAATTAAGGGGGATTGACATTTTTAGTGTTTATAGTTGAGACCCTTGCTCTTCACCTTGAACAACAACTATAAAGTAGTTAAAGTAACTTATTTACTAGGCCCTACTGAGTCACAGGTCCTTCTGCGCAGATATTTCCAATCTCAAAACCAGCCGCACATTAATCGCTTCAGAAAGTCAGTTCAACCAATTTCGGCCTTCGCTCTTCAATCCACTTATGTACACCATGAAATTTGTCTTTGCCTTGTTCTTCTTTGTCGCCACTGTCCTTGCTCTGCCTCAAAATGAAACCGGAAATGTTTGTGCGAGCAAACAAACCGTGGTGTGTAAATCACAAGGAGACGGTGGTCTAATCGCACTAGGCAACGTTCTGCCTGGTGCATTAGGTCAAAACTGCGCTGCTGGTGACGTCTACTGCTGCTCTTATGACGACGTTCAACAGGTAAGTCGCTACTTAGCCTTCAACGATGAACATAGCGACTTACAGGTAGCTCGACAGTCTGGCCTTGTGAACTTAGATGTAGAGGCTCAATGTACTCTTAATCGTGTTCTTTAAGTGACTTCGCAGCTTAAGTTTGGGGAATCCTTATCGGGAGAGCCAGATCGGGCCGACAACGAATGGGAAGCGGAAAAGATTACAGGAGCCATAGAAATACAGAATCGCCTTGGCCTACAGTATGAGTGAGTGGTACATATGTACTATAGCTTTAATCAGTTGCCCCTTACTTCGCAAAGGCGTAAATAGAGCAAACTACAAGATATATAATATGACCGTGGGCTTCTAACATGTTAGTCATCACAATCAATATCATCACTAGTTACCCGAATCGATTCTGATTGAATCACACCTAACCTTCAGCTTTTGTGCTCCAGAAAAGTACGTGAGTCTATAATGCTCATGTTCAAACGGAGGCTGAACGTTACACACAGCCGTATTTTCTCTAACCTCATCACCAACAAGCACGCAAAGCAGAGAGAATAATACATATTGCCACTATGCATTTTTCTCGGCTCTTTTCCGCTGCCTTGCCAGCACTGTAGTCGCTCAAATTCCTATCGTACGTCGCTTATCATCTCTCCAAGCGGGAGATGAGTGGGTATCTAACTTACTTTAAGCAGGCTATTATTTACCTTGACCCTGGATTTGCAGGGCCGTCGCAGCAAATCAGTCCCATAGGAGAGTGTGACGCTATCGATCCCAATACTATGCCTCCTGAGGTCGGATCTATCCAAGTCGCGTCGGGTATCGAGTGCACCGCTTACTTTGACACACAATGCCAAAACGCGAATCAGCACCTCACGAGTACCCAGTCCAATATCCACATATGGCGGATACATTTTCCAGGAATGAAGTTGCAAGAGTGTAGAGGTATAACTGATTTCGAAAACTACCGTACACAAGCATGTAAATTGAGGGGTTCTAGGAGCCAACCACAATCAATGCAATCAATATATGCAAACGAGGTTATATCTCGATGCAGGGAGATCAGTCACCACGCAGCATTCGAATTGCTATGAATGGTACCCCGCAATCTACAAATAAGATCGATGCCACTACGAATCACCTGTACTCGCCCTGGACACGATAGAACCGGAATTTTGAATCTGTTTTTGTTTCTGGATTCCCATAGTTCTTTTTGGTCGGTCCGACTCCAAGTTCTGTTGGCGGTTTATCTTTTCTTTGCTAGTTACCCACTTCGGAGGGGAATTTTCAAGAGACAAAAGGAAAGAGGAAAAAAAGTATAGCACATCACAACCTCGTTTGTCGCATTGAGCCCATGCAAGCACGCCAAAAGGACGTGTGGATGTAGTAAAACACCAGACCAAACCAGAGAGACCAGATTCCCACAAAATCCACCAGCCAATTCGCGCAACCTCATTTCATTTCTCATATAAACAGGGGTTTTCTTTTTTGAATATCTGCTCATTTCTCTCCATCTCTCTCTCCCGTTCGGAGATCCATGATCGACTTCCAGGGACTTTCATTGTTGGTATGGGAACTGATTGTAGAATTCAATTGTTCAAGCTGAAAATAGAAAGTCACGCAACCAGAATCACCCCAAGAAAAAAAAGTTCCATTCCGACCCAAATATTCCCCTTCCATATTCGATCATCAAAAAACGTAGTAGAGTCACGGCAGTCGAGTGGTCGAGAAGGGGGAATGAAATGGGGCGGCGCGGCGGTTGAGGTTGAAGGAGTCGGAGGGGGAGTTCAGAGGTACGGCAAGAAAGAAAAGTGGGGACACAGTTTTGGCCGAAGAACGATCAGAGAAACCGGACGCGAGGGATATGCGAGAGACGAAGAGAGATGAAAGACATGGCGCGAATGAATTGTCGTTTTTTGGGGGTGTTTAACGGAGACGGCGAGCCTCACGCTCGGACTCGAGCAGGCAGAGAATGTCGTCAACCCTGACTATTGTGCGGGAGTAAATGAGTTAGCGACTGATATTTCGTGCGGTTCGTGTATGAATTTGCCGAAGAGAAACAGAATGTCCCATCTGGTTGTGTTGGATCTTCAATATTTCCCATCCCGGTGTTTCCCTCCTCTTTCTTGATCCTCCAATAGGTGTCTTTTGTTTCGCTCTTCGGCATTCGGAGATGTGAAATAGAATTCGGAATCGCATACCTGGGCCCTTGACGTTACGGATGATGGAACGGGAGGTGTCGTCCATGAACTCGACGCGGACCTGGGTGACACCACCACGGGAGCCTGAAGATCACGAAAACCACATATTAGTACTCGTTCGATTCTCAGAAATTGCGCAAGTTCGATGTGTATTTTGTCTTTCCGGGCGATTCAGGGGCGTAGTGTGCGACCCCCGCGGATCTCGAATTTGTGCGGAGCGGAGCGGAATAGAGCATCTTCTTTGATTCTCTCAGGGTAGGCACGTACCGGTGCGGCCGAGGACACGGGTCACCTTGACGAGCTTGACGGGCTGCTTGCTGGAATCCATCTTGGAGGTGGGTGGAGGGCGTTGAGCTCGGACGACGAGGTTGGAGGGAGTTTTGGGTGGACTGGAGGAAGAGGCGGATGTGAAGATGATTTTGCCTTGTGTGGGTTCCAAATTACGCGAGGGCTCAGGGCTGCTGACACCTGAGCCGCCAGGCAGGAATATGGGCAGCCTTACCTAAGGTTCCAGTCAGATGACGATGAGTCAGCGTGATCTACCGTGACACCTGATTCTTCAGGCATAAACAATTTTCTTTCTACTCGGAAAATAGTTTGGATACTTTTTTGGTACTTGCAAGTTGAATGGTCGAATGGGCCATAGTCAATGATCAAGTCTATAGAATGAACAATTCATCCTATTCTCATCGATTATCCCCCTTTCATCCACGTGCACGAGTGTATCGTCCTGCTTGACCGTAGTAGAATAGCCGTACCCTGGTCCGCAGCCAGTCCCGCTCAGCGTCACCGGAGGACTGCCGTTCTGCCCCTCCAATTTCTGCCGCAACGAGCTCCGGTCTACGTTGCGTCCTCCCCTTTCCCTTCCAATCTCCATTGCATTCCCAGCTTCAATTGCCTCGAGTCATATCTCCCTTCTCTTGCAATTGACTTGATTTCTTTGTCCAACTCATCCTTGTTGGCCTTTCCATCATCTTCCAACCTCTGTCCGATTCCGGAGTGCCCCGCGCCGCAACTTTCTTATCACAATGGATCTCGTCAACCAGTGAGTCACCAAACAAGACGACCCTTTGAAAATCATATACTAATATTCAATTGCAATATAGCTTGGAAGGAAGACTCCTCTTCGCCGTGCCCAAGAGCAAGTGACCCTCTACATCTACATACAGACCGTCATGACTCACTAGCCATGGGCGCCAAAGAGTCAACGACACGAAGCAATATCAGGCGCAAAAGAAGTTGACCATCACAACTAACACCACATTTCCTACACAGAGGGCCGCCTCCAACAAGCCACCCTTGACCTCCTCGCCGGCTCCGACATCCAATTCCGCCGCGAGACCCGTCTCGACATCGCGCTGGTCAAGAACCTGCCCATCGCACTCATCTTCCTGCCCGCCGCCGACATCCCAACCTTCGTTGGCGAGGGCCGTGTCGACCTTGGTATCACCGGTCGCGACCAAGTCGCCGAGCACGACTCCACCCTCCCCGCCGGCGAGACCTCCGGTGTCGAGGAGATCCTTGACCTCGGCTTCGGCGGCTGCAAGCTACAGGTGCAGGTTCCCCAGAAGGGCGATATCACCGAGGCCAAGCAGTTGATCGGCCGTAATGTCGTGACTAGCTTCACCGCGCTGTCGGAGGCTTTCTTCACCAAGCTTGAGGGTGTCGAGCCCGGCACTAAGCTCCAGACTAAGATTAAGTATGTTGGCGGCAGTGTCGAGGCTGCTTGCGCTTTGGGTGTTGCGGATGGTATTGTGGATCTTGTCGGTACGTATATCGAGTGTTTTAGCTATCGTCTCTACTCTTTTCTACCTGTCGTCCATATTGCTAATACTTTTGTTTGCGCAGAATCCGGCGAGACCATGAAGGCTGCCGGCCTCAAGGCCATCGACACCGTGGTCGAGAGTACCGCCGTGCTCGTCAAGTCTCGCGATTCCAACAACGATCTCCTCAACCTGATCACCTCGCGCATTCGCGGTGTCATCACCGCCCAGAAGTTCGTCCTGTGCCAGTACAACATCCCCCGCTCCGAGCTCGCCGTTGCCTCCAAGATCACCCCCGGCAAGCGCGCCCCCACCATCACTGCTCTCGAGGAGGAGGGCTGGGTGGCTGTCAGCTCTATGGTGGAGAAGAAGCGTGTTGCTACTGTCATGGATGAGCTGATCAAGGTCGGCGCCACGGATATCTTGGTTCTGAACATTGCCAACTCGCGCACGGACTAGACTGAGACTGTTTGGTCTAGTTCTGGCTAGGTCTGTGCCTTGTTTCTAATTTTTGTCGGTTTTTGCTTCGTCTGGGGTTATAGCCGGATTTTCTTTCTTCATGATTGGTTGCGGATTGTCGTATTCTTAAAATATTTTCCCTGATGATTCTTTTTTGCTTGGTATACACTTTGTTCTTTATTCATTTGTTTTTTTGCCATTTGCCATTGGTTCTTTTTTTCTTCGGGCTCCTGATGGATCAAAAAGAATGCGGTTGAGATTCTTCCCTTGACAGATTACGTATATAGAGCATTGGGTCATATAGCGAGATTGAAAAGGAAAAAAAGACTTCAATGTCTTTGTATATGCCTGTTTGATCGTTATGACTTCTATATGTCTTGCGAGTAAATGACAAGATGAGTAATTAATATACAATGGATCCAAACAGAACTCTGAAAAAAGTGACAAAAGCATCCACCCCAATATTGTACATAAATCATAGCGCATAAGAAGGTGGTATCATCCAAAACACACAAAAACAAAGCAGGGGCGACTGTGTATCAAGCCCTTTCGCTGCAAAACATCAAAAAACCAGGGAATCTCCTCACAGAAGCTTCCTATTTCTGCAAACTCCCCAACCCAACACCCTCCTTCCTCCCCCTCATAACAGCCCTCAAACACTGCCCAACCCCCTCCAAATCCCCCAACAACCCAACATGCCCTCGATCACACTTAACCAGCCCATTCCGAATAACCCGATACCCAGCCGGCAACATCGCCGCCGAAGCAAGACAAACACCATCCCCCGCCGCAAACGCCAAATCATCATACGCGTCCTGATGCTTAATCGCCTCGCGGGAAGACACCCGTGCACCGTACAGCGTCGGCACGCTTTTCCCGTACAGCACTGCGGCGGGCGGGTAGCGGTTTTCTGCTTGGTGGGTGGGTTGGAAGGAGAGTTCTGATTTGAAGCGTTTCACTTCGGCGAGCGTGCGGTGCAGGTATTCCATTGCTGCGGCGCGGGGGATGGTTGTTGGGCTGGTGGCTTGGTTTGCTGCTGTGCTGCTGCGGGGTGTGGCGCCGGGGCCGACGAGGTTGTCGACGCCGCTGGGGACGAGGGTGTCGGTTGCTTTGTCGGTGGCTGTGGCGGCGACTTGGGATGGGTTGGGGAGGGAGTGGGAGTGGATTGGGGTGGTGCGATGAGGGTTGTGGTTTTCGTTGGTGGGATCATTGGTGTCTGAGAGGTCTTGGGCTTGGGCTTGGGGGGTGAGATCGGTGGTTTCGTCTCGTGGGCCCATGGAGAATCGTTTGCTGATGAGTGCGAAGTCTTTGAAGCGTGTGTTTAATGGGACGGCGGGGAGGACGGGTTTGATGCATGGGGAGAGATGGTATTTGTCCCAGTTGTCGGCGTTGAAGAAGTCGACGCGGTATTCCTCTTGAGTCCGCTTGTCGATAAAGCAATGGCCATCTTCGGGGAGGAGAGCGAAACTGGTGCGGAAGGTGAAGTTGACCTGCGCGGTCAAGACGCGAGAACTGAGCAAGACATCGTCGCCGTTACGTAGGGGACCGAGAATATTCACGCAGTGCTGTGGTACACCTGCGTATACGACGCCAGCGAAGAGATCGGGCCGCCTGTTCACGGCATGCCGAGTGATGAGACCGCCGAGACTGTGGGCAATGACTGTCGCACCTCGACGGGGATTCTGGGGCTGACCATCCGGAGCTGGCCGGTTGCATGGCAGACCTTCGAGGAAGGTGATGAGTCGTTGTGAGAGCAAATCCGGACTCAATCGCCAGTCATAGCCGTAGTCCCAAATGCGGAGGTCTCCCCGCACGGCATTGTCACATTTACGTAGGCGTTTCATCAGTCGTCGGCATACATCGACGGGACCGATGTGAGATAACACGCCAGAGGGGATGATAGTTTCCTCCATGCGCTCTTCATCCTCCCGGGTCAAACCCACCTCCAGGTCGACTTTGCGCAGATTCAGTCCCACCTTCATCGGTACCCAGAGTTGTCGATGAGGGGCTTTCGCAGAACGCAGAATTGAGCCACGGTATCCACCAAGAATCACAACATCCCCGGTCAATTCAGACATTGCCTCTTCAAAGATCGGATGAGTGGATTGTGTGTTATATCGCGGAGGCGGAGGAGGTGTCGCCGTCCGATGAGCAGATCCATTGATTCCTCGCTCGGTCGTGATATTCGTTACAGAGGGGAACGGGCGCGAAGTCCAGTCTGTGCGAATATCCTGTAGATGGAGAGAAGGCATGCTGAGCAGGCGACTGCTCGAATCTTGCAAACTATCCTTGATAGCCTTGAACCGGCTGTTGACCTGCGAGTGCACATTCTCATATCGCGGCCGCTGTTCTAGGGACGATGCAGTCGAGGATGCCCGCAGGTATAGCGACTGATCAGAGGAGGATCTCCGCAAACTCGGCGGTCGTCCAGGCATCGCAGCACTAGGCCGTCTCGAGAATGAATGTTTTACAGCAGAGCTCCCATCCAGCGTCCGCAGCTCTGAAATTGGCTGTGCATCATCACCCAACTCTTCATCATTGGCGGGAGCATTGGTTGTAGGAGATGGCTCTCGTCTTCGCCGTTCCAACGAACACGCCCTTGAATTGGCCTGGCTCTGTTTGCCAGACGCCACCGTCTGGCTGCGAGCGCGGTTATTCGCATTTGCGGAGCGGAACGGCAGTGATGGGCGTTTGGTCAACGAAGTCAAATCGGGCAAGAATTTCTTCAATTCACCCGACCAAGCGCGCGGCCGACGAGGTAGCGAGGTTTTCAGCAGCGACCGGGTAAAGCTAGTTCGCGAGCCCGATGCACTGGAATCCTTCGAGTCGCGTACAGCAACTGGCAATGGCGCCGAATACTCTCTGTGGGGACGATACGGCGTCGCGTGGCGCTCCACCGACGCAGCAGGTCTGTCGCTTCGAGTTGCAAGTTGGACTTGTTCAGCTGCCGCCAGCTCGGGCTCCACCGATTCCGGCTCAGCCGTGAGTTCCGAGACGAACAAGCCATCCTCACTGAGCTCGTCAGGAATAGGAATAGTGGTGAAATATCCGCCCTGTTGTTCCAGTACTCGGTTCTTTTCTTCGGCGGGTGTGGCCCGGGCTTTCATGCGGCTTTGCTCGCGACCAATACTCACCCCAACCACGTCGAGGGCGTCATCTTCGTCTACCTCCTCATTGGCGGTGCCGGGGAGGTGTTCGTCGCTATCGGAGCTGGAAAAGGAGGAGTAATTGGAGGGCGAGTCGGAGATGATTGCATTGGCGGATGATTCGGAGGACCACGATTCTTGCGGGTTTTGAGGCGATTGAATGGGTCGCGGCGTGTTGGCAGCACTTGCACTCGCACTCGTACCCGCTTTGGGAACTAGCAAATTGGAGTCGTCGGCGGGGGCAATTGAAGCCATTTCGAGGAGTTCATGAGAGTCGATTCACTGGGGTTTGTTAGGCCGTAGGCGCAATGTTGTCCAATTCAATGCGTGCCACGAGAAAAGGCGCCCAAAAGCCGGACCTCGGGCATATACAGTATGATGACGATGGATGCGAACGAAAAGAGTTAAAGTCCAGTTGCGGAACGGCAACTATGCAATGTGAAATGGGGTTGGAGCTTGCGGCTGCCCCTGATGCAAAACTGTACAATTTCTATACAAATCTGTACAACGAATTATCGAGTCATATGTAGGGGAGAGAGAACTGATGTCAATCAGGAAACGGGCGGATTATAAAGAAGTTAAGAAGCATTCTGCTTTCCAGCCGCAATTGGGGGATCCACCAGTTCCACCAAGCACAGCCTTCTCCGGGCGAGCCGAACAGCAAAAACTCTGTCGTTCAACAGATTAACACGTGGGAGTCGACTATTCCCGGCGGAGTAATGGATCATTGGATACGTCGATTCTGGATTGTACATGTTTAATGGTATCAGGCTAAGCACTAAGCATAAACATAAGCACTAGATTATCATTGTTGTACAAACTAGGATAGTAGGTAAGACAACAACTCAAGCATTGCCCAAGAGGGAAGATCAACCAGCACCGTGGATTGGGACCGGGAGATCGGTGACTGGCTTACTAACTTAGTAGGACTAACTCAGTACTGCTAAGGAAGTACGAGGGATCGGCGATTTTCGACACCATCATGACATCGGTCGCATCTCGATTTCTATACTAGTAAATCTTGTCTTTTCCCAGTTTTCCATCTCGGGGTCTATGCACCGATGTACTAATGATGATGAGATTAGAGAACATAAACAAGCTTTCGTTTATCCCCGACAAGGTACTGATCGTGCAATCCAGCCAAGTCGAGTATTTGTAGGATCTAAACTAAACTATACGCCCCACCCAATCGCAGCTGAGCCCAGCTGGTTCCGATCGGGGCTGCGTCGTCATCATACAGTTGTGACATGGAAGCTAAATGTCTATTCAACACAATTTTATACTCTTTTAGGGATATACACTATACTCTATTCACATCACACATACTATAGTACAGCATATCATCAACCTCATATCTACCGAATCCGAGGATCTCCCTTAGCAAACTCCCCCGTCCGAATCTCCCCCTCGCCCCGACGAGCAATCTCCTCATTCCGCGCAGCACCTTCTTCAGATCCAAACGTCCGATCAACAGCAGCATTCAGCGCTCCTCGAAGCGACTCTCCAGCACCCTGTCATCCCCAAAAAACCACACCGTTAACATCCACATCCAGGAAAAACACCAATTGACCGAAAATGCCCCTCCTAGAAAGGCCATTCATTCCCAATCACACATCACATCACAAACAACCAAAAAACTTGAACTTACATGAACACTGGCCCCAACACCCCTAACCTTCCGTCCAAGATCCTCACTAGCCCTGATCGCCCTCGATTCCGATGCGTTATCCGTCTTCGACGTCGCAGCCGCTTCTTCCATCTCAGCCCGCTGCACGGTACTCGGCGCATACTGGATCCGGTCGTCCTGTGTTGCCATTTGATCGTAGCTGTTTGACGGTATGTTCGGGTTATAGGTTCCTTCGTGGGGCTGGCTTGCTGCGGGTTTTGTTTTCGAGTATAAGGCGCCTGTGGCAGGGTTGTATCCAGTCGTGGCGGGATCGTAGTGTGATCGGGTATCTTGCGTGGGAACTGGGATGCCCGGGGCGCCGGTTGAGGAGCCTTGGGAGCCGCCGGCTCGGGGGGTTGTAACCATTGTGTAGCTTCTAGATTGTTGTATTGGAATGGATTGGGGAGGTAATAAGAGGTGCAGATATAGTTGTGGTGAGAGTGAAGTATAGAGTAGCTAGATCTCTTAGCTTTGTAGCTTAAATATTGGACATGACGTCAGGGTGAACTCATGTCTACAGAGTTATTGTGAACAGTTATTGATCTGAACATGGATGAATCATTAAACTGCTGAATCATCATGGACTAGATCTTATTCCCAAGGTTGCACCGAGCCCTCGATCTGCTTGGCATGTTGAATAATCTTCACCGTCCTCCCCGGCTACAGTTCAACTTCTCAGCCGAGGTCCTTTCCCAAGTTTCGCTCCTCCAGTGGAGCAGTTTTCCTAATCTGGGGTTGCTCCGATCGTCTTCCCCATAATCCCTACTTTTTCTCCTCATCCTCATGAATTTCTCCATGTTTTTAACTCCCCCATTTCCCAACTTCTCTCTTCCTCCTTAATCATTATTTTTCCTTCATATTCCCTGACCATCTATCCGCTACCACCACAATGTCCACCTACAAACAAATCATCTACACCACCACGCCAGACCCGGCCATCAACCCCTCCCTCACCAACGGCACCTTCAGCATCAAAACCGTCCCCAAACCCACCAATGTCCCGGCCGACCAACTCCTCGTGCGCACGCACTACCTCTCCCTCGACCCCGCCATGCGCCAATGGCTAACCGCCAAACGCTCCTACATCGCCCCCGTCGAGCTGGGCGCCGTCATGCGCGGCCAGGGCATCGCCCAAATCATCACCGTCGGCGCCGACCTCACCTCCAAATTCACACCCGGTGACTGGGTCGTCGCCTACTCGGGCTGGCAAGAGTACGCCGTGCTGGGCGCCAAGGAAGTCGAAAAGGTCGTCCTGCCACCCGGCGGTCGTCCCACGGACGCCATGTCCGTGCTCGGCATGACCGGGTTAACGGCGTACTTTGGTATGACGGAGGTGGGATTCCCAAAGGCAGGCGAGACGGTGGTTGTTTCTGGTGCGGCGGGAGCGACGGGCATGGTTGCGGGACAGATTGCGAAGATCAAGGGGGCGAAGAGGGTTGTGGGTTTGGCGGGGAGTAAGGATAAGTGTGAATTTTTGGTGAAGGAGTTGGGTTTCGATGTGGCGATTAATTACAAGGATGCCGATTGGAAGAAGCAGTTGAAGGAGGCTACGCCGGAGTATATTGATGTGTTCTTTGATAATACTGGTGGTGAGATTTTGGATGCTTGTTTGGCGAGGGCGGCGAGGGATTCGCGCTTTGTTATTTGTGGTGCCATCAGTCAGTACAACTCTGCGAAGCCGCAGGGTCCGACTAGCTTTATGACTGTTATTGTGAGTTTATCGGAGTGTGTCTGGGGAAAATGGTTGAGGAGAGCCATGCTAATCCGTGTTATAGTCGCAACGAGTCACTATGAAGGGCTTCATTGTCTTCGACTATGCGAAGAAGTACGGGACTGCGCTGCAGGAGCTGGCTTCCTGGTTGTCGCAGGGTAAGCTCAAGCGCAAGGAGCATATCGTGCCGGGTGGTATTGAGGGTGCGCCCCAGGCTCTGGTCGATTTGTACAAGGGTGTCAATACCGGCAAGATGATGGTGGAGGTTGCCCCTGTGAGCGAGGCCATCAAGGCCAAGCTGTAGAGCCGGCATCGAGTGTTTTGAAGTCATGTACATTTCTGTTTTCTTCATATCTTTTCTTCAAATATCATATCCGCATCTTATGCTGGTCTAGCTTCTACCAGTCATGGCCGTAACTCAAACATTGAAAATAAGAAGCTCCTGAATTTTCGAGTACTTTCAAATGAAACACTAGATTTTAACACTGTCTTTACCATTGCTTCTAGACATTGGCAGCTGTATTGAAACTTGAAAGTCACCTGTTCTACGCGAGTCCTAGCAAGGCCCAATGAGATTCTCTCGGTATCTCACGAAGATAAACTGAGGTACTCTATGCAAACGCTATTTAATCCTTACTATTCTAAATGGAGTACAAATAAAGATAGGTATTGCTCTGGTCAACTATCGGGTTCCAGCCTGCTGGACAAGTAGGCTGACCTAGTTTATCGAGGCCATCCATTTTTGACAAGACGCCACTCTCCAAATGTCGCGTTCACTCTACCGATATATGTCTCAGCAATCCCGAAAATAATCCCCAAACGACGGGGCATTTCCAAACCAGGCAGCCTTGTACAACCTTGATAGTTCCCACCCCTGCTAACAAATATTCCAGGATTGATCGATTGGTCCAATCGCTCTGCTAGTGGCGCACACCAGCCACGACCGCTCAGGCCCCTTCGGCATAACCAGCGATAAAGTATAAAAGGGACGTCGGGCCGAACGAGCAGGACCGGGTTCCCGAGCCCGAGTTAGAGCGCCGGAATGCATGTTTTTTACGGCCAAGGCGGACCGTAAAGTCATGGCCCCAACAACTCAGCTGAGAGATGTCTTGAAGATATAATCATGGATGACCCCATCCAGTAGAAAATGAGTGAATTATTCTGACCATTTCTAAACCTAAAAAGTGCTGATGTCCCAAGATACCCTAAGTTGTTACTCCATATATGCGTAAGTCATGAATTCGTTAAAAGGCGATAGACAGGCTTGATAGCAATCAATGGCATCAATACCCCTTCTCCCCAGCCTCGCAAACCGATACACTCTGCATCCATTCAGACCGCAACATATCCTTCGTAGTAATGCGTCTACGCGAGTTGGGGTGTAGCATTGCATAAATAGCGTTGCGACGTCTCTGTCAAAAGGATCTGTTAGTCTTGAGTCTTTCACTTGGCATGGGGCAGGGAAAGGCATAGGTTCAAACAAAGTTAAAAACCCCGTATACCCCCCCCCCGGACGCTAAAAAAGAAATAAAAAAAGAAACGGTCAAGACCCACCTTCCCCAACGCCTCAATAGGCGGATACCCATCTTCCCCGAGTCGACAATGCAAATACTCCAAATACCTCGCATCCTCCCGATGAGGCCTAGCACTGCGCCAAAGTAACCGACCAGTAACAAGAGCCAGATAAATAATCGCCGTAGCCCAAACATCCGCCGGTCGTGGATCCCGGACCTCCTCCTCTTCGTCCTCGTCCTCCTCACACTCAATCGTATCCCTCCACAACTTCCGACGCGGTCGGTACGTAAATCCCTCCGGCGGGATATACGGTAGACTCATACCGGGGAACGAGGCTGTGGAATTCGCCGTATCACCTGTATTCCCCTTTGCAGGGGAGGCATGGCTAAACGGGGCTAGAATCCAGGGTAGAGAGAAGGACCAGGAGCGAGTAGAATGGAGTGAGGAATGGGCGTCGGTTTCGCCGTCTGTTTCGTTGGAGGAGGCTGGTGCGATGGCACACCCGTTCCAGATACGACGGATATGTCCGTCGCCGAAGCCGGCCAGCTTTACAGCACCGTGTTGTGTGAGGAGAACTGTTTCAAGGCGGATATCGCGGTGGGCGGTTCCGTGTTCGTGTAGGAAGGACAAGGCACGGAGAATCTGGGCGATTATGCAGTCTGCTTCGGGGGTGGAGAGGGGTCCTGAGCGGGAGAGGAGTTCGTGGAGGTCGCCGCCTGCGCAAAAGGGCATTACTAGGCAGAGTTCGCCGCGTTCATTGTAGAGGAGGTCTGTTATGGCGAGGATGTTTGGGTGATGGGGATGTATGTTTGCGATGGACGATGGTGGGCAGGATGATGTGCGTGCGAGAGCGTTGGGACAATCGACGATGTTATTGTTGTAGCGGTAGACTTTGATAGCGAAGAGTTGTTTTGATTTCTGTTCGTAAGCGGATAGCTTGGTTTGGTGAAGACGTACGGTACTATTGGAGCCGTAGTGGAGAATCTCGAGACAGCGGCCGTATTTTTCGGTGAAAGGGCGCTGGGGTTGTGGTTCGGGCAAGGGTGTGGTTGTTGTTGGGGCGGTTGAGACGATGGAGGTTGTAGTCGATGACCGCAGCAATGGCTGTTCAACTGTCGAAACTGATGCCAAGCTGGGTCTGTGGTCGTTTCTAAACACGGGGAAGCCGCGCTTTGCGCTCTGACATGAGTCGTGTCCATTAGAATCGGATGTGTTGGTCGACCATTTGGGTCTCGTCAGGTAATGGTGATGTGCTGTTGCAGGAGCCAGATTGGGTCGAGGCACTGCGACGGCCGTCCAGGCGTCCTGGTGACGACGATGTGTATCCTTCATGGAACTAGGATACGAGGTCTGAGAGGGTCCTGGTGGAGGAGGTGGAGGAGGTAAAGGAGGTATGGAGAAGAAAAGCAAAAACCAAAGTTTAACGGACGTCAAATTGGAGAATTAAATACAAGGAGGAGAGGAAAAAGGAAGCAAAAGTCAAAAATAGAGAAGATCATGGAAGTCTATCAGCACGCCCCCTTGAGTCCGGCGTGGTTTTTATACAGTCCAACCACAAGGTATGCCTTAAATGCCTCCTGGAATGATTAGCTATGGGAGTTATCATGATTATGGGAAAGATCTTGTGAAACTACGGTGTTCAGGAGAGAGAATAGTATGAGAGATATTTCAGTCAGACCAATCCACGGAGGCGATGAGACTAGAGGTATACGATGTAGAAGGAGGACAGTCTCACTGAGAGAAAAAAAGGGACGTATCCGGTTGCATAGCAAGAGACTTGGCGTGTTGGGGCCCTGTTAGTCAAAGAAATTCGACTAATTTAGCGAGGCTCTCAGATACTCAGTACTACTTAGGACTGTCTATCATAACGATGGTGGTCATCATCGCGTAGTAAAGAAAAAACAAAAGGTGGTGTTTAGTAGGATCTACTCATCGTCCTCGCTGGGGATGCCGCGATTGGCCCGACAAACCGCTCAGGAAGATCGGGGGGCTTAGTACTACGATGACCTCGTGGCTTGAGCGATTTTTCTGCTCGAACAGACAAGCAAACGGGATGTAGCGCTAAGTATGAAAGAAAGGAAAAATTAGTTAGCGGAAAACGGGAGCCTGAGAGGGGGCAAAGCAAAACGGTTAGAATAGAAGACTGTAAATTGCCCGCCTGGCTGGATTCAGCAGTTCGGCAGAGGAGCCACGGGCCAAAGTCAGGACGGGGGGTTTTTTTCCTGTGGTGAGGAAAAATCGCGCAGCTCACCTACGTTGACCGTCCCAAGAATTACTCTGGAAAAGCACCCAGAGCCAAGATTCTATGCGGTATTTTCTTACTTTTATCTCTACAGTCATCATGATCACAGGCAATTCAGAAATTTCTTTATTCTGGTTACTAGGGAGTACAATTTCAACATGAGGATTTCTACTTGACTTGCTGTACTCGTTGTACTTGAAGGTAGAAAGTAAGTTTGTTAGGGCTGAGGCAAGACGATGTCACGTATGGTCAGATGGCATAAAGTGAGCCATTCATAAACATGGTTATTGGCCGATAAAGCTCCCTGGCAGTTAAATTACATAAATTACGGTACCATCGGTATATCATCCGATCGTGGCACAGTCAAGCTCCTGCGCGATTTCTGTCCGGTGGAATCAGCGTGTTATTGGCTCCCATTCTAGTATTGGGTCTCTCTCACGGGCTTATACGGTTTTGGTTAATGCTTTAGGATTTTTTGCCTGCTTTCATTCGCGAGGTACCTGAAACACTACGGAGAGCTCTCTGATTCCCCAGGTACCATGTCCTCGTAGACAGGCCAAGTGGGTATCAAACAATGCCCCCCATTCTCTTCTCTCTCTCCACTCTCGTAGTAAAATTAAGTAGTAGCAAGTAGTAATAGCAAATTGTCATAAGGAAAATACCCTACTATAGGCAGAGAATGGACTAAATATCCAAGACCTGCTATAGGAGACCTCGAGCCCCTCCTCGTGGCTATTCTCGCGTGGCGTCGCTTGCATGACGCGAGCTTGACTTTTTTTTGATATTTTATATTATTTTTATTGATCCCTCGTATCGATTTTTTTTTCCTTTGCCATAAGCAAATAGCAAATCTGGTCTCCGCTTCCTCGTCTCGCCTTCCCAATTCATCCATCTGCTGGTTGCATGAGCCACCGGCGTGGGCCTGCTATATCCAGCCTAGTCATCTTTTGCACCTCTACATAAAAGACAGGGGACCCTTCCAAACTACTGGTCTTTGCTTCTCGACATCATCTTCCAGTTTCTTTTCTGTGCCCCTCCTGCACTCCCCTCTGCTGTGCCCATCCGGGTGTTTAGCTGTCAGCTTCCCCTCCCCCTCAATCGCCTTTTGCTTCCCTCACCTCCTCCTCCCTCACCTACCCTCCCCCGACAGTTATCGCCATGGAGTCCAAACCCTCTCACAGCAAGCCAGACGCCGATGTCGAGGCCGAGGGTGATCAAGCTAGAGACGATGGTGATCGTACGGGGCGCCATGTGCGCATTACCTTTGAGGAATCAGAGGCCACCGACGTTGAAGCCACTGCCATCGACAACATGCGGTCCATTTACCAACCTGCCGGCTTCAACCGTACTCAGTCCACCGGCCGGGATACCATCCGCAGTACTCGCAGCAGTGGCGCCACTGCCGTCGGAGCCAATGCAGGCATCCCCATCGAATTCCGCACTCTGTCCATCCAGATCTCCGAGTCTCAGACCGCACCCAAGGAGGTTCTGGCCGAAGAACCAAAGGAAAAACTACCGAACCAGGACTACTTTGAGAGTCTCGACTTCCATACTTTGAGCCAGGATTCGCTATGCCAGCAGTTCAATGTCGATCCCCGCACTGGTCTGAGCAGCTCGGCTGCTGCCACACGCCTCGCTCGCGATGGCAAGAACATGATCGCTCAGCACCGGGAGAATTATCTCAAGAAGCTCTTCTTTTACGTCTTTGGTGGCTTCTGCTCGATTCTTTGGGTTGGTGTGATCATCTTCTTTATCTGCTGGAAACCTCTCAGCAACCCGCCTTCGCCTACCAATCTGGCTATGGCTATCTTGGTTATCATCGTCATCGTCCTTCAAGCCACTTTCTCGGCCTTCCAAGACTGGTCGACGAAACGAGTGATGAATTCCATTCTGAACCTTCTTCCCGCCGAGGCTCTCGTCATGCGTGATGAGAAGTTTATCCGTCTCCCGGCTACAGAGCTAGTGACTGGCGACATCATCCAGATCAACGTCGGTAACAAAGTTCCCGCTGATATGCGTCTTTTGAAGACCTCAGGTGACGTTCGCTTTGACCGTGCCATTCTCACTGGCGAGTCGGACGAGATTGACGGTGCCACCGAGGCCACCGAAGCCAACTTCTTGGAGACCCGCAATATCGCCCTCATGGGAACTCTCGTCACCAATGGCAACGCAACTGGTGTCGTCGTCATGACTGGTGCACGATCGGTTATGGGCCGTATCGCAAAGATGACTGCCGGTGTCAAACAAAAGCCAACCTTGATTCAAAAGGAAATCAACCGCTTCGTTGCCATCATTATTGGCCTGACCGTTTTCCTTGCTCTGTTGATTCTACTCACCTGGGTGGGATGGCTCCGCAAGGATCACCCTACCTATATGAGTGTGGTGGCGATGCTGAACAATGTTATGGGATGTGTGGTGGCTTTCATTCCCGAGGGTGTCCCTGTCGGAGTGGCTCTGACCTTGATGATGGTTGCCCGCCGTATGAAACAGACCAGCATTCTGCCCAAGGGTCTGGCTACTGTTGAGACTCTTGGCTGTGTCAATGTCATCTGCTCGGACAAGACGGGTACCTTGACGCAAAACCGCATGTTTGTCAAGTCTCTCGGCATGGTAGACTGGGAATTCAGCATCGACGACCTGGCGGGCGGCATTGAGGTCTCTCATGGACTGGCTAACGTCCTACGGGCCTCGGTCCTTTGCAACGATGCCACATTCGATTCGGAGACTATGGGCCTCCCTTCGTATGAGCGCACCGTCAATGGAAACGCTACCGATGCAGCAGTTCTCCGCCTCGCTGATCATGTTGGTGCCGCCACTCCCAGGAACCTCGAGCCTTATGAGCGTATCCACCAGATCCCCTTCAACTCAAAGAACAAGTGGATGTTGACCATGCACCGCGATCCCACCACCACTAACCCGGGATATCTGATCTACGTCAAGGGTGCTCCCGACGTACTTCTTCCTCGTTGCTCAACCTACTGGTCTGCCGTCCACAATGCCGTGCGTCCACTCGACACCGATGCCCGCGAGAAGTTTTCCGCTTTCCAGGCCAAGTTGTCTCGCCGCGCTGAACGTGTCATTGTCATCTGTCAACGTCGCTACATCCCCGTTCACGAAGTTGGCTCCAACGGTTTCAGTGACGAGATCATTGACTCGGGTGTGCAGGACCTGACGGTACTTGGCATTTTCGGTATCATTGATCCTCCCCGTCCGGAGACTGCTAGTACTGTGGCTGCTTGCCGACGCGCCGGTATCCGATTCTTCATGGTCACTGGTGACTTTGGCCTGACTGCTGCTGCTATTGCCCGGGACATTGGCATCTTCGACGGGACTGCTGAGCCAGATACCATTGACGACCTGCGTGACTTTAGCGATGAAGGCAAGGCCTCCCTCTCGCGCCACAGCCTGCTACTCGAGGGAACTAGTCTTTCGTCTTTGACTCAGGATGAATGGTCGACAGTGTGTGGCTATGACGAGATTGTCTTTGCTCGTACCAGCCCTGAACAGAAACTGCGCATCGTCTCCGAATTGCAGGCCAAGGGCAACTACGTTGCCGTGACCGGTGATGGTGTCAACGACGCCCCGGCTCTGCGTGCTGCCAATGTTGGTGTCGCCATCGGCGGTGGTAGCGACGTGGCCATTGAAGCAGCCGACCTAGTCCTCCTGGACCGTTTCGATTCCATCGTCGAAGCCATCCGTCTGGGTCGTCTGGTCTTCCAGAACCTTCAAAAAGTCATCGCCTACCTACTTCCCGCCGGTAGTTGGTCCGAGATCTGGCCCGTGATCATGAACGTATTCTTCGGTGTACCCTCCCCCTTGAGCTCCTTCCTCATGATCATCATCTGTGTCTTCACAGATCTCTTCCTTTCCCTCTCCCTGATCATGGAAAAAGAAGAATTCGACCTCCTCAGCATCCCACCCCGCGACCCCAAAAAGGACCATCTCATCAACATGCGCATCTACGGCCAATCATACCTCTTCGTCGGTGTCATGGAAGCTTTCAGCGCCCACGCAATGTTCTTCCTTTACATGTGGAAAGCAGCCGGTATCCCCTTCTCAGACCTCGTCTTCGCTTTTGAAAAGTACACAGACGGGTTCCACGGGTACTCGCAAGACGAGCTCACCCACTTCAACAACGTCGGTCAATGCGTCTACTTCGTCTCCCTGGTTATCATGCAATGGGGAAATATTCTGTCTGTCCGCAGCAAGCGCATGTCCCTACTTCAGGCTGATCCTATCCGTCCTGCGCGTCGGAACCCATGGCTTCCACTGGCTATGCTGATTTCCCTTGTTATCGCTATCTTCGTCACTGAAGTCCCCGGCATTCAGTCCCTCTTCGGAACAGCCTCTGTGCCTATCCAGTACTGGTTCATCCCGCTGGGTCTGGCACTTGGTATCCTTGTTATGGATGAGCTGAGAAAGGTGTTGGTGCGCCAGTTCCCCAAGGGTCCTGTTGCGAGGATTTCGTGGTAGAGTGTCACTGCGTTTTCTTGTATTGGGGGAAAAGGGGATATGACTTATGACATAAATAGTGGATTTTGTGATAGATGCTTTTTACTTGAGCTTTTAATTTTTTCATTGTACCCCGGGGATCATTTTTGGGTTTCATGTTTATTCCATGGTTTGTTTGGTTGAGAAATTGTGGAGTTTTTTTTGGAAGTATTCTCAGCGAACAAAATGGCATTTTTTCTGTGGATTGCATATGTTTTAGAGTTGGAGTTTGGATGATTACTGTTGAATGAATTAAAAACATATAACTTTGTGCATTCATTCCACATTCGACTTGTACTTCCAAATATTGCGCTACATGATTTCAAACTTGTTGAACAGGCAACCAAGTTCCGGCCTTTTTATGGATTCATCTGTTGACTAGAATATGTCTCTTAGAATAGTACATAGCAAAGTGTCTAATTTGGAAGACCTATTGACCCTAGTGCAAAGAAATAGACCGAAATTCTCAATTTGATAGAACACATTTTGCAGACATGTGTTTTCCTAGATTAACATGGGTGTACGATCGTTCTCGACGTTGAATACTAACACGTCTTCAACGTGGAGAATGATCGCACAACCTATTATGTTAAGGACACACATTTTCAAAAACCATTCCACATCGCTCATGTCAGTTGATACAACAGAATGAGAACACCTCCCGTGCGCCATGTTATGATCCAAGCAGTAAACCCACTCCCACACATCCGTCATCGCATCATCTTCCATGTAAGAACATTGAAACAGGAGAACCCACAGGCCTAATAAATCAACAAGATGAAAAGGACAGTGAAAAACAAGACTGGCTATACTGAGCCACGGTGACAGCCTTAGCAATCAAAATAGGTTTTCTCATGAGATATCGTTCCCCAAAAACAAAGGACCGACAAATTAGAAAGAGAGTTCAATCCTCTGATGTGACAACGGAAGAATAACGAAAACACAAAAATACCAAACCACGACCCAAAGAACCACTGACGGGGAATCCCAGACTCAATTTCGCGGACACGCAAGCAATAACAGCCCAGCATAATGCAAGATACACAAATACTGAAATGCAATGCTTGTGAGCCACGAAAATCGAACACTGTAAATCCCGTGGTAGGAAAGAAAGGAATCAAGTCCACTGCGAGAGGGACAACGGTTTTTATACCGCTCACCGAGTTCACGCCTCTTCTATCTGGAGCTATCTAACTGGGTGGCAATGTGGAATTCTAGAGCATACACCTAATATCATTGACAAGCCTCGTTTCATTGATGCGGTTAATACCTATTTGTTAGGACGGTTACATCCGAGTGCGCCTCTTCTGGACGGGGACTGAACACGAAGTAGTGATTGGGTATATCCTCGAGGGTGCATGTACAATTTTTCTCAGGTGAAAGAAACCCATGATGCTGGAATCAATAATCCAAGGAACTATTTCCACGGGGTACTTCAGTAACAAAGAAAGATCTACGCGCTGACCTCGACAGACGCAGGCCACGACTCCTAAGTTAAACCCGAACAAAGAATCATATACACCCCTCCCACGACCCAAACGAGTCATGCACACCTAGATTCGGCACGAGTCCAACACTCAGACTCAAGAAAAAGGCGAGAGACGCCAGGATCTCTAAAACTTAAACTAAACTAAAGAAAAGAAGAAAATAAAATGAATGAACAACCAAAGCCTGATTGCTACGTCTACCACTACCGAGTACTGTACTCTCAATAGACGGGATGCATCCAAGGCCATGTAGAGTAATAAAAATACAAGTGTAGAAAAGAGTAAGAGGAAACAAGAACAAAGAAAAAGGGGGGAAAGGCCAAATACAGACAGACAAGACAAGCCAGGCAACTAGCAGAGGCATGGCAGGGTAAAAAAAACCAGCGAGCGAATGGGTAGTGTGTATGATGTGAAAAAGTGTAAAAAAAGGGAGTCAGTAATAGACAAGGCGTAATAAAGAGACGCTGTTCGAGTCACCGTCGTCGTTAGTCGAGGCCGTATGAGACGGCCGTTTGTGGTATGCGAACTCCCTGGCGGAGCGAGTGAAAAGACAGGAGTCGCGACGCCCAACGATATGGAACGAGAGTAGGCAGTGAGATTAACAAGATACTTCAGAGCAAAAGCACGCTCACAACCAAATGGCCACCAAGGCTATTGCTGTTGCTGTTGCCGCACCTTTCCAGCCTCCCGCACGGCGGTCATGAACCCATCCTCGTTGCCGGCAGCGGTCAAGATCCAATGATCAGCCACACCGGGATTCGCGACCTGGCCACCGAACCCAGCTGCCGCAGGCGCGCTGTGTCGTTCCTTTGGCTTTTGAGCGCTGGCACCGGAATGACGAGGACCCCAGCCCAGAATGTTGCGCACAGCCAGGCGAGATTGGTCGTCTGGCTGGTTGAAGGACAGGAGTTGCGCCTGGAGACAGCCAAGGATTGCGACGGCGGAGCGAATCATGATTCGGTCACCTTCAAAGACCCAGCAGTCCCACACGCGGGAGATGCGTTCCAGATCGAGGCCGTTCGTGAGGAGAGAGCGGAAGATCGGCTCCCAGATTTCCTCCCCAGACAGCTTGAGGGTCTCCTCGAGATGAGTGTACAGGCGAGGGAACTTGTAGAGTAATGTTTCAGAAGCGAGGGAATACGTGCGGGCCATGGCACCACGGTCCCAGGTCAGGAAGGCAACTGGGAGAGGGCGATTGAGGGCATTGGCCATGGCGAGGAAAGCAGAGCTGGGTGTTGGGAATTGAAGGACGATGAGTGCGGCGATGGTGTGCAGACCATGAATGTAGCCCACATCGCTGCGGTACATGCAGTATGCTTGCAAGAGATCTATAAGCGTATTCCGCAATGGCCCGCCCTCCTGGAACAGGTTCAAGTCGGGGAATGCTTTCGATACATCTGCATCGATTGCCTCGAAGCATTCGAGCATACGCTTATTGTTTTCTCCTGGCTCTGCATTGGTCTTGGACCGCAGATCCTTGGCTCTTTGCAAGGCTTTGGTGAATGTCTCCTCGGTAAGCGAAAGCTCGTTACCAATCGCACGTTTCCACATGGCTCCCCGACTACGAGGTGGGATTCCACGCCACCAGAGTTCTCGGATGCGAGGTTCACGCAGCGCACTCTCCCAGTGGGGGTTCACATAGTCATCCCAGATGTTCTGAAGCGTTGCGCGGGTGGTGTCCTTTTCACATTGTTCAGAAGCAGCTCGAGCCGCTTTGCGCTTCTCTGTATAATTGTTAGACCGAATCGATATGCAACCCGCAGCAGAGAGAACACTCACCAGCTTCCTTCGATTGCGCCATCATCTGCTTGTACTCTCTCAGATGCTTCTTCTCCTCCTTTTGATCCTTGGGCGGCAGCCAGCTAGGGCGCGTCCGTGTAAGAACCTTCTCCTTCTCTTTGCTAATGGGTAGCGGGTCGATCATAATGTTAGACTTCTGCAAGGGCGGTAATTCAATGGCATCGGATGTGCGTGGGGAATCAGAACTCGACTTTCGCGAGGAAAGTCCGTTCTGCACGGCATCTTCATGCTTGCGCTCGCTTTCATCCGCGTGGTGTTCCAGCGCCTCGGTGATGATCCTAGCTTCTTCTGACAGATCGGACAGATAACTGTTGTACGAATAGGCGCGGGGGTTGCGCGGGGAAATTTGGCCTCGTTCAGGTCCTGCAGAACTAGACCGTTGTGTTCGTTTCATGCGTGCCGCACGTGAGGCTGATTGCGACGAATGGTCCTGGTTGACCGACGTATCAGATGTGGTGTGCGAGATCGGCAAAGGCCGACGACCGGGACTACAGCCGTTCGGGCTTGCGGCTCGCGACTGGGGGCGATCTTGAACGGGACGCGGGGAAATTGGAATGTTCCACAAGCTGGCATCGTCGGGTAATTCGTCATCAGAGTCGTGGTATTCTTCCTCCAGATCCTTCAAGGATTTGCGGTTCGGTTGCCACGTTTGTTTCGGTACAGGGGTTCGTGCAGAGAGCGGCGAGAGAGCCAAACTGGTGCTGGAGGCTGACCGGCTGGACGTTGGTCGCAGGGGAGATGTCGACCGTGACCGGCGAGGTTGTGAAGGCGTCAAGCCACCCGAGTAATTCGTACTCCCCGAGTCTCTTCTGTTGCCGGACCGTGCCGACAAAGAACCTGCGGATTGCGGGGTCCGTCCCGATCCATTGAACTGGCTGTGAATCGGCGGTAGGGGACTGCGCTTCCGCGGCTTCGGGGTCGCAGTCAAGTCTCGCGTTGTCGCTGCAGGGCTCTTGTAAGGCAGACCGTTTGGCAATCTGGCGGCGGGCGACCGGGATGTCAGGCCGCGGCCATAAGGGGTCGGTTGATCGACAATTGACAATTCCGCGTCATCTTCAAGACCAATGTCCTCAAAGTTCCCGATGTCGGTGAACACGCTATCGGGACCATCGATTTGCGAGGAGGAATGGAACGAGGACGACTTGGAGGATTTGGACCCGGACAGCTCGGGCGGGGAATTCGGAGTTGGGCAGACGGTGGTCATGATCTCATGTATTGGGCGTTCAAGCACGGTGGTCCTCCACAATTATCGACAATCCGAAACAAACACAAGATGGGTAAAAATCGTCGCTGGTGTTAGCGAAAGGGGCGGCTGTTGGAGAACTACACGCAAGGCTCGGATTGTAGGGTCTCCGGGGGCGTTCACTGTCGGCCGGGGCGAGGGATGCAGGATGCAAGATGCAGGCGATTTCCGAAAACGAAAGTAAACACAGAGAGAATAAACAACCGATCAACGTCAAAGAAGTGAAAGTGCAGGCTCAGCCGTGCGGCCTGATAAAAACCAGATCAGGAGTTCGGAGCGAAAGGTGGGTAAAAAAAAGAGGATCAGGAGGCCGCGATTATGGGGTGAGCATCGGGGGCCGCCAAAGGGGGTAGAGGAAAGGGAGGAGGAGGGGTTTAGAATTGGGAGTTCGGAAACGAAGGGTGTAGGATTGAATGAAGGTCTTGAGAGGAAAAAAAAAAAAAAAAACGACAAAACAAGAAAAAAAGGAGTGTGAGGATTTGGGGTTGGAAGCGAGAGAGTTTGGGATGAAAGCGAAGAAGTGTTGAAGGAGGAGGAGAAAGCGGGATTGGGGGGGGAGTTGCAAGCGGAGAGCCTGAGGCAGGCCGCACGCGGTCTGGCCGAGAACAGAGATAGACTAAAGGAACTAGAGTAGAGTATGTTAGGATAATGAGAATGTATACTTGGAGTATACCTGGTTTTACTGGTTTGAATAGCTAATTCTAAAAGTACTTTAATGTACCATCATACCCACACGGCCCAGAAGATCAGGGTTCTCATGCAAAAGGCAACGATCGCTGCCGATCTCGCTCGGTAGATTCTTGTTTCAAAGGCTCCAAGGGCTACGAGATGAGAATAATTGCAACCCGATCGGAATTTCCCCAATCTTGTCCCCTGAAGACCCAGCGATTGTCCGCGATTTTTGTCCACTCGGATGCCCGTCCATTGCCTTCAGTTCCGCGGACTGCCCGAGCAGCTGTACTTCTAATTGGACGATAAACTCGGTATCAGGACCATAGCCGACCGTTGGTAAACAATAAATCCCAGATATCCCCATCCGCTAGAATGTGGATTTATAGATTGACCTCGTAGGGGGCATTATTGGCTATGATTGGTGTACTATCGATTCTCCCTCAACAACTGCATACTCCATACATAATGTACATGCTGCTGTACTACGGCTATTCTTAGAACCGCCATGCTTCAAATAGCGCATTACCCTTTCTCACAACTTGCAGCAGACGCACCGCGTCGGCGTTCGTCGCCGGACGCGACGCCCTCCACAGCGAGTCCAGCCAGTGGAGAACAGGCGCATACCGCGTTTGCTTGCGTCTCAGGACAAAGCGGAATGCGGCACTCGCCAGGTATTGCAGGTGAGACAGCTGCACGAAGCATGTCAGCGGCGCTGATCGAGATGCTCGGCGCGTCTGGATTAGGCTCGCTGTTTGCTGGACGAGGTCGTTGATGGTCTGGATGATGATGGGGTGTTGGGGGTGGGCGCGACCACGGAGAGACTTCATGTACCGGTACATTTTCATCGCGGCGGTTATGAAGCCTGTGTAGAGATTGGCCAGCACCACGTTGCGAGTGTTGTGGTCTGCGTCTAGGTACATCGAGTGTAGTTGGGGCCGCATTAATGCCAGCATTCTGCGGTGAAAGGAGCGACCGGGGAGTCGGCTGGTCTCGACGGTCAACGTGTTGGAGATAGTGGCTGCGGCAGAGGCGCCGCCTTCCAGCATTCGATCTTGGTCCTTGTGGATCTCCAAGGTGTGTGTATCAATCAGGCATCCACAGTAAGGGAAGAGGGGTGTGCCTTCCAATCGTGGGATGTAGATTCCATCTACTGCAGCGGTGAAATTCACCAAGCTCTTGGCCGGGTGGACCGAGACACCATACGCAGGCTGACCACGGTGCATCACTTGCAGAAACTGGGTGGCTTGATTGACGTCGGTGGTGATGAGCAGGAAATCATCCACTAATCGGAGAAGAAGCGAATCTGCAGGTTGGAGGAAATTCAAGACCTGCTGTTCCAGCTGGGCGTAGAAGAAATTACATAGCAGACTGGATAGCACGGAGCCTTGGGGGATGCCGTTACGCTGGCGAAAGTAATTCTTCCCAATCTTGACCAGGTTGTTTCGTACGTGCTCCTCGAGGAGACACAGCAGCTCATCTGCGTCATGCTCTTTCTGTTTGATGGTGTCGACATACACTGTATTGGCAGTGCCGGTTGTACCACCGGCGGCGAGGTCGGGAAAGTACTGTTGTTTGGCCAAAGGTGCAGCGCGCCCGAGGAACCTTCGTGTGGCTCTACCATGCATACTCGGATGTACGGCAACGTATCTGGTGACATGGTATGCCTCTTCGGAGACCAACTGCTCGACGAGACGCAGCAACTTCTTTTGCGGGATGGTGTCAAAACAGGCTTGGATATCAAGTTTGACGAAGAACAGTTGTGGTAGTCGGTCAGCTTTCGGTCCTACCGATACCGGCGCATGTCTGCTGATATGGTTCTTGAATTCTTTCAGCCTCGAATGCATGTCTCCCACCGACATCAGGGACGAGCCCAGTTGCTCAGGACACCGCTCTCGCTCATAGGACAGCATATTGTAGATAGGGGCAAGATTGCTGTTGACACTCGCTCCTAGGTAGGTCTTGTTATTACCCCATTGTGATTTCATCAGGAAGCGTTTTTTCAGGTTAAGAATCGGTCGCAGCCCAGTTGACTTTGGAAGTAAACGAAGGGTACCCAGGCCAAGAGACCGCTTGCCCAGCATGACGTGGGCCTTTTCAGGGTTGAGTTGCTCGAACATGTTCACCTTGAGATCTGCCATCGGTTGTTCCGTCAAGCTTCGCCAGACATCGTGTCGAAAGAAGAAAAGACGATTGCGATGGGTCTGAGATTCGGTGACGTAGAAGTTGGTACGGACGAGGGGGATCAAAATTGACTCGAAGATGTAATAAATGAACTCGTGCAGCAGTTCTGTGCGTTTTTGAAAATCCGAAAGTGCGAGCTTTGCATTCCCAGATCCCGAAGGATTCTGGAAATTCTGTGGTGCCAGCCAAATAATGTTGGCGACCTATTGACATGTTAAATCAACCATTCCATATTTTCGCATCTTTCAATGTATCTAACCTTCAAACCACTGCACACCTCATGTAGACTCAGACTTTCGAACCGACGCATTTTGATGAAGGCGTCTACGTGCTTCATTATGATCCTGCGGTTCGTCAAGCCCTCTGATCCCTCTCCAAAAAATCGAGGTGGCACAATTTTGAGGATTACTGCACGACAAAAGGCCGAGACAGCAGACGCGGGAGTAGCATAATCAGTCAGATTGACTTTCCGCTCAGGACGCCCCTTGGTCTCAGTATTTTCATCGGTAACAGGGAGTTCGGGAGCATGACTCTGAGTATTTGGCTGCCCAGTCGAAGATGGGGTTTTTGCTTGGAGTTGTGTCACTAGACTCCCGCCAATCGATGATCCAGGTTCGCTGTTCTCTTTTCGTCTCTTCGTGGGAGAGGTGGCGGTGCCAAGTTTTCGTGGTCCAACAGCCTGTACAAGATTAGCAGACAGTCAAAACCAGATTGAAAAACACTCACTTCATCTGGGCAATAATAGTCCAGTAACTGTCGATATGGACATTTTGAATGGCGAATTCGGAATCTCTGAACAAGCTCCAGAGTTTGCCCACGAAGTCGCTTGGGCAGCTTTGTATGAGCAGCATTTTTATCGGTCTCCTGCGCTTGATCACCGTTAGGCGCAGAGCGGCGCAATTGCTCCTTTTCTATGAGTCGTCGTATTTCAGGTTCGCGAAAGACAACATTCGGCGTGTTGCCGTAGCTATTGTCTGTCGATGTAAACACATTCTGGAGGCCAAACTGCCGAGGGAAAATGTAGTTGATCAAATGGACAGTGTGCGCCTCTGAGTCTAGGGATTTGTATCGATTGAGTACATCTGAGGGTTTGTCAATATTTTGATCATTCAGTTCATCGGAAAAGAGGCAATAACATACGCGTGGTACCTAGTCCGGAGCGCATCTGCCCTTTGCCTTCACCCCCAGATCTGCCGTAGAGCATACGCCGGCGAGAGAAGATAATGCTATTGGAGCCATTGGTTCCTTTCCGAGCCTTATCGTCTTTGACCGTCTTACTGGCCGACTTTCGATCCGCCAAAGATTCTGAGGCCTTGGCACACTTCTGTTCGAATGGCTCAAGTTCAGACAATGGTAGTCCTGCGTGCGGAATTAGAATAGCCAATCTGAATGTAGCAGACATATGGACATACCGCTCAATTGGTAGTAGATACCTCTACGGGCATTCACAGGCGCAAAGATACCGCAATCGAACAGCAATCGCATCATAATATCATCCCCATTCTCACCCAAAAGGCCCAAAACATCCGACCATGGCGCCTCCTTCAGGGTCCGAACGTTCTTATTCGGAAACTGGGCCACCAGACCGATAATACTTGTTTCCAAAATACTCGGGTCCGTCGGTCGATAGGGACCATAGCCATGCGTGAGCAAGTGCTGTGGTTTCTGCCAACCCGGAGTTCGAGCAAAGAGCGTCTCGATCACAAAATTGACCACCTGCGCGACAACAATTAGCCATCGGAAACAAGGAGAGTATTTGGATCTTGTCTGCCCGCCATCTATAGTTCTACAATCACAATCATACCTCAGATTGCGGCGATGTTGGCCCCGTATCCGTGCTGACGAGGATCGAGCGCGATTGGGATTGGGTAAAGGCCCGATAATCGCGCTGGCGATCTGAATCAATCTTGGGCGATGGTTCCTTCAGCACGCCGATTAGCGTGGAATCCAGCAGGTCGGCTAGTGGAAAGCCCGTGTCGTTGCCGCGCTCGGCTATACTTGGTGGGCCGGACGGGCGCAACGAAGCGATGCGCCGCCGTCGCACCTTCGACGAGGCGGGGAGTTGGCGTAAAAGGTATTGTCGGAGAGTGAGGACTTGGCGGTAGTAAAGCGAAATCACGGGGTGTGTTGTGGTTTGGTCGTTTTGCGATACTGGGGCTTTGGCGACTTTGAAACAACTGGGCGATGCGGTGATACTCGGCTGAGACGTGGCCGTGGGACCGCGGTCCTTGACGGGTCTCTTTCGCTTCTTGCCCATTTTCTCTTTTGGGGGGCTTGGTAAAACTGAACAACAGGAACTGTATAACAAGAAATTGTTCCAATCCGGGTTTTACATTGTCGATTGCGTAGTTGGGATGGGTGGTGTTGACGCGAGTGTTTTGACGCGTCTCGGCGGAGAAAGAGTTTGGGACCTGCGTCAGGGACAGACAGGGACACTGGGATAGCGCTGGTAGTGTACACCCGCACTTTGTACCATGACTGCCAGTGCAACGGTAGCTACGAGCTTTGAGTCGTGTAAAATATAAAATTGATACACTAATAATAGATTTGTCTACTTGTTTTTCTCCAATCTAACCTCGACTTGAATTGTTTTCGATCTTCATGTTAGGGTCCAGGGTAAGCGACTCCTGTAGTCTGAGACCAACCCAAGTGTCACTCACAGGAACGAACTACAAGCTGACCTATACTGTACACTAAAGATCCATCAATCTCCGGGGACAATGACCTTGTGCGACGTCGGGCATCGCTGGAAGGAGATAGGTAATGATTACTCCAGTTTGGTGATTGATAGGTATGAACCTCCGTCGAAAGGAATGTTTAACTTCAGGCGTACAGCCATTGTCAAGCCACTGCCGGTCCTCGATAGGTAACTACTGAGTACTTACGTAGCCATTCTAATGATGGACTTGGCAGCTACTACTTCAATTACGGAGTACAGTAGGTGCATTGTGCACCAAGTTCAAGACGGCACCACCCCGAGTAATAAAAAATAGAAAAAGAAAATGCCGAGTGACCCACGGAACGGGACGAGGGTCTAGAAAGGCCGATAGCTTACTTACTGTCTGTTCACTGCAAGTGCGTCTCCACTGCGTCAGGTCCGTTCCATGTTTGAGAAGAACTTGGGGCAGGGGTACTTCATGTTCCTGAATAAAATTGTTCTTGTTTTGGAGGGGAGAAAAAAATGATAGAATAATGCAGTAGGCATGAAAATTGGGACTTTGGTATTCTATACTTTTTATTTAGATCTAGTCGACTAGTCACCCGGCTTACATTTCCCTTGTCCTCGTTGATAGTGTGCAGATACAGCAGACATTCCAGTTGATTAATAGATCGATTTTCTCTACCTAAATTATAGACATAGATCGAATTAGACTAAATCTACAAAGCATATCTGTCTACTTTGTACTGATTCGCTGTACATACTTGCTACTGTAGTATGTATGCCATGTTCAATTGTGTCCCTCTTACAAAGAGACCCAGTCTCAAATGAACAAAGGAGTGTGAACCCACCGGGGCTTCCATGGTTTCATCTTGGAAGACGACTAAGGCCCTGCTCATCCATGGAGTCTTCCCTACGAAGGACTGACGACAGTCGTCGACTCTCGAGACTACCGACTTGAACTCTGCGGAGACGTGCCTCGCTTCTTTTTTCCGAGTCGCGGAGTTTCATGTGCTCAGCGAGCGACTGGTCAACTGGGCTCTTTTTTCCCTTTCCCATCTTTCGATCCCACCGATCTTTCCATCTTCAAGGTATCTTATTCCTTCGAACCTTTTTTCATCCGCCTGTTCCCTGTCAACTCTTGTTCCACTATTCTACTTTATCACATCTCTCTTTCGCTCTTCTTTCTGCAGACCTGGCGATCGACACTGCAGTTCAGCAAGCGGCCCCCCCTCTAAGCCGGCCCCCCGAAGCTAACGATCTGGCCCGGCAGTCTGCCCTATCAATCCCGTTGCTGGCCCCCCCTCTTTCCGTCTGGTGCCTATCAGAAAACAGAGACACTTTAGTACCACCAGATTGAAGAGACGAACAAACGTCAGTGCCGCTCATCGTCTCGCCAACTCTCATTCGTCCCTCAACCTTGTCCGGGCTGTTCCCGCTGACGCCCCCAGGGCTCCCTAGTCGCTCGTCAGGTCTAGTCACTCTCGCACAGCTCATCGGCCGATCCCTCCGTACTCCATCAATCTGGTTTCCCACCGCTTCGCGATCGTCGCTTCGCCTCGGACAATAATACACTTCAAGATCCCCTCCCCCCCTCCTCTGCTGTGGTGTCTATTTCCCCTTCTTAATTCTCCCACTCCACTCTCGACCCTCGAGATCTCGATTCTCGTGGACTGGGTGTCTCGAACATGCTGCTGAATGGGGGTGCGCCACCCAGCGATTGCTTTGTAGCCTGAGTCGTCGACTCCCATCTGCGACATTTCCCTGTTGGGCGTCCATTCCGTCCACCCCGGGCCAACGCATCAGTCCACGTCGCTTTGGCCTGGAACATGCAAAATGTCCGGCAGCGGTGTCGAACAGGCATCTGGTGTTCGGAATCACGACCCGCCTCCGTTTGGGCGTCAATCCTCTGCGCCCACCTTCAGCCAATCCGCTCGCCACAGCGCCTCATCCTTTGAGGCCTCTCCGATCGCTCCGTCCCTTTCGAACTCCACGTATACCTCCCTCCGATCAGGCTTCGACCCCACCAACCCTCTTGTCGCTGGTGGACATTCACACCCGGACCTGCGTGGCCGTGACTCTCCAGACCCGGACGATTTCTATCGGCGTGAAGGTGTGCCCGCGGCAACCGATGGCAAGACCGGGGTCGACAATGTGACAAGTGCAAGGATGGCAACTGGCTATAGCGACCTAACGGACAGGGTGTCCCCGCTGCCAACAGACAATTTAGACTATTCGCGCGCTAGACGGCCAACGTATCGGTCGACGTCTGATTCGCCTGCGTTGAGAGGTCCGTCAGCATCGGTATCTTCCACTTCCTCAAGAGCCCGACAAACTTCTTTCAAAGACCTGATCAACAAATTCAACCAAACCTCCGACGAGGTCCTTCCCTTGCCTACCAACTCTCGAACTACCTCACGGGCCGCAAGTCCTTCCGGCAGCTTTGACACCGACCACCCCTCACGAGCCTTGCCGCGACGGCGTCATCTGCGGGGCGAATCTCCACCGCCAGTCTCCGTAACGAGCACGCCTAGGCTGCAGGTTGATCCAACACCTTCGTCACCGGAGTTTGAGCGCCCTAGACAAGATCCATTAAGTACGGAACCTGTGATCCCTCCTCCACTCTTCCAGCGAATCCCGAAATCGCACCCTCGACGACCACTATTTGGGGAGTTGTTGTCGGTGAACACTCAGCTGAATAACTTGGGATTTGGTATCCCTGCCCATATTAAGCGCCGGGGCTCTGAAGGGAGCCTCCCGAGTCCCAATCCAGCATTCCTCGACCAATCCCAGCCATCGTCGGCTCGCTCGCCATTAACGCCAACCGCGTGGTATCTGGGGCAGACAAGCTCTTTGGAAGCAGTGCAGATTGGGTCGAACGGTGCGAACAGCTATCATCGCAGAGCTCGGAGCGACTTGGCTGGAAATCCCCCAAGGGAGCCCCTTGCGGATCCGTGGGATCCCGACATGGCGGTTTCAGTGCCCTTGCGGCAGACAAAGCCGGGCGATGGTTCGCCCGGCAGCCCCAATTCCAGATCCCGCATTCCTGTCTCATCACAGCGTCTGCCAGCTGCTTCCGGCCCAGAGAGCCAGTCACCGACCTCGAATTCGACCTTCAGCAGTCGGTCCTCCGCCATTCCTCTGGCTCCGAAGGGCAGCAGCCGCCTTCCCAAACCGTCTGGAAAGGACAGCCCGCCCCGCATGGCGGAAACGGGACCCGCCTCGTTTGCGATGACGGGGCGTGGCAGACGCGATATGACGATCGGCCGAAGCCGTACCCAGGTTCCCGAACGAAGTCAGCTTCTCCAAGCATACATCGCCGCTCCTCCTCCGAAGAAATCGCCGCCATTGCGCAGTTCTCGACCTCGGCAGCCCATCTCACATGGTGGGCCGATCTCTCCGCGCTCCCGGATTGGCGATAGGATATCAACATTACAACAACAGTCCACTGGTGATTTGGAACCACCGCACAGCCCTCGCACACGACGACGATTGCCCGAATTGGGTAACGTGGATTTCGAAACTCGTCGACAACGAATCCAACAAGCTTTCAATCGTACAGTCCAAGAGAATGAGCGAAAGGAGGAAGCCGCTGCTGAACTTCGACGCCGTGCTCGAGAACAAGAAAAAGCAGCTCACGCAGACGCCGACACTCCAACGGATGACCAAGCGACAACCCCCAGTGCTGCAACGGTTAATAATAACGCTCTGCCCTCCGCAGAGATGACCACAGTGGTACTTCAGTCGGTCAGTGCTCCTGCCGACGGGGACAAGCACCAACGCACCGTCCCTCAACTCCACCTAAATACGGCGGTCAATGTGACAGACAACAATGTGCCGCACACGACGATGGATTCCCCGACATTGGGAAATCCAGAGGGTATTCATCGCGAACCACGTGATACGGCGCCTGATCAGAATCACGCAGATGACATCGAGCCCAAATCGGCCATGACAACCGGCTCAAGCGATACCCACGTCACCCAGTTTGACCCCGAGCCTCAATCTGGTTTACTTGAGAGAAAGCCCAGTTTGTCTCATCGGACCCTGTTAAACCACATTATGCAAATCCGTGAATCAAGTTCGAGTAGCGATTCCTGTGACGAGCCGGATTGCAGTCTATCGGAGAACGACGACAAGGCCTCGATCAAGATTATGCTCCATGAGTCCCCGTACTTGCGTTCTGGCAGCAGCACAGATACCGAAGAGCCTCAATCCGCGCCTTTACAGCAGGTTCAAACAACCGATCACCCACAGAACCGATGGAGTTTGAGTTCATGGGATTCGTCCGTTCACCACAATCAGACCTCCACCTGTGATGAACAATGTGAGGAAAGTGGAGATGACGCAGCTTTGCAGGATGACCAGGCGACGGAACCAGCAACTCAGTCTTGCTCTGCAGCTTCGACAAGCCCACCTTCTTTCGATGAGCAGGACACTACGTCTCCTATTCAAACAGACATTGGCGTGATGGGACCAGACACCGTTGAGTCCTCGCAGCAGTCACAGTCCGGTCATGCTTTCTCCACACCCCCCAGTCTGGCCAAACAAGGCCGCTGGGACTCTCGCCGTGTCACTCAGCTCTATCTGGAGGAATTGACCCGAGGCAGAGCGAACAACAACAACTCCAGTACCGGCAATCATATGAACAGCCTACCTTCTCCGGCTGTCCGCACGGCTCTTGTTGCTCCGCCTCGAGCCCACAATCACAATAACAGTAACAGCCTGACAGATGATCCGGTCTTCGTCCCCCGATTCCAGGAAATTCCAGTGGCAGACATTATGCCAGGATTCCAGGAATTACCAAGACCGGACCACCAAAGATCAGATCATCTCTCCCCGTCGGCAACTTTGGCTGGACCAAGCGACTGGGAACATGCATCTCCATCGATCATGGATTGGATGCAGATTGCCGCTGAAGAAGAGGCTATCACTCCCGGAAGTGAGAATGGCCACGCTACTCTTGCTGGTGTGCCCACTCCACGCCGCCAAACAGCCGCAGTTGAACTAGAGGCCTCGAGGAGCCATGATTCTGGCCTCGGGCTATCTATCAATATTCAGCCGCCGGCTCGTGGACCTGCAGAGCTTCCTGCCGACACATTCCACTCTGGAAATGACTTGCACATCAAGGACAAGGCCCTTCCCGACGTGCCACAATTGCGCCCTACCCACAGCGCTGAGAGTAGTGAAGATTCTTTGTTTCACCGAGTGGACAATGCCCAATCACCTAATGCTGCGGATTCGTCTGCGACATCTCTGGCGCCATCTGCCGAACAATCCATGCGGGCTGAGCCGCGCAAGTCTCCTTCGCCCGAGCAGCGACGTCTGAAGAAACGCCGTAATGTCATCAAGGAGCTCGTTGATACCGAATATACATTTGGTAAAGATATGAAGGTGGTCGATGATATCTACAAAGGCACCTCTTCATCTTGTTTGGATCTCTCTGTGGAGGATGTTAAGATTCTGTTCGCCAACTCCGATCAGGTTGCACAGTTCTCATTCAACTTCCAGGACACGCTGAAGAGAGCTGCTCGCAGTGTCTACATTATGCCCAAGTCTCAGCGCTGGAGCAGCAAGCGCAGTGCGCGTCACAATCGTTCTGCCGATACAGCTGATGAACAGAATGTTGCCGACTCGGGCACATCTGATCTTGAGAAAGACCGTGCCACCGCCATTGGAGAAGCTTTCATCCTTCACATGGCCCAGATGGAGAAGGTGTATACCGAGTATTTGAAGAATCATGAAGCTGCCAACAAAAAGCTCCAAGTTCTCCAGCGCAACCAGAAGGTGTCGATCTGGCTGAATGAATGTCGCGAGTGGGCTTCAGATCTCACCACTGCGTGGGATCTCGACTCCCTCCTTGTCAAACCTGTACAACGCATTTTGAAGTATCCGCTTCTCTTGTCCGAGCTTTTGGACTCGACTCCCAACGATCACCCGGACCGAATCCATCTCCAGAATGCTCTGCAAGAAGTCACCGACATTTCTGTCCGAATTAATGAAATGAAAAAGCGCGCGGATCTGGTGGGTCAAGTCGTTGGTCGTAAGCGCAACCAGTCCGATGTACGAGCAGGCTTGTCCAAGGCATTTGGTCGACGCACAGAAAAATTGCGCCAGCAGGTTGGTCTTTCGGAAATGTTCCAAGACAAGGAGTATGATTATCTCTTCCAGAAGTTCGGCGAGCACTTCGCAGAGCTGCATGTGATCAAGAATGATGTGGTGATATATAAGGAGAACACACACCAAGCAATGAGACAGCTTGGTGCGTATGTTGAGGCCATTGAAGGAGTCATCGATGTGGATCAGTCAAGTTATGCCGAGTTGGAAACTAAGTGGCGTCGGTTCAATCTGGCGTTCCAGGAGATCGTTAACGTCGCGCTGCCTGAACATGTGAGATTTACCCCAAAATACCTTCTGACCTGCCTTGATTGCTAACCGTTTTTTCTCAGCTCGACATGATCACCAAACGAGTCCAGGACCCGTTTGATTCTATCATCCGACTCTACCAAGGACCTGAGCGAGTTATGAGAAAACGTAATAAGCGTCTTCCCGATTATGCTCGCTTCAAGGCTGCCAAGGACCGCGGCGATAAGCCTGACAGGAAAACCACCGAGCAAGGCGAGCAGTTCATTGCCTTGAATGAGACCTTGAAAGACGAGCTGCCCAAACTCTTTGCTTTGACGGGTAAACTCACAGAAGCCGTCATGACGAATCTGCTTCAACTCCAAACCATGTGGTGGAGCTTGTTCCAGACGAGAATGGAAGCCCACGTCGATGCTTTCCCTGATGACTTCAGCAAGATCATCAACGACTGGAGCAGCGATTACAGCTTTGCTGAAGCCCAGGTTCTTTCACTCGGTGTCTGCAATGGGTCCTTGCTGGCTGATGCCATCAACTTGGTCAACTTCAATACTCCTTCCAACCTCAACTCTCCTCGGCGCCCTTCCACAGTGAACAGCTCTTCCCATCGCCCAGGCTCAATGGCTGAGGACTCGCCGAAGGTCTCCACCGACTTTGGCGTTGGTCAGCTCTTCCAGTCTCCCAATATGAGCCAGTCCGGTACCAGTCGTCATCGTGCAGACTCGTCATTCTCCGGGCGTGCACCTTATCAAGACACCCCGGACCTGGGACGAAGCCAACTTTTGCAGCAAGTGACCAACACCTCCGGCTCCTCGTCGGATATGCGGTCTAGCACTGAGCCGTTCCCGAGTCTGCCAAGTTTGAGCCTGGACACGCCCTTCCTTGCCGATGTGATCAGTGCGTCGAACAGTGAGAACAACCCACCAACTTCCCCCACTGATCGATACTCCGGCTTCTTCTCTTCCGCCATGCCAATGTCAGACACTCCCAACGAGGTCGAGGTCCATCGTGGCCCCAAGATCCTTCCCGAGGGAGCCAAAGTCCTCTTCGTAGCAGCCAGCCTGTACAAGTTTGACATCGACCGTCCCCGGAGCGAGGCAGGTTTCCCATACCTGACCTACGAGTCCGGAGCTGTCTTCGATGTCTACGGCGAAAAGGGTGAACTTTGGCTCGCCTGCAACCAGGATGAGAACACCGAAGATCTGAATGTCTCTCCCGAGGAACTTGCCGCGATGGACCCCGGCGCTCGAGCAATCACATTGGCAGAGATCCAAAGGCGAAAGACCGAGAAGGAGAAGACTCTGGGGTGGATCTGGAACAAGCATTTCGTGAAGCTGGCCTGATCCACCCCCCGCTTGCCACGAAGTACTTTCCCTCCTTCTTACCCCGTTCCTTGCGCTGGCGGGTACTCTTACGGAGCCCTCACCCATTTTCTGATTTATCTTTCACCATCTTCTTATTTAACCTTAGGCCCATGTGCCATATAAAGTTGTGTGAGGGCTTCTAAGTTGCTTCCGCTGGTTTGTTATGTGCTGTGGCTCCGGTTGAGCCCCCCAAGCTGCGTTGATTGATGTTGCTATCAATTACTTGTTTTATCAACTCCGGTCCCTGGATACGAATGAGGGATCGGACCTGTACGCTTAGATACCCCCTTTATTTATCATGACTAGTTGAATGAGCGTTCCATGATGTAGAGTATTTTACACCTCGGTTTTTGATTTGCATAGACTTTGTTCCTGCTGTATGATACCTAAAGTTCACACTATCGAATTGATTCAATAGCTTAGACTGATGCACGGGCGAGTTACAGGCCATCATCTGTAGTGTTCATTATGCCCGCTAAACCCAGATATTCATTCTTCACATTCTTTGATCTTCAAAGTCAGCGTCGTCATCATGTGACCCGCCAGCGCGACACATGTGACGCAGGAGCCCGACGTCCCGACTTCTGCAGGGATCGTTCCCTCTGTGCCTGAGTCAGTTCTCTTGTGACTCTGGAGTCTACATATACACGTTATTCCTCCATTCCTCATACCTATTGCATCCATTCCCACGTCGCAGCACCAAACCTCGGTTAACGAGACCGCGGGTCGATCCTCCCCTCCGAGCGACGACCACAAGCATCCCGCCGAGTTCCCGGAACCTTCACAGTCAGATTATCGTCTGGTGCCCAAGCGCAGGATTGTGATACCTCACAGAATCGCCCAACACCGAGCAAATATCGCTCCTACCCTCCGCCTCTGGCTTCATAGGGCTGACGGTCCCGTCTACCCCTCCGAACTTGCGCCGTCCAATCCAATCCGGAGTGCTATCCGACCGGTTCCCCACTCGGCTGGTGCAGAACTGGGGTGCATTTCGCGAATTGAACTTGGCTGATTGCCGTTATCTTTATCCGTTGTTCTCCGGTTGTGACTGCGATCGATTCATATCTGTGTGGAGTCATTAGACTTGAGTCTGGTGTGTGGACTGTGATTCTGTGGCGATCGAACTCGGAATTTAGTCGCCTAGTCTTTTGGTGGTGCGCGTACTTGGCCGTGGCGCAGCGGGAGATCTTCCTGTGACGACATTTTTCTTTTTGGTCACTGTCTTTTGTCTTTCAAGTCTCGCCTTTGAGCCTTTGGTTCAGATCAAGATGTTGGATGGCGGTTTGGGTAAATTGCAGAGGAGGATGCGGGGTCGGTTTGGCGACACGGTGAGTTATGGATGGCTGGTCTTGGTTTTGATGGTTAGTACTGACTGGCGCAGTTGAATCCGGATGATGCCTATTTGAGCTGTGAGTCCTCGATGGACACCTTGCGATGTCGCCCTTGGTGAGAAGTGTTATACTGATGAGATATTTTGCGCGCCGCAGACTACGACATTCGCTGTACGGACATCCACCCGCGGGGGCCTCAGACAAAGCGGCTAACAATGTTGCAGTGACGCGAGAGGACATGCAATGCCTTAAGAATGATTGGCTCACAGACAACGTGGGTTTCAAAGAGAGTCTTATTTGGCTTGACAGCTAAAGCTAACTCGTGCATAGATCATCTCATTTTGGGAAGAGTAAGCTCTCTCGACACGACCAGAAATCGATACAATCTCGAACCCAACACTGATGCCCGGATGCTTTAGATACCTGGAACACGAATTCCTTGCCCAGTACAAGACCTCCAATATCGTCCTCCTCCGACCCAGCATGTCCTTTATGCTCCTCCAAACCCCCGACCCGCGCACACTCCGCCAAGCGCTTCCTGACTTTTCTCGAACCACCCACGTCTTCCTCCCCATCAACGATTGCCACAACGTCACACAAGCAGAAGGTGGTACGCATTGGTCATTACTGTTGATCTCCATCGTCGATGGTATTGCTTTCCACTATGATTCATTGGTGTACGGAAACCATGACGAGGCCAGGTTTGTGACCGCACAGTTCAGCAAGCTTCTCGGGCGCCCGCTCGCCTGGCAACACTTGCGAGACTCGCCTCAACAAGATGGAGGAAGTGATTGCGGTGTTTTCGTTTGCATGAACATGCGACATCTCCTTCTAAAGCGACTCCTCATGGCCAGTGCCCATGAAAAAGTCAGCATGAGTCTTGGCGGACGGAAGATCGATCCCAGCGCATCACGCAAAGAAATGGCCAAGATTATTGAAGGATTTCGGAAGGAAGGGGAGCGCCGACGATCGTGAGCGACCTGACCGTGATTCCCCTCACTTGCCCGATATACAAATACTAACCTTTGAATTCTCAGGGCAAGCGCAAGTCCCATGGGCAAAAAATCTCGAAGTCCCCCACGCATCGAGTAAACAAGTCCCGTCCCGTTTTGTCACGAGTATATGCCTGTTATGCTTTTCCTTCCTCGTTTTTGCATACATTCTTTCCCACCAGAAAATGAGTAACCACAATGGACAAAGACTTTGGTTGGGTTGTGTACTTACAAGCGCTGCATTAGTTATGAGGTTCGAGCTCGGGTGTTGAACACTGTTTATGTTCCTTGGTTGATACAATAATACTTTTTTTCTATATAAGTGTTCGAGCTTTCAAATCTCGGTAGCTGTAGGAATTGATTAGTGCTATGTGTCTCTATATTGTTTGTATTGATGTTCTGTTCTGTCTGAGGGTTTTGGTACTGGAGACCCCAGCGGCAGGGGTCATAAACTATGACCAGGAAGCCATGGAAAGACAGCGCTTGGGGATACAATACGTTATTTCCTACATCACCCAAGTAACAAGGCTGGATAAAACAGCTTCCGTTTGGTCTTTCCAAGGAGAAGTGGGAGAGCTTCCCTCCAAGCTGAAAAGGTTACACTAGGTTTGGCTTTCTATAGAAGCCAGAATAACTCCCGTACGAAGTGGTCTATTTATCAACGTACAAGATTCTCTCGAGACTCGGCTATCAATCGCAGTGTACGCTATTTCTTTCTCCGCAATTGGTTTCCAAAGAGATAAGGGCTTTCCTAGAATTCTGATAGACCAGGCAATGAATATGATATTTCTTTTTGAGGAAACGCTACTACATAGATACAACCACACCATGAGAATAGAACACAGCCATTCTACAGTAATACTCGCCTACAAGTCACAAATAGGGGACACCGTAGAAATAAGAGCACGATATCTCAAGTTATTATGGAAAGCGCTACTACCAAATTCACAATATTCCCCCCGCCCCTCCATATATACTCAGCTTCGTATGCTAGCCTTGTCCTTATCTGGATAGGGGGATTCTGTGGAGGTGATCCTGTGAGACGCGATCAAGCACTTTGATTCTCAGCCTGACTGAGCTGCCCCTTGGGTTTGGACAGATCGACTTGTGGACTGTAGCACAGACAGAGTAGAACATCAACTTAGATGGGCCTTTATCTACATAAGCTCCAGCAGCAGCTCGGGCAATTGAATCTGGTCAACTCATCTGGTCGGACGGGTCTAGGCTAGAGAATGGTCGAACAGGAGCGGAGATTGCCTGGCAGCACCCTGTAACAAGGCACGAAGTCGGCGATACTAAAAGTTCTGTACATTATCCGCACGAAAAGCCTGATCTATACCTAGACGAAATGGCTATGGTCTTAGGGTCTGGTTAATGGCAGGACATACAAAAACGTTCGTGACACTACACGCTATCCCTTTTTGGCGACCCCCTGGCCCCACCACAAAAAGGTGAAGCACATGTGTCAGCAGCGCCAAAACAGCAGGCGGCGGAGACAACATTCAACGCCCTTTGGGCAGCCAGCTCAGGGAACTGAGGTTATGAATCGCCCTTCCGTTCAGGTGTTGCCTTTGGTCATCCGGGACATACTCCGCGCACGACTCTAAATACCAGGCACCGCAACCCGCAGCTTCTCTCCAAGCTACGACTCTGTCTCTGTCTCTCTCTGCTAGTGACCCTTAACTTGCCTCCTTTGTACCATTGACATGCCTCCCATAAACATGACAGTCGAGCAACTTCTCGGCATCGAGGATGCTTTGGTTTCCGACGAACATCCCGCGCGTGATGACGGCACCTTCGACTATGAGCGCTGCGCCAGACTACATAATTACCTGGTTGCATATGGCTGGATGGCCCGCCACGGACGGGATACGCCTGACCTCACAGCGCTAGCTGAAGAGAAACGGTTCTTCAGCGATGAGCGGAACCCAGATCGAGATATAGGCCGTGAGCTCCTAGATCCGTCGCTGAACGCTTGGCTTGATATGATCTACGATTGTACCCAGGAGCTCTTCTTCTGGGTTGTTGGACTTTCAATGTTATCCTGCGACGAGAGTTTTTGCTACGAAGAAAATGATCTTGAAGATGAAGGGAAGGCGCGATTTATCGTAATCTATAATACAACGCCTGATGTGTACTCGCACTGTCTCGGGGTTGTCTACGACCAGCAGCTCCATAGGGCCTCGTTCCCCTTAACCATCGGATCCTCTGAAAATGTCGAGCCTATCGACGAACATGAGGAGATGTGGTTTCCACTAGAGACTCTTCTAACGCACTGGATCTTTTTGATTCGTCTTGGCAAGGTAGTTGTCGGGCTCTCAGCGTGCGGCTCTCAGCACCGAGCCCAGGAGGGGTTATGGTCGTGGCTTCCTTACTGCGATGCCCAGGTTGATAATACTGTTGCTGCAATCGAGCGCTATCTAGTCGCGGTCGAGTCCCGTATGCCCGCTGACTCACTTCTCCCTATCACTGGGGCTCTCTTCTCAGATGCAGAACTAGATACGGCATCTGTACCGCAGGAATGCTTTATTCGCCTGGTCCTGACACGGATAAAGTCCCCGCGTTTCAAACTTATTGCACCTGGACTGGAAGTTCCGCACGATAAGGAAGCATTCGCGAGGCGCCAAAACTTCACTCGTATACCTTACCACGAGGGAACTATGCCAGCAGTGTTGATTTTTGCAGCATCAGGACGAACTGTGGACTTTAACATGGAATTACAAAGTCTGTTCTTCGAGTGTCATTATAATGAAGATCTGACTTTGAGCATGGGTACTCCAATATTTGCAGGATTATATAGCGAGCCTGCAGTTCGGAGTAGGTTTGAGCCCGAGGAGGCAGGATTCCGCCTTTTACTTCCGTTTGCGCTACGGCCTGATTTCCGTGATGAGTATGGGGCGCGAGTAAGTGACGGTCAATTAGTTAGAACAGGCTCGTTCACAGAACTTTTTCAACACGGCTGCCATCATCCATTTGGAGGTGAGCACCGCGCGCAGAGGATGGAAAGACTATTCGACCATTGGACCGAACTGATCGAAAGTGGTGTATGGACAGTAGGTGAAGATGGTGTAGAAGGAGGCATTGAGACATTCCGTGATGCAGACAGTGGCAATGGTGCCTGGAGAAATTACTGGATTCCACCAGATTGGTAGCAAGAGGTATTCGTCGACATAATTGAATTCCACGCCTCACATTTAGCCAGTCTTGTGCATTCTTGGCAAATGATTTAACATCCTGTTTGTGCTCATTAAGAAGTCTCAATCAAGGTTAAATTCATCTGAAAAGCAAGATTGGTGGAAGCTAACAACTGTAAAATATGACTTCAAAAGATCCAGTGAAACCCCCCTTTATTTCTAGCTAGGAACCATAACACTATCAGAAAGATAAAGCCTTCGATTGGCATAACTCTTTTGACGGAGATTAATGAGTTAGTCTCAATCTGATGCTCACTAACTGCAACTTGCAACATTGCTGAACTTTCATAGCTCCCATTCTCCCGGGCGAGTTGGCCAGTCACTCTTGTCGGGTGGGTTAGCCAGCATGTAGGCGACATAATGGGTGTCTGACCATGGGAGTTTGTCACGGATAGGCCATCCTCTTCGAAAACCCGAAATGCGACTAAAATCATTAGTAAATAGTACCAACTTATATAGAGTTCCTGACGTACATATTGCCACTCGACTGATCATAGATAATCTTCGAGATTCTTGACTCCTGTGGTTTTACACCGCAACGCAGCATCTCCCTGATGATTGTATTAGCGTTTTTCTTGTCTCCTATCTTGGATTTGCGTGAAATGACTCAAAGGCATCGCGGAACTTAGCACGGATATCCTTTCGTTTATGGGGATCCAAGCTCCAGAAAAAATCCTCTGTAAGAGGTTCCCCAGGCACCTTTTCCCATACAATGTATTTGACATAGCCACCAGGAACGAGATCATGTTCCCCTTGCTTTTTTTCGCAGTAACCAAGGAGACGTGGAACAGAGCAACAGCCTTGACTCATCAATAGCTTAAATGCCTCTATCTCACCACACACCTCATCAGGTTGGACTTGTTGGGTTCGTGTAGCTGGAGGAGCGTGCTCCGTCCCAGTGATAGGAATCTGGTAATAAACTCGCATAAACGCTATCTGGGTTGGGTCCTCCTCTAGATGGCACAGAAATTTACCAACTGTCATAGGAGACCCACAGCCGTCGTCGGCATCTTCCTGTGTGAGATAAACAGCCTCCTCCGAGAGCCTTTCCGTGATGATCCACGAGCGGCTGATCCCTAGGGGGGCCGACCCAGAGAGGGAAACATTGGTAGGGGCCGCAGCGAAGGAATCCGTCGAGACCGGAGGGGAGACACCTGGAGGGGAGACAGCCGGAGGGGAAACCCCAGAAGGGGGAACCACAGAGAGAGAGATGGCAGACGCGGAGGGAGAGACAGCAGATGGCTGTTGCAGATTGAAGTCACAAAAGGTAGTGACCTTAGTCCCTACCATGCGGAAGTAGAGAAACCGGGCATCGAATTCAGTCGGTCTGGCAGGAAGTGTCATGATGATGCTTGCGAACGGGTACCACTAGAAATATGTGGTCGAAAGGGAACAGGGTAGCTTGAATGTATGGGGAACCTTGGCCAACGAGTTGAACTTGGGTGGGAGGATGCGGGAAGGAAAAGAAAGGGTAACGGATAGGTAACTCAACCAATCTCAGGCGAGCAGAGCGCGAAGCTTTTTGTATAATATATGATTGACAGGGCTAGTCCCGATTAGGCAAGGCCGCTTTTCTCTACCCCACAAATCTACAAAGGGGGGGATCGGGTTTGGTTTAGGGACTGTGGGTTTGGGGGCTGTTTCTGGTCGCGCAGATACAAAAGCAACATATCTTATGAAGAACGATCGAGATCAAATCATTTAGTGATGCGATGGTCTAAGCCCTGCTAAACATTGAACTTGAGCTTCAAATTCGAGCTGAACCCAATCCACTTCTACCCCCTGTTCTCCTCCTTCTCTGCGTCCAAAACGAAAATGTTCTCAAAGCCATCTTGTATCACTTCATCATCAACAATGAGAATTGCCAAAAATTTGGCCGTCTCCGATCCGCTGGTGTTCTCTGATCGGACATGGTGACAACCGGGAGCTTCATACCAGAAGTCGCCCTTTTTCGACACGATTGGTTCGTCACAATTCATTTGATTGAGAACTGTCCCATCAATCACCATGGCAATAGCTGCTGCTCCGCCATGAGTGTGAGAAGGCGTGGCTGCGTTTGCGTCCATATGAATTGAGAGGACCAGGACTGATTTTCCCGGTATGTTCGATGGATTGTAGACCTTGAGGACCTCGAATTTTTCCCGTGGCCGCCTATAGATATAATTAGACATATATATCAGTCAATAAACTCAAAATTAATATATAGAAGGACTTTGACATCTCCTTTTCGTTTTTTTGTGTTCACGTACCCTTCAATTTGATAGGTGTCCCCAATTTTAATCACCTTTCGGTTTGCAGCAGCCATTTTAACGTATTTTCGACGTAAAATCGCTTCAAATATTGTTCAAGAAAGCAGTGATAGAGGTAAACGTGTTCGATCTGAACTTTCAAGAGGGGTGGAGGGTGGAATTCAAAAGCATATTTAAGGGCGTGGAAAAGCCGCGTATGGGGACTATACAGCTAACTATCGCCTGCCGTCTGGGAATATGCGGGCTATGCGGTTATCTCTTACCTGCGCGCAGATTTCCAAGCTGAACCTGACATTAAGATTTTCAATAATAGGAATCTAAGATACTGTAAATCGAGACGCTTGGTGTTTGTCTGTTTCCAATGATTGGTCATGTTTAGTTGATAGCCTATCGGATACGGAATTAATGTTATTCCGAATGCATATCCCCGTAATCGTAAAGGGGCCTTGATCCGCAGCAGGTTATTGCGGGGTATACGGGTATGAAGTAAACTCAAGAAAGCCCCTCCACAGTCCGCAGAGAGGAAGACTCCGTCAACCCGATACCCGCTGCAAAATATCTGCGGGCTGCCCGTGGTCCCGTCGAACCCGCCCGCAGGCGAACCCCGTCCGTTATCGAGTCAAGCTTATCAATATCTCATAGCGAAGTCCAATTAGAACTTCCAGTTACTAGCCTATCACTAGGAAAACACCAGATTCGCGTCTATGCCTGCTCCCTCACGAGCATATCAACCATATGGTACATGTGTATTTGATAGGCGCCTAAAACCTCAGCAGCCACGAAGACATCAAACTTGAGAACCACATAAATACAGTACTCAGTGGGGTCGTAGGTTTGTGGCGGGTGTGGGGGAAAATGGTAAAATGGGAATAGCGATTATTGGTTCCAAGATATAACTGGGCCACACTGACCTCAATAGGGCCATTTGCGCACAGAAAAAAGCAAGCCTATAGTCTAGAGTATTATCGGTAACGCCGTTGATATTTGGAGAAAGGCAAATTCAGCCATCGAACAAAGTTCCCACCGTGTCGATGAAAGGCTGGCCACTCTGGAAAGGGCTCTTTACAAACAGCTTTCTCAGCTCCAGCTCCGCCTGAACTCGGACATGGGCGCCAATCTCCGCAGAGGAGCGGCAAATGTAACAACCACCTCCCTCCAGCAGGACCAGAAAATCCTTCGCTTCTTCAAACAACCGTCTTGTTAGAATCCGCGCCGCTCATCATATTGACCCCGTGTGCAAGGCGAACTGCCGCTGCGCCTGTCACCAACACTTCGAATATCATTCTCCGAGTCTTGTCGGCCCCGTCGTGGGGCAACTATTTTTTGGCTACACGGGCTTCCCTCGCATCCGAAAGAATTGCGACAACGCACAAGTATTTCGCTCTTGGTCCCTTGTTGCACTTACACTTAACACCCGATAAGTGTCTCTATCTTTCGACTATCTTGATGACGCCTGGCCGAGTATGTGCATCTGTTGAGTTGAACCAATTATACTGATTGGGCTCTTTTGGTCTGTCTTATTTTGGGGGCGGGTTTTTGCATCTGGTTTGCATCTTGGGAGCTCTTATTCTCTGGCATGTCTCCGAACTTTTCCTGGTCTCTTTTGGACCTACCTTTTGCTCCTCTTTTGAACCTTCCTTTTACTTCTTATTTTTGCTGGGGGTTGCTCTTGCCTTTTTGACCTTGGCTTTTCACTTTCGGTGGCCTTGCTCTTGGGACTACGGGTTTTCATTGCTCTTTCTAGCTTCTACTCTTTGCGATTTTCCCTCGTGCCTTTGGTCTCCCTACATTCTTTTTGCTCGTTCGGGCTCTTGCTTTGTGGGGATATTATTTTGCACCGGCAATTGATCAAGGCAGGTGGGCCAAAGTCGACATTTGGCTCCATCTTGCTAATATTCGCATGACAGACTTTGCCGTTTCACATCTCATAGGCAGAGCTTGGTTTCTACTGTGGATGAGAGAACAGACTCGCTTTTTCTGAGATTTGTGGTTATGAAAGGATCAAGTGCCGGGAGCGCCGAGTGGCCGACACGACCCATGTTGGCTCGAATTACGGGGCCGACGGGAGCGAATATCAAAGTGCATCTGCCTATCACATAATTTGATCAAATGCAGCTTGAATTTTCCAGTTGTTGGTGGGAATCGTCGCTCAATGATTCCACGGAGGCTGCATGGTGGCCCGCCTTCTTGGCGATGATGGTAAGTGCAGTCATCTTCCGTCTCGGGGAATTCTCTGTTGACTCTCTCATATTTGGCAGTCCCTTTCTACCACCTCCATCCTGCTTGTTTCCCACCTCCATTCCATGATGAAAGTTGAAAGTTAGATGGGAAAATAAAAGGCCTGGTTGGATGAAATAAGGTGTGGTCCGTGCGCAAGCCCTGATTCTGATTGTTCGACACATACAATTGACCGAGGCATGGGGCCCGATTTGGAAGAAGGTTCGGAGTGGGATTGGAATTGAGTATCTTGGTTTATGATTCTAGTCTCTGAATGATATTCCAGTCTCCTTTTACATTCCTTTCCTTGAGATGATGATGATGGTCCGTAAAGCACGGTACGGTACTATTTGACATTTTGTTCAGTCGCTGGTAGTTTAAAAATCCGAATTTAGAGACTAGAGAAACCGCCCGACAAATATGCATCCACTTCTTATTTCTTGAAAAGTTTCCCTAAAAGTCATTTGAAACCTCCTTCTGAATAGTCAAGGTATTATTTTTTTGTCTATCATTCAACTTGTGACTGATAAGATGATTCTAAACATTGATCATGAATTCAAACTTATAAAACTACACTGTAGCCCCACAGTTTCCAAGGTCAAACAACACAGATTCGAAGCCATCTCACAATTCATGTACTCAAAGATCAAGGCGACTTTATAGGCCATTAACGTGGCCGTGATAGTTACATATTGCCTCTCTCCGTGGTCGGGATCTCCCAGGATATGCCGACCCTTCCACGATTGTGAGAAATTCGCTTGATTTCTGCTGGTTGAGGCTCAATCGTAAAACTTCCCAGCCAAAAAGCAGATTCATGGACGGTAAGTCTTCATCAATGATTCAGCCATTTTTGTACCTTGAGACGGGCCTCATTGGCCTTTCTATAACTGACTGCTGTCCATTCTCCGACAACAAGCAGAAACCATCCAAAACCACTATTAATTTGAACACAGAAACAAGGTAGTAAATTAAGCTCACACATTAAATATTGTTAGTCTTCACATTCGCAAAAAGCCACATTCATATACTCGCCTCGCTTCCAAATTAACACCAACAAAGCACCATAGTCGATATAATTACACGTATATCGGAAACTAACGGCGCTCAACCCCAAAATACACTTACGTCATCATAGCATTCCACACATCAGCAGCCTCCTGGCCAGAAAGGTTAGCCACAGCATCCTCCGCCTCGTAGCAGAGATCAATAGTGGCCTGGGGCGCATTGCACGGGCTGCGCAGGCGGTTGCAGATCAAATCGTCCACACTACCGATAGTCGGCGAGGAACCGAAGGGGAAGTCTGCCTGGTTGCGGGTGGTGTAGGCGTACTCGGTGCGACCATCGAGACCGTACTCGTACAGGATATAAGGGTCTGAGCAGGTGCCGTAGTCGATAGTGTTGCCGCCGCCTCCGCCGGTGTTTGAGCAGTCATCGGATGTCACCGTGGTTGTGACTTCGAGAGTGTCTGTCTTCGTGACGGTCGAGGTCGAGGTGATTACCTGCATGTTTGTGATGGTGGTGGTGTCAATGGAGGTTGATGTCTCGGTGACAGTCTCGGTTGAGGTGGATCCAGGTTCAGTTACTGTTTCGCCTCCGGTTGTCACTGTTGAGGTCACCGTGGGGCCAGCGGTGGTGATAACTTCGGTCGTGGTAGATCCGTCGACGGTCACGGTGGTGATGTCCGTGGATGTCGCGGTACACTCGGTGACACTCGAGATCAAAGTATCGGTCACCGTCACGGTATTAGGAGTCAGGCCATTGTCCTCTGTCACTGTCGCTGTGCAGGAGCTCACAGTCTCTGTGATAGTAGCTGTGCCGCTACCGTCACCGTCAATAGTGATAGTGACTGTTGACGTAGGACCCGCGGAGGTGCTATACGCGGCATTGTTAGCAAAGAACCAATCAAACTGCTGGATAAAATATAAAAACTTACCAGTCACTCACGGTCACGGTGGGAAAATAACCCCCATCACCACCATTTCCTCCTTGACCACCACCGCCATGGCCTCCATTCCCTCCGTGTCCTCCGCCGCAGTGGTCATCCGGTCCGTCACCAGCGCCCTGCTGAGGGCCGTGGGTAAACTCATAGGCCAGGCCATAGTCATAGTCATGATCATCAGGGCTGATATCAACGTTTCCAGCGTTTCCAACTCCATTGCTGCTTCCAGACCATCCTGGAATTCCCCCAGCAGCTGGATGTGCCACGGCAGGAAGGACCTGCAGCAATAGGGCTGAGAGGGCGAGGATCTCTGCGCGACAAGGCATCGTGCACTGGATGAGATCAGGATATCAATTGAAGGTCCGAATATTCTGGCGTGATAAGGGCAACAAGGAAATGAACCTACACAGGTCCGGAAATATTCTGCACTAAATACTCTACCTTCCCCCTCAGACCATTGCCAAATAAGCAATCCATGACCATTGCCAAATTAGCGATCCCCATGCTGCTCATCCCGGCGGATACTTCCCATCTGGGCAATTTGAAAGCAAGAGAGAGCTCAAAGGTATGCTCGGAGATCGGCCCATAACATCAAGAATGAGAGCGGGTCCCACAAGGGCGCCACGACGGGGCAAGCCGAAGCTCAAACCAGACCAGCAGCAGGGTCATAGAATATCTTCTTTAAGCTTGACTCGCGGAATTGGCTCATTGTGGCTTCTGCCAAGCTTCAGCCTTGAACGGCGAGAATGCTTGTTAGTTCGTGGTAATTCCTTGGTTTTTCGAGGATGAAAGGGTGATTGATATTTATCCCTTAAGTTATTGATTTGTTGGTTGCCTAAATAGGAAACCCTTGCTTGTTTCGGTATGTAGTATTCCAAACAATGTCAATCTATCTGTGCTTTGGGATATTCGTACCTCTGGGTGGCGATTTGAACACTAAATTTCCTGTCAATGGTTTGCATTGAAGTTGCCATGGATCTTTGTTTATAACCTTTACCCACGCTGCCCAGAGCTTGCCAATTTTAGGATTAGTTCAGCTTGTTGTTAAATGAGTAGTATAAGTACCCCCTGAGATAAAATGCTATTCCATTGAAAGGACCAACGATGTGTTCGATTGGTAGTAGTAATCCCACTTCCAGTACCAGCAATGAGTATATATGTCTCTCTGCCATCCATACTCCTCCTGCAATTCGATGGTGACTAGTGCAATGTTTCCAGACACCTCAATTGAGAACATTTACAGGAGCTAATACTTGCAATTGATAAATAAAAGTTTCTTATTCCAGAGACTCAAAGTATCTACAACATTATCGAAACGTATGTAGACACACGGGCGGGCATCTCAATCAAAGGAAACCGTTCGACCCGTCAGATTACCCACTGTTTCAGTATTACCAAAATTTCACCACCTTTAGCCCACAAAAAACCACTTTCTTTGTTTATCACCATTATCATAGTAACCAGTAAATTACACGCACACCTTCCTTCCCATCCCCCATCGTGAGCCTACTACACCCTCGAATTCATAGCAGCCACCACTCCAAAACAATCCTCAAAGCAATCAATATGGGTCGAGTCGCAGAAAACGTAAGCCGAACCCGAAGCGACCACTTAAGTCAAAAATCTAACGCACACCCTCTAAAACCACAGTGCATGGAAGTGGTACGCTAGCTTCAAGTCAAAAGGAAACCTGAACCTACCAATGTTCACTTTCGAGGTATACACTCATACAAGTCCCTTTTCTATCAAAATAATGCTGATATAAAACATACCTTATGCGGACGGCCTCTACCGCATCCACTGCAACGAACTATCTTGTCACATCTCAGGGACTTGGCATGGAGCAAACTTGGTTAACCACCGAGCTAAATCGCGCTTAACGGGATCGAGAAACTTTCTGAATTGTCTTTCAAGATCTTCTGAATCTACTGAATGTTCTTGGTCCTACTGCTTCGAGTCCAGCGGTCTTTATGGTCACACATTCTCCTGCACTCTAATACAGACTCGCGGGTGGCAGCGTGGAATGTGACCATGAACTTCATGTCACAGTATATCCCACTTCTGATCCCATAGAGCTTGGTAATTTCTACTTCCAAGTCAGGTACAAAGAAGTTCATCGGATACACATCTCATACTTTACCTCCCTTAATGAACAACCTCCTACACCTACTCATCATGATCTCGTGACCACCAGTACCTACAACCCAAACACCATCAATTCCTAACATCTACACACCTCTCTACAAAACCTCAACCCGAAAGATAAACCATCCGGATGGAAAGAGTAATATATGGATCAGACGAATAGTCCTACCTAAAAAAACCAATCCCACCAGCACCGCTAGAAACAAGAGAGAAGAAAGACAAAAAGAAAATCAACGCAAATGCACCTGTAGTGCCAACACAATGAAAGAAAAGAACCCTAAACACAAAAGCGCCCTCAACACCGACCCATGTCGATCGCAAGACAGAAAACAACGGCAGCAGGATGTAGAGAGAAAAACAACACAGAAAACAAGCCACAAGCTTGTGACATACGATGAAACGAACCCGACCTAACGAAGTAGCCCATAGATATGTAATGTATGAAATCTTGCAGACAAGGGAATAGCAGAGAAGTTGAAACCCCACCAACAGGAGTGAGGAAAAGAACAAGAAAAAAGAAAAAACGAAAAGAGCCGTGGATGAAAAACCCAATCAGCGCGAACACGCGCCGACAAAACCAAATCTATGCAGGTCGTGACGTGTAAATGCGCGACGCAAATCGCATCTTCGAAGAGTCGGGATGAGAGAGAGAGGATACGGCGTCGGAGGGGAGTCATAAAGGGGTTTCCGAAATGGTGGGGGGTGGTGGTGAAAACGCTCAGCGTTTACGATATCGAAAAGAAAAGAAGATGCTAGTTATGGGGAGGATGGGCTATGGGTGAGATGAAAGAGGTATGCCGGCATTCGGTGAATGAATCAACAGCAGCCCTATGCTAGGCGGGTATGCAGCAGGGATCAAGGTGGAGTCGGAGTCTGACCGAAGTCCGGTTGATCCCGGCGCTTGTCGCGGGACCGCATATACATGGCATCGGCGGCGGAGTCTGAAGCAGGATTGATGGGTTGGGGTATAGATTGTTGTTTCTGTTGCTGTTGGGCGACAATCTCACGTGCGTAGAACTCGACCAGCATGGTCCCATAGGACTCTAATTCTTCCACTGGAATGGCGAGTCGGAAGTCATTGAGCATGAGGAACTGAAGCTCGAGATGATTCAGTTCTACCAGAGGGAGGCCTCCAACCTGTGCGTACCAGTGCGGTGAGCGGATTTGTCCAGTCTGGCGAAAGTCTGCGGGTAAGTGGGGGAGGGCTATACCTTTGCATATCGAGAATTGGTGTAAAACACATCAGAGAAGAATTTACTCGCACAGGTCACGCCCGCGATGACCAGTCGGTGGATGTTAAAGCTATCGACGACGAAGAAATGGGAGAGGTTATCGTCTTCACCCTGGGGGTAGAGGGCCGGTGAGATGGTAGAGTTGGGACTCGGGTCCTGGCCCGTCATGCGGGTTGAAGACGGTGGCGTCACCATCGAAGAATCCTGCTCCTGACGCTGTGGATGTGCCGCAAGTGACTCGGTAGATGTTGAGCTAGATAGATCACCGGGAGTGGAGGTATACCGATGATGTACATGGCCCAGTTGGTCTCGGTTGACCAGCTCGGTCATGCGGTCGAAATAGACCAGCAAGCTGAGGAACACCTCGTAGGTGGTGGGACAGTATTTGTGGATGCGAGTGAGATAGCTCAGGATGGTGATGCTTGGCACGTTCTTACCGTGGAAAGCAAGCACACTGGTAGCCTGTGGGCTGAGATTGTTGGTTCCGTCCGGAGGGGGATGTGGCGATGAACATGCTCGTGGTGCATATCGTTGGTAGTCGTGATCTTGGTGAGGAGACCCGCAACCATCTCAATGATGTCCGTGACGGGCATCGAGCTGATCTCAAACTGCCGGGGTTGGGATCCATGGCCGGGGATGCGAGATCGATGCGGCTGGTGCAGGAATTCTTCACTGGCCAGACTCTGAATGTGAGACAAGCTGCGGACCCGGATGCGACTGGGTGAGTTTGCTTCAGAGCCTCCTAGTGATTGCATAGATCGAAAGGTCGGTTGTAAGCGTGGCGAGTCCGGGGAGGCTTGAGGGTAAGGGTTTGGAGCGGAAGTCATGGAATCGGCCGTTGCGATATGGTGGCCCATCTGCGGGTGATGAGAGTACTGGGGAGTGTGTGAGTTGGAGTGGGACGGGTGGTCGGGCGGAATGCCATAGTGGGAGTGTGAGGTCATCGATGGCGGGGGATAGTGGGAGGGGGTGTCGGAGGGAGTGGTTCTCGAGGAGGGGAGTGAAGGAGTTTGGGAATTGATGTAGGCGGGGAGGATCTCGTTTGCATGGGCGGGAAGCCGAGTCGAGCCCGAACCAGAGGCTGGCGGGGCGGTGGTCGAGGTGGGGGTACTGTTGACGGAGGAGGATCTCGATCTGGAGTGCGAGTGGCTGTCTGACTGGACCGACGGGGTCTTGCGTGAGTAGACCGAGTCCGCGTTCATCGCACCTCCCAGCATCGTGTAATGGCGGTCGATCTGATTCGACGGCACGTGGTTGAGAAGAACGGAGCCCATATCAAGCCACTTGGCGGCGCTGGTTGAGAGTTGGGGGTGATGCAGGTGCTGTCGTTCTACTATATTGCGCCGCAGGTCAGCAAGGGAGGAGGAGGCATTGGAGGGAGTCCAGACGAGACAACGAGGACGGGAGAGAAGAAGAAGGAAGAAAAGAAAGCAAGGAAGAAGAGAAGAAGAAGAGAGATAAGGTCGGACGAAAAGGGCTCGAGAGACAGAGAGGGGAAAAGGTTGTTTGGCTTTACATTCGATGACGATGGGCCCTGGGTCTGGGCCAAATGGGTGGTGGTTCGCGGGCCAGAACGCGAGATTCACGTTAGAACGAAATGTTGGGGAGATGAGGAGACGAAGGTGGAGTTTAGCATCCAGCGATCGGGGCCATTGTTATCTTGGTTAATGGCCAAAGATGAGGGAATCAGAAGCGAGAGTGAGGGCCAGGAGGTCGAAACGAGAGGCCAACAGGGAGAGAGAGAAGAGAGAGAGAGTTGGTTCCACGGTGAGGTCAGTGGACAGTGGAGATGGGATTATGAGCAAATGGACAGGTTCTACTCCAAACTTGCCAGGGCAAAAGGGGGAACAGAGAAGGATTCTAATTTCAACCGGTCGCAAAGGGTCTTTTTGGATAGAATGGACTTCTACAGTCTATAATTTGAATCGTATTAAAAATAAAATCAGAAAGAATAAAAAGGAAAATGGACCAATACCAAGAAATATGGGCTGTGATGAGACAGGGATATCCGGAGTAAAGAGACAGAGAGAGAGAGGCTCGCAACGAGGAGTCAGTTCGAATACTGAACATTCGATGAATCCATGGTTGGGACAGAGGATAATCAACTATTATGGCATTTATGATAAGTTTAAATTCCTAATATATACCATAACTACTCCGTACAGTACTTCTATTTAATTAAATCTACAATCCAGCCTGTTAGTTGATATACTATCCTCTTCAACAAAAAGCAACCCAGTCCCCAAAACCAGATTAACCCAGTCTTATCGGAAACCAGCCACGAAAGACGGTGTGGGAAGCTTTTTGAACGAGTCTTTTTCTTACTTTCTGCGTTGAGTTAGTCTCCTTATGGGATCATCTGTTCGTAAGAGGATATCGGGCGAATGACAGGCCGATCTGCACCCGCGTGGTGACGCCGCCGCCGATGATTCCAGCGGACGCCAGCGGGCGATTCCGCAGGGAGGATGAGGGAGTGGAGTATTTATTAGTCTTATTCTTTAGTTGATTTATATGGGAATCTCAGGGTTGAGAGATTATTATAGAATAAAGTAAGAAATGGGAAGTGAATTCAACATGCACCTACTAAACCTTGTAAACGTAGATAAATACCCGAGTAGATCGATCCGCCAGAAGACCACACCTTGTATACATATATCATGATGTCTCTAGCTAGTATATTTTACTGATATGATTGTCCAAGACATAGACCGAGTATACTCGTATGTATACTAGACTCTGGAGTACAGCATTTCCATAAGTACCAATGCTCGGCCACTTGTAATGGGGTACCATCCTATACTTTGAAAAACACTCATACCTACCTATACGTTTATTTCATATACTTCCTTCATTCCATTCTACGTTACTCTGACCAATTAGCCACTGCCAGCTGCACTTGATTATTATCATTATCATTACCCTGCAGGGCATATAGAACATAACTGGCAATATACCCTGGCCCTTTTCCTTGCCATGATGTAATCGACCAGGGTATACAGCATCCCATTCCAGTAACCTGGGTCTCTGTCCGCCTCTTCCTCGGCTGTTTCCTGCTTCTTCCTTGTACAATGTCTTTTTCTGATACACTTTGTTCCTTTTTCCATTCGCCATTTGCCATGCTCCATTCAACCGGATCATCCTTTCATTCTACATTCCCAGCCCATCGCTCCATTCTCCGGCAATACGGAGTAGGACCATTATAGCTACCCAATCCTCCGGATCCCCCATGTCAAGGTACGAGGACTAGCGCTCACAGCTCACGCATATCACAGACTCAGCCCTCCTTCCAAGAAATACAAAAGAGGTACCAACACGAAAGACAAAAAAAGCCACACTACTCCTAAAAACCAACTTCCGAGGCCGAGGCCGAGGTTGAGGTTACTGATATGATCGTAAAAAGGACATTTCATTCCCATTTTCTTCCATTCGGAAAGAGAACTATCCCCAAAAGAAAGAAAACACATGCTATTAGTACATGAGAGATTTAATTCGTCACGCCAGGCCCGGTGTAGTTGGTGTCCGGCAGGTACAAGTGCCGCACCGCACCCTTTTTGGTCAGCACCACCATACGGATGACACCACCCGAGCTGCCATCCCACTTGATAGCCTCCTGCAGGGAATTGCGCACAAAGTCGATACCCTCGGCCTCTGTCATGTTCTCTTTCCAGTTCGCATCGGTATAACCGTAGATGTAGGTCGATCCTGAACCGCCGATGGCGAACGACTGTTTGTGGAGGGATCCGCCCAGCGGAATCGAGTATACCTGACCACCGTGGCGAGGGTCGTATCCGGCAATGATGATGCCCGCACTGGAAGTTCCTAGTCAGTTATATTTTCCTTGCGGGAGATACCCAGAGGCAGAATGCAGGATAGAACAAACCTGAGAGAGTCCTTGTTCTCATAGCACAGCTCTTGGAAGAGCGAGGCTGCCACCTGTGTGCTGGGTGCCTCGTTGTTGACCACGCCGTACATGTTGAGGTGGTATGAAACGATGTCGGCCACGGCCTGGGTATCCGCTGCTGAGCCCGAACGGCAGCACCAGATGGTGTCGTGCACTTGTGTCAATTTGTCGGTGACTCGGTTGGCAATGTAGGCTCCGGTTGTGGTTCGGCTATCGGCACCGAGGATGACACCGTCCTTGAAGTTGATGGCCATGCTATGGTTCAGTTAGATGGTGTTCGTCGAGGGAATAACGAGCTCCGGCATACTCACATCGAGGTTCCCAGGCTAGGAGAGTTGAAAGTTAGCAGCTGGACCAAAACCACAAAGACAAACAACATGTCTATCCAAACACTTACTTTACTTCTCCACTCTTCAGGTGCTGCATATCGACGTGGATGCCATCTGGTCGATGGATGTTAGCTCCCTCTCTGCGGCGACGGATGACGAATAGCTCGGACTCACCTTCACCCAGCACTCCCTGCACACCGTGTTGGCTGACCATGTTGTTGTCTAGTATCAATGAAATGGAAGAGGCAAAATGAAAAAGCTCAGAAACAGAGGTAGGATCGAGAGAGGGAAAGTAGATGAGTAGAGATGGAGGGATGTGCTCACGAAGCTGTACGGAAGGCAGAAGCTCAACGCGTCCAGCTCGGGCGGTGAGGGCCCGGCGGCTGGCTGATAGGGCGGATTGGGTTTATCGCCAGCCCCCGCGAGATCTCCTGAAACATCTCCTCTGGGGAACCTGCCTATCCATTTGATCAATCCAAGTCAGAATCACTAGAAGAACATCCGCACGGTTGACTCATTCTTGCCCTGCCGCCACACTTCCTCCCGCTCGATTTCGGCGACAACAACACATCATCATGTCCGACTCCCCTCCGCCGCCCTCATCGTGGAGCATAGGCAACATGACCAACAGCGCCGTACAGTTCCTCCGACTACCCGTTCTAGCATCATCCGGCCTGGCAGTGGTCGCAAGTGGCCTCCTATACTTTAAGCAGAAGTACGCTCATCCATCAACATCCATTAGACCCACCCTTGAGACTAACATACCAGCCTAGTGAATTGATATACCCCCGCAACGTCCCCGTCGATGCGCGCACGAACGTCCCCAGTCCCCGACAATTCGGCATAACCGACTTTGAAGATCTGCAAATCCCAACTCCCGATGGCGAAACGCTGCATGCGTTTTTCCTGCGCCCGCCCAAGAGTCGTTATCGGCGCAATCTAACAGTGATAATGTTCCACGGCAACGCAGGAAATATCGGGCACCGAGTGCCGATCGCCAAGGCGATGCAAGATACACTACACTGTAATGTGCTGTTGCTTGAATATCGCGGGTATGGCATGTCTACGGGTATGCCTGACGAGGCTGGCTTGAAGATCGATGCGCAGACTGGACTCGACTATCTGCGACAGCGGGCCGAGACAAGGGATGACAAGATTGTTGTTTACGGGCAGAGTCTGGGTGGTGCGGTTTCTATCAATCTTGTTGCGACCAATCAAGATCAGGGTGATATTGGGGGTCTGATTTTGGAGAATACTTTCTTGAGTATTCGCAAACTCATCCCTAGGTGGGTTTTCATGGGTTTCACTCGTGGTCAGCATTGAATTGAAAGACGTTGCTAATGCGATGGCAGTATCTTCCCGCCAGCACGGTATTTGGCTCGTTTGTGCCATCAGTACTGGATAAGCGAGGACGTGCTACCAAAGATCTCCAAGGTGCCGGTCCTCTTTCTTAGTGGATTGAAAGATGAGCTCGTGCCGTATGTACTACCCCGGACTTGAAAAATATTACAAGGCTAATTCCTTCCCAGTCCATCTAATATGACCCAACTATTCGCCGTGTGCAAGTCAGAAACCAAGATCTGGCGCACACTACCAAATGGAGGCCACAATGACTCCGTGGCCGAACCCGGCTACTTTGAACATATTCACTCCTTCGTTACGGAGGAGGTTTTGAGCAAGTAGACAGCGAGCCGAACCTTTTGAGCGATCCTCCGCGGTCAACTACATTGGTCTCCAGTCCCCGTCCAGCCTCTTATCCTTCAACTACATCAATGATACCCACACTATTGCAATCGACGACAGATATTCTCTACCGTCACTCATCCAGTCGGTCCTGACCGACTTGAGCCCCCGCTGCTTGTTACATACATATCCAACTCGACCAAGCCACCAATCATCTTCGAGTCATTATCCCTACCTACTCCCAGTCTATCTTATCCCCACAGCACGGGGATCTCTACCGGCGTCATCATCCATGGAATACAAGCGATGAACCTTTTTGTGACATACGGTGTTGGCACTTTGTTTTTAATCCACTTGTTTTTTATCACTGCTCAAGCTATTTCTATGCGTGGGAAGGATATGCTTTTCTCGGGTTCTGTATTCTTTGCATTTCAGATAGGGACGGAAGTTGAGTTTCCCTCTATTATGCATGTATCATTTTGACTATTACCATTGCAATGTTCAACCAATAGCATATTTCAACCACATTTACTCCTCTTTAAGCTCGTCGTAGCGCTACATGATCCATGGAGCTGAACGTTAATATCAATCCCGAGAAGCTAGTCTTCCTAAAATTCCTCCCAACAGATCTGGCTATGGACCACACTTGAAGCTGAAAAACTGGGCTGCAATCTACAGCATTATGATTCTCTCATTGATGAGAATATTGCCAGAATGTGGAGGGTGAGTTTCAATTGGAATTTGAAGGCCCAGCTTGTATTTGAGGCATACCAGGTCAGTCAAGAGAGAAATCTATCAACCTCTGACGAACGGAGTGCTCGTTCACAACGTTCAGAGTAGGATGTAACCAATACCTTCTGGCGGAGATCCCCTCCTCCCTCTCCGGGGATTCTTCCCTGCGGATATCTCCAGGACCAGCGATTGCTGTTTGCCTCCTTCAGCCTATAAAGGCTTCAATAAATTTTGTTCCCTTATTTCCCCTGAGACAGTCAAATTCAATTTGCTTTTCTCTTCTGCTTTCTGCCCGTGGCGGCGTAGAATACGACCGCCAGTTTATGCTCCCAATCGATTTCGATGTCGATTCGTATCACTATCTCAACTCCACCATCGTCATGCCTACACTAGAATACGCCTCTTCATTCGCCAATCTACCCGCTGTGAGCGAGGATTACAGTGATTTCAATGCAGATACCCCTACAGATGGAGGAGAAATCACCTAAATCACAGGTGCTCCGCAGGAGTACCAACTGAAGGCTGTAGACCCACTCGAAGAATTCGACGACTTTGATACATGGCTAGAGGATGTCATTCAAACGCTCCGCCCACAGAATCTACACCGTCTCATCGACGCTTATGTTAAGCGTCCACCAAAGACCTCGCCGGAAGTATCTAGATGGGTGAAAACATCAAGGGATATTCGATACTGGATGTACCAGTCTGTATGTAAAGATATCAATAAACTGGTACTAGCCCGCCGCTTCCGCTGCGAGTTTGCTGATGAGTACTTCGAGCTTTTGAAGCAGGTGACGGGATAATGAAGAGAATTCCCTTTTTCGTTGGGTGGATTTTTTCTTGGGAGATCTCCAGGACTGGTTTCTGCGGACTGCCTCCGGAGCTATCGAGCTCGATATTGAGTATCCTACGCAGAAACGTTAAACCAATAAATAGACGATGATTTGAATTGTCAGGTCCCGTCGCAGAGCAGGTTGTAGTCTTCTTGGCTTGTGTGGAGAGGTTGTTGTCTAGGCCGTAAAGGTAAAGGCTACCTAGTAGAATGATGCCTATCAATTAGGTAGGGAATCTAATATGGATGGAAGGCTGCCGTGATAGAGGTAGAATAGGTAGTATAAGTGGATTATCTATAACGGACGCTCGACCGGGCTAGCTGAAGGAGGGAGACCTAGGTTTAAATGCAGAGGGAGCCATATAAGGCGTCGATTTCACAGGTCCCTATTTCTAGTTTCAAGAACGTTTATTTTTATCTTCGAATTTATTGAGGCTCCAAAAAAACAATTGAATAATAACGCTGTCCCCACATGCAAGTAAGTGGATACCGCAAAGTTCATGTAGTCCCCGGGGTCCTCAATGCTAACTTCACCCGGGGGGTATCATAGAAACAAGAAACAGAAACGACACTTTTCTCTTCTCATAATCATGAGTCGTGAGTAGGTATGCAAATCAAACATGTTCGGAATCACCATCAGCAATATCGGGGGCTGGATTGTTGATCATCTCGGTTTCCGCAGGCTGATCAACTGCCTGAACAGCAGCCTCCGCAGTCTCTGGCTGTGCCTCAACCTCAACGGAAGTCTTGCCTTGCTCCTGTTCTGCCTGCTCGGCCTGCTCTTCTTTCTCCTCGGCTTCCTCCCAGCTATCAACAACCTCAGCTGAGGATTGAGTACGCAGCGCCTTGCTCGCACCAACACCCGAACGAAGAACCAGGCGCTCCTTCTTAGATGACTGACTTGACATATCAGGCATTTTACCACCCGCAAGAGCAGAATAAATAGACCGGCTCTGGAACAAATTCTGGACAGGTGTAGTGCTCCGGGTGCTCGCCGTGCTACTATCTGCCCCAGACTTCTTGCCCCGAGAAGCAACTTGAGCCCAGCCATCGGCACCTGTTTGCGATTTCGCAGCGTCGCGAGCGGCTTTGGCTTCAAGTGCAGCTGCGCGTTGAGCATCGCGTTCTTTGGTGCGTTCGCGCTCGCGGAGCTTGACGCATTCGCGTACGCTCACGCCGCCAATGCCGATGGATGTGCCGCTGCCCATGCCAAATACTGGGGATGTCCAGGCTAAGGGCTTGAGGACGAAGACGTGACGGTGTGGTTCGGGGTCATGGCTTTCAGTCACGAAGCCCCAATCTGTTGCGAGAGAGTGGGCGTAGGCGCGGAGAGTTGACTTTGCAGGTTGGAAGCGGAATGAACGATTCGTGGTATCGGTTGCCAGAGAGTGCAGACTCGACTCGTAGGTTTGGAGAGTCGAGAGGGGAACTGTGGAGGCTAGTTTGATGTACTGATCGAGTGTCTCGGTTGAGTAGGGGAGGTTAGACGCGGTGAAAGCTTGCACAGTGGTCGTCTTGTCGATGTCGACGCCAAGTGCAGATGCTAGAGAACGGTTCCGCTCTAGACGGGAGCACTCATCGTCGCAGGTCAATGGAGTAAGCGATGGCAAGCGCTCTGGCTGTTGAAGCTGGCCCTTGGAAGTAACAGCCTTGGCGGCGCCACAACGTCTCTCCTGTCGTAGTCGTCCACAGCTACATGTTACTGTAAGCGTGGACGAGCAAGGCGTCTTCTCTGGACACGAGTATGGAGCATGGCACTGCTCGGCGCAAGGATGACCACACAACGTCTTGGTCTTTCCACATGCCTGCTGACAAGGCCTATCCGCGTCTTCGCATTCACCTGGTCGATGGCAATCCTTTTTACAGTAATGAGAACCACACTTCAGAAGTGCGCCACAAACTTGACCACAGCGGGCATCTGTTAGCCAGCAAGGTACATTTTTCATCACCCGCTTGCCACACAGACATTCCTTCTCAGTCAGGAACGGACACTTGGGACAATTTTCCTCATCCGTGTGGCAGTTATGCGCAGTTTGCGGATGTCCACACGTCTTGGGCCGTCCACAGGGGAATGAGCATGCAGGCGGCTTTGTGCCACATGGCTGCGGCGGATATAAAATAGATCGTCCGCAATTACAAGAGACCTCTTCAAAGATCGCTTCTCGACAGGTATTGCAAGCGCCCTTGTGGCAGAGCTCCGGGCATGTATGTCTTCCGCATTTCAGCAATCGACCACAGATCCGGGTGCAAATGTGCTCTGCCTCGATATCTTCATCGGTAGGGCGGAGATGAGACTTGAGCTTTCGGCGGAGAGCTTGTCTTTCAATGGCCTTTTGTTCTCCTGGGCAGCATCGTTCCGTACAAGCGTGACGACCACAGTGCAGAGTAGTTTTGCATTGGCGGAAGCACTGGGGCGGGTTGATATTTCCTTGGTGACAGATACTCATGGCGCTGTTACGTCCGCACTGGCACGAAATAGGGACACGACGCATGCATGTTCCGCAGGGGCCAGTATGACAAATCTGGTCGCAAGAATGGCCACAAGCAAGCATCTTCCCACATGGCTCCATACAATTCGGGATGGGATCCTCGCAGGAGGTGCGAGGAGTGAAGCCGGGAATATCACTCATTTTGGTCTTACCACAAGGGCAACGGGTGACGATGTCTGGCGACTTGGGGCAGTGAGCAGGGCGCGAGTCCTGCGGATGGCATGGCTTTTTGCAAGAGTGGAGGCCACAGTCGAAGGGACGGTCGCAGATATCATTACAACTGAAGCAGCCCGTCCACTCCTCTTCTGATCCATCATCGCGAACCATTGTGCTATCCATCTCTTCATCCTTCGAACTGCAAAGCATTTCGGTCTCCACCTTACCACAGTAGCAACGGCCCTCGATCTTCACTTCGCAAGCACCACATAATCCCTCGTGACAGGGAAGAGGGCAGAAATGTTCGCCACAGGGCAAAAGGTCTCCGCAGATCTCGCCACAGCTCCATCCACGCTCATAGTCGGTATCTTGACACCGCTTAGTTGAGGAATTGCGACCACAGAAGCAGTCCTGTGTCGGGCCCATTGCAGTACATGGCGCACATGGGCCGGCATGGCAGGTGGCATCACATGGATGGGGGCAGCCTTTCCGAGGCCGTGAGCATGTCTGTCCGCAGGAGTGCGGAGGCAGGCCAGGCAATGGTCTCGGGTCCACCTCCTTCTCACACCAACAGGAGTAGGTCGATGGGAATATTTCGTGAGAGAGATTGCAACCGGGACAACGCCAGGCCTTGGGAGCCGAAGATGTTTCACCATCTTGTGCCTGGCGATTTTGGGCAGCAGCAGCGCCCTCATTTGTGGACCACTTCTTGATACAGCTCAAGTGGAAGACCGTCCAGCACAGTTCACAAGCCCAGACCTTCGATCGCCGACCTAGCTCACTAGTGCAGATGGGACATTCATACAGATTATGGGCAATGTCTTCGTGAATGCGGGTGGCGATATCGTCGGCAATGGATTTCGTTGTGACCTTGGGCGGCTTTGGCGGGGGCTTTGGCCTTGCTTTGGCCTTACCCTTTGCAGATGTGGTAGGAGGAGTCTGAATGCTCGATGCTGGCATTCCAGGTACGAAATCAGGCGCATCGGCCCGGAGGCTAGCATCAGCATCGCCTTCGGCTGCATGTTCCTGGCTCTGGTCGACCGACTCTTGATCTGGCCTTGTCAAACGAGCTGCAAAACCTCGAGCCCTCATACCCCGAGACTGGGGCTGTGATATTTGATCGACTTGCTCGGGGTTCTGTCCTTGCCCGCCTCGTCGAGCTCCATTGCTACGTCCTCTCCGGGCTCCCGATCCCCGCCCTTCTTTGTTTGGCCTCCGCTGCCGAGATTGCTCTTGCTGGGTGCTCTGCTGACCGGGATCAGCAGCACTATTAGCTTGCTGTTGCTGTACGGGGGCCGTGGCTTGGCTATTCAAAGGCTGTGTCGGTCCGTTTTGTTGTTGGCCATCCCGAGTGGCGGGGCCTCTCCCACGGCGTCTGTGCCTTGAACGAGGGGCAGCTGGGGCAGCAGGAGCTGCGTCTGGGCCTTGCATAGCCGGGAGTACTGATTCAAGACGACCCGCTGCTGCTATGCTCATCCAAGCGCTGGAATCGTGTGTCGAATGGATTTCGGAGATTCGCGAAATGGTGTTTTGGCGATCAGACTCGGAGAGTGACGTAGATAAAGGTGAGGATTGCACGCTCGGAAGTCCGAATCGAAGGGACAAAACGCAGGGAGCTATGAGGGGGAATGTAAAGAGATAGTAAGATCCAAGAAAAAAAGAGCCCTGAGGGCGAAAGTGTATTTGAGACTGCAGAGATACCTGGGAGCTTGCTGATAAAAACCTCACAGACGGGGCAGTATCGGGCGGAGATTGGGGCGGTGGAATGTGGCGTTCTAGACTGTATCCGCCAATCAGATTCAAGAAAACCACAGTCAAAGTAATATGAAGGCTCTGGCTCAGCTCAGGCTTACCGTTGCAGGCCCGTACTGAGTGAGTCAGTTCGTCTACCAAATGACTCATGGGCGCTGATCCACCGATCCACTCGCCCAGCCCCAACTATAGTGTACCTCAAGATTGGACCGTCGTGATACTGAACCCTCAATATTTGATGCTAGCAATCACAAATTGACGTTTCCAACCGTGTCATAACCAGTCATGGGCTATATAAGGCTAGACTGTCCATATCAACCTGTTCCGGGAACGGGCCATTCATTTCAATACGATTTTATGCCAGATGGTGACGCTGTGATAGACCTGCTAGGCCCTTCTCCATCGTTAATACTGCCCGCTGGCTCTCTTACTTCCTCGAGAATTCCCTACGAATGAGTACTGTTCAATTTGCCCTGTAAGAGTCCAGAGTTCGAGGCTCAGCAGCAAGATATCTTTAGCCTCGGCCTATCAAAGTACAAGAAAAGCTCCGCAGAGTACTCCGACTGTCATAGTGCGAACCAGCAAATCATACACATTAATGTCAATCTGTCATCCAAGTATTATAAACAAGATGCAAAATGCGTCCGCCAGAAACTGAGCAGTCAATCGCGCTATGCAAGCCCCAGACCAAAGGGCGAGCCTGAGTATACAGCACACACACATAGATCAAACATGACGAACGATCCCAACAACCCTCAGGTTATCAAACGAAAACAACAATCTCCCCCCTCTCATTCCGCCTCAACCTCAAAGCCCTCCAAAGATCCTTCTCATTCTCTGCCCTAACCTCCCGACTCCCCATATCCCCCTCATCCTCAAACTCGCGATGAAACCTCTTCAACGCCTTATTCACCGAACACCCTCTCGCACTATCCCTCTCAGCCACGATATCCAAAAACATCTCTGCCATCTCCCGCGAGAACTCATCATTCGTGCGCGCAGGCGGTTTCGAAGCCCGATACACCGTAACCTGGCGCTCGCGGTGCGGCGAGCGTGAATCCGAACGGCGACGTTCATCGCTCTGCTTCTGCCGCCGACTGGGTCTATCACCGTCTGTGGGATTGCTGCTCTTGCGCTTGGCTTTGCGTTCCGTGTGTGAATCCGATGCGTGGCGGCTGCGGTGAGACTTTTTCTTACGGATTTCCAGCGCGCCGTCTGCGCTGGAGGATGAGCCGCGGCGGGTGCGGACGAGGGCGCGGGAGTTGGAGTCGTTGCCGGCGCTGCTGGTTGAGACGACGGAGCCGCCGAACATGGAGGTGACGAGGCGCTCGGCGCGGTTTTTGATGGAGATGCCCAGGCCGGTGTCACCGTTGGAATGGCTTTCCTTGGACTCTTTGCCGTTGCGGCGGGTGCGCTTGATGGGGGATGAGGCGTCGTGGTAGGATTGGCGGTGGAGGTCGGGGGAGTCCTCGGGGGATGGGGAGCGCATCATGCGGTTTAGACCGCCGGTAAGACCGGAGTGCGCGAGGACGGGGGTCCCGGCGTTGTTGATCACGCTGGATGGGGCGTCTAGCATGGGAGTGTCCAGGTCGGGTTGCGGGCTGAAGGGGTTCTCCTGGCCGCGCTTGCGCTTCTTCTCGCTGGCGCTGGCGCTGGCGCTGGAGCGCTTTTCTTCCTTGCGGCGCTCCTTCTTGGTCTTCTTTGGTGCGGGTGTGACGAATTCCGTAGAGACGTTGGGTACATCGTTGGCGTACATGGGTGGTGGGATGGGGTCCGCGCCGTAGGAGAAGCCATTCTCTTCATACGCGACATCGTAGTGGCCCTCGTCGTCGGTCTTGGTGTCCAGCTTGGCGAGAGCATCGCTAGGCTCGAAGACGGATTTGGCGTGCGCAACCATGCTCATCTGTTCCTTGGGGCCGTTCTTGGGGGCCAGAGTGACCTTGGACGCATTGGGGGTGTCCTCGGTGACCAGGTAGTCAAATACATTGATAGGCTTGTCAGTCTTGGCCAGCGCCTCAGAGGTGGCCTTGCCTTCGCCCGCAGGAGGGGGCGTCGGCGCTGGGGGCGGGGCATTGGCCTTGAAATTGTCTCCATCGGAACCATCCTCGACCCGGGGTTGTTTGTTGGCATTGGCGTTGCCCTTGCCCTTCTGGTTGGGGGTATTCTGGCCGTTCTGGCCCTTCTTTTGGCCCTTGGTAGGCTTCTCTTTATACAAGGCGCCTTGGTATTTTTGCGCCTCGCTCATGCAAGACTATAAGGAAGAATCACCTGTTAGCGCCCTGCTTAAAGACGAACGATTGAGCTAGCGCGAGACAATTGCTCCAGTCTGCCATCCACTTCTAGGAGACTCTGCGCCAATTGCCCGTATACCGCCAACAGTATGCGCAAACCCAGCCATCAACTACCAAAACGTACCGTGTGTGCCCTATACTGAGTTCCCTGGAAATGGACCATACAATCGATGCAAGTGAACGACGCGCCTCGGCACTGGTTCCGATGGGGATCGAGTTTTTTCTTGGTGAAAATATCACCGCATGCCTATCACAGATTGATGTTAGCAATGATCTTTACTCATACTGACAAGCAATCCCCAGTCCGCGGCTCATAGCGCCGACAGCGAAGGAGATTTCTTTCTGACTTACCTCACACTGGAAGGACACCATCTTGACGGCTGATAATCACACCGTCGGAAAAAGGCCGATGCAGCGACGCAGGTTCAAATTCGAAGAAACGAGTCTATGCGACACGCAAAATAACAACCCAAAAGCGCGACAATTGCGACCAGCAGAAGGAAAAGGTTATGGCGTGGGGTGGACAGTCAGAATGCGCGGGAAGAAAGTCTGAAGGTGGAAGGATTTGCGGGAAACCACAACAAAGTTATCCCTTGCGGAGTTAGTCCTTTGCTACAGGAGTAGGACTGTCGTAGATAAGACTGTGTTGAATTGCGGTCTGCGCCGAGTTTCCAACGTCAAACTCAAGTCACTTTCACCTTTTTTTTTCTTTTTTGCGCGTCGAAAATTAGGAAAGGCGCGTGAGGAGACGCTAGACTGGATCTAGTAAGCGCTAATCTGGATTAGGAAGGGTTATTGTGGTGGAGTCGGAGTGGATGTCCAGTCTCCGTGCTTTTCGTATAGAATCAGACAGTAAAGTATGCAGAAGCAGTGGAGAGAGAGAAGAATTGCAAAGGGGACTGGAAAGGGCTGAAATCGAAGAAAAAGAGAAGAATACGAAACACAGGAATTAGAATAATAAGCAAGCAGCCCCTGACTGGTACTTGGTGCTTTCAGTTCTGTTTCATAGTCGCGCCTGAACGCGCGCAACTAGGACTACGATACATCACAAAGTACTCGATATACACTCTCAAGTCTTTAATTTACTTGGCTTTCTATAACGAACGCTATAGGCATCCTTGAAGTATCTCACTTGTACCCTATGTATCTATTGCCCCTCCCCTCTCTCTCCCTCCCCTCCTCTCCCCTCCCCTCTAGGACGATCCCCGCGGACGATCGTGATCTGTGCCGCGCACATGCTGACTGGCCCCCCCCAAGTCTGTCAGGAGACTCTTCCTCCTTCTTTCATTTGTTATCAGCTGAAGCTCTTAGCCCATACATACTGGCCCCCCGCTTTATTTTTGGCCAAACTCAAATCGATAAACACAAAAGCCCAGACCAGACCCCAGATCCTGGTTACGAAGATATCGTATAATCTTAGCTATGCTGATGCTGATTCTAATCTATACCAGCTATAACACTTACTACGTATTCTGGAATTATTCCACATTATGCGCATTCATAGTTCATAGGTAGGTTGATTCTCTTTTTCAAGGTGTCGTCATGGACTAGCGCATTCACACTAGTGTGGGTTTCTACTGTATCACGAGGATGCGACATACAACCATCACGCCGCCGCTAGTCTCGGAAGGACGATCAGGACACTATATTCCTGCGGGATGGCGCCGGCTAATGTATGACGGCAGAGTTGATGGGAGTGTAGCAAGGTAGTATCAACAGCCATCAAGATAGCCCTTCAATGTCTCGCAATAAATGTGCGATGAGGAGACAAGAAAGAAACTTGCACTACTGGCCGGGTCATGCGCAACACAACTATGGCCTGGGATCACCGGATAGAGCGCGATCCTGGATTGCGCGAGGTTGGAGGGTCATGCCCCCGTGGGAGACTCGATGATCGACAACTCTAATCCCTGCCAGGACGAGTACCTCTTTGGAAGCTGGTAAGAGCAGACTGCAACAAAAGATGCTTGATAGCTGATGCGGTACAGGGATAGCTCCCGCCGCTCGGGCTCGGGCTCGGGCTGGTCTGCAGCGGACGTACGCATTTGCGCATTGGGTATATAGAAATCTATCAAAAGAAGTACTGTACATAGAAATGGAGACCAGCTCCAGCGGATGTTCTAGGAGGAAAATAGAAAAGGAAAACGCCGTACGAGTGCAACGAAAACAGCGATTTAGATCGCAAGGACCCAGAGAAGCCTTCAAAGCCATCAACCGCGAGTGGTCCTAAATAGCCAGATGTCAGTCAGACAATTCACACACACACACCTATCAAAACGAAAGAAAAAACAAGCGCAGCATCCGAGACGGGTCAACTCACTCTTCTTTCGAAATCTCCACAGCCAGGTGATCATGCAGATCAGCAGAATCCTGCTTCCCATCACCCCGGCTAACCGCCGAATGTCCCTCGATACTCTTATCCTCCTCCTCGCCATCCTTTTTCTCCGCCTTTTCGTCTTCAGCACAGCCACAATCATAAAATGCGCCTAAATTCGTGCAGTCGAATTCCGGTTTCTCCAACATCGCATTGACCTCGTTGTGAATGAAGCAAGCCCATCCGGCCGCGGATTTGCGCGATGATACCTGCGGCGGGTACTTGTTCAAGTGTTGTTGGAAATGTTCGGCGCATTCGCCGCTGTTTTATTGTTAGCTTCATTGTACGTTGCGCCGGGAGGAAGTCTCGGAAGACACCGGTGAATTCTGGAGGAGGAGGGAAAGGGCGGGATCGTATGCCGTACCAAGGATAAAGTCGCGCAAATAAGAAGATGTATGATCGCAGCGCTTCCTGCTGGTCTTCGGTAGGCTTCTCGGGAAATCGCGCCATGACAGTATGGAAGTATTTCCATGTTGCACGGCCTAGCTCCGCTCTGCAAGATAGTAGACAATCATGATTAGCATATGGCTTTCAAGATTCAACAATCAAGCTTGAATGAGCTCAAACTCATCATGGCATCCTTACTTTGCTGTGGCATTGCCCAACTTCGGCATCACGACCGCCCCTTTCAGTGTATCCTCCTGAATCGTGATTCCGGATCCCGGCGCTGCACCGTGGGCGATATGCCCGGGGGCTCGGACGGCAGGGCTAGGTGGGCCCTGTGGATTGATGAAGAGGAAGAAAACCAGGCATATCGCGATCACGGCGCTGATGGCGATGCGCCGTGTCATTTGCCGGTTGGCCATGTCGGCGGAGGGGCGAGGGGGTTTTTCGCCAATATTTGGAGTCGAGGGGCACCTGTGATGAAAGGGCAAACAGGGTCTGTCCGGGCTAGAAGATGCGGGCAAGATTTTCCCTGGAATGTAGGAATGGAGCGAGGAATTAGTGTTGAAGGGAGATGAAGCTTTGTGAAGGGGGCAAATCTACTTGTCGTATGGTGGCCGGACCAGGCTGCAGCTGCATAAAGGGAGCTTAGTCATGGTCGCTCTGTTCATTGACGTTTTGGGTTCGGGTTTTTTTCCTTTCCATGGGTTTGACCGAGTTAAGTCTTATTCAGATACCAATTAGGAATGCTAGTGCCACATGGCAGTTCGTATGTTGGTGATATGGCGTGCTTGTTTCTTTGTTAATCCCCGAATCTAACGTCTAGCCATGACATCGATACCACGATATCGCCAGACCCACCACGATTCGGATTTCCTCCGTGGCAAGCATAGGCATTGCGGAGGGTCCGAGGGGCATTAACATGCACGTTCAAAATGTTCGACAGACCGCTAGAATTAACCAGCTTTCATTGGACAATATGCATCTAATTGCACGAGCCTACAGTAAACTAAAATCTCCTTCCACGCTGCACTCATGCATCCAACATCTGCATCTGCATCTCATCCTGGACCAAAGCATCGCTCAGACTCGGCGGCAAATCCTCCTCCCTCGTACCCCAATCACTCTCCCGGTCCCCAAGCATCAACTCGAGCGTCATCCCTCGTGTGAAAAACTCATGACCAATCCAATTCTTTGTATACGGTTTTCCATCGAGCGTAGCGCTCTGGATATAGACGCTCCGATAGGTGGGATCAAAGTTTACATTTCGGATCGTAGCGGTGTGATTGGTCTCTGGATGAGTGATTTCGACGGCTTCGAAGAATGGAGCCGTGATTAGGTAGACGTTCTGGCCTGGATTGGGGAAGAGGCCCATCATGCTCCAGGCGAGGAATGAGCCCATTGCGCCGGAGTCGTCGTTACCCGGTAGACCGTTGTTGGATGCGTTGAATGTCCGCGGGATGTAGCTGTGGACTCGAGATGTGGAGAGAGCAGGTCGGCCGGCGTAGTGGTAGTCGTATACTGTTAGGAAGACGGGCTCGTTACTGATGTCGGCGAGGCCGGATGTGTGGAAGTAGTCTAGTCGTTTTACGAAGGAGTCTGGGCCGCCGAGGAGCTTAATTAGACTTGCCATGTCGTGGGGGACGAAGCTGTAGTTATTAGCCATGAACTGTCGACTGACTTTCTAGAAGGGGAACTCACAAAAGATACTCCCAAATACTGGACTCGAAAGTCTCCGACGGATTGGATGTCAATGAGCACCACGATGCCAGCGCACTGCAGGCAATCGGATCTTGGAACCCCCAGGTACCATTAAGATACTTAGGTTGGAAAAAGCCCGTAAAGCCCGTATCAGTTCCATTCTCCAAGAATGACTTCTGATCAGCTTTGAACAGGTTCTTCCAGTTACCCGCTCGAGACAGATACTTGGTATACTCCTTCTTGCCAAGTCCCTTGCCCACAACCGCAAGACCATAGTCATTATACGCATACTCCACGGTTCTGGATATACTGCGTGAGTTGGTTCCAAAGCCCAGGTAGTCAAAGTCCAGGTACGGGATGTAGTTTAGCTTTTTCCAGCTTTGCAGACCACCGCGTCCTTCGTATGACCATTCCAAGGGCTCGTTCTCGGCATCGTTGACCATGGCCTTGTATGCCAGCTCCCAGTCGATTCCAGTCAGGTTTTTGACGTAGGCGTCTGTGAGAACCACGTCTGCATTTGATCCGCCTTGTGTCCAGCCCTTGCAGAGGGACATGCGGCAATCGGGTAGCCAGCCTTCATGCTTGAATGTGTCAAGCAAACTGCGGACCATCTTAGACTGCGTCTGGGGATCGATGATGGTCAACAGTGGAAGTTGAGCTCTGAACTCATCCCAGAGACAATAGAACGAGTCGAAGTAAGGCTCATCGCTCTTCCACAGAGGGTTCTCCCCGGTCATATCCTGAGGCGAAAGCATAGTCCGATAGATGCCGCTCCAGAAGGACCTCAGCAACCCATCACTGACACCACCAGAGATCACCTTGATAGGACTGAGCTTCTCACTCCAAGCAATCTTTGCCGCTTCCTCAAGACTCTCAAAGTCCTTCACCGGATCCGACACCTCGTCCTCCGCATTGGAACAAGCCTGTTCAGAACTAACATAACTCACCCCAACTCTAACCGTAACAACTCCATCCCCAGGCCTCACAAAACTAACATACCCACCCGCCTGAAGATAAAAGTTATTAAACCCCCTCGTGATAAAAACCTCCTTCACCTCCGATCCCGCACGATCATTCACCCAAATCCCACCATCCCTCACCTGAGCCCCAGCAAAATCCGCACAGAAATAAGCCCGATACGATCCAGCTCCGAAACTCGGCAAAAAAGTCCCATTTCCCATCACACGCCCCGTATCAGGATCAACACTGATACTAGCATTCTGCCGACTATCCCATAGATCGGTCAAATCAATCAAAATCAACGGATCAAGCACACTCCCATCATCAGCACGAGTCTCGGGAAAAGTGAATCGATAAACAGCCGTCCTCCTCGCAGCCGTCATCTCAGCTTTAATCCCATTCACCAATTCCAAAGCGAAATACCCTGGCCTGGCCGTCACAGATTCATTCACGTAATGCGTTGCGCGAGCGGACTTCCCAAACTTGCAATTATCCACGACATTATCGGGACAATATTGCGGGAATAAAGGGAACTGGCCCATTGACGGATTCCCCCCCGTGCCGCTATCGTGCATGTGCGAGAAACCCGTGACATTGCTGCCATCCGTTGAGAAACCGCCTGTGTTTTGACCGTCGACGTCGGCGACGGGTTTGGCCAGGCCGTAGGGTAGACTTGCTCCGGCGAAGACGTTGCCGCCGGCTGTGGAGCCGATGAGCGGGTTCACGTAGTGCAGGTCATCTTTTGTGGCGGTGGTGAAGTGTAGAAGAAGGAGGAGAGTGATGGTGAATAGAGTGATGATGTTTGTTTTTAGGGCCGGCATTGTGGAATGCGGCGATTAACTTTGCACCATGTGAGGGAGAGGCGTTGGAACTTGAATCAAATTGGTCGAAGAAAATGGCGAGGGCGGGGAAATGATAATACTCCAGTATTACACTGCAGATGAGCAGTGGCACCTACCGCTAGGACCTTGGGAAAGCCTGGAAGGAAGGTGTGGTCGGCAAAAGGCAAGAATGCTACGGTTTGTTGATTGCAGCGTCGCATTGTTGATATGATCGACGGCGGAACGCCCCATGAAGCGTTAGTGTGTGATGCAAGGGCCACGAGGGAGGAGTGCGGGGTTGATCTAAAGAATGAGAGGGAGATGAGGTCGGTGTATGTGTAGCAACTATAGAGTACAGTATACAATAGAGGATGGGATGGTTTAGACTTGTTGTGGCTAATAGGTGCCGAAGCTAATGCCTTATGTTTGTAGGAACAGTAATTATTGTACAGGAGAATCCTCGATCATTTCATGCCTGCCTCTGCGCCCGTCAGAGTCCAGGGATACACATACATAGCCTCTCCGGGTAAGACATAAAGAAGGAATAGTTTCATCTCTTCACTTCATGCATTCGTAATGCTAAACAAGAGGCTTAGTCGAAAAGCATGGTACCCTTGTTCTGCTTCTTGCCGACATCGTAGTTCTTCCACACGGCAACGGCAGGGATGAGCAGGACCAGAATACAGGTCGAGGCAATACAGTTCATACGTTGGGCATAGCCCCAAGCGTAAATGCAAGCATCGCGGAGGGGAGAGCCCACCGCGTAAGTGTCCTGCACGTTGATGCCATCGAAGTAGATCGTGGTCGCGTTGGCCTTGAGGTCGTCAGGCAAGTGGCTGGTCAGAGCATCCACAAACACATTGTTGTAGATGGCAGCAGACACGGCATAGCCGATAGCACCACCAATGCTAGAGAACAGGCCAATTAAGGCCAGCATCATAGGAGTACCCTCACGACCACCACCGGCCATGACAGCCATATCCTCACCGATGACGATGGTGCCTCCTGCAAAAGCGATGAAGATCTGGCACATGACGATGTATCCAATTCCGTGTTCTCCGCCTCGGAAATAGATCATCAGGCCAGAGCCGAGCAGCATCAGCGGAACACCGAAGAACAACACAATATACTTGAACCGCCTGGTCCACCAGATGATGAGACCCAGAATCGGAGACCAGAAGCACGATCCCACGTTGTAAATCTGGATCATGTAGCCGGCCATGCTAATGTCCAAGTTGTAGGTAATCAGTACAAAGTTGTAGAAGTACTGATCCCAAAGGTAGAAGCTGAAGAAAGAAACCGCAGAGCAGACACATGCACCAAGAATGGTGGGTCTCTTCAGCAGTTCATAGCGAATGAAGTGATGGCGGGCGAACCATTTCTCCCACGCAGCAAAGACGAAGAGCATGCAGAAGCCGATAACAACCATTGCGATGAAGGTGGCTGACTTATACTGAGAGCGGCCATACTGGGCCAAGCTGAAGGGCAGCAGGAAGATGACCCAAGCAGCCATAAGCAGGAAGGCACCAATGACTGGATTTGAAAGTTAATACACGGCAGGCAGACAGAGAAGAGAAGGGGGCGATATAGTCGCTTACCATCAAATTCATGGAAGTAGTGGATGATCGACTGCATCTTAGTGCGTCCGCTGTTCCTGGGCTGCCAGACACCCATCTTGATGGCCTTGCGCTCATAGAACTTGAACAGCAGGGCCAGAGGGCAAAAGACGACAGGCTGGATGATACAGAACATTCCATATCCCCAGCGCCAGCCAGAAGTGTTGTAGATCGACTGCGCGGCCAACGAACCGGTGAAGGCGGTACAGATAAATGGGGTCGAGGCGAAAGCGAAAGCGAAGGCTCGCGAGCGCAGGCCAGTGGTATCCGCGACGAAAATATCCAGAATCAGATAAATGCAGTAGTATCCAATCCAATACAGGACGTATCCAGCTGCAAAAGCATTCGGACCATTGCATGCGGCCAGAATGATCATGCCGACGATGTAGATGGCAGTCGAGAACAACAGAGCCTCTGCGCGACCCCACAGCTGCAGGGTCTTGGCCAGGGGAAGCTTCAGAACTCCACCGATTATGCTGGCCAGGATATATGAGGTTGAAATTTGTGGAGCCGATTGGAAACTGCCGTAAACCCAGTTCATCAAACTGGAGCTAATCGCGGAGTGGAAGGCAAGCATGAAGAAGCCCACCCAAATCCTAATTCAGTGATTGCGCCCGTTAGTTTCTTATAGTTCAACCCCTTGCGTTGATAACCGCCCGTATTCAACTCAAAGTGCATGGTCCATGACTCACCATGCATAGATACCAGCGACAGCCGGGCGACTCCAGACCAAAGCTGCGGCTTCGGCCTTCTGTTGGCCCAAACCAGCCTTGTCCGTGACATGCTCGGGGTTCTGCTTGACCTCCTGTTCATCATCGAGAACGCCATTGACACCGAAAGCCGAGTCAGAGTCGCTAGGTGTCTGGGATTCGTAGACTGGAGGTGCCTCAACCGCATTAGTGCCAGCCGCGTCGGAGTGCGCATGCTTCGATTCTTTGAAATTCGTTGTATCAACAACCGACTGGGTCATGCGACCATTGTCGTCGCGACCACGTACGGCGTCGAAAACACCCATGATGGACAAAGATGCCTCTGAGATTCCTCGGGGGTGAGTGTTGCACAGAGAGGGGAGACAGTGACCGGATACTGCAAAGACCCTATGTAACCCCAAAAGGGCGGTGGATGAGAGGTTCGAGAAGCGGATTGAGAAGGGTTCTGAGAGAGAAAGTTGAGATGGTGGAGAGGAGTGAGGGAGTATTTAGGGAGTCAGGGCCTGAGAGCTGCGAGCGAGGATTTCCCGCCAGACGCGCTTGCCCGGCAGTCCCGAAGATTCGTCGGTTCACTTTTAGTTCGCGGGTCTTTGGGTTTTTTTTCAGCTGCGGAGCAGCTCAACAGTGGACTTGGTGGACTTGGGGGGGAGATCAGATAATTATCAGCCAATCTGATAAACGTTTCCACTGAAAGTTAATTTAAGCCAATCAAATCATAGAAGTCAGGGCACTGTGGATCCATATGAGGTGTTACTTTGTCATGTGATTGGTTGTCTCTCGGTCCCCTTCCCAATCTGGACTAGCGGGACTGGCCCATCACCCTGCAAACGGGATTCCGGATACAGAAGCTGCGCTTTCCAAAGGTAACTGTATGTGGCCCAGAGTTTTATCAAGTCTCATCCAACTAATAATCTCTCTGAGTACTACTTCATAAATGGACCTCGGCCAGGTCCAGTCCATCATGCTGGACGATTTGATGTTCTATTCGCTCCTCGGTCAATAAAGAATAGCCACATCGGAGGGAAAATCGTCAACAACTTCCTAACCTGGCCTGAACCCGGTCCGAGATTTCTTAAATCTCGACCTCTTGGCTCCAATCCAATCAAACAATGGCATATTTTCAGCTCAAGGCTGTCAGAACTTACACGGAGAGATGCGCAGCCTTGTTACTTGCTGCTGGCATGATCGGAGTCTCCGGCCACCGGTCCAAGCCTTGCAGTTTGAAGCCAGCTGCCTGAAATTAGGAAGGCACTACTGAGCCGCTAGTCCAAAACATACCCAGGTCGACGCCACCAACCGTTTATCAGATGGTGGATGACCCGCGATTTTATTTTGAGGACCCGCGCTCGCATGTCAGCACATGGGTGTGCCCAAACACACCGGAACGAACAGGAACGTTAAGAATTCGCCAAGACAAGCCAGACTCTTTAGGGCTCCAGGTGGTGCGATCGCGAAAAGCCAACACGGTAGGTATTTAATACATTATCAATTGAAACTACGCACACACTGTCCTTTCTTCTGTAGTTAATCCAGAGTTTTTCGGGGTCACCCGCTCGCTGCGATTCTATTACATACACTAGAAATACTGACCCATAGCCATCACCCTTCCACGAGAAGCTTTGACAATGACTAGCCCCATCACATCTCATGGGGAATAATTGCTTGTGCGTTCATCCTTCGGCACATGAAATCATGCTTTTTGTGGTGGCGCAAACTCTTTTCAACCAAGGTTTTCCACCGGACAGCTCGGCTAATCAATCAGATCCATCTAATCTAATCAGATTTTTCGTCCCGGCTTTCCTGTGAAAATGAATTATTCGAGCCTCCACTGGGATTCCGGTCTGGAAGAGTCTTTTGGTTCCATGGGTTCCCGTTGTTCACGGCACTCTGTCCGGCACTCTTGTCTACCGGAAGATTCACGGTTTGCCGGGTCGGCCTCAAATTTCTTGGCTTTTGTCGGCGCACGCTTCGCTTCGGAGTTGATGTCTAGGCTACCCGTCTGGAATTTGGGTCAATGTGACCATCAGAGCTGATCTTATCTACAGTAGAGATGAGGGACTGCGCTTTCATGCTTCATGCGACACTCCGATCGTAATAGTAACGAGGCCAATCGGTCCTTACCAACGAGGATGACACTGGAAAATTCACACACTATGGCTTCATCGTTTGTGTTGCTACCAATTGATGCAATAAAATTCATTATGAGAAGGGCCGGTCCATGCGCAATCACACGCAAGAAATCGAGATATTGCGAACAACTAATTCTTCAGGAGAATCAGGGTATAGGGGGTCTATTTAATGAGCGTCAGAATATGGATTCGTCAACCCATCCTTGAAGCCTACTATTTTGAGAAGACCATGCTCCATTGGGATGCACTCACGTCTGTTATAATCAATTATTTGTTAGAATTGTCAATGTCACTCTGACTTCCTCCACCACAGGTCTGATAGATAAGAATAAGTGAAGATTCGAGGTTGTGTGTGCATTCTGAAAAACCAGAAACATGGCATATTCTTCGTTTGTGCCTTCAATCCCGAGCAACTGAGTCCGGCTTCACGCTTTGAGGTCAGCAAGTTCACAGGTCCACTGTTACCAAACTAATTCGAGATCGACTCACCTTATCCTATAGGATCCATTTATGTCCCTTCGGTAGTTCTATATCGCCTGGGCGACCCTGAAATTTGCATTCGATTCTATCTTCTCCATTCCGATTGGATATATAAAAATTCCTTATCGAGTGGTCAGCTTTGGTATAGTGCACATTTTCGTCAAAGGTAGAAGATTTACTTCTTTGAAGATTGTTTGTCACCTGAGCTTGGCTCTCCATCTAGAATATGAGTGTTCTGTGCAGGGGGCTGAGGTGTATTGACGGTAGTTCCATTCGTGATACCCGGCAACTCGGACCGGACCCAAGGATCATCATGGGAGATTCCTGTGGTATTTTCCTGGGTCGTTCCATTCAATGTAGCTCCCTCACTCGCCCCCTCTGGCTCAACCTTGGGTGGATCAATGTTCGAGTTCTGGGATTGTTGAGCCTGTGAGTGTGCCGAATTGCTGTGTAACTCGTGAGGGCCGGCATCGGGAGTGAGAACATTTCCTCCCAGCTGGGGTGGTAGCCGTCCATGGCATGAGGCGTAGCCCCTTAATCTAGAACCGGTGGCACTCAATAATTGAGGATTTCTCAGTGGCCGCGGGGTAGTAGCATTGGAATGCCAATGGCTTCCTTCAGCGTCGCGATAGCATTGCGAATTGGTGCTTCCGTGAGCTCGGTTGCGACTTGAGATCGTTGGTTTCAGATAATTCGGCTCTGTTACGATCGCAGGCAAATGGTTAACGAGGAGAAACTCGGATCAGTTCACCAAGACCACGAGTCCAGGCAAAGACGAAATGAAAGAAAACGATACCTTTCGGAGAGTCTTGATGTATGCTCCGATCAGCGCGGATCGTCGTATCGTCCTCGCATCGTTGACTCCCACCCCATCCTGCAATTCCACCAAGCCTCAAGTTTGCAGTCTTCGTCATCACAAGTTCGCTCATCAAGATACTCCATAGGCCCTGCTGAGCAGAAGCACCCGGCGATAATCTAGGAAACGGCTACAGGAGAGGGTGACTTTAATACCGGCCAGTCCCGAGTACAGTTGTCGGGTCATGAGGAGCGGCGCATGAAGAGGCTGAGATGAGTTCGAGTCGTTTGTTCGATATGTTTGCTTCAGGTGTTGGCTACAGCATGAAATTGAAAATGAGCCATTAATTAATCTCAGGGCACCCCTGCTATTGCCTAACATAACATAGCTGCAGATGGGGGGTGTCCAATAAGCAGTTCGTGTGGCTTCAAGAAGCAAGACCCATTGGCTTATCGACTCGCCCTGCGATGATGCCTTGTCAAGGCAGCCATTCAAGTAGAGACATCTCTCTTTCCACTTTGGAGGCTGCTCAGCTCATAGTACTGGTGCTTGTGGGACTATGCTGACACTGATATTTTATAGCATTAGCGCGGCTGCTCCACCCCCTCCCAACACTAAGCCATGCCTTTCATTCGTGAACACGAGGGGTCATCGTCGAAATCTGCTGGCTTTTACCAGAGGCTCGTCATGTCTTTTGTTCTTTTCGTTTCAGGCTTTTCTGTATCCGACAGAGATGTAGTCAATCATAAGGTTCAGTGCGAACCAGTAGTGGAAAGCACGGTGCCCAGAAGGGTACCCCTGCAAACAGCGAATCAAGCAGAGACTGAGCTGCAGTGGGCGCTTTTGAAATGTCGAGTGTAGCTGGCCTTGGGTGTTTCTGGTAGGCATCACAACGTGATCGATGATTAGAAATTTGATAGTCCCCTTGGGTTGAACCACTTTTCCTTCAAAGGAACGACATCTCCACCTTGGATCAAGCTGATCCTGAAGCTGCTCCAGCAGCAACTCAAGTCTCCTTCAAACTCACAATAATTCACTGATAAAATGTTAGCTTTCTTAGATCAACTCAACGATCTGATGAGCAGAAGCCCGCCAATATTCCAAGTTACTCCCAATCTAGATTGCTCTCAGCTTGATTTGCTCCAAGATGGGCAGAGCTCTTGTAATTCTGGTCGAATATGGCACATCAAAGGCTTTTGGGTTTTATAATCAACAAAGCTAGCAAGAACATATCGAATGCCGATACTGGTGGGCCGGTTGTGCTTGCTCATCTCATCTATCTCCTTCCTCCATATGTGAGAAATGGGTTTAAAGGACCTGGGTTGATCGGAGCTATGAAGCCGCGAACATCTAAATCGTGATGAGCACGATTAGATGCAGCGCTTGAAAAATATCGATTGTAATTCGCGCGAGACAGGATAGATGAGGAGAATGTTGCGGTTTGGGAACTGCGTCGGGTTTGAAATCTTGGGAATGAAGGGTATTAATGGTGTTCATGAAGGAATCAGCTGCAAAGTTATGGGCGGACAGCAATGGCCTGCTCAAACACTTCGGTCTGAATCGCCTGGTGTCATGCATTAGACTTCACAAATAAAAGATTTCGTCTCCCATGTGAAGGGCAACACGGAGACTCTTCGGCCAAGTCGAGGTTTAAGTCAATCAAACATGGTCGGGACACACAAGCGTTGCATGCAATGAGCATGGCAATTTATTGCCGTGGTCACATTTTCCGAGGTTGTCATATGTATCCACTTTAACAAGAGTTCTCGAGGTGCTTATAGTTGTGGGGTTAGAATGCTCCATCATCGCGGGCCGCGGCAAACCTAGCCGGCGATATCCTAACAAATGCGGGGGGTGTCAGTGAGGATATAATCCGGAACATGTTCTACAGACATTGCATATTCAGTTTTGAACCGTTTGAACGCTCTATGTGAAGAACAATAATCAACATGACAAATTATTCAGTTGGCCAAAATCGCCGGTCTTTCTAAATTGACAGCGGGCAACGTGACCGTGCTCGTCCCAGTGGAAGGTTCGCCCCGAAAGCCTTTCAACTTCCAATCTACACTTCGCTATGTACTGACTTGACGAGTCTACAACCCTTGCTGATATTGCTGCCAGATTAAATTGCTGCATCTTGCCGCCATCTCTCTTATCTCCGAACGCGAGAACGAACGCCTCTTGCCCAAGCCTCTTCAAGACCCCAACGCATAACTACAAGACGAGGCGCTGGTCTGGGCGGCGCCCAATTCCTGGTTCATGGGCACAAACCCCACGATCCCGTCAATCAGCGCAGGCTGGAATCGGCAAGATGATGCCGAACACGAATACACACCAATGGCAGCCCTCCCCATCTTCCCAAGACGAAGTCAAAGCCCCGGCCCTCTATCCGAGATTTGCACCATTCTTTGCATCACTCAGCTTCATTATGGGCATACGATTTGCATAAAACGCGAAACGGGGATGGGCCGAGAATTTAGCACTCCACCGTTTAAAGTACCCCCTAAAAGAAGTGTCCACCTGAGTCCACTCCAAACACCGGCCTCCAACTGGACACGAGAGGGAAAATATCCACTCTTTTGCGACCCCCTTTTCTCTGTGTGCGCGGGTCGCGATCTCAGCGCTCCACTCGACTAGCTCATCCATCCACTCAATCGTGGTCTCCTTCCAAATGGCCCCCATCGTGATGCATTAGAGGCCGTGTTATTGGGAGGCCTGCGTCTCAAGCGCCAATTCTCTTTACGAGTCCTGTGTGATTTACAGTATCGATGGGGCACGTTTTTACCCGCTACGATGATACTGTTGCTCCGTATCCAGCAGGCTTGGCCTGGAATGGCAAAGATTGTCTATCGCTAGAAGACCCAAGACTGGGCCGCTCAGTGACTGTCACTCACGGCTCGACCCGCCCCCAAGGAAGCTCAGTTTGCCTTGGGACGGCCCCATGATACATGGGTGGCAGGCAATTTGGCCCACTTGATTCGCTCTATTTCCCACTGGGCAAACCGACATTCTTTCATCCCAACAGCCTTCCGGAGAAACACAACATCGAAAAGCGCACTGTTCGCGTTTTTTTCCTTTTTATCTCCGATGGGCTTTATGCACATAATAGACCTCACATTACACAAGGCGTGCCTTCTCCACAACTTCGAGGGGTCTTATGTACACTACGGGACTTCCATCCCCTGTACTACCGGACGTGCATCCACGCTTTCCTGCAGGCGCACCAGGACAATGACTCGCACTGGCCAACTACGGCTAGGATTCGCATCGTGCTCCCACTTGTGGATATCTGCCTGCAGATGAACCGGTGCCGTCTCTCGCCCCGGTCTGAGATCGCCGAAGCCCAACTGAGACGTGACGCTTGGCCCTGAGACTCGTCTGTTATAATTCCCAGTCTTTGGGGTCCAAGGTCCTCTATTCTTCAGATTTAGTCCGGTTGGTCTAACTAATTAGCCTCCTGCACTTGCGCGGCCTAGGACTTTCCGGGCTTCAGGTGATAGCTAACGAGTCAACTAACCACTTTAACGAGTTGGTTGCATTATTATTATCCATCTTTGCATCTCGTCTCCATTTCATTATTATTATTAAAAATCTCCCGCCCTCCACTTGCTTCCCCCTCCTCGTTTCTCTCCCTTTTTCCATTCTTCTCTTTCTCCCTTCCATTCATGGCCTACGAAGCACTGTTCACAAAAGCTTGCTTTGCTCGACTCCTACCCTTTTACTAGTGGTCGGTGTACTCGCCGTCGGGAATCACCGCGTGCGACCGAATCCTTCTCGAAGGCGATAGGCATTGGCTGTCTGAGCGTCAGCGCTGCACACCTGAAAGCTTGTCCCACAGCATAATCTTCAGCTTTGCTCCGCTGAATAGTTTTTCGATCCGCCAATAAAGGTCCAATCTACAACCCGCAGCTCAGAGCCAGGTGCTCTGCAATTGCACACGAATTGCTTCCAAACATGAAGGACGACAAAGGTACGCAAACAAGCCCCTTGATCGTCGATCGGAAACTCCCCCCGCCCGTGGCGCCCAGACAACAACGGCAACATAGCAAGAACGGTGGAAATAGAAAAAGAAGTTGAAAAAGCAATACTAACGTGATAGCAGCGGACACTGCGTCAATTGACGGGTCAACACCAACGGCAAGTAATCAGGAAGTTCACCATGTCGACGACGAAAAGCGATCGTTTCATGAAACCATAGATGTGGAGCGGGGACCTACGACAGACGTTGAGAAACATGACATCGAGCAAGTAGTCGATGGACCTCGCGATCCAAACATTGTCGACTGGGATGGTCCCGATGACCCTGAGAATCCACTCAATTGGACAAAGAAGAGGAAGGTGTCGGCGACGGTGTCAATTGCACTGATCACGCTTCTCACGTACGATCGCATTTCAATCCTCAGCGCGTCTAGTTATATCCTGAGCTAACATATAACCTATGATAGGCCTCTCGGTTCATCTATGTTTGCGCCCGGCGTCGGACAGCTGGTCCAAGACTTCCATATTACGAGCACGGAGCTTTCATCCTTTGTGGTCTCCGTATATCTACTCGGCTACTGCTTTGGCCCGCTGCTCATTGCACCGATTTCCGAGATTGCTGGTCGCCGCATTGTTTACAATGTGTGCAACTTTTTCTACGTCGTCTTCACCATTACATGTGCCGTTGCGCCCGAAATTGGCAGCTTGACGGTCTTTCGATTCCTTGCTGGATTCGCTGGTAGCTGTCCGCTGACAATCGGCGCGGGCTCGATCGCAGACATGTATGTTCAGGAAAAGCGAGGTGGTGCTATGGCAGCGTGGGCTCTAGGCCCTTTGATCGGCCCCGTCGCCGGACCCGTTGCTGGTGGATACCTTGCCCAGGCTAAGGGCTGGAGATGGACCTTCTGGGTTCTAGCCATGGCTAGCGGGGCTGTCTTTGTTATTTCTCTCTTCACTATCCGGGAGTCGTATGCCCCAACACTCCTAGCTGCGAAGACCAAGAAGCTGCGCAAGGAGACTGGAAACCAGAAACTACGCTCCGCTTTGGACAGCGGTCGCAGTCCGATGGATCTGTTCATGTTCTCGATCGTCCGACCAACCAAGATGCTGTTCCTGTCGCCTATTGTCTTCCTTCTCTCGCTATACGTTGGCGTCGTCTACGGATACCTTTACCTCCTGTTCACTACTATCAGTTCCGTTTTCGAGGACCAGTATGGCTGGTCTTCAGGATCCGTTGGTCTATCATACTTGGGCATCGGTATTGGTTCCTTTGTCGGACTTTTCTTGCTCGGTGCCACGTCCGACCGTTTACTCCAGCACCTCGCCGAGAAGAACGGCGAGAAAAAGCCCGAGTATCGACTGCCGCCCATGATCCCGGGCTCGATCTTCGTGCCTATCTCCCTATTCATCTACGGATGGACGGCCTATTACAAGACCCACTGGATCGTTCCAATCATTGGAACAGCCTTCCTCGGCCTCGGCATGCTGATTTCTTTCGTAAGTTCTTGGCTACATTTTCCCTTTTTTCTTATGTCGCAATCGCTTACATTCTTTCCCTATCTAGATGACCGTCAGCACATATCTAGTCGACGCCTACACAACCTACGCCGCCTCCGCCATGGCAGCCAACACCGTCTTCCGATCTCTGGCCGGTGCCTTGCTCCCTCTCGCCGGCCCCAAGATGTATGAAAAGCTTGGATTAGGCTGGGGTAACTCCCTGCTCGGCTTCATCGCCCTAGCTCTCTGCCCGCTGCCAGTCATCTTCTACATCTACGGCGAGCGCATCCGAACAAGCAAGCTGTTCAAAGTGGATTTCTAGGTTGCCCAGGAGGCTCCGACTCCGCCATTTGCTTTCAGGTCGTTTGTTCTATACGGTGCATTTTGCCTCTGGCTATTGTGTATATCAGGCATTTCCATAATGAGGATGTGGAGGTTCAGATAGTTTGGTCGGGTCAGGTTACGTTAAGACCAAGTTGGAAGCATTAATTAGGCGCTTTCTTTGTTGTGGATTCTGTGAAAAACATCGCAGGAGAATATTCTGGGTATACTGATGTGGATAAGAGGAGTTTATGAGCTCTCCTCGTTACGAATTGATGTTTGGAAATTAGTTCAAATTTGCTGCATACAACTAGAATACCCCAAAGCCGAGAGAAGAAACCATTAATAAACATCATCCCTTCCTTGAACCGCTGATTCTTCAAGTAAGCTGCAAAGGCTGATAAGCAGCATCCCCAAAAAGCCATGCCGCATTACTGGTTACAATGGGTGGCGTTCGTCGGCCTCTATAGTAGACTAACTTATTCAAGAACACTCACCACTTCTATTCTTCAAAAGGAGGGAAACGATTCATCACTTTCTCAGCACTGATACCCTCAGCCATCAAGACCTGTCGGTGCGTCTCGCTCCGTACAGAAATCTCACATTCAAACGGCTGAGGCCGAATATTAAAGCCTTGGGTATAGGCAAAGGTATCATATCTTCTCTCGGCACCATTAGCTTCACGTGCCGGTCTGAATTCAAACGCCCACAAGAGACGCGCCAATGAAATGAACAAGGAATTATGTGCTAATCCCGCTCCTGGACAGATACGTCGTCCCCAGCCAAAGGAGCTATGTCCCTCTTTCGCAGGATGGGGTCGTGGTGGAGACATTTCCGCAAGATCTTCTGGTGAGGACTTTGAAAGATAGGAGAGTGACTCTGGACGGATGCCCAAGAAACGGAGTGGGTTGAAATGGTGCGGGTTCGGGTAGTATGTTGGGTTGAGATTGATTGCCCATGAATTGGAGAGGATGGTCGTGCCCTGCGGTATGTAGTAACCCTTGTAGGTATCTGCAACCGAGTTTGCATGTGGTGTACCTCCGAGAACAGCGACGGGTCTAATGCGAAGTATTTCATTACAGAGAGCTTTGAGATAAAGGAGGTTATCCTCATCGTCGAATGTGGGAAGACGCGTCATTCCCACGATATGATCGAGCTCTGCGTGTGCTCCGGCTTGTACTTGTGGATTTGTCACCAGCATGAGGATTGCACTGCACAACGTACTCGCGGTCGTGTCACTACCGGCTCCAAATAGCGATGCTGGTACAAATGAGAAATCTCTTTCGCTGAGAACGCCAAATGTAGCAGGGTCTGCCTCTCGAGCTTCAAGAAGCAACTTGGATAGAGAGTCTGGTACGTCAGACGGCCTTTTGGCATTGTGAAGCTCATCTTGAACTCGACGTAGCAGTGCCACGTTCGTCGCCGCTTCTTCGCGGCCCTTCCGCTGGATCTCTGCTTTCCATGGTGCAAGAAAGTCGGGGACGTATTTCAGCCAGGGAATTGACTCGGCCAGATATCTCCCTGGTACATTGAGAGACGCAGAATACTGCATAAATTCAAGACGTTGCCGGATGACTTCCGAACTCATCGAGTCAATTCTGTGGCCATACGCAATGCTGAATACCACACTCGCTGTAAACCGATCGATAAGTCCTTCATATGACTTGGGTTGATCGAGTAGCGCCCGGCATAATCTCGCTGCCTCCGCCTCTTGAACAGGCTTGTATAGTTTCAGTGCAGATGGATTCAGGGCTTGGTGCAGCATACGTCGGCGTATTTGCCATTCCTTGCCGTACGGTTGAACCAGAATGCCTGCGTTATCCCAGTACAGTTCGCCCATAACGACAAAACGCGGCCGGGAGCTGAACTTTGTGCTGCGCTTTTCAAGTAGTTCGACTGCCACGTTGGGATCTGAAATGATAATTGTTGGTCGTCGACCGATCCATAATGTGAAAATGGGTCCGTATAGTTGGGACCATTTCTCGAATTGAATCCATGGAGATGAGGACGGGATGATGAATTTATTCCCGAGAAATGGGAGGGGAGTTGGACCTGGTGGAAGACGGAGATATAGAAGAAAATCGTGTATCAGTATCGAGATGACTGGAAGTAAAATCACTCCGGCGACTAAGGAATATGGATGGAGGGCTAGGAATTGCGGTATGGAAAAAAACGAGGCATGCTCAAGCAATACGGAGATTGCCATTCTGAGAATCGCCTCTAAAATAGATGCACTTGAACGATATATCCGGCCTCGAACATTTGTAGAAGTAGTTCGTCCTGCGGATGTGCCAATGTCTCCAATCTTATTGAAGTTTCGGCTCTACCCGAGTGGGTGCTGGCCCCACGACGCCACATGGAGAGGGGCTTGCGGGGAGCTTGATGGAATCGCTCTCCAGGTAATAAGGCCGGTAATGAATTCAATTCAAGTGCCGAGATAAATAACAATATCCCACTTCTTGCCTGTTCCCATCCGATTTCTTGTGGGGCAACTTATGAGTGAGATGATACAACATGGTCGCCTCGTTTAAGTGGACATACCCGCGAGGAGATACGTACGACATGGCAACTATCCCAATCTGTCTCAGTTTTCAACCTTTAAGGCTGTGCCAACGGATGCAAGGACGCTAAAAGTAATTTATACTGCCTCAGCTCTATCAAATTCAGCTTTCACCTAAACGGAAAGGACATATGGATGGCTTAAGTTTTCGTCAGAATTCTATTGGCATGGATGTTTCTTTGGAGCTGGGGATCAATGACCAAGTTCTTGCGTATATTGGGGCCCTATAGAATTTACATCGGAAGGGCTATTGAGCCCGCGTGATATTCATTGCCACTCCTAACCACCAGAAGAATGCGTCGGCTAGACTGAGTTACATGCTCTTTTCACTCTGGACAAGCTCGTGCCCTAGACAAAATGAGGCATAGCTAAAGCCGCCCAACTACCTATAGGATTGCGTCTCTATACTTGGCTAACAAACACTCTCGCCTCGATAGATCAAATCGAGATGATTGAGGGGGTATCTTCTTGTCCGGGGGACTTCCGTGCCATTCTAACAAGCTACATTCGAGCTAATTCTGGGGTATTCAATTTATCTTCTATCTCTTTTCTTTGATCCTCTACGCAATTTGGTTCACTAGCTTTTGACCGTCGTCTCGATTTCATGTTTGCTTTGGTGCTCTTCAACCAGCCTGGTTTCTTCATTACGTCCAAGTGAAATGGGGCGACGTGCAGCATCATCTGATCGTTGTCTCATTGAACTGCCGTAACCTTCAGCAGACTTCCGAGACTTGGAAGTCGTTTTCGTCTAGAGTTGGGCATACTCATCTGAGTCAAGAGCCGACCTAGAATTGCTCTTACTGATTATAGCCGTCGCTCATGTGGGGTAAGCGGGGAATATGATGGCGACTTGAATACCAGGCGCTGACGCTAATCCTGAATCGCTATCTGGGCCGAATTTCATCTTGGTAAGCATATTTTATCATGGTAAGCAACCCGGGGATGTGTCTAAAGAGCAAAGCCTTCTGTAAAGTAGTTAGTCAAGAAGGACCAACCCCCGCCTTCCCGGAAAGGGTCCAGCGGCTCTATTACATAAGCAACGCCCAGTGAGCGTGGGCCCGAGCCCGACCTTAACCTCCATTGGGATGGCCTCGCCGTCATATGCAGATCCCCCAGGACCGAGGTCGGGGACTAGTTCAAAGCCCATTTTCGTCAATCAGGCAAGACTTCGGTCGTCAGAGTCTTTCTGGAAAGCTGACGGGAGTCACTCATCTTTGCATTGCGCGGTAGGCGCCCGTCGTCAATGCCTTCACGTCGCAGCCATACAAAGTCCCGAAAGGGATGCTTAGAGTGCAAGAGAAGACATGTTAAGGTCAGTCTTGTCTTTTAATATGCTGCAGGACTCTCGGAGACTCCAATGCGTCTATTTTCGGACTGCCTGGCAATGTGAAGCAAACTCGGCAATCTGCCGCTGCGCCAGGAAACAGCTATAACGCGACACGCGACCATATATCTGACAATGCTTACAGTGCGATGAGGGGACTCCCAAGTGCACACTGTGCAAAAAGCGCAGACTGGAGTGCAGTTATCCGCCCCCACAGAGTGACCTCGATAGCTCTCATGGCTCACCATCAGGTCAAGATGGCTCCGAGAGTGGCAATCGAACGCCGGGAGGAGATCAATCAATGCAAACGCGTATGCTGGAGATGAGACTCTTCCATCAATACCTGACATCGACCTGCCACACACTTTCCCAGCATGGACTCTCTGCATATCATTTGTCTATCATCATACCCCGGATGGCTACCTCCTTTCCTTATCTACTAGACAGCATTCTTGCTCTTTCTGCTCTACACTTGGCTACTGTCGAAGTAGATAACCGGTTGACATGGCTAGATGCTGCTGTGCGGTATCAGAGCCAAGCATGCTCTGGCATGGGTAAAATACTCCCGGACGTCACACCCGAGCATTACGAATCGGCCTTCGTATCTTCGGTCCTTATTTTCTTATTCGCGACGGGATTTCCTGGTATTTCACCGGAAAGCAACCAAAATAGCAGCCCAATTTCTGAAGTCCTCGAAGGGAGGCGACTTATCACGGGTACCGCCATGCTCTTCGAGCGTTTCAATGAAATGGGTGTTGATGCAAAACTGAGCGGTTGGCTTTGTGTCCCAGACACGGAAGAAAGTCTCGAGAAGAACGAGGAGAATAGGTACTTGAAACCCCACAGTTCATGCCACATAGCTAATTCTATGCAAAAGTGATGACTCCTCGGATGACGACGCCAAGAAATTACATGATTTGCACAAGTAAGGATCATCAAACGAGTATCGGGGACACGGAGCTAACAATAAATAGAAGCATCATGGAATCACTTGAGAAATTACGAGTCACAATTGGGGCAAATGGAAATCCCAACAAAGAGCTTTACCAGACGATATGGCAGCTTCTACATAACTCGATAGAGCCATGGCCCAAGATCGGGCCGCATGGGGGAGTGATCGCATGGCCACTCTTTATCCCCGAGGCATATATTTCATTACTCGAAAGTGGTGACTGGGTCGCCCAAATACTTTTCCTGCATCATGCTGTTGCGTTACGGCTGATGTGCAACCGATGGTATGTTCGTGATCGGGGTCGCAGGCTGGTTCTTGCAGCATTAGAGAAATTGGAGGAGATACCGTCTGAGTGGACGGAGACTATCTCTTGGGTCAAAAGGGGTGTTGGGATTGACACGTCGCTCGTTGCATAGAACATATATGTAAAAGAACCATGGTTCGAATGTCAATTTTATGTCTGTATATAAGGTCCTGCCTGCGCAGTTTGAAAATCTTGGATTTCTTCAATATCGTCTTAGATCTTGAGTCATACTCTAGATTGGATCCTTTTTTCTTGACCCTCGTAAATTTTGAGGTAGCAGATTTTCTCCAATGAAGGTTAGGTAGCAAGCGTTATCAAGATGCAGGGATTACCTTTGCCCTTGACATCATCATATATTGAGACTTGACGATGGCTGGCAGGTACATAATTATAAATCTCTTAGTCATGACTCTCAAGGTTGTAGTTACCAGATACTCTAATTTTGAATTTGGGAAGATTTTGTGGAATATTTATTCTCATGTAAATCTTCTGTTGATGACGGCACTCAAGTTATGCGGGACTCAGTTTCTTTTGGTCCGATAATGAGTTTGACTTCACCTACCATTTTTTTGAGATGTTTAGACCAGGAATTGGATCGATCTGACTGGCATGCACGATAAATCTGAATGTTTTTCCCGAGTAGACCCACCAATGGTGCGTCCCTGTCCAGCAATCCAATCCACGTGGAAGAGTATGGATGGCGTGAAAATTCTGATCGCTTGCAGAACTGAACAAAAGCTTGCAAATCTTCGGTGGAATCCCCAACCTTTGCCTTGGGGGCTGTTCGTAAGGTACCACCATCTGGGAATCTTTCGTCTAGAAACGCCACCAACAAGAAGTTGGCATCATTTTCGCGCGGAGGACAGTTCTGGCGTAGCATCTGTTGCTTTGTGGCATTACTTGCGAGGTATTTCTGCCCTGGCGCGCCCCATTTCTTACTTATTCCGTCAATTTCTTCTTTTGCAACACTATGCCCACAATCCTGACGAGCAGTGGTCCAGAGATCGACCAACAGCCGGCCTGAAGGTCTCGAGTGAAGCTCTGATCTAGGAATTGAGGCTTTGGAGATTCCCTCACTCCACAAGTTAGACGATCGAAGACTTCTTCCACTGGCATCGACGATGTCAATCCCGTGCTCTGTGAAGGATAATGCTCTAGAATCACGATTCCCTTTGGGGATGGCAAATCGAGCACACAGCGAAAGAGTTTTATTGCTCCCATCTGGATGCTTCCATCGGAGCAAGAATGCCCCATCTTCCTTAATAGCAATAGGATAGCCCTGCATTTCCTTTGCAGTCAAGAAGCGAGAAGGGAACAGAGTGCTGCTTTTTCTCACGTTTTTCTTCTGGAGCCAGAAGCCGCATTTTACAACACCCTCTGATAAAACGCCTTTTTCATATTTTTCGATGGGAAGTGTAGGATACCAGCGCTTTTTTGGACAAGTTTCAATGAGAACTTTGAGATAGTCGCCATCTGTAAGCTGACTCAAAGCCCGCAAAAGGTATGGCTGACCTGGCTGAAGAGACGCGAACTGTTCCATCCAAATATTCCTTTTGTCTTCCGAATGTGGAATTGACCAGTGTAACTCTTTCTGCGCACGAGCCCAGACCATATCTAAGTCTCGTCGCCTTTTTTCGGAATACGCCTCGCCAACAGACATGCCAAAGGATGCGATGTGAGAGAATGTGTGTTCATCGAGAATTTCTATACCATTTTTCTTGCCAAATATTGCAGGAGTGTAGAAGTCCAATGGGCCGGTTGCTACCGCCCCGATTGAGTTATGGATGCGGGCAGTGGAGTCGCACAACGCCGTCTGTGCCAGTTTGCTTTCGTGCCAGTTTGAGCTTCTCATATAAAGGTATTCGAACAAGTCTGTTTGAAAATGTGTATCCGAATTTTCAACTGCCTGGGCAGCTTTTCTTGCCTGGATCATATTTGACTGAAAATAAGAACCAGCACCACTTTTTAGTGCTTTCTCAACATGGGCCAAGATTTGGGTGCATAATTCCCGACGAGAAGGGGTCTTTGTGCATTTGGGATATGTATCGACAATCTCAATCGCGCAGGATGCGACGAAGAAAGCAAATTGCATCGTTAAGTAGTAAAAGCGCAGCCTAACCGAAGACCGAGGCCCATACTGGTGACTGCCGGGATGTTCCAGGGGGATGTGAATGAATGCTTCATTATCATCCGAATCATAAGAGCGAATCTCGAGTGGATGCGTACCAAGCGTCAAGAATGACTTGATAAGCCTCGATTTTGCACTAATTTTGGTCAGATTGAAGATCATGGCGCTCGCAGCTACTTTTCCAAATGTTACCACGATGATCGGCCGCGTACATCGGAAGTAAGCCGAGAGAAAATCCAGTGCCTTGACTGTGGCGCTGTATTTGGGCAACGGAATCACGTTGAGAAAAGGGAAAGCTCTTGAAATGTCTTGAAGTGGCACCACGTTATCCCCGATGTAGTTCTTTTCTTCAATGTGTTTGATGCGATAGATCAAATTCCTCACAAGTCTGCTAGACTTGCTTTTCCCGTCGAAAAACGAGCATCTTGCTTTCAGGTGGCTATCTGTGAGCTCTTCTCCAATGAATACGACGATCGTTGTTCCAAGGTACTGGTATGGTCTTGCTTGGCTTTCAAGAGCATCCTTGGCAGTTTTGCTCACAGCTTCATTCAGTCGCGGATCTCCAGTAAGCATTTTGGCAAAATGATTCTTCACGCTTGACCATTCGCTGTTAGAAAACAGACTGTTCTCGCTCAGGATTTTCTGAAAGTAGCTGGTATCAAGATTTTCAAATATCATTTCATCTTCTTCGCTCGGCAGATATCTGATATGATGCCCTCCAAGCTGCAAATTCAAAAGGGAGCGGGATCCAAGGAGATGAATGAGTAAACTCTCTGTATCATCCGCATTCAACTGATTGCCGATATGGTTTCCACTGCCCAGTATATCGAATGACATATCTGGGAGTAGATGAATCTTTGCCTTCTGAGATATGAGTGGATATTTTTCCTCTAAGCAGCATTGAAAAGCACCGAGAAGACTCTTTTTGGACTTGTTGTTTGTATCATCCGCGAATCGTCTGGAAGCAGTCGTCACACAGTTTGTACTTCCGACGTATCGCACCGTGATATCCCGGGTCCGTGCCACGAAACTGGTGAACTTCCACTCATCTAACTCGGGGAACGTCTTGCCGTCATCTTGTAGGTATTGTGAGATGTTGTAGAGTTGTGTCGGTGTCATGGACCAGGAGCGGATGTAAAATGCATGTTCTCGAGGTGCAAGGCTTTGGTTGAGGCTGCTTCCCATTTGTGGAGCTTTAAGACGCAGAATCTTTCCAAGGTCTGTATCAGTGACCAACATAGGCTGTACAAATAGAGTGTGGATGACCTTCGACTGCTCCTGTGAGAGGTCTGTGTTCCCAAGAATAAAGTTGAACCTTTCCAGCACCATTCCAGAGATGTCTATGTGGTGTGCCTTGAGCTCAACTCCCAGCAAATCAATCAACGCTCTCTTGTTGATCTGACAGTCGTAAGTTGTGGCCATGTTGCAGTAATTCTGTCTGGTTTTTTGAGTGGTGGCTACATGGGTATTCGTGCCGCGAGGGACTGAGCTTGACCTCTTCCTTGCGGGTTGCGGTGGTGGCCCCGTGGTGTACATCGCCATCTAGTATTTTGCCCTTTTTAGAAGGGTATCATAAATTGGTAAGGAAGTGAATATAGCTGAATGGCTGACCTTTCGACTGGTGTGTTGGCGAATTCAACAGCTTGGGCCTGCTGGTCTGGCCAGCCTACTGGTCTTCTGTTTGACTTTCTCGAGATTGTTAGTTCCAAATTATTGTTATGAACCAAAAATAAAAAGAACTCGAAAGAGCAGAAAAGAAAAAGGGCACTCGTTTATTTGCCGATGGCGGGGAGACTGAAGAGAGAAAGGATGGTAAACACGACTAGGCGCGAGTTCTCAAAACAAACTCCGCTTAGTCCGTTTGCCTAGTTATGGCAAGCTCCTTCCCAGTCCCTCCTAGTGATTCTTTCTGTTTGTTAATAGATCGGCCTCATTGCAATGAGCTCATGGACAATATTTTCATAGGAAAGTCCCGCTTCGGGGAGTGATTTAAGTGGACCGTTATCAGTGAGATGCTCTTTTGTCACCTTCGGGTTTGGAGTAGTGTTACAGATCAGTCGGTATATTAAAAATTAGGTGACCGGGTAGCGTGCGGGGACCAAACAGAGTATCTAGGCATATTATGGTAGGAGTCAGAAGGGAGAGAAAGACACTAGGAAAACCCATCGTGGTCGTGCTGTATAAAATTTTCGAGGCAAGTCCTTGTATCGGTTTCAAAGACTTCATTTCTCCCCTACCGTGTCGATTTCTCTTTTGTGATTTTAGTTGCCTGTTTAATAGCTAGACCTAATTAAAAATCCTCAGTATATTGGAGTAGTTGGATTTCCCAGCATGTTTGCCCTTGCTTCCAACAAAAATAATCCGTCTCCATTGTCTCCAACGAAGAATGGGGGATAAGGCAAAATTAAAAAAGAAATGGCGCTGCCCGGAATCGAACCGGGGCTGGCACGGCCACAACGTGACGTCATACCACCTCAAGGTAGATCAGGTTAGATTTGGGTTATTGATGCTGCTGGTGGCAGGTATACTCACTAGACCACAGCACCGACTTGCTGACACGATCAACACCTATTTTGTGATAACCGTCTGAACAGGTTACAAACCAGTGTGGCCATTTCAAAAGATAGTAATTCGGGCAACACTTCGGAATACCTCTAATATGAATCGTCTTAATAATGGATAAATAGAGACTTGGTATTTTAGGAAAATAAAAGAGGCCGAGTAGGCACCCCTAAGGCTGTAGACGTACTTACTTGTGACGCCATGTCCTGGGACAATGGCAGTTCATTACAGTGGACCCAAATATATATTATACCGAGCGGGAGGTACACATCTGAGGACGACTGTCGTTGAATAGATATTGCAAACACTGGAGATAAGTTCAACCGGAACCTTAGTATAGAACGCCAAACAGCCAGTCAAACCTTCCGATGGACAGATATATAGCCGTAGAACCCCGCCCATGGGCTGCTGCCCTCCTCACACCATCGATATAATCGATGGGAACGATAAATTCAAGCTACACGGCTAGAGGTATACGAGGTCATCATAGGTCAAGTGCTCAGTGACCCATTTATGCCGTGGTGGATCTGATAACTAATTCAATGGTCATCTGTAGTACCGGCGCAAGGAGTGACCCATGAAGTGCTGTATGCAAGTGTGATGGAGCTTCAAAGTTGTAAAGTCCGGTATTTCTACCTAGCTAATAGCAAATGTGCCCAAGCAATTACCTTCGAAAGACACGCACAATAAGAATCGAGTTATCAATTGAATTAGCTACCCTGGAAAAAATAGTCTCGAAAGCATTCAATGTATGCCTCTCCCAGGCTCAAGCACTTCGCCGACGAACTCTATTCCTCCCAAGATGCCACGTGATTTGGCAATGAAGCACTTTGTGGAGGGAAATTGGTCAAACAGATTCATGATGTTGAAAATTTGGCCATCTTACATCAATCAGGTGCTGTGGTCCAGTTGGTCAAGACGCTTCGTTGTGGAGCAATATTCGTATTCCGAAGTAGCCCCGGTTCGAATCCGGGCAGCGCCACTTTCTTTTTTCATTTTGTCCTCATGTCACTCACATCCATCATATCAGAGCCACATTTTTTGCATGATATTTAACAGACGCTGTAATTTATCACTAGTTATGCATGTACTAACTGACTTTCTACTAAGGTTAAATCCACTACATGTTACTAGAATCATCCTTGCCATCAATAGGCATAGGACGAGGAGTGCCTTGAAGCCGTTCGATTAACTGATAAGTCGAGGCATAACGTAGTGGAGGGTTATATCTAGCTCACAAAGGTTGCGCACGATAATCACCATATAGCACGAAGCTCACGGGAGTAGTAGTCTTAATTAGACGTAGCTGTCTGGACGAATCAGGCGTATTATGTCACTGGAAGCAACCATGGAAGATGAAAAGCGACTTAGCAACTTCAGACCGACAACTAGACATATTATACATCAATCCGATCAACCTGAAACAGGGAATTATCGATGGCGGGATACTTACAAGGACGTCTTTGTGTTCTGCTTCTTCTCCTCGCCTCTCACTCTACCCTCTCTCTTTCACTTTCGTTCCATCGCATGACCGGTCATTCCTGGCTGCCTTTTTTACCGTATCAGTTAGAAGCAGATTTGTATAGCCGCTGCCTATGCTACAGGGAGTACTAGAAGTAAGCTGTCTTCGTAATATAAATCAACCCGACAAATTAATAATAAGATTACAAAGTGTACTCACGGTGATTTTTGTAGACTCTCTAATCTTTAACGAGCCCATCATGCGTAGAAATGAACGAAGAAAAAGCTGCAAGTCATTAACATGACCTTTGAAGTTTGTAAGTATGTGATCATGATGCAAAAAGACAAAAAAGAAAGTGGCGCTGCCCGGATTCGAACCGGGGCTACTTCGGAATACGAATATTGCTCCACAACGAAGCGTCTTGACCAACTGGACCACAGCACCTGATTGATGTAAGATGGCCAAATCTTTGACATCATTAGCAAGCATAAAAAACTTACGCGTTAGAATATGTTCAGCTAAGACATTCCCAGTGCCGCCGACCAACTTCTTCGAAGATGATATCTAGAAAGGTCATGAGTGTTGGCCGGGCATATCCACATACCGCATTATCCATTGATACAGGTCATCCTTGGGCCCAAATTTCAGTGAACATCCACTTATCAGCGCCTCGCGCTCTCTCTTCGGCACAAATATCTACAATTTACAGATCGGCGCCAATGTCGGCGCCAATGTCGAGTTTTTACCGAGCTCAGAGGCCACGGTTCTCGGCGATCCGACTGAAACAGAGAGGTGTCTCACTTGACAGTATAATATCTGTCAGGAATCTGGAACTTCTATCCAGACTTGTCGAGGTACCCAGAGTAAATGGGTGCTTATAGGCGTAACCGTGTCTGGTCACAGGATTATATTGAATACACACAGACAACGCGGGGCACTGATAGGCTTTATACGACGAGAGCAGTGTGTTTTCCAACTGCAAAATACAAGAGGATCCCTAGCCATTTGTAGTCCCAAGTGCGGAATATGAATTACACCTATATCTCAAAGCAATGCCACCTTGGATTCCGCGGGCTGGGAGGAGTTTCTTGAGCATTTTAGCAAGATTATCGAATCAAATTAAGCTGGCCCTGGCGTCATAGCATAGAAGAAGTCCCGGATCCATTTTGCTATGTTGCTCCGTCTGTTTGCCGCCAATGTCAAGGCCCAAGGGCGGGATCGGCTGCAACTGGTACAGCCCCCATGCCACAAAGTATCTGTTTGACTCATGTACGTACTATTGTGATCTACAGGTTTATTTCCATTCTAATTTAGCGCTGTATACTGGGTGACGTGGGCAATCAGCCTCATCACGTGGCACAAGGCGCTTAGGATACCCCTCTTATTACCATCCCTCAGATAGGTTACTTCCAATGTGAGCGACTATCGCTTGGCCTCTAATTTATTAATAAATTTACTTCAAAATGACGGAGCCAAGCTCCGTTGACCAAGCAGACTATACAGTCGCGTGGTTATGTGCCTTACCACTTGAGCTGGCGGCCGCAGAGTCAATCCTCGATGATCCCCATCATCATACACCCAACGATGCCCAAAGCGGCTACTCACTCGGAAAAATCGCAGGCCACAATGTTGTCATCGGCTGCTTGCCATCCGGAATTTACGGTACGAATGCCGCAACAGGGGTTGTTTCACGCACGCAATCCGTCTTTCCGAACATTCGATATGGTCTTATGGTTGGAATCGGGGGTGGCGTACCAAGCAAAGCCGCAGATGTTCGACTCGGGGACATAGTGGTGAGCAAGCCGATTGGAAAATTTGGGGGCGTCAAACAATATGACCTCGGAAAATCCATTGGCGAGGTGCATCTAAAGCAGACTGGAATGTTAAACCAGCCCCCGTCTATCCTCTTGACTGCTGCATCTCAACTGGAATCGAAGGGAATGAGGAAGCAGGAACTTGCTATTCTGGGGAGACACTGGAACTGTTTCAGAAAAATCCGGACATGGAAGCGAGATTCTCTAGACCTACAAAGGATGATCGTCTCTTCCGCTCAACCTATACCCATTCCGGATCAAATGACTCTTGCACTGATTGTAATATCGACGAGGTAGTCACCCGCCCAGCTCGTCAATCAAAGGATCCTCAAGTACATTACGGAACGATTGCATCCGGAAACGGTGTTATGAAAGACGCCCGTGAGCGTGATGAAATTGCAGAGAGATTTAACGTACTTTGTTTTGAGATGGAAGCTGCGGGCATCATGAATCATCTACCATGTATTGTGGTTCGTGGGATCTGCAATTATTGTGACTCGCACAAAAACAAGGAGTGGCAGGGATATGCAGCTCTTGTTGCTGCAATATACGCTAAAATGCTACTCAAGCTTGTGCCTGTGACCAAAGCCCAAGCTGAAATGAAAACGGATGAAATTTTGATGCTTCCATTTGACCGTAACCCACGATTTCTGGGGCGAAGTGAAGCAATTCAGCGGTTAAAGTCTCAAGTATTGACCAGAGATCATACGAAAGCCCGAAGAGCTGCAATCTCGGGTCTAGGAGGAGTGGGGAAAACCCAGGTCACCCTTGAACTCGCCTACACGATACACTCCCTAGACCCAACATACTCTATCTTCTGGATTGCCTCAACGAGCATAGAAACAGCAGAGCAAGCATTTCAGAGCATGTGCAAAGCATTGGGGCTACCGGATGGAGGTCCCGATGATATAAAGTCTCGTGTGAAAGCTCATCTTAGTTCTAAGAGAGCTGGATCGTGGCTGCTTATTGTGGACAATGCCGACGACCCTACTATGTGGCTAGAACCTAACATCAATTCATCCCATCCGCTCAAAAGCTTTCTTCCACAGAGCCACGAAGGCTTCATACTTTTCACGTCTCGGAGTCAACGACTTATGACTCAACTGGTTGGCCCTGGCGTTATAAGACTATCCGCATTAGATGATGCGTCTGCTGTCGATCTGTTCAAAAGCTCTCTGATCGAAAAAGAATTGACTGTGGACGAGGAAACTTCGATCGCACTCATACACTACCTATGTGGTCTACCATTGGCCCTTATTCAAGCTGCGAGTTTCATCAATGAGAATTCGGTGTCCCTTTAAAGCTATCTTTCGATCCTTCATCAGCAAGGGGATATGATGGAGTTACTAAGCGAGGGATTCGAGGACAATTACGGGTATCGGGATGCTGAGAATGCTGTCTCCGCTACTTGGCTGATTGCTTTTCGACATATTGAGAAATCAAATGCTCTTGCAACCAGGTTTCTTCTATTCTTCGCATGCATTGACCCTCGGGACATCCCGTTATCCCTTCTGCCGCCGACGGAAACAGTGCTCGCAAAAGAAAAAGCATTGGGCGTCTTGAAAGCCTACTCTTTTATCACCTCACACGTCGACGACAAATTTATTAGCATGCATCGACTTGTTCATCTTGCTACAAGAAACTGGCTTCGAAAGAACGAAAATCTTGTTAAGTCGACAATTGAAAACTCGGAGCACATCAGTAGAGTATTCCCCTCTTCTGACCTCAAAAACAGAAGCTTGTGGCGACAGTATCTACCTCATGTTCAAGCTCTGCTCGAAAGAAAAGAGCTCCTGCCAAAGACTAGGGAGGTGCTTGCTGAGAGTGTTGTAACGTGTCTTTGTGAAGATGGCAGATACAACGAAGCAGAAATACTCTTCTTGCCAATCCTGCGTAGTAGGCGTCAGAGCCTTGACCAGGGTGATCCAAGTCTGCTCCAGAGTATATTGCTGGTGGTATCTATATATAGGAACCAAGGGCAATGGACAGATGCCGAGGAATTAGTTGTCCAGGTGTTGGATTCCAGAAAGGAAATTTTAGGCCTTGAGCATCTTGATACGCTAAAAAGCATGGAAGACCTTGGCTTGATCTTTTGGAAACAGTGGCGATCGAAGGAGGCTGAAATTATACACGCCCAGGTTTTTGAGAACAGGAAAAAGATTCTCGGTCTTAGGCATCATGATACGCTGATGAGTATGTCGAACCTCACAGTGGTCATTTTGGATCAGGGGCGATTCAAGGAAGCCGAAGAGCTAAGCATCCAGGTTGTGGGGCTACAAAAGGATGTTCTAGGTGCCGAGCATCCTGATACATTAACGAGCATAACCAATCTTGCGTCGTCACTTTATGATCAGGGACGATGGAAAGAGACGGAAGAGCTTGAAATTCAGGTGCTGGAGCTGGAAAAGAGTATCCTGGGTGTCGAGCATCCCGATACGTTAATAAGCATGGCTAATCTTGCGGCGACATTTTGGAAGCAGGGGAGATGGAAAGAAACTGAGGAGCTTGAAGTGCAGGTACTTGAGACACAAAAGAATGTTCTCGGTGTTGAGCACCCTAGTACGCTGGGGACGATGGTGTCAACTTTTCGAAGCCGTGGGCGTTATCAAGAGGCCGAGCAGCTTGGAATTGTGGTTTTGAATCTCAAGAAAAAGGTTTTGGGCGAAGGGCACCCCAAAACGCTCATTAGCCTGGAGCACTTAGGCCTGACCTTTGGGAATCAAGGGCGATGGAAGGAGGCTGAAGCTCTTGAAGTGCCCTTGTTGGAATCATCTAAGGCCATTCTAGGTGTTGAGCACCCTCTTACGCTCAAGCGAATGCAGAACCTTGCGCGGACCTGGAAGAGTCAAGACCGCCTCAAAGATGCCGTGGCCATGCTTAAACAATGTGGGAAGCTACGAACGAGTTGCCTTGGCGAAGACCATCCCGATACGGCCGAGACATTATCAGAACTGTCTTCATGGAAGCAGGAATTGAGTGATCACTCTCTACTGAGAACCTGCTCACTGGAAGTCAACAAATCTTCAAGCGAGGGTGAGCCGAGCCACAATGACTGTTACTTTCCGACTCGAAATGTCTCGCATCTCTTTAAGCTGAGCAATCCACTTGTCGGATTCCACCCAATCCTCTCTTCCTTGAAGGCCTCGAATATTGCTACAAATCGTGGTCAGGATGATGACGATTTTGACTGAAGTTGAATACGGTCAGTATATGCCTCTGCTCTACTAGCTGCATTCCAGCCGCAATCCGTCACCCTGCTGACTTTGAAGTATTACAGATCCAGGATCTATGACGCAAAAGTCCTGAAAAATGGGTTGTGCCGGCTGATGGATCGATTGGTGAGTGCCATGTGGCCGTGATTCCGCTGGGAGAAGAGACGTCTAATTTTTGTTAATTTAGAGTGAGAAAAAGTATCGTTCCTCGACTTAGACGTCATGCCGAGCGAGAGTTGAAGCCCTAAGAAATGAACAGCCAAAGAGATTGAGCACAGAAGCGGGTATTAATGGAATTTGGAACTCTCCAGCTCTCTTATGTCCGTGATCCCTTTGTTCCCTGTAGATTTGATAAGTGTCTCGAATGAACAACTTGCTCTACGTTGAAAACCTCTGCTCTCTTTCAAAGTTTGACTTTAGCTACAGGACTCCCATATTGTCATTCTTATGAAACGCACTTAGAGCCATGCTGTTCAGAGTGAGGCTATTAGTTCTCAAGGCTATTTCCCGAGTAAAATGACCAATTGACAAAGAATGGCGAGTAACCTTCCTAGTTATGATTGCATGTTGCATTGACATTAGTTCATCCGTTTCTATTTCCCTACGAGGAGAAGTTTTGAAAGCCTTTTGGCTATTGCTTCATCTTGTCTTGCTTCTGAGAGAGCACGCGATGGGAGAGTCCTATTCCGGAATAGCTAGCGTGTGACAAACTTAAGTGAAGAGCAAGCCAACTATCTGCGCTCTTATACGGAGTACATATAAGCTCGCCCTTAATGGTAACTGTGATAGGGTATAATTTCCACCGAGCGAATCATAACGGGTGCTCAGCAACTAATGACAACGACTCGAGGAGTGGGTTCTGAATTCACTAATTGAACTGCTCTGTCAGCAAGTCGGTGCTGTGGTCTAGTGAGTATACCTGCAATCAGCAGCATGAATCAACCAATTCTAACCGACCTACTTTCAGGTGGTATGACGTCACGTTGTGGCCGTGCCAGCCCCGGTTCGATTCCGGGCAGCGCCATTATCTTTTTGCTTTTCTTTTTGCTTTTCTTTTTGCTTCTTGTATAACTCCGCCTTTTGGCAGGGCAGCGTGGGACACACAACCCGATATGTAACAATGTTACAGTTTGATAAGAAAGGGTAGCGAGATTACCAGGGCCAGGGGCGATAACCGTTGAGCGTCTGCCATGATTATTGAATAATCTATAGTTAGAAGATAAGGTACCCCCTGGCTTACAGAGGGGAAATGTCTATCAAACTTATAGCGCCGCCGATATCGAAGTCGTCCTGAGTGCATTCCATACCATGAGCATTTGCTCATTCATCTTTGGATGATAGAGCTCAGATTTGACGCTCCGAAGACCAACCCTGCCGTCGCCGGCGCCCTCTCCGCTGAAGACTAACTGGATGGGGATGGTTTTAGCGTAGCAATGCCAGTATTAATCGGGGCGCAATAACGGGACGCTGTGATAAGCTTTGGGACTAGGTTATTTCGAGTACGAGAATGTCAGTGCCACGCGACTCCAAACCCATGATTAATAATGTTGGTTTCTGACCCCAACACACTATGGTCAGGAGTCATCCGCTCAGGCGTTATTGGACCACGTTCATACCCCCCACAGATAACAGTAGCGGAAATATAGGCAGTCATAGTGTATGTTGTCGTAGGTAATCTGGCTTTATGTCCCCGAAGATTAGTGAGTGGAGAGGGACGGCCGCTTATCTGCGGGGTCATGTTGATATCCCAAAGAGCAATTCAATCCACGAGACCACCGGTTTCGGACATTCCCCGAAAAACGGGAATGGGTTTCATTTGATTATGGAATCCTCGGAGAAATTAAAAGCTACTGTTTACTAGGTCGACAGGGAGTAGGAGTCTCTCGAATCTCAACATCCCATACGCGTGCATGGGCTCCTGCACGTTGCAATGATCGGCGCTGGAGATGTGGAGAAGCAGGTAAGAGATCCATACCGACCCTGGTCAAATCCCCGCTACCCCCTCACGCTGAAAGACGGCCTGTTCAGTGTAAATGATGGATTTAATAGCCTCTGCTGGGTTCGCACTCCTTTGCGAAGGTCAAGAGCAGCGACGGACATTGCATCGGATCTAGGAAGATGTTTTATTCCAGGAACTTCGGCCTGTTGGCCGTACTGTCTATGATCTTGTTTGTCGCCTGGTTACCCAGCGCATCCACATCGCCGCTTGAATTCGCTATTCGAGATACCGACCACAACAATGGACAAGGACGAGCGATCGGCCCGGGAAAATTGGGTGCGGTTGCGACGGAGAATGCTATTTGTTCGCGGCATGGTATTGAGATGTTCGAGATGGGCGGTAATGCTGCCGATGCAGTGAGTACACCCTCTTGAGAAAGGAGTGTTTCTAGAATGCAGGCCCCGTGCTAATAGATTTGATAGTTGATCGCCGCACAATTTTGTATCGGTGTAACCTGTGAGTTTATCTGACAATCATGGTAACACATCAGGCTGGCCGAAACTAATCCACCCCCAGCAATGTACCATAGTGGAATCGGCGGAGGTGGCTTCATGCTTGTCCGAGCACCGAACGGCTCTTTTGAGTTCATTGACTTCCGTGAGACCGCGCCCGCTGCCGCCTTTCAGGACATGTATAAAAATAACACCGAGGCATCTATTTACGGAGGACTGGCAAGGTATGATCACTGGCAAATACATGTTCCCATTTGGGAGACACGCATTGACACGCTATAGTGGTGTACCTGGCGAGATCCGTGGACTAGAGTATCTTCACCGGAAATATGGCTCTCTCCCCTGGGCGACGTTGATGCAGCCAGCGATTCGGACGGCACGAAATGGGTTTGCCGTGTCTACAGATCTGGTCAAATATATGGGGCTTGCAGTTGGCGATGGAGAAGATTTCTTGTCGAAGGATCCGAACTGGGCTTTGGATTTTGCTCCCAACGGAACCCGATTGGGCTTGGGAGACACCATTACACGGAGGCGCTATGCAGATACACTTGAAACTATCGCTAATCGGGGACCGGATGCATTCTACACAGGCCCAATGGCAGAGACAATGATCAATGCTATTCAAGCAGCAAACGGAACCATGACTGTCGAGGACTTGAAGAACTACACTGTGGCGATTCGCAATACCTCGATGATTGACTATCGCGGATATAAGATCGCAAGTACGACGGCTCCTTCGAGTGGAATTGTTGCTCTCAGCATCCTTAAAATTCTGAGCACCTACAAAGGTCTGTTTGATTCGGAAAAGTCACTGAATCTTAGCACGCACCGGATGGACGAGGCGATGCGTTTTGGATATGGAGAGGTAGGTCTGCTCAAACTCTAAGGAATGATTTTCTATACTAACAACGCCGGCAGCGGACTAAACTCGGTGACCCATCTTTTGTGGAGGGCATGGACGAATATCAGCAGAACATGTTGAAACAATCGACTATCGATAGTATTCGAGGGAAGATTTCCGATTTTCACACCCAGAATGTGTCTACATACGACCCATCAGGCCTGGAAAGTTTGGAAACGTACGAACTCCTTTTAGTCAACACGAACACAACTAAATTGATTAACTGGCTTCCAGTCCAGGAACCTCTCATCTCGCGACCGCTGACCACACCGGCCTTGCTATCTCTGTGATCACCACGATCAATTTGTTCTTCGGAAGCCATGTCCTGGTCCCCGAGACGGGAATCATCATGAATAACGAAATGAACGGTAGGTGATCAGCGGAGTACACACGCAATCAAAAGCCGCCAACTAATGGATCATTTCTAGACTTCTCAATTCCTGGATCCTCCAACCAATTTGGCTATATTCCTTCCGAAGCAAATTACATTCGACCTGGAAAGCGCCCCTTGTCATCCATCACCCCGGCGATTGTCCTGCGCCCCGATGGCAAGCTTTTCTTGGTTGCTGGCTCTGCTGGAGGCAGTCGTATTATCACGGCCACTGTTCAGAATATCATTCATTCTATTGACCAAAAGTTGAGTGCAGCTGAGGCTCTTGCAAAGCCGCGTCTGCATGATCAGCTGGTTCCCAACCAGGTCACCTTCGAATATTCCTACGATAATTCGACTGTCGCTTTCATGGAGAGCCTTGGGCATAATGTGACATGGGTCGCACCAGGTCAGAGCACAGCGCAGCTCATTCACGTTCAATTAAATGGGACCTTCGATGCTGCTGGTGAGCCACGACAGCTCGCTTCTGCAGGATACTCGATTTAGAATGGGGGATGCTCGATATGTGGGGATGGTTTACTCATTTGGAAGCTAATACATATGTAAACAACCTTAAACGTGAATATATACCTGTAGTTATGTTGATGATTTGAAGGAGTGAATCAAGAAAAATATAGCCTTGATCACAAGAATAATCTTTCGAGTTATGTTCTTGAGTTCATCTTGCGTTTAAAACTCACGGCTGCAATTCTCCCAACCATGGGCTCGCAAGTTTGGAGGTTTGCCCTTTGGTGACGCGACGGCCATTTCCCCGAGGCATCCTAGCGATAAGCCTATCGCGACTTGGTCTGTGCGCGTTGACAGCTCGGCGTGCGGAGTTTCCTAATTTTTGTTGGACATGTCTGAAGCCGCCAATTCCTTCTTTTTGTCCTATTACACGTTCATTCAGGGCTGCGGAACCTCCCACTCTCTTTTATGACACCCAATTCCTGTACCATTTTACTCCCTCGAGCCCCCGACCTCCGCCTCTTTCAATTCAACAACTCACCCACCAGACCATGCTGAAGCCCCCTCGACCTTCCCCAGATTCGCCGCCATCCAAGTGACACTCAAAGACCGTATGCTTGCTTGACGCTAATTATATCGGGATTCCCCAGACTGACCTTTTTAAGTCAACCAGGTTGTGGTGTGACTGAATCTGAACCGACCGCGCTCATGCATCCTTCACTTCTATCCCCCGCCATCTGAACAGCCGCGAGAGCGCGAACATTACCTGCGAGATGGCGTCTCCAGCCGACTTTTCCATCGTTCCACCTCCTGCTTCCTACCCCACCGAAACGTACAAAAACTACAAGGTCTTTCCCGACTTTGTCGAGGAAGCTATGGACAAGATTCTATCCGAGGAAGCCCGCCTTGAAGAGTCGCGAAGCAACGACTGGCCATTCTACTCAGGTGCTGATGGGTCTGGAGACTCACCAGCTTCTTACAAATTACGAAACGGGGCTGCCGATAAGAAAGACTCACCCCTGTCGACACCTAGAGTGATGACGAAGAGCAGGGCGAAAAAGACCACCAAGTCCACCAAGCCAAAAAAGAAGCGGTCTGCGGCCAAGAGGGAGATCACGGTCATTGATCTTCGCAGCGATGATGAAAGTCCTTTGCCGAAAGATACGGACATCGATCACGATAAGCACGATGAGCTCCAGGACCCCCAGGACCCCCAGGACCCCCAGGAGAGGAATGTTGATGTCAATTCCCAGGCGGTTGCTACCATTGAGGGCGATTCTGACGACACATCGGAAATTTTTGATGCCATGGAAAGTGGAGTGGGCACCGTCAATGTGAACATAATCAACCCGAAGACTGTCCATGTGAATATTGTCAATGCAAAGACCGTCGAATCCGGCCCTATGCATGTGAAGAATATCGAAGCGAATGTTGCTGCCGGTGATAGGATTTGTGTATCCGAAAATGGAGTGAGGAACTCAGGGGAAGACTTCAAAGAGGAGCAACTCATCTTCTCCTCTGTCACAGAATCTGTGAAAGGGCATGTGCTGCATTTTATTGTGGCACACCCGTTCATGTCTCAGTTCGTGCAACCCGTGAAACGCTCTGCACGGCGTCAATTTATCACGGACATGTGCAAGGAAGCTCTCTCAAAGGGAGTGGATCCTGGGGTGATCTGGGACTTGATAAAGTATGTGCGCAGGCTATATCTCGATCGTGCCGGTGTCCGTGCGGAACCTCTTGCGCCTGGGCTTGAGGACATTCCCTTCGGAGAAGAGGTTGACGATGAGCCTGAGTCGCATTCCCCGTCTCGAAAGAGTCGCAAACGAAGCCGCAAGGAGGGGTCTCCGAGCCCGAAGAATAAGAGAAGCAAGAGACATCTACTTGAATCCCAAAAGGCCCCGCAGCCAGTCACAGTGTCCGAGGTCATTGAAATTGCCGATGATGCCAATCCACCATCTCCCGAGCTTCCAAATTCTCCGAGCTACACGAAAGATGAACAAACTACTGTTTTTCAAGTCCAGAGCACTCCCGACTCGCCCCTCAACGCCATCGTTACCGACGGTGACGAATTCCCTAATGGGGTTGTCGAAAATCATTTTCTCGAAAGCACACCTGAACTACCATCTCATCTGCTTGATGTTCAGGCCCAAGAGAACCATGAAAGGACCACCAATGTCCAGGTCGAAAGCACGCCCGATTTGCCCCTTGAAACAGGTGATGCCACTGTATCACAAACTGCAGATACCCTTCCGACAGAGGACCTCATTCAGCCGAGTGTCCCGATCGAAAGAACGATTTCTGCCGACGATAAGAAGGAAGGTCTCAAAGACGCCCAAGAAGCCAGCAATCTCCCAAGGGCGAGAGACTCTGCGAATGACGAGGTTGTGCCCGAGGGCCTGCGCAAACCAGAAATTCCACCAGAGACCGCAGCAGACAGAATGCCCGAATACTTGAATCCAATAATGGCTCTCGAGCAGAACAAGAATCATCCTGACAATCTTTCGAAGAGCCAGAAGAGGAAAGCAAGAAGACAACAACTCAATAAAGCCCCACAAGAAGAGAGAACTACTGAGACGAAGGATAATATTCAGCCGACTCCTCCGCTTCAAAAGCTTGTCGCTTGTGGCGTTGGTGATGCAGCTCACAAAACCTCTGAAGCTGGAACGAGCGTGAATGTCGAATGCTCCCCTGGCAACTTGGATGTATCAAATGATCTACCTGAGGCGGTGGCCAATTTGATCCAGGAGAACTTATTTCCTGACCTACCTTCTGTGCCGACCAGTAAAGCCACCACAAAGCTGTCGAAGAATCAGAAAAGACAGGAAAGAAAAAAAGCGAAGCGGGAGAAAAAGGCGAAGAAGAATCAAGAAAGGAGGGAAAAGGAGCTGAAAGCGCAACAACAGCCCACGAACTCCTGGCTCAAGCATCGCAACATCCTTCATTTACAAGACACCCCGGCACAGGCACTGCAAACGAAGAAAAATCAAGCTCACGTGCCTTTGTCTAAACCACTAGCAATAGATCCCGAACCGAGGAAAGAAAGGAAACGGAAAGAGCGCGAGCACAAACGAGAACAGAAGAGAGAGCGGAAGCGGAAGCGCGAATCTTCAAAACTCGAAACGAACAGCAACACCATTGACGATGGTCAAAATCAAGACGATCTGCTTGCAATCGAGGCTCCCGAGCTTGGCGAGCAGGAGCTCAAAAAACAAGCCAAGAAAGAACGGAAGAAAGAGCGCAAGCGTCAGGAGCGGTCTTTGGCGTCGCATCACGATGAGGGCGATGTGAAAGACGATGAAGCCACCCCAGATATTCCGTTCCTAGATCGCTCAAATGAGTCTCACGAACTCTCAAATGATCGCGGAGAAGATGTGGTATCTTCAGATCACGACGAGCCAAAGGCCCGAGTCTACATTGCACGGGAAACACCTCGGCCTGAAAATACTGTTGCGAAGAAGTCGTTTTCACCATCGAGCACTCAGCCACAGACCCCTGTCAAGTCAACTCCTCAACGCGAGGTTGCTGGTGTTGAGTCAATGTTAATTTCGACCCCGTCATCGAGTGCTTCCCGATCGAGATACGGGCCCTTGTCACCTGATCCAAGGGAGTGGGACACGGATTTTTGATCTCCAGTGATTTGCGAGGGGTGACACCCAGCGATGAGGTGACCTCCAAATACTTCTGCACAGCACCAAAGACCGACATTCCTACTTCAAAAACAAATACAAATGCAATTCTGGACATAGCATCTCCATTACTGGACATGTCACCGCCTGCGAAGAGTCGGAAGATCCTGGAAGAGCTGGATCTAAGTTCAGACTCCTCGTTGAGTGACCCACCTAGCGATCTCGATCTTGATCTCGATGATGATCTCGCTTTGTATCCCACGCCCAAAATCTCGCCTTCGAAAAGTCCGCATTTTCTGCCCCCTGAGAGTGCTTCGGGGCCTCGCACTCCTGTCAAGCACACTAAATTCCTTGAACCTGAAATCTCCAAAGATCCTCGACCCAAACGACCCAAAATATCACCATACTTTCCCAATTCACCAGATCCTCCCCAATCTTGTCTTCCATTCCCACCTATCGATGCCCCATCCTTCGGACTCGTTCAGGAGCAACTTGCACATGAACCATTCAAGTTGCTTATTGCCACCATTTTTCTGAACAGAACGCGAGGTGGTGTTGCTTTACCCGTCTTGTTCAAAGTCTTTGAACGCTATCCTACTATTCATGCTATGGCTTCCGCCGACCTGACGGAGCTTGTGTCTATGATCCGTTGTTTGGGGTTTCAAAACCAACGAGCTAAGAAATGCATTGGCATTGCGCAACTCTGGCAGACCGATCCCCCCGTCAAGAGCAAACGATATCGCAAAATTCATTACCCCAAGAAGCTGGATGGTCGGGATGTCCCAGCCGATGAATATCTCGATGATGAAGATCCCCGTGCAGCTTGGGAAATCGCACATTTACCCGGAGTCGGAGCATACTCCTTGGATAGCTGGCGCATCTTCTGCCGTGATGAGCTACGAGGTCTAGCTAAGGATTGGAAAGGCACCGATTCGGATGTGCATGGCTTTGTCCCCGAATGGAAGTCTGTTCTCCCGCAGGATAAGGAACTGCGTGCTTATCTCACTTGGATGTGGCTCAAGGAAGGATGGGTTTGGGATTGCCACTCGGGTGATTTGACTCCGGCCGGAGAGAAGACACTACGAGCGGCACGGCGAGATGGTGTGGCGCACGAGGAGGATGGGAATTGGGTGTTGCAAACATCCCCAGTGAAGAAGGCGCCGAATGGACTGCATGTGATGGACTAGTCACTGAGCACATACGTTGTAGGATTGGGAGATACAAATTCTTGTTTGTTTAGCTGTTTGAATGATACCCTCTCCACATAAGGACCCCAGTCAGTTGTAACTTGATCCTGACAGTCTTAAAAGTTGTCTAGATAACCAAAGTTGGAACTACACTGAACTTCAAAATCATGTAATCATTCATGCGTTGAAAGATAAGTCGAGAGATCATGTTTGGACTACATATAGGTCTGCTAGAAGAGAAGAGGGTATGTGACTGGCCCCGTTCCTCCCCTCTATTGTTTCAGTACGCAGATGCTGTAGTAAGGCCATTGTCAGGTGACCGACCATACCACCACCTTCTCCCCGACCTCGGGTTATCCTCTTCGTTGCAGCCCGAGGTGAATTCATCCTAATCTCACCAGAAGCATCGGGCGTCCATGCAGCTGTCCCCCACGCCAGTTGAGCGGGGGCCAAAAGTATTATCCTCCATTCCGACCGCCACTCCACCGCATACCGGTCCCCTCTGTCCACGCTCTTTCCCCAGGCTGTTTCATGCATCGTACCTGGACGTGAGCTTATTTCACTCCGCACTGTCTTATTCGAACCTGCTCGATCGATCGCCCAGACAGATAACGGTCATCCATCGATGAAATGCCCAAGCCCTTCCCGTAGCTCTCATGCGATCGACATAAGCGCTGTGCCACTCCGACCTTAAGCGACCAGTGACAAGTCACACCTGCCCAACTTAAGCGCCAGGCAGCACGCGCAGGAATTGGAGACGAAAATAGGAACACTTTCCCCCTCAGTGGCGGTGCAGTATCTCATCCACTCAGCCTTGCCTGACACAAGGGTTCAAGACAGCACAGACGAGAAAGAAGGCTACTGTGAAGTAAACGAACTGTGACAGATGAACCAGCGGGCCCAAAGTTACCTGAAGGGGTCCACCTCGTACGGCTAACGCTCCCGCTACGATTTCTCACGAGCCCGCCATGTTTTTTCCGGTGAGACCTAACAGCGTAAAGAGTCGGAAGCCCAAGTCCTCCTCCACTACCTCCAACAAACAATCCCAACCATCAACAAATCGAGCGTCCCAAGGACGGACCTCCCGCACGTCAACCAAGGAAACCGAGCCCGAAGAATCCACGGCTCGCTGCTCGACTTCCTCGACCTCCCACACTCCTCCCCCACGACGGTCCTCTATGCCTGGCCTCGACGCCGCGAGTCGAGCGGGAACAGCCTCGTTCCTGGAATCGAGGTCCAGCCTCCCATACCCTTCCTTCTCCAAAGCGCATAGCAAAGAAGATGTTCGCCACCACGACATCCCTACCCCAGACCCGACCGACTTGACCGCTCAGAAGGAAAATGGACCCAGTCACGACCGCACCGAGAATAACCATGCCCCTCCCAGTCCACCATTGACTGGTCTCGACCAGGAATCATCTCAGAGGGGCAGTACGGCCAGCAGGCAAGATGATAAAGAGGGGGAAAAGCCCAAGGCCAAAAAGGCAAGCATAAGGATCAGAACCGAGGTGAACAGGTCGTCATCGAGCCTTCGATCGAAGAGAGATGATTCAACCAAGTCTAGCAAGACGGCGAGGGCAGATACACCAAAGTCAAAGTCATCTAGGTCTGAAAAGGAAGCTTCGTCGCCTCGTGCCAGTCACAGACCATCAAAGGCAAAACTCTCCGATGAGAAAAAGCTACCCAAGCGATCGAGTCGCTCGACGTTGTCGCCCTCTCAGTCAACAGTTCGCGATGTGGGCGGAGAATCGACCGTTGGATCTGATGCTACCTCCATTGCTCCTAATCAACAATACACTGTACCACGGAAGGCAATGACCCCGCCGATGAAGCCCCCCTCTCGCAATCAGAACCGGTCGGCGGCCTCCCACCGTCATACTCCCAGCGACGACTCGATTGATTATGGCCGACCTGTGATGCCCATTCCAGGATTCGGTGCGCCGCCGCCTCCTCCACCTCCGCCACAGGTCCCTGTCACCATCCCGAGGGTCGACTATCTTCTTCAACATGGAGGTCTTGATCACCGAGTGCCGCGAACATTGCTTCCTGTCCCAGCCACGTCCGACCCTTTCTCTCAATCCGCCACTCAGCCTCAGCTGGCAGCTGCTAAGGTTTTTGATCAGTTCAGTCACTTGCTAGATGATTACCAAAAGGTCATGAGCAAGAACGGATCTCTGGCCGTCGCGACTGGATACCGATCTGTTGCTCGTCGGCTGCTGGATCGTCTGGAGACCGTTTTCGCACGTGACATTTCATCAGAGCCATGCAACTGTCTTATGTGTGAGCGTGAAGACAGGGAGGAACGTCCAGAGGGTGTGAGCTGGGGGGAGGTGTTGGAGTTAGTGTCTGGACGTCGCGAGTTGCCCATGTGGCCGCCGTTTATGATGGTTGCATCCACCGTGGATGCGGGATCTCCTGGCGAAGAGCACATTCCCATGCAGAAGCTTGATGTCGACGTACCCGAGGAGTACCGCGATCACTTTATCCGCCAGTCTCGCAAGACCAAGGTCGCGGTTGACAAATGGCTTTCTGAGCAGACTGACTCAGCGAGCAGTGCACCTGAAGAAGTGGACGATGAAACCTTGACTTTTGCGATGCTCACACATCTTGAATCTCACCAACGCTCCGTGTTTTGTGCTCTCCTTGGAATCAATTCCTCAACTCCCGTGCCGCGTGCAGATGATGAGAAACCTCGACACCGACCGTCGCCACTCGTGTCTTCTTCGCAGGCGATTCAGCGACTATATCGCCTTCCATCTCTCCCGCGCGACCCGGAAACGGCCATGTTTATGTTAAACAACCCGGGTCTGCACCACGTCTTGGCAACCCTTGCTGCTATTACAGATGACGAGTGGGAGATCCTGATATCCGGCCGATTTGACGGGTTCCTCCGCAGCGGTGTCGAAGATCCCGTTCCGGCCACCAATCCCCGCTGGAGTGGCAGTCGCTCCAACACGCCATTCAGCGCTGCAGGAATCTCGCGCGGTCCAACACCCAACTACATGGACAGCAGCTTCCGGCCCGGAAGCCAGCCCAACGGAGGCCCGAATTCCCCTGCTTCATTCGGAGGGCCGATCGCGTTGGATGAGGAAACGGAAATCGCCGCCTTGGCTGAAATTGAACGCGATATCTTCCTCGGAATGGAAGCTCTGGAAGATGCTTTCGAGGCACTCCACCTCAAAGCAGAAGTTGTCCGCCTTGCACTGCGCGAACGTGGTGCCGGTCTCTCCGTCGCCAGCCAAAGCCGACGAGGCTCCTACGTCGAAGCGCGCCTGGGAACCCCAGCCTCAGCTTGGGAGAGCGGCACTGAAGATGATTTCCTCATGGATGACGACCGCTCCCTGGCCCCCGACGACTCCGCTAGTAATATTAGCTCGAACCGTCGGCGCCGACCCAAGCGACGCACCGAGCGCCGGACCCCGGCTCCAGTCGAGGAAGAAGATGAGGAGGAGGACATGGTGCATGTTAGTCGCCGCGACAGCCGAAACTCGCGGCGGAGATAGAGAAATGTTTCTTCGACGAAGGTTCGCAAGATTTTGATTTACGGCCTTTCATTTCTTTTTTAAGACGGCCAAGTGCAAGTTTCAGGATTGCATGCGAGGTGGATATATGATTGCATCGGGTGCTACGGATTGATGAACTGATGATGATACCCACTGCCTATCCCCCACTTTCCCCATATGATAATGGCTTTTGGCCTGGTGCATTTTTGACGTTTATGATGATTTTGTTTATTTGGTCCCCTCTTAGCTTGTTCTTTATGATACATGAATGTCATGAGTGGTCCTTGATGTGAATCGTTGACCTAAAATGAATATCAATCAAACTCAGTTTGGATGTTTTTATACAGCGAGCTTTATTGTAACGTACGGATAACAACATTCGAGGTAAGCGAAAAGACTGGTTATCATTGGAGGGTATACTCCAGCTATGAAACTTCATCTATCACTCTATCTAGGCATTCTCATAAACGTCTCCTTGACTATCCTTCGACATGGAGTTCTTGACGTATTCCTATGTGCATTACTGAGCAAGGCATACGCTTGAATACTTGGTGGAGACTTTAAGAAGGCACTTTTTGTTGGCCCCACCACAAATGTCTTGAGGTTTATGGCTGATAATAAGTCGCCAAGCGGTTTTTCATCATCGCTGGCTGGGCAGGGCTGACAAGCGTGTGCCTAACGCCCTGTCAGCCTCACTGAAAGTTAAGTTGGCAGGATCACAAGTGTGACGCTGCCAAGGACCAATCAACCGATCGGAGCTTAGTTCTACGCCGAAGGCTTGATTAAGCGACCTTGTCTACCCTACATTTCCAGAACAGTGGGACTTGGCCTGCGTCTCGCGGGTTGACAATTTGCCTGTTTCGCATGGTAATGGAAACGATGCTTCCAGGCGGAGTCACGACTCAGTACGTGGACCGCTGGGTCGCGCAAGGTCTGTTTACACCAGAGAAGATACTGGACAGATTCCTAGAGCAGACGAACACCTATAATATCAACACGGAAGGTCTTGAAGCGACTTTCAACTCGGTGGCTACCGAAGACGAGACAGGAATCAAACGTGTCGACGAGAAGGGATTTACCAAACTTCTCACACGTTCAAGTGTTCTGCCCAAACACCTCGCGGACGTGGGCTCCATCATTTTTCGAAGTTTACATTACCTTTCGATATACCCCTTCCGCTATGAGCATCCCTCAGCACTCACTTTGAGCGAACTAACTCGAGCACTCCTTTGGCTGATGCCATATGACAGGGGAGTCACATTCGAATCATGGGGTGGTGGCTGGTGTGAATTCAGCCCAGCAGACCATAGAAGACTCATTTTTCAGAGTCTAGCTACGGAACGAAATGGCCACAAGCTACCCCATGATGCTGATGAATGGAGAAGAGAGGCCCGTCGTCGCGCGTATGACTTGCCCGATGAGAAAATCAAATCAACCCTTTCACAGCTAGGGGATCCAAATTATGACGATTGGGGAGATGAGTTGTACCATGATCTTCTTAGTGTAGTGATGACTGCTCAGCCGAAGAGAAGTCTTCCTCTAGCGGGGGAGCCTCGCGATGCTTTTCGTCCTTTGGCGTTGCGACTGCATGGAGAGACGCCTCCTCGACTTTATGAGTTTACTATGCCAACTGAGAGACTGCGGGACATTGTGCGGCTCATGTTGTACCACAGCTTTGGGATAAACAAGTTGGACTGTTTGGTGGGCACTGGCGAGCTTGATGAGGTTGCTGATTGCGTGACTCGGACATTCGCGCAGTATTCTGATGTTGGGATTAATTGGCCCATGTTCGATAAGGGCTGTAGGTCTGCGGTACGTGAATCGGCTCAAAATTTGGTTGTCCTTGCCTGATAAACACTGAGTAATCTGATGATGACATGTAGCCATTTCTTCTAGATGCTCTGCATGATATCATAAGCTCTCTCTTGACCGAACCGTCTCATCTCGAAGCGAATGTGCTGAAGTGTCTGCATCAACCTGGGAAATTGTTCAAAACCCATATTCTCTTCCAACTCAACACGATCTTCAAGAATGACCTGATTCTCTGGTTCGAGTATTTCAAATTCTCCTGGAATCATGATATCCGACATCACCCGGTCAGCACATCGGAACTAGCGGCAATGATCGAGCAATCGGAGGATCGACTTCTCATTCTTGTGTCTGGAAAAGGCACTAAAACACAAGACAAGTACCTTCTGGGCATGTTTATCCCATCTCCAAAGCAAGACTGCCACCGGATCCAGCCGAAGCAAGGGGAGAACTGGCCAATATGTTCCCTTTTCGAGCTAAGCCCTATCCAAAGTGTTTTCGAGGCGAACCTAGAATGTCCTACATGGACGCTCAGTGGAGACGAGATATCGTTCGGAGACCCAGAAAATGGAGTCGCTCTGGTATTGAAAAATGGTCTTGGGAAGGCATCATTTACGCAAAGCTTGAATGGTCGGAATGAGCCGATACAGGCCGATTTTCTGGCAAGGCAGCTTTTCTATAGACCTGGAAGTGGATGGAATTGAGATCTGCTATGAAGATACCAGTAGCTCCACAGAGGAGAGTACTGATTTGGATCAGCATAATTGCGGATCCGAGACTACGGAGTTGTAGTCGATCGGATCAGGTCCAGCCTGCACGGTCGTACGAAAGCGGGCCATGATTGTGAGCGTTGATTTCATCATGCGTGTCTTCACAAACTTCGATCGCTCGTGCAGATATTGAACTCTCCATATCGTCGGTTTTACTGTAGTATCCGGATCAAAACTTTGACCACTTGTTCATGCCGCTGAAAAGTTGGTCTAGCCGATCATCTCCGTTGACAGTTGCTCGCCGCCCGGTACGAACTTTAGTATTTGCAGATCGTCATGGTTGTTCAAGGGGAGTAGCATCGTCTTCCCATGATCCACCGGCCGTTTAGCACGGGCCAAATCAATAGTATCGAATTTAGCCTGACCATGGGCAGAAGTAAGGTTTCCTGCCGCTACCGTTGATGGTCACATGTAAACAGAACGCGGAGACGGAGATCTAGACGTCGCCACTGCTAGCTAGTAGCTAGAAAGGCGTAAAGCGATAGTTATTAACAGTAACTGAATAAGCAAAGGGCCGGGGTCAGATGGAGATCGGCAGTTGAGCAGCATAACTTTGGTGGTACATAGTTGGATCAACCACAACTAGCTGACTCGAGACAGCCTGCAGGATTCGGCAATTTCACTGTACGGCAAAGCGCTGTGAGCACTAGGTCGTTCTTGGTATTTGGACATTTCAACTGAGACATAGGGACAAAATAAATACATATCGTCATTCCTATGTACATATCTCAGCTCCTCATCGCAGATTCTGTTGGTCCCGAAGATCAGGTCCCAGATCGGGGGTCTCCGTGCACGGCACAGGAACCATCAATCTTGTGATTGAACAGGTAATTTGGTGGGAACTAGCCATGTAGCAATAATGTCTCAAAAATACCAGTAGTTAGTTCAAAGAAGCTTACAAACTAGTCGGTCATCGACATCGGATTTGCTTGACCTCTTCTTTAATCTCCGTGTTTGCAAGTGGAGGACTGATCGCAGGACACGGAGCACAGAACAAAGAGGGTCAATGACGGGCCATTGAGTGTGGCTTTCGCCAATGGCGTGGCCATGTGGCAACCATGCAGAGAAAGCAAGGCAACTCTGGTACAAACTCTCCTTGACAGTTCCATGGTCTTGGGACTTCGATCGGCAGGCCGAGATGTGCCATTAGCAGCAATAGGCAAGTTAAGGAGAATACATAGGAGGACATACATACTGTACATACAAAGTACGGAGCGTATACCCAGTACAGTAATGTGCCCTGCGGTTTGTAGACCCGGAAAGAACCATGGAATTTGGTGACCCCCACTAGGGCACGAGTGGTCCCAGACTCTCAATGTCGGTATCGACATAAGCATCAGCCTCAGCCCCATGGAACGCTCGACAAGCTTCCCTGTCTCTTATACAGAGACGTCAGCAAACATCCAACTAGTCTCTATATATCAAGGAATCCTGCGAGAGAGCTAACTTCTCGGCGGAAGATGCCGCCTAACAGTCGGTAAAGCCGAGCCTAAAGTCCTTGACTGCTCCAATCCATTTTGTGCCTCTCTGCCGCCCCTTTTTAGTAGTAAGGCGCCACTAGAGGTTAAACAGGAGCAAATAATGGTTGACAAACCACCACAACTCGGGGCGCACATTCCTGAGTTTGGACGGCTTGATTTTGACTGCAATCTCCAAGATCGCTGCTAACGCCTCTAGTGCGCGACGGCGTCAATGTGTACTCATCCTTCGCTGGTTAAGTCTTTGTTGATCGTATCCATCGTGACCCCAATGCCCCATCATGTCTCCATCTACTAACCACGCTAGTTATTTGCCTCCATGCATATCTTAACCCTTCCCGGCCACTTGCTTTTTTCTTCATCCTCGGCACATGGCCAACCGACCAGCCGACGCAGGACTGCGTTGTTCTGTGGGGCTTCGAGATCTCCATTGACACTTGCAAATACTGCAAAAAATTCCCGAGGCGGCGTTGAGCAGACTTGATGGCTCCGTTGATGTGCGGATCTCCGCGCAAACTTTGCGGACCACGCACGTTTTGCGACCGTAACACAAGTTTAAGTATGTCTGGAAGATTTTTTCTGTGCATTCTGTGCATTCTGTGCAGCAATCACCAGATTAAGCAATTGCTGCTTTCTTCCAGGGCTCACGATGGTTCAATGGTTTCGCCCAGAAAGACGGAGGATCAATGACGCAGCGCCCCGAGGTCTGGGCAGAGTGACCCCTGACCCGTGGGTGGGTAGCTGGTTTCAGTCAAGAAACAATCCACGGTTGCCCTGGCCTCTAGGGTTCCATTCAATGGAGTCAACGGGACCACCAGCTGTGTTGCCGGTCAGTTCGATGTGGACACAAAGCTTATCCTAGGTCCAATGGGCACCGCCGTCAGATCAAAATATTACACTATCATTGAATCATCTTACGGTTTTCCTTTCGAGTATATACGAGGTGGCTATACGATCGACAACTCTCTTCTGGAATGCCCCTTGGCAAGAGCACATGCGAGTCACAGGGAACAAGATCTCACATTTGGAGATCCTCCCCTGAGGCGGTCGGTCACCAGAAAGAGAACGGATCAAAAAGCACTAGTCTGTTGGTGATTCTGCGGGGTTCGGAGGACGCACGCAGTAAGCCCCTAGGAGGCTAGTACTAAGTAGCCACCAGTGCTGGACTACCGTTGGCTACTAGCTAATTAGCCTTGATTCCTTAGGGAATCGCCGCGGACGATCAATGCCCCCGCCCGTAATAGCCACGGAGCATCTAACCCTCTCCAGTAGGCTGAAAACTGCGCTACGACCATTGATGATATTATTATCACTATCACCATTGATCTCAAAGCCACGGCCACCACGGGCTTGGTCATCGAGCACGCGGTGAACCTTGCCCGTGTCTTCCGCTAGCGTTCCAGAAGCCTCGCCCCTGCGTCGGAAAAACCTGAACTAGTTGATGGTGGCCTGATCTGAGTGGACGGAACTTGATCAAATGGGTCAGCGCGGAGAGAGAGTTTGTGGCGCTGTTGTAAGCTTACATCTCAATACAAATAACGTGCATCTTTTCTAACGACTTTGCTTTCCTCAAATTCAGGCTTATTTATTGGTACGGCATGCAGCCGCACCGGACCGGCGCTTCCCCCTTTTCGGTAGTTTGCATGCCGCGCATGTAGTAGTCGTACACTTATTACGGAGTAGTACTAGTCTTTTTCTCCGTATTGCTTGGACGATGATCTTGTGTGGGTTTAGCCGTCTCGACCAAACTCTGACCCTCTTGTCGTAGAGAAATCTTCATACAACCTCCACTCTGACCCTGGTCAGACCATCAGAGAGGGGTTATGGGCGCCTGGAGTGGGGGCAATTTTACCATAATTCTGGGCCTTTGCAATTATTACGGAGTCGTACGGAGTAGTGGATTGCAACTGTTATGGATCTGTTTGCCCCAATCATGGGTATCAAGCTAAATCCCCCACCACGAAGGCCCTAACGGAGATGATCCTCTCGCAGACCCAGACCAAAAGTTCCAAAAGTCCCAATTCTGTGGACCACTACTGGTCATTGACGGGAGAAAAAAGCCTGTGTGATTTTGTCTTCTATCGTCTATCCCCTGATTTCTATTGCTTTTAGAGTTCATTTAGCCTGACAATGCTCTGCTTATGGGTTCTTTTCCGTTGTCTCGGATCTGAGCACAATCAACTTTAATAATCACATCCCGCACATTCTATTCTTTGTTGGACAATACCCACGTCCCTGTCGTTCATTTCACCCCTCCTCCCCTGCAAGTCGGTTAATCTGTGGATGAGGCCCAAGCGAGTAAGCCACTCACAACGGATCAAATCACCATCCTAGGCGTACTTAACTGGTAGTACTGGCATTTTAATCGGCGTACCTGGATCGAAATTTGATTCCCCGAGCCTTGCTCGCCGACAAAACCCCCACGGTGCGGTTCAACTCGCATTTTCGAACCCATCTAGGTGGTGGTTCGAGGAAATTTTCCAGGTCTTTCGATTGCCTTGGAGGCATTACAAGATGTCTTCGATGCTATTATACACTCTCATGCCGAGGGGCCAGTCCTCTGGCGGTGAGCTGCTACCACGATTAACCAGCGATGTTACACTGGATATCGACCCATTGCCCTTGGCCCAGCGGAGAGGCCTCATCGCAGTCTCGGTCATGGCATTCCTCTCCTTTATTGCCACCTTGTCTCTGCTTGGTTTCATTACCTATCGACTCATTTTCTGGAGGAAAAACTACCAGAGATACATCGGTTACAACCAGTATATTATTTTGATTTATAACCTGATTCTGGCTGATTTCCAGCAAGCCCTTGCCTTTTTGATCTGTGTGAAATGGATCGCTACCGATAAGATCAAGTCTGGCACGGCAGCATGCTTCCTCCAGGGCCTTTGGCTTCAAATCGGAGATCCTGGCAGTGGACTTTTCGTGCTTGCCATTGCATTCCACACTTTTTTGCTGGTCGTCTGGGGCCGAAAGATGTCTCATAAGGTGTTCGTTTCCTTCGTCATCGGCGTGTGGGCATTCATCGCTATTATTGTGATCATTCCTCTGGCAGCATACGGTGCCGATGTCTTCGTTCCCTCCGGCGCCTGGTGCTGGATTAGTGAAGAGTATGAGACAGTCCGTCTGTGGACTCACTACATCTGGATCTTCTTGGCCGAGTTCGGTACAGTGTGTCTTTACGCCGTTATGTATTTCCAGCTCCGACGCCAGATTGCGGCTTCGTCTATTCTGGGAAACAGCCAGCTGGAAAGTCTCAAGCGTCTCCGTCGTGTTGTTGGCTACATGACTATCTATCCTATCGTCTACATCGTTCTTTCGCTCCCTCTGGCTGCCGGTCGTATGGCTACGGCAAATGGCAACACTCCCTCCATCACTTTCTTCTGCTGTGCCGGTAAGTCAATCTTTTTATAAACTTTCCCTATCGGGAGTATACTCAATGAGCCATGACCGCTGACATATCCAAAGGTGCCATCATTACTAGCTCCGGTTTGGTCGACGTCGCTCTATACACCCTCACTCGCCGCAATCTCATCATCGATTCCGAACCCAGCCAAGACCATTCTTACAACAAGTTCGCCAGCAGTCGTGGCCGCCACGGGGAAAACCACCTTACTACGATCACAGCTGCCGACCCCAAGACTCGGACCAGGAATGGTGGTCTTAACACCGAACTCGACCGTGACGGCTCTACCGATAACATTGTTCAGCCGGGCGTTGAAATGGGCCCAATGGGCAAAGTGTACCAAGAAACCACCATCGAAATCACCACCGAGCCTGCCTACCCGTCAGAAGCAGCCAGTGAGCGTTCCAGCAAAGATGACTTCAATGAAGCCCCATCGCGGATGTGGCGACGATAATTCTTTTCTTTTCTTGGGCTTTAACGATCAGCCATCTAATTGATCCGAACACCTGCGAGACATTGCTCAATTTCCACGCTTGTCCTCGCCTACTTTATCCGTTGACGCGCCTTTTCTAATATTCACCTTCGTTCTTACCTTCTTCACGACCTCGACTTGACCGATGGGAGCTCTTCTTGCCCCATCCATACATATGTATCTCTTCTCCTTTCTCTCTACGACTGTTGAATCCTGACCTTGTTCATTTATGACGGAACTTTGTATATATCTTATCTTTCAAAAGAAACAGGGATCGTCTCATTCTTCTGCTTGAGGTAGCATGGATAACGAAGACACCCATGTATATCTACCCTTAAATATCAAATCATCAAATACCTCAATACTTGCTTTACCAGCGCGCATTCCATAATCTCATCTGAAAAAAGGGTAAACTTAGTAGAGATTTTTGCGAAAATAGACCCGGTCAAAGCCATCTTCATGCTTCCTTTCAGTCTCGTAGAAACCCATCTTCGAATATACGCCGAGATTCTCATACATCTTGACATTTGTATAGAGAGTCAGTGCCCGGTAATTCTGCGACCGTGCAAGGTCCTCTGCACCATTCATCAAAACCCGCCCGTATCCATGTCCCTGAGCAGCGGGATGAACCACCAAGTTATCGATCTTGACCGAGTCCGATGACGTATCAAGTTCAAGGACAATTGCCCCGACTAACCGATTCTTCGCCGTTTCCCTCAGGATAAGAACCGTGTGGGTGTGTATGGCTTGATGGTAGTCTTCATCCATTGGGGCTGGCCGCTTGCCGATGCGATCGATGTACTTGGTATATGCGGCGTCAACCATCGATTGGATAATTGGCACATCCTCATTTGTTGCCTTGGTTATGCTCAGATCATCTCTAGATGTGCGGGGCAGCTCGACCATGTTGGGTGGTGATCGCAACGCGATCTTGATCTTGGAGAAAGTGATGCGTACTAGAATACCGAGTTGAAGTCGGCAGAGGCCGATGGAAATGACGGAACAGAATTTTGTGTCGGAATCCTCGTGCCCTGAAGAATACACTTATGGTCGGGGATAGCGACCCTGGGATCGTAAGGTGAGTCAGAATGTGCTTGTCGACCTCCGGTTTTGTGTGGAGTGCCTTGATAGTAACTCCCTAATAAGAATCGGTGTCAACTGATCACATAATGAAAAGATGTCAGATTGAACTCAAAATAATATGGCTTCACTGGGTACGTAGAATCAAAGGAAAGAGAAATACCACACACTATTCGAGTGGACGTGGCTCGATCTTAGTTCACTAACGTAGGTAGCTAGGTAACGTTGATGAGTCTGGGCTTATCTAAGTCATCGGCATTGGACCCGGCTACTCATGCGAATCTAGAGACATTTTAGCACCAGCATATAGGACAATTGATTTGTTTCTAACATCTTATTTCAAAGGAAGACTCACTACATGTGAAACACAAGAGGGTACGTTGTCTCAAGCATTGACACTTCTGACGTATGAGGGGTTAGTGGCTTACTGTGCTTGTATTCTAGGTGAGGGTACAATAAAGCGTATCTGACTGGGCAAAAGCTTACTTAGCTATCTTTAGTTATCTGATTGAACAGAATAGATCTATATCATAATGCCTTTGTCAAATAACTGAAGGAGTATTCTCCTGTTGCATGCCTGTTTCAAGCAACAATCACTGCAGAATAATCACTTTCAAAGCCACGTTGAACAGACTGCTGATAGATAGGCTCCACGGTCCATGATTCAACTCGCAAGAAAAGTAGATCGACGAAGCAGCACAAGTATGACCTGTCTCTGGTAACACCACTCCGTGTTAGCGGCCGATTCCAGAAGATACCCGAACGAGGAACTAGAATGGGTTCACATCTTTGCAAGGGGCTGGGCCTGGGTGGCACGCGATTATTGTCCACTTCGAACATAATTCCAACCGTCCGCGGCATTTTAGCAAGCCTCGATACTCACCAGCAATGTCAGAGTTAATTGAATGACCTAGCTTTCTCTGTCAAGAAAGTTGTGGCCTAAGAGAAATGGGAATAATATCCTGGGCGAATTAAACATGCTTATGCTGAGAGCCGGCCTATCATGCAGATCAGGGGTCTCGCGTTCACGCATCAGTGGGCCTGTCCGACTGGGCTGAGTATCTGAGCCAATCAAGGCGGCTCTGTAGCAAGAATGTAGATTTATTTTGATTTCGAGTTCAGTTCCTGAGCTCGGGCTGCCAAACCGAGCGATGGCAATTATATTTAATGCCCCCTGGCGGTCATTAAAAACGCGTCTGATTTCTCTTCTACCTCGGTCTCCGACATGCTATCCCTACGCTGGAGCGTGTTTCCTATAATTCTAATAGGACTCGTCCTACCAGAATTTGCGATCGCCGAGGATGCCAGTTCGCGTGCCCTTGTAGCTCTCGATACCCTCCAGAACTGGTATAACTCCACAAGCGGTCTTTGGAACACCTGTGGATGGTGGAATGGCGCGAATTGCATGACCGCAATCGCAGACCTGGCCGCAATTGACCCATCTGCGTTAGATACCGCAACCTATGTCTTTGGTAACACGCTACGCATGGCCCCAGCGTACAATCCTCAACCTGGCCCTGAAAACCAAACACAATCACGGTATGCGGGTGCTGCCAATGCTTCGGAATGGCTGGACTCGTCTTATGATGATGATGCTTGGTGGGCGCTGGCTTGGATTGCGGCATACGATGTTACCAACGATGAAACATACCTAGGACTAGCACAGGGCATTTTCTCAAGCTTAGTACGTGCCTAAAATTATGCTCGAGAGCCTTGTCAATAAGGTTCAAGGCTAACGTTTTTTTAGACCAAGGCTTGGGGCACGCCATGTGGAGGTGGGGGCCTGCAATGGAGTACGACGAGTGCCTACGTCAACGCAATTACAAACGAGCTATTTTTCTCCGTTGCTGCACATCTTGCAAATCGTGCTTCATCCGAATCAGAGAGGAATACCTATGTTGAATGGGCGCAGAAAGAGTGGGATTGGTTTGCGGCGCAAGGCTTCATCGGGGCGAATTACACCATCAACGATGGTCTGTTAGAAAATTGTCAAAATAATGGCCAGACAGTGTATGTATCGAAGCCCGTCTCTCATTTGCGCTTCCAGTTATTGGGCTACATGGGTTGTCTAACAATGATCAGGTGGTCCTACAACCAAGGTGTTATTCTTGGCGGCCTTGTTGAGCTCAACAGAGCGGCTCCAAACGACACATACCTGGAATCGGCCAACAAGATCGCCCAAGCCGCGATAAGTACTCTCTCTGACGTAAATATGGTTATTCATGATGTTTGTGAGCCGAATTGCGCCCCGGATGCAACGCAATTCAAAGGAATCTTCATACGCAATCTACATATGCTGCAACAGGTTTCTCCGAATGATATCTACAAGAAGGTAATCGAGGCCTGTGCAAATAGCATTTGGGCCAATGACCGAAACAATCAAAATGAGCTTGGTGTTAATTGGGCTGGTCCATTCGCTTCCGCAGATGCTTCGACTCACAGCTCAGCATTGGACGCGCTTGTCGCTGCGATTGCTATCTGATGGAAGCTATCCTTTAGCAATATTATGTTTCAAGCCTGCATACAACACGCTGCCCTCAGCCTTATAATGGCTATCGTAGTATGCCAAGGTGCCGCAAGTATCATTATAGTGCGCTAGTATGCACCCGATCGAGGCGCCCAAGCAGGTTGGGGTGCACGTCGTCGTTTGACATAGTCGGAGCGGACGAGCATGCTTGGTACCAGATCCAAGCCACCGAGTCTTGCTCCCTGAGGATCCTGAGCCCATAGAGTCAACGCTATGTAGTTGATACCATTGTGGTTGAGGATGTCTTCCGAGACCGGAAACGACTTCTGGGGCCCCAGGTTGTTAACTGGTTTGGTCTCAGTCTCAAGGGCCATTATTGAACGTATGTACAAGATACAATGATGACGACTTACTATACTTTCCATACTGGTATCCGTTGACGTATAGCTGGCAGCGATAATTTAGTCCATTGGGTCTCTGGGACGAATCGCCTGCAGTGGAATTGTTGAACGCAATGCTGAAAGGGACAAACCAGCCATCCGGAATATTGAGGCGAAAGGATGTTGTGTAAAACCCAACGCCGGCTTTTGACAAGCCGCTCTTGAACGGGCTTGATACTTCCCACTCAGAGTCGGGGGGAACTGTGATAGTGATAACCCTGTCTTTTGGTATACATGGCACCTTCGTTTAGTGGCCCGCGGGCCAGATCTCGATACTGCTCACCCCCAAGGTTACCAGTCACTTTCCAAGAGACATCGGTCTGCGCATGGTTGGATAATTGGTATCCGAGAATGCCGTGAGGGAACTTGATGGCATCTGTACCGGGCGCTACCTCATCCTGACCCATATTGTCGATCAATACGGAGAGAATGTGCTGAGTTCCGGAAGACAGGGCTGTCGGAATCGTGAGATTCTGTGTGATCGTGACGTTTGCGCCTGTACCAGGCCACGATTCAAGGAATGTATCATCCAGCCAAACAGAATGACGGAATCCAATTCCTCCTGAGGTTGAGCCAAATGTACGATTCATGCCCATTTGCGGAGAAGTGACCCCGATACAGCAAGGATCCAGTATGGAAGCCATAGCCCATGGCATCCAAATTCGTAGGAGTGTCCTGATCCCAGGGATTGTGGGTGAGGAGTTTGTCGCAGGACTGCCAAGCAGAGTCGTCATATGATGATTTGATTTCCGGGAGTGTGTCTATGTACTTCCACCGCAGATTGGTCAAATCTGGAATGTCAAGCATTGGCGGTTGGTACTCGATAATAGCAGACAATTTGCCCGTTGTTGTGCACGATGTATTCTTTTGCTGTCCATTGAAGACCAATCCTTCCAATTGTCCAACGGGTGTGGAGATGACTTCGATCTTTGTTGTCGTGTTGACATCACCAGACAGCCAGAGCTGCTTGTTGACCAACTTAGCACTACGAACAAGGTAGCCAGCTTTGACGATAACCATCTCCTTAGATGGCGACGAGAAATTCCCGATCGGGTGCGACGCTGGCAGCTCCAACGCCCAGTAGTTGTACGCCTCGTTGCGCCAAACAAGGTATATCTCCAAGTTTGATAACCTGATAACACTGCGATAGCGTCTGACTTGCCAGCGTACAACCCACATTGAGTCTTTCGGGTAGAATGAGACATTGTCTCCCTCGATTATGGCCGGATTTCCAAGATGGCGCGACAGAGCGAACTCGTGTGTTTCGCCAGCACCACCATACAAGACTAAGACTCGAGACGATCCGAGTCCCCTTGCCCATGTGAATATTTCTACTGTCGAATAAATCAGGTTGATGCTGTCCAGATCATAATCTGTGACGTGAAATTTGGAACCGCGCCCGTTGAGGGTCAAGCTGCCTCCGAGCTGAGGAATGCTGATGGTTCCGACACTTGTAGAGACTGCGAGGCTATACTGAGTGTTGTTAAGGGAGCTGAAGTTCGCATGTCTGACCATCTAGAAATTCGTCTGTGTACCATTCCGGAGAAGAGGTGTGACTGCGATTGAAGCCGGTGCTCCATACGAACCGTTGACACCCAACTTCGAAGTTGCTGTCAGATATGCTGGCGAAACCTTCAAAAAGTTTGCTTCCAACTTCTGCTCGCTGTATTCTCTCACCAAATGTCTCGTTCTTCTATGATGGCTGCGCCATAGTCGTAGGAGGTGTCCCCACCATGGTAGCCGAGGTTGCCCCAGTTTGTGCCACCGTACGTCTGTGATGATAAATTAGATACAGAAATCCTGATACGGAGCTCTCGCCGGTTTCCTGACCATATATATGTTAAAAATATTCACGCCAAAGCTATAATTGCTCTTGTAGACCACTCGGGCAGCCTCTGCGTTTACAAGTTCTCCGCACTTGTCTTGAACAACTCCTCCCCTATGGACAGTCCTTGAGCAAACGAGGCATCGAGTCTTGGAAGTAAACAAACTTACCATCCTTCTCCAGAGCCTCCCTAAAATTCAGAAATTGCGAAGGGGGTGCTTGGACTTTCACGCTCGTGAACAACCTGCCAATTATATGGGAACCGGTAAGTCGGCCAAATAGTTGGGTGTGCGCCTGAGAGCCGTTTAGAACCAGACTGTTTTTAACGTTTGAAAATTTCATGAGACTCACAATTATAGCGTAGTCGGTAGGAATCAATTCCGTAGATATCTACCACTCCCAGACCAGATCCTGGCGCCCAGTAGCCCATTGCCACATTATCGTTGACTATGAGTGGAACAGTGATGCCGGCTTCGAGGAGCTGCTTCCCCACGAAGTCCATGTACCTTCGATTCGTTGATGATGGGTAATCGGTCACGCCAGGCCAAGTGGAATACTCGTTCTCGGGCTGCACTAATATCACCAGTCCTCCATGGGTGATTTGAGCCTTTTCAATTATCCGACCCATAGTGTTCATGTAGTTGATGGTTGTGTTGAGATACTCTGGATTGTCTGAGCGGATGGTAGCATTCTTTCGTAGAACCCAACCAGGAATGCCTCCTGCTGAAGTTTCTGCGTTGATGTATGGACCTGGTCGAGCAATGAGGTATATACCTGCTTGGGTAGCAGCGTCGAAGAATTCATCCAGGCTCCATATGCCATCCGTTGAGACGTGACCTGGGTTGCCCTCAACAAAACCCGAGTCCACATAGAAGGAAACTCCCGTAAATCCCATGCTTTTGATTTTTGAAACACATCTAGCCAGAGATCGGGGACAGGTAGACGGAATGGATGAAACTCTCCCGAGAACATCATGATGCGTTCACCGCGAACAAAAATCGAGTGCTTATCCATGTCACCTCCAAACATGTGGGTTAGCTTTGTGAAGCTTTCCCTCCAGAACTCCCGACTTACTAAGTCTTGTAAAGCATCTCTCCTTTGAGATTGATCAAGTGACTTCGACCCGAGTACTATACATGGCATGAAAACAAGCGCCACCCATGTTGCAAAGTCTAGGGTTGAGTCCCAGAGAAGCATCTTGGAAGTCGTCAATATTGTGAGCGAGATAGATATGGGACTAGAAGCCATTCTCCGCTGTTTATTAAAGGAAGCGGATAATTAACCAGTTCTTCACATATCCCCGCATCTCCATATTCTTTTACCCCACGCTTAGCTAGCGGAGTTTTCCCTTCATTTCGGGATGTCTGATTGAAGGAAGATCCCCACGTTAAGCACGTTGGGGCAGGGGTCGGCTAAATTACAGAATTCCAGAACGAAGTCATAGTAACCCCCAAACCAACCTCGGATCATAATGCGCCGAGTTGTGTTTGTTTTCAAGATCGTGCCGAGAGACTCAGGCTAAACAAGCTCACGGCTCATCCACGGATATCGAGGTTCGCTCTAACCATAAGCGTCGGTGACATCATTCGTAGATCACCTTCGCATCTTCATTTCCTCCCCTCTTCCTTTTTGCCCTTCTTCATTATTCCTCAACCCAACAGCTTCTGTGATCTAAGATGGCCGCCCATATCAAACCTCTGATCTTGCATGCCCATGCGACCGGTCCTAATCCTATCAAGATTGCCATTGCATTGGAATCACTCAATATTCCATTCACTGTCAAGAGCTGGGACTTTAGCGATGCTCCCAACAAGGGCGTGAAGAGCGCCGAGTTCCTCAAAATCAACGAGAATGGGCGTGTACCTGCACTCGAGGATCCCAACACGGGTGTCGTCTCCTGGGAATCTGGTGCATGTATGAATTATGTTCGCCGGGTTTACGACACAGGGAACAAGATTGGTCCCTCCGGGGGTTCAGGCCAGGATCTGGTTGATTTTGAAAAATGGGAATATTTCCTGTTGACAACCCTTGGTCCAATGACTGGGCAAGTCAATTGGTTCAGGTCAGTCTGAAGACCCCTATCCTTTCAAGCAAAAGCTGATTCACCATAGACACCATCATACCCAGAAGAACGAGGATGCTCTTCAGCGATACACTGCTCAGACCTATCGATGCTACGATGTTCTAGAGAAACAGTTGCAAAAGTCCGGAGGTATGAGTATACTACCGAGTCGGGTCACCGCGGTTGACTATCATTTCGAGCCGTGGGTGAGACAGCATTCGTTCGCTGGTCTTTCGCTGGACAACTACCCTATGATCCATAAGTGGTTGGGATTGATGCATGCTCGTGAGGAAGTTCAAGAAGCTTATTGTAAAGTTGAGGCTGCCGCGGGTAAGTAACAAGGCCCAGTTAGCGACCTCAGGGCTCTCAGCATCTCTCCGACTCTTGCAGAGCAAAATCTGCTTTCTGCGAGCCAAGAAAAAGTTTCCAATTGTAAATTAGTCTAGTTCATGACTTTGATATCAACATACGAGAATGGTGCATAGACTCTACAATGCTACAACATGGATATTGCACTGTTGACATCGGGAATTTTCTGACCATGGCCTGCACACTGATCGGTCTGTTCCAAGGCTACAAGACTCATTGAATCGGAAGGTAGGTTAAATCCCAATGGGCGTTGGAAATAGCCCGTAAGATAGCATGAAGCACCACTCGAGCATAATACGATCAAGGCGTGATGACGCACAGAACGATTAGTGAAATGACATTCGGAATACTAAATGCAGGGGAAATCTATCAACTTCGAAATCACGACCAATCTGAGACCATAATGAATATGGCAAATCCTGCCAGAATAATCCCGTTTCCGTAAATATTACCTCAAGACCGCCAGGTCGAGGTAATATCTTTGGTTGTTCGCTTCAGGCATAAATATGGATATCTGGCAACCATAACGCTTTCAAATCAACCTTTCCTGCCCCCCAGATTCCCTAGAACCGAATCCACCCACTTCTATCCCATTTGACTTTTGGAACAAGGAAGAGTGTCTAGGTCCAAAACCCGCCCGTTAAGACAAATCCCCGGCATTGCTGCCTCGCAATTTTTGTTTCACACATACAGACACACATACAAGACCCACACGATTGATGTGAGTCATGAGTAAGCGAGGTTTTACTGTTTTAGAACGGTACAGTAGCGGTATCAGGCAGTTCGAGCACCTTAGCTGAAGTTGGTGTTGCTCGGAGAGGTGGTCCCTTCGAATGAGTCGCCGCTCAACGAGGACTGTTCCCCCTCGGACTGTTCGACTGGCACAACCCACTGAGCGACCTGGATATCAAGGCTGTGGGCACGGTGATTGAAGCGACACTGCCAGCTCTTCACGGCCTTGCAGTTTGGCTTCTGGCATAGATGGCCCATGTAACATTTCATGGACCGGCAAGCCCCAGCTCGAGGGCAAGGGTGTTGAAGCAAAATGTATCTGAGTACCTCGATAACGGTGTCAGAGACATCACTATGATCATATTGGCAACTCATGTCGCCACATTCCCCTGAAAGGTGGTAACTGTTGCAGACTTTGTGCTCTTTGGCACGATGGTGATATTCGTCCATGGCATCCGTGGAGGGGTGGGGACAATAGGTGTCGATACGTTCGCCATCCTTATTGACGGCAATGAACTCCTCCGATTTGAGGCTCTTTGGAGGCAGGTGGGTGAAAAGGAACTCCTGCGAGCGGCCCACGATAGTTGGAGTAGACCACGATTTGGTTGGCGATTCATCCGCCGGCTTAGCAGCCAAGGTTTGACCAGGCATGACGTGCTGCTTGATGCACGAATTACCGTACTTGCAGATACCCTGAGAGACTTTAGTAAGAACGGATCAGCAGGCGGGGGAGAGGTGTGATTTCGATACCTTTTGGTAATGTTTGCAAATCGGCTTAGTGCTGCCATTGCCATTCGTGAGAGAAGCCACCTTAGTGTTGACAGTAGTAGTAGTTGGTTTGGTGCTAGCAATAGGTGTAGACTTAAACACCGATGGCAGCTCTCTGATCGGTAAGCCCAGATCTTCGAATTCGCGGTGGAAGGAAGCAGCCCTGATGAGTGTGATGCGATCACTTCTGCCCCTATATGGGGTCAACAAAGAGCCAAATCCAGTATCGTGGCAGCCCGCAAAGTAGATATGCCGGCACTGATTGGAGTCCGCGAAAAGTCGGAACATTTCTGAAGTGAAGTGGCGGTTAGTACTTGCTGTGAAAGCCGATTGTGCGGGGAAATACCTCTGATTTTGAAATCGCTACCCTCTTTCTTTTCGGCCGCATCAACAAAATCAAAGAGATCTTGAGCACGGTTGAAAGCTGAGGTGAAGGGTGCTAGGGATCGTGCTTCGTGACCACATAGACCGGCTCGAGCGAGGGTCTTCGACAAGCCAAGCATATTGGCGTAGACGCGAACCATGATTCGGCATTGATCAGCTTGTATTCCCATTGTAGAATGCATGAGCTCTCTGACCGAGTCGCTCAGTTCGCGGGCTGCGTTAATGCCACCTTCCGCACCGGCTTTGATGAAATGCTCTTTGAACTACCTGAGGTTAGTCTGGGAGAAGTGAAAGAGGTTACCAGGCTCTCTTACAAGGTATCCATCACCGTCAACGAGCACCAGGACGAATGGGTTGCGGTCCTGTCATATTGTCAGCCTTGTCATCAGGCACCCAAAAAAATGTCGAGCTTCGTACCTGACCACGAGCTAGCTTTTTGTATTTCTCTCGGCCTTCCTTCACCTCTTCATAGTCACTTTTGAGGGAGCTGTAGTCCTCCAGGAGGTGCTTGAACTGCTCCAGCACATCTTGGAGAGTGTCGTGGTGCTTTTGGTTTTCCTTTGACAAGGCTCCAAGATGGTTAGTCAGGGAATCTATATCCGAATCACTCAGCATGTTGATCGAGTTATCGGGAAGGCATACGCCTGTCCCACGAAGCAGCAGAGTTCAGCAAGGGCTGTGAACATTCAATCGAGATGCGAAGAAGTTTCAAGAAGCTCAAGAAGCAGAAATTCCTCAGCCTAGAAGTGAGCTAATACGGTGGGGGGAAAGTCAAATTTGTAGCTTCGTGGCAGGCGGTCAAACAAAGTAAGTGGGGGCATCAGGTGATCCCTGCAGAAGTGTATTTTCGTGTTGTCCACAACTTCCTTTCATCTCCATTCAAGACACCAGCCAATGAAACCTGACAACTAATCACTTGAATCAGTCCCCTACCTCCGAACAAAGAATTTTTCTTGCGCTTTGTATGCAAAGTCACCACCAGATCAACGATGGAAGCCTCTCGAAATCTCCAAAGTCCTCCGTGTCGCGAAGGGTGGACTCCACAACGTCAACAAACCTAGGAATACCCGTGTTTACGGCTCTAGCCGCTGTTGAAAGCAGGCCAAAGCAGCCAATCTCACCCTAGCACTAAGGATGCCAATTTTTTAGATATTCTCGACATCCCCGCATGCTTACTTGAGTTAATTGGCGTACATAGTTTGAGGTCAATTCCAGTATCGTGCAGTCAGACGCGATCCACCACATCTTTCGGCATCTGCGCCCGCAGCCCATACTCTCGGACAATCTCTCTTCTCTCTTATAAAAGACCCGGTCTTCTGCCCACACTTTGCCACCGAAATGGAACAAACTGAGATACATCCGATGGCCCGTAGGCAGAAGACGGCTCATTCGGCAGCGTGATGACTTTACAAGGAGCTCTGTCGCTCGCGCTCGAACCCGTCCGAGATAACTGAAAGATGCCAGCCTCATTTTCGTTGAAACCTGCTTCATGTCGATGGGCAAATTTACTGGAGCTCCCATCTTCGGTAGGCTTCAACACGGTCCGTGGGATCTTCCTCTCCATTTATCGCCGATTCCCTGGATGAAGTGGTAAAGGCTCATCGAGCACCCTTGATTAGGAGCCTAGAGCACATACAGGAGCAGCTTCTGCATATTATCGCCCTCGGAAATCCTAGCCTCAAGCGATACAACTTCCTGTCTGCCATCTTGAGTCAGATCCGTGCAATGGAGTCGGGCTGGTCGATCCAACCCGCCATTTACGGGACCGTCAAACAAAGCCTCAAGAAATGCTATTCCTTGCTGCACGCCTCTCATGCAGCCAGTACGCCGCAGGACTCTGTCCAGTCGCTGACTATGGGGACAGACAATCCTCTAAATCCTGATTTGGATGCTTTAGTAAGTATTCTCCCCATTTCTTTTCCCACTGGTATCGCTCCTTTCCACCCTCCGCCCTCAATATGCGAAATTGCCGTCAGACTCACTATTTAGGGCCCTGCCTTGGGATTGGAAATTCCCAGTTTATTCTTTTTCCCGGGCATTATGGATACGTTGAACATAGACGTAAGCAACCAGTGCCAGGCTTGAACCATGCAAGTTATCCAAAGGGAGTATCGCAAGTCTCATGTAAATCAAACAAGAATTGTCCATGCTTCAATACACCCTTCTTCAGCCATCAAACATGCCACCTGTTTGTCAGACAGAAATTGGCCAACCAGCAAGGCAAGATATTATCAGCTATTCCATATCTCCACGCGCCGTAGCGAAGCTATACCATGTATAGGTAGAAAAGTCATGATATGGAATGTTGTAATGGGCATGGGTATTCGGTTAACAACGTATCCGAACTTATCGGGGATTAATTTGCCCTCGTTGTTAATTTCGTGGCTCGAATTTTGCATTGGACAGACAGCTATAGACCATGGACAAAACCCGGCCTCGGTGTTTGTAGGTGGACAGGTTCGGACTTCGGTCTTATCCCGAAGCTACTAAACACTCGCTGGCACCATCAGTTTTCCACTTGACTGTTCAGTCAAAATGATATCTACCTCAATCGTTTCAGCTGCCTATAAAGCTAGTCGTTGAATTTTGTTGACCTTCCTAAACACATTCTGGCCCTGTTGGCCCTCTAGGGGGGTACTCATGGTAACAAAGTCTTGGCAAGGAAGGGGGTGTACAGTAGATGAGATTCTTGTACACCTCCCTAAATAGGTTGAATTTGGACATTTTCTGATCACATCTTGTGAATATTTTAATAAGATTATCTAAACTATCTCTCTATCTAAGGTATTACAGTACTAACACAGGACTTCCCCACACCGAAATCCAAAAGGCCGAACCCGAGCTAAGCCAATTTCGGTATGCAGGATGCCACCATAGCTCATGTGAAAATGACAGTGATCGACAGCCAAGTGCGATTCGGTTACACAACACCGATGCTGGGGGAAGATCGGTTCGCTTTCCGGCACAAGGAGCTAGCCTCGGTTTGCTCATTGACGAAGCTACACATGATCCTGGAAGGACCCGTTCGTAACAGTAAGTTGAGATTTAAACAGTTGGATCCCCCGCGTTCGATCTCCAGATTGTCGTCTTGTCATCTCACTGAAATTGACCCTACGAACACGACGCGATCATGAGATACGTTCTTTTCTCGCTGAGCGCATTTGTGCTCTATGCTATCTTCTACTTCTCGTACATCAATGGTCTTGACGAGCTGGGCCGCAATTCCGTGGCATCCGGAAAGCTCCCTGGCACAGATGCGCCGCTCCGTACAGTCTATACCGGAGTCGAGGCTATCGACCATGTTTTAACTCTTTTGACGACTTTCTTTTATCCATCACTCGATGGCCAAAGCCCTACACTTCTGCTCCACAGTATTTCATTTTCGGGTACCTTTGGCGCTGCTTGGACCCTAGTCGTTTTGGAGTCATGGCGCAAGGGTAACGTGGGAACTATCGCTGCCTAGTAGGTCGCATTCCAATGAAATGCACACACCTGAGCTTGAAAATACTAACGAGTGTCGCAGTCCTGCTATCTTTGGTCTCACAGCCCAACTAATGACTTTCGCCTTCGCGACTCCATTGATCTGCGGTCTCCAACTGGGTTGCTCAGTGACTGCTCGCCTTCCCAATGCGGACAACATTCGAGTACCGCGCGTGGTTCTAGCGGTACTGCCGCTCATGTTCCTGATTGGATACATGGTGCCGACTCAAGCGATGGTGATACCTGCCCCATCTTTGATGTCCATCGATATGAAGCAGATTGCCATTGCAATCTGGCAGCCTTGGCCTGCATATGTGTCCATCCTAACGACGGTGGCCTACTACGTTCTGTCACCCTTCTTCCCGAACAACCACCGAGCGTCCATGTCCGGTCTGCGTTGGGTATACGCATCTGCCTTCGCAAATGCGACCTTGACTCACCTCGTTTCATGGATTGTCTCCCTCGCCACTGTTGCTGTTCCTGGATTGTTCAACGAGCAATATCTGAGTGATCTCCATCCATCCAAGGTCTTTGCTATTCCTCTGCCGTGGTCTGGGGCTAAGGTCGAGACGGTAGCTGAGGGCGTGCACTACTTCTTGCGATGGGATTACCTGATTGGGTCCGCGGGTGTCCTTCTTTGGGCCTTGACTTTGTACAGCGTTGCTCACAAGCAAATCCTGAGCACTGTTTCCTGGCCAGGTCTTTTGGTCAAGGTTGCTGTGTTGACCATTCTGACGGGACCGACTGGCGCTGCCGTGGAATTGATGTGGGAGCGCGACGAGCTGGTTTTCAAGGAGACCGGTGGCTCTCGGCAACAAGCTATCAAGGACAAGAAGTCTCTTTGAAGAATTGGAGAGAACATGCACAGAACTTCCAGGTAAAGTGCCGAGCTACCAGTGGGAATTTAGAGGTTTGATCAAAGCAGATTCCTATTTTCTATGTAAATAGTATATACTGCGATTGAGATGACGCTGATCCTTTCAGACCAAGCTTAGCACACAAAATGGCTATTTCAGTTGGTCGACCACTTTGTATATCTCTCTGACATAGTCGTGGGTGGTTCTTTCATTACCAATGATAACTTCATGCATCTTGTTCATCACATACCCAATAGTCATCCGGCGATCCAGATCCATCAAAATAAAAGAACCACCCCAACCACCCCAAAAGCCGATACGACCCTCTGGGATCCAGGGCAAACTTTGCGGCGAAGGCAGAGCAACACCAAGACCGAAGCGGAAGTAGTGAAACAAGACTGCATCGACTCCGGCAACTTGCTCCTGGAGCATGTCATCAATGGTCTTGGGAGACAGATATTGCTTTCCATCGACGGTGCCATTGAGAGAAACCATGGAGCCAATGCGAGCTAAAGCGCGGGCATTGGAGAAGCCACCTATGCCTCCAATCCCATTTTCTCTAAAGGCTGCAGTGTTGGGAGCCGTGGGGAACGAGGGACTCATAGGTGTCCCTGCGTATGATCTCGCAGCGATGCTGGTGGGATCGATAGCCGGGGGGTGGGCTTGGAGTGAAGGGAACGATATCTGCCGCTCGCGGATACAATTCCTTTGGCAAGCCAAGACGATAGTCCGCGCCCAAGGGGCCCGCTATCTCGTCGACAATGAATTGGTTCAAAGACTTGCCGCTGACACGCCGCACAATCTCGCCGACTAAATGGCCTTGAGAAAGCAGATGGTACCCGTTGAGTTCACCCGGTGTCCACAAGGGGGCCATCTCCGCAAGTTTTGCTGTTGCCCCCTCGATATCCAGAATCTCCTCCAGGGTGATTCCAGGGGCCCAGGCTGAGACTCCAGAAGTGTGGCTTAGGATATGCGAGACTTTGACATCCTCCTTGCCGTTGGCTGCGAACTCTGGCCAGTACGTGGCAACTTTCTCATTGGCGTTGAGCAAACCGCGATCAATAAGGACATTGGCAGCAAGGTTGGTGATGACCTTGGAGGAAGACCATATCACGGTGATAGTATCTTCATCCCAGGGTCGAGTTTTGGTTTCGTCAGCGTGGCCACCCCATATGTCAACGACATTCTTTCCGTCGATGTTGATGCAAAGGGATGCGCCAATTTCGTCTCCACTGGCAAGTCGCTGCTGGAGAAGCTCACGAACTGATTCGAATGCGGGGTCGCAATTACCGTGGACTTCAGCCATGATGAATCTAGGACGAGTTGAATGTGTAGCAAAACGAATTCACAGAAGCAAGATCCTTAATGTTTTGAGACAGGGTTGCGAATAAACTGCCTTTTATATCAGAAATATTGGGAGCCAAATAGGTGAAGTTAATGGCATTGGCAATTGTCGTGGCCCCCTCTTTCTCTCAGAATTGCTGATGATGCCGAGGTGATTGTCAGCTGAGCCCCTATCAGGCAGTCAGCTCCTCGGTCGCACATTGGCAGCGTTGTGTAGTATCGTTGATTCGCTCAAGTTGATGATAAATGCCATCCCAAAACTGAATAATCAAGTTGATGTCCCTGGGGGCTGAGCTTGGTAATAGGGCATCTTCCTTAGTAATGAGAAGGCTCATTGATAAATGCGATCACGTCAATCAGACCGTGAAGAGCATGATGCCCGGCATTTCGCAGTTTAGCCCAGCATAAGAATTCTGGTGGCTGGGAATTGACTATTCTGTTGCTCTAAACTGGCTGACGGCAACAAAAGCTTATAATCCACCTGAAATTCCCCTCCAGGCAATATGGCCCGACTTTGTGTTTTCTTCGTTTCTTCGAGGTAATGAGTGCCGCATGTCCTAACCGCCTTGTGAATTGACAGCCGATGCCGACCAATGACGTCGCGACCTGAATCATACTCGGCATCGCGGGAACGAGAACTCCACCCTACAGCACGATCTGAATCTGGAATCAACTTCTAATTGGCAAATAAAGTACTGTGGATCTTATCTTATTGCCTTGTAGTTTTCCCGCAAATATGTCTAAGGTCTGTACGCTGTTCGATTTCGGATGTTCATACCTTGGCTGTGTCGTGGAACGGATCAACCGGGGAAGACACAACTCGATGACGCTGTAGACAGCAGCCGTAAGGAATGGAAATAAGGAACGAATAACCTAATAATTGGGCCCGACTCTTCCGTCATTCTAGAGTTCAAATAGGTCTTTATTTTTCCCTCTCGTAGAAAATTGCAAGAAGAAAGAAAAAAAGAAGAACGTTTGCTCACTGGGAGATCGTGAGGCATACATCAGATTCCCTGTCATTATGGAGCGTCCCAGCTCTCCTGCCTCTAACTCTCATGAAACCATTAGCAGCGGGAGTGATCCTCTGACCGCGATCGCCACCACCCGAGATCGCGGTGGATCCGAGTTTGAGGCTATTCGCGCGGACACACTGAGTCGTCAGCCTACCAATCTCAACGAGGTCGAACTAGAACGTATCGAAACCTATCGTCTCCAGCACCGCTCAACTGTCGGATCAGGAGTTCCCGTACCCCGCGAAGAATGGCTACCGATGGGTGCTGGGAAACCGTATCCGCCAGCTCTACCGGACCCTGAACAATTTGTGGTGGAGTTTACCGATGCCAATGATCCTCTGCATCCGCAGAACTGGTCCTTGCGCCAGAAGATTATCATATCTGTGGTGTTGGCCTACTCCACATTTGTCTCATCGTTCGCTAGTGCCATCTACTCCTCTGCCGTCGTCGAAATCAGTCCTCATTTTCACATCAGCGCCGAGGTCGCCATCCTCGGCGTGACGCTCTATGTCTTGGGGTTTGCTTCAGGGCCAACCTTGTGGGCTCCAGCAAGTGAGTTGATTGGAAGAAGATGGCCGATCATTGTGGGAGTATTTGGTTATGCTATCTTTACAGTTGGAACTGCAACTAGTAAAGATGTCCAAACTCTCATGTTGACTCGATTCTTCGCGGGGTTTTTTGCCGCCAGCCCAATTGCCATCGTGCCGGCCGTTTTTGCGGATATCTACAACAATCAGACTCGTGGTGTGGCTATCGCAATGTTTGCCATGGCTGTTTTTGTTGGCCCTTTCGCGTCACCTTTCACCGGAGGGTTTATCACGATGTCTTATCTTGGATGGAGATGGACGATGTATATCTCTTGCATCATGGGCTTTTTGTCCACGGTACTATGTCTTTTGTTCCTCAAGGAAACCTATGCACCCGCCATCCTTGTGGAGAAAGCGATTAAGTTGCGCAGACAGACCCACAACTGGGGTATACGGGCGAGGCAGGAGGAGGTCGAGTTGGACTGGGAGGAGTTGATCACAAATAACTTCAGTCGGCCGTTTCGAATGCTCTTCACAGAGCCAATCGTATTTTTGGTATGTTCAATCCGGTTTTTTGGTGGTAAATGAGAACTTCACTAATGATATTGCAGATCTCTCTTTGGATGAGTTTTGTTTATGGACTGATGTATGCTCTTCTCAGTGCATATCCTGTCGTATTTCAAGGAATCCATGGCATGAACCTCGGAGTTGGTAGTCTACCTTTCATTGGTTTGATTATTGGTGAGCTCCTAGCCGGTGGTTACATTCTGCTGGACCAGAAGTCGTATTCGAAAAAGCTAGCGGCCAACAACAATATTCCTATTCCCGAATGGCGACTCCCACCATCTATCCTTGGTGGTATCTGTTTCACCATCGGGTTGTTCTGGTTCGGCTGGACAGGATGGACAAAATCGATACACTGGATGGCACCAACTGCGAGCGGAGTCATCACTGGATTCGGTATCTACGTGATCTTCCTGCAGTGCTTCAACTACCTGATCGACTCATATCTCACCTTGTAAGTCTCCAATATGGCTTTACAGAAATGCACACCACTAACCACATTTCTAGCGCGGCGTCTGTGTTTGCTGCCAACACTATCATTCGATCCGCGGTTGGAGCCGCATTTCCGTTGTTTTCGAAACAAATGTTCAATAACCTAGGGGTGCAATGGGCTGGTACATTGCTCGGATGCCTGGCATTGATCATGGTTCCTATCCCACTCGCATTCATCAAAATTGGCCCCATCCTGAGAAAGAAGTCCAAATTTGCCCCAGCTTTTCCACCTCGTGAAAGCAGGCCTTCAGAGAAGGAGCCAAGGGCATCTGTATAGGGCATCATCGCATCACATAATCCCTGTTGACTTTTTTGTTTTTACCAAATTTGTTATTTATAATATACTAGTTGAATATCATTTCCTTGTTCAAAGCTGGTGTGTCTGTCCCGATAGAGAGATTTATAGAATCCGCCCTTTCATATGTCAATAGCTGAAGTTTGAACGCCATCGGACCCGGCCGACTTTTTCAACCCCAGATATCATTTCCTGGGGAGACTCGTCTGATATGTATAAAGCTGTTGAGATTACATCGACTCATCCGCTCTATCAAAGTTTCCGGGCTGCTTATCATGGGACCTTGAAGATTACCACGATAAGATAGCCTGCGTCTTGCCAAGAAGACCGAGTGCAACCTTGGCGTTTCAGCAAGAGGCGTTCAGAGAAAAAGCTTCCATCCTTCAGTGACCGTGCTAACTATCGACAAGGAATCCAAGCATTTCTATCTCACATTTCATCTAGAACTCTTTCTAAACAAATTCATCTGAGTCATGGATCTTATCGAATTTTTTTTTTTCAACATACCAGACCCACTGCCGAGGTTGCCGAGCTCAGACCCATGGGAAAATGGACTGTCGGCAACCAAGCGGCCAATTGCTCGGCCGGCACAAGGCCCAACCCTGACCCGCCAAGTCTGCCAAGGATGATGGGGGCGGAGATAGCTGGTCATCGACTGGCCAGGTGAATTTTTTTCTGTTGCAGCTTATCAGAGAAGTCTGGTTGGCGGAGTAAGCCGGATAGTTTTTCTTCGCCTTCGACGCGTTTGCTTTTCTTCTCTTCACTGTTCGTCAACCACTTTAAATAGTGCGTCGCATCGACTGCAGCGGCTCTTGATACCCTGCGCGTATAGCAGCAGTCGCAAATCGTCCAGCAAAAATGGGGTTTAAGACCTGGATTCATGATACTAACCTGCGGGTTGCGCGCAGCCCCGTGGGGAGATGGTTTCGTCTGGAGAATTCCGGCCACGTGAGTTTTCATTGCTGCTTCTGTACCAACGACAGATATATTGAACGGTTGAATAACGTGATGTCATGAACTAGCCGTTGGAGAGGAAGGGCAGCTTCTTCTTTACTGAGCTTCGCGCCGGCTTGGCCACATTCTTCGCGATGGCCTATATTATCTCCGTGAACAGCACTATTACTTCGGAGTCTGGTGGAACATGTGTGTGCCCGGCCGAGAGCATGGCTGACCTTTGCGCAACCAACGCCGAATACTTGATTTGCGTGCAGGAAGTTAAGCGCGACATCGTTACCGCGACAGCAGCTATCGCCGCCCTCTCGACATTCTGCATGGGTCTCTTTGCGAACTTGCCTATTGCGCTGGCTCCCGGAATGGGTCTCAACGCCTATTTCGCATACACCGTCGTCGGGTATCACGGTTCCGGTCTTATCCCATACAAGGTTGCTTTGACTGCGGTTTTCGTCGAGGGTTGGGTCTTTTTGGGCCTGACGTTGATCGGTATGCGACAATGGCTTGCGCGCGCACTTCCGGCTTCTATCAAGCTTGCGACTGGTGTCGGTATTGGGCTGTATCTTGCTCTCATCGGCTTGACTTATAGTGCCGGTATTGGACTAGTCCAGGGTGCCTCGGACACTCCCATTGAGTTGGCAGGATGCGCATCACAGTACTTCGACGAGAAGACTGGGTTGTGTATGAGCAGCCAGAAGATGCGCAACCCTACTATGTGGATCGGTATTTTCTGCGGTGGTTTCGTGACTGCGCTGTTGATGATGTACCGGGTGAAAGGCGCGATCATTATTGGAATCCTGCTTGTCTCGATCATTTCGTGGCCGCGTACCACTCCAGTGACATACTTCCCTTACACGGAACTCGGAACTAGCATGTTCGATTTCTTCAAGAAGGTCGTTACTTTCCATCCTATCACACACACTTTGGCTGTGCAGGAATGGGATATTTCTGGCCATGGCGGTCAGTTCGGTCTTGCTTTCATCACTTTCCTGGTATGTTTTCGATCTTCCCATCGATGGCTTTGGTTTACTCGTCAACCCATGACTAACTTGAAATGATAGTACGTCGATATTCTGGACACTACTGGCACTATGTACTCCATGGCCCGATTCGCCGGCGCCATTGACGAGCGTACCCAAGATTTCGAAGGCAGTGCCATCGCCTACGTAAGAATTCCCAATCTCCAAAATTGCAGGACGCACCAGCTAACTTATCATCCAGATGGTTGACGCTATTTCTATCTCAATCGGCTCCCTGTTCGGTAGTCCGCCCGTAACCGCCTTCGTCGAATCCGGTGCTGGAATTTCGGAAGGCGGCAAGACAGGCTTGACCTCGTGCATGACCGGCTTCGCATTCTTCATTGCCGTGTTCTTCGCACCGATTTTCGCTTCAATTCCACCATGGGCAACCGGCTGCACTCTCGTCATTGTCGGCGCTCTGATGGCCAAGGCAGCAGCCGACATCAACTGGCGCTACTACGGTGATGCGATCCCGGCATTCCTTACCATCGCTATCATGCCCTTCACCTACAGCATTGCCTACGGTCTTATCGCTGGTATTCTGAGCTATATCATTCTCAACGGCATTGCTTGGATTCTGGAGAAGGTCAGTGGTGGTCGCATTGTCCCACCAAACAAGGATGAGTCCGATCCTTGGTCATGGAAGGTGCCTGGCGGCTTCCTTCCTCCTTGGGTGAAGCGTGCTGCTAGTGGGAGGAAGGACTTCTGGCGTCGCGATGAGGAGCGCGCCGCTTCCGATGAACTAGAATCCATTGGTTCATCCAAGGAGCGAGTGGCAGCTGAGAAGGGTTCAAACAATGCCGAGGAGCCCACAACAAAAGCGCTGTGAGGGAATACACTTGGTGAGAGCGCTTATTACCATGCAGTCAGTGTAGCATACATTTAGAAGTATATGGTATCATAGTTGTAAATAATTCATTATTTTGAGTACTTGATGGTCTCTTTTGTGGGGTAGCTAAGTAAATGTTAATTATGTGGAATATTTACGGGTAGTTTCCCCTGTCTCAAACGCTTTACTACGTAATAGGGTTGGAAGATTAGCGCCCACATGCGACACTCTTATACTTGGGCAATTAAATCACGGCACAGTAGGGAGGGTAAACGCACGACGTTTCTTTCCGGGTGGTTTTTGGTATAGAATACGATCGGTAACTAATTTTAAGGACCGGCGAATAGATTATCAAGATGGACCTTGTCAAATTTGAGTTTTCGCGGAGTATCAGTCGGAGTATACAATCCTAATGGTGGGCTTTTAAGATCACATGCTGCTGTAGAGCTGAAAATCATCTAGCTTGTGTGATCAATGACACTCTGGACAAGCTGAAGCCTGCGGTGTAGCTAGCATTAGCGAGTATGTAAGCTGACGGGCAGACCATGTACTAAATCTAGGAATGAGACATTGTTTTCGCCATCGTCGGTTGAAAGATCAGTTTTAAGCTAATACAGAGTACATATGTTCGGCTGCTGGCGAGACCAGTCTGCTCGGGGAAAGCTTCCGTCGAGTTTTAGAGTGCCTATTGCCTGATATGGTTTAGATGTGCGATGGCTAGCGCCTCTCGATGGCCCCTCCTTTGATGGGGGAATTCCATCGCGAACCGCTTTTGTGCGACCGCGGAACGAGACCGAGAGACACACGACCTAAGTTTGGCTCCGGCAAGCCACTGAAATTGTTAGTTCCGCCGTCACCCTACAAGTATCTTTGTTAGTGATTCAATGTCTACAGTAATGAATGTCTCATCCATCATAATCTGAAATCGGAGAGACACCGGTGCTCAGTAGCTCGATGGGTAGGCACGAAATGACAGTGGGACGGGTGTTTCGTTCCGTTCTATCATTAGCAAGGTTGCTCTTTAGATCGAACTTCTTGTGATTAGATCCTTGGCATGCTGAAGATCACACTGTTTGCCATGAGTGGCCAGAGGCCAAAACGTGAGATGATGCTTGTATGCGACAAGACCAGGCCTATCAATCGAAGACTGCGTCGGCGTTTGCTACCCGGGTTGTAAGTGACAAGGAAGGTGCTTCACGGCGGCTGTCCACTCCGCGGACTTCCTCGTGTGCTAATGATGCAAGTTACGGGACGGAAAGCACTAGTCTGCTTCCCCGTTGACTAACGAGTAGTCACAGGGTAGGTCTAGGCTGTCAGCCTCACAGCGAAACCCCTGCTCTGTAGAGATGGCCGCAATCCTGATGTCAGGAGAAGAAGATCCCCCGCGCTGGGTGCATAAAGGGCCCATGACCATGTTCTCGGTAAAGAGCTTGCGGCTCTATTGGTCGGAAGTTTGGCGGAAGGAACAATAACAAACTGTGAGGATCGAGAAAGACTGGCACCGAATTTTTCTCAACTGACGCGATAGGCTGGGTACCTGGTTGGAGTTAAAACCCTTCTGCGGGACCCGTCGACGCGACAGGTTGGAAGATCGAGCCGGACCCGCCCCAGAATGGGCGTTCGTAAGCATCCTAATTTAAATGGTGATAGTTTCCGAAGCCCAATCACCAGACGCGAGGGTTCAAAATGGTGGCCGAGGTGAGCCTAACGTGGCCCTTTTTTGGCCGCTAAAAAAAGTAAAGATGGTGAGAAGGCAAAATAAGTACCTTCCAGCCGCATCAAACTCCACACTCTTGAATGGCCCAAGTGTCGCAAAAGGCATCGGAAGCTGCGGGTGGCCGATTAATGCACCAATAAGTGTGGTAATTCGATCAAAGCTTCGAACAAGGCCGACGGTGTTCCCACAAAGGAAGGCATTTGCCCTCTAGGGAATCAATGCTGTAGCCCCATCGAAAAGCCTGTAGGCGAGATCAACTTCACACCCATCATTCTTTTGGACTGTATCGAGTTCGGGTGTATCAGGTGTGCTTCATGAACGGTTCGGACTCGCTGAGGCCACTCAGGCCCTCAATAGAGGGTTCTTCGAGAGTCCTTCTCGAAGACTCGATTTCAAGGCGGAGGAATGTCCGCACAGCATGCACTACGTGCAAACGGCGCAAGTTGAAGGTAAACCGCTTCACCCCTCAATCAACTAGAAGTGGCCGAGTGAGATGATTGAGTAAAGGAATATCTGTAGTGCTCGGGTCAGGCACCCTGCGTCAACTGTCTCAAGACGGGGGCATCATGCGACATCGACGAGGATGGCGACCAGCGTCGGAAGCATGTTCTCAAACGAAAACTCGACTCACTGGAGGAGAAAGGCCAGCTTCTGGATCGACTCATTGCCACCCTCCAGGAAAGCGACAGAATCTACGCTGCGCAAATAACCAATCTCATTCGCAGCCATGCGTCGTTGGACGAGATCAGAACCTTCATGGACGATCTGATGGAACGACCTCGGTTGGAAAAGACCCCAGAACTTATCGATGCATGTCATAGTATTGAACAGTGGCACGAGTCGCAAAAACGAGTGATTCGTACCAGGTCCGAGCCGAAACAATTGCAATTGTCTGACATGCCGCTCTTCCGAGTACCCGCACATCCATGGACGAGTGTCACAGAAGACGATGACTTCGTGTCACATTTGATATCTCTGTGGTTCACCTGGGCACATCCGTTCCTAAACTGGATTGATAAGGATCTCTTCATCCGAGAAATGCAAACAGGATCGATAGATTCTGAGTTTTGTTCTCCTTTCTTAGTCAATATCATTCTTGCAGATGCCTGTGTAAGTGACGCCGATTGCAATATCAAGTTCGCTGGCCAGGGACTCATCTGAGAAACTCGCTGCTATAGGCATACTCCGACTACCCCGAGGCATACGCCGTCGCAGCCGAGCAGTGGTCACGAGGACTCCACTTCTATAAAGAGGCTAAACGGTATTTCGAGAAAGATCTCAATACAGGAAGGATCGCGACTCTCCAAGGCATGGGTGTCCTATACTTGTGGTCAGTCACTTTCTTTTCCTCCATTTAGCATCAATGCTAACAATCTTCTTCCAGCACATGCCTAATCGGTAGGGACCGGATCGGGTGGAGGTACCTGAGTGACCTCGCATACGGAGTGCACGAACTGGCTGAACAGCGCAGACCACCGCCCGAAGATGCTGACCAGGAGACACTTGAAAAATTGAAAGCAGCAGACCATACGATCTGGGGACTTTTCACGTTATCCTCGTAAGAAAGTCTTGGCGCAAAAGCATGGGTTCAATTTTGCTGACGTTGCTTTGTTGAGGATGACCGCATTCTCATATCAAAGGACCGCTTTGATCAAGGTGCCAAAGATACCTTGTCCACCCCTTGGCCGTGATGTCCATCGTGAAAAGTGGTCCAACTATCCCGTCCAATCAGAAAACACTAAAGCGCACACTCAGTGTTTGTCAAAGGCCCTTAATGATGTGAGCCTCATCACGCATGACCTGACTTGGTTATTGTTCAATCGCAGTGATGGACAGCAAACCCTCAATGCTGAGTTTGTTAAAGCAGCAGAAAATGCATACAGTCGTCTGTGTGCGTGGTACGATAAGTTCCCGAACTGTTTGGGGACGAGCAATGCCACGCCACATGTTTTGAGTCTCCAGTCCGTTACTCTTTCCCCGGGAGAGACCAATCAACCCGAGCTGACCAGAATCAATGCCAGTCTCAAATACCACACCATTATCCAGACATTGTTCGGCGTCTTGAAGGATCTCCCGAAAGCCGAGGGCTGTGACGAGGGTGAGGAGTGGCTGCTTAAAACTCGTCTACGAGCCCAGGAGCGGTGTATCCAATCGGCCCAGGCAAGCGGAGACTTGATCGACATCCATTGCGACTTATGGGGCCTAGATCAAATGCCACCTGCCAATGTACAGTGGGTAACTGTGTCCATGTTCACTCTCCTGCCGTACTTGGAGGACAATGAGAGAAACTGCAAAGCCTTTACCAGCTTGAGCATCGCGGCGAAGGCGTTCTCGAGTCGCTGGTCATTGGGCAAGGGCATGCTGCGGTTGTTCCAAGTAACATCCAAGCAGATGGAGATAAAGCTGCCAACTGAAACAGATGCACTCTTCACCGACTTCGAGACGAATACCTGGAGCCGCGAGGACCGCAAGATTCTCAGTAGCCAGTACCCCAACTTTATCAACTCAATGAAGGGTGCGCAGGTGGATGAGGTCGAGCTCGATATGTTCTTGAACAAATTCGACGAATTGCATCTCGATGATGATGGTCAAGGCTCAGAGGGTTCGATCGAGGTGAGGGTGGAGCTATAAACAGGGGGAGAGGGGAGCTATCGAGGAACTGTGTTGATTTGGGTCGTGGAAGGGCCGGCCTGGGAGAAAATGAAGTATATTGTTAGCTCATCAAGGCACAAAGAACATTCTGAATCTCCCACTTCGCAGTTCTTCAAAGTAGATTGTCGAAGATGTAATTCGAGAAGGATGCGAAGAGGGATTGCCAACAGAACGAGTGGGTAACTTTGAGTGTGATCACGGGGATCCGCTATATAAGCCACGCGAGCAGAATAATGGGGCGCCCGGAATTGTTTTCCTGGGCATACAAGACCTTCGCTCACCAAAGTTCCAAAAACAGAATTCTACACTTCTAGCACTTTTATCATTGTGTCATTTTGCTAAGTATTGCAGAGCCTCGGCTTCTTGCGGCTTATTTCAGAGAAGTTGGAAGCTTGTGGGGTGGAATTAAGATGCCCGAGCTGGTCACCCGGTCATTGTCAGTAAGAAAGACGTATCATTCATCAATATGGTCTGCTGAATTGCTATGAAGCATATTCTCCTTGCGGTTGCTGTTCCCTAATATCGGCGCCAAAATCTGCTGCGCATCCCTAACCCTGGGATCCCCTTAGTGTATTCGCCATCCTCCCAGCCACGCACGGATAGGTATTCAATAAGAGCGAGAGGACATAAAGAAACCCAAGCCCTCCCACGCCAATCAAGCAAATGGGCATACTGCGGTGAAGTAGATCCAGCCAGTCCCCATTGCACAGATCCGATCCTGTGCTTTGTGGCAGCAGTCCCGATGCGGAGGAGAGCGTGAAGGTGTGTAAGCCCATTAGGCCGTCTGGAAGGATTGCTTTTTGGCCTTCCGAGCCATCCACTTGCGGTAGACAAACAAGGAGACTATACCAAGACCGACGAGAAAGACGATTGCGAACACCAGGATAACACCGGGCTCGCGGCTGGCCCAGTTTCCTCGCTTTGTGATGGTGGTCATATCGGTTCCCTGAGGCTGGTTGGTCACGGTGATAGCAGGCATTTCGATTTGGAGCGAGTGATAATTTGGGTCTCTTGTGTTGGATGTCAGCAATGCTTACTCTTGGGGGGCTAGATTGAACCTACTTGAGGATCTGAAAGACAAGGTAGGGAGTTTGGTTGCGTCTCGACTAGGCGAGTGATGGAGTTCTCGCTAATACAAGGTAAGTGTACGCAAAGCACTCGTTGGGCAAAGTTAAGACGAACCAGTTCAAGAGTAACGATCGGAATTGGAGAGGCGACTGGAAGTGAAGTTTTGAAAAGAGAAAGTTGTGTGTGATGGTAAACCGTTGAGCAGTAGCGGAACCAACGCTCAAGTAGATATTGCCAGGAAAGAACGTGACGTCACGCCTGGCGGAGTACGATTGTTTAAAAAAGTACAAGTCAGTGACTATGAGTAGCTTCTAGCAAACAATGCTTTTCTCCGAGGACTGATATGGTGCGTTTTCGACTAGAAGAAGCCCCGACACTCTACAGAGTAGCGGGACCACTAGTCTATGATGCGAACCACCATCAGTCTCGTACTAGACATCGTATATGAATGCCAGCCAAGAGACAGTATCTAGGACTGACTACCATGGATTTGCTTTGCTAAAACCCAAAGTCAGTCACATACGTTAAGAATAAAAACTCCGCCAGAGTTCGTTCTGACAAGAGGCTTTCCCCGCAGCCGGAGAGACCCGCCAGGTGTCGATCTCCTGTCAGTCAAGGCGACCCACATAATAAGCTACCAGCATCTGTGCCTGAAGGAATATACTACTAAGGGGCCTTGAATATATCTCCTGTTATTACCTGATAGATTCTTTAGGGTCATCACATAGGCTTCGGCCCTGAAATGGTTTCGACATGTCTGGGTGCGACCCGCACCGGACCCAGGCCTCTTGCGTCGCCACTCACATCGCCGACTGCGGATTATGACACGGCATTTGCTGAGTGGCCCGATACCTATAAGGATATAGAAGTATATAGATAGGTATATCAAAGAAGAAATGAAGTTTTGGGTATATATACGAATTTCTTCATGGTAAATCCCAGCATTACGTGTTGTATGCCCCATTGACGTCATTGACCACTCCAAGAGGAACTAACCAATCGATGAATTTCTACAGAATCAATACGTTCATTGTGAGTTTACAAAAATACCCACCTCTATTTGCAAAAGTCATTTTTTCTTGTAGAGAATCACGTGTTGCGATTTTAGACGCGACAAGACAGGGTGGATAGTAGCCTGAGGCAGCAATATGGGAGCTCTGCGGAGGCTGTCTCCGTCAATCTGTCCATCTCCTTTTGCCCTCGCAGACTCACCAGAAGCCATCAAAGGCGCCTCGCCTGTCCCTACTGAGGCAAACCTGCATACCTGCCCTTAAGTGATATTCCAGCCTTGATAACAACGTGATGGCAGCACGAACAATCTAGAAGCCACAGCAGGGACTTGGTTTAGCTGAATCTATTTTCTTCGCGCCAAGCCAGAACCTTATTCCTAGGCCCTTGGCATATGTCAAAGTGCTCGATGTCTCGAGATGATACGAATCCTCCAGAGGCGCAACTCAGGAACACGAGCATCGCCAAGAAGTCTTGTCTCGATTGAGGCGTATCTGCAACAAACCGTTTCACTCGGAAAGTTCCAAGCCTCGAAGCTAAATAAAGTCAGGAGTTGGAGGGACTGTTACCAAAAAAGAGGGTTCCCGGCCGTCCATCACCTCGTATTCCGCCTACGGGGCACCAATCACCGACCTGCATGCCATTCCAGAGTCGATCCGACGATTTCATGTGTGTGAATGCTGACGGGCCGTGCTTGCAAAATTCGTATCAGGCCGACGGACCTAATCTCTTCGCCGAGTGGGTGCCTGGAAGCCACCCGTGTTGTCTACGCTATACAAACCCCTTCAGAAAAAGATTTGAAGATGCTCGACAGCCAAGTAAATAAAGAGGTGATGCTCTTTACGAATGGGAAATTTCCTATGCTCTTGGGACCTTATCGTCAATGGCTTTTAGACCTTCCATAATGTGCATGCGACGAACCAACCAGTCAGTCCCCTCTTCAATGCTGGGAATGCAAATGACGCTGGAAATCTGCGTGGCACAAATTGCTCGTCGATCTTCGCCCCATCAAGGTAGCGATCTGCCCCTGCGCCCTGCGCGGGGTCCACCCCATGGTTCTAACTGGCCTTAATGGGCAATCATGCACAGAAGAAGCTTCATTGGATACGAGATTGACTTGCCCTCGCGCGTTGATGCCCCGTGTCTGCGGGTCCCATATTTAGAGACGAGCATCTTCCCTGATTTTCATCGTGAGCTTAATTCTATCTTATATCGTTATTCTGAACCTCTTCTGCGGCCACATCGGCATCGGCCGCGTCGTCAAGATGAATCTCTGGTTATGCACCCTTTCGTTGATTCCGCTGGTGGACGCATGGACTTTCCTGTACACCAACTCGACCGGAAACGCCACCATCCTGCATGACACTGGAACAGACAACTGCACATCAATCGACCTAGCTGGGGGGAAATTCTTCTCTTGGGACCCCGAGGATTCGGGTCTTTGTATCTCGATATATTACGATTCTTCGTGCAAAGAACGAGGAGGCCTCTCCTGTAACGCTTGGAGCAAGAACGCGAGTACAACATTCCACGGCGTCCAAATATATTCCGAGTCAGATTCGTCTTCCGCGTCTGTTTCCACCTCGACTCCAACTCCCACAACATCTGCATCCAGCTCCACCTCAACTTCTACTTCCACTTCAACTACCCTCTCTACGTCAACACCGACGACTCCTACCTCCACAGCCACATCCACAAACTCTGCAACTGCGGGCAGTGGCTCTTCATCCTCCATCTCAGGCGGTGCGATTGCTGGCATCGTGATTGGAGTCGTGGCTGCAGTAGCCATTATCGGAGGGCTATTCTTCTATTTTGGACGCCGAAACCGCAAGAACGCGAGTACACCCGCTGGTAATCAGCAATCTGGCCCGGCATCTGGCTCGATGCCTGGAGAGCCACATGGCCCATATTCTCCACAGGCACCAATGCTAGTAGCTGGATATGCACAGCCGCCATATACAGACAACTCAGATAAGGCTCCTAACTCCTCGAGCGGCATGTCATCAGTACGCCCCGCTCCGGGATCTCGAGTTGTGGAACTAGCAGGACACGACCGGGCGGTTGAGCTGGGTAATAGCCCAATCAGTGAGCTTGATGGTCAGACGTCGGAGAAGTACTCTTATCGATTTTAATGGCTCCATTGTGTTATGTATATATGTTCAAACAAATTCGAAATGTTGTGAATCAACTTCAATTATCCAGCAGGCGTCTGTTTCTCTATCTATATCAAGCCTCTACCTCTATCTTATCGAATGATATCAGCAGCCTTTTCAGCGACAGCGTATACTGTCGCTTGAATGTTACCCCGAGCCTCCAAGGGGAAGATACTGGCGTCCACAATACGCAAGTTGGTTGTCCCATAAACCTTCAGCTTAGAATCTACAACACCGCCGTCTTCTCGGGCCATCATAGCACAGGTCCCACTGACGTGATACACAGATAGCACAAGCTTCTTGCAAATTCCTTTTGCCTTCTCAAGCTCAGTCAAAGGCTCTGTTGCATGCCAGCACTCCCCCCCTTTCTTAAGCAGCGATGCCATGGGCTCAGCCTCTGCAATCTTCTCCAGCCACATACTATGGCGGGCATGCAGCTCGTGATCAACAGGATGTCGGAGCATCCCGTGATCTATCACCGGTGCGTCTTGTGGGTTTGCGGATTGAATATGGACGGAGCCTCGGGAAAGAGGATAACTCAGTGCAGCAATCATACTGATGAAGAACCCTGGATGACTGAGACTGAAAATACTTTTCGGGTCATCTCCCGCTCGTTGGAGAAACTGGGATGGAGCCATTATCTATTGGGCAGTGGCTTCCTCCGGATCCTTGATCAAGCCCTGCAGCACCTCAAACTGTTTTCTGTGTGTGATGGAGGTCTCCGGATTTTTGATGGATTCCTCAATCTTCAGAAGTATTTTCTCCAGTTCTGGCTGGGTCAGGTCCGCGCAGGGCATGAATGCAGAAATGAATGGAACCATTCCCAGAGGACCTGAGCCGTCTTTCTGATATGCAGCCATTGCTGCGGCGGCAACTGCAGGATCCCTCGCCATATCCCCGGACGGAAGGCCATCCGCCACTTCATAAACCAAAGGTACTATGCCATAATCTTGCAGATTCTCGCCGACACCCGCATGGTCAATTATCGGGGTGATGCCGTGGGCCTGGAGAACTGACGATCTTCCGATACCGGACAGCTCCAATATCTGAGGCGTCTGCGTCGTTCCTGCAGCCAAGATACCTTCTCTTTGCGCTGAAACCGTGAATCCTTTCTGGTCCTTTCTAAAGCGAACACCTGTGGCGACAAACTCCTTGACTTCGCTGGTCCAACACGACCTTCTCTACCAAAGCCCCCGTCACAACCCTCAGGTTGGATCTAGCCTGAACATCCGGACCCAGATAGGCCACTCCAGAATGACTTCTCGTGTTGGTGACTGGATCAATGGAGCCAGGCGTGACAAATGGACCAATCCGAGCACCATTGATTAAATCTTCGACTTGTGGATATCCAAGTCCCTTGAAGGTTTCCAACCATGCAGAATGATACGGCATGTACTGATCACCGAACGACACGTTCACAGGGCCATCAGTCCCATTACTCTTTTCGTCATATTTCATTCCCTTGAAAAATTCCCGATTTGCGTCTGACGGTGGGGTCCGATTTTGGAATTTGCGAATTTATGGTGACATTCCTTCCCACCCCCAGCCGGGGTTTCCTAATGCTTCCCACGCATTGAGTCCCGATTGAGAGGGGTAGACTACCATGCCATATTTATTGCAGATTAGCCTCCCAAAGTGCGCCCTTTGTTTGCTAGGAGTGTGCGACCGTTGAATTACTCCTAATATACAGTATTAGCGACTAGAAAGCCCCGGTCCGTTGAATGCATCATCAAACACCGTCTGCGGAAGCTTACCTGAGGTATTGATCGGAAATTCCAAACGAAATCTGGATCCTCGAATGTTGCTATGCCCAATCCTGGGATCGTGATTCGAGGATCATCGAGACGGTTTGTTCCTGCTTCAAGGACAATGACTCGAACATTGGGGTCCTCGCTGAGTCTGTCGGCTACCACAAGGCCAGAGGTTCCACCTCCAACAATGAAATAGTCGAACACTGCATCTTCGAGACCTGAAGAAAATTCGGTGTCGAATGAAGCCATTGAAGCTCTTTTCTAAGCTCTAGGTTCTACTATTGCAAGCGAGAGAGAGAGAGAGAGAGAGTCAAGTGTACCTTGTAGGGTGAATAGGATATGAAAATTTAAATGAAGGGCAAATGATTACTCTACTCTCATTGTATTCCCATCTTCGCCGCGTCAGCTACTACATAGCAACGAGCATCTGCGTGGCCATGTTGGTGGCCTTATAAGCTGCCAAGTGCGGGGAGAAGGCTCCAAGAGCTGCAATGACATGGGAGCGACTAAGAAAGAAGCATGAATGATCTCCCGGCCGTCCATAAGCCACATGTACACAACACATGCCACCAAGTTCATTGTGAAATTTGGATGTCATGCTCGTCTTCAGGTCTCGTACCTACTTTGTACTGTAGCATGATTCTCGACGAGAAACAGAAATCGCCGACATACTACATCCAGCTGAGGACGAGCCTTACTGGGCCCCGTTTCCCCGCAGCAGCCATTAACACGCCCACAACTGGCTCCCACCAAAGCTGACACCCGGCAGTTGGACGCCTAGTCTGCAAGGTTTTCCCCTACTTCGACCCTCAGGCATGCCATCACTATGTATAGTTGATCTTGCACATGGAGTAAACCGCGCACTTCTCTTATGAATGCCACCAAGTTGTCAAGTTCCAAAAAGGAATCTTGGAGAACCCGGGGGCGGGAGCTCTCATCCTTTGAAGCCACTCGATACGCTAGCCCGATAGTGCATGTGCACGTTTGCTGCATATCTGATACAAATTCGGTTAGTCTCTTGTGGTATTACTCTTGGCAGGCAAGAGAGCTTCCCGAGGTGGAGATGGAAGCGGGGAGCTGTACGGAGTACGGAGTAGAGAATCACCTCATGGATGCTGTTGCCCGTTGCTTCAAAATCTTAGAGAAAAGGGTGTAATTTCACCTGGATCTTTAAGTTTTCGCTTTTCATCGTCATGTCTACTTGCCTCCGATGGTGATATGCGACAGTTTCGAAGCTGTCGACCAAATGCCGACTTTATGCCTGGCTGGTGGTGATTACCTACTAAATCCCAACCTTGGATGCAGGTGGTTGAAGATATAGATCGAGCACTTCACGGTGTTGGACTTGGTACTCAAAACCATATCTACCTAAGCCATCCAGATGAATAATTAATTCCATGCTTTTGGGAATCATAGATTGGATAACGCGCTAGCTTCCTAGGTATCTAAATGGTTTCAGTACTTGTCTATGGACCTTAACTTCCAAATAATGTGCTAGAATCTTCATCCTGCATGGGCGAGCCCTTGACACTCAAAAGAAATTCTCTTTTGCTAGGACGCGGCGATGTAGGAATCGAAGCACGGTTGTTTCACTTGTGCTAAAGATGATCACGCGTTTTATGATCATAATCATCCCCATCCGTTTAGGCTGGGCTCTTAAACTTATTTTCCTAGGTTGTGTCCCCTGCAAGTGAAACCGGGAAATCATCTTTAATTCTTCCACGTATCATTGCTAAAAATTTCTTGATCGAAAATGATAGGTACCTGGGTAGTGGTAGTACCTGCAGCATGTCTCGGGTCCTTCTAAGGCCTACCCAAGAACTACAAAACACCCTTCAAACCCGTTCAGAGTTCACACTTCTCGAGTGGCAATGGAAAACCCCAACACTCAGGCTCGACGTTGGCGCTTGGCGCTCATCCTTGTTCCTTTCGCTAAGAGATTAACCTTTGATCTAATCGCAAACATGTCCAAGCCGGGTCACGGCCCGATTATTGCGTGGTGGATAATTAAGACTGTTACATCTGAAGAGCGCTCACGCCCACCTTCACACCCATGTCAACGCCACCCACCGTGCACTCTGCAGTAGTCCAGTCTGACTCCAAACATAGTTTGCATGAGTCCTAGCACACGGTCGGCACGCCGTGGCCTATGATATTCGGATATCCGTCGTAGTTCCGGTCACACTTGGGCATTCTCACGCTCGCAGACACGGTGAGACGGAGGAGAAACAAGTCGGCCATCGGACGGCTGTAGATAGAGACAAGACATGAATTCGGAACATCATGTACATGGGCCATCGGGCGCGGCATCTGTTTATCGCGCCGATCCCCCGTTTCATTTGACTGCCGATCCCTGGCCCTTGGACCGATTTCGATGAGACGGGGGGCTTCTGGTCTGCAAAAAAGGCACTACAAGGCACAGCCCCTATTCTCTCATGGCACAATCTGTGGATGTTTGATTAGGAGACACGGATTGAAGCCCGTTGGCGACAAGCTAGGCACATATCGGGCAGCGGAACGATCGCGATGTATTTCGATGCCGCATATGGAAAGGAATACCATGACTCGCTTGGCGATATCTGGGGGCCTTTTCTGGTGGAAAGATTAGGCATATGGTAAAAAATGCCGATTAAACTGTGGTTCTCCATTTTTCAGAGATTGTGTACGTGTCTAGTCGAGCCAGACAGGAATATATTCGAGCCTCAGACCTCAAAGCTTGGAGCTTTTGGTCTGATTTGTATGGGGTGATCAAATCCAAGACAACCTCGGCAGATGATTTGGTCTCTACTCGCCACCTCGCTTCTCATAACTAACTTATTTTATTCTACACCAATCAGTGCAAATAATCCGGCAACCGAATTCGTGGGCCATCTCATCAATCATTCGGGCATCGTATCTATTGTTGCCAAGAAAATTGATGCTGCTCGAGTCAGAGTGGTTCTGGAATTCGGAACTGTGGTGGACTTCGGCGTGATTCCCGGCTCTTTCTGGTCATTCTAGCCGAACCGTTCCGATCATGTAGAAGTCTTACGGTAGAAAATATACCCATGACCTGATTTATTATTTGAGATAATTTTTATCGAATACTAAATAGACCAGTCGACTCGGAAGCTTTCCAACGGTGCTTGTACATGGCTTGGGTTGGCTACAGTAGCGAACATACCAAAACTCTTGGCATACTGCGAGCGCTAAGAATGTGGACATGCTCACTGGCTCACGCATGGCCCTCACTCGCTAAGTTTCAAGGTTTAGGCATGTGTCGGGACTGTCCATACATATTTGCGGGTCTGGAGCAGTAATCAGCTGTACTGTATTAAGTAGGATCATTTCAGCTATTTGGCATGCTTTCAGAGAGGAAATACATAGCCAAGATTAGTGGGCGTGGCCCCGTTCCTCCTCATTTCATGGCATGATGAATACGAAAGTGCATTGGATGGCTTCAAAGGCTAGCGACTCGAATGCGTCAAGGACCTAAGCTTGATAGAAAGCCTCGAGGACTAAGTTCAAGATGAACATGGGCTTTCGGGCCGAAATTGACCAAGCGGCCGTCCGGGAAAGCCCCTTGTCCGAGGAAGGAGTAGGGAAACCAGCCAAACCACGCTGGACTTGACAGTCTAGAATGGGCCTAACGGTTTGTGGGGGCGGACCCGTGTAGAATTAAGCACGGAGAGATGCTCCGCGCTAACTGTGGCCTCATGCACAGCACAGTACACCTTTGATGTGCTCGACTGGTAGACATTGTCGCGACTTTAAAAAATGCAAACTATCAAGAATTATTCCTGACAGATCGGTTTGAATAAACTATTCACTTTCCCATGAAAAGGCAAGAATAATGAGGCCTCGGAGGAATGATAAGTGTCACATTGGGAGGGCGGGCTTGGGATGAAACGGGACTTCCCTCGTGCAGCAGCTAAACCCAATTAAGCCAGACTTTAATGACCACAAATTAGAGTGCTGGAAGCCTTTCCCATTATGAAATACACTGTTAGCCGAAGAAAGCAAAGCCAAAGGGGCGCCCACTACCCCGTGGTACCGAACCAATCATTCTCAACCTTCCAGCTTCTACGGGACATAGGGCCGATACCCCAGAAACCATGTCCTGATTCTTTTTGGACGATCCTCGACTCATGTCTGTGACCTGGAGATGTCTGGTCTCACTGGGGAATCCCCCGATTCCAATCAGGATACGGAGCTCCTCGTGTACGCCACACCCCAGGATCTTTAGCTGCTGATGGGATCCGGGGGCCTGGGGTCACAAGGTTGTCAGGTCTCCGCAAGAACCCAATTTTGACTAGCCTCCGCCTAGAGATAGAACCCTGTCAGTTGTGTCCGAACCGATCGCGTGGTATATAAGTCTCATGTTTCCCCACCGTCTACAGAGGCTTATACCTTGTATCACTTCGCAAACCGGAATCAGCATTGGCCCAGCCGGAGGTATCCGCAGCACCCAGTACAACCATGTCGGAGAAACAGGCCCCCGAAGAAGTCCATGGCATCTCGACTGCCGTCGAGGACACTGCCCATGTTATTGCAGGGTATGGTGAAACGGCCAAGAAGCCTGGCGCGAAGACCAAGCAGGTTCACAATGTGAGCTTCGACGTTCTCCTTTGAAGATGGTCGGATCTGATTGAGAATAGGCCGAATTGTTCGCAGCTATCGAGGAGACCAAGATCGAGCGATGGAGCAAGACTTCGATTCACCTCTACTGTGAGTATCTTGATACAAACCAGTCCATTCATTGAGCCATAAAGAAGTTTCGAATGTCTAATATTTTCAAAATCCAGTCTGTATCTTCGTCGCCTTCCTCTGCGCCTGCGCCAACGGTTATGATGGTACGTCTACACAATTCTCTCGGTTTCGACCTCAAAGAAACATTAGATTCACGGAGTTTCTACGGACGACTCGAAAAGAGAGAGAGAGAGATGCTAAAAGCAAACAGGCTCGCTGATGGGATCCGTTCTCGCCATGGACCATTACCAAGACGTGTTCAAAACCGGTCTGACTGGTGAGAAGGTCTCAGTCGTTACCTCGCTTTACACAGTGTGAGTGTCAATATTCCAATTGCATTCCCCAAGCGCAATTTGCCTTTGCAATTGTTTTTATTGTTCAATTCTGATTCTTTGACTAGTGGCTCGATTGTTGCAACCCCGATGAGTGCTGTTATCTCCGACAAGCTCGGACGCCGAAAGTGCATGTTCGTTGGTGCATGGATTATCATTATCGGTTCGGTGATCATCGCTTCTGGAATG